ACAGCCACCACTAGTGATATTCTGCCCTATTTGTCTGCTGCCTCGATATTAGCGTCCCTTTCAAGTAGAAACCCCACCGTGCTCATATCGTCACCGACACAGGCGAATATAAGAGCTGTTCTAGCGACTTTATTTTTTTCACAGATGTTGCAGCGTTTCTCTAGCAATGTGTTTATGACAGCCACGCGTCCCCATGTTGCAGCCTCCATCAAAGACGTCCTTCCGTCTTCAGTTGCCTCTTTCGCATTAGCACCTCCCGTCGGTAAAATATTCACTATAACTTAGCTTTTCGAACGCGCTACATGAAGAAACGCAGTGGAACTAAATATATCCTTGGCTTCGAGATCCACCCCTTTGTCTAGTAAGAGCATCGTAATTTCCTTGTAGCCCTCCCGCATAGCACATATCAGAGGTGTATATTGACAATGGGTTGAATTTCAACATCAATGCCTTTTTTAATAAGAAGCTTTGTTAAAGCCATGAGTGGTCAGAAAATGATTGCGAACACATTCCGCTATCGTGGCGCAGGATCGACAAGCCAGCGCGATTGTTCGCCACGCCGTGCTTTTGGACCTTCGGAATCGACGTGGCCAGAAGATTGAGTGCATACTCAGTCTCAAACTGGGGTACATCGTCGCTAAGGAACAAATGTACGAGCTTGGTGGTCTCTGTAGTCGTCCAAGCGTCTTGTAGCTCTACTTTGGTTGTTGACTTGCCTCGATTGTTTTGATCCCATTTCGAGGCGTCGCCCTTGTTGACACTTGAACCAATTGAGAAAGCCATATACATCTATATCTGCCCTCTACCTTTAGAGATAGACATTCCCTTAATCTTGTCCCTTCGGGGGAAACCAATACGATAACAGCAGTCCATTGAATTATCTGACGTCGGACTTAGCGTTCGAGATTAGAGCTGAACTCTTATAATTCGTGCGCTATAAACTCACCAAGTTATCTTATTACCTTCGATAGTACTATGAGAGACGTGCATAGAGTGAACTCCTATACTTTGACTGCGACTAACGCTTGGACGCTGTAGTTACCGATCTGTCTAGAGGGGTTAGCACAAGATGATGCTTCTGAGTGACACTCACACGGACGTAACCTTAGATTACTCCTTGCTAATCTCGGCGATCCTTGGCGTCATTGACAATCAAATAAGGGAGGTCGTCAACATTAGTGCCTCCTAATTCCTTAACTGATCTCAAGTTTGCGCCGACTGCATGGAGGACAACCTATTTGATTGCTAACAACCGCCACAGGGATACACGAGCTGGATATTTATGTTGGTAGACGAAAGTTTATTCATTTGGGATTCTCAACATAGCTTCGCCTGAATTCTATATGCTAGACCGCCACACGCGCGAAGAAGAACTGAGAGGCCGGTACAGTAAGTGAGAAACGGCATTGTAATCTCTATTACGCAAACTTATCCTGGGAGTGCTGGCTTTTCGTAGTAAGTTCGAGAAGGAGACCAAACGATTGGCCTTTCGACTTAATGACATTCAAGGCCAAAAGAAGAACGTAGTATGGTTTAATCCAGTTAATACTTCGAAGCTGCTCCCGATGCTGTGAGTCGTGGTATCTTAGTGGAAACTTGGGATTTATCTAGGGCTTCTTTCTCACTCGTAGATCATTATTTTCCATATACCATCAATGAATGTATGTCTAGATTGAAGCAGTGAGCAGTGTGAAAGAGATGTATCTGGATGAATGGACTTGAAGCTAATGAGCTAACTTACAGACTTATGACACAGAGAAAGGGACGTCTTCCGTTTCAAGTTCATATCAATGAGCAAAGATGTGGCAAAGTAGATATTCAATGACCGCTGGGACAAATATATCAGGAACAAGAAACGGAAGTCTGGCAACGGTGGAAATACGCCCACTTTATGATGTTCATGTGAACATAGCATTGAAATATCCTCTCCATATTAAAACTGCCCTCACAAACAATGCAAGATCAAATATTGCTAGAGTCTAGTTGATAGGAAGTTGCTTCCTGTAATTCGCTAACTTGTCGACATAATAAAACTGAATGCATTGCTCCACTTTCTAACGTTAATGTAGCCTACATCTAGCACCTGGTGGCTAGGGCAAGATTTTCGACGCATTAGAATCAGGCGCCCGGGGTGGGAATCTTTATATATTTCGCGTACTTCTGATAGGTGATATGCCGTACGACAAATCCTTGGATAGAATCGTACTGTATTCATCCACTCACAAGACTTGGAGGTAATAGATGAGATACTTCGGTTGATAAGAGAAATAGTTAAAATTCTGGTGAAGATATTAATAATACTTGTATAAAAAGAGGGCGTGAAGTAGGATGGTTGTCTTCCCGTGCCAATTGGCATTTCTAAGTGTATAGATAGACACAGGCAGGTATTTACCTGTTATTCGAAGCTCGCTATTCTTGTGAGGGTGTTCCTGGCTTACCCTCTCTGACCCCTGCAACACATACTAACTAAGTTAGCCGCCTGTCAACCCCTCCCCGTCCCCACACCCCGCGAACCTCGGCTGATTTCTTAGCGTATTCCGGGGGTACTTAGCCCATATTTCTTTCTTCCTCCTCTCATTAACCTTTTCCCCCACCCCCACAAACACACATATTCTTCGAAGGTCCATCTACAAAAAGATAAATCATCATGTCAGGTCCAGGTGTTGGTTTTGAGTACCCGCCCGTCGAGGTCAAGTGGCTGCAGCGCGACGTCCTACTATTTGCAAACACCATCGGCGCTGCCGCTGATGAGTTGCACTTCCTCTACGTACGTCAACAATTTGTCTAGGAGTGCTGAGCTCGTACTGACAAACAATAGGAGTTCGACCCCAAGTTTGCCGTCTTCCCTACCTACCCAGTGATCCTTCGTAAGTCCCGTCACTTGGGCACATACCCCCAATAATTAACCCTTGACAGCTTTCAAGAAGGACTCCCAGGAGGTAGTCGACTACTACAAGGCCAACGAAGCCATTCAGATCCCTGGTGTCCCCAAGCTTGACTACAAACGTGTTGTCGATGGCCAGCGAAGGATCGAATTCCTCAAGGCTCTCCCAACCACTTCGGCCAGCCGCAAGTTCGAAACCCGTCAAAAGGTCATTGGCGTCTACGACAAGGGCAGTCCCGGAACTGTTCTCGAGACCGAGACCAACCTGGTCGACGTCGAGAGTGGCGAGGTGTACGCCCGAGTCATCAGCAGCGGCTTCTTCATTGGCCAGGGCAACTGGGGCGGTCCCAAGGGTCCTACCACCAAGAACTACCCCCCGCCAGAAGGGAAGGCCCCCGATGCTACGATTGAGGTTCAGACCAAGCCCGAGTCGGCGCTTCTCTACAGACTAAACGGTGACTACAACCCGTTGCATGCTGACCCTGAGCCCGGGCAGAAGATGGGTCTCGGGGGGACGATTATGCACGGGTTGTACTCGTGGAACTCGACGGCTCATGCATTGTTGAAAGAGCTGGGTGGTGGAGATCCTCCAAATATCAAAGAGTACCAAGCGAGGTTTGCTAGTCCTGTGAGGCCAGGTGACAAGTTGGTTACGAACGCGTGGGTCACAGGAGAGAAGCAAGGCGAATGGTCTGAGGTGAGGTTTGTTACGCAGGTCGCTGGCGGTAAGGTTGTTTTGAGCAATGGATTGGCTTTGATGAAGGTTACCGTTCAGGGAAAGAGCAAGCTGTAGTTAGTATGAGAATAAAGGAGCATTTAGGATTGTAAAGAAAGTGCATTATTGCGATTGTTTCCTACAGGCGATAAAGGCTGTGTGGTTATTCTTCCTGGACTCGGACAGGGAGAGATCGGATAGAGCCGAGGCTGCTATTGGCCTTGGTAACAAGACAGTGATCAGCCATCGCAGATAAACGCTAGATTGTCATTACCGGCTCATGAGTGGTTGTTATTCAGCTCTTTGCTTTGCTCCCTCTTGTTATTATTGAGGCGCCTCTTGGGCAATGTCGTCTCGTGTGGGAGATTTGTCATAGAAGTTCGGTTTGTGGAAGGCTTGGAATGCGATTTGGGTGCCTCCTTGCCGGTACGGCTTGTGGCGCTGGGGAGGGAAGACTTGCGGTCGGGTATTGTTCGGTCTGTTGCTGAGCTTCTTCTTATTATTATTATTCTTCTCTCTGAGGCATCTCTTGGGCCGCGTCGTTCCATGCCGGATATTTAGCTTGTCGGAGGGCTGACTTGTGTGCGAGGTGTGTATTGTGGTTTGCATGTTCCTGATACGAGACCACTCAAGACGGTGAAGGTGTTAATGCTTGGTTGTGACTGATGGATTGCTTGCGAAAATGATGAAGCTGCGCAAATTCGGCGCGTTGTTGCTTAAGAAGAAAGAAAAAAGGGCAAGTTGAGAAGTGCCTACTAGGAATGCGCTGGTGAGGTGGGCGTGTAATCATGATCCAGCTGATTGTATGAAAGAAACATTGAGCGACGAAAGGCTCAGGAAAGAGCCAAGAGACTTCTAAGTTTCAAGGTAAGGAGAAGGCTCTTCTCTCTTACGCCTTGGACGCGCTTCGCAGAAGATATCTCGGGCGTAGAGTGTTCACATGGGGGAGGCGAGGAGACGGCTCGTTGGGCGTATTGGTAATCAATAAGCCGTTGGAGAATCTGTCATTCGAGTCAGCTTGATTCCACAAGCCTTCCACACGGTAGGTACACTTGGCGAACGAGCGCGATATTCAAGCTTAAGCAACAATCAGACATCGCGACTGAATGTGGCGCAAGGTCAAGCCGGACGGTGAGCATTTCGCTGTTGCGAGAGAGAGGCTGATGGTGTTGACAAGGATGCGGCGTCGGTAGTAGCTTGTAATATGAAGGTCTCGAGGTTGATCAATGATGAGATTCATTTTTTGAACATTTCCTAGCGGGAATATATCAATAACTAATTCAGCTCCTGGATATCCTCCGTAATGTTCACCTCTGTAACTTGAACTGAATTCTTCAAGTACTAGGGGATGCTACTATACTTGAACTATTGCTGCGGTACCTATATTCTGGAATTCTACAATTATCGTCTTGTGGCCCGGCAAAGTAGAGGGCCATCTTTCTCGGATATTCCTACACTAATAGTTGATATCTCTTGTTTTGGATCTACCATCTCCAGGTGATAGTGTTTAAATGTTGTAGAAATCAGTTTTAGCATATTTGTCATGGCCATGTTACGGCCAATACACATGCGGTGTCCAATGCTAAACGGGCTTAAATGCCGCTTGAGAACCTCAGCATCAGGCCCAAGGAAGCGCGATGGATTAAAGGTTTTATGGTCAGGGCCCCAAATGTCTGGGTTGTGATGGACAACATGGTTTAGACTAAAAACGACCGTCTATGCTCACTCATTAGTTGACTCAGCAAGACACACGGCAGATGTAGGCTGCTTACCCCATGAGGCACCACGAGACCCATAATTTCAAATCCCTCTTTTGCGGTAACCTGACGCTCCAGAGGCATAGTAAATACCGGGTTCATTCTGAAGTTCTCGTTAAGACATGCCATGGTGTATGGGAGTTTCCTTTCCAGATCATCCACAGGGACGATAGGTTGGGTAACATGTCCAAGTTGAGCATCAATTTCATTAACGATATGTTCGTGAACGACTGTATTCTGCAAGATATGGGAAAACAAGAGGGTGAGCGTGCCTGAAGTAGTATGAGACCCCGCAACGCTGGAAATACGTCAGTAACATGCATCAACCAAGCTGATAACGCACCAGCTCACATGAATGCAAATGCCTCAGTCTGGATGTCAAGTTCGGTCAGTCGAGCTCCCGTGTCCGGATCGACTGCATTGATCAGGCACGTAAGCAGATCATCCCGTTCCGCGCTCTTGTCACCTATCCTTTGCCTCACACATTCTGCAGTCAGGTCCTTCAACTGTTTCCTTGCCCGAAGCAGTGACTGAAACCAGGGTAGCGGCGTCCAAGCAAATGCTGTTTTGAGGAAAGGCATCATGTCAGGTACCATACCTAAAAGACAAGCCAAGAAGATATGGTCGTTGATAGGTGGGAGCCTGGAAGCATCCTGATGTAGCTGCGAGTCGAAGCTTCTATGGAAGGCAAGATCTCCCAAAACATCGAGAACGAAGAAGGCAATAAGCTCCTTTAGGTCGAATACCTCGCCAGTATCCGAGAAATGATCCAGGTTTTTCCGGAATTGTATCAGATGTTGGTCAATGTACTGTTCCATCTTGTTAATTGATGACTGAGAGAAAGCGTGGGCCATCTGTCGGCGACGCATGGAGTGAACCTTTCTTTGTGAGCTTTCTCTCCTTGATGGTTATTCTATCCCTTAACATCACTCACCTCTTCGTTCTGAGTGCCGAATAAATTTGGGTTGAAGGAAGTAAATCCATCATAGAATCGAGTCTTTGGCAACTTGCGTCCGGCCTTATAGATCCGATGAACTGCTTCACCTTGACTGAAGGACAATTGATTAGGTCCGATTCGAACCACATCACCGTACTCCTCGTGTAGTCGTTGCAGTGTATAGGGCATACGTAGGCTCCAAAACTGCCGAACCTTCCACAGATTGGTGAATGATGCAAAGAATGGGCCAGGATATCTTGCTAATGGATGAAGAAATCGATAGTAAACAACCTGTAGGGAGATAAGAAGAACAACAGCCAAGGCTGCTATCGAAGGTCCCAATGGCGTAAACATCAGGGAAGAGAAATGATGACCAGTATCGGTATTCATGACGTTATCAGCGGTAAATCAATTGCGGGTCTATTGGGCAAGAGTATCTGAAGCGATATTGAGACATATGAGATATGGTTTCCCTTTATGTCCTTTCTTGTCTACAAGCGAACATTTCTCCATCTTCTCGTTTTCGGCAGTTAGGCACCACTCTTCCTCGGAATCCAGGAATGCAGGGAAGGAAGCAGTGGTCGGAACCGGAACTAGTGGGGGGCACGGAACTGGTGCCGTGAGTTAAATGTGGAGGATAGCAAGATTTGCCGACATCATCCCCCGCATGTGCAATGCCGCCGGCAGTGGCTTGTCAGTGTAGGTAATACTCTCTGCGGTAACAGCGGTTATGACAATGCGTCTTCACCTGGCACATGAAGCCATAATAAGGACACCGGAAGCCGATCTATTTTAAAAATAGCTAACTAATCTTGGGTCCATTTGCTATTGATGAGTCGAGGAAGCAGATGACTCTTCGCAAGCTTTCCACGGTAGGGATACCATCCCCATTCAGTCCCTCCACATTTACGTTGCCAATTCGTGCATCAAAGCCATGCTCAGCATCTTCTGGAAACTCAACCAACACGTCAGAGCCCGCGGCTCTGAGCTTTTTCTGGGCTCGCAGACTACACTCCACAGGAATCGCCTGAATACCTCTGCTAGCGATCGACTGGCTGAGACCACTAATTCCAGTAAGGTAATCTGGGAAAAGCGCGTCAATATGAAGTAATTTCTTTTCTTTTGGGGAATTCTTGAAGTACCAGTGCTGTATCGATTATGGGCCTCTGAAAAATGTTGGATCCAGGAGTAATATAACGAGTACCTGCGGGATCAAGCATTCCATAGATCAATAGCAGGGCTTCGGGCTTCTTAGCTACCACGCTTGCTGTCGATAATGCGAGGTATCCTCCAGCGCTCGAGCTTGCCAGCAACACTGAGCTGACCTGGCAACCCAGCAGGCCAGGAAGCACAGAATGCACCCATTCATAAGCATGGACTGCGTCATCGAGAGCAGCATGAGCGGTAGTTTCAGGGATCAGACGATAGTCAGGTGTTACAAAAGTCCATTCTCGGGAGGCGCAAGCGTGCAACAGCCAGTATGGGGGGTAACTATATCGATCTCCCACAATCTAGAAGTGATAGGTAAGTACATATTCTTTACGTTCGTGCTGTGCATCCTTTTACTAACTAGGAAACCGCCGTGGTAATGAATGAGGACAGTCTTTGGAGAAACGTCCATCTCTTCCGAATAGACAACATCGGCCAAAATACCACCCTCTGGAGTGGACTTGAAGTGAAGGTTTTGGACCCATAGCCGTCGAGGCTAGTGTGGAGAAAGGAGCTCATTGCAGGCAAGGTAGGGTGAGGGTGAGGACAATGGCAAGGCTTTTCTCTCGATCGTTCGAAGTTTCTATACTGAATACTTTTGAGCGATATTCTCAAGTTGTAATGGAGAAAAGTGATGAGGAGCATCAACTTCGGACCAAGAGGGAAGACCCAACGATGCGTTACGTTTCCGAGCGCGAAATGACGTTGCCTCGGGAAAAAACCATCCAACAAATGGAGCTAGTAGAGAAGAATCCATCCACTTACAACGTCTTGCTAATAGGTCCTTGGAAGCGACGATTGAGCTATTTTCTTACTACATTACAACCTCCTTTGGATAGAGACATCACCAGTGTCCATTGAAAGCCTAGCCCATTCCACTAAAGCCTGTAGCTAGCAGGCATGAACTTTCTTGCTCATCATCCCCAAACAAGAAAGGGGTTGAAGAAGCTGCTCGGCACCACTGTAGAGTTAGAAAAAGTATTCAGATGGTCTCCTATTAAGGCTTCCTCTATAAAGGACCCACGCAATTTTGTTTCTCCCAATCACGCCAGACCGAGTGGCAAAACCGGAAGTAGCTCATCAAGCATCGGACTCCCAAAAGAACAATCTCGCTGAGATAAATCGTTCGCATTTGCGGTTTGGACTCTAGGATAATTGAAGAGCCGGGGTAGGCTTTGGAGACGCTTTTATTACTACGCTAACGGTTCCGAGCGGGTAGTCAGGTACTTGATTTGACTTGTTGGATTCAATTATTATCTTTATGTAGTAGTAAGTTGTAGGAATTGAAGGCGAATAGTGATTTGGCCGGCTAGAGACAAATTACCTTAGCTAAGTGGCAGACGCATTCGAGTTTCGACCGACAAGGTTAGTGGGCATAGACTCTCGCTCGTTCTCATTGGTTAACAAGCCTCGGCTTATTTACCCCGCGGCGTTATTACCGGCATTTAATTCTATGTGGGAAAGCGGAGGTGATATTTAGTTTGCCACTTGCAGGCTACTACTACTTTTAGCAAAGGCTGAATGTCATGTGCCGAATCACACAGAATCTGGTGTGTACAGAATTAGGAGCCGCGGCAGATTTTAGGCGCAGTTGCCTCGTGCGTGGCGTGCACCACTTTGTGCCTTAGCTTTGTCTCTCCTGGGGAGTTGGACAGGGTGCTGGCAAGGTCCTTAGGGATGTTAATGAGGTTGAAGAGCTCAGGTGGTGTGCGACAGTGGCGCTTGTCGACAGGGAGGAAGTTATTGTAGGCAAGAAATGCGCTCGAAAGGTTACGAGGTTGCCAGTTTTGCCTACGTAGCAAAACGTGACCAACTGTTGTTTGGTATGGTAGGTTGCATAGCGATGGTGGTGTTACGTGATGATATTCCCAGGAGGCAGGGAATGCCAAAACACCAACTTCCAAGGCCTACGCTACACGGACTCCATCATATTCCAGATGATATGCACCGACATATCCTCCAAGTCCGTGGCAAAGCAGGATACTATCGAAAGTAGCAACAGGCCGAGAGAATGCGGCGCGAGGCAGAAGCCATGTATCCTCTTCGTTTTGTGAACCAGTTCTTCCACGCTCGACAAGTTCCAGTTGAGCCTGGAAAAGCAGGACGTGAATGGAACCCATTGGCTTGATTCGCTCCATGTCAGTTTTAACCGTGTCGGGAGTCGTCTCTTCAACTATATCCATAGTCAGTATTGGTAGCGCTGAGGTGTGTTTACAACTCACCAGTGGTAAGGTCACTGGAAGCGAGAACCATTTTCTCGTCCGTCAAATTGTCTGGCAACCTGTAAGCACACTTGCTCAAGACGCCTCCTGGTTGTTGAGTATCAAATTTGCGGATGCATCCTTTGGAGAATACTTTGCCACCGATGACCAGAATACTGATTAGAGTTTCGCAACCTGGGGGAAAGCGATACTCAGGAGCCAAGTTGAGCAAGTCCTTTTCGTGACTTTGCACAGCCTCGTCAAAGCTCTTGTAGATCTCTTTAAAGTTTCTTCTTTGATAGACAGCTGTCATTGTCTCCTCGCTTCCATCAGAATTAACGATTTGCTGCAACCGCTTGCGGTGAACCTGAGACGACTCCGCAAAATCAGTTCTGATGTCCTGAAGAATTTATTGATGAATTGGAAGGCTGGTAATGTCTTTTAATTTGTAATAGTGAAGTTCCATAGCCTTGCGATAGTCAGTCATGACGTCTTTGATCATACCAGCCTTGGTGTCCTTGAAAATGGGAACAGCCAGTATCTCGCTGAAGTGAGCCTTAACAGCCTCAAGCAAGTCACCATTGACTTCATCCATTATCGCTTCAAAGTTTTGCTTGATAAGCTGTGCAAACATTCCATGGGATTGTTTTGTCCACTCCAGACGGTGTTGGTGATCCGGGGCAACGCCCCATCTATTGTCGAACGCTGACATGAGCGCTGTCAAGTTGACTCTGACGCGATCTTCTACCGACATGACCTCTTTGACGTTCAGAGCCCTGTTAACGCGATCTGCTACTGACTTTACGAGGCGACGATGACCGCGTGCTTTGATGCTAGCGTCAGTAGCATCAAGCGAGAATGGAAGAATGTAGCGATACCATACAAAGAAAAAAAGAAGAAAACCCCAGTCCATCATTTTTGCTGTGTAGCGATTGGTAGGTTGATACGAATGGTCGTTGAATATAGAAAGGGGTAGGTCGTAAAAGTTCGGCGTTTGGAAGTGGTTGTTGATGTCTGTGGAAACTGGTGTTGGCTGTGTGAGTCGATGGTGTTTGTTGAGTTATCAAGTAGAGCTGGAGGTAGGCACACTTAAATAGTTTTAAGGTACATCCACATAGGAGTGATAAACAGTTACTAATGGAATATAATGTTCTGTTCAGCAGTTTCTTAGCTTGAACAACTCGACGTCTATGCAATGTCTTTGGCTTAATACGATCAACCATTTAATAGATAAACAAGAGATCAACTAGTCTGTTCATACCTTATGCTCTAATGTGCAATGTAACATACGTCTTTGGCTATATTTCTTTCTCAGTCAAACTTTATGTATCCTGAGTTTTAGGATAACTATCGATTGTTAAAAACATTCCTTTGTGTACTGAGCATGTTCAAATGGTTCTTTGTTCTATAACTGGCAGATCATGCTATCTAATGTCTGTGACATTGCAGGGATTACAACATACATTTTTTACCACCCTAATATCCTTACATTTCAAGTCTTTGTAGCAAATAAGGTCTATTACTACGAATTATTTTACTAAGGAGTACTCTTAGGCCCGCTAATCCTTTCTCCAATTCTGATCTTAATACTTGAAAGGGCTAAGAAATTAGGAACAAAGTGTTTTGTACCCTTGTTTTAGGTACATATTTATTTTTAGGCAGTCTTGTCTTATTTGGACAATCAGTTGCAGCTGCGTCTCTACCTTACATTCAGGTCTTGGTTCTTTTGTACAAGCTTGTACAGGCTATTCGTTGTTTGTCCTTGTCTGTACTCTGGCGTCTTTTCTCATTACATGGATAATTCAGGAGATGCTTTATTTTTGAGTTGGACTTCGAGAGGGTACGGATTGTTTCCTGAGGTATTGCCTCGTTGCGGCTGATGGATTCCAATATCATCTGATACTGGTAATGACAGCTGGCGATAATAACGTCTTTGCTTGAGATTGGCATGCTTGGTCAACTAACTTGGCTTTGAAAACTTTGATGACCCTTTGTGTAATATTGACCTTTTGCTGTACGGGATTGCAAAATAACTTGATGCCCTTTCAGGTCTGATGGCGCTGTCCATGTCAGTCACCTCGGATACGGGAACAGCTCTTCCTGCTTTAAGTACCTTACCAAACCTGTACTTAATACTTATTATTCAATCTTTACAACTCATCTAGTAAAGAATCTTTCTCAATATTCTCCCAATTGCTTTCACGTTACTTCCTGGAGCTCCTATGGTGTCTATGATCCCTGTTTCTCCTAGAGTTTAACTCAACCTACCCTGAACCGATAGTTATTACGCACGGGCCATAGCCTTAGTCGACTGTGGTCGTGGCCCGTGCGCTTACTTAACCTCGTCTGCCAGAATCAGTCAGTCACGTTATCATGCTTACTTAGCTTCACAACAGCACTCTGAACACTAATACACTTCCAACAATAGCGATTTAGGTTTACAAAAGAATAACAATTTCAGATGGGATAGTTACTATCCACAATCTTGGACCCTCTGGGTTGACTACAGGACCTGATTGGCTTAAAATGTCGGTTGGACAATTCCAGCCAACCAGACCCACTGAGTACTCGCCACTGAGTACTCGCCACTATAAAGCAGGTAACATCCAGGTAGCAAACGACAAAACATTCTCCTCACAGCCAGTTTCAGAAAAGAATGCAAACTGAGTGAGGTTTGGACTATAAATAGACCACGAAGCTATACCATCTGCTGACATGATTAACAACAAGGATAAGTACCAGTGTGAGGGCTATCTCATTCATCGCAGTTACTAAGCCATCGATCATGGACCATCTCAAGCTGTAGTCAGAATACATCATTAGAGGCCTAGACCCTTGGTAGCGAGGTGGTGGGTAATGAGATCGAGAATGATTGGGATATCTAGCACGTAAATGACGGACACGTGGGGGTTGAGTTAAGAAACTTGTAACCACATCAACAAGTTTGAGCTGCCCGGAGTTGGGGAATGACAACATGGTTTAGCCCAGACATCGACAAGGTATTCAATGTGCTTAAGTTCAATGCTGGTTAATAAGCTTCTGGTTTGTATCTTGACTGGGCAAGGTGGTAAGTCTCTGTGCTTGGCCGCCATCATTGATCATCTGAGACACAGGACCATAACCAGGCTCAAGGTACCGGCCCTTCACATTATGCAGAGGCCATCAGAGTTATGCAAAGTCACTTTTCGCGGCTGGCTGGTTTCCTCGAGCCTGAATGGTTTCACACTGCACCACCCTAAATGCACAATGCACACCCCTTACCAACCTCCATCACCCCTTGCCAAGCCCGACGCAAACGAGAGGAGGTTGGCCAGGATGGATTGTACAGCAGCACATACTTGGTCAATGCGTCACACGGGTTATTCTCCTGCAGGTGAATCTTGGTGAGATTGATCCTATCTCGATTGATCGCCATGCAGGACCGATTAGCTTCCATATGGTCCACTTCTCGTTGATGGTTATCCCGAGAAATGATCTCTCAAACAGACTTTTACTAGCTTTTAGTAACTCGGATCGGCCCGTGGTGGACTACCGACAACAAACAGTATTTATGTCTTGAGGGCGGTTGTGAAAAAAGACGACTTGGCTGGCTGGCCAAGAAAAGCGCCCTTCGAGCAAAGTCTGACACCGAGAAAATTCGGACATTCACCTCGTTCGTAAGCCACTCCAACCGCACTTGCACTTGTGTAACAGATACCCGGTTGGTGGAGTTTCCCCCCTTCTTGTCCGCCGTAAAAGTCAGCTCAAATGGCCCGACGTGTTACGCTCAGTAATGGGAAAAAGAAAAAGGCAACGTGCAGCTGAAACATGACGCCCGTTTACCAGAGACATGCCGTTTGTTGTACCTTGCTAGGCAGAGACCTCTCACAAGATATCACTAGGGGCTGAATTATTCTCCTGCATGTGGCATCAGCAGGTAGGAGCGGGGCAAAAGAAGCCTCCTCTGGCATGCCGCACTTCTCCTCTCCAAAGTTCAAATGATACGACTTCTGCACCTATCCTCTGTCTCAGATGCAGGATTTCAGATATGGTTATCTAGAAAAACAAAAGTTACGCGGCGTTAGTTTTAGAGCCTGCAAGACGTACCGGACAAGGCTTCGAAGTCAGGGTATGAGATGTATAAGTAGACCAGATTAATTACCACAAAGATGTTTCTACTCATCTAGTGTGTTTCCATTCTTGATTTATAACCATGCCCTCTGACGGATCGAGGAAGTCTTCTCGGGTGACAAAGAGGACGAGTGCCAAAAACTCCCTTTTGTCACTGAAGCGTCCATATACTCTTGACGCAGCTATCCCATCCGAGAAGACAGGCAAAGATGAAGAAAGCCATGGACAAACAACTCCAACAACGACACCCACAACCGGGACATCTTCAACCCCAACACACGCTATCACTCGGATAACAATTCCGCCATCCCCTCCGCCGCAATGCCAAGTCAGCCCCCCAAACATTCCCCCGCCATCAAACCTCCCTGCAGTTCGGATCCAAGCCCGCTCTGACAACTTGAGGAAGATGCTGGCTGCGATGATGGAGATGCATGAGAAGACATGCGCCTTGGCCACGAGGCAGCTCATGGCAAAGGAAAGTTCGCTGCGGGAGGCGGAGGCCTGGGAGAGGCTTGCTGAGAAAGTTGCTGCTGGTGAGGCTGGGGTAGAGAGGGACAGGAAGACTGAGGCGAGGGTCGATTATGAGGATGGGCTTGATTACTTGGCGGCGTGTTTCAAGCTTCGGACAATGATGCAGGGTTTGTATCAGGAATCGTTCTGAGGCCCCAGGGTGAAATAAAATAGCAGACAAGGGACGGTAATTAAGACAATATTATTACTTAAATAAGAATATTTAAATAAAGTTATTTTATTTTTACACTAATATTAAAATAATTACTAAATATTAGTCTAATCTTGATAATGTTTTTATTATTTCTTAATGCTGATTATAGTAATTTTAGTATGTATCTAATAGTCCATATCTACTTGATTTCTCACGTCTGAAGTCTTATTCCACCTCCTAGTGAGGGTGTCTGCTCGGCTGTGAATTGACCGTTGCAGGGTCCATTATGGTTGCGTATTGACAGGGCGCCCCATTAAGTGATCCATAGCTTCAATCTTGGAAAGATCATAACAATCGTCAGAAACAATTTTACAGGTAGAGTCTGTAGATTCTATTTCGCTAATACCTTCCTAAACCACTCTAATTATTCCAGACTTCATGTTAATAATAAAGGTTTAAGTGTTTATGTATGGCTGTGCATGTCCCAGTGGATGAGCTCCCTGGCGAGCTACCAGACTGACGTAATCGTTAAGCTTGGGAAGTTCACAGCAGCCGCCATAAAAGCGATTTACTGGCGGTAATTTCGAATTGGTTGTCGCATAAGTTACTACGATGAGGGCTAATCATACTGGATTCTAAAATGGAGAGTTGAATTTGTCGCGTTGTCGAAATGGAAATGGCATCGCGGGCTATTTAGCACCCAACGAGAACGACCAAGCCTTAACGTTAGAAATCTCGCACTTTCTGCTGCAAAGATAAATTACGGGCGGAGTCCTCAGATTTATTTTCCTTTATGCTGTCTTTGTACGCGTAAATTACACTGGATTTTACTTCCCAAGATTGATATTTTACCTGCGGTTGTCGAAATATCGTTATTTGTTGAGTTTACAGCGCTTCACTCACTGGATTCTATCGCAACTCATAGCGCCCTGATATACAGCGAAAGAAAAATAATCCGCGCAATAACGAGACCATCTGTAGACAATGCGAGTAGGTTTCCCATGTCGCTGAGTCTTTCTGATTCGAATATTGTGTTTATTTTCTTGATGCACGCATAGCGACACTGTTCTCTTTGGAATAGCGTGACTGGAGATCTTTATCCTCACACCACTAATCTTGGCGAGCGCCAGTAATTACTGGGAGACGAGAAGGATTACTGTGCCGACTGCGACAAACCCCAGGCTTTTATCACAGGAATATTTTTTCTTTCCCTTGTATTGATTTGCTGTTGATGTGGTTGAGGGTCACGATTGATTAAGACAACAATTGCAAGCATAATACAACCAGCAATTATACATATAGAAACCCTCTATAAATGCCATGATCCTGAGTACATCTTGTCCATTTCCCCTTCATCCTTGATTTCATAAGTTCCACCTTAGTCTCAGCCTGATATTGTAGAAAATGGTTACTGATGAGAATAGGGTATCTAATCCCGGCTTTGTCTATTCTTATCATTGCTTTGTTGGTTGTCAGCATGATATTGAAAGGCCCTATGTCTTAGTAAAATAAAACAAAAGTTGCCAGGAGACTTTACTCCAAACAGTTGTTTTCCGAATTTCAGACAGTGAGTAGTAAGAGATAGAGCCAACCTCACTAATTCAATTTACATCTACCATACTATTGATACTCAGGAAACCACCTTCCTCATAGCACCCGTCTCAATATCAAGCGCATAACCCACAACCTCAGCTTTTGCCGGTAAAAATGGCCATCTCCTAATTTCTTCCATGTCCTGGCGAATGCTTTCATCAACACCGACACTAAATGGATGATTAGTACGGCAAAAGCTCTATATGGTATAACACTCACTCCCTGAAGGTGCCAAACCACTTCTCTTTAATTGAAGCAGCGTGAGCAGGGGCTCTTTGACTGAGTTTCGATCGTATCTCCTCCTCCGTTGTGAACAGTGCGCCGCAGTCTAAATTGTTTAGACCATTACGCTCTTGCTTAATTTGGAACGTCATTGGGACATACCAGTATGATGAACCACAACGATCAGGTCAATGGGACCGATTGTCCCCATCACTTCAAGGCTTCGGAAAGCATCAACTGCCCGACCACCTGCGTTGCGAATTACCAGGGCCTCTAAGTTTGTATTAGCGCGAAGAAAGTCCAGTAATGTACCCAGACTGTTTACCTCCAAACCTAAGGCCAAAGTAGTCACGTGGGTCGACCCGAGCGTCCGAACAAGTTACTTCGGCTGTAAGTATGCGAGAGTAATGAAGGTCTGGGGCGGATAATACGGACGAATACAGATGCTTCCTGGCATGGGCTTCGTGCTGACCAGATCCCGTAATAGAGGCGGCGCTCGGTGATGTTCAAGTGATTCCCTTAAAATATTTTAGCCTTTATAAAATAGATTGGGTCGGGCGTGACATGCTCATTCCGCTTAAGGAATTCCTTAAGCTTTAGATCGGCCATGATTGATATAAGGTCGTGGTAGGCTACAAGACAGAAAAAAACTTATCGCACTATTACCAAGGCACAGACGAGACTTATATAGAGTGCAGCGATGAAATGGAAATCGGACTTCCTCTATATTGGTAAATCATTGGCTACCATACTACAAGCCATCGTCCTCAATCACTCTGATTATTAATTATCTAAAACACCTGAAGTCAAGTTTACTAAACACTTCTTCGGTGAGTTTGAAGCTGATAATGCACCTACAGAGCAACGCGAACGTGGCGTATTCACGGATAAATTACGAGAGACTCCAGTTAACGTGGCGTGGAGTGAAATGAGCTACATGTGGAGATGTTTCCAGTTTCAGTCTAATTAATTGTATGATTTTTAGGTTGAGAAATGACCGAGATACGGATTATGTAAATGACGTGATTTGAGATTGCTTGGGGGGGCAGATACCATTACTAGACTAGCAAGGTGGAGTGAAGGCTCGCACAGGAGCAACTATTAGCCCGACACTAATAGTCTCGACTTAGAGGTAGTTATTGTGCGGATATATTACTTAATTATAGGATGACCTACGGCACCTATTTGTCCTTAACAGACGGCGCAAATGAGGGATGAATAGTAATCCTTAATCTGTATGAAGTAACATGCAGGACCACCTAATAGATTACTCAAATTTCGCTCCTCCTATATAAAATCTAAATCTTAATACCAATACAGGGTGAAGGACCTCCTATCCGAAACGCCATTGCCGATCCCCAGAGGATTAATAATACATACCTTTCGGGGGAAGTAGACACTTACATCCCTACACCATAGACCCTTCATGCCTGCAGTCGCTAGCAAATCTAAAGCTGGGCATGTCAATTTGTCAACTTATCCCTCTTCTTATTTACTCGTAATGGCTGTTAATCTCCATTAGGTATACTTTACCGGCCATTGTTGATATTATTGAGAGATTTGGAAAGCCTGGGCTTGATAAAATTGAAGGTCAAATCGAAAAAACAAAACTTTACCAGCCTTTTTTCTTGTTAGAGTGCCAGGGCGTTGGTCGATTCTTGATGCTTTCACAGCCACACCGCATATATATTGTTATAACGAAGGGCAAACTCCCTTTTACTCACACCCAGGCGGCAATCTAATAGTTGTTGCGCCTCGTACGCGGCGAGTGTTATTTCGTCTATTTTACATAATGGGACTTCTACATGTTTTTCCTGCCGCCCGGTGGCTTGTGCTACCATACCCCTGGTCTCTTTAAGGGAAGAATGATATGAAATACGAATCCCTGGGTGTAAGCTCAGGACTCCTTAGGGTAGTCCTTAACATCTCATGTCTGTATGTATTGCAGTAAGATTAACCAATGATCCTCTCTGGCCATCAAACCATAATATTAGAGCGCGACCGCAATCAACTCGATCTCAAAGCTAGTACCTGAGATTTCCATGCAGGTCACTTCATCAATTCATCTAAGCATAAGGAATTCTGGCGCTTGGACATTAACCACGGGAGCCTCGCCCCGAGATAGCTACGACCTTTAAGTTGAAAGCGTGGAATTTATTGTAGGTATCCGTTGAGATAATTTGGGGTGATTTGGTATCACTTGTTTTCCATCAGGTGTATTATAAATAAAAGACTAAAGGTTTAAAATGTCGTCCTTCTTAGACCTCAGGCCAGTCTTCTCCCTTAATATACTCCTCCATCGTGCATACCGGAATATGAACGCCAAGCTATTTAAGCTGTCAGAAAGATCCAGTACTTCATGCAGTGGTTACTTACCTGATCCGGATGGAAAACGGTTGGATCACGACCATCATATCCAAAGTCTCCAATATACTCAAACATGTCTGCAAGCTCCTCACCAACGCAACCAGGAACAGCTTCCTCAAGGACTTTACGGTCGACGCGCTCATAGAGGCAGGTCACACCATGGACCTTCCCCCACAGAGCTGCAAATTCGTTCCAGCTGATTAAGCTGCCGTAGCCAAGCAAATTCTTGCCCGGTTCAACCTGGACGAGAGCCTTCGTGAATTTACCTTGGGCGTCTAGTGTCAGCGGCTGGAATTACAAAAGAGAACATGGAAGGAACACATACCTGTGTCGACCCGTGCATCCACCAATGGAACAGGTGCGTCGCCATCTGTAGGAAGACTGAAACGAAAAGTACCATCAGGTTGCTACCAATATGTTAACTGTCAATTTGTGCAGATCGCTACAGATGGCCTGCAAAGCCACAGTCAATTACCTTGGTTGGCCGGGCCATATGAAGACCCTTCTTCCAATTAGTCACATAAAGACCAACCTGCAGATACGAAGTCTTCTTATCCAGCGCTGGATAGGTAGCCTTGAGATGATCAACACCCTCCCACTTAGCGTCAAAGTGGAGGTTGTGTGTGTACCTGCCGTCACTCCACTTTCGCGTATGCGACAGAGTCGAGAAAACCAGTCGATCCAAAGTGTCAATCGTAGCATACGCGGCGCATGCGATGTTACGAGCTTGCTTCTTTTCAGCCTCGTAGGCGATTTCTGTCTCAGTCTGTCCAGTTGACGCTGCCAAGGCTTGTGTTTTAGGGTCATACACGACTGCCCAGAAATCAGTGACGCTGAAAATCACGTTTGATCCAGCAAAGGCCGACTCCAGCGTGTCAACATCGTTAATATCGGCCTTGACAAGCTCGAGGCCTTTGTCGGCCCAGACTTGGCTGGACGGCTTGTTCGGATCACGAGTAATGCCACGGATATGCCATCCCCCTTCCTGAAGAAAGACGTCGGCAACAGAGGCGCCCTGTTACTGGTTAGTTACGTTGGGTGCCTATGGGTGCTTCCTTACCTGGCTGCCAGTCACGCCCACAATGGTGATGATCTTCTTGGCCATTCTGATTGATGCTCGAGTTTATGTCTTGTAGTTTCAAGTTCAAGTATGTTGAGTCTAGATTTAATTTCCTATAAGCTTCTATAGATGACTATTATATATTCGAATATCGTGCGACTGAAGTAGCAGTGTGCTTAATAACCAAAGTCTATCTAGAGGAGGACGGTGTAAGATTAGACCGTTCGTCCGTTCCAGTCTTTAATGTCCTAATCGGCCGATTGTATCTAGTATTAACCTAGCAAGAGAAGTATTTCATAATGAAGACGGATTACTATTCATTGCGTATGTGAATAACAGAGCGCCATTTGATTTAGACTAATCGGTTTCGTACGTAATACTGTAATTAAGTAATGCGCCCGACAGTGAGTTTCTCTAGGCCGAGGCTACTTTTGTCGGGGTATTAGTTACACCTTTGCCGACCTCGACTGCGCTTAGCTAAACTGGTAATATACTCCACCGGATGGAGACGGACGGGTCTCAAGCCTGTCGATCCGCAAGTCGTCCTGTCTCAGGTTTCGAAGAATACGGACGACGCCTCAGATGTGGAAAGTGAATTGGAGGATTTCATTGCTTTACAAGAACCTACTCCACGAGAAATACGGCGAGTTGTTGGTCATGTCGCGAAGCAATCCTCAGTCAGCTCTGACACAGGCTCCCGAAAGCTAAAAAGAACCCTTGAACGCCTTCAGGCCGAGGTGAACTACTCAGGCATGAGAACTAAGAACTCCGTGGGACAATTATTCGTGGAAGACAGCGCATGCAGTGTGATAAAGCCCCGAAAGACTATATATCTAACCGTGGGGATCCTAGTTCAGCTCAGGTGTCTGGCCCGTAAAAGATCGCCCAAGCTTGCCAGAAGAAAGTTGAATAGGAGATGCAGAAGGAAGAGGAGGTTCTATAGAGAAGAACTGAAAAGGTTCTGCGGCAGAAGAGAGTAGAGGAATAAAAGCAACAGGTATTAGATTGAAAGAAGTCTCAAGGAAATAATTACATTATCGTGGCTTTGGCTCATTTTGAAAAGCCCTTGCTGAGCTATGCTAGATTGAAGTCGCCAGTTTAAGTTGACAAGAATCCGGCAGATTACCAGCAAATACCTTACTGCATGGTAATATACAGAAGGGAGCTGGGTCACGCTTGTTACGCGAGCTTAGCACCTCTTTGAACATCGTGAATTGCTCGAAAGATGAAGATATACCATCTAGCATTACATCGGCTCGCAGGCTTTCACGTTTGAGCCTGTTTTCCATCAGCGGGACGTGCGGGTGCGGTTAGATTATGGAGATGAGTATCAGGAGTTCTAAAATATTAACAACCTGCCTCGGCTTAAAAAAGAGGGATGCCAGGTGCCACTCCACTTCTACACAGTCCTAGATCTCACAACCCGGCAGCTCTGACGATGAGCCTGAGTGCATCTCTTTTGGCGCGCAACGTGGCTAACGTGGCGATATGCCTTGCAAGAGGGCCACTATCTCCTCGGTATGAAACAGCTGAGCGATATAGGTATTGGTACTACTAGCATAAGGAGGCGACAGTGCCACGATGCGAGCGTTTTAAATGTATTGAATACTGGTTCGTAGAAGATATATCTGGTAACATGAGGTCAATAGTGAATCATCAACATCATATATTGAACGATGACTGTTTTGCTTCGAAGCCAACTAGATGCAAGTCGCTTTAGAAAATCCATGTTATCGAGTTCAACGACGAACAAGAGTTTGTTAGTCCGTGATATTTATTAAAGCTCGAAATAAAGACATGTAAAGGAGTGTAATGAATAAATAAGTTGACTAATCGAAAGAGAAAATGAAACCTGCTTCATTGACCACTAACTAGCTTCTGACCTCGCTCATAAATGTTCCTACAAATTTCCCTTTGATCAAGTCCCACAGGGCTCTTCATGATTGAGTCGAACACCTTCCTAGGGTCAAATGCGTTAAGGAACCAAACTACAAAGGCGTTGGTACCCTTCCAAACGTAACTAGTTTTCTGTTTCAAAACGCTATCTACAACCTGCTGGGCAAAGGGTGATGGGCGGATAGATGTCTTAGTATGTCCAAGAGATCTCTCCTTGACCTTTCCCTCAATGTCAGCGTATAAGCTATCAGGTCCGAAATTGATACTGTCCGCAGACATAAGCCCCGTGGATACCTCTCCCATGAATAAGGTGACGACTCGAATACCCAGCGGGCTGAGCTCTAGTCGTAAGGTGTCTGAGTAAGTAGATACGGCTGCCTTGGAAGCATTGTACGCTGATGCAAACGGAAATGGTATGCGTGCGAGAATGGAGGCGACGTTCACAATAGTGGGTGTGTGGTCAGCATTTGGCACCGCGGCTATTAGCAGAGGCGTGAAGGCTGCCACTACATCGAAAAGGCCGAATACGTTCGTGTCATACATTTGTCGGATGCGGACGGGGTCAGCCTCAAGAGCTGGAGCTTCGTACACTGTCGATTGTGCAAGAGTTAGAGATGGTGCGAGCACAGGAGCAACAAGGTGTTGGAAGGGCCTATTTACTAATACCGGCATTGTTGAACAGCATGTCAAGCTTGCCACCAGTGCGGTTGCTGATCTCGGCCTTCAAAGCGGTAATGCTTTCGCGTGACGTGACATCTAGAGTAAGGGTCTCAACACCCTTCTCCTCCAGGTTGGTTATGGACTTCAGTGACCGGGCGGTCGCAAAGACGCGAAAGCCGCGAGACACGAACTCCAAGGCTAATGCATTTCCTGCCCCCCCTTGCGAGCACCTAGCAAGTAACAGAGGTCAGCACGGCATGTTTTCCTCTGCCCCCAACATTGAAGATTGTGGCAGAAAAAGGCGGCAAGACGTGACTTTACATACCCCGTGACAAGGATGGACCGCTTTGTAGACGAAGTCATAATGATCTGCTGAAGGGTCGCGGTTTGAAAGCGGTTATAGTTAAGGATTGCAGCGAGTGTATACAGGAGGGAGGCGTGGAGTGAGTGTTAAAGAGGAATTAGAAACGCTAGATAAAGTGAAACGGATCTTCTTTAAGGCACGAAGAACTTTCTTATTATCCAGGGGAGGGGAACGTTAAGGGGCGCCAACTGAAGCTGAATTATACTATGCATGGCAGCTTGCAGGGCTATCTAACCACTCCCCACAGGAATTAATAATCTCCGCCGGGGAAGAGGGGCATAGAGTATGAGGCAGTGTCAGTCCATTTCCGGCCGTTGCCGTCATTCAAGTGTTACTCCAGGTCAAAAATCCCTCCGATATGTGGGATAGACTACGGCCCGATTAGTGATCACACTATCGCGGCCACTTCATGGTCCACTAAATTTTCAATCGTCCATCTGAAATCTAGCACGTCCGTTTATAAAATTAGTCATCCTCTCGTCTACGGAAGCTTATTCATCGACTTCACTACATCAATGCAATTCTGATCTTATCTTATTATACCAAGACTAGCCATACTACCGAGTCTTCAAGCGACCTCTTAAGCACAGCAAATTGCGGATAAAATTACACCCTTATCAGTTGCAATACAGTTACCGTCAGGATATAACGATAAACCTTAGTGTCAGAGTTCATGCCTATAATCTACCTTTCTTTTACTTAAGCTTTCACATTCAGCTCCCTCGCCGTTTTCCTATATAAACGTAATTTATAAAAGCCTATTAGAGCCTAATTTAAGGATTTCTATATCCCTTAATAGCTATCCTTTATTAAAATGTTAAGTAAATAGTTCATAGCAAAGTTACTACGTATTTACTTTTACCATTTTACATATATAAAGATGTTAGCATTATGTTTCAGTACATAAATAACAAAATGATAGTTATTACTTGCCAATGACTTTCATAAGAAACAACACCACCGTGTTTAACAGTCACTGGACCTTAACGGTTTTGGAGGATACTGTAAATTCTCGGCCCCTGTAAGCATCATTGCATGCATGCACGAATGCTAGGTCTTGACGTAGACTCATCGCCCTATTATCATATTCTAGATTCTTAGCCAATGGCTAGGTGTGTAATCTAGCCTCATGCCCGCTTATAATACAGTGGGTAGCAGTTCCTCCAGGGCTCGTTGTGAATTGTTCGTCAGGGTTCAAATATACAAATGGTCTTTGCTCATATGTATAATTGCTCAATGATATCCTCAAGGACTTGCCTCGAAGCTTTGAGGTCTGGAGCCTCAGCTTCCCAGTAGCGCAGGGTCGAGATTGACAATTTCACGATCTGTTCGCATTCCTTTTTCAATGAATCCAAGAGACCCGCTTTTTGCGCAATCAATAGAAGTAATGCAGATGCAAAGCTTTGTCTGGCCATGATCCAAGTTCCATGATGTCGATGTCGGATGTCCCACTGCTGAATAAGCTTGATACAAGTCAATGCATGGATTTGTACAAATGACTGAAGGGTGACGCGTTCCGATTCTTCTAGTGGCTGATGAATTATGCGGAATAAGAATGGCCTGTATATCCGTTCTTTGATCTCGAATGCGCGAGCTTGCAGGTGGTATGCAAGCTCGTCCTCTGCCGCAACATCTACTTCAAAGGATATCACTCCCGGGAGAGTCCGATACCTGGATTGTGTTGCATTAATTGAGGTTTCTCATACATGATATTTGTTAACTCACCACTGATCAAGCTGCCGTTCGAACTCAGCTGCGGTTTGGGTCAGGTGTGGGAGAGGCGCAAAATCCAATCCACTCTCGTTCTCAGTGTATAAAGAGTCAGTCACTCGTTGTAATAATCTTCGAGCCGCGATATCAGCCAGATAGTAGTACCAGCCGCGATATAGCGGCTCCTGTATATGTAGGGCACTTCCAGGTTGTGCGATTCCCGAGTGCTGGAACGAATCCCCCGTGAAGGTCGTTGCTGGTGGTGGTGGGAATGAGCTGGTGTAGTTCAGTCTAGCTACGCCCGAAGAAGGGATCCGAAACTCCATTGACATCTCGCTGTGAAATGTTTAGTATTTGTAGTACTGTTAGTGGTTCAACTTACTGTTCAGATTTTAGACATGACCAGTATAGCCGGCTTGCACGAGCTTCAGCCGATTGACTTTCGGCAACGTAGGACTTGGGCTTCATGTGAGTGAAAGTTTGGAACGCCACGCAAGCTCGATTGAAGGATATAGAAGCTTGAAGAGGCCGCAAGGAATACATTTCATAAACGCCTGCTAGGAAATAACACTCAGTTGCCAACAATGTGTTTGTGAGGAGGCCCATCCGCTTGCGCGAAGACGTATAGTACAGCTCCGCCGTGGAATAGCCTGAGGTATTTCGTAGACTATTATCTAAGTCTTGTAATATCCCAGAATTCGTTTGTATCGACATGTTCACGAACGGCGAAGCAATGGCTCCAAGCGCACATGCTATCAACTGATGTGCACACTTATTAGCCAAGGCAGAGGCGAGAGGTGAGAAGACGGACCACCAGACAGCTCTGAGCTTCCCATCCAAATCCGGTGGCAGCTACTGATTTGGCTATTCTTTGTAGAAATGCCGGATCAAGGATTGGATTCTTTATATGCACATTCAACAAAAAGGAATCGACAAGTTGCATGACGTCTTCTTCCCGCACACCTCGACCAACTCCAAGGTTAGAACGGGGATCTTGATAATCCATTCGTGCAGCATCATCGGGTTCTCCGGAGATTGTGGCGTTTTCTTCATGACGTTGCCAGTCGAGTGAAGGATCAAAGATGAGGGATTCAATTTTTGTTCGGCTATATCTTCCATGGAAGATCGGCCATTCAAGCATATCTTCACAGAAACCAATTCTGGACTGCGATGGGAATTGTGCCTCGTTGGCCCTGGCCAAGTCTTCTCTGACAGCATTAGTATCTTCTGTATCCCAGGAGATGTCTTGATCCTGGAGGCCAAGTCCGAAATATGATGAAGCAATTGACGTCTCCTGTTCCAGAACAGTTTCTTGAGGGCTGGCCCTCGTGCGGTTTCCTGTACTGTTGGAGCTACTTGACTCGACCAATTGAATCAAGTAGTCAAGACGATCAAGGATTTGACTTTTGATGTTGAGTTGGTTAGAATGTGAGCCACCACAGCGACAAGAAACGAAGAACATACGTTGCGGGGTTTGGGTTGTCATGATAGACACAACTGGCGCCTAACTCGCGACATTTGGTGCAGCTTGGTCGTTGATTATCGCATTTTGTTTTGCGTGTGCGACAAAGATGACAGGCCGTAGTAGCCCGTTTACGCTGGAAGTCAGCTTGCAAAAATGGAGCTCTGGGTATTGGTTGAATTGGTCTCTTCTCCGAGTTCTGTGGATTCATGTTGACTTTGTGCTGGGAGAAAGGTTGCGGTCTGCTCGGCCGATCATTTATTATTTGTGCTGACCTGAGGTGAACCGGAGGAAATCTTTTCCATATCCGCCCGACTTGAGTCTAGTACGTCACCATGGCCGTAGTATAGCATCACAAATTAGGTTCAGTCGTTGGCACACACCGCAAAAGAAATCGACAAGAAAGGCATTTATCCGAAAATTGCCAACTTTTCTATTCCCACCAAGGCGTATATTACCCTTGATTCAGCCACTGCACTGAAAGCCATCCTTTGGAGCGATTACGCATCAATGGGGCAAGTTAATGATCCAGACAGCCCTCGACAAGGGCGAGTTTCCGTCTCGCCTACGAGAACATACACCATAAACCCGGCCGGTCTTCACTCTACCATGTATCACGATATGGACATTAACACGCTCGCATAACTTGAAGAGTTCAGGTAATTAATCTGAATTGTGTGACTATTGCGGGCCGGCTATTAGGACCTTCATCTCCTTGCCAGCTTTCACAGCTTGAAAGGCGCTTTCTGCTTCTTTGAAACTGACCTTGCTGGTGATAAGTCGCTTAACGTTAACTTTTCCTGCTTCAACTAGGTTCAGTGCAGTCTGATAGTCTCCCGCACTATATCTAAAAGAGCCCCGAATAGTCAACTCCTTGGTGCAAGCTCCTGCTATCGGAAAATGCACTTGCTCATGACCCAGTCCTCCCTGTACATACGAACCACCGTGTCTAAGCACATGGATAGCCGTCTGAACTGATGCTTCGGCACCGCTGGCGTCGAGCGCGACATCTGCGCCTGTGCCGAGATTATGTTCCTTCTTGAGTGCCTGGGCATTCTCCTCTGGTGAGCCTGAAGATGGCTTGTAGGTGGCAGTGGCGGCAAACTCGCTCGCAAATTCGAGCCGTTGATGTTGGATGTCAACTGCAATGATCTTTCGGGCTCCGTAGGCTCTGGCCACAGCACAGCAGAGTAGCCCGATAGGGCCAGCTCCAAAGACCACGACAGTATCGCCGTGCTTAATATTCGATTGTCGCAGGATGTGCACAGCCACAGAGAGTGGTTCAAGCATTGAACCTTCCTCTAGACTGACGTTCTCGGGGAGTTTATAGCAGAAGTCTTCTGGCAGGACGTAGTATGTGGCCAGCGTGCCATCGTAGGGAGGTGTTGCGGCGAAGGCCATTTCTAGACAAATGTTATAATTGCCTTCCTTGCATCTGTCACATCGTCTGCACGGAATGCCTGGCTCCATTGCTACTCTGTCGCCTTGTTGAAGTAACTGCACCTTGGCACCGACCTGAATGACCGTTCCGGCTGATTCATGACCTAGGACCATTGGACTTTCGAGTACGAAGGGTCCAAGCTTCCCATCGCACCAGTAGTGCACATCAGATCCGCAGATGCCAGTGTAATCGACTCGAATGAGAACGCCATAGGGATCGGTGATTTTGGGGACAGGACGGTCCTCGAACGAGACATCGAGCGGGCCTCTCAAGACAAAAGCCTCGTTCTGTTCGGTAGAATCAGTTACCAACTATGCGGACAACAGTCAATATTGACATCGAACACACCTTCATCTCTTTGACAGCCATTGAGCTTGCTCGCTATAATGACTTTCAACAAGGGACGAACCAAAAACGGACTTGGGGTTTCAGGAAAGACAAAGCTTGGGAGTTCTGATGATACTGTTGCCGCCATTTTGATGTCTTTTGTAGTGTTGCCTAGAACCGAGCAAGATAGAGCGAATTCGTATCAGAACGCGTCCGAATATGGCCTCGACCTGCTATGTGATGGGTGACGAGCTAGAAGTGTTTGCGTGACATGTTGTGATATTATACACTAGTACTGGCGAAAACCGACAACAGGTTACTCCGAAGACACGCGGAAAGATGGCTTTTGCAACCACACATATTCATTCTTTAATATTAAATCTATAGGAGAGAATTGTAGCAGAGCAGACAAAAATTTGCTTGTCATCCACGTAATCTCTAGTCCTGCCGAGTACAGTTTAGCAGATTTCTAGCATGCTTCACACCATCCGAAGACCCGCGGTGAGGGAGCACAGACAACTCCGAGTAGCCCCGACCAATCATCATCAGGGATCGTCGACTCAATCCGGCCGAGGTTTGACCCCATGCCAGGCGACCCCGATAGGCTAACGTTCTCCGTGGGGATCCAGGCTACCCCACAAACTCCACGACGGAGGTTCCCCAGGTTTTACGGTAACAGGTTTTGGAGACTGTGCTCTAGCTTAGTGGCAATGAAGCTCAAGATATAAATATCCGCCCGTTTCACTTGCAAATCGAAAAGAGCATCAACTCAGAGTTTTTACGGGACTGCAATCTTATCCTTTGCTTGTTTATCTGCCAATAGCACCGTGTACTTCAAAATCGAAAAGCCAAGATGGACAATATTCACAGGCTGAACGTTGTACATCGCCTTGAGAAGCGAAGCTTGCTCGTTGCGTAAGCATCCCTTCGTGACTTGAAGCTATCTCAACCTCTTCCTAACAAAATATTCCAGAATCAATTGTCTCGCTGGACTTTCTATCCTCTTCTTTGGGTACGATCTCCTGATACGCATTGACACTGGGTTCAATTGCTGACGTTATTCCTAGTTACGATCAAGGTACAACACGATACGAAATGCAGCTTTGAAGTAGACATAGACCTGACACATAATTCTAGGTATGATGGGCGGAGTTAATGCAGCTTACGATTATTACACACTCATGGGCTTCGCCCACAGGGGAGATGACGGTGGCCCCGTTGTCACCAACTCACTCCTCCAGGGAGGCATCGTTTCAGTTTACTACCTCGGAACACTTGTTGGATGCCTTATCGGAGGCTCTCTCGGCGATCGATACGGACGAATCAAAGCCATCTTCGTTGGCGCCCTCGTTGCCGTGATTGGCGCTACACTTCAGACCTCCGCCATGAACGTCGAATGGATGATTTGTGCCCGCCTTATCAACGGATGGGGCACTGGTGTCTTGAACGCAATCATCCCGGTTTGGGCTACCGAAATCGCTGAGCACACGTCCCGCGGACAGTTCATAGCTATCGAATTTACACTGAATATCTTTGGAGTTGTTCTTGCTTATTGGCTCGAGTACGCTTGCTCATTTTACGGAGACGGCACCTCCTCTTTTGTATGGCGCTTCCCTATTGCTTTCCAAATTCCTATGCTCTTAGTGCTCATGGCCGCCGTCTTCTTCTTCCCGGAGTCCCCTCGTTGGCTTGTCAAAGCTCGCCGAGAGAATGAGGCCCGCTACATCCTTGGCAGACTCCGTGGCGATACAGGCGAAGACAAACAACAGGCGGAGGAGGAATTCCAAGGAATTGTGGCATCTTGTGAAATGGAACATGCCAACTTCCGTCATCAGACCTACTTTCACATGCTGTTTGGAATTGGTTCAGGAAAGCTACACACTGGTCGACGTGTTCAGCTGGTGGTTTGGCTCCAGATCATGCAAGAATGGATCGGTATCGCTGGTGTCACGGTTTACGCTCCCACCATCTTCGGCCTAGCGGGCATGAGTCCAGAGAAGCGTCAGTGGATCGCAGGCCTGAATAACATCTTCTACATGTTTTCAACCCTCATCTGCGTTTTTACTCTCGATAAGATTGGCCGTCGCTGGACCCTGTATTGGGGGTCTGTTGGACAAGGTGTCGCGATGGCTCTCGGCGGTGCTTTTGCCTACCTGGGTCAACAAGCCACTGATGATGGCAACCTCAGCAAGTCTGCGGCTTATGGAAATGTTGCTGTGTCAATGATCTTCATCTTTACCTTCATCTTCGGTGCTACTTGGCTGACTGTCCCCTGGCTGTACCCGGCGGAGATCTTCCCTCTAGAGGTTCGCGCCAAGGGTAATGCATGGGGGGTTGTCGGCTGGTCCATCGGCAATGGCTGGCTTACTCTTCTCTGTCCCGTTATGTTCCAACAGCTGGGAGAGAAAACCCTTTACATCTTCGCCGCTTGCAACGCCATTACCATTCCGATGGTCTGGGCCTTATACCCGGAAACAAACCAACGCACTTTGGAAGAGATTGATCTGTTGTTCTCTTCAGATAGCCTCTGGACCTGGGAAGCGGAAAAGAACTTTGCTAGACTTCAGCAGCAAGGTGCGAATGCAGAGACGATTCTGGAGAAGGAGGCTAATATGGAGAAGGGGGGTAACGAGGAGGCGAGTGTCAATCATGTCATGCGGAAGTGATAATCAGTGACCGGAAGGACTAGTCGCTGAAGTATTTGGGCTTCTCACTCATACGATGGAAGCTTGTAAATTGGGCTCAATTATATAACCTTTCTGTTACCGCGATGTAAGAAATTACAAAAGGCAATTGTCAGTGTCGCACGCAGTGTGCTCGAGTATTCTATTCCGCATCCAAAAGCCGCGGTGATGATGACTTCGTCTACGACGAACCCCACCCGTTGCTCCGGACCCTTCGATCTGGGGATCTATAGCCGGAGGGGTCCCGTCTTAATTTCTATATTCGATCTAGCTTTCTCCGCTACCGGACAGCCTCTCGTGTTCAACTGCACTTACTGGTGATCGTGTCAAGATTGCGTACTCGCGATGATTCTATTCATATGGACACTGGTCAGTCTCAAAGTTCTGTAGTGTTCCCTGGTGATGCCTGGGCAGCCACCAGGGGCCCCTTCCTGGATCAGCCCTCCTGGTTCTCAATCATAGTCAGTAAGCATGAAATCCACGGGCCTCAGCATCCTTCCTGGTCAAGGCTACCTCACCTACACATCCGGGTGTCTCGCCGTGCTCATGGCCTTCTGGATGATGGCCCCAATACTTTCTATACAAGCTGAAATACTACCCAAACACAGTATCGGAGGGGAAGGGACGCATTAAAAATGGGACACTCCCCAGGTAAGTAGCTCCTCTCTGTGGCCGTACCCTTGGGCTGTTGCTGATGCTTATTGATTGAAATATTTGAGGGTAAGGAATGAATATGATTTGACAGCACATAATCTGGATATGAACCGATTTAAGTTGTTAGTAGTGTTGCTCGTCGCACTTGAGCTCTCACAGCCATAAGGCTTTAGAAGTTCAGGAAACGCAAGTTAAAGGCACCCTCTTCTCCCCATACCTCTGGGATTCCCAAGACATGGAGCAATAAATACTGTTGTATGAGCCTGAGGTAGTAGTTAATAATAATGACTAGAAAATGAGAGACGAAATATGGTTTTCTTCACTGGTAGCAGTCGTTTTGTCGCAATGCTTAGATGATTTCTCTTGATGCTCAACCCAGTGTAGCAATCGCGCAGTATCTGCCTTTAGACAAAGAGATGTTGATGGAGGAACCTCACCGGTTGATATCCACGAGAAGAAGGAGCCAAGTGACCGCGATATCCAGTTAGTGACTTTTGTATTGTCGTATGTTTCTTTTCTTCCAACTAATAGCTAAGGTACTTGCACCTACGAATGAAACTCCCTCCGGCAGTATGTCTTCTAAGGCGTCTCTAAACCCCGGCTGAGGGTATAGGGTTATTGAGACTGAGGCGTCTAAAGTCGACATGAGCACTCTTGCTACCGGCGCGGTCTATTTCAGGATTGTCGCAAACCTTCATCTTCGGCGATGTTCTCTGACTCTTGGATGATGAGCAAAGCCATGCCAATCCAGCCTTGTTAGTCGGAGCTGGGAGTACGGATTCAAAGAAGTGGTATTCTCGAGGCATGACTGAAAGGCAGTAATGTTCCTTCTTGCCTTACGATTGATCGTCAAGTAGTGATGACTTCCTGTAGGTGGTAATCCTGCGGTAACAGCCCGCAGGGTTAGAACTAGTCAGTCGAGAGGTGCAGACTAGAGCATATCAACAGTAGCCCGAGGAGTAAAGGTTGCGGCGGTACGACAGGATTCTGAAGAGACTCCCTGAACGTCACGCTCACCCACCAGGCCTTCATTGCTGTTGTTCGAACCACTTGGCGTAGACATGAACGGTGAGCCGATCGTCAGTGACTTAGTGCTTGATGATAGGGGCGGTGAAGGCTTGATCTGGCTTGTCGGATTTAGCATCAGTACTCCAACGCTGTCAACATATACATCTCTATCCTCACGCCGATGACAATCCTTCCCTTGCAAGTCCCTCATCTAACGTCTTCTTTGGCCACCTGGGCCACCATCTAGAGAGCACACCGATAAGTCACTCAAAACACTCAAGTCACTTCATATCGGTGATGCGCTCTTAGTGCTCAGTGTCAGATTATTCATAGGCTACTCGAAGTCGCTGAACTCCCTTCTAAGCGAGGGCATCTTGGGCGTTCTTCCCAATCGTGTTTACCACGGGGTTGGAGGGCGGACAAAGGCTGCGGCGAGTGATTATTCGACACGAGGAGTAGGCTTTGTGAAGTCAGCGCTCAAATATTTCGGCTTGGAATACTCACGGCCACTCCTCTATAACGTCATGAAAACGGCGGAATGAAGCAATGATACGATATTGATAACATTGTCTCCATGCCCTTCCCGAACATACCGATTTGACTGCCGAAATTGCAGCTGCTTCCGGTATTGAGACCGAGACTGCTACCGTCCTTGCTGACGCAAAGGCACGTCTCTTCTCAATTGAGCAAATGTGGGAGGCCAAGATGGAATGGGACGAGGCGCTCAATGCGAAGATCAAGTATGAAACTTTTCAACGGAAGATGGACGAGCTCAGGGACGAGGTGTCAGCTGCTTGGGACGACTGATACGACAAACGGGATGCTGCTGATGTAATGATTGACAATGTACGGAATAATGTCAAACCACTATCGGTCAATCTAGATAATACAGCCGCCGGCAAAAATATTAGGGGATAGACCTGGCTTTAATTGGATATGTCTACGGAGTATTCTAGGACTAAACCTTTTGATTACTGATCATTGAGTGGCGGGGAAAATTAACAATGGCCGATCCCAAGCATAAATATAGTTTAAAAGGAACAGGAAACGATCTGTATATATTTGGCCCCAGCTGTTCCTCTCACACCGGATTTAAAAATTGGCCTTACTCACCTTAAGAAATATCTAACTAGAAGATGACAGTCGAGAGACATTGGCAGTCTTTGGTTGATGCGTTAAAGGCTAAGGGGGGGTCAGACACTACTTCTGACAGGCGACCGCTGCTGAACCGTGGGAACCACCGGCAGCCAAATATCAACACTGAGAATCATATGGCTGGAAGATCGCCTCGCACAGCCTCGGCACCTACAGCATGGGCAGCTTGGCCACCGGTTTCTGCCTATTAGGTAATCGTCCTGTCCTATCCTCCCTTAAGCCAGTGACGCGGACTCTAATGTTCAACAAGTCCGAGCCAGACCCCATTGGCTTACCACAGGTCTCAACAGTACGTAATGCGTGGGTAAGAAGTTATCAAATCCACTAAAGCAGTATAGATCAACAGACCCGACCTGAGCGTCACGCCCGTTCCTTAGTATAGAGAACAGAGATTTTACCGGTAGTCTAAAAGGTGCTTTCCCTATAGGCGACACCATTCGAACCATCTAATAGACTACCAAAATTATAATCTTCTTATATAAACTCCGAATTTTCACATGGTTTTCTTCTCGGAACTCCTTTCGTAATGGTTCGTCGTGTTTATAGCGAAGATGACGTAGCTGAGGCTATACATGATATTACTGATAGAGGCCTGTTACAGATGGGGGCGACTCAGAAACGTGGAGTGCCTCGGTTAACCCTTTCTGAGTAACTTTCCGGTCAAGTGAGTAGGTATGGACGGATTATTGAGACCCACCAGTGTATCTCTAAGGGCCAGGAGGAGACCCTAGCTTAGTTAAAGTGGCTGATTCTGGCCATCACAGAATTTACGTCGGGTGCTGTTCATGGACAGTAGAGGTGATCAATGAAGTCCGAAGCATGCATTTGCCAGGTTTTCCGTGGTAGTGATAGAGACGCTCAAGACAAAGACCTAGGGTAAAGGTCGCACCAAGGCACGGCAGCGGCCGTGTTAATAAGGAAGCTAGTGGATTTGACCATGCTAATATTTAATGAGCTGCGATTGCTTATCGCCGCCACTACCTGTGTGTGGGAGAGCTTGTCTCTAGTCAGCATAAGAAGAGGCATCCTTTACTTGCTATCTGTAGGCCTGGACGAACCCTTGGACTACTAGCCACCTCGGCTCAGTTATGCATTCACCACGTACCATACAAGAATTGGTTCACTGTTGTCTAAGTCTGATCGAGGTGACAGGCAATGCAGAATGGGGGATCGACTGTTACGCGACAACGGCCACCCAAAGGTATTTCTGGCTTGGTAAACACAGGGAATGCCATATTCGATTACTGAACAGATGTGGGCATGAAATCAAGAGAAGATAATACCAGCATGATATTAGAACTAGTGTATGTCGACTTTCTCTCTTATGGACTTGGGCTGCCGTCACAACAATCATCGTCTTTGCTGCACCGTCCCCAACAGCGACATGGCCCATTGACAGATATCTCTGTTCAATAGATGAGGGCATGCTCGTTGGGTCAAGCAAGACATTCGAGGTTTTTGCCGAGGAGTAGATGTCAGCCTGCTTGAAAACAGGGGGTCTCCTTGATTTTACATAAATTTTCAGCTGCGTCGCCGATAATCATCCCGTAACTTTGATGAACTCCCACAAAGTACCCCCATCGTCCTCTCGAAATAGGCCATTTCCGTCTTCTTTCGCACAGACTTGCCTCTGTGTCCACCAATCTAGGGTCTGGATCAGGTACAAGCCACCATCCCGATGACACAGAGTAAAATCCTCCCAGCCCTTATGGTGGTAGACCTTCGCATAGAACTCCCACCAGAAATCGTGGCCCAGAAAGGTCCCTTCAGCAACATTCTTGAAACCTTTGAAGCCGCCCCTTTCCTTGCACTCCCACTGTGCCTGTTTTGGAACATGTCGTCGAGGATCCTTCAGATCGATCGGCTTAAGATATAGATGGCCATCATAGCACGTCAAAACACGGCTGCGGGAGACGTCGAGGATGAGATATTTGCCGTCATGGTGAGGATTGGACTTGCGAGTGAGACCAAAAGAGTCATCCGAAGTGCCACCAATTTCTGATGAAGCAGGCGTGTATATCACAGTTTCTCCCCCACCGCTTGAAGAATCAGGCCAGAGCTCAACGGGATCAGCTTCGGACGCGGTGCCAGGTGTCATCACCCCGATACCCGACACAGAGCTCGACATTGCTGCTAGAGAACTCGCAATTTCAGATGAGGAAGAAGAACAGATTAGTCTGGACAAGTGCTAGAAGACCCGGCAGGCGAAATTAAATTCCAGGTGTTATCGATGTTTTATTTTTCATATGGATGAAGGATGAGTAGAGAAACGATGTTACCCCGCTTATTTCTAGCTCCTACATCTCTATAGATTCATTCGCTGTCGATGGAATTGGACCAACTCGAGAAAACCCCCGCACGAAAAGTCTCACGGTGGGCCTCCTGCATACTGACTATTAGCCAAGACTGACCGGCTGGTTCAAGTTTCAGTTCATGCTGCGATATCGCATTCATTATCAGGCGCATATGCCACGTAATATTTCCTGATTGGACAACCGTATGGAGGCGTGATCGTGTCCCACACTGCTTGAAGTTATGCGAACCTGGTGCCCACGGGAGTGAGTTCTGAGTTCAAGTCAACAAGCCGAAGTCAACAAATCCTGAGCTGAGTCACGGGGCCAGACAAGGTGCGTTTGTAATCTTTGAAGAACAAGGTTGCAAGAGCAATTGGCTCGAGTTATCAGGGCCTTTCACTCGAATATCGTGTGTACTCGTCGCAGGCGTTCAAGCCTATGTTTCGTCAATCATACCCAATAGTAGATACTCAATACGCCCTACTGTATAGCAGCCCAACGAGGTTCTATTCTTAGATACTGACGTGTGTGCGGTCGCAACCTTTCCGCCATGGTGATTTTCTTTTGAGTAGGGTTGACCAAGGGTTCAGGTGCAGCTTTAGTGCCTAAGATATCGGGCATCCAACCTCTGGGTTGCATCGTCACGCCAGAGACTCAGCCGCTGCTTACTTTTGCCAACACGCCTTCTCTCTGCATCTTGTGAAAATCAATGAATATCAGCCTCACTGTGGAGTTCTTCTGTAATAGATGTTATTGATGTCATGACATGAGGCATTAAAAAACCCCGCACAAGCCTGTTACTCGCAACTGAATGAGCTGCGTCACCCTGCAAAATTCTTTGCCTGAGAGCCTGGTTTAGGATTGCGACTCCACTACAGATGACCATAGACGCTCTTTCTCTTCATATTCCTGAATAGCTGCCGCGACAATCGATCTATCTTCTTTTCGAAAGGCAAAACAACGCGATAGCACCTCTACAAGAAGACAGTGTGTTCAATGACGCGTTTGATGCAGAAAGTTCAGGGTACATCGGAAAATGCAATGGCACCTGCTTCCAACATCTTACCAAAGCTATGTGAAGAACAGCAAAATGTGGTGGACTTGATTCTGGGTGGACGCAATGTCTTTTTTACCGGCTCAGCAGGCTGTGGCAAGTCCACTGTTTTAGAAGCTGTCGTCAAAGAGCTAAAAGCAAAACACACACGAGTTAGCGTCATTGCTCCCACTGGTCGGTCTGCACTTCAAGTCCACGGCATGTCGACTTGGTCTTACATGGGCTGGACACCCGACTTTCACAAGTATTCTCTGGAAAGATTGAAAAGTGAAGGATTTCGCAGCTATGTCGCGGCTCGTCTAAGAAGTACTGAAGTTCTTATCATTGATGAGATTAGCATGGTTGAGAATCACCATTTGGAACGCATAAATATCTGCATGAAGGCAGTTCGATGCTGGGACTCTAATCTCAGAGGTCCTGCTAGCGACGCTCCTGCCTTTGGAGGAGTCCAAGTGGTTGTGACAGGAGACTTCTGCCAATTACCTCCTGTGAGACCATTCCAGTTCTGTTTGAACTGCGGACTGGAGACAACGCTCGATACTGACGGACTCTGGTACAATTGTCCTGAAAACCATGGACCGTTCATGGACGAGGATAAATGGGCCTTTCAGAGTGCTGCTTGGGAAGAAGCAGGGTTTACTTGCGTCAACCTTCAAGAAATTCATCGTCAACATGATGCTTATTTCATCGGAATGCTTCAGAAGTGTCGGTTTGGAATACCATTCACAACGGACGAGATTACAACGTTGATGAATCATCCCCACAAGGTTGATAAAGCCACAAAGCTCCTTTGCACAAGGCGCGAGGTTGCCAAAATCAATTCGAATAGTTTCCGGAAGCTCAAGACCCCTGTCCACATGTACAAAGCCTTGGATGGCTTCGAATGCTGGCAAGAACAGCACTTGCAGTTTGACCGCTATACCACTCGTGACGACGATGGGCATTTATCAGCATGCAAGGATCACAGGCTAGAGCCAAGCGTTCTGTTGAGGGGAGGTATGCTTGTTATCTTACAAGTGAACCTTGATATCGAAGGCGGTCTCGTTAATGGAAGCCAGGGTGTTATTTGTGGCTTTGAAGAATTCGACCTTGCGAAGTTTTTGGGTGGCAAGCACAACCGAAACGAGACACCTTCACTTAACCTATTCAGTGGGGAACATGAAGCGCTCAAGCGAAGACAAGTGACGGACTTCATGAAGGTGCAGCAAAAAGCAACACGAAGACGAATGGGACCGACTGGAAAGACCTTCTGGCCACGGGTTCTATTCCACAATGGAATGAAGTGCACGATATATGCCGCATGTGTTGTCAGTGCAATCGGCGACAAGGAGCCATATTCATTCTTGCACAGAACTCAAATTCCTCTGATACCGGGTTGGGCAATGAGCGTCCATAAAAGCCAGGGTATGACCCTAGACCGCGTTGTCATAGATTTGTCCAAAGCCTTTGTGGCAGGCCAAGTCTATGTCGCTTTATCAAGAGCAACAGGACTCGAAGGTCTCAGGATCGACGGCGATAGAGAAGCACTCACGTCATTGTTTGAAGGCGACAGGTCTGTGCAGGAGTTTTTGCAGAATAAATTCGGGGTGAAGCCTTTGCCTAAGTACTACTGAATTCCTTAAACTTTCCCAATCAAAGGAGGATTTTACTCTATCTTGTCGTGAGGGTGGCCTATACTGGATCTAGAGTCTCGATTGGCGAACGTAGAGGCAGGTCTCGGAAAGGCAAGGTAGAGGTGGCTTGTCAATGCAGGGTAATGGGGCACTTTGTGGGAGTTTGTCAAGATTGGAGGCAATTGGGTTTTAAAGAGGTGAATTTACACTCACTACTTCCCTGTTGTCTGCACCATTGTTGAGTAAAAGAGGAAATTCACTACCCCTAACAAACCCTAATCATCATTGTTTGCGTCGGTCATTAATGACTAAGCTCAAGTAACTCTCCCTGAATTCTCAAATTGATGTATGAGTGGTGCTCTTTATATCTCGGTCTGGGGCAAGAGAAAGGATCGCTATGAACCAGTTAAGGTAGTTTTAACTATTTCATATACGGAGTATATAACGTGAAGATGAGAAAGAAGAGAAAGAAGAGCGAAGGAGAGATTTTTGACTAAAGTCTCGCTAGCGTATGCTTTTCTGCTATACGAGCTGATGAGTGCATTCCTATTATGCTGCAAGGTCAAGACGGTGGCAGTGACGTGGGAGCAACAAGCGTGTCCATCAGTATCACAGTGGGCAGCACAAGGCTCGAACAACCAGGAGTCGCTGCAACTCTAGTACGGACGCCTCAAGATCTGGAAATGGAAGAGGTAATATACTGAACTCCACTGACTTCAACGTTGGCTTCATGGAGTAGAGCCTAATTTGTAACAAACGAGCGGCTGCTATGGACATTCAGTTTGAGGCATGAATAACTGCAAGAGCAGAGGACAACAACTTCATAACAGGCAGTTAAAGTAATGGCCTCAAAAAAGTCTCCACACATGAATTGCCCTGCAATTGCTCAGGGAGCGACATCAAGACGTCCAATACTGCTAACGAGACAGACACAGGGAAAACGATGCCAAGTTTGTCATCAAGCCGAACGATCTGTGACTTAACCGATTCACGATTGAACAAGGTGCTCCGCAATGCACCGATCGAAACAAGGTTAGGGAGAAAAGAGGCAAGGTCGGTGCGTGGCCGTCACAAGCCTGACGCTGAGCTCGGCGCCATAGTTCTGCGACTTGCTGATGCTGAACTGCGCGAGGCTGAACAAAAAGAAGACCGCGATACCAAACAATTATATTATGATAATCATCCAAGATATCCCGCCGGTCCTTCTTTGGGTTTTGTCATGTAGGGTGAAACTGCCCGGGACCTGAAGATCAGTAGTCTCGGCGACAGTATATCAGTTTTAGAACACCTTTTCACCTCTGACACTGAGACAAACAGAGAGACACCATTCCATCCCTGATTGTAGGAAGGAAACCCTCGTCACATCCTTATCAGTCACAACGTATCGATGAGCTGGTTCCAGATCGAGCTTCAACATCAGCCCCAAAACAAACTATAGATCATAATTTCAACGATATTGAGCGCTGCAATCGCGCGGCAAGTACGTGCGCATGGCATGCAAATCCATTTTCTAGCACATCTGAACACAATTGAATTTTCGGTAATACTTCCGACATACAAACCTAGCTTCTTAAATTTATGCAATAGCGTGAACAAGCTTCGTCTTTATTTCAAGTTTTGGAACATACCAAGTGATTCAAAGACTCATAGGTAATTTTCTTGTTTTGAACAGTATTACGCCAAGGTGTCGTCTTTCAAACTACGTACTGCGGCCTGGAAATAAAACTTAAAGAGATGTAGATTGAGCGACAGAACTGGGTCTTAAAGTTGACCACAAGACGATAGCAAGAGCATTCGATACCAAAGCTTCTCAGACATATCAATTAGCACTTATCAGACAGCTCTCCGGTACTGCAAGTCCATCCCATCCCAGCAGCCCAGCCAAGTATATATGAAGACGGAGGTCCGCAACCTACGTAACTATCCAAGGGTATTAGCATACGTACCAGCGAATAAGGAGTATTGATCATTACTTTACAAACCGGGCAGGCGCTTTATTAGGGACATCATCAAGGATTGTATGAACCATAAAAGCGGCAAAATGCACGCCATTAGTTAGCGCGGTATAGACTAAGTCTGCAAACCCAGCAAGCTTTCCACAGCCAAGGTACTTATACTGCGGGGCAAGTACCATGTCGAAGGAGACTAGAACTTGGGATCAGTCGGTCGGAAAAGTGCCCGAACTAAGGCGTCGTCTTCGGGCGTGCACTGCCACAGATAGTCATAAACGCCCTCTTCGGCGTCTTCTCGTGAGCGCTTCTTGTCAACTACAACGACTACGCCTGGGCGCTGTGCATATTGCCAATCGTTGTGAAACCTTTTCAGGTGTCGGAGGTTCCCGAAGTGGGAAGCTGAGAAGTGGGCTCTGGACCGAAGCAGCTGCCATTAGGAGAATGGTGCCGATTAGATGGGGACTTGTTGTACCGTATTGACTGAGTAAGTTGGCCACGACCTATGGATCCCGCTAAGAGTTTTAAGCTAGTAAGCTGCAGGTCTTAGTGGCTAAGATAAGGAAATGGGGGCTTAGGTCAGCAAAGATATACTTTTATAACCGCTTTATATCCAAGCGAACCGATAAGAGCTGCAGTTCGCTAGCTTAGAATCCCTAGCATTATCCGCAGTTCGTGGCCAATTTACTCAGTCAATACGGTAGTTTGATATAGAGATTGAAGCAAGGAGAGTGTTATGCCGAGGGTATCTTAGTCTGAGGAATAGTTTGCTCTTTTATGCCACTCTAGAGCAAGAAGACTCGGCTCCGTGTTTCTATATCCGAGGAAAAGACAGATAGTTGACAAATAAAGTAACGGGTTAAAACTTGACTATCTAATTAATTTTAATATCCATAATACTTTCTCATTTATGCCTATTGAAGAAGTTACTAAACCCACCTTTTTCTCTACGACGATGTCCTTGGTCTGTATTAACGAGCGATCCATCCTTAACAGACTCTATTAACACATGAGATGTGGGGAACACTCCAAACTCTCCTTTGGAGTTTGATCCACTCCATAACCATGCATATGGATCCTCCCCTAACGGATATGTAAGTGTGAATCCAGGCCAAATTGCTAATGAAGGAGAACTTACAAGCAAGGTTATAAATAGTCTCGCCTTTCCTGAGAGCCAGCCAGCCAGGCTGCCTCTGCTTCTCAAATTTCCACCTGGAAACTCCAGTCCGAGGTGTTCTGGGTAGCGAAGCAATTTCCACGTGCTGTGGTAGCTCAAAGGTAATTATATTGCTTGGGAATGTGCCAAAGACCCTGTCGTGCCAACCTTGACACCACTTCCCACCCCACTTCTCCGGGAACTCAACGCCGACTATTTTGGCTCCTGCTAAGAACTGCAGAACCTCAGAGACTGAGTCGGGTCTTGGTTGGGGCTTCTCATTCCTTCGGCGAATATGATCTTTTGTGGCCCGCGCGGATGGCAACGAAGCGATTCGGTCTGGATCGTAGGCTGGGAGCGCACTAGGCGAAGTAGTCATGGTAGAATGCGGGAAAGATAAATCGTAGTCTTGACGTCTTCTTGTGTTAGCATCCCTATTCTCGTAAACGACTACCACGCCCGGAACATGTGGTAGGGGATGAGAATGTCGTGAAATGTGACGAAAGAGGAGATCAATGGACTGGAAGACGGTGGCATCATCTTCCTGTAGAGTCGACTTTGTCCTGTCGCAAAAGAGGCAGCCGAAGAATATAGAGTTGATGCTTCGCACTGCCATATGAGACTTATAGAGGAAACGAGAACGGTGAATAATGCCTCTTGTTTGCTGGCTAGCCAATGCTACAGTTCTTTTTAGCTTAGTTCTCATAGTTATTTTGGTTACCGATGCACCTACGATCTTGATCCATGTCCTGGCGCAATTGAGAGTAGGGAGTCTTGTACTCGCAGTGAAGGCACTGCGCGCTTGCTTCTGCGTATGCCTCAGTTGAAGTTGACAGCATTTGTCCCCACAGCATTTCTTGAGAATACTCTGCAGGTCTCGATGCGTTGTCTAATCCGCCGCCGACCTTCCTGATAGCCTGTCCAGGACCTCTGGAAGCAAAAGCCTGAGCTCCTTTGCAAAATCCACCTAGTAGGGATAGAGAGCTGCCCGGCCCGATGTCAAAAGCCGTGGCCTGTGCAGAATGTGCGCTTCTCCCGGAGGCAGAGTGTTTCCCGCTCGAGCTCGATGATTCTGTCGCGGCTTTAAAACTAGGCGCACTACTTCCATCAGATCGTACGGATAAGCGTGACCCCTGAGGAACAAAGGATGAAGGACGGTGCTCGGTAGAATATTCATCTGGCATATATGACTCGGAATCCCGATACTTTGCAACGCTTGGGTCGGTATTTTGGTAAGCTGCCGTAGACAAAGTGCGTGGAATGGAAGCAAATCGTTCGTCAATAACTGCAGACCAATCCTGTTCAGGAATTGAGTCAGGAGTAACGGATGGCGGAAGATCATGATAATTTTGACCAAGTGAGCCTCTTGTGCCTGGATTCACCGGACTCTGGATGCCATTTGACTTCGGGGACAATGTGATCGATGTTGGAGGAGTGATGGCTCCGATGTCCAGGCCCTGTAATCTATTGGTGATGACTTGTGGGTTACTCTCTTTCCGCAGATGGGTGGGAATATAGCGGTAGGTCTCGTGTTCCTGTTCTGGAATCCCAGATTGACTGGAAAATGGCAGGGAGATCGGGGATGCGAGTCCATTTGGTGAAATTGGTGACGGTGATGTGGAGTAGCCAGCAGCTCTCAATGCACGGGCAGCAGAGTGAGATCTATCACGTTGCTCAGATCCGCGGGTGAGCGAGGGTCTGCTCTGAGCTCTACCATAGCTAGATCCGGATGTCGACACATTGGTCGAGGGTCGCATGGATAGTTGCGAGCTCGATCTGGTCGTATCGGAAGTGTTGGGGAGCGGGGGAAGCGGTGGAAGAGGCGGGAATTGCGATGGGGCTGGCAATGATTCCAAAGCCGACCTTGTAGTGAAACGCGTAATCTCTTCCACGAGGGTAATGGCCAGTTCCTTTGTTGCAGCTTGAAGTTCGTCAAACTTGGCCTTGTCAAAGGTCTGTGCCTCGATGAAATCCTCGAAATCATACAGCAGTATGCCAATTGATCGAACTTGACAAACAACATCTTCTACTCGCCTGTCAGCGTACAATGTCAAGTGAAGGCTGGTCCTGCTTTTTGCTTCTTACCATTGTGCAAAGTGAGATCTTTTAGAAAATCAGTCAATTGACGGGAAGGCGTCGCAAGCAAAGGTGTCAAGCGTCGCAAAGCTCGCTCTCCTTCTCTCAACAACAACTGCGACGATTGGTTAAGTGAGGTCAATTTGTCGCTGTGGCCCACATCGTCCTTGTCCTGGAAAAGCGCATACTTGGCCCATTTGACTACATCATAAAATGGGCGGAGCAAGACGTGATCCGATGGAGTCGCCATTTTGAAAGAAAGCGACGAAAGAAGAGGGGAAACGTGCCGATCGGGCTATCTCGTGGAGTCGGACATGTCAAAATCTTGACAGGAAGAGACTTGCGGGGCATAGATGGATGTGAAATTAATAAACAGCGCATTTATCAGTCTCAACCCCGTTTTGTCTTATCCGAGGCTTGGCTGAAGTTATGGTTTGCGCTATTGTTTTAGGAGCGATAACGGTCAAGGGATTCTCAGACGCGATAAGGGAAAGAAATGAGCAATCGATGCACCTTTAGAGTTAAGGACCCTGGAACCAACAGGGGTTCGAAGGAGGGAGGGCTAATTTCCATGTCGCTTCCGGTTAAATGGCCCGGATCGCCATGGATCCGCTCTTTAACAATAAGAACAATAATAAGGGGTTTAAGTTCTTAATCGTCTCAGAAAGGTTGAGTTCAATTGTGGCAATGCTCCGAAACTCCAACAACTCAACCCCGCCAAGGAAGATCTGTTTGACCTTGTGTTATAGCACGGACAATATGTGTGACAGCCACTCCTCATGCTACTTAACTAAGGCATAAGCCTCGGCGTCGACCGGAGGAACATCCACTTTTAGGGTTGAGCCGATGTGACCTACCCCAATAGTTACCACAGTCCGTGGGCCCAGACGTTTCCAAGAATTCAACTAATGCACGTCTTATCCAGGTTAGTCTTTATCACTGGAGGTAAATATCAAGCAAGACGATAACAAAGATCTAACAACCTTCCTGTTTGGTCTTCGCCACTGAACATCTCATCTCTATCCGCCCCTTGTATGATTCTTATCTTTCCAGTCTTTTGGTCTTTATATATCCCCATAACTGACAGTGTTTTTCTGGTTCCCTGTAACGTCCACTTTAGCAATTTTGGTCTTTTTTTCTTTTTCCTACGCGTTTTGCCTTTCCTTTCTTTTCCCACTGTATAGGCATCGCCCTGGGGCTTCTTCACTATGGCTTGGATTAGTCGAATCAACGATGGCGTGGCCAATAGCCGCGTAGGCCATTGGTTCCAATTGGAGGGGTCTGGCCATGTGAGTTGAAGCGATCAACAGAGCAAGTGAATCACACTAACTAGCGACGTTAGCCTCGCGAGCGACCTGGCTCCCGTTTCACCACTGAGCTACGAGCCGGTATCATCTCTTTCTTCGCAATGGCGTATATCCTGGCTGTCAACTCCAGCATCGTTGCCGACAGCGGTGGCACTTGTGTCTGTGACTCAACGCCCGACGATCCCATCTGCGCCGTCAACTCAGACTATCTTCTTTGCAAAAATGAGGTCAAACGTGACCTAGTCACTGCCACTGCTGCTATCTCTGCCCTGGCCACTTTCTTCCTCGGTGCTCTCGCCAATATGTTAGTCTTGACCGGTACTAGGGATGACTTCTTATTGCTAACTTGATGAATAGGCCCGTCGGTATCAGCTGTGGAATGGGCTTGAATGCTTACCTCGCGTATGATGTAGGTATTCCCACCTTCACGTTTTGTACTATCTCTGACGTATGGCTTCTCTCTAGGTTATCGGCTTTCATGGTTCTGGATCTGTTCCTTACGAGGTGGCCATGACGGCCATCTTTGTTGAGGGTCTCATCTTTTTCGGCCTTACAATTCTTGGTCTCCGACAATGGCTCGCTAGAGCCATCCCACGCTCAATCAAGCTGGCCACTGGCGCTGGTATTGGTCTCTTTCTGACACTCATCGGACTCACATACAGTGAAGGTATTGGCCTGATCACTGGTGCCGTGTCAACACCCCTTGAACTTGCCGGATGTTCTCCTGCGGACAAGTTGGAAGATGGCACCTGTCCTGGCTCGCATAAGATGCAGAACCCAACTCTTTGGCTCGGCATCTTCTGTGGTGGTATATTGACGGTAGTTCTCACCATGTTCCGCGTTAAGGGCGCTATCCTGATTGGCATTCTCTTGGTCTCAATCTGCTCTTGGCCTCGAGGAACCTCTATCACGGCGTTCCCTGATACCCCGGTTGGCGATGACGCTTTCAATTACTTCAAGAAGGTGGTGAACTTTCATCCTATTACGAGAATCCTTGCTGTCCAAAAGTGGGACATTGGAGCATACAGTGGCCAATTTGGTCGCGCTCTGATTACATTCCTCTACGTGGATATTCTTGACTGCACGGGCACACTCTACTCTATGGCCCGGTTCTCTAATCTGATAGATGAACATACTCAGGATTTCGAAGGCTCTGCCACAGCTTACCTCGTTGATTCTATCAGCATCTCTATCGGTGCTCTCTTTGGCACATCACCTGTCACGGCATTCATTGAGAGTGGAGCTGGTATTGGTGAAGGAGGACGAACAGGAATCACAGCTATGATGACAGGCTTTTGTTTCTTCATCTCGCTGTTCTTCGCCCCCATCTTTGCCTCTATACCACCTTGGGCAACAGGATGTGTCTTGATACTTATTGGCTCCATGATGATGCGAGCCGTGGTTGATATCAACTGGCGATATATGGGCGACGCTGTCCCTGCATTCCTGACTATTGCCGTCATGCCGTTTACCTATTCTATTGCCGATGGCCTTATTGCCGGTATTTGCAGCTACATTCTCATCCAGGGTCTTGTATGGGCTGTGGAGACGGCTTCCATGGGCAATCTTACTGCTGTCAACAAGAAGGACAAGGACCCTTGGACGTGGCGTATCCCTGGAGGTATCCTACCGGGATGGGTCAAACGTTTGTTCCAGGGCAAGAAGGACTTTTGGCGCCCATATGCGGATGAAACCATCGATGCTAATGTAAGTGCTAATTCTCACGAGCTGGGATCTCTCAGGCACGAGGCTAACTGGGTCAAGCCTGGTGAGGCTCTACCACATGTGGTGACAGAGATTGTCTCGGGTAATAGTAAGAGATAGGCTGGTTTACGTTTGACAACTGCGTTATATATACTTGAAGTTAAAAAAAGTTGTTTTCTTTTCTTCAAGCTCCCAGCGCCTCAATGGAGACAAAGAAAAAGAGTGATATGCAGGCCAGTAATGAGATGAACATATTGGCTCAGTGCCAGACACAGGGCCATCCCGCTACCCTCAAATCTGGATAAACAGCAGGACTCCGTGCTAGTGGTCGGAGGATACAATCTGACGTCTGCAGGACAAGGAGTCAATGGGAGCTGGTTGACAACAATAAGGATATGCTTCCTTTGATAGTAGTCAGAGAAAAGAGCGCCGGTTACGTTTCCTAAGTTATAAATAGTATAGAGATCCCCCCCCCCAGTTGATAATATTGTTGATACTATTATGCGTTATATTACGGCATAGTGGGATTTTAATAAGGGTTATATAATCTAATTTAATTCCTCGGCCTAAAGTTACCTTTAACTTCAGGGCTACCTTCACTTTAACTTTAACTTTAAATATATATTCCTCCTACTAATTTTAACCTTCTATATTTCTGCCCTAGCCCCTCAGTATCTTATACATAACTTCTATTACTATCCTTAATAGTTATATACTCTTAGTCTTAGGCTAAGACCAGGATGGTCTCTTTATTAATTAATTTAGAAAACCTTAACTATATAGTTAACCTGCTTTTTTAAGCTTTTATATTAAGCCTTATATTTTAACTTTAATACCTTAATAAAAAAGGTCTTAATATTAAGGACTAGCCTTTCTATAAGCCTATTATCTAGGCTTTTTAAAGGTTTAAGTTATCTCTTTACTATTACGACCTAACAAGGGGTCTGATATATAGTTACGTATACCCTATATTTTATACTAATTACTATACTATATAAGGATATAATTAAAGCTAAGACTTTATAATTAGTACTAATCCACTATAATTAGTATTAATCCTATAATAACCTTATTAATCCTATATCTTATATTTAAGTATATAGAATATACTTATTAATACTTTTATAGACTTAGCTTATTAACTATTAATATAACTTCTTTACCTTAATAAGCCTTACCTATATTATTAACTATTAAGAGATATAATACTTTACTACCACTTAGATTATATCTTATAATCCTATTAATATAAACCTAGAACGGTCTAGTTTATCCCTTAGGAAACCTAACCGTTATATATTAATAGCTCTTACTTAATATTATATTATATAATCTAAATAATATCCCTATATTATTAAAATATTAAATACTACCAGACCTATACCTTTTTATACTAGATTACTACCTAGTATAGCTAAATTAATAGGTAAATTACTTTAACTTTATAGAATTATTTATAAGCTTAGGGCAGACCTAAATGCTTAAGCTATACCTCCTTTATTACCTCCTTAGGTAAAATAAGACCTAAAAGAATTATTAAAGCTACCTATATTAACTCTATTTAAAGGATAAGCCATAAATATAGTCCTATTCCTAACCTAAATAAAAAGATATTTTTATTTATTCCTTAACCGGCTAGATAATATAGAAAAGAAAATACTTTTTATAATATTACTAATCTAAGGAATAGTAATCCTATAGTAAGAACCTATCTATAAAAACTACCTTAAATATAAAGATAATCCTAATCTATAAGACTAAGAAACCTAAAATATCTTTATAAACTAGACTAACTTTAAGATAGCTTTTAAAGATAATTTCGGTATTATAAATAAGAAATAATAAGTAATAGCTAAAATTATAGTACTATATTAAGATAAGTCCTATATTAAATATTTAGTTAAGTTTAGGTAGCTAGCTATTAAAACTAAATAGGATAATAATATACTTATAGAAATCTATTATTAAGGACTTAAAGATAATATTAAGGATAAACTTTATAAAACAGACTAACTTAATATCCTTTTAGAATATATTACTATAGTAATTAAGATTAATAAATAATAATATAAATATAAAAAGGAAAAAGCTATAAAAATTAGGGGAAGTAACTTTAATCTATATTACCTTAATAAAGAAAGAAATAACTATAAAGATAACTCTTATAGCTAGAGAAATTAATATTACTAAGGAAATTAATAAAGTAATAATTAAAACGATACTTTATATAAAATAAACCTTAAAGCTATAATATTAAAAGCTATATAACGGGATAATAACTAGTAATTAATATAAGATATATTTAAAACTAAATATTATAACTATAATAACTTTAGATATATAGTAAATAAATACCCTAAGCTAAAACGACCTAGAAACCCTAATTATAGTAAGAAAATATTAAGACTTACTAACTAATAGGATAAACCTTAAATAGCTATTTAAAGTAAAATACTAAGAATATATAAATTAAGGTATAATATAATACCTAACCTACTATTAATACCTAAAAGTAGCCTTAAGGTACTATAAGAATATATCTTATTAGAAAAAGAAACCTTAAAGAAATACTATAGGGATTTAACTACCGAAGAAAGACCTATAATAAGTAAAACTCTAAAGAAAATATAAATACTAAAAGAAATTAAAAAAGACATAAAAAACAAAAGAATTAAAAGACACATAGAATACCTATATAAGCTAGAATATATAATATAAATTAAGTAAAACTAGTAAGTTACCTTTAAAAATAAAAAGAAAAAATAAAATAAAACCAAGATATTAAGAATCTTTAATAAAGGAAAAGTTACTATCCTTAATATAGAAAGATAGCTAAGTACTATATAAAAAAACCCCCTAAATTAAAATTCTTTTAAAGTAAATATATAAAAATATATTAAATAACTAGTAAATAAAAAAACTATTATATAATACTATAATATACCAGAAGAACTAACCGTAAGCTATAAATAAATTAATACTATAGTATATAGACATAGAAAATAAAATATTAATAATATCCTAATATATAGAATACTCCTAGAATATAAAGAATACCTAGCTAAATAATATAAAAAGGTAAAAAACTACTTAAAAAAAGAACTATAATATATAAAAAATATAAAATACTATAGGAAAGCCACTAGGTATAAGGTATAATACCTCCGTTATAAAGATAAATAGACAGAGCTTAAATAAAAGTAACCTTACTAACTAATTTATAATAAATAAGGCCTATATTACTTTATATTACCTAAAGATTATTATATTTAAATAGCTAGAAAAAAAGGAAAGATTAATAAAGATATAATTATTATAATATAGGCCTACTATATTATAGATATACTAAACCTATTATATAGAGAACCAGTATTTAACCCTAAGGATAATATATATATATATCTAATATATACCCTATATAAATAAATCGCCTAGGTATTTTATAAATACTATTAATACGAGAAGTATTAATAGATTAAATCTAATAATAATTACTTTCTAGTAACTATCCCTAGAATACTAAATAATAACCCCTACCTTAATATAGAAATAGAGGGTTATAAGGTATATTAATAATATAAAAATCTAGAAGTAATTAAATTTAATTTAGTTTAGTATATTACCAATAAATTAATATAATAAAGGAGTTATATATAGAGATTTAATAAATAATAACTATTATAAAAGACTTTAGGAAATAATATAAAGAGATATTAAGAGATTAGTACTTTAAAATCTATAAAGGGAGTAGCCTACTAAAATAGGACCTATAGGAATTAAAAGCTATAAACTAATATAATATAGACCTATATAATAAATAGTAATAATAAATATATAATAAAAGATATATTAATAATTACTTTAATAGAGAAGGATATAATAAAAGTAAATATAATCTTATATACCGAGATATATTAAGAAATAATATCTACTATCTATACTAAAGCCATAGATAAGTAAAGAAATAAGACTAGAGAAATTAAAAAAATAAAAAGCTTTAGGACTTTTAGATATAAAAGATTTATAATACCTAGTATTAAAAGTTAAGATTAAAAGAAAATAGCTAACTATATAGATTAATTATAAAGTAATAGATAACTATATTGTATTAGAACTAATAGAATATTTAAAATTACTATAGAAAAAAAAGGTAAATCCTTACTTACTTATAAATATAAAAGGATAATTATTTAATTATAATAATAGGATAATAAACTAAGAGATTAATTACCTTAAGGTCTTTATTAATAGAAAGAATTAAGGAATAGATTTTAATATTATACCTCTAGAAAAGGTTAATATCTTACTAGGAATACTATAGTTAAAACGCTATAACCTTTATATTAACTAGCCAACAGGCTAAATTACTATTTAAAGTAATATTAATAGTAATAACGGAATGGATTATAAAGATAATAAGAGATCTTAAACTCTAATTAATAATAACGGTAAAGTATAATATAAAAATATAAACTTATTACCCTTAAAGGGAATTAAATATAAATATATAAAAGGTAAGAAATATTAAAATAAATAAATACTAGGTCTCTTTAAGAAATAGCTATACTAGTTAGATAAATAATTATAATAATAAAAAGAAATTAAGATAGTAATATAAAAAGACTAACTTAAGAATATTCCTAAAGAATATAGGATTTATAATAAATTATTCTAAAAAGAATTAAATATAAAGGTATTATAATATAGCCGCTAAGACTATAAAATCTGGCTTAAAATAAATAACCTACCACTTTAGAAAATCTATAATCTTAATATTAAGGAACTTAAGACCCTTAGGGAGTACTTAAAGTTAAAACTAGCTAAGGGAAATATTAAGATATTTACCTCTTTAGTAGGATTTCTAGTAATATTTATACCTAAGAAAGATAGATTACTATAACTAGTTATAGACTATTATAGATTAAATAACCTTACTATTAAAAATTAGACCTTACTTTTACTTATTATAGAACTTAAGGACTAGCTATAAGGAAAATAGATCTTTATAGTTTTTAACCTTAAAGGAGTATATAATTTTATTTATATTAAGGAAGGAAATAAATAGAAAATGGTATTTAGAATTAAGTTTAGACTATTTAAGTACTTAATAATACTATTTAGTTTTATAAGTATACCTATAACCTTTTAATAAATAATTAATAATATCCTATAATAATACCTTAATACTTTTATAATATACTATCTAGATAATATCCTAATCTTCTTAGATAATAAAAAAGAATATAAAGAATATATCTATAAGGTCTTAAAAATATTTTAAGATACTAACCTATTAATTAAACTAAAGAAAAGTTTCTTTTATATTAAAGAAATAGATTACTTAAAATATACTATCTTATTAAGAGAAATTAAAATAGATTAAAAGAAAATCTTAATAATAATAAACTGGCCAGAACTAATAATAATTAAGGAAATCTAAAGCTTCTTAGGTTTTATTAATTATTACTAAAGATTTATATAAAACTTTAATAAAATTATTATATTACTAACTAAACTTTAAAAGAAAGATAAAAAGTTTACTAAAATAATATTAAAAAGATAAAAAGCCTTTAAAATAATATAATAAGTAATCCTAAGTAAACTAGTTTTAATTATATTTAACCTTAATAAGGAAATCAAATTAAAAATAGATATATTAAATTTCACTTTAGGAAGGTAAATAGGCTAATATAATAACTAAAGAAACCTATATTTAATTACCTTCTATTCCTATAAACTTTATAATATAGAACTTAATTACCTTATCTATAATAAGGAATTCCTAATAATCTTTAATTACTTTAAAGAATTTAAATACTATCTTATAAAAAGTATATATAAAATTAAAGTCTATACCGATTATTAAAATATTATATATTTTACTATAATATAAGAACTTAATAGATAATAGCTATATTACGTAAAGTACCTAAGTAAGTTTAATTTTATTATTATATATTATAAAAGATTAAAAAATAGTAAAGTAAATACTATTAATTAATAAATAAACTATAATATAAGAACTATTAAGTTTAATAGGTAAGTATTAAAAATAAATAAAAAAGGGAAATATTAATTTACCTAGTAAATAAAAACGTTAAGATAGATATAAAAAGTAATTACTATAATAATACTAAAAGACTAAATATATAACTTCCTTTATAAATTTTATTTATATTTATTATATAGATACTAAGGAGTTATAAAAATAATAAAAAGACTCTTAGAATAAGGATATTAGATCTTATAATTACGATAAGAAGTTAAAAAAATAATTAAATAATATAACCTATATATAAAAATAAAGTCTTAACGATATAAACCTGACGGTAATCTATAAGCTCTACCTATAGCTAAATAACCTTAGGAATTAATTATAATAGACTTTATAACTAAGCTATTACTCTTAGAAAAACCCTTAATCGGTATCTTCTATAATAGTATTATAGTTATTATTAATTAACTTATAAAGTATTTATATTACCTACCCTATAGAGAAATAATAAATATAAAAGAACTTTCTTATATTTTTTATTAATATATTATAGCTAATTATAGCCTACCTAATAAATTCATTTTAGATAGAGGACTAATATTTATAGCTAAGTTTTAGCAAGCTTTAATAATATATCTTAGACTAAATTATAAACTCTCTATAACATTTAGACTATAAATAGATAGATAAACTAAATAAATAAACTAAGTACTAGAATAATACCGTAGGTATTATATTAACTACTAGTAAGATAATTAGGTCGAAAAGCTACTAGTAGCCTAACTTACCTATAATACCGTATATAACGAAAGTATAAAGCTTATACCTATATATATAAACTATAGCTTTATATTAGAACTATATTATAAGGTATAAAAACCTAAATCTATTAACCTAATAGCTATTATTAAAAGTAAAGACCTTAAAATCTTATATTAAGAAATAATAATAGAACTTGAATTTATTAAAAACTAAATAAATAACTATTATAATCTAAAAAGAATAAAAAGACTATCTTTCTAGGAGGGAGATATAGTCTATCTCGCTATAAAAAACATTTTAATAAAATAATTAGTAAAAAAACTAGACTATAAATACATTAGACCTTATAAAGTACTATAGAAAATCTTAAAAAATAACTATAAACTAGACTTACTACCGAAGGTTAAGCTTTACCTAATCTTTTATATTATATTACTTAAATTAGTAGCTAATATAATTTAAATTAAGATTAATAATAAACTAGAAGAAATTAAAGGACTAGAACTCTATAAAGCAGAAATAATTAAGGAAATATATAAATATAAAGGTAGAAAAGAATACCTAATTAAATAAAAAAACTACCTAGAAAACGAAAATATATAGGAACTAATAAAACACCTCGTTAATACCTAATAACTCCTAAAGAACTTCTATTAAAAGCAAAAAGATCTATAAATTACTTTAAGTTAAGGAATACTAAGGTTAACTATTCTGTATTTAGTAACTAGTTATAAAAAGTACTATTAGATATAGTATACTTTAAGGCAGCCTCTTTATCCTTCTTTATATACTTTAACTTATCTATTAAATTAAGGCTATATTAAATTATAGCTATACCTTTTATCTTTACCTAACAGTACTAATGCTATAAATAAATTATTTTAAAAAACTAAATATTTATTTTATAATAAATATATAAAGACTTTACTTATAGATAGATTAATTCCTCCTTAGTAGCTTCTTTATTATACTTAAGATAATACTTTTTATTTATGATTTTTTAAGCTAAAAAATTAATAATTACAGCCCAGAACTATAGGAAAAATACCTACCAGCCATAACCGATAAACCATAGTTATTATAAAAATAACCAGACTTTATATAAAACTCGTAACGATTAGATTTAAAAAGATCTAATACACAAGTCTTACTAAGCCCATAACTTATATAGTTTAAATAAGGTATAATATTATTACTAAATAAAGAAATTAGGTAATAAAGGGATTTACGGTTATTAATAGATAATTTTTTAGCTTTAGAAATATAATTAGACATTATAAAGGGATTATAGGTTTAAATTAGACTTACTATAAATAACCAATAAGAAAATATAATATACTAGGCCTTAAGGATAAGACCTTAAAGAGGGGAGAAATTATATTACGACCTAATAAGGGGTCTAATATATAATTATATATACCTTATATTTTACACTAATTACTACACTATATAAGGACATAATTAAAGCTAAGACTCCACGATTAGCACTAATCTACTATAATTAGTATTAATCCCATAATAACCTTACTAATCCTATATTTTATATTTAAGTATATAAAATATACTTATTAGTACTTTTATAGACTTAACTTACTAGCTATTAATATAACTTCTTTACCTTAATAAGCCTTACCTATACTATTAACTATTAAGAGACATAATACTTCGCTACTGCTTAGATTATATCCTATAATCCTATTAATATAAACCTAGAACGGTCTAGTTTATCCCTTAGGAAACCTAACCGTTATATTTACCTTTTACCTCTTACTTAATATATATTTTTAATTACTATAGTTAGTAATAAGCCTTAGATTATAAAATATTAAAAGCTTATAGCTAAAGGTAATTAATTTAATTAAATTATAATTATCCTATTTAGTATTAAAAGGTATAAGGTAATTAATAAGAAAATCTCTAGCCTTATTTTTAAATAGGTTAAGTTTCTACCTATTATAATAGTTATTAATAGCTTTATAGATATTATTATAGTCTAGGCTAAGATTTATATTATAGTAAATACTTAATATTTAGATAGTACTTATTATATAGTAATTATAAAGAAGTTAGTAATATAAACCGAAGGGTAGGGGTTAATTAACTAACTAGTCTTAGCTTCTTAATAAACTAACTAATAACAGGTAGGTAGCTATAAGGGTTGATTAACTAGGTAGCTTATAGTATAGATTAGGTTAAGGGTATAGGGGGGGAAGCTAGCTTTTATATATATAGCTGTGTAAGTTATAGTCTATATATTTACTTAGATAGAGTTTAGTTACCTTATGTAACTTCTGCTGCCTTAATTATATTAAGTTTTAACCTTAGAAGGGCTATTTTTATTATTAATATTATTAAGAGATTTGGAAAGCCTGGGCTTGATAAAGTTGAAGATTAAAGCTATAAAAAAATAGAGATCCCCTATTTATATCGAGGTCTCTCAAAGCAATCACACTACGTTAAGAACTTAAGCACCTTCAAGGCCGGGCCCTACGCCAGTACTTTCAGCTCTAGAGTGTGGCTTCTCAATCAGTCGAAGGTCTGCACTCATGCCGAGCAGTAACTAATGTCCTAGCAGACGTAGATAACCTCTCTCAATGTCTTTCTTACGTGCACACAATATACTTGAAGATTGAAAGGGTGGGTGTTTGGAGAACAATCGACAGTAAATCTAGTAATGCTTATTCAACTATCATGTTACTAGTCACATTATAAAAGGCTCGGGTGCTAATAGTCTTCGCCTCGCGTCGCAACAGCGGCTTCGAGACTTTGGTCCTCTCTTCGATAGCAAGTTTATTGTTCTCTGGTCTGTTTGTGATCGCCGTGCTGTGAAGGCAGTGCCAGCAAAAGAGAAAATACAGCAGAGGAAAGGACAGCAGGAGTTGGGGAAATACCAAGGAATGACGGCGCCTGGCAAATTATGTGCCACTATCGCTTTCACAGAACGACGTTTGCTGATTAGAAGCGTTGTTGTCATCGTCCCCGCGGTGGCCGAGTCAAAGTGTTGCCCGTCAAAACAAAATGGGACATATCCAGACATTTAAAGAAACTTCTTAAGTTTGTGTGTATTGACATAATCGTCACACAAGCGATAACGTCAATTGGTATTTGGAATGGATGGTTGCGAATATTCTATGAGGACTCTCTACCAGAAGTGCAAAAGCTGAACGAGTACGATCTGGAGATGTAGGGTAAGGTACTGTAAAACACAAACCGTGCCAAGCTTCTAATTGGCAGCCCACCAATACGAACGCAAAAGCTAAGAGAGATGGCGAGAACGCGGAAAGTGACAGCAACCGTGGATTCCTACGGAGGCCCACCCTGGGGAAAGTAGAGAAGTAGTTGAGATTCTAGCCCCTTCTCACGGAAAACCCATTGGAACTTTTCAGGATAGTTCGGCTCGAGTTGGGTTTTTCGGCTATTTATCTCCAACACCGTAAGGTGTTGGGCCTGGGCCAACCGGGGAGACTCCCCGACACTTCCCCACCCATCTATCGTACATTTACTGTCTCCATCGGTGTCATCCCCGAAGTCTTATATGCATTGCTCCTTTAATGTTTATCCTCCGCACAATATATAAGTTTGTGAACTGCCTTAGCCCGTTTTGGCCATTGTGATCCTCGACTGTCTCATCGCACACATTTTCATGCCACTATGGTTTTAAAGGCAACGATCCCTGATGACGTTCATAGCGACTTTGATATTGAACATGTCATCCAAAATGCATCTATCTCTGACAAGATATCCTTGCTCTCTGGTAAGTAACAAGTCCACCAACTTCCCCCCCAAGACTCGACATGCTAACTCTTTTTCACACTTAAGGTCGAGACTTTTGGCACACTAATCCTCTCCCAGCATTCAAAGTTCCATCCGTGCGTGTCAGCGACGGTCCAAATGGCGTGCGAGGAACCAAATTCGTCGACGGTGTACCAGCCGCTTGTTTGCCTTGCGGTACCGGTCTAGCGGCCACCTGGGACCAGGATCTACTATACGAGGCAGGCACACTGATAGGCAACGAGTGCATAGCAAAAGGAGTGCACTGCTGGCTCGGCCCTACAGTATGTGTTCAACGCTCCCCTCTTGGCGGTCGAGGGTTCGAGTCAATGGCAGAAGACCCTTATGCGACAGGGAAACTAGCTTCTGCCTACATCAGAGGCGTGCAGTCCACGGGCGTTGTGTCAGTTATCAAGCACTGGCTTGCGAATGATCAAGAACACGAAAGAGTTGGTGTCAATGTCGTTGCTAGTGAGCGTGCACTGAGGGAGATTCATATGCTTCCATTTCAGATTGCGCTTAGTGATGCGGCGCCTGGAGGAGTCATGGCTTGTTACAACAAAGTCAACGGCAAACATATTTCAGAAAACCGAGAGTACCTCGACTCGTTGCTCCGCGAAGAGTGGCGGTGGAAGGGTCTCATCATGAGCGATTGGTACGCAGAAACCACTAAGTCTCCTCAACTATAGCCGATACTGACAGTCATTTCTTGATCTAGGTTCGGGACCTATTCCACGACCGAGGCCATCAATGCAGGACTAGACCTCGAGATGCCAGGACCAACAAGGCAACGCGGCCAACTTCTCGACCTTGCCGTCTCAACCAGAAAGGTATCACGTTCTACCATCGATACCCGAGCGCGTAACGTCCTCGAATTCGTCAAGAGATGTACAAATGCTCCTGTTGCGGCTGAAGAAGGAGGACGCGACCTTCCTGAAGACAGACAACTCAATCGAAAGTTGGCCGGCGACAGCGTTATCTTGTTAAAGAATGAACGTAACCAACTTCCCCTCAAGCGACCTTTTAAGAGCATTGCTTTGATCGGACCGAACATGAAGAACACTTCGTTCTGCGGAGGCGGCTCTGCCTACCTTCAGCCTTACTACACAGTTTCTCCCTACGAAGGGGTCGTGGCCCAACTGCCGCCAGATGTCGAAGTACGATATGAACTCGGTGCTTCAGCAAACGGGTGGAATCCACTCATGCAGGGGGGTATGGTCACCACTCCAGAGGGGTCACCGGGTATGCGGATGCGCTTCTACAGTCAAGGTCCTAGTGAGCCCGACCGCGATATCATCGATGAGAGCCATCTTCCGGAATCTTCTTGGCAACTGATGGGCTACTCGCATCCTAAGCTCGACAACCTTTTCTACGCAACTGTTGAAGGCAATCTTGTCGTCCCAGAAACAGGACTCTTTGAGTTTGGTCTCGCAGTCTATGGCTCTGCCCGACTCTTCGTCGATGGTCAGCTCTTGATTGATAACAGTCTTGTCCAGCGAGGCGGAACATTCTTCTTCGCCAAAGGTACTGTGGAAGAAAAGGCTCAAATGCACCTTGTTCAGGGCCAAAAGTACCATATCGCAGTAGAGTATGAGAGTGCCCCATCCTCCAAGCTTGTCAAGCCAGGCGTGGTCAACTTTGGCGGTGGAGCAGGAAGAGTTGGTCTAGCGAGTGCAGTTGACCCCCAAGTCGGTATCCAGAAAGCCGTCTCAGCAGCGCTACAGTCCGATGTGACCATTTTGTGCGTTGGGATGACGAGAGATCAGGAATCTGAAGGCTTCGACAGGCCAAACATGGATCTTCCTGGATCACTTTCGCAGCTTGCATCAGCCGTCTTGACAGCGGTTCCAGACGCCATTGTCGTGACGCAGAGTGGCACTCCATTCAACATGCTCTGGGCGGAAAAGGCCAATACCCATTTACATGCTTGGTTGGCCGGTAACGAGACTGGAAACGGCATTGCTGATGTTTTGTTTGGCGCAATCTCCCCCAGTGGAAAGCTGCCGCTTTCTTTTCCACGCCGTTTACAAGATACCCCGACCTTTTTAAACTTTGGTAGCGAGAGGGGACGTGTAATATACGGTGAGGATATATATGTTGGGTATCGATACTATGAAAAGGTCGATCGAGACGTGCTCTTTCCTTTTGGGTGAGTGAAGACGATAAGACTCTACTCGGGACAGACTAACGTGATATTAACAGCCACGGTTTATCTTATACCACGTTTACCTACGAAAAGCTGACCATCGCATCCTCACACGTGAGCTTCGAAGTTTCCAACTCTGGTTCCACGCCTGGAGCCGAAGTCTCTCAGCTTTATATCGCTGCTGATGAGGCAACATCATCTATCCAGAGACCTAAAAAGGAGTTGAAGGGTTTCAAGAAAGTGTACCTGCAACCTGGCGATACTAGGAGGATAGAAATTCCACTGGATAGATTCACCACTTCGTTCTGGGACGAGGAATTACATTGCTGGGTGTCTGAGAGAGGTGTGTATAGGGCACTGGTTGGATCAAGTAGTAAGGAGATTTTGCTGGAAGGGGATCTCCTCGTGGAGGAAACCACTAGATGGAGTGGGCTTTGACAGTGCTTAGAAGTATTGAACATACACTTTCAACTCTTGGTGATTCAAAGATAATCCGGGTGATCGGTCGGGGATAGGGGAGACACATTTCTTGCTCGTGTATCATTGTTTATGATCGGCATGATTGTAATATCTTATAAATACAGGGAAAGCCTAAGATCACAGGCAAAGCATCAAAGAGAATTGATTTCATAAATTTATAAGAATGCATCCATGCATCTTCAACGGCATTCAAGTGATATCTGGTGAGTTTGGTTGAAAGCCGTCAAGACCCCATGTAACGAGTCGATAGCACGCAGCTACGCCGCCTCTTGTTTCGTGAGAATACTTCTCAAGCCCGTGTAAGAAACCAACAACCGTTTCTCGCCAATCTTGTGGAAGAACCAGTCGCCCAGATGCAGTGTGGGACTGAAACTGGAGGCTCCTAGCAGCACCAATTAATATCATAGAGCAAGCAGTACTATTTCGAATCCATATCCATAGCCCATGATCGAGCTTGTTCATTCGATCCACGGCCTTTAGTCTCCAAACACAATACCGCAGGCCCAAGGAAGCTATACTGGCGATCTCATCGTCAAGACCCATGGGGAGTTCAAGGGCGCAGTCAAGACATAGTCGAATAAATGGCCGGCACAGAAGCTCCTTGATGAAGAGATATCGCGAACGGAGAATTCTTTTATAGAGATTCGTCTCGGGAGAAATACTTGCATCTGGTGGCGGAAATGATACTTCCGGCGGTAGGGACAGATACCAGTCTTGTAGCTGTGAGCCAAAAACCTCGTATGATCGGAGTAAAGACCTGGCCTGCGCTTCGCTGAGACACCCGGAGATGTCGACCTTGGCGTCGATGATGCGGTTGATCAAGTGTCGGGCGGCTATGTCTGCGAGAAAGTAATACCACGCGATGGTCTCGTCGAACAAGCAGTTCGCTGCAGGCGGCGAAGGAAACGTGAGACGATCCTCAATGTGTTCGAGCATGGAGCCGGGTAAACTAGGTATTTCGTACCTAATCTCACTAGAAGCCACCTGGTGAGTTCGCAATTAGACATACAGACGCGGCTGCTTACGTACACTTCCGATTTGTAGGCTGTATAAAAGATGCTTTGCTTGATTGCTTGCGGACTTGTAGGGAAATTCTCTGACACGGTAGGCATGGTAGATTCCCTGTAAGCAGTTTCAGCGTTGATATCGGGGTTTTAAAGCCAGTATGCGTCTTACATGGCCCATATCGCAGAATAGCAGGAATTTCCTGCCATTGTAAAATACCTCCAGGCCTCGAGTGGTTGTAAGTTACACATGAACCAGATGCTATAGCTCACGTCAGTCTCCGCATAAACCCGAAAGACACGGCCTCTTGCTAAGACATCTTACCCTGCCAAACACAAACACTGGGCTGATTCCAATGTATTATGGCTCATTGCTCTTCCGAGCCTTTTGCACGCGACACTCCAGTACCTGTAAGCAATATCGGTGGTTTGGTCTAGATCCCAACTGTTGTGACTCTTCGGTGTTTCGACATGCGGGTCCTGGCATATTGCGCCAATAGCGCACACAAAGGCAACAAGACACGTCTGCGTCGACCAGTCCAAGCCATTTTCGGAGACCTTGAGAACGTACTGGTCGAGAATGGTAACATCTAAAATAGGGTTAACGCTATGGACAGTGGCAAGATAGCATTTCTGTAGTCTCTTTAGTTCTGAGAAACCCATCGGGGGAAGCTCATCAGGCATAGCCATTAAGCTCCCATTATCGATAGAGATAGGATCAATTCCTTGTGGAAATACATTCCATGTCAAGACACTTTCGAGTCCTTCAGAGAATCTCTTGACTTGACATTCAGGGGCTGAGATAGATTGTGGTGTAGCAGTCAAGTTGACCAAAGACTCAGCTTCGCTATGCCTTATTGGCTGTGTTGTAGTACGTGTATGAGAAGTTGTACTAGACAGGCCCGGTGAATGCTGTTCTTTTATGTTTTGTGCCAAGTCTTGGACAACCTGTAAGATTTGCAAACCCAACCTATGGCTTCTTCAGCAGAGAAACCTCGGTCAGTTTATGCAGTCACTCAAAGAACAAGGAAACATACAAGGGCCGATCTGATGAGTTCATAGTATCATATTGGCACTCCGAGTTGCTCTTCTCACAATAGCTGCAAACCGGCCAGCGGCTATCGCACTTGGTCTTCCTCGAACGGCACACTTCGCACGCTACAGCAACGCGTCTTCGGATTGGCTGGGATCTGGTAGCAATAGCACCAGGATCTGGGTCATTTTGTGCCTGACGTGGTCTCTTGGCTTGTCGGCTGGTAACCGGTGAAGTATCATCCTGAATTTGAGCTTGGGGGTGCATTATGGAAAGATGCAGAGAGGTTAGGGAGTGAAGTAAAAGGTTTCGGATCCTCCCCGACGGTGTGCAGGGTTTATAAATACGTGGAGTAAAGGTGTGGAACTAGGTCTAGTCTGGCCTAGTGTTGTGATTTTAGGTTAGTTAACGTCATTCATTTCTCATGAGTAAACTCCGTGTTTTGTGACGTACCCTATATCGGGGTTTTGGATCGCTATTCCTGGGCAAATATCTCATAATGCCCAAATTGAATAGAGCCTAAATCGTTCTCAATTATCTCACATAAAGAAGTAGTTTGAAATTGCTTTTGTGGATGCTTAGTACTGCATACGAATTCTAATGCGGTTTCCGTCGAAGCAGAAAATTCATTCAGTTAATCACACGAAGAAGCACGGCAGTACGACCATGCCGGACTCAATTTATCAGCTCCCCAAAGCTCGTCAAAGGCTGTTGCCAATTGAAACTCTTGACAATGTAACCGTCTGTTTATCATACATTAAATTACATCATTCCCTGGAGATTTCTTGATCCATCGTTGATCTAGCTCACCCATCGTAATCTTACCCATCCGTTGCGCCTTGACCGTCTTCCACAGCGTCGTCCTAAGCAAATATGTAGGAGTACAGCTCCAAGCGTGGCACCAACTGTTATTCCGTACATCCCCATATGGACTCGCCATACAATCTTGCTCATCGTAACATTCCCAGAACGTATCTGCCCCGCCTCCACCATGCCGCCCCAATATGACCTGATAAGATCAACACACTCATCGTAACATTCTAGCTTCGCAAGAGCGTCGCACACATGATGCCATAGATAAGGTGTGAGCGGCTTCACAGCATCTGGGTGTGCGAGAGTGGCTAGGATGGCTCTGCGAGCGATTTCTGGAGGGAAAGCCTCGCAAAGAACTAGCCACGCGGCGGACGCGTAGCTGACTTGCTGAGTTTTTCCAGATACAAAAACACCACCCTTGAGGAATGAGTTCGCAGCGTCTTCCATTTTGAGTATCAGGTCGTTGTACGGAGGTTGTTTGCCTAGTCGTACGGCGAGCTTATTCGTCGCCTTGAGACAATAAAGGAGTACGCCATGCGCTCCCGCACTCTTATCAAGACCCTTTGCCCAGTCGAGAAAAATATGGTGCTTCGTCCGGTCGGCCTCGAAGACGTACGAGTCAGGATTGAGGTTGCTCTGCAGGCGTTTAACACAGCCGAGAACAGTCTCCCAAAGGAGATGACCAGTCTCTGTGTCTGTGGAAGCCTCCACGTAATCGTAAACAATAGCGGCAAACAGTGCATCATAGTCAATGATATAGTCTGTCGAAGCCGTCAGCGTGGGCTTTTCAAAGATGCAAGCTGGCAAGGAGCCGTCCTCACGACGGACTGCTGCAAACTGGAAAAGACATCTGTTGACGAGGTTGAAGTCCCGAAATGTGCTGTAGTTTGCCAGAGCCTGTAGGCGCAGATCTCCAATCCAAAGTCTTCTATCTCGTCTTGGACCGTCTTCGAATACAGTCTGCATACAATCCCGAAGCGTTGAAATGCAAACGTGGTCGATATCCTGCAGAAGAGGATCTGGGAACTCTACCGCATCAATTTGATGGTCTTGAGAGACGGCGCTGACTGATTCGCATCGGACATTTGACAAAGATACCTTGAACTTGGCAGATGTATCAATAATTTGAACTCGTAGGTAGCGGAAGGAATAACGGCGGGGAAGGTTTATTGTCTGCGGGCATGCGTCGACATTAATGACCTCGTCAGGAAGCCAGGCAGTGCTGATCCAGGTCTTCACATTGTCCATATCCATTGTTACATCAAGTGGCGACTCGCCAAAGGTGAGGCGGAGCCGACACGGAGCGTCCATGTTTTGCCCGACGTAGTCCAAGTGGAATGAGAGAAACCCGACCATATGAATACCAAAATCGAGGATAAATTCGGATCCCTTTCCCCAAGACAGGGACGAGAGGTCATTGATGTCATGGTCAACAGTGCAAGGCTCAAGGCCCAAGAATCGAAGGTTGGCTTTCTTGAATCTGACTATCTTCTGGGGGATTCGGAGGCATGGATGAAGCTTGGGTAGTAAATCGTCGGCGATGCCCTCAAACGTTTGAGACATATTTGCTGCAGGATCCGAATGGTTTGTTTCCTGGAATATGTTTTCTGGAGGAGATGGTGGACGGTCAGTGGACGAAGCAAGCGGAGGATGACCGCTCAAGGTAACAACCGATAATCGAAAAAGGTCAAAAACATCAATTCTCTCTCGCATCAAGACAACCCGAGACCGACAAAAGACTTTACTGCAACGGTTCTGAAGGTTGAGCTGCTGCGGCTGGAATCTGAATCTGACTAGTCGTCGGGGAGGCTCCCCGATCCAGCGGAAAATGTACAGCCAATTAACAAAGCCCGACGTTAATCGGAGAGCCCACGGGGAGTCTCCCCGACGTTAGACCCATATTTAACATCATCAAAGAGGTCTAGAGCCGCCACTGATCAATAATTCTGCACTAGTATCACGAGGAAGTCCAACAGGAAAAACATTGCAACTATTCATTGCATCCTTATTGCACTTGGACCGCCATATAATCGATAGCTTGACTGCTTCATACGGCTAAAACCTTAACCAGAGATGAAGCGCCTTTGATAGCTGAGGCTGCCAATACCCCACATCGTTCTATAGACTGCCACGAGACTCTGGCATTCACCCCGGTAATCTTCCCCGTGCTCATGCAAAGTCCTCACGACAACCCCGTGGGGAAAATCATTAGATCCATACTGTCGGATCAAAGGTCAATATCTACTTAAAGGCACGCACTCGACAGCCTGTTGAACCACATCACTCATCCAAACTCCTGTCTCATCAACAACAGTTACCATGTCTTCCATCAAATCCAAACATGGAGTTGACAACTCCAAGCTCGACGGTGAGGTTGCTGAGTTTCACGTCGAGGAAGCTCTCAAAACATCGCAAGTCAAGGCCGAAGCAGGGCAGCTTTCTTCGGGCTATGAGTCCCTAAGCCTGTGGCAAACCGTTAAGGTCTTCAAAGTTGCTTCGGCATATTGCTTCGCTGCAGCTTTCAGTGCTGCTACCGATGGATACCAGATCGGGTACGTCCTATCGTCTCTATTGAACTCCCTGTCCATATTTACTAATCCGAGCCAGGATCAATGGAAGTATCATTGCCAACAAGGGCTTCGTTCACCAATTTGCGACTGCCACCAACGCCGACGGAGACGAATACCTGACTGCTCCTATCCTGGCTGGCTGGAGTTCTATCATGTCTGTCGGTCAGATCATCGGCATGTTGACAATTCCCTTCCTCTCAGACAAATATGGCCGCAAGGCTGCAATGTGGACCTACTGGACTATCCTTGTCAGCAGCGTGCTGTGCGAGACTCTGGCCAGGACTTGGCCAGTTTGGCTAGCCGCCAAGCTCCTTGCGGGAGTCGGAGTTGGCTGTCTTCAGTCCACTCTGCCCGTCTACATCTCTGAGTGCGCTCCGACCCGTATCCGCGGAGGTCTTCTCATGTGCTACAGTCTCTGGTGGACTATCGGATCATTCTTCGCTTATATAGCCCTCCAGCTGCTGAACCGAAAGAACCCCAACATTTGGCTGACCCCAATTTATACCCAATGGGCTCAGATTGGTATCATGTTTATTATATACCTCTTCCTCCCCGAGTCACCTGCCTGGTGCGTCAGTCGTGGTAACGCAGATGGTGCCAAGAAGCAGCTGATGAGGCTCAACCGCGGCGTCGTTGACTACGATGAAGAGCATCAGTACCAGATCATTGTGCAGACCTTTGATCATGAGAGGATGGTTGCTGCTGAGCAGAAGAAAGAGCATTGGCATGCTATCTTTCGCGGAACCGATGGCCTTCGAACTATCATCTCTCTGTGGCCGAACTTGACACAGCAATTTATTGGCCTCACCCTCTTTACGACCTTTGGAACCTACTTCTTTCAACAAGCTGGTCTGGCTGACCCTTTTACGATCAAATGTATTGCGTCTTCCATTAACATCACCACGCTGTTGATCGTCGTCTTGGTGGCCGATAAAATAGGTCGTCGCCGTATATCATGCTTCGCCACGACGCTCTCATGGACAGCCTGTGTAGTTATTGGAATCCTTGGTCTGATCCCCAGGACCACGGCGACTTCAAACATCTTTGTTCTGTTTGTATGCCTATGGAGTAAGTCTCTTTATCCGCCTGTTAGTTATAATCTCCGATACTAACAATCTCTAGATGTCGGAATGATCTCCAATGGCGCTGCTGGCTGGGGCTTCTTAGCTGAGATATCCTCTCTGCGTCTTCGGCCCTATACAGCTGGCTTCGGGGCTGCATGCACCTGTGTTGCCGGAGTCATCATGAACGTCCTAACTCCATACATGGTTAATGCCAACAAGTGGAACTGGGGCTTCAAGACTGGCTGGTTTTACGCTGGTGTCGGACTACCCTTCGTTATCGGTACATGGCTTCTTCTTCCTGATACATCGGGGTAAGTGACAGATCACAGAATGATTTACGTGACATTATATACTAACAGGTATCAGACGAACTGCAGCTCAGGTTGATGAACTTTTCGAGAGGAAGGTTAAGCCTTGGAGGTTTAGCAAGACTCAAACCACAGCCTGAAAGCAGGGGACAAGCTTATGTGTCTCGGTCAAAATTTAGGCTGTCTAAGAGTCAGGGTTGCCTAGCTCAAAGAGCCTGGAAATTCTGCTTTTGGCCGCCTGCAGTCGCCTATGGCTATCGCATGAGAGATATTGCCCTGAGAGTTTGTGGTGTTGGGAATCGGATTGCTATATGATTTTCCAGTTTTTAACGTACTGCTGTTGGCACGGGTCGTCATTGTCCTCATTATCTATTCTTGTTATTGCACTCGCTATTAGTGGTAGTAGCTGGCGTATTTACGACTAACAACGAAGATTTATTTCTTGCCTCTAAAGTGGATTCTTTTACCAAAGATAAAAGCTTGTTGCTTGTATGATAAGTTAGTGACTGCCTGGAAGCGTGATTAAACTGAGAATCTTGCTCAGCCGAAGTACAGTTACTTCCGTTCCCTAACATTCTCACCCCTCGTGCCTGAAACGTCCGCCCTCGGAATAGTTGGACCCTCACGATTCATACTACGATTCCTCCTCGAGCGACTCGGACACGGCAGGTTACGCCCCATGGACAAGTCAAGATTTGCGCACTCGTATGCCGAAGAGGGCTGCAGACAACCATGGTCTGCAAAAAAACGTCATCAGCCAGGTTTACTGAGGATAATACCGCAAACCTTCCCAAGCGCAAGTGTTTGCCAGATCAAAATGAACCAACGCGATCGAAGCGTCAACGTGTGTTGGAACAATACGGGCGACCTCGTAAACAGTCTCGCCATAGCGAAGATAGATAGTCCAATCGCTCCGCCAAAGCGACACGCTCGACGACTTGAAAAGCAACAACAACAGTCTTCTTCAAACCCATCACCCGCTAAGCAAGTGAACCTTGATTGTGCGAAGCGACAAACCGACTCGTTTTCTCATTGCGAATCGAAACTCGCAAGAACTGCTAATTAACTAGCTAGCCAACGCTCGAAACCGAAAAATCTTGTCACTATTCAGCATCAACACGCCAACCAGTCTCCCTCGAATCCAACTTCGGAACGACTCTCGGATGACCTCTCCCAATTTTGTTCTCGCCGAAAACGATAATGCTGAATACACGTCAACCGTCCCTTACCCACACATCGATGCGTTTACGATACGGATGATCAATCGCGCACAAAGAATCGGTTCAAAATGGATGCATTGAGCTAGGTGGTGATTCACTCCAGGGCTGCTAATCACAAGCCAGATCCCACATGTCTGTGATGACTTCTCGTGTGACTAGATCAGATGTCGTTACGTGCTTCACCAGTTTTCTGCAGCTCAATAGGATCGAAGATCGAGTAATGCGGTACCAGGCGGGTGCTCGATGGTTGCCTTCACCAAAAAGTGCCTTTTCCTCGTCTCCTTTGTCGTCCTCGCTGTCGGGGAAGATACAGTTAAGACAAGGCAAGCGCGTGAAGATAAAAGAGAGGAACAAGAATTGAGCGTTTATAAAGATTAAGGAAGGACGACAAGTAGACGCGCGTATGTTCACCGGAGAAAGAACGAAGCAATATTTCGTCATCATCGTTGTCTCCCGGCTTAATTCCCTACTCTCTCCGTTCCTCTCCCTCCCCATTTCGTTCCTTGTCAACGCAAATCAGCTTAGACTGAACCGGTCTCCATTACTCTTGGAAGCTCCTATAATGGATTGTGGTATAAATATTGTTGGAAATGCGTCAAATACCGGACGACACCGGACGAGCAAGGCGCAGGTGTTAGGAAAAAGAAGTCTGTTGTACAAAGAGTTGAACTGTGATAACGTAACCACTCTAGAAGTAAGGAAACATGTGAGATGTTCCTCCATACCAGCCTGGTATTGGTAATAGAGACAAGGTTGATTATAAGGCCCCCAAGAAGCCCCGTAACAACAACAATGACAAGCCGAAGCATATCTAAGCTACAGTTATGATGCTGTGCTATTTTTACACCCCCTAACATTGGCGTCTGCGCTCTTATCGCAAAAGGGCTTAGTGTGAAAGCCCGACTAGGGAGTAGAGCCTAGAGCTCCGCTCTCGGGTGCGGGTTCGGATTTGGCTGCGGGTTCGGTTTTAGGTGCGGGTTCGGTCTCAACACCAATTACAAGTGTAAATGCGTAATGGCGAAATACAAGACTGTGCATCATGCACTAAGAAAATACATAGACACTGGTGCTATACGTCATGCTTAAAGTCGATTCTGCTTAGCTACACTCTTACCTAAGAAATCGCCACTCTGCTTAAATTTAGCAGCTTTCTCAGGCATAGCAAAGTAAGGGACTCCGTACGATCCTCGCATGCGCCACCGGGGTGCATCTGTCTTCATACAAGGTGTTATATGTAGTAAACATGAAGTGTCCATAGTGGTAATAGGGAAAGCTTTATTCCGACTCTCTAACTTATCAGATTTTGCTCTGTCTCAAGTAAACGAACCTGGAGCTTGGATGCATCTGTATCAAGCACGACTGTACACTTGTGAGATAAACTTCTGTTCGTGATATAGAAATTTTCATGTTTCACTATCGGCAGATGGCAACGGGATTGAGCATTCATAACATAGGTTGCTTAAACGAAGATTGATGAACTCGAGTTCGATGTTAAATACTTAAGGGTTTGGCTACAACTCATGATTAGTCCTCTCTTTTCACCATCACCATCATTACAATTCGGTCATCTCTTACGATGCCTACCATTAAGGCACTCCTTACTTCCCTTTTCATTGGCGCCGCTTCGGCCGCTGGCAATATCACTCCAGGGGTTGAGCACGCTTGCTCGGATCTTTCTCACAAGTACAACAAGTCTGTTGTATTTCCTTCCGACCCTAGCTATGTAAACGAATCGACAGCATACTGGGATGTCCGATCGGACTTGCAGCTGGCCTGTATCTTCCTCCCTGAGGATGCAAACCAGGTCTCCCAAGCCCTCAAGATCTTCTCCAAACGACAGACCCAGTTCGCTATTCGAGGAGGTGGCCACATGAGCGTGAGTGCAGTCTTGTAAAAAGTATCAATTACAACTTGCTAACATGCCCTCCTAGAACCCCGGGTCTAATAACATCGATAATGGTGTTGTATTGGTTCTTACCAAGCTTGACAAGATCAAGGTGCACCCGAAGGAGCTAACTTATGAAGCCAGCCCTGGTAACCGATGGGTTGACGTCTACGAAGCTCTCGCACCTCATGGCCTCTATTCTCTGGGCGGCCGTCTCAAAACTATTGGCGTCCCTGGTCTATCTTTGATTGGTGGTTTCCACTATTCCAATAACAAATACGGCTTCGTTATGGACCAGGTACTGAAGTACGATGTTGTCCTCGCCAACGGAACTCAAGTCGTCGCAAGCAAAATATCCCATCCCGAACTCTTCTGGGGTCTGAAGGGCCAGTCCAATAACCTCGGAATTGTCACCAAGTTCACTTTCCGCGCCCTTCAGATGCCCAAGATCAGCACTACCATTCAAAGTTTTAATGAGTCTGAAATCGATGATTTCTTCACCGCCGTCGACAATCTAGTGAAATACCAAGATGGAAGAGTAGCTGCTGGTCAGCTCCTCACCGTCCAGTACAATGCGACTACTAAACACGTTGAAGCTCAGCTTATCGGTGTGCAAGAGGGGACTCAGTCGCCTCCTTCAACCTTTGCGAACTTCACGGCCATCCCGTCTGAGTCAAAGATTCACAATGTTAGCCGCCCTGCTGACTTCCACTCTTTGTTGGACTCTCCTAATCAGATGTTCCGGTAAGTGTTGCGCTATGTCTTCGGCCCTGTACCTGAAAATAAGGCAGGGTTTCTTTTAAATGTACTCTTGAAGACTAATCTGGTCAACAGTGTTCAACAAGTTCATGGCACCATGATCCCTGATGTCGAGCAGATCAAATGGATTTTCAGGACATGGAAGGCTGCTGTAGACGACATCGACGATGTCAAGGGCCTCTATCCCACTCTTGTCTTTAATACCATCCCTAAGATCGCCCAGGCTGTCGCGAAGAATAACGGTATTGGTAACATATGGGGCTTACCTGCAAAGGAGTCACTGCTGAGTGAGTCTACAATTCTTTCTCAAATCACCATTTCATCTCATACCAAGTCTTCCCAGTTTGGCAATTCAGTACTGCATGGGCGCAAGCTGAGGATGATATTCGTATCACTAACTGGCTACGCCAAACCTTCGACTTCATTGAGTCATTGAACCGGGAGAAGAAGTTGGCAAGAGATTTCCTCTACATGGGAGATATTAGTGAGATCCAGGATCCTTTTGCGTCTTTCCCTTTGGAAAACGTTCAGCGCTTGAGGAAGATTCGAGATGCCTATGATCCTGAGCGGATTTTTGTTTCTCTTAACTGGGGAGGGTTCAAGGTCGGTATCTAGGATGGACTAGACAGGCTTTTATGGATCGGTAGGGAGAGGTATGGGGGGTTGTTTCAAACATTTTCTCTTCTTTTGGTATGATTATATTTGTTATTTATAGATATTTATAAAATAAAGGTTCATAGATCTCTAATCTTTATCCGTAACTGGTGATCCAAGAATTACCACGGAAGTCAATGTCTACAATTTTTAACCCTCGATGTTCTAAGTATAAGGTTGGGCGAGTAGTGTAGTGCCACACCGGTAGAAATAGCCCGATGGGCGTCATGGGCTCACTTCTCTCTTATACAGAGCTGATGGAGAACCATTGTTCATCTCCACAATTTCTTTTGTTGTCTTCATATAGAACCGACCACAGAATGTATTGAGTGGTATTTGACGGATACCAATTATCTTTGCCCTTACAGTTACATATTCTTCAAGTTAACATCTAAGGGCTGGCCAATCATGGTTGGTGTACAATACTAGCGTTTACAAAATCTACCCCTGTGGGCTTTAAGCTTTGAGAAGGGGGGCAATGCGGATCAAAACCGATCTTCAAGGGTTCGCTACCTGGGCATAGCTGCGTAAGCGGCCAAACCCGTGCAGGACACAAACCAAACCAGACCAGACCATTTTAATGGCACTTGTTCCCACCTTGGTTCTTATCATCTCATCTCATGTCGCCAAACCCTTTTGTCCTCCTATCCACCATATTGCCAACCCTCACCACGACAATCACAACGAGTCCCTAAAGACACGAGACCAGCACACATGAAGTTGTTTTACATCGGCGTATGGATACATTAGTCACATGAGCTACCCACACCAGACTGAACTAATCGCTGACCCCAACTCTTCCAGATCGTCCGCAATCAGGACAAGCCAGCAGTGGAGCTCACCAGTCACAAGGACCTTTCGGCGTACTCGCGTTTCACTAGAGCCAGGTAAACTCCCCAGCCCCCCACCGTTCAAGAGCCCAAGACAGAAATAATGAATGCTCATACCGTTCAAAACTGATGTCTTCAACAGCTACAGCGAACTCATGACACTATTTGCTCGGACGGTGGCAGAGCGCACCCGACCGGGACAACGCCAGGATGTCGAGGAGCATGATCTCACATCCCACGCTCTCGGCAGTAGCGAGGGTATTTGCGGTATGTAAGTATCCCGCCTCTTCACTGTTTCTCAGATGACTCCTTCCGACGCCTACCCCAATAAATTATGCTGATGAAGGGCCATGTTACATAGTATCATATCCGATCAACAATACCCTAGCTTAGTAGCTCACCAACTGCTGTCTAAAGTGTATGTTTGTGCTCGTGTTTACCTACTACCTTGCACCGAACTTATCACGTAAACTAACGATGACTGCCAGGGTCGACGATTTCCTCACCAAATATCCTCGATCTACCTGGGCTGATGGCGCGCAAGTTCTGGCTTGCCCAGAATTGAAGGAGTACCTCTCCAAGTACCAGGATCCGCATCAGGCTGACAGCATTCTCAAGATCCAAAAGGAGTTGGACGAGACGAAAATTGTCATTCACAAAACCATCGAAAGCGTGCTGCAGCGTGGAGAGAAGCTTGACGATCTTGTTGCCAAGAGTGATGGATTGAGTGCCCAGAGCAAGCTATTCTACCGTATGTCTTCGGTTTCTTTTCTTCTTACACCTACAATGTATTCCACTAAAAAGACATTCTCTCGGCAAAACAATGGTGGATGTTGACTAACTGCGACGCAGAGCAAGCCAAGCAACAAAACTCATGCTGCGTGGTTATGTAATAGCTGATGCGCTAAATCAGTCAGTTGCTGGATTATGACAATGGTCGAGATACTAAGTACACAAGCTTTAAGGAAGACTTTCTAAGACAGGATTATAAGAAACACTATATGATACAATTGATCACTCGCAAACACTTATGCATGTCCAACACGAACCACAATCTTGCCTGCTGTTCGCCCGAGTCTGAGCTTTGTGTAGGCCCTCGGAGCTTCCTTCCATTCAAACTTCTCGTCAATCACGGCTCGTACCTTGGCCTGGGCCATCCACTGACCAATTTGCTGTAAATCCTTCGAGTCGATGTTCACCCTCACAAGGCGATACTGTCTCTTACCACCCCCTAGACAAGATGGCAGCAGGCTCCTGCGAAGCATCCCGAGCAGAGACTTTTGCATGGCGACCTGGAGAAAAGTACCATCGGGTTTCAAAAAGTGGTGGCTTTGCTCATATAGGCCTTCGGGTGTGCCCACATTGTCGATAGCGAGATCGAAAATCTGTCCCTTCTTTTTCAACTCGCCCATGACATTGATATTTCGGTAGTCAAGGACCTCGTCAGCCCCAAGACTACGACAGAGCTGCACATTTGCTGTGGAGCAGGTAGTCGTAACCTTAGCACCGAGAGCCTTGGCGAACTGAATTGTGAAGGAGCCCACTCCTCCACTGCCCCCGTTGATGAAGATGTTGGATCCACGCTTGATCAGATCTTGTGGTAGAGACTGATACGCCGTCATCCCTGCTGTTCCCACTGCTGCTGCATCATCGGGTGCAACCCCTGCAGGGAGGATTGCGAGTTGGGAAATGGGTGTGACGATAAGCTCGCCAAGAGTACCGAACTTTGGGAATTTCGAAGCAATGCTCAAAGCGCCAAAAACAAGTTGGCCTTCCTTCAGCGAGTCATTTGTTGTATTTGTGGCCTTTATACGGCCACAGAAGTCGAGCCCGGGGCTGGCAGGTGGTTGTACCATGAATTTCCCATACAAGGGGGCCTCTGGCAATTTATATTCGACGGGATTGATACCTGCAGTGATGACTTGGACTAGTGCATGGTCTTGGGGAAGTGATAGCGCGTCTGGGGGGGTTGCATTTTCGTTAAGAGTGAGAGAACTCTCAAGAGTATCCTTGATGGCCGTGTATTGCCAAGCTTGCATATTTGCCGAAAGAAGACTGGGTCGTTCCGAGTGGAGAAGGTGAATTGGGAAGAGTGTTGAGAACGAGATTTTGTGGTATAAATCTGAAGGGAGAAGTAGACTTTATTGTACCTATCGAACGTAGCCATGCTGATACGAAATCATCAACCAGTCTCACTCACTTATAAAGTGGTTGGGTGGAGGGCAGGTAGCTGGCTCTGTTGTATTAGATTACAAGGCGGTGCGTGAGACCCACAAAGCAAGAATTAGTAATTGAGACTAATTATCGGGTTCGGATTCATACGTGTGTCTGATTGGCCACCCCGAATGCGCTTCGGGGCTTGACATCTCCGTCTACATCTGTTGGGTACACAGTTATCGGAAAGTTTCTTTTTAAAATTTTAACTTTTTTATTTTTCATCCGATGGAAATGGGAATGATTTCAAATCATCTTCACATGAACGACAGGCTGATATCAAGGGGAACACGAACTTTGCGTCTACGTCTCGTGTCTATCTTCAGGGAACAAACATGGCAAACGCAACAATATACCGTAGCTCGGGGCGGAATCGATATCCTCATTGAATAAACGCTAAATAATCAATCACTCTCACGTTGGAGTCGTTCTTCCATGTTTGACATACTCCAACGGCCATGCGACTGCCTCGTGCCAACAAGGCGGAAGACCGTCTACAATGGCATCGAGCAAATCGTGTCCCCAATTTTCCAGAAACCAGAATTCGGAGCCCACGGCGTGGAGAACCGTGCAGTAATGCGCAACCACTACAAGAGCGGCCGGGTGACGCTCACGGATCAGTTGGAGGAATCCATCCTTGATGATCATGGGCCAGATTATAGCCACATTTAGCTCAGGGGAAGCAGTGGAAGCCCTACCAACACTCTCTCCTAGGGCAAAGATTGCTTCTCCCGCCTGGGACTTGACCACATGGTCTACTTTGCCGGCGTCAAGGCTCTGCGTTATGAAGCCAAGCCTTTCTACAAGCGATAACAATAAACCTGTCCCTTTTGCATATGAATTGCATTCCATGAATCCTCCAAAGATCCCATTTCGGACCACATCTTTGAACGAAGTCAGGATGCTACTGACGCCTCGAATAAGAGTAAAGGCACTGAACAAGTCGTTCACTTTCTGCTCGAGGTCGCCGCCGCTCGTCCGAGCACACGCGGCGAAAGCTCCTATAAACAAAAGAGATGAACCGGCAAAAAGGGCATGACAGTTCCTCGGAGTGACCGTTGCGACCTCTCCCCTAATTCCACATATTGCATGGTGTTGATGTTTGAATGCTCTGGAAAGATTTTCTTGGCATTCAGATGGGTTTAAACTCGCGAGGTGGAATGCTGAAACGGCAAGTATTTGGTGCATAAGGAAAGGATGAGCTACCCCCACCTTGGGAATCTCAATCTGCCATACGTGGCGATTAGCCCCTGGAAGAGTAGCTGAGGTTATAGAGGAGTAGTGGCTCATCAAGCCCAGGTCCTCGGTCCAATCAGACGGCTGTTGGCATTTTGGAACGATAGAGGTGCCCTTAGAAAAGTCGAGTAGTCGCACGCCCTCGATTCCGATCAAGGAAATTGCGTTTGGGCTGACATGGCCATTTGACGAAGTAGAGTCAAGAGAAGGTGAGAGAAGCAAGCTGCAGGAGAAGCCCCTCTTGCTACACAAACCGCATGGGCGTCTTTCGTCGCACTACCGGGATGTCAGCCGTTCGGATTCCAAAATAGGTACTCCACGCCAGCTTTACGGACCTTGATCTTCCTCTGCTTGCAGCGGGAGCAGCCGTTACGCGACTTCGTGTGCCCTAATCTACCCATGAGAGCGACTGTATGGAAGGTGACTGTCCAGAAAACAGTATTTTAGCGTTGGTGCCGATACTCAGTTCACTTTGGTAGTTATTCGGCTTGATGCATTTAAAGGAGAAGACCAAGTTTGGCTTTGCGTTGCTGAGATGTGAGGAGAAAACCCGTCGCCTCGCGCTAATTGGAGTAGCCCGTGACCAAGCAGGTTTAGGCTTAGCCACCATTGACGCGTGCTAATATAAAACTTTACTATGCATGGTGAAGACGCAGCCCATTACGGGAACGCCAGTCACCCGAGAGTCCGACAGGAATAAGCGATTACGATTGATATCTATGCCCTCAATAGATAAACACTGAGTATTATATTTAAATATTTATATAAGAAGTAGTCAACGGACTTATATCCCGCTCTACACATTGAATCACATTAAATCTAAATACATATACAGACGCTATACCCCAGTTTTATTACCTTTTACATCATCTACATCATGAGCTCAAATGAAGAACCGGGAGAGTTTGTCTTCTACCATTATGACCCTTCACTTCCGGCTGCAGTCATTTTTATCAGTCTTTTCGGCCTATCCTCTCTCCTCCACCTCTATCAGATCATTCAATTCAGGGCCTGGTACTTCGTCCCCTTCCTGGTTGGCTGTGCCTGTAAGTATCCGGTGTTGGTCTTGAATATCGGGTTTTGAATATTAACTTAACTGCCAGTTGAAATCGTGGGATACATAGGTAGAGCTTTATCGGCCACTGAGACTCCGAACTGGACAACTACATCCTTTACAATCCAGAGTCTGACCCTTCTTCTTGGGCCCGCACTCCTGGCTGCCTCTATTTATATGGTCCTGGGTCGCGTGGTTATACTTCTCAGAGCCGAAAATCTCTCTCCCATCAGAGTGAAATGGCTGACCAAGATATTCGTTTTGGGTGATGTGCTGTCTTTCTTGGCACAAGGCGCCGGTAAGTATCCCCTGAGCCCTGAAACGAGATCAAGTTTAACAAACTTCAAGGTGGTGCAATTCTTTCCAGGGCCAAGTCAATGAGTGAACTTAAGCTCGGCGAGAATATCATCATTACCGGTCTCTGCATTCAAATCGCGTTTTTTGGGCTTTTTATCCTTGTCATTTGCGTATTTCACTGGCGTATCAATAAGTCTCCCACTAATGCCTGTTATGCAACCACCGTTCCCTGGAAACGATTGCTTTGGGTTCTCTATGGTGCCAGCGCCTTAATCATGATTCGCTCTGTCTTTAGAGTCGCCGAGTATGTCATGGGAAGTGATGGCCCGCTTCTTGCCAACGAAGCCTATCTTTATGTCTTCGACGCGGCCCTGATCTTTACAGCAACAGCTTCGTTCAATGTATTCCACCCAGGGAAAATCTTACAGACAAGGGACAAACTGATACCAGTTTCAAATGACGATAACTCTGTGGATCTACACTCTCTTACCGTTTCAAGGGGCTAGACTTCGTTCAAGATATGATCTTTCTCAGATGATAGAGGAGGGGTGGTTGTTTTCTTTATGTCTCTTCATTTCCTAACACCAATGATTTCTAGAATATAAAATAGATTTACTGGCTATTTCGTCAAGGCCATGTAGCTATAGAAGAAGCCCTCAAGAATACAGTTTCATTACACTAAAGCCATCTCCACCTGTTTCGCAAGACATGAATCAGGACTTCAGTCGCGTCGAACCTCGACGTACGGATACCGTGAAATAGCCGTACTGAACGCATCATTTGCTCTTTCTAACATTACGTCTTGCATCTCTGTCAATACAGCCGCCCGCCGCCCGCAGTGCCGTACTATCACGAGGCCATTGATGTGAATCACACGTCACTTGTGAAGTAATCCTCATTCATTGTTCACCTGTCACTACGGCAATATTGACCCAGCTAAATCCCCAATTACTTAGGATAGACATCGAAAACAAGTTCGCAACCAATCATGAGTATAGTTGGATCCCCTCCCAATGACAACAAAACCTTTCCATCAACTAATCGCTACGTCGTAGCATAGACTATAACGTTCCACACCATCATTTTCCGTCTGTCGCCCACCGTTCACCTCTCATGATAAAGGAAGTAGATTCCTCCAAGCCCAGGTGCGGAGGAGTTGGAGGCTGGGCTGTAGACAACAGAGCAAATGGTAACAACCTGGGCTTGATCCGTCCCAGGTGTAAAGGTACTCAAGGAAGGTTGGCTCGACTTCCTGCCACATTTGCAAAGAAGCGAGCCATGCCCACGCTACATCCACCAGGGGAGGCGTTTCAACTCGGATGCAACAAACCTAACAAGGTTAGTAACTGACAGGCCACCACTGATGGTTCGTAAATCTCCACATACTGAGTTCTCTTCATCTCCTCTTCCACCTTGGCCAGTACCTCTCTCAACCACTGCTCCCTGTCTACACGAACATCTCGAATGTGGCATCGTAGAGCTATCTGCGCAACGGTCATCGCGTTCAACTCCTTCCTCTTTTCGACAACCGCGGGCTGGAGGTCCATGTAGTCTTTTCGCGCCGATCTCAGTGAAGCAACACAGGAATCGCGCTCCAAAAGTGCTTTGCGTAGCTTGGGCGGTCGGCTTCTGAATTCAACTGGTCGGTTCTCTTGTGTTTGATCGGAATCGATCAGAGCTTTGTCGACTTTCGAAATGGCGAACAAGACCTTTTCTTCACGTGCCTCGAGGTGGTCCAGTGCAAGCTCGAGGAAAAGCTCGATATCGGTGACGGCGGTCGTGAGATGGTCGATTTTGGATTCGATGATAGGCAACTGATGGTTGAGAGCTGAGAGTGTTTCGTCGAAGCTTTCGCGCTCCTGGTTCAGGGCGTCGGAGACTTGGAGACGGGACATTGTAAAGCGAGTGCAAGAGAGCGTAAGGGAAAAGGAGGGGAACCGATTCGAGATGCGGTTAAAAGAAAGTAAAACGTGGTAAGACTGTTGTGATAAGTTAGCAAAGCGTGGTTCAGAAAGTTGTTTTGGTTGTGTTGAAGGACGGTACGTAGGTGAGCGATGGAATAAACGATCGGACGCTCGATGGCAATGAGAGGTCTTGTATTCACGGATATTGTATCCAGCGTTTGCCTTAATGGAGCCGAGGTTCGGGTTGCATTTGCGTTCGCGTTTGCATTTGCGTATGAGGTGGTGATGTTTTGTTATGGCTGCATCCGTCGACTTGATTGTTGGCACTGTAGCTCAGTATCTCAGCAGCTCAGCGCTGTTGTTATTGTTTTGCGGGCCGCCACAGTTCATTTTAAGCCACATTTCACTGGCCGTGCACTGCCAAAGTCAGATAGCTTCAACTGACACTCGACGCAACAAGATTTACATATCCCCAGTGCAAGCGTGTCGCTGGAATTAATTTTCCACGCGGAAGGTGCCAACGCCTGCCACTCCACGCCAATACTCCATGCGTAAGTACGAACGGCATCGCAACCAACCACATTTCATAAGGACAAACATCCAGATGTCGAAGAAGCTTATTGGATAGTCTCTGAGCACCTCTTCGTCGGCAGCTGAAGGAGAATCTCGAATCGTATCCCGCCCAAGTCTGGCCAAAGGCTTTCCAACAAGTCACCAAGGCACCTCTCGTCAAGGAAACGGCCAAAGAAGCGCGCCGAATGAGCAAGAAGCGGAAGATTGACTGGCGTACCAAGAACCTACGTCGCAAAAACAACGCCATGACTTACCTGGATCATCTCTAGACCAGACGCAACTAGCTGCCTGCGTGACCCAAGGGCTATTCACACGATGACATTTCATGCAATATGATTGTGTAGCCGGACCTGTTCGACTTGAAGACTATTCGTAAACGCGCCGCTGGCAGCTATTTTTCTTCCAGAGGGTTTGTTTCGATCAGGCAGTGTGGTTTACTATGCGGCCAAGCGTGATAACTTTTGTTCTTTGAGCTCTGACAATGATAGTGATAGTGAGTACGATCTACCTAAACTCGGCACTCATAACGCACCAGAGCTTGCATCAGATCACACGCCAAAGCCCGCGCCGGAAAATGTAAAGATTCGGAGTGCTCATCGCCGACAATCACACCTTACGCCCTGGCCTTTACCTTCCCCGTCGTCAATTTACGCGCGCATGCCCATAAGGCCTTGTCCATCAATACTTGCCCTTCGGGGAACGTCATCGCTGAGCTGCAGCGTAGTGTCACATATTGGATTGTCTGCTGTCTTTGGGCACACACCTGCACTATCACAGTCCAAATCACGTTTAGGCTAACGTTATATATCAAAAATTCACCAATATAGATACATACGACCAAAGGTAGTGGAAAATACGGGATCCCGTCCGCTCTCCCATAGTCAAGCCACTAACCGGCGGATTAGTAGTTGGGTCGGTGACGACCAGCGAATCCCCGCTGTTGTATGTTTTGTCTTTTTGTGATTTTTTTTAAACGCTTTTGTCAACTCATTGAAACTTATAATAGAGCGAAATAGTATTGTTATAGCGGTTATGGTAAGTTGTGGTTTCTCTAGATTAGTAACTATTATATAGATTACTCTTTACATTTAAGACCTATTGAGCTCGAACCCCAACGCCATAGACATTTACATACCACAACAAAAGTAACTGTATCTGCATCTATACCTACATCTATATCTGCTCCGCCTCAATTCAATCTTTGATCATCTTCTTCTTCCCCTTCTGTTTCGGCGTCTCCTCCGTAGCCCACCGCACGAACCTCTGTTGCTCCGAGCCCACAGCAGTACATTTGCTCTCCTGCTCAAAGACAACTGCTCGTCCCTTGCTCTTCTCATCTGCACCTGTCTGCGATCATTCAGAATAGGGCTGTCATGTGTCGCCCCCTCGGCCTTCTTCTGTACCACCTTGTTGTAGAGCTATAAGAAACCTTCTATTGTTGATCTCATTGGGAGACTTGTAGAGCCTTGGCTTGATAAAGTCAAAGCTTAAAGCAAAGAAAATAAGAGGATATCTTATATCTCCTTTACATCTATACCCAGAAGAGCTTGCAACAACTCTATTACAATCAAAACAATTTTTATCACTTACTATGCCATATAGTTTACTCTCTGCCTCTACTATACCTTCCCCCATCTCTCAGCCAAAAAGCATTCCCCACAACATCCCTAACAGGCCTGTTGTCTTATAGCTCTTATGTACTGCTTCTTTCCCATCAATTTTGGCCCTTACATTATCCCAAACCTGCTCCAAATCTGGCCTGTCACTAGCGCCGCCTATGTTCATGGCGCTCGGGACAATCGCCCACTTCTCTAAAACTGCTCCTCCCTGTCCCGTTACATCTTCACCTTTGCCACCTCGGAGAACTAAAATCCCTGGCTGTGCCATCCCATTCTCATAGCCTTTCCTCTCGGTCACCGCTATCTCAAGGTCATAGTTCTCTTTTACTAATTCCACGAGTGTGTTCTTAGTATCAACGATAGCGTCACCGGAATAACCAGTGAGTTTGCGCATTTCAGGGAGGAAAGAAGCCGGTTCAGAGGTAATGATTAGGGTTTTGCCGCCCAGTGAGTATATGGAAGGGGATAGTCCTTGAAGAGTTTGGAGATAAGCTCGGCAGAAGGGACACCAGTGACCGCGGTAAACTGAGAGGTTTTAGTTCAAGCGGGAAGGTAGAAGGAAAATATGGTATAATGGTAGAGCAAAAAGAACATAGAGTTGGGGGCGTGGGGACAGGGCTAACTTACAAACGACAAAGAGAACTGAAGACTCTGAGAGCAAGGCATTAAATTCCTCAACGGGGGTGTAAGTGGTCATTGTGAAATGTTTTGTTGTGTAATTACGACTTGGTGAAACGATAAGAGCAGTTCGTTAAGATTTATAGACCAGATCATGTTTCATCGCGTAGCCACTATCAGATCAGCTTTCTATTACAATGTTGACAAATACTGTTAGCACTCAAACAAACTCGGATCAAACGGCAAAAGGCTCGGTCAGCAAGGCAGCATGGTCAGCATGGTCAGCATTGGTCATCATTCATTATCATTTGTCAGTGGACACAATGCATCTGCATTAACCAATAAGCTGCCTATAAGTCTGACATATTCTTGGGGCAAGTCGATAGGCGTTCGTGGTGATTTGTCAAATTTCCTAACTTATCGCAGCTGTTAAAAGAATCAACCAACCGCCCTCCAGCGTCCTATTTGGAATATATCTATCCAAATGTAAACTTCTCTACACGTCATTATGTACTGCAAGCCGAGACCGTACTTGCTCGGTTAATAAACCTACCCACGCCGGTCTCAGTCACGGTTCATAAATAGTACAAAATTGACACCTCAGAGTCAGGCCACAACAAACTACCTTTTCCATTCTCATCTTTACTCTATAACCAATCTCCCCCGCCCAATCATTTACTCCACTTCGCAGACAGCACCAACAAATATTTCTCTCTTTTTCTAATCCACCTCGAAAGTACCCAAAGTATGCCAGCTATAAGAAAGCAGTGCGACTTCCTGGTAATTGGAGGTGGCAGTGGAGGTCTTGCTGCTGCTAGGAGAGCGAGTGGATGGTATGGCGCAAAGGTAATTGTAGTAGAGGCAAAGCGATTAGGGGGAACCTGTGTCAACGTGGGGTAATTCTGCCACTGCTCTAGAGTCTACTGCCTGAGTGCTGACAGACACAGATGTATACCAAAGAAGATCACCTGGAATGCAGCAAACCTGGCACAAAGCTTGCGCGACGCCAAGTCCTATGGCTTCTCTGTCGAACAGAGGGCGCCATTCGACTGGGCGACCTTCAAAAAGAAACGAGACATAATCGTCAAGAACTTGAACGACATATACGAGCGCAATCTAAAGAAGGACAGCATTGAATACATCCACGGCCGAGCTTGCCTGGTAGGCAAGAACGAGTCCATGATAAAGGTTGATGATGGCACTGAGATCAAAGTCAGCGCGAAGAAGATCCTGATTGCAACTGGTGGACATCCTACAGTTCCCCAAGGAATTCCCGGGGCCGAATATGGCATCACCAGCGACGGTTTCTTCGAGCTCGATTATCAACCTAAGAAGGTGGCAATAGTAGGAGCTGGCTACATTGCTGTGGAGTTTGCAGGAATGCTTCAAGCTTTAGGCACAGAAACGCATGTTTTCATTCGACATGAAAAGTTTCTACGAACCTTTGATGGCATGATTCAAGACGAGATTGTCTCAGAGTACGAGCGTATTGGCATACATGTTCACAAGAATTCTACGCAAAGTAAGATCGAGAAAGACAAACAGACAGGGAAGCTTACTTTACATTACTCTGACTTGACTGGTGAGGGCAAGCTTGAGAACCTGGATACTCTGATTTGGGCCATCGGCCGAACTCCAGAAGTGGAAGGTCTTGGTCTGGACGTCGTGGGCGTCATGCAGAACGAGAGGGGTCAAATAATCACAGACGAGTACCAGAACACTAACGTGGAGCATATCTACTCTCTTGGAGATGTCGTTGGCAAAGTCGAGCTCACTCCGGTCGCGATAGCCGCCGGCCGCAAGCTTAGCGATCGCCTCTTCGGTGGTGAAAATTTCAACAAAAGCAAGCTAGACTATGACCTCATTCCCTCCGTCGTTTTTGCCCATCCTGAGGTTGGATCCATCGGCCTAACGCAAGCTGAGGCCGAGAAGAAATACGGGAGGGATAACATCAAGATCTACAGGACGTCCTTCACAGCGACCTACTACACCATAATGGAGGATAAGAGGCCGTCCAAATACAAGCTCATTTGCCAGGGGAAAGATGAGAAGATCGTGGGTCTACATATTTTGGGCTTGGGGAGTAGTGAGATACTACAGGGGTTTGGGGTAACGATGAAGATGGGAGCCACGAAAAAGGATTTTGATAGCTGCGTTGCGATTCATCCGACAAGTGCAGAAGAGCTGGTTACTCTTAATTAGTGGCAATATTAGAATACGAATATATCTCAAAACGTCTCCCTAAGTATCTATCATGTTTCTAAGCAATTATTCCTCGCTCTGGTTTTGATGACGTACCTCATCACCTTGACACATAGATAACGCGAATGATACTAGGAACGAGGCTTCACTTATTATACGGCCTGGCAGAATGATCAATCTCTATAATTCTACTGATAATATGGCTACCGAGCGCCGAGGTGCACGAGAGTGCGACTTCCTAAGCACCCATCCATGGACGAGCCGTCGAGCAACCTGCTAGCCAAAGATGCGACGACTAAGAGCACCGTCATGATTTTCGACAAGCGTTGTAATTTACTGCTTGCAAGGCTGAGCGAGAACAGGCACTCCATGATCGCAGTTAAAAACTTGTCAGTCGGTGGGAAGTGATATTTTACAGTAAAGTTTAACTGAAATAATAGTGGTAGCATTGAAACCCTAACCTGCAATCACCCACTGGGGTGTTCTGTCTTGGAGAACACGTCATTATGACAGAGATGGTCGGCATGCTTATGCCGACAGTAACGTCGTTGCAATCTCAGAAACGAATAAGAGGTATGCACTCTGGGAGAAGGTATTAATTATGTGCATGTTTATTAATCAATACTGGACATGGTAGGCCTCCAGTCCCAATAGAAGTCAAATATAAATCAGACCAGGGAATTAGAGTTTGGGCTGTGGTTCTATATAAATCCGTGTTTTCAGGACCAAAACCCCACACGAAAGATAACAACAGTTTTCCGGAGCTCCCATAATTAACTACGCGAAACTCGATTTACACTGAAATTTAACTCCCTTGCACAAAAGAAACATTGATCACAGTAGCCTTTACAGGTCAAGGCTCCTTTACGATGAGGAAGTATGTACACGTATCAGCATACCATAACAGGGCCGTCGATACTGACGATATCCAGCCGACGGCCTTCATTGACATGCTACGAGCATGGTCAAGATTTCTATAACATAGGGCAAGCGATTGAACATATAAGGGCGAAACACGCAAGCTTTATCAGGCGTCCCGGACGTCTTGGAGAGACGGATACACATGGACATTACTGGTACTGCTTTGATTGTGAGTCTGCTGTAAAAGATCATCGCAGCTTTAATTCCGATGAAGCAATGTGGCGTCATTTGGAGCACAGTCATAGCTATGTAATGGATCAGTTCTAGTCAGTATCAAGACGTCTTATCTCAAAATGAAAGCAGTACTGGAGGTGAAAAAGTAGGAACAAGACCGCTTACCTTGCAATAACGTTTTTCATCTTCTCGTGTTGGGTGTCTCCTCCTCAATCCTTAGCCCGGGCTGGACCAGAGGTTGGCTACGGGAAAATGACACAATACCTGTTCTGTCGAGGCTAGGTAAGCACTGGCAAATAGCAGCTGAAACAATCCTTGCTTGAGTTCAAGCGAATTTCCACCATTGGCTCAACCAAATAACTCGCAATTGGCAAGCTTTCACCCCTACGAGTTCACGTCTTTACATGCCAGCTAAAGCTACATGTCCCAACAGCTAATGTCCACGGGCAGCATAACGTGCCAATCAGCTAGCATCTGGTTCTGACGTGCTTTGTTAATATGCTCGTGAGATCACGATTGCCATAGGCTAACGTTGTGTTGCGATAAATATCTGATATACTAGATGTAAAGCTCGATCTCATCCATGGCAACGATGAGGACCGTTGCCGACAAGCTGTCTATCGCTTGTCCAAAAGTATACCTCTTTGACTTGCTAATGGCATTCGTTTGTCAGACATTCATCCGTGCAAGCACTACAATAGCGTCTCGGAAATCCCTCTTAAGAAATATATAATTTGGACAGTGCAATCGATAATGATGAAAGCTGCTCTACAATAGTGGGGACCAAGACTGCTGCAGCAAAGGTTGCCTCCTGGTCCCAAAGAAGAATGTTGTGTTGGTGGCAGCAACACCTCATGGAAGAGTAATAGCGAGCTTGAGCCGTTCAGTACGCTTATTGTTCGAAAAGTCATAGCTTTGTGACCAGATAATTGCTGAATGATTGCTTGCCGTTTTTTCCGCCATGACTTCATCGGGGAGAAAATTGTGCTGGGATACAACACAGCCGCCGGCGCTCAAAGAAAGGCAGCCAGAAGCCTCACTGAGGATGTTCGTCCTGTCTTATAATGAAATGGTTTATGAGATCCTATCTAAATCCTCCCTTGCTTTATGTATCCTGGCTTGTGGTTTAAGTGTCTGGGCTGTGTGTAGGTCCCTCAGCTACAACAAAGTCGCATCCCCTTCAATTTTGAGTTTGAGGTCTTTAAACCTACACTCCGTCGTCAGTTTGAATGGAATACAATGAAGTTGATGGATAAGTCCTTCATATTGAATCGTAAAATAATACAAGCAGCATTGATTGATAGCCTTAATAGTGATCATTGTGGTATAGGTAACCGCCCATCTGAACCTTGGTCTCTACAGTGGCCCAGTATGGATTATTCATAGCACACTTTACTCCATCTGTACGACAGTTACTAACTGGACAATATTGAACAAGACTTTGGAAAATAATACATATTATATCAAATAGAAATTCTCAATTATGGCGTTCTTTTTTAATCATAGCTGGTATCTTTTTGAGTTCAGTTATTGATATGGTTTGGCTTGGCTGTACTGATGGATGAGGCTTGAGAAGGATAGCGATAAACTGGCATGGGAAGCTTGTGGTTTTGTTACGGAGGGTTTTGGCTCCTTTTTATACGTGAATTCAGTCGAGCTGTGCTGGATAAATTCCATTTTCACGTATGCCCCCTGATGACTGCTTGTGAACCTGTTTGCCCATGCTCCTGCCACGCAGGTATGGCTACCTAAGCATTTTGCTAATTGGTTGTTGTTCGCCAGCATGGTCCGGCGTCACACCTCGTTGGAGCATCGAGATTACTATTTTCTAGTTGTTGGTTGTTGGTTGTTGGTTCAGCATCACGGATAGATCGGAAGCTTTAGACTGGTGGATAAGAGGGAAAGAGTTTATCGCTTGGGGATTTATGGCGACGACTTGTTCCAGTACATTGACAAACATTATGATCCACAAACTTGATTGATAGGCCGCTATCAGCCAGAAATTCAACAAAAGTTCAGCCTTTAAGTATAATACTTGCAGCTTTGAGTTATCAACTCGAGGTTGGGTTAATCAAATTTATATTAACTGCTCATTGGCGCACTCGTTTACACCAGAACCCTTTGGAGCTTAGCGGAACTTTTTGCTGTACAGGGTGAGGGTGATAATGCCTCATGCAGATGCATTTCGAGGCTAGTGGAACTTTTGACAAGGCAAAACAACAACCAACAAAAGGTTGTGAGCCGAACAGCAAATAAGAGTCATTTTCATGAATATCGACCCGATTGTGAACTGATTAAAGCGCGACCTGCATAACCAAGCGGGCGTCCTTGTGCCGGTAGCCGAGCAGGTAATGAATAGACTCACAGAGCTTGTCAACAATGTCGTGCTCCGTAGCTATATAAATAAACCCCAATCCTTATAGTTACCCTTTTTCACAAGTTAAACGAATATCTCCTAAAGAAACCACACCAATTATCCCATTAAACAAAATCAAGTATTATGGCAAATTTGGCCGCAGTCCATTACACAGTTGACCCTTCCACCAACCCGGGCTCATGGCCTCCACCGGCTCCAGAACATGGCACTGCCATTATTTTCAGAGTCAAAGTTATTTTTATTAACGTCCACGGAGACTCCAACTTTCGAGTTCTTCAAACGGGCACAAACCAACATGTTCACCATGCAGTCATGCAGGTAACTAAACACATAGCTCGCGGCGTCTACCGAATTATCAGCATGAATGTCAGCGAGTATTCATGCGTGGTGGTTATGTCAACTGAGAAATCTAGGGAGGAGCTCATGTTCAAGAATGGATTTCCTTGGGATAGGGAAAGCGACCCTCAGCCAGATGTTATTTTGAAGTAGGTGGAAGTGCGGGCGAAACATCGAAATACATTTCAATATCAAAAATAAAACTGTCTTGAACCAACCCTCACTATTATGTGGAGCACTCTCTACTATTAAATACACCAAGATCCTGATTCTGAAGTCTAGTTAACAGACCGATGTGGCCGACCCTGCTGGCCGCGTTCCGTTGTACTTCTCGTCCATGACGAGCTCGTCATCTTGCACTGGAGTCCGGGCCGAATTAGGTGCCGACGTCAACAAACACGATGACTTTGATGGGACTCCGCTGTGTTCTGCCTATTCGACTGGGCGAGTAGCCAATATCGCCTGACTACTTTCCGCGGGAGCTAAAGCAAATACCGTCAAACACAGAGGCATGACGCTATTAATGTCTGCTATGGTGGATGGCAGCGTTCTTGCAGTCCATATGCTCCTGCAGCACGGCGTGGAAATGGAGACCACAAATATTGATGGAGAGCCAGCAGCGACTTTGGCAGTTTGTACGAATCACCATAATAGCTTGCGGGAGCTTGCTTTAACTGGCCGAGCAAGGTTGCATATCGTCACATCTTCTAGGCGAACAATCCTACATACAGCCGCACGCTATGGTGACGTTTTCATGGAAGAGACTCTTTTAAATCTCTTCATTGGGACTAATCAGTCCACCGCTATTGATCATGATGGATTACTCCCTATTGAAAGATTGAGAAAGAAAAGGTCTATCGCCGGAGATGACTGAGGTTGAAAATTGGATGCTGTGATAGTAACAAATGCGCGTTGCTCTTAAGAGCGCTTATTATATAAAGATCACCAGAAGAGTCTTAGAATCCCAGGATGTTTCCACTATTCAATCTATCACAACTGCCCTAAAGTGGTACTGCCAGGGAAGGAATGCTGAGTCCAATGACTTTAGAAGACGGGCTTGTTAAGAACTTTGAGTAAATCTGATATTTATACTATGTTACATAAGGGGGGTATCTATGCGTTTATCTAAATTAACATGAGTGGAGTGAGTCATCTAAACATTAATATTACCATGTTCGGTCCGACATGTTGTAAGGCGGCCGCCAGAGTTGGTCATGCAGTCCACCACCAGCATTAGTTCCGTAATCCGAAGCTAGTTCAGCACATTTAATCAATACTTTCATCATCAGACGATGAGCACGATGAACTGTCCTCGCTGTCCTGGGGAGTGGGGAGTCGTTGGGCCCCAAAGGTAGGCACAACTCCACGGATTTTGGTAGTCGGAGCCGGTTTAGATCGTCTGGAAGTCGTGAGCGGAGCCTCTTGTGGTTCAGTAGCCCTTGCTGTTGGTGTTGCTGGTTTCTTCTGCTTCGTTGTAATGGCCTTTGTCTTTCGTGTATCAAGCTTCTCTTCTTGCTCCTTCTCTTCAAGGGTTCGTTGTCGGTAGGAAGTTAGTACCGCTTGTAGAGCTTTCTTATCCTTTTCAGCTTGTTCCTTTGCTTCTTCTTCAGCTTGCTTTCTTGCCTTCTCCTCGGCACGCTGATTTGCTCTCTCCCGAGCCATCCTTAGCTTCTCCTCGGCTAGCTTCTTCTCCCTCTCTTCTTTGAACCGCCTTGCTACCTTCTCTCTCTCTTCGGCGCGCTTCTTTGCCCTCTCCTCAGCTAACTGTTTCTCAGCCAACTTGTCCGCTTTTGTAAGTAAACTGGCTCCTGTCTCTTTTTCTTCAGCGTCCTTCCTTGTCTTTTCTTCGGCTAGCTTCTCCTCTTCTGCAAGTCGTCTTGCTTCCTCGGCTTGTTGCTTTGCCACCTCTTCGGCGAGTATTCTTTCCGCAGCTTGTATCATCGCCTTCTGCTCGACCACCCTTCTCTCTTCTTCGAGCCTCCGTAATTCATCGTCCCGCAACGCTCGTGCCGCTTCTATGTCCTTCTCTTGTCTCTCGTTGGCTTCTTCCTCAAGTTCACCTTCATCTTGAGTCCAATATTGTCTTTCATCGGTGCACGTAGAAGAAGAGTCCTTTTCGTCGAAAGAGTAACCCTTTGACTCCTTAGATGAACTGTATCGCGAAGCTCTCGATGCCTTTCGCTCATGCTCTCCTGACTTCTTCTCTTCCTCAACTCGGCGAGCAGCTCTTTCTTCGACTCGCTGAGCCTCCCTATCTTCAACTCTTGCCCTTCTATCCTCGCCTTCAAGCCGTCGTCGATGATGACCATGTCGACTTCTGTCCCGAGTAGAGAACCTGTCTTGGTCTCTATGCTTACGGCTATCGCGGTCTTGTTCGGGATCTTCATGCTGCCTGCGTGAACGTCGAGCCTGGATCTTTTGAGCTTCTCGATTTCTCTCTGCTTGAGACAGGCGTAGATGTCGGCGATCTTCTCTTGGAGCTTCGCGGTCCTCCTCCGTCTCTTCCTTGATGTGCAAACGTCTGGAACTAATCATATTTCGCAAAAACCCAACAAGTCCGCCAGCATCTTTAGTCTCTCTCATTTGCTCTTCCTTTGACTCATTTTTGTGGTGACGGCCAGAGCTCATCGAATTTCGCGGGAGCCCTTCATTCTTTCCGGCCTCATACTTGTGTGAACGTCGACGTTCTACTCCACGAGTTTCCCTCCCCTTCTTTGCTTCATTGTCGGGTACGTGATGGCTAGATGTCCGTCTGCTCCGTAGAGACCGGTCGTATGCGTCATGCTGTGCAAAATGTTCCTTGGACGTTCGTTGCGAGACTCTGTGAGACCGGCGTTCGCCTTCCCCGCGGCGTTCTAATTCTTCTAAATGCTTGATATTACGGTGTTCTGTAATAGCAGCTAAATATAGGACACGTTTGTTACTGCGTCTGGCGTGCTCTTTCTGACGATTTGGAGAGGGTAGGACGCGTGGTGCGCGTTTGGCAACATCTTCAGAAGCATCACTATCAGAAGATTCGTCTGTGGAGCTCTCTGAGTCTCGTACTTTGCGGACCTCTGAAGCCGCGACCCCTAGACTTTGGTCACGGCTCTTCTGGACCATTTCTGTTGATGTCCGTAAGTTTGGAGGATTCAGACGCTACGACTGAGTTCTCTCGTAGGAGAAATCATGAGAGATAATAATAGTGAAATAACAACAGTGCTCCCTGCAGATTCAAGATTGACGTGGCGCGTGATCCGTCCCGAAACTATGACCAGCGGTGTAGATCCACTAGCTAAGGGAGTACTTTCACAGCAGAATTCTTTTTACAGATATCACAAACATCTCTGGAGATGTGGGGCCAAAAGAAGCTGCTTTAATCTGAATGAATGTCCCGAGCTCTTATATAATGAGAGATAGTCAATTTGAAGGCGGTATCAATGCTGAAGGAAGCCTAGAATTGGATCCATTGAAATCAAAGCTTAACATTAGGCAAGGGTGACAGGGATGTAGAACAAGGATGTGGCGAAACTCTGAATCAAAGCAATCACACAGTACATTCCCCGCTGAAATGACTAATCACTAGACATTCCTCCACAGGTCCGTCGCCTGGGCTACCCTACTCCCGGAAAAATATCGTGCAATCTGCCTACGACGAAATAAATTTAGAGCCAAGTCTACAAAATTAAATGTAAGGTAATGAAAAAGATTCTAGTAAATGTTCTGTATACTTCTTGCGTTAAGAGCCTAACTATGTAGCTGGTAGCGTTCGTGAGGCATTTGCCTTCGCAATCTGTTGAAATAGCAATGGTGCAACCACACGGTAAAAGCTGAACAAGTGAAAATCATCACGAAACAAGCTAGGGTCTCTTACATATTCCTAATAGCCCAACGTAGTATCTGTATTGTATTTATTTAAACCAGAAACATTTTTGCAAAAACAGATATTCTCAGTTGGGATTGGTTGCGAATGATTAGAAGACCGAAATAAGGGACTGTACTTATTCACCTAACACATCCTTAATTATCCGACTGTTTGTCTCGTCTATCATAGGGCCCCTAACAAATCAAATCTCAAATTGAATTTTCCGTATTTAGTTGAAGGCCTTTTAATTTGATTGAAAAAGGCTACGGAGTACGGAGTGCATTTAATTTAATTCAAACAATTTACGGATAGATAGGATTTATTTTGGATCTTATCTTATCGATAGGCCTATCAAGAGACTATCGATAAGATAAAGGACTAAATGAGTTATTTATATTTTCTCTACTGAAAGGAAAATAATTCCTTTATAATATACTATATATTTAAATTAGATTATGAAAATAAAGGTATGAAGTGAACTTGATTTAAATACAGATTTTCTAATTTATTGTGAAATTACTTAACTTGATTTAAATTAATTTGATTTACTTGGAGCGCTGGTCCATTACAGACCTCATAGTGCTATGATGTTATTATTTGTAGTAAAGACCATAGCGCTTAATTTATATCTCTTACTACTATAAAGTAGGGTAAAATACTTGCAAGAATATTAGCCTCGTGCAGCAGCTTTACAAAGCTAGTCACCGCATTATCATTCTAAGTTCAGCTCCCACTGCAGCCAGTATCTTATTATGAAGAAGAGGGGTGTAAATATGGTCTTTCAGAATCGAGTTGGAACTATAGAATTACAATTTCCTACGATTACCTATGAACGTGACCTAGGAAATGGGAGATTGTGAATTTTGGCTTCATGCAGATGATCCGCCACCATTAAACATATGCTAGAAAAGTGTCAGCTTCAACAATCACAGTCGTAGTTATCTCCTGGTTCACTTACCCGTAGCGACTCTGTAGTTTCAGGTGATACGCCCTTCCCCTTGCCGAATCCTCCACCCACTAGCTGTATTTTCCTTCTCTGGCGGGATAAAACGTCGGCCTTGAATGGTTAGCTAAGAGAGAGTAGCATCGGTTGATTTCTGACCTGCTCAATTGTTTTCTCCGTAATGTATCTGAAAATAACGACTTGGGATTGTTGGCCGAGCCGCAGTGCTCTGCCAATCGCCTGCTCCTCAATGAAAGGGTTCCATTGAGGCTCCAGGAGATAAATGCGGGATGCAATAGAGAGGTTTAACCTAATAATCAACAGAAATTAGAGAGCTATCCTGGCAATAGATTGGGTCTAGAAACTCACCCTACAGCACCCGTCCCCAACGTCATCAGTAGAATATTTGGGCCAGTTGTTAATCGAAACTCCTTCAGCACTTTGCTTCGCTCATTCAGCGACAGTGAGCCATGAATAAAACCGTGCTCGATCGAATGATGTGAAAGAAGTTTGCTCACAAGCTCGAGTGTTGTCTTCCAACAAGAGAAAATAATACTAGTTCATGGATCAAATTCTTAGCTTGTTCTAAAAGTTTAATTCAAGATATCAACTTACCACTTGTCTGTACCAGCCTGGCCAATATCATCCAAGAGTAAAAGCAGCTTTGGCGGATACCCGCTGACAGAGTGAGGGGTTCCGTCCTCCTTCTGTGTGCGGGAGTTAATTTGTCCAGCCTGTGAGACCGGGAGGCCCAAGATTTCAGATTCGCTTTCATTCTCGCAGGCTGGGCAGTGGGATTCCAATTTACGATGCTGCCCCCTTGCAGGTGTGGCAGACTAAATGGCAGCAGGATGCTATAAAGCTTCCACCATCGGTCTTGTCAGAATCGTCAATAGAGTATATGGTAGTCAAGCAAATGGCACAGTTATCCTGGTCATCTTGCTGAAGATATGCCAATGCTTCATCGGGGTCGGATGGTAGTCCTGTTGAATCCACTTGCAGGTTCGCATCTGAGCTGCCATTATTGCAGAACAAACGTAGACTGAGGATCGTTTCGAGCACGACGGCGTTCATTTTCTTCTTACTACGCCTGCTGACTATCATATCGATCTGTTTTGTGCCTTCTTGTACCAGATTGTTGTATGCCTGTCGCTCGGACGGAGTCAGATAAACCTCTCGGACGTGCGGAATAGGTATTTTTAAAGGCAGTATTTCTCGTGTCCTTCGAAGACAAATAGATCCAAGCAATATCCGAAGGTCCTTAAACCGGTCTTTTGAAGAAGAGGTTGCTGGACTCGCGATAAACTTGTGGAAAGTTAGGGGGTTCTTGAGGACCGGCACTCTGAGGAAGGATACTAAAGCCCCGAGGTCTTCCATGCTGTTCTGGATGGGTGCCCTGTCAAGCACCAACGATGCTTAGCCGAAAGTTCGGCCACAGCTTTGAACTGGTATGTTCGTCGGTTTCTAATGTCATGGGCTGACAGAGACAATTTCTGTCAGAGTATACTACCCAGGAGCCACAGGCTTTTTACACACCTTCATCTAAAACAATCCTGAACCAGTGAACTTTAGCTAAAGAACTGTTTCCTCGAGATGCTTCCGCTGCCGCGGTGGCATAGGTCGTGAACACTATACATCGATTGTAAAGTAGATGTGTTTCTTGGTGCCTTTGTGGACCGGTGTGCATGTGATAGGAGAGTTTCCCGCTATAAATGTGGCTTATCTGGATGTTAGCTAGGTCTCCAGATCATGAAAGATGTCAGAAGAAAACTATACGTTCTAATCTGTTCAAACCAATTGTCGATCAGGACTAGACTCAAATCAGTTCAAGTTCGTACACTCGACGAGCAGCACCTACGCGTAGATGACACCACGATTAATATCGCTCCAGTGGCAGTGGCCCCGCGTTGTTGATGTAAAGGAACAAATTCATTTGCCCAGTTTAGTGAGCCTGCGATGGTGGACAAGATAACGAGGGATTTCCCAAGGCCCATGTTATTGGCTAGGATTCCGCCCTAGCTTCTTCTTGTTGCGGAAGCTTTGCTCCGCTAAACACATGCTGATAACTGTAAGAGTCAAAAGCCATTCCCGAGTTTACTATACTCACAAAGAATTTCCCAAAGGTTCATCAGTATTGGTTGTATTGTGCTTCCAGACCCTAAGATCAGAGGGAACCTGGCCAGTCTCGCGTTTGTAGATAAAGCCGATCGCTTCCTTCTGGTAGCTGAAGAACAAATTTATTAGTGGTGAATTCTCCGAAGCTAAGATAAACATAACTTACGGGAAAAGGTCACCTTTAATGCGAGCGTTAACATGGATGTTGTCAAGAAAGCTCTGGAATCGCATCCGTATTAGTGGCTGGATTTATCTCATCTGAGGTCCCTTCTGTGGCCTCCTTCGCTCTAGAAGGGGACGAAAATAGGGTTTCAATCGGTCCTTGAAACTCACCCTTTGTAGCAGGATAGATCCTACAACATCTCTAAATATTCCGAGAGCCTCACTAAACCACTTTCTCGTATCGTCATCATTCCCAAACACGAAGTCTTCCTATCTGATCCAATTTCCCTTTTCTCACGATACCGAACTCAATGGTTTTGCGCTTCTATTCTTCCAGGCGGGAACAACAAGTCCTCAATAGATACCTCGTCTGTCTTTTGTTACGGTTCGATAACAAGGGTCTTCCTAAAAATCAAAACACAGGCTGTATGTGGCGTCCTGTCTAGCCAATTAAAAGTCTGCCGAGCCTGAACATAGTTGAATACCCCTCACTTTGACATGGTCTCACCACATTTCTCGATATACAAGACAGCTATATCGAAATGCAGAGTCCCATTAGGGATACCGGATTATCTGTCGCTTATGAGCCTGACAATGGCGATTCAGTTGTAGAGTGCGTGCGCTTTCGACCCAGTCCCCAACCTAGTGGCTTTCGCACATGCTAAGTGATCTTGGTATAACAGCATCCTTTTCATACATGGCCTAGGCGGGCACCCTCGCAAGACATGGACTAGTTACAGAAAAGACCTTGAGATACAAGAGTCACCATCGAGTACTGACCAATCAAATAAGAAGCGGCGGAGGAACGTTCTCAGTCGGGTGTCTAACCATCTTCACCGGATCTCTTCAAAAGGTGCTCCAGCATCTGAGCTAAAGATAAATCACGTCACATCAGAAGAAGCCCGCGCCGCCGACCCCACCACAGTATTTTGGCCGGTTGAACTTCTTTCTAGGGAATGTCCAAACTCACGCATTCTCATGTTTGGCTACGATAGCAAGGTTACTAAGTATTCAACTGGTGGGATTAGTGAGAATAGTATCTTCTCACATGCCAAAGATCTCCTCTTTTCGCTCTGTCGTGAAAGGACCCTTCATCGCCCTCTTATATGCGTAGCTCATAGCTTGGGTGGCATTATCGTCAAGGAGGTTAGTCTAACTCGCGGGATTTTACTTTGACTAATAGGGTGTCCTTCAGATGCTGTCTAGGTCTTCATCGTCCACAGAAAGCGAGTATCAAAACATCATCGAATCGATCGCGGCGGTAATCTTCCTTGGCACCCCACACCGCGGGAGTGTGGATATCGCGGCTATTGGTGAATTAGTTCGTTCCCTTGTCAGCGGTCTCGGGATAGCGACAACTCCCGTTATTTTGGACTCTCTTGGCCTGAAGAACACAGAACTCGAGCGAGCGCAGGAGGACTTTTCTCGCCTATGGCAAATGTATGATTTCAAGGTCAAAACCTTTCAAGAAGGGCTCAGTCTCGCCAAGTTAGGAAGGAAGGTTGTTCCTGAATACTCTTCGCTTATTGGAAATGACCGCGAACATGCGGAGACGCTGCAAGCCGACCATGTGCAGATGTGTCGATATTCCGGAAAGGAAGATCCAAACTACCGCAAAGTCGCCGGCGAGATCTGCTCTATCTATTTTTCAATCATGGCACTGAACCAATCCAAGCCTCTAATTACCCGGGAAATACCGATTCGCAGCCAACCGACGAGGAAGGATTTGTGGTCCCGGAATCCCGGAAACGACCTTGAGGGTCAATGCAATAAAGCTTTCCTCCAGTCACTGTGGTTTCCGGTCATCAATAGCAGATACGATGGTCTAGAAAACCCAGCTGCACAAACTTGTCAGTGGCTTTTCGAGCATGAATCATTTCAAGATTGGCTTAGCGGTAAGAGCCGTGGAAAGCACCAAGGAGTTCTTTGGCTTAGGGGTAAACCTGGTTCAGGAAAATCAACATTGATGAGAGAGGCATTCCGTCGAGCAACCCTAAGGCAAGCAAAAGCTTCGTCCTCAGAGCAAACAGCAGCCTTTTTCTTTAACGGCAAAGGCAATGAGCTTGAGCATTCAGTCGCTGGGCTTTTCCGGTCCTTGCTCTATCAGCTTCTTCACAAGGATCTATCTTCCCTTCATAGCTTCCGGGAGTACTGGAATGGAAAGTTCAACCGTGAAGCGGGTCTTACGTCAGACCCTCCCTCGTGGACAGAAGCTGAGCTCAGAACTGCTTTTGAGTCGGTGATTATGCGACAAGTGGGGAAGAAGATGTTTATCTTCATTGATGCTATAGACGAATGTGACTCAAATAGGGTGCGAGATATCACCTACTTTTGGCGCAAGATCACAAGGTCAGCTTATGTTGCTGGGATCTATCTAAACGTCTGCTTATCAAGTCGCCATTTTCCAACCATCGCCATCAGAGATTGTTCAGAAATCATCATGGAACAATATAACAGCCGCGACATTGCAACTTACCTGTCACAGAGATTCGAGGTTGGTCCGGCCAGCCAGGATGTGCAATGGCAAAGTTTGAAAGACAAGATCATGGAAATGTCAGCAGGGGTCTTCCTTTGGGTCGTTCTAGTGGTTGATGACCTCCTTCAAGGCTGGGACGAAGGCCGGAGTGTTGGATACTTGACCAACCGGGTTGAGAGAGTCCCCCAAGGCCTTGAGAAGCTGTTCTCTCAGATGTTCTCCAATCTCAGTAACGAGATGAGCGAAATTACTGTTAAGCTATTCCAATGGGCCACTCTGTCAACGAAACCACTTCGTCTGCACGAATGGCATCACATAATCGGATTTATCCAGCAACCTACTCCTGCATCACTTATGGAGTGGCGGGCTTCAGATTACTTCACAGCGACTGATGACCAACTAGAAAAGCAAATCAGGACAATCTCTCTGGGTCTAGTGGAAGTGACAAAAGAGAGAGCGACACCACTGCGAGACACGGACTTTGAGGCAATGTCAGTAGATGCTGGCGCAGGATCTCTAAATCTCGAGGCTGGCGATAGTCGGGTTGTCCAGGTCATTCACGAGTCGGTACGAGACTTCTTCTTGAAAGGGAATGGGTTTTCTGTGCTAAACCCGAGTCTTATCATACATCCTATTGGGAAAGGGCACTTGTCTATAATGGCTACCTGCCTGGACTATGTGAACATTGAGGAGCTCGATGCTCTGGTAGGAGCTCGACAACAAGTCAGCCGACAGGAAAGGAGTCTGAAAGGGACAGAAAGCCCAATACCATCAGCCGAGTCAAACGCCATTTTGTCCGCCACTCCCCGGTCTGTCGAAGAAAAGAACAACCATACACGTGACTGGATAGCTTTACATTCACACACACAAATAGTATTGAACGGAGACGAAGATGCTGGGTCTGTTGCACCGAGGTCACCCGAGTTATCTCCTGCCGTGGATGTAGCTCAATGGTTGGAAGATACCTCACATCCCACAGCCCAGTCGATCCATTGGAGAGCGACCACACACTACTCAGTCACAGGTTCCTCTAATATGAACCAGTCCCAGATCCTGGAGGATTACCCCGCGCTACTTTCATATGCCACATTTGCCATGTTTAGCCACGCCCTTCTGGCTCATAACGACGGGGTTAATCCCACTAGAATCATTAACCGTTTCGGTAATAAACATATATGGGCTCGCTGGAGAGCATTAAGAGAGGATATGCCACGAGAGATTGAACTTCTCGACTACCTCTTGGAAATGGGCCTGTCGTCATGGGTCAATCTTTTGTCCAATCACGAGATTTATCGTGAACAACAACAGGGTGCTCTTGAGATTCCTCTGCCTTTTATGTCAACTACATCGTCTTCTGAATACTCTCTTCGAAGGGATGCAGACACAGAAAGTATCTATTCTATCCAGGAGATGGCAGAGACCGCGCATAAAGCTCTTAAGCACCATTCTCCCGATCGTCCAAATTTACTTTTTCGGACCCCTGCACTTACAAGTCTCAAACGTGGACGGTCTCCATCCATCACTTCTAGACGACAATCCCCGACAATGTACAGTTATAGTCTACCGAATGGTCACAACCCTTCAAGAGGCACGAGCCCTCAAAGCTTTAGTCTTATGCCAAGAAGACGAGAAAGTGTCGCCAGTTTTAGTTCTGCCGGCAGTCACGATAGTCGGGTGCTATATCCAAGGAAGACCAACCCAACACCGCAAGTTGACCAGAAGGGTCTTGAAGTATGGCCTAAACCAAAAGACGAGGCATTTTTCATGTGTGAATGCTGCCCTAAGAAGCCCAAAAGATTTACGACAATTGAAGATTTGACGTAAGGCAATTATCGTGGTTGAAATCCTCCCGTACTGACAGATAACATAGGGCACATGAATTGGAAAATCAGCATGAGTGTTCCTTCTGCGGTAACAGATTCAAGAATAGAAACGAAGCTGAGCGACACCAAAATTCCTTACATGTACGCCTTCATTCCTGGTCCTGCTCAAATCTGTCAGGATATAATCGCACCTTTTCGGAGTCTGATGTACATCCTGGACAGTGTGACACATGTGGATTTTGCGGCGATGAATTTTCACGTTCCGGTCAGGGTGATGGACAAACTAAGTACACCACAGATCAGGATTGGGATGAACGGATAAGGCATTTACAAGAATCCCACGCGGTCGGAAAGTGTAACGCAACCAAGAAGTTCTTTCGAGCGGATCATTTTCGTCAACACTTGAAGCATAGTCATGCTGGCCGTAGTGGGAAGTGGACAGCTACACTAGAAATGGCATGTAGGGTGCCAGAAGATAGAACGTGACTAATTGAATGATTTTCACTTGCACTTATAATACACGAAGTGAAGTCAGTAAAAGTCATTTATTAGTACTTATTACTACAAGCCACAAGCCCTATTGTTGGTAAACTCGTATATATTTACGTTTTTATCGCCTTTTATATTACTAAAGCCGTTGTCCCCGTTGTCCTTTCTTTCCTCATGGCTGGTATTTCTCTCATGCTTTCACATTTGCGCTTCGAAGGCCTCGTGACGATAGGCTGAGGCCAGTTGGTCTTGTCTTGCCTTGCGCAACAATATCTGCGCTATTAACAGCGGAAATAAGAGACCCAGCGCGGGTGCTCCGTCGTGGAAGAGTGTTCCTGATATCGTCCCGTGCAGCCATGCACCATTTAATTCAAACGAGTGCATCTCCTACTAAGATGGTGGTGAAAGCTTCCTTCTTACTAGACTGGGCTTGTCCTTCCAGTCGTCGGATCGGTCTCTTTCTCTTGGTCAACTTCGGGCGTAGGTTGCTATTTTGTAGATGGATAAGATTTGGCTGGGGTTGGATGAGATTGTGCTGAGCCACTGTGGTCGTGAGAGCTGCCTTGGAGAATAGGCGATAGAGTTTAAGGAGGGCTGCAGATAGTACCCCGCTGTTTTCTAATGGTCGCTTGTCGCTTCGGTAGAGGAATCAATGTCTTACTACCGATAGAGTATATTTTCGGTCTTGCAACCCGTCTTGAAGGTTCTGCACGGCGTTCAGGCATAGTGGGCGTGTAAAGGTTCAGGTAATTTTCACTCTTCTGGATTCTACATAACATTATCTAAAATTTCATAAGCTCTGTTGAATTTATATAATCTTGTGTTAAAATTAAATATGACGTCTTCTAAGAATAACACATTTTACATTTCTATTGTATTATAAATCTCTTATCGCCTGGCTCTGCCCACTTGTATTCTCGGTCCCCAACTCCATGTTTGCCCTGTTCGCTTTCTCTTCCCTTGCTATTACCGCTTCTTTTGAATTGATTTTATCTTCCCTTTTAGTATTATTTTCTCCTCAGCCGTTTTCTCAGATTCTGCGGCTGCCCAGTTGACGATGGATATCGGTATCACGAAGGTCTGAGTACTTCTACATGAAGGCTCTGTCAAGTTATCCAATAGCACCATCGAGAGAGCCATTCCCACGGTGGACTAATCTGATCATATTCAAAGGCCTCATTATTCGATCTTGCTCTGGCACGCCGGAAAGCAGTCCAAGAACGCGTGTGAGAATCGATTCCAAACTCTTGACAGTGGTCAATCATCCTGTCAATAAATTCCTGACAGCCAGTCTCCTGTTCCTGTTCCAGGCTCTCCCTTGCCTGGGCTGCTTCTTTGCTAGCTGCTTCTTCCCTGCTGAGTAGTTCAGAAACGAACTCAAGGGCCGTTTCTAACCGGACTCGCACAACTGTCGGCTCCGGTCCATCCTCATAATCGGGGCGGTTGACAGCCAATGCCGGACCAGACTCAAAAAGTGGTAAGAAGCTGACTGGAGAGATCAAGTGAGAATCTTCGCATGTCCTCACTAACAAGACAGTGTGATTTGAAGATAGGAATTCTTGGACCTTCTCCTTGTAGTTGTTGTCGCCCCGTCTGAATGGTGTGATTAGGTCGTTCTGATATGCTTCGAATTGGTCGTCAATTACCATATACAAGGCCTTGAATAAAGGACGCATGAGATAACCATGGTTGCGAAAGGATTTAATGGGCGGGGCAGCCATGGTATCAAAACAAGTGTTGAACGAGACAGGGTCATTGAGGGATTGGGAAAGCATCTCGGAAAGCTCCATATGATAAGTAGATAGTTGAGCCAGATTCATTCGCAATTGCTGTGGTAGAAACATATGCCTGGCGATAAATCCACCCCTTTGCAATGGGGACCGGCCATTATATTGGCGGAGCCAAGTACGATAAAAATAACGTCCTGTAAGGTCAAGCCGTAAGGAGTGCTCTGTCCCGTAGACTACCTCTTCGTCTATGTATAGCATAACTTCCTTGTTGAAGAAGTGAATGATGGAATCTCGTTCAATAGACAATACCGACGTGGCCCAAAGTTGATCCCAGCCTTCGTTCCATTGAGCGCGGTACTGTGTCCCGGATCGAAGTTTCATGGCTACCTGCTCGTAATGCATGGTTTTTAGTTCTTTTATAAAGAGATTGAGAGTTGGTTCCGGCAATGAGTGCCAAGGGGGTGACGGCGGGTCTGAATATTGCGGGTTGCAACAAATGTTGTCCTTGTTATCCGAATCTTGGCAGTTCATGTGTCCTGTCATGTCACCCTCCCATTCTATGAGGTAAGTCATATCATAGGTCTCATGGCAATGTGGGTCAAATTCGAGATGAAGAACCGATTTCCGCGACATGTTGTTGGTAGTTCTGCGTGGCGTGTAGTGTTTCCAAGTGTGTGATGTAGGTGGAAAAAGAAGGTAAGAGGGTGGAGGAAGGCACGTCTTTATATGCTGATGTGATTGTAATTTGTGTAAAGCTTATTACAGGGCTCCAACTTAAGCTTCAGTGAGTCAATCTGTGATCACTTTCGGCTTGGCCGTGGAACGCCTATTGGCAAAATACAATTAGTGTTTGTTATTGAGTTTGACACGTGACAGGCGACTTGGCAAATACACCTTTGTATTTCTCACGAGCGGCCATCTCCTTGACGAAAGCGATAATATATATTGATTCTCAAGTCTCTAGACCAGTTTGAGCCTTTTCAAGCATCTGGCTATATGGAGTAAATCTCAAAAGCTAATGAAACAACTGGAAAAGGCAAAGATGTAGAAGATAATGCTCGAACGCTGACTTTTCCATAGTATTTCATAAGTGATGTGTCCCTTGTGGGCATGGTATCTTGGCAGGCAAACCTGGTCTTACGATTGTTGCTGTACTACATTGGTCGAATGAGTCCACAGCAACGCCTCACGAGCATACCGGAACACACTACGGACATGGAACGTTGCAGCAATACAGGCGCCGAGCTGCGCATGGGCACCGAGACCTCAAGTGCCATAAACGATAAGATAGACAGCGAGTTGGTCATTCGGTCTGATATGGCCAAGGAGCCAGACGTTTATGATGAGACCACTGGTGAACCGAAGATATTGGAGGATCGTAAAGGCCAAATTATATACAAACGTCGACGTCGGAACCTCACTTGACAAGCCGCAACTACAGTCGCGAGAACAGAAAGGAAATTGAAGACCGTTGCAGAAAAGGCCTTGCATAGCGCATTCATAAGTGATTTCTTCAGCTATCAGGCAAATCATTGTGATTGAAGGACACTTCATATCCATCCACCCAATATCAGACAACAATTATACGCGTTCGGCTAACGTAAGTGCGACTAAGTGTATCGAGGTCATCGGGTTACAAATAGTTAGTACATGATCCATTATTCCAGCCAATATCTCTGAAAAGGTTAAATAAGATGCCCATGAACGAGTTTTGGGGATTTTACAGAGATGTTGGCAGCACTTGCATCGCCGTAAGAGCAGATGGCGATATTAGCACACGAACTACAGTGTTGTGAAATTACATCTGATAGCTCTCAGATTTAAGCTAGATAGTTTAGTACTATCTCGTATGGGACCTAGTTACCTTTGAAAACCACAACTAAATAAGGAGCGTGGCGTCAATAGCTAAACTTTCTAGCCCTACATTTCACTTATAACTAGTGTACCGTGCAAGTAACATACCAAAAACAAACGGTTCTCACTAGCATCTAATAGTCCAAGATTTGCGAAATTACAAGCCCCCTATTTACAATCTACAAAACCGAGATCGTGTCCCCTAGCCTTGGCATTCTTCCATTGACACTCATTTACTCCACAACTTCCTTCATTCACTTCCAAGATGCGTTTCTCGTTACAGTCTCTCGCTCTGTTGCTCTCAACCCAAGCAGGTCTCGCTGTCGCAGGAAATTGCAAGCCCTCGCCGACTACAACAGCCGCTGCAACCACCACCACCGCTGCCCCTCAAGGAACAGCCCTTGTCGCCGTCCTCTCCGACGGAAGCGTAACAAATACCTATCTCAACAACCGGATCCTCAGCGATCAAGGAGACACCCCCGCAACCTTTATCCTCGAGCCATCAACCGGTCGCCTCACCACGACTGTTGATGGCAATAAATACTACCTCCAGACCGTCATCCCACTGGGTCCCCAGCTGTCCTTCCAGTTTGACACGTACCAAAACATCATCAACAACCAGTATCGGTACTTTGTTAAGTGCACAGTCGTCGCGGGCTTTCTGTCGTGCGAGTCTGAGAGTGGTTCGACGCCGATTTATTGGCATATTGAGAGCAACAACTTGTTCTATGGAAATGAAAACGTGCTTACTGGTGTGACTACTGCTCAGTTCCGGTTCCAGTAGAGAGAGGGCTGTGGAGCGACTTGAGTCGTAAATGTCACCTAATTGTCAGGGATGTATGTGATTAGAAGACTTGAGATTTAATTTTAGCACATGATTATACAAATTTACCGAAGCTTACTATAGTTTAGATAATCTTATATAAAGTCTAGAATAGTGGAAATTACCTGAACTTTTACACTTATGTGGAGTGATATGGCGTACTCTGCAACCACACCAACAGCCTTTGTGGTTGTTTCTGTAAGAACTGTTCTGGAAAATACAATTACCTATCGCTTGCCTTTGTTACTCAACACCATAATGATGCAGTCAAGTGGAAATCTGGCAGGCCTCAGTGGCTTCTCGGGCTTTTTGTTGAGTACATGACTGCCTATCACTAGATCTTTACGGAAACACACCATCTATCCTTAACATCCATTCCGGCGTCCTTCTAATTTCCACCATTTCGCCCTAGTCGTACGTGATATAAACAATTTGTTTTCAATATTTCGTTCTTCAGTAGGATTTTCCAACATTCTGAAGATAGGTCCAAACAACGAGCAAAGCACAGTTGGGGCTAGAAGATCAGAAGACTACAACGGCCTGTGACGAAAATAACATGGGGCCGCGGATGCAAGATGGAGTCGGCGTATCACGAGTAAAGTTGATGGCATCGAGCATGGTGTCAAGCGAGTCCAATCTGGCGCGAGACAGGAAGCGCGGATGATGAGGTTGTTGGTGCATTCCATTCCGGACCTGGGTAGGCAGTGGTTCAGTATTCAACTTGTGTAGTATTCAATCCAGCTCCCGCAAGGTCTGAAATGTGTGAGTATTGCCGCATGGTGTGCGATTCCAATAGAGCGTAATGCTTTTGATGATCTGTGGTTTGCTTTGACTCTGGTTGATCCGGTGTGCAAAATAGTCTGCTTGCTCCCCCTTCAATAGAAAGCCAGTGCCCGAAAAGATATTGAACCTAGGCATGTGGCCTGGGATGGACTTGAGGGCATGATCTAAAAGAACGTGAAGGTTGGGGTCTGAGCCTGGAAGAGAACTTGCGTTCCAAAATCTCAGGCCGATATCACCATCGTGAAGCTCTTGCTTGAGGCAGGATACGATGGTACGGAACAGACTCTTGACTAGCCGCAGGCTTTCCATCTCAGGGGATGACATCCTACTTCGAGATGCTGTTGTCTTGTGAAGCTGGGCCGCTGAGATTGAGATTTGAAGGCGAGCTGCATGACCTTCGACGTCCAAAGCTGGCAGTTGGCGGTGGTGAAGATCCCGGGATTGTATCTTCATCTATGAAATACCCAGTCTTATGACAATATGGGGGCGGAGGTGAGGTACTTGGTACTTTGTAAATGGTCTTGGCTTGAGCGACAAGGCAATTGTTAGCCTTCTCAACCTGTCCAAGACCATGACTTACACTCCAAGTCCCGAAGGCCTCCTGAAGAGAAGACCACAGGCCATTTGGTTCTACGACAAATAGCCGCAGTACTTCAAGCAGGCCTCTACAGAAAGTCGGAGTCGGGAACCGCTTTATATCAGCCTCAACTTCAACCGACCCAAATCGCTTGTATCATGCCCCAAAAGCGTCTAAAGTCAGAAGTAACAATCCATCGCGTTCCAACATTGACTGCCATGACGTTGACGTACAGCATCACACTGGAACAGTTGAGCACTTTCATCGCGCTGGAGTGCCTCATGTCCAATCTCAACCTGCCATTGAGAAGTCCAAACAAGTCCAAGCAAAAGCCTATAATGCCGTTCTTCATCCTGTCGCTGTTAGGACTGACAGTGAATTGGGAATGGAGCCACTCCAAAAGTCTTTGTCGAGGCTCTTGGTGTTCAAGGGCTGGGCTTTCGGGAGTCTGGCGAGATGGCGGTTCGGTAGCGCGTCGATCATGCCGAGGTACTTCGTTCGAGACGTCTGCGGATTGTCGAGATTAGCAAAAGGTTTGTTGCTCAAAATGGCCTCCAGAATCTCATGAACGAACAAACCATGGCTGTATTGATCGTTCTGCCGGGGAGTGATCTGCAAAGTGTCAGTTGCCATACTCTCAGCATGCTCTGAACAACCCACCATACGGGCAAGAGTAAACTCGTGGGGTTACCGAGAATCGCACTAAGAGCATGATTAGCACGATTCTCTTTATCATCACTGGTGCTAGAATCGTAGTGTTCAAGGTAGTGCTTTGCAAGACGAACAATGACCAGCGACCAATGCTTCACCGACGTGTGATGGAGGGAGCTTGTCGAAACCTTGTCGAAACCTTGCAGCGGGGGAGGAGTCCTTCTGGTTGTCGTCGGTCTGAAATCAGAGAGGGCTCATAAGCTTGACATGGTGCTTCTCGGCATTCGCAGGGAAGGCGTTGATGATTATTTCCATAACTTCGTCGGTGAGCTTGGCGTTGAGCGTGGCTAAGATCTGGCGAGCAATGTGGAGGTGCTTTGTTACTTGGTTGCGCTGATTGACACCGGCGTTTGAGGGCGCGGCGCTGGAGCGATGTGTATGGATGATATGTCAGCTAAGAATATCCGACAGGTTCAAGATTAGTTGAAACAAACAAGACTTACCCACACCGCCGAGATCCATCGAGTATCTTCATAACGAGAAATGAAGTCCTCGGCGAAAACGGGAGCGTCCATCTCCTGCCCAGGCGAGTGAGCGCGTCTCATCTCGGGAAGAAACCTTCCACCAGTGAAGAGATTCGAGTTCTTCGGGCGTTTGACAGGCGTTTCCTACTCGGGAGGGCTATCGGTACTTCATCCGGAAAAGCAAGTTCAGCATCAGGTACCCCAAACCGAGTCTTCATGTCGTCGTAGGCTTTGGTCGCCATGGTCTTGGTTGGGAGGCCTTGTGGGTACGACATGGCAGCACTGCGCAGCTCACCCCGGGCTGCCAAAGGCTGGGAAGCTTGACGCCCCTGCTCACAGCGAGGCTGGTGAGGCTGGTGATGGGCCTGGCCTCGCCTTTGTGGAAGAAACTGGATGGCGTCCAGCTAACAGGTAAGGCTGAGGTACTGGATATTTTGGTCCGTGTTGTCGGCGGACCTTTTGAACTTGTTGTGCTGCCTGCTGACTTCTCTCGACGGCCTTGAACTTGGGTATCTGAATGTTGAGTGCGCTGAGGACTTGCGATCGCTCAGAGTCGGGTAGGAGTCGAAGGTTGGCCTTGATGATGGCGGCAGCGTTGTTCTTGGAGAATTTGACCTGTATCTATTGTGAGATGGTTTGTAGGGGTGTCTGGAGCGATCTGCTCACCTTGTCTTTGCCTTTTTCGGCAGGGCTGGCAGAGCTGTTGATCTATTGGAATCACAACTCATAGCCGAAGATGTTGGATGGTCTGGCTTGAGAGTTGGAGAGCTGTGATGGCGCAAGAGATGCGTTGGATCAGCCGTTTCGGAGGTGATGTCGCTGGGCGCGGTTTGACGTGATGTGTGTGTGTCGTTCGTGAAGAGTGAGTGTTCTCGCAAAGAGGATTATTTCGGTAGAGTGAGTGGTGTCGTGTCGTGTTCGCACAGGAAATGGCTGTGCTTGGTCGGTGGAGTTGATGGCGAGGTGGGGTTGTGCATCACGAGAAATGCTGGCACACACGCGCGCGCAATGTCAACATCTGAAGAGGGATAATTGATTGATTAGGGAAGCATTCAAGCATGTTGGACCTCCATAGAAAACTTACGAGGTTTGTGTTTTTGACGAGATGGCTAAGATACAAGAAGTAACGCGGGCAGAGCCAAGAGGACATGGTGAGACTCTCACATGTGGCGTGATGATTCCTCTGAGGTCTGTGACTGAAATTTGATTCAACCTTATAGTGACATCTACAGATCTGAGTAGCCTGCAAGCAAAAACAGCGTCAAGTTGAGATCCAGATTAACGAAGTGAAGGTGCACTTCTAAAAGGCTGGCTTTAGGCTGCGGTTCTCGCAGCTGCCTGCCACTGCCAGAAGGCTGTGATTCACCTTTGTTTTCGTGCGCTTTACCGGCAGGGCTACAAAGTTGAGATTTTCTCTTCATTCATGACAGCTTCTTCTTCTCTCTCTTTTATCTTCATCACCAGCCTTCGTTTCTGCAGCTTCCTTCATCTTCATCAACCAGCCTTCATTTCTGTACCTTCCTTCACTCCTCTACCATGCCTGACGACTCTCCCTCAGCAGAGATCCCCTCTCTCTCATCTCTACACATCTCCGACGCGACCGAGAACATGCAGCAAGAGGTAGGTCACGCAGTCATTCTTCAGTTCTACGCAGGTCTAATTTTTTTCCCAGGACAACAGCGCTCTCTCCGTCATGGCGGACCAAGCAGCCAACTCGTCGCCACCCAAATCGTCTATGTACCCCGAACTCCACAACTACGTCGCTGAGAGCCTCGACGAAGATGGCCTGGTATACTCATTCCGGGATCACGACAAAAAGGTCGACATCAAGCGCCAATACGACACCAAGACCATCGGAGAGTTTGTCTGTGACAATAAAGCTTGGTGTTCCCATCACTGGCATAGCAACTCTATCGCCATCACCATTCAGGAGTATGAAGACAAGTCATACAATGTCGTCGTGTACCACCAGCTCTGCAGCAAATGCAAGAGGTCGACCCGTGCAACACTTGACAAACTCTGTTACTCAGACAGAGTTGCGTACCGACTTAAGAAATGGAATGGTATCCATGCCAAACAGCTCGTCCGGGAGGTGGAGTCCAAGGGAGATCACAAGGAGAAATTGTGCGAGGGCTGCATCAAAGGCCTCTGCAGCAAGAAGAAATCGTCAGCTAAACGCTTTTTTTGAGCCATGGTCTGAGATTGGTTGCTCAGCTGCGTGGATATCGGGAAGATTGGGTCAGGGCAGAGAGGTTATCAGGGCTAGAGTCTATTGAGGGATTGCACACCACTCTAGCAAGCATGAAGAACTACGATTAATCGCACCAACTTTTACAACATTTTGACTCTCGGTGACAATCCACGTAATGGGATTCAAATGCAGAGCGAAAGCAGGTAAACCCCTGTCAGTAACATGGAGAAATAATTGCGTCGGGGTCTTAAAGCACTTGCATCAGGTACGCTTACAGGGGCGACGACTTGAGGGCATGGCAGCTAAAGATCCGCCACCACCACTCATCTTTCACACTTGATATCTAGCCTTATGCCGCTTCTTCTCGCAAGGCCAGATACTTAAGTTATAGTTTTGAATCCGTCTTAAAGCTTACCAGTAGGTCTAAATGACTACTAATTATGGAGTCGGTATGTTCGCAGTCGAAGAAACAACAGCCAGTCAGGGCAAGGCCAACTAACAGACTACTGACTGCTGCGACCTGTCTAAATTTTTGCTTGTGTGGAGAAAAGAAGTTTGATGTTCTTATTTTCGTTGCCCTGGAACCGATGAGGGTTTGCAGGGCCGGCCTGGCACAGCATTCCTTGTTCATACATAACGGCGTGAAGTCTAGATCGTACTGGGACATAATTCAGGTACTGTGTACACCTCTACTACTCCCCGATGGGGGACAATTTCACCTCCAGTAATCTCGAGGTGATTTGTATGTGATGACTGCTATGTCGTTGTTGGAATGAAATGAAGCGAGGTTCGATGATAGAGCGACAAACACACGCGTTGAGAGCAGTCTCCAGGGTGGTTCTTCATTCTCCGTCGGACCTCCAGAACGTCCTGTTAATCTTGTCAAGTGCACCTTTGACCGCTGCTGCGACTGCTGGGTAGTTCGACGTCGAACGGAGTTCGCATTCAATGATGGGGAAATGGCTTTCTTTGCGGTATCGTTAAGTCGATCATAAAGCCAGAGGTGGCGGGATGGACATAATTCGAGCGCAACATCTCGTAGCGAGGATACGGTCTGGCACTCCCACCAAGAGTCCACGGTTACTGCAACCACTTATCAGTATAATGGTGGCGTCAGATCGATCGAGAAACGCACAAAGAAAGATCAAGTGGCCCTCAGCCTACCGTCAGATCAAGTATCATAAATCAAATGGACTTCTTGTATCAGTGATACTGAACGGCTGTGGTACGTCGACTGCGTCTCTGTCATCGTTATCTTCTTTTTCCATATCTGAGAACTGGCTTTTTGGCGACGTAAAAAGAGATTACTTGACTGAGAAATGAAGAAGCCCTGAGGCTTGAGGAAGTGACTCTCTCGGGAACTCAGAAGTCCCTTCACCCGACTCAGCAGAGAAGTTGAATTGTTCCTCATAGTAGCCGCTGGGTATCGTTCGTGTTTCGTCCTCGTGATTGTCATGATCATCACCCTTGTGACAAGACAGATCCGCCGGGTGAAATTTTCGCCGGATTGACGCCGGATTGTTCCTGCGATCTCGAAAAGGTCATTGGATCATCAGGAGAGAAGGGTGAGTGAAGACCAAAGAGGAGCTGATACTGGACATACGAGACGACATTTGGAACTGAGATTTATGGGTACCAGAAGTAGATTGTGTCAGACCGGCTGGTAATAAAACGTGCTGAGATATTGTAGACGCGACGCGACGCTCATGTGAGGAGCGCATTACCTTGCTTCTGAGTCTCGACGCGCTGTCATGTGCCCTATCTTGTCGGACGATTGGACGTACCCTACACTGCGACGGTAAAGGCGACAGTTCAAAGGAATAACCAAAATGGACAAGTTAGCGTATGACTAGAATTGGAGATCATTCAATATATGGTCTAATGGCTCGAAAGATTTAATGGAAATCAATGTCTACGTCATGTAAGAGCAATTACTCCAAGTTTTGGTATTGATCTCCCCACTGCTCTTAGCCGGTTTGGAGCCCAGTGATCTCGAAACAACATTGCTAGTCACCAAATCGATAAACCAAAAACAGTATCTAGCGTGCAAGGAGGATTTGAGCTCATGTACTTCTATATACTAAGCACAGTTATCCAATTTGTCTGTTCGCAACCTTTCAAGTTAAACGCAAGAATGACTTGCGATTTTTGGAGGTAAAGAGCCAATTGCTTATCGCGATTGACTAATCGGGACTGATAACGTACGCTGCAGCGCTGTCGCCCGCTGAAACCTACTAGAATTACCTAGATCTATCCACTAACGTTAATGGCCTGACAGCCTGAGCACCCACGGCTCTAGACCACGCTCCGCAAAACAGGGTCGATGCGTATTCCCTTCATATTCCCCATCAACTACACATCCATCCTCGCAGGGATGCGCTCGCCATCTTGAGTATCAGACGGCAAGTTATTTCCTCGTTCTAAGGAATTGTCGAGTACAAATTTCATGCTCTCTTTGTGCAGGTGGCTTATGCCCCGCGTAGCAGCATCCCTAAGTTGACGCCGGCTTAACTAACAGTTCAAGGTTCAGATACTTTCGACATATTATCATGTGCGGCTGAGATCGACGAGCTTCATGGCAGCAAAGATGTCGGTGCCGAACCTTTAAGACTCGACGCTCCTCCATATACCGAAGTATCCTTAATTGAACAAGTAGAGATGAGCGACGCCGCGAGAACCGTCTCGCATCGCGGTGTTCTTCCAACACACGGCACCGAGCCCACCAACAAAACTCTCCCGTCATACAAAGAACACTTTCAAATCGGACGACAGGCTACGAGTAGTCTGCTTCACAATGCAGTCCGGATACCAGCCAGAGACTTCCACCACAATACGCCAGACCCAATGCTGCGACACTCGTCTCAGACCACGACATTCTAGAAAGGTGTTAAGTACCTACATCCATATAATGGTGCAGTCTAGAGTGTCAGGTGGGTTGCAATTTAATCCGCACACCAAGCGAGGCTGACAGAAAGACTTTGTCTATTTGTAATACGAGAGTGACGAATAAATTCTGTCAATTCATATCATCAGGTGCTTCAAGTGCTTTATCCTGCGGCTGATATTGCAACCCACCTTGTGTTCAACAACGCAGAGCAATGTGGCGGAGTAGTGGCGGAGTAATGGCGGAGTAAGCCGGGGGAGTAGTGACCTCAGCTCACCACAATTTCATTTTATATACCTTCAATAAGCATTGGGGCCGAACTGAGTCCTTTTTAGTTCTTCCTTACTTTCCTGCTGTTTCTAAAGTAACATTATGGACCCGGTTTCCGCACTCGGTGTTGCCGCTGCCGTTGTTCAGTTCGTGGACTTCGCATATGGTCTGATTTCTACCAGCAATAAGATCTTTCACTCAATAAAAGGCGCGAGCCTCGAAAACCTGGAATTGAAGGAAGTGTACGGAATGCTTTATAGACTTGGTGCAGAGCTTGAGATTCGTCCTCGCCCGGAGGGGACAGCATCGACATTGGGATCTGCATTACCGTCTTCAAAACAAGTATCTGATCTCAGGCAGCTTTCTGAGGCCTGTAAATTAGATTGCGATGAACTCCTTGGAATACTCCGAAAGTTAACGGTTGAAAAAGGAAAAAATCGCCTGTGGAGAAGCGTGAAGGCTGCTTTACAAAATGCCGCAAGTCGTCGGAAGATCGCCGAAATAGAGGCCCGATTAGAAAGGGCACAGAGGACCATGTCGCTTCTCATTGCAACTATTACAAGGTATTTACGAGTAAAGACAACAGGTTTAGTGACCATCTAGCTAACACAATTCTAGGGACCATGTCTCTGATCTTGAAGAGACACTGAAATCTCTGAAGAAGCAAAACCAACGGCTGCATGCAAGTCAGACATCCAAGATTGACGGCATATCTAAAAGACTTGATGGTCTCAAGTTAACAGAAGCTTCGCGACCGGAAATGCCCTCGGTCGACCAGATAGAGAACCTAATAACAAAACTCTCTGCTCTGTCTACAGATTTTGATTCAACATCCAGGGAGCAAGCGATCCTGGAGAGCCTCTATTTTCCATGCAAACCTGTCCGTCACGGAACCATTCCCGACGCCTACGCCAACACGTTCCGATGGATTTTCCAATCAAGCTTTTCACAATGGTTAGAGTCCCAGAATGAAAGTTTCTGGATTTCCGGCAAGGCGGGCTCGGGGAAGTCAACATTTATGAAATTCATCGCAGACAATTCTCAGACAAGAGACATCCTTCAGACTTGGGCCAGCCCGAAAAAGGTAGCAATTGCAGCACACTACTTCTGGAGCTCAGGTACAGCCATGCAGAAGTCCCAGCAAGGCTTACTGCAATCTCTCCTTTTCGAAATCTACAGGCAATGCCCGTCTTGTATTTCTGTATCTTCTCCAAGCCGCTGGGAGGAAGCGGGCGGGCGGCTATACGAAACAAGAACGAAATCATGGATAGTTCCAGAACTTCTTGAAGCTCTTCGCACTGTGGCAAAACAAGAGGATCTCCCTGTCAAGTTTTGCTTCTTCATCGATGGGATGGACGAGTTTGATGATACCCAATTAGAACACCGAGAACTTTGCGAGATTTTCCACGGCCTTTGCCGATCCCCTCATATCAAGATTTGCACCTCCAGCCGCCCATGGAATGTCTTCGAGGATGAATTTGGGCAAGACCCTTCGACCAAGCTTTACATCCATGAGCTAACGAGGAACGACATTGTCCACTTCGCAAAGGGCCGGCTGGAAGGCCATCCGAAATGGGCAACATACACAATGGAAGAAGAACAAAAACAATCTCTAATAAACGACATCGGAGACAAAGCCAACGGCGTGTTTCTTTGGGCCTTTCTTGTGACTAGGTCCCTTAGAAACGGGCTGGACGATGAGGACACGGTACATGACCTTAGGAAACGACTGGAGTCCATTCCTACAGATTTAGAACGCCTTTTCAAGCACATGTTAGAGTCAATCGAGCCGGTCTATCACGAAAAGATGGCCGGAATCCTGCAAATTGCACTGCATGCAAAGGCACCCCTTACGATCGATATATATGGTTACCATGATAGAGAATACCAGGACGAGAACTACGCAATCAACTGTCCCGTCGAGGTGCCTACGATAAAGCAGGGATTGGAGCTAGATAGGCAAACACGCCGACGAATCAATGCCAGGACCCGAGGGCTCTTGGAAGCAAAAAAAGACCATGTTGAATTCATACATCGGACGGTCCACGACTTCTTACAGACTACAGAGATGAGCAATTTCCTTCTAGCAAAAAGCAAGCCACGTTTCGACGCCTATTGTTCCATTCTGAGAGCCTACATCGCTTTGATCAAGTCCACTCGCTTTGCTAAGATTGTGAGGACCTCACCCGGCCAAAGTGGTGGATATCTCATCTCGTTATTGCGAGAAACTTTGAACTATGTTCCAGACGCCGCAGTCAGCAGCAATAGCCAGGTAACGTTATTACTGAACACATTGGAACATTCCATTGGGGAAATGTTCGAAACGTCTCAAGCCAGCTTTATCTACGGAAAATGCGAGGGAAGACTTCTTTTTCGAGAAGAGGCCCTTCGATCCAACTTGGCCAAATATATTTCACAGCCACCAAAGCGACATGCGGAAGAAGAGTTTGCCCAAGAGACTGGGTCAATGAAGATAAAAGTAGACTAACTTGTCGTATCAAGTACCCCCAGTATCAGCGGTGGCCCGACCTAATTGCTTTTACACTGAAAGGGAAATCTTGTCAGTGAAGCTGGCTTCGCTACCTTCGCGAGGATATACCGATGAGTTGATAGCAATGTAGCGAATCAGATGCCACAAAAGTCAATTGTCAAAGATTTCCTATGTCCCGCAAGAATTCTTGGCAGACGGGAGTTTTGCTTCAGACAAAGATGATTTTCTGGTTACATTAAACTTTAGCGATGGTAACCCACGATAAAATCTATAATTAAACACTTTGTCTTTTACTTCGCCCAGTAAGCTAAGCTTTGCTCCACACGTAGCCGAAACTCAAATCCAACGACGCAACTACAGTCAAATCGCAATATAAATTGCAATGGAATTGCAAAGGGAGACATAATCATTAGGCTTGTATCAATTGCAGAAGCTATGGTATTGATGGTCGCCCTCAACGACGACACGACGAGGCAACCTTGACAAGGAGTGGCACAAACAAAGCATTTGGAAATGGGCGATGCCAAACTACCCAACTTCTAGAGTCAGAGACAGGGAGTCCCTGTTCGTTGAATGGCCCCCTGAATTATGAGTAAGGGAAGAAAACTGGTTGTAAGGTTATGCAATGCCAGCTCCCGTCCCTAAGCATGGATCCCTGAAATGTTGACCAGGGTTTGTGATGTCTTCTTTTGGGTTCGCGTGTTCAGAAAAGAGCTTGTGGCAATCTCATCAACTGTCGCCGCAGAATATTGACTTTAAAGAAACTGCAAACGCCACCATCTTTTGCTCACAAATCATGTCTAGTTGTTCCTGAAGAGGTCCAAAAGAAGCTGACGTGGTTGAGTTCGGATAGCTGCAGCCCTGCCCACCACTTCATTTCAAAAATGCTTTCTTTTGTCAGAAAGAACGGCGAAGACTCTAACTAGCCCGCTCCTTGGTATCTTGTTAAGTAACTTGGAGCTATCCTGAACCTTGCTAGCTATTTTGATTTGGAGTCGCTGTGGCTGAACTACTACATTCTCAACCCGTCGGCTTCACGCAGCCCTCTCTTTGTTGCAGGCGCTTTGTACTCTGTGAATGACTAGGCTACCTCTTTAAAGCAAACACCAAAACATATCTCACCGCTCTACTGGGTTTTCTGAGTCAGTCTTTGTTTGTCGACAGCCGCAGGCTTGTTCATAGCAAACACTCTGTTTATCATATGTGATGTTTCCACCCGCCCCGCTTTCATATCTGTTGATTTGTCACTTTCACGTCACTGCCTACAGTTGCATGCCGCTCGATCATCTCATCTATATATTCTCTTCACCTCCTTCAGGTCTCCACTCTTGCACCCTGAACACCTGAACACAGCAACACAGACAAAACAATAGAGACAAGACAGCGCAGACACAACAACACCCTTCACAACACCACAGACTCAACAACATCCTTCCGCAGACGGCCAAAATGTCCACCGAAACTACTCAAGGTTCGTCTTCCTCCCCGCTCTGTTACATTTGCTAACTGCCGTAGCCTTCAAAGACGCCTCCGAGCGTCAAATCACCGACCATTCGATCGATCGAGCCTCCCGAACCGTGACCTTCACCATCAAGTACCGCTCCACCATCTCTGATTTCGTCACTGCTACACTTGCCGAAATCACCGTGCAAGAAATCGACGAACCCCTCGTTCTCAAGTACTGGACCGAAGCAGGCGGACGTGCCAATACCGGTTTTGGCAAGGATTATGTCTTTAAGATCCTGGAAGAGACCAAGGGATACTGGGCTGTCCAGTGGGTTGGGTACTCGGCTGAGGAGGACCTGACCATTGAGGATAAGCATGTCGTTGCCCGCAAGTGTCCCCAGGCTATCGTCAAATGGCGCAAGAGTTTGAGCCGTGAGCATGTGAGTTGAAAATTCTGTGAAACACCTACCTGAGTGGATCTTTACTGGCGAGCTTAAGCTGACCTGAGCAGTTGATCATGGTTCAGCATTTCAGTGTTGGGATTGATGTTCTCCGGGGTATTCCAGCTTGGTATTCCGATTTGCCCGAGGTTGACATCGATGAGCTTGATGATGAGGAAAAGGATAGACTGGGGATCTTTTGAAGGGATTATCAGAAGATGCTTGTGTGATGTTGAAAATGTATTTTCTCGACTTTGAGACCCATTGAGCCTTCTCTCAACTCAAGGCGAGCTGGATTATGTGAGATTGGAAGCTGTAGCTGAGACATCTGAGCCCTAATTCGGCATCAACAATACAGTAAATGAACAATTCAAGAATCACCTCCACTCACTGGTATTGTCGATATATGATCAATTTTGGCCCATACGAAATGTCTAATGTTTCGGTTGGAACTTTCGCACCTGCTCAAGATCACTCTGAGTTTGCGGTTGTCTTTTCTGCGGTTCATGAGCCGGTCTGGGATGTTTCTGTTGAGCCTTGGGCGTCTGGTAGTAACAGCTCTTTAAGCGCCACGAGTATCGCAGCCGTGTTTCTTGACGTAGAAACTGGCTTTATCCCGGACCGTCACAGAATACGGCTCCCAGGTCGGGGTGAGATATGATAGCACTTGCCACCTGACTATCATTGACTTTTACGTTTGGCGTCAACTGTCGTGCATCATCGCCGCGATGAGAAAGGGATCGCTCGCGACGAGCAGTCCGGTCCAGAATACTGCCTCTTCCAGTGTTTGTTGGACGATGCTGTTGTACAGATCCTTGCTCAAAGAGTGCCCACTGTCTGCAACATGCCATTTCACCCCAGCGTGTTGGCAGTCTGTAATGGCAAAGCCTTCGGCTGGTCTGACCTTTGCTTCGTATATTGATATTCGTGAGACCAAACCATGTCAGTCATGCGGAACTGTAGAAAATAATGTGCGACTGTGTCCGAGACAAAATACATATGCGGCTCTTGAAGCTGTTGCAAAGAGGCAGCTACGATTCTGAAGGTTTAGGTGAACCGTCCATCCTGTTGGGACTATAACAGAATATAAACGGTCGCGTAAATTCGATTGCCACACCAGCTTCGGTGTGACGTTCGCGTTGCTTTCGCACAAGACTAGAGTGTTACCTCCGATGCACTGGTAACACGCCTAGTTACAGCAGGCAAACGGTGTAACGCTCCAGAACAATCTCTAGCAAGACTATGCACCTCGTTTCACAACACTTGCTGCGCCTGCATTTATTTCTCTGGAACGATTATGATCAGCTTTTGCACTTTGCAGTCTGAGTCCAGAGTAGAGTTGACACCTGTCAACGCTGATGTGCGCGTGACAGATATTTGCACAATGCTTGACTCCAAGCAGCGACCATGAGGCTCAACTCCAAGCGCTCTTATCACCATCGGCTTCTCTCAGTTCCACTTCCTCCACATCCCCCCGACTGAAGGAGAACAGTGCTGATCCTGATACTGGCCAACTTGCCACCTGCGGCGTTGGAGACGAGAGTGACGGGGTTGCCAAGTTTGAGGCGGCTGTTCGGAGAAATGCCAATAAGCAGCTCAAGAATGAGATCCAGGCCTACGAGTGGCTGAGAGAGGTCCAGGGTGCTTTGATCCCGCGCCTCTACGCCGTTATGCGCCTTCCCCTCGCTTCAGAAGGCCTGAGTGAAGAGGCCTGTTACCTCGATGTCTACGTCATCATCCTGCAGGCCATCTCGGGCCCGACGCTGGAGGATCTACCCGAAAAACCATCCGTGCTATCAACCGAACAAGCACTCACGTCAATCCTCCAACACGTATTCAACGCGAGGCGCCAGCTCGTCGTCAAATGAGGCATACTACTCGAAGACCTCGCAACTTCATGCTCGATCAGTCTCTTAACTGCCAGCCGTTCCCCATCGACTTTGCATAGTGATTCTTCAAGGACACGGCGTTTAAAAAAGAGGCCGCTCATGCCAAGGCTGAAGGTGATGTGATCTGGGAACTTTAAAATGCAAAAATAAACATACAACAGCGGGGATTCGCTGGTCGTCACCGACCCAACTACTAATCCGCCGGTTAGTGGCTTGACTATGGGAGAGCGGACGGGATCCCGTATTTTCCACTACCTTTGGTCGTATGTACTAGATGAAGCCTTGTAGTTAGTTGTATAGAGCTCTGTCGCAACTTCTTTCTGGACACAATGGAGGTGCCAAGGGATTAAAGACATTTAACAAGCCAAGATATGTTGTCGGAGACTGCAGATGATCACATCTGTTCTGGCCTGTCTGGAAACCTGTGTATGTCTAAAATGTCCCTGCCTTTACAATACTAATCCTTAGCAGACACGGCGTCAAGGTGTGTTGCAAGGCTTTTTAACACCCAGCAGTGCAAAGAAGATCAGCTCAGCATTGTCTACTTATTGTCCAATAATGCGGACTTATATAGACACATGTGGTTGCTAACTGGTAACGGTCTTGTCATTCTAAAAAGCACAAATTAGTCACAGAGATGTGATTGTAGAACTTCAATATGCAAGTCGGCACTGAATATTGCAGTAATGACTGTCTTGTATTTAGCTAACTATTTGCGCTCTAAGCAGCATGTGTCAAACCACTCTTGGCTCCCCGAGATGTCGAAGCTGATGAGCACCAGTACGAGGTCGTCACCCCTTCCGGCCCATCCGATACGTAGCTATACACATTAGTCATGGAATATTTCTCATAGGCCATAGAACTTAACTTACGAGCGTCTAGATTGATTGTCTTCTAGCACTTTCCGTATTTGTAGGTGAAGCACTGAGTGCTGGTACCGGCGGGCACGCAAGTGAAAACACTGCAGTAGCCGCTGACACAGTTTTGACCAGCGGGGCAGCTGCCCCGAGCATCAAGCTCGCTCACATCTGCCGCGGGGACAGGATTGGCAGTGGGAGCAGCGATAGCTGCGCTGATCAGGGCGGTGAGAAAGATGGCGGTCTTCATAATGATGATTGTCGGTGAGAAGTCAAGTAAAGTGTTTTGGGTTGTTTGTTTTGGTTGTAGAGTGGTGAGGAAATACTCAATTACGTGGAATCTAAGGCCATACTTATACTTCCAGAACTCCATTCCGATACGGCTTCACATTCTGATTCTTTCATTCCGGATGTGAAGTCTAACAAGCCGAGCGCTTGACTACAGTTGGGCTGTCCTTTGGCTTGTCAATGAAGAAGGATCATGTCTCAATGAGGCACGATCTTTGCTCAACCACGATGAAAACTATCTATGATGCAGTTCAGAGTCTCGGTGTAGTCTTTCGCAGGGTTACTACATCGAAGGATTTGAAACCATCCTGAAATGGCGCTATGCAGTAGATCCGCGGGCCGAAGGGCCGAACCAGAGCGATATTCCGTGCCAATATTACGGCTTACCTCATGCAATAAACGATAGGCTGCAAGTTTACGCATTGCCTATTCGAGCCAGAATCCTACCGGAAGCTCGACTCCCCAGAAGGGGCAGGAGCAACTATTCTGATTACTGTGTACTTTGTGTTTCTTGGGTGGTAATAATGAATGATGGCTAGTGTTGTTTCCGACATTGACCCCACAGCAGACCCTGGTCTATTCATCATCCACGCTTAGCGTCCTATCGTCAATGGTTAACGGCCCGGAGTCGAAAGTCAGCTCTGGAAACGAGTTTTTGACTGGACTATAGCTCAAGTCAAGACAATCATTAATTTGGCCCAAGTACGAAGCCGCGTATGATAACCTAAGTCCTCGGGTATATGTTATGTTCTGGGGCGCTAACACTGATTCAGCGCCAATGCCATACCACCGCAGACAGCGTTGATCCACTCCGGTATAGCCATCTTTGAGTTTGTCCTGAGTCGACACCTTCTAGCAACAACCCTGTCTTGGTGGGCAAGCTCAACACTCTAGTAGCAGCTCAACAAGATCTGAATGAGGTAAAGAGTCGTTTGAAATATGCATTTATAGGGATATCTATTAAAATCTCAACGGCTTGAGTGCACTATGAGGTCCATTTAAGCACAGCCTTAAGAGCCTTCCCACTCTTTGTATCGCTAATGGCTTTTTCGAAGTCCTTCACATCATAGTATGTAACCAACTTGTCAATGGGGTATTTGCCTTGCGCATGTTGCTCAATCAGGAATGGAACCAGCTAGGAAATAATTAGCACGCGTATTGTCTTCTAGGGGAAAATGCAATACCTTGTCGGGGGTGGCATCGCCCTCGCAGCAGCCAACATATTCTCGTCCGTGGATAAGCTGTGCAAAGACATCAACACTGACAGTTTTTCCGGGCTACGACATTTGTCAGCAAATTTCTGCACCTATAGAGCTTGACCAAGGATTCTACTATGACTTACAGACGGAGCTCCCACAGAAGCAGCTCGACCTCTAGTCCCGAGGCATTTGATCATTGTCTCAATAACAGCTGGTACACCCGAGCAATCAAGAGCATAATTAACGCCGTTCGGAGGTGAGATCTCTTGGATCTTAGAGATAATGTCAGGGTCGCTGCCTAATATGGTTGTCGTAGCCCCCAGCGACTTGGCCAGGTCAAGCCGAGATTGTTGGAGGTCAATGGCGATGATCTCCTTGGCTCCACGGATCTTGGCAGCCATGACAGCACTCATGCCTACAGAGCCAGTTCCGAAGATGGCGACTGTCTTCCCAGGTTGCACGTCTAGTGTGTTGAGAATGGCACCCGCTCCAGTCTGGAGGCCGCATCCGAGCGGCGCAAACAAACCAAGATTGGTGTCGTCTTTCACTTTGACTAGACTTGATCGGTGGACTATGGCGAGATTTGCGAAAGAGCTTTGGCCAAAGAAACTGCTATACAGCTCTTTTTTGCCTTGGTTGCCCTCGAGGTGCAATGCAGCAGAACCATCGGGTCGTTTGCCGCCAAAGTTCCACGGGACCCAGGAGTTGCAGTACGCAGGATGTCCTGATGTGCATTGTTCGCAGGTGCCACAATGCGCAAACGAGAGGAGTACTTTGTCGCCGGGTTTCAAATCAATGATATTTGAGCCAACTTGTTTGATCACCCCAGCACCTGTTCATGTCATTAGATAATCCAGGGGGGTGAGGTCAGGCTACCTACCTTCATGTCCCAAGACCGCAGGTGCGGAAGCAGGGAGTGTGCCGTTTGCGCAAGATAAGTCGGTGTGGCATATTCCTGTTGCATGAATCTCCACTAGAGCCTCGTCATCTCGAATGGCGCCAAGAGATATTTGTTCGAGAGTGAATGGTCCGCCAATCTCCTGCAGTAGCAGAGCAGTTGTAGTAGACATGGTGGATAAATTAATGGGAAGCTTGATTACTTGGTCTCGATGAAACAACGGAGTATTCTTCTACAGCAGCCGCCCCAGGGCCGACCTTAAATAAAAACGATTCAATGATCTCTAAGTGGCAATTATGCGTCACTGAGGGTTGTGTCTACGATTGCCGCATTTTGTTGCCGAATGGCAGTTGACCTCAATTTAGCTATACCTTAAGTGGCTTTTGATATACCAGATCCTCTCTTCAACTGAGCATTAGCTTCTCGCACAGACGTCTAGCGCATAACTCAGCTTCCCCAGCTTCCCCAGCCGCGGAACAAACATCTAGAACACGTGGAAAGATCAGTACCATGCCCCAGAATGTCTGGGGAACATTTGGAACTAACGTTGGAAATCGCGGGGTTCTGCTTTGGCATTGGACAGATGACTACCGTAGCTTGAAATGAGGAGTCTAGACCTTTCCACTACTTGCCTAACCTCCGCGGAGAGAATTATGGGGAATCACAAACGTAGGTTACTTAGTGTCGGAAAAGATTGGTGGCGTGGCAAGGAGGTTTGAAATGGAAATTTGAATTCTACTAAGATGCTAACTTTTATCTGGTTTTGTTAGGAGAGGCAGATGAATTGGTCAGTTCATACCCGCCTTTGATTTCGAGCAGAAGCCTAACCACTTAATGAGCTGCGTCTGCAAGTGGCCAAGGACTCTGTCGGCCTAGTATATAAGCTCCACCCGACCAACACGCTTGCAAGAAGTTGACAGCCTGGATAAAATATCCGTCCCCCATCGCATCTTGTGCATTGCCCACAAACCGAGGAATGAACCATGGTCAACACAATGACGAGGCTAGGAAGTAGCCCAATGCATTTAATCGATGCTTCTATAACCAAGAAAATACTATCGCTGTTTCAAATCGCAAGGTCGTGACAGGGTTCCGACAAAGACATGATCCGTCCATCTACACTCATTATTTCACATTGCCACCTCCGTTATCAACTTTTTAGAAACTCAGAGGAGGGAGTCTCAGTGTTCCTACCGCAAAAAGTGAGGTTCTGCCCGGGCTCGAACCGGGGACCTTCTCGGTGTTAACGAGATGTCATGACCAACTAGACCACAGTACCTGTTATTACGTACACTACTAGTCTATTACGCATAATCAACAAATGCACATGGAACCGAGAGTGAGGAAGCCGAGCTGTAATGAACCCGCCTTGCCGCTCCTTTTGATTTGGTCTATCTCCGACGCATCCCTATATCTTGAAAGTCCTCTTGATGATGCATTACACAGCTACGCCCCTCCTTGCTCTTGCACAGCGTGCTTTATAAATTCCACTGGCTGCACTAGAATTTCATCTATACATCCTTTTACCATCTATTGTGTCGTCGTCGAACCGCTGCAACAAGCTCAAAATAACACGAATGTCGCCGCCCACTAAACCACCTCAGTGTTGACCAAGCGGACAATGAACGAGGCTGGCAGAAATTAGAAATGGGATTCAAATACCCAATCGTGCTTTGATAGTGCTTTTTGATGGGGTAAATTGGTTGGAGCTGTAGAACTACCTTTCGCTGCATCAACCACACTTCAAGGGTAAATGTTTAGGAGAGAGATCTATAACATATATTACTAACTTACCGCTACTCATCGGTGATGGGGACCTGCTAACCTACTCAACTGTCTTCCGTAAATCAAGACCCGCTCTGGCCACCAGGCCTGTTCCGCTTCGCTCCTTAACGTGATTTCGAACACGTGCCCACAAGAGGCAGACACTTATCGCCAATTGTTATGCACTGCACAATCCTTGACATTTCTTCTACCGGTGATAAGGTTTATAAATCCATGATGATCCATTAGCCGATAAGGTAACTTTCCCTGTTGTATAAGCATCTTTTAGTACCCGTACTAATGCACGTCAGTTCCAACTTTAAGCTCGTATCGGATATAAGCACCTTAAGCCCATTAACCATAAGAATTTTTCACTATTCCTGCAGGAAAGTCCGATCTCTTTTATAGAGTATGAGTTTAAATGGAGCCGGAACCAGGGCTATATAGGGTCAGAATCGTCATTCATCTACATTCTTCTTTCTACCCATAAGTTTATTCATCTCCTTTCTTTTCAAGCTGGGCATCTACTATCAACCATGAAACTCTACGACGCACAAGCTCCCAATCCCTACGCTGTCCGGTTATTTGTTCTTGAGCGCGGCGGCCTAGAGTTCGACGTCCAGAGTATCGATATTATGAACCTAGAGAACCGGCGGCTTGCATACCGAAACGTTAACCCGCGAGGTGAAGTGCCAGCCTTGGATATCGATGGCTTCGTTTTGACTGAAATCACTGCGATATGCGAACATCTCGACGAAATCGCTAAGGGTGGCAAGTCGCTGTTCGGCGACACGGCGCTTGAGCGGGCTGAGACCCGCATGTGGCTTCGGAGGATGGATCTCGAATTGGCCCAGCCTGTTATTGCCTGGTATCGCAATGATCCAGATACCGTTGGCTTCTACAAAGGCAACAGAATCCCAACACCTGAGGCTCGCTTGGTACAAAAAGTCACTATCAACCAGTTCCTGAACCTCCTCGACGATGAGCTTGAAGGCAAGGAATACCTCTGTGGATCACGATTCTCAGCTGCCGACATCCACTTTTATGGACTGCTCAAGATGATGGTTATGGAAGTCGCTCAATGGTTTCTTAGCCCTGGGCGTAAAAACGTGGTGGCATACTTTGAAAGGATGGATGCGCGGAGGGCTAGTCAGCAGGCTCTTGAGCCATTCGGATCTAAGGTTTCGGTACCAATGTTAAGCACTGGAATATAATAACTAGGCAATTTTCTTGCCATGCAGCTATATTCCTACAAGAGATGCTGAAAGAGCATTGTAGGACATAGCACTTTCTTAGCCAGAGAGGCAACTCGGTGCTTAATAGACCGAAAGGACAGGTTAACTTGAAATATAAATATAACTCTAACAGGTCGAGTAATGTCCGATTCTTCTCATCACTTTACACCTCACAGTGCTAGCTACTTAACAGCCTTTTACCTTTACACTCAATCAAGAGCTTCTACTCAGACCTACCAACGATGAAGGCTTCCTTGGCATTTTCTTCTATTACAGCCTTCTCCTGTAGCTTGGCTTACGCCGCTCCGCCTTCCAACTACCTCAATTGGAAGACATTCAAAGCTAATGGAGTCAACGTTGGTGGCTGGCTACACCAGGAAGCCGTAATTGATCCCAAGTGGTGGAACCAGTATGCGCCTGGTACACCTGATGAATGGGACTTTTGTGCAAAGCTCAAGTCGAACTGCGGTCCTGTTTTAGAGAAGCGATACGGCTCTTATATCACGACCAAGGATATTGATGCCATGGCTGCAGCCGGGATCAACGTCATCCGAGTGCCTACTGGATATAATGCTTGGGTCACTGTTCCAGGGTCCCAGCTATATAGTGGCAATCAAGCTCGCTTTCTCAGAACCATCTCTGATTACGCTATCAAGAAGCACGGTATCCACGTTATCCTTGACATCCACTCACTCCCTGGTGGTCTGAATGGCATGGGATTGGGCGAGAAGGAGGGGAACTATGGCTGGTTCCAGAATCAGACTGCTCTTGACTATTCTTACAAGGCGGTTGACGCTGCCATCAAATTCATACAGGAATCTGATGTCCCACAAGGCTTTTCGCTGGCCCCAATCAACGAACCGGTCGATAATCGAGATATTACAAAGTTTGGAACGCCAGAAGCATTAAGTGATGAAGGGGCTGCTTGGGTTCTCAAATACTTCCAAGGCGTTGTTTCGCGCGTTGAAAAGATCAACCCCAAGATACCTATCATGCTTCAGGGTGGCTTCCGACCTGTCGACTTCTGGGCCGAGTACTTTGCTGCCAGTACCAACCTCGTCTTCGATGTCCATAACTACTACTTCGCTGGCCGTCCGACCACTTCACAAAATCTTCCCGAATTTATCTGCACCGATGCCAAAAACACTGTTGGTACTACTTCACCAAAGTTCCCCATCTTTGTTGGGGAGTGGTCCATCCAAGCTACCAGCAACAACACATTCGCCAGTCGGGCGCGTAACCTCAACACTGGCCTCAAGGCTTGGGCTACCTATACTCAAGGGAGCGCTTACTGGACGTGGAAGTTCTTTGGTAACGAGACGGTCAATGGCGAGGGTACTCAAGGCGATTACTGGAATTACTCTGACTTTGTGAAACTGGGTCTTATTAAACCGTCGTCGGGCGTTGGTTGTAATTGAGATGCTTGCGGCGTTCCAACTACGGCAATCTTGTCAACATAGACGTGTTTCATAGCCTAGAGCCATACGCTACCCCTTATCAATCTAGCATCGCTTGCTTGTCTAGGCTTAAGTCGAAGCCACTCTGCCTCGTTGTAGCATTCCATTCTCAGTTCGCTACCTTGGCGAAGCTTGATGTCTTTGTTCATTCGTGTCTTTATATCGATTGTGACATGGGCCGGTCCTGACTCGGGAAATGAGGTGGTGATAGGGAGATCCTTTTATTTCTCGTAGTTGTTAACTGTCTTCAAGATAATAGTCAAGAGATGGCTATATTTGCAAAATGTGCTTTTTGTCTTGATGTTATATGGCATCACCCATTTCGTCCCCGCCATACATCAGCGTACTGGATACTTTCGACTTACATATGCAATGGTTGATATTTCCCTGGCTATTATGCCAGCCGCTGCTCGTCTTCCAATCGGTCAAGCCTAAGCTCTACAATTGACAGGTATGTTTAACCACTGAACGTGCAACTGGCCAAGCGCCGGCTTTTCAATGGCACGTTCAACTCGTGGCCTCTGCTTTTGTCGCTACTTGACTCCAGAGCTTTGCAGTAAGGAGAAAAAAGAGAAAAAGAAATTGTAGGGCAAAATGCTTTGCCTCGACACGGGATCGAACCGTGGACCTTGTCATTACTAGTGACACGCTCTACCACTGAGCCATCGAGGCAGGTTTGCAATTGGTTAGTAAATGCAAAGCTATCATCGACTATGAAGCTACGAAGCGTAGGTCAGATACGGAGAAGGTGATCGATGTTTCTGCTACTACGCCAGGATGATTGAGCTAGAAATGATAGGCGACAACAGTACAGATGGTGGAATAGCCATGATTTGCTTATCAGAACGTAGCAGACAATATCTTTCAGACGGTTTATAGACATCTTTCGTCATATTCTCTGCACACCTTTCCATTTCCATACAAATTATTTATAGTCCATTCATCTTTCCCTTTTATCTGCATCTACTCGTGTGTCCGACTACTCTCTATCCATGTATGCTACAGTTGTGAACTATTCACTCAAGTCCATAGCAAGTTCGTTTGACTCGGTGAGAGAATTGAAGGTTGCGCGTTATCTTTCGGAATATGAACACCAGTGCGCTAGAACAGGTTTGCACAAGGTGCACTATTAGTACTCGACCAAGTCGCATCTTTCAACCTCAAGTCAATGCCACAACTGTCTTAGAACATGCTTGGTATATACACAACTGCATCTAGAGTCCACAGACTTGAATATTATTAACTAAGTTAATGCAGTGGCAGTTAATGAAGTATATCATTGTCCAAACATTCCACTTATTCCTCACAATTTAGTAAACAACTCTTGACAATCACCACAATGTCCAAGTATCACATCTTTCAATAACACCACAAAACCTTTCGCACGACACAGCAGGCATTCCATCATCAACCGTGGGTTATTTGTACAACAATTTGTAGACCTTCAAGGCTACTATCGCTAAGGTCGACGTTTTTATCCGAGCTCGAGTGATTGTCCCTGTCCCTATCTCGTGACAATTTTGGTTTTCAACACTCAAATTAATCCCGCAGATCAGGTAAGGAATCTGACATTGTCGCTGACTTCATCACCCAGCCTCGTCCTTCCAACCATGGATCCCCTTATCCCCTTTATCTCTCCAGTCATATCTCAATCGACCACAACTGTTGGTTTCGAGGGTCAACCTCGCCCCGAATACTTTCAACGCTCCGGACATCTCTCAATCAAGTACCTAGGTCAATGAATCTCCGGCGCCTACAACAAGGGCGCCCACGTAAGCGCCAATACCCTCATTCGTCTTGCACCCAACGAGTCCTGTTGCGTCTGGCCAGCATACTTGTACGCCCCGAGCCCGAGCCCCAAAGCCTGAAACCTTCGCTAGGTTTTCTCTTGAGCTACGCGTTAATTTGAGCTTCGTCTCACCATGCTGCTATCTTATTCGTTTGTGGGTAACTAAGCTCGCTTAGTTAACTTCCTCGTTCCGGCTCAAATCAACGAGCAAATTTTAGGGATCAGAGCGTAATGTGGATACATCCTGAAATGACCATCTGTCCCTATCAAATAAATAGAGTTCAGAATGCAAAAGTATGTTAAGTTATTCCTCGAATCAACGGATCACACCTTTTTCTTACTTCCGGGTTCTCCGTGCTACATCAGACTTCGAAATAACGCTCCCAATATTTCAAGTTGACTTGAACAAGTTTAGTCTACCTAGCCTTTAGCATATATTTTATAAAACTCAATAAGTCATGTGAGTGATCCCTAGTCATCTTTTATTAAACCAAGCCTGATCCCAACCAAAGTTCATCCACCTAAAAAGGCAACTTGGCTTGTGTCATTATAATCATTACTTTGAACAATACCAAGACCTATAAATAGAAGATTTACCATACAAGCAATTAAACTGTAATTCTTTCATTACGCAATACGTTACCTAATTTACTCAAGTATTCTAAATCCTGCTTAGATTGACTTTTTAGTAGTAGCATATTCTTATCAAGGATCTCAAGGTAGTCGGGAATTGATGTAGGAAATATTTCGTTAAACAATTGTTGTGAACAGACAAGGATTGTAGGGCGGGCTCCCTGCGCCATTTACTAGCTATCAAGTTCTCTAGTATGCATGAACCTGGCACTGACGCAGCGGGTAGAAGGATCAATCAATTGCCGCGCTCGGGTCGTAGTCTGGCGCGTTATGCTCATGGCGGTGTAATGATGCCAGAGAGAAACAAGAACACCGTGCCCTACAGGGGTTATCGATTTCGGGACTTGTTATCCGTACATACTAGCATTACTCCAAACTTAAGATATCCTTCACCAGTATAAATAAATGGTTCCCAAACCTCCAGAGTTAACAACTTCCTCTCATTCAATCACAACCTGGAACTTACTTACTTCAATAACACATTTCTTCTACACTCATCATGAAGTTCCTAGCCGTCTCTGTTTTCTGCCTTCCTATGGTATCCGCTCAGGTCTGGTTCACCAACAGTGGTTGGTCCAAGCCAGCTACTTTCAACAGTCAGGCTTGCGCGTCGAACCCCAATGTCCATTATTTCTGTGTATGTACACCCTTTAGCCTGTTGCCCAGGACTAATTGTTTATCAGGGTACTCTTGGTTCTACACTTAACGTAAACCCGTACCCAGACGCCTTCCCAATTCAACGGCCCGGATGCACTCTTGCGGACACCCAGGGCCGAGGCTGTCACTGGCGGGGCGCTACAGGAATCGTAAGTCACCTTGCTAAATCGCGAGATAATAAGTACTAACAATTGGAAAATAGGTTGTTTGCGTTAGTAACAGTTTATCCAAAATGATAAATAGTAATACTAACAAGCTTATAGTGCTAAGGCATCGGTTGATATCGGAAGTTCAGCTTCTTTCCCTATAAATTATATGACATAAAATTTTGGAAAAAGTATTCTAAAGCGAATTAATAAAGTGTGGGAGATTGCCTTAGTTATGAGATGTTTGCTTGTAAGGAACTCCATACCAAGCCAACTTTCAAATACAAACATGTCTCTCCATACCCTACTCAAGGCTCTGCGAAGTTAATCAGACACTCTCTGTTTCTAACATTATCCTCAACTTGCTGTATAACGTGCTATAAATGTGAAAGAGTATGATAAGGACGCCCTTTCTCTAGTACATGATGCGAATGGCAGACTGTTGGGAAATAAGAGAAAGAAATTCCGCCTCTTCCGTCTGCCTTTTTTCCAATTTCACACCTCCGTCGCCTTCAACCTCCTCAGGCAGAGAGTTATATATTCTGTGCAGGGTTTTGTAAATGGAGGAAGACATCTGGATCTTATGTGGACACAAAAGGATTGATAGACTGCGGAAGAGACTTGTCGGGCCAGCCGTATTTCTCCTGGTTGTGTACTCTACTGACCCTGACGAAATCGTGTAAGTCGACTTGACTGTCTTTCTTCTAGCTCTCTATCTAGGCTAATCACTTGCTCAACGAGGTATCCCTCCAAAGCCGACAGCAAGACCCTGTAATTGCTCGCGGTGCAACGGTGGAGGCGATTCCCACAGGATTGAAAGGAATATGTGTGTCAATCTCCCACAAAGTGACAAGAGCGGGAGTCGCCCTGGCCGCATTAGCGTGGGTCAAGGGTCAAGTCCCACTCGATTCCTTTTGTCCTACATTCTCACTGTTTGATAACGTTCAAAAGCATAGAATGCCGGTATAGAACTCTGCCCATTGACCTTCCGCGTCATCGTGTGACTCTGTGTACTCGCGTTGACTTGCCGCGTCCATCCACACTAGCCTGTCCCATAGCTGGTCAGCCACCAAATTGCATTGGAGAAGTTGGGTGCCACGGATGAACGTTTGGAGCGCTTGGGTCTTCAACACGAAAGGGCTCTATTTGATAAGACTGATTTCTAGAAGCCTCATTTCAAGGTTCGAACGAATCATTCCCGCCTCATCTGGACCTTTTATAATACGGGCCCATCTTCTCGTACGTCTAACATAGGAATACATCATTGAGTATATAGATGGCCCCCAGTAGCTTTTTGCATGATCTCGTGGCGAAAGAAATGTTCTGATATTAAAAAGATGTTTCCGCGAATCCACTCACTCTATTTACCAGCGCTCAGCCACATCACGGCGCATCGCGCGGGCTTGGCCGTCCTTCACGATCTTGTAATCGCCGCTGCTCAATATATTTGCATCATGGCAGCAAATAGAACCATTCCAAAAACACTGCCAGTAATCCCCAGATATACGCTTAGTACTGATGCAGAACTATCCGTGTCGAAATCAAACTGGCCGTCATCATTGCCGAAGGTTTTGTTTTTAACACCGTTCGCAGCGTCAATTTCCCTGGTGCGCATAAGCCTCATATTCAGCACTCCCAAGGCGCTTTCATTGTCAGACACTTACTCTCGCGTACAATGTTTCTCGAGATCTGTATTGAGTCCAATCGCGGATGGCGGATCTGAACACAGTCCGGGGTAATCGTCTACGCACAACAGCCACCACTCTTTGTAGGGTCCCTGGCCCGTACACATGGTTGATGCGCTGCAGCATGTAGGGTAACACTTGTCTTTGAGGCGCGTGGCACCCGCTCCTTCGCATAGGCAGGTATGGAAGTTGGAGCTGGACTCACCACCACACGTATCAGAGACTAGCTCGTCGAGACAGGTCCTACATTCAGGGCGCTTGGTATCATTGGCCCAAGGGAAGACCGTATTCTCTGCCAGGGCTGGGATGGCACCGACGAGGATGAGAGGCAAGATTGTGGTTGAGAGCTGCATCGCAGACACACGAAAGAGTTGGTATAAAAAGAGAGTGGAACTTTCAGTAAAGAAGCAAGCAGCCTTGGGAAAAAATAGTAGTATTGATGCCGGGCCTAGCTGGACGTTTTATCTTAAGTTTTGTTCGAAGCAGCCCTGTTAATTCCTTCTCAGCCTCACGGCACTGATTTCATCCTGGCGCTTAACATGTCTTGGCTTGAATAAGTGGCCTCAGCTCCCTATCAAGTAAAGGGAAGACGGCAAACCTTTTTTTCTTAATCACATTATGCTTAACGGCTTGACAAGAGAGCTGTTTGTTTATTACTGGTCTCTCTCTCTAGCGCATAGCTATATTTAGTATCATCGCGCATGCTAATAACTCTTCCAGCAAGGGAACGCTCTTAATCAGCTCTTGATATTACTGAAGCGGTCTAGTATTTGTGGTCTGGCAGAAGAGCAGCGCTGTTGATGTCCATTTTGGAATACCGGCCGTTGTCGCGCTCCTATGAGCAACAAATTTGGGTTTGCTTAAAACCAAACAATTTGCTATTTTGAGATTAGATAAACGTTGAAATGCCGTAGAGTTGTCGGGGAAACTTCTAATCTTTAGTGTGCGATACATTGCATACTGCGAGAGTTCGTGCATCGACCGTTATAGTGTATTTTGAGTTGTTGCATCTGTGTCAACCTCACCGTGTACATTCTCGTCCTGTATGCTTTGTGTGTGCCATCTCAACCTCATCATGTGCTTCGCGTCAAGCTTTTGCATATTGAACGAATCAATATAGTTGAGGTAGATCATACCGAGCCAAGACGCTCGACGGACGAATGGGATTGTCGCGCTCCTCTTGTTTAGCAAACATCTCAATACATTCTGTTGTCTCGGCGGTAGAGGTTCGATGGCGCGTAAACAATTGGGCAGCACAGACATTGTCGACAGCCACCAATGGTGGGGGCTCTCTTGCAATCAAACTGACGGGCGCTTAAATGCGGCTGTCATGCAGCACTTGTGGACATGGCTTGGATACGCACCTTCGGATTGGGTAGGTATTTAGCTGCACGGTTTTCATGGACCTGAGACGGAACGCCTGAAGTCGTGTAAGTATAGTAGGCGTTTCTAGACGATCCCCAGGTATGCAAAGGTGTTGCACAACAAAAAGAGAAAAGCGACCATTTTGATGAGGTGCCAAGTCTCGGTCCAAAGCAAAAATTCGGTCTAGTGTTACCCCGCACGCATAGCCAAGGGGTGCATACTCACCTGTCGTGTCTGGGATGAATCCTTTGCGCTGTCTAAGCCATATATGCTATTTCGAGAGCTATGCTATATTTGAGCAGCTGGATTCCTGGCGCTTGCTTCTCTAAATGGAAATACAAATTTCCAAGTCGACATCCAGAGTACTGCCCTTACCTGTATGAAGGTAGATGGGACAGGCCTGGAAACACGGCCAAGGCCGACAATTGGCGTTGCGAGTATAAGTTTAGCGCTGCGGTTCCCGAGTCAATCTGGTCCGTTGGCCTGCATGTAGATCAGGCACCAACCCTGAAGCGTCAAATAGGGGCTGCGATCGTCATCGTACCATTACAGGTCGTATGAGCTGGCATGCGAAATGAAGCAGGGCCTGTGAGCTAGCAAGGGAGCGAAGCGTGCAGTTGCGAGGGCTTGGCAGTTTGCGCAAAAGGGAGTCCAACAATAGAAGACTCTACGCCGGGCCCGGCTGCAGCCGATTGTTATGATCTCAGCATGAGACCAACAGCGGGGGATTTTCTTCTTCTCGTTATAGTTGGAAATGGAAACCAATCAACTACTTCTCTCTCCTTTTCTTTCCATGCCGATCTTTCTACTAAGATTTTATTTTTTTATCTTCTTTGCAAGGAAGATGAGCCCGTATGGATAATGCACTAGAACATAGAGGCAATCTGGGCACAGCGAAGAGAATATACAGCTTGTGCATCTGAACTCTCGTACATCCGAGAGGCAGTCCAAGCACCCAATGGAAGGCTCGCGTAGAATAATTTCGGCGACTGAGCACTGGAATATGGAAGCCGTAGACTGGAACGAAGGCTAACCTGCTCCTCTTATGAGGGTAGAAGGAAACTCAAGATGTGCCAGGAAAACGCCCGCTGGCCAAGGTAAAGTTTTACACCTGGGTCTGTCGTTAAAGTATCCCGAGAACATAACTGTCTAGCGTACACCGCTGGATCAAGTCCATTCAGTGTCTAATTGTATTACTAATGTATTTCTCTCACAAACTGGCTTCGCTCTTAAAGTGTGCTACTGGTTGTGGCTTTGCCGTGAGAGGCTTGTAAAATCAGAATCATAGACCTTAGCCTAAGATTTGTTAAAATCGCACTTTCTACAACCTCATCTGCACACCATTATCTGGAGGGTTTTCGGTATGGAAGACAACCCTCGTTAGATTTTTCATATGTTAAAGAAGAGCTGCAGGTCAAACTTTCTGGAGTTACAGGATTATGCTAGGGGAAACCTGTTATGGGAACTCAATACTTATATCTTGTTGACTATCTTTCTCCACTCCGCGGTCCGATGTGATGCTGCGTCTCATGGAAGCGATATATTGATACCAAGACATCTACCACTACCCTTTGCATCGCTTCCAACTTGGCAGGGCTCAATCTACCTGCCTGTGATGTCTCTGACGTTTCTAGATAGACCAGGTCTGTGCAGCACCTGTTGCCAAAGCATCATTCGAACCATCCTCAACGACATCATACGTAGGCTCATCGGTCCAAAACTCATAATCGCTTGCCTTGTTGCCAGGCTTGCTGATTTGCCAGGGCATCCAAGGAACACCAAGACCATTGAATACATCGATGTGCTGACCGACTGTGGTAGACTTAGTGTTTCCGCTAGCACCAAACTCTTCAAAAAGCATGAGCTTGTTGGCGTTCTTGGCGCGCTGAAGTGCGACTGGACCCTTGGTCTTGAATTCGTTGACGCCCATGTAGGAGTGGATGGTGACAAGGTCTAAGGCCTTGCAAGCCCAATTCTCTGCAACATCTGAGTTGGGAAACTCATTGCCGCCACCTAAGATCCTGTGTCAGTGATAAAAGGTAACATGAGGGGCATACGGCATAAATACGTACCAGTCGAGATCAAGACCTTGCTACTCCCCATAATTCCCCGCATGAAGCCAGCTCGATCGCACCACCACGACGGATGGGGCGGAATGTTGTTGTTCAAATGGCCCTGACCTTCATTTTGAATATTGAAAGCAAAGATGTGGCTGTTAAGGTCTTTCCAGGCTGGACTCCCACTGATCAGTGTGTTCTTGTGCTCAAGAACGTGACGGATGCGATTCTGAAAATCGGAAATGCAATTCTTGTCTGAGTACCAAAACTCGACGTTGTTGGCGCTCGCTGGCTGAGTGTTGCAGTCTACTGCAGGCAGCTTGTACTTTGATACATAGGCATCGCTTCCCCAGCAGCCGAGCTGGTAACGATCATGGATCGCGATGATGAGCTTGATGCCTCTGGCTTGAGCTTCTACCATGAGTTGATCTATGGCCTTGAGCTGGGTATCGTCCCATACTCCCACGGTCTTGGGCTCAATGTCTGGCATTGCGATGGAGCCAGTATTCTTGAAGTTCTGGCCAGTTGGCGAGATGAAGATACGTAGAACCTTTAGATTTGCATCTTGGATGGCATCCAGGACGTCCAATCTATCCTGCCTGATCCTTTGTCAGTTTTATCATCGGGACGTGGAAGTGGAAATGCTAGTCTTACTGCTTGAATGCATGAAGGAAGAAGGAGTTTACGCCGGCGAAGCTACTGCCTTGTTGGCGAGCGGGTAGCTCATAGCTATGAGGGGTGGCTACTGCAAGCAGAGCTTGGCCCAATGCGAGAAGGCTGAAGCTCTTCATTGATCTCACGAGTTCGGGGTTTGTAGTTCAGAATGATTCGAGTATTCTGAGTGTACTGATTTTGAAATATTGATGGGTTGCAATCGTATCTTATAAGTGCTGAACCGGAAATACCGAAGGGGGACGGTGGCTGGGAGATTGTTGCATCATTCAGACGCATTGAACATATATAGATCCCTGCTTTCCCCTTTAATTTACCCCACGTTTTGACTGCAGCACATAGTGCGCGGGCTGTTATGTTAGTCTCAGGGTGGCGAGAATACTCTAGTATTTTTTTTATACTAATACTAATACTAATACTAGCTTAGTATTTATACTAATACTAAGATATATACTAGGCTAGTATTAATATACTAATACTAAGACTTTATTAGTATTAGTATACTAAAACTAATTTTCTTTAGTATTTTATACTAATTAGTATAAATACTCTAGTATAAAATACTAAGAGTATCGATACTAAGAGTATTTTATACTAAAGTATTTATACTAAGAGTATTTTATACTAAGAATATTAATATTAGTAAATTAGATTAGTATTTAGTATTAGTCTTAGTATACTAAAACTAAAAGAAATTAGTATTAATATACTAAACTAATTTAATTTTAGTATTAATATACTAAAACTAATTTTTCTTAGTATTTTATACTAATTAGTATAAATACTCTAGTATAAAATACTAATAGTATAAATACTAATAGTATAAAATACTAAGAAAAAATTAGTATTAGTAAACTAAACTAATTTAATTTTAGTACTAGTATACTAATACTAGACTAATCGGCCACCCTGGTTAGTCTTGACTTTGAGATGGCCCTGAACGGGATTACAAAATACCATTCTAGCGTGTAACACAAATTCGGGGGTCAGATCTGGTCTGCTGGCGCAGTGTCCATCGGATCGTCAAACTAACTTGGACGCGAATATAAAATTCCGGCTAACCTGCCTTTAAAGGCATCAGACACAGACCTGTCGCATGAATAAGGGATTCATTTGAGAGGCAACCCTGGTACAAAGGTCAAAGAGGAACTATCTGCTCACTAAATCTTAATCGTCTTGAGGAGAACATTGAGTCTAATACGAGACATCGAAAACTCTTGATGAAGAGCCAATTGAATGCGACACGGAGCAATCACATTTGTATCCTTTACACAGCATAACGCTGATTTTGTGTAGTTATAACTGCATACAGAAAATGGGATATTTCCTTGCCAAGAAGTATCTTAAAGGCAAGGATGAGGGCACAAAGTGTCAGAGCCCACCCAGGGAGGACGAAAAAATATGCATGTATTAGAATTATCCAATACCGGTTACTATGCATATATGTATTTATTGAATTCCTACAATCTTAATCGCTCTGCATACGTATAACAATTGACTGTCAAGAACTGGGCCCTTTGTGCGCCCCGTTGAAGTAAGTTTAGTTATATGTCTTGCTTGCATGACAAATGCGCTAGCCGAAGAAGTAAAAATACAGCTCATAGATTTCACACATCGCGAGCTTTTACTTTGAAATAACATCAAAATATAAGTGACAAGGTTTTGGAGATACTGAATATCATTGACGTAATGCAGCGTCATAGTATGAGGGGCACTCCAGATCAGCGGTTCGTCAAACCTTTGCTCGTAAACAGCTCCTTTCGCAATAACGACAACATATCAGAAATCAGTATGAACAACCCGACAGACACCGAGCCGAACACAGTTATCGAAATTGCTCCAGACGGCGATCTCATTCTAGTGGTTGGGCCAGAAGAGTCAAAATTCCGTGTCCGTTCCATATTGTTAATGGCCGCCTCGAAACCCTTCTCCGCCATGTTGGGACCACACTGGAAGGAAGGCCATGACAAGTGCGATCATGATGGGCCATTTGAGTTACCGCTGCCTGATGATGACGCTGCTGCCCTAAAACTTATTTGTTCTATTATTCACTATCAGAACGAGAAAGTACCTCGGACACTTCCCGCTGGCGACGTCCTCGCAGTTGCTGTCGTTGCAGACAAATATGATTGCGTTGATGTTCTGAAGTTTGCAAGCGAAACCTGGCTTCGAACCTCTGAAAGTGAACCTGCCAATCTAATGCTTTTAACTGCTGCGGCATACCGCTTTCGTAATGCGCAGGCATTTAGTGAGATCACTAAGGCATTGGTACTGAACTATAATGGTTCTTACCTTTCCCTTTGCCTTGATGAAGTTGAATCTGTCATTCCATGGAAGGTGTTTTGTAAGGACTCGAAGACGCCTTTTTATTACATAACTTACTAAAGAATCAACAGGCTTGCTAGAAGAACAAAGAGGGTTTGCAAGACTGGAGGTATCACAGATCCTCGTAGCAGGAGCTGGGGCTAGTCCGTGTTGCCACAAATGTGGGTGGACAAGCAAATATGCACACGCATATATCAACTTGTTAGAAACAAAGGACCTTTGGCCAGGAGCGCTATTCCGTACCTCTATCTCTAAAGCACTAGAGAAAGCGGAAAGGATGCCAGATCCGGTTCCTGAAGAGCGAAGTACTGCGTGCCAGTATGCGTACAAGCATGAACCCCCAGCATACAGGGAGAACCGTCGCTGGAAACTGGACAGCCTTAACAAGAGGATTGGACTTTGCCTGTACTGTACTCGCCTAGACAGAACGGATCCTAATTGTAGCAATCCCTGCCATGACCGCTAGAATCAAATAACAAAACTCTCTACCTTACAAGTTAGGAGATAGGTTCAATGAATAGTAGCTGGGATTGTTACGTTCCTCAATAAACATCAACGGAAATGTATTGCGTTACCTTCGCCGACCCCCTGTGGGTTTATAAGTTTATCAACTACTGCATAAACCATAATATTTGTTGACAACTACTAGAGGGCCAAATTAGAAATATGTGACTAGGTGCGTGGAAAGTGTAGCAATATGGGGTGCGCTTTGGACTCCATCGGGCTTTGGGTGTGCTGTGAAGGCGGCTAATGATATCCGTGAGGCGTCGGCTGGATCTTTATGGTTGTAAAGCTGGAATCATAATCTTCAATGACCATGGAGCTTAAGAAGATGATGATCGAATAAGCATTAACCTTCAGTGGAGATCTATAAAGTAAGGAGAATGGAAGATATTGTCGCAATTCGAGATTTTGGTCAATCGGCTCCCTTTTCTAAGAGAGGTTACTGATACCTTCGTAAAAGGAAGATTCAGTGCTACACACTGAGGGGGATGACTATGGATGTCAGTTCCAGTTACAGGATCGAGACTTTAATACACAAAATACCATATGCATTATCAACCAGGACACGGAATCGGCAGCGATATATAATAACGCCCTATCACTATCGAAATTGTTACATATGACCCCTCTGATAACCATTCTTGAGTTTCTGCCAGGACAAACATTTCAAACTCAGGCGGTGAATACTTTACTACCCGGAGGTTGGCCCTGGTCGAGGCATGGACCTCCGACAGGGAAACATTTAATACAAGGTTATAAAATGCTACCAAAGCCTTCTTTTGCGTTTGAGGCAGAAAAAGTATGAGAGAGGATAAGTGGGATCAATCAATTTATCGTTACTAAGCCTATAAACCCCACAGAAACATCTATTAAAGACGAGGTCCCGGCACTTTTGATGTTGGCACGACTGCGAAGTCTTCCGCCTTGTAGTTCTGAGGCCAAATGCCATTCTTGCCCGGAGCTAGAATCCCTTTGGGGTCGAGAGCATTCTTGATGAGGGTATTGAGATGCATCTGAGCATTGTTGTTGAAGTTGTACGTCTGTGCGATCTGATCCATCAAAGCTAGGTGCGTGCGATACTCACCCCATCCTCTCTTAGCGGCTTCATCTATCAGAGTGCAAATGAGCTGGTGCGCACGGCGGCATGAATCCTCGTCTTCTCGGTTGAATACCAAACAGACGATGTGATGCATTTCGCGCATGCCAACTACAAAAGTACCGATAAAATCGAACCCGGCTTCCTCGCAACGCGTACGAGTGAGGTGATACTGCGCCATGGCATCGTCGCCAGTAACTTTGGCGATGGGTGAGAAGAAGAGATGTGCACCGTTGGGAAGCCAGTTTCTGTCTAATGTCAGCTGATAACTCTGTGGGGAAAGGGAAGTTTTCGGGTAGAGGACAGAACTTACACCCATTCTAGTTCGGTATAGGTAGGGATGCCTTGCATGGTAAGGTGTCTCGTCTGTAAAACAACGTTGTCTGGCATATCCTCAGGAAAGTAAAACTTAGCGCCGGGGATAGCTGAGAATGACTGTTTGACAACCTCCCACATGGCCTTTCTGATGGGTTCTGGCCCATAAAGTGCTCCATAAAAGTTCCAACGTCCTAAGTTTAGCTTCTTTGCTATGTCATCAATCTCTTGGTCGTTAAGTGGCTTATTAGAAGTAGTATATGAAGCACGATTTCCCTGAATCAATTTAGCGACAAACTCTGGCGTGGAGTTCCAGAGTATTCTATCTCATACCATGACTGCTGCATCTAGAAGCACATGCCTGATAGTGGGTACATTCTGGAGTACCATTGATGTCCGGAGTGGCCTGATAATCTCGATGGCCTGATGAAGATCCTCGTCTTTAGGGACAGTGATCATGTATGACTGGTAGCCACCTGGGTTAACCATCAACCAGACACCCATCTTGACGACAATGCCAAGCGAGGACTGGGTGAAGATTCCGTCGTTATATGGGCCAAAACCGTAGTTAAAAAGTTGCCATGCGGAGTTGGGTTCTTGCTCATGAGGTGGTACGTTGGGATCTGCGTTGGGGTTGGGAAGTGCACCCATTCCTGTGCGAACGAGAGTACCATCTGGCAGGACGACTAAAGGAAAGGGTTAGATCTATCTGATAGCTCTGAAAACAGGAGAGAACGATTACCCTCCATGCCACAATGCATCATGAAATGATCTCCTATCCGAAAGTCAGCGGCTAATTATCTGTAAGTATTTTGCAATGCTAGGCAGCCTACCATATGGTGTATACCCGACCCCTCGTTCAGTGGTATTTCCGAGAACAGACCCTCCTCCCAGGTCAGGAACATCGACCCAAAGCTTATCACGAAGATTGTTGTCCACCAGATACTGGTGAAGGTCGGCGTATGTGACACCGGGTTCAACCAGAGCGTAGGCGCCATCAACATCGACCTTGAGGATCTTGTTCATGTGCTTGCCCAGATCGAGCGTAACAGACCCCGGAACTCTGGGAGCAGCCCCGCCATATCCAACGTTACGGCCAACAGACAGTGGCCATAGAGGAATGCTGTATTTGTTTGCGAGTTTGACGATGGCTTGAACCTCGGACACGTCGCGGGGTGTGATCACAGCTGAGGATATAAAATGTTCTTTGCCCGCAATGTGGAACATATCATGGACCTTACTTGGATCAAGGTAGTCTTGTTTGTTGAACTGTTCACTGCTTCCGACGATTGTCACATTGTCTGCGCTGCTGATGCCTTTGGCCTCTGCGATGAATATGTGAAAACTCTCGCTTGATATCTTGGGTGGCAACACAATGGGATCAGATACGGTTCGGCTTGACCCTGCATTCTGGTTGGAAGGATCCGACATGCTGAGGGGGAATCAAGATGGTATAGTAAGTAGAGTGTGAAAAATAAGTACAGAGATCAATGAGAAAGGAAAAGAATCATAACCTCTTGTTGTTGGCTTGGGGCCTAGTTATATATCCGAAGGTGGATGTGGGAATGTGACTGACTGCACCCGAGTAGTCTACAACTCGGTCACTCGAGAGACCAAATCGACCCACCCCTACAGAAGATCTTTGTCGATCTGAACGCATGAAGGCGCCAATTATCCGATGTAGACTGACGCGCGAGGTCATGTTCAAAGCTAAGTGGCGGTGGGGAATTATCCGGCGGGGGGCGACTCCTGCGGTGCATCTCCAACGCCAGACGGAGTGTGATGACACGAGCGTTACAAGGTGGACCTGTGTGGATTATCGTCTTGATAATGACTGGGCAGGGTATATTTCATGATTTCCAAGCCGTTCCCACTTTGCCAAGACCATGAAGATTACAGCCGGTGTAAGGCAACGATACCGGCAATGCCCATAGGTAGAGCGACAATGTGAGTGTGCGGGGTTATATTGCTGAATCAATAATGGTCTGACTATGATTAAATATATGTATTTGTAGAACATCAAGCGCGATATACACTAGTCTGGCATTAATTCCGCAAAGCCAAAGTTGTTGGAGGTACTCCCCTAGCATCACACCACTTGGTCATTTAAGCACTAACTTATACAAAGTTAAGAGAAGAATCTGTCCGACTGTCTATCGTTTCTTGTTTTATTAATGCTCGCAACGTAACACAGCCGAGCACATGATATGAATATTGAGCTTACATGACATATTGTCCCCTCTGTCAAATACTCACGAACTACAGCAATCAGAGCTTGAGAACCAATTTACTAGCCTATCACCAAAGTTAGTTGTCGTAGTGCATAAAAGTAGAAACACTTACAGTTGCAGGTTTATGCGCAGCCTGATCAAGGTCTTCAAAACTCGCCAAGGTTACTTTGGGCTTTACAGACCCTCTGCGAATAAACTCGAGGGCCTCCAAGGTCTCCGTTCTTGTGCCCACCAAGGTTCCAATGACGGTAATGCCTCGATCGATTACAGTCAGAGGGTGCAGACTCATGGCTTGGTCAGGCGGTGGAATCCCAACACAAACCAGTGTGCCAAACACTGCGAGAATGTCGAGCGCGCTCTGATAAGCCCTCCCGGACCCTGCTGTGACGATAACTGCTCTCACTCCCGCCTCGTTTGGGGTGACCTTCTTCAGGCTAGCTGCCATGTCTGCTGTAGAAGCATCAAAATAGGCCTCTGCTCCTAAGGTCAGACAAGATTCCTCATGAGCTCCAACATCAACAGCAGCTACGCGATAGCCCATCGATTTGGCGTACTGTACTGCCAGCCCACCAACACCACCCGCGGCCCCCACAATCGCAACCCATTCTCCCGGTACAGCTCTGCATGTCTTCAAAGCTTTGTATGCTGTCACTCCACCACACAGGATAGGTGCGACATGCTCATCAAGTAGACCTGGGCTTTCAGGTATTATTAAGATGTAACGACTGGGAATGACGCAGTACTCAGCAAAGGTACCGTCCCATTTACGACCTGAGTTCTGCTGCTCTAAACAGCGGGTTTCGCCGCCAGGCTCACGGCAGCAAGAGCAACGGCCACAAACGTCACGAACCCAGGCTATGCCAACCCGATCGTTCGTTTTGATAACGCTGGGGTCTACCCCGGAGCCAATCTTGACAACGCGGCCCACGCCTTCGTGGCCGAGAACATCGCGACATGGACCCAGATGGCCAGCTGCAAGAGACAAGTCCGTACCGCAGATACCAGTAACAGATAGTTTCACGAGAACCTCCCATGGGCGGAGTTGAGGTATTTCTGTTGAGCGTATCTCGAAGTTGAACCCGGATTCTGATCGCTACAGAGGGTAAGTTCTTTGTATGGCTCCCAGACATAGCGGGTTTGACTTACAACGACAAAGGCGGCTCTATGATTGGTATCTAGTTCGCTACTCATAGTTTGTGTTGTGCAAGAAGTCTTTTATGATTCGAAGTTGTCTGATTCCGTTGTAGTATGATACTTGACTTGGGCTTTGTCCAAGGAGTGTACTTTTAAGAGAGACAGGCGACAGGTAATGACCATCATAACTATCCCTGCTGGGTTAGGAGGGTCTGACTAGCGTCGAAGAGTCGAATGCCGAGGTGATAACCGAAATTTTGAAAACCCCACTCTACAACACCCGTACCCCAGATTCTCCCACTCCAAGATGCGGAGGTGGGGGATTTCCCGGTGGCGCTATCGAATAATCTGCGGGGGTGGTAGAATTCGCGAGATGAAATCCAATCTCGCAGTTGGCTCGATCTCTGTTCCTCCATTCTACCGTATCTGACCTGCTGACAATTGGGTCCGTCAACTGTAGCAGTGTGCTCTCGGTTGCTGATGCGGCACCATCCTACAGAACCCTGACTCGCCTTTCGGGTTCCAGTTGCGTACCTCCTCATTGACTTTTGGCCCCAAGTGACCCGCCAACGTACAGCAACAATTCCTACACTTGCATTCGGTTGTTGCAAGGATGGCACAGCTCCAGTGTTCGATTTGCTGCGCTGAATTTGCGAAATCAGGTATGTTCACGTCATTCGCATTTATGTTTCAGTCGTTCTTCTGACTAGCTATACTTCTTTTGTTCGTCTTGATGTATCCTGGCTAATGAGGTTTGCACTGTAGACCATCTTGCACGTCATCAGTTATCTCGTAGGTCCATGCCTATTTTCTTCAATTCGTTATCACTCTTACTTACCTGATAAATTTCAAGACGGTAATCAGCGTGCGTACATGTGCCAATTTTGTCCTTTGAGTTTCAATCGAAGGTTAGCCTCTAATCGCATACATTTTGAGACAGTGTTAACTTATGCCAGGGATGCACTACTTCGACATTGGAGAACGTGTAAGCGTAGTATCGAGTCAGGACTCCGGCCTCTCGTATTGCCGCCCAAGAAGCGAGGAAGGAAGCTTAATGCGTGTTCACGGTGTTCACAACTCAAAAGAAAGTGCAGCGGAACGACACCATGTGTAGCCTGCGTCGATCGGGGCCAGCAGTGCACCTACCCAAGGTCCTTGGGGGTAGAAACAGCACCATTCATTCAGAGGGAACAACAGTCTTTCGCTCCCCCAGCTCTATCCATCTCACACAATTTGAACACGCAGGTTGTTCAACTGCCGCACTTCTTTGTGCCCGATATTGAGCTCTTCTCGGTTGACCCGGCTGAGAAAAATGTCGCCAATGGTTGGCCATCGGATGGTGATATGCCCAATCACTCCCTAGGTCGTTCTCAAGATGGGCATTTTCCATTTTCACTCTTGGATGAAGACAAGGCCTTGGATGCTTCTACATTTAACTTCGCCCACTGCCCACCGACGTATAGTCATGAATGGAATTCACTCGTCGGTGGTTCAATCTGGCCGCCTTTGACAACAGATTCAAGTTTTCTACGCCTCGACATGCGGTTTCTGGCCAATATGACATCGACACATGGTATGGCAAATTCCTTCGAGATCGGAAACTCGTCCGCCCGAAAAAGGGCGCTGTCGAATATGGTGCAAGGCTATAACATACCAGTGATAACTAGGCCCTACGGAAGAGCCCAACAGACAAGGGTGGACACCAGCCACAATGACTATGATGCCAACTCTTCGGGTTTTCTTGGGCTTAGTACGTCTAGAGATGCTGGGCATTCCTTATCGTCAAAGTCACAAGAAATAGTTCGGGGTATTCAAGAGTCGCTTTCGAATGGAGCAACGTTGCTGACAGCCAACGCCAACTCATCCCAGTCAATGGAACGTTCTTGTGCTCGGTTCTTCTCTCCGCCAAATCTTGAAAGATTTATAAGCCTATTTTGGCATTTTTGGTACCCTAACTGGCCAGTCTTTCACGAGCCAACCTTTGAGATAACTAAAAAGTCAGCCCAACTAATAGCAGCGCTGTCACTCATCGGGGCTTGCGTTAGTCCTGAGAAGGTCGATCGAGATCGGGCAATCTCGTGGCTCGAAGTGGTGGAAGACTGGGTCTTTTCTGATCCTGATTTCTCTGAGGATGCGATTCCTCAGACATGTGACGGATTCATGCTTTCTCAAGTTGAGACTCGACTTGACAGCATCCGTGCGGCGTATGCCCTTATGATCGTCATGACATGGGAGGGTGACTCGAAACACATGACGAGAGCACGAAGAACTAGATTCACAGAGACTGTTTGTGTGAGCCGGAGCCTTTACTTCTTCTGCGCCCTGCAAAGCTCTGCACTCGATGAATCCACTTCCAGCGGCCATTCGAGATGGAGACTATACTCCCTGAGGGAGGAATGCATCAGATCACTGCTATATGTTTTCATGCTTGACTGTGCATTCGTCATGTTCAATAACACAGCCCCTCGCATGGTCGTTAGCGAATTGCAATTTGGTCTCACAAGCCCCGAGGATTGGTTTCATGCTTCAAACTCGAGTGACTGGTTGGAGAGTGTTCGAAACTCGCCCCAAATTGATCAGGGTATATCTCTGTGTGATGCAATCAATACAATTATGCAAGGAGCGTTGGATGCCAACGATTGCAAGATATTCGAGCAAACCAATTTGTTGAATCACTTTGCAATTATTAGCGGTGTGTACCATGAACAAAACCATTCATCCTTCCCAAAAATGAAGGCACTAACGGAAAACACAGCTTTCCATAATCTGATCTACTTCCACAATTATGGACTCGACGGTGGCTCTCAATCCCCTCATCTCTTACATGGTTTGAAGAACTGGATACGAATTTGGCATGCTCGAGTACTTTCTATGGTTAACGATGAACATCTCAGTCATGGAATTCCGGGACGGGTTGGATTTTATCGGCATACTAGGGAGTTTTGGTGCGTAGCAGTGATTCTGTACAGTCAGTTTCAAAAAGGCCAAGGCCTGGGAGTGAGCTCCAATACAGGCGTTTGTCATAACGAAACTAAGCTAACTCGTACCATTGACAACTCCGATATGGGCCAACTTCATGAGCTCATAGTTAGATTTAGGGAGATGGATGTGCGGGAAGTACTAGAATAACCAAAAGGCTAGATATACTAGAACTTCAACTATCTGGACTAAATCTTGGATTTGTAGAGATGCGTAACCTTCGACTTGCAATAAGCCGACAATCCTTTGCGACCCCATTCACCGCCGAGTCCACTTTCTTTGTGCCCTGAAAGATAAGCGTGGGGAAGTGGTTTCTCGAAACTGTTGATCCAAATAGTTCCAGCTTCGATCTGGCGTGCCATGCGTTGGGCACGATCAATGTTCCTCGACCAAACAGATCCTCCGAGGCCAGAAGGAGTGTCGTTTGCTCGATCGATGACCTCAGCTTCGTCCCTCCATTTGAGTACGGGAACAATGGGGCCTAGATACTCAAATCAGACTAGTCACAGCGAAGAAGGACAAGAGGACTGAAAACTTACCAAAAGCTTCTCCTGTTACTACAAGAGAATTGTCGGGGGGGTTGTCGATAATAGCAGGTTTGATAACAAAACCATCATGACTCCCATCCGATGGAGACCCTAGCGCAAACTTGTGTCCGTTCTGACTTGCATCCTCAAAAAACCCTTTGACGATATCATACTGCATCTGGTTCTGGACAGGGCCTAGCATTATACCCGGTTCTAAAGTCGACGTTGGGGCCACAGTCCACTGCTTGACGGTCTCAACCATGACTTTCAGAAACTCGTCGTAGATATCTTCATGCACAAAGATTCGTTTGCTAGCAACGCAAAACTGTCCCGAGTTCATGAATGACCCAAGAGCTACCTGGGGAGCGACGACTTTGGGGTCAACATCTGCACAGACGATGCTTGCGCTGTTGCCACTTAGCTCCAAGGTAACGGGCTTCAAAAGCTTTCCAGCGACCTCGGATATCTTCTTCCCTGTGGCTGTAGAACCGGTAAAAGTGATTTTGTTGATACCAGTATGGGTACAAAGAGCAGGCCCGAGTGTTTGGTCTCCATTGAGAACTTGTGCAACGCCTGGTGGAAATACAGTCTGGAACAATTCCACAACCTTGAGGATAGAATACGGCGTGAAAGGTGAGGGCTTGATAATGATGCAGTTTCCAGTAATTAAAGCTGCTGCGAGCTTTCCTATTGCAAGGACCAGAGGGTAGTTCCATGGACAGATTGCTGCTACTACCCCCAGTGGTTCTTCTTTGATACTCAGCGTGAGTTCATCGTCATCTTGGAGGATGGATTCCTCAATCGGCTCTTGGGATGCTTTCTGGTGTTAGCAGACTCTAATGTACGGATTGGTGGCTTTTGTACCATTGAATTGTATGAAGTTGATGGAATGCTCGATCTCCATGTGCGAGAATTGAATCTACCTATATTTAGTGCCTGTGTTTGTTGTTCAGCGTAATACTTACCGGTTTTCCTCCTTCTTTAGTAAGAAGGACTGCAAGCTTTTCCTTGTTCTCAACCAGAATATCGCGAGCAGCCGTTAGAGACGCCTGGCGATGTGACCACGTGGTCTTGGACCAGCTTTTGAAAGCTGTTTGGGCAGATGATATGGCTAACTCTAGGTCATCTATAGACGCTGCAGGAACATCCCAGAGCTTTTCTTTGGTGGATGGATCAATCCCATGGGTAAAATTTGATCCAGTTGCTGGGCCGCCATTGATAATGTTTGCGAACGTAGTGAACTCTTCCATGATAATTTCTTGTCGAGGCTTGTTAAAATAGGACGAAAATAATAGATAATTATCGCATCGGGGTCTGTTTGCTAACGGGCTGATTAAATAATACAAGTCTGATCCCTGGTCACTTTCACTAGTCGGCGTTATGCTGTTTTCGTCCAAGACCGTGTTTCGAACTTGACTGTGACCCGAGGTCGGGATATCTGCCACTCCCACTTCTGCCACTTCCTCCTAACTCAACAAGTACTAGTACTATCACCAAGCTAACCTTGAATTCCACGTTGGTAAGGGCTTAGTAAAGCGCTAGTAAAATAAAGGTCTAGATTTGTCTCTTTCTATCCTGCTCCCACTGAATGCAAAGTTCTCGGGATATATGAATGGCATCTCCAGTGGCTCTCCTCCCACCGCCGTATTTAACACTCCCTCGGTCCCCAGTTGAGCGGTAAATGATTCGGCACTGATGGAGCCGAAGGACTGCTTGCCGAGTTGTGATGGAAGCTGTCCAGGTCGCGCATTTCATTCGTGTCTGGGACCTGCGTACAGAAAGTAAGTAACTGCCATAGGCTTTTAATTTAGCAAAAGAACTGACAAACTATACGAAAGGAATTTTATCTCGTTTTAAGTTGCGGTCGTAGTTGTAACGGGTAGGTATTTCCAAACCCTTGCCTTACTCCCAATAGCAAGACTCCTAATTCTGCATGCACTTTCACTTCTTAACTCGAAGCAGCCTGTTCCTTCGCCTCAGGGCTTTGACATCTGTCCAGTTAATTTTCTCATATGCTGCAAGTTAACATACTGCCAAGATATCCACGTTTGTCATAGATTCAATTCAAATGACCAAATGCGTCTACTGGCATTTTCCATCGTTACCCATAGCAGTCAAGTATCTCGTAGCCTTCAATCCGCATTCTTTTACCGCCTCTCACATCCGTATCAGTCGAATCAACAACACTTTGACCATATACCTGTGAACCTGGAGGTCCTCTATTTGGGCTTGGGGAATCTGCGACCGACCGCGATCAATTAGTCGGATCATCGCTGGATGGACCATATGGTCTTGGGGGACGGACAAATCACCCCGTAACGATAACGGCGTGTTCACTTCAGAGGTGTCAGCTTGGCGTTTATGTGGCATGTGGTCTTCGAAAGGCATTCTCGCCGACATGTTCTCAATACAACACATATGGTAGTAATACCGAACTGCACTGCGGTCGATATCAGGAGGAACACGAATTGTGGTGCCATGATAGTCTAGAGGCACATCATAGGGAACGAATGCGCAAATCACAGGAGTATTGGGATGGACGGAGATAAATCTCGAGTTAAAGGCCTCGTGTAAATGACTCAACAAGAGGATGCCATTGGTAGCAGATCATGTTTCCATCCAGGCCTCGCGGAAGGTCGCCCACTGAACTCGGCGGTTTGGTCAACTCATGGACTAGGGTGCAGATGATAATGCTGCTGCGGAATGATGTGACATGCCTGAGGACCAGGTTCAACAGCTGATGTTATGCACCAAGACCGGCCTTTTCCAGAGAGAACACAACGGTTCACCATGACAAGACCTGGAAGATGGTTGGTCAGGAGGCAAAGAAGCTAATGCTCTGCCTAGGTTCGACAATAAGTATCTTCGGGCAATTCGTATTAAAGAATCAATGTTCAGATCCCGTACATTCCCGGGACAGTGAAGGACGTCCTTAGTACGAACGAAGGCTCGTCTTAGGTTAATATCTTTATTTCCTTATGGGAGAGACCGCATAACTCACGGCTCTTAACAAGGCTGCTCCAAGTATGTTTACCAGTACTGGGTATAGGGTAGCTGTGACCTCACTCAGTTCTCAGTAATGAAGTTAGTAATAGAACAATTGAGTTTAATAGTAATGGTGACTTTGAGTAAAATACTAGTTCCTTGATAGCGGGGAGAGAAAAGAGAGTACTTTTAACTATCTTGGTTGATAAATTACTGCTAGTAAGTGCATCTTGTCAACTGTGTGAACATACCTTTGAATAATTGGAGTTGTAAGCACCTCCATTCCTAATCGCACCAACAGCCTAATATAATAGACATGCAAGCCAATTTGGTAAAGGTAAGCAGCTCTGGCCAACCAGATGAGACTATGTAAGATCATCTATAGCTTGAGAGCTTGAAGGAGAGGCACTGGGCGATTTTCTGTTCTTATTAACTAAGAAAATCTATCAAGGAATATTAAATCACGGTAAACGTATTTAATTTCCTAGTTGGGGCTCTTATGCACGGGCATAATATGGCACGAAGCCAGTCATGACTAGCCAATGTGGGCTTTAGCCGCCTAATTAGTTCGAGATGGAGACAAGAATTATCAGAGGGGGTGAGAATTGATCAACAAGATCAGAAGTTAAGACACAATCAATTGAGATTCAACGATGAAATACTCTCATAGAGTGAGGTTTTAATAGCTAGTAAGGGAAAGTAAAGAAAAAGACCATCCCATCATCCCACATAGCACACACAGCTACCCCTGAATTCCACAAATGGGTTACAACGACCCGACAGGTCGTCGCCTCGATTAAGCTCAACAATTGATATCAGAAAGCCTACTTGCTCAGGCAGACCTGAGAGTAGTAGGTGGCAAAGGTAGTAGCAGAAGCAGCGCAGCAGAAGATACTCTCCTGGTTAGCCTTCGCAGCGCAGGCGACACAAGAGGCGACAAAGTTGAAGGTCGAAAAGTTGGCGCAAGAGCGGCAAGACGAAGGGTTTGGCGCACTGTCGCAGCTCAAAGACTTCATGCGGCTGATAGTAGCATCGCGAATTTGGGGGCAGTCGCGAATACGCTTGAAAACAGCGACATCGCGGCTGTGGTTCTCGCTGAACAGAGATTCGAGGAGCTTTTCTTCTTTGGCGACGGCCACGATGGGCTCGAAGTACTGGTCAAAGAGAGACTCGGGAATGCAAGCAGTAGGGTCGTTGATGTAGGTGGTGGGGATCTGGGGAAGCGTGTTGTCACGGGTGTTGTTGAGGCCGTTGAAGGTCTGGCCGAGGGCTTGGATGTGAGCGAGGGTGAGGCATCCTGTAACTTCGCCGACGGTGTATGAGACCTCGGTGACAGGGGCAGGAGCCTTGCCGGCAAGTGTGGCAGTGGCCATGGCAGCGAGGAGGATAATGAAGCGAGCCATTGTAAGTGAGTTGGTGTTTGAGTGGTGAGTTTGTAGTTTGAATGTGATATGGATCTCTGGTGATGATTTGAGAGCGATTGAGGTGGTTTCGTGTCTTCTTAAATAGTTTTCAGTTACTTGCTATGTCTCTCAAGACTGTTTGCTACGTTGTCAAAGCGTCCTCTCATGGTTCAATATTCGATTCTTCGTCGCCAATGGCAAGGGCCTCCATTCAACTCATCTCGCGGCAGTTGATAAATAGCTCAAATCCAAAGTTTGTTTGATGCCATCTATAGTACCAAATACGAGACTGATGATAATCGTTCCCATTTTCGCTCACCATAGCTTGGTGTTTAGCCTTTAACCAAAATTTGCCCTTGTTAGCTGACATGTTTGGGCCATAGTGACTGTACCCGCTCAGATGCTTTCCAGAAATACGTCTCATGATATCAAGCCATTGTATCCACTGTGCATCCGAGATAGCCGTTAACTACCGGGACCGGTTCAGCCTTTCATTACATTCTATCTCCACTTGAAACCTTAAGGTCTTAATTAGAGTGTCGGTGTATGATTGGCAAATTATATCTCCTCGGAACCCCCACGTGGGTGTTATTGTACGGCATCTCCCTAGCATGATGCTTGGGTTCCGTAGTATGATCCCAGCGATTCATAGAGGATAGAACTAATGAGTCGTGGCAGTCGAGAGAGATTTCACAATAACAGAAATTGAGGATATGGAAATGGGCATGCCGAATTGCCGAGTTGGAGCTGTATAGTTCGGCAGTTACATCAAGCAAGCATAGACTTGTAGACTCACGAATTGCCGTAAGGAGGTTTGATGTTTGTCGGCAGAATAGAGCGTTGGCTCAGTGCAGAGCTGATGGATGATGCTCGTGGTCTTTGCCCAGGGAGCATCACGTTTGCCGAAGTGATCTATCGATGAGTCTTGGAAATATAAAAGGGTGCTCGTGCTCACCTCTTTTTTCAAACCTCATCACCGACAACACCACTTTAACTACAAGCACCATCACAAGCCTCCTCTTTCACCACTTATCAGGCAACATGAAGACTTTCAGCCTCATCGCCCTTTTCTTCGCCGGAAGGTAGATAAATACTCTTTATTCCATCATCTTATTTTGACCTTGTAGTGCTCTGGCTTCAATTCACCACAACTGTGGCTGCACCTCTCATGGCAACTACGACGTCGACCTGAGCAGAGCTGCCTGCGCTCTTTGGGGTTCCAACCAGCCCAACACCCACTTTGATGGCTATTCTGTAAGCAATATCATATTGAACAGTGATACGAAGAGTGCTAACTTTCCAGTGCATTGATAAGGGTAGCGGTCGTGGAATTGACGGACAGCCTTGGGAGAACACTTGCAAGCAGTCCTGGGACGTGAGCTTCGGTGGCAACCGCAACGACGCCTGGGGTAGATGCTGGCACTAAGCATCTGCGTCACGCAATAGGATACTAGGTCATCGCTTCTTTAGGGTGGGCAGTAGTACCTTTTGACCTGCTCGACACAAGTCGTCAAGCCATCATTGGATTTCTTTTCATCTGGCAGTAACTTCCATAGTAAATTTCCAAGTCCTGTCACACTTGTTAGACAACACTCGATTAATTGACTTTTAACTGTACTTCATCGTCTAATTACACGTGACATTATCCCTTTGCATTTGCCTGCTCTTCAGCGACGTGTTTTCAGGTGGAATAGTCTCTAGTAGAAACAAGGTTGGCCGTAAACTAGTCTAAGGTAGGTTAGCGGGGAGATTGATCTCGTACAACCTACCTCTAGGGCTTGCTTCCGTCTATCATGTTGGACGCTCAGCTATGACTTGAAGCTCTGTAAGTGAACGGACACGTTAAAATCCATGACAGGTTTCTTTAGCCTTGCTAAAGACTTATAACTCGCCTTGAAGGATTAGGAGATGCAGGAAATAATGATTTAGTGAGTAGCTTTAAATGATAAAAGAGATTAAAGTAACTCTAGGCCAATTGTTAAATGAGATATTATGAAAAAGTGTTTATTTACTTATGTATTCTGCTTCCTTATTGTCCACGTTATGTGAAGGGACTATCTTCTTGTAATTTGGTGAATTACGATAAGAAATCTATCTTAGCTTACTACTAGCAAATCTACCAAGTCTCTCTGTCTTCTTTACTTCTTGTTTTTCAGGACTAGGGGATGATGTTGCTGCCCGAAAAATTGAGTACTCTCTTTGGGTGCTAGGAGCACGTGACATTCGCCATATCAAAACATGGTAGACAGGACGGTATTTGTGAAAAAGAAAAAACTTATCAGCCTTAATATGATTTTTGCCGCTAAGAAATAAACTACTGTATCACTAGCCTGTGCTATTCAATTTTATTACCAAAATCTGTTACTGTCGCCTTAGTAGTGTCAAGCCACCTGCAATTAAGTGGCTGAAAGGAAATTAACAGGCTGAGATTGCAATAGTTAGGAGAATGCTCCCTGCATCTCAAAACGAGGGCATTTCCAGCTCTGCTTCTGTTCATGGTTCTCCTGGTTCATCCCCAATATTGTCAAACAATTTGACGTCCGATCTTTACTTCACTTTCGTCTCGGCATTTGACCTTCATCATGGCCACTATTCGCTCGCTTCTTGTACTTGTCGCGGCCGCTGGCATCGCTTCTGCTGGGAAATGCAAGCCTGAGAGCCGTTCAACCACGATGGTATCGGCGTCTGGCCTCACTACTTCCGCCATCGACATCGTCTCGTCAACCGTGTCCGCCTCGGTCACCCTGATTGAGTCTACTACCATTCAAGCTGATACAACTGTGGAGACGACCCTTACCGAGTCTGCTTCCAGCCCCACCTCACTCGATACCACCGAGGCCAGCACGAGCGAGTCAAAGCCCACTACTCTGGTCACTTCTTTCACTACTCGTAATGCAGACACTACTACCGCACCAGTTGCAACCACCACTTCCGCTGCCCCTGGCCCCGTTGTCACCTGTCCTTCAGAGATGAATCAGTGCCTTGGTACCATGAAGATTCAATGCGACGTGATCCTAGCGAGTTTGAGCGATCCCACCACAGTCTCCGATCTGAACGAATGTGCCCAGCAATGTAACTCCGACACCTCGTGTACGGCCTTCACCTACTCGGAGGACGGCGGCCAATGCTTCAAGGCTAGATTCTCCTCATCCTTCACCCAAGCGGATGTGAATGGCTTTGTGTCTGGTATCAAGGGAACATGCGGTCAGAACACCGAACCCAGTAGCACTGTCTTCACATCCACCGCCGAAACCACTACAGCCGAGGCACCCGCAAGCACGACCTCAGCAGCACCTGTCAACAGCTGTCCTTCCGAAACCGGCCAGTGCATCAACGGAGCTCGAATTCAATGCGATGTCGCTCTAGGTGATCTGAGCGTTGCCGGTGTTTCTAGTGATATCGCCGAGTGCTCTCAGTTCTGTGCGAATACCGATGATTGCCGTGGCTTTTCCCGCAGACGAGACACTGGTGCGTGCTTCCTGGTTTTCGCTGATCCTGACGATGTCACCCAGGATACGCGAGAGGGATGGGACAGCGGCATCATGTATACATGCTTCAACTAGACGCGACAGGGGCAGGAGTTGAGGAATGACTTGGGCGTGTCAAGTACATAGCTTGCTACTGCAGTTTGACTATTATGAATTTCCCCGAGGCTTGAATGCAACCTAGGAGATAATTATAGTTTTCTTCAACATTACCATTCTGTATAACAACCGAATTTGGGGGTCGGTGAATAATATGTTTCAAATTATCCGTTTCATACACGCCTGATTTCGATGTTTAGAAGTTCACTAGATGAATACTTATCTCAGTTTTGAAGAACTTGGCCCTTGAGTACGCGTCCCTGTATCTCAGACCTCCCGGATGCTCATGGTCATACACTCACAAGTACCGGTGTTTCACTGTTTCCAATTTGCCAGGTATGACCAAACGCTCGAACACCGACAGAATTCAAGCTCCAAGTGCCTGCAGCGACTACACACGCCGGAGGCGTATCGGGGGATCCAGAAGGCGTACAGGAAATCGCCGGGACCGAGCATGAGATCCCAAAGCTACTAGATAGCTCATAGGTGAAAAAGGCTGACTGTAAGGGAGTCTCGCCATGACAAGTGATGACGGTAGCGGGCTTGTTGAGTTCGTCGTTCGTAGTACGGTAGTATCCACAGAGAAACTAGCCGAGGTCATTGACAAATCTGCCCCGAGAATCTATGGAGTACTGTCGAACAGAGGGGTTGTTGTCGTCAGTGGCGGGGTCGAATATGACAACGGCGCTATCGAGGCTGTAACTTTGAAGACTTTTACCTGCAATGACATTGGAGCCAGAGGCAAACATGGTGAATGTAGGGATCGCTGCGGTGGTGGTAAGATCGGTGGTGGACGGCTCAGCAGTTGTATGATCAGTGGTGAAGTCCCTGGTGGCCGGGGTTGCAGATGTCTCAATGGGGACGGACGAATCGGATACTTCGACGGAAAAAGCAGATGTCTTGCTAGAAGACACTGAAATCTCGACTGTGGTCTCAACTACCGTGGAGGGAGTGGCTGATGCATCATCGGTAGTACTAAGGACACTACTATACTGTGGAATAAAGACACCCGCGTTGAAGAGAGCAAAGGGACTATCTCTACAACGGTTTCATCTCGAATAAAGGACACCAGAGAGCCACTAGGACGGGAGGATAACGACGGCATACATGAGGATTATCGACATTCTTACTTTCAACACCAAATCCAGAACTTGATGCAATGCTACTGTGCTGGGATCAGTTAGGAGGGCAGTAATCGGGAAATTCAACCACTGACATAGCTACTTCCTCCTACACTTCAACTCTTTAGCTCGTCAAGCGCTTCAAATAATATGTGCTATCACGATATACCTTACAGCAATTTGTATCAAAGAGTGTCCCACCAACCCCACGGAAATGTAAATGCTAATTCCTTCCATAACGCAACTGGTTTGTAATCCATGTTCCTTTATTCAAACTGAACTGTCTCGACTCGCTCAATGTTTCTCTTTGTGAAAGGCTCACAGATCACATAAATCTTCTTCTTCGTCGCCCTCAATCCCTCTCCATTATACGCAACCTTGTGCGCATAAATATTCAACTCCGTATGAGAGATGATACCAGACGGCGGACTGAGATGCACCATCATGATATTCGAGCTTTTTAGACCGTGTTCGCGCAACAGCCTTGCGCGCGCGATGGCATCAGCACGATCTTGGTACCCTGGTATGAAGGGTGCACGGGAGCCAGGGTGATCAAAGATATCCTCAAGACCTTCTCGAACATCCTCGAGAAGGTCTTCGTATATTGCTCTCGGGACGTCGATCTTGTCCGGGATCTGGAAGTATTTGGGGGTAGCTCGACGAGGGGTGACGCTCAGTCTGTGCATCTCAACGTCACCGGCTGCTATCCAGCAAGGCGTTCTGACCTCCAGGCCCCAAGCCATCATTAAAGCTGAGGGTATCTTGAGCTGGGAAGTGATCTGACGGGGTTTATGATGAATATGGGCAAGTGGTAGGCTCAAGATGTCTCCAGTTGCAGTCACAAAGATTTATAATCTGTTCACGAGGTAACATGTAATACTGAGTATATGTGGCGATGTGCAGAGAATAAAAGAAATTGAGTTCCCGGGAGATTGCCGGGCATCGCTCGATACTTATGTGCGATTACAAGTTGGTACGTCGGATCATGGAGCCACTTACGCGCATCGTTCCCCATCGATTCCGTAGACTTTTGGCTAATACAAGAACAGTACCGGATCACACGATCAAGGCAGGTTTACGTGTTGGCTGACTAAAGTTATGCGATTGTCACCTAACATCGTCCGGAGGTTACCGGGTGCGTCAAAAGAGGGTGACGTCGAGGAGAAATGCCGCCTCAATCTGACCAACGTCAGATAGGCTTGTTAGCAACTGATTGACCTTGATGTCTTCGGCCTGTGTGATGGCACAAAGAGGATAAGTTTCAATATCACGAATCTCGCCAATTTTAATGATCTCTGACGGAAGCAAACCTACAATATCACTATCCATCACAATTAACAGGTATGGTCGGAGACTTACCCCAGGGTAACGGTTATAACGGGGAATGCCAACAGCTACCACCCAAATGCTGATATCAGGAGACGAACGCGGAGAACTGCGGGGTATCTCAACACCACTCCCCTAAGATTGAGTCTGGAAGAGCCGAAAGAAGAAGTTGGATGGCACGTGAAGTATCATATCATATTTGTTGACACTGTCTACTTCGTCAAAGTAACTACCTCGGCAGTTACCACTGGACTCGTGATGCAGTCTTTATGAGATAATTTATCTCCTTTTTGTTCTACAAGAATTCAGCTAGAAGAAGTGTTAGAGCCGACATGCGGGCAACAGCAGCAGAGCTTTCCGTGAGAAGTCGGCTCAAAATCCGCATATTTGAAGTGATTGCAGTGCAATAAGCCACGCAAATAACCCAATCCCGACAAGATGTCGCTAGTGACATGACATACGGCTAGTCTGCCGATCCTCCTGGTCAACTAGGAAGATCTGTTTCTCTCTGCAGCGGTGGTTCTCAACTGCTTGGGTGTTTGCTTCGTCGCAAGCTCCTCCGAAAAGGCCAAGACTATCAAAGTCCCCATGATAGTTAGTGTCACTGTTTAACGACCAGAGTACACATTCGTGTAAACTTTCTGTTCATAGGCCCAGCTTCGCTTTGAAATGATCCGATACGCGGTTAAACAGACGCTTCAAGTACTTGCATCCATCGGCAGAACTCCCTAGGTTGATAGACTGCATTCTAGTTGTTTTGAGATTGTTTATCGACCATTATTGCATACGTCCAGATCCGTTCTTATCAGTTCGCAAGACCATCCTCTCCCGTTCTTTCGATCATTCTAACCAACGCTCTTCCCGTTCAAGAAGACCTCCCTATGAGGATGACTAGGCGAGGAAACTATAAGCAAGACGGGATGTCGAGGAAAGTTGAACCTTACCTATATTCAAGCCACGGCGGGAGTACCGCAGTATCCGCAAGAGCGGCCCGGGATGACCCAAACCTCTTGTCCTCTTTCAGCGCATGCAAGGCATTGTGTACCTGGGACCTTGGCGTTTATGGTCATGCGGGTCAGGGTAGTATGTTGCATTGTGTAGAGTGCTGGCGGGCGTGAGGCTGAGTGTGATGTTGCAAGAGTTTTGGAAAAAGTGAAGTCAGATGAGATTGTCTAGATCCGAGACCCTACTGCCGAGTACTTATTAATTATTAGCTTAAATGTCACGAGATGGAAGAAAGCAAACGTCGCTACTCAAGAAGTAACGTCCCCCACTCTCGATTGTTGATTGTGCGCCGTCTTCACTGTCTCACCGCGATCTGGCGTCGTCCGAGGATTTTCGGACATCATTGTCTTATCAGCCAAGGGTGTTTGTCTCGGGTATCCTATGTTTCACTTCGGCTGTCAACTTTGTGAGATCACCACCCAAACGGAATCCGCTTTTGACCCACGATTGAGAATTCAAGGAAGTATTTGGGCTGTAAAAAACAACTGAAACTTGACCAGCTAGCCCTACTTGAGTCAACATCACAGACACCCCCATTCAGCTTACGCTTATCTCTGCATGGCATTTATTTTCCGTGGAATTGCATGGATTGTTGGTCACATGTGAAAGGCCTCGAATGCAACCCAAACTTGGGGAACCAGTGAACTTGATTAGCTATGTCTTGACCCCAGACTTTATTGAATGTTTAGAGCACGGATCGACGCCTGCTAATTCGGCCGTATACTAACTGCCATTTTGATGAAGCTGAAGGGCCACAGAGCTTTGGTGAGCCTTTGCCGTCCTGCAAAATTGTGCAATATCTTCTATATACTACTATACTGATGATATTGTGACCTATCTATAGGTGCTTTGGTCTTCATAGCATGTTGTTACTAAGTGACCTTCAAAGTCGCGGAATAGAATGCGAAATGGGGATTTATGTGAGTGAGAAAAACGATGACGAATGTAAGACGGGATAGGCGGTCCATGTTTCTTCAATGAAATGAGAACTGTGTTTTTACGAGCATCTAGAACGCTTAATCTTGGGTCTTTTTTAGCCACTTCGAGAGCAAAAGGTCTGATGAGTGTATTTGTATTTGCATACTTGTCGTAGCTGAGATACTCAGAGGCATTGCCCGGATGGTAAGCATTGGAAGCACTATTTCTCTTTTTGTACACAGAAGAATATCTATTCATCCATCAACAACAGTTAGTAGTTGTACATGAGTGCAAGATATGCAAGGGATCACGCCAGTAAGCCACGGCTGGCTGAACTGGTTAGCAACCGGGAACTAATCAGCGGGCCGTCATTGGTAATTCTCCGTTATACAAAGGGAGACGGCTAGGGGAGAAATGAAACACCGCCATTCGGTGGTAGATCAGCGACCTTTGGTGTAAGTGCGTCCGGTGCTTTTTTTCTCCCGAGGGACGGGTACGTAGATCTTGTCAGGTTAATATGAGGGAAGAATGCAGCGGGCGATAGAAATCCTCGACTGTTAGTGTGTTGAATGGCGAGACAATGTAGAGAGTTACTAGCGGGCAGGCTAAGCTAATCCCTGTTGTGTCCTCGGGCTGATTAGTCTGATACATGCGCTACAATGCAAGGGGCATGCAAGATAGGATTTATGTGATATCTGACAGATGGTCATCGCCAATACGTAGTCTGGTCACTCACATAGACTAACTAGTACGCCATAGGTCCCTTATTTAAGACAGGTTCGTCATTGAAAATGCGCCATCAGTCTCACTAGAACAGCAGATCATTCCTTTTGTGCATATCGATTGCACTATTCGCTGCAGCAGTACTGAATGGTATGCAAGGGTTGCAAAAAGGTGGTTGGATCCATTCCCCTGTGTCAAGTGATACAATCCGTATCTAACAAGGATCGGTTCGGTCTTGATAAGGCTTCTGTTTAGGGGAGGCAGACTCTCAGCCTCAATGCTTTCTTGGCATCCCAGCCACAGATCAGACAGCGTTGTGAAACCATGGGAAACAATCTTGGGAGATGGCTTTTCCAGCATGTTTGTCAAAACAAGATGTCACAGATCCAATCGGAATGCTATGGAGGACATGAGACATTACGATCTGACATTCCATGGGCAGGCTGATCTTGTTCATAGCAATCCAACCTTTTTGCAATTGATTCTCATCGCAACTTGATTCTGAATAGCCCGCTTCCAATACACTCCTAGACACGCAGAATACCGGTGGCGGAAATGGAATTGTTATTGTATGCTAGATAGAAAAATGATAATAATTGGTTCGTCATAACCATTTGCTGCAAACGATGGTTGATTACAACAGACCTTCAGTGGGTGAAGAGCTGTGAAGAGCTGACCAGTGTTTTGATTGGCGGGTACTGACGTCAGTCGTAGAGCTTCAGCGGGGTCGCACGCTGTAGGAGCTGGATGTGCCCTGCATCGCGTTGATTAAAACGCAACACCAACACGATTCCGTTCTTCCTCATGAGCAGCCATCTTCACTTTGACTATGATCGCGTGGACGCGGTGGGCTACTCAACCATCGTTTTCTCTTTGTTGAACCTTTGGTATCGGTTATTTTTACCTGACCACTCTCACTAAGCACGCCATTTCTTTGTTCACTTGGGACAATCAGAACCGTGTTTGTTTGTTGATTTGGTCGCCAGTACTATCGAAATTGATCTGAGAGTCGCTCATTGTGACGCCTGATGACAAGCTACTTGGCTACAATATTTGGCTGGAGATACGTTACAATGCCGGCGGAGCGAGCTTCCATGAGCGGATTTTCCAAGAGGTGTACTTTGTGTAGGGTAAAACAAATGGAGTACAGACATGTGGATCGGCAAACGGGACCCTGAAATTTAAGATATTCTCCAGACAAACAAACTCCACGGGGTTTTACGGCCAAAGACAGAATGCCGATACTGTGTGCCAATTGGTTGACAGGTGGTATCCTGGCTAAGAACGGTGGTTCTTAAACAGCTGGTGGCGGTTGACGATTTGTTTGACGTTGGCCCTTGTCTTCATCTCGTCTGTGAGTTGGAAGTATTGGGAGATGATCTGTTTTTGATATGGTTGTTTCTGTTATGCTATAATCTGCATCCAGTGGGTCTGGCCTCTGATGAGAAGTTGACAAATCGATGCCGTTCGACCTCCATGTTGTGGCTTGGGGACTTGATCGCCGTCGCGAAATGGCCCAGAGGATAGGGTCAACAACTCCGAGAGGAGTTCCTGCTCGCCAATGTCGATGAGGAGTAGACTTGGTAAGATTCTCAAGTTAAAGTAAAGTGATAGTACTGAGTTAATGTACAATGTAAAGAATATCTGAAGTAAATTAAACAATTAATCAATGAAAGATGCCCCCTCAACCTTCTAAAATAACACTATGGCTTCCCTAGGCATTATACACGGCAATGTATTCAGCTTGCAAGGTCGCGCTAGCCACCGTGCTAGCCAGGGGGGTAGAACTGCCGTAATTGTTGTTTGGGAACGCACCACCAATGGCTAGGTTAAGCAGGAGGAAGTGAGGGCTGTGCACGCTCTGGGCCCACACATCAGCTGGTAGGTCGGTTGACACAATCTGCCAGAACAAGATGCCATCGACAAACCATCTCACAGCCTCAAGCGTCTGTGTGCGGTCGACTTCGAGCGTGTAGGTGTGGAAGTTACCCTGACAAGGCGAGTTGGGGCACTCTCGGCTGCCGACAAGCCCGTCCGTCTCCCTGCATGGGCCACCAGGGTTGACGCCGCAGTGCATAACGCCCCACACGCGGTTAATGCCATTGACATTCTCCATAATATCGAACTCGCCAACTGACGGCCAGTTTCTATAGCTAGTTAGACACTTCTGTCGAGGGGATGGAGGTATCTCTTCGGGTGTTTACATACTGATAATTGCCTCGGTACGCACTACCGAGCGTCCAAAACGCGGGCCAGTAACCGATTCCATTGCTACCCACAGCTGGGAGGTTCAGACTGGCCTGGATGCGCATTTTACCTCCCGCAGCAGCCATAAAATTAGAGCGCTGGGTCTCGATACGCGCTGAAGTCCACGCGCCAGCCGAGTTCCTACTGGCCGTAATCTGGAGCGCACCATTGCCGTTCAACTTGAGGTTGTTGGTGCTGCTGGTGTATGTCTGGATCTCTCCCGTGCCCCATTGAGCGGGACCGCCTGGATAGCTTGTGCCCGTGTCGACGATCCAGTTGGCAAGGTTCGGGAGGCTGTTGGCCGTGCCAACAAAGTCATCACTCCACGTCAGCGAGAAGCCGGGAATCTGGGGTACTGCAGCATTAACAGCCGGGAGAAGGGCTGCTACTGCCGTGAGTATTTTGCTAGAAACCATAGTGATGTTTGTCTTGAGGACCACACATTAGTTATTTGCTCCTGATTTAATAGTATTTGAGTAATACTATGGAATAGGATAAGTGTAAGACTTACAAAGAGTGTGAGAAAGAAAGGTAAGAGATATGTAAAGAACGAGTAGATAATAAGTGAAAATCTAAGAGACTGACTGTAACTTAAATACTTTTTAACACAAGCTACTACTCCTTTATTCCCCTTTGACGTAGGAAAAAGCTAATACTTTTCTCTACCCAGATTGTACTCTCTCAGCTAAGATCGTTGTTATCACATGCGAGTATGGTATATTCCATAACGCTACCCCACATTCTAAGATTAACGATGGTCGATGGCATGGAGTAGTTAACTACTATTGTTACCAATCACACTCGGAGCCACTATGTAAAACCTAAAAAGTACTAGAGAGGCCTTGCATCTATCCCACCTTCCTTAATCTGCACGGTTTTACCGGATCTCGTGACAGCCAGATTTGAAGGCGGGCCGAATAGTAATCTTAAGAAGGCTCAGTTAGGTGGGAAGCCACCGTCTGATCCGCGCAGGTAGGGTGCCCAGATGCTGCCTTTCTCCAGCACACTCCGGCCAAGACTTATTAAGTGAGCCCTTGCGATAGCGGTCCTCGGGGACCTAAGTGGACGGCATATGTCAACCCCTGCATTATAGAACTATGCATCCATGTTTTAACCAGCGCTTAAATGGATGTGACACAGCTCTAGACCACTTGTACTTATATTAGTTTTACGGGATTGGAGTCTAATTGGATAACTTAGGTCCGAATTCGACTTTTAAGGAAGGTTACTTCTGTTGTCCAATTCGGCTCAAACGTCCGGTTTTACAGCTACAGGGAAGTTAAAGGGCTTTATAAAACGCTCCAATCAAGCTTCTTCCCCACATTCGGGTAAAACCCTGCAATTAGGCTACGCTCCTGAGCTTAATGTCTAAAGACTCTCCTGATTCCGATCTGATTAAAGGTATCTAGGACTATTACGGCGGGTATGCACGAAAGGGCTTTTAGAGAAACAAAAGGACTCTAGAAATAGTTGTAGTAATTTAAACAAAGCTATCTATTATATATCTCCCCAAGTATGACTCAAAATACTAAGCATACCTCAAACAAAGAAAAAAACTAGCCATCGGCTATAGGGCTGGTAAAATGAAAAGCGTTGATAGATCCAGCCAGTTTGTCTTTGGCCGAATTGTGACTGGAAGTCATGTGTTTCGCAGAGGCCTGCTCCGACAGGAGAGAAGGTTACCCGCACCATGAATTAAATTGCTCAGTCGCTAATAAAAGATCAGACATGGCGGTGACGGAACTTGGCGCTCGACGGCTTCGCCTTTGTAGCCTTGGAGTCATGGGTAAAGGCTGCTGCGCCACCAAAAGGCCCAGCAGTAGCACTGTTCCGAACCCTCGCAATGCACACACCAGAAACCCCAGCCACAGTTCCAGAACAGACATGACCGGCCGGCACTTTGACAATTACTGGAAAGTCAGTCGAACTTCCGGTAGAGAAACCCAATACGCCCGCGATGTTCTGAACAACAGAAGCAGACTTAAAAGCCGATGGATCTGTTCCTCCGGAAGTGAAGTCGATGTCTACTAGTAGGGGGCCAGCACCGTCCTCGTTGACCTGAAGCAAGGAGAGTTAGTACCAAGAATTAAGGTAGTGATCTCTTCCTGTTATTCCCACGAACCTGATGATAGATCAACTTGAGAGTCCCATCAGATGCAGTAGTTGGCAAGCCAGACTTGACACCAGCACCAGCAAACTTCTGAATACCATCTTCGATGTATCCACGAGGAGATGGAACTCCCTTTGCAGATTGGAAGAAATCGTTCAGGGGACCATTGACTGCGTGCTCAGCTTCTACTATCTGTTAGCGCCATGACAGACATCATCGGTTGCTCCACGCTTACGTACCGAGAACTAAGCCACCAACAGGGGAGCCTTCGACTGCATCCTGCACGCCTGAAATAGATCAGTACTTAAAGACTTTGGTTAAAAGGCTGTGAATAAAGACTTACCATTTACAACTGCACCAGCATTGCCAGTAACGAAAGACGCGGCTTCTCTCGTGGCTATAGAATGTTAGTTACTAGAGACCATCTGATATTTTTCAGTGAATTGTACCTTCTTCTCCTCCCCCGAGGATGGTGTCAGCAAGAGATCGACTCGAAAGACCTTGCATGAATATCTTGATAACTCGAGCAGGATCGATCGGACCTTTGCTACTTCGGCCAAGTGCAGAGGCTTTGCTTGTACCAAGCTCCGGGTCACGGATCACGCTGGTATCTACCTGGCCCCCATTGGCAGCAGAGGTGATTGATCGAGGAGTTCCGTCGAGAACTATTGAGTATTAGCTTTGAAGCCAAGGTTGTATCAGCATAGGGAATGTTTGACCTGTAAGTCCGGGCATTACCACACCATTGGCGCCAATGACTCTGGTAATTGTTCCATGTGCTTGCGCCAAGTGGCTCCAGGCCAGGGCAGAAATAAACAAAGTAGACAGCATGTTGAGAGAAGTAACGACTGGTAGAAAGATGAATAATGATTGTTGAGGATGTAAGATGATTGTGAGAATACATCTAAGTAATGGTGGCCACACATGGACTTCTTATATGGATATTGCAGACCTCTCTGAGATTGCTCCTATCAACATCTCTTAGTCTCTTAGATAATAATTACGCTATTTATAAATGTCCTGATAAATTATGTTTCAGAAAATGGTAACGTCGGTAAATTCTTCAATGTCTATGCTCCATTAGGAAGGACCTATATCATTTCAGTCAAAGCTGGCGGTTCAGGTGAAATATACTGTTTCGAAACAAGCACTTGGACGGTACGACTGGGGTAAACAGGCCTAAAAAAGAAAGGATAGCCAAATTTTGTGGTAAAGATGCCCGTGCGTGCAGTAGTAAAGTTCAGGTACGACAGGACGGCAATAGCACGGGCCCTCCGGAATTTGAAGAGAAACAACATCATAGCGCCATCACATGTGATGTTGAATGGTTATTGCCGAGGGAGGGCTCACTATTGCTGCATCGATCAATCCCACAATCTCATGCTTTCAGCCCATCAGCCACCTCTATATTGGTTAAGGATGACTTTCCACATTTATCCATTACCTTTGCAAAATAATGATAGGACCTCTACTGAAGGTCAATTGAATGCTTCTCTACGAGACAAAACACTGCCTGTTTCTTCTACAACTTCACGCTTCATAGCCCTTAAGTTATGGTCTAAAACCAGGAGTAATTTTCATGGCTATAATAATTGAAACCTACCCTGTATCATTTAATAATGTAACACGGATAATGAAGCGCTCTGCATAGTCAGGTCCGTGTTGTATAAACTTAGTAGCATTTTCAATACCTCTGTATTTATAAAGTCTATAGAGAAGTGAAATTTACTTAGGTTCTAGAACGTTTTGCAGTTTACTTGTTATTCTAATCGATCATCGTGCGTTAGAAATTATAGATAAAATAACTTATATGGAGAGAGTTGGGTGATGTAGGAGTCGTAGAAAGTGTTTCGGCGAGGTCCGTCATTGCCTTACTTACGCTTCAATTTGCCGAATATCATTGGAACACCAAGTCAATGCCCGCACTACTACCTGGTGTGAAGGAGGTAAAGAACCGAGACTCGTGTTATGGACTGCTAGACCTTTTCTTAAGACCTCTCCAGGCAAATTTCTCATTCTTGGACTCGCCCCCCGAGAAGCCTCAGAACGATATGCATTCGTTCGCCGTTTTCTCTCGAGAATCACTATCTAAAGTCCGCTAGTAAAGAAATCGACATTCGTCTAAGGAACGCCGAGCCGCCAGCAGGGCGATCGGCAGGTACCTAAACATTTAAGAAACGCTAGAAAAATTCATTGTCGTATCGGGAGACTGCTCACAGACAATTAGCGAATAACCAATGACAATTGGTGAGCGGGGTATCTTCACACCCATCTCCCACAACGTCTAAGTCCCCGAGCCTGATAGATTAAGTTATATTCACAACACCTGACATGTCGGCTGCGATTGAGGTCAGCTTTGTTGGTCCAATTATGACGGTTGGGTCGACTTACGGCTTGGCGGGTTGCTTGGTGATCGCGATCCTTTCTCGTCTCGGGTGGGTTGATTAAAGTGAAGTAATTTTTTTTCATTTTTGATGCTTTAACCTTCAACTTTATCAAGACCAGGCTTTCCAAATCTCTCAATGATATCAACAATATAAAGTGAAGTATAGAGAGGGAAAAGTGGCCCCAGCAGTGGTCCTTGCAGGGGTTTTTATGCCATTGAGAAATAGAGTTATGGCTGATATGGTAGGCAACCTTATTAAATTTAAGACATAATTACTTTTCGGTCTGTATAAAAATCTCTATTATTAATCTTTTTATAGATTTGATTAGGATAGCTAGATATCTTTTTAAAGGTACTACCAGACTTAATGTAAATATTCATAATACCATTATCAGCGCTATTTCTGTAGGTAGAACATCGAAGACCGATGAAGTAATCCGAGAAATCAGATCAGCGCATCCCACCTCAACTGGTGAACTTCACTTTCTCTATCTCGAGCTTGATGACTTGGCAACGATCAAACAAGCGGCCAATCGCTTTTTGGAAAAGGAAAGTCGCCTGGATGTGCTGTGGAACAACGCAGGCGTTATGATACCGCCCGAAGGCTCCAAGACAAAGCAGGGCTATGAACTCCAGTATGGTGTAAACAATATTGCACATTTCTTACTCTTGCTCTTCCTCCGTCCCGCACTCGAAGCTGCTGCTGCATCGGCGTCCAAGAACTCAGTCCGCGTTGTCTGGGTTTCTTCCAACGCCGCCGACGCCGCACCGAATCCGGCAGTAGACCTGACGAACATGGATTACCACCGCGAGGAGGGCGCTTAGAAGAAGTACTCGCGCAGCAAAGCTGCAAGCGAGTTTGCACGAAGAACAAAGGGCAGCGGCATTATAAGTCTTGCACGTATGATCTACATCGCTAATCAAATTCTTCTAACCATGCTATCAGGCCCTTAACCCTGGCAATTTCCTTACCAACCTTCAACAGAATATGTCCAAGATGTAACTCGCCATGTTTGTATGTATCTTTATCTATCTAGCATTAAGTATTATGCCTGTGCTTACTTCTACGCTTAGAAACTCATTTCATCGGATCCCATCAATGGTGCCTATACCGAGCTCTTTGCAGGTCTGAGCGATACTATTACCGAAGAGAATAATGGAGGATGGGGTAAGAAACCCTCTATCTTTTTACTAGAGATAATGTTGACTGACTGTGGAACAGTATCTCCCTTTGGTAAGGTCGAGAAGATTCGAAAGGACTTTATAGAACCAGAGCTCGGAGGCAAGTTTTGGGATTGGACGATGGCAGAGGTAAAGCCATACCAGTAGAGTTGTATCTAAGGTTAAGGGGATTACTAAACTAACCCTCAAGAGATCTTCAAACACACTATATATATACAAATATCTGTATGGCTGCCACTTTACCTACCACAAATCCCATTGTTAGGGTCGGCCCTATAAGTTGTTAGCTGACAAATTTGTAATGGTTTCATTTCGTCTTACTTAAATCGCCATCCATCAATGGATGATTCACCTCCCTTGTTACATCCCTTAATCTCGTTCTGTAGACGAAGAACGCAATTCTTGTTGTACAAATCCAATGTCTGAGTGGGGCTGAGATTCTGTACTTCAAAGATGTAGAGCGATGTGCTGGAGTACTGGACACAAGCTTGCTTAATCTCTCCAGGTTTGTATGACCCTTGGAATGCTCCTGGGATACCATCGTACCCATTGCAGGCTCTTTCAACGTGGTATGAGGGTGAATCAATATCGCCGCTTGGCCAAGTCTCTCCGCTCGAAAAGCAACCTGCGGTGGTGTACTTGATGTTTAGGGCGAGGAGGCTAGCCAAGGTGGTAAGGGGTGAGAACGACTTCATCTTGAGATATTGGGAAAATGGTATAAAGAAGAAGGAGGTTCTAAAGAGAGAGGGTTTCATATGAGGTTGTTGAGATAAGTAGCTAGAGAACGGAAGTTAAGACCAAGTGCGAGTGCTTATGTATAAGAAATCGGCAACAGGAGTTCTGGCATAACCCATAGAGTGAATTGGAATTAGGATCCTTAGGCGGGTATACTACGTCACTATCTAAGATGTCCTCTCCTATAACCACATCCTTGTCTGCTTCTCAAACTTTAATATCCCAGGGCTTCTACAGGATTGATCTACAAGTAGGCTGTGCACAGTGCTCCGCTTGACCGCTCCGGATAACATCACGCACTGAACAAGTATTACTAGGCAACAGGATAAGAAGGTTACTCTTTTGATCCCCGACGTAATCTTTACTTGTAAGTATATGCATTGATTTGCCCTTGGAGCCTTGGCAGATCCTGAGTAGTATGTTTCGCTGATCTTGTCCGTGTGAGTACTAAAGATTTGCCAAGTAAGCATTGCCTCCCTTCCTAAAATATGCCCCACTCCGTCCCGCAATCCTACCTACCTACTTATTATTATATGCTGTCCTTTAAGAGGATAGAGAGTACGAGTCATGGGATCGGTATGCACTATTGTGAACGAGGTCTTCCGTTTTCTATGTGCCCCCTCTAGACTGTATAGGTCTGGGATCTATTATGGAAACTATCTTACTTGTTATTTTTAGGTAACCGTGTATTTACTCGAGATACTGCTAATTCCATTTGAACTGTATTGTCTTATTATTATCTGGGTAACATAAGACAACTGAGGTCAGGACAGGCGGTAAAGCTTAGCACTTCTTACCTTCTACCAATATTATTAATTACAGTAAGCAATAACTACAGATATTATAGTTAAGGTATAATATAAGACTCTATATTAGCTTCTCCATAGAAGTACTACATATCTTATACATACTATTAATTCTCTACCCCTTCCTAAACCTCTATTCTCATAATTATCTAAGAACAGAAACCATTGTTAGGGTCACCGCTATGAGGACAGTTAGTAAGTGGATTAGAAACACAAGGTAGATACATACATAACGCGCCAGCCATCTGTAGTAGAGTCACCGCCATACCAGCAGCCGTAGATTTCGTTGCGGAGCTTACCCACACAGTCGTCATCTTTCAAATCCAGAGCGTTGTTGAGGTTTGTGTTCTGGATGGTGAAGTCTGCGCGAACGGTGCCAGAGAGCTCCACGCAGACGCTTCTGCTTTCACCGGGCTTGAAAGTGCCCTGGAACTTGCCTGCCTGGCCGTCAAAGCCACGACAGGCCCGTTCGGCGTGGTAGGCAGCGCCGTCTCGGTCATCTACCCATCCGACGCCGCCGCTGAAACAGCCGGCCGAAACATTGGCTGTGAAAACACTTAGAGCGAGGGCCTTGAGGAGCATGGTTGAAAATGAAAGATGAGAATAACTTAGAGTATGGTTGTGAAATGAGTTGCAGTCTAGAAGAGTGCGAGTAAACACAAAAAGGTTTTGTTTTATACTGGATAGTTCACTCCGATTGACTTTTGACTCGTGCAGGGGATTTGAGCTAGCTTGCTCCAGTTGATGTAGTAATACTTGTGGAATTTCTGAAGCACGAACCATGTAAGCGCTTAAGGTTTCGTATGAAGATCTGCGTTAAAAACCTGCAAAAGTCAAATCTTGTAGGATTTGCGGGGGGGACTATAATCAAGAGTTGATCCTCCTATACTACATTTGACGTTTTCTCGGCGCTTCTTCTAATAATTGTGGAATTTTTACCCTATCTCAAAGGGGATCGCCAAGTAACAATCGTCCACTACGCCAGGCAGCTACTTACGAGCCCTGTTTATCCTCCACGTATTGACATTCAGGATCTAAAGAGTGTCAATGCCTCAATCCTTCGTTCCTTCTCAAGCATCAGCCCAGAGCAAGACGCATATACATCTGATCGACTTGTGAATGGACACAGCCTCGACGTTAGATGACATCACCAAGAGGAGGTCTAAGCACAGCAAAACAGCTTGGCGTCATCGTACGCTCCTCTGGACGACTTACTTGTTAGCGGTCAATGAACTAGACACCGATGGTCTAACAGAGAAGAAGTCAGTCAATGACTCGCTAGCCCCTGACTTGAAAATGTATATAACTCTAGACCTGTTTTCTGTCACAGCTCATTACAGTCCAAATACCAACATCTTCACTCTCTCTATTACCCCATCAGTCAAGACATACTCAGCTCTGTGCTATCCAATATGAAGCTCTGCCTTAGCTCTTTGATAGTCCTCCTTGGTACTACCGTCACTATGGTTTCGGGCAAGGTATGTAACAATTCGTTTGTGAGGATATCCAGTGTCCAATGGCAAAGTCACTTCTGGTAGTGACTTACTTCATAACACCTGGATAGCCTTTACTAGCTGTATGCAAAAGTCTATGCGCTAACACGTGAGGATTCTAGTGCTACGGCGAAGGCCTTAACACTGATATCAATTGGGGAGGACGCGATGGCCAGGCCGCCGCTCGTGCAGCCACAGAGTACGCTTGCCGTGACAATAATGGCAACTTCAAGGGGCATTTCAATCCAGGCGAGGAGAAGACCTACTGCGTGTCATTTGGCTCGAGTACCAGCTTTGTCTTTAAAGTCAAGAACCTAAACACCAACCAAGGCTTTGACCTCAACGACGACGATTGTGCCCTTCGACTGCAAAATGAAATCAATGGTTGCAATGAGGGTGGCCAATCAACCTTTTCAGGCTGGTGGTTTTCGTAAGTGATGTCTAAATGAGTTTTCAGTTATAGATTCCTGCTAACAGCGTGATAGCTCAGATCCTGAGAATTACGCCAACTGCGGAAATTGAAGGCTTATCCACTAGTAATGTCATTACCAGCAGTTTATCTAGATAGTATTTTGTTTATTTATTTATTATTTACCAGCCTAGCCAGATCTACTAAAACAAGGGTTATACCCTATCCTTAGTATTCATAACCAGCCCTCCACATTGTTTTGAAACAGCTTTCCATGCCCTTCAATAGCTTGATTTCTTTTACTTTCTATATCGTAGTATAAATAATTCAAGTAAATATCTACCTACTTGTCCAATGTCTTAGAACTTCTCGTAAAGCCTCCGACCGTGTGACCTGGTACAAATACTCGAATTCAGACTTGTTTATGCCAAAAGGCCGCCCAGTAACATTTGGTATCTAATAACCAACCAGCGCATCCACCTATAGGTCCTCTTGTTTCAGCTGCCTTCTTAGAAACTCTCTGCAACTCTCGATAGTCAAAAACGAGAAAAGCGAATGCGACATTGTGCAAGGACAACTGACGCATCTTGGTCGGGCCAAGGCAAATCGCGTATTGGGTGTCTTTCAAAAGCACAGAGCTTTACTGGATCTAGATATGCATATGTAGTTCAGCATTGTATAGTACGTGAAGAGAGACCTGCAATATTTTCTGACAGATGTCAATAACTAAGTTGCTGCACTGGCGAGCTGTGCTGATCTGTAAGTCCTTTAAGCCCCTCAATTGAGTTTTTCAGCGATGCATAGAAACATATTAACCTCCATACTCTAATGAATAACGTAAAAGCGCTTCTCTCTGAATGTTATGCCCGGTTTTGAACTTTTACACATCCAATCGCCCCAATCCACCCATTCATACCATCTAGGACCACTTGAAAACTACTCTCTTGTATCTCGTGATAGGATACTTGCCTGCACTATTTGTCACTTGCAAGATGAGATGTAGGTCAGTCCATTCGTCCTTGGTCGGAATCGACACCTTGACCTTGGGACTCGACACCACTTGGCCAAACCCAGAATTGTTTCTCTGTAAAGTCTGTCCAGCTCCTTCAAGGCGTGGAACGGGTTCGATACGTAGAGAACACGTCGGAGGCAAAAAGGGGATTGGAACCTCAACTGACGGTTCCCAATACTGATACCACTGGAATTCTAGGTGATTGATTTCTCCAGGGCGATCTGGGTCAAGTGACTCAGATGCATCATACTCCAACTCCTCTCCCCCCTTTATTTCAACCAACGTAGGGGCAGGTCCAGGCTCCCCGTTTATCTTGACGATCGGGGGATGGCTCACAGTACCGAAGCTGTCCGTCATAGTCCACTGCATGCGCGAGGCAAAATCGTTTTGGAAAGCCTCACGCCAGCGCCATATAGTCGCTTGGTTGTTGACATACAGGTTGTCATCCAAGCCCATGGCCCGGTCGATCGTGTCGGTGTATAGATTATTGTGTACGCCGTCTTCGAGGAGATTATATCGCCCACCCCATCCGCCCCATCCAATTCGCTCTGGGTTGTTGAGGCCATTCTGAATGAGCCACAAGAAGCTAGGAGTATCACCTTCCACGATATAAAGTGGGTTCGGGTATTCGCTGCCCAGGGGTCCCAGTTGGATGTTGTTTTTGAGCCATTCTCGAGACACGATGTCGTTGTTAGATCCTTTGTCGAATGTATCGGAGATACCCGTCCAAGTCGCCAGCCGGTACATGTTTTTGGCGTGAATAGAGACAATGTACTTGACGTCGGGGAAATTGGCGCGAATCCATGGTCCAGTGTCGTCCTGGTCTGAGATGGCATACACTGTCAAGCGGCTTCGCAGTCGTGCTGCCGCATCTAGTGATTTCGTCTCTCTTGTGTGTTTCAGAGCTTGAGCTAGAGTATTTGCCCCACCCCAAAGCAGCACGTAAAGCTTATCCCCAGATTCCTCGAGTCGATCGATAAGCATCTGGGCACCATCACTGAGTGGCTCATCAAAAGCCTTCTGGCCAAGCACCTGCGGATTTTGTTTCATTAAGACAAACTGCGTATGGCTGGAAACCAATTTGGAGGTGACTGGCACTTACGGCTGGTCCAGAAGACACCAATGGCAGAAAATAACTAGCTCTTTGGTATTGATGATCCGGATGAACATGGTTGTTGAGGTTATTGACCACAGTGTCGTAAACCCCAACGAGCCTCCTGATCTCCTCTGGGTGGGTCGTGTCTTTCAACCAGACCGAGGTGCAGGCGACAATGCCACGCGTGTCGAACTCATTTGCATATAAGAGGTACCTGATGAGCGACTGTGAATCATCTGGCTCATTCAATATGTCTGTTAGAATGAATGTTCGTGGCTTACTAGCCAAGGTTTGCAATTCAGTCAGGTCCATGGCTCCAAACTAATTTGAGAATAGATAAGGGGTGCGCAGGTAGAATAATGACGAGCTCCAAGTCTAGGGTGGCTACTGTTGTGGAGCTTGTCCAAATAAATACGGCGGTATAAAGCACTATATATGATAACCATGCCATAGTTATACTACTACTGGACACACTATAGTCGTAAGAGTCTCAAGTGTTTATGGAGTGCGTACGTTCCGAGTGATGCCCCCGCGTTAGGGCATATACTTCGGGCCTTCGGCAAAGCGTAGATTATACCAGGTTAGCATTGGAGATCCGGAAACGCCGAGGGACACCCCGGAATTCCCGAGACAGTATCCACAAGGCGGGGTTATCCAATAGCATCTGTACTTGCAACAACCATCAAACAAAATAAATTGTACTATATAGACTCTTTCTCAGCGGGCACGTTATATCAATTTCCAACCAGCTTTCCAATCACAGTTCCAATGGCGCACTTGACAGATTTCAAATTCCAGGATATCCTGAAAAGTCTGACACTTGAGGAGAAAGTCAAGCTGTTATCTGGGACCCCGAACGATTTTGTCTCAACTCCAGGAATCCCGGACAAGGGTATTAGTGCTTTCAAGGTATGACTTTGAGCGGGCCAGATCCAGCTACCTAGCCTATAGACAGAGTCTACTTGGGCTGTCTATTAACTTGACTGACGCCAGTGGCTTAGACTGCTGATTCCATTAACGGAATCCGACCCAGCGAGTTTCATGGAAACCTAACAACGGCCTGTTTCCCCAACACAGCTTGCATAGCTTCGACATGGAATGTTGAGCTGCTGGAGAAGATGGGCTCGGAGCTCACCCGCCAAGCTCGGATGAAGCACGCACAGATGATTCTTGGACCGACAATCAACATCCAGAGAGACCCTCGTGCTGGGCGCAACTTTGAATGCTTCAGCGAGGATCCGCTCCTGTCTGGCTACATGGGCGCGGCTATTGTAAGAGGCATCCAAAACCAAGGTTTCGGAGCTTGCGCAAAGCATTTTGTCTGCAATGACTCGGAGACGATGAGGCGTTATTACAACGTGGACGAGTCGCCATACAACCGGACACTACGCGAAATTTACCTCGCTGCGTGGTCACTCTTGTTGAAGAAGTCGAATCCGACAGGCGTCATGACTGCGTGAGTCGCACTCGATCCACAGGTCCTACATTACGCTAACTGAGTGTCAAGGTATAACAAAGTGAATGGAGAATTTTGCTGTGATAGTAGCACCTTGATTGAGGATATATTGCGGAAAGAATGGGGCTTCAAGGGTGTTGTCTTGTCGGATTGGTTCGGTACCCGGTCTACTGTCGCTGCTATGAACGCCGGTGTGGACCTGGAGATGCCAGTGCCTGTCTTTAGGGGTCCTAAGCTTGTCGAAGCTGTCCGAAGCGGTCAAGTGAGCGAGCAGACGATCGACAACAGCGTATTGAGATTGTTGGATCTCCGGTCCCGAACACAAGCAGCCTTCAGCCAAGGACCAGAGAAGTCGGAAATTGTCAATGAGACCAACCAAGTGGCGCGGCAACTTGCACAGGAGGGGATTATTCTCCTCAAGAACGAAAGAGACGCGCTCCCGTTGCAAATATCCGACTCACTGAAGGTCGCCGTCATCGGAGAGTACGCCGAAAATCCTGTCTTCACTGGCGGCGGCAGCGCGTCTTGCAAGCCCCAGTATCGCCAGATTCCGCTTGATCTACTTCGTAAGGCTCACCCCAAACCAGATAACATCATGCACGTGCCGGGTGTGCGTGTCCGCCGCGTCATCCCCGTTGCTCCTACTGAGATTCTCAAAACAAAGGATGGACATAAAGGGGTTGAGGTCTCGTATTTCAACGGCGACGCAGAGAAGCCCTTTCTCACTGAGATCTCTGAAGCACCTGTCGTGTTCATGGTTGGGAACTACAAACCAGGCCTGCAGGTGGACGATTCACATATTGAGATGTCTACAGCTCTCGCGCCGGAAACAACTGGAACCCACACACTTGCTCTTCGCCACTCAGGCGCCCTTTCTCTCAAGGTCGATGGCATCGAGGTTTTGACCAAAGCGACACCTGAACTCACTACAGAGCAGTTCCTGTTCAATCTAGTCAAAATTGAGTCGCGGGTTGACTTGTTCATGGAGGCAGGAAAGTCCTATGATGTGCATGTCACGATGCAGTCGAGACAGCCTGCCCCAGGAGAGCCAACTCCATACGGGCTTACATTGGGCTTTGAGGAGATGTACTCCGAGGAAGACATGATATCAGAAGCAGTCAAAGCTGCAACAGCTTCTGACGTCAGCGTTATCTACGCCGGCCGAAGCGAGCAATATGAGTCTGAGGGGTTTGATATGGATGAGATTACCTTGCCTGCTAATCAAGTCGCTATGATCAAGGAGGTGGCAGCTGCTTCAAACAGAACTGTAGTCCTTTTGCATTGTGGGAGTCCCATCGATATCAGCAGCTTCGTTGACGACGTTGATACAATCATTAACATGCATTTCCCCGGCCAAGAAGGTCCCCAAGCCATGGTGGATGTTCTGATTGGGAAGACAAACCCGAGCGGACGACTGTCTTCAACTTGGTTCAAGACTCTGAAAGACTGGCCGAGTTTCGACCATTTTCACCCGGCCAACCATGGAGGAGCTGACTATACGGTCCGCTACCCAGAAGGTCTGGCCATAGGATATCGAGCCCCGGTCCCTGTTGAACGGGTTCAGTACCTTTTTGGCCATGGATTATCGTATACCTCGTTCTCCTACGACAGTCTACATGCCAACGTAGACAACTCTACCGACACCCCCTCATTGAAGGTGGAAGTTCGGGTGACGAATACTGGCAGTCGCCCGGGCAAAGAGGTGGTGCAGCTTTACATTGCTCCACCCGAGGGTGTGCACGACTGGAGACCTCAGCGAGAGCTCAAGGAGTTTACCAAGATTTTCCTGTCGCCCGGTGAGTCAAAAGTTGTCAAGATGGAATTGGACGTTCGCGATGCATGCAGTCACTGGAGTGAATCTTCACGTGCATGGATAGTAGACCGAGGAACCTATGGGCTAGAGGTAGGTAGCTGTCAGAGCACTTTTATAGTTTAAAAAGCGTTTAAAACATACATTATTGTAACGCTACTATTTATATATATTTTATGTTCGAGATGTAGATAAGGTATTTAAACACTACCCGGGTGAATATATAAATAGCTTATCTAGCTATCCTATGTTCCTTATTTTACTTCAACGTTTAACCTTATCAAGCCCAAGATTTCCAAATCTCTCAATAATATTAAAAATACTAGCTAGATATATTAGCCAGCTTTTCCTCCTAGTAGCGCTGCTTCTTAACAGACATGGCCGCGATATTTACGTTTTGTAAAAGTGTAGACTAGGCCCGAAGAACAAACACCTTACACATGAACATTGTATAATGTGTCTGCCCTCCAATGTATTTATTGCCAGAGAATGAGGCTTTTGCTCGTCTTGAGGAATTAGGCAGAATTCGTGTAAGCGGCTGCGCCACCACCACGGTCATCCAATCCGGTATCCCCTATTGGTGCGGTGTGCATCAGCAGAACATGAGCAAACTGCGGCTGAAAGGAGACATCGGCATCGGGGCTGCTCAATGAGGGAGCCTGGTCTCACGCTAATCATCAGCCGCAACATCGCGCGCCTGAGGCATTTCTTTTATTTCTTCCCCTCATGCCGCTCGATTCTATCAGTCCCGCCAAGCCTTTCTCGCTTGGCTAGAATCTGCGGATCACGATAACGAATCATTAAACATCCAGCATACACAAGAGAATGAGGTCATGGTACAAGAAGCTCACCAAGGGGAGACAGAAGGATGACAACGGAAGAGATTCAATAGTCTGTACCTTTGTTTCCTTTTCGCGTCGTTATCCTAGGAGCTGACAATTCATCTCTTGTATGCTAGGCTGCGCGGGCGCCCAAATCCATAGAACAAGATGATATCCCTGTACCTCATGACTTTGAGGTAGAACCTTTTGGCTTGTTCATCCTACATCCATCGTCTGACATTTACTTACCGTCTACCGGTATCGATGTTGAGTATGCTGCTTCAACCAACTTCATTGTCCTAATCCTTTGTGCATGATCTGACATCACGCGAAGCATTGTCGCTGTTCATGGATTGAATGGCAGCGCAAGGAAGACATGGACCGATTCAGCAAAATAGGCAATGCTGGCTGGACGATCTACTGCCTGAATCGATTCCGAGATGCAGGATTATGACCTTTGGATACGACTCCAAGTTGGCTTTTAGTAAATCTCGATCAGGGGTAAAAGCCTTTGCTCAGGATCTTTTGAACCGACTGAGAGTTGTCAGAAGTAGCTCCGAGGCAAGCGTATAGACGATTGTGTGGTACCTATCACTGAGTCCTCACAGGCTCGAAATCGACCGCTCATCTTTATTGCTCACAGTCTAGGCGGTATCGTAGTGAAAAAGGTATGTGAGACGTTGCGGCTGACAGTTAAACATGTTAAATCTTTAAGGCTTTGATCATAGCGCACAATGGCTCCGAGGTCTATACTTCAATCCTCAAAGCCACAGCCGGCATCGTCTTCTTGGGGACTCCGCACCGCGGATCTGACCTGGCGCCTTGGGGACTTCTTCCCTCAAATCTCGTCAGCGTGACTAGCATAGGAAAAAACATACGGAAAGATCTCTTACGAACACTTAGCAAGGACTCGGACACGTTGATGGAGATATCAAGCCAATTCCTACAGCGGGCAACGTCTCTAAAAACCATGAGCCTCATTGAACAACAGGTAGAGAGTCCGCTGACAACATTGGTAACTTCCTATATCCTATGCTACAATAGTGTGATTCTTACAGTTGGCAGGTTGTTCCAGAGTATTCAGCCATCATGGGTCTGCCCAACGAGACTGGGCTTCCGCTGAACGCTCACCATCGAGGTCTCACTCGATTCTCGCGAAAGACTGACCAAAATTATATCCTTGTTGAAGCAGCAATCAGAGAAGACGCGTATGGGACCATGGATAAATGTGATGATTGTCTTGAGGCAACGGCTGAGAAAGATAGCTGACCTTGATACAGGCGAAAACGAGGTGTATGATACCCTCAAGACAGCTGCAAAAGATGCAACAGAGATCCTCCCGAGTACCACCAGTTTACCCATTCCAATGGCAGCCCCAATACTCTTTCGCAGTCCTATTAACGCACCCTCATTTACCTCTGGGAACAAAGTCTCAGCAAGTAGTTCACGTACACTGGTAGGATCGCCAGCTACTTCAACCTCAACAGGTACCTTGACCCCAGAGCTTTATGACCGCAGCCTTGGTGGAGACGGTAGGGCACAAACTCCTTCTAAAGCCAGCTTAGAGAGCCAATCATTGAAGCTACCAGAAAAGATGGTTGAGACTATCACACTACGTGTTAGTGGTCTCAGACGGCGGCTTGGACCAGATAACAACAAGCAAAGAGACATTTGTCATGTCATCAAGGTCCCAGGGACTACAGAAATGTGGGAACTAGGTCCCTGGTTGCAAAGAGAAGTCACTGGTGCGTGAAAAGCATATGCTCAATGGACACTTGCTGACTTCCAATAGATACCAAGGAGATCAAGGCCTTCAGGTTCAAAGACCAGGAAGGCGATATCCGGACCTGGTGGGAGGATGTCTTTACGACTCCAGTCGACGTCACATCTGGCCGGCCGTCTTACAGCAAAGCAGGGGTTTTCAAAATTAACACAGACCAGTCAATTGCAGCATTTATGAGCAAAGCTTTTCCCCATCCAATCCATGCCAAACTCAATAGTAATAGCCACGAAGGGCACTCCACGTTTGACAAAGTGTCAGATTCGGTTCTTGAGGTTGGACAAGACGGCGCGCCCGACCTAGTTATTTCATTCATGAGGACCGTGAGAGTCCCCGAGAGCGACAAGGAGTACAATTTACCCCCTGGATTAGGGAGATTTCCGCTGTTCAATATTGCGCCTTTCAGTCACAGTTTACCGCCTTCAATGGTGGCCAAAGGAGGATTCTTTTTTCCCATGTATCGTAAGTACAACGAGCAAGCTGAGAGCATAGTTACGTAGGCTGACTCGCATTGCTTAGAGATGGAGGCAATGTGGATTCACTTCCATGCCGAAGAACAAAAGAAGTTTGCTGTTCGACTATTCGTTGGTGGCGTCAATGGACTCTCAGGGGAATCGTCCGAAGGGGGTATGGCGTCGATACTCCGTCGAATGAATTTAGAGAACCGCAGACAGGACTACTTAGTACTCCCAGAACAATTATGGCTTGACGGGATTGCTACTGCACCTGGAGTGGTCAGCCAGTTTATTGCCACCGAAATGGCTCTTCGAAAGGAAAGATCTCAAGAAAGTCGAAATCCTCGAGCCAGCAAACAACAAGACACGTCGAGCAACCCCTCTTCCCATGGAGATACTACTAGTGGGGCGTCTATTGAGTGGCAGGTTACTGGTCGTGATGAAGTTGGGGGACTGCAGCTTCAGATCATACCTGAATTTGAGCCTGGCCACATACATGCTGGCTCAGCCAGAAACGTCTGCGTGACGAGTGAAGGCATTGTCTCTACTGTTGTCCCCCCGCCAAAGATGGAGCGTGTCTTTGATGTCCTTTCGACCCCTGCCGAGCTCAACCTGAAAGCAGGCGACACAATCCATGTGAAAGACCTCAAATCAGCAGCGCAACCACGCCCCAGAGTCGTTCTGGACTTGTTGGACGAAGGCCCTTTGAAGCTTACTGATCAAGACATTGTTGAGCTGGAAGCAGTGCACGACAGCTACTCCAAGTGGGCGTTCGACATCAAGCTCCTCGGAAGCCAACATCCTCCCATTTCACTAAGTGTACGTGCATCCAACTTAACTCAGTGTTCACAGCCTCATCATTATCTCTAGTTTGACGATGACGATCCATTCGACCTTATACTAGTATTGTCGCGAACGAACTGCAAGCATCGATAGGCTCGCTGGCCGTAGGCTGTTTTACCGCTAATATTACTCAAGGGTGGATTCTAATTTCATCCTGGCGAGCTCTTAAATGGCTTCCACGGCTGAGGGGGAAAGATCAAGCAAGAATAGGGCAGTGTGAACTCACTTTTGTAAGTATATTTCTTTATAGTTGATCTGTCATGACCAACTAAGAAAACCATTTGCTAGATCCCTGATGAAGTTTCTGTCCAGTGCTTCGTTTGCCGTGTTGTGTGCGACGAGGCAGTAGATTCTACTTACAGCAACATCTTCCCACTTCTTCTGGCCTTTGACGGGAATGCTACTGTTCAGCATCTCAGGGATGTTATTCACAAGACGACAAGCGTTTCAACAGCTGATTATTTGATCCGACGGGATTCCTTAACTTCCCCCCCTATCGACGATGGCGAAAGAGTCTTCCCAATGGATCGCCTCGATACATCTTGGACGGGAAATGTACCGCAATATCTATTGGCGCGAGATACTGTGTGTATCGACAAAGTTGAGCAAATCTATCATCCTCCAAAACCCTTCTCCAAATCCAGTTTCAACCCGTTCAATCCACCAGGCCCGCCCATCGGCCCGATTCAAATCTCACTCACAACTCTTACTGGAAAGGTCGTCAAGATGGAATGCGAACTATTTAACACGATTTATGAGCTCAAGGCAATGTTGCGGGATAAAGAAGGTATCCCGACGGATCAGCAGCGCATGATTTATGGTGGTAAACAGCTTGAAGACGGTAAGGATTTTGCCAAGGCCTTATCGACCTTAATAACCTTTTGTACCCCTAGACCACATCTTAGCCGATTACGGCATTCATATGGTAAGAGAAATCTCCCCAGATTTTAATGCCTCTATTTACATTTGACTAGGACTCGATTGTTCATGTTGTTCTGCGTCTTCGAGGTGGGGGCTTGTGTGTCCGAGTCAACTTCGAGGGCAAAGAATGGTGTGAGGAGGTCTTGGATTATCGTTGCATCGCCGACCTCAAACTCAACCTCATGAGCAAAACTGGTGTTCCAGTGAAGGACCAGGTACTGAAATATGCCGGTAAAGTTATCCAAGACGGTAGGCACCATGACCATCTCGTATGCCTCGCAAGGTTCTAACGCTTTTACTTCTCTCTGAACTTAGATGAGAACCCCCACATATACAGTGAAAGGCTTCTTATCCTTACTACCCATGTCCAAACCGTGGCTATGTCTTTAGGCATCGGCGCCGGCGGCAAAATCCAGCAGCACATCGAGCCTGATACCAAGGACCCGCGGGTTTGGGACATAAGCAGCTCGCGTATTGTAAATGTGCAACTTCTTGATGCTCGCACCTTTCGCCTGGTTACGGGTCACGCGCCCCCTGAAACTCCTGTTACAGCTGACTTATATGCCCAGATGGGCCTTAATTTCTTCAGACAGTGGAGAGACGAGCAACTTGCTGTTAATAATGTTTCTGGGGATTGGAACAATCTAGTCGGGGCGGCTCAAGTAGCCATGAGGTATGCCAAGAAAGGTAAGGGCTCGATCTCGGCTGATATGATCGAACATGAAGAGCGATGGGGGCTGCTGGGGACTGGAGCTTGGGGCCAGTTGAAGAGTGGGGGCGGAGTAAGGCAGAGCGCAGTGGACAAAGACTTCGAATATCCTCTGGTTATGTTGGACGTGGACGATACGGTCCCTAAATTTACGAGTGTAGCTGAGGAGGAAGAGAACTAGAGGTATGGAGTAATTGACCTAATCTCATTCGTCATAAACAGCTGTCCATGAATATATGACATCCCCTATGCCTTTAGTACTTAGTACTGTTCCCCTTTTTGCGGAGCTTGAACCACATCAGAGGGAGCAAAAGCGAGTTCCGACGTGATTTGATCCCAACCATCCGCACTTTGGCACGACACAACACCGTATCGAACATCCCTGGTGCCGATTTCTTTGACCAATCGACTGGCATCCAGGTTGGATCCTGAGTCCATGAGCTCTGGCGCGCTAAACGCCCTCGCAATCTCGATCGGTGACAATGAAACGTCCCGCCCGAGACGCCACCAGTACATCAGGAGTGGCATAACAGAAATAGAAGCCAGGCCGATTAGCAGTAGTGCTAAACCCAGAAAGAAGAAGTCGGATGTGTAGACGACCTCGGTCCCTCTCTGTGTAAGAAGGACTGACTGCGCCACGACGTCCGTGTTATTGCCTTGCAATGCGAGTCTGAACATGAGCTCTCGCGCCGTCATAAGAATGTCGTGGGTCGGATCAAGCCACTGGTTCTGGCACATGGAATCTGTATCCCCCACGGCCTGGCGGCTGTACCGTAGGGCTGTGATGCCCATCGTCGTCATATCGTAGCCCACGGCGCCCGCGAAGCGCAGCGTTACCTTGGCTGAGAACATGCTCTGGAGAGCGATATAGATGCCGCCGTGTAACTGTCTCCAATTCGTCTCGGTGTAGTTAATCAGGCGGTCATCCTCATATGTGTAGCCGCGATCTAGCGCAATGGTGTTGTTAGCAATGATGACATGGTATGCCAGCGTCGCGGGCGCCATGGTGCAATTACGAACTGCCACGTCGCCCTTGCATTCGCCGTGTTTTTTAAACTTGGCAGTCAGATTCAGAATGGGTTCTCCAGCGTATTGCTGACTGTCGTAGACCATGTAGGCAAAGTCTGTGCTGAAGATGACACTTTGGTTGAAGGCCGAGTTACCATCCTCAGCGATCTCGTCCGGCATCCGTGGGGTCTTGTCGAAGAACTCAGTTCCGTCGACACACGCCATCTTGTACCCGGCCGCCTGCAGGATACCACGGCACGTTGTCGCTCCTTGGCAAGGAGAGCTCTGTAATCGGATGGGGGTCGATAGGAGGTGATCCTGTAGCACAGGCGCGAAGGAGGGCGTGATAAAGGTGATTTGGTGGCTGCGTCCTGTGATCATACCCGTCGTATATGTTGTGGCGTTGAGAAATGGAGCTGCCACGATGGGGACGTTTACATTGTATGCTGTCGGGCGGCTAACCGTGCGCGATGCTCGCTGCACAAGAGGCGCATTGGCGGGTACCAAAGCGAGCAGAATAGAGGCGAGAGCGACAAGGTTAAAGCCACGTCCTGCCAGGAGTGCTGATCGTAAGCTGCTGCCGAAAGACCAGATGTGGTGGAGGTCTGCTACGGTGGTTGTCCTATCCTCCCCAAGAGCCGCGACCCACCACGAAATCTCGACGCCCTTGTTGAAAGTGTAGCGCAGGACAATATTGGCAACGACCGAGGCGATTGCGAGGTATACGCCTGGTGCTAATCTCCAATTCTCGACCGGGTCGCCGTCCGACTTGATGATAATAAGGATCATGGCGAGAGCGCAGGCGACGCCAACGAGCAAGGCAAGGAACCCATCCCAAGGCAGGCGACGCAGGAAGTTCGCTCGCCAAGGGGCTCTGGAGCGTTTATTGATTTGTCCATTACGACCTTGAGTGGTGGCAGGCAACAAGGCCACTGCCTGGGTCGCCATTAACTTATCAGCCACCATTGAGTGCGCTGTCGTTGTCTAGTCAGAGTAGCACTCGCCCTCTATTAACCAATGGTGAAAGTTTGAGGGCGACGTGGGGCTTATTTATAGGTAATAGAAAACCATGAGACTTGCGTCACTCATATGCAACACTTCAATAGCAGTAATGTGGCTTACAGGTTGTTAAACGCCTTTACTATCCCGTGCGCCAATCATGACGGTATCAGCGAATCGCAATGGAGTCATGACAGGGATCGTTCGAGAGATTGGCATTGGCATTGGTCCCACAAATAGAATGAGGTATGGCAAAGGATGCGCTGTGATCAGAGCCCCGTCTTGCAGCTCAGCTCGGCCATGGGAATATGTTATTCGGCTGCCAATGTATGACGACTTTCACTGTGGCTGCCGGGCTAAGTTTCAGGCAGCGATAGGCTACAACGCAGGAGAAGGCTTCCTCCTTGAAGAGTGAGTCTAACATAAAAGTTCCAGTTATCTTCGCGGAACGGGCATACCTGTCTGTCATAAAAGCGACTGAACATTCGATTGTCCGTCCAGCCCTGTGGGGTCAGCTGCCCGTCATCTACCCGCTCGCTGTGGTTGGCCATTGCACAGAGGCTTTTATGGCTGCAGCCGGTCAAGCAAGCCACTTCAGGGATTTAAACAGTGGATAATTGTCTTCTATCCAAGCGAATTAACAAGAACTGCAGTTTGCTGGCTTGGAATCCCTAGCGGTATCCACAGTTCGTGGCCCTCAACACGGTACCATGATGGCAATTGAGAAAAGAAAGTGCAAAAAGAGGTTCTGCCCGGGCTCGAACCGGGGACCTTCTCGGTGTTAACGAGATGTCATGACCAACTAGACCACAGTACCAATATGTTTGCTATGGAATGACCTCAAATTCTAAATGCACCATCGATCCTGGGTAACGATATTGCTGAAGCAAACCGGTCAATATTGGCTCTAATGATGCCATCGAAAAGCAAGCACGAGGGTGTAGCGCCACTGTGTGGCAGCGGAGGAAATGTTCAATACATGGCGGAATAGGCATCCATAATCGCATACATTTGAGGAAGGCGATAATTGTCACCTGCATCTACTGCCTATTGCCCAAGTGAAAGGCGACGTCGTTAGGAATACCCCCGTCTACTTGGGAAACTTGTAAACTAATCCGGAGCCCGCCGTCGGGGAGAGCGGCATTCTACACTTTTGTGGCGGCATAGCTGGCGTGAGGGCAGTGTCTTATCGCAACGTCGCTTACTGCCACAAAATTGGAAACAAGAAGCACGCGCTCGGTCTTGTGACTCCGACGTGGCCGACATGTTGGCCTAAAATATATGTAGAGAGTCCAATGTCGACTTGCGCCTAGATAAGTTGTCGGTTTGGTTTTCTGTCACTCTGCGAGGAATCATGAGTAATCAGCGAAGCTGCGGATCTTGCGGGGCTCTTGCGCACATTGGCGTGCTGACTGATGATGACGACCCACCCATCCTTGGATAGAGGCATGTCTTCAGGGTAAGTCGGGGGGTTCTTGCTCCAGTCAGATTATTGGGCAATTAGTAAGAGACAAATTGATTACTGAACACTTCATGACGACAATTGCCTTGATTTCTACACTGAAAGTATTGATTACTATATAAACAGATGGCACCTCGGCCAAAGTACAATTCCATTCAATAAATAGTTACCTATTTTTTAGTAAATCATTTCTCTTACAACAAAACTTTATCAACTTTCTTCCAACACATAAATATGAACACAATTCTGATTGTCGGAGCCACTGGAGCACAGGGCAGTGCGATTGTACGCTTCCTTTCCAGCACTGGTCGCTACAATATTATCGCTTTCACTCGGAGCGCATCATCGTCCCACTCTGTTGAGCTAGCCGCATTGCCCAATGTCAAACTCGCCATCAGCAACGCTCCAACTGGTTATGATACCGAAGCGTTTTTGTCTGCTGCGTCGGACTCCGACTACGTTTTGGTAAACACAGATGGCTTCGCAATGGGTGAGCAAGCTGAGACTTATTGGGGCACTCGGTTGTTCGAATTGTCTGTCAGAGCTGGGGTGAAGCACTTTGTCTACAGTGGACTTGATTCTGTTGGTCCCAAGTCAAACTATGACCCTGACTTATACACTGGCCATTATCAAGGCAAGGCCAGAGTCCAAGGTTTGTCCATTTCTAAATTTACGTCTATTGTCGTGAAAGAGAGTTACTGATACGTTCTTCTAGGCTGGATGCACGGACAGAAAAATGTCAGTATGCGTTGGACCATTATCAGGTCTGGCCCATATATGGAACTCCTCTCTGCAGTTCTGGCCCCAGTACAGGGAGAAGATGGATCTCTCACCTTCCAATTACCTCTCGACGACGGTGCAATCCCATTCATCTACCTTGATGACTTTGGCAAATATGTTGATTGGGCACTCACGAACCCCAGCGAGTCATCCTCCCTAGACTTTGGCATTGCTACCACACAAGCATCGGGTGCACAAATTGCCGAAGCTGCCGAGAAGGTCTTGGGAAAGCCATCGCAATTCGTTAACGTTCCCATCGAGGCTTGGAATTCTGCAGCCTGGAAGTATCTACCCAACGGCGGCGATACCAAGATCGGGTTTCAGTCCGTTACAGACCAGAATGTACTGCTTATGACATATGCAGAGAACTTCACTCATTGGTGGAATCTCTACAAAGCTAGTCCTAACACTAACAAGGGACTGATTCAGAGAGACTTTGTCTTCATGGATAGAATTGTTCCTGATCGTGTTAAAAGTGTTGAGGAGTGGATGCGTAAGGTTGGATATACTGGGGAAAAGCAAGCTCTGCTAAAGCTGGACGCTGCTTCAGGACAAGTGTAATTATTATGGGGCTCCAGGGTTGCTGAAACAATAGACTTGGCTTGCCGATCAGGCCCTTATTAAACGAACTTTTTTGTCATACTATAGTTACTTGGGAAAGTACGGATACTTATTTAATTTTATTACCTCACTTAGAGGAATGACCCGGGCCATCCGTGGTTGAGAATCAAAGGGATAGCACCGGAGTGATAGGACTTCCCATGGATAAAGTGGACAGTTAAATTTATAATATCGGTAGTGTAATAGTGGAACCTATTTTTCTTTTTTGCTTTAACCATCAACTTCATAATGGTGGAACCTTTGCAGAAAGAAACAGGAGCATAGTTATTCAATTTTCTCTACTCATCCTCCCAGTCAGAATTATCGACTAACTCATTCTTCAGAGATACTAAACTTTCTAGGGCAATACCGGCCCTTGGATTAAGATACTTTGCGCTTGTTGGCAACCTCGTTCTTTTAACCACGTCCATTATGTGAGGAACTTCATGGGAGAGGTTGATGGTAAACGGCCTCAAATTGAAGCTGTTAGGTCTGGGCGAGAGGATCGCACCAGCACCATGTGGCGAAGACACGAGAAAAAGAAGGCCTAGAAAAGTAGGTATCATGGTAAATAAATGTTAATGATTTACTTGGGTGCTATCAGGTCGGGTTGATTACTCACCCTCGGATATGTTTATTAACTAAAGGGCCTTGATTATAATCATCTTCCACAATTCCACAATTACACATAGACAGTATCCAGGTTTTATCCGCACAGAGATCCACTAGATACCAATTACAAAGCATTGATTTAGATCAGTAAGCTGCAGTTGTGTCAGTAAGCGGCGTTCAGGTAAGTAAGCTTCATTGTGAAATGACCCAACCAAAATGCATAGCGCTCAGAGTAGACCTAGAATAATGAAGGGACACGACAAGGATTAGTTACCTTAAACGGAATATTCAGGTTCCATCCTTGCAAGCTAACGTCAAGTTCAGTCTTACCTCAGGGAATTTACTACTAAACCTATTTGGCTCCTATAACCGAACTAGCTGAAAGAAAGGGAAAATGGTATATGCTCATAAGTGTTGCTAATTGGCGCAAAACCCCTGGGACTAAAGCGAAATTACTGCTACGCCATTTAGCAATACTCATACGACATAGACTTTACTGAATGGAACGAGATGGTGGAGTTGTTTTTGCTGTCAAATCTGCATCCGGTCAAATCCTCCAGGCAGCTACTCAAGTCGTAATCTTGATGCACCTATCAGTACGGGATAATCATATCATAGATGAGACCCACAACCTCGTTCCATTAAGTCGAGACTCTTGGAGACAGTGTCTCTGATAGCTGATGGTCTGCAACGTTGTTTGTAGTCTCACCTGACAGTATACCATTTGTGAATGGATAGGAAGTATTATCGGCATTACAGCCTATGAGCTAGTATCGTTCTTATCTGCTTTATCCAGCTTCCGAGGTTACTGTTGATAATGGAAAAAGTATAAGAACTTACGGCCTGACGAGCATGAATAGATCACAAACCCTCACTCAGCCTCCTACTTCTCATTCATCCATTACCACTATTCCTCACATCAAAATGCTTTTGTCCACGCTTATAACCCTCACCTCACTCCTCGCTGCCTCTGCATCGCCTGTTGGCAGCAAGCCAGAGGACATTGACCCCAATGTGGTTGAGGTGAACGCCTGGCTCGATGACACAAGCAACACAACCACTCTCATCATCGGGTCTCGGTTCTATATCAAAGAGCCCGTCGACAAGCTGGACAAACGTGACTGCATCCCTCGTCGATGGACTACCAACAACGTCGACCGTACAGGCACGTGGTGGAGTTCCTGGGAAAAAGTTAGTGGCTGCAACTACAACACCAAAAGCTCTTCTACCGCGTCCTACAATTTCCAAACAAGCCAGACAGTTACAAAGACCGTCTCCGGCAGCTTTGACGCGGGTATCGGTAGCGTGGACGGCATCGCCAAGACTATCAACGGCAACGGGGGATTAAGCCTGGGCTTTTCCTGGAGTACCAGCAAGACCACCGGCTTCGAGTTTACCTGCAACATTAACCCTGGAGACAAGGCGTCAGTTTGGCAGCAGAACCTTATGGGTTGGGCTGACACGGCGCAGCGCAGGTGTACCTCTGGCTGTGGTGAGGGTGAATGGTGCAGTGATTGGCAGTTTGGCCACATTGATTTCCCTCTCAAGGGCGGCTCGCAGACGAACCAGAATCTCGGTTGCTCGTCTGGCGCTGACTCCCATTGCCCTTAGTGGTATATATATGGATGTCGGCAATCAATCCTTTCCCTTTGGATCTTCTTGCGTTCCATTGCTATGGAGGAGAGAGGATCGATCAATAGACTAGCATTTATGCCAGGCCGAAAACCCCGCCGACATTTTCTAACTTGTATTTTGGTACTTAGCCACTAGTTTCTAGCTCTTTCTTTCATGTGGCTTATTATATGGAACATATTTTAAGCAGGAGGCTTCCTGTCTTTAGTTTCTCTTCTATTTTCTCGGATCGAATAGAGCCTTGAAGGGAAGTTTCCATTCATCCAGTACTATGGTCATTTTTCCAATTATACTGCATCTTTCTTTCTCTTTAGTCAGCATTGAAGTCTATTTCGTTGGGTTAACATCTCTCAATCCCCCACTAACAACCGTGCTCTTCTGACACCCTTCTCGCTTCATCTATATCATATGCCAAGAGCTCGGCAGATAAGCTCCGAAATTACCCACTAAGGGCTAATCAATGTAATGCTAATCCTCTTTCGTATCACCCTAGCATGGTGAATGTCGCATTCTGAGCTGAAAAGACAGTGTACATTTGAGCCCCCTCAGTTCGGGTAAAGAGCTCAAAAGGGATTATGCTAAGAATAAGGTTAGCAGTTCTTATTATCTCTACCACCTCATGCATGTTATGCCTGGCGAGAGAGACGCATCAACCTCGGAGTAGCAACCTGAGGAAGAAGAGTTGTATCAGTGCATGTGAGGACACATAATGGCGCTGTATGTGATTCTTCAGCGTGGCAATTATTTCATGCACGAGATGCAGACAAGGTCAAATAGCGGCAGTGATTGTATTGATTAACTTTGAATGAAAATAGAACACAATGATATACATTCTAGTAATTGGTTAGATATGAAAGCTTAATGGAACTAGAAAAACAGAATTATCTCAAAGCTAACTCCCAATTACTCTCGCCCCTGTTGTCTATAGTCTCTAACTCTAAAATACTTATTCTTCTTTTACTTTTTTATTACAAACCCCTCTATAACAAGTTGTAGAAGACAAAGTCAATACCATGTTTCACTACATGATCGCTCCCATATCTGCCTCACAGTATCCTCCATCGCACTAACTGCTGGCCATGCTATTCTTGCTAAAATAGCTTTGGCATCTGACCAAGTTCTTATCTGAGCAGTCCGGCTCCATTGCCAGATCGCCTGGGAGAAATATTTCGTGGCTTGTTGATCAAATCCTTGACTGTCTACTGTGACACTGATGGCGCCCAACATCATCTGCCAGAATAGAAGCTGGTTGCTGGCTGTTCTGCCATCTCCCATTACCCTAGACTGTTTTATAAGAGCCTTCTCGAAAACATGAATAACATAATCGTGGGCCATCGTTTCTTCTGGTTCACCAAGGCCAAGAACACGGTGGATATAGATGCTAGAAGCAATATATAGGCCACACCATGTGGAATGAAGTTCTTGTTCCTGTGGTTTCTCCAAAAATTCGGTTTCCTTCCTTATAGATTCATACTTGGTGTAACAGAATGAGGCGATGTGAGAAGCTAACTGGTCGAGATGAATCTGAGACGCGACACAGTTCGTGCATGCCATAGCGAACTGGACTTCATCATGGTCGATATGTGGCTTTGCGTACATCATGTCCAGACTCTCAGTGATAGATTTTAATCTTTCAATTGTATCCCTTCCGTCTATCCAACTTAAAGTTGCTTGTGGTGGCAGAGGCTTTGAGAATAAGAGCATCGTGCGAAGAGAAAGTAGCTTAAGCGAAGGGTCACAGTTCCTCTCTATTTGATTCAAGGGGTGCGATGAGGTAGTTTCACTTGCAGGTGCCGGGGTCTCATCTTCTCCTAACTTCTGGCCGGAGTATGGCTCTTCGTGCAGTGTATAGCGGGTATAAAAGCTAAGTATTCTACTCCATGATCAGCATGCACCTCATATGGGAGAACACATTTGCTTGTTAAATGTCCATTGGCCATTTGGCGCATAATCAGGGTAGAAGACGTACAGCAGAAAGTATCGATTAGTGAGCTCCTCGTCTTGTTGGTATTCGTCGGTGTCCTCAACTTGGAATGGATCCGGTTGTTCGTGTATTCGCAGTCGTTGCTGATTTAAGAGGACTACCATTCCATCAATGTGGGCTTTGGCACTAGCCAAACTTCCCAAGCAAAGCTGAGAAAAGAGGATTAGGACAGAAATTTCCCAACTGCGCAAGTCCATGAAGCTTTTGTATAGGCTGTAGTTAACTTACTTCAATGAAGCACAATGTGGCAATTTGCCGAATAATAGAAGTCATAAGTTGAGGACGTCCCCCGGCGATCCAGTCATTAATAACTTGTATAGCTTTAATCTTATGGTATAGAAAGGTCGATTCGAACGCTTGCATGCCTTCTTCTGTAGACCAATCATAGTGTAATGCGGCAAAAAGCATTACGGACCGAAGCGCATAGGAGTCCCCAGTGACAGGTGATAGGCTTCCCTTCGAGGTTAGAGTACAGGACTAAAGAGAGCAAAAACCGCTTGTCAGGTCATACCGGTAGGCGAGTTTTTGTTGCGAGACTTTGTCAAATCTCTCAACAGACTGATAGACTAACCATGAAAAAGTAAGCTCTCCGGTCGGTTCATTTACTTGGTATTAAACTAGGTCACTTACAGTGGTATAAAAGCTCTTTTGACTGGTAAGATAAGTTGATAGAATGACTATTAAAAGGATCTGATGTTGTGCTAAAGGTATCGCTTATAATAACCTCACAAGGCAATGTTTTCGGGGACATAGTCACGGTTTTAGTTGCAGCAAACGTCAACTGGTCCCACGGTCTATGCCCTTTCGCCTGGGCTCTTCGATCCTGCAGTGTTAAGGTGGGCATAGGGTACTCGCATACACGGTATTTCCTAGATCGAATGCAATTACCACTTTGATATTATATCATATTAGTCTCTCTCTCTTTCGTGGTATGCTTCAGGTCATCGGAAACCTACCATTTGAGTTGTTGCTCATCGCATCGAATGCGACGCCTACGGCATTCCAGACAACCCGTTCGGCTACGAGGAGCTGATTTGCCTAGTTTCTCCTGCCCGGGCATTATTTAGTGATTCTGTAAGATACAAGTGGTTTGAATTCAACAAGTAGGTTACTTTACTTTCTAAGTTTCATGTTGAAACTATTAAAGCTAAGATTTACGAACCAGAAGAGCGGTGTAGCGTGGCAAAGTCCTTCATAGCGATGTGGAGAAAACGCTGAGTCATGCATTACGTGACGGGAGATAACAAGGTTACAAAATAAGTATTCCTGAGGATAGAATGTTGATTTAAGAAACCTTACCTGATATCTCTACGAGATAGATAAAGGTATAAAATGAGTAATAAAAAGATAGACAAGAGACGCGAAATCCCCAAGTTCACTAGCAGTAGGCAAATAAGAATCCCGCTTACAGACAGCCCTGAAAAGAGGGGGCTAGTGTTAGCAAAATTTATTATTGGGCGCCTCCTTCAAAAGTACAATAAAATTGGCTCAACATATTTGTTATGACGTTGACCTAGCTTTATATAAGTAAATATAAAAGAAAGTAGTTAAGATATCTTACCGAGTTAAAAGGCCACGGTGTTAAGTATTCATACTGAGCACACTGTTCATATAAAATTAATATGATAGAGGCTACAGCAAATAGGAATAACATTCTTTTTTTTTTTGGCTTTAACCTTCAACTTTATCAAGCCCAGGCTTTCCAAATCTCTCAATGATATCAACAATAGTAACATTATTATAGTCTAGCGGTTCTTGAGTATTTCTATTTATAATTATAGTAAAGCACAAAACTGTCACTGTCAACTCTCCTCTCATAGTAAACTAACAAGTGGCAGAGCCATTGTCTAGCTTTAACACAAATCCCTAAAGGCCTGTTAAGCAAAGCAGACGTAGTCAGCCATGCCCGAAAATATAAGCGAGTCGGCCCATCCATCAATATGCCAATCGAAGCCTGTGGCGCTGATATTGCTGACATTCACCTTGAGGCGTAAGTTGGTATCGGTGCTGACCTTGAACCCCCTCAGAGCGACATATACTTTCGGAGGGTCATGGAACGAGCCAGCAGGCAGTTCGACGTGACCCTGCGTCTCTAGGGACGGGTGCCTGTCGATGCGGATGTCTGTAGTGCTGAAGGTACCGCTCACCAGACCCTCCCTGTTCTGCTGATGGGCTAGCCAGACCGCTGTGCCGCTGTAAATCACAGAATCGCCGTACGCCGAGATAAAAAGGTCGAAGCCCTCGGCCGTGACATTTTCCACTCGCGTCTCAGTGTGCCAGTAGCTTTTGCCGCTGTCAAGGTCGAGCATTCTGTACCAGACAACAACCCGCGGGGGTCCGGATCCCCAGGCGCGCGGGAAGTTAATATGCCGGACCGTGTCCGGCTTCGGCTCCAACCAAGAATGGTCATCGGTTGTAGAGAACTCGCCGACCTGGATATTCGGGTCGTCGGCGGCAAAGGTTGCCCAGGTACATCCCAGGGAATAAGCCTTGGTATCGTCCCACTGGCTCAGGTGCACCTCGGCCGTGTTCTTTGTGATCTGCTCGGCGACAGCGCGCACGCGAATGTTGTGCTGATTATCGACGTCGAGGTGATTTAGACCAACAGCTAGCAGGGGTGGCGCCGAGAAGCTGAAGTTGGCTCGCTTGGTGAGCTCCTGGGACGTCATGGGTGGCGACTGCATCTCGGTAGTGTTGAAGCTATCGAGCATACCGCCCTCGATAGGGTAGGTCCTGCTCATAAACCCCTTGTCTGTCTCGGAGAGGCTCGTGTTCCACTGGGTCGAGCTTCCGTCGAGGGTCAGCTCCGCCGGGAAGGAGTACAGCATAATGGACAGCGGGTCGAAAGCAGAGAAGTTAGTCTCCTCGTCGGGGAACAGGTTGAGGACGTTAGAGCGGACTTGCTCCTCTGTCCAGCCGTTATTGTTCATGAAGTACTGGAACGCAGCCTGCTCGTTCCACTTGATGCTCGCGGCTGGGGATTGGTGCTCGTGGTGGCACCCGAGGGCGTGGCCGAACTCGTGCAGCACAACACGGCTAACCTCGCTGTCTTCTGAATTATCATTCAGCCAGCCGAAGTTCATTGTCTTGTCGCTCTGGGGAATAACGCCATTGTCGGTACCCTGGTACGACCAGGATCCGCCGCCGTCGCCGACGGAGATACGGATGTCGGTATCGTCCGAGTCGACCCAGTTGAACTTGATGTTAGCGTAGCGCTGCCACTCGTTGGCGCAGGCGCGGATGCGACCTTGGATGGAGGGTGAGCCGTCAAGAAAGCGGATGCGCAGCTCGCGACCAGTCTGCCAGAGACGCGATCTGGACAGAGCGAGGCGATCCTCGCCAGAGCCATTGCTGGGACGTTCCTTTGTAGCAAAGTCGATGGCGGAGCCGTTCAGCTCAGCTGGGACTTTGCGAATGAAGCATACATGATAGTTGTTTGCCATGGCGTGCTAAAAACTGAAGTGTTTAAGTGAAGGATGGTTTTGTTTGTTTGATATGCAGGGATTTGTGTATCTGGTTGTGTGGGAGCTAGGAGTGAAAAGGACTGAGGTTGGGCCGGAGTACCTCTTTATACTCCTGATAATGGATTCTCACGAATTTGTCTCTTGCCTCCTGTCCCTTCTGGAAAACCCATCTTGCGTAATGCTACCCACCCACTCTTTCTTGATAATTCTTCATTCTCACTCAGTCAGAACATCTGTCTTTATTACGGCTGAATGTGTATAAGACGAGCTGGGCAAGGTTGATGTGGGGCTATGGTCTAGATACTAAGGCCTCTTAGAAGGACACAGCGGTTTGACATGGTATATTGGTGTTTTGGAAGACACCCATCATACACACCACATCTCGAAACGGATGCGATGTAGAAATCTCGTACGATCTTTGCCGCCGTCAATGTGCGGAAAGTCAGCGGGGTCTCACGGTCATATCCGATTTTTCAATAGCTGAATAGCTTCGCCGAGGTCGAATTCCCTGATAGGGTAAATGCGTACCCATTCTCACACCGCTGAATTGTTTTAAATTTTGTACAACAATACCTTCCACCTGCTTATTGTGTATCTTCGTAAACAGTCATTTTCTTATGACAATACTGCGCCTCTACTGTTTAGCTACAAGGGCTGGCTACCGTCAGCGCTAGACATGCAGCTTTTCCCTCAAGGCTCATATCAAGTCAGCATCATATTCAGCTGCTTATTTACTGCCGGGATTGAATACTATGTAAGGTCTTTATTGGGTCGGCGTTATATCCAGCTGCTTATTTGCATTCGGAGATGCCGACGATGGCTTCTTTTCCCACTTTTCAAATGCCGGTCTAGTGCAAGCAGAGAGTAACGTATCACCGTCCGATAGCGAGTCTATGAAGACAGTTCGGTAAGAAGAAGACATAAGATATTCAAAGGCAGGTCTAATATATAATGCTGCTGCCGTTCATTCTCTTTTCAACTCGAAGTTCTATCCATCATCACTAAACAGCCAACAACCAAAGCCAAACACTAGCTAAACACCAACTATATCCCAGCAAAACTTCGCAAGAAAACTACCTCGTCAATATGAAGTTCTCTATCCCCCTCTTTGTTACCGCCGCCACAACTGGCGCCATGGCCCAATTCACAGCTTGCGGGTACCACCTTGTCAACGCCGGTAGTAAGTGACCAGCTCCTGGCTCTCTTCCCTCTTTTTCAACTCGATAATCAGGTTCTAATATCGTGACCAAAAAAGGCTACAACCAGGCTGACATTGCCTGGGCCGCTTGCGGGAGGACCGATACGTGCGAGGGCAAAGAGTGGAACACCCTCTTTATCTACCGTCCTATTCCTCACGGCCTTCCCTCAATTGAGTCTCTGGGATTTTGCAACAGCGGTTGCCAGGAGAGTGATTTTCACGACAGATGCAACTAAGGGACCTTTGGTTGTATTTCCTTGTTAAATAGAGTGTTTAGATTTAATCTCACGTTGCAGTTTATTGAGTTATAATTGAAACACAATGCCTCGAAACAAGCAGTTAGAGCGGAATGACCAGAATGCAGTCACTGATGCCTCGTTACTTTCGAAATCAAAACGCGGGGTAATATAATTTGAGCGGCGTAATGTATTCTTCTTTCGAACTACAGCAGGTGGCACATACATCCACTTCGAGCCATAAAGCCTAAGGTTAGCTATCACTCTGGTCAATACCCCGCGTGAAGTACCATCCTGGCAATGTTACCTGCCCAAAGGGAGTCGCAACTGAGTTCCGTTCTATCACCTGATCCCCTCGATTATCACTTAGCCTTTCATTTAGAGCTCTCTGCATGCAACCTAAATCGCAGATCAAGCTCTTCCTCGGTTCTTGCAGTTTATTTTCACGTGAATACTGTATCTGTAGACAATTCGCATGTCTATAGATACCCTTTGAATTGCTACTACTTCAATGAGGCTGTCTGTTGTGCGCTCCTTATTGCCTGCTATACATCACTCCAAAATTATGGTTCTTATTCAATCTTTAGCAGTACTGAGTCTTGTCGTAAGGGCCAGTGCTGTCCCATACAACACTTTTGACGGCGTTGGTTTTCCAGCATGCAACAACGTTTCCGCTGTTCACGATGCTACTAGCATTAAGGATATACAAAATGTTGTTCAAAACGCCATTCAATCAGGCCGAAGAGTTCGAGCCTCAGGAAAAGCGCACATGTGGTACGACACAATGTGTTCCGATGACCCAGACACTATTATCGTACGTACAGAGCAGGTCAACCGAATCTATGATCTGGATCTCGAAGCTGGCAGTGTGATGATAGAGGCTGGGGTGACGTTCCTACAACTCGCCGACTACTTGCACCAGCGTGGAGCGTCTGCAGGATACACGCTTGTTAACTGGAACATCACTTTGGCTGGATGTGTGGCGATGGGCGCCCACCGATCATCTATCAGGGAGGATTCTATGGTCACAGCTGGCGTTTTGGCTATGGATATAATCGATGGCAATGGTGAGTTACGGCACTTGGAGCGTGACGATAGCGATGAATGGCTGGCAGCCTCGACATCTCTTGGCCTACTGGGTGTCATTGTGAGAATGAAGTTCAAGATCTATCCCGACTTCAAAGTTTACGCCGACCAGAAGACACTAGACGAGGCTAAAGTTCTCAATGGCGACATCTACGGCATGATTGCTCCCTACGCCACAGCAAACTTCTGGGTAAGTACTCAGCCAAGTCATCACAAACGTATACTAAGCACCAATAGTGGTGGCCTCATAAGAAGAAATTCCACTGGCGTTACTACGATGTCATTTCAACTAATTCAAGTGACCAAGAGGCTTTCCAGAATACCTTCTCTATAACGAAAATCGAGGCCGAGGCTATAAAAGCTATTTGGAATACTGGAAAAGGTGTTTCCTTATCTAACTTGCTTGCCGAGGAAATCCTGTTTGGGCAATGGGACAAACCAAACTTTCGGGAAAAGACAACTAACGAGCCTCTCGAGAAGTGGCCGGTTTATGGCTGGAATTATGACGTCCTCATAGGTGGCCTGTACTCTGATCAGCGTCCTGTGTGGGAATATGGTATCCACGGCTATACTCTAGAGCTTGCGTTTCCTATCACACAGGCCAATGCGATGCTCAAGAGGGTTCGCCAACTCTTTGACGATGAGGCCAAGAAGCTCAAATTTATGGCATCTACCTACAGGAGCGGCATCAACATCAAGTTTGGCAAGCCATACTTCGACCTTCTTGGCCAGGTGACTTTCGGCACGTCCGACGGTGCCAACTGGGATAAAGGTGCTATTATGTTGGACTTTCCATCTTACAAACCGAGTATTGGTGATGGGCTGAGATACAACGAACCGTTTTGTATGTTGGCTCGATAAATGGATGGAAAGCATCACAGCTAACAAGATATACAGACCATAGGCTTGCGGAAACACTGATTGATGAGTTTCCTTGTCGCCCGCATTGGACTAAGAACACAAGAGAGGTCTTTGAGCGTTCCGCCAAGAACCTAGACCCTGATGTAAGATTATCTTCAATCGGTTAATAACCCAGAATTCTAATTCCTGTGTAGCATATTTCTCGTTTTAAAGCCGTCCGGGAGAAATTCGATCCGGATGGTGTCTTTCGCAGTGTTGTAGGTGAAGCTATTGGGGTATATTGATATGTATAAGCTTGGACAACATCTTATGACCTGTGTAGGTCTCCTATCTAGTTTACATGCTTTGCGCTTGTGTTTGATAGCCTCGGCGAGTAGACTTATATGCTCTATGTAGGACAATCTGATAATCTTCCTTACTCTTGCTCACAAGTGGAGTGCCTATTATAATTAGTCGAGTTTAACAGCTTTCTATTATTTCTTCTACTTTTCTCTACTTATGTTGGCTATGCAATCTGGTCCTGTTTTGTAGGACTGGTCACCTTACTCCACACTGTCTGCAGGGACTGCGCCTTCTTCTTAGCAGATGTTAATATCCAGGGTTGGGATTTTTACACTTTATGTCCTAGTCTATAGTGAGTTAGCTCGGCGATTTTTAAGAACCTAGAAATAAAGTGCCTAATAATTTTTCATATCCACATTTAGGGCAGTGGCACCTACGCTCAGATCTTAATATGTGTATTCTACGGAGTTCGGAGTATTTGCCGACAGTCTTCTGTTTTAGTCCGTAGGACTAATGGCCATGCGAAGCGCGATTAATGTGTTGGAAATCATAAACCTTGTGTGCAAAACCGTTTTAATTGGCTGTTGAAGAGTATTAAGAAATGAGCAGCATGCGCCAATGGGGCATAGTAAAGGTAATTTACTAGCTAGGCACTGACCACGATATAATTGGTGTCCTTTTGGGCTCCCGAGTTAATGAGTGGTAATAAGGTCAGGAAGGCTAGCCAGGGCCAATCAACTGTCTAACCAATCAGCGCCTTAGCGCTTACACAGCTGTTCCTTTTCAGTTAAGTGTCCACGACAGATCCGCTTCCTGCCTGGATAGTTAACAAATCGAGCATGCAACTGTCTACATTGCAGTCTTATTGAGACTTCCTATCAATTACAAAACTAGATGTCCAAATTGAAGCTAGTATTTTACCATGGAGGACTGAGTGGTTCTACTTATCTGTGGTTATAGAGGTGCTTGTTATACTCCGTAGCTGGATATTAAATCGGCGTGATATCGAGCTAACGTGAGAATGACAGGGCTACGGAGGATCTTGACCGCTAATGTTGCCTTGGGGGTGGAGACGGTTGGGGCGGTTCAGGGATATCGTGTCGAACTAACCTCGGCCACCATTGTTTTAAAGAGTGGCCCCCTTCATAAATGCATTGTGCCCTGCTAGGAAGATTTCTTCTCTCCTTCGTAAGTCGTTTGCCAGCGCCAACAAGCGACCCATCGCAATGGAGTTCTCCCTGTTGTGGTTTCTTTGTTTAGTCTCTTCAGCTTTAGCTGTGTTTCCTCGCGGCTTTGGCTTTGAACTGTAAGCCCTCTAATCCCTCGTCTGAGCTACCCCTGACAAGTCCCAGCTCAAATTCCCTCATCCTTCCACGTTCAAATCCCACCAGCAAAGACGGCAACTGTGGTTCGAATTCCGATACGAACGCAACATGCCTCACATCCACTTTTGGCAACTGCTGCTCTGAAAAAGGGTTTTGCGGCAAGACTACAGTATACTGCTCTGAGGGCTGCCAAGAGGCGTTTGGCTCCTGCGCGTCAAATGATGGGCAGCTTGTCAGTACCTCAGGATCATGCGGTGCGAGTTCGTCGAGTAATGTTACATGTCAAGGGAGCGAGTTCGGAAACTGCTGCTCTGCAAAAGGGTACTGTGGCAAGAATGGGACGTATTGCGGTGATGGGTAAGTGCTTTTCTTCAGTAGATCCGAGTCAAACCAAATGGCCCATCGTTTTAATGCCGCTGACATCCAAATTTGAGTAGATGCCAAAGCATGTTCGGTACCTGTTCATCGGATGACGAGTCGTCCACATCTACCACAGCGACACGGTCAACCACCGCAGCGACTCGCTCGACCACCGCAGCGACTCGCTCGACCACCATAGCGACTGATGAGACCTCAACCTCAGCAGAAGCCTCTTCGACAGACCTCGATGTTAGTACTGCCGATGGTACTCCAACTTCCATACCGGCCTCATCAACCTCCGAATCCGAATCCGATTCCGATTCTAGCGATTCAACAAGCTCGTCGACAGCCTCCCTCAGCACCGGTGCCAAGGCTGGGATTGCGGTTGGGGCTGTCATTGGCGGTATCGGAGCAATTGGCCTTGTCGCGTGGCTCATAATGCGGAAGAAGAATAGAAAGCCTTCGATGACAGTAGCAGATGAAGCGAAGGTGAAACCCAATGAGGAGGCGAGGCCCATGTATGAGATGTATGCGGAGACTCCTGCCGAGTTGCCTGGGGAAACTCATGCTGAGTTACCTGCCGGTCATGAGGGTACTAAGAGATAAAGAAAGTCGATTTAATAATTTAATAATAGTAGTGGATAATAGGTTGTCGTCCAAGTCGCAAAGTTTGATGACTTCCTCTGGCATGGTGATAGCGATGACAGTTGAGGTCGATAGCGAAAGCAGTGTTCGTCGTTTCGTAAGTGAAGTGGTCCGAGGGGGTGCTCTATGCTTACGGGTGGGCATGTGGGCAGTCTAGGTATTCTCGCCATCAGAACGGTCTTAGCACTCTCCCCGCAAGGAATATCTTCAATGACATCACCAGCGGGGAGACTCTCAGTCTAGTGAGTAGGGAGAAAGAGCTCTTCAATATTGAAGATATCCTCAGGCTTTGGGATATCCTTCTGGTGAGGTGATTGGTTGCTCTCCGCTTCAAAACGGCGACCTAGTTAATAGAACATTAGAAAGGACCTTCTAGACGCTAGAAAGCAAGTGTAAAGAAATGGCATTAAATTCACCTTTTGCCATCGAAGGCATTTATCTCGATATCGATCTTATCGAAAAGCTTGTGGCTGACATTGGAAATCTACTGTCGAGTAGAGTTGAAATTCCCAGAACACAATAGACTTGAGACAATACCTCTCTGCGCAGTTTTACAAAAGTTGTCTCTCTTGTAAAAAAGAACTCTTTTACTTTAACCTTCAACTTTATGAAACCCAGGCTTTTCGAACCTTCCAATGATATCAACAATAATCCCTCTTGTATAGATAAGTGACTAACGTAATAACGTATAACTAGACACAGATATCAGCATTCATAACCTGGATCTCATGGGGGTTATTCATGTCAAGTGTATAAATTACCTACTGGACCAACTGAGATCTTTCTGACATGTATTGATAGATAACTCAAGGTATACTGGTCTTACTCAAAGTAATCTAACTACGGCGATCTAAATGGCCAACTATCTCGGGGTCGACTGAGGCTGCTATGTTTGTGTTGTCCGTCTCTAATTTCCACCCCAGATTTTTCAATTGATCATTAATGTTTGCGTGAGCTTTCGTGTTGGCCGCGATGTTGAATAAGTTAACATGTCAGAAGATGAACCCGCTTAAGCTAAGGAGTCCATGCAGCTAAGCCTCAAACCCGCGAGCTTAGTTAGACAGTAGAGAATATAAATTATATTTAGTAGCCTCTCTTATTGAGACACATTTCTTCGAGGGGTAATCTGTACCATCTAGAAGAGATTGCAAAGCTAAGAAGAATTGCGAATAATAGCCTCGATGACATTAGGGTAAGTGTCATATTGTACATCACCTGCGCTGCGTGGCACTGGCGTCCGCTTGCGGCTAATACTGAGATTAAAATCATGGCTCCTGGGCGTTTCCCTGGGGTCAAGGACCTCGCCAGCCACCTGCTCATTGGAAGAAGAAGTCAGCCAGTCAGACTCTCAACTCGGTGCTGGAGAAAGTCACACTCACAGTCTGGACTCGCCACTTGGAATTCTTGACAAGAAATTGCTTCACGTTGTCCTCATCCATGCTGTCGAGCTTTCCGATCTGGGCGTAGTTAAGGAGCAGCGAAGTGATTGGAGTTGTGCTGGTCACAAGTTGTCGTTGCTCATCTTGACGGGCGCAGTTCTCTCACACGTCACTGGGCGCAGCCAAGATATGGGACATACCCACGAAACCATGGAGAGACGACCACTCCTCACCGGACTGTCCCTGGACGTCGCCAATTATGGAGAAGATGGTCTAAGACCCATTAGCAAACATTCAGTGAAGATGAAATCAGCCAATGTCAGAACAGCGCAAACGTGTACTCGTACCTCAAAATACACACTGGCTCTTTAGCCACAACCAAAAAGAAAATATTAAAAAAGAAATTGTTGATATCATTGAGAGATTTGGAAAGCCTGGGCTTGATAAAGTTGAAGGTTAAAGCAAAAAAAAAAGTACTCCTACCTCTCGAACATAACATCGATGTACCAATGATCTGCGTACTGCGGGTTGGATGTAATTGCGTTCATGACAGTTTGATGTTGCATCTTATGCACGGGAAAACCAGGATGCTTTAAGAGATCTCCAGACGAGGAATCGGACGTATAGTTGAAGACCTGAGCGTCTCCGACTTGTATAGGCCGCATATCATCCGGAGGCGTGCCGAAAACGGGCTTTGCGGTGGTTCGTCGGCTCCATTCATACTTTTCCGCAAAATCCTTACGAACCGTGTCCCCTGTCTGTCCATTTGCCAATTCCGGATACGTGTAGCCAAAATCCGCAGTCTTCCTGGCTAGGTCGGAGCTCCACACTGCGTCTTGGCATCTACCTTATTCTCCGAGGTCCATTTGCGGAACGGCGTCAGGTCAAGCTTGCCCATTAGCTGGTCCTCTGGCTCAAGCTCATTATACCAGTGCGCATCGCCGTTGGCAGCCTGCCAGATGGCAAAAAGTCTATCGATTTGGCTGTGCTCCCTCGTCAGCTACTGAGCCGAATGCATTCTTTCCTACCCGACTTACCAATGATGCATCCAGAAGATCGGGTCAAAGGCGGCCGTTGAAATGAAACTCATGTGTCCGTTGCCGCCGATGGTGCCATGATATCCACCGTGAAAATCCTCGATGGATCCGGAAGCTTCTTCGACGTTTGCTTCGGGCTTCTCATTGGCCTTCGGAAGGACCGCATTGGTTGAAAACGTTCTGAAGTTTCTATAAACCTCGTCTTCCATCAAAGCGAGACAGAGGCGAATATGATCTTCACGAACTGAATTCAGCCTATTATTCATGCTTTTCGTAGCATCTGCATCAGATCCTCCATGCCGGATTGTTGGTTCTACGCTCGCCTGTGAACGATGTATAAGTAACGGTCCATTGTTTCCAGGATAAAGTAATACTCACGAGTTGTTTCGGAACCCTTGTGCTCAGGTCGAGCTTGTTGAATTGTTCAGGGTTGAACTTGAACTGGAAGAAGGGGTTCGGTATGGAAATGAGTTTGTTATCTGGAAGACGCCTGACCATAACCTCAGGTAGTGTGAAGATTTGTGGAGCACCCCAGTCAAATGCAGCTGTCGTCGTGTCGTCTTTGGGGTTTGTGACTCCTGGGAACGTAGGGTTGGTGTATGCTCGGGGGCGATAGGAGTCCCAGTACGGAATACGAAACTGCTGAGCGGCAGCGAGATACTTCTTCTTCTGTTCATCCGGGATATCCGACTCAGAGAATCGTTTCGCGACGTTGGCTACTTGACGAAACAGGGTTTGCTATTTTCGGCATATTACTGTAAGCAGAAACGCGCTGTGACACACCAAAGTCAGCAAGGCCGAGTATCACACCCTTCTTATGGGCCCTGTTCAGCTTATCCAGAGCAGTGTCGTTCATGGTGGCGATGGTTTTGCGGGTTGAGGTTCTAGGGCTTGCCGGCGATTCCTTGTTGTGGTTGGGAGAGTCTTTAACTCCAGCAAGAGACGGAAGCACTCTTTTATAGACGCCTTTCAACCACACGAAGTGCCTTGGGCAGGTCGTGTATCAGGTACCCATCACACACTACTCCGCATCTAAGGCTTTCAGCAAACTCATTTGGGCTTCCCAAACAGGTTTCGTTTCCCCTACGCCAACTTGACCCAAATCACATATATTGGTCTTGAATCGTTTTCCGTGGCTGTAGCCTATCTGTGACCCACTTGGGATATGAAACTGGCTGTTTCTAGCATCGGATAAAGGTCTAGAGGACAAGAGGCGTCTGCCAATGCCAGCTAAACTCCAAACCCTGGCAATTCGCTTCGTTCTCTCTCGCAAGATTGTGATAAGTCGCAGTGGTTCCACCGGGATTAAGTTGAGATAGACACCGTACAATTTCATGAAATCAGTTGCGCCTTTGGTTAACACGCGAGGCAAAGTCACTATTCTCATCTGGCCCATCATGCTATATATCTAACAGAATGGCAGGTCTTAATTTAGCTTATAGCCAATCAGAAGGCCTCAAGCGACCTACAAGCGCTATTCATTCTTATCAGTTTGTACGGTATGTGAAAACACTGCATGGTCGACATTACAGGTATGGTTCCGCCCAAGGGACTGTCTTGGCTCAGCTCTCAGCTAAGCGCCACTCCCGCTTTCCTTCCGTCCATATTATTGTGTGGAAGTTTACCGGCACGCTCATTAGAATGTGATCAATCGTGTTTGAGATATGGCCAGTAGTCGAGCACCATCCTCGCTTATGAGACCCTGTCTCGGCGATATGTTAAATGTAGCAAGCACACAGGGCTGTAAATAGAAAGACTGCTTATGCATAGTAAGCCCCGATACTATGCCTAAAGCATCTTCGCATGACGGCGAGCTGAACAACGCTATTGAGGTAGTAGGATAAAAAGAGCAGAGAGTAGGAAACGAACCGATCAATCGGAGATTGATAAGTATCTGAATAACCATAAACACCCCTAGCTGATACTTAGACGAACCACCGATGTAGATTTACTGGGTTACCCTACAGACTGGTTCTAGTGATTGGAGCGGCTGGGCCAGAGATTTTCCTAGCGGGGCAACTCAGTTAGCTTTGGCGTCCGATTTAATAAAGTCAGCCCCTCAACTCTTGCAAAACATCTTGGCTGGCATATTCTTCCACTACTTGGGTCACTGATACGAGACTGTCATCGTCTATTGCGTATTTTCGAGATAGAGACCTATTCAACACAGCTCCAATGAGCAGCTCACATGGAGAGTCGCCACACAGGCCACCCTTATTACGCAAGGCACAAGCCTGTGATGAATGCAAACGCCGAAAAGTACGATGCTCTGGAGGGGCGAGATGCTCCAACTGTGTAAGAGACGAGAAAGACTGCAGATACCGCACGGTTCTACAGTCACTCACAACACTGCAGAGGCAAGTCCGGTTGCTCTAGCGACATATGCAAAGCGGTCTTCCGCTGACAGTGAAAGCAGGCGCTTAAACCAGGCCGAAAAATTAATAGTATCAATGGAAAAGGCTTGGGCTCTTCACCTACCTGAAGTCAATCTCCATGATGCCATACGGCGTCTGGAATTGGGCAGCCACGACGTGCATCCTCACTCGAGTCCTGTTTCGCTTGCCGAAGCCCCAGAAACACGATATGGGCCGGCAGGGAATGAACCACTAATAAATGACCCTAGTCCAGCGGAATGGAGCAACGCTGAAGATTACGAGTTTGATGAATCGCAGGATTTTGACAACACAACTGACGGGATGGGCTCTCTTATTACAGAGCCGGGAAAGGTCGGCTACACCGGCCCCCAGTCTGGGGTTGCCGCGCTGAAGTTTTTACAAACTCTGCATCTGTATATTCCCGCCGATCGGCAGACGCCTTTTCCGTTGGATGACCTGGATTCACGCAGTATCTCCGAGCCGTCACCTGCAAGCGTTCTACAGCACATAAACAATTATTTCAGGATCTACCATAGCTCTTACCCGATTCTTCACGAAGGGACCTTCCGTGCCCGCCTTTCAGGTAAGGTCTTTTTTTTAAACACCAAGAATTGAGCAACTGACAACCGCTTAGGAGCACTGGCCAAACCACGCGATGGTTCATGGCCACTCTTATACAACATTGTTATCGCTATTGGATCCTTTGTAGGTGCAACTGATGCCTCGGACAGTGATGTCCCATTTTATAAGAAGGCCCGCCAAAGCTTGACCATGGACATCCTGGAGAAAGGATCTCTCAGTTATGTCCAGGGGCTTATCCTCACCGCGGATTACCTGCAGAAACGGAACAAGCCGAATTCGGGCTTTGTTCTTATCGGAATCGGCTGGAGCATGGCTCTGGCAATCGGTCTCCATCGCGAGTTCTCCTTACCGTCGTCAAGTCCATTCACGATGGAAATCCGCAGAAGAGCATGGTGGACCTTATTTGTCTTCGTATCTGGGGCACAACTGACGCTCGGAAGACCGCCTGCGTCGCTGGTCGGAGTCAACATTCGGCCTCCCTCTAACCTCGATGACCAGGACCTCGCTGTCGATATGGAAAGCCTTCCGGTTCCCAAGGACGGCCCCACTACAACATCTTGTCTTGTGCAGCACGCCAGGTTGGCACGGATCGCCAACATGGTACAGGTTGAGCTTCTTGCTCACCAGATACCAGGCCATGACAGAGCCGTCACACTAGACCGGAGCATTGCCCAATGGCACAAGGACCTTCCCTCCTATTTCGACGAAAACTCAATACTGGAGGCATGGTTTGAAATCCCAAAGCGGATCCTCATATGGCGGTCCTTTCACCTACGTATCATCCTCAACAGACCAATCGTATTTCGGAAAATAAGGGATAGGGAAAGTCTCAATAGATCAGTTGAGCCGATCTCGACGTGCCTTGATATCGCTGAAAAGTGCGTCGAGTCTATTTGAGGCTACATCGAGAGGGAGCCCCAGCACCCGCGAGGTCTTGCCTGGTATGCTACGTACTGCCTAATCACGGCTACCTTTGTGCAAGCAACTTGTTATATCTACGACCCTGCGCACCCACTTGCGCCTGCGTGGAAAAGCCATTTGAAGCGAGCTGTAGACTGTCTATCGAATCTGGGCGCCACTAACAGTATGGCACTGCGCGCCCGCGACATATTAGAGGGGTTACTTGGTACGTCGTCCTCCCTATTGCAGGATGGGACAAACTACTAAGAATTACAGACCAAAGCGAACTTTTCTTGTCTTTGTTTGAGACACCGACGACTTCGACGGCCAACGATGGTCTGCAGAGCTCTGCTCTGGGCATCTGGGAGATGACTACGCAAGGCCAAGTCTCCATTTCTCACAATGCGGCTACCCAGGACCGGAACACGATATTTTTTGGGGAACGGGGCATGCCGTTTCCATTTAATGCCCGGAGCTCCTCAGACGCCGAATTACTCGATGCTACCGGAGGCATGATGCTGCAGGGAAGCTCTAATTCGACGGAACCGTATTCGCAATGGGAGTCTTGGATACCTGGTTGACAGCTTGGGAGGCGTTCTGCATACAGGTTCATTTTGTTCATTGAGCATCCCCTACCGGCCCTTTCTATGTAAAGTCTTTATTGCCAATTGCATGGCTCAGGTATATAACATGCCGCCATTGGCACAGACAACATCCCCGGTGACCCATCTCGATCGATCCTCGCAGAGGAATCCTACGATCTCTGCAACGTCGTTCTCGGTGCCTGCTCTTGGAGATGCCGGTGTCTTCTTGTTCTGCTCCTCCATCCGGGCTAGATGTACTTCCCCGGCTGCTCGGTACATGTCCGTGTCTACAGGTCCCGGATTGACTGCATTGACGGTTACGTTGTATTTATGGCCCAGTTCTGTTGCCCAAACGCGGGTCAGGGCTTCGACGGCGGCCTTTGACGCCGAATAGACGGACTGGGTGGCAAACCCGCCCCTCGCTGAAATAGATGACAAGTTGACAATACGTCCGCCTGGCCGAACATAAGGAATAAACGCCTGGGTCATGAAAATGACGGCACGAACATTTACCGCCATTATCTTTTCGAACTCGTCGCTCGTTATTTCTTCGATGCGCGTGCCTGCAGACCCAAGCCCCGCATTGTTGACGAGGATGTCGAGGTGGGAGACCTTGAAGGCGGCCAGAGTAGAGGAGATGACCGCCGCTGGCGAGGAGAGACAGGCAGCATCGGCCTGGATTGCGTGGGCTGATGAGCCAAGTGATTCGATTTGGCGTACAAGATCTTTTGCATGTGTTGCTGACGACGCCGATATGTAGGTGAAAGCGACCTTCAAAGCTCAATTAGGAGGTGCATTTAGCATTTAGGCCAATAGGGCTAACACAGACCTTTGCACCTTGTTTCGCCAAGGTCAGGACGATACCTTTACCAATCCCACGGGCTCCCCCGGTAACGATCGCGACTTTGCCGGCTAGTGACATCGCTGTGGTTTATTGCTAGCTTTCGTGATCGCGCTTTTACACTTTGTCCTTTCCAGTTCTACATTAGCCCTTTTATTCCACCCTCGCTCGGTAATAAAAGTTTGAGACTGTTCGACAGAAAGCGATGATTCGTGTGTCCTCTCATTGGTCGGGAGGTTCCTCGGGGCTGTCGCCGAGCTTATTTTGTACCATTATGGAGTGTTAATTACGCACAGATCTTGTCTTGTGGTGCGGAGGTCCCGCCGAGGGGTAGCTTGGTACAACACGCGTACCCCCGAGGCGGGGCGCTTCGCGAGTGGTAATGACCTGCCTTGTGATATTGTGTCTCATTTACCACAGCGATCGGCAACAACGAAGGCTGTCGTGTTGCGCCAATTGGTTTGAATGGACGACATTTTACGAATTACTGAAGGGTGGCCAATCTCAAATAAACAGCACTTATACCAACATAGTCGCGTCTTTAATGTATGTAGTAAGTAATCTTATTAAATTTAAAATATTATTACTTTTCGGTCTATGTAGAGATCTTCATTATTAAAGTTTCTATAGGTTTAATTACGATAGCTAGATCCCTTTTTTAAAGGTATTACTAGACTTAATATAAATAAAGTTAAAGGTTAAAGTAAAAGAAGAAAAGTACCCCAGCGAGTAAGGTCTATAGATGTATTGTTAACTTATTTATTCTCTAGCTACCTCATACCACACTGGTGTTTTAATCTGCGCTACTAATGTTGTGGCACTTGAGGTTTGGATATCTTCCACTGAATCTGTACTTTGTGGGGTCCGAAGGGGTAGACTTCGAGTCAGAAAGGCAGCCCATTATCTTACAGTTATCTACACAGTGGCAAATACAATCTCAAGGCATTGTTATTGAACTTGTTTTATGTATTTGCTTATGCCTACTTTATCCTAATTTTATTATTACTTATTCTTTCTATCTTCAATCCTAAACTTGAATAATACTAGCCTGCATCCATCTCACTAACACCATTCCCTTGTCGAGTCTAGCAAACACGCCGCCAACACAGTTGTCTTATCGATAACAACAAGCATAGGCTTCAACCCACCACACTCTAATATAGCACATTGAAGCACTACCATACCAAGCTCAAACCTCCAACTTCCTCCTGCCTTTCCACCTATGGGGAGTTACTCATCACAGCTATCCGATTATATTAACGTCTGGCTTGATCCCTTGATCACCGACACGTCACTCGCCCATGTCGGCGACACGCCCAGACTATAGGCGTAACAGGGTAGGTCTCGGATGTCATAAGGTTCACAAAATGAATATTGATCATTATGAACGGCGAAGAGACTTGCACCCTCACTCAACTACCTGTGTATTGACCAGTCTGAGGATAAATATGCGCTGACAATTTGACGGAAAGTCCTGACGATTCGGCTCATAGAGGAGTAACTACTCCTTCCCACCCATACTTTCTCCGCCGTCCGTCCCTCTTGGATATGCTTCATTGCTGTCAAAGTGATACAGTTCTGGCTCCACCACATTCTTCTGGCGAAGGACATATCTACGGAACCACCATGGCAGAACGCGACCTAGCTGGTATTTTGCGTGTACGGTCGTAGGAACAGCAAAGACATAATCGAGCTCCTCCAAGCTCCTCTTGCTTGTCTCGGGCATGAAAAGGAAGATCGCCACGAGCGCGACGATATTCAACCCAGCATAGAAGCCAAAGCTTCCCGACGGCGTAAGTGTGAGCAGCATGCGTGGGAACGTGAGTCCGAGCACAGCAGCCCAGAAGTTGTTGGTCGCTACTGCCCATGACATACCAATCTCTCTATGGGACAGGGGGAAGACCTCCGCAGAGTAGACGAACGCACAAGGGCCTTCTCCAGGTGAGTAGAAGGCAACGAAGGCGAAGATGAAAAAGGCAATCATGCCCAGGTGAGCGGAGGAGGACGAGGGAATATAGAATGACATTCCAGTGCCAAGCAGAGTAAGGAACATAAATGGAAAGGTGGCAAGAAGAAGAGTGCGTCTCCCCCAAGTATCAATCGTGTAGAGAGCCGGAAAGGCGAAGACAAACATGGTCTATTATGACTAGGGTTAGCGAACAAGTTCATGAGAAATTTCATTTTAATTATGGGGAATATACCATCCCAAAGCCCCACGACAAGAAGTGCCGTGATATTACTTGCGCCAGCTTGGACGAATATAGTTGAGGAATAAAATGCAATGATATTAACTGTATTGACGATTTTATAATTAGTATTAATTTATAACAATTTGAGCGATGTGAAGTCCAGAGGTAAAGAAGAGAAAAAGTAGACTTACTACCGCACATTTGTTGGGCAATCATGATGATTCCAGAAGCCTGGGTGGCTCGGCGGATTCGAGGAATGGTAAACAATTCCACGGCCCTGGTGAAAAAGCTAGACTTCTCGAAGCCTTCCTCTTTTATCAGCATATCCTCCGCAAGCAACTGTGAGTGGATATAGTATAGATCCCTGGCAGCTTGAAGAGGGGAGTTGCGAAGCCGAAGAAGCGATTTGTAGGCCTGGCTGTGTCTTCCTTTCTTGATCAACCACCTGGGTGATTCAGGAGCGAAGAAGATACCAAGAAGCAGAGGAACGGCGGGAATGAAAGCAGATCCAAACTGCAGCCTCCACGCGATGGGTCCAGTGTTGACCACGACGAGGTTTGCAGTGAAGCCAAGCATGATTCCGAAAGCGACACAGAGCTGCCACGACATGACCAAGGCTCCACGAATGGCTGCAGGTGCATTTTCCGCAGAGTAGACAGGAACCGTGACTTCCTTGAGGCCCATTCCGATTCCGAGCAGAATTCTGCACACCAGGATCTGGGGCCAGCTCTGCGCGAGCGCTTGGCCGATGGGGGCCAGGAGACTGAAGACGGCTCCCACGAAAATGGTACCGCGACGGCCGATAATATCATTCAGGGGATCCGACAGCCAGCAAGCACTGATGGCAAGAGTTAAGATGGGTTGACGCTTATCCAAAGAGGAGCACAACTTACAATAGAGCGATTGCCATGTATGGAGCGCCGTTAATCGCGCCAACGATCCATGAATTTCTTTCACAAGTTCCAGCTGCCGTACAGGCCTCACCAGTATCCGCGATGTTGAAAGCCTGCGGAAAGGACAAGTTGGCACCGTTCGAGCCTGTCTGGTCCCATCCTTGGATTGCTGCGCTGATGGAGTTCAGGAGAATCGTGTAGTAGAGCGACTTTGGATGCCGCCATCTGTGATCCCTCTCGGTCCGTAGTACTTCGCGATCGTTGTCGTCCAATTCATCGATGGTTTCGAAGTCATCCGGATGCTGTGCCACAAGGGCGCCTTTCTTAAGGTGTGGAAGAGCATCGCTGAGGTCGTGCTCCTGCGCGTACGCTTCGACGCCCCGGAGGAGCTCTTCTTTCGGAATGCCAACAAGAGGATTTTTGATGCTGTTCCTGTCAACATTGATCAATAATAAGGAGTCTGGGGTTCTGAACTCACCTGCCGGCGTCGTTTCGTGTCATGCTGACAACACTTGCACGTCGAGTTTTCTCAGCGACGCTCTCCTGTCCTCTGTCCACAAGTTAGACTTCAACTACTGGGTGGGAGAATATGTAGAGGACTTACTGATCTGCTTGCTCGATGTGGTGAGGCATAATGCACTAGATGGTAAGTCAAATGAGTGGTACTGATGTTGATCCTTTGATGTGAGGCTACAGGCTTGAGTGTTGATGATGAAACCCATTCTTGGGGCTGACCTTATATAAGTAATATTTCATCTGCTTCCCCGGGGTCCCCAGATTCCCCACGTTTACATGATATCTGGGGTTATGCGGAGTTGTCTTTGCACATAAACTTTAATTGCGTTTTACTATGGCTTCCATATGGCTGGTGGTCGCCTCCGAACTAAACTTATTCAGTCACTTAGAGGAAAGACTTACTGTGGATCAGCGCCACCAAGCCCCGCGGGTGGACATTCGGTAGTGTCCCCGAGCCGCGCAAGTAGTACATTCGGCGGTACCCCCGAACCACATAATGTATAGCGGCGTAGCGTATTCGCTTCGTCAGACCATCACATCAAAGTACAAGCCCCTCGTTTTAGTCAGAACTAGACTTATCTCTGTAGTGTTGTGCGAGTCATTCTTCTACAGTGGGACGCATCAACGGGCCAATGTGCGATTGGCTGCGCGGAGGCCTGACCGAGTGGAGGACAATAGTAGAATGAAAAGGTTTGCAAGATTTGCCAAATGCCCCATAGGCATAAGTAAGCGACTGAAGAAATATTTAATGGCGAGACTCATAATTGTAGTGTATAACAGATGATCAGATATTTGTTAATACTTCTAACTCTTGACCTTCTTCAATTAAAAACATCACATTAGCGACTATGGCTGTCCCCGAGGTATTACAGCAAAAGCCAAAGAACTTGGCGATCCAGACCAATCCAGCGCATGACCTGGATCTCGTCGAGACTGATGTGCCCGAGCCAGGGCCTACAGATTGCTTGGTCCATGTCCGCGCCACTGGCATCTGTGGTTCAGATGTCCATTTCTGGAAGCACGGCCACATCGGCTCCATGGTGGTCTGTGGTGATAACGGACTCGGCCATGAAAGCGCCGGGGTTGTCATTAAAACAGGCAAAGACGTAACAAGATTCAAGCCTGGTGCGTATATTTTCTCTCAAGATCACGCCCACGATGGGATAACAATCTCGATACTGATGCTTTGGTGTTATTAGGCGACAGAGTTGCCCTCGAATGTGGCATTCCTTGTTCTAAGCCGACTTGCTATTACTGCCGAACTGGCCAGTACAACGCTTGCCCAGACGTCGTCTTCTTCTCTACACCTCCTTATCATGGTACTCTTCGTCGCTACCATGTCCACCCTGAAGCTTGGTTGCATCCATTGCCGAGCAGTCTTAGCTTCGAGGAAGGCTCATTACTTGAGCCCCTTTCTGTAGCCCTTGCAGGTATCGAAAGGTCCAACCTTCACCTGGGGACTCCTTTGGTTATCTGTGGCGCTGGACCTATCGGCCTTGTGACTCTTCTAGCAGCTAATGCGGCAGGGGCTGCCCCTATTGTCATTACTGACTTGGATGAGAATCGCCTAGCTAAGGCCAAGTGTCTCGTTCCTCGTGTGCGTACTGTGCTGGTTGAGAGGGGAGTAGATGCCATGAGCCTGGGCAAGAAGATTGTGCATGCTCTAGGCCAGGAAGCACGACTGGTACTAGAGTGCACTGGTGTGGAGTCCAGCATACACGCCGCCATATATGTAAGTGCTCTGTGAACTAATAACGTAACGGATTCCTCGGCTAACATATCCATCCAGGCTTCGGCATTTGGCGGCGCCGTATTTGTTATTGGCGTGGGGAAAGACTTTCAGAACATCCCTTTTATGCATCTTTCTTCTAAAGAGATTGATCTCCGCTTCCAGTACCGTTATCATGACACTTACCCCAAGGCAATTAGTCTGGTAACAGAAGGACTTATCGACTTAAAGCCTCTTGTTACGCATCGGTTTAAGCTGGAAGAGGGTGTTGAGGCGTTTACAGTGGCATCAGACCCTTCGGCGAAGGCTATCAAGGTTCAAATTGTTGACTAGCCACTGTTGTCTAGATTTTATCCTCAAAAGTGGTGAATATAAATCTTTCGCTGGCAAGTTCATCCATTATAACTTTCGAAAACATGCCCAGATGCTCCGCCGCCCGTAATATATCTAAGCGCTTTGTTTATATTCACGTCCCTGCTTAGTTTTAGTCTTGCATGACTGTTCCCGGAGCTTGTAAGTTCAGAAGTTGATTATACGCATGAAGCCATTCGTTGTCCACAAGAGCTTGAATCGTTGGCCTTCGAGCTCCTCCAATACCAACACACCGTGAGACACTCTGTCACGAATATTATGTAGCCGGACCATAATCATCTCGTTGGAGAAGGAGAACGTGTCGTGAACTAAAGCGATGGCTATTTCAGTGCGAGATTTCCAGTCTCTGCAATCACTGGCGTCGAGCCAGTCCGTAACTTGCTTCAGGGGGTCGGTAGTAAGTCAAACAGAAGGCAAGGTCGGACAAGTATTGTGCAGTGAGAATATATATTGCCAAACCCGTGGGGATGGTCTTCAGGATCTTACGAACGATTGTTAAGGTACTCGATGTTGTGCTTAAGCATATTATCGAGCTCGTGACTTGTCTTATTGGTCTGTTAGTCGTCAACTTGGAATCAGCTTTGTTCGGTGGGAGTGGTAGAGCGCCAACATGCAACCATGTGAGTGAGGCCCTCGTGAGGCCTCATAGTAGGATGGCAGCGCCACTAGTGGTGGGATTGCTATGAGGGCTCGCCAAAGCGCATGATGCCGGAGGTCCTAGCAAGGCCAACTTCTAGGTGGTGGTGGACGATTTAACTTAAATTGCCTGTCAATAATACCTAGGGTCAATCTCACTAGCGTGAAGACCATGAGTGAGCTGAAGATTGACAGGAACATAAGTAGATTGAAGATTGTGGACTATTCTTATTGTCTTTATGATCATTGGCCTTGTTGTGCTGAATTCACTTAGGTGTAAGATGATGCAAGTTAAGTGTCGGTTCAGAATGTTTTGTCAGGCTCTTTAGCGCTCTATCATGGCCAATTGGGGCGCGACCCAATGGGATTGTGCCTCGTAAGCCCAGGAGTACGTTGCAACTGCGCATGCTCAGCCATGGGGCATTCTAAAAGGCAGAATCGCTGCCGGTGAGGCCTTCCAAAAGGCTGAGCCTGCGCCACTTGGGAGTCGGATACGAGGCGAACTGGAGGTCTTCATGGGAGGCCTACACTTGATTCAACATGTTGATGTTAGTTTGATGGGGTCCGCGCGCACCGTTATATTGACTCCACGTCGTTCGCATCCGGGATTTCACGTCTGGGATTTCGCGTCCGGGATTCCGGACTTCAAACGGAGCGATACTCAAACGCCCGAGACCCAGTCGCTTGTAGTGATTGGTTATGTCGTACTTACAAGGGTAAGCGGCAGCATAGCCCTTTTACCATAGCGCGGCAATATTGCGGATTCGATTCTAGAACATCAAGGCCGATTTGGGCGTTTTGATTGGTTATGGAACTAAAGCTGGATATGACGCACATCTGAAACCATGCGCCAGTACTGTAAGCCCTGGCGCAGCGAATCTGCAGGGCTGTAGGAGTGCAGTCCTTTACACAAAAAGAAACAAATCATGCGCAAAAGATCCCGTACACCCATTGCACGACTCTTTCCATGGTACCTGGAATCAGTCAAGTTCCGGCCCAGCCGAGACTACCCGTTGAAAAAGAGCTTGGTTGAGGCTGATTGATTGGGTTTGAGGATACCTCCGTAAACGCGAAGTTCGAGTCCGGATTCCACTCACTTGCACCGGTGCCTTGATTTTCCTTCATTACCGCAGCTTAGCTCTGATTGTCGGCTTTCGGGCCGAGAAGGGCTTTCGTGACATGTATGGCGATTATAGTTTAAATTGAGAAGAACTGAGCTGCCAAGGGAAAAGAAGTATTCCGACGGCTCCATTCAGGGTCAGAGATTCATGGATATGTCCTCCCACGCGAGATAAACAAGCTCGGGCGCAAGGATTAGCGTCAGAGTGGCCGTATTGTGGAAACCTAACTTGCCGTACTTCCGATTTCATTCAGGTGGTGGGGTATAACAATGAAATTGTTCCAGTCGATTTATATAGAAGGCGTTTGAAATCATGAACATAATATGCTCCACGCCAGCAACTTATCTTCTCACCACATTCGACATCACTTTGAACTCCTTTTCGCTATTTGAGCTATGAGTAAGCAAGACATCGAGGCAGTTTCGACCATGAGCTCAGCATTGTCATCTTCAACTCTAGGCATTATGTCAGGAACAGAGTCTCCAAGATTATCAACATCGCCATCTTCCACTACAACCAAGCACGACGACGACGATTCCATCACACGAATCTACTATGCAGCACACAATGTGGTGCAAGTGGACCCAACCCTCTATCCGAAAACCAAAGATTCCTCGGAACATACCCGAAGCGAGCCCGATCATTCTGCATTCGACACAGCATATCATCTATACTCCCGAACCTCCCACATGGGTGTCCTCGATCCCAATTACAAAGTTTTCACCAGCAAAGCCGGTCATGGGTCCTTGCTCTACAAACTGCAAGCCCGAACTATCATTATTGCAGGCGATCCCCTGTGTTCTGAAGATCAGCGACAGCCGTTACTGGAAGAGCTCTATCAATATCGCAAGCCCCGCGGCCTGGGCCTTGCGTTCGTCGGTGTCAGTCAGGAGTTCGCCGAATATTCTCAGCAGCATGGCTGGGCGACATTGCATTTCGGCTACGAAAGGGTTCTCAATCCACTCACCAACAAAGTGCTCCAGAAACAGGCAGGCAAGCGTGTACTCAGTCAGAACAGGCAATTACTTGATCCAGAACGCGGTGGAGTGTCTGTGCACCTGTACTGTCCCTCCGTTCAAGGAGTGAATTCTGCACTGGAGAATCAATTGCAGGAACTATACGACGAGTGGCGCAATGAGAGAAATCGCAACAACGCGGGTTGTTTCCAAGCCTTCGTGACTGTCTACGATCTCTTTTCACATCCTGACTCGACAGTCTTCTTGTACACGTCTGACAGCAAAGGTCAGCCCAATGGCTTCGCGACCTTGCGAGCACTCGGTGCGCAGACTGGGTTTCACCTTGATCCCTGCATTGCAACTCAAAGCGCTCCTCGAGGCATCACTGATCTGCTTGTCATCACTGCGATGGAACTCCTCAGAAACGCCGAGATTGGTTACTTGAGTCTCGGATTTGAGCCACTTGATGGTCTCGAAGAGATTCATGGCAAATCCAACCTTCAATCATGGCTTTGGAAGCGTGGCTATAGTCATATGATCAAATCTGTCCCAACATCAGGCAAAGCCACTTACTTCAACAAATTCTATCCTGACGAAAAGCTGGCATCCAAATTGTTCATATGTCTCCCTGGTCACGGTCTTCCAATTCTGGAGTCGATTGGGCTGATGCATTTCGCCAACATGGATATCCGGAGGCTGCTTCCTAAGCGCAATTCAACAAAAGATTTAAGAAAGACTTGAACAAGAGCTTAAGTAGAAGCTTCAGAAAAGGGTTTCACAATAATATTGATTAGATCCTGTACAAAGGTTTTCATAGAGGGCGGGTATAAGGGTAGTTATTTAGGTACAAAGGTAGTTATTGTAAATTATGTATATAGCATTTCATATAACCTTCAAGTGAGTGTTAAGAGTTAGGACCTTGAGGACTTTTTCTATCACGGAAGAAGCAAGGCTCACCCAGTCATCCAATTAAACAACGATGAGACTGAAGCTGACCACCGCCCTCACTCAGACCTAGCCGATTGGTGTTTTAACATTGAAACTCGCCTTTCTATACTTGAAGTTCTGTTGATGTTCGACAGAAAACCTCATCTGGGGCCAGTTTTAGTCCTTGCGTTGCTGTCCACGCTCACTCAGTTGGCGCCCTCATACCATCCAGTGCATATATATCATAGATACAATTAACACATTCGCCTCTTGTCTCACCAGGCGGGTGGTGGTTATGAGCTCGAATAGCATGGAGATCAAAATGAATGCCAGCCAGAAAGGTGTCTTCGACTCCGATCCAGCTTTTCTTCATGCTTAATTCCGTAGAAGTGATACTGTAGGCTCCGCCGCCAGCAAACAAGATTCGGACTGACCACATCTTGCGATTATGGTAGGAATCTGCTATTGTACCCGGCGGCCTTCGCAATATCTTAATAACCCACTCTTCCTAAGAGGACAATCTGAAAGCAAAGTCCACGTCCAGATACTGTCAGTTCCATATCCAATACACCCAACGCTTTCTTGGCGCCGATGGAAACTCGAGCATGTTCAGCATCTTCAATATGCTCATGAACTGTCAATGAGTGGTATCATGGGTGGTATACACGTCGTGGTGCCTTGCGATAGATAGGTTGCGTAAGCGATACCACTGGAACCTTAGTAGGGACGAGAAAGGGCCGTCTAGTACCACAAGGATTGGCCCGTCAAGTGGTATCCGTCATCATCTGGCTCACACTCTTACATCTCGCTGATGATAATAATATACTCTGTTGGTCAGCAAAGTCCATTGGTCTTCCAAGTGAATAACATACCGTATTTATTCCTCAGCCACCCTTGACCCTCGCTGCCAGCTCATCGAATATCTCCACCTTGATCTTATTGCCGAGCTCCTCATCATCCGTCCCTCGCTCGACAAAGTCTAGCCTGTTTTCCAGAGTCTTGATATCTTCCCGCATGTCGGCCAATTCCACAGCCTCGGTATCATCCGCATTGGCTTGTGTCTCTCGCAAGCCCGCGACTTCTATCTCCAAGTCCGCGCATTTCTTCTGGCATGACGCTAGCTGTTCTCGTAGATGAGCGATCTCGTCGCGCAACACTTGAATGAGCAGTGACTGGTCTCTAGCCTGGTCATCCTGTGCTGTACGGTGGTTGATCATGGCCTCGAGTTTCTGCAACTTGTTCCAGATCGCGTCGGCATCGGCGAGCACTTCTTGGCTTAGTTTACGCTTGCGTGAGCGGGTGTTGGGCGGATCGAAGGTCGCGGATTCGTTGTATAATGGAGCACTCGATTGGACACTCGCGACTTTATCGTACGAGGGCGGCAATGGTGCAGCGAGGGTTGTGACCTTGGCACCACTGCCACTGAACATTCGGGAAATGTCATAATCTGGACCCGAGAATGGTTGTAGCTGTTGTTTTTCGATTGCTGTGCTGATGGACTTCAGCTGGTCTACAGACAGTGCAGAGTCGGGGATGTAGATGCGTAAATCTGTCGCGTGTGACAGTTCGTGTAGAGAGTCGAGGATCTTGCCCGATCGTGCCCTGGCCGCCGCAACCGGCTCCTTGATGAAGCTGGGTACAAGAATAGTAATGGCCTCGACAAGTTGTAACTCAAGACACGTCGCAGAGGGGATGATGGGCGTGATGGCGTCAGGGAGTGTTGTTTTGGTGGAGTAGCCGAGGGAGGTGATGGATGGAGGGCTGATACGGATGTTCATGCTCTTGGAGCTGGTCTTGTCCTTGTATCTGATGGGTATCACTATGTCGAAGAGGGCGCAAGTCGCTTCGACATGCAATGTGAATAGAATCGAGGCATGTTCGGGATCGGGTCTCGTCAAGAATCGCGTCGCGCCGTCATATTGATACTCGATAACAGCAGTCACGCCGTCGAGCTCGATTGAACTCGTCGCCATCGCTAAGCAGGAAACGCACTACCGATGGAATTTAGCATGACAACAGGCTGAACTTACCCGCAGAGTCCCAACCAAACTCCAACGCACACCGCGGATCCAAAAGAAGCCGGCCTCGCTGCCAGGTGACCCGTGACCTTCAGGTGAACTGCAAAGTCGCCCCGGACTCCAGGTGAACTGTGAATCCGAGCAGGCCCCTTCTACACGCCCCGGTTATTCCACGAAAGGAGGCGGCTAGTCGCGCTCGTTCGCGTGGGTATAAGCCGGAATTTTATATGGGTGCAGCGCGATGAACAGGCTTCTTAGGAAGCGGGAGGTCGAGATTAAGGAAGGGAGGGCATTTGCGTGAGGGTGGTGGTTGGTGGTGAAGGTGTGGAGTTGACATTGTGACGAGTTGAAGACGAAAGGCTTGAGATTAGGTGGAGTCAATGCGTGAATGTGTGAAAATGGGGGAGACGGTGCTCGGACATGAGTTAATCCGAGGATATGCATGCACAATATCCACTCTTGGTGCTTATCGTCACGTGAGCCGACTGATAAGGATCGCTTGAAATGCACCGTAATTTCTTGGCGCCTCGCCTCACCACAGCCCGACCCAGACGAAAGTATCTTGAATCGTCACAGGTTCATTCAGACCAAACTTTCTTAACAATTCTAAAACAGTCCCATAGACAACCCTAATCCCCACTATTTTAGTTACTACCTTACTGGACACATTTTATCTCATGTAATTCAAATAGCTAGTTGGAAACAGTATTGAAGTGATTTCCGTTACTATAGGGTACTTTACTGTAATTACTGTGAACAATCGCCATAAAGATGACCAGTAAATTCAAGAGGAGCTTGTACTTGAAGCCGAAGTACTCAAGAACTAAATTCTGAAAAGAGTATTAAATGATCTGAACTTTTATGGCTCAACACAGGAACTGCCAAGTTGTTCAAAATGGCCCTATCAATTGACGCGTTTTGTGACAAAAAGGCAGCCCAATGAACACGCTGATTTGGCAAGCACTACCTACTGCGTCTTATTTATTGCAAATGCATAGATTACAGTCAACTTCCCTCATTGACAGCAAAAGATGGTAGGGATGTAAAGCTACTGATTTGATTGCTAAGATTTGATTGACAACAGAGATGCATCAGGTGATAGCACGCAAGCCATAACCGTATTCGCCACAAATCATACCACTATGTATTAAGTGTGACGAAAGCTCAATAAACTGAGCCTAGAGTACCACCCAACGGTAAAGTATGTGATGACTGGGCTTGGATTGGTTAGCCATCAATCAGATCATATTAGTCAAGACAAACCACCTGATCATATGCCACACACATGTTGTTGTCAGCCATCAGCTTAAGACAGGGAACTATATAAGGTGATAACAGAGGCTAAATGAGGAGTGAATCGCTTCCTCCTAAATCATCAAAGCAGTAATAAATCTCTTGCTGAAATCATGACGGACACGATGCTGAATAGCACGCTTCCACTTACCATGCGTGCCGTACAATGGCGTTCAATCAAAGGCGGCATCGAGAAAAACCTCAAGCCAGTCATGAACGCTGAACTCCCCAGATGCGCCCAGTCGCTCAAGAAAGGCCATACACTCGTCAAAGTTACATACGCATCGCTCAATCATCTCGACTATAAAGTGGCCGAAATGCCTCTGTGCAGTATAATATTCCCCAAGCCTGCCACGCCGGGTCTTGACTTTTCCGGCACAATTGTCTCCACGACGTTGGAAGAATTCGAAGAAGGCCAGCATGTCTTTGGGAGAACCGAGTTGCCTACTGGTGGAACCATGGCAGAGTATGTAGTTGTCAGGGGTGAAGGAATAGCGGCCTTACCGGATGGCGTGTCCCTCAGAGAAGCAGCTTGTATTGGTATCTGCGGTACAACTGCTTTGCAGTGTCTTCAACCGTTCTTGAAGTCGGGAGAGAGGGTCTTTATTAACGGTGGTAGTGGAGGTGTTGGCATGTTTGCGATTCAAATTGCTAAAGCTTTGGGCTGTTCTCACGTCACAACAACTTGCTCAGCGGCCAACGCCGAGTTTTGTCGAAATCTTGGTGCGGACGAGATTATCGATTATAACACGGAGAACCCCCTTGAGGTGCTCAAGAGATGTGAAGAGCAATTTGACTGCGTCTTTGACACGGTCTTTGTCAACCCAGACATGTACTGGCAATGCCACCAATACCTCAAACCCAACGGAACATATGTTTGCGTTGGTCTACCACCAAAACTCCAGACCTTCAAGTCTCTCCTCGCTATCAGGCTGTTACCAAGCTGGTTAGGAGGCGGAAAAAGAAAATTCAAGTATCATTCGGTCACTGCGAACAAGATAGATTTCACTCAAGTTGCCGACTGGATCAGAGATGGGACGATTAGCACATTTATCGAGCAGGAGTTTGCATTGGATGATGCAGGAAGGGCTTATGCGCGACTGAAAGTAGGAAGAACGAGGGGAAAGCTGGTCGTTCGTATTGGAGGGGAGCCTGGCGGGGATCAGTATGACATGGATCTTTAACGCCGGCAGCGTTGATGCCAAAAGGATCACATGCCGGAAATTCTATCCCTTCTTTCTTAGCAGTACCAGGTTCTCAGAGCACTGATATATTTACTCGGGACAGAATGCATGAACTAGAACTGAGGTCTGACTGTCTGAAGCCTCCACCATGCTGTGATGACCTAAGTCTCGGAAAGAACATTGAAGAAAGAGACGAGTCCGAGCCCAGGGCCTGCTGTTGAAGCTGGCGTCAAGGTACGGCAACAATTCAACATCACCTATAGTATGACCACCCTTCGACTCTGGTGTTACACAAATGGTAGTTCAAACAAGTATTTATGGCTGCATCTTCCTGTAATGCATTCCATAACACACATCCCTTCCCTCAAGCAAATTGCAAGTCATTCCCCACATCCCATCTCGGAGCCATTCCCTCACATCATCTACGGCCCCCATTGTTCTCCATCATGGTGTTAAACTGATGCCTGAGACTCTCAAACTCTGCCTTGGTAGTAGCAAGCTTCTCCTTCGCTCTCGTAACCCTCAGCGTCGCAGCCTCAATCCTCTGTCCCATAGCCTCATCAGTCGCAAGGTGCTCGGTGAATCCTCTCACAGCCATCTCCGTGGCTTCCTTGACTGCCTGCGTGATTGTGTCATACATGGCGCCTCCCACACCCGGACCAGCAGCTGTCGCCTCACGCTCGGTCAAGATTGCGTTTGCCGTTGTGATGTACTCCTCGCCAGTACGTCGGGTGGATTGGAGTGCTTCTTGCGCGCCGTCGAGACGGCTGAGGGCTTGGCAGGCGGTCAGGTATTCATCTTGGGCGGTGTCGATTGCTCTGCTGGCGTTTTGACGGAGGGTCTTCTAGTCTTCCATCGTGAGGTTCGCGAGCTCAAGGTTGCCTGTTGACTGAGGGCTCGTATCGACCAAGGGGGCGCGTGTGTTTGCATTTGAGGCCATCGTTCTATTGGTTGCCTGGAATTGCGGTAGATTTCGCTCGTGAGTTTGGGGGTACTTGGAGGGAGGGAAAATCGCGCAAAGATGGAAAAGGGTCGTGAGCACTGAGGCTCTGAAAGTTTTGTCAGCTGTTGACAGAAAGGAACATATAGGCCGCATCGAAGGCGGATGGGGAGTGAGCTGCGCAAAGGTGACAAGTGTGCAGGCTATGGAAGAAATGTATCGTGTCACGTTTACGAACGTGATGCGGAGAATCGCGTCGTAGGAGAGCGCGTCACAGAAGCGTAACGCGCAGGCGGAGTGACGTCATTGAAGCATATATTATAATCATGGGAGAAGATAAGATAAGATTATCAATATGTGGGACCCCCAGACGGGAATGTGGGGTAGCCGCGAACAGGAATGCGGGGAAGGATAAACACCGTATTAAACACATCATGTTCGGTCTCGACTTCTGGTCGCTTCCGTTGAAGTTGGCTAAGAGAATTGTGATTTACTTTTTGTCCAAGGGTCCTACTAGAGGGACTTGAAAAATTAAAATGAATGAGACTGGATGTATTTTTGTCTTGGGCTAGAGCTAGATGATAAAGAGGCTAGATAAGTCCGGGGTAGCCCTAGGCAATACCAACACAAGCATGCGTATCCTTCCACAAACCACTGCAATCGCTCTTAACCGCGGCATTCCACTTGAAAAATTGCTCCATTGTGATCTTGTTATAGTCTAAAACACCTCGACATGTGGTAGTGGGCCTGATGTGGTGGAATTTGACGCAGTTCTTGACCATCCCTGTTTGTATGGGTGAAGGCGTTTTTACACCGTTGCCAGCTGCCTGAGTAGGTGTGGGGTTGAAACCTATCACCCCAACGCAAGCGTTTGTACCTTGCCATAAGTTGCTGCAATCCTCGCCGACATCAGGATTCCACTTGACAAAATCAGCAAGAGAGATTTTGTTATATTCTAAGATTCCCTGGCAGGTCGTTGTAGACTTAACAGGGTGGAACTTGTTGCAGTTGGAAACCATGTTGTCCTGGATAGGAGACGGTGTCGAGATTCCGTTACCGGCCTTAGTTGGAGACGGTTTGACAGTCGCTGTAGGGGAAGGTGAACTGCCGATGACTCCGACGCAAGCATGAGTTCCTTGCCAGAGGTTGCTACAATCCTCCTTGACATCGGGATTCCACTTAACAAAGTCCTTTAAAGAAATCTTGTTATAGTCCAGAATCCCTTTGCAGGTAGTTGTAGAACGAACGGGGTGAAATTTGTTACAGTTGCCGACCATGCCATCCTGGATGGGGGAGGGTGTTTCAACACCATTGCCAGAGGGTTTGGTAGGAGAGGGCTTTGCCGTGGTAGTGGCCTTGGTCAGGGTAGTGGGCTTGACCGCGGTATTTGTGCTGGAAGGCTGCGCCTTGGTGGATACAGGCGCTGTGCTTGAAGGGCGGGCTGGTGAAGGGTCATCGTCCGTAACAGTTCCAACTACACAGTAGAAACCGTTCGTGTCGATATTGGGGCATCTGATACCAGGATTCAAAGCCTTCAGTGTGTCCAGATCTAGACCCCAAGAACTGGCGAGGCTCTCGCACGTGGCGCCACTGTTGGCCGAGGTAGAGAATCCACAATTCACGCCTCGACGCACAGGAATATGAAGAGCATAAGACAACTGGGGAAGAATCCCTATGGTTAAAAGACGAGAGAAGTGCATGTTGAGAATGACAAGAAGCGAGAAAGGTTAAGTGATAGTGGAATGGAGTGGAATATACTGAACTAAACAGTCTGACTACTTCAAACTTATACTTCTTTTCTCTCAATGTCTAACTCGTTATGATAGAGTCTGCTGGGTTCAACTTGTCTTGTTGGTTGATGAATTTCCAAGTTCGGAAAAAGAGTTCCCTCATTGAATTTCTCAATATACGGCATCCTTGCCGGCGGAGAAATACATGCCACTCGGAATGTCCCGACATGCAGGGGAACCTACGGCACAGCGCGGGTAGTGGACCCTGCCAAGGCCAGCCGAGGGTCCTTTGTAAAGAGGCGACAATAGTGGAGCAGACCTTATGTTAACTTATCATCACTTGATAATGTTGGTGACTCTATTGGTATCCAGTTTCGTTTGATGACGGCAGAATATTTTCTTTTTGTACGTTGCTATAGTCAATCATGTGTCAAGAAGACACTTGCAGTTGGTTCGACATCTACATCCGACTGGCTCGCTTGTGAAGAATGACACCCCTGCCATGCCAAGTCCTTGGCTTCCAGTGACACCGATCAACCAACACCTACCAAGGCGGCAACACGGCCATCACAGTGAAATAACATTGCAACTTCAAGAGACCCCTGCTACCTTGTGACCGGAGGAAAATTCGAACCCTCCGCCTACAAGAACCCGCCCACTACACTACAGGCCTTTCAACCTTTATTCTCTCCTGCGCAACTTTTAACATGCACGTTTCCAACATGCGTTTTACCCCACCATCTTTTGCCTCCCTGACTTGTTGGTTCCTCCTTTGCAGCAATGGAGCTGCCATGGAATCAAAGGGTCCCACTGGCGCCTTGCAAATCGACCTCGTATTCCCCCGGAATGAGACGTACAATCCGTCCCCAGTAATGCCTATCATCTTTTCCTACCGCAACCTCGGGCTCGTGCCATACCTCATACCTTCAATCACGTACGAGATCTGGAATTACGATAACTTCAGTGCAGACAGCGCTGGTGGCAGTATCGAAGTTCCGTTGGTCAATGACTCCAGCATCGACCCATACTTTGAGTATATTCCGCACTTGTATCCTTTCAACACTGAAGGTACTTGGCAACTGAATTTTCACATTCGCTGGATCCGCTGCTATGTGGCACCTGCAGAAAAGGGTCGTGGCGAACTGGACATGTGGGGTGTCAACGAAACTGATATTGGCGGAATTATCTTCGCCACTAAGGGCCCCTCGAAGCAGGTCGATCTTGTTGCCGCGACTAGCAACAAGAACTGCTCGTTCCCTGCGGGGGCCGCCATCAACGTCACGGACACAATGTCGACTCCTTATTTACTCAGGGATTACGACCCAGATGTCTGCCCAATGGTTTCGTCCCCAGAAATCAAGGCAGATAGCTGTGACGTTACGCTAGACCCTACAGCTGCCTCGAGTATTGACGCCGAGATGACTTCTTGGGTGTGCACCCGGGTTTGGGAGACAAACCGACCTAAAGGATTTGATTGTGAATCTCGAAAGGAGGAAGAGAGCACAGCACTGCGAAGCATTACAGGAGGGGCGAGTTGCTTGGCGTTCGTGTTGGGTATTCTTGTCTACATCTACAATTTTCTATAACCGTTTTCAAAGCATCTTTTACCTCACAATGTATTTAATATTCTCACTACGGTTTCTGGGAAGTTAAAGCTATCAAGGCACTGTGCTGTCTGTGTGTCTAAAGTATAGTAGCCGAATTTTAAAAGTGATGTATGTTGTCTTCAGAAATAGACTAAAGCCTTACCCTTTCAACGTGTATGGCAAACAACATAACTGTGTCCATAGTGCCCCTGATCTGATGCTTAGCCGAACAGGTCGTACATGACATCGCCTGTACATCAGACAGGTTGAGTCATTTCTCCTATGATCAAGGTTCGCACGCCGCCAAGCAGCCAAGACGGACCTCTTACCCACAGCGAAAGAATGTAGGACCAACACACTGGAACCAACATTCTCATCGCCTGTCAGGTGCCCAGAACTTCTCCACTAAATGTTGCCAAATCTAGGATACCTTTTGCCGACCACATGAGGTCGGGTCCTGCCCTCCGAACTGGAGCTCTAGCCCCCTACTAGAGACTGACATGCCTGTACATCTTAGAACCAACAACCAACACGCCGTACTAGCATATCAGATATCGCAGAGCTGTTGCCTTGATTCGTCGGTGTGCAGGTCCTTTGACATTATAACGTAAAGGGAACAGAATGTTAATCTCTCAAATCATTTGGCAGCTGCCAAATCCGACACAACATACTTCCGTAATTTCATGGATGTTTCTTGGTAGAAGGACCGTACAAATCCCATTGTCTTGAGACAGGGGAGAAGAGAGAAGATGTGAAGGAGATGGATCAAATTTTCCTTGCTCGCTCTTCAAGTATAAGGAACATGGTGCCGTCCAAGTTCCCCTCACTGTTAGAACGGACTCTACATATCCGCAAATCACGCTCTTTCATCCATTTGACCCTTTATACTCAGTCATTCATTTTACCCTCTTTTGTTTCTTTATATTCTTCTTGTCTCAGACGTAACTACCCCTTACACATTCCTATCTGAATTTCTTCACCCACCAGTGGCTGCATTTTATCATGTTAGCCCCAACATTGCTTTCGGCCGTGCTTGGGATTACTGGCATCTTGATGTCTGCCAAGCCAGCTCTGGCTAGGTCGGGGGGCATTATCGGGGCCAGCCCATACCGCGCCAACGTCGACGCTTGTCCGGAACGATGCAGTGTCTCTGGATCCAACCCGGGTAACTGGTCGGTATATCCAGAGCTGAAGAAACTCAGATACTGTCAGGAAACTGTATTCTATGCGTTTTCTGTGTATGATCCTGTCGATGACTCTTTGGCTGGTCATCGAATCCATGCCTGCACATCCTTTGGCTCAGACTTTTCCCAGCTACCAAACTCGACAGTCATGCGAGAAACCTCTTCTGCCGACGCAAGCTACCAGATTGGTTGGTGGGATGAAGGTTTCGGCCTGGCTAGTTCTGGAATTCGTTCTCTCACAAAGCAGGCTCGCCGCTACCTCACTCATGGGCACGGGGCCGCGGACAAACCCACTATCATGTTTGCCCAGTCTGGACAAGCTACCATTGGACTCTATGTTGGCCAAAGTCTTCAGAGTCAAGTCATTGGCTCTGCTGTCCTCAAAACGTTTGAGGACAACCTCTCCACGTTGAATACTACAGCGCCTTCACTGGCTATGCAGCTCTGCGGACCAGATTTGGATACTGCTCATTCATTCGGACTGATTGTTGCAAGCAATGGAACTTTCAGTTCCCTTCAGAGCGCTATTCAAACTTGGGACAAGGGAACTTGCTTGTCATTCTCACAATCTATCAACATGACCAGCCGTGTCTCGTATACAAGGCCCTTGGAAGTGGTAGCCAATGCTGATAACACTACTGTGTCTTCCAAGTCTCTGACCATGAGCAAGGGTCATGGAAAGCGCCATCAACACCTGCATATTCGTGCTGAATGCAAAACGACCAAGGTTGAAAGTGGCGACAGTTGTGCAAAACTGGCGCAAAGATGTGGTATCTCGTCCAGCGACTTTACCAAATACAACCCAGGATCCAACTTCTGTGCCCAGCTAGTACCCAAGCAACATGTGTGTTGCTCAAAGGGAGACCTACCTGATCTTCGACCCTCCAAGAACTCCGATGGTAGCTGCCATGCCTACAAGGTTGAAGAGAGTGACAACTGTGCGAGCATCGCGGTTGAGAATGGTCTCAAAACTGAGGATCTTGAAAAGTTCAACAAGAAGACCTGGGGCTGGGCTGGATGCAAGCGCTTATTCTACAAAGCCGTCATCTGCTTAAGTGACGGTTCTCCTCCCTTCCCTGAGCCGATCGCCAATGCCCAATGCGGCCCGCAGAAGCCAGGAAGCAAGAGACCAAACGAAGCTACCGACCTATCTGATCTTAACCCTTGCCCTCTCAACGCGTGCTGCAACATTTGGGGTCAGTGTGGGATTACCAGGGACTTCTGCACAGACACCAATACTGGAGCCCCCGGAACCGCCAAGGAGGGCACTTATGGCTGTATCTCCAACTGTGGCACTGATATCGTGCGGGGCGGCGGCGATGGCTCGATACGCATCGGTTATTTCCAGGGCTACGGACTGGGCCGTCAGTGCCTTCTCATGGATGTCTCTCAAATTGATACCTCAAAGTACACACACGTGCACTTTGCTTTTGGCACCATGACCAAGGACTACGACGTGCTGGTGGGCGACAAACTCTCTCAGTACCAGTTCCAAGAGTTTAAAAGCCTTAAGGATGTTAAAAAAATTCTTTCCTTTGGCGGCTGGGACTTCTCTGCAAACCCTGCCACCTACTCCATCTTTCGCGAGGGCGTCAAGCCTGCTAATCGTCTTACGATGGCTACCAAAATCGCAAACTTCATTACACTGAACGGGTTGGATGGCGTTGATATTGATTGGGAGTACCCCGGAGCTCCAGACTTTCCTGACATCCCGCCAGCAGATGAGGGGGAAGGGACAAACTATCTTGCTTTTCTCGCCATTCTGAAGAACCTGTTACGGGGCAAGTCCCTATCTATCGCTGCACCGTCTTCCTACTGGTACCTGAAGCAGTACCCTATCAAGGACATCGCCAAGATCTTAGACTATATCGTTTATATGACCTATGACCTTCACGGCCAGTGGGACACAGAGAATCCTCACTCGCAGGAAGGGTGCGACTTTGGCAACTGCCTCCGCAGTCAGGTCAACCTTACTGAAACCCAATACTCGTTGGCCATGATCACCAAAGCAGGTGTCCCAAGCAGCAAGGTCGTTGTTGGTGTTACTAGCTTCGGGCGGTCTTATAAAATGGCTGAGGCAGGTTGTTATGGGCCGGATTGCCTCTATACTGGCAACAAGTTGGAGTCTCCAGCAAAGAAAGGCAAATGCACCGGCACAGGCGGCTACATTGCTGACGCCGAGATCAACGAGATCATCAAGGACAACAGTCGCGTCACCAAGCGCTATCTCGACACAACGAGCCACAGTGATATCCTCGTCTATGACAACACGGAATGGGTTTCTTATATGAGCAGCACCACAAAGATGGCCAGGGAGGCACTCTACTCGGCCTGGGGTATGGGTGGCACTACCGATTGGGCTGTTGATCTTCAAACATACCACGACGTCCCCGAGCCTTCAAAGAGTTGGGCCATCTTCAAGGAGGATGTGAAGCTTGGAGAAGATCCCAGGCTGGACAAGGCCCGAACTGGCAACTGGACAGACTATTACTGCACCGACCCCCTCGTTGTGGATAGACGGGACTACTCTGGCGAAGAGTGGAAGCTCTGGGGACTGTTGCAAACTGATGACGCTTAGAGAGATGCCATCAGGATTTGGAAGCAATGGGACAAGTATAAGACCAATTACTCTTTCTCCAAATCGGTTGCCACGACTCTCAAAACCGACATGAACCCAGACTGCAGGAAGCTATCGAAGACGAACGGTTGCGAGACGCCACCTAAATGCGAAACGGGCATGGATTCCGACCAATCAGGTCCAGCTGGACAACTTCTCTGGGACGCGTTTGTAAAGCTCCATCTCATGTTCGTGGCCTATGACGACGCGCTGAGCAAAGCCGCTACCAGCATTACCTTCTCCCTTGATCACTTTGGGAATAAGTTCGCGCCTATTCCTGAGGAAGAGGATACCAAGTGGCTTTTCGCCATGATTGATCTTCTAACGTGGGGAGTAGCGACCGCTGCTGGACCCTTTTTCAACTCGGTCTTTAAGGAGCTTCCATACTTTCGCCTGAACCCGGCCACTCATGACAATGTCAAGGACACGACAATGACCTTGATTGGACAGAGTACAACTCTGGCAAAGGACTTGTATTCCGCTGGGAAGTATGTATTAATCCTTTCGGTACCATTGAGTTCTTTAGAAGCTAACCATGGATACTATTATCAGGATAGACTGGACAGCGGAGAAGATGGATTCCTTTGCCAGCTATATGGGGTCAGTGGTCAAAGGTTGGAGGAAACTGAACGAGAAAACGCTATATTGGATATTTAACGGCACAGATGAGTCCATTGATGTGCTGTGGAGTGTTATCTCCGACGGGAAGTTGCTCGAGTACGAGGGTGGTGGCGAGAGCACTGACGGCCAGGACCAGGATCTCGCAACTACCATCGAGAAGGCCTTCTATGGATATACCATTCCTATGCTCTGGAATATCACCGAAAAGCATGCGTTCGTCCTCGACTCAGGTTCCAACTGCTATGAGGAATATCCCATGAAAGAATATTTCTCCTCGGCCACCATGGACGCCACCAACGCATGCTACGACGGAAGACGTTACTACTTGGTTCATGTCAAAGGCGACGCAGAGTCGTGTGAATGTAAGCCTCCCAATACAAAGTGCGAGTGCGTGAACAACAAGTTCAGCGTGCCACCGGGCCTGGATTCTTTGGACGGCAATGAGTTCGGAGGTATCACGGTATCGGATCTGATCAAGGGGTAAGTTTCGTCATTCATTCAGAAGCCATTTAACAGGCCTTCCGAATCTCCCAATCACAGACCACAGTGGCTAACTCAGTGATTTAAACAGGTCCGTTCGCACATACAACCACAATGGAAAGAAGAACGTATTGGCCGAATATGACTTGACGAGTAACGAGGAGACCTTGAGCGCCTTATTGGATGTCGACATTACCACTCCAGGCATTATGAGACTTCCAGTGTGCAGCCCCGAGCGCGCATTTCAGTCGTGGGACTCGACCGCCAAGGGCTCTACCACTTTCTTCCCATGCGATATCCCGCCCGGCAGAGAAAGGTGCGAGAACAAGGACTCGAGCTTCGAGAACGAGACAAGCGAAAAGTCTCCATTGATCAAAGACTGCGAAGCCATCATCCGGAACATCGAAGGGAACGGCGGTACTCAATGGACTGTACAGGTGGTTGGAACCAACCAGAGAAAGATTGCAGCTGCTGGTACCTGTGCATTTGGAGTTGAGGCTACTAAGGTTGATGGAAATGTTAGCTTCGAGTTTGGAGGACAGGACATGATCAACATTATCACGACGGCTGTTGAGAAGTATGGTAAGAATGGTAAGATTGGTGCTGTCGGCGATCTGCACTGCAGTGGCAATATAAAGCAGCAGCCTGTTCACTGGGCCATCTACCACACTTGAGCAATTAGTTAGAGATGAATTATCAAGGTCCCTGAATGAAACCTTCATTCACTACCTAGAGACACTGAACCCTTTTTTATTCCGAAACAATAGATGAAGCACCATGGTGAACAGGCATCCCCGTGCAAGTCCGGTTTGAATCCATTACTGTACATTGCTTATTTATAGCTTTCATGTAGAACTTCTGGGTAAAATATTGACTGACTGGATTTCTATAAATCTGTACGTTTTGCAGAAACAGGTAATCCAGGAGACTTACCCGGCATTAACAGGTGGGAGATATTACTTGACTGTAGTCAACTTTGACCAGGACGAGCACCACCTCCAGTCTCAGATCCTGGTCACAGTAACTACGCTACTTATGTCGCCACGTCCAGTATCAAGATGAGGTACATGCAAGGTCGGAGTTAGAAAGGTCAGGCAATGGAAAATTGTGGAACTTCCCGTGACTAAAGCCATCATAACATAAGTTATCTAGGGTACTTTGAGTATCCTACCGAGAAGCTTCGAAGACTTGCTAATAGTTTCTTCAAGGAAAAGCTTGCATCGATAGTAACTCGGTAATTAGCGACTTATTGGATATTAAATAGTGCATCCATACTCTAAAACGCTTTTATACGGGGTTATTTAAACTCCCTATGTTATTGAGTTATGAGCTGAGTACATGTCTTATGTTGAGTTTGACCGCTTACGGAGAAACCCTGTTTTAGTTCCTTTGTATTAGCTATTACCTAATCCCAGCTGTCAGCATTCCAGTGAACGCTATCAAAACAGTACTAAGGTTTAGCCACAAAACGTTCGCAGCCTTATTATTTATACTTCATCCTAAATAAGATTTCAAATATCCACCTTTTCACTACATAAAGTAACTTACCCCTCTTTGCATCTCACTCCAGTTTGAGCATGCTCCTGCCACCTTTTATAATAACTGCCTGAGGTCAACACCTTTTGGACTACTACGATATGTCAAACAATAACCATAACGACATGGCTCTGCCTCAACCTTCTACGCGCGAGGCCCATTCGACTTGGCGTTGGTGGCTACTAGGCCTTGCAGTTGCTGCGCTCGCCCTTCTCAGCCCTGCGTTAAGCTCCAGCTCCACATCTTTATGCCCCCAAGCACCAACCCATGACGTCCAATCACAAGATCAGCTGACAATCGACATGCTCAAGAATCTGAGTTCAGAGGCTTATCGGGAGAGAAGTATTCAACGGCTGGCAGGTGCTATCCAAATCCAGACAGTAGCATACGACGACATGGGCTCCGTCGACCAGGACCCCCGTTGGAAAGTCTTCGACGATTTTGCCGCCTACCTTCGCACTGAATTTCCCGCTCTCCATGAGACAATCAAGCTAGAAAAGGTCAATCGCCATGGTCTTCTTTACACATGGACTGGTAGTGACTCATCTCTGAAGCCGACGGTCTTGATGGCCCACCAAGATGTTGTGCCTGTTCCTGAAAGCACCGTTTCACAGTGGAACCATCCGCCTTTCAGCGGGGAATTCGATGGATCGTCTATTTGGGGAAGAGGTGCTCTAGACTGTAAGAACACACTGATTGCGAGCTTGGAAGCTGTGGAGACTCTGCTAGCGGCAGGATTTGCGCCACGTCGCACCATCATTCTCTCATTTGGGTTCGACGAGGAGATCTCTGGCCACCACGGAGCTTCATTTCTTGCATCCCACCTCCTCCAACGATACGGGGAGAACGGCATTTCGCTTATCATCGATGAGGGTGCCCCTGTTCTGCCTCTTTGGGGTTCACATTTTGCGGTTCCGGGAGTATCTGAGAAAGGCTATGTCGACGTCGAAATTGTGGTCCGTACCAAGGGAGGTCACAGTTCGATGCCTCCTGCACATACCAGCGCAGGTATCGCCGCTGAGTTGGTCAGTCTTGTTGAGAAATCGCCATATCAACCTCAGCTACATCAGGATAACCCGCTGCTGGACTTTTTATGGTGTGGTGCGGAACACGCTCCGGGATTCATGCCAGGTTTGAAATACCTACTACCGAAAAGAGATATCACAGGCGTCTTGGAGACTGCTAAGCGGATGTTGTTTCCCAGGCTAGTGGCGCGTGTAAACCACATGGCTGGGTATCTCATATCGACAACCCAGGCGGTCGACGCGGTACATGGGGGTGTCAAGGTGAATGCACTGCCTGAGCGGACAACTGTTTTAATAAATCATCGAGTCAACATTGGAGAGACATCCGAGCTGATACAGAAGAAGCTCACTAAGCTCACTGGAATTGTAGCAAAACGCCACAATCTCGCATTGCACGCATTCGATGGTTCAGAAGAACAACAGTCCTCAATCAATATTCATTTCATGGGTAGCGTACTCGAGCCCGCACCTGTGACTCCAACACAGGCAGATGCCAAGGGAAAGGATACCCCATGGTCAGTAATATCGAGCACTACCAGAGCTCTCTACGGGAAGGAAGTTGTGATGGCGCCAGGTATTATGCCTGCGAATACGGACACCAAATACTACTGGAAGCTCAGCTGGCACATATTTCGATACTCTCCAGGCTGGGATCCTGAGGTACTCTCAATTGAGGGTATACATACAGTGAACGAACGAGTAAGTGTTACAGCACATATCAGGACTGTACAGTGGTATGTCTCTTTCCTGAAAAGGGTGGACGGAGCCAAGTTCACTCAAAAGTGATGCTTGGGGGCCTGCTTGCTACAAGGGACGTAGAGGCAAGGGTCGCTATCAAAGTTAGAAGCTATCAAATCGCTGTGTTACAGTCTCTTCAACTACTTTATATCTCACCTCAATAGCACAGTTGGGTTCGTCGGAGGGCTTCGATCATTGTTTAAGTAGTTTCACTTTAGCAAATCTCATTCTTTATCCTGAAAAGGTATCTTTCTCCAGTCCCGCTCTGATAGACGCAGCATCACCGCTTTCACATTCAATTTGCTCCAAAGCAGAACGAGTTAAACGCTTCTCCACTTTTGTTATCTCCCGTGATGCTTTGTTCTCCACCATTTGCGAGACCATTGACTCCATAGTTGGAGGTCAACATCAATTTACTCACTCAAGTCAGCGAGCAATTGAGACTCATACAATCTCTACCAACTTCCAAGAATGGCCAGAAGAAAAGTAGCCTATCTTGTAGCCTCTGCTATTGGAAGACCAACTTTGTCTAAAAGAGTACATCCAGAGAAAGATGGTGGAAGAAACCAACACCTCCATTAAGTCTCCAGTTACGGGATTCGGCTTGTTCCGGGAGCGACGACTTTTTAGTAATGGACATGATAGAGTAGTCCTCGTTATGAAGTAGAGTCAAGTTCTAAGCTGTGAAGTCAAAGACAGGAACAGCTAGTAAGTAGAACACACTAATAAACAAAGGACAACTGAAAAGGTGCTGTGATCGGGCCCTCATCTTCAAAAAGTGGGACATGAAGAAGCTTTCTTTATCCGACTCATGAACAAAAAAGACCATCTAGAAGACAATCTTGTTTCTCTCTTAGAGATCTAAAGAGCCTTTTGACTTCTAGAATACCAGGTTCTCTATACCTTCATCCTTGGTCATAGGTGTAAATAATTAGTTAAAGTAAAGGTAATTATGATGTACAATTCTCCTTTCGCCAATTGTTCTTAAAGAACGGTAACAGAACAAACTAGCCTGATTGTACCGAGTTACCTGGGTCTGAGGATGGGTATATATGTGAGGGAGCAATCCTGTAGAAAGGCTACCAAAGATTACCACATCAACTAAAACATTAAGAGTTGATACCTACCTGCCACTTTCTATCCACATCGAGAAGTATCTCAATATCTGAAGGATTTGTTTCGTGGCTCTGATAATACTACAAACCACAAAATGTGCAACACAGACGGATCGACCACAGATGCCACATCTTCACCCAGAGCTAACAAGATCTGGGTCCCAGGCACCGATACTCTGCTTCCTCTGTACGTGGACTTGCCAGTAATGGAGTCACTTCCAGTAGATACCAAGCTTGTTTCGCAAGATTCTCAGGACCTGTCTCCATCTCTAGCCGAGGATCTTTCCGGCGATGGAGCCAACAGGGATGCCCCTGAAGACGCCCCTGCTGGCGGGACTGGTGGTCTGAAGGAGGAAGAGACTACCACCAACAAAACGACCGTTTAAGTGACAGGCTTTTAGATATGTAAGTTTCTATAGGAGACTCCTTGTGAGGAAGGTTTGTAGACAAACATCATAGTTTCCCTTTTATAGTCTTACTTGAGCTTAGCTGTTTGCCTGTTCTTGCAGGACGTACTCTGGGAAATAAATGTATTCTCAATAACAATGAATTACAATCAGATAGACAAAGTGAATAAGAAACTCGTCTTTCGTGGGTTCTGTGCTATGGAATATGCAATGGTCGCGGTGGGTTCAATAAGTGATGTAAGAAAGACCCCAACCACGGTAGCGGTGAAGTTCGTCTCATTCAACAACTGTTTGAGTGAAGAAACTCAAGAAGCAATCCAGTCAATTATATGTCATGTTCAGCCGAACCTACGGGTACCAGTATGAACAGACGCAGCCCTCCGCCTCTCAAACAAGCTGCCACCAAGCTCACAGGAGATGCAAAGAGAGTAAAGCCAGATCACGATTGACTCTTTGTGCCTTTGTTGACCTGAGCCTCGAGCAGGTCCAAGATTTTCGCGACGATGTTTGCCTTCAGAAGGATGCTGAAATCGATGCCGAGCGACGTCAAAGCGCTGTAAACAAACATGGTGACTTTCTCACGTTTGTGAAAGAAGCACATGGCATCAATGAATGCCGAAATAGGACCTACGAGACTGAAGAGAAACTAAATCAAGTGGTGCGCAAAGTCAAAGTCAATGACACCGCCATGCAGGCTAAGACAGGGCACGAAAGGTAAAGTCATTGTTGGGGCCTTGAACCCTCTCTACTTCGAGGTTCAGTTAGACTTGTACTATTTGGAGCATTGCTTTATGGTCCGTTGAGACATTTCTTCAGGTCACCATGGCTACATTGTGGTCCAATATTGCGACAATGCCATTTGCCCAAGTGAATCAAGCCGTATATTTCCTAAGAGGTCGGGACGTATGGCTTGGAAAATCCCTAAAACGCATCGTCACGCTGGTAACCCCGTAACGGAATTGATAGGTGTATGTCCTCAGTCGAACATGGTACAGTCCTTTGCTCTGTTGTACCAGAGACAACACGACACAACAAATCTCCATTCAACTCACGTCATAATGGAAGTTTGACTGACGGTGAGTGCGGCAACTTTTCCTTTGCATTGGAATGGACACCATGGTGGCAAATAGCATGGAGCCATTTTCCGCCAACGCAAAGGACTCACGGTCTTGTTCGGGCTTCGGACTGCGCACCTCCCTCGCCGCAGTGTTCAGAATCCAGTAAAGTAAGAATCTCCCCTGGCTAGATGCATCCCTCCACGATCACAACCAGGAAACAGAGACTGGACGATATTGCAGTGTTGCCTGCGCCAGTATTAATCACATTGACGAGGACCCCAACGGAGAGACGCCCAGATAAGAAGAATTGGGATCAGTTTCAGGAACTGAGGACTCCGGTGACAATACTTCAACCGATTAGTAGTCTAGCAAAACATCCTCTAAGCTTCCATCGGCGATAGACCCTGTTAGCGGAGCATAATTGAGGCTGTTGGCTCTCATTCTTGGGCTCGACCAAGAACGATCGACTAGCAAGCATCCCGTTGATAATAAAGGATCTTCCCACGGGCCGAGCTAGTGGCCGCCTGGGGTTGGCCTATACGGCCCCAAACGTTTATATTATGCTTGTCCAAGTGGCATGTGCTACTCTGTTCCAGGGGTTCACCTATCCCTGCAAGGCCCCACCACCAGGACTACTTTACATGGTGCATTGACTAATATCTGTCAACCAACAACTACCAAGACGGAAACACGGCCATGCAGGTACGGGGCAATACTGTACACACGTTGGTCATGTGCCCTGACGGACGCAGGGCCGTGGATCCCATTCACTACAAGAAGTCGCCCAGGCCCTTGTAAACTAAATTGTTTCTGCGCGCATTCTCACTCAACATCCTCACTCGTTTCCAACATGCGTTGCCTCTTTTCCTTGGCGTGTTGGTTCTTCCTCCTCGGCTTCTCCAGCGGGGCTACCGAGGAACAGCAACATGATTCTACAGGCACCATGGAGTTCGGTATGGTCTTTCCAATCAATGAGACGACTATCAATCCCTCTTTGGTCATGCCTTTCGTATTCTCTTACCAAAACCCCGAACTTGTTCCTATTCTGCAACCTTATCTTATCTACGACGTCTACAATTACAGTAATATGAGCCAGAATGTTCTTCAAGGCAGGCTCAGACCGAGGTCTACTAATCTCTCAGCCACTTCTGACCTTCAGTTTGAAGCGAATTACCATCGGGAGTTCGCTAATGAAGGCAAATGGCTTATAACGCTCATTCTTGGCTTCTTCACTTGCTACGAGGACCCGGATCGCACCTACAACAATACATACACCATTGGGACCTACCATGCCAAGGCCAATATTACATTCACTACAGAGGGTCCTTCGAAACAGGTCGACCTCGTTGCTGCGACTAACAGCAAAAACTGTTCATCTCCACCTGCACTTACCGTCAAGGTCCAGGACACGGTCAAAGTCCCTCAATCGGATCCTCGTGCCGATGGTTTGGCTGAAGTCTGCTTAGTCGACGCTCTAGCAAGCCGACTCGACCCTCTAGCAACTTGGGCGGACAAGTGTGTCGCGATGGTCCCTACGGCTACATCAAGCATCGCCGCCGAAGTTTCTTCTTGGACATGTAGAGGCAACATCAACTACACAGAACGACCTGACGGAATAGATTGTGAAACATGGAAAGACGAAGAGAGTATGGGATTGCGAATTGTTTTTGGAGGAACCACTTGTTTAGCAGTCTTAGTGGGAGCTCTAGACTACATGCTGTAACATCACTCGGTGCTCTTCTCTCTGGCTCATACCTAGCATAGTAGTTTAATCATGTAATAAAACCTGTCCATTCTCTCAATAAAGCACTAAGCAGGGCATGGTTATTCAACTAATAATGCCTCGTTTTGTCCCGTTGCATTCGTACCTGGCATGCTCAAGTCAGCCAACAGACCTCAGGGCCAGACCATTTCTCCTGATCTGATTGTTTCTTGGCATATCACGTATTTGGAAAGCCCCCACCAAGCTTGTACATCAGCCTAAACTTGACCCATGTTCATTTGCCCAGGATCTCGTTTTGCCAAATGGGCTGCGAATTGGAGACAACATCCCCAACTCGTAACGAACGTGCCATTTACTCACTCTCCACAGTAACCCTGAAGGTCGAAGAGTCTTTTGTATATCACTTTGTTATATTCGGACCAACAACTAACGCTCGAAACTAGCATTTCAAAGTAAAACTTCAATGACGAGCCAGACAACGCGGCCGTATTTCGCAAATGGTCGTCATTATGAAGAGCCACCTGGACTTGATTGGCCGATTTGCTCGTGGCAACCTGGTGTAAAGTAACAAAGGAGAGGAGTTAATCTGTCGTGCCATGCGGCTGTAAATCTTTCTAGGAAGAGCGAGGCCGTGCAGTATTTAGACACCCGAGGCAGAACTAGATCAGTCAGGTCATGTAAATGAAACGTTTTTTCTTTTTGAGAAGTAACCGGAGAATTTATTTTTCTAGCCTCTTAAGAGAAATAGTTTCTTTGCAAAGTCTCTTACGAGCAGCTAGAAATGTTTCACCATTAGAAGCTACAAGCATTTTTACCCGAGTCCTTTATTACATGTCCAATTCTTTACTACCATTTACTCTTTTCAATATTGCCACCTACTTCTTTTCTATTTTACCACTGTAAGCAATATCAACTGTAATTGATTTTAACATATTGTGTGTGGCCACACTACTCTTGACACCTGTTAGCCTTACCACTCACTGCCTTAGAAGGTGACTAACTAGTTAGAAGCTAGCCCTTACTACCTGAACTGTAATGCTTGGCTGGAGCGGTATAGCATGACTCGGCCCGAGTCGAGTAACTAGTCTGTCTATTCAGGTCTCACGTAGCTCGGCAAGCATTAGGAAAGTATATATCATTCCCCCTGCCTCTTTAATCCAATCGATAATAATTCTACTTCTTGAATTTATGTCTATATATTATTTAGCCTGGACTTTCTATTTCTAAACTTAACAACCATCCAAGTCTTTTGCTTCATTCAAGACAATAATGCAGTACGAAGTGAAAGCGTGGGCGAACAGAAAGCCAGTCAAAGCAGCTCCCGTTGAGCCACAGCTGTATGTACGTTCAAACTATTTAGCGCAAATTAGAGCATAAGATAGTTGTAGAGATTGACTAATCCATTCGTTTCTCCCGTATCGTAACACACTTCCAGACAATACTCGCCCACACGATAGAAAATCCTCTAAACAATGGCTAGATGGACTCTCAGCAAGTGACCAAAACAATTTGAGTAGCCGTAGACACCATATCCCTCTCATCTCATCTATATCCTCTAACCACGTTTGAATGTGCTCTGGTCCATTCTCTTTCAAGTCTTTCCAATCTTACCATCCCATTATATATAACACTGTACCGCCGAGCTGGCTCACGCCGCCGTTCTTCCCCCTTCCGCAATATACGTGATATGGGTCTTGATGCCCTCGCGATCGAATTATTTTCTTTGATTGGTTTCTTAAATGGAATCATCTTCGCGTGTCTCCAGGCCCTCAGATGTATTTTCCGTGTGGGTCTTTTCTCTCCTTTTCCGTTAGTCAAGTAATGACAGTCTGCATTATGAAAGTGCAGTTTGTTGGTCATACAAATGCGCTAGGACATTTCAAAAGAGAACCGAACGCATCGTCTCAATCAACGTCGACAAAGGGCCATCCATGGATCGTAGCACTCAAGCCTTGAAAGTTGGTAATCCTTTCTTTGATCGAGTACCCGACATAGCGGGGTAGTAAGACACTTGGGATGGAAAGCAGGCAGCAAGCCAAGATCGTTCTCTCCCACTACGTGTAGATCTCTTATCGGCGAGTGGAAGCGGTGGCGATCAGCCTGTCAGCCCATAACCTAGTTTCAAGATGGCAAGAACTTGTCATATTTGTTCATAGGAAACCCTGGACCAAATACACCGCTTCCTCAAATGCGAGACCGTGTTGCCGCCCGTTACCTCATTCGTCAAACCCCGCCACATTACGCACGGTTCAAAGCGCCACGGGCGTTGGAAAGCAAATTGCTGGCAGTGTCCTAATTCTCTTACTAGTTGGCCTCCTGAACATCAGGGAATCTGGGGGGCCTCAAAATTGTCATCAAACAGGGTTGAGACCTTTGAGTGAGTCAATTATGTCATTAACTATATTCCATTGGCCCGGTCAGAGCATTGAGTCCCTTCTCACCCTAAAGATACTTGAACTGAATCATTCTCTGAGCTATGACGACAACATGTAGACGCCTTCTCCGCTGATCCATGGTTTGTGTATCGGTAGATAAGGCTCTGTGACTTAATGAATAGCTGCGAAGGTTAGCCAATCACCCTATGTGAGCGCTTGATGTATGTTCCACTATTAGGAGCAAAACAGCTTAGCTTTTTCCGTTATTCATAATGCCTATCAATAGGCCTAACGATCAGTAAACGCTTAAACTAGGCCAGTAACAGAATAATAAAATGGCTAGATATTATAGCTACAAACAAGGACGCCTAGAGAGTGCGAAATGCTTTATTACTTTTTGAAATACACTGTCTTGAGGTGAAAAACGCCTTACCAGCGGACGAGGGTCTCAGTGAAGGTTCAGCTCGATACCATATCACCATGGCCGATCTTAATCAACTGCATCGAGCGTAGAAATAGAGCGAATGAGAGATAACACCGCTGCCATCTCTCAATAATTCGGGGACTCGGGCTACTGTGTTTCTTGGAAAGCAAGCTCATTTGTTTAGCTGTGCCGTGCGATGTGTCAGATGTCTGTGATGAGACATTGTGTCGGGCAGGATTATGTGGTGGCTGCATCGGGAGGGTATTGTTCCGTATCTTGAAAACGCGTAATATAGCTATGATCGGCCAAGAAGCGGCGACTGAAGGCAGCTGAATGCGATGTACGTAGTCAGTGTTCATTCCTGCCGCACGACGAGCTTCGATCCCGAAAGCTGTACAAGATGTGGTGAACGCAAACATGACGTACTTATATCTGGCATTTTTAGAAGGGAGAAGTATATAAAGGTGCACGGTTGACCTGAAGTCACATTAATTGATATAGTCAGAGCCCAAGACCACTTACACACTTCAGCTCTCCCAATCTATCACAACACCACACCTTGCCTTTGCCTACTGAACCACTAAGAAAATCTACACCAATGGCTCTCCCCGTACCTGAAGGAATTGTCTGGTTCGATCGAGGCATCCTCAAAAACGAGGTTGCCGATCTCAACGATCCCAAGCAGTTTCCGCAGTTTGCGCTTGTGGAGGTGGTGACCAATCGTACCTATGACGAAGGTTACAAAGGTTATAATGACCCTTCGATCCCATACGAAAGCCACCCGAGGGCCAGCAAGCAGGCTGTCTCTTTTGACGCTACCAAGTACGTACGATGGCACAAATTCACGTGCATGGTGGGACCTACTGCCAAAGATATCAAAAGACAGATTCAGTGGAGTGCAACAGGAGATGCCCGAGACTTTGAACGACGCACTAAGAAGACCAAGGTGGCATATCTCCCCATTCCCATGCCGACAGTTGAGGAGCGCTTCTTGTGGATCGATCTTGTTTTCCCCGTGCGTGCTATCTACCTGCCTCTCAGCCATGTGGCCGACCAGCGAATGAAGCGTTTCGCCTCATACATCCAACTCAACTTGCGTCTCTACGATAGCCTGTCCCTCAAGACGTACAGGGCGCACGACATGCCGATTGAAAAGCTTGCCAGTAACGTAGGCAAGAAGGTCGGAGACCTCCTGGGTAATACAGCTGGAGCTGTCTTGGGGAAGGTCGGGAAGGATGTTGGGCACGTCGCCCAGGATGTCGTGGATGGACAATTCATTCCAGGTGCGGAGGAACCCGTTCAAGAGCCGAACCTACATGACGAGCTCATGATGGCTCTCGGCGGGGATATTGCATCTTACAAGACGGGTCAGCTTCTTATCAAGCCTGATCGCACCACTGGACTCAATTGGCGACCTCAGTGGACCATGCGCATCGATGCCAGAGCGTTGACCGAGATGCTCATGATACCCTCATATATGCGCTACAGGATCTATGCCAGTCCTTTTCGCTACGCCAAATTGTTCCACGCCAGCGCCGTCGACAACAAGAGCGCACAGACAATCAGCGAGAAGACCATGGACCCGTGGGTAGGCATCGACTACGCCAATGTTGTCACCAACCACGGCGGCATTGTTGTCGACTACAAGGCCACAGGGATCCCACAGAGCTCTATCGAACAAATCCTACTGGGTGTATTAACGGCTCATGCCAGTGCGCTCCCTGTTGCGGGCACAGTTCTGTCCCTGGGACTGGGCTACCTGGCAGAATATCTCGACGATCCAGACGCCATGCTAACGAATCATAGTCTGGCAAAGAAAGGTACTGAGATTGGTCTGGCGTTCGCGCAGGGTGCGTGGAGCGTCAAGAAATACTATGCTAGTGGCAATGTCCCCCATGTGTCGCTCCCTCGTCGCGGGCCAAGGCGAGCCTACGCTGAAGAAGATGAGAAAAAGTCTGTCTATGTTGGCCCAGATGGAGAGAATGGAGAGAATGGAAAGAATGGAGAGAAGAACAATGGTACTGGGGGAGAAAACAAGGATGCTCAGGTCGACACTGGATCAGAGTTATCTAATGCCTGGGTGGATCCGCAGAGGAACGTCGACATGGAGGATGATGATGATATGGTTAACAGTAGCTGGACATCTCTCAGCTATGCCCCCGTTATCGTCGAGGCAGCCAAAGGGAACTAAGAAATAGGATAGTAATTTTTCTTTCAACAGACTTTAGCTATTATTATTCTCCACTATAGGTTGTTCTGTATACTACCTACTGTCCCAACCGTATAAAGGACGGCTCTGAAATCCCCGAGTGATTAGTGACGGCCAGATTAAAAAAGGCTATCTTCTATTTACTTTCCTCGGCGGAAAGGACTGCAATGACATGGAAGGCGACGAGGCCGGATGGAACATCCTCGTTCACACATCAGTGCTCAAAGCGATGTTTTACGGAAACACCCCACGAGGTCGCCAGCTTGAACTCGTCCGAATACGTCACGTACACACTCTAATCACTACCATAACGAAAGTTAACCATCCGCAGTACCAGTGCTAGTATGCTCCCCACGTAGTGAATGGAAGGCTCATCAGGAACTGATGAAGTCAAAGTCGACTATGCTTTACATTTCGACCCTGAGAAAGATAGCCATTAGCTTCGGACGATAGATGCAATCAACAACTGGCGAGCTGCGCTCACAGACAATTCTATCAACCTTGAACCCTGCACACCACTGCGGCGTTTCCCCATATCGGTCAGCATCGAGACAATACTAGGTTGTATGTCGACGAACAAGGCGTAGCCACAAATGGGAGCGTGGCGCGCTTCTCAATGGCGATGTCTGTCCAAACTCGGTACCACAAAGTTGCAATCCTTGCCTTTCATAGTCACTAACAAACAATACCAACCTCAATCCTCCATTGCTAAAAGTTCAGTATTAATCCCGCAGACAATGTAGATTCGTAAGCTTTCGCTCGTGCTTGTTGTGGCCAGAGGGTTTGTTGTTGCGTTACATGTGGTGGAGCTTCTTGCTGAAGTGCTGTCTTGTGTATCCTGGGTTCTCAGTCTAAATTTCGTCACTCAACGTGTACTATTGTTCTGTAAGTCTGAATACGGCCCGTCTGTTGGATGCGTTCTTGTTCCCTTTGCGTTCACTCTTACCAGGCATATCAGCTTATCCGCTCAAGTCAATGGATGTGTCAGGTAGGTGTTCGTTCTCCCGGTCCAAATAATGTACCGCTCTTTAATGCGCTAACTCCTGCGACTTTTCTATTGTTTCATTGTACCATCCTGATAACTCTCTTATGCAGCCACTTCCTGTATTGTCTCTAGAACCCATACTAAAAGTCGAGTCAAGGACATCATTCTTTGGTTCCAGGTCAACTCAGTCCGAGGGCTCTTCTGCCACAAAATAATATTACTTGGATAGTTTGCAAGACTTCCTGACCGCTTCATGAGAACGCATACAGCAAAGACGCCAGCACGACGTCTGCCTTTGTCTGGGTAATGTCCGCAGGGGCTTAGGAGCTCTCTTTTCGTAGGACAAAGAGCTCGCGACTCCATCCAAACCACTTTGTCATTCTCTTCGCCATGATCCGCAACATAACTGGATCAATCTTGTCAACAGGATGTGGCTTATGGAAGACGATCTTGCCTCCCTCTCCGGATGACTGGGTAAACGCTACGGCCGAGCCGCTGTTGTTTCTCGCGACAAAGCCCGCATCAACCATCGCATGAACAAATCTATCCCACAATATATCCTTCACGACTTCATCCTTGTTGGGATACATGAGTTGAAAGACCACCAACGATTGTTTAGTTACTTCAATGATGGTGTCGGTGGTTTTCTCGGGCTCGCTGCTTGCATGTGGCGCATCATCAAGGTTCTCTGTGTCGCGAGCTGCCGAGGCTCTCTGTCCTCCCTGTGTTTTCGTTTTCTCTCGGCGTGAGATAGTTGACGATGTAGTTCCAATGTCAACTTCGCGGAAGAGATTGGTGAGGGTCGATGTATCATGTTGCTGGTGCATGTTGGCGAAGATTACGTCTTCTGTCTGCCTTTCCTGTTTGAGATACTCCGCAGTCGAGTGCGCTGAAATGGGCTTGATAAGGTCGTCGATACTTTCTGGACTGAAGGTAGAACTGCGGAACTCCTTTGTGACGATTTCTCTGATCGAGGTCCAGAACTTCTCGAGGGCGGCGCGGAGATCCTGAGACCGTGTGATCCAGTCAGCGTTCTTTGGACCTGTTGGTTGTTTCGCAAAGTAGAAGTCCCTGACAAGTGACATCCCTATATCATGGAGATGACCCATGTCATTTGGATACCTGTCGGTGGGTCGCGGGTTCCAAGGCTCTCTGTTTTCTGTGGCCCTAACGTCCGCCACGGTTCTCGCTGCGTTCTGGGGCCTGTGTAAACGAACGGCCAATAGCATCTCATGACAGGTTGAGAGGTCTGAGAGTGCCTGGTAAGTTGTTTCATCGAGCCTTTTCTTTTCGGACGGATTGCTTGACAAGTGGTCTTGCAGCATCGTGAATAGCATCGCATGGTCAAACAGGTTTTGGTCGGTAGGCTCCAATTGCAACTGCATCAGACACCAGTCAATGGGATCCTCAGTAAGCGATTCCTTTGTGTTGTTAGGCACCTTTCGTTTCAAGACGGCGGTTGCATAGAGTGATTTCGACTCAGGCGTGAAGCTCCAGTATTTCTGGAAGCTCGGAAGGAACGTCACAAACTTCTTCAGACGCTGTGCTCGGTATACCACTTGGTTGAAGAGAAGAAGTTCAAGGGCACCTAGGGCCTTGTCGTAAGATGGCGGCAAAGCGGTGCCGGGATGTATCTCGTCGTGGAACTTGTTGTACTCCTGCTTGACATGCTTGCACTCCATTTCGATCCATTTCCACCAGTGATGACTCAAGACTTCACCATGGATCTGTTTAACCACGATCACGGCTCTCTGGTCCTCAGAGGCTGTCTTGGAATACTCGGTTGCGAAAAAGAGCTTGAGGTATCTCCTAGTATATGCGGTATCCGTCTGGAGAAACCAGAGGTTGTCTCCTGTCTCGTCCAGTCTGGTCTTGGCGAGCGTGAGTAGGTAGCTAATATCGAATTCTGGAGGTGGAAAGAACGCTTGGTTCGTGTAGGAGGACCAGAACTCGATCGTACTGGTCTCGTGGAAAGCTTCACGCCTGAAAAGGTCTCGCCACTTCTCAGCTCCGGGCGGTTGAGCGGGATCTACGCCGCTGAGAATGGTCTCCGTGATACTGCAAAGGACTTTCAAAAGGTGCGCCTGGGCTTCAAGGACCAGCTGGGCCCGGGGAAATCCCATGGTGTCACCTCGGTGGGCGGCCTTTTCCTCCCAGTCCACCAACGATCCGTATCGATTTCCGTACATAATAACACTTTTGGCCGAGAAGTCAACGTGAAATTGCCCAGCGACCCAGCCAAAGGTAAGCTGTCGACTGTCAAATGTGGCCCAATTCTGAGGTGAGTTGAAGGCCCTATGTTGGAGTAGCGCAAAGAGAACCGTGGGGTTGCTCTTGAGGACGTGTACGTTCAACCAAGGTAACATGAGTTGCTTTCTGCGGCTGGGTCTTCTTGCATGTGCCTGTACTCTCTCATGAGTATAAGAGAACCGTGGCAGAAGCCACTTCTCGCTTTCTAAATAAGGAACCGCTTCTTTCAGCAAGCCTTGTCTCTTGGTTTGACTGTGCTTTTTCCATCTGCTTAAGAGAAGGTCCCCAAACGTTTCGATGCGATTTCTGAGTAGCGACTGTTGTCGATCTATATCCTCCAGGGCTGCTGTGATCACCTCTTTGGCTTCTTCATCGGAGATTCTTTCCCGGTAGGAAAAGTTCGGGGTGCGTTGCTTATCAACAGTGTAGAAGCTCTGCTGGCAGTCGACACACTCGCATGGCGGCGGCGCGATGGATGCTTCAATGGCTCGGACAGATGCGCGATACTCACATGGAGATATTCCATCATCTTTGAAGAGAGTGAAGGGATTCATTGTTTCGCTGGTGATCAAATGGTTCGTGTAGCAGTGGGAAGAGATTCGAGATTGTGACGAGATTCGAGATTGTGAAGAGGTTGAAGAAGTACGAAATTATTTTGGTCGAATTTGTTTCAGGCAGCAAGAAATATCTTTCGATAACAACAACATTGGTGGTAATCAAAGTGGGGCAATGATAACCTCGCCGACTTCATTTATTTTATTTCTTTAGTGGCAGCCAGTGATATAAAAGCTACCTAGTAGTGCCTGAACAGTGGAACACATTGAAGTCGCAAGTGACTCTGTTCAGCAAAAGACGTGTCCTAGTCTCATCAAATTCGCAATCGGAATCTTAATCTTGAATTAATCTTGAAAACTGAAGTTCACTCCTGCGGTGTCTCCTCTTTCTCTTCGTTGCTCATATCTGTCAAAGTCAACTTCTCTCGTTGCGCGTATCGTCAGAGAAGCTGGATCGCTTACCAGGAGGCCGAAATCCAGCTATTCTACTTGGAGGAGTAGTTAAGGTCAGACCAACGAACAGGATCGTGAAGATGCAGTGTAGTTCTTTCTAGCTTCCTATGCTGATGGACTTGTTCTACACAAAGATAGAAAGCGGATTCGACATCCTGTTACACTCTGTCACTCATGACAGTCTACAGTTAGTCTGAACAGCCAAATAGTGTGGTGATCGTGCTTCCCATCTAGAACAATTCATATTGTGTTTGTGTGGCATCTTTCTACACCTATGTGCAAAGCTCAGGTTCAACCTCACAGTCAAGGCTCACCCTCACCCGTGACACGGAAACGTTGGCTTTCGGCAAAGACAAATATGAAAAGTTATTTCGAACGACAAAGGTAGAGGAGGTTTCGATCGGGACAGTTGGGGTCGTTGGGTAGAGAGAAAGAATGGACGAAAACACAGGGGCGCTATTGAGCTGTTGATATCACAGTCTTGAAAATATCGAGAACCTTTGTGACAGACATTTGACATGTTAGGGTTTACTTGTTCACTCGTTCTCAGAAAGGGGTCTTGCCAGATCTCGATGCCTTTGTAATCTCTTTCGTTTCTCTTGTCTTCGGGTCGAGGAATAATAACGCCGTTGTAGGTCAAATGCCGTGAGTCGACGGAATAATGGTAGGACCGTATTGTGTGTCTAGTAAAGTGAGCGAATATCCTGTGCTGCCGGTTATCACATATTGATAGATAATCCGAACCTTGTTTGGATGTCGTTGTTTATCTGCAACAGGGAATAGCTGGTGCTGAACTGGTTGTTGAATCAAGTTTATTGAGTCATACCGAGACTGCACACCAACAAGCAAGGAACAACATACGGAGAGTCTCGATTACAGGGCCAGCCAGTGCAGTGTAAACAATGGTACACACGTGTGGCCTTTTGTTCCAAAGCGAACATCAAAACATCCCAGCCGCCTCTGTTGAAAGCATGAATAGCTAAGCCATACGAGCAAGGGCACCTGAACAAACCAAAAGATGGGGAACACGATGATATATAGTAGACTGGTAGGAGGATTGAAGGGGTGAAAGACAATGGTGTGATCAGAGTGCAGGCCGAACAGTGCCATGTCACGTACACGTGGGGCTGTACTTACTCTCCCCCAAAGGAATAGGTAAGCCTCTTTACCTTGTCCTGTTAAATTTCTCCACGCGAGGCTCTCTCCTCTTGAGATTCTTTTCACAACAAAACACCATCGCCTCCCTCACACAGCATTATCATCGCCATTTTCTTAACACAAATTCATCAACACGACACGAGGTCTATCGCGAATCGCTTTCTTACTCTAGGCATTGCCATCACAGACACCAGGTGAGCTTATTCAAGTACTGAATCTCTGTTTCATTTCTCAAAAGGTCCTTCCTCCTCCTCATCATCCTCATCATCCTCATCACTCACCTTACCTGCACCTTCCTCTACGCCATCAACATCATCAAGAGTGCCTTTTACGGCTTGAAAAGGTTCATCATCATCAAAACCACGCTCTCACTGGCCGTTACATCTTGTCTGTTACCCCAACACTTCTCTCTTCCTCTTTCTCATCAAGATCATCACAGCCTGAAATCTCATCGAGACCATCTGGAATCATCTGCACCTATCATCTCATCGTGCGTCCTCAAGGCTTGACTTAATCTCGGAGACAGTGTTCATATATAATGAAACCAAACAACTAACGAGCGTCTCTAATGTAGTATATTTCTCCCTAACATCCAACCAACACACTTTGCACTTCAAAGATGGCCGGCAAAACATCTACAGTCGTAGCCACGAGCCAGACCAACAACGTCTCAAAAAAGGCTCGCCGTCATGCCAAAAAGGCATATGAGAAGGCCATAGAGAAGGCCGCCGAGAAGAATGCGAAGGATAAGGCTACCTCACAACGCGAAATCCGGGCTGAAGCCACAGTTGATCTGGAAGAAAAGAGACGCCGCGAGTGGGTCGCCCGGACAATAGCTGAACAACAGGCCTACTGGAGCTTGTCGGTTGAGCAGGGCAAGGCCCTTAACCCTAACTATGGTAAGTGTGACGTCTTTCTCGACCTTGACGAATTGTTGCTGATGGTTCATGTAGTGGAGATTCCTCATGTGTTGAACGACGGCGAGGAGATTGATCGACTGTTGGACGACTGGTCGGAATGAAGCCATCAACTCCAACTTCGGCATTTGCCACGTCGCCTTGCAGGTGATTGTGTGCCAATATCTTGATGCAGAGATCACGCAAGGAGTTGAGAACAGCAGGATTCTTGGTTGGCTGATGGATAACTAGACGGACAAAGGGAGACATAAGCAGTTTCACACTGACAAGAATCGAATGAGTTATGTTATGACAACATGGGACATCTGTGTAAGAGAGACTGGAAAAGGATTGTGGTGATACATTCAGGCAAGCAGACCGCCTGTAGTAAATGTACCGCCTTGGCAATCAACGCCTCCTAAGATCTCATGGGTCTGTATCGTGGCGCGTATGAGTTTTCATTGTTTAGTCTGGGGAACCACAAGCTTACGCGGTGCAACAGTACATATGTTGTGGTGGACAGCGCGAGCCTCCACGAGGCGTATCACGTCTTTCCTGGTCAAATGTGGACATATGTGACCGTAATACCAACGTGAGATGCAGACAGATCAAGTATCAAGTCAAGCAGTGAGACTGGAATGGTGAGTATTGCGAAGGGCAACATTCTATACCGCTAACAAGTGTAGGTAACTGCATTCTAACCCGCGACTGATGTGGAAGCGCTCGCTTCTTCCCTTCTCACTGTCGCCAAAGTTGCAAAACTCGTGACATTTCTCAGGTGAGCACAGTTGCCCAGCATGAGCGATTCACTCTACTCCAACTGACCCCATTCCAGATGCAGTACCAAGACAAGCCACGCAAAGTAGTTGTTTGCAAGCACCTCTTTCACAATCAAGTTCCCGAATCCTCCACCACAACACGTTGACGCCGAAAGCAACTCACCTCCCTCCTCGAATCCGAACTGGAGCTTGTCTTCTCCCTACCACGCTCGACCTTAGATCATCACAACCGCCATCGTCAGCATCCCGCAGTAAGCCCAATTCACCTCGAAGGTCAAGCCTGATGGCCTTGGAACCAACTTGGAATTCCTCCAGATGTCAACAGTTGTGTGATGAGCCCACGAGCACAACCAATCAAAGTTAGAACAGGCTGACCTTGTGCAGCTTCTAGCTCCAGATCGATCGCCAAAGGCATGGTCTCAGGTGTTATTGATCTCCTTGCGACAAAGTGACCAGTCACAGTCTGACAATAATAGCATTCATAAGTGCTCGCACCCGCCCAACAATTTTGACTGCTATGTCTTCATCATCTTAAGCGCTGAGGATAATTGCCTTCCCATCTGGACCGACTTCAACTCTGACGTCGCAAGACTTCACCATTACCAAGGCTTGCCCATCTCAGATGCTACAGCCCTGCCTGACGCAACCTGAGTTGATACAGGACCAGCCTTGATCGTGGCTCTACGAAAAGGCATCCTTTGGTACGAGATCTTAGTCACTACCTTGCCTGAAGTCTCCGCCCCTGAATTGGGAGTAACATCACCGGCTAAGTTCAAGAAGACGTCTCTCAGGATAATGCGAGCCGCCGTCAGGTCTCTCCATGCGCGACGCTCAGACTGCTTCAGCGAGGCAATCTTACCCACCGCCGATCCCCCCAGAGGACTCAAGCACGCCAGTTTGAGGCTTTTTTCACCAGGTTGTCTAAGTCTGGAAGGATACTCCGCCATTCGGTGATGCCAAGATGCATACAGCGGACACGGGAATCCCCGCGGCGGTAGAGGCAATTAAGCCCAACATCGCAGCTCAACGGAATTGCCCGTATAAAAATACAAGCATCTCTTATCATGAGTTTGTTGCGCTGGGTGATGCACGATGCACTATTTTCTTTAGTGGTCATATAGGCTGTGGACCAGCCGGACCAAGATAGGTTGTCTTTTGGGGAGACTAAAGGTATATTTCTCGATCCTAAGTTGAATTGGGATCTCTTACAAAGCCATGGCGCGGAAGAGTCTTTTTTGCCGACACTGATTGCATGCGTCATCGCAAAGTGTCTCCTTCAAAGGGAACGCAGGATAGTACTCAAGCGACAGTAAGTGACAAATCGGCACAGAACATAATCAAGTTCATCATTGTCTGAGGCGTTTCCAGGTCTGTACTTCCAACCTCGTACCGTAATTCGAGCTTTCGGGGAGCTAGTTCCGCTGAGTTGTTACTGAGTGTCTCTTTGGGTAGCGGATGATTGACGAGGCTTTAGCTGAAGAGATATTATACCTATGTGAAATAAAGACATTCCCGGAGGACTGGCGTATTAAAAGACGTGTTAGGAAGTAGTTATAATGCTTCTCTACGTTGTGGGGCGGAAAGCCAGATGTCGCTCAGTTCACCTACCAAGTAACCTGGTAACGTCTATCAGGCTGAGGTCTCCTCAAATCATCTTGATACTCTGCTCCATGTTTCTGAATAGTATTTTGTACGCCCGGGAGAGTTTTTGGATCCTCAGGGTATCTTGAGGTTGAGAAATCATCGAGTGGCAAACTGCATATTGGTCACCCATGGACAACCTCTTCAGGCCAACACACTAGATCGAGCAGGTTCAAACTTTCATCGAAGGTTTCAAGTAGTTCAATATGCATCAGATGTTAGTCTCATTGCCACTGGGGCCGATTTGGTTGAAGACCAGAGGGGTGCCAGATTGGCAATTTTGATATGCAGGATGAAGTCTTTGTTTTTGGGGGAGTTCTTTCTCAATCAATTTGAGACTTCAATCGAACATTAATATAATTAAATTAAACCTCCCATATCTATTACAAAGCTATAGCGGTATTCTTAGAAGGAAATGAAGGGTGGTGCTAAAATTCAGGTCTCCAGGCAGGGTGGTCCTCTTTAAGGTTAACTTTTGGACCGTCTGACTTAAGCTTTGCTCGCAGCCTCTAAATATCTCCTGAAACGTTCGAGGCGATTGGCTTGTTAGTAGTATCATCCGTCGTGAAATACCGGGATAGTGTCTCGGTGGGCATCCAAGAGCTGGGTAACGTCTCCTAGACGGAGCGTCAGGCTTATCATGCCTGGACTTCTGCTAAGCACTATCTCGCTACTTAAAAGAGCTGCAGATGGATCTTCACTGATATAGAGGCTTCTTAAGGGACATAGTGATCGAGTGTCTTACCACCTGCTTACTTTGCGGGCAATCTCTACCAAGCGCAGTTCACTATGAGTCGCAGCCGAACTACAGTCATATATTCCTATGATAAGTACGAACCTCTTACGTAGCTCGTAATAATACAGATACCTTGCTCTAATAATTGTGGCTAGGTCTTGAACTGTTCTTTGTTTGGTGTGTGATATGTTTTGGGTGGCACCTGGGACAAATTACGCTGCGGTCTCTCTCGAACGTTGAACATGTACGTCGAAATATCAGACGGGACTCGTGTCCATGTGGTGATTTGCATTGATAAATGTCGGTCGTGTGTTGGATGGCCTCGATCCCGGTGGGCGCTTCCTATCGTGAGGATCTTTAGTTAGTTAATACGTCACAGCCTGGACTCATCAGAGAGGCTCTTGGTTCAGCCGAGCGTTGGACAATTTCGGACTATCGTGGTGGTTTGTTCGAGGGGATGGTGGATGAGTGTCGATTGATCCTTTGTTCAGTCCACGATGGCCGCTGAGAGACACATGGAGTTGTTGTGGCAAAGACCGATGAGAGAGAGGCTCTTATCTACATTTAGTCCAGTAAATCGTCACCGCAATACTTATCCCACAAATCTGCCGTTATAATAAGTGATTGACAACCTGTTTCCCTTGCACTATGTAATAAGTATCTTCCCACAAGTGTGCGATACCAGTAGTGCAAACTGTGTAGGACTCAGCGGGAACCGACCGGGAAATAAAGGAACTCAAGCGACATAGTATATGCAATGGCAGAGCATTTGCGGCTGCTTTGATGCAAGACGAGAGTCTGTTAAGTGGTGATGTAGTACAGTGGTTTCCAGTTTTGGTGGCTATCCTCACCGTGTGACTTTACCAGCCAGAGTCAGGAATGGTCTCTACTTTTTCACATTCCTATGGATGAAAGCGGTTCGGAAAGACTGGCAAACAGGTCAAGGCATGGCAATAGAAGCGGAATAAGAAGCCTGAACATTGTCACCTTGCAAAATGTAGTCGCAAATCAGTAACGCATTGCAGCTCGACCATCCAATTTCACGCAGTTGGAATTGCTGCGATGGAATATTGATGCGGAAAAGAATAAATTTACCGAAATGGTAAAATAGTATGTGTGATTACAATAAATCTTGTGATTTTTTAAAATCTGGAGGCTTAAGCTGACGTCGCAGGCATTGGTTAATTGGTTTGGCTTTTATACTGCGGTATAGGTTAACTCGACCAGCTGTGGGACTTGTATCACATCAATGCTCTGGATACTGGATGTAGGGTGAAAGGACCAGGGAATGATAACGTAATCATGATACAAATTTATTCATCAAACTTAGGGATAATGAAAGGCCTGCGTGATCAAAACATGATGACTGCGGAACACTGAAACAGGCTCGTGTGGGTGTCGCGCTTGTGACAAGTCAACATGCTCTTCAGGCAAGTTCAATCGTGGGGCCAGGCTGATGTTTACCTCCTGTAAGAATAAGAATTAAATAAACAACTAATATCAAGGGAAGTACGGATGAATAATATGTATAACGAATTTCAGGATCGCTTTGAAGTTACGACTTGAGCCAGGGCTTGTCAGGTGCGGGCTGTGGTAGGCTTGGTAAAAAGAAATGAACTTCAAGTAATGCCGGCAATCGGGAATATGGATCCCACAGTTCAAAAGTTTGGGGTATCTGTCAATTACATTGGCAAAAAATGAGGTTCTGCCCGGGCTCGAACCGGGGACCTTCTCGGTGTTAACGAGATGTCATGACCAACTAGACCACAGTACCTATGATTGGATGACTGTACTTTTGTAAAAGTCTATTATACCAGAGATTTGGACTCGTCTGTTACCTGTTGTTTCTGCGTGAAATTCTGTAGCGATTTACAATGACCCCGAGTCTGTAACCTTGTTCCTTCTATCATCTCTCTGTGTCTTTTCGTGTTCGCCCTGATCCTTCTAGAACAGAGAGCGAAAAGCAGAGCACCGTCAAGATTGTCTTGGCGCCGTGTGTCCTGCTGCGAGACTCTGTAAAGCGTTTCAATACCCGTTTTCGAGCTTTGGATGACGGCGAAAGACGGCGGTTTGAATGTCAGCCGTGTTTACCTGCAGGAAGAAAGAACAGTTCACTGGCAAGCATACGACTGAAGGCTTGGAGAGGAATGATCGTTCCAGAAGCGTCCACAGATCTTGTTTTGGAAAAATGAGAGAAATCAAGGAAACTCAGGTCGTGAGCTGTTAAGATCTCACTATCTGCAAGGAAATCATCCTAGCACTGCAAGGAAACGACAAAAAACGTGCTACATGGGCAATTGAGTTTAAATTAATCGTGTCCTACGTCACCCAAGTGACTACATGGTAAACGTAAAACTTATGGTACATGATGTCGTCGCCATGGGTGAGCCAAATGACCCGTCCTTGTGAATGCGCTGCTCATCAAAACGGATCAACACCCTACACCGAGAACTAACTATGCAGCCTTGGGAAGAAATGCTTCCACCTCGATTTCGAGGTGTAGGTCAGGACGCAGAAGCTTAAAAACGTCGACGCCGGTGAACAGAGGTCGATTTTCTCCAACATGTTCAATCAAGATCCCATGCAAGATCATGCCGAAATTTTCATCCGTATTGGCGTGATAGGTTGTGACCTGACGCAGACCACATGTTAGTAGATGTTATGCAGGCGGTGAGGAGTAGCAGCACACTTGCCTTGTAGACACAAGCCCAAACCTCAGCGCTTGTGCCAGTGAGGCCAGCCGACCGAAGGGAGAGCTCAATATGAGAGAATGCTTCACGAATCTCATCACCTAGGTCACTAGGGACGGTCCCCTCGTCGGTGATTCCGGCTTGGCCGCCGACGTGGATAATAGATGCATTGGGTGGTATGACACAAGCGTGGGTAAATTTAAGAGAGTCCGAGATCTGTTCACCGCTGCCTGGCCAGTTGAAGAATCGGATGCCATTGGCCGGGGCTTGCGTGGGGGGGATGAACTCGAGCATGTTGTCACTTGTTTGAGGGAATAGTGTGGATAGTTTGCAACTTGCAATGTCGCCGTTGTCTAGGAGTTATATCATCACAACCCGTGTGAACTGGCGTAATATCGACAAGACGGATCGATGGACATTTGTCAGCTAAGATTGATAAGGTCTATGCGTTTTGTTAGTAGATCAGATAAAATTAGTCAACAACTCAAATAAGGTTCCACAAGGCGCAAACAGGCTCCAAACTTCCAAAGGGCGCAAACAAGCGCCCCGCTAACAAGCCAATTTAAGAAGAGTGGTGGGTTAGGTTGAATTAATCAGCAGGGCGAACCAGCAAAGCTTGTAAATAATAGCAGGGACCAGGGTACTCAGTGTTTGGCCCTGGTTGAGGCATGAGTTGTCTGAGAGCTTGACCATGACAAATCCGACCATATTATGAATCACTGATCTGTTGAGTAGGTCTCTCCACTAATGAAGAACTACCGAGCCATATATACCGATGTCTATAAACCTTGAACGAGGACATAAACGACAGTAACAACAACAATAACAACAAACACTTTCTATTTTACAGAAACGTGGATTTAAAGATGTCACTGATTCGAATCGCTATCGCAGGTGTGAGTTCAATTGTTTTGTCTACTACTGATAGACTTCCACCCAGTCTAATTTTGTATTTGCTAATCACCACCTCACAGGCAACCGGCAACCTTGGACCAGCTATTCTGACGGCCCTGCGTTCCTCAAAGCTATTCGACATCACCGTTCTGACTCGAGCGACCTCCACACATAAGTTTCCAGACGATGTCAAAGTTTCACGTGTTGACTATAAGAACGAATCCTCTTTGATCGAAGCGCTGCGTGATCACAAGGCTGTTGTTTCTACTCTCTCTATCTTTGGGGACAATGCTCAGGAGGCCCTGGTAGACGCTTCCATCAAGGCTGGCGTTAAGCGTTTCATCCCGTCGGAATTTGGAAGCGACACCTCGAACCCACTGGTCGCCAAAATCCCGATTTTTGCGCCAAAGGTACAGCTCCAGGAATACTTAAAGACCAAAGCACGCGAACATGATGGCTTTTCATACACTTTCATCTTCAACGGTCCGTTTCTTGACTGGGGCCTAGCGGCAGGCATGCTGGTGGATATCAAGAACAAGTCAGCGACACTTCGAGATGGCGGCGATGTCCTCTTTAGTTCGTCGCGACTTTCTACTGTTGGCCAAGCTGTCGTGGGAGTTCTTTCCAACCTCGATGCTACAGCCAATAGGGCTGTTTATGTCAAGGATGCTGATGTGTCTCAAAACCAACTGATCTCCATCGCCAAAGAGCTTGATCCCTCTGGCACGTGGAACACCACCGAGGCAGAGACTGCGGTCGAGGAGCGAGAGGCTCTGGAGAAGTTCAACCCTACTCAACCCGACATTGGCGTGATTTCCAAGTTCCTCTTCAGAGCCATTTTTGGGCAAGGCTTCGGGGGCAGGTTCGAAACTGTCGATAACGAGCTGCTCGGAGTCAAGGGCTTGGATGCTCAAGGAGTTAAGGAGGTGGTGAAGGGTGTTCTAGGTGCTTGAAACCCTATTGGTATCAGATTAGAGTATCTATAGTCGTGAACTAACTACGACGTGTGGCAAAACGATTATGTAGTCAATAGGTGCTTTGTAACAGTGGTTATGATCGTGTTTGCTTTTTCTTGCAGGCTCCGTTATATCTCTTACCAGCATTGACTTTATTTATTTGCGCACAACTTCTTGTATTACATGCCGATCAGTGTGATTATTGGCTAACCTTCAGCAACTGCATACTCTTCGAATTCTAAAATAATATTTGTCATATTTCTAAATCTTGCTTGAATCGTGCTGTGCTGTAGGTGTGTATTCAGGTTTTATTCATAGCTAATGGGAGGATGGCCATGAAATTGCTAATAAATATGGTCTATATCCGCGATAATTATAGTTGAGGATGATACAATGTTGAGACAATACGTCCTAGGGATGCCGTTCTTTCAAGTCCGTTACTAGCGAGTTATTACGGACAGCGAGCTGTTACGACTTTGAAGGTAATGTGGCCGCGTATCCCACCCCCACGCATTTGTGATAATATCAACGCCGTGATTTATAGGCGAAACCGCGGGTTCGGCACGTCAATTTCACTTTAATCACGTCCCTCACATGTGGCATTAATAATCAGATCATCAAGAAGAGCGGTCTCTGCAATAAAAAGGCTCGTCGTTGCCGCACATGCAGAGCCATAACCCAACCCACCACCATCATCAGTTCAGAACAACAGCCTCCTTTTTCCATATTCATTAAAAATGACTACTATCAACAAAGTTGCCCTTGCTGGTGTAAGTTTGTTCACCACCTGGTTGATGAAGATGTTTAACACAGTATAAAGAAAGGACATCTCGGCTCCGCCGTCCTGGACCAGCTTCTGAAAAATGGCTTCGACGTCACTATTTTAAGCCGCTCTACTTTTGAGGCACCTTCCAGAGCGAAAGTTGTCCAAGTCGACTACTCTTCCGTTGATAGCCTGTCTGCGGCTTTGAAAGGCCATGATGCCGTTGTCAGTACTCTCAACGCAGTGGCTACTCTTTCTCAAAAGATTATCATCGACGCTGCCATTATCGCTGGCGTAAAGCGTTTTATCCCGAATGAGTTCAGCTCAATCGGCACTGATCCGAAGGCGAGAGACATCCCCGTCCACAAGAATGTCATCGAAATCCAGGACTATCTGAAGGGAAATGGACAAACCGGAAAGATTGAGTACACGATTGTCTCCACTGGGCCATTTCTTGAGTACGCACTCGGCAGCCCGTTGTTCTTAGACTTTCACAACCGTACTATCGACTTATACGGCGATGGGAATGTCCGTGTTAGCACCACTAGTATTGCTGGCATCGGCCAAGCAATTGCTGGTGCTCTCAAAAAGCCCGATCAGACAAAGAATCGCGTCATCCATGTCCATGAAGCCGTAATTAGCCAAAATCAACTTCTACAGCTTGCCAAGAAGGCTGAACCGACAGCTACCTGGACTGAAAATAAGATTGAGCCCGAGAAAGCACTTGAAGAAGCCACGGACAAGTTTATTCAAAGTCCAACCGATCCCTCGTCTCTGGTAGGGATACTTAAAGCCGCCATACTTAGCGGCAAATACGACGCTGAGTACCAGAAGACCGACAACGAGGTCGTGGGTCTGCCATTCCTTTCAGATAAGGAGCTGGAGAGAAGGTTTCTATCACTGCTTACCCAAAAGGCGGAGTAATGGAACTCTATCGTTAGCTTGGTAGATGAATAGACCTTTCTAAAGGAATATACAATTTGTCAACCACCTGCTGACGTTTTTTATAAGATATAGCCCTGGTTTAGAATAATTATCGTACTTAAGTACACTGTTTTTTTTTTAATCTTTAACCTTTAACTTTATTAAGCCTAGGCTTTTCAATCTCTTAATAATATTAATAATAAAATAACCCTTCTAAGGTTAAAACTTAATATAATTAAGATAGTAAAAGTAATATAAGGTAATTAAACTCTATTTAAGTAAATATATAAAATAGCTATATATATAAAAGCTAGCTTCCCCCCTTTATATCCTTAACCTAATCTATACTATAAGATTATTACCTAATTAATTAACCTTTATAGCTATAGTTAGTTAATTAACCCCTACCCTTTAGTTTATATTACTAATATCTTTATAACTATTATAATAAGTACTATCTAAATATTAAGTATTTACTATAATATATACCTTAGCCTAAAATATAATAATATCTATATAGTTATTAATAATTATTATAATAGGTAAAAACTTAATTTATTTAAAAATAAAGCTAAAGATCTTTCTACTAATTACCTACCTTTTAATATTAAATAGAATAACTATAACTTAATTAAATTTATTACCTTTAACTATAAGCTTTTAATACTTTATAGTTTAAGGCTCATTACTAACTATAGTAATTAGAAATATATTTTAAATAAAAAGTAAGAGGTAAAAAGATAGCTTAAACCCTTAAAAAGCCTAAAAAATAGGCTTATAAAAAGGCTAGTCTTTAATATTAAAACCTTTTTTATTAAAATATTAAAGATAAAGCCTTACTATAAGGCTTAATATAAAAGCTTAAAAAAGTAAGTTAACTATATAGTTAAGGTCTTCTAGATTAATAAATAAAGTAATAAAAGTTATATATAAGGTACTAAGGGGCGAGGGTAGAAATATAAAAGGTTAAAATTAGTAAGAAGAATATATATTTAAAGTTAAAGTTAAAGTTAAGGTAGCCCGTCGGGCCGAGGAATTAAATTAGATTATATAACCCTTATTAAAATCCTACTATGCCTTCTTCGTGATGCAATGTATAATGGTATTAACAATATTATCAACTAGGTTGAGTACACCATAGAGTTCTTGTGATCTTGAAATTCAAGATCGCTACCTGATTTACTAATCATGGTTGGGCGAGCTATATCAGAAGCCATGATGCCCGTCTAATCGGAGCGATCTGTCTCCGAAATTCATTATCCCTTATACTTCATCTTGCACAACGTCACCTATGTGCTTTACTGTCACAGACATTCGAAAGTGCACCGTCTATCAGGCATAGTCGCAGAATATATTATACAACTGACTCTGCTGCTCAGCATGTAGGTTCCTACTGCCTCTTGCATAACCGCCCACCCTCCCGTTTTAACCATGTACCGTATGAAGAACAGCATGGCACGACGATAGCCCCCCTCCTCAGCTCCAGCTCATTCCACTTTCACTGCCAAGGGGCTAGACAGTGAACTATCTGCGGAACTGTTACCAACCCAGAAGGTAAACGAACCAGTATCCAGCTGATATTCTCCGTCATACCAGTAGCCAAGCTCCTGCACAGGAATCTCAAAGGTAACTTGGGATGTCTCTCCTGAGGCTATTTCCACCTTGGAAAATCGGATGAGACGTTTGGTCGGAAGGGAAATTCGGCCATAAGCTTGTTGGAAGTAAACCTGCACTACTTCCTTACCCTGGGATTCTCCAGTGTTGCGCACCTCCACCGTCAGCTTGATGTTGTCTCCTTTGCCGTATGTAGCGCGATCAACAGCCGCATTGCTTATGTTAAAGGTTGTGTAGCTCAGTCCATATCCGAAAGGATAAAGATAGTTCTCGGCAATTGCAGGCCATTGCATCGCGTTGGCGCCCTGCCAATCGCTCACCAAATGGTCGTAGTAAACGGGATTCAGCTCTGAACTGTAGGGGAAGGTGATGGTCAACTTGCCACTAGGGTTGACCTTTCCTGTAAGGATGTCAACGGTGGAGCGGCCTGTAAACTCGCCATGTAGGAATGTGTGAATGATGGCCTTTGCGGATTGGGCCACTCCCTGCAGCTCAAACGGCTGACCTCCGGTCAAGATGAGAATGGTTGGAACTCCCGAGGCCAGGACATCGGAAAGAAGCTTCTCTTGCAAGCCCGGCAGCTTCAAAGATGCGTGGGTGTTGCCCTCACCATCAGTGGTTTTTCCACGTAAGGGGTCCTCCCAGCCCACTGCAAGAGCACCAAGCACAATAACGGCCAACCCAGCTTCCTTGGCTGCACTAACAGCAGATTCGATATCGGCACCCTCCTTCTCAATGAAATCGCAGCCACGAACATGAACGACGTTGTTAGCTCCGAACTGATCCTTGGCGGCATCCAGGAACGTCAGGTTGTGGTTGTCAGCATTTGTCCAAGCGCCGTACGTGCCAGGGTTGATGATGTCGGCGTACGGGCCCAGAACGGCGATTTTAGGCGGCGAAGTCAAGGGAAGAATCCCGTCGTTCTTGAGTAAAACAATGGACTCTTGGCTGATCTGCTCGTTAATCCTAAGGTGTTTGTCGGATCTCAGCACTTTGGTGAGAGCTGTCTTATTTACCGCTAGGTCTTTGTCAAAGATTCCCAGCTCAAACTTAAGCTTCAGCAGGCGTCGAACCGCCGAGTTCACGTCTTGCACCACCGAGTCCACTGTCTTGTTCTCTGCTAGGCTTTCGAAGGCAGACGGGAACCCAATGGCCAGCTCGAGCTCCACCCCGGCATTCAATGATTGAATCGCCGCGTCACTGCGGTCCCGCGCAGTTTTGTGGGTGTTCCAGATCATGTTGATTGCATCAGCGTCAGATACGATTACCCCATCAAACTTGTACTCCTTACGAAGAAGGTCCTGCAGTAGATATCGGTTCGAGTGGGCTGGAATCCCGTCAATTGTGGAGTAGGAGGGCATGACTGACGCGGGCTTCAGGTTTTTCCTTCTCAGGATGTTGATGTAAGGAAGAGCTAAGGTGTTGTAAATATGATTGGCGCCACCCCACATCGAAGCCTGATTGACACCGCCTACACTTGTGCCGTAAACATAGTGCTTCACAGTAGTTGCAACTTTCATGAAGCCAGCGTCATCCTTCTCCTGCATGATTTCGACAAATGCCGCACCGTACTCCCCATTCATCCATGGGTCTTCACCATACCTATGGAAATCAAAATTAGCCTGCGGTTCAACACAAACACAAAGGGCAATCCCTACATCTCGCCAACTCGTCCGTTGCGTGGATCACGAGCGGGATCGACCTCTGGTGAGAGGATCCAGTTGATGCCGGCAGCGTGAAATTCCTCTCGAAGTGCTCTGACGACATCTTTGTAAAGCTCAAAATTCCAGGCCGTTGCCATAGAAAGCGTCGCCGGGAATAACGATGTGCCTAGTAGAGTGATACCGTTGACTCCATCTCCAATGTTAACAAAGGGAATGCCCAGCCTATGTTCCTCCTTGGACTTCACAATGAGGCTCGACAGAACAGGAATTGCCTCCGCGTAGTTCAGGTATGATCCAGGAGCTGTCCGTGATTGTCAGATTATGGGCCGTAGCACGTACTCAAAGACTTAACTAACAAATTGTTCCGTTGTGCAGGACAGCAAGATCCCGATACTTGGTGGCATTGTAGGTGCTGTTCATTTCAAGAGTTCCACCGATACCACCAAGTTGGCCGATTTTTTCTTCCCAACACATGTGGCTGAGTAGATCCTCTACTCGACGTTCGACTGGTGCCCTAGAGTTCAGATAAGTGGCATTCCCTACTGTACTGTTGCAAAATGACCCGTCTGCCGTGTTGGCCACTGCGCCAGTCGCCAATAGGCACGTCGTGAGAAAGAACTTAATAATCATTGCCATGGAGGTTTAAAAAGATTGAGGGTGTGAAGCACTTGTTGAGTTTATGGGTTTAGTAAATCAAGGCTCCTCATGAAATTGACAGTTGTTTATATACGTGAATTGCCTCGCTGATAGTCGTGCCGAGATTTAAGATTGCAAAGGTCGTCGAAGCTCGGTGTAATATTAACACGCCTTGTGAATCTTGGCAACAAGGTACTTCAATTATTTTCCTTCTTTTCTATCAAATATTCATCCTATTCCGAAGCGTTGACTCCCCCTGATTGTGACATAAAATCATTCACCGGCTTTGAGTTGATGTGATTGGTTGTTTGGTTCGGCTTTGGCGTGTTTTGATTAGCCTTGTCAAATCAGGGGGTCGTAAGATTCTTCCTAATCTGGGATCTACCAATATGCGGGGTAATATCCTGGGGAAGATTACGACATCAATTTGTCTGGTACAAGGTAGCTCATTGTGGTGCGAGTGATTGTATTTGTGGATAATATTCTCGGCATGAAAAAGCCAAGGAGTACTCATGAAGAGGACGTGGGATTTTCCAGTATCCCTACTCATAACTGTCGATTCAAGAATTGTTGATATGACAATTACTAATTGTAATATAGTCGTTTCGGTTTAATTGACCCCGAGTTTCCAATGGAGTTCACCTCTTCTCAGTCGGGGATATCCACCATATTACAATCCTTGCCATATCTCTTTACTGAAGAATGAGGTTGAAGAGAGATACCACCTGAGGTACAGATACCGTTGAACGGTTCGCGTAGATAAAGTAACCAAATGCCTGATCGACTTTGGGCTTGGCTATATTTAAGAAACGAAAGATCCATTATGTGTCCTGGAAAGGAGAAGATCAGGCGTGGACTGCTCAAGGTAACCAGACGATTCGGTCTTGTAATACTTTCTAATACAAGGTGGCGTTCTTCTTGATCAGGTCACTCGGAAGACTGACTCCGTCTCTCTCTTTATGGTTCTAGATGCATGTGTGTGTATTTCGATTCAAATATCCAAGATTCACCATGTCAGAGGGCTATAAAGATTGCTCCCTACCGCACAATACGCAATCCTCTCTGGCTTCATCACACTCCACATAAGAAAGCAATACATCATGATCTATACAATCTTCACTTTTACAATTCTTTTTCTCTACTACCAATCCACCTATGCCCAAGCATCCTGCAATGGCAAATTCGAAGCGATTTCTGCAGAATCTTTCATCGCCAGTATAAGCCCAGGTTGGAACCTCGGCAATTCCCTCGATGCATTTCCCCAAGAAGGTGATTGGAATAATGCTCCTGTTACCGGAGAAGTTTTTGACACCGTAAAAAAGGCTAGGTTCAAAACCGTTCGCATTCCAGGTAAGGCGATTCGACATTTATGTGAGCCCCGCTAATGGCTAGTGACCTGGGCATATCATTTCACTGGTGCTTCAAACGAAGGGGACGCCCCAGAATGGACTGTTGACCCCAGTTGGCTCGAACGTGTTTCAGAGGTGGTGGCCATGGCCATTGACCGTGGCCTTTATGCTATTGTGAACGTTCACCATGACTCAGCGCTCTGGGCTGACGTGACCAAAGAAGATGCGAATCTTACGATGATAGAGGAGAAGTTTTACAAGCTCTGGTATCAGATTGGGGTCAAACTAGCATGTTTACCATCTTCTGTGGCATTTGAGCCTCTCAACGAGCCTCCTGGCAACACGGCTAAGCATGCTCAAGAGTTGAACAAACTGAACAACATTTTCCTGCAGGCAATCAACGATGCCGGAGGTTTCAATCCTCAGCGAGTCGTTACGCTTGTTGGGCCTGGAGAAGACATCATTCGGACAAGTTTGTGTTTGAACGGCCAGACAATTCGTTCCAAAACCCATACGCTCTTCAAGTTCACTATTACTCACCTTGTTGGTCTACCAATAACCCCGAAAGTAACACATGTTAACAAGATCAGATGCCTTCACATCCGCGGCATGGGGAAGAAACATTTGGGGCTCTGAATCAGATCAGGCGGCTCTGGAAGATGACTTTGCTCAGCTGAGAAACAATTTCACCGATATTCCTGTTGTCATTGGTGAATGGCTCGTGAGTCCAGTCTTCAGCGAGCCAGCTGCACGATGGAAATACTACGACTTTATCAGCCGGACTGCAACATCATTCGGATTTGCGACTATCATTTGGGACAATGGTAACGATCATCTAGACCGAGAATCACACACCTGGCGAGACCCAACTTCAATTAGTGTTCACCAGAATGCCTTGATTGGTGTCAACAATAGCTTGCCGATCTCAACAATTGACTACTATTCAAAAGAACAGTTGTCTTCTGCCTTCATATTCCACCGCATTGGAGACGAGATCAAGTCTTCAACACTTCAATTTCACTTAAATGGCAACCTGGTCATGTCTATCTCTGATGGTACTTCAAAATTGATTCTCGGAAGAGATTATCTTGTTTCGGACGAGAATATCATCATCTCGGCATTTTACCTGTCTAATCTCATCAAGACGCAAGAACCGGGCACTGAAGCAATTCTTCAGGTTTCATTTTCTTCTGGGACATCGATGCCTGTTTATGTCATACAGTGGGATGTCCCGACTGTTCAAACGGACCACTCACAAGCCATCGAAGGATCGGACCTGCAGATAGATATCGAATGGCACGGTTTGAAGAAACCGGCTGCCGTGGCAGCGTATAATGCTGACGGGTCCTACCTTGTGGATGAATGGACTAACCAGCTTGGTCCTCTCGAGCAGGGCCGTACCACATATGGAGGACAGTGGATTTGGACATGTGAGTCTATTAATCCTCGATACTATATGCCTATAATAACCAATTAGGGGACCAAAATGGAATTACTATTACGAGTAATGCTGTCTCAACAGTTATCTCTGGAGGTCAGGCTACCACATTTATCATTGAAGCATTCCCTCGTTTGCCTGGGAATAGTGTGAACTATACTATTACGGTTTAGCAAACAATCATTGATAAGGTACCATTCCGTAATGGTTGCTATTGCTTGGGGAAAAACTGGTCCCTACCAGGCTTTACATAAGAGAATTTCATAACTAGTTGATATTATCATGTATATTAGCGCTAATACGATCCCTTGTTGAAAGTGATACATACTTATACTGACGATATAACAAATAAACTAGATAGAAACGCTACTAGAATAACCCATGTAAACGTTATGTAAGATATGTTTCACGGCTGACTACCGTAAGGCGAGCTACGAGTCGAAAGGTCATGGCCGTCCCAGCGTTGGCGAAGTGGGGCAGCCCGGACTAATACTGATCCGCGAATCTTCGGTTGTTGCCGTCCCCTGCTGACTGGGCATAGAATAATCAATCCCTACCAAACACAAGTTACTTTTGCCTTCACAGACCATCCAGCGCCTTGTGTTGGAAGACATGGACGCTTTTGCCGAACCTCCCCAAGACCAAAACCAAGACGATGACCGAGACCTGGAACCTCATATTTCGACATCTTTTGGCGGGAATGACGATATTTTTCAGGATTTGTCATTCTTCGATGTGGAACAATCGGGTTCATTCGATGATCAGATGGAGCACTGGCTGCGTGTCCCTCCTCCTGAACTTGCTGAACAGGAACTCCTGCCACCGAGTGATTCTGAACACAGTCAAATAATTGCCTCCGATATGAATTTATCAAGTTTGATTGTTGATGCCGCCGATCCTACTATCCGGCAGCTTCCAGCCAACTTTGGTGGCACCACAGATCAAGCTTCCGCAGCAGCTAGTTCTGCAGATGAGGCCACTTCTGAGAATCTAATCAAGGTTGGTAAACCGGCTACGAGGTTCAGTCGTGAGGCAGTCAAATTGCTCAGAAAATGGTTTTTGGCCCACAGCCATCATCCATTCCCCAACGAAAATGATAGGACAATGCTTCAGCAGCAAACCGGTCTCGACAAAAGCCAGATAATGACTTGGTTTGCGAATACTCGTCGTCGCAATAACATAACCAAGACTAGGGATAAGTCGCCTTATCCCACAGAAGCTAGGGACATCTTGCCACGACCCGGCACTCCTCTTCCACGTGATTCCTCCTCGATGAATCCGTTAGAGCGATGGGTAGACTCGCCACCAGAAAATGAGCCTGTCTCGATGACTGTTATTGCTCGAGCTATGGCCTCTAGTCCATCCGCCTGTATGTGACCTTGCTGAGTCATGTGTTATTATTGTACTGACAGCCACTCTGTAGCTGCTTCTGATGCCAGCTCCACTGGTCGCTTCATGAGGAGCTCCGATGGCTCGGCTCCTAGTAGAGGCTCAGAATCTTCGGCAGACTCAAATGGCGATCGTTCTACAGAAGGGCCATTTGACCCATTGGGCAATCTTCGTTCGCGTCGCAGGAGAACAAGAAGAAGAAAGGCCACGAAACGAGGTAATGAACAAATGTCATTGCTGAACCTAGCCAAGAAATATCAATGTACGTTTTGCACGGAAAGCTTTGGCAGGAAGTATGACTGGCAACGACACGAGAACTCAGTTCACCTACCATTAGAGAGATGGATTTGTTGTCCAGAAGGTCCGTTGATGAACAATCCCACAAACAACAACCACCCATCCTGTGTTTTCTGCGGCCTGGTTGAACCAGATGTTGCACATATTGAGAATCATCACTATTCAGTATGTCGAGAGCGGAGCGTTACCGAGAGATCGTTCAATCGCAAGGATCACCTGTCTCAGCACTTGAGACTTTTCCACCAGAATGCACTAAGATATCTTCACATTGGATTGTCGTAGTGAGCGCTTTCTGAAAGCCGCAGCGTGATTTATAAGGTGGTGTAAATAGCGGCTGGATGGCGTAGGTGAGAATTGGAGCTTGCAGCAGTATGTTTCGCAACCTGATCCATCAGAACAGAATTGTTAGCGCTTCTAGTCGAGGAACGGGGGTGGGTTGTGGCTTATTGATAAGTGGTCGATTGCGATTGTTCCTGTATGTCAGATCAAGCTGGGTTGCAGGGCTCTTTGGTGTCAGACGGGCCAAGTAAATTGCAAGATCTGGTGGAGGCGGGCTGCTGATGTTGTTGTTTCCGGAGGTGAACGTGGGGAGGGTGAGCAATGAGGAAGTCCATCGCGTTGACCGTGACAGGAAACTGAGACGTCAGCAGCGAAGCGTTCCACAACAATGAGAAAGAAACAGAGAAGAGTGCCAAGGAAGGACTAACCCTAGAAAGTGTTGTTCCCATTTCTCGTATCACCTGAGAGGATACTTTATTGGCCATAAAAGAAGAAGTACCAGACTGGGTTGTGGAAAAGGTAATCTTAGATTGAACACACAAAGTGACAAGGGGGAGATTAAGAGTTGTGGAGATAAATAGAGGGCCTCACGGGTGAGCACATTTGGCGAGAAATAGCCCAGTACAAACATGCACGTTCCTCTGGTCTTGAACAGCACAGAACACACACCCTGGCGCGATATCCAGGGAATGATAGCAGGCTTTTTAATCATTACAAATACGCTCTGTGTTCAAGGCAGTCTACACTTCACCGCGCAACCTTGGCGCTTGGCATGATGACAGGGACAGAGTTGTAGTCGACTTCTTCGCTGTCTACGAACAATAGGCTCCGGGGGTCTTTCTACTCTGGCATCAATTTGGGAGAGACTCGTCGGCATCTCTTGATTTGACGGGCTCTCAAGCCATTGCGCACATGAAGAATGCTGTAGCAGTGAAATTCCAAATGAGACTGGATCCATTCACCGCATGACGTCTTTGATGTTCTGTATAGCAAATTGCACCATTCACTCGGCGTTGCACAAAGTCGCATGGCTGCCACGTTTACTCTGGAGGTAACACAAGACGGAAGGCAGTCTATCACTGAAACAACGGTACAAAACCCCTGAGATGCATCCTTGGAGGATATTTTTGATAGAGAGTGGACGGCAGATTCTGGTTACCTAAACAATCTACGGCAAACAGTAACACAAGCAGCCTGGGTTTCGAGGCCAATCATCCTCAGGCTACAGCTTCCATTCACTGCCCTGAGTGTAACCTGTGATGCCTGGCTGCCTTGCCACTACTGCGCAGTGCCGTCACACAACACTAAGAGTCACGCTGTGAATGCACCTTCTGCGACTGCCTGTCAGTGCACGACGGCACCAGACGCGTCAAGGCAAGAGCGCGCCTTCCCACGCAACCTGATCTCGCGACTTGATTATCTTTCACCTTCCCACCCAATTTGACCGCCCAACCTCTCCCCAACTTCTCTTCTCTTTGCTGTCCACAATCTTCATCTGGCACACTCTTCAATCAGAATACTCATCTTATCGTCTCAACGACTTCACTCGTCACGATGGATGTCATCGACGGATCGCACGATCCTAACTTTCATGCAGTGCTGAAGCAAATCAGGGATGACGCCGTCAAAGCCTCCAAGAAGAAGGGTCGACTTGTCACAGATCACCCCGAAGCGAAAACACTCATCGACCGATTTTTCGCCAAATTGCTGGGAAAGTCTATTCTCACGCCCTCGTTATCGCCCTTTGGAAAGATCGTTGAAGAGATCATCGGAGACTCTAACCCGTTCCCTAACGCAAAGATGGTTGACGACCACTTCAACGTACCTCCCATCACCCAAGTCATCATACCTTACCCTCCCTGTATCCTCTCCGAGAAAGACTTGAAGTTCATCAAGATCTCCGAGATGAGACTCCAGAGCCGTCACCGCGGCAGGAAGGTCCTCATTCACCTTATCTCGCCGCCAGACCGCAACGATGCAGTTATGGCCATCGCCGAAGACGAGGAGGGTACAGCCGTTTTGCTTCAGATGTACCAACAGCCCAGTGAGAAGCTGGTACCGTCTATTCAGAATATTCTCAACTACACATTCTGCATCGTCAAAGAACCTGTCTTCAAGCAGTCCTTCGACAACCCTTTTAATAGCCCCCTCCAGATTCGAAGTGCCTACTATTCTTTGAGAATCGACCACCCCAGCGACATCGTCGGCTTGATTGAGGGCGATGAGAGAATTCCCGAAAAGTGGAGAGGTGAAGCTCGCAGCGAAAACGAGAGCAGTCTAGGATACCGCCAGGACGGTAACGCTTGCTTTCGCCGCATGGAATTCATGATGGCCCAACGCTCGTAAGTTCGCTGATAACCATATCCACCTGTTCGAACTTGTCTGACTCGCTGAATGACAGGTACTCCTCGGCTCTCGACACCGCCCAAACTCCCCTAGAGAAACAGCTGGCCTACCTCAACCGATCGATAGCGAACCTCAAACTCGATCGACCGGCCAAAGCACTGTTGGATGTCACTCGCGCTTACAATCCCGCCAAGCCTACCGAGAAGCCTATGCTACGACACGCTTACGTCCTCTACGATATGGGGAAGTTTGAGCAGTGCAAGGCGACACTCCAGACTTGCTTGGAAGCATTCCCCAAGTGCCAAGCAGCGCAAACGAAACTGCAGAGCGTCAAGTCAAGACTTCACGAACAGCGCACAGGCAAGTACGACTTTAAGGATATGTACGAACAGGCCAAGGCGAGAACCCCTCCTCTGATCGACTGCGCTACCTTTTCTACTCCTGTTGAGATCCGCGACTCGCCTGGTCGTGGACGCGGGCTCTTCACAACCAAGGCTGTGTCGGCGGGGGATTTGCTGCTTTGCGAGAAGGCCTTTTCGTACTCCTTCATTGACGACACGCGACTTGAGGATGACGTCACCTGCATGGTGAATCTGTCGAACAAGCGAGTCACACTTGGCGCATCTGCGGATTTGTGGCCCCAGGTCGTTCACAAGTTGCATCACGACCCGGAGTCTCTCTCTGCGTTTGAAGAGCTTCACCATGGGGACTTCAAGAAGACCATTGTCTCTGAGTGTGATGGGACCCCCGTTGTTGATGTGTAAGTCAATCTTCACGAGGATTGAGTTGGTTTACTGACAGTTGCATTTCCCAGTTTCTTGGTAGAGAAGATTCTCTCACTCAACTCCTTCGGATGCCCGAGAACCAGCCGCGACTTCTGCAAGAGCCATGTCTGGAGTGGCAAAGAAAGTGCCTCAACCCGAGAGAGACCCCTCTTCACAAGTGCCGGCATCTGGCTCACTGCCGCTCGAATCAACCACTCCTGCGTTGGCAACTGTCGACGCTCTTTCATCGGCGACATGCAGATTGTCCGCGCCGCACGAGACATGCCTGCCGGCACGGAGCTTCTTTTCCCCTACCGCCCATCTGGTTCCTCGGATTTATACCAGCATGTTCAACAGGAACTTGCCAAGTGGGGATTTGAGTGTGCCTGCGAGCTGTGCAAGGACAGAAGCAAGACTAGCGATGCCGTCGTGAAGCAACGCAGCGATCTCCACCGAGAATTCATGAAGCAGCTTCCCGGCGACGAGCCTTTCGACTTGCCCAAAGCTACGCGACTGATGAAAGGCGTGGAGAAGACGTACCGTGGCAAGCCTGCCAAGCAGATCCGATGGGTTCTCGCGGACGTGTATGCGTACATTGGGATCCGCGCCAGACAGGAAGGATACTTCGTTGACGCCGCCAAGATGCTCATCAAAGCCCTCGAGGCACACGGTTTCGTCATCTATGCCACCGATCCTGGTTCGGTGACTGCTCAGCCCCGGTTTGAGGTCAAGCATTGGGGAATGATGGAGCATGTCATCCCGTGGCTGTTCTTTCAGCTGATTGAGTGCTATGATCAGGTGGACATGGCGTTGGTGCCAGTCGCTGCGCATTACGCAGAAGTGGCCTACTCTGTCATTGTTGGCGAGAAGATCTCGATTTGGGAAGTCATGCCATCTACGGGCAACAAGCAGTGATCTGTAGGTGTTCGGGGGAATGAAATGGATGGATGGAAGAAGCATGTACTGCAAAATGGTGTGAGCTAGTGTGGGCAAGAGACTACTAGAGCCTGAGATGTGTGGAAGGCTATGAGAAGTAAAAGTATGAAAATGAATAAGATTGTTATTCTGTGTTGCAACGTGTGCGCAACGTAGTGTTGATGACCTCAAAATTATTGCAGTGACTCTCGACCCTGTCTCGACTTGGCCAATCTGGCTTGGGCTTGTTCATGCACACCCAAGCTTTGCGAAAGTACCCTGCGCATGGTTTCTGTACTTCTGTACACCTCGTAAGCACTGCAACTCAAGGTCGGTGGCGTTGTAGATGTGCCGTGATTGCTTCATGGCCATGACTGGGCAGGCAAGACAGAGGCTGCCTGCATGTCACGGCCCGTCAATGTCATTCATCATTTGACAGCACTGGGAATCAACAGTCATACACCTTTGACGTTGGGCTTCACTAGACTCTGTTTTGGGCACGTGCTTTTGTTCTACTCACGCGCGGTAGGTAACGTCTTGGCATGCATCGCATATCGACTGGTCAGATATGAGGCTCTCACGATGTAGTGGAACTGCCGGAGTGAAGCATAGACTGGTGGAATTGATGCGTGGATATACTGGAGGTGATGCGAAGTGAATGTGATGGAGAATGGTTGGGCAATGAAGTGGTGTTGCCATTGACTTTTCTTCGGTATGTTGATCATGTCGAGTCTCACGGCTATGGTGTTAGTAGGCTGGATACCGTGCCCAATCGATTGCACATGTCGCACACACATGAACTGCGTCTCAGTGTAGGCAAAGCTTGCCGGTATCTACTGGTGGTATCACTAACGAGATTGGGGGATAAGGGACTGAATTACTTGTGTTGCAAGTATTTAGACACCTGCATCGAACATGGCCCACGCCAAGGGCAATTAGTCCACAACACCCAGGCAAAAGGAGGCGTCGCACAAGAATGGAAGAAAAGTCTTACTGGAGAGAAAGCACGTGTCTTTCTAACGGTGCAGTTCATATTTGAAGATTTTACCGCATGCTTTGTTTACTATATTAAATTTTTTATAATAGCCTAACTAGAAATATAAATCTACATAAATTTTGATAGAGTGTATTATAAAATATAGGATTTTATATAATCTTTCATATAAACTTATGAAAAATAGGGGGCTTTTTTATAATTTATATTATTTTATATAGACCCTAGAAGAGAGGGAACTATTGCCAATTGGAACTTTTTCACGTCTTCTACAAGTTTTTCCGATTTCGCCCTCACGTGTTACTTTCTTCTTCTCTTCCAATCTCTTCGAGCATCACCTTCTACCATACTTTCCCAATCAAATTCTATTCCCCCCGGGCTTACCAGTGCTTAAAGAGGGCTTTTTCGCGAAGCAAAGTCTACACGGTCTATCAATCACTTAACAAACTCTCCTCTTCCTTCCCTCGTCGCGTCGCTATTTCCTCCGCACGCGTCAAAATATCAACCTTTTCCATCCAGAAATTCGTCCCAAATTGTCTCTTTCGTCACAACGAGAACCTCTGTCAAACAACAACTGTGCCCCCAACACTTTGCCTGTAATTTCTCTAGTTTTCCTTTGCTATGCACCAGCTAATCAGCAGTCGCGTACACGACACAACGGCAGAATAGTGCGCTCCCCTGCCCAAGGCTCAACTTGACCAACCTCGCTTGGGTTTGGGGTCATGCCCACCCAAACTTTATAGAATGTACCTAGATCTTTTTTTTTATCGATTTAACCTTCAACGTTATCAAGCCTAGGTTTTCTTAATATCTTAATACTATTAATAATACAAATAACCACTTCTAAGGTCAAAACTTAATATGATCAAGGCAGCAAAAGTAATACACGGTAGCTAAACTCTATCCAAGTAAACACGCAGATGACTCATACAGCTGTATGTATAAAAGCTGGTATTTCCTCCCATACCCCTCAACCTATTCCACACTAGAAGCATACCACCCAGTAGTTAATCGATCCTTGGAGCTGCTCAGTCCTACAATAAAAAGCCGTCAAGGTAGACTACATACTTGCAGTCAGTCAATCGACCCCTATTCGCCACCCTTCGGTCTACATTGCTGACATCTTTCGCAGCTACCAATACAAAGGTAGGTACCTACTACTATAAGGCACCTAGGTATTTACCTGCAAGGCAGCCATTTACCTGTGAGGTAGTCATTCACCGCACCTACTATTATAAGGCAGCCATTCACTGTAGCCATCCGCTAGGCAGTGACTCAGCGCACACTTTGTTTACCTTGATAAGTTTCTCCGCCTTCGCGTTTACGTTTCATTTCTTTTCTTCTCTCATCATCTTCTTCTCTCGCCATCTGCCACTTTCTCCTTCGTTCCTCACAACGACATCCTCTGACGAACGACAAGTAATCCTCCACAATTTACTTGTTAGTTATCCACCTTGTTTTCCTTCTCTAGACACAAACTGACCAGCAGTCGTCTACACAGCACAACGACCGATCATGTCCTCCGAAGACGTGAAGAAGGGTGCTGGAAGAAGCCGTCGAAACCCAGCAGGCAATTTGATCTCCCCCGAGTCGTCCGAGGAGTCAGAGAATCCGCCACTCCTGGTGATTCCGGCTCGATATCGCACCACGACAACCTCGCTTCCTCGTCTCCCCTTTGTACCATCGTACAGGGTACTTACCGATTCAGCTAAAAAGGTCGAGCGATCCATTCAAAATCGAGTCGTCGAAACAATAAAGCACTACCGCCTTGCGAAAGAGGAGGAGTACTATGTAGACATCGGTAACCGAGAGACACAAGATTGTCCAGAGACAGCGGAGCCCACGATCTTTGTTGTATTCGACACCTACCCGAAAGACCATGATGCAGTGGTCGCTGCGGTCAAAGATGTTGCCAGTTTTGCGCGTCACGAACTCAGGCAGGTCGACATCTCTGCTCCATCATTCCATATCGAAATGATTGACAGACGACTCGTTGCTCGCGTCTTCTGTGATGTTGTCGAAAACCGACCCGACCTCCTTCAGTCCTGGGACCAGATCAAAGCCCTCGTCTATCAACGCCTTGAGAGCCACGACGGCACCAAGGGCCACATGACTTCAATCAGTCTTTACCGCTACGGCATGAGTTGGGCTGAGACCAAAAACCCGATTACAATTTTCATCACGGTAGATTTCGACTCTCCTGAGCCCACGTGGCCCGAGGTCATCGATGACATTGAGAAGCAACTTGCAGCACACAGTTTCCCAGCTCTCTACATCCACATTGAACACAACATTGGCTACCACCTTGCACCTCCGACATTTACGCTGGTGCCCCCCACTGGTACGGACAAACAGATTACCAAAAGGGCCAAAGAAAGCCATGCGATCATTCTGGATGACTACAGTACTGTCGTGAACCTAGGCGACTCCATGGGACCGGCCAAGTATGTCGAAGATAACGATGGTTCCAAGCACTTTCCAGGCCATGGTACTCTGGGGTGCTATGTGGAGATCAAAACCGCGCAATCTCCAGAGTGGGAGAAGTACGCATTAACCAACTACCATGTCATCCGTGGGACTCTTAGTGGCTTCAGTACTGGAGAAGTCAACGGGAAGAGGATTCCACTCCCACCACCTGCCCGCTCCAATCTCCGGAGAGCTGACGAAGTTGGGCTGGCACCTGGCCAACATGGTCATTTATCCTCAATGGAAAGTCCATCGCGCACAAAGCACAATTACACAATGTGGCATGCTGAGAATACTATCCAAGATTGCAACACCAGAGAACAGGAGATCATGACGAGGAATGTCGACGACGACGAGACCAAGACAAGGCACATTGAAATACTCAAAAACGCAAAGGCCAAAGCGACTACAGACATGGACAAGAAGCTAGACTTTTTTAACCGCCAGAACAATATCCTGGGTAAGGTTTACGCGGCGTCGGGCTTCACTAAAAAGACAGACGAGAATGGGAGACTTGACTGGGTGCTGGTTAAGGTCAACAAGTCTCGAATCGGGACGAACCGGTTGCCAGACGAAAGGGCTTGGCTCAAACAGGGTGCTTTGACAATGCCCATCTTGACATATGGCGAGCAGCTCAAGGCCCAGGTCAGCAGTATCAGGCTTGGACATTCCGACCGCTGCACAACAGGATACAAGCTGGGAACGACCACCGGTGCCACGTGTGGTGTATTCAATGAGTTCAAGACTGGCATCGACCTTCGCGACGACAGACATCTTGGGCCCATCTTATCTGACGAGTACGTCTTTCGCCAGGAACAGATCGGACAAACCCAACACTTTGCTGCACCAGGCGACTCGGGTTCTGTGGTCTTTGACTTTTATGGGCGTGTTGTTGGGCTCATTTTTAGAGGAATGAAACCTAACAATGACCGAACGATCGGACATACTTACGTGACGCCTATTGAGCACGTTTTCAAGGACATTGTGGAGTCCTCCAAGGGGAAGATTGTGGATATTCGGATTGCGCAGTGATGGTTTAGGTAGTTTTTCTTTCAATTTCAAAGTACTCTGCTCTTAATTCTTTACTGTGATAATCCAGACATTTTATTTTGTATCCGTGGCTGTGATATCTACCATCCAAGTCCTGTCATCTCAACATAACTTCATGCGACACGACTGTTGCCCGAAAACACCAACCCTCGCCAGAAAAGTACCGTACAGCCTGACGCAGCCTTGTTGGCTGCCATAGCGTCGAGGTGGTAGGCAGTAGGCAGGCCGGTTGCCAATCCGCGTCAACATGTACCCTTGGCAGGAGGTGTATTGCTTATTGCTTGTCGCGCTGCCCGTCCAGGGCCCTGATTGCTACCTTGGAAGTAACCACTTCCTCCTGCCTGGTCACGGTGTCGAAAGAGGCTATTGCAGGTCTCGATGCCATGGTCAAACACGCTGACATGCCACAGATTAATTGAAATAGAGAAGGGGAATGGAGCTGGACTTCTTAGACAACCACGACACTTTAGAGAGTCACCATAATTCATCTCAATTCGGTGCGATGTCGTTTCTGGAGCTATTTTTGTTTTTGCTTTAACCATCAACTTTATCAAGCTCAGGCTTTTCAAATCTCTCAATAATATCAAAAAGAAACCTTCCAAGGTCAAAACTCAATATAATCAAGGCAGCAGAGTCACATACGGCTACTAAACTCTATCCAAGTGAACACGTAGATCACACAGCTTGACGCATAAAAGCTGGCTTCCCCCCCACACCCTCAACCTAAACCACACCACAAGCACACTAGTCAATCGACCCTTGCAACTACGGTCAGTCAATCAACCCTAAGCAAAGAGAAGTTGTGCGTAGGGCGCTGAGGGGTGGGAGGAATACGTGTTCAAAGTTAAAGTCAAAGTCAAGGCAGCCCTGAAGTCAAAGGTGACTTCGGGCCGAGGAATTGAATCAGATCACATGACCCTTAATAAAATCCCACTGTGCCTTCTTCAATGAACAATACAACTGGAGGGGCAGTCATTCACCGCACCTACTATTGCAAAGCAACCATTCACTATAGCTATCCGCTAGGTAGTGACTGCATTTATCCTCGAGATTCTTGTTGTGACGACAGAGACAATGTCGGATAAATTCTGGATGGAAAAGGCTGATGTTTTGACGCGTGTGGAAGAAATATTAACGCGACGAGAGAAGGAAGAGGGAAATTTGTAGAGTGATTAAAAGAGCGAAAAGGCGGTCGTTTGGAACTCTCAGGAGAGTGATTTTTGAAATGAGGGAATGAACGGTACTTGGGGAAGTACCCGTTGGTACGGTACCTTGCTTGTTGAGAGTAGGAGAAAATAAACGCGGGCGAAAGTGGAGAAAAATGCAGTGTCTGTGCAATGTTCCACCACCTTCCCCTTTTCTAAAGTCTACATAAGATAATATAAATTGAAATGAATTCTTATAAGTTTTATAATCTTATCTAATCTTAGGTAAAATCATTATACACGGTATCCTAAATATGATTTAGTATTCATTTTGCTGCTGAGGTGTCATCCCACAAGCACTAATTCTCGGTTGGCGCGGGTATCTTGGTCTCCAGGCGTGTGTCGCGCAGCTTCGCCACAAGGACCAGTATTTATGAGTAACTACCTAAATAGTTAATCAGCGGAATCACAGGAGAAAGTTTTCAAAGTGTAGCACGATCAACACAAATTACTTTATCGCTGGAACTCATGTCATCATATTAAACTGTCTAGGCAACAAATCGCACAAGCAAGTAACTCATCCCAGATTCATTCCGTGGTCTCTCCACCCCGATAGGTAAGTATCATGCTTCTAGAAACACTGCAAACGCCAAAGCCTCGCTCCTCTATCAATTATGCTCAAGGGGTTCAGACCGATGTTTGAGGGGTGGCAGGTCTCTCAGATTTAGACTCGCCGTCACCAACCGTCAACATGAACCATTTTACTATCCTTGATGTTGGATTATCTCGTCCAGCGATACACCCTGGCTCATAATGATATCAAGAAGACCCTTCATACCCTTGGGACTCAGCGACACCATCTTGCGTATCGAGACCCAGAACATCACCTCGTTTCCATACTGTTCGCCTAGACTTTGCAGAATCTGAAGCTCAAGTTCAGCTTCTTCAATCTTATGCTCCAGCTCAGCACGGTAGGATACGGCATTTGTACTGGCCAGCGTCTCAGCCTCTATGCGCTTCTCGATATCGTCGATCTTGCCCTCGGCTGCAGCCAGCTTGTCGGTGTAGTTTCTGCGGACAACTTCGGCAACCTCGTCGTCCATGTTCATGGCGACAAGGTTACTTTCGAACGCCGCCTTGCCGTCCTCAACAGCCTTTCGTGCTACATTTGCATCTTCGAGACTCGTGGTGAGAGGGCTGGTGGTTTCAGTCGGGGCAGCCGCATCCAGGTCTCTCAGACATCTTTTACATACGGCGATAGTGTCGCGGGTAGCAGAGATGGAGAGGCGGTTGTCGACAACCTTCTCGTCGGCGGCATCAGCGGCTACGCGGATGATTTGGAGTATCTTCTTGATGAACGGGGATTTGAAAGGCACAGTGGATATGATCTTCCTTTCGACGGGCATGCGAGTGATCCAGGAGTGCCTATCAGAGGCGGGTCGGCTGTTTCGAGGACTGGTACGCTGTAATAGTAAGTAGTTAATAGTCAAATAGCACGGTGAAGCACTCACAGCGTTGATGTTGGAGGCAACATCTTCTTCCACCACAAACTCCTAGTCAATGTGGTTGTTCGATGCAACGGGTTTATTGAGGCGGCGACGTTTGATGGGCTTCCCCTCCCCGGATGTAGCGTCTTCCTCGTCCGAAAATAATCCGTTGCTGTGCTCGTCGCTGTATTGCTTATCGTTGGTAGGAGCACCCTTGTTGTCGCCATCCTGGCTTCTGCCAACGAGACCGAAACGGCTGCAGGCACGCTTGACATCGCCGAGTTTGAGCACCGTGCCTCTCCGCTGCTTAACGGCGTCATGGAGGAAAGCCCTGATCTCATCAAGGTCTCTGTGGGGCATCAGAGTGCCGAGGTTTTCAATGATGGGGAGGCTCCAGGTCATGGGGAGGATGTCCTTGAGCCAGACCCAGGGCCAGTCGCCAGCGCTTCTGCGGATGCGTCGAGCAGCGCTACCAAGGCGCTTGTCGTTCTTGTTGCGCTTTGATACGAGCTTCATTTGGATGGCGATCTCATGGTCGGTCAAGTTGTCGGTTACAAGGGAGGAATCGGTAGGGGTTGAAGGACCATGCTTGAAGGAAAACGTCATTGTCGTAACGAGGCAGGGAGAGTTGGCAGATGTATGAAATGAGGGCAAGGCAGGGAATCAGCGCCGAAAAGCAGGCAAAATATTGGAGAGAATAGCGTGTGGTGACTTTGATGCGGTGGGAGCAAATTGAAAGCGTGTTTGCTTTGTTTTCATTTTTTGTCGGTTGGCCCCAAGGCAACAGCTCGGCCAGGCTTGCTCCTCAGGGCGGTGGATGCACTGTGAATGTGCGCGGTGTGATGATGACGTAACGCATCAGATTGAGCAGCAGATGGCAACAGAAAACCGAAAGAAAAGAAACCAGAAGATGCTGGTTTTTAAGGTACTGAGAAATAGTGAGGGTATTGCAAGTGTCAGGATGCAGTTCTTTTAAGCTTTTTCCCTTTTTGGGTGATCATCCCTAGCGTTGCAAGGTCAGATCTCGCTCAGCCTTAGTGGTGGAGCTCGGCAATTGTCTGAGTTGAGATCAACAGGCCAGGCCTGTTGCGTGGTAATAAATGCAGCAAAATTGGATGCATTCAAATATCTCTACTCAATGGAAATTCCTTCGACTTTTTTAATTATCATCTGTCTTGATGTAACCAGTCGTCACTTGCCATCTCTTGTTATCTTGCTCAAGTCAGACCAAGAAGCAGGGTCTTTGTGGGGGTCAGCCAAGTCTTGTCAATGTCCCACTCCACCTCCACAACGCGAACATCCATTTCTCCAAAACGCACCGTGAAACTTTGCCGCCTTTTAGCTCACATAAAAGCCTGCCAGTTTCTGCATCAGCCGAATCTTGAATTTTCCGCGCGACGGCACAAACGCGGTACCTGGACTGACGTGAAAGTTCTTAACTTCGGACGAGCTCATGTTAACGACCGGTCAAGCTTGTAGGGCCTTACCACTCAACCGTTTATACATACGGTAGGGGCTTTCAAATGAATGTGTTCTTGACTCAGTCCAACGTCATTCCGTGGTGCAATCGCTGCGAAGGGTGTTGGGTGGTGATAGATTTGGTGGAGTGCGAATAGGCTGTACTATAGTGGACACCCACTGAAGGCGCCCACTAACGGCGCCAACTGGAATAACCTCCCGCGGGTATGTTGCCATGCTCCAATGCGGGAAAGTCTTGGGAAAGAGGTCCAGCCTGACAGACTTCAAGATATCGCACCGAACTGAGATAAATCATAGCGGCTCTCGCAAGTATCGCGATCGTGTTGCAGAAGAAAGTTATATTTCCTCTCTCTGCGCTAATTGCTATTCTTGTCCCAACGCAAATGTGTGGCACATCAGGGTGTTTGGCCATCGCATCCATCCACACGCGTTCCAACAATTTGTTTACCTTTCCACCACCGCCGACGCATTGACCAATCTTCAAATCTCCAAGCTCATCAATTTCATCCAAAGCTAACCTCCATTCTTAGAAAGCATCTTCTCTCCCCGGTCATCAGTTGCCTCCCGTGACCGATACCTCACCGAACACATATTCCCACCGAACCGCACTGCTGTTTACGTATTAGCACGACCAGCAGTCCACCTTCAGACACCTCTTCAAGCCGCATTTATTTCGCATTCCGCAAAAGCCTTGAAGCCCTGTCATCAATTTCGACGGCCGAATCCTAGATACCATTCCTGCCGCCGCCATGTCTTCCGCTACCATGACAGAGGACCCTACCTCTCCCACTCCGAGTCGACGCGGGCCAAAAAGCCCAAGGCCGAGCAAGCCATCGAGAACGATCGGCTTCTGCTGCCACAACTCCAAGCGCATGAAGACCGACCACGAGTTGCGACAGCCTTTGTCGATACCGTGACCAGGCAGGAGACAGTGGTGACTGCCAAGGCAGTATCGGGGTCCTGGATGGGCATGGAGACAAGCACTACACCCTCCACAAATGCTACCAAGACGCCTCGGCGCGGATTGGCAACCTGCCTGCCTACCACCTGAAGGCCAACAAGGCTGCCATTGCGACATTTGAGCAATCGCTCGCCCAAGCCAAGGAGGCTGTGACGTCGACCACCGAGAAGTTCAAGGAGAACTGGGCGCGCTACCACGCGACGGGTGACGAGCTACTTGGAGCCTTGGCCTCTGGCCGTCAAGGTATTTGAGGCACAACTTGCGGTAGCGTAGAGTGGGTAGCAGGCTTTTCTTGTGTTGGGTGATGAGAAGGTGAACTCTAGTATTAATACCGTGAGGAACTAGTTGGGCTGGGACGTGGTGTTGTTATTTGGGCTTTGGGACTGCGAAGTTGACTTGTCCTCTTTTGTGGGTGCTGAGGTCGGGTGTCTCGGTGGTGGTTTGGGTCAGATTTCCTTAGCTTTTATATCCAACCAGAGATGGCAGAGTTGTTCTTGGTTTGGGAACAGTTGAACTGCAGTGGTTTTGAGGCTATGTGGTGATTTGTTGTACTTTGGTGGTGATATGGATGTTTGGAAGAGGGCTCCACACTAGTCACAATAAGGTCATCATATTAGACTGAGAACCTCTTCGGTCACTGTTGCACTGTATCTGAGTCACTGTAAGAGATATTGACCCTGGAATTCTTGTATTCAATGAGATATTCAAGAGTGTCTGTTGGCGAATCTAGGTGAGACGGTGAGCAACAGGCAGGATAAGAGATCTCAAGATATAGGCTTCCGAGTAATGTCAGAAATACTCTCAGACCGTTCAACACAATAACAGAGCTACTTTAAGTGAATATACTCTTAGTGTACATGGTTGAAAAGAGTTCTGCGAGAGTGGCTAGTGTTGAGACTGCGCAATTCGGTGAGTGGTGGAGAGGACATCGGTTTTCAAGGCATTTACTTCCAATTAAGACCAAACTCACTTTCAGACATCTGATTACAGTCACTAATCCATTATGTAAACGTCGAGTCTTCCTGTACGTGCTTTGAGAAAGTTGTGAGAGAGTGGCTGGTGTCGAAACTAAGCGATGTTAGTAGCGGGGGAGGACATCAGTTCTTAGGCCACAGACCGTTCATAAAGCTGAAATTAACTTCGGATGCTTGAAGGCCTTAGTTCAACTACCGACGCAACTTTGGGCTACGCAAGCCGCGATTTGAAGGAGGTGAAAGGTGCCGGCTAGAGTGCACTTTGCGAGGAGCTAAGGTGAGGGGACACTGATTTTCAGGATTGAGATAGGACAGGACGCTAAAACTAAATGGAAATCGGTTATCCGTTATTTTACACATTCGATAGAAGTTTCAAGTGTCTGTATCGCTGTTTGGCTGAGTTGGGCTACATGTTGAGTTTGGTCGGTGCCCACCGGCCGGGACATCATTACAACAGACTTTACACGATGAACATCAATTTTCACAAGCTTAGTGGTTCTGTAGTGTGTTAAGAATGGATTGGGGCAGTTTGGGATAGTGTAAAGGTCGGGAATATGTTCAAATCGCCAAGTGTCCGTTTTGTACTGGCAGCCCCACGTCTCTAACCAAGACAACCGTTTTCGAAATATTACGTGGAAGCAACTGCATCTCTCAGTTGATCTTGTCTTGAGCCGGCTATTAAAGGTAGATCTTGTAGTTTCAGGTGACCAAGATGTGAGAAAGGTCTTTAAATTGCCGTGTGCCCGGTCGACTGTTGTCTCTTTCGCCACTTAAGCTAGGACCGTACTACGAAACATCATAACGATCCTATGGGTCTTATCACAATCAAGAGGAGATTGATATCGTCGAGTTTAAATACAAAGTGCTTGCCGCTTCCCTGCTTAACGGCATTCTGGAGGAAAGTCTTAACCTTGTTACAGCAAAAAGGCGTCACGGCTTTTACATTAGACTATGTGACACTCCACCCAGTCTTCTTTCTACCTTCATACAACACACAATGGTATCAACAACAATATCAATTGAGCTATGCGTTGTTATCCTATTATCCACATGGATAGGTAGTACCGCGTATACCTTAAGCACGGGGATAGTTGGGAATATCCACAAGCCCATCGGCAACATAGTTGTAGCACGACCCAGAACAACCGATGTTTCCACCATTCGTAATGAGCAGTTTCGGCTTTCCCTCAGCAACACTTGTCTCGGGTGTCTGGATTATACGAAGCTCTCGTGAATACGCTGACCACTGTCCGACATTGACCGGCTTCCAGCCTTTTGGGTCCAGAGAATCTGTGTTGACAAAAACCTCTTCACGGCTATTTCCATTCGCAATAAAAATGCCTTTGTTGTTCTGTCCAGGCTCAGGCGTCCAAATAACGAAGGGGCTACCGTTGGGGTTTAGTTTGCCGTCGTTAGGAATAATAGGCTGTGCGGTAGCAGCGCCAAATTGGAGAGGGTCCTGGGAGACCTTGTAGTAAACTGAGCAGCCACCAGTGAGAGGCCCACCACAGTACTCAAAAGTCATGACGTACTTCTTGGAAACCGGGCTAAATGCGACAGTTGCCATACCAGGACGCTGTGAGGCATTGAGATACGCAACGTCGTCGACTTCTTTGCTCCAATTTCGGAGGTCTTTCGTCGTCTTGTGGGAGAGTTTCTGGTTGTACTTGGGATCTACTTGAGTAGAGTAGTAGACAACGAGTTGGCCGCTGTGCATCATTAAGAATGGCTCCCAGACGGCTTGATCTCCTTGAGTGACGGTTTCGGGTCCTGGACCGTAGACAATGTGACTGACAAACTCCCAATCTTTGCCTTGGTTAGTGCTAGCGTAAAGATCGATGTAGGCTTTGGTGAGATTTCGAGGAGTCGAAACGCCAGCTAGAAGGATGGTGCCTTTGCGATAGCCTCCAAAGTCCTGGGGAAGCGAATACAGAAAAGGCTGATACCAGTTCCCCCAGCCATTGACCTGGTCATCAACCCTGGAAAATGGGTTGTATGAGGCACCTCCATCAGTTGACTTGTAGATGGGAAAGTAAGTCAACTTTGAGTCAGGATCATAGTCCTCCCATGAGAGGAGGAGTGACTTGTCGGGGAGCTGGAGGGTTCGACCGTACAGAGTGCGCCAGCTAGTAGCTTCCTGCTTTGGTTTGAACACAGCGTTGTTGTTGAAGTTCGACCAAGGCTTGGCAGCTCTCGGAGTCACTGAAGCTGCCAAGGCTGCAACCATGAAGGTCGTGGCCGTGAACAAACGAGTGATGATCATTGTTGGGAGATGTTGGGATAAAGATAACAGTTTATGGAAGATGTTGTTGTGTTTATTGGCTCTTGGAGGGGTATCATGGACTAAGAAAGAGGTCGAAGAGGCCGTATTTATAGCTCGATCTCACAAGTAACTCAAATGAAGAATTGAAGATGACCAACACGAAGCGTCTAGGATCTAATCCAGTAACCGAAATGTGACGACATGTTAGCACGAGAATATCGATCATTTGACAATTGAATAAAAGCGCACGTATCACGTCGTTTCCGCTCAAGATGCAAGTACATTGTGTGACGGTCAGACCCCAGAAAGGAGGGCATTTAATCAATACAGCCTTCGATAGTGTAGCTCCAAAGCCAAGCTTAGACAAGGAATGCAGACTTCTAGGCTCTAACGATGCGGAGATCAGACGTGAAGGGATAGAAGCTGTGTCTCTGGTAACGGCATTGCATCCAATGATAGGCCTCATTTGCCGATCCTTGTAGTCTATTTTACAAAATACGGGGTAATGAGGGGGCTCGGCGCAAAAGCCAACCACAAGTCGCCATTCCCGAAGCGGGGCATAATGCGGGCTTGCTGTGGAGGCAAAGTGGCGATCAAGTACCTAATCTAGTTAATCAAGCCCGTGGCTGCATTCCATTCCCGCGAACCAGGTGGGCACAGGCTACACGTCTTTCTAAACTAAACATCACTCAGTCACTGCCCGTTGTCTTTGATTTGCCTTGCTTCATTAATGCCATGCGGCCTCCAAAAGCTTGCTATGGATGCCGGCAAAGTAAACGCAAATGCACCCGTCGAAGCAACCAAGTGGGAGATCCTTGTGATCAATGTCAGGCCAAAAACCTCAAGTGTGCAGCCACCTTGATCAATATCCCAGCCCAACCTCCCCCATTGCTGCCGAACCCAATCCGTACCCAAACTCACCATGACACAATCCATGTGCCAATCGACGTTGCGACCCGTCTTGTTGACTACTACCTTAGTAAGCTTCACAACCGACCTCATAGCTTGTTTCATTCAGCTACCCTGAAGACACAAGTGCAGGATGGCTCTATCAACAAGGCCTTGCTCCTTTCCATTTGTAGTATGGGCGCGAGGTTTGACGAGGATGATGAGATAAGGTCATTGGAAGGCAACTATATGGAGGAGTCTAAACGCCTACTCCTTGCCGATTTGGAAAACATCTGCATTGAGAACGTGCAGACATGTATCCTGATTGCCAACCTTTTTGCTGCTCACCTGAACCCCTCCTCTGAGGCACTATTCTTTCGTCAGTTGTATCATTGAGGGTTGATCATGAGTTAGCTACTCACTATCTTTAGGTATTGGTGTGAACTTATTACAGATCATGGAGGCTGGGTCCTGTACCGCGGCCATGACATTGATTGACCGTGAAGTCAGGAGAAGAGCCTGGTGGACGTTATACATGGCTGATCGCTGGTCATCATCTAGTCTTGGACTGCCGCCTCAGATCCGTGACACTGATCTCGCTGTTGATCTTCCTATGAACGAAACTGTATTCGAGTCTCTGTCCCCAGATGAGACCAAGCTCAACGTTCCTTGGCAGCCAGGACTATGGGCGCACAAAATTTCTTTGGTGCGTCTGTTTGGACCTATCAAGGATCTCAATCACCGCTCCGTCTATGGAAACATCACTGCTGGCGAGATTGAGTCAAGCGTGGCGTCTCTCTCAGATATGCTGGAGGAATGGGAGCGGACGATCCCTCAGGACGTCAGAATGAGCGCTGAAAATCTTCAACATCACATCGAGGTAGGTCAGGGTGGCGCATTTATTGCCCTTCACCTTGGCTATCATCATTATGCCACTCTACTCTACTTCCGATTTCTTGAGCCTGCGGCGTCATTATCGCCCTTTGCCGCAATTTATCGCACCAGGTGCAAGTATCATGCCTCATCTTACAGTAACCTCGTCAGGCTTGCTCGTCAAAGCAAGAACTGTGAGGTCATCTACCCTACTGTGGGTCACATGGCTGTGGTATCATCATCAGTCATACTTCATACACTATTGTTCAGTGAAGATGAAAATCTAGAGAATGCCCGAGATGCCCTCAAAGCCAACTTTGAGGCGATTCTTGAACTTCGACGGTATTGGCCTAACACGGAATCCATGGTGCGCACTCCAGGTTTGGGTATTCCTCCAAGAGAGACTGATTGTTGCCAGATCCATCGACTTGTTACCTTTCAAAACTTTTGCCTGCTCTCTAATGACTACAGAACCCATAAGCTTGACGGCTGGATGCTGCGTTTTCTGATCCAGTACTCGCTTCCCTTGGGCGAAAAAGATGTGGTACCCGTGACTTCGGGAATGGATATTGATATGGAGAATTTCTCGGCTCGCACTCAAGCGGTGACCGAACAGGGTAGATACACTGCTTTCGAGATCGAGAACTTCATGTTAAGTGATGTAGACGAGGGCGAAGTCAATGGAATGGTTATCAACTAAGGTGGAAGTTTGAGGGGACAGCGAAACAAAGACCCTCTTGCCCTACCAAGTCTCGATAGTTACAGAAAGAACAATGAGGTGTGATAAGCCGGGAAGAAATAACAAAACGAATGATATATAATGCAAGGCTCTATGGGTCATCCACGTATCTACTGACTGCTTTATGTTCAACAAGCTAATCAGTAATAGAGTAGAAAGTCACTTCCGCAATCATAGTTCTTGCTGGGACAGTGACAGATATGGGAAAGCCACCATAGTCAGGATCTTCATTCGGCATCATCGCAAAACTTCCACTTCTGGTCTCGTCCCCGTTCAGTAAGCGCACGGTTCGTAGACGGCCAGTTTCCTCGTCGTCCACGGCCTTTTCCTCGACCTTGAGAATACCGGTAAAAGTGCTGTTGCGCGTCAAGCTCTTTGCGCTCACATGGAATCCCCAGCCAATCAGCAAGAACTTGCCACTTCCGCGATTGATAACCATACCTGCACCTGGTCCAGGCTTTCCAAAAACAAAGCACCGATCAATTGTGATTTCGAAATCATCCCAGGTCTGTTTGATAGGGTTTGAGACGTCGCAGGGCCCGCCTTCGGGAACAGGGTCAAAGCAAAAACCAACAGACGCGTTGGGTTGGCGCTGAACCTCAAGAACAATGGCCGAAACGGACTTGAGGAGTCCGTAATGCTTGGTGAAAGGGTTGTCGGCAGGGTCCACGGTATCAACACCAAATGGAGCCACACCAATAGCTGCATAAGACCCGTAGGCAATCCAGATACGACGAGCACCATAATCATCCCGTCGTTGTTCTGGTACGAAAAGCGGTTGGTTATTATGTCGATACTTGGCGCATGATCGTCCATAGTCATTGAGATAGATGTCGGGGCCAAGGAAATCCAACTGGGGAGCAAATTGCATCCAAACATCCATAACGTTGCTCACTGCACCACCAGAGGGGTAGTCACCTGGCATACCCCCTCCACCAACAACAATTGGAAAATCGTTATCCGTGTCCTCTCCAGAATAGTTCATCCATAGGTTGGTATAATGTGGAATAGGATATTGTTCCTTACCAGCCGCAGCAACTTCATTGACGTAGAGCGCATAGTGGTAGGCCATAAACAGCTCGTCGGTACGCGGACTAGATCCAAAGACTGTCTCCCAATCTCTGTTACCAGTCCCACTAGGCTCAGGAATTGGGTTAAACTCGGCCAAGTTGTATTTCTTGATATCTTGGTGAAGTCCATCCCAGCTGGAGGACAGAAATCCGACCAGCTCCTTTGGAACAGGCTCGCGAAAAGCCTGCTCGGCTAGCTCGGATCCATCGCGAGAGTCACCCAGCAGACCGCTTTCGTTCTCAACCTGAACCATGATAACAGTCGAGTAAGACTCATCGAATTCCCGTAGGTGCTTCATGAGTGTGCCGAACGCTTTGGCGTCTGCCTTGCGGCTCTCTGGGTGGAAGATTGACACTACATCAGCAGTCTCGAGACGGCCGCCTGCTTTACGCAGTTTTGCTCTAGGGAATCGCTTCGGATTTTGCTTGACCCATGATGGCACGTAGGTTGACAGCCCTGTGTCACGGTTAGTCATCTTTCACTGTGATCTGTGCTAGTTGAAGACCACCAAGAGCTTACCATTCTTGAACGAACCGAACCAAAGCAGTACAAGATGGACAGAGTGCTTCCTAGCAGCAAGAATAATCTCGTCGAGGACGGAAAATTTGAAAACACCCTCCTCGGGCTCTATCATTTCCCAGGTGACGCAGCCTAGTAAGGTGTTGATATTCGTATCGACCATCTTTTGCCAGACTGGCTCCATATACTCAACCGATGTCAAGGAAGAGTTCTGGAGTTCGCCTGCCCGCATGAGAAATGGACGCCCCTTGACTATAAGTTGTTTGGAATTCTCATTTTGCGCCAGGTGAGGTATGTTAATACTGATTGGCCCCATTTTGGAAATTTGCTGGGCGTTATTATCCAAGAATTTCATCTTGATGGCTCCAAGACAAAGAATGTGTTGACTGATAGTCGAGAAGATGAAGTGTGGTTGACAGTCGAAGGGAGTAGAAAAGTATACCTGAGAGTCTCACGGTCTCCGGGAAAGCGGGATTGGATAGCTCTGATTGGCTGATAGCCCGCAAATGGACCCACTCAGTCAAGTCGGAAAAGCCATCATCTAAGTGGCTCAAACGCCGCACCTACTGGCAAATAGTTTACAAGTAGTAAGGAGAATCAAGGGTTCATTACAAGCAGTCTACTCTTCTGTATTGGCGGGAATTGATAGGTTGAGACACTATGAGATACCGGCGAGATATCCAAATGTGGTAAGAGGGGAGGCCTTTTTGACCTGGTAAGGCTGTCCCCAAAGTGGAATCTTTGGACGGTTCATGACTTGCGTCAATGCCTTGTTTCGAAGGCATGGGTCAGATGGTAAAGATTTGCTACATTAATGGACCTGAATCTCTTGCAAAATAAAAGTCTAGACAGAAGACAAACAAAAAGTAAGTCTAGCCACGCCCCGGACTCGAACCGAGAGCCTTTGCTACCGGAAAACAACGCGCTACCATTGCGCCAACGCGGCGACTGCATTAGCATTATGTTTTCGAGTGTTATCTCAGCCTCATCAGTATTATTCGCAGATCCAACCCTAACTGCCAAATCCACATTCCACACGGATGTAATCAGCTGGGGTTTTATCCGCTGCGTGGCTTGAACGGGACGGTGGTATATGGTGTCGAACTCAATCAAGGTTGTTTTGCTCACGAGCTTTGGTTTGGAACCAAGCAATAATAATATGGGTGTGCCTTGTCCAAGCGTATTATTTTTAACCAAACTGCGTTTTCTAAAAGATACTCCATAATGAAATAGTAGGGGGTGATTGTACTGACCAGCACCAGTTTGTTACGAAATTGTGGGATCCAAAGTATGCTATAGGGTATGTACATATGAGTATCTCCACGCGAAGGCGCAGGAACGCAAATCGTCGCTGCAGGGTAGCATAATCCCTTTACATGGACTCAATACGTCAACAATTATATAAGCACCATCGGCGACAGGTTTTCTTCCTCTTCCTCTACGTCGTAATCAACATAGCCTAGTCAAGTTCCGTTTCACTCACCACCCCATCACATTTAGACATGCTTCATACCACGAGGCTATCCGGAAACAATGTCAATCAGCCCAGGAGTTTGCCATTGTTTTAGGGGTTTGGTTCCAGAGGGATTAGATTGAGTGTCTAGGAAGTCGGCAATGATGGTGGGAGAATAACCATCTGACACATTCAAGGCTGGTACTGTAATCTTCGTAATTCTAAGCGATGAGATCAACCGCCGTGATCAAATCGAACTTTCCATGAAGTGGTCGTCAGGTTCATTTCTACTATTGCATGGAGCATAATTCTTTGTGAAAGAGTGCAAGAGCTGAGATCTGTGATTGGATCACACAATAAAGTAGTATCAACATCCAACTACTCCATTCTAATCGCCACGTCAAGGCTTAGTTTGTAAAGCTTTCCAGGAAGATTCCGGTCTGCACCGAGTTCGAACAGTAAGAAGGACGCCTCTTTATAGAACTTGCACTGATCAGCGTTAATCAGCCAAAAGAGCAAGCTCTGCAGCAGCTGATTGGGTTTATTAATATCTCACAGCTAATTCATTCCTCTCGCCTTTTATACTCCTCTTTAGTAACAGGCTCATACCATGTCGTTTCCCCTGTAACCATCACGAGATGAGTCATAATAGTCTCGTCATCAGCCCCGTGCCAGTGTGTTGTTCCAGGAGATACCCAAATAATATCACCAGCCCTGATGCGCCTGGCTTTGTCCCCTTTGTCGCAAATCCATCCGCTGCCTGAGAGCACATGAATCATTTGCCCTTCTGCATGACAGTGCCAGTGCGTGCGAGCGCATGGCGCGAATGTAACACTGGCGATGCCAGCACTTTTGTCGAGGTGCATGATATCGGAAAACACCTGGCCAGTGAATGTGGTTGAAACTTGGGTGACCTTGGTGCCTCTGTTGGAGATTATTGTCGATTCAGGCATCTTTTCTTCTTCTTAGTCAAGGCTAATCGATGGTATGTATTATAGGAAAGCGTTTGCATGGGAGTGTGACAAAGATAAAGGAGTTTTTTTAATCTTATGGTTGAGTGAGAGAGAAACTGACAGGAGGTGAGTCGCGATTTATATAGTTATGAGAGGATCGTACAGGGCGATGATCAGTCGGCATCCCTGTCTCCGCTACTCAGTCACAAAATGGATCTTGTTTATTGATTGGTCCATGGTGCTGTGGTATGACACTCACAGTGCCTTCTCATCCCTGTCTTCTGACCGGTCATCGGCGGTAAAGGGCTCTTCCTCCTGGTATACCTCGTACTTGTACTTGCTCCCGGTATGATCATCCCTTAATCGAGCCTGTCCCTTCCCATATACTCGTTCCCGTGCCGTTAATCCAGATTCAATCTCCTCGGGGTATATTCCACGCCTCCGAAGCTCAGGCACAAGCAAGTCCACTACATCCTCAAAGGAGCCGGGCGACGTGACATAGCCGAGATTGAAGCCGTCCACATCAGCGATGTTGATCCACTTCTCCATTACATCCGCCACGGTCGACGGAGACCCGACAGCGGATGGTGAAATCTCGCTCATCGCTGCTTTCAAGCCAATGAGACGAGGTGTCCAGACGGGCGTCTCGGCGGTGGGCTTGAAAATACTGCACAATTTTGTACCTTCCTCACAATCTATTTTGCTGATGTCCTCATCGAGCGGGAGTTTTGACATATCAATTCGAGTCCATCCGCTGAAAAGCACTAAGCCACCAACAGGACTTGCGTGCTTCACGAGCTCTTGATATTTACCCTGAGCTTCCTCGTCCGTTTTGCCAAGAATAGGCGTAAAGGAAAGGTAGAACTTCAAGGAGCGTGGGTCTCGGCCCTTGTTGGCCGCAATCTTGCGATTTTTCTCAATCTGCCCTCGCAGCAGCTCAGGAGACGGTGATGAAACAAAGATACCCTCAGCATGTGTGGCTGCAAAGTCGATCCCCTCGGCCGAAGAGCCTGCCTGAAATAGGAACGGCGTTCGTTGGGGAGAAGGGTCTACGATATAGCGGGTAGATAATTTGTAATACTTGCCCCGATGATCGATGTGGCAGACTTTGGACGGATCAACATATGTGTCCGTGGTCTCATCAGGTTGCAGCGCATCATCAGCCCAGGAGCCCTCCCAAAGTCTGATAAGATTCCATGTTAGTAAGATGGTATGTAGTGTGTGGGGTCAAAGAAGGCGAGGCGCACTTATACAATGTTCTCATATACTCATCAGCCTGAGCATATCGTTGATCATGCTCGATAGGATCTAAGCCAATGGCATTAAAGGCAGATTTCTTCCACGACGTGACTATGTTCCAGCCGATGCGTCCATCTGTCATGTGATCGAGAGTTGAAAATCTCTTTGCAAGGACGAAAGGAGCTTCAAAAGATGTAGAGGCTGTGATTCCAAAGACGAGGTTCTTCGTTGCTGCTGCCATAGCTGTGATCGGCTACAACGGGGTATTATTAGAGTAGTACTAGATTATTCAGAGTGTGTGTGGCTTACAATAGACGGATCAGTCACTGGCCACTGAACAGCTTTCCTGATGCTCTCCTCGACGCTGTCGCCGTAGGTGTCGAAGCCTCCATTGGTATCTGCAAGGAACAGCCCACTAATTCCACCTCTTTCAAGGAGCTTAGCTAAATCGACCCAGTAATCGAGCTTCCGTTTTGTTGCCGACCTATCAGATGGATTCTGTTGAGATAGAATGAGAACACTGTTCGCTTTCAATTCTGGGCAAGGGCATACACACTTTCCAATGTCCGACCGAGAGATGGCCAACAGTTGACATGTCAAAGGCATTAAGAAGGATTTGCTTTTTTGGCAGCTGTTCACCAGCCGTGATAACTTTGGTTGCCATATTACTGACTTTTCTGTGAAGATCTGCAATAAGGGTTGATATTTGGTTAATTGATGTTTCTATCAGTTACGTTTCTATGTATATATATATATTTATATTCTTTTATGCTCTCCAGCATGTCTTCTATTGCATGGCTTTTTTACTATCTTAAGATCGGATCAGTTATTGCGCCAACAAAATCTACCCGATATCGCGTAGCACGTTTCCAAGCCCATTGATCACGTCTTGGCCTGAAGATCTACTTATGGACTAGGGTGCGATCCAATCTATCCAGATGCCCCGCTATGGAACCAGGTGTATCGGGGGCTGTCCATTAGCATAGCCACGAGTTGATTGACGCAATAGGCCATCTTGAGAGATGATTGGACCGTACCTGGATTTCAAATGGGGGAGCTTTAAGTGGAGAACATGGGCGAAATAAGTAACCCACATATAAGAAGCATCGCGGAGCTCCGATAAGAATGCAATTCCCAGTGTTTCTGCTAGTCAGCTTTATCAACAATGAATACTCAACGAGAGTCTCAAAATGGGCTAATGGAAGATCAGAGGCCCCGCAAGATTCGCCGGACTGCAGCACCTATCTCCGTACCTGATTTCCCCTGGTCGTTAGGGAGTTCAGAGATTATGGGGGTTCAATATGACGATTGCCGGCACTCGAGCCGGGGCTCTCCCTGGACCACCATCGCGGACGAGCCCGATCCTCTACGTACCACATCGAAGCAGCTGTCGTCTACCAGCACGGGCCAACCATCTCGGACTCGAGGGCCAGTTGCGTGTCAAAAATGTCGGTCGCGGAAAACGAAATGCGATAACCAACGACCAACCTGTGGCTATTGTCTCAAGGTTGGCGAATCATGCGTCTATGAAACAGAAGCAACTTCTCAGTAAGCAGCCACGCCCTTAGGCCCATCGCTGCAATGAGTGGATCATGCTAAACATGACAGTTGCCATGTCTTTGGACAAGAGGTTCTTCAAGCACTAAGCGAGCTTCGGGAGATAGTGTTGAAACAACCAAATGCCGTATCCGTGATTAATGGCCGTGAGGGAACCGAAGCCGGCCAAGATGGCACTTCCCCTTCCTCTGTTCGGCCTTCTACTGCCACGCCAAAGTCTCAGCCGACCACTGCAAGTAGCGACCTCGGCACCAAGTCAGCACTCTCGCTAGGACAGATCCAAAGGGTCGAAGACATCATACAATGGCGAATTCTTCAACCGCACATTGTGGCGAGAGACATTTATCCTGATGCAAATTTACCAGCCATTCTTAGCCATTCTATGCCAACTACTGACGCCAAGATGCTGGCTGGCCTCAAAGTCAAGTACATACACAGCGTGCACCTGTTGAACCCCATATTAAACCTTGCTACTCTGAGCGATCTTATCCTCAGCCTGTCGGAGAACGGACTTGACTGGTCGCTCGAGACTTGTCTCACTGCACTTGTATGTGCCATTGGTGCTATTACGGAGCCACTGGGGGCATCGCAGACGGAGGGAGAAATCGACCCCTACGACTCTCAACCTCGTAGTGACCCAGACCTGGCTATGAAGTACTGGAACGTATCCTCCAAGCGTCTGGGATTGGTTTTTGATCGGAATGACATAACTGCTGTACAGTGTCTGTGTCTAGCAGGGTAAGGGTATTATGGTAAGAGTGTTGATAAATTTACCACTCTATCCCCTTTCAACTTCGAGGCTAATGTAGTAAAAGTATTTGGTATATGCACAACTTGCAACCACTACAAGCATGGAAGTACTTCAGTCAAGCGGCAAACACTTGGCTTTGCACTGTCCTCCGCAAGCAAGCATACTCACGACTATGGAGAGGAGGTAGCACCGCTGACGAGTCAAGTAGTGACCCACTGAGCGAATCTTCAGACCGTATTCATTCAGGTCCAATCAGCGTGGAGGATGCTCTGTACTTCACGATATGGAAATCCATGTGGTATGTTGGCTCCTTCTGGAAGACTATGGAGGTCAATTTGTGCTCACTAGTCCCCATATAGTGAGCTGCGCCCCGAACTGTCCCTCCCCCGTTCGGTTTTGGAAGGCTGTCAAGTCACTCGACCATTTCCAGCACTCCCAGAAGACCCAGAACTAGGAAGCGCGTCGAAGCTGGACGAGCGTAGCTGCTACTACTATCTATCAGAGATTGCTGCACGTCACCTCTTCAACGACCTCCTTGAATGCCATGTCTATGATTACGCCAACATCCAGCCTGCTGATGTGAAACGAATGATTCGCCACGCCGAGATATTCGAGACGCAAATCCACGACTGGCGCTCGTCCTTGCCGGCCCAGCTCCAGTTCGACATTCCCACAGACTTGAGTCTACCGGATCTTGACGACCCTATGACTCTAGTATTGAGGCAACGGTACTTGTCGAGTCTCGAAATGACATACCGGCCTTTGTTAAGAATATGCACTGATTTTACTTTGCAAGATTCCCAAGGATATGACGCATCCATCAGGAGAAAAGTGGCCAAATTGGCTTCTCAGAACCTGCAATTTTCGTACTTGAAAGTCCTGCGCATAAGCGACAGGCTTCATCAGGGAACTTGGTTCAATCTGCGCAGTTTGACTGGATCATGCTTGCGCTTCGCTGCGGTAGAGATAGCCCAACGGGACGCAAAGCTGTCTGGCGCACAAGAGGTGGAGGTTCCGCCAGACTGGAGGTCTGCCATAATGCGTGGAATAGAAACCCTGCAACCGTACTGGACTTCGAGTCGTAGTGGTGGGGCAGGGTTAATGTCCCTGATGGACCAAGCCTTGAAGCTATAGGGGTGCATCATAAGGTTTCTTGGTGAGAAGTGTGAGGCCCGAAGACTAGGAGAAGAGGCCAAGCCATTATGTTTGCTACTGAGTGAGTGATGAGTCAGATAGACCTCAGACTGTCGAGTAGGTTTAGTTTCAAGCATGAGAAGGAAACCAGGTATATCCCGGTCTCAAAATACAAGATCGAGAGATTGGATACAACCATATTTGAGTGCAAATAGAGCACCACTTTGGGATTTGCGAAACCGTGGTTAGATAAAGATGAAGTCTTGATAATTGATAGAGATAGATAATTGCCTATGCCATGAATCCAAAACCTGGCTAGATCAACTTTAGATATAAAGGCAATGGAGGATGAATATATTCTATATAAGCCCGTTTGTCCGCAAATGCGCGATGGTTAATTCTCGATTCCAAGTGTTTTGGCACACGAATACCACAATCCCAAACGAACTCATCAATCCATGAACAATTAGGTCTTCTGCACTGTTACTGTGCGAAATGTCTCGTCGAGGTCGCTGGACTGGCCGGAATCACTGTTCATATGGTTCGTAGATTCTGAAACGTTTTCCTCGTCGTTATTGCTTTCTCTAGATCTATGTCAGCATCGACCTTGGATGAAATACTAGATCAGGTTGTTGGGGAAGTCAACTAACTGGCGAGACTTTATCCACCAACTTAGTGGATGAGATAATGCAATCAACGTGCAGGACATGGCGATACCGAAAGAAAAGCCCTTGGTGAATCTAGGGGCTTCAACTGTCGGGTAGGTCAGAAGTCCGACCCAAGCCGTGGACGATTGTGCCCAAGCGGTTCCGATAATGAGTGTCACGGCTCTTTGGGCTGGAGAATGCCTCATAACATGGTTTACCCAGCCATAGACGACGGTGGAGGTTGACGCAGCAGCAAAGTTAGTCATGAATGCGAACCATTTGGCTCCCTCGGGAACATCCCAGACCACCAAGATGACCAGGCCAACTATGTTAAAGACGTGGCCGCCTGTCAATGCCCACACAGGCCCAACCAGCAGATCAGAGGCGAAAGCGGTTGCCAGAACAAAGAAAATACCACAGACTGGCTGTAACGTTCCTAGCTCATTGATCTTGGGGATTGAGTATCGATCCAAGCTCTTAAGCCACAAGAGGTAGGCTCCACTACCTTGGGCTCCGCCTGAGTTCCAGAATAAAGTCATGATGACCAAGAGCACCCAAAATACTGGGTTCCCTAAAACCTGACCTAGAACTTTCCACTGAAATTTCTCGGAGGTCGAGTGGCCAGCTGACTTCAGTCGCGAAACTGAGAGGTCGATGTCGGTCTGGTTCAGGACCAATCGGTTTGGCATAGCTGGGGTACCGGGGATAACAAAGATACCGAGAACACCAATTGGGATAGTTATGATTGCGCATATGATGTACATCCATCGCCAGCCAGCCAAGCCATGTACATCATGAAGACCGCGTGACGTACCGGCTTGAATCAGACCAGCAGTTAGAACGCCGACAGTGGTACCATTATAAAAGATGCCAGCACGACGAGAGATCTCATCTTTTCGGTACCAGCATCCAAGCATGTAGTGGACTGATGGATAGAAAGCGGCCTCAAAAAAGCCAATCAGAAACCGGTATGCCATTATCTCTGAAGCACTTGTCGCACGAAACTGGAGAAGGGTGAATAAACCCCATAGGACATCGACGGCAGGTATCAACCATTGAAGCGGGACATGGGTGAGGAGGTACATAAAGGGAAGCTGGCCAAAAACAGCTCCAACAGTGTATAGCGTTTGGAACTGAACGAGTTCATTGCCATAGAGTTTGAGATCTTCCCTCATGCCTGAAACGTATGCATTGTCTGAGATTTTGTTAGAGAACTTCCTTATCGGTCATGGGGTCTTGATTGAACATACTGATATTGGACTGGTCAATGTACTTGACCCAATATGCAAGGAAGACGTAGGGCACGATGAGAAGGTCGAGCTTCAATATCAACTTTCTCTCTTTCGGGGTGTCTGTGTTTGCAAACCACCTAATCTTCCACCATGGGTGTTCAGCCATTTTGGTATGTTCGGGCGTGGTAGAAGTTGTGGTCTATAACATTGATATATCGGCTCAAAGGTTTAGCCTTTTATGTTTCGAAGAGGCTTGAGCTACACATATATGTCCTGCAATGCGAATGACTTGGGCACATTTGCAACTATTCTACCCCTTCAGCTGGAGCAAGGCGTGCTTCCTGGTTGAGTTCACGAAATTCCGTCGCAGTGAATGCTTCTAGCATATGAGCAGCTATCTCCAGGGCTGCGTACTTCCATTGCCTGCAGGAGCACGCGATTCTGCTACAGTATGAGCTTGGTAGTGAATCAAGTTTAGCTCGAGACTAGGCTAATTAGCTGTCAGGCATAATCCTTGTCGTCGGGGAGCTTACCGATGGCTCGAAAAAGGTTCCACAGCCAGCCCGTGTGGAGCTACAGTCCGCATCAAACGGCGGGTGGATCGATGGCATCATATTGTGCCGAGCGAATACACTTCAGCCAGCGTTATCAGTGATTTGAGTGAGATATCAAAATGGAAAACAAAATCTTTTAACATGATTGAAGTTCGCTGGAGTGCAAGTTTGATCCAAAGAGACTTTTTGTAGCACCCGCAGCTGCTGTCATCCTACACCATGTCCACCATCTCTGAAACTCAGCCCGAACGTATTTCCGTTGCTCAGTTCTCAGCTCAAGCCAAAGGCGAGATCTTAGCATCAGAATTTGGACATCCAAGTGTACAAGCCAATGAACTGGTCGATGTTACGAACGACAAGGTAGTCAATGGTGTAGACACTCCAGCCAGTCACAGCACGCAGGAACAAACTTCACGCCCCGAAACTGTTGCTTCCTATCCCGTTTCAGACCTCAAGCTGGAAGATCGATGTATCGATGATTTCCGTCCGCTGCGTGTCGCTGTGATTGGCGCTGGACTCTCGGGCATCCTATCCGGGATTTTGCTCCCCTTGAAAGTGCCTGAGATACAGCTGACCATTTTTGAAAGGAGTAGAGACGTGGTAAGTGCATAGCACCTCTTTGCTCTGAGCCCTTTTTCTGGTTCTACAATTACTGAATTTGGAGCCTGAGCAAACTTAGCTAACATCCCGAACAATAGGGCGGAACCTGGCTTGAGAATGTTTATCCTGGAGTGCGATGTGACATCCCTTCCCACGTCTACCAGACCACCTTTGACCCTAACTTGAATTGGTCTGAGCAATTTGCAGAAGGAGCAGAGATTCTTGACTACTGGAAGAGCCTGGCTACGAAGTACGACATTGCCCGCTACCTACGTATGGGCACCTATGTCGAGACCGCACAGTGGGATGATACGCATTCTACTTGGGCACTAAGTTTGCAGGATGTGGACTCGAAGTATACTTCTGTCGAACGTTTTGACTTTGTAATAACCGGAATTGGACGATTCAATGAGTGGAAGCTGCCAGACTACCCTGGTATCAACGACTTCAAGGGCCATCTCCGACATACTTCCAACTGGGACCCAACGTATGATCCCACCAACAAAAGGGTCGCGGTCATTGGCAATGGTGCCAGTGGTATTCAATTGGTTCCAGAGCTTCAGAAAACGGCGAAACATATTGACCACTATGCGCGTAACAAGACTTGGATCGCTGCTGGATGGGGCGGTCGCGAACGTCAGGTTGGGGCGGAATACATCCCCAAGGACCAGATCGACTCCTTTGGCGATCCGGACACCTACCTCAAATTTCGCAAGGACGCAGAAGATCGATACTGGAGAGGCGCCAATGCGATGAAAGCAGGGACCAAGGAAAATGCCGACTATCGGGAGAGGTTCATCGACATCATGTATCGGCGGCTAGAGAAGAAGCCGGGCTTAGCTGAGAAGATGATACCCGACTTCTCACCTCATTGCAGGAGGTTGACTCCAGGTCCTGGATACCTAGAAGCGCTGACCGAGAATAATCTGGAATATATCCAGACACCGATCTCCAAGTTTACCGCCACAGGCATTGAAACGGTGGACGGGGCTCATCGCGAAGTGGACGCGATATTCTGTGCGACAGGTCATAATGTTGACTTCGCTCCTCCGTTTTCCATTCGTGCGCGTGGCGTGGATCTCAAGACGGCTTGGAAACCTGGCGGAGAGATTGGATATCCCAAGACATATCTTGGAATGGCGAGTGCCGGGTTCCCAAATCTGTTTTACATCGGCACGGTACACACCAACGGCATCGCCGGGACCTTTATACACAGCATTGAGAACCAAATCACCTATTACGCCAAGGTGCTACGTAAAGTGTCCAGTGAGGGCATCAAGACCATCACGCCCTCTGCCAAGGCGGTGGATGACTTCATATCTTATGCTGATGCCTACTTTCCCACGACGGTCATGACTGGTAATTGCAGCTCCTGGGCAAATGGCGGACGCCCTGGTGCGCGTATACACGGTGCTTGGCCTGGAAGTGCCTCACACCTAACCTTTGTCCGTCGCAACCCCCGCTGGGAGGACTTTGAGTATGAGTATGTTTCAGGTAGTGGCAACCGATTTGCCTACTACGGAAACGGTCGGACGGTCAGGGAGGCAGATCCCAATTTTGATATCACCTCATATCTAAAGAGGGACCCAGCTCAGATTGATCTCCGCGATATTCATGAGACCTGGCATAGTTGGCCATAGGGTATTAGTCCCTCGGTTCCTATATTTTGAACTTATAGTCTGGCAACTAGGAAGCCAGTAGTCAATATTAAACTTAAATCAAGCCGGTATTGTTTCAAACCCGTCAAAAGGGGATAAACCATAAGAACTAGGCATTGTATTATCACGCGATTCATTGTACAAGTCACTGACAAAAATGATTAATCATGATAAACCGAATATATAGACCAAGATAACCTGGGAGCTGTTTTTGCAAAGCGGGTTCAACAAATCAAGTGGTCAATTTACTGATTCATCCACCACTGCAATCCCCACATCTAGGTGCATGGAATGTTCTGAAGAGAGTATGCAAATACAAACCCATCCGCAGGCTTCAAGTCTACCAGCATGATGCTCTACTGAGTTAGCAATTTAACAAATTATGATAGATCCGAATCACCCTTGTGTTGGAACCTACGTTTGTAGACATTATCTGCGTCTTGGCTGAGCAACACCCTTGCTAATTGAGCTGCTCTTGTACCCAGACTTTTACAAGAAGTGGTAGTTCATATGTATTAATTCTTTGTCATCTACAAACGACTAGATGTGCTTTCAGCCTCATATTTAAACAACGTCCTGTCTCCAACTGCAATACAGACCAGTTATTTTCACAGCCTTGAGCGTAACAAAGAAATTCATTCTTCAGTTTGAAGCAAGATAGGTTGACCGTTTTTGACATAGTCAAACACCCCACGCACATTAGCGGTTCGAACATCCCAAGGCCCTTTCGGTCCTTGGTCAGTATTCCCACTCAAGAAGTTGTGTGGAAATCCGATGTCGAAAGAGTAAGAGGTGTCGATATCAGCAATATCTTGATCTGTCAAGCATAGGCTCAGCGCCCCAATATTGCCCCGGATGTGATCGAGCTTCCGACCACCCACGATGGGGAAGACATACGTGGATTTGTGTAGTACGTATGCTAAGGCAACAGATGTGACGTCAACACCTTTGGCATTTGCAATGCATTCAAGCCGCTCCGAGACCAGAGCCTCGCGACCGTTGTTCATTGAAGGCATGTTCCGACCTCCATTCTTGATCTGGTCTTTGGGCTTGAACAGGCCGCGGCCGAGCGTTCCCCATGGCGCTATACCCATGCCTTCAGCGTGACACATGGGAACGATGTCTCGCTCCAAATCTCTATCAGCTGCGGACCACCGGCCTTGGTAGACCGAGAACTGCCTGAGTCCATGTTGCCTCGCGTACTCATTACACTTGACCACGATCCAGGCGGGTGTATCTGAGATGCCTAGATACAAGACTTTGCCTGAGGTGACTAAGTGATTGAGTGACTGCATAATCTCGGGTATGTCTGCTGTCATGTCCCAAAAGTGGAGGTATAGAAGGTCGATGTAGGTAGTCTGAAGTTTCTTGAGACTCGCCTCCACTGATAGGTGCAGGCTCTTGGTACCATTTCCACCATAATTGGATTGTTGACGGTGCGACTCCGACCTGGACTTGAAATTTCCTGTATATTTTGTAGCCAGGACGAACTCATCGCGACGCTCGGTCTTGAAGAGCCACTCGCCCAGCCACTTTTCCGACTCTTCCCCTTGGTAGCTCGATGCTCTAGAGATTGTGTTAGGGCTTCGGCCTGTAGTGACCAACAGATAACTCCAACTTACGTGTCAAGGAAGTTACCTCCCTGCTCGTAGAAGTATTCGAGAATCTCAAATGCTGTTTCCTTTGTGCACTCTCCCAAAGAATCGCTCATCACACCACCGAAGTTCATCGTCCCCAGACATATCGGGCTGACAAAGACTCCTGCAGTCGGAGCGAGCAGACGGTGACGGCCAAGCGGGCTCTTAGGAAGCTGAATGGTGGGTGGTGCCATCGCAGAGGTTGCCGAAATCAAGGCAGGGGAAGTAAAGATCTGAGGAGTTGACGCAACCGATTAATGAAACGTGTTCGAGCACTGATTTTGGCAATGACTATATTGTAAGTCGCTGGCGTCGCGGAGAAGAGCCGAAGTAGGCCTAAGCCTTTCTAGCTTATCTATACTGATAGGATCATATTGGGCCTTAATTGTGTGCTTGGCGACTTAATCAGCATCGCGGAGTAGAGCCGAAGTTGGTATAAACCTTTCTAGCCTAGCTTATCCATGCGGACAGGGTTGCGTTAGACCTTAATTATATCCTTGGCTACGGAGTATGTAATCAGCATCGCGGAGCAGAACCGAAGTGGGTCCAACCCTTTCTCGCTTATTTATGTGGATTCGGTTACATCAGTCCTCGATAACGTTCCTGGCTACTGAATAGAAAGTGAGAATCGCGGAGTAGAGCCGACGTGAAACCCTTGCAGATATGAATTATTTCCGCGAAAAATAACTCTTAGCCCCGTAGTGGCTTATCTGCTCGGTATTGGCACCGGTCCACGGACATAACCACCAAGCAGGGGTCACGGTGATGAACCGCCAGAATTCCTCAAGTCATGATGAACGTTATGCTAGCATGACGACTTTCGCAGCTCACAGTTCTCTGACAGTCTCTCCAAGGATCATGGCGTGACTGCTTGCTTCGGCTTACATTGTCGGACTGTTGCAAAGATATGTGCTTAGCATCTTCGATTACGGGATGTATGCCTCGATAATATAAGATTACCTTCGGGAACCGAAATGGAAGTCTAACTCTCTCAGTAACATAACAATTCGGACCAAAAATGACCACTGTCACGACTACTGAAAGGTCTTTGCAGGACGGCAATCTGCCACCGCTGTCGCACGCCACAGAAGATGGCCCAGTCCAGCGCACCAAGACTTCGTTGTCACCTCTTGGCTTGTATGTGCAACAACTCTCTTGCATTCTCGCGGCTCAGTCTGACGTCGAGTTTCTTCCAGATACGGTCTCCCTTACTGGGGTAATGAAAAGGGGGAAAAGTAAGGATTCAATTTTTCTCTACCCTCTTGCCATTGGGGTGAAGCTAATAAATATCTGACTACAGAATACCTCCCCTAGAGCCCTTCGAGCATTATGAACATGGCAAAGATGCGGATCCCAACTTTGGATCCTTGTTGAAAGAAGGAGTCAAAGTTTCTGACATCACAAAGTCCATCGGCGCAGAGGTTACTGGCGTCCAGCTTTCTCAGTTGGACAACGACGCAAAGGACGAACTCGCACTATTGGTTGCGCAAAAGAAGGTATGTTGCTGCGAGAGCTCTAAGGGCTGGCTGTTGCTAACATACTGAAGATCCTAGTTTTCCATGATCAGGATTTTAACACCATCCCAATTCAACAGGCTGTTGATTTCGCAAGCTATTTTGGGAAACTACATGTGCACCCTGTGAGGTAACCACGACCCATTTCGTTCCTGACAATGACAAATCTCGTTGTATACTTGCGCCCAGTGGCTTACCTTCTTACGTGTAGTGGCGCTGTTGCCGGATTCCCTCAGCTTCATATGGTTTACCGTGGTCCTGAGGATGTCGGTCACGACAAGTTACTAGAAACTCGAACCACTTCTGTTTCATGGCACAGCGACGTAAGCTACGAATTACAACCTCCGGGGACAACCTTTCTGTTCGCCATAGACGTTCCCGAGGGTGGAGGTGATACTCTGTTCGTGAACCAGGTCAAGGCATACGAGCGACTGTCTCCCGCGTTCAGAGAGCGACTGGCTGGGCTTAAGGTCTTCCATTCCGCACATGAACAAGCTCACGCAGCGCTCAAAAATGGGGGGCAACTGAGGAGAGATCCTATCACTTCCGTGCACCCTCTGGTACGAACGCATCCAGCAACAGGTGAAAAGGCACTCTATATTCAGCCTCAGTTTGCCCGCTCAATTGTGGGCTACAAGAAAGAGGAGAGTGACGCGCTACTTAATTTTCTATATCAACACATTAGCTTCAGTCAGGATATTCAGTGCCGGGTCAAATGGAGCCCACGTTCCGTTGTCGTATGGGATAATAGGGTCACAGCTCACTCGGGGTTAGTAGACTGGGAGGGACCTCGTTTTAGGTATATTGCCCGTCTAGCTGCACAGGCAGAGGCGCCAACAGAGTAGATACTTACTAGATCTTTTAGAAGGTATCTAAAACAGGCTATCTTAAGGTATGATTTATCTTTCAAGATCCAATTCCTACTATCTTATATCTCTTATCAGCCTCCCCTTGTGGCGATATTTGGTCAGAGAATGGTCTTTACCTGACTCACTGCCTCGATTGAAACCCAGAGTGAACGTCAATACCAGCTCAGGTCAGCAGAACTCCCTGGATCAAAGGTTGATTGCACTTGATCAGTGCAACCGAGAGGTTCATCTGTGTCCACATTTCTCAGTTTCTCATAGCCACATTCTATATGTGCATGGAGTTAGTGTTGTGATTGAGGTTGAGCTCACTGATCTGAGCTGCCTATCACCATCATCGACATCACTGCTCGAGACTAGGGTACCCCACACCTCTCTTTTGCCAGCATCTCCAGACCCTCATTCTACCTGCGACGTACCGTTCTGAGAGCTGAGATTTTCGGAGATGCTATCGCAAGCGTCGTCTATATACCTGTTTCAACACATTCCGCGTCATGAATACGGCATCCATTCCGTTACTCCTTTGGGAGAAGTACATGCCCAAATTAAAAGACTAGAGCCTTCATTGAAGCTCTTATGGACCATATTGGCGGTGGTGGGCGTTAGAAGGTGTTTTAGGGACATGCTACCCGCGACAGTCGTGAACTCCACCGACGGCTCTGATTCACTCCATCAGCATCACTGCCCCAGCTTCTATTCCACCAATCTCAATCCTGCCATAAAGAATGCAAATAAACTAGAGTAAAAAATCCAAACCAGCCTTGAGCCTTTTATTTTTCACATCGCCCGCTATCCCTCACACCTCTCTCCTCCATGTACTCCTCCTTCAAACCTTTCTTCTTCGCACTCAAATCATTGCTTCAACAAGCCCGAAGGCTCTAACATCAATATGGCCCCCCTCGAGTCTCAGCCTCTCCCATTTCGCTGGAATAAGAAGCCGCATCCTCCAAAGCGCAACCCTTGTGCCAGGAAAGAAAGAAATGCCTGCTCAAAGCGCAACATCACAAGCCATTGGTGCGTTGTCCTCCCGTCTCGCATTCTGCAGCAGTTTCTGACTCCTAAAAGGATTCTCTCCCTACCCCTCGTCGCGACAAGAATCATCAGGTCACGAAAACCGGCTTAGATGAAACCATCGCAAAGATCGAACGAGAGCAGAACAAGGCTGACAGGCTCCAAATCGAGCGCGACAACATGTGGCCTTCCATCAAAGCGTATGAGGCCGCTATCCAGGAACATCAGCGGATCATCATTAAGTCGCGAAACAACCAGACCATTCGTGACAAAGAAACGGATAAATGTGAACAACGCGAGACACAGCTGGACGATGAGCTAGATAGGATGTGGAACTTGGAGAAGGACATTGATCATACTGCCTGTGTCATCGTTGAGTTGCTAGACGATCAGTACAAGATTGAGGCGGAGCTGGCTTACGTAGAGAGCACTATGGCCCACGCTCTGTAAGTTCATGTTTTTCTCGAAGGTGGGTAAGAAGCTACCAAGGAATTGAAGCCAACAGTCAATCTTCCAGAAGCAAGCATTCTGGCGGTTTGGATTGGCAGCATGGATTGCAGGTGACAGAGCCTTGAGATAAATAATTACTTAATGATACATAACTTTTAGTCTAATACTATTTAATTAGAAGTATTCTTAAAGTATAAAAACCCTTCTATATTATTACATAAGTTAGTTGATATTAATAAACTAAATCTAAAAGTTCCGCTCTTAATAATTCAGTGGAGTTTATATTTTACTACAGGTTAACTATTAAGATTTATTCATTACAAACTAATCTAACCTGTGTAAAAGATAGTAGTATAATAAAACTAAAGTAGCCTTAGAGAAAGTATGATCTCCTTTACCTTAAGTATAAAAAGATATATGAATTGAGCTATAGTTTCGTTTTATAATTAACTTCTTCTTAGAATACTAAATTTCTTTTTAGCTTTAACCTTCAATTTTATTAAGCGTAAGGTTTTTGAATCTTTTAGTAACATTAATAAAAGAAATAACCCTTTTAAGGTTAAAACTTAACATAATCAAGGCAGTAGAAGTTACGCACGGCAACTAAACTATATCCAAGTGAACACGTAAATGACTCACACAGCCGTACGCATAAAAGCTGGCTCCCCTCCCCCCACATCCTCAACCTGATCCACACCACAAGCACACTACCTCGTCAGTCGACCCTTGCAGCTGCACTTGCTATAGTATACTAACTGGCTCTGAATCTCTATCTTTTCGATTACGACAAGCGGGAGGCCAATGCCACTCTAGTCTGTCGCACGACAGAGAGATTATGCCTGGCCCGAGAGGTTTCCGGATGGTTACCCCCTAAAACCTCCACACGAAATGCCAAAACAAAATTTAACATCTCTTCAGTCTCATCATAACGACACAGCCCATAATACGTTACGGCTAGATTGCACATAGTAGCCATGGTGTCCAGATGCCTTTTCCCTAGTAACTCCTGCTTTAAAGCCAGTAGAGGGACAAAGATGCTTTCAGCCTCTCTATACTGGCCTTGCATACCGTATGCAATAGCGAGGAAACTCATACTCCAAATTGTATGTGGGTGTATGGCTCCCAGCACTTCATGCCGTAGCGCCCATGAATGACTGAACATCTCGGCAGCTTCCTTATATCGTGCTTGCGCATAAAGTGACGATGCCAGGGTTCCGAAACTCCAAAGTGTGTCGGTGTGCTTTTCACCGAGCACCTCGGTTCTGAGTTCAAGTGACTTTCTCACTACTGTCTCCATGTCTCTCCATGCTTGTTGTTTAGAAAAGTAGCCTGAAAGAAGCATGAAAAGCTCTGCTGCCTCCCGCTTTCTTCCTTGCTTCTCCGCTGTATAAGAAAGTTGTAGTGTATGGATCAAATAGTGACCGTATCGGTTTATCGACCTTCGTGCATTATCATGTATGGGGTTTGTTACAATCTTTATAGCTGTGTGAAAGAATGGGCTGTTATTACTTTCAGGCGCAAAACTGTTAAGGCTCTGATCGCTGCCAATAGAACTAGTAACTTGTAGGTTCGGATTCGATCCCTGCGTGATACTTGTTTTCAAAATGTTTATTACAGTGGCTGAAGCGATCCGAGCTGCTTCCTGTGTGGTTTTATGAATGCTGTATCTGAGCTCGCCCAGTTCATTCATACTTGATCGCATGAAAGAAACTTCCCGGAGGAGAACTACAGCCGTCTCGATTTCCTGCGACCTTGTGGAAGGGTTGTCCCCTTTTCGGGATAGATTGTTCGAGACGGCTGCTTCAACCAGTTCTGATGCTATATCCTGGCTAGAAAAGTAGGCGAGAGTATGCAGTATAGCGTATGCAACCTCACTGTGCTGGTAGATGTATCTAGTTGAGATGATCCAAACTCTCAGAAGGTTACTAGAAAGGTAGGATTCTGACCAGGTAGCATAATCGTTAACCACTTTAGAACACCAGGCTAGGTGGGCAAGCTCTGATAGATAGTCGTCAATAGATGTTGCTGTCTTGCCTAAGAAACATCCTGCCTGAAATATTGCTAGTGGAAGCCAATCCAGCTCGTTTAGAAGTACTTCGAGGTGAGTGGCATCTGTCGTTTTGGTTTCTTGATTTCGTGCGATTTCGAAAAGCATGCACGCCTCACCAGGCGTCATCTGGCGCAGTAAAATTGCATTTGTTCCACCTCCAACGATGTCCAAGATCATCTTATCACAACTGGTCCAGATAACTGATCCTGTTCGACTGCATGGGATATAATCCAGTAGCCTGTCTGAAACATGCGAAGTGTTTGACCATATGTCAATATCAAATGCTGCCAGGTTGTCGGCACCATCAAGAACGACCAGCCACTGTGGCTCTGCTTCGATGCCCTCGCGAATTGCCTTGAGCAGCTCTTCATCTCGAAGATCATCACTCAACCCTAATTTTCGCCCGATTATCTTGAAGTCACGGAGGAAGGTGTTTTTGTTGGCGGCGTGGATCCAGAAAACAGCACACGAAGGATCCTTACGTCGAGTGTAGGCGTACTCGAGTGCGATCTGTGTTTTGCTATTATTGTCAGTACCATGAGTATTGTGTCTTCTGGTATAGATGGTTGTTAAAAGATTACTAACCCTGACCCACTAACGCCCCAAAGAGCGACTCCGCGATTGTTGTCGCGTGCCTGACGTATACAGTCCCTCAGCTCTGTGTCTATATCTGGGCGATGAACAAAGTCAAAATTGCGTGGAAAAGGCAAAACGAGACAAGCCTCGCGTATGATAGTTGGCGATAGAGTTGGAAACGGATCGGGGAAACACTCGGACTCGCCCACAAGACCAGTACTGGTCTGGTATAAGCTCAAAGCTCGTGGCAAGTCCATCCTGATCGCAGTCGAGATTAACAAATAGTTAATGTATTGCTTGTGCGCTAACTATTCCTTGGTTTGAATAATTTTAAGTCCGGGCACGGAAGATACTTATGTTTAATCACTGGGCTGTGTCAGTCTGCTTGTGAGACATCCTTGCAATAGTCTCAATATACCCCTTTACCAAGGTAACTTTGTATAAGGTACATCATGACTTCGTAAGAGGCTTTATACAAATGCCTGCATTAAGTATGTCTCGAGGATTACTTGCTCGTATGATGTAGGCAATCTGATTTACAAAATGGTAAACCCACCCCCCCCCCCACAACCTTCGCCAATCACGTATACGCTGATTTATCCTAGTCAGAAAGCCTTGAAACCACTTCGCGGTTAGAATCGTTCCCTGTACGGAGGGCATTCTGGGGAGTGACGACTGGAGCAGGGAATACAAGAATCAATGTTGCAACAATGACACACGGTATTGTCAAGCCACTAAATATCACATTGTGTTTTCTAGCTTACTTCGGTATGGAGAATATGCACAAAATCACTTTGAATCACAGCATAGATTAGCCTAATCACCAACAACCAATCTTAAAGCCTATTATCTAAGCGGGCTTGATCTTAGGCCGCCACTTTTGATTCGTGGAGAACCTCCGATTGGTAACTATTGGTTGATCTGGCCACTACAAGATCTTCCTCATCCAGGCTTACGCCCGTACCAGAGTGAGATATATAGCTGCTTTTTGGAATGCTAAAAGCCGTGGTAGGGTTGATACTCCTTGGAGATATATTAGAGGCGACGGATATTAAGATGAGTGGGAACCGCAATTTGGAGAAGTAGGGCGAAAAAGAAAAAAAGGGACGACGCGGGCAACGATCATCACTGCGCACAGTGTGGGCTTCTCTCGATGATCCTCGCCCTTTTCGAACACAGAATATGGTCTACCGCTTAAGTTATCATTATATGCGGTCCATGTACCGAAGATGTCCTTTAATTGCTTATAGCGAGTCACTTCAGACTCTAGCTCTATACCTTAACGAACCATCCCATTGCGAAATGATGGATTGTAAACGCCACTCTCTTTCCAGAAGCCCTATACTGAGTTTTAGTATATCTGGCTCTAACTTGCATGTAACGATCCGCAGCTGCTTTTGAGAAATGGAATATCATGATGTCCAACTTGTGTCGTGATATACAAAGGCTTACCTCAAGTGTTCTAACTTTGACGTTCTATGATGTTAGTCTGATGTCATGTGTGACAAAGCCACCTTGCTACCTCATCGTGTCTGAACTGCTGACTGATCTACTTCCAATTTGAAAGTAGCAGCCACTTTCTGGAAATCTGATCTGGGAGATTTATAAATTGAACAGACAGAACTGTTATCTCAGTGGAATATCACAACTGACTTCTTCAGACAACTCCTAATGCCAGTCTTCACGACTATAGAGACTATTCAATGACGCCTCAATTAGTGCTAGGTTTCCATATTTTACTTTCCTCCACGTCTTAGGTTCTCCTTTTAAGAAGAATGTGTGGCAGTTAGTCTGTCATGGGAGCACATTCCTCATGATACGAGGGAACTGGGCTTTGAATCAGCAATTCACATTTCAAATACATATCATTAATGAACTTAATAATATTTCACAATGCTGTTTATTTCGCGACAAGATTGCGAGTTGTCACAATCATTGGATGCTCCGCCTACTGCCATAAACACATGCATTGCATAAATTTGTGTAGCTTTAGGTGAGATACACAACATGACTTTTCTAACCATATTTTCTAAATTCCTCACCAAACAGGTCCGACTGTAGAGTCTCAGCCTCTTTTTTCTCAGTCGAACTGTTCTCTATTTATAGCGCTCTATCGTCGATGAACGACCAGAGGCTCATTTGATCTGATTCATCTCACTGTATCATACTAGATTGTAATCTTCCACATGACTCTGTCAAGATAGTATGAGGACTATTAATGGAGAAAACACCACCGAGTTAAGTTGTTTACGGGCACGTATTTTTCGTGTTTTTCGTGGTGTGCTCTAGTTGTTTCGCGCGATTTCCAGCCCGCGACCGTGTCCCGGCTATTGAGGGCATTAAGATATCTAGGGGAAGATAGATAAAGCTATTGAACCCATGACACCCGCTACCAGAAACTTCGTGTGTACCGTTTGGCTGTATTGTGAGGAAAAAAGGATATTACGAGATTTTGTTCTCGCTGTGTGATCTTGCTTTGCTTTGTATCTTAGACTCTTTTTCTTCTGAATTTACGACAAGTCTTGCGTTTATACAAAGAGATTAAAAGTTTACAAATCTTTCTCTATTATCCTTCGATGTACTGATAAAGTGGGGTGGTCTACTCTGAGGACATCTTACCCCATAGCATAAATAAGTCCTTCGTAAATACTTACTACGTAATCTACATCACTACCCTATATATTAGATACTTAGTTAGCCTGATGCAGCTGAGATCTCAGAGGAAAGAAACCGTTTGGCATAGGCTTAACATGCCATATCTTACTAGAACAGCTCCTACCTTTGTACTGGGAAAGCGCATGATTGACCTCCTGCAACTCTCTAGGGTTGTCTGTAGACATAGCTGGCTTCATCGAGATGATAAACGCCAGTCCAGGCCCCAAGGAGAGCTAATGACTGATGGAAGTTTTCTGGACCGTTGGTGGCTGTTGCCATCCTCCGACCAGGTTAAAAGAGTTGAGCTAGTGCACGCCTTCATCTAAAAATGATTTTAAATGATAAGAGGAAGATCGAATAAGCTCTTGGAAACCTCTTTAATAACGAGGAAATATCTGACACATTTTTATAGCAGTTTTAAATCACAAACGTTATGTGGGCAGTTAGATATTACCACCTGGGGACTGCATCTGCTGTGAGGGGGATAGTCACAATTAGAAAGCCGCGGTTTCACCAAAGTAGTCATTATCTCTTAATAGAAGCGTTATCAGCAGCTGCATAACATCCGGATTGGAAGGGTTGAACTTGCTAATGCATCGTGACCAAACAAGGTAACGTTTTCACTCGTCACCGAATCGTCACCGTACATACACTCTTTTTCATTGGCAAAAATCAAGAAAAACAGGAAGAGAAAATAATCTAGAGGAAGGAAGTAAAAAGACGGGGATTATTCAAGCTTGTATATCTTTGACTAATTCCCTCTCGATATCAAATTCATTAATCTTAATTGGTAAGCTCTGTTACATTCCAGGATCCAACTTGACCTTGTGCAGGCATTTAAAAACCTGAACCATCTCGAGAAGTTGGTACTAGCCAAGGGTGAAAAGGTGAGCATGCGATCCTAACAACCAGGCCTCAATTGTTCATCGCTCAAATTTGCCGTCATATATCGTCACCTTATCCTACTTCACCTACTGCTTCAGTCCCAAGTGATTAGCTAGAGCTACCTCTCAGAGATGTCTCTTGTACCCACTAATATCTGCGGCTTTGTTGGGTCTTTACCCAAGTCTGGCAGAAACTGCAGATGGCGTATGTCCACTTGCCTATCCAAGGGCAAATATAGATGACTGATGTATGACGTCCCAGTATGCAGGAATGATCAGGATCGAGTAAGATCTTCGCTATTTGCTTTTTCTCGGAACTTCATGAGTTGAAAAGGGGAATGAATTTGCGTGATTAGCAAGCGACGCAGAATACTCGGTGTCTATGTCATCCAAGTATTGGTTAAGGGTTGATGGAGGATGAAAAGATTGGGCTCTGTGTTGATAAGTGTATTATCAACAAGGCGGAACGATGAGCCGATCAAATGCGAACTTTTGCTTCCTAGCGTCCACACGTACGATAACAGTCAACATCGTATTGAAAACTCGTGCGTGTCCTTTCGACGTGGCACATAATTTGAGTGGCTTGGATGAGGCGTTCTGTCAGGTCACATCGGCTTTCAGAAGTTTTCTCCTTACTCCCGAAGGTCATCCACAAACCTTGGCTGCACCGTAAGGAGCTAGTACTGCAGGGCTTTCCAGAGACACCACATCTCCATCAATCGTTTCTGAAAAATGACAAGAGGGACCCCTCGCCATTATATCCTGTCTTTTTCAGTGTTTCGGTTCCAATTTTGACGCGTCACACACTTTTCCTGTCAAGCCACCCATCGTATTCGGTCCTGGTTGGCTTAGTTCTCTATTCCTAATCGGAACTCATATCCATCCACGACCGTGCATATCTCAAGACACCTCGTTGAATTGCCCAACAAAATCAGTTTCAAGTAATGACTTGAGTGCCCCTACCTTCGCTGGTAATAGTAAAGAATACAGTTATGTTCCGCCTCGATAAACTATCAATAGAATCAGCCTACTGTGCATCCACCCACGTTCAGCCGAACGACTAAAAGATTGTTTCGAGAATACACCATGGCCTCACACCTATCGTCCATAATTGTTCGCCAGATCTCTCCATTAGTTGTCCTTTTCGTTCTTCTGATATTTCTTCTGACTCTCAGAATGTATGCCCGTATAGCACCGCTAAGGACTTATCGACTTCTGTTAGATGACTACTGTATCTTGCTTGCATGGGTAAGCATATAGATGTCGCGCTATTATTGATTTGCTTAAGATCAAGCACAGACACTGTTCCTTACCCGGCTGTGCCTTAGAATCGCAGTACTTGTAGACACATCAAGCTACACTAGCATGTACCGCTGGTCCCTCGGTTTTTTAGTGAACATTGAAAGTTGAGCCCTCAGGCTGGAACTCACCACAGAAGCCACTCGGCCGCCCCTCAACTTGACTTGTTAACTTCTTTACTTCACGCATTCTCACTTCATGCGATGCGACACGATACGACGCGACGGTCACGCGTGCTCACGTGATTAGACGCCATGTCTTCCAATGACATCAGTAATGACAGGCTCCTCCCGCTTTTTGACCAGCTCATTCAGTTCGCCGAGTCTCTCTTCGACCACAGCCTCGACTCTCTCCTCCAAGCCTGGCGCCGTCTCCAAGATGAGTTGAACACCAACTCAGTCCTCGCATCAGCCTCCGCCCATGTTTCCGAGTTCCTCTTTGTATCATGGGTAGTCGTCCACGTCTCTCCCCATATCGTTTCCTTCGTCTGCCAACGACTCTACCACGACCATATTGCGACCTCACAAATGCCCCAGAATCACGACTGTCGTCCCTTTCCAAGCTGCTCAACATCACCAGAGCCGTGTGCTTCTGTGTCCTCGATAAAGAGACATCTAATACCGCTGTTGTCAGCGCTTTCCACACTCTGCAGAACTCGTTGAGTTCTGTCAGAAAGCCGAAGCTCGATGTCGGAAGCTAGTCACTCTTTCTCGTTAGTGAAATGATAAACGCTTTTGCGAGAGACTCTTAAGGCATTTGGGTATACTTAGCTGCGCAGCCCATTAGGTTGCTTGCTTCCTTAGCTGAATTTTCTCAAGTAATAACATCTGGCATCGGAGCGCCCCTCGCGAACCCACTAAGGCCATCTTTGATCCCGAAGATGACGCTTATTCCCAAGCCTTAGTCGAATACGGAGACGAAGAAGTCATCACTACTGCTAGCTTTGAAGCGGCAAGCTCTCCGAGCTAACCAGACCGTGATGTTTCACCCCTGTCTTCATCGTTCAAGTCTATCCTACCGAATGTCATCCAACGGCAGACCTATCTCAAACAATTCGATCGCTCAGCAAAGCGAGACCGCCGGCCTTTGTCAACAGAAGTAGGATCTCCAATCGCCAGACACACGTCGCTCCATGAACTTGACCCAGACGAAGGGAGCCGGGGTTTGAGCCCAGAGATCGGGCGACAGAACCAACACTTACCCCAACACTCCACTCAGCGACGACGATTTCTCACAACACAAACGGAGCCCTTCTCTCTCACCAAGCCTACTTCATGAGGGATTACTCGACGACAATCATGACTCGACCGAGAAAATAGCCGATGCCCTGGATGATGATGGCCAGTCTTCTGTCGCGATTTTGATCTCAGCACCATTCCCCAAACAAAATCCATCGCCCTAGTTTCGCACCACCAAGACTGTCATAGACGACATGGCGGCAGTGACCGAGTTGCATGACCTCGATGTGTCTTACGTCAAGATGAGTTGAGCTGGGCTGAATACTTCTGTCTTTCGCATACTAGTAAATAAACAGTGCCCTCAGCAGCCCAACAGCTTTGACTGTGCACTTTACGTTATTGAGCTTGCGCGACAGATTGGCTCGGGACACAATCCAGCAGTTGACTACACGTTCCTCGAGTCACTCACCTACCGAGCCCATGTTCTCTCCATCCTCAAGACCTCGGAGCAGGCAACTCACCCCCCTGGACGCCATCTGGACGTCTGGTTCAAATCCTTGTGACGTTGTAGAAGCGCCATGCGTCGTAATGCCTCTTGGATTAAATCCTATCGCCAGTGTTTACTATCTATGGCTTGGATCTCGACCAGTTTGAGTAGATGCAAATTGCCCTGAAGATGCCTGACACCACTGCGCACTTTCTGCACGCACACCACTGGCTACGCCTCACCAAGTCACTTCGACCACACGAGAAGGACGTGTCCAAGTCGACCACATATGTTAGGCTAAACGCCTTGCTGATAGAAAACCTTAGTATAGTAAGCCACCAGCTAAAGTTTTACCCCGCGCTTACTAGCCTATGTAAGCAGTGAAATGGTTATTCAACCTAGCCTCGGCATGCATTATGAAATCGGGAGAGGTTGTTCAGCGAACATGCACTCTTCGTACCGAAATCAGACCTAACATGTCTATTATTATATGCTTACTATCGATCAAGATCAACATCTGGTTGTGAATACGTTGGCCTATGAAGAAATGCAAACTATTCAACGCTATTGTCAGCTTACATTATTTCTAAGTCCACAGAGCAGTCATCACAGCGTAAGCTTACTCTATACCTTCCGGGGTAGCATACAGGCCGTTCGTCTGCAGGGGCGCTTATGATATACTTTCCGACAATTTTGAAGAATCTAGGATATATAGGTCCAGATATGTCTAGAAGGCTCCTAAACAAATCACTCCACGGTGCTCAAGGTCGTCAGCGCAAAAGATTCAACGCTAATCACGTTCATAATGTCCAGTACCACCAACACAGGCATGTCTCCCAAGACTGCACGCCATGTATTTTTGACATCCTCTCGCACTGCATCCCATCTTCTGTTACGCATCCTCAACATTGAAGCTCAGAACGCACAAGATACAGACAAGAATGGATATTTCTGGCTTTCAGCGATGTACATGCGCAACGACCTGAACAGTCGCCCCATGTGTAAATGGTCGTCTAAAGAGAAAAAGAGCATCGACGACATGGAGCAGCAGTGTTTCAACAACCTTCTGGGCTACATCAATAGTGCAGAAGAGGCAGGAAAGATCGTTATGTTCAAGGAGCATGCCATGTTGCTAAACGACCCTTCCATCGAAACTCGATTTATCCATGGAGAAAGCGCTGCCGTTGGCGTGCCTAAGTCTCTAGAGGGTTACTCAGATGGAATCTCGAGCTTCAGGTCGCCGCTAAACAAAACCATACTTTCTAATGAGTTTCTCAAAACCTTGAAGCCAACCTTTCTCATTGGACACCCAGCCTCAACAATCCCTTCTCTCTTCCGTGCAATTCGACATGAGGGTTTCGATCGAGCGGTTAAAGAGCTCGAACCCGTTGAGAGATCTCTGTACTGGCAGAGGAAGCTGCTTGAGTTCTATGAAGAGTCCTACAAGGAAGGAGGAATCGATAAACCGATTGTGTTGGACGCTGACGATATGATGACATCTCAAGAGCTGATGTTGAAGTACGCCAAGGTCGCAGGACTCGATCCGGAAAAGTTGCGTTTTTCGTGGGAAAAAGCTCCATAGGAAGTTGTCAACAGCATGCCATCGTTCGTGCAGCATATGCTAGGATCATTGAACTCTAGCGAAAAGATTGATCTCACCAAGGTTGTAGGAGACGTCGATATATCGGAGGAGGCGGTGAAGTGGAAGGCTGAGTTCGGGGATGAACATGCGAGAAAGCTGGAGACCTATGTTCGTGAGGCCATGGACGATTATGAGTATATGAGATCGAAGAGGCTTACGCTTTAGCTCTCTGCTCCGCGTATGTCACTTGATTGTCATTGAACAGTGTGGGTGGAACAAGCGTGTGTTCCGTGGTTTATCTGTATACAGCGGGTAGGGTCGTTATTTATTGTTCAGCGGCGAGTATAAATGCTATAAAGAAACAAATATACGACAATTAGCGATTGTTCATATTACATGTAATCCTACAAAGTATTCGGCAATATCACCGAGAAATAGCTGTCACTATCTCCATGCCAGCCCCAGAACGACAATGATGGAGACACATGACGGGTGTCATCAGGTGGACGAGATATGTTCATAAAAGAAAAGACTGCATTATGACGAGCAAATGAGTCACTGGGCTTGGATGTGTGAGAATGCGATTTACGCGATATGTTGGTGTTGAGGTTGAGTTGAGAAGTAAAGGAGTAAAGATGTAAGATCAGGTTGCACAAGTGGCATTATGCAAGCGATAAGATAAGCTGTGCACGGATTGTTGAGTTCCGCATGGGAGCTAACCTAATGTGGCTGATAAGCCCGATAAGCAGCTTGCGAGCTACCCTAAAGACAGCCGGTAAACCAAGCAAACCTATGACAAATAACTTCCCTCCTATAATAACACTCCTTAGTAATAGCTATTAAGGAGTTACCTATATATATACCTAAATTACTAATAGACTTAAATAAACTCGGTTAGACGGCCTTATAGCCTCTAGCCACTTTAACCTAAAGGAGAAAACCCCTAAGAGACTTAATTACGGCTTAAGGAATATATTCCTAAGAGATAGCTATTAATACCTCGGTATAGGAGTTATTATACCTATAGGTATATTATAGCTTAGCCTATTAAAGATAGTAAAAAACTTTAATTAATAAGCCAGCCTGGCTAGTAATAACCTTATTATCTCTATTAAGCTATAAAGACTTAAGGTATTATATTATATACCTTAAATTATTAAAGCCCTTTAAGATATTACCTAAAATAGCTATAATATTCTTAAAAATAAGATTAGGATTATTATAGCTTTCTATAAAGCCTTTAATAAAATAGTATAGTAATTTACCTAAGGACTTAATATTAAGTTAGTTAAGGACTTTATATAAAAGCTTACCTAAGCCTATACTATACTAATTAAAAAAGAATAGCCTTTATAAAGGATAATAATAAAGCCTTTTAAAGTAATATATACTATAACTTTTATAAATAGCCTTTAAGACTATAAGGTATATACTTAATAATAAACTAAGGCCTAGCCTAGGTAATAATAAAGACCTATTAAAATTAATAATAATATATTAAATAATAATATTAAAGTTTTTATTAAACTTTACCTTAAATCCCTAGTACTTAACGTCTAGGTATATAAAATCTAAGATATTATTACCTTATTTTTAAGCCTTAGCCTTAATATTATACTATAAATAAATTAAATTAAGATAAGGTAGGCTCTTTACTTTATAGATTGTAATATATACTATAAGATTTTAAAAGCTAAGATTAAGATTTATATTAAGATTAGCATTAAAGATATAAAAACCGCCTAGATTTAGTATATTTATATTATTATAGAAATCCTCTATAAAATTACTAAGATTAAAATAAGGAATATAAATATTAATACTAAGCTACCTAAAGAGGTCTAGACCTAAGTAAGGATAGCCCCTATTAATATTTATAACTTAAAGTATAATTAGAACTAAGAATTAATATAAATAATTTTAATATCCTTTTTTAAAAAGCCTAAAAAAAGATTCTAACTATTTAATATTAATTAATTTACTAAACTAATTAATAAACCTATTATAATCCCTTAGTATAATAATTATTAGGATTTTTATTTAATAAACCGCTATATATATATTAAAAAATATAAAGACTATAGCTAAGAAAGGTATAAAGATAAAATAGTAGACTATTAAATTAAGAAATATATTAATTATAAAGGCCCTTACTTAATAAACTATAAAAAATACCTAGCCTGCCTTAAAAAGGAGAATAGGTAAGTATAGAGATTTATTAAGAATAAAAAAAGCTAGATTAAATAGGCTAGTAAAAAGCTTTATATAAAAGCTAACCTATTAATACTAAAGAGCTTATCCCTAGCTAGGCCCTTTTATTCCTTACCTATAAAACGCTATATAAGATCGAAAGTGACTATACTAAACTATTTAGGCCTTTAGCTAAGGGTATAATTACTAGCTAAAAGGTAGTAAATTAATTTTAACCTTATATAACTTAAATATTAGGCTCCTAATTATAATATAACTATAATAGCCTATTTTATATCTTCTAGGTAAATATAAAAAAAGGCCCTAATTTATATATTATAGTATTAATACTAGCCTATAAAGGAGGATATAATATTATATTATTATAGGAATTATAAATATTAATAAAATATAGATATAAATTAAAGATATATAATATATATTATAGTTACTTACCTATAGAATAATAAAAATAGTTTACCTAACCTTAGGTTATATTTTATATCTCTAAAAAGTTTATAACTAACTAGATCTACCTATCCTAGTTAAGGGATATATTATAGTTATAAATAGATAGATATTTAATTATTAACTTCTATAGAGATATTAAAGATAATAATATATTAAAGACTTTCCTTAAGAGTATAGTTTTAAAAAGCTATATAATTATAGAAGACTTTAATATATACTATAGCTTATAGTAATCCTTATTATAATATAACTAAGGTAAGAATATTACCTAATAGGCTAAAAGTAATAAACTTACTATATTAAACCTCTATAATATATCTATTAATCCTTATAGATATATTATAAATCTAGTATTCTTTAATATCCTAGGAGCTAAGGTAATAATAAAGGACTACTTATAGACTACCTCTAATTACTATACTATAAATATTATATTTCTAACCTACCTAAAGATCCCTATGGTTTAAAGATAGTAGAAAGTTAAAAACCTTAACTACTTTAATAAGGTAATTAAAAAGGGAGTTTTATACCTTTATTATAAAATGTCTAAAGATAGTAAGGAACTAAATAATTAGGTATAAATATTAATTAATCTATTTAGCCTTACTATCCTCTTTATTAATAACCTACCTAGGTACTATACCTTATAAGCCTTATAGTAAATAAAAAAGTATATAAAAACCTACCTTAAATATACCGCCGCGGTCTAAACTGGCCTTTTTAAACTGGCCTTAAAAGTAAGATCTTATTTATAATAAATTACTTACTAAAGTAAGAAAAATTATTAATAAAAGTAATTATTAAAGATTAAAGGACTTAATAATATTTTTAAGATTATAATATAGCTTAAAGGAAGGAGGTAATTTTACCCCCTACCCTTAGAGTATAAAAAAACGGTCTATAAGACCTAGCTAGAATAAATAAAAGCCCTATATAGATTTATATTTAAATAAAAAACTATAGATAATAATATTAATAATCCCTAAGGAGGAGAATATATTAAGTAAATACCTTTTTACCTAAAGATTACCTTTAAAAAAGTAAAAAATATTATAACCTATATTAATAATACTTCCCCTAGGGTAGATAATATTATAGTTAAATTACTTAAAAAAGCTTAGCTATATATTAAGGAGTATATTAAATTACTTTTTAAAGACTATCTTTAATTAGGCTATTACCTAATTTACTTTAAAAGTACGGAGGTAATTATAATCCTTAAGCTAGGGAAGAAAGACCTCTCGTCCCTAAGAGCTTAATACCCTATCTCTTTACTTTTATATTTTAGTAAGGGATTAAAAAGACTTATTACCTAACGTATTTTATATATAGCTATTATATATAAGGTCTTTTACCTTTGAATGATTAAAGTATTATTAAAAAGATTAGTAATAAACTTAATATCTACTCTAGTTAGTAATATTAAGGATACCTTATAAAGGGGGCTAGTAATTATATTAATTATAGTAGATATATAAGGTGCTTTTAATATAGTATTAAAGAACTACTTAATATTATCTTTTTGTAAATAGGGATAGTTAATATAAGTAATTAATTAGGTACTCTTTTTTATAATTAATAAAAAAGTAAAGGTTAGACTATAAAAGGCCTTAATAAAGAAGGCCCCTCTTAACTATAGATTACTATAAGGCTCCTTAGCCTTATTAATCCTTTTTTTACTTTATATTATAGTAATTTATAATATTAAAAAGCCAGAGCTAGGAATAGATATATAGTTAATAAAAAAACATTATTACGATATAATAATATACTTTAGGTATATTAATAATATAGTTATACTAAGGATAGGAAGCTCCTTAAAGGAAACCTTTAAAAAAGCTAATTAAGACCTAATAGCCTTAATTAATTAAGGATTTAATAATAGTATCTAATTTAACCCCTTTAAAATAGAGGTTATATATTTTTTATATAAAACTAAAAAAGTATATTAAGACCCCTTAATCTACTATAGGAATATCCTTAAGACTATTAAATTAAAGGTTATATACTAGCTAGGTTTCTAACTAGATTAAAAACTTAATTAGAGAATATATATATAAAAGTAGACTATAAAGGCCAGTATAGTCTTTAACTTACTATACCGGATAGTTAATATTAAATACGGCCCCTTATTAAATTATATTAAAAAGGTAGTTAAGGCCTATATTAAATCTATATTATTTTATAAGGTAGTAACCTAATACCTAGGGAATAAAGATAATAGGAGACTAATTAAATATATTACTCTCTTAAGTAAGATAAAGATAGTATATTACTTAGCCCTTAGGGCGGTAATACTAGTCTAGAAGATAATATTACTAGCGGCCTTATACTATAAAAATAGCTTTTCCCTTTTTAAAATACTTTTTAAGAGCTATTAAAGATATTTTATTATTAAACTTCTTAGCCTAGATATAAACTACTTATTAACTACCTAGACTATAATATATAAAAACCGGTATATACCCCTTATTAAAATAGTTAATATATTTTTATAGGCCCCTAGGCCCTTACTTCTCCTTAAAAGCCCTTTAACCTAGTTAATAACTATAAATAAAGTAACTACAGTACTTAACTTCTAATACTAATTAAATTTAGTCTTATAGTAAGATCTAGTAATTTACTTAGATAGCTTAATATAAAACTATAAGGTAGGCTTTAACTATAATATCTATAAAAATAGGTAGTAAATAATATAAAGCTATAAAGGACTAAGGTTAGTAAAAGTCTTTAATACTAAAGTTATTAAGGTAATAACTAGCCTAGAATATACCCTTAAAGCTATAACTTATAAAATATCTATATATATATATTTTAATAACTTAGCTATAATAATAGGCCTTTAAGGAAGACCTAGTAACTTTTTATAATACTTCTGCCTTAGATTTTAGAAGATTATATATAAATATAAAGCTATAAATATTAAATAGTACCTAAGATACCTAGGTATTAAAGGTAATAAAGTAATAAACTCCTTAGTAAAAAAGGGATATAATAAACCCCCTTTTAACTTACCTTTTATACTATTTTATATTAAAAGGATAGTAAAGGTAAAAATATAAAAAGAACTCTCGACCTAGTAATATAATAATATACTAGAGTTATATAAGCCTTTAGGCCTTAAGGTAAAAATGAAATACCTTAAGGAATTAATACTTTTAAGGACTACCCTATATTACCTTTTAGCTATAAAAACCTATTATAGTAACTTTACTATATATTATTAATAATTTAACTATAAGGATACTTATTTAAAGTATTTCTATAATTATAATAAAAACCTATACTATATATTTTACTATAAGAAGGTAAATTAAGGTAAGAGGATATTATTATATTAAGATCTAACTACTATAATTTATAGGCTATTAAGTACTAACTTTTATATTTTTATAAATATAATAATAAAAATAGATTTCTTTAAAACTATCTACCCTTATTAATAATATCCCTTAATAAAAACACTTCTTTATAACTATCTCTTTTTTATATAAAATAAACTATATTATTTTTATATTTAGTTATAAAACTATATATATCTTATCTAATAAAGACTTTTAATCTTAAGGTTAAGAGTTAATAAAAAGATAGGTACTTTCTTTATTAATTATCTTAGCTTAGATAGTTATATTAAATAAAAGCTATTTACTCTAAATAGACCTAAAGAAAGGTATTAATTAAAAAAAAAAGGTAATAATAGCCTTTTATATATATAATAAAAAGACCTATAAATAGGTCTCTAGCTTAGGAAAATAGGAAATATTATAAAATACTAAATAGCTATAGGGGAAATAAAAAGGAAGGGACGTAATAATAGGTAGCTAAGAGAGGTTTTAAAGACCCCCGGCGTATAATATAATCCTAAAATACAAAAAGCCTGACCGTATTAGTAAATAGGAAATTAACTACCTTATATAAAGTATAAATTACCTACCCTATAGCTAGCCTAGTATGTTATCTTACGCCAGCAGGCGGTTAGTAAGACCTATATACCTATATGACGAAAAATATATATACATACACACACACATAAAACCTATGACAAAGCCCAATGGTATCTATTGCCCGGAGATGAAGAAGCGAAGGAGTCTAGACATATCTACGACTTGAAACCTCTCGTTCTTGAGTGGCTATGATATTCAGCTGTGCTGTGTTGGCGTGAGGGAAGACTTGAGACGAAGCGGAGGTGAAACCCCCGTTTCGCAGACGTGTTGCTCGTGGTGACGTGTCTTAGTAAACAAAAAGAGTCAGCATGTTATCAAGTTCCTATACCGAAAGACGAACCACCGAGAGCTTTGGGCCTCTAAGATTGGAAGTCATCAGCATGCCGCAGTCAGAAGTTGGTGAGGTCTCTCCTCTTTCATCCATGCTGTGTCTTGACCGGGGCCAAAAGTAATGGGAGAAGTCCAAAGTGGGGGAAGTGTTGAGACTACCGTGAGAAGAAATGAGAAGGAGTAGCTAGCCTCGTGGATGCAAGATTGAGCCAGGAGAATCTGTTCAAACCCCAGCTAGTACTAATGGCAGGGATGTTGGATGCATGTGGTGGGCGTGGATTGTTGGCTTCGAGTGCGGACAACGTCTGCGGCTCAATGGATCACATGGCCCGATACGACTTCCACATGTTGCTTGTATTCTGGTTAAGAGTGGTGCGGAGTGACTTTTACTGAGGTCAGCGAAGATATTGAACAAACGTGTCTGGTGCATATTGTCAGCTAGGCCTGAGCATGTTTGGCGGCCGACTTGGTGCTGCTCTTCGGAGACTTAGTCTTTAGGTTCAGAAACGAGCCATATGCATTTCGATACTGTGCAGTCGCAATAAGAGGAGAGATGCTTAAAGCCTTGTTGTTGGATTCATGCACCTGATGATCGATCAAGCGAAGAATTGTGCTCTTGATTGCCGAGTTGCCTTTGGGTGGGCTTGCCACTAGGTCCAGGATGTCTTGAATCGCAGGGCTCCGCTCGGGGATGACATCTGGAACAGCCTCCGGGACATTCTGATGACCGAATCGATACCAGTTTTGGAGGGAATGCCGTCAAAAGATTCAACAGACCGAGCGAGTGTGTAGGTTGGATGTCTCTTTCTTCTTCGGAAACGAATTGCTGGGGGTCGACCTTTGTAGCAGCAGAGTTGTGCATGCGGTATTTACTTTGGTATTGGCATTTGTTGAATCGATAGGCAGCACATCGGCGGGTGAGACGTGTGTTTTTCGATCAGCTTTGACTTTCTTGGCCGCCGAGTTGACAGTGTTGTTGGGTAATGTACCGTAACAGACTCGGTATGTCAACCGAGTGTACTGGAGGTCGGTTTCTGTGTAGAAGTTGGGCTTAAGTTACTTGCCTTCGCACTGGCACACCTGAGTGACTCGCATGGACGGTTGTATCGATCGGCCGTGAATAGACGGGTTTTGTGGTATAAAGTCTTCTATTCCTTGAGGTTAGCCTCTATGGCGATCGAGTTGGGTTTCAGGTACTCGTGTTCGTATGGCCACTTTTGAGCAATTCTCGTGGACTGGTGCACAGAGCGGTGTGCAGTCTGCGGTTCGTCGTTGGGCTTGTAGGTGGGGTGAAGTCTCCATCTGCGAGTTCACATGGCTAGAGGTTAGCATCTGCTGCTATGAGAGTTTGGTTTGCGGAATCTCAGCTCGTACTGACAATGCGTTGTACCGATCGATGGGTTTGCAGATCGGATGGGGTCTCCCATTCCAGCTCTTTCTCTTTAGCAGTCAATGTCAACACTTGGGTTTGTATTGCCGCTTTTGATCATCAAGTCACTCAAAAATCTCTTGGGTCCATCTGTGGTCGATTGATGGGTTTGAGTTGATGTCAGAGACCTCCGCCGTTGATCTGGCTCCGAAGTCTCCAAATGATCAACTGTTGAGATAGCGGCTGTGCGTTTATCCTTGCTGTGGTATTGAAGAATGGAGAAAACTCATCTGACATGCACCAGATGTGTACAAAGAGTTCCGTCGATATTGCTTTTGACGAACATAGGAGAGCTGGGCCCGTAAGTCAGGTATCAGCGGTCGGGGCGTGGCATTTGTCAAGTTGCTGCTTCTTGAGGAGCGTGTGTCATTTGTCATGGAGAATCATCAACTGCTGTTTGGGTAGTAGCCATGGTGGATGTTCTTGTCCAGTTGCAAAGGTGTATGTAGGCAATGAAGAAAGAGAAGTAGAGAGAATGTCCACATTGGGCTGTGGGTTAGGGGTGGGAGAAAGCGACATGTCCTTGAAGATGGCGCGGGCGATGTGGTGGATGATGGGTGTCGGTGAAGCAAGGAGCAAGCACCGAGAAAGTGGTCGGAGTGTGAAAAGCATTGTCAAGAAACGCTCTGGCTAGATATTGAAGGGTCGCAGACGGGAATAGGACTCGTGGTAGTCGAAGGGAAGGTTGTGACAAGTACGTCTGTTGAATCGATGGTATCAGTCAGTTGAAGCAACGGTGAAGATGCAGTCGGGAGAGGAACTCATTGACAGATCAATGCAGAGTGAAACTTGTTCGGGTCCCTCGCGAGGGCAACAGGATCCGGTTGAGTTGAATGGGCTCATAGAGGCCGCGTTGTTGTGATGAACTTTGCCGTTGGTTGTAGAGTCCAAGATAGAAGAGGGGACCCCTGGCAGTCGAGTCAAGCTTCGAGGCGTTGAACAATTTCGATCGACGGGTGGTGAAAACAAAGGTAAGAGAAGGAGCCAGAGCTGGAGCTGGAGCTGAAATTGGGTCAGAATACCACTGGTATTGTCTTTCAAGACTTGTCCCTTCTTTGCCCAAAATAACAAGTGGAGCTTACGGATTCGCTATTATAGCATTACATGATTTTACTAACTTGAGATTCGAAAAAGCCATGAACGATGGTAAGTATCCTTTCGCGGAAAGAATATTTGATTTTTTGCAATTATGAAAAGTAAACGGGGATATGGTTGAGATTGTGAACCGCAAAATGATCTCAAAGATTTTTCATCTCTTCTTGTTTTAATTCCTCCTTTTTTGCTGGCATATGTTGACATCCTTCGGAACACGCGGTGTATTGAAATACTTAGCATGTTAATGCTTAATGTAGGCTCCTTGTCCTGTTTGATACGCGTGCATGTTCTCCGTGGCCGAGAACATATCCTGCAGAACTAGAATACAGCTCCATTTGTTCTCAATTTGGAAGCTTTGTTTTGTCTTCTAAACAAGCTGAACATTTTTCCAAGCTTCGGCATCCCCACCCCTGTGCTGTTTATTTTACCTGCTGCACTAGCCTCAGTGGACCCGCCTCCTCCCTCTCAAACCTCCTCAACATCATCATCTCTCAACAACACAAACACTACATCTGAGCACCGTCTTCACGAATGATCCGCGGTCTTCTTCATCATGCCGCCCCTTGACTCAACCTCGACATCCCTTCACGCTCTCAGCGTCAAAAACCCACGCTTCTCAGTCCACCCCCTTTTCTGGACTGAGCGCCATCTCTTGTTCGTGAAATGCGTTTTCCAAGAACGCTTCGACGAACACAGAGAGGTGACGGCTCGTAAGGACCATCATGAGCACCTGACAGCATGCGCAAAGGACCTCGCGACTGATCCTTGCGCTGTGCTCAAGCGTTGTTGGGTAGAGGACTTGCTCACCAGACCTGGTGGCCACCTAGCATACGACAAGTGAGTTGCTTTCACCTCACTCTTGGGCAAGAAGAGACTGACGCGTGGAGCCACATGGTTGACTTCTTCTATGCGAAACGAAGAGTTCTCAATATTTGGTGCGACGTCTTTCGTCCCGCAGAGAACATCACTCTGCCTGACACTCCTATCGGGTTTTACAGGTACGACGCTGATCAAAAGCGTCGCAAGAAGCTTCATGTGAGACCTTCCCATGATAACCGCCCAAACGATCCCGTCAAGCGCCTCTTTGAACGCAAGTTCCAAAGTGTAACGCCTGAAGACTGGCGCAACGATCCGTTCATTGTCTGTATCCTAATCAGTCTGGCTCAGCGACTGGTTCGAAAGAAGCAGCTTGCAAAGGTGTATTTTGTAAGTCAGGCAGTCCGTTGCCTAACCTTGACTTGCACTAACAAAACATCCAGACACGACTTCTCGTTACAAACATGTCCGACAAAACACACGCCTATATCTACAAGGCCGACTTTCCGCACCAACTTCTGGAGTGTTTCGACCGACCGGCGCGTCCTATGGATGATGTGGTTTTCCCCACTATCGACTATACCGCGGTCAGGTTCCAGCCATACGCAACCTTTTCGGAACGACTTGAAATACACTTGCTCGGCGCTGGAGATGCGAGTTCTGTGGCGGTGGCATCGAGTTCCAAGGAGTAGGGGCGTGAAGAGGTAGATGAATCGGCACGCAAGGTGCAGAAGGAGAAGTGATGCACAATGCATGTGGGTTGCAGGGTGTGAGCGGGTGTAGACGGCGTGTCTTTGGCATACTTCTTGTACCGCTGAGCAAGTTAGAGTGATTGGGATGAGGTAGACTCTAGATGATTGGAGCTGGAGAAGAAGGCTCATCTAGGAGTACGCAGGTAAACATTGGTCTCTCAGTGATTGGAACGAGTAGTTGAAGAGCAAGGCAGTTCCTTTTGCAATGTGAGGAAGGGATCAGTTCTCAGTAGCTTGGGTCTCCAAAAGTAGTTGGGTGACTTTGAGCGTGCCGCGAAATAGGTGTAGACGAGGGATAGCCCGTTCTTTAACTACTGACGCCACCAATTTCATCTTGACTCGGAGAAAGCTGTCTTGACAAAGCAGGCCTTCGTATTGCATCTCTCCCGTCCCTTCGTACTATCCTGAACAGCCCCCAATGAGATCAAGATCAGAACATCCTCCGTAAGATTCATTGTCCTAATCCACAGAACCCGATACAGACCCAATGACCTTAGCTATCCATCGAATTCCTTCGACAGAACAAGCGCGGGAAACTAGACGACGTGCTGTTTTACTCTCACCAAGTTGACCAGCGCCAGGTACCAGATGAGGATCGACCGGTAGAAGAACGGGGGCTAGATTGGCAAGGCGCCGGTGGCCTGCATGCTGATGAGGCACAAGGGCATATGCTTCGGAGTCGTAGGAACGGCCTGCCAGGCCAAGTCCTCCAAGGTTTGCCTACAAGGTCACGGTGCTCTTCAAGGAGATCGATTCGGGGACGCTGAATCCGTTGGAGGCATACTCGTGTCGTGATCTCTGGACTTTGTGTTAGAAACCATGTGCTCGGTACGATGTTCAGTGGTGACAAGACTTGCAGGTATAGGTAGTGATTGGGGTATCTGTTGGGTCGGGAACGGTTGGAGAGGAACAGAAGGCAAATCTGGTTCCATGTTCGCAACTAGGCTCTTTGTCCATTCAATGACAACACCGTAGTAGGTGCCAGGATAGTGCAGAGTGGGTTTGTTCGGTTATTGGTGATGTGTTCTTGGACATGATCGGGTCGTCTCGCTATTGTAGGTAGCTTTATATTCTGTTGTCGGGAAGTGATGAGCCGAATACTTGTGAAGAATCATAGTGTTCGGTCTCTCTGTGATGAGATGGCTTTCGTTTGGAGTGTAGGAAACGGGGTTGTGTCGATGAGTCTTGGCCAGTGTTGGTAACAAGACTTCGTCAGCGCATCTCGCTCATGATCGACGTTGACTACGGCCGGGCAGCAGAGCGATCTGTCACATAGCACGACCTGTACAACGGTCAGCCAAAGGTAGAGAAGAATATGTTTAGGCAAGGGTGTACGCACTGGTGCTGTGTCATCTCTTGTCCATGTACAGTGGACGGTAGTGATGAGACAGGTGGATTCGGACATGTGCTGGTTGTTTTTGTTGCTGAGTATTAATAACTACAAGTCAATGGTCTCTTTGCCATCGACGGGATCGTGGTATTTCTTTGGGGCCCCTTTCTGATGGCAAGTTGCGGAACTGGAAGACGAAACCAATTTGAAGATGATGGCTGCGGGTGAGCTGGGGTAGATGGAAGTGGTGGATGATCAATGTGAGCGAGAAGGGAGTGAACAGGATACTACGACGGGCGTGTGGGCTTGATCAGGATGCGTTATCAAAGAGAAAAGAACTCAATGGAGGAAAATGAAGGCTATCTGTGCCAATTCTCCAAGCACATCAGTGCTAGCAATAGCTAATTCACCGAGGATATCAGTGCTGCAGCAGTTCAAGGTGCCCCCGTTGACGCCCCACCTCTCAGTTGCAACAGAGGTGAATTATCAGTAAACACAGCAGAACTGGTCTGAGGCTGGGCCCATAAATATCTTGGCCTCCCTCTCATCCTCACTTCTTTCTTTCTCCACAACCATCATCTGCCATCCCCAAGCAAGCAAAAAGATCACCACTTTCATAACACGGTATGAATCTACCTGGCAAGTTCATGAGACTACTCAAGGCCGAGTACTGACATTTTATCAGCACAAAGTCTCTTTCATTCAACACAAAGTAGTCATGGACGACCATTCCGCTAGCAACCCCCCCGTTGACAACCCCCACGTTGACACTCCTCATGTAGAGTACGGTAAGTTGGCCCAAAGTTGTCAATGTTACCACTGGATAAGAGCTAACTTACTCCCAGAATATATCATTCGAACAGAGGAGTATCTCCCCATCGAGCTCATTCGCCATCTTTTGCGCGTTCAAGGGCAAATCAACCGCCTCGCAGCCGAACAGGATCTTCAAGTCATGGATCTTGAAGGGGAGGTGGACCGCCTTCGAGGCGACGTATCATCTCTGCAACGTGAGATGAACAGCCGGGAGGCTTCAGGAGACCACAACGGTATCGTACTCGCCTGGATTGTCGCCGGCATGGGTGTTCTCTTGACTGGGTTCTGGGTGGCCGGATTTCCCTATGGTAACTAAGCGAGAACACAAACATCGCGCGACAAAGATCTGCCATGTCAAGGTGACGGGATTGACACTGCGGAACGAGTATCGAACTTTAAGAAGCTGAGCGAGGGTTTTCGTTGAGGCTGAGAAGAGAGACACATAAACAGAGACAGTTAGTATCCGGAGGAGCAACAGCACTGCTTTGTGACCCGCTTAACATGTAGAGTCTTTATACACTCTTTCTGAACAAAGTTCACGTTCGTAGCCGTACTGTTAGCTGGTTATGATCCCACCATGTCGTGAATATCCAACTTATTTACAAAACACGAGCTCGGCGCGTTGACACGGTAGCCAGCACAGGATATTGGTTGAGCTTGGTGCTGCAAACGACTAGCAAACCTTTGCGATGCGTTCAGGCGTATTGTTTATTTGTTCGCATCTATCAATCTCGGTACATGCTATTGATCGCTTCTTTTACTTTCATTCTTTGCTTCTTTGAACACCACCCAGGCCGTTCTTCATGCCCTCGACCTTCATGTTCTTGTGCAGTCAGTGAACGAGGTCCTCCCACCTCGCCAACACGCCAACTCACCTTGGAAGTGAATCGATACGATAATCGAGCGACTGCTTCTGCCTGTGAGGTTGATCCTATGAGATGAGCCACATTTCAAAAACCGTGACGCACCCGAGGTGGAACACGGAGAAGCGACATCATGCTGCGCCATCGAACACGACAATACATTGGTACTTTCCTTTCCAGCATAGACATTTGTTCCGTGAACAACAACGGGCGAGTATCCCGAACAAAACGATCAACGAAATGCATATACAAAACACCACAACCCAGACTAACTTGTGGAACTCAGTAGCGGCGGTCCGGCTTGGTTTCATTCATTCAGCAATCATCGATACAGCGGATAGAACAACACCGAGGCCACCATACTGTTCGACTGAAAGCGGTAGAACAGTTCCCATCTCTTGTCAACCACTGCCAACCATGGCGCTGATATACGCCTCGTCAAAGGAGCTTGACCCAAACTCTGAGTCTGAGAACGAACCTTTCCACAACGTCGTGATTTTGCTGCACCGGGGGCACTGTATCCATGTTACGGCGAAATCATATCCGAGAGTGCATCACAATCATTTGGTCATGGGCCATAGGCGGACACGTGAAATGATGCCCATGAATATTTGAAGGCCGCAGCCTGACCTTTGGCAAGTCCCATCAGCTCATCGACCAAAGTTCCACAGCGTGCTAACAATGCCCTTTCATCAATAGGAAACAAATCACATCAAAGCCCCAAAACGAAAGGCCCGATCAATCAGTCGTTACATCCCAGTCAATGCCACCTCTCAAGGTCATCATCGTCGGTGGCGGTCTCGCCGGTGCCTGTCTCGCCAGCGGCCTCATCAACAACTCCAACGGCCAAGTCGATGTACGCGTTTTTGAGCACGATGAAGACGGTTCAGACAAAGGCGGCTACCAAATTCGACTTGGAGCACACGCTCTCATCGGATTCAAGGCTTGCCTTACCGAGAAGCAATACAGAGACCTCTTGCTCTGCTTCGGCAAGTTGGGGGGCGTTGTGTCATCCGCACCTTGCATCTTTAGCCCTTCCGACCTGAAAGTTCTGATCGACTTGAGCAAGGCGCCCATTTACGAAAAGAGCGCACCAATTGCACGTTTGAGGCTTCGGAACTTCCTCCAGGCTCCGTTACGTCAGCTAAACGTGATAGCGTACGGAAAGAAGTTTGTCAGATATGAAGTTCTCCAAAACAGCAACATCAGACTTCACTTCCAAGACGACTCTCACCAAGACTGTGAAGTTCTAGTGTCTGCTGGGGGAAGTGGCAGTCGCATGAACAAACAGATTGGATTGGACAACATCCTCACAAAGGTCAGGCCTGGCGATGGTGGATTGCTTGGAAAATGTCATCTACCATGGCCTGTTCTCCGGTCCCTGCCAAGACAGCTACTAGAAAAGGGCACCATCTACACCGGGAATTCAAAGGCCATGGTGTTTGCTGCGGTTTACCTGCCGGAAAGCCTATCATCTGCCAAACAAACCACAGATAACAAAGACACAGATGATGACCTGAAGCCCAAGAATTACGACGAGGAGGAAGCTTCACTCTTCCTTGGCATGTCCTGGACTACGGGACCATCCTCATCTGAGATTCCCGACATCAAGGACAAGAAGGCTCTAATGCGTCAGAAGCTTGCCGAGGCTGGCTTCCATCCTGACTTCTCTAGTCTAGTTGATGCGGTGGACAATGAAGCGCTCATGAAAACACCTTGGAGATACGCCAAGAGCGATACGCCAGTCAACTGGAGACAATTACTCCTTGCAAAAGACGAGAACAAGTCGAATCCGGACATGCCAACCCACGAGTGTGGCTGATAGGAGACTCGATCCACCCAATGCTTCCGTCAAGAGGAATGGGCGCCAATAACGCAAATCACGACACGGCTGATGCACTCCAGCCCCTCCTGGCACTTTCCAAGCTGAAAAGCACTCACGGTGTCGTCAAGGATGGCCAGGTCAGTACCTAATTGGCGGTATATGACAAGGCCATGATCCCCGGGGCTTTTGGCTGGGTTAAGAAAAGCACCGACCAACAGGTAAGAAGCGGACATTTCCATACCATAGCCAAGAGGCAACGTTAACTGATAACACATCAGTTACCGGATCTGGATAGTTTCAAGGGGAGAGGTCTAATCCTTGTATTGCGTGTGGTACTCTTCGTAGTCAATGGTGTTGTTCACGGTCTTAAGCTCGTTGGTTGGAAGCCCAAGGGTGATGCCCCAGAGTTACCTTGAGAAGGGATACAGACTTGGTCATTTCATTTATTCTTACTCATATTTGTACTGTCGGAGAATTAGTTGGTATGGTAAAGCAGAGACTTGAACTCATGTATTCAGATATGCATTGTCCTGTGTACCACCCTAGGAAGAGGCTTAGCAGCTCATGTTCTGACTCGATGACTCACCCTGCGATTTGAACACTCTGACCCTCTACCACAAGATCAGCTTCATACATGACTGGCGATTGCCCACGGTCTGCGTCACTAGTCTACTGATACCTGACTTCTAAAGATGGGAATGAGATGAATCAAGCATGAGATAATTTCATCTCTAACTGCGAAAGACTTATAGAGTCCAATGATCTATCTTGGTGTAGCAAAGACACAAGTTTAAAAGAAGATGTGGCCGCCTTAGATTTCTCATCTTTCAGAACTGACCCTCGAGGGGGTATATAGGTTTCTACATATGACCGGCCACGGTGTTCAGTACGTCCTTGAAGCCAGGTTGCCGACGATCTCAGTATCAGAACTCAAAGTTGTCATAGCCTACACCTTGGTCCATTTGAAGCCAACTTGAGCATACCGCGCAGCTCCGTACGCAAAGACGGAAGCAATCATTGTACAACCACAGAACAGCTGCAAATCCATGAAGGAGTTGCCACTCCCGTTCTTGTTAGAGATCAATGCACCGCCAAGTGGACTACCAGTCAAAGCTCCAAAGGCATTGACAAGCGCAGCCAGTGTAATTCGGGTTCCAATCTCTGCAATGGGGCTGATCTGCGAGACGCAGCCAGGAAAGATGGAAACGTATCCTCCCGAGCCGCAGCCAAAAGCAACAGCGTACGCCATGATGGCGCCTGTGCTGTTGCTACCTGGGATCCACAGCACGAGTGTCAAGATCCCGGTGAGGGCAGTGATCATCAACATGCAGTTATACTGGCCGATGATATCTGTGAGTGCTCCTGCTGTCAGGCGGCCGATAAGGCTGACAGCGTTGATGATGGGCAACAGGTACGGAATGAGTTTAGGGGTGATGCCGCTGGCCTGCGCCTGGATGATGATGTAATTGAGTGGCAGAAACATACCCCAGAAGAAGAGAAAGCCGCCAAGCATTGTCAGTACCACTACTGGTTCTTTGAAACAACGGTGATGATCAGAAAATGCGAACGATCGAGGTGTGGTGGGATACGAGCCTCGATCAATAGACATGAGATGGTGCAGAAAGCCAAGAACAGGAACCTGACGACTCGTATCGTCCAGCCAAAACCAATCAGCTTGACCAGACGCGACTACATGATGGGCAAGACGATGCCACCGGCAGATGACCCCGAGTTGACGATACGGAACACAAGCCCGCGTCTCTTTCTGAACCATGAGGTTGTTGAGGTGAGGCAGCGGAGAAGATTGCACCAGATCCTAGAGGGCTGACAATAGACTGTGAGAGCAGTATCTGGTAGTATTGCGTCGACAAAGAGAGCATTATCAAGCCGAAATATTACACATCCGTGCCGACAAAGAGTAGCCATCGCGGGCCATAGGAATTTGGACACGACCCCACTAGCAAGGTTACAATGTCAGCGCCAGTCTAAGAAGAGGGTTTTCTGATCCAATGGAAAATCTTACCACTGCTGAGCCGCCAACTTGAAAAAAGACCTGCATGCTTGTGATACAACTGATGCTGCTGGAGCTGTACTGGTTGAGGGGCCCAGTCTGGTAGTACTCGAGGAAGACGCCTACGCAGGTGACGAGGCCGAATGTACAGAACAAGCCAAACCAACCTCCCAGAACAACGAGCCATGCCTCTCGACCACCTTCCGGATACTCAGACTCACTGATACGGGCATCTGGTATTGTGTTGACACGAGCACTTTCCTTGGAGGTTCCAAGGTGTGCATCTTGTCTTGCGGAGGTTGATTCATAGCTATCAGATTGAGCCATGGCGGTGACTTGGTAGCTTTTGTTCTCTTCGAGATAAACTTCAAGCAACGAGCTGGAAATACTAGAAACCGGACGTTGATTAAGGTTTCGTAGAGGGTACAGCGTGCAAAAAGACACACAAAGAACCCAAGATTTATGAAGAAATGTGGTAGCGGATCAGAACCACTGAAGTATGGTTACCGAACTGCCTAGCTTTTGAAGGAGATGGAGTGTCTCGGCCGGTTTGTCTCCGTGTCGAGCCGTCCCATACAGACTACAGGAAACCTGCAAAGACTAGCGACACTTGAATGACCGTATTTTCCCACAGAGTCGCGGAGCTATGACTCGTGATCTTCAGATAGAGGAGCTCCCCGGCGATTATTACACGCCCGACGGGGCCTCGCGGGGTACATCTTCCTGGGAAACTTGATCATCGGGATTCATTCCGGTTGACAAAGTCGTATGATACCTTCGAGTCTGCGGGTTCACTTCGTCCCTATCGATTGAATGCGCTTCAAGTAAGGAAATTTGCTCTTGTGTAACGGGGGTAATAAAGCGAACTGTAGCAGCTCTGAAAACAACTCCCTGTCCCTACGACTAGCAAAGATCCAGCAACGCCGCGCTGCTCTTAGTCTAAGTGCTGAGATGTGAAGTTCATTGTATTATAGATTTATGCACTATGTAGTATCTGAGGTAGAAATCTGACTAGATTAATTCGTTGGGGGCCAAATGCACGAAGGATCACATTAGGTTATATTAAGGAAATAAATCCGCCTTGTGGGGCATTTTGCCCTGCTTAAGCGCAAATCTCATCGGTATCGACCAGGGTTTAAGTGAAGGCCCTACAAAACGGAGAAGAACGATTGGTGAGGTACTCACAATCTCGCAGTAGCGTCCGTCTAGTCTAGCATAGCTCGCGATCGCATTGCTTGCCTAAACGGAACAATAAGCAATGTGGGTGCACTAGAGGCATTTATTAACCCCCTTATTTAATGACCTGACAGTCCATTTTTTCGCGGAATTACCAGTGTTTTCATTCATCTCTCAAACATCACATCACCCCTTCTTTCCACTTCGGCAGAGCCTTCGACCGTTCAAATATTACTTTTCGGAAACATGACAGCCAAATCGGCAAAGGCAACTAGTAGGAACTGGTTGATGGAAGGGTTATCGGTATTGGCCAGCTGTCTGATTACGGTCGGCCTGTACGTACTCCTCGCACGATTTGATGACCACGAAGCTCCCCATTTTGGTGCCGTATCGGAATGGGGTATTACCCTCAATACTATTGTGGCTATTATGGTTAATATAGCAGTCGCTGCTAGCATTTCGGTCGTCGTAGAATGCATTAGCCAGCTCAAGTGGCTTTGGTTCTCAGAGCAGCCTAGGTCCTTAGCTGAAATCCAAGTCTTTGATGAAGCAAGTAGGGGATTATTTGGCAGCTTAAAGCTGATATGGGGAATCCGTCACCGATCTATTGCCACCACAGGTGCCTTTCTCGTGGTGGTTCAGCTGGCTGTGGCGCCACTTACCCAACAGTCACTTCATTACGAGTCGCGAAGCGTAGCAGCTGAAGGTATCAACGGTACCCTTCCTTATGTGGAAAAATACATCGAAATGGGCCAGCAACCTATCCTCGCAGGCATCACTCCGAGCGGGTATGATTCATTGGGTACAGGTATGAAGTCGGCGATAATATCGGGAATCTTTATGGACACCGATATCGTCCTCAACGATACAGAACCGTCGTGCCCTAGTGGCAATTGCACCTTCAGCGACTGGTCAGCCTTGACCGTTTGTACAGGTTTCGCGAACGTTACCTCATATCTTGATGACCGATCTGATCGCAAGAAAAAGGACCGTGTCCACCTTGAATACTGCATCGCAGATGACATCTGCATTACAAGCAACTATGAGGACTATCAAGTCAAAGTGAATATAACATCCGCTGCACGTGGTGAGCAGTTTGATGGACCACTTGGATCCGATGTTCGAGACCGAACTGGTTACAATTACACGTCCATGGCTTTCAAAGATCGCCCGAGCCCTATTGCAGACTTCTACGTGCTCTACCAAAACCTGACCACTGATCAGTACATGGCTATCGAGATCGTTTTGGAATGGTGCGTCCAAAGGTTCTCAACAAAAGTTGTCAATGGAATTGCCACCACCGTCCGACTCGACGAATCGAGGAATTTCACAGAATCGGGCTATGAACGTGTCATTAACGAAGTCGACGGAGAACAGTTTGAGGTCGATATCCTCACCCATTTGTCACTGCAGCGCCATCTCGCCAAGTACTTGTCTGGTATGCTTTTTTATCAAGGTGGCGACCAAGCAGATACCGATGTTGCCATATCCTTTTCTGGGGCTCTGGGGTCATTAAGCTGGCAAACCGCTACACGTGTCCCCAGGGGCTTCCCTAGGCTAGGTGCTCTTCTGAACAACACGGCGACTAGTATGACCAATTTCCTACATCAAAAGACACTCCGGAGAAAAAACGGCATAGTTTATGTACAGAAAGTTTACGTCCGCATCTCATGGGGATGGCTAGCTGCTCCGATTATATTCGTTGTCTTTGCCCTATTATTCTTCATCGCAACGCTGGTTTACGGACGCGTTCGCAAAATGCGAGGTGTACCGGCTTGGAAATCTAGTCTGTTAGCAGCATTACAGACTCCCGATGCCGATTTACATCAGCTCCTAGGCTCTAAGGCGTCAAAGGTTCCCGTGTTCTCGCAAATACAAAAGCTCAAAGTTCAGCTTATTAAAGCTGATGGTCGCTGGAGTCTCACAGAGTCTGTTCCTCACAGAAAAATGAGCGATCAGACACCACTGCAACAAGAAGACGACAGCATGCCGTTATCAAGCTTATAGTTTGACTAACTAAGAAAGACATAGCGGGTCCAGGGGTGTAAAGTATACGGCAAGGAAGAAATAGTCAACACTAGCGATAGCGCAGCTTAATACTACTCAAGAGAAATTCATCCTTGGGTATACTGTATTAAAAACAGTTATTATTTCGCCTGTTATTAAAGTATTTTATTCTTACATATATACTATGAGCCTAGGTTCTCTTTACCACTCTTAGCTAAGACTTGTACTTAATATTGCTGTAGTAATTAATTTATTTATGTTAAGCCTGGTAGCACCTTTAAAAAAGAGATCCAGCTGTCCCAATCAAATGCACAAAAATATGAACAATAGAGGTCTCTACACAGACCGAAAAGCAACATTATCTCAAATTCGTAGATAACCTATATAGCCGTATGTACAAAAGCTGGCTTTTCCTCTCATACCCCTCAACCTGTTCCACACCACAAGCACACTACCTAACGTTAGTCGATCAACCCTTGCAGCTGCCCGTCATTAGTCAATCTATCAAGAAGCTAAGACTTTACAGTCAGCCAATGAACCCCTAGTCGCCCTTCGGTCCACATCACTAACCTCTTTCGCAGCTACAACGATGAGTGTCGAAATAACAAGCCTCTAATATAGCAGAAGCCTCAGTCTGACCTATTTCGAAGTCAAACGGACCGTCGATCAATATTGCCATAATAGGCAGGAGCTAAACAACAAGGCTAATCTGGCTATATACTTGTGTATAAAAGCCTAAATTCCAATCATTGAAAAAGTAACTTGTTTAAAACCTTGGCATTCCCTACTTACATACCAGAGTGAAACTATAATTAGTAAGACCACAGCCCTAGCCTTGGCGCAATCTTATCTGATAAATCCTCCTAGCCTTTAGTAATACATTCTTTAACTCATACCAAACCTCAGACATGGCATTTGTCACAGGTTGGCCAAATTTCCCACCAAATCCAAGTGTTAGCTTAAGTTAAAGCATCGAGTTCTAACCGCTGAACATACGAAATATTGCTTTAGACCTGTTTCTCGGAAATCGTTTTGGGTTTCTTGGCTTTTTCAGCCGCATGCAAGGTAACAGGAATATCACACGCCAAAAACTTACAATCGTACGCTTGCAAAGTTTTGAGGAATAACGCCACTGTTGTCTCCTCCACCCACGTCTTCTCCACCCGCCTTGGCGTGATGTGTTGGCCGGAACCAAAGTTATCGTAATCTTGTTTATGTCTTGTGAGGAAATACGAGCTGGAATTATAAGCTGCTCCCCTGTTACCAAGCTCTCAACTGTTCATCCATCGGAAATCTATCAACTTTTAACCTGGGATCTTTCTCCAACGAGCCTTTATCCCCTGAAATCTTACCTTCGTTCTAAAGCTGCATCTTTATCATTCTTCCACCATGCTGTCCCATGATATGACGCAAACCACAGACAACAGAGGCCCGGACTCTGAAGCATCCACCAGTGCAGGACAGAATCCGTCTAGCCACTCTTTCGGGTCTAGCCATGAGGGCAAAGAGAAGAATCTCTCCCCAAGTCAGGACACTCCAAGCGATCAACCTCGACGTCCCTCATTTCTTGAACGTGAAAGCACCATCATTGACGAAGCCGATCGTATTGAGCTGGTTAGAATTGCCGCGGCACTTTCTCGTCATCCGTCTACCGTCGAAGGCGAACGTGACAGCGCCCAAATCCTTACACCATCGAGTCACGATGTACCAGCGCTTGATCCTTCGAGCGACCAGTTCGACTTATACCAATGGCTCAAGACCTTTGTTAAGACTCTCGGTGAACAAGGCATTACGGCCAAGAAGACTGGCGTAGTCTGGAAAAACCTTCACGTGTCCGGCTCTGGGTCAGCCTTACAAGTCCAGGATACTGTTGCATCCTACTTGATGGCACCTCTTCGCCTAGGCGAGCTGTTCAGTATTTTCAAGAAACAACCAAAGCGTATCTTGCGAAACTTCGACGGACTCATCGAGAGTGGAGAACTCTTGGTTGTGCTTGGTAGACCTGGGTCAGGATGTAGTACCTTGCTCAAGACAATTTGTGGCAAATTGCAAGGCATAGATATCGACAAGGATTCAACGATCCATTACAGTGGCATCCCCTTAAGTATTATGAGGAAAGAATTCATGGGAGAGGCAGTCTACAACCAGGAGGTAAGTCACATCAATCTGGATATCTACAAAGTGTAAACTCTAATAGCGATGATAGGTCGACAGACACTTCCCACACCTCACGGTATCCCAGACTTTACAATTTGCCGCATCTGTTCGAACACCATCTCATCGCCTTGGCGGTATGTCGCGCAAGGAATTCTGTGGATATATCTCCAAGGTCGTCATGGCTGCCTACGGCCTCACGCATGTGGCCAATACTAAAGTGGGAAACGACTTTATTCGTGGTGTTTCTGGAGGTGAAAGAAAGCGTGTCAGTATCTCTGAGATGACTCTGTCTGGCTCCCCTCTTGCTGCATGGGACAACAGCACACGAGGTCTTGATTCTGCAACTGCTCTCAAGTTTGTCCAAGGCCTGCGCATGGCTGCTGATCTTGGTGGTACGACCACTGCTGTTGCCATTTATCAGGCCAGTCAGGCCATATATGATCTCTTCGATAAGGCCATGGTATTATACGAAGGCCGTCAGATTTACTTTGGTCCTGCAAACAAAGCAAAAGAATTCTTCCAGCAGCAAGGATGGGATTGCCCTAAACGACAAACCACCGGTGATTTTCTCACTTCCATTACAAACCCGATTGAGCGAAAAGCTCTCCCTGGTATGGAACAGAAGGTCCCTCGTACGCCGGAAGAATTTGAGAAGTATTGGAAACAATCTCCTGACTTCGAGCTTCTGCAAAGTCAGATTGATGAATACGAGAAACAGTACATCATCGAAAGACCTGGCGAAAGTATCCTGGAGATGCGCGAGCAGAAGCATCTCCGCCAGTCCAAGCATGTCAGGCCGTCTTCACCTTTCACTCTGAACTTTGTGATGCAAGTAAAGCTCTGCACTATCCGCGCCTACCAAAATATCTGGAATGACATCTCGGCAACTGCCACGCAATGTATCGTATTAGTTATCATGGCGCTGATTATTGGCTCTATCTTCTATGGTACTCCTGATGCCACTGCTGGCTTTTATGCTAAGGGTTCAGTTCTATTCATGTCCGTCCTTCTCAATGCCCTAATTGCTATTGCAGAAATTCCCGGACTGTATCGGCAACGAGAAATTGTTACTAAACAAGCGTCTTATGCCTTTTACCATCCTGCTGCCGAGGCTGCTGCTGGAATAGTCGCCATCGTCCCGATTAAATTCCTCACCGCCGTCCTTTTCAACATTGTCCTTTACTTCCTTTCTGGCCTTCGACGCGAGGCGGGAAGTTTCTTTCTCTATTTTCTTATCTCCTACATGTCAACTTTCATCTTCGTTGCCTACTTCCGTACAATAGCAGCAATTTCCCAGACTGTTTCGCAAGCGATGGCCGTTGCGGGGGTAGCTGTCCTTCTTCTGGTTGTCTACGCTGGCTTCACTATCACCGTGCCTGAAATGAAGGTGTGGTTCTCATGGCTCCGCTGGATCAATCCGATCTACTACGCTTTCGAAATCTTGATTGCCAATGAATTTCATGGGAAGGACTTTACCTGTTCAAGTATATTTCCCCCATACTCGCCTAATGTTGGGGATTCTTGGATATGCGCAATTTCTGGTGCTATCCCCGGTGAAAGGACTGTTAGTGGCGATCGGTTTATTGCTGCTAATTATGAGTATTACTGGTCTCACGCGTGGCGGAACTTTGGTATTCTTATCGCCTTTCAGGTCTTTTTCCTCATTATGTATCTAGCCGCAACAGAACTCACGTCATCTGCAACGAGCACTGCAGAAGCCCTTGTTTTCCAGAAGGGGCGTATTCCCCAAAGCGTCCTTCGAAGTCTGTCCACAGTCCCCGACAACGAACAGGTCGCCGGGCCTCATGAAGACAAGCAGCACTCAGAGAGCCAAGATGTCGGAGCCATCGAGCCTCAAAAAGAAATCTTTACTTGGAGGGGGGTCACATACGATATCCCAGTCAAGGACGGACACCGTCGCTTGTTAGATGGTGTTGCCGGATGGGTCAAGCCCGGTACTCTAACGGCACTCATGGGTGTCAGTGGTGCTGGGAAGACAACCCTACTTGATGTTCTTGCCCAACGAACGTCTATTGGTGTTATCACAGGCGATATGCTCGTTAACGGTAGATCCATTGATGCAAGCTTTCAACGCAAGACCGGATATGTACAGCAACAAGGTACGTATGATTTTGATGATGATAACTACCCGACTGACTGTTGATTAGATCTGCACTTACACACTGCCACTGTTCGAGAGAGCCTCCGGTTCAGTGCCGTCCTAAGGCGGCCTAGGTCTATCAGTAAGAAAGAAAAATACTCTTTTGTCGAAGAGGTCATCAAGATGCTTGGGATGCAAGAGTACGCAGACGCCGTGGTTGGAGTACCTGGAGAAGGATTAAACGTCGAACAACGCAAGCTCCTTACAATTGGGGTTGAGCTAGCTGCAAAGCCGAAGCTTTTACTGTTTCTCGACGAACCAACCAGTGGTCTTGACTCACAGAGCTCCTGGGCCATTTGCACCTTTTTGCGAAAGCTTGCTAATGCAGGCCAAGCTGTTCTGTGCACAGTTCATCAACCAAGTGCTATCCTCTTTGAACAGTTTGATAAGCTTTTGTTCCTCGCCAAGGGTGGTAAGACGGTATATTTCGGTGAAATTGGACCGGATTCTAGAACCCTTTTGAACTATTTCGAATCTCACGGGACTCAGCGTTGCGAAACGGGAGAAAACCCAGCAGAATACATCCTGAACGTTGTGAGCAAGACTTCCAATGATTGTGGGGAGGACTGGCACGATGTTTGGAAAGGAAGCGCTGAGTACCAGGCAGTCGAGTTGGAGATCGACAGAATTCATATCGAGAGGCACAATGAACATGCTACCGATGAAGATGACCCGGATTCTCTTTCTGAATTCGCAATGCCTTTTGGTTCACAGCTAATGGCCGTCACATACCGCGTGTTCCAACAATACTGGAGAATGCCCAACTACGTTTTTGCGAAGTTCATCCTAGGCATTTCAGCCGGTCTCTTCATTGGGTTTTCCTTTTATCGGCCAGCAGAGTCTCAAGCAGGAATGCAGAATGTCATCTTCTCTGTCTTCCTCTTGACTGTCATCTTCGCAACGCTTGTCGAACAGGTGAGCAGATATGCACGTATCCAGAAGTCGCTCTATTACTAACAACCTCTTCCAGATTCAGCCACACTTTATCACACAACGAGACCTTTACGAGGTTAGAGAGCGGCCCAGCAAGGCCTATTCTTGGCAAGCATTCATGCTTGCCAACATCATCGTCGAAATTCCGTATCAGATCATCACTAGCATCTTGATCTGGGCCTGCTTCAACTATGCTGTGATTGGCATTCAAAGCAGTGACCGCCAAGTCCTCGTTCTCCTCTTTGTTATCCATCTCTTCCTATACGCTAGTTCGTTTGCACAAATGACAATAGCAGCCCTGCCTGATGCTGAGACTGCGGCAAGTATTGTAACCATCTTGGCTATGATGAGTATCATCTTCAGCGGTGTCTTGCAAACTCCAGATGCTCTCCCTGGGTTTTGGATCTTCATGTATCGTGTTTCGCCATTCACATACTGGATTGGTGGTATTGTAGCAACCATGCTACATGATCGCCCCGTGGTTTGTTCCTCTGCAGAAACAGCTACGTTCAATCCTCCGTCAGGCCTTACATGTCAAGAATATCTCGAGCCCCTCTTATCAAGGGCGCCGGGTCTACTGCAAAACCCACAAGCCACCGAAGCTTGTCGATATTGCGCCTTCCGTGTTGCAGACCAGTATTTATCTACCTCTAAGATTCTCTGGTCTGAGAGGTGGAGGAACTATGGCATTGTTTGGGCCTTTATCGGGTTTAACATGTTTATTGCGGTAATGAGCTACTATTTGTTCAGGGTAAGAAAGTGGTCTAGGTAATTACAGTTTCTTATGTGGAGATCAGTGAATTTGTTGCTCTGGGATTTTTATTTCAGTCATAGCTCGCTTTATTAACAAGGCCATTTAATATACGGTTTAATTCTCCTTTATAGGAAAACAACTACACGTAAGACCAATCATTCTATACAACCTTTAAGCAAACCGACAATGTAGCAGCACGTACCAAGATTCAAGCTCAGCATAGAATTTAGCCAAGCCTAAATTTCACCTTGAATATGTTGTAACATAAATTTACCCTTAAAATTAGTAAACTACTATAGGCCATTTTAAGTCCTAAGCTTAGCAATGCCTATTACATATACCTTTCGAGACATGGCTTATACTATCTAGGAGGTAAAATCAATTATGACTTTAATATTATTAATATTTATATACCTACCTTTATTATTATTAGCTTTACTCTTAAGTATATGACCGTGCTTTCAGGTCATTACTATAAACAAAGACAAGGAAAATATAACGCACACCTGAAAGGGCCCAAATCAGGCGAGATCAATTGGTTCTCTTCATTGATTGAGGAGATCAAGTGTCGGCGATCACAGCGCCATAAAACCACCGCATAAGCTGCTTGGACAAGCTCGCCAGCCCCTCGCGCTCAAGTGCATTATAACGACCAGATTAATAGTTCTATTTAAAAATGTAAAAAAACGAGTAACAAATTGAATTTAAAACGTGTACTAAGTGGCCTATTACTCGATAAAGTGGAATAACCCATCAACCAAAATTCATATCCATGTAGGTATAAGCTTATAGTTCAGTTGAAGTTTGACTGCGTTTCTTGCACCTTTGTGGCCCTTAAACGACACAGAGTATAGTTATAGAGCTTGATAGTAACGAGCTGGGAACGAAGTAGACCGACGCAGCCATCGCAAGAGCAGAGAGATTCCATCTGCACTCAAAGTTCGAAAATACCAATAGCCATAGAAGAGAAGAGCAAGGCACCAATGGTGAGACCAAGGGTGCTAATGCCAGACTGAGGGCTGGTACCAGCAGCAGCGTTACCAGTTTCGCTTGCCTTGGACGAGCTGGCCGTACCACTGCTAGTGCTTTTCTTATCGTCCTTGTCCTTATCATCATCGTCGTCGTCGTCCGAGATGGCGCTGGCTTGAGCAGTAGCGGGAATCTTGCCGTCCTTGGTCTTGGTAGTCTTCGAGTTACCGCTGCACCAGACACCATCTTTGTCAGGAGCTCCCTTGCCGTAAAGACATTCGGAAAGCTCACTGACAGTTTGGTCAAGGGCAACGCAGTACATTGCGCAGTCGCCGGAATAGCTGATGATTTTAGCATCACCGCAGCAAGCCCGCATGATCTCGGTGTGGTTGTCTTTGCGGAACATGGAGCAGACGCTGTCTTGGTTCGGCGTGTCGTAGACGTTGTGGCAGGCCGTCTGAGAGGTAGAGGCCGCGGTGCTTGTTTTGGACATGATGGGTAGTTGTGGTTGTTGATACTAAGGTTTCGGAAACGATCGGATAGAAAGTAAATGTTATGACAATTGTAAAGTGAGAGAGTGACTTGTTGAAGATTTTAAGGAAAGTAAGAAGAGTGAAATGGGGAATAATTCTGTTTATATACGGTTCTTGGGCAGGCGAACCCAAACCTCAATCGGGAGCACTCATAAAATCTATTTATAGAAATATGGCCAACACTCGTATTTAAAGACAAGACGATTTCACATTTAGGTTTAACAGCACAATTCTCTGTCACAAAAGCAGGGATCAAATGACACGGTCCAAGTCGGCTGGTTCATAAGGGATGAGCTTTTTTTTGTCTACATATTCGATATCCGTACTTCCGTGCATGCTCCAAGTCCCGCTGACATAGCAAGATCTGGCGTTCCAGCTTCTTAGTCCCGTGTAAATACCCCTGAAGCTTCCCGCAGGAATTTTATCAATCAGGCAAGATGCTCATTTAACCACCTTGGCTCGATTCCACTCGCTATACGCTATGGATCCATGAGTTCATCGCTGAGGCTCTTCATTGGCGCTCAGCAAAGTTAGGTGGATGAAACGAACCATCATTGCTATAATTAGACAGACACAGTAATTCATGACTTGGAACCACCAGTCAGAGGCCAGCTTGTTGACTCGTAAGGTAAAACAAATTTGGGCCGATCCACATTTAAGGCTTTGACAGGGAGAGAGGTTAAAAGAACCTTACCTGGAGGCTTAGGTAACTATACGAGTCATTGCGCCTCCTCTTTAGAGGGGGCTACGTAACTGCGTAAAACCTGTAGCTAAGCTAACCTAGAGCAGATTATGTGTATTATTAGCGACCAGAGCCCTGATGTCCGAAAAACATCCGCCTGGGTTTGCTTACTTGGGCTAGCCTCTATGATACTTAGAAGACCTGGAAGCAGTTTACAAGGAAACCCAGCAGTGGTCGATGAAAGTTTGACTTAGAGACAATGAATGGTGCGAGGCGTAAGAGTACAATGGATTTCAATACATGATTGCGTAGATTGGTAGGGCCGACTCGAAGCAGTTTGCTATTAAAACGAGGGAGCCATACCAAGGTTTAATTTTAATTGTAGTCTTAATCATCCACTTTAAGTAGCACATTGAAAAGATAGCTTCCGAAAGCCAGATGGCAAGGAATGGTCCCGTTAAGGTGAATTGATGGAGTGGCAGATCTTCACTGCTAGACGAGCGCACGTCACAGCCCCTGACTAATGTGCTACCCTGTTCTTCACTCCTGTTCTCAGGAGGATCACTAAGTATAGAATATAAGCCTCCGAGTATGCGTCTTTCCCGCCTCAGTCCAGAAGTTTACATAGTCTTTGGTTTGGAAAACAACAATCAAGAACGTTATCAACCGGGCCTCGTCTAAAGCGATTCATCACTGCCTGATCATTTCTTTTTCAGAGCATGTCTAGCAGATTTAATGCATGGATCATTGTAAAAGTGAGAGGCATGGTCTTAAGGGGAATGTGGGCGCTAACGGATCGAACGATGTTGCTGGAGCACGCACTAGACAGACATTGATGGGAAGATGTAAATATAGACATGCCAAGCAACACAAAAGTTCGTATTTTAGACTCATTAATCTAAAAATATCTGGAGGATTCGCAGACAAAGAATGCTCGAAACATTTTGTCAGTTCTAGACGAGCCTGTGAAGTGCAGATCAAGCTCAACCTGCCTACCAGCGTAAGACAGAGGTACAGTGTATCCATTATGAAGATCTGCTACCAATCGGTTGGCGTCCCGATCATTACTTGCCCTGTCTGTGCCTCGATTAGCGCAAAGCCTATCCAGCGAAGTTATGTACTGTAATGGAAGAGTTTTCAGCTGAAGCTGAAAAGTTGTCGATCTGTGTATGAGCCACCGGATCTCCTCGGTTTCCTCATTCCGTAGCATAGCCTCTGACTCGCTGCAATAGCGACATAGGAGGCATGAGTAGTGGCCAGTGAGAATTTATTGTATGTTTGAGTCGTAGCACCTTTCCCCTGATGGTATGTCGGACGTCTGAGAATGGCATGCCTAAAATCTAGCAGGGGAAGGGAACTATCGAAACCATGACATGACGTGCGATGTCTATATTTACTCATTTTTACCTAAATATGAGAATTCAAGAATAAGTGAGAGCATCTTGGCTTTACTATACGGAGTTACTTCAAATTAGCATTTCATTGCTAGGGTATTGATTTGTTTCCACAAACCTGCTTGACTCTCTTTTACCCAAGCTATATACTGTACAATCTTCTTACTTTTCATCTAAATACTCTCCCTGATTTCGAAGACACAATCACGATCCTTCTCTGCAAATTGTTTCCTTTATCAAACTTTTACCTTTACACCCTGCCTCTCTTCCGAATTAATCAGAATGTTCAATCAAGTCCTTTCGTCGGCAGCCATGAGCCTCATGGTTGTAAGTCTGGCTTCTGCTCAAACCTTTACTGACTGCAATCCACTCAAAAAGGGTAAGTCTACGATACTATCAGAAGCAAGTTGGTGTGCTAATCACACAACATGGCCCCAGATTGCCCTGCCAATCCTGCCTTCGGTAAAGGCGTGACTACTTGCAACTTTGCAAGAGGCGAATGCGGCGCTTTCAAGGAGAACTCGGACTCCATGATCAAGTACGAGAAGAACGGGGCCAAGTTCACCATCAAGAAAGAGACAAACGCTCCTACTATTGCCACTGGAAAGTACATCTTCTTCGGTCGAGTCGATGTCGAGTTGCAGGCTGCCCCTGGACAAGGTATCGTGACGGCTGTAGTTTTACAGTCTGATACTCTTGATGAGGTAAGATACTCGGAGGCTGAATGATTCGATCATCACTTGCTAACTATTCTACAGATTGACTGGGAATGGCTTGGCGGTGATATCACCCAGGTGCAGTCCAACTACTTCTCCAAGGGCGACACAACTACCTACGATCGGGGTGACTTCCATACTGTCTTCGAACCCCAGGCGGCAGTCCACAAGTACTCGATCGAATGGAATAAGAACGCTGTTGAATGGATCATCGACGGCAAGGTTGTCCGCACCCTCAAAGCAGCTGAAGTCAAGGGCTTCCCTGAATCTCCCATGCAGATCAAGCTGGGCACATGGTGTGCTGGCGGTAGCCAGACCGAACTGGGAACTCTCCAGTGGTCAGGAGGCTTTACTGATTTCTCCAAAGCTCCTTTTGATGCTTACTACAAGAGTGTCACTATTGTTGATTACGCTGGCGGCAATGGCCCAGCTATCAAGGGCGTCAAAGAATACGTCTACGGTGACAAGTCTGGCAGCGCGGATAGCATCGAGATCAAGTATGGCTCTAGCTCCGACGAGGATGACAAGAAGACTTCCAAGGAAGATAAGCCCAAGCCTACCGGTACCTTGCCATTGACTGGCGAGTCTACCGCGGAAGAGAAAGGCACTTCAGACGAGAAGAGCAAATCCGCGCCTACTGGTTCCTCAACAGAGACCGGCACATCTAGGGACCAGGACGATCAGACACCACCTACAGTTTCCAAGCCCAATGATGGTCTCGTCAAACTGAATTTCACTGCCACACCCATCGGGATTCCGACCCCTGACAGCACTGGCTCTTTCGGGGGTGATGCTCCGCATTCGGCAGCTTCTAGGGGTACCTTTCAGGGCGGATTGATCGCTGGAATTCTGTTGGTCGTTGTCTTGGCCATATAAATAGATACACCGAGTCTCTTGAGCCCATAGGTTTTGGTGACCCTTGGGTCTCCACACTCGTTAGACTTAGCATGCTCTAGCTGGACTAGTTAGCCTAAAAATCCGAGAAAATTGGCCAGGTGCCTATCTACAAATAGACTACGTTATTTGAGTGCTAGGCGTCTTCCATTTTATTGTACTATTCTGCTTGAGGGGAAAGAAATCTCACTATCTATTCAAGATGAGAAGTCCTGCTAGGTATTTTTCATAAGTCAATTTGTCGCCTACCCATCGCCGCATCGATCATCAAGGCTTGTAATTACTCGTGACCCCTGGCTGCAACTGTGAGTACAGCAGCCGATCTAGTTAGCCTGCCTGATTTGGCATTTATGCAACCGAGCGGCAGAGCTAGATACCACCCTATAGTTATGCACTCAGTTAGACGACGACCCAATGAGGAGTGGCGCTCTAGCCCTCCTTGCTTGTCGGAGGCCCCTGAGGAAGATCTGATAGTCTCGGCACACAAGAACGGGACGAGCGGGACCCGCGGAATCCTCGGAATCCGCCTTACGGAGCCTAATGGATTGACGTCATACAGACTTAACCGAACATGGCAAAGAGCAGCCACTAGGGTTTGTGTCACAAGGCACGGCCATGTGATTGGCTGAGCATACCCGATTATGTCAGCTGCGCCATTGTACCTACAAGGCCTAGAAGGCTCCTACAACCTCTTCAAATGCTCAATTCGGTAAAAGTAGCTGCTAATCACAGTTTGCAACGATTTTGTATTCGCCAGTTTCGGGCCATTGCCCATGGGTCGGGTCAGGGAGACATCATACAAGCTAAGTCCTCTCTGGTCGTGCATCACGCTTGGCTGATAAGAGATTTACTGTATCCGTATCTTCAACATCTATTTTCTGAGAAAAAGCAGTTTAGAATCCAGCTACAATCTATCTTAAATAATAACTTCCTCTTCGGTTATTAACAAACTCGATTAACTGCTTAGAGTAACAGCCTCTAAAAGTCCTCCTGTTATGTTAGCCTATAAGGTTGTTTGCACGACCTTGAAGCGCGTTGCGAGATAGCGAATGGTTAATTTTAGATTCTTACCTTTTGTATCTAACGTAAGAATAATATGAGACTTAGTAGCAAGATCTAACATGGTTGCAGCGGGAGAAATCGTGTGTTAAAGTTGTTATGGATGAAATTGAGAAGAACAGTCCGCTTAGCGATGTAGCCTGCCAAGGGATGAAGAAAGTAATCTTCCATAAGTTATGTTAAGTTTCATAGAACTTTAACAAATCCTATGTATTATTCATCGCTGAATTGCTATTAGGCATAGATGCAAATAGTTAAAGTAATCCTGCTATGCAAACTCTCCTCTAGAATACATTTGACCTCTCGATTATTTTTCGCGTTTCCGCATCTGAATCCCAGCTAAAGAGAATCTTGTCTACTTTGTGCCCCGACCTGTTTAAAATGGTACCTGAATATGTTAGCAATGCATCATTGTTTGATGATATTGAGAACTTCTTGTACTTACGTAACCAGGGAAAGCTTGACATTATCCACATGCACAAGAATATGATCTTTTGAACCCAAACGTTCCGTTTCCCACTGTGCTTTTGGGCTTCAGCGTTGAGATACTTGATCTTGGAAAGGCGTGGCTGTCGGCACTCATAAAGACCCTTGACAGCCAAGTCAATAGCAGTCACATCAGAAATGCCTTCCTGCTGCAGCGCACGGCCGAGAAGCAAACCGAGCGCTTCCGAATCTTCAAAAGCCTGGCTAGTTCCTTGGCCAATGTCGGGGGTCATAGCATGAGCTGCATCCCCCACAAGCACAACTCCACCATCGCCCCATGTAGGGAGTTCGGGGACTGTCCAAATCGGGTAGATGAATGGAGCCGAGGCTTTCTTCAACACTTTCTGAACATTCTCCTCTTTCCAATCCCCGTACATGTTCTGAAGCATTTTAGATACGATCTCTCGGGGTACTTCCTTCTTGGAGGGCGGTTGTTTAGTCTCGTACAGAGACCACCATGTCAGTGAATCATCCTTGGTGGGACGGTAAGCACTGTAGCCCATAGACGCTGAATGGCCCATGACAATGACAACCGACTTCTTGTCCGTCACTTCTTTCGGAATAGGCGTTGGCATGAAGCCCCAGATTCCACATCGCTGACTAGATAACACGTGTAAGCAAGCTGCCCATGGTGCGCTTTCTGTCGAAGTAGAAACCTCCGCTGCCGAGCCATGTCTATGTTTGAGGTATCAGCTCAAAATCCAACTTACGAGAATACAGCGGAATAATCAACACCTTGGTTGGCAAAGAACTGTTTTCGCACAATGCTGTGCACCCCGTCGGCTCCAACAACCAGATCAAACTCGGCCGATCCGCCATCTGCGAATGAGATGACAGGCTTGGAGTTACCTGAATGACCCCTTTTGGTAACCTGGACAACCTTTCTGATGACGACGTCGCCATCAGGGATTGCCTCCCTCAATGTCCCCCACGTAATCTGCCTGGCCATGATCATAGTTGAGTCATCCTCTCGCTGGCTCCTCGACTCAACACTCAGATCCCAGCCATCCGAACTCCTCAATCTAAGAGTCTTATGGGCGTATCCGCGCTCTTGAATGGTGGCATGAACTGCAGGGTCGAGGTTGTGTAGAACGCGCATCCCATTGGCCGAGATTCCGATGACACCACCCTGTGGTGCAACTTTTCAACTGTCTAGGTCGTCGGATAGCGGATCTCGGTCGAGCTTGGGCTTGTACGATTCGTAAATAGTGACCTTGTGATCATCGGAAAGGAATTTGCGTAGTGCAAGGTATGATGACATGCCTGCCAGGCCGCATCCTACGATAGCTATCTTCATGGTGGTGCAGATGGGATAAAAAGGATAAGAAAGAAATTCTTAAAAGGTCATTGACAGAGAGGTAGAAGTTCTTGGAGGTAGACTGACAGCTTAGCGACTACTTGGGTAAAGGAAGTTTATATACTTCCTGGTATAAGCTTACCTTTATACTGGCAACAACGACATTCACGGAGACTTCGAGATGTGCGAAGCCAACTTGCACGGGACGTCGGCATTTGAAATGGCCCCGTTGAATGGACTTTGTGGATCTGGTAATTGTGATGATCCACAGGTTTCGTATATGGCCCCCAAGTACGCTATCGTAAAAAAACTTGGCATAGCCTGACCGTTATTTAGGTGTATTAAGGTTTTGATGAGCGCTTGCCAGGCCCATCAAGATCTCTTTTCTTCTTACAGACTTATAGTAGGAGAGGGGCAATCGGGTTCTAGACTGTTTTTAAGGGGTTGCGAGTACTGACACTGGATGGAGAGCGTCCTAAAGGTGTAGGGTCAAGTCTAATGTTGGCTAGGATTCTGGCAATTGATGCTCAAACACCCTGTTTAGGTAGGTCATCCAAATGCCGACGATCTGCATGGCCTTTGTTGACGTCTGATAATTTCCTCATTGAAAAGTGTATGCTAAGGTGAGTGAAACAAAATAGCCCCCTATGTTCTTCCCACGGCATTGAGAACCCCTTTTGTCGGATTCCTCATTGAGAACCGATTCGTTTATTGATCTAGTTCCACATGACACTACCAAGTGGTGTGTGACTCATTCTTTAACCGGGTTATGTTGTCCAAAATGCAACATTGCCAACCTGCAGCTAGGTTTATGCTGGATGATTGTCCATAAAGATGTACCACTAAATCAGACACACGATCAAGAAGCTGAGGCCTCGGAGAAGGAAAAGAGAAGAGGATGTCACAGCCTGCTCTGGAGCCGGCACCGAGAGGGCCCCCCCAGGAAAAAAGCCCATCGCACCTATAACATTCCGTAAACCGTTCTGCCAACTTGCATCACATGGGTTTGGCGCATACCACTTATCTTACGCTAGGCCTAGCACCATCAGACCGACTAATATCGCGTTGATCAAGAACGTGATGCTGCCGAGCATGAATACGAGCGATACGAGTCATCCCATGTCACGGCATGGATAGACAGTGAACATACAGTGGATCTTCTCGCGTGGGATGTGAAGACGGATGGGAACAGTTCTTAAACCATCGGTCTTTATTCTCAAGTCGAGACATCTGTTCTAGCACCTTTAAGGTTTATCCTCCGGCCGCGAAAACGGCATTGCATTGTTATCTACAGAAACAGGCGATCAGAGCCGCAAGATGCGGAATGCAATAAGTGGCAGTTTGGCAGAATGAAATTGCGCAAAGCTGGAACATACCTGGAACTTGAAAGCTATTTGTTGGAGTCATCCATGATTGTGTAATTTGGTTGCCCCAAAAGTTCGGGGCCCGTAGACTCCGCCCACGCGAGGTTGGAGACTGAGATACCGCTAACGTAAATGGTCTTAGCCCCCCAGTCTACACATGTCATGCAAAGCCGTCCCTGATAAACTTTGGAAAGGTTATACATAGGCTACACGCTGATCCCCTTACACTTCCTTGATTCCGGATCACGGAACTTGATCCTCTTGCACTACACGTCGCAAACTACACCACGTCTCCTATATCATATCATCATGCCGGTTCTGGCGATTGCGGGTGGCACGTCCTGGGGCATTGGTCGGGCCTTGACAACTGCCGTCCTTTCAACCCAACACGCTACGCCATGGACCCCAGTTATCCTATCACGAACCACGAGCCCTCCTCTGTGGCTCCGTGCAGTGGACCCCAATCTCTCCCGCGTTAAAATCCGGGCCGTTGACTATACATCCTTGTCTTCACTGGAGTCTGCGCTGAAGGATGTCGACACTCTCATATCTGTCACAAATTCGTACGACGGCACACAAGCACAAATCCAGGTCAATCTACTCCATGCTGCGATCAAGGCTGGCTGCCGACGTTTTGCTCCGTCGCAGTGGGGCATGGGCCCTCAAGGCTATGAAGCCCTGAGAAGCCTCAAGTTGGTAAACAAAGGTGTATGGGAGGAATGCCTCAAGCACCAAGATATAATTGAGTGTGCTAGGTTCAATAACGGCATGTTCCTGAATTACCTGGCCAATGGGATCTATGATGCCGATGCTGGACCTGGGGCAATTAAGGATAACGAGACCAAGTTTCGCGAATTGCGAGAAGGAGGAGGTTATGCGCCTGGATTTGATATGGCTGGCGAAGGGATACCTAGGGCAGGAGATCTCAAAGATGGATCAGGCTCTTTCTTGATCTCCCTTTCGAAGGGAATAGCTGAGCTACCCGTCACAGACGATGGTCGATGGCCCCGTATTACCACTACTACACTTAGAGACATCGGTCGCTTTGTCTCTGCAGCTCTTGATTTGCCGAAATGGGAGCATGATATGAGCATAGCGGGCGACACTATCACGATGGGGGAGCTTCTTGGCATCGCTGAAGAGGTTACTGGGAAAAGGTTTGAAGTTCAAAAACTGACGAGCGGAGATCTAGAAAAGCAGTTGTCAGAATTGAAACCAGACCAATTCATGGAGGCGCTATGGCTTGAATTCAAGCTCATGTACTGCCGCGATGTGGAGAGCGAGGGCATATTAACGCCAATTGTGAATGGGTTATGTCCTGAAGTGAAGCCAGTCTCTGTGAAGGAGTATCTTGAGAGGTACTGGTCTTGCCGAGAGCAGCTTTAAGAATTGTGGGCTAGTTAGGCGTCTAATCCAGGAGTTTACAAGAGAACTAGTAATGAACTTTGTTTCTTTCAAGACAATTGTATTAGTAGTGATCTTGTTATAGTAGACTAGCAATCGAGTGGATTTGGCTGGACTGGATTCACAGCGTCAGAAATTGAGACTGGCGGCTGGACTGCATCGAAAAATAGAGCAGCACGAATCCAATAACATGACTTTTACGATTTGGCCAACAATCTAACAACGTCCCAGAATGGCCGCACCAACAATCACCGACTTCTTCTCTCGTTTTTCTAGTAGGTTTTTAGAGTCAGACGAGATTGTTCCCGCTCCAGAACCGATTAACAATACCGGTAGTCGTGGTCCGGATGTCTTGATCTAGCCAGATGAGCCCAAGTTTCAGGTCGAGCAATATACTCCCTTTCCTGTCATCGCAAGGGGCCATAGATGAACTAAAGAACGCACGTTGGTGATCTGGCTATGCGGTGAGGATCTACAGTCAAAGGGAACCGGAAATGGGTATGGTACTACTACCTCTGCGAGAAACAAAATTGTCCATAAGAACTTCTAGCAGTCGTGAACGGCAGTTCTACGGCACTAGATTATCTCTACTTAAAATGTTATATCTATGAGACTACTAAAGAACTTTGATTTTGCTGATTTAAACACATGAGCCAATAGATAAGTATATAAAATTATATTCGGGGCCCCTGCGGCCTGTATTGGCTGAGGAATAGGAAAACCACATGAACCGATACCGGGTTTACAGGCCGCTGGACAAGCTGTAACATATTAATAACGGCTACAAACCCCGTATTTTTGGTTTCGCTCTGCAATTAGGCCTTGAATCTCTCTTCTGACCAACTTAAGAGGAATTGGCAGGACTAATATTGCATGTAATCCTCGCCGGGTGACTCGAGGCGAATGAGAATACCATGCTCTTTATATGAATGGGGCGACGAGAGCAATACTGACTATATCCTTTTTGTTCCAGATTTCTATGTAACGAGACTTTTATTTTAGAACCTAATATCAATTTCTTATAATTATCGCATTACATATAAAGACTATCCTATTACGGGTAACCTTTTAAAACACATGTTATAGATTTCTTGCCTTCTGATGGGAAAAATAGGCCTAGTCTTTCACTACTACATAATGCATGTGTTATATAAACGATGACTTGATGACTTCATGCTGGGTTGGTTCTGACTGCCTTTTGTGTACCTCGGTAAGTTTGATTGGGCGGTAAAACTTCGCATATGCAGCTATGCCCAACGATATGCCTTGTTTATGCTGTCCTAAGATTAGGCTGAAGGTTTGAACACTAAGCATTGCTATAATCCTCATTATTCTTACTACTCATTTACTTTATCAATATAGAGTCGCCAGCTTCACTTCGCCACAATACTGGAGCCGTATGATTCCAGCTGCATTAAGGCCGCCCAACCGGCTGTGGAAACCTGTCGAGGAAGGACGAGAGGAAGATGTTCGGCGACTATTACGCAACGAGAACATTGATATCAATGGTCAAGACCGTCATCACCGCACACTCTTATTGATCGCCGCGGGCCTTTCATCTTCTAATATTTTCATATTTCTTCTCGAGAAGGATGATACCAGGTTGAATACTAAAGACAGAGAAGGCAACACGCCACTCAGCCTAGCTGTAAGGAACGGACACGAGGATATCGTTAGTCTGCTTCTCGCCAAAGACAAAATCGATGTTAATCCTAGAGATATTATCGACTGTACACCGCTCCATGCGGCCGCATTCCATGGGCACGAGGCTATTACTAAACTGCTGCTTGATCGGCATGACATCGAGATGAACCCCAGAAATACAACGAACGATACGCCGCTCCACGAGTCTGCAAGTAATGGGCACGAGACTGTTAGTCGGCTGCTCCTTGCTCGGGATGGCGTCGATTTGAACTCAAGGAACATAGCTGGCTACACGCCACTATTCCGAGCATTGTATGGGGGGCATGGGGTTGTAGCTGAGCTGCTGCTTGACCATGCTGGTATGGATTTCTTCTTTAGTGGTTCGATGGCCCTTGGCTACTCATTCCTTTCAAAAGCTTTGGAGAACGGACTTCAGGGAACAGCGTCCAAAATTCTCAACACTCAAATCAGTAACAACTCGGAAATTCCCGCTGGCCGCTCACCATTAACTTGGGCCGCGGAGAAGGACCGGACAGACCCAATGCAGCTTATACTACGCATGACCACCATAGATCCGAATTCCTACGATGCAGACGGTCGAACGCCGCTCTCCAGAGCCGCCGAGAACAACAGTGTTTCAGCGGTGCATATGTTGCTTGGGAATAGTCGTATTGATGTGGACTTTAAAGACCTGGATTCCCGTACACCGTTATCCAGAGCCATTGAGAATAAGCACAATATCGTGGTTTCTATTCTTGCTGGCCGTGACACTGTCACTCTGCACTCGCTAGTTCGGGAGGGAAATCTGCCACTCATGGAAATCCTCCTTGATAATGGTTTCAAGATTGATACCAGGGACAGTGAGGGACAGACTTCACTACACCTCGCAATCTCTCATAATCATTTCGATATTGCTGAGAAACTCCTTTCCAGGGGCGCGGATATTAACGCTGAGGATAGTTCTCTGACGAGGCCACTATCGCTTGCTATTCGGCTTAAGCGTTGTAACTTTGCTGACTTGCTACTTCGTAACTGTGCGTGTATAAGAGGGATTAAGGTTGAGAGTTGGCGAGCACTTTACACGAGGATCCCACCACAATTTGATATATACATCTCAGAAAGAGCGAGCGGGGCACGAAGAGTCGACTTTTCCAACACGGCCGATGTGCTGGTAAATAGATCAGGGATAGAGAGACTTTTATGGTAAATCACCTGTTGCACCCACTGGAAGATATACTAACGTCTTCAAGTCTCACATCCACTTATGAGGCTTGGTGGTTAAGCATGGACCGTACTCATGGGATGTGGATACCATCCCCAACAACGCTCTCCAGTTTAGAAAACACAATGCGAATGGTTTCCAACTATCGTCATGATAGTAAACACTCGACCGCTTTCGCCATTGCGCTAGTGCCAAGCTTTCAATTAGACCTGAAAATGGGTCACATCATCAGCTGGGAAGGCTGCGGAGTTGGGTGGACCTTGGACGACTTCAAAAGATCTAGCGGATCTACTGGGAAGACAAAGGACCATCGATACTACAGCATGCTGCAAGATAGCTGGATTCCTGACGATGGTATCGAACTCTTTGAGCAATTCTTGGCCCCCTTAACGACTAGGTGGTTGGATCTGTGTGATCAATTTGAGGAACATCTGTCCCGTCTTGTAAGTGACCACGAGAAAAATAAACGGTTATTTCGATTAACCATTATGGATAGCGCTTTGACCAGCTAGAGTCTCACGGGAAACGCCCAGAGACCATATCCCTTTTGGCCGAGAACGCTTTGCACATCGCTAAGCTCCGCCGCTCTCTCCAAGGTCAGGTCCGTGGCGCAAGGCAATTTACCATGAACCTAGTCCAATATTATGGAACAGGCAGGGAACAAGAAATGGTTGCCAAAATAAATGTATTTGCAGACGTAGGGCAACAGCTGCAAAGCTTGGATCAAACCGTCAGGGATTTACTGCAATTGGTTAGTTATGTTGCTCATTTTTCAATCACTGCTAATGAATCAGGAATTCGCCTGGGTTTCAATCAACGAAGCTCACAAGTCGACCAGCCTAGCAACCAGTATGAAACGACTCAGCTGGATTACAGTATATAGCCCTCAGTCCCGAGTTACTTTAAAGATTGAGTGCTAATAACCTCAGTTTATTTTCCTACCAGCTATGTTTGCCGCGGTATGATAATATGCTATATCTCAAGAGTTTCAAGGTTCTAACAAAACAATAGAGTCTCTTTGGTATGAATGTGGATATACTGGAGGGTAATCCTGACTGGTGGTGGTATCTTCTTTTCATGGGATCCCTACTCTTTCTGACAACAGCGGGATGGCTATTCGCTAAATACCTTGAGGTAACTTAGTCACTAAAACCGGCGCATCTTAGTCCGTATACTAACGCAATAGTATAGGTTGAGTCATGGATTGAAGCGCATGTTGGAGAGGGGTTCAGAGTTTGGCTGGGGAAAGAAAACACGTAGGGGGAAACTTCTGGCGACACACTAGCTTTTCTATTAGTTGGTAAGGTTGCTTCTTAATGAAGGGAACGATGATATAATGTAAGCAGTGGCCAACTCAGATATATTTCGTTCTCGTTCAAAGACAGTGGAAGTGACTACGATATGTCATGTTGTACGAGTGCAATCTTGATTCCACTGTTTTCCGTACAAAACGTAGAAGCCACTGTTATCAAGGAAAATGTGCTTAGCAGCATAACGGATCCGGAAAACGCAACGTGTTTCAGCCTAATATAACGAGCCTCCATACTCGTTTCTAGTAATATTACATCTTTTATATTCTTCAACGTAACTTCAATACAAGGCGGCGGAACAGCTTGAAGCCTCAAAACGAATGAGTTCCAAGACTTCTAGAAGTAATTAACAAGCCTTAGGGGGCACGTAGGCCATTTTCTGGTGCTCACTCTATAGGGTACGGAAGTTGTTAAGATTAACAGCTTACATAAGTGGATCCTCTATCATTACACCCAATCACCGACTGGTAGCGGGCTTTAGTGCGTTATAATACAGGTCTAAACGTTGACGTTCACTGTGTACGGAGTAATGCAAAATTGTTTCCAGGTAGCTTGGTAACTGACCAATAACATTCCGGCAGGTATACTCGAGGACTGACAATTAAAGTTCACGCTTTGTCTGACACCCCTGTTTGACACGCACTTATTAAATTCCGTATTACGTAGCCTTAATATGGATTCCGCCAGGTTTACCTCAATTGTTCAGCGATACAGGCGTTTTGACAGGATTGGTGTGGATGTACTGTTTACAAGCTTCAGGAGTAGTTAGTGCAGAGGAACGAGAAACATACCAACCTGCATGAAGCGCTTCCCATAGCGTGGGGGACTCAAAAGATCGCACAGGCTTAAGTCGTTTGCACTTCAATCCTTGAATTAACTAATGTCGCTGTAGGTCTACCTTTCAGTACTTATCGAAAATTAGTTTAGATCCTGGAGACATGTGCGTAGTTGAATGTTTAATATACAGAGACTCCTGCCACGTCAATGCACTTACAAACGAGTGTTAATTTAAATGTCCGTATTAGCGCTTTTAATTTAATTCAAGGATCCAGGAGGGCTTTTTAAATACCGTCTTGACTTTTTAAATACCGTCTTAGTGCTTTTCCATCCAGTAAATTAAATATTAAAGAATACCAGGGTGAACAGGTAAGTATAAATACCAATGAAGTTTTCCTTTAAATTTCTGATTCTAGCGATTATTCCTTTTATTTTCCAAATTGGGTAACTCCTCTCATCCTATTCATTATGAAGGCTAGTTTTATTTCGTTGGGCCTCACCAGCCTTTCATTTCTATGCCCCTTGATAGTAGCGGATGAGCCCATTCGTATCGTTACATTCTTCACCCGCAAGGAAGGTCTTACTGAGGCCGAGTTTCACGATCATTGGACCAATGTCCATGGCTCCTTAGTCGCTCCATGGGCTTTGCAATATGGCGTCAACCGATATACCCAGGTACATCGCCCAGTGGATAAAATGAAGAACGTACTAACCAGCGAACAGTTTCACACGACGGAAGCAAACCGAACTGCTTTGAAACAAGCCCTAGGTCTCCCGGACAGCTTCTTGTTGAACTATGACGGCGCCGCGGACTTCACAGTGTCAAGTATCGAAGAATTCCTCTCCGCTTATAAGGACCCCTACTACGAAAAGGTTATTAGGCCCGACGAGGAGTCATTATTCGTACACAGTGGAAATGCTATGGTTATCAGAGGGTCTCTCGGGTGGACTAGAGATATCGTCAAGGATGCAGAGCCTTCGATCGATACTACGGCTGGCTGTCAGAAGTGGCTAGAAGTGAATGGCAATATCGGAAAGGGATGCTAAGTCGTTCTGATTACGGCCATTTCTTGAATCATGGGTACAAGTCACAGTCCAAATAACAATTACGATTCGTAAAAACCAATTTGTGCCCCTTAGTGTGCTGTGGCGCGTGAGACAATGTTGGAATGACCAGTAGCACGCCAATTGGTTTGTTTAATGCCCAGTAAACCAACTTTAAACTATGCACCCGTATTTCGAGGTCGAACTTTTACAGCATGCATTCAATAGCATAGAGACATCGCTTCCTTTCAACAGTTATGTATCTGAAGTCTCTTATTCATTAATATTAAATGCGGTAGTACCTTTAAGAAGGAGATCCAGCCATCCCAGTAAAATCCACAGAAATATCAACAACAACAAACTGTCTCATAATCACTGGCTTGTAATACACGTGGCATGTTTGACAGCGATTAGGGTTCATTATCCACAGTGTTTCAAAACAAGGGGTAAAACAGGTTTTATTTCTGGACTTGTCTTAGGCTAACACGGAAATATCAGATTCCATTTCACTCAGCCTCATCCTACTTCTGTAATGCAGTGTCACTCTTTCCTAAAAGTTAAAACCATAACATCTTAGCCTAAGCCTTAAAGAGAAGTCAGTCAATTAAGATTTCTTATCAGCTGATTCTATAATGCTTGCTAAGCACAAGTGTTACGAATAAATCTCAGTCAGTCAAAAGTTCTCATCGATTGATTCCATAATGGTTGCTAAGCACAGGTATTACGAGTGAGACCCAGTCATTTATACCACTTGATAAATTCTGATTCATAGTACCGATATGTGTGATTTAGCTATAAAAGCGAGCTCGATCCCAATCTTGAATCGGGAATATCTTCATTTAATAGAGTTAAGCAGATAATACACTGAGCTTATTGCCTACAAAAATGCTCACATTCTACATTACCTTCTTCGTTTTGGCTATTCAGTCGGTGGCACAGGCTGTTAGTGTTGAACACAGGTCACTGGCCGAGATCTACCAGGACGCCAAAAAGGAAAATGGGACACTAAATGTCTATTCTGGAGGCAGCAGTAAGTTGAAGCTATTGTTATTCCCCCTACTGATGAAAACACTACTGACGGTTCTACACAGCTAGTCGAGGTGCACAGCCTTTACTAGACGCTTTCTCTAAGCAATTCCCTGGGATCAAGGTGAACATCACTGTCGAACTTTCGAAATATGCGGATTCTCGCATCGACAGAAGTTATATAGATGGAGAGCCTTTCATCGATTACGCTATGTTGCAGACTGTACACGATTTCCCAAGGTGGAAAAAAGAGGGACGCCTCCTCAATTACAAGCCCATTAATTTTGGGGATGTCAGCTCATCGATCAAAGACCCCGATGGAGCCTTTTTCCCTGTCAGCTATAGTGAGTTTTCATACCCTTTGTTGCTTCTAATCGTCCCTAACGATGAATCATCAGACCAGTTCGGGCCCTTCTACTATGATACTGATCGCGTCCCGGCTGATAAGGTCCCTAAAACGTATGCAGACGTTTTGGATCCATACTGGAAGGGCAAGATTGTTCTAACATACCCTAACGATGATGATGGCGTTCTATATCAATTCAAGCTCATCATACAGAAGTATGGGTTCAAATGGCTCGATGCACTCCTGAAACAGGACATCAAATGGGTTCGTGGCGCTACGCTCGCAACAGGAACAATCATCCAGGACCATTCTTCCAACGGCCCGAGAGTGCTCACCTTTTCCGGTCTCGGTGTCTTCACACCGTCGACTACCTTTCTGAAGACCGCCAAGCCCGAGGCACCCGATCGGTTTATGACATGGGCACAACAATCTGCGATTTTCAAGTCAACTCCTCGCCCCAACAGCGCTAAACTTCTGGCTTCTTTTCTCCTCAGCGACTCGTGGCAAAAGAACATCGCATCATCAGGTGCGCCAACTGTCAGGGACAGTCTCACTGGTGCCAACAACGTTTTCAAGGCAAACAACACCGAACCCCTTGGATATGCTCAGTTCATGAACGACCGTCGAGATGTTGAGTGGTGGAGAATGCAGATGGAGACTCAGATCGGCTTGGCCGTAGGACCCGATCCCGCTCTCCCATGAGCTCCCAATGCTAGCTGCACGCTAACTAAAGCTATGTATACCGAGCCAAAGGTCGAGGTTAGCTACAGCAAAGCTCGTTATCTATAGCTTCTTTCCTTCCATTCATTACCTACTATTCAATTAGATTAACTACAAGCAATAGTCTTGAAAGGCTATTTAGTCATTCTAGCTTATAAGAGTATTTACGAAATTCCGAACTGTGTTGTGAGATTTTGAGTACCTACTTTGGGGCTTTTGCGGTCAATTTCAACGCGAGATACTAAAAGGCTTATCAGTAATATTAAAGTTGAATATAAGATAACAAAGGGGACTTTACATGTAAATTCTCCATACATTCAGCTCTTATTTTGTGCGCCATTACAGGCATCACAGGCATTTTCGTTCACACTTCCAGGATTGCGATGATCAACGTAGTTAGCCGCGCTGTAATCGTCCCAGAATCCCCTACGGAAGCTGACCAGAAAACCAATGTCTCAAGCCCATGACTTGGGTTCTTGTCAGTTTCAATGTCCGGTACAATGAATATGTTCCAAGTAATCATATGCGTTAGCGTTGGAACGTTGTGGTAGATTTATGGTAGAGTAAGCAAAATCGCCATATTAGTTTCGTCATGGCATGTGCTGTGATTTACACGACACATCGCCAGAGTTAGCAAGCTTTCTTGATATTCTGTCAAGTTTACTTCTGGCAGCCTGGTCAAGCTGACAATAGCGAATACGTACAGGGACCAGTTATAGTACACATCGTCAATTTACCCTTGAGACTACATACAAGAGAGATATAAGTCATTAAACACCTGTTACAACATATAGCTCTCCTGTCGAATCACTTGTCATAAACAGCCTTCCATCCTTATCGAATGCCAGGCCCGCCGGCCTGAAACACCCAGAGGGGCATTTGGAATTGTCCGTGTTCCACATCAGTTGCTCTTCAGCATGAGGGTCGTCAGATGCTGACAATGGTTGGCCGTTTGCAAAGTCCACCTTACTAAGGCGATAGCCATCACCAGGATTACGATTCCTGAAGTTAACCAAATAGTTAGCTACCACTTCTAACAAAAGATTGCAAACCTGTGGGATTCCGAGATTTGCATGTCGCTAACTTACCAGCTTCCGTGGATTGCAATGTATGCCGCGCTACCATCTCGAAACTTGATATCCAATGGCGCAAGGTGTGATCCGAAGGTAATCCTTGGTGCTTGCTTCTCCTGGCATTCTTCATCTGTAAATCCCAGATCCGTCTCTCCCTCTGGGGTGCCGGCCATCTGCTTGCCAATCTTTGCTCCACCTGGGTAGTCCTTGATGATCGAGGCGTCGTAGATGGAGAAGCATCCAGGGTATCCGTAGTTGCTACCATACTGGGCGCTGGAAGTGTCGTTGGGAAGGCCATGGAAGTTGAGTTCCTCGCCAGGATTGCTGTTATGGACATCGACACCATCACGGAAGAGGTTATCTACTGAGTTTTCAACGGACCACTACACGACACGTTAGCTCGAAATCTCCAGGAGCAAGCCCAAAGTCCTAGGCTGGAAGAGAAAGGCAGCACTCACGATATATCCGGTGGAGGGATCCTCTGCCCAGCCAACACTGTTACGAAGGCCCCAACCGAGTAACGACGCCTTGCCATACTCTAGAGGAGCATCCGCCGCCAACATTTCATCAATGTCGAAGACTCTTACCTGGCTACGCACAACATCTTTGTCCACAGTTTCGACGTCCAAGTTTCCATCAGATCCGCCAGCCACAAGCAGCAGATTGGGATTGCCAGCGAGAGGAATCGTCAGGGTGCGGATAGAATGGGTTGAAGTGGCACTCATACCGGTGATAACGGTCTGGCGGGAGCCGACTTTTCCCTCGGAGGCATCGTAGTCATAGGCGTATACCTCGCTGGGACTGGAGACGAGAATGGTTTTGCCGTCGGCGGTGAGAGCAATACCGTGGTTCAGCTATTTCGCGCGAACTTGTTACTAATTTCCTAGACGCGGAACACAAAACAGGATTGAGAAACGTACATTGGCATCAGAAATCAAGGCGTCGTCAGAGTCGATGCAAACACCTAGGTCTTTGCCATCATCGAGAACAACCCTCCTCACACCCTTGGCACCAGCCTCGGTGATCAGAAGATTGCCCTCGGTATCAACAACAAGGTGGCGAGGACGCTGCAGACCAGTGCGCAGAAGCTTGTACTCCACTCCTTCAGCGGTAGCGATGCTGGCCTTGGGAGTGAGATTGCATTGTGCAGAGGCAAGGCCGACGAGACTTGCTCCGACAGCGAGTAGCTTTACTAGATGTGACATCATACCAACTTTGTCAAAGAGGTTCACACTGTTATACAAAAGATGTTGCAACGTGTTAAAAGAGGGCGACTCGCGGGCAAATATGTAGTCTGGAGGATGTTAATCACTGCCTCATACATCAATGTTCGCATTCCTCTCTGCCCAGCCATTCTCGTCCAGTAACCATTAAGCCCGAGTGCCACTAATCCAGGAGCATCATTATTCCACTCTTTGAAGACGGAGGAAAAGAAGAATAAAGCAGGTTTCTACTTATTCCAGGGTTCTATACCATATCGCATCCTGGCAAAATGTAACACAACCCAGATACTACCCGGGCCACTATTCTCTCAATACGTCATAGTTCCCCACAAAGGCGATTTACAGGAGAGATGTGAAATAAGCTTAAATGCTGAGGCTTCTAATCCTGTAGCCACTTAAAACGTCCCAGCTTAGCGTTGCTGCTTTAGGATTATGAGACATCTCTAACTCTCTGCATGTCCACACGAATTTGTGAACGTTTCTAACCATCCATCCCGCCATTACCCTGAAAGCCCCTCCATTCCTGACCCCTGCTTGGAATTTTGTCTTAAGTGCGCTTATTTGACCACTTGCCCTATCAGGCAGGTATCGGCCGATACTCCGATGACCCAATCCGGCAGGTGTTAAACACGGCTTCAATGGACGTATTCACGAAAGTGTGCCCTCCTTATCCAGTCTCTTAACACCAGTTATTATCTCGCCGCTTAGTCAAATTCGTAAATACAAAGCTATTTAAAGACAGTCTTATATGTTATAACATCCTGTATAACACCCCGGTCGTTCTCTCGATAGGCAGAGTGCTGACACGAACCAAGCCTACGAGGTGATTGTTCATAGGGAAGTCTCTGTACTTGGAATACACAGAGATCCTTGTCCAGTCCCTGGTTGAGCCCTTGTTTTCTTTCGAGCTGTATACACTGCCCTCCCAACCTGTTCGTCGTCTCAGCAAAAAAAAAAGCCGCTCCCAATTAATTCTTCACGCCATCATGAGAATATGTTCAAATTGAGATTCTTTGACAAAACGACGTTCTTTCAGGACTTGCTTAACGAGGTTGACAAAAACAAAGGAGCACGAGAGGCAAAGGTTTACACATCGATTGTAGAGTTTTGAACTTTACTCAAACACAAACAGACATGGCTACTTAATGGCATTCACAGAGGATGCAATGAGAGCCTCGTCCACACAAGGCTTAACGCCTGTGACTTGCATCAGACCCTTCAAGACTCTACGAGGCTTGTGTCTCTAGGGAAGATCGGGTTATCTTCATAAAGTCATTTGATGAGACTAGCACATAGGCTATCCGCGTGTTTCTAAAATTCCCTGTCGTCTACTGTCTTTCAGCTAGATTATAATCAACGCCAGTACCAAAGACACCGCAATGTAGAATTCTATGTCCGAGAAGCCAGATGATATAGCTATTAAAGAAGTTTTCCAAGAGAAGTGCCCTTTAATGATGCCAAAGTAAAAAAGAAATGAACTCTCCCAAGCGAGAGAGCGCGAGGATAAGCTTCAATAGCCTTCGTGGCTCTGAACTGGGCATATTGCCTAGGATATGGAACAAAATACTTGTCAAACGAAGTTGATGTTTACAAGATCGGCCTTCCGTCTGGTGAGCGGCCGGAAGAGCTAAACTAAATGTCTGTCGTCGGTCCAAGTTTGGCGACTCTGGTAAGTTACTAGCCACTCTGATGTTCTATCACCCTCAGCCCATATTGGTAACGCAATGTCCTAGGACGACAAGTGGTTGAAACCGGAAGTTCGTCCGGCTGAATTCAGTTCCCAAGGACACTGAAGCGTACCAGGACTGAGACGTGAGTGCAGTGTCTTCAGATTTTGGCTTTCTTCGAGAGATGTTGCCAAACCTGGCGACCCAGAAGGTCCTCCACAAGCCAGACTCCAACTACGCTACAACCTTTCATCCTCCAATTATGTTCGATGGAGAAGCTGATGAAATTTGTGGAATCCCGCAGTTCCTGTTTACCGAAAAAGGGAATCATCACGGCATGTAATAATACCCACAGCGAAAATGCCGTCTGTTTGAAAGCTTATATTAAGCCAACTATTCTAGCCTTACTATGGAGCTCTATAATATTGTGATCGAGTATTCTACTGGGTATGAGTGCGATAACAGCGACAGTTAAGAAGATGGTATGGCAAACCTCTATTCATAGCCATAGTAGCATATTGCAGTGCTGCAAGTGTTAGCATGATGCTGTAAACCGCAAAGGGAGTTACTTAAATGAGGATTTTCGGAGGATAGGCGGAATTCTATAGGATCAAGACAACCCTATACAGCTATTTAACAAAGATGCTACGTGAAATTCAAAAATACTCCTCGCAATACAACCTTCCTTCCCAAAATAGTTTCTCAATGAGACAAATCGCCGATAAAACTAGCAGATTACTTCATAAAGCGGTTATACGGAAGATAGACGGCCGAATGGAACAATAAGTTCTTGGCCATTCTGCCTATTCTGGCTAAAAACCACCAAGACCTATATAACAGACAGCAATAAATCTATGCCAACAACAAAAGCCCGATTGATTGAACTAGCTTCGTTGAAATAAACCAAAGTCCAACGAGTTCCCTACTACCGACACAAGATGTCGCCAAGGACAGTTCTTTTCGCAACTCTGGGTGCTCTCTTTGCATCCGAGGTTTCGGCTCATGGTCATGTATCTGAGGTCCTCATCAACGACAAGAGTTACTATGGGCACGACCCCACCAAAGTCCCTTACGGACCTCAGCCAGAGAGCATCGCCTGGTCAAACGGCGCCAAAGACAACGGGTTCGTCACCTCTACCGCGAGTGCACTATCTTCTCCAGATATCGTCTGCCACCTCAATGCTACCAACGGACATCTGACCGCAGACGTCACTTCTGGCGCGACCATCACGGTGCGCTGGTCAGACTGGCCCGAAGCACACTGGGGACCTGTTCTGGATTATATGGCGCGGTGCCCGAACGATGATTGTACAAAGGTCGATAAGACGAGGTTGAGGTTTTTTAAGATTGATGAGCTAGGGCAGCTGACGAGGGGGGCTGTACCTGGCCAACCAGGGTACTGGGCGAATAACAAGCTTCGTGATGAGGAATCCGCATGGAACATAACAATTCCCGCCAAACTGGCGCCTGGAAGCTATGTCCTCAGGCATGAGATCATCGCCCTTCATCCAGGAGGTGCAGAGGGATCGACGCAAATGTATCCTCAGTGCATCAACCTGGTCGTCAAAGGAGATGGCACTGCACAGCCTGACGGGGTGTTTGCCAAAGACTTGTATTCTTCTACTGATCCGGGTTTGTTGCACAATGTCTTTGTGGATGAGTGGAGTGATGCGAAGTACATCATTCCGGGACCATCGGTAGTCAAGTTCTAGAGTACTTAGCTTAGGGATAGCCAGTGAGTCAAGATTTACCAATATTTCACCAAGTTCTGTTGTTACGTTCGCACCCAGGACTCACGAATAATTGCCTTTGAATACAGCGGTTTATGACTTGGAGGTTAGCTCGATTTGTAAATACTATTGTTTCGCACACTAATCTACTTGATATTTCTATTACCTTTCTTTGGACAGCTGGATCTCTTTTTTAAAAGTGCTGATAGACTAAGGATTGCCAAAACCCAACAAGATCTTATTATCTTGGTCCCTTCTAACAATATTGGCTGCTCTTGATGTAGTACTAAATACTCGCGTCGATGCCGTAGATTCGGTCCCTGACTTAATCAGACTCTGACAATTACCAAATTAGGTAAATGGCTTTATGTGATTGTAATTTAAGTAATCAATAGTTTGAATTGAGTGAAAATACCTTGTTAAAGATATAAATAACTTATTCTCAAAAGGTAATTTCTCGCCCTGTTGTTACATGGAAGAAAGCATCAGACAAGGAACGTAGATCAATTAGGGAGCATAGTGGATGTAATAGGTCAAACGACGTCTTACTTGGCTTGTCTTCGCTCGCTTTGTTAGCCTAAGGGGTGCTGGGGGTGGAGATGCATGGGGTCTTCATGTCTCACCTTGACGACTCCACGAAAGGTCTCCCAACGGCGCGGCAACGGGGCACCGGTTAATGGCGACTTGGGATGACCAATGCCACATGTATTGCCCAAGAGACGTCCTAGGAAGCTCCCAGTCAAATACAACGCTCTGTCCAAGCAAGCGTTCGGCAAGGGCTTGTCGCTCACGCATTACCACGACCTCACCAGCAACACTGTCTTGGTGGAGTTTGTATTCGTCATCGGTAGCCATAGCCTGTACAGCCTCATCGAAATTCATCAATCCGGCAGCGGCCAATTACTCTGACCTTTCGGTGGAAGATGCTTTCCCAGTCTTGGCGGCTTCACTTATAATCACGGCGAAAAGAGGTATAATTCACCAGATAATGCTTGACGTGAGGTTACTATAGGACGGCATCACCACATTCAGCATACCTTGTTCTTTACCGGCCGTCTACGTTAGGTCTGAACAAGATACAGAATAGCACTAATTATACTTGTGGAACTAAAGAAGTTATAAGTTAATAGATATGTGAGTTACTTAGAACACAAGGCAAAGGTCCCTTAATAAACTTTTTAAAGCTTAGAATTCTATATATTACGGTACCACTAGTACTTACACCTGTTCCTTTCTTAATATCTTGGATTCTAATCTTCCCATTTTTCTCAACCTCACGGCATGACATAGATTCCAGATAAATACATAACCCATTAACCCAGCTATTAGCACTGCAACAGTCGCGGCCGGCCCCACAATAGCCAGCACAGTAAAGCACATTGACACACTCTGAAATGTATCGCTCTCTTGCAGCCTCGTAGTGGCTAGTCCGACTTGCATCGCGGCTAAAATGAGGGCAAAGTAGACAGTGGCCACTGTGATGGGCGCCACCATCTGCTTGAAGAAATTGCGGTAACTTGAGTATGGGTTCAGATATCCATTGACGAGTGCGTGCATACCCCCAGTGCGGGATCGAAAACGCCATATCCATTGGATCCGGGTGAGGCGAAGATTGCCGTATTTGAATCTTGGATTGACATCAAGATCTTGTGCTTCAAGGTGACTGACAAAAGAAGAAATGAAGGTGGTCCAGCGCTCCCAGGTGATGGATTCCGAAAGGATGCCTTCTACTTGTGCAACCTTCCAGTCGGACTTGTCCTGGATCAACCAAGCATACGACTGGAGCATACCGGCAGCCGTCTCCCATAGACTGACGTTGCTACAGCACAGATAACACTCCCAAAATTCACATGACAGTAAATAATCTGGGCATGGTTTGACAAAAAGCCGAGAGTCATCCCACAGCAGGTGAAGGTCGGCCTGCTCAGAGCACACAATCTTCCGACCGTAAACCAGATGTTGATGTAAAGGCCGCCCAGGCATTGGTTTCCCGACCATCCAGAGGTGGTTATGGATCTCGTTGAGTCTGGACACGTCCAGCTGGGATTGTAGGTATGTGTCGACACCATAGTCGAAACTGAGTCTATGGAGCTTCCCTTTCTTTACGCAAACGGCCGGTAGAACTAGGATGTCTGGCCCAGATTCTTCAAACGAACTGATGGCTTTGGGGATACGAAAGAGTGAGACGGATGCATCGAATGGGACGGGTCTAATCATAGTCAAAGTTTGTTGTCGAGAGACGTCGTGCATCGTGAGCAGATGAAGAGGAGCCAGTTTGCTGGCGTTGGATTCTCGAAAGTATAGAGTGCTGAACAAGACCAAAAGTAAGCGCAAAACCGGCCGGCCATAACATCAGATAGAATGCAGCAGACAAGATAAGTGACGTCACAGCAGCCCTTGTCTTAGGTTGGGAAGCTGAGGTAGCTGGTCTAACTTGATACGGTTACTTGAGCCGGTCTCTAAGCCCTTTCCGAAGATTCGAAAAAGAAATGAAAGAGCTGCTGCTACATAGTGCGCAGTGATAAGTCCTGCTTGTCACCAGCCATGCATGATTGACGGATCAACTGTGAAATGTTGGTGCGAGAGACGAAAGGAACATGATATGATGTCACTATGCAGCTCAAAGGTTGCAGACTAACGGTATTCTGTCCGGCTGGCATTGGGGCAGGGGTATTGATTAGCACTTCAACTGGCTGGAAGCAAATTTATTGGTGATGTGACTAGCTGTGCCGCAGGGGCAAACGTAGCATCCTAGGGCCTCAATGGCGAGCAATGCACCCCTGTCATATTGATTGGCTAATCTAGTCATCAGACTCAACAGATTGGAGAGGGGCATTTCTTTCCATGTTGATGAACTTCATTTCTACATGGTCAGCATCACTATTGATTATGGCTGGCATACGTACTCTCGAGGCCAATGCCCACGCCAAAGACGAGGCGCACAGAAAGAAGCTCGAAGAAGAGGTCGAGCGACGCAAGGCGCAGGAGCAGGACAGAAGTAGAGGCGAAAACGTGTGGTTCTCCCGTCGGATCAAAGACGGTCACTTGTATCACTGGGCGCTGTTTGTCTACGGCAAGAAATACGAACTAAGGCTTCCGTCGCGGCAGAAGTTCAAGAGCCTACCAAATGGACATCTCGTCGGGTCTCTAATCCCTTCGATCGACTATGAGAGCAATATTGCGCCATGGTCGATGCAAGACGAGATGATGCGGATTCGACAGGAAAATCTCGACAATGAGGGCAAGCCATATGCTCAGGACTACTACATCTGTCAGATTGGCTGGACCAAGTTGCCTGAGGCGGAAGTTGATAAGCAATGCGAGGCTGCTCAGAAATCTTTTGGCGTCTATGTACTCGGTTTCAACGACTGTCAGAGTTTCTTGCGGCGATTTGCGAAGCTCATCATCCAACAGCCAGAGGACTGCGCTCTCGATTTCCTATGGTTCGAGAAGAACATCCAAACTCCCTATCACCAATTACAGCTTGTCCCTGCGGATGAAAACATCAAAAGGTTCCAGCTTTACATGCAGACAACCTTGTATGGCGCTACGGGTGCGACAATTGGGGCCGCCGCGGAGACGTATGACCGCCAATATCGACCGCAAGAGCCAATGACCAAGACAAACAACAAAGATGGTGCAAACGCAAACTCAAATGATAAGGATAAGGATAAGGATGACGGATGCTGTGACTGCGATAGTGGTTGCTGCTAAACTGATTCTTCCGGAAAAGTTAACATTGGGGAGGGGAAAGAAATGACATCGTGTTCTTATCAAAGTCTTCGAGCACCTTTGAGAGTACGACTATGCATACAGATATAGGCTTATACTAATCATATTTACTGGCATGTCATGCCGTCAGCATATACATTTTCATCGACTTAGCCCCTTCAGTTTTCTAAGGAACTAAAGTGGCTTTATTTATAAAACCTTTAGCCTATAAAGTTTACTTAATAATCTTAAGCTATTTATTAGAGTTCTATACCTTTATAAACATATTCTAGACTAATAATACGTATTTATTATTAAGTCTATTAATAATATCTAACTCTCTAAAGTTTACAGCCGTGGGCAAATTAGTTCAGGGAGTAAGGTCAGGCGTTAGAAGGTGGTTCTTCAATCCTGCATAGCTGTACTTATAAAGGTGATATGTGTAAGCTGTAGGTAAGCACCATCGTGAGACGTCGCCGAATACTTACCATGTATATAATTCGCTGTCGCAGACGCCAGCGCAACCGAAATGTTAGTCATGTAGTTTTGGTATGTCCGTTCAATGGCTGTTTCCTGTGCCCTGTCTTCCATGATCAACGACTCTGAAGATTTTCGATCAACGTCTGTCTGTATCACGGAATATGGTTATCGCCGGATAGAAGTTCTGATTCTGAGGGATATGTACGAATGTTTGCGGTTGCTGTCTCGGACAAATTGTGCACTTATAGTCATCATTTAGGGTTACAGGTTGGGCGGGTTTTCTTTTTTCTTTTTTCCGTTTTAGGAATTCTACATCCATTCTACCGGAGTAATTGGAGAATTTCACGGACAATAGTTTCATTTAGCGGCAGAGGAAAGACATTTAAATACACACGTCCGAATTACTGGGCAGTCCTGAGATTTTCACTCTTCCTTTCACGAAGTATCAGATCAGGCGACCATGGAAATCTTTCGGATCTTTCATATCTCAGGACAAGAGCTATTGAGCCTAGACCCGTGGCACCTTTTTGCCTTGCTTTTACCAGCCATTGTCACCACATTCATTTGCATTCGACTGAGAGGTCTCCACACTAATGATCTTCCAGTCCTCAACCCTAAGAACTGGTGGGAATTCACAAATCGCCGACGAAGAGCTGAATTCATAAAGGAGGGTAAAAGGCTCTTCACACTTGGTCGGCAGAAATACCCAGATTCACCGTATAAACTTTACACTGATTGGGGCGAGGTTGTTGTTTTGCCACCAGAGTGTGCGGAGGAACTGAAGAATGACACGAGGCTGGAATCCCTCCCTATTGTTAGAGAGGTACGATCTTCCCCGCGTTCAACAAGGCTAGGAACTAACGATCTAATAGGATGTACACAGTGCAATCCCTGGTTTCGAAGGGTTTTGCCCCCATGATAGCGTGCCATACATAATTACAAAATATCTGTCAAAGCCAGCACGTACGACAAGCCCCTGAGAAGCTTATTTTCGTCAAGGCTAATCATTGGTGACAATAGAAAAGTTCACCGTTCCGCTTTCTCATGAAGCCTGCACTGTCTTGGAGGACGTATTCAGTGCCCCGACAGGTAAGTCTGCGGATAAGGCCCGATGACTTCGAGCTAACCTTTCAGATTGGATCGAGATCGATCCGAGAGCAGACTTGTATAGAATAGTCCTTCGTATGAACACCAAGACCTACATGGGTGAGAAGCTAAGTAGGGACGATGAATGGACCGATGCTTTCACACAGTACTCACTTCTTGGGTTTGAATTGTCCGAGATATTGAGAGCTTGGCCACTCTGGGCTCGAGGTGTAGTCCATTGGTTTTTGCCATCCTGCTGGGAGCTCCGCCGCAGGCTTGTTCGAGTACGGAAGCTTCTAGCAGCGCATAATGACCATCGAGTGCGCTTACAGTTGCAGCGCCAGTGTGCGGGAGATGAGTCTAGGTTCAACGACACAATCGAGTGGTTTGAGAACGACCTCAAAGGACAACAGGATATTATTGTTTTTCAACTGAACCTCGTTTTGGCCTCAGCTCATACGACATCTGACCTCTTGACGCAGGCTGTAATAGGGATTGCCGAACACCCCGAACTGTTTGGCTCCCTGAGGGAGGAAGTGATTCAAGTCATTGGTACGCATGGCTGGGAAAAGTCAGGGCTTAACGAGTTGAAACGCATGGATAGTGTGATCAAAGAGCTGCAGCGATTGAACCCACCACTTCTAGGTAAAGAGACAAACGCAGATCCTAGACAAGTATTTCGTACCAGGAATGGCACTAACAATACACATAGTCAATTTTCGCAGACGAGCCATGGCAGACATTGAACTTAGATGTGGTATTAACATCAAAGCAGGAACTAGGATTGTGGTTGATGTCATGCATACGCTCAATTCTTCTCTTGGTTATAACGAAAAAGCAGAACAATGCCTTCCATATCGTTATCTTGAGAAGCGTGGATCTCCCACTCAGCGCACACAAGCACAGCTAGTTGCCACAGGCGTTAACCACATGGGCTTTGGACACGGCCGTCACGCCTGCCCAGGACGCTTTTTTGCTGCTCAAGAAATCAAGATCATTCTTTGTCACATGCTTCTGAAATACGATTGGAAGTTAAAGGGACATGGGAAATCACCAGATTTAAGGGTAAATGGGATGACGGTGGTCCGAGATACGACTGTCAGACTCCTCCTCAAGAGACGCAAAGAAGAGATTGATTTGTAAGTGCTTTCAATGGGGATAAGACTGGTTTCAACTACAAACCTCAAACTCTTCAAAAAGTGATCAAGTACTATAGAGCAAATGTCAGAGGCACATGCTTTAAAATCCAAGCCATAAAAGGGAGGTCTTGTATTATTAAGACTTATGGGGCTAAATAGTACTTTCAATTAAACACTCTTACTTTTAAGTTTTAAAAAAAGCACTTCTGCTAAAAATAATATCTTGTTGTTCGTCCTTGTAGTAATAAATGTGGGAATTACGCTAAGGGGGGGTAGAAATATAGAAGGTTAAAATTAGTGGGAGGAATATGTATTTAAAGTTAAAGTTAAAGTTAAGGCAGCCCTTCGGGCCGAGGAGTTAAATCAGATTATATAACCCTTATTAAAATCCCAATATGCCTTCTTCCATAATGCATAATGGCATTAACAATATTATCAACTAGGAGAACAGATCTATAGCGGGCGGCGTTAGTGTCCTATCTTAACCTTGACCTCCTGCGATATCCAGTAGCACACTTAGAGGCACTACTGATTAGATCAGGCTTGAGGGAGGGCCGTAAAACCCTACCTATCTCATTACGATAGTGTAAGTATATTTAAGATAAGTGGTGCCCGAGCTACGTAGATGTTTGTCTTTGAATCCTGTCGACAGTTTGAAAATTAGCCATGCCTTCTTTAAGCTTTTCAATCTGAAAACCTTTGTTATCACTTCAAATCGGGATCTCTTCAAGCTGTGGAATAGTTTGTATCTCTATTCTAGTTCTGGGCTAACAATCTGAGCCTATTTACATACGTCGCGCCGTTACCATGTACATCTTCAGTGTCTCAGCTCTGCTCATCTTCCAAGGCACCAGATTGGCTTCTACCTTATACCCTTTAGACTGAAGAGCCTTCTTGGCAATTTCGAGCTGTCCATTGGGGTCCCACACTTCCATGACGATGTTCTGGACCAACAACAAGTGCTCATCGTCGAGTCCCTCGACGACATCCAACTCTCCGCCTTCGACATCGATCTTCAGCAAATCAATCCGAGTGAGGTTTTTGCGACCCCGTAAAAATTCGGATAGCCGTTTTACAGAGACAGAGGTCTTTCGTGCACCATCGCCCATTCTCTCTGCAATCTCAGGGCTGACTTTATCAGCGATAGTGTCTAGCCATTGCTTCTTCTCGTCATCGTAAAGTGTGGCATTAGATGGAGTGTTGGGAAAGAAAGTTAGCGTCTTGGTTTCATTCTTAGATCCAAGGGCACAGTCATATATCTCAACATCCGATAGATTGTGCAGCGATATGTTTTGCTTCATAATGTCGACGTTCTCGCTGGCTGGCTCAAAAGCCAGGACTTTAGCCTCTGGATATATTTTCTTGGCAAAAAGAGTATAAAGCCCAATATTGGCGCCGGCGTCGATGATAAAAGGCTTATCAGAGAGCTTCACCGTATCGTAACATCGTCCAGTGAAAATCTCGTCATAGAGCCAATGAGCTTCCTCTTCACTTTGGTGGTAGAACGAGATCCCCTCTGGGGTGTTGAGCAATTGAATTTGGGCTGTCATAATGGTGAAGTATCAACAGAGAATGAGACAGAAGTGGATTTCGACTTTAGTGGTAGATAGCGCAGAAAGGTGGAAAGAAACTGTGATGGGGGTAATAAAACATCTCAAGACAAATGCGAAAGTGCATAGCTATATAAATTGCCTTAGGTCAGGGTTTGGGGATCTTTCGTGTTCATGTAACGAGCAAATGGAATTGTAAGAAAATGCATGTAAAGAAAATCCTGCTAAATTGCTTAAGATAATTTAAAGTTGTTTTATTTATAATTAGTCCGGTATATCTAATATGCTATCTAACTTTATTATAGATATGCATAAGAATTAGAACTTAAATAATCTTAGTATGAAAGATACTTGTAACTATAATTTGTACTAGAATGAATCATTTTTATTTAGTAGTACTAATTATAATAGGTGAATAGCGGGGAAAAGCTCTAATAAATAGTTCAGTTGTTTATTAGTAATGTATGTGTAATCGCCTAATCTGTATTCATGATTTTAAACTCCCAAGTATATAATGTATTTGGAATTATTTTATACTTGTATAGTCTTGGCTAATTTCTCAGGAGCCTTAGCGCTACCCTATTCGATACTACTTTAAGCCTTAGAAGCGTGGCCATAGAAAAGTCGGAAAGAAAAGTAGTACAAAGAAAGTCCTTTCACATTGTTTGAGATACGGTTGGCTTTGTTGTATTTAATATTAGTCCGATAACTACATTTATAGCGTAATTGAACTTTATCACGAGAGCTTTCTTCCTTTAGACATTCACCAACCTTGATTAGTGCACTTGATCTCTGTCTGGTAGTACTAGACATGGTAAGGTAATGGTATTAAAAATAGCGTAATAGACTCCCTGGAATTCTTTAAATAATTCATGTATATTCATCTAACCTGCAATCGGGTTCAAAAGCTATGACCTCTCCTGTAAATTGCACTCTCAGGTAATTGATAAATCGGATCAATTCAATCGTCAGGTTCTATAGGGAAATGTCCATTTTCCACAGCACTAACACACCCGGGGCAATTTACACAGGGGGGCCATTCCCCTATCCCCTCCCCCACCCATGAACTCAGCTTGACTTCCGTACCTAAATTATAAAAACTATGGGAACCCTGGAGTTTTATTGTGAGCATTATTCTCAAGTGAACTTATAGTGAGGCACCTTTGTACCTTAGAGCAGTATTTTGATAAGCGTCTGCAATTGCATCCAGCCTGTGTAATTCGCAAAGCCAGTGCCGCCGAATAGGTTGGACCCTAGACTCTTCATGTGTTTCCCGCTCTGGAATCGAATTGTACTTGTGGGACTTGAGTAGCTTTCCACTCCGGCGGGAAAATATTTTGCGGATGGTCATAAGGGCCATGTCTTTGTTCGATAGTAGGATTGTTTGGGGAAAAGCGTAGATGACCAGACAAGTATGGATGTGTTGTGTCTGATAATGATTACGATGCAAAACCAATGACAACTCCCATTGTAACAAAGACGACTACTATAAATATACGACCAAAATTTCTCTGCGTATCATATCATAATGAGGAAGGTGGAATCCCCGCCGGAGTTTAGTTGAGAGTCATATTAAAGTTTCCCCGACGAGTCAACCTCAGGGCTAGAGTGTGGGGGCAAAGGACATCCGGATCCCAGCCGTATCAGAGCTGGCTTGGAGACCTCAATCAGCTGATTGTATATAGTAGCGAGAGAAGGGGTTCACTGAAGAGTCAGAAGCTTTTTAAAAAGGTTACACAACCGCTAATACCTGTATATGTTTCGAAAGGAAGGAACTAGAAACAGGGTCGCGCACTACGTCACAGCTTGTTGACTGCTATATTTGACAGTGCTACAAAGGCTGATCGCAGCACTAAAGTACACCGCCAAGTGGCGCTGCTACATCAAGTATCACAACGATCGTGAGAATCACTGCAGTGCTTAGAATTGGAACATCTACGGCATGAATACAATGGTTGAATAGCACAATAAGCCTGCTACATGTTGAAATTGTACAACTCGGACTGTTTTGGGCATCTTATAGGTCGAGGAAACAAATTGTAAGAAAAGCCCTTTCTATTTGTTGGCCATACGGCTTGAAGCTTAAATGGTTGACACAAAAGCTTTTTGCAGGGTGGATTCTATACAATATATTTAGCAAATGCACCGTGATGATTTCTATTGACGGAGGTCGCTCGGCACAGTGAAAGAGAGTTTTCAGTCGATTCATCTTCAATGCTCTCGATCTTGTTATCAGAGTCTATTAGACTGGAGATGAAATATCGCTATAACACACAGCGGATAAGTATCAAAACTCTGTTGAGTACTCAATTCACTACAGCCTTGTATATGTATAGTCTAATTCATTTTAAAACACTCTAAACAATTCTCAAGTTAGCTGTCGATCAAATTATCACGCGTCCAAGAACCCTGTTGTCTTCCAACTTGCTACATATCTTCTAGCAACCTCCGCAGTAACAGGACCTTGTGAAGCCAGGGTCTGAGAATGCTCCTGAGTCTTCTCGGTGTCCAAGATCAATCCACCACAAGACATTCGCTCAAAATTAGAGTCTAGGAAGTCAACAAGTCGTGCAGCTGGATTCCATGTATCGGCTGGGAGTGGTGAGTTCCGGACCAACTTAATCCAGCGGTTGAAGGGTATGATCTGTTGGGGAGGGATGTTGAGAGCATCTGCCAGAACTTTTGACATAGTGCTCCAGGGCTGTCCCACAGGGTTATCGATGTGATAAACGGGATACGGTGTTGGAGCATTGCGGTCTCCGATATGTAAAAGATCAACCATGGTATCCGCCACTACGTCCACAGGGACCCATTGTAAAATGCCATCAAAGTTGGGCCACGCACCAAGCGACTGAGCGGACTTGACTAGAAAGGCAAAGTGCTCGATAGGATTCCAAAAGCCGCTTGAACTTGAGCCAGCGATCTGTCCCGGGCGGACAACCATAGTACGGAATGCATCGGGATATCTATGCAGTGTCTCATCCAGCATGCGCTCACACACCCACTTGGCTTCACAGTAGCCAATTGGTAGTGCAGCTTCCAGTGGAACACGCTGTTCCGGCACTCGACTGGACTCATGATGGCCCACAACGCCGATGGATGACACGAGTTGGAACGTGATGCGAGGAGCATTGTCACGACAGGACATGTCGCGTGCAAGATTGAGTAGGTTGCGGAGAGATTGGAACTGAGGTTCAAATGCCTTGACGGGACGTGTTCCGCTCATGGGCCACGCGTTGTGCACGATGTGTGTACCATTCTGTACCAACCACTCGTAATCAGACGCTGAAAGACCCAAGTTCTGACTTGGAGTATCGGCTTCTAGTACGCGCAGTTTGGACCGTTGAGTTGATGACATGGAGATGCCACGGGACGAGAACGCCTCGTCTTGCCGATCGTGAACAGGCGCCCTACTTCGACGGTTGATACAAACTACCGTCCCAACGTCATCTCGGCGAGTGAGACTGCTGGCTAAGTGAGAGCCAAGGCTTCCTGTAGCGCCCGTAAGAATGACAACAGCCTTTGTGTCATTATATGACCTGCGTTGTCCTTTGTCCGGTACCGTGAAGCCAGCAGTGTGCTTGACGACGTGAGCCTCTACTTCGGCTTTCTTGTTCTCAGACAATGGCTCAGGCAGTGCAGACATGACATCAGGTAAGGTTGACTTCTGTATTCTTGCCTGAGGCTCTCCTGATGCGAGGGCGATGATCACCTTCTGGAAAGTATTTTCCGGCAATGAGCCATCAGTCCAGTCAACGTGACCGAATCCAGCGTCGTGAAGGTTACGCTCCCACTCTTCAGCAGCGATGATTGCATGGTTACGACCGTCATCAAAGAGCCACCAGCCTTCAAGCAGGCCAAAGATGATATCGACAAACGGGACTGACTCGGTCATCTCAAGCATCATCAGAAATCCATCAGGACGTAGTGCACTTCGGAGATTGGAAGCAGAGGTAACGAGGTTGCGGGTGGCGTGGACGGCGTTGCTACCGATAATGATATGCTGGCCCTTCAGTTCTTCGGCCGGTGGCTTCTCAATATCGTGCACGGCAAACTGCATGAATGGATATAGCTTGCCAAACTTGCGCCTTGCGTTGGCCACCATTGACCCAGAAATATCAGTGAATATATACTCAACCGGGATGTTGAGCTTGGCGAGGACTGGCGCTAGCACGTAAGTAGTTCCACCAGTTCCTGCGCCTACCTCAAGGATCTTGAGCGTCTTGCCTGGTTGACGCTGGCTGAACTTCTGAACAAGGTTCTCTATAACAAGTCGCATATGATTGTAGTTCATGCGGTTGAATGTGTGCTCGCAGTACAAAGCTTGTACCAGCTCACGACCCTGGATGCTTCCAAATATCACGCGTAAGCCGTCTGTCTCGCCGCTGAGGACAGGCGCTAAGTGAGTGCCAGCATAGTAAGTCAGCTTATTAGCGACGACGAACTCGGGATAGCTCGCCAGTTGCTCGTCAAGGATCTGGGAGCTTGACTTGCGGGGCGTGGGAACTCTTGTTCGTGTGATCTGTCCTGTCGCCTTGTCTATATCAACAAGGCGAGCATCGTGTTCAAGGAATCTGTAGATGAAATCTACCAATCGTTGATGAGCTGGCTGGAATCGAATACGGGCAAGAACTTGTCCAGGCTGCGCACTGCTGAGGGAGACACCAAGTTGTTCGAAAGCCTCGACCACGAGTGCAACACAGAGACGACTAGACCCAGCGAGGACCACGCGGTCGATGTTATCCACTTTGAAATCTCGAAGATGCTGGTCGCACAGTAGCTTAACCTGTCCAAATGACTCCAGGATCTCCGACTGCAAAAGCTCCAGCTTGCCTTCCACTGCCTGCGGTTCCAAGGAAGAGAAGGCTTTGGGGGGACTTTGTTCAACGCTGGACGCCAATGGTGAAGGTGGAGTCGCTGAACCCGAGTTCTCAGATACATCGCTACTAGACGCCGTGGATGAGTTGCCATTATCATCTGCGATAGCAGCACTCTCATAGTCTGGCCCGTAGAGTGCTTTGGATATGCATACAACGAATTTGCGGAGACTTGTAGCTTCCATCAGCTCGTTCTGGTCCAAGGTACATTTGAAGACAACTTGAACCTCACGAGCTACCTCCATGCCCATGAGCGAGTCGATGCCAAAATCAGCCATTTCAGCGTCAAGTGTGATTTCGTCAACCTCAATTCCTGCCACATGCGCCACCAGATTCTTGACGTCCTCAGTTATGTCTGGATGACTTGATTGCTTTGGCTTGGCCGGTTCCACCTTTTGAACCTGCGAAACCGTCGGTTTAAGCACATCGATAGGAGTGGTTAAACCCTCTGTCGGGGTGAGTTTGGGTGCGGCCGTAGACGAAGGCGTTGCCTTGAGAACTGAAGGATCATTTGTCAAACGCGTCAACATCCGTCGCATGGAGGCTTTGGCAACGCGTGCGTATTGGATTCCCAGCATAACCTCCCGCAGCATACCGGTAGAAGCATTGAAGACAAATACATCTGACATGTATAGCTTTTCAGACTGACGAGTATGACGAGCAAAGACGTGCCAGTTCTCCTGAATCTGATCTGCCTCCTTGTCGACGAACGGCGACCGCATTGACAGCTCACAGCCCGTTGCAATAAACATATCATTTGAATCGAAGTCGTTCATGCAATTCACCCAGATCCCGCTGACTTGACTGAATGAGTCGCTGAGTGGGACTTCAAGCCACGTCTCATTAGACCTTTGCTTGGAAACATGCCCTGTGCATTCATTTGAGCCACCAACGACGGCTTTGACACCACGGTACATGTCGCCATAGTCAACGACATCAGCAAATGTGCGGTATATACTGCGGCCCGTAAGAACATCGCCTTGGTGTTCCCCACCGAGACCGAGTTGAAGCATATCGGTGCATTTGGCGTGACTGACAAGACGCTCGAAACGCGAAAACTCTGATTGATAACTCTTTTCGGAAGGGTCTCGAAAATGAATTTCAGCCTCCACGTGGGTTTCTGAGTGTGCTTGTTCAGCCTCTTGGCTGTATATGCGCCATGTCCAATGGGTGATCTGGTTATCATGCTTCTCAAAAGCAAGGTAGGTAGTTAGCGAGGGGTCAATGCATAGTGGTGCGTGGTTGACCATGTTGTGAATCACGGGGACGAGGCCACTTTGTTTCCATTCTGGATTGATACTGAAGAGTGCTTCGATAGCCATGTCTACCATGAGCGTGGCAGGACAGATCGGGGCGGTTTGAGCAATGAGGTGGCCTGAGAGGAAGTTCTTGTATGCGGTTGAGTATGTGTTGATACGGAAGAGAGCATTGTCTGCTTCGGCAGAGACGAGGCTCCAGAGACCATCGGGTTTTGTCTCTGCTTCGCGGTCGCCACTGGAATTGATAGGAGCAGAGCTCGCGAGCTCGGAAGCAGCCGCCTCAATTGCCTTGAGAGGAGATTTAAGCTCAAGCCAATGCCGGGATTTCTCAAACTGATATGGTGGCAGCATCATGGTAGTAAACTCGCTGGCCTGTAGTCGATTATGGCCCCAGAAGTTAACGTTCAAGCCCTCACTCCACAAGCCGAGCGTGACATCAGTCAAATTGTCGAGGCCTTTATCAGTCAGGATGTTAACAGCCTGGAAGTAATTCGACTTGGAAGCTGCCTGGCTTGCCAGGGCACGGTTAGCCATTATAGTAATAGTAGAACTCGAGCCAGCCTCGAGAAAGAGTGCTGTAGGATGGTCTTGGGCTAGCCGCTGAATAGCATCGTTGAAGTAGACAGGGTTTCTCATATGCTCGGCGACGAATTTGGGGCCCGGTTTGGAAGTGGTTCTGGTCCGAGTTGCCCGCTCCAGTGGTATGGTAGGCTCTTTGAACTCTAGGTCGTTGCCAATCTTCTCAAGCTCCAAAGTGATAGGATCAACAAGGCTTGAATGAAAGGCGTTTGTGACATTGAGCCATTTGGACCTGATAGACGAAAACCTGGGATGTCTGGAGATCACCTCAGCGACCCGCTCAACGGCTCCTCTAGATCCCGCTATAGTAAAGCTTCGGGGACCATTATAGCAGGCTATCTCTGCTAACTTAGCATCATCACCTGGCTGATTGGCCTCGGCCAGCAGCTCAAGAACGTGAGCCTCGTCGGATTCGACCGCCATCATGGCACCAGGGTCAAGACCCCAGTTATCTCTGACCAATCGTGCACGACTAACGACGAGCTTGATTGCATCTTGAAGCTTGAGAGCTCCTGATACACACAGTGCCGTGATTTCGCCAAAGCTGTGACCAGTCACCGCAGCAACCTGGGTCGACAGACCAGAGTCAAGCCAAGCCATGGCGCAGGAATATTGGAGGGCAAAGAGCATCATTTGAAGCTTGACTGTATCCTGAGGGGTGCGCATGAATATGTCGGGGTACATGCTACCGAAGCCAAAATACTGCATTTCCGAGTCGCACTGGTCAAGATGATGACGCGAAATCGACATGCTATCGTAGACTGCGCGGTCGAGGCCAACGTACGTCGATACTTGGCCTCCGAAGCATAGAATCACAGGACGTTCAGTTGATGAGTTGGCAGTTCCAACATTCGCTTTTTCGGGCGCAGCATCAATTTCGGAAAGCTTCGACTTGAGATCTGTAATAGATCGAGAGCTAAACACGAGTCTTCGAGCAAGAGAAGGGTTGAATTGTCGGTTGACGTTGAATGCAATGTCAGCAATACTGGCGTAGGGTCGCTGCTCGAGGGTTTGGGCCAGTTTGGCGCAGTATGAGGCAATGGCACGTCCATCATGCCCTGAGATACGGAACGGAATAGCTCGGGAGGTCGTGGATCTTCGTTGGGAGTCTTCGAGTGCTCGCTGCCCGGGAGGTTGAACCACTACCATAGAAGCATTTGATCCACTGGCACCGTAGTTGTTGATAAGCGCAGCTTTTTGGTCTGCAGTCCACTCTCTCAGGCTAGTTGTGACTTCCATCAAGTCAGAAGGTGTGACCTTTATATGCCCACTCATCTTAGAAAAGCTAGCCTGCGGAGGAATGTAACTCTCCTGCATCATGACAAGAATTTTGATCAACGAGATCACACCGGAGGCTCCCTCGGCATGGCCAATGTGTCCTTTGACCGAACCAATAGGGAGTACCGTATTACGGTTGGAACCGCCGATGGCAAGACGAATACTGTCATATTCGGCGGGATCACCAACAGGTGTTCCTGTGCCGTGTGCCTCAACGAGAGAGATGTCACTTGGTTTGAGATTTGCTTTGGTAATGACGTCCGAAAATAACTGAGAAAGAGATGGCGAGTTGGGCACGAACAGGGGAGTGCAGTTCTGGTTCTGGTAAACAGCGGTGCTGGCGACACAACCGAATATGGGATTCCCATCAGCGATAGCATCCGAAAGTCTTTTGAGGAAGACACATGCGATACCCTCTGCGCGACAGTACCCATCGGCTGAGTCGTCAAACGGCTTGCACTGGCCACTCGGACTGAGAAAACTGGCCCCAGCGAGATTCTGGAACCAGAGAAAGTTGCTTATAGTTGAGACACCGCCGGCCAAGGCTGCTGAGCATTCGCCTGAACGCAGGTTGTTACAAGCAGTGTGGATGGCAACGGCCGAGGCTGAACATGCTGTGTCGAATGTCATAGATGGACCTGTCCATCCGAAATAGTGGGATACTTTTCCCGGAATGAAACTCTTCAAGTTGCCTGTCGCCGTAAACGCGTTGGCTGAGTGGCATGCGACATGGTGCTCGTAGTCGCCAGCACAGGCTCCCAGGTACACTCCGACGTGTTTCTTATCCCTGTCCCCATGGCCTTCATCAAGTTCAGAGAAGTAACCTGACTGCTCAACGGCCTGATAGGCAGCTTGCAGGAACAGCCGCTGCTGGGGGTCCATGGTGGTTGACTCTCTCGGACTACGCTTGAAGAACTTGTGGTCGAAGGCATCAACATCTTGGATGAAGTTTCCATACCAATTGCGCGAAGGATCCTTGTCGTTCTCGCGGAAAAGTGTGTCGAACATGAGACGGTCTGGGCCGATCACTTGATGCTGTGACTTTCCTGTGCGGAGCATCTGAGAGAATGCTGGCACGTCGTCGGCCCCGGCTACGTTGATGGCCATGCCGACGACGGCGATAGGTTCGCTGGCACTGCCCATAATGGCGGATCTGTGAGGCTTGCTGGACTAAATTTGGCAATGTTGAATTTGCAAGTCGATGAGGCGGTTGAGTGAAAGTGAAAGACGTTTGATTCGAAAGTTTGAGCAAACAATGGATATACCAAAATGCAGGTGCTTGATCGTACAAGCATGATACTTTTGTATTCATACCTTCACTGTACATGGTGAACTCCAATGGCAGCATTTCAGAATCCGGAGAATAATAGTTTGAGGCGCTGAGTTCCGTAGGACATGTGGACGAGGAGTCACCATTGGCCGCATCAATCAGTAAAAGGGTACGCAGTACCATCATCAGCTATCACATCCAGTCTCTTAGAAGTTTTTCCGTATCGTTGCATTTCGCACCAGGGACTTGTTCGGCCTCATAAGTTACGCCGAACAGTGTGGCCCCCTCGTCTGTCATCGAAAGTCCGTGACTTTTTGTTAAACTTTAAATACCCCGCACCTTTCTTTATCTTTACACAAGTGTTAAGTTCTCCCGATGGCATTGATTCCGTGCAGTTCTTCCAGTTGGTCTAGAGGTTCTATTATCGAGTGCTTGTCTGGTAGAATGCGATAGGAAGACATTCTTTTTCTTCGATGAAATATATCATCAAGCTCAATTTCAACGTACCCATTGTCTCGTTCTTTTTAAAATCGGCAGAGTGTAGAGAGAAAAGCCGTTCAACATCTTCTTATCTTGCCCAAGGGGATCATCATTGAGCTGAAGGTGCCTGATCTTAAACAGGGTATTGGTCTTCCATTCCTAACCCCAAAGTATATTAAGCTCCCCAAGGGTTATTGATGGCGTCAGTGATCAGATGAGACACGGATGGTAATTTCCCGGCCGTTACCAGATCATTGAAGTGCTGGAGCGGCTATTTGTAATGATGGGTTTGTGATAGTCTAGTCAATGAAGCTTTCGTCTCAACATATCCCAAGGCCTCTGGACTAATACTGTTGATCGGGATCTCACAAAGAGTTGACCATCTTCATTCAGAACGCCTTTTCAATTAAGTGATATTAACTGCCCATGAAAAGTAACTCTGATGCATCCTATCCGTCCAAAGCCTGAAGAAACGTATATCCTGCCGCAGCAACCATGTCATTGACGTTGAAATCCCAAATTTCCTTCTGGTGTCTTCTAAGCTCAGCCTCGCACTTGTTCACTTCGCGCCCAGTCGAGAGATTCCTCCACTGATACAAATCTCCAATATCTCGAGATCCTCGGACAAGCCATTGAGATCTCTCACGACGCACAGAGTCGTATGCACTGAGTGCAGCAGAGATAGACTTCGCCTTGTCATGTACACCCTCTTCGTCAGTGTGCTCCATGGCTAAGTCCAACACTGTAGCCAGAACGAGGGCATCTTCGACACCCATACAGGCACCGGCACCTAGGAATGGTGTGCTGGCATGTGCGGCATCGCCAGCGATGCAAACACGGCCCTGGACGTATGTTGGTGCGGGATGGTCTGCCGTGTCGAACAGAGCCCATTTGGTCATATTTTCCGGTAATGCCTCAGTTAGGTCTCGGACTGATGGACTCCAATCTGAAAGGTAGGATTTCACCTCATCTTTTGTGGCCGTTGCTGTCATCTTCCTGTCAGTCCAAGGGGCAGGCTCGTGGACGAATATTGCAATGTTGAATAATGTCCACTGGGCCACCTTTGGGGGTGTGAGCAATCTAATTCTGGATTTAACTGAACGATATAACACTTACCGGATATGTGACAACAGCTACGTCAGGGCCCATGTGTATACACTGGTTCATCGCTTTCTCATGGCCAAGAGCAACCTTAGCATTTTCGATGGGGATGATGGCTCTATAAGCAATCTTGTGAGAGAATTGAGGATGCGAGGCCAAATTATCCTCGCCTAACACCAGTTCTCGAGTTTTCGATCGGATTCCGTCACACCCGATAACTTATATACATCAGTTATTCTGTTGCTGCGCAAAGAGTAAAGGGAAAATGCTTACCGCCATCAAACCCATGGATGGTACCGTCGGTGAACCTGAGAGTTACCTTGTCGCAACTCTTATGATCTGTGAGGTCTTGCAACTCTTTCCCAAGCTGTATCGTGCCCTTTGGCAAAATGCTTGCCATCTCATGTAGAAGGTGAGATCTGAGACATCCCTGGTAGTCCAAGTCTCGTGCTGATAGTTCAAAAAGCAAGGACTCTCGGGACTCAGCTACCTCTTTGGTAGTCGGAGTGTGGCCGTCCCAGTAACGATTGTGGGAATTGCGGTTAACTTCTCCGATGCGGTGAAGGATCTCAAGAAGTCGAGGATCCAGACGCTTCATGCATTCACGGGCAACGCCTGTGAATGCAAAGCCAGCGCTCACCTCCGTAAGTTCTTCGGCTCTCTCGAAGACAGTAACTTTTATGCCACGCTTCAAAAGACCTATGGCTACCATGAGCCCAACAATACCGCCTCCAATCACTGCAATCTCTAAAGAAGTATCTGCGGTGCTAGTGGAATTAGCATTGTTCTGCATCTTGTCTGATGAGTTGGCCATGATAATAAAGTCAGAGAGATCTCAGTTAAATGATTAAAAACGTTCTACCTGGTAAATGTAGCATATAAGCAATACCAGGTAAGAACGTAATATCGTTCATTGGCCTTAATAAATACTTAGGTAAAACCTAAATACCAAGACATTCTGAACGCTGGTCATCTCTTTGTTACAGCCTCTAAAAGCGGGGTTCAGTCTGTGGCACCTCAGTAGAACCGTCACCTACATTGCGGGATTTCATGCTTTAGCTGCCGGACTTACACATCGGAGTTTTGATAGTCCTGCACTCTCTATATCATCCCATCGTTCACGTGGTTGCTGTAGCATCCAATGCACCGTTTGGCCCAGCTTTTCTAAGGTATGAAGAAAACAGTTCTTATCACAGGCTGCAGTGCTGGGGGCCTCGGCTACGCGTTGGCTGAAGAATTCCACAAAAGAGACTTCCATGTCATCGCCACAGCCCGCGACATCTCCAAGATTGGTCCCCTCCAAAATGAACCAGACGTTGAGGTCCTTCCTTTGGATGTTACCTCACCCGAATCAGTCTCTTTATGCCTTAAAGAGGTGCAGGGGAGGACCAATAAGCTAGACATTCTTGTCAATAATGCCGGCGGCGCTTTGTTTAGCCCCTTGGTTCATGTAGACATCGATAAAGCCAAAGCTTTGTACGATGTCAACCTCTGGGGTGCTCTTAGAGTCACTCAGGCCTTTGCACCACTTTTGTACAGCGCTCGAGGAGTACTTCTGAATATCTCGTCTATGGCGGGAGCGGTTCCCTTAGCATGGCAAGGTAAGTACATCGACTGACCTCTTGGCTGGTGCTAATTCGTTGAGTACAGGTGCATATAACAGCTCCAAGGCAGCCTTGACTTTTATATCTGAGACATTAAAGATAGAGCTGGAGCCGCTTGGTATACGAGTCGTGACAGCTATGGTTGGAGCGATCAATACTCATATCTATGCTGGCACTGATGTATTCCTGCCCGACGACTCCTGGTACAAGCCCATTGAGAATACCATTAGGCAACAGGCTCAAGGTATAATGCAACTACCTAATAATGAGGCCGTTGAGGTTACAGCTCGGTCGATCATCAGGGATACACTTGGTGGGCGACGCGGCAAGATCTGGCGGGGTGGTGAGGCTGGCATAGCGAGTATTGGCTCGTGGCTTTTTCCGACCTGGGTCGTTGAGTCTATCCTCCACAAGAACAGAGGATTGTCTGTACTGAGGAAGCTTTATCGTAAGCGATGATGATTAGGTCTTTTAAACGTGTCACTCGTGTATTCGATAGTTCTACACCAGGGGCATTCTATCGGGCTTTCCGTATGATTCCTCACCTATCGTTTAGTGAAATATCCAGATCAAATTCTCTTGTTCAAATGCCACTTTTCATAACCGTTTCATGTTGAGATCACCGTGAATATGTGTCAAGATTCACATTTTGAAGGCAGTCGGGATTAAGCCAACTGACCATCGCTTGATGGCTTATCTTGGCCCATCGTCAACAGCTGAGCCTCGCTACACCGTGCCCTCCTCACTCCACTCTCAACTCACAGCTTCTCATTATTTGTGCAGTGAGTAGCTTGGAGTCAACACATATCCATCTCGTAGACGTCGTGCAACTAGTGGCCTGATACTTCCCTCCTGTCTAACATGAACACGCGAACAACCCAATTGATTGCTACAGTCGTTAATATAATGACAAAGATTATTCTTAAATCTCACGATTATGTTCCGTATTATTTTGTAGCTAAAAAGTCAATTTGGTCTACCGATGATCATCAGAGGCAAATTTGTTTGTGAGAAACTTCCTATAGTGCTTCTTCCTGCCCTCAGTCGAGATGCTGTCGATCTCTTCTTGCGTAAGCTTGAATGTTCCCAAATTCTCAGAATAGTCCCTCAACCTTCGCTCACTTCGTGTTGTGGTAATCGCTGCTATGCCCTGATCGATGCACCATCGTAGAGCCACGTCAGCCTCCGATGCGTTGTATTTCCTGGCTAACTGCGCATAGAGCTCGTCAACTGGGCCTGGAGAGCCCCCCGTAAGAGCACTCAGAACTGAATACCCCGATATTGCAATATTCTGTTCTCGCAAGTATTCTATAAGTGATACACGTTGAAGATAGGGGTGATATTCAATCGAATTGATCGCAGGACGAATCTCGGCCGTCTCAAGAATCGCTTCTAAATGTTCCTGGAGGAAGTTAGAAACACCTATAGACCTTGCCTTTCCTGATCGTTTGATAGCCTCCATTTGTGACCACACGTTCTGTAAGTCCTGTGCATTATCGGCCATGTAAGGTCCGTGAACCAGGTAAAGGTCGACGTAATCGAGGCCAAGCCTTCTCAAAGAATTGTCAAATTCCACTTGTACATCTCGCTTCTCGGTTCCGCATAGTTTGGTCACTACGAAAAGCTCTGAACGGTGGGTGTCCGCAGCTCTTATGGCGTCGCCTAGCTCTTCCTCGTTATTGTACACTAAGGACTGTTCAGTAAATATGCTACGAAAATCCAGGCGCCACTATGTATGGAAACTTACGCTCCGCACCGTCGAGGTGACGATATCCGACCTCAATGGCAAGACGAGTCATATCCACAATGCTCTCATCTTTCTGACCTACGGTCGCTTTGTATAACGCTGTGCCAAGACCGTAACCAAACTCATATCGCGTTAACTAATTTCAGTAGTATCAATGGAAATAACACCCCGCTTACCATTGGCATAGTGTTGCCATCATTCAACTTTAAAACCTGTGCTCCTATCCTGTGCGTAGCTCCCTCGTCTAATGTTTTGTTGGTCAACATGCTGTACTGCGACGGCGCTGCTCTGGTAAATTGGGTAATTTGTCGCTTTTGAGGAAATTTGCTGCAAGGGTACTCGTGCAACTAACGTGGTCTTCCGTTCAATCTGCAGACAATTGAGTAATGCTGATTCATATATGATAGGTTTAACAGCCCTTGTTGGTGTTTTTCAAACTTGCATTTTACGTCGGCACATTGAAGACGCTCAAAATCGCATCGGAGTAATTATTTAAGGTTTTCCTACAGCAACTTACTCCGGAGGATCTGATCGCCGAGGTACAGGCAATACCCTTTTCATTTTCCGGAAACTTTTATTCGGTAACTGCGGCCTACCTTTAGGCTCAATCTCTTAGCCCAAGATTCATAGCGATACTCGTTCATATATTGTGCTCATATTTAGACACGATGATATATGTACGGTATTGACTGAGTAAATTGGGCACGCCTCGTGGATGCCACTGTGGATACATAGACTAACCTGTTATTGATTCGCCTGGACAGAACGCGGCTATAAGATATCAATCTTGCTGACTCGTGCCACAATCTTACTATCTTAACCACTTAGAGCTGCAGCTCCTTAGTCTCATGTCCTTGGTGGTATCCACCCTAATACACTGAGAAGAAGTTTCACAATATACGTGTTAATTGTCTTCAGGATGACTCTTTGACGTCTTTCAATCAGCTCATTCTTCATCCAGTAGACAGCCGACGGCCAAGCTCTTGACTGTCTTCTTTCTGACTAATTCGATGCAGCGACCAATATCGTTGCATTCATTAGTGTATTGCTCCACAATTTCGTCCTGTTAGCTTGACATTCGCGATATCAGGAATTTTGACCATTCCTTTCTCAGACAATTCCTTTTGTCTTGTATGCATTCTAAAACACAACTGTCTTGCAAAATACGAGTAAAAGTATCGACTCGGTGGAGATAACATTGGTGACTAAACATGTGATAAATAACTGTGGCTGAACAAATTGGAGGAAACGCACAGTGTGAAGTGAGAGCAATTTTGACAACTTACACGTGAGCATTCACCTCTTGTTTCGCACTGATTTAGCTGCTGTGAGAATCGTGGAAAGCGGTGGAAACCACATCCATCATCTCATTCAAATCTTTGACGCCAACAGTCTCAAGATGTTTAATCTTACAAAAGGGTTAGTTAGAATAACAGCAGGCCGTGCTTTGTAAGTTAGCCTGGCTATTACTATTGTTGTTGCTGAACAAGTTGAGTTTTGACTGTGATAAAAATAGATCTAACTACCCTACATCATATGGTGATGCCGCGGCTAGTTACGGCGTAATATTCTCCTCCTCTTTTGAACACTGACCAATCGGCATGACTAATTACTGATTTACGGATACTAGCCTAGCCCTTTAAGGATATTAATTGACACATCAACTGACACAAGGTCAAAGCTCAATCTACTTTTGTCGCACTGGCCGTTTCTCGAGGTTAAATCTTAAATTACCAAAAGAACTATTGCTTGCTTGACCAACATAACGCCAATCTATAGGAACCCAAGAAAGACAACGCTAGCACAGCCAAAGCTAATCATACCACTTCTGTAAATCGACTCCTTGTCACAATCTCACCAGCCAGCGCAGCCAACGACTGACTCTGCAGAATGTTGAAGATGGAGATGTCAGCAGCTGCCTGAAGCGAAATCATGTTCCGCAATTCAACAGCAACCAAAGAATCAACGCCATACTGCGATGGGTGTTTGCTCGGTTCTATTTCGTCAACGCTAATGACAAAGATTGAGCTTAGCTTTTGCGCAATCGCCGCGAAAACTATTGCTTCGGCATCAGCCCGCGAGGATGCCTCGGCTAGACTCAGAGCCAGGGAATTCTTGCTTGTCAAACTGTCGCCATTGTTCTGACTCTGCTGAGGCTGGCGATAGTGCAGGGTGCTGAAGCGTGCGTCTCTACCGAGCTGTGATTCACCGTCGCGGTTCCAGTGGGAACCAGGTCCTGTATTGATCCCGGCGATGACTTGGGGATCAAACGGAGCTAGGATGGCGCTCTCCAGCAGACCAAGTAGTTGATCTTCTCTAAGCAGCATGTGGCCTGCTCTTTGCATACGTGTGGCCACGCCCGCGGTCTCAGCAACATAGCCCACTGTCTTGACGGCGCAAAGATCGAGAGATACAGCGGGTAGGCCCTGTGCAACTCGCCATCGGGCCAGTGCATCCTGGTACGACCCTCCGGCTGAGTAGTTGGACTGGCTGGCATAGCCAACAATGCCATTGATGGATGACAACATGATGAAGAAATCGACATCCTGGAACATGCTATGAAGATTCCAAGACCCATTGACTTTGGGGGCAATGGCTGCCTGGAAGTTCTCCGTCGTCATTTGTTCTAGGATAGAGTCCTGGGCGATATTAGTACAGGGCAGCCAAGAGCAAGTCCAGAAATACTTACTTGCAGCACCATGGCTGCATGGATGACACCTCGAATGGGTGGTAGTTCAACTGTCTTACAAACCTGGATAGCTCGTTGGAGATGATGATCCTTAGAGACATCGCAGCTGATACACTGAATTCTACACCCCGTCTCAGACAACTCACGCACAAACGTGCGATCCTCGTTTGTCGTTCCAGCTGATCGTGACATGAGAATGATATTCTTCGCGCCGATGCTCACAAGCCAGCTGACCAAGCATCTTCCAATACCTCCTAGGCCACCAACAAGAAGGTAGGACGCATCTGGCGATAGCTTGACAGCATTCGGATGGGATCGCACGCCAACCTTCTCTTGCGGACCTGTCGACACAACAACCTTACCCATATGCTTTCCGGTCTGCATCAGACGGAATGCCTTAGTGATGTCAGAAACAGGATAACTGGTAAGAGGATCAACGGGTGAGATGACCCTTCGCTCGGTGAGACGTGCAATTTCAGTGAGGATGCGACGAACATCAACCCCTCTGCCCTCTGTCAAGTGAAGTATGTCAAGAGAGGAGAATGACACATGGCGTGTGAAAGGCCGCATTTCCAAGAAGCTATTCTGTTCCAGGTCCCGCTTTCCAATTTCGACAAAGTGCCCAAACCGTGCGACGAGGTTGAAACTCTCCTGAAGCAACGGCCCTGCGAGGGAGTTGAGAACCATGTCTACGCCACGACCGCCAGTAATGTCAAGTACATTCGAGGCGAATGATGTGTCTCGACTGTTGAAGATGTGGTGGTCTGGGATCCCGTATCGCCGCTTGATAAGATCCCTCTTCTTGGGTGATCCTACGGTGGCATAGATAACAAGTCCCAGATACTGGGCTATCTGGATCGCAGCTTGGCCGACACCCCCTGCTGCAGCATGGATCAGGACAGACTGGCCCTTCTGCAAGTGAGCCACGTCCACCAGTGCCACATAGGCTGTGGTAAACACCATGGGCATAGAAGCAGCCTTCTCGAATGTCATTTCTTCCGGCATGGGCACAGCGTTCCAATGCTCGGTGCGGACACGATTTGCGAAAGGCCCACGAAGGAGAGCGAATACACGACTGCCCACCTCGTGGCCATGCGAAGCAGCCAGAGCACCCACTTTCGTAATGACGCCAGCACATTCGATGCCCATGATCTTATCCTCTAACTGACCCATAGCCACCATAACATCCCGGAAGTTCAGTCCGTAAGCCCGGACCTCTATCTCTACAAGGTCATCGGGAAGTGGAGTGTCTTCAGAGATAGCCGTGTCGTCATCATCAAAGGCCAACGTGTCCAGAAGACCAGGAGTGCCAACGTGTAGACGAATGGCGCGTTGTTGGTGGAAATACTCGGTGGCTGACTCATTCGATGAGTCTTGACCTGACAGAGACGGGGATACAATGTCGTTTCTGGCCATATCCTTGTAAAGCCGTGGGATGAGAATGGTTCCGCCTCGCTCGGCATACTCAAAGTCGTCTGGGGAGGGATCGAGTATGCTATTATCATTTGTTTCACTGAAGACATGCTTCAGAACCTGCGCGATGGCTTGATGGCGGGTAGCAGACCACGCGGCAGAGGCCGGATCCAGGTCTAAGGTGACGATTTTACGGCCAACATACTCATTCCTCAAAGAACGTACAAAGCCTGTCGCCATTGCTGAGACGGGATTCTCACACTTGATCACACCTCCAACAGTTACCCAAAGCAGACCAAGACAGTTGGCAACAACGAGCTTCAGACCTTCCAGTGCCCTGGAGTCGAGTTCAAACAGTGTTTGGCCACTGAGGTCGCCAAGGAATACGCATATCTTGCCCCTGTACGAATCTCCGGTCACACTCGATGAGTCCAACTGGTGAAATGTGAAGGAGCCTTCCGAAACGCCTAGGGACCGTGCCAAGGATGTGATCCACTCGGCTGGGGGTGCAGACTTTGACCCAGAAACAAGTGCAATATCTTGAACGTTGACGTCTGGTGAGGAATCTGCTGGCTGTACTCGTGAAAGGATGGTGCTGAATGCATAGTTCGAAGCATCTTCACTATCGTTGACAGCGATGTCAATTCCGCTAAAGCCTGCCGTCTTCAGTGCACTGTTCCACGACGGGATATCGAGAGAAGGACTCGTCTCGCGTGTCGGCTCCTGGCTGAGCCACCAACCAGGAAGGAGCCCAAAAACGAAGTGAATATCTGTCTGATCCTGTGTTGTTTCGATCATCAACAGCGAGGCGTTTGGCTTCATGAGGCTCCGGACGTTGGACAGGGTACCAGATATGGATTCGGTAGCATGCAAGACTTCGCAAGCAATCACCACATCGTAGCTACCTAGCGTGAAGCCCTGAGTCGCGGGATCCTGTTCGATATCCAACTTTTGGAATGTCAGGATGTCGTTCCACGCCGAGAACTCATTCTTTGCAGTCTCAAAAAAGCCCATGGACACATCGGTGTAGTGATACAGACCAGCCAGTGGACCACCGGACTGCGCGGTACCAATGATGTCTAGGGCATGGCGAGTCACACTGCCCGTACCAGCACCGATCTCGAGAATCCGCGCCCTGGGGTTCTTGTGGATGACAGTCTTGAGCAGCTGGGATAGCTGATTGAAGCATCGCTTCAGCCCAGGTGCTTCTTCGTAGTATCTGCCTAGGAGATTGTTCTCAGCCATCAGCTCGAGAGGGGCCTTTTTGCCGCGAAGCATGTCGGTAAGATGGGGTCCGAGATGACAAACCATCTCGCCTACCACGCTCTTCGCCGAGGCTGATTCGATCAGGGCTTCACGCTCTTGTGTGCCCAGTGATCGAAGATCTTGATCCCCAGCCTTGGCAGTTACTTCCAGTTGATGCTGCATCCACTTGTAAAACTTGACGAAATGTCCGCCCAAGCTCGATACATCAGATGACGAGAGCTGTTGGAGCGCTTCGCGGATGAAGTAGACGCAGAGAGGCCTGAGATCCGTCGCCAAGCGCTCTTGAACCTCAGGGCGTGTGAGCTGTCGCTGTAAACTATCGAGTGACTCGGGGGACGCGAGAGACATGTCCATGTTCCACTCGACCTTGTTGCACACCTCACGCTCCCAAGATTTCTTGCTTCCATTGCTTATCGACTGACCAAGAGACTGTAGCACCAACCCTTGAATCTCCAGCACTGAGTTTGACTGGTCATGCTTGTCGAAGAGAAGGATGTCGGCTTCAAAGCTCTGAGAGTCATCATAGAGAACCCTGGAGCAGGCGTCAAACTCGTGCCCTGCATCACGACTGATCAGATTCGATATCCAGAAATGCCTGATCTTGCGGGGAACACGAGGACTCTCCTGGAAATAGCCGGCCTTGGGAAGGGCCGTATATGCCGCTACGACGACCGAGTCGAGAGTGGTAGGGTGCATGATCCCGCTCGACTTCGGGTCGTCGACTAAACTATCGGCTATGCAGAGTGTCGTCTTGGATCTTTGTTCCGTGTGGGATTGGAGGATGGTCTTGAGATTCTGGAACAGCGGACCATGCTCAATGCCGACGGCTCTGAAGGTGTTGAACATATCGTCGGGCGCGATTCGGCGAGCAGAGCCAGGTATGGCAGGTGTCAGGTTGTCGAGGTGGGTTCGATCTACGGTCGATTTGCTGTCAAATTCGACCTTGATGAACCCTTTCGCATGTAGTAACCAGATATTATCCCTGGTGACAGATTGTACCTGCCAGTGATAGAACCCCTTGAGCCCAATTTCCTTATCATCGGCGGGTCGAAGCTGGGTCTGAACCTCTAGTGACTCGTTTTCCGGGACCAATAGGGCTCTGAGGATGTCGATATCGCGTAGCCGGTACCCAGACACTTGCTGACCTTGGGCTGAGCCATCGGCGGCCTGGATGGTGCCCATCGATACCAGCTGTTCGACAGCCGCCAAGGCCAGGCATACAAAGCCTGCTCCAGGATACAGGGTGTTGGACTGTACAACGTGATCTCGAAGCCAGGGTGACTCATTGATACGAAGCACGTGGCGCCACGCCGGAGCGTTGAGGTCTGTGCCGAGTACCAGTGACCCAATCAGGTCGTGCGGCTCCTGAGTTCTATCTCTTAAAGCTTTATTAAAGCGCGGCTCAACCCAATGTCTTGTCTGGTGATTCCATGCATAGCTGGGAAGGTCTGCCAGCACCTGGACCGAAGCTTCTTTCCCATAGGGGAAGTTCAATGCCTCAAGATCAAGAACCAGTCCTTCTGTAATCAAGTTCGCCGCCAAGGCTTGCATGGTATCCCTGGCGTTGACTTTCCGTGCAAGACAGGAATAATAGGGAAGTGAGATATCGGCGAATTCTGGAAGCTCAAGAATCTGTCTGATGGGACCACGCAGTGCAGAATGCGGTCCAACTTCGACAATGACATCGACGCTGGTGCCAGATGGATCGAAATTGCCGAATATCATGTCTTGGAAAGAATCGAGGAACTCGACTGGCTGGACAAGACTTGCAACCCAGTGGTCAGGGCTTGCGATCTCCTCAGCATCTCTCATTAGGCCACCGGTGACTGGGGAAGAGTAGATGACGGACTCCAAGTCATCTGAAGGATTGCGAAGATCTAGTCTACTCAAGAGCTCACGGTAGCGATGAGAGATGGGATCCATCTGATGTGAATGATAGCCAATATCCACGTTGAGTCGACTAGCCAGTATTCCATCCCCCTTGATCATGGCCTCGACCTGAAGGACAGCGGGGAGATCGCCAGCGATAGTGACGCTTTTCTGGCTATTGATGCACGCGATAGATGCTTTTCCATCGCCCGTCACACGCTCAAGGTACGCTTCGGCGTCATGAGAGCCAACTCCCACAGCCAGCATTCCTCCTTCCAAGGAGCCCCGTAGTTTTTTGTCAGCTGACAAGACGCTACGATGGTAAGCGATAGCTATGGCTGAGCGGTAGCTGATGACTCCAGCCGCATATGCAGCGGCGATCTCTCCGCTCGAGTGACTCGTCACAGCTGCTGGCTTGATTCCCCATCTTGCAAGTAATCGTACTAGGGATATCTGCAATGCAGCACAGATCGGGATGCTCACTGCAGTGTCATAAACTCTCGTGGTGTCTGCGTCTCGCATAAGCTCCTCTATGAGCGACCAATCTGCACCGAGCTCGCTCAGGTACGTCTCGGCCTCCCGGAGACTAGACTTGAATACCGGGTAAGCAATCATCAGTTCTCGCCCCATAGCGTACCACTGAGCCCCCTGGCCTGTAAAGACCATTCCTATGCGCGGCTGCCCTGTGATACGCTTGGGCTTGAAATGGGATGACCCAAGGGACTCGACAACTTGATCGATGCCACGCGTGTAAGATATGGGATATGCTGCGATCCAAGGAAGTGTACTGCGCCGCTGTCCGTAGGTGTATACGACACTTTGTAAGACCTGGTCCGGGTGTTCACTCTCCCTCTGCTGAGTGAGATATTCCTTGAGCTTGAGGACCATTTCTTGACATCCTCGCTCGTCTTTCGCGCTGACTAGTAAGACTTTGGTTTTATTCCTGTGTGGATCCGTTTCACTACTCTTGTCGGAAGTTACCCCGTTGGGCTTTGTCACGATCTTCAAGCTATCGTTGTCATGAAATCCGTTTGTGTGACTTGACCCGTTGGCCTTGCTCGCCTTGGCCGCAGGCTCCCACAGAGGTCCCATCTCGACAATAATATGGGCGTTTGTACCGCCATACCCAAAGTTATTAATCGATGCCCTCCTGGTGCCAATTGAGTTGACAGGCCAAGGTTCCAGTTCCCGTGGAACCTTGAAGTTCCAAGCATCCAAGTTGAGCTTTGCATTTGGTGTCTCAAAATTGATGGACGGTGGGATAGTGCCATGCTCGAGAGCCAATACGACCTTGATCAAACTTGCTAGGCCGCTGAGTGGTTCGGTGTGGCCGATGTTCGCCTTGATAGAACCAATCCGCAGCGGCTCTCTGCCCTGTCGCCTGGGCTGGAACACCGCTGCAACTGCTCGAAGTTCAATGGGATCACCTGTTGGCGTTCCGGTACCGTGGGCTTCGAAGTACTGTGTTTCGAGGGGATCTAGCAAAGCACTACTGTAGCACTTCCTGATGAGTTCTTCTTGGGCGTCTGAGCTGGGAGAAGTAATTGTCTCGGTCTTGCCGTCCTGGTTGAGCCACGTCTCACGAATAACGGCCCGGATGGGATCCCCGTCTGCTATGGCATCTCTCCAGCGCTTAATGATGACTGTAGCTACACCTTCTCCTCGCCCATAGCCGTTGGCCCTGGAGTCGAAAGAGTATGACTTTCCATCCGGCGAGAGGACACTAAGGCATGATTAGTTGGGGTATAGTCAGACACGAGGATGCTGGCTTACCCTATGGATCCAAGGGCCTTAAACATATCTGGATTAAGCATCAGATTTGCACCTCCTATAACAGCCATACCTGAGGAACCAGATCGAAGGTCCCTCACTGCTTGGTGCAAAGCTACCAAAGAGGTTGAGCAGCCTGTATCCAGTGTCATACTAGCACCTCTGAGATCAAAAAAGTGCGAAACACGGTTTGATGCCATAGCAGCACCGGTACCTGTGATCATGAAGCGTGGCAAATCATCTTCATCTCGGACCATACTCTCTCTGTAGTCGTGATTGAACGTCCCCATGTAGACTGACGTATCTGAGCCGGCCACCTTCGCCAACGGCTGGCCCGCTTCACAGAACTATTAGTCTTTTCGATTCTGCCAGGTACGGAAGTGTTGAATCTCACCGTTCTCTAGTGCCTCATACACAGACTCTAACTGGAGTCTAAACTGAGGGTCCATAGACTAGTTTCAACAAACATTAGCTGGTGAAAGCCGTGAACCGCACAGGTTTCTTACTGCTGCAGTTTCGGCAGAGAGGTTGAAGAAAGCTGCATCAAAATTCCCAACGTCATGCTCAAGGAAATACCCTGCACGGACATGCATCTACGACAACAGTCAGAATCAAAACCAGATGAAGGAGAATCTGGACAGAAGATGACACGTACGGCACCCAGTCTCTTCTGGTCGGCATGGTAGGACCCCGTCCAATTGAACCTGGACGACGGGATTTGAGACCAAGCATCGCGCCCTTTGGAAACCATTTCCCATAGTTTGGTAGGGCTATCAGCCTCTCCAGCAAGTTTACAGCTGAGGCCGATGATTGCAATCGGCTCTGGGCCGTGTGATGCCTCCATTGTGTCAAGCTGGCAGGGCCCACAAGAATGCTGGGATCAAAAGTCAAGTGGGTGATGGTAAGCGATGGTACAGTAAGTTAGATAGAAAAGGATCATAAAGTTCGTTCAGACATGAACCAAGAGCAAAGTGAGTGGCCATATGCAAGTCTTTTCATCACATGAATGCCATAAGTAATCGTCATAATCTCAACTGTTACGTGTCGGACTATCATATGAGTGTGGCCGGATTTAGAGTTGATCTGGTATCAACGACATAGATTGTCCGATTACTACCGACGCTAAGAATAACCGGTGGTGATAAAAAGAAGAATTACAAACTTTAGTGCTTCGTTTTCTACGTCACAGACGGACAGAAAAACTCCGCCCCGCCTGTAATGAATTCAGCGTTTACACTTTGCCCATTTCGCTATCATAGCTGCTGTAGACAAAACACAGGGTGATTGAGAAACAGACAAACAGCTAGTTTCATAGTGGGCATTATGTTCTTTCGCCGTCAAATGCTTCGTCATTGGGGACAAGTCTACAAAGGGTGGTGTGTCATCTATTAGCGAAACACAAGTTTGCTAGGCAGAGTGATGAGCTACGCTGGCGAGTCTCCAGGGTCGCGATTGACGAATTGTATATGTACAAGTGAACTTTCTGGAAGAAAAACACTTGGTGTTTATTGCAAAATGAGCTCTAGTAATACTAATAGTCTGCCCTCTCAGGCCATCTAACTTCCGGCACATCCTAGACCTACAATACCGATAACTCCGTAAATTCACCCATAACGGGCTATTGCATTCTTTGTTTTGATCGCACTTATCCGATGACCTTTGTGTATCTCATCCATTCATGATCACGCCTCAATCCTTCCATGTCCTCACCAGGCAAGCATAAAGTCACGGGTATGAAATCACTTTCAGCCGGACTCATAGATATAGATCCAACAATGGGAGTTGTTCGCGGCCGACGCATAAAACGAGATGGGCCAAGCGTCGATCCAAAGGTGCTCGGCCAGATATCCGTGCCAGCAAGAGCTGAAGTAGCTCCCAAGTCAGTGTTGGGGTTTGTTTTACCCCCATACAGAAGATTGGACTTGTCAGGCTCTCGTGCAATGAAAGTCGCGTAGCTTCGTAAAGTCCACTCGTTGTTGACCGAGTCGAGCGTGTGTCGCAGCTTCTCGGCGATACTTGCTAAGCTTGAAGACGCGATGTATCCGATCGGGAGTCTGAGATTGGCGTGGTACACCATATGGCCCATGTAGCTGAACGGAACACCCGCAGCTATCCGTCCGTCGATGGCCCTTGAGAACTTGGATATTGTCTCAGGGGACATTTTGCCTAATCTGACAGTGCTAATGCGCTGCCAGCAAAAAGCACAAATGACATCGTTCTCCGATACGAGACTCAAGCCTTGGGACCGAGTCGCCTTCATCAAACCGTTGACGGCAGCAATGGGAAGCTTGAAAGAGCACCAGGTTGGGGGTGACAGTACCGCAGGGTAACTGAACCCAGGCGGACGACGTAAGTCGCCGTAGTCTTTAGCAGGTTCGCCAGGAGCGAGAAGTCTCATGACAGATCGTCGATCACGATTCGCCTCGACAAGGTCCTGGGGCGAGATGAATTTCCCTTGAAGGGCAGTCGCAAGATGGCGTATGAGCTGAAAAGAAGCAGTCCCATCCATAACAACATGGTGAAGGCAGAGGGTGAGCAGTAAGCCTCCATGGATGAAGTTGGCCTGCAAAGCGAGAATAGGCACTGGAGGCTCTAGTGTATGACCTGCGCTGAGGCCCGCAAACGGCGACAAGATCTGAGCATCCAACTTCGAGATGGGTACTTTTTCTTTGAGGAGCTGGGCCATTGTTGGTAGCAGATGGCTGCGGTCTTTGGTTCGTACTATTTCGTGTTTCGGGCCATCAGCTGGCCAGGGTGCAGGTAGACGCAGGCCATACTTTTCGACGACTTGGCCGTTGAGCCAGGGAATCTGGCAGACCAAGCTTTCCATTGCGAGTTTGAGTTCGTCAGCCACAGCAGTGTTGGAAGAATCGGGAGAGAGCCTGAAGCCAATGACGAGCTGTGTGTGGCCGTTGAGAGCTGGAAACTGTGACAAGACGTCTTGAAACAGAGGGTTTCCTTCCATATCGTTTGGTGTGCCTTGTCCACTTGCGTGAACAGAAATGCCCGTCATCCTCTCTATTGCTTCGGGTTACGTGGATGCCGAGAATACCGTTAAACAAGTCTTGTAGGATGAGTCGTTGGTAGCTTGGACGACAGCGTGTAGCTGTCAAGTTGGTTTCCGTAGGAAATTACGTCGTTAAGCAGGGGTGAACCGAGTGTATGACGGGTCGGTAATTCTTATAAGATTAACTTAACTAAGAGGATAAATAAAACCATTTTCTTTGCCAAGTATCACTGAAAAGAAAAGACCTGACTGAAAGCAAGCTTGTGCTACAGCAGTAAAAGTATGCGGGGTAGCTCAGGCCGCATTGTAAATATTCCGGAGTTTCTTTCCCCGACAAGCGCATGGATCGGACCGTGATGCTTGCCTCGGTGAATATGGGACGGCCATCACAATTACACAAGTTAGATGACGAACAGCGGATGGTAATTCACCTGCTCATAGATCAAATTCCCTTAAATAGTCGAGAAACTCACCTTGCAATTATAGACCTCCATCATTCCTTCAACACATAGCACATTAGCATCGAGCAAATCATTATTCATCATGTTGATTCTCAAAAAGGCTTTGCAGGTGGCCAGCATTGCACCGCTTACCTTCTCCTTGGTAGGCGCCTGGTATTGCGCCCCAGCAGGTCCTGTTCTTCCGGCTGCCAAGTCTCCCAGCACCAGCCCACACATCAAGGAGGCCATAACTGACCTCTTCGCCGCGCTGAAACTGGTGTCAGAGACCTGGTACCCTAACACGGCCATCTCGGTAGCGGCAAAGTCTCTCCATGAGGATACTCCATTCGTTTCCCACCATATTTACCCCATTGGTGGTTTGAACTCCAGTGGTGTTTCGTCCATCGACGAGGAAACAGTGTATCGAGTATCCAGTGTCTCGAAGCTGTTCCCTATTCTGGCCCTGCTCCGCCTTGGAGTCAGCCTTGAAGACCCTGTTGTCAAGTATCTTCCCGAACTGCGGTCCATCAGAGTCGATGAGGTTTCCAGTCCCATCACCACTGTCGATTGGGATGCCATCACGATTGGACAACTGGCGACTCATATGAGTGGTATCGCCGCTGAGTGTAAGTGTTGACCTCACCACGTTGATAACTATTCTGACATCTCTTTTCTTAGACGCTGTTGATCTCGCCGCATTTCCTTTCGACCTTGGTCCGGCTTTTCAGCCACTCAGTGGGCAGTCGGCACCGTCCTGTGCTGTTACAGGGTTGAGTCATGAAACACTGCCAAGATGCACGCGAGCAGACTTCTTCCGCGACTTTGGTGTCCGTCATCCTGTTTTTGCTCCCAACACTGCACCCGTCTACTCCAACATCGGCATCTTCTTGCTAAGTCTCGTGGTTGAGGTGGTCTCCAAACAGCCGTACGACACCTTTATCGAACAAAACATCTTTGGCCCTCTTGGTATGACAAACACCTCCACTGGCGCAACACCCAAGACCTCTTACGGAGCAATTGCTGTAAACCATACTGCCTGGGACCTGGATCTGGGATTCGAAAACCCGTAAGTACATTGCTTGTTAACTACTTGACTGTAATTGATACTGATGACTACAGAGCCGGCGGATTCTACAGCAACACTAAGGATCTGCTGAAGTTTGGAAACGCCATCTTAGACAACACACTCCTGGACCCCGTGAAGACACGAAAATATCTCAGTCCGGCTGCGTTTACAGACTCCAGCGGTGTCATGGTGGGATATTCCTGGGAGATCATGCGCGCCAAGAACATCACGGGTGATGGGAGAATCATCCCTGCCAATTACAAGTCCGGGCATCTCCCTGGGTATCAGGCCGCCCTGATTCTTGTTCCAGACTTCGACCTCGTCTTGACCGTCTTGGTGGCAGGTCCTCTCCATGAAGCGACCGAGAGTCTCCTGCAACATTTTGGTTCGCGATTCATCGAGCGCATGGTTCCCCCGCTGGAGCAAGCTGCAAAGGATGAGGCCCGTATCAAGTACGCTGGCCAGTACTCTGACCCCGCCACCAACTCCAAGTTGGTTGTCGAACTTGACGAGGGCCCCGGTCTCTCTATTACCGAGTTCACCGTCCGAGGAACAAGCCAGTTGGTTGATATGTTCGGAAAGCCAGCACGCATTCGCCTCTACCCCTCCAACCTCAAGACCAATACGCAGGAGGCATGGCGATCCGTGACGAGCACTCTGACAGACGAAGAGGTCGAGACTATCGAGTCTGGCTTGATTTGGGAGCAAGGTACCTGCCCAACCCTCGGAACGTTGGACAGGAGAGGATATGGGTACAAGGCGCTTGACGAGTTCATCTTTGAGCTGGATGGTTCTGGAATCATCAAGGGTCTCAACTATCGAGCACTGGATGTCAATTTTCAGAAGAGCGGCACTCCACACAAGGATGTAGCCAAGGAGTCTACGGAGGATCTGACGCTGTTGTTGAAGGCGCTGCTGGCAAAGCTTGAGGCTCGCTAAGGTTTCTTGATCGAAGGTCCACAGACCTTGCCACAAGACCTCCTAGCACCTTGTTCTTAGGAATAAGAATGCAGAGTGTCTCCAATCAACTCGCTTCCGTTCGTGTCATTATATCTTTCTAAAGATCTCAGCCATCCTTCTCGAAGGAATTTACTCTAGTAATTATTTTCAGCATTGCTGTACCTTTCATGGCAGGTCATAGGAACAGATGTGGGTGCAAATTTCTACTTGCACAAAGTTCATGGCTGCCTGGACACATGTCTGCAACGTGACAGAAATTAAAAGGGAAAACACTGTATCTAAATCCATTTAGTATAAGATCTGTTTGTATACTAAAAGAAGGCTGTTTTCTTTAGGCTGGAGGGTGTCTGCTTTTGCAAGTCCGTAGACCATTCGACTGGAGGCTTTTTAAGAGATATCTAGAGTGTCTTTGAGACTCAAACTTACTCCATTGATCAAGGACAAAAGACTGACTAGTACTGTCGAAATGCTTTAGACCTAACCCCCTTATTCATGATCTTTACTTTCTGTTGGATCATCACGATTTCTCTACAGATAGGCAACTTCACTTGAACAATATAGGTCATCATTCTCATCGCTCATATTTATGTCATCTTGGAAGCATTTTAAAACCAATAGTTCTCCTGCATTACTCTCAAACCAGGTGCTGACCGCTCCTTGACTTGATCGTCTCCCCAGTGCAATTTCCATCCTTCATAAGGTAAAGATAGGCCTCAGCGACATCCTCAACAAGACCCCCACTTCCAGTAGGATTCTTGTTAGCTAGACTTTCTCGCAACGACTTCACCTGGTCAACCGGAACGACAGCCCATAAACCTGTGTCCAAAACGTAGCCTGGCTCCACTACATTCACACGTACAGGCTTCATATCCAAGGCCAATCCTCGAATAAACCCGACCATGCCTTGTGCCAAGAATGCCAGTACACTGCATGCAGGCTGTGGTTGATCCGCAATACTTCCAGAGGTGAAGGTAAGACTGGAATGTCTGCTCAGCGGTAGATGGCGAGAAGCCACCTTGGCCAAGAGCACCATTACTTGGAGTCTCTCATGAAGAGGATGAAGATCCGTGAGGGTGTATTTCTGGATCGACACATGTCCTGGAAGGGAGTTGCTGGCTGTAATAACGACGTGATGGACTTGACCAATGTTCTGGAATAATGCCTCCAAAGCTTCCTCGAGTTTGTCCTGGCGTAGATCAAAGCCGACCCCTGATATCTGAGCTGATGGGTAGGTAGACTTGATTTCTTTGGTAGCCTCGTCAGTCGTGGCTTGTGACGAACCAACGACCGTCACCTTGGCACCATCCTGGATTGCCTTGACGGCCACGCCACGACCGATGCCTTTAGTACCACCAAAGACCAGTACATGTTTGTTATATAGTTTTGAATGGCTGGACATGATGATTGATGGTTCAAGGAGAAGAATATGAGTAAGTGGATAGCTTTGGCAGATAATGCTTACTTGAAGACGTACTGGTCTATTTATCGTCCTGAGGAACATCATTAGGACCTTGACTACTTAGAGTCGGACAAAAGAAACTCCGGCACAAAACTGTACCGAGTAAACCGGCTGTATATCAACATATGCTGGTTCTATCTATCTACAGCACTTCAGTCTAACTAACCAAGATATCTATTTATCAAAAAGAACACCGGCTTTCTTAGCAACGTTGACTATCCCATCCACCAGCCTCGCCACGTCGGCAGTCTTTATGGGAACGCGATGATCTCCACCCCATTCAATCACCTCTGTTGTACTGATCTTGCAGGACTCAGCTAGTTTCCTATGCATTGCTATCCTCTCGTCCTTCAAGCCATGCACGTGTAGAGTTGGCAAATGCAGCAACTCGTACTTTTCACGCTCAAGCCTGTCAGAGTCGACCACATCAGAACGCATCCAGAGTAAAGGCCCACAGCCAGCCATGAGTACAGCAAAACGGAAGTTTGTAGCTGGTGCACTAGGCATTAGGCCTGAGCTAACATCCATATTCCAGGTCTGTTGTCTTCGGAGCAGACTGGCGGACAAGGTGGCGCCTTGGCTAAAGCCCAACAGACCAACCCACTCGCCTGTGCCTCCAGCTTTATCATCTCGCTTCATGGCCGCCGCGAGAGCCTCGTCAATCTTTTCAATTTCCTCTTTGTCCGCATAAGTGAAGGGTGATGGGTCACCGAAGGCGTAGCCTGGTCGTCTCCAGCTTCGAAAGGGAAGCCACTCTGCATAGACATATTCGACATCTGGACCCGCATGACTGAAGTAGGGAGCGTCGGCAAACACGAACCGAAAGTGCTTTTCGAGCTTGGAACGCATTGCCCGACATTGGGCCTGGAAAATACGCGAGTTCGTGCCTCCACCATGAAGACAAAGGATTCGTGGCAGTTGTAGAGTCGGGTCGCGTAAGGGCTCAGTTGTTCCACGATTGGGATCGAGGGCTGGTTCCGTGTGGGGTAATTTCGTGTTGGTTTGTTCAACTTCAGCCATCATGTTGAATGTCGTCGATTATGCTTCGAATTTGGTAGCGTCAATGTGTAGCACTGCAATTTTCATGTAGAATTATACGTTTTTACAACCTCAAGATCCTTATAGAAGCCACCCCTTGGCCCACTAATTACTCCGCGTCTTTATCTTCATTGAGGCACTTGCAAAACCTTATTGTTAGGAAGATACACCAGTTACCAGTACTCCCTCACAGCGGAGTTTTATTGTCTCGCACACAAATATTTCTTTTTTGGCGAACTAGTGCACCAGAAACAAAGCCAGTGAGGTTTCATCTCAGTCGCCGGTCTACGCGACGGTCGCTCAGGGTACCCAGTTCAGGTCATGTCATAGCTGGAGCCCTTCAAAATCGGAATCGTTCGATATGGTCACCGCAAGATATGCTACTTTTTACCAGCACATACTGCTAACTTGTTGATTGATTTCTATCCAAGCATGCAATTGATAAGAACTAAGTTTTACCTTTTCTCCTTCACACAATAGCCCCGTTGACGGAAGACGGATTGCTACTTACGCATTCCTCAATGTGGGAACTACGCGACGATTGACAGTGCCAAGGTACGGCCATTCAACGAAATTTCCTTCGTAACGAACAAAGCCTGAGTCATAGACCTGCAATTCACTGTCTCATTTTGGAGATTTTCATAGTCCTAATCAAAGGGTTGTCGATCCTGCTAACGCCTCCAATGAGACCGTAGCATTTTACCTACACAAGCCTGGAAAAACCACTGCTTGGTAGTCTTAAAATCCTTCCATGCATCACATGCTGTCCACAATTACATCGCCATCACTACTTGAAAGGTCGTGCTAATCCACCAAGGACCGGCTCTTGAAATACATGAATCCTGACCAAATTGTTTTGTAGAGCGATTTTCAAAGGAAGGATGCTTTGGGTGACCATCGCGCCTTTGAGCCCAAGGTAAAAATGCATGATGAGTGCCACACCAATGCCAAGAATCTGCTTACGAACCACACCAATCAATTCCTTTTTATCGTAATCATGGACCGTAATCTCTGTCACATTGCCCTTAGCGTCAGTCCATTTTAACGCAGTTTTATCTGCTATAGCAATGTTAGTAGACTTTTTGAATTATTGTGAAACATACGTAGGACCGGATGGAATGATGACGGTGGAAGCTTACCTCGGTTTTTAATTCGAACATAAGTTGTAATCCAGAGCGATGTAATTGCAACATTGCTGGCGAAGTAGATTGAACGGATGATGTTGAGGACCTCAGGATCATCTAACGAGAGGCGCTTGACTACTTGGATCGAGCAAATAATAATAAGTATATTGACGCTAAATAAAAGATAAGTCTATGTTGCGCAATTTCAATTTGAGGCTGCGAGGTTCATTGTACTGACAAGTAGGCGCGTAGCAACCTTCCGACAGTTTGGCTAAATAAGGAGACGGCTCGAATCATGTTGAAGAAGGGTTACTCTGTGATATGGCCGGGTAAATAAGTGAATTGAAAGTGTAAAGCGTACTTGCCCAGGCGGGAAAAGCTGCTTCATTAATAGCAAGGTGTCTTTCTTAGTCATAAATGTCACTACTAACTTTAATTTTCAGCTATTTTATAATTCTTATGGGTATTTTAAGGCATACTAAGTCAATTGGAATCAGTCCATACCATTATCAATTGTACTTTCATTTTGAGAAAGTTACTATAAGGAGTAATAGGAGCTATCGGTCGGAGTTATTCGTCGGAGTTATTTATTTACGAATTGGCTACCTAGTAAAGTCCCCAGTTATCCACTTCTGTAGGAAGAATTATAAGATCCATTGGCCCAAGCCTTGGTGTTATTAGTCTGAAATGCTTGTAATGCCAAATAATCTTCAGGTGAATAATTGCTTCTACTAGTTATTGACTTAGTTGCCCAGGATGGGCACCTTCGACATAGGACTCCTGACAGGCCTTCCCTACAGTACCAAATTGGCTCTGTTGCCTGCAATTTTAGTAAGTAGCAGCTGAGTTCATTCATTAACCACCTCTGTACCATCTAACCATCATACTGTTCAAAATATCGACAAGAGTATGTCGTAGGACTTATTCATCTTAAGAAGCTCCTAATCTATGCGAGGCCATCCGAACTTGGGACGTTCCTCCACTGGTGCTTGAATCCAAGCTTTCAACTGGTCAAAAAGCCTCTGGCCTTGTTCCGGATCGCTGGCGTCGATGGGGTCCTCGTTTCTCCCTATTCGACCCAGCTGGCCACCTGCCAGCGCAAGAGAAATATGCATCTCTTCAGTGAGCTTGGGAAACTGTTTGGCTATCCCTGTAACTCTCCCAAAGAGCAGATCGTTTGCTAACGACGGCTCGTGTGCAGCTGGCCGCGCTACGCCGACGCCGTCAACTATGCTCAAGGCTTCCACCATAACACTACCAGTGAGAAAGCCACCCGTGAGATAGGACTTTGTCTCAGTGAGGGTAGGTGCTATAGCTCGGGCAAATTCGATAAAATATCTTTCTCGAGTCACTGTGCTATCCTTTGCGGCATCGAAGTCGAGTCCTTCCCATGTGCCACCAGTCAATTCAATAAAGTCGAAATGATGCTCCTCAAGGGTTTGGCAGAGAGTCTGCACCTCGTCTGTGGTGATTCCCTTTTCTTGGAACTCAAAGCTATTAACCTTGATTGCAAGCACGAAGTCAGGCGAAACCCTATCTTTGATGGCGTCTGCTATTTCCATGATCAACCGCATCCGATTGACCAAACTGCCGCCATACTTATCAGTGCGATGGTTTGTGGCTGAAGACAGAAAATTGCCTAATAGGAAACCGTGAGCGCCATGGAGTTCAACGCCCGAGAATCCTGCTTTTTCAAGGTAGCAGGCAGCGTGCACAAAGCTGTTGATGACCTCAGAAATGTCGTCTTGGGTGGCTTCACGCGGTTTGGCGAATGTCATGCCGAGTCTGGGTTCTAAGGTCACCAGGTTTGGATTAGCATGTCAGTCAACGTCTTACTGTCGACCATCGTATCAAGCTGATGGCTTCTCCGGAGGGGATGCAGGGGGTGTGTGAGAATTGGAGAGCAACTCACCCAGCTGCTGGGCAGAAGCGGCAATTGTCTCTTTAGTAACGCGGACGTCTACTTGTCTGCCGACATGAGTCAACTGTCCAAGCAGAAGTGAGCCATGACTAGTCGCTGCAGTGGCCACTTCTTTAAACTTGCCAAATCTAAGATCATCTGTGCCGTGTTCCTGACCTATAACGACGTTGCCAAAATGGTATAAAGTCGTGTCGACGTCGATTTGACCAGTCACGATGACACCCCAGCCACCTCTCCCGAATCTAATCGACCAAAGGTCAGCTGGCTCTCGATCTATTTTCATCCCGAGTTCAAATAAACATTTTCAAGGGTCTCAGTACCGTCGATAGAGATTGACGTATGCGTCTGTAGGAATACCAATTGACGTAACGTCCGAATCATCATAGTGTCCAAGTGTCTCGGCCATCGCAGATTTCATCAAACGATTCTTGGCAACTCGTTGAGAATATGGGAACTTCAAGCTATTGGCAAGAGTATTTTTGTCGTAGATCTCTGATTCGTACCGTGCAGCCATCGTGTTATTACCGTAAAAGTATATGAAGATGAATTCTTAGAATAATGAAGAGGTTTTTGCAAGGTATAATAGGATATTCGGACGATTTATATTTCAATTGATTGCCATCCTACCTTTATTCTTATGACTGTGGTCAACCACAAGATTGAATAGCTGATAAGAAAGCTCCCCACCAAGGCTCACAAGATAAATGAAAGAGGCATGTCACTACTGCTGGCTTATTTCTTTTCCACGGAGTTTTTATCGGGGTAAAATAATCGCTGCAAGCTTTTCCTAAAACAATTAAGGAAGAATTAGTCTGACTACTAAAGTAGTCTAGCTTGTTATTAACAATATTTTAATGTATTGTTTTTTATTACTTTGTGTGGGGATGACACTGTGGCTTTTTGAGGATGGTGAATTAGTTCCCGTTAAGAATTCTCAAACTTTCCTCTCAGCCGAGCCATACCATTTTTAACTAGGTACTTTAGCTTCTTTTAATAATAGCTCAAGTACTTCTAGAAATAAGTCTTGAGAACTGCTTCAGTACTTTCTAGTTTATTGCTTAGGTTATTTTGATTGTAATAAAACCGTTAGTTAGCATATAATTAAAACCTAGGGTGTAGGGTAGTCGCAAGTTCTAGTCTAGTTTTATCGCAAAACAAACATACACAGTTGAATTTCTCTGCTCTCTCTATGCCCTAATCCCAAGTCGTTTACTGACCTCTAACAATCACAGCCGCGCGCTGTGCTATACCACCTCTTAAGGCAAGTTAGGCCATACTGCCTAACGTGATGTTTTGTAAATATGTGTATGACTTTCCGGTTCTGATGGCTACTCGGCCTGTCCTTGCTATGCCAAAAGTTTCCAGCCTCTGATGTTAAATACCTTAAGATATAAACCTAAACTTATCCACAAGCACCAACAGTTTATCCTTCCCAGGTCGAAGTTCGTCCCTCAGTAATATGTTATTCAACACAATAATACTTTCCCTTCTATACATTCGTGTTCTTAAGGTGAAGCCACCCTCAGCCCGGTTGTTTTACTAAGAGGTCAGTTAGCTCCGACTCAGTTTACAGGACAAATATTCGGTAGCCAGGTATCTTACACAACCACTAAACCGCAGCTTGCTTTACACAGAAAGCTTCTGAGTAACAAAGGTCGACATAGAATGTACGGCTAGGTACATGTGGCCCCAGACCTACTCAAGTCTCCCATATACATCTTCTTCACTTCTGGCAGTTAATTACTCCCTGTATATAATATTCCGGTGGATACACAACTATTAAGGGTGCGGCTAGATATTAAACAAGTAGTGCTGGCATCTGCTCGTCTATCTAACGGAAGGAGAACACATCTGTAGATAATAGTATATTGATACCATTACTACTGCTAAGGTCCGTGTTATACTCTTCACTGGTCTTCTAAACTAAGGACAGACTGCTCCAACCGAGTTCTAACGTAGGATAAGTTGTAAATAGCTAGAAATGGTCATCCAAGCCCCTCTCAGTTAGAAATAAAATATTCTCCCAGGAGGGTTAGGGAAGGATACTACAGGCCGTACTCTAATGCAGATTTGTAACTTTTAGACTTAAGAATTAATTAACAGCTTTATTAGAGTTTCTTCTATTAGAATATAACTAAAAGACAATAACTAGAATATTAACAAAATAAAGGTTTTACGGTCTAGATTTCTCCCGTACGGTATGTTTACTATACTCCGTCGTACCGACCAACACAGCACTTAGTACTAACCTTCGGATGATTAGGGATCCATATCGGAACTTTGGCTACTTGGACCAGTACTGGAAACCTAGATCTCAAGCCTATCAAAAGTCTTGAATCACTGGCACAAACAGGTGTACTCAATGGTATTTGCTTACAGCCTCACAAAGGGGCTGGCCCGGTCGTTCATCTAATAAGTATTACATCTCCCCGACATGGATCTTGATCTTTGAATTGAGAATTTCGTTGCACAGGTCGTCACAGGTAAGTATATGGAGTCCACAAGCTTTAGTGAGACACATCACCGGCTCAATCTACTACCGCCGTCTTGCATTTGTCAGGACGCCTATCCACCGGCTGCGGAGATGTTCAATAACAGCGCCACATCAACCGAGTCTTTCGATGACAATCCCAACAATACCACTTACAATTGCCAGGTCCGTTCTCACACCTACACGTACGTCAAGCATTCCTACTAGGGCCTCGCCAAAGGTGAGTGAATGCGACTCGCAGGACTACCGATTGGTTCAACACACCTTGCAAAACGGTCGAACGCACGAACTTCAGGACGAACGTCTCGCTCGAAATACAATAGAACCATCCCTTGGTCAAACGGCATAACACAATAATGGATATTGGCCTTAGTCACAGTCACGACATCTCGCCTCGGCCACTTGTCCAACATCATGGAGGCTTCTACCCACGAATTCGACGTAGTCAGCACAGCCATTCGAGTCACCACCCGAAACCTCGCTACAAGATGTTCAGGCTTCCGTAAGAGCTCAACATATGTTAAGCCTCCGATCGCTAGATAGGATAGAGAGCGGTGCTCAAGGAGACACAACCTCAGGATTCACACCGATATCGATGATATACTAGATCAGCACCATGACACAGATATTCCGCCACCCTATCGAATCGAGATCCAGTCACGCGAGTCTGACAATTGGTTTTGGTCAAACGTCTGCATAGCATCACCATCCGGGCGGTCTGGAGATCTCCAGACAAGTACGTCGCGAACCGAGAAGCCGTGGGACAACATCTTCAGTACATTGGGGATTTGGAGAGTGACGGAAAGTCTCATATTGCCAATACCCTCAAGAACGTGTCCACCATCAGATATCAGCAGGACCTTCTACCAATTAATGGCTCGTCCGACATGGCGGCGGCGCAGATTGGTGGGACTGTTCTCTATTTCACTTGTGGGCTAGATACTCATTGTTCTTGCAACAAACAGCTTTCGCGCTTCTCCTAGGCAAAGAAATGGGCGTGGAATCAGAAACCTGTCTCACCAATTGATGAGAATAGCATATTCGGAGTGGTCATCTTCTCCAAAACTCACTGTCACCTCCAGGCGCCCCGCCACTGCCCTGATAAGCCATCGGCGGAATCACAACAGTTGTCTTGATAGGCGACTTCTATTATTCCACACTTGTTCTCGTGAAAAGCCTTCCAGTAGACCAGCCACCAGATCCTGCTTCCACAGCCTCTCTAGAACAGAGTATCATTGTGCACCACCACGGCTACAGCCTGTGGCTTATGTTCACGGCTATAAGAGATAAATCGTGTAAGAAATAATAATATGTCTTTTAAATGTATAGCCTTGATCTCTATACCATCGATTTATTAAATAAGATTTCTATATTAATATAATTTCCTGTTTCCCATGCTTTCTATTAATCGAGACCCTTAATAAACCGCATCGCATGACTGTGGATTACTAGCAGACTTTTTAAAGTCCCTGTCAATCTACATACGGCAGGTTCCGTCCGATTCCCAACTGATGATTCTCCATGTGATTCCGAATGTTCTTTGAGATATGTTATGGCCAACCCCAGGAATAAAGGGAGGTATGGATGCGCCTGACTATATTAATGACTGCTGATAACTGATATTTGTCCGAACTGATTACCTTGAAACATGTAGAGCCTGTTATAGGTTCTGACAAGTCTGCCATCCTTACTGCGGCATCGTAGGCAGTTTCATAATATGCCGCTGTAACCTGATACTGCTTCTCCGTCTTTTGACATACCGCATCGTTCGAGTTCGCGAGAGCTAAGATAGACCCGTTGACAACCATAGCCGTCACAATCTGCATTGGTTCGTCATCCATGTCGGTCGCTTTGCCAGGCTGCTGGCTCACTTGCTTCTCTACAGCTACAGAAAGCCAGTCGTGCCGTACCCAAAACGACCGATCTTCTTTGTCACTAGACGTGGTACCCATCCGCATAAGATTGTGGACGACACAACGTCCGAAGAGTATCATGCTAGTGACAAACCCTGCGAAGAGCGATATAGGTCTTGCACTTAGGTCGTTCAGCGGCTCATCTGGGAAGCCCATGTCGATGTGGTCGTCGTGCTGGAAATTCCTTTCCGGACATGGAAGCCTCACGGATATCTGTCGTCGTCAGTACAAGCGATGAAAGCTGCGAACAAGCAAAGGCATACAATCTCATCATGAATAGTCGGTAAAGATCCTTCACCTGCACTCAAGAAACGATCCAAGCAAAACGCCACCCAAAATGTCCTTCTTCTTTCTTCCACAGCCACGAAGTCAGAGCAGGATAAAAGAGATCCTTTTGTACTAGAGGAATCACCAAGAGCACACAGGTCTGCGGAGTCAGTACGATATAGGCCCGATAGATGTACCAAGCGGAACCCCCGCCGTACCGTTGTCGGGAGTCGAGTTTCGACAGGTGAAAATAGTTCGTAGTGTGCGAGAAGGAGCCATGCTTGAGTTTGCTCGATTTTTATTTCACTGTCAGTCCAAGGCAACCCCAAATCGGAGGCATCGAGATCCTCCGCCAATTGTCTCGCTTTGAGATACAGTTCTTCGCCGTGTGAGCGAAATTGAGAGGACATGGCCGCAGCAAGTGCTCTCATCGCCATTCTTAGGCATTGTCGTGCTGGTGAGATGTCTGTGAGCCTTGCCCAAGACAGATAACGTCGTTTGTGTATCATAGGCAAGAGTGGATGCACCCTATCAAAGTAAAGTTGATCCCTTTACGCAAGTGAAGGGACCTAACATCAGTTCTTCAGTCATTCTCTACACAACTGACCGAGTCTCAGTATAGGATTGGCAACTTACAAATCAAGCTGGATCAAGGGAGGTAGATCCGAGATGATGGACATCTCGCTCATATGCTGTGTGACTTGGGGACTTAAGATTCCAACATCCTGTGATAGCAAGCCATAGTCCCGCCATTCTGTCTCTAGATTAGTATCTGGTAAACTGTCTGATTGTTCTGTCCAGGTGGGCTGCATCAGATCAAACGACATGGTCCAATCTGTTTCAACCAATGGCATCGGCAACATGGTGTCCGTGCTGTTACAGACATCGGTAGTCTCAATTCCTGCTTGGCTACCCAATTGCTGCTCCAACGTGGCTGCGGTCTTGATCAGCACAGTACCTTGGACATAAGGCCTAGTAACAAGGAGACGTAAGTAACACTGACCTACTCGAGCTCGAAGAGCTCTCAGTTGACCCTTTTTAGGTCCCCGTTTGGGTCTGTCGTCCACAAAGGCGCATTCCGTGCCAGACTCGAGACATCCTCCGCAAACAGGACGGCCACGATCACACTTCGATTTCCGACGTCGGCATTCTTCGCATGCAAGTCCGCTCTTCTGCCTGGAGGTATCCGCCATAACGCGTACTGGAGTGAACAAAACTACAGCCCCAAAAAAGGCAGTTCACGGGGAGAGTGACCGTCTTAATACTTTAAATAGGTTATCACGATTATATAAGACCTAAGCTTCTAGTGTAGCAAACTCTATCCCCAGATGGTTAATCTCACCAAGAAAGCACGGTCTGGCGCCATTGCATCCAGCTGTATGTCGATCATCCGCGTATCTGTACCTCGTCAGACGTCGACAGACATAAAGCTTGTTCCATTAAGGTTTTATCAACACACGAATCAGAACAAACCTTTTCGTCTGCCAACTAGTATCTTGGCCATCGTACGAGCTGATCTCTGGGTCTGGGGGTTCGCACGGAGCATTGCCGAGTTAATTACGTGGCATGATCCATGCGGGCGGGCTGATACGAAAGTCGGACACCGATGCTAGATAGTGGAAACATAGTTGTGGTGACTTACCAATCAAAGCCCATGTATTCTTTCATGGACCGGGGCTCGGTACCAGTCTGTTGGAAAAGGAAATAGTTATTCGAGTTTGGAATGTCAGCCTGGCCTGGATGAGACGAATTAGATGTATCTTATCTCGAGACATATAGGTGAACAATCATATTAAATCAGATCAGTTCTGTATTTTAACCAAGATATGGCTGATTTTCCTCGGCATTTAAGTCTTGTATGATTATGTTTAAGCGCATACCATATGAAACAATTAGCGCCCTAGGGCGTCTTGAGCCTCCTTGATTATGGAGGTTCGGGCCGCATTCCCAAATTCCATGCACATAGATAGATTAGTCTGGACCTTTAGGCTGCGCCCGAAGATGCCGCACAACACTGGACACTGTTTCGGAGTAAAGTTTAAAATACGGCAAAGATCGCTATGTTCTTGAGCATCCACTTTGAGTATAGTGGCGGGATTGACCGATGAGCACGGTATGTGGATGGACGGACAGTAACAGGGTTTTCTGAGCTTGGACGATCCGCTCTGAAGAACCTTTTGGACGAGTTACACTCTCTGAACTTGTGAACTTGATGTCCTGAACAACCCTGAGCTGATTGATCAGATTAGCATTAAGCCTGTAGGACTTTTGATGTTTATCTAGCGCCGGCATGTAACTTTGACTAGTATTAAGCACGTCCTCCAGCGTGGTGCCCGGCACTTGGAAAGACGGGGCTGACCACCCCTTTCCAAGTTTAGGTACTTTGTCTCACGAGACTGCAAAAAGTCTATAGGGTATGAATCTTTGATCGCTTCAACCAAGACATGCGAATCAAGGATAGATATTACTATTTGTTCCTGATACTGCATGCATGTACATTAAATCGTTACAAACTTGTCTGCTTATAGTCTAGAGGTCATAGCAAATATGCCTTCTCCATATTCGACGTCGGTCAGATTGTCGCACCTCCGGGCCCGACTGGCAACGAGCCGAAGGGAGTGGTATTGCGGCCATATGCTTAAGTTTTATATTATCAGTCACAGTATGTTGTAATCAAGGGCCTTCGTGACTCCTAAGCACTTTTGGATCTCTGACGGGTTGATGTTACGGCAAGTCTGATTTTCCACTGGAGACCTCATCTCACTCATCCTCTGGAGATGATGGAAACACATAAGGCTACCAACAGCAAGGACTTAGTGCAGAAAGCCTTCACGACAAAGGCATGGCAGCAGTAATCTTTCCAGGTCCTCGATCATTTGCATTTGTATGCAAGAATCCCATGATATTCACTGGCCAAGAATTAAAGAAAAGTAAGGAAAATAGTCAGAAAAACATAAGCCTGGTCTTTCACGGTTGACACCTTAACACAGAATTCAGCACAGTCTAGGACCTTATGTCCCGAAATCCCCCCTGTATCCCATCTGCCGTCATCGATCGCGGTAAGAAATGTAACTGGGCGCAGGTCATCGTAGCGTATCATGACTTCGATAAGCAGTCTTAAAAGGCTCGTGCGGTCGAAGCTCGTACAGCCGTAGCCCCTTCTGGGTAGTCTTGCGAACCACTGACTCTCGGTATTGGTTAAATTGTCTCTGATCTAGAGTACCGTATTGACTGAGGAAGTTCGTTGCGCCCTGTGGATACCGCTGTGGATATGAGACTAGCCAGCTACAGCCCTCAGTGGTTGAAACAGTAAAGAGGGTGGCTTATATCAGCAGGAATTGCCTCTCATACCCGCCTCATATCTAAGCGAATCAGTCGGAGTTTTGGTTAGCTAGTCTATGTATCCATAGTGGTATCCACAGGGCGTGACGAATTTCCTCAGTGAATACGGTATAGAGATTAAGATGTGAAATCTAGAACATTCTAACTTGTAATTGTTGGCTAAGACGAACTTAGCGTCTTCCGAATTCCAGACTTCACATGCTTATTCTCGATGGATCGCCCATTCTCCGTGGATTGAATGCTCGTTGTTTTCATCCATTTTGAAGTGCTTGTCTGCTTCGATCCCGATATCTAATCAGATTCTTGCAAAATGATAGATCGCGGCATTGAGGACCAGCAACACAAGCTATACTTCAAACCGGAATACTTCATAGAATATATACCTCTAAAACGGTAATAATTAGGTTGCCCTATGGATAACACAGTGAGTTTTAACATTATTAGACGCATTAGACGTAATTCCAGATAACACAATAACCAGTCCATTAAAGTCCATACAAAGTTTATTACATTTTACCTTTGGCTCGACCAAGCAGCTGCTGGGAGCGACTTGCGAAATGTTCTATACAATTGAACAATGAGTCGCGTGCATTTTCCACTTGAGATTAGTCAAAGGTGCCTTTGTTTACCGAGGGAAACGTGTAGGTTACTCCGCACAGGGGGACAGATCGCCGCTGTGTGCTCCGTAAACGCTTTTGCATCACGTCAAATGTCACATGGATATCGTACATGACTATGATAGGGCCGAGGATCCTGCGCGCACGGCTCCGTTATTGATAGATCATAAGCAGCATAATCAGCAGGTCACCATACCAAAAAGACATCCTTGTTATTGGCTTGCAACCATGAACAGGGTATAGCGAAGGAAGTCTTACCGCGCAGTATACGAAAAGTCTAAATATCAGATTTCTGTACTAGGAAATGATCAGATCATAACTAAAGGGCTTAGATAATTAGCTTTCTTGCTTGGATAAATAGTAGCTGACCCAAAAGGAGTGTTAGCTTGAGAAAACCGCTCTCAACAGGAGATATGGACATGCTTCTAAATCCGTCGTGTGTCGCCGTGTCTCATCAAACAAGAGCGAAACCTTGTGGAACAGGAACAAAGCCAATGATTTTACGTGGCAGGAGTTCCGAACTAGGAACTTCTACCGCTAGCACAGGATTCAGAGACTGTCGTCCTTGTTCTGGAGATGGAGCCCGAAACCTTATCACTAGTCACTTGATAGATTGGACAGGGTCCCCGTCCAAATCGGATGTACGGCAGTTATTGACTCCACCTACTTGATAGACTCCTGCAGCGGGATGGCACGGTTCATACCTAAGACAATCACTGTAGATCATATCACCTGCTGGGTGTATAGAGCCTGAAATCTTGGTCATAATGGATAAGACTCGAACTGAGCCCCTTGCTCTGCCTGCCACATTCACGAATTGATTCGCGCACCTGCGAGGTGATAAGACTCTCAGCCGCACGCAGGGTGGCTAAATTCGCCACTAGTTGTTACAAGTTAGCAGTTTTCTAAGTTTTGATCCACTGTTTAGTAGATCCTAAGAAATATCTTGGATGCCAATTCACGCTTTGTCAGCGGCAGGTATTATAGGTTGAAGTAAAAGTTCCAGGTTGCTTTTTAACCAAGGTACTAACAACTACCACTAACGAGTTTGCTCACCCTGGACTCTAAGGGGACTAGTCGGAAGGGCCTGTAAGACTGGTCAAAGCGACATGCGAGCTGCCGTTGATGTCACTAAACTTCCATCCTTGGCAGGTATGACATACAAACCGAGTGCTCGGTGTTGTTGCTGCACAATGCATTCAGCCGGCTACAATTAATAAACTATAATTAATTGATTATTCCACGCCGGGTCTTGGTTGCTGAACGCGGAGCTAGTGCCCATCCATCACCAGCTAATTTAGTAAAAGCTCGGTTTTAAGCCGAGTTGATCAAAAGGCCCCCTTGTCACGTCAATGCGGCCCGAAACTTACGGCAACTTGTTTTGTCAAGGTTAATCCCGGTTTCCGACGCTGCAGCTGCAGGAGGGGCCGTTCCAAAGACGTGACGCCTCGCTCCAGAGCCTGATGAATATGCTCTTGTGGGATGACCGGCGTCATGTAACACTGCTTGATATCAGTACATGATGAGCTGCTTTGTGATCCGGATGTATGAGGTCAGTGGGAATTCATGTCTGAAGCCTTGAAACTTGCTGGCCTCGGCGCTAATTCTACTGCTATGGTTAGACCAGAAATTGCCGGGTCTGTCCGCCCGCTGCTCACGATCCAATTACCCATCTTCGCATAACTTACATGCGTCTCAGAATATACCCATGGCTGCGTCGGCGATGCCGGAGATTGGTAGCAGTGTTACCTGTGCCGTGTTTCTCGTCTCTAGTATGGCCGAGGTCTTCCCTTCGTGAAAGCGCGTGCGATGATATGATCTCAGCATTGCAATCTCTAAATGTGAGCGGAAGTTCCGATGCTTCGCAACCAGGTCACGCGATCTATTCGTAGTTCCTCGACCTTCTTATCAAAATCACGTGAGGCCTGGATGCCATCGGGTGTAATATCCTCAAACAGCTTTTCCCCCCTTTGCCTAACAGGTGCCATAGTTAGCCTCGGTCCTGACTGTGACCCCTCCTATTACTGAAGAAGATAGGCTTTCGGCAATGAAATACTCAATGGGACTCTTCGCCATGAACTTCGTTTGAACATTACGTACTCGCTAGAGAGGCATGGGGGACGTGTGCCCTGAGGACCTTTTGTCAAGGGATGAGGAATGATCATGGATTTCATTGATTTCCTTTCAAATCCATCTAACAGAAAATTGCTTTATATGTTCAAAATTGAATCAAGGGGAGAGAAAACTTTCTTCTTATCTGAACGTAGTTTAATTTCTTCATATTCAATCCTTAATTCGCTCACGCAGACGAATACTAATCTTATCGAGGTCCTCAAGCGTGATTTGGAGGTACTTGGTCTTGGCGCGCAGCAGAGAAGGGCAGTCAATCGAAATAAGTTTCTTCTGTGAGAAACTCCCTTTATAGGATAGGGTGTAGCTTATTGATGTCTAGTCACCTTGCTATGTCGCCTATTACTAACCAGGTTGACACAGGTCATGTCGGACTCAGCTAGTCTTCCCGGTTATATTTCTATCGGGATCCAGAGCAGCCACATGGACATGACCAAATTCGCGACTACAGACGCCTTTATATGTTCAATGCCGGCCACAAGTTCAGACTAGTTAGCTATACCAGACCTTAGCGAATGACGATCGAGGAAAGTAGCAACGAGAGCAAAAGGTAAAAGCGAGTCAAGACAGAAGACAAAGAAATTTAAGATGGAATATTATTACACTGATATAGCAAGACTTCAGAACTCAAGTTCACAAAGATTTTGACATGAGACTGAGAGCAAACGTTTTTATCATGGCCGCACCGGCGCTGAAGGGATTTTCTTCTGGCACAGGAATGTTAAAAGTTGGTTGAGGTGAGGGTTCGGTTAACAATAAAGGGGTCTTTATCGACCTGACATGTTACAGCAGGCGCAACAGGACCAACATGGATCGTTTTGCAGGTGTAGGCATTGGCTCAGCTGTAGGCTATAGAACAATGTGGGTTTTGTGGGTTCCAGTGACGGATGTGATGTAAATGACGATCCATAGCAGTGGGGCTCCTATTCGGGGGCATTCGATGGACAACGTGAATACATGGCCAGAAGACTAACTAATGTAAGTAAACGGAAACGATAACAGCCAGAAACGAAAACGGATGACCATGAGAAAGGATGTCACGCCTCATTTTACAAACCAAACGGGGAGCTGTAGTACTTGAGTTATGTGGCTAACTCGCCAAGCTGTTAAATAAGGTTGTCCAATCAATTAATTCTAGCCTTACAAGGGACACCCGGTCTGGCCGGCCAAGATTATATAGTGGAGCTACGGCCGGAACTAAGATTTGCCGAGTGATGAGATAAGATAAGGGGATGACATTTTCCCCCGCTCTCGTCAGGGCAGGCCATACACTCATTAGTGGTCAAGTTCAACATGGCCAACCTCCACCCAAGGGCACCTCCTAGCCCTTCTACCCCTGATAAAATTGCTATCCCTGAGCCTTACAACCACAGCTCCCGGGTAGTCTGCAGACAACTGCGTCAGATTCATAAAGCATGCGGTCAATGGCCTTGGGAGTTACTCCCTGGCCGGATTCCAGAGGTGCTGGATAAAAGCATATTGGAGCCGCTTGTTACGGCTGTTCAATTGACTTCTGATGTTGAATATAGTGTCAGTCTGTCGGAACTGACCGAATGGCTAATGGGTCGGGAGACAGAGGGGATCTTGACATCAACGCATGCCGCTGACGCCTTGAACTGGGTTATATATACCCACGACAAAAGAGCGAGCAGGAGCAGATCCTCTCATCGTGGTAACAGTAAAACCGATGAAGTTTCCCCTCGGATTAGGAAGAGGCAGCACTCAAATGAGGAGGGAACACTTCCACAACTCCCACATCCAGACCCGCAATCACAGCAGAAGAAGCGCGGAGCCAAGACCAGGTCATCTACTACCCACAGTATGACGAAGGCTGATGCTGAAGCTCAATCTGAGTCTCAAACTGAAGCTCCATCTAAGCTTAAATCCGAGCTTGAATTCGAGCCTGAACCTGAGCCCGGGCCTGAGCTTGAGGCTGAGCTTGATCATGCCATGGAGATGGAGATAGATGCAGATAATAGCAATCTCAGTGGCAATGCTGTTGAGGATACCAATCTAAACAAGAAACTCGGCGGAAATGATATCGAAATGGTCAACGTAAGTCATCCACTTCCGTTTCTCTAAGAGCAACTAATCATAGCTCAGGAAGATATTGCAGCCTCTTCTCAACGTCTACGAATGGCTCGCGACAAGGTGAAAGAATATGAGGGCTATTTAAAAACTGAAAAACAGGCCTTCGAGGTAATAAATGCCTCACTATCAGAGGCGTCAGAGGCTCACGAAGCTGCAATCCAGAGATGGAGAGATGCCGTTGTCAAAGCAGACATAAAACAGTATGAACTAAAACAGTTCCAAAATCTCTCCAAGTCATTCTCTCCCGATACACAAGCTGCGTTGGAGCAGCACAGCCAAAGCCTACAACATCTGCACGACCATGCAATTGGGGCAGAAAAAGACGCCGAAGAGAAGCTCCGAATGCACCGTCGTGAATTCTGCATCCTTGAGGAGAAGAGAGATTTAAAGGAGGGCACTATGAAGAAAATATCAGCACGGATTAGGCGATATCAAGACGAGGTTGATGCAGAAGAACTGAGATGTCAAAGGTTGTTGGCAGAGCATTATCTGGAGCTTTTAAGCAACGACATCATACAGGGTATTTCCACTACCGATTTATCATATGCGAGGATTCTTGAGATTAAGTTAGAGCGTGATCAGAGACTTTGGTATATGCAAAGATAGACACTATAATAGGATTTTAGCTGACAGCATACTTTGTGATGTTATATAAGAGAGATTTGGTGGTGAAGGCGCGGGAGTTGTAGAAGTAGTAACACGTCAAATTTCAATTAAACTATTAGTAGGATAACTTCCATGAAGATTTTTATCATGGGTGATATATGTAAGTTGTTGAGGCGGGAGTTGTGTTCCGGGTACGAAGGATATCTGTTCATTCACAAAATTCTTTTTTGTAGAAAAGGCTGAACACAGTGGTTCAAGAGATTCATGACAAGGAGGAAAATATCAACCAGAGCCTCTAGGGAACTTGTGTCTGTCTAAAAGCCTATGTCACTTCCTTTCCACTCCTCCGTCCCAGCTCATCTTGGTCTTTCGTACAAAGGTCGACTTATTTGACCCAACGGATAAAACCATTTAGAGTATTAATTATCGAAAACTTCTCCCCGACACTGTATTCTCCTTTGTCGTAGAATGGTGTATAATTACTACGATCACTCTTGGAAACATCACTATAACCCCAGGCTTGAATGTGAGACTTTTATTGCTCCAAAGTGACTACAGGTCGTTTATTTAGATCTCTCCTAATACTCTCACTAGGATAGAAGTCCATAACTTTGATACAATCAATTGCATTTCATTACTACCTAGGGTAGACCTAACTAAAATCCTGCGAGAACGAAAGCTATGGCAAGTAATGCAGCGAAAAGGTTGTCTATAGATGTGGCAAGTGAAGTCTTGGTCTCTGAATTGGATGCCGACGCATCTACTAACGCGGTAGGAGCCGAGGACTCGGTGGTCGTTGCAAAGTCAGTGGTGAGAAAGCCGGTTTCTGTATTGACTTCTGTCTCGGATGCTGACTCGGCTGCTGTCTCTATTGCTGTTTCTGCTGCTTGTCCATCGCAATTGTCTCTCTTATCCCTTCCACCAAAGCAGCCCCTGCCTGCGTTGTTGCATACGGCATTCCAAGGACAGTACCAGTCACTGTCAATCCCGACGCAGAGCTTCGACGGATGGATCCCGCCGGCGGTCGGGCAACCCTGAGACTGGTGGCACAATACGTATTAGCAGTTGTGCAGATAATAGGGACTTCTTGGATATGCCGATTACAGTATATCCTAATCACTAGGTCGCAATCTTACTTGGGTGACAGCTGCTCCACAGAGCGACTTATCTGAGAGATCGCAGCATTTCTCATCAGACGTGCCACTATTCACACAAGTGGCCGATAAAGGACAACAGCCTCCGGCGCAACACATCGCCCCGCCCGAGCAGCAGCCAGGCTGATTGGGGCATTGAAGCTGAGTGCCAGCTAGGCCACCACAGTTTGATACTGGGTAGGGGTCGACAACCTGCCCACACACAAGGCTGAAGGCTACAATAAGGAGAAAACTGGACAGGCGCATGATGGAAGTTACTGTGGTTGATATTAAGTGATAAATATGCTAGACATTACTGTTCCTTCAAGAGGTTGTGGTGAAGTTAGGTGTTTAAGTAGAATGCACAAGAAGAGGTGCAATGGCATTTCGGCATCCAAAAAAGCAAGGTTGTCTCCCCAGCTAACACACCAACAATCCCTGCCTACACCCATGGTGGACTAAAAGCTCGCTCCTATTTGTCATTTATGAAGCTGAAAAGCGTGGCGTTAGCTTTAGCAAATAGTCTGTAGAGCTGAAAGATAATAACCCAGCCATGTAACTACATAATGTAACAAATCCCAGCCGCCAGTCCGGCTCCAATTTACCTTAAACCATAGTAAGCAGTGAGGTCGGGGATCATCCTTTTCTTTACCATAGTCGTATTCGTCTTCTTATCTAGCTTCAGTTAGCTGTTTCTCCAGCTCAGCGACCAATGCATCTTCAAAGCCATCCCTTGTGAAATACCCCGCAGCACTAGGTTTCTCTCGCTTGGGAATAACACAACTATGTTTCTCTCTTAATCAGTAGTATGAAATCTTAATATCCACATTAAACATTACCTTTAATCAGGTTCCCATCACCACGTTGTTTGTGGGGATAAGCGGAAATAGTCCATCGTGGAACTCAACCCTTTCAATGCTTGCAGTCCGCACCTGAAACGACTACTGACTGTAGCATATATTATACGGATACTCTCGCTCAGCCTAAGCTGCGTCGGACCCGATCCCTACTACAGTATGAATTCTTGATAACGGGGGAAAGCAGAACGTATCCGAGCCACTACTAATGCACAGAGGATAAGAAAGAAACTCTTCCCTACGTTCTGTCTACCGAGATCTCCGCCTCCACAGTAGAAGCATCCGCCCCTATTGAATCCCCACTTGAAATTGGAGGCTTCATCTTCTTTACTTTGCTTTTCCCCTTCAACGCCTGCTTTGCCATTTCCCTTTTATTTGCCCCTGCCGCCCATTCTTGCAACTTCTCAGGGTGACAGACACAGTATAGAGCAATCTCCCTGGCAGCCATTGTGTCCTCTAACGCGCTGTGTTTGTTTGAACCCGCACGGATACGTAAGCTGAAAAGGTCTTCGCATAACGACTGAAGACTCCAGTTCCTTCCACCAATTCGTTCATCCCCAAATACCGCATTATTGGTAAGAATCATGGTGTCAAAAACTGTTGTATGACATACCCGCAAGACCCTCATGTCGTTTTGGACCGCGTGGCCTATGATTACTGTGTTGCTGTCGATATGGGTAAACAGCTCTTTACGAGTTTCTCGCCATCCTTTCAGAGTCTGACCCTGGCTCAAGGCCGTATTCAATCTCTTCCTTGTGATGCCGTGTGTTCTACTTCGATGCTGGACGATGACTTCGTGCGGTTTCACAAGTTTGTTCATGAGGACTTCCCCACTGAAGAAATCGACAACGCAGATTGAGACAGCTTCATCCGTGTCGCAATCACTGTATGCCATCTCGCAATCGAGAACGATCACCTTTCGCTTGGATGCGAGAGGTTCCGATTCGGGAGAACAGACGGTCTTCTTCAGAACGTAAATTTCTTTCGCAATCGTGCTGGTGACTGGTGAGAAGTCTTGCGGCATAGGAAAACCGGCACTCTCAAGGGACTTCATCGAGTGGCATCGGCTAATCAGCCGATTATGGATGACATCTGGGTCAAGAAGCTGGAATCCCTTGTACTTTTTGTCTCCGAATTGATAGGGCTTCAAGCACCGAGGCGATGTGGTGGTATTGATGTTATTAGGCTTGGAAGGAAGAGCGGCATCAGTTCCGTCGGGCTGGGGACTTTTATACTGCTGCATTTGATCCACCGCACGTTGACTGTAAAACCTTTGTGCCCATCGTGCGCAGTACGGGCTAGTTTGACGTCGAACCAAAAAAAGAGTGGCAAAAAGAGCAGGGGGGGTTCCAAACTCGGAGTGGAATCTATTAAGAAACCGATGCTTTGACAAGTTTCTCATCATGTCGCGCGTGTGCTTATAAGTTAGTGGAGAAGTATGGAATGGAACACATTGCAAAAATCCACTTCTGTGAAGAGGACTGGATATTATCGGGAATAGCAAGGGAACTGGGCTTCGGGCCGTGCTCGTCCGGAGGACTAATCTTGCTTATCTAATCAGTAAATCTATCTTGATTGGTTGACCGACTACATCTAGGGTAGGGAAAAAATGAAGTAAGGGTTGGGGATGTTAACGAAAGATCGGGTCAAGTTAGCAATGAAAAAGTATCCAATGCAAATACCAGTGCGGAGTCACTTTTTACTCGACTTATGAGACATGACATATGAGTCTCGTTTATCTTATTCGGTAAGCAGTGGTGGACTAGTACATAAACACAGACCCAGTAATACTACAGTAGAAGAACTAAATGTTTGAATTAAAGACCTCTATTCGCAGTCTGTAATTATTATTCACAGTGCTGACCACTAAGTTAAAGAACCTCCATTCTTCCATTGACCACAAGGACCGTCACTCAAGATCCAACTGCCGGCGGGTGAGGTTTGCTTTGTGAAAACGTAGCTTGCAAGGTTGCGCTGGCGGCCATCACTGCAGATCGAAACACCGTTCGCCAAGTAGGCATAACATGATGAAAGGCTACCAGGTTGTATGTAGCTGGCATAACACCATGAACGCGCTTCACAAACCTGACAGCATTGAACGGCAGATAGGCCATATCCAGCGAGAGACTTGTAATAAGCAGTTGTTAAAAAGTTAGCTGAGCTTATCAAACCCCCTCTATTGGCACCGCTGATAATGTTACCTCTAGCGCAGATGGCATATGCAGTGGCCGAGGGAGTCTGAATCTCCACAGTCACTTAAGTAAATGGTCAGCGCTTATTGTTCTAAACAAGCTAAGTGCTTTTGAGCTTGAGCTTACCAGTCTGAACAACAGTAGAAGTAGACGTAACATCAGTGACGATTGTTGTCGTAGGATAAACGGTAGTAGTAGAAGTGGTTTTGGCGTTGGCTGGATATTCCGTCGATATAGAAGTTGTAGATGAGGTAACCACCTTGGTCTTTGTCGCACCTTTAAGAGTCCTGCGTGCTCCCTGGACTGTCGTGCTGATAGTCTTGGTAGTATAAGAAGGGATTTCTTTGATGCTGCCAACACTCTGAGGTAATTCGCCGACGGGTGCTTGAATATCAGCCTCGATATTTCTCTCTTCTATAGCTCGCTACCTAGCCTCATATAAAGGGTCGTCGTGGATCGACGTAAAGCCAGCGGGTGCTGGGATTGTTGATGTGATAAATTTAGTAGTAGTTGTGGATGACAAGCTCCTGGTGCCTGTCCAGATAGTTCGAGTGATAAATGTCGTAGACTCGGCTGCAACGGAGATTGTTAATTATCCTCAATCAATGCCGAAATTATCGCTTTCGCATATATTTTTGAGTCACAGGTCACGGTGGACCAAGCTGTATCCGTCTGTTGATCAGTAGTTGTAACAACGGTGTCCGTCTCTGTAATTCGGACAGTGGAGGTCTTGGGTGCTGGAACAACAATTACGTTGACCTTGTGAATGACCTTGCGAATTATCGCGATATGCTTGGCGACGGTGGTAGTTGAAGTAGGGACATTCTTCACAGTCTTAGTGCCAAGGATAGTAGAGCAAGTAGGTATGGACACAGCAAGGGCCTCTGCGCCAAGCGCGAGAATAACAAAAAGAGACTTGATAGCGACCATATTGTGCTTGATCAATCTTGAAGGAGGATCTCATTACGCCCAGGTCAGGACTGAAACCGGGCTTTAAATATCCTATTTCACAGCTGGCAAGATGAGCAGTCAATGTCAAAGGTCCGTGGGATCCTATCGGAAGACACTGTCTCTGTCAACTTTGCACGAAAAGGTGTCCAGGTTAGTCTACAGCGTGTTGGATACAATGGAGCAGGCTTCCATCTCCGTCATTACGCGACTTGTCTTACACTACGTTCGGGCAAGTGTAGCGCAATGGTGCTTGTCGCGGCTACAAGGGTGGGCTTGGGTGATATATTGTCTGCGGAATTAACTATCAGCCACTAAAGTTAAAGACCTATTTATAATATAATACTAGACAATTCTTAAGATCTACAACTTAATATTCTTTCCTAAAATACTCTCTGCAACCGAAGATACCCTGTTTAATGGATTGTCTACCATTTTCTCGCAGCGCCAAGCTACAGAGTGATCCGGGCGGCGTACAAGAACGACTCCATCTTCGCCTACCCCACGCACTTTGGCCCAATCGCAATAACAATCCATCTAATCACAGTGAAAGCCTATCGAGTAGCCCCTCATGTTGATGTTCTCCATAGCAGTGATATCTTTGGCCGCTGAGATCCAAAGTTTACCACCAATGCCGGTGAATAGGACAAAGTCGCCTTGACCAACAAGGTCCAAAGTCGAAATGCGCTTGGAGAGGGCATCGGCAGCCAATCAGACGTGAGGCAAATGATAGCCTGGATATGTAGTAAGTTTGACCTTTCGTGTCGCGTTGAGCTGGCTAAATTCGGGCTCTTGATCCCCAGCCTCCACTACTAGCGCTGTTGATCCAGTATTGGCGTAGACCTGATACATCTGGATGCCCAAGGCCTGGACTTCATCTTCAGTGGCCTCGATAGCGTCTCGAAGCGCAAGTCGCTTCTCAACACCTTCTGGTATAGCCTACAGCTGACCAGCCTGAGGCCTCAGTATTTAGAACCCAGTCGAGGCTCCCCGGTCTGTGAGCGATGAACTTTGAGAGATCAGCTCGGATGTGAACGTTGAAGGCGGTGTTGATTTATCGGCCAATGACGGGGATACCAAGCTGACCTAGGACGACGCTGCGGGCACCGTCGGCCCCGATAACCAGACGTCACTATGTACTCCTCGTCTGTGTCACGATTTCTCAAGGTAGTCCTGACACGATGATTGTCCTATTCAAATTTGATGAATTCTGTGTGTAAGTTACACCAACGCGCTCTTCAAGTACCCTTTTCCTCCTGACCCGGTTTTAAGAATAGTCGCTCACGGCGAGATACCACATCGAGAATTTTCAAATATTAATATCTTGGTATTCCCTCTCTGTATAGTATTCACTGTTGGACAGGGTCTGAAAAGAGTTTAAAAGCAAAGGAAATTATATAAGAGTGACTGAAAATTGATACATTTCTAATAAATACTGAAAAAGAACTAATGAATGCTGAAGAGAATACTACAGTAGTATAGATACATATATATATTTATATCTAAGTTCTATTTACCGGCTGCAGATAAAGATTGCCATTAACCTTTGTAGATAGTGTCCCATTAGCATTAAACATATTAGTCAAGACGTCAATTGCTAGGTGGAAGCCGTCTGAGCTAGTCCTCTTAGTATTCACAGCTTGTCCTACAGTCTGGACAAGATCTGAATACCAATCGATTAGGGTCAGGGTCGCGGAACCGCTCCTAGTCTGAACGCTTTCCGTTCCAGTAAGGAAAGACATGCCGTCATCTGTGAAGTTGAAATACTCAACGCTCACATTGTTGGTTGCCTTTGTCGTCATATCGTCCCCGATGATAACCCTGGCAAAACCATCTACTTTGCCTCGAAGCGTGTAATTACCCGGAGCGGGTTGAGGACGCGCCGTGCTCTTGCTACCCTGGACATATGGTTTGCCCCAAGGAACCATGTTGGAAGCAGGCTGAACAGCGATTCGTGCGTGTGGTTTCCGGCTCGTAAGCGTTGCCACAACAGCGCGGTAAGCAGCTTGTCCGGGCTCCTTGGATGTGTAGCACGGAAGAGGGTTTTGTCCACCACACGCAGGCGCCAGAGTGATTTCCTCCCACCAAACAATTTGCGTTCCATCAGGCGACCATCTGGGGTCAGCTCTAGCATTCCACTCGGGGTCGTTATAATCGCCACTCCCAGCAACTCCAGATCCTTGGTCATCAAGTCTCTGGCCATAGTAGTCTCCTCGATCTCCATATCTATCGAGGAGATATGGGCGAAAAAACCTTCTGCGGCCGTTATTACGGGTAGCAGAGGTCACTGATGTGCTTACCAAGTCGGTGATTGGGGGTATATTACGCATGCCAGACACCCACATCTGACGATCGGTTCCGCGAGTATCCATCGCGACGAACCATTGATTATTAGGGGAAAAGTCCAAAGGGTCGATGTACTCAGGGTGACTTGTCAGGCGACGAGTAGCTCCAGTGCCAAGGTCAACCGCGTACGCATCGATGTTTGATGACTCGGTTGGATAGCCCACGTAAGTAACCTCTTTACCATCACCACTGAATCCCCTGAGTTCTCCGACTGAGATAGCCTGAGGATTAATGATCAAGGTATCTTCGTGGACCTCAATTGGTTGTGTGTCCTCAGGATCAAAAAGTATTGTAACGTCGACAAGGTCATAGCGAGGGCTAAGTGGTAGACCAGTCTCGGGTGATGGGTTATAGCTCAGCTTAGAGAAATACGCATTCTGACCCAGTTTGCCATTGACCTGGGTAAAGGAATTGAAACCCAAATGAAGACCGTCGGGGTGGATTCGTAGTTCTCTGATAGCACCACCGGCACCGGAGCCGTCCGGGCTAGTATTCCAACGAATAGAGTACCATTTCGCAACCTTGGGTGTGCACTGTGGATCAACTAGATTATGTTTTCCGCAGTCGAGAATGGAAGATCCGCCGAGCGCTCTCTTTCCATCAGGGAATGCCTGGGGATAATCAAGCTCCTCGGTCTTCTCTCGGTAGACCCCACAGCTTAAGCATTTCCATGCGTCTCCGTTGGGGAACTTGTCTCTCCCCGTTTTGATAGCGATGAGCTGGGTTCCGTTGTAAATGCTGGCAGGGTTTGGGGCTACAGGTGCGCCAATAAAAGTTACTTGAGCAAGTATGTGCTTTCCATCAGGTAAGAAACTGCCAGTTACGAAGGGTTTCGTTCTTGCAATGCAGCCTGTTCCCATGGGATTGACTTTAGAGTCACAGGCACCAGGAACGGCATCGTCAGCAATGACCGGTGGTAGAGTCAAAGTCTGAAGCTTGATGGGTTCAGGCTTGGGAGGTGCTGGAAGCGTCTGCTTGGATGTTTGCTGAGGGGCAGATGGGAGAGCGTGAGATGCTTCACCAAAGAGCAGTACAAGGGCTGAGATTTGGACTCTCATAGTGCAGTGTTGAAGAGTGTTAGAGGTGGTGGGTGTAGTAAAAGACTTTGGCCATAGAGCTCTTATATACCAAGACACCCCTTGCGTGTTGTATGAAGATGAGAAGTGGCTCTACTCATTTGATACTACGACTATCTACTGCGCCTGACGGATTATGTTTGAGGCGGATGTTAAAAGTGTGTAAAAAGGCAAATTTACAGTCTTGCGCCAATACGCGTAAAGATTGTCACCTTTCTAGGTAATTTTCTACCGACTGGAGCTAAGGCATTTCACCGCCACTCTATAAACTCTATACCCTTGCATACTGTTCCTACACTATACAAAAGCTGATAATACTATCACTAGCCTTTTTTAAGTGAATAATTCCTAAATAGGCTTATTCAGCCTTTAAATAATATCTTTTGTATAGTATCTCTTAAGTATAAAACCTTACTTTTACTAACCCAAAAGAATTAAATAAGTCTCCAAAGTAAAACTTCAATCTCTGTACACCTGAGCCCCTGAATTTTCCCCGGTGGATCCCGATTTCCTGTTGGCCCCAATTTAACTCGGCAGTAGTGAACATATGATGCTCAATGCTGTATCCCTTGTCCGCCGTCAATATCCACTTTGTGCAATAGAAGACTTTTATAAAGAGAAAATTCAATATCAGTTTCTCCATCTTTATGACCGAGTGATGCCGAGCAGGAATCATTCATATGACTTGTCATTCTCCACTATTTTCCCGTGGCAAACCAAGAAAGATTCTCGGAGAAACAACCTAGTTAGCAGCCTACCACTCTCCGCAATGGACGAATACGCGTACCGCGCTAGCGGAGACCAGTTAGTGGTAACACAGGACAACACAGAGAATTGGATAGATTACCCGATAGATCGTACTACTGTAATCCTGGGACACATGTAATTGGCCCTGATCTAACCGATACGAACGGGTCAATCGATACGGGGCATAGATACTTAGCAGGGTGCCAAGTTTAGGAAAGTACCCCAAATCGGGTAAGAAATGTCACGCTTATTCAGAATTAACGGCAGAATAAGCAGGCACCTACGGATAAAATCTATACAAATAGGGCACTTTTTAGTTCTATTTATTTATAACCTTTCCTAAACAGGTTTACAGCAATAAAGGTATAAAGCCCCGAATCGGTTCTTCACAAACGTGTAATTTCTTACCACATCCTGGCCTAAATAGGAAATCGGTGTCCCGTATCGGTTGAAGTGTGACCCGTTCGTATCGGTTGGATCACGGCCTTATTAGTAAAGATGGAGCAGTGATTTTCTAAGATTGAAGCCGCTAACCCTATTACAGGAGGGTTTTAATTACTTTTTTTCTCTACCGTCGTGTTCAGAATTTCTGAGTGTCTTACAGTATTAGTGAACATCGAGTTTCTTACGGAGAATAAAGGTCTTCGTATCTTTAGTCCCTAATAAATGGCTTCTAGCTATGTCATACCCATGGCGATGGGCGAAGCTTCTATGGTGGATCTAGGTACTGTCTATACGCCTAAGATCGGAACAAGTTCAAGAGACCGAGTAGGAAACCACACGCCCTTCGAAGCTAGATGAGGCAACCCTCAGCTTTTGTAAGCTATTCCCATATACTCAGTAGAAGATATCAGACCATCTTTACTCAAATTATATCTAGTGTAAAGATTGATCGTAGCGGGAATAGGAACTATAGGCATATGTAGAAACCGTCAAGTCGACACTTGGGTTAAATCGACCAACTCATAATTACGCATAACAACGAGCTTGTCCCTACTAAGTTGTTAGGTAATCAGGAATGCATTGTGATCGCCGTCATCGTTTCTAACTACCTTCTAGATTCCTTAGATACCCTGAATTTTTTCCCACGCTTGGCATCACCGGGAAGAATACCGGATGCAGGGATTAAACCCAAAATATCCATCTAAACCAAGTTGGCTCTTAGCTGAAAGGTGGCGGGCCTTACCCCTAACAGAGTTTTGGTTGATATTGTAAGGAGGCTGGGCTCTAAAGTTACTCCGTGGAGAAGAAGTCTAATAACATTACATAAATGTTCATAGAAGAACGATTGTAGGGACTATTCAGGAGTCCAGGTAGCAAGGATAAACTAATGGTGGTAGGCTTCTCAAAATGCATTGATTCGAGTGCCTGATTCTCTAATGATTGAGAAAAGGGAAACTAACCGGAATCAGCCGACAGTTAATCATATCTATCTTGTTCGAGATCTAGGTCGACAAGCTTGACCCCAGAGTAAGCTAGTGATCAAGAACCTTATGCGGGGGAGGGGGAGGGGGGATATGCTCTCGTGCTCAGCGCTAGGGAAGCATGGGCGCTACGTAGTAGGGCTTTGTCTAATAGTGACACAATCGCATATCTCTCAGCTTGCAACTCATACGTATGAACTGTCTAATAGGAGATCAGTTGATGGCTCTATGGACTCAATATCTCTACTTTAAAGTTACAGAGGCATATCTATCCCAGTCTGGCTCAATATCTTGAACCAATGCTTCGTAGACGTATCTGATGACGCCTTGTCATACTCCGACCACACTGTTTTAACAAGCCGCAACAAGCTGTCGCTGGCTTTATATGGCAAAGCCTGTCGAATCATGCTAAGTCTCGACCATACTAGACGTCTCGCCTTAGCGACTTTCAAGATAGATTGTGGGATGAATGACGTTAAGTTCTCTGCGCTGTCAGATAGACATGGCTGTGTTGGATCTAGTAAACTCCAGTCTGATTTGGACAGAAAAAGATCTGATGCGTCATTCCTGACTCCCTCAGCAATTCCTGGCCCATAAAAATCAGATTGTTTGTTAAACTTGAGACCCACAGCCGCAGAAAGGTACAGCATGGGATGGATAAACTTTGAGCCTGATGCAGTTGGGATCTTCTCAAGTGTGGCTGTAAGCTGTAGAGCCAAATCAACAAGACATTTTGCCCGAGACTCTTTATCTGTTGGATTATTCGTGCCAGTTGACCCCCCAGTCGTGTTGACGACAAGATCATCGAACGTCAGATACAGCTGCAACAGCCCAGCCTTTCTATATGCCTCGGCTGTCTGTAGTAGATGTGACACAGGCGTGTTATCATCCCTCGTGTCGACAAGATAACCTTGCACCTCTTCCAAAAGCACAATCGTATCGAAGTCCATACTCAGAAGTTCATTCTCAAGCTCATGCGCGACTGCGAGATCACAAAGCGCCCTGCTAGTTGTATCAAGAGTAAGATTTGTCTGTTCCTGGTTGTACTCGCAAGCGCTTTGACAGAGAGCCAAAACTTGACCGAAAGTCTCAACCACCTCGTTCGAAATCCCACACCAAGAATTTGGAAGTGTTCCGAGTGGCTTGAGACTCGAAGATATCACTGAATCTCCATCTCCTGTAAATTCGAGGGGATCGGCTTCCAGGAGCATTGCTCGACGAAGCCTGCTCTGATATTTTCGACGCCGCCTTTCGACATTGCAGGGATTTGAACCATGGCCAACAACGGTGAGAAGCATTTCCCAATAGACCAACGCCTGGCGAAAGTAGGCGTGTAGTAAAGAATCAGTTGTAGATATCTTGTCGCTCCATACAGAGAGTAGTTCACGGCATGATTCCAGCCAATGAAGATCTAAGTTCACAGCACCAACCCAGTGTGACGAGGTTCCCATGGCTAAGACGGCAAAGACTAAATCTGCCGTGACTTGATGTAATCTTGAGTTTCGTACTCGAGAAATCCCCTGGTTGATGGAAATAGTAGCTTGTTTCCGTAATGATGCTAGACTTTGGCTGAGGTGCGGCATGCTATCCGAGAGGCATACAGCGGACATGACCTGCATCGCATAGAAGACGGGCTCAGACGTAGCCCACGAGTTCCGAGCCAATGAGCGGTTGTTATTAACGTCAGAGTCGAAAGTGGACCGCACTGGACAAATGTGCTGGAACCAGTATTCGATCAGGGTTGTTGACATGTGAGCTGGTGCATGTATAATGCTGAGACTGGTGGCTGTAAGAAGATCATGCTGGCTATTGAAAGTGTCGGCTTCTTCCAGGCCAGTAAATGAGTTCCATAGAGGCTCCCCAACATTCTCTGCTCCAAGTTCCAAGTCCTCCGTTGCGTTCCAGGTTATTGGAACCTCCGTAAGCCAGGTCAAGTCATAGCCGTTGTCGAAAGAGACTTGTTCATCTATCGAAGATTCCTGAGAATTTTGGAAGTTAGTTAATTGGCCTTGGGCACTTCTTGTGTCTTCCTTCTGGGTTCTTTCGGCAGCTGATATAGATTGATGCGATTGCTCATCAATCTCAAAGACCGTCTCTTGGAAGGCTAATGTCCCCGCCTGCTGATGCTTTTGTAACCATCGTAGTTGCTGCTGATAGCCAGGACATGGATAATCGAGTTTGATACAATTCTCGCAGCTGGGTCGTTTCTCGTCACACTTAATCTATGGCAGAGTTTAGCTTTGAGATAAGGTTCGAACTGCTGGTGTCGCGACTCACTCGTCTAGATTTGCACTTAACGCAGCCGTTTCTCGATTTCGTCACTCTTTTACGCGTGCGCTTCACCTTGAGCATGTTTGTCTGCGAAGAGGAACTTTGCGAATCCATGGAATCGATATAAAGAGTTGATGGGAGAGTTGAAGAACCCCACAAAATTCTTCAATGAGGGGACCTCATGGTAGATGAGAGAATCACGTGATAGGTTTAGGGATTTGTTAGCAAAATAGAGGTCCATTATATGACGTCGCTCTTACAGCAACAGGAAAGAATATGTGATACTTTTGGGTCTTGTTCTCTTATTACTTTTCAATTGGACTGTCTGATATACTTCCCTCAAGAGATGGAAGTATGACCTGTTCTAATCTTTTCACCGTCGCTCTCTCCCTGTCGCTGAGGCCTGTCTTCCCTCACCCAAATTTATGTTTGAGCACACGCAGTCTGCTAAAGTACGAATCCTTATCAACGTATGTCCCCCTTAGCCATCTTGGCTTTCCAACATCCGCCATATCAAAGGCTCTCCTTGAGTGCAGCGTCCTCGTATTGTCAAACAGGACACAATCTCCCGAGTTCATCTTGCGCTCGTACAAGTACTCCGAGCGCTGCAGCAAAGCGTTGAACTCAGACGCAGCCTCGTGCCATGCTTCTACTTTGTTATTCAGCATCAATAGAGGAGACTGGCTAGTTCCATCCTGGAGGATGGGATCTTGATGATTGGAGAAGGGTGCAAGGAACGGGGGTCCCCAGTTGATCTTCAGCATGTGATCCACAAGCACAGCATCACTCCATCCAGATCCGCCATTCTTCAGGCTGATTTGATGGTAGTCCTTGGCATATTCATGAACACTTGTGTAAGCCTTATCACCGATTCGGAGCGGTCGGAGGTCAATGACCGTCTTCGTGGTGCGGTACACGTTATCATTGGGATGGTTATAATGATAGTTGACGGGAATTGTAGCAAGTGTCTCGAACGCTTTGGGGTCGGAGTAGTACAGATCCACGGCAGATTTGTAGGCATCGGCGAAGACACTGGCTCCCCCTTTGGATGCAGATTGAACACAGTGGAGCAGCTGGACGTGTGGTGGGTTTTGGAAGTATAGCAGGTCGGTGTGGAATCCTAGATCAGCAGATGTGTATGCAGCGTTGATTGCTTGTGGAACTGTGCGAACTTTTCATGTATTAGTTGAGGCTTGCATGCTGAGTCTTCCCATCTACTTACCATCCCAGGTATGGCCATAGAAAGTGTCCTGGACAGGACCGATGCGGGTCGCTATCGTCGCCAGCGACTCCACCTTGCCAGGGACATTTGTAACAAAGGCTAGTCCGTCAGTTCTAAGCTGATGGATGAGCTTGTAGACCTCTCTATCATCCTTCATGTACTCGTTGTAGTCGAAGTCTTGCAGGTTTGGGAGAGGATCTTTGTTCCATAGAATTTGTGCGTCATGGGAGTCTCTACTGAAACCAGGAAGAGAGCCAGACTGGTCGAGTTCCCGCAAAGCTGCCACACTTATCTGCGTCGTGTGGTCTTCACCAAAGCCAGGAGCATCGTTCTCCCATTTGATGTTCACCGACTCGGAAGCGCTATCAATTTCGATGGAGCGGGCTTGGATGTTGGCTGGGATGTCGGCGGCCGAGAAGAGTCGTTGGTTGGATGATTCGTGGACGCATGATGGACATTGGCAGGAATCGCGTAAGAGGATGGAGGAGAACTCAAGATTCTTTCCATCGACTGTGATTGGGGTTCGTGATCGCTTCTTGCTTTGGACAGCAGAGTAGGAGCGGCACGCAAGAGTCGCGTTTGTTGACTGAATAGGGGTTTTCAGGGGTGACTTGATGGTGACCTGTCAGTATCCATACTTCTAACGCAAGCAATCTCGGGCTCTGCATACCTTTGCTGTGGCTCTCTGATTGGCTACAATCCTGTTGTTGAATGGCCTGTGGGAGGTCGAGAGTAGCCGTTGGGCCGCAGGTAGACGGGGCTGTATCACCCACGTTTTTGGAAGCCTAGTAATAGCATGCATGGTTGTATTTGCGTCGATATTGTGATCAAAGAATTGTGAACATGCCAGTCTCTTGTAGCACCGTCATGGCTATTAGTATTAGACAAGCAGTTGAGCCGAAGATCAGACCGTTCTCCCGCGATGTCATTGTGGGGATCAAGGATACAGTCTTTGACTCAATTTGTAAGTATTTCACGGAGCGGCGAGCACGCCGAGCAGCCAAGTTTGTGCAGCATTCTCGGGGCGTAATCCTTTTCCATTTCTGAGACCGCAATTGAAGCTTCACGTTACACTTTTGGACACAACTCACGCAACATGAGCACTAATGAGATTCCCAAGACATAAACATCTCGTAATATTTTCCCCTTTACTGTAATTGTCGCAACGGGTTTTTGTTATAAGCTAATACGAACTTGGTCAAAAAATACGAAGTGTGTCATGTAAGCGCGGACAAGTCTTTATCGTTGGCTACCCTGTATCTCCCCGCACCACATTTTGGATGAGTAATCGTATTTTACTGCCGTAAATGGTTAAGCGCGCCTGGGATGGTGAGAATGGTGGCTATATTGATGGTGAGCCCAATAAGGGTCATAGTACAGATATACAAGTAATTTTCTGCTTTTGCTAACTGTCTGAAAAGCACCTTTTCCCCTTAGTTATCTAGAGATATTTTATTGATTTCCATTGCCATCAGACCACACTATGACTCCCTCCGCGCACGTTCAAGAGGAACCTCAGAACCACGGAAAGACACCCTTGCAATTAATCTCACAGGGTACTTGTCTTCCTGGAATTCCAAAGCATCCCACATTTGCCGCTCAAAGACAATGGCAACTGGAAAAGATGGCATTGGCCTTCCGTGTGTTTGCACGATTGGGATACACAGATGGTATGGCTGGTCATATCTCCGTTCGAGACCCAGAGAACCCACACACATTCTGGACAGTAAGTGAATCTGGAACCAAGTGCGACAACCACTCACTGATTACAGAATCCTCTGGCGGTACATTTTGCTATGTTGAAGGCCAGCGATATGATCCTCGTCAACTACGAGGGTGTTCCCATCGGAGGTAACAAACCTATTCCGGGCTTTCAACGAGTAATACTAAGGCTTCACTGTAAGGCAACATGAGACGACCAGCGAACGCTGCAGGATTCCTGATCCATAGCGCCGTCCACAAGGCTCGACCAGATGTTATCGCCGCATGCCACACCCACAGCATTCACGGCATGGCCTGGAGTGTTTTCGGTAAACCTATAGAAATGATTACACAAGATGCTGCTTACCTTTACGGTGATGCCCAAGCTGTTCACCATGTCAGTGCCCCTCTCCTTCCCGCTCAGTCATCTTTTCCTAATAATGTATAGGATTTTGGCGGTGTTGTTGTCACTGCCGAAGAAGGCGACAAGATTGGCGCTGCTCTAGGTACGTGTGACGTTTCATGCCCTTAGTCATCACTTCTAACGCATCGCAGGACCAAAGGGCAAAGCTATGATCCTTCAGAACCACGGTCTTCTCACAGTTGGCACAACGGTTGATGAGGCTTGTTTCCTCATGACTCTCATGGAGCGAGCTAGCCAATGCCAGTTGCTTGCCGAAGCTGCGGAAGCAAATGGACTCAAGAAGGTTCTCATCTCCGACGAGAGTGCAAAGTACACCTTCGAGAACTCGAGTGACCCCGAGACACTATACTGGGAGGGTCAACCTGACCTTGAGTACGAGGAGTACATGTGTAAGGGAGAGCATAAGCTATAAAGTATGCAGTCCACATCATATCCCAGCATACAATCCAGGCTGCCAATCTCCTCTGCTGCGAGTAGAAATAATGAGCTTCAAAGCACATTGAAACAGACCAAAGAAAATAGTTGAACAGTCGTCTGTCAATAATTCGGAAAATGTCTCAAGTTGGTATCTTAGTCTCCTTCAGAGGTGTTCAGTGTGGTGCCCGTGGCTATTTCCCGCGTATTGATTGGTACGATTTACCAGGCCACAACGCTGGAAAGAGCCTGCAAGGCAGAATCATCTGAGATCCGTGGTCAAAGTACAAATAAAATACCAAGGAAACAGTCAAACACTTTCAATTGATATATTCCAGATAAACTCTCGGCCCTACCAGAACTATTCAGTGACATGGTTTCTTCAACTAGAAAAGACCCTCAAATTGTATAGTAACTTAGGGTATCACTGAGGCTCGCTACCCGGTATGTAGGCACAAGGGTGAGCTATTTGTGGTGTCGACAGCCAGCACATCAACAGGCCTGAAGTAAGTCAGAAGCTATTCACTATATAATGGATGATCATATTAAGAAAGCTAATGATCGGCCGCATCTTGATCGTTTGCCTATTTACGCTAGTGTGCGCTTGCTGCCTTCTTGTTGGCAACGGAATAGATAGTTCCCTTTCCTTCTTTTGCCAACAATGTGCAATGTGGTCTACGCCTCATATCCGAGTGTAACGTAGCTTCGAAAGTCAAATACATTGAGCCCGACTTGGTTTCGAATCCGGCTATACTAGGCGAGGCAGATGTCGTGCCAGGCACGGTGATGAAGCCGAGATTAGGTCTAAATTAACATACTTCGGACAGGAATTTAGACAAGTATAGGCTTATAAGGTATGATTAAAACCTTCCCGATCAATCCAGCCTCCGAACGTGGTTCCAGAGGTACTCCAAGTTGCTGTAGCGTAACGGGTAAAGGCTTAGAGCCAGCCGTGACCAATTCATCCAGGACCGTCCGAACATAGTTCCACATCGTGGTGGGGACAATGACGGTAATTCTATTCTGCCCAACCTTCAAGTGAGTGCCAATATCAACCATAGCATTGGTGATATCGATTGCAGCAATCTGGTGGCCGTTCACAATCACTTTGATTGAATCCACGACCCTAGAAAAGGAGATGTATGCACCCAAAGAGGTTGTGCCAGAATAGGGACCGTTCGGTGGCCACTGAAAGGTCGTGGTATAATAGCCGACACCGGAAGTATTGGCAAGGGCCTTTATCTCGCTCCATGATGTCGGTGTGTTCAAGTAATGGGTCGTGTTGTATCTCACTGTATACCCGCTATCGTACAAGTCGTTTGGTGCTTCCCAATGTTCTGCCGTTAAGTTCCACTCATTTAATCGAAAGGTTGGCGGTATAGAGCTGGCATCGATCCTTATAATTCTACCATCCGAGAGGTTTATTTTGGAAGGATTTGCTGACCTAGCGACATGTAGCGAGATACTACCATCGTGAGCAACTCGAGATCCAACAAGGTTTGAGGGCATGTTCTCGGCATGATACCGAGGTGCCGATATCGTCTTCTCCAAATTCTCGCCGAAGCCAAGAATCAGAGTTTGGTTGCCAGCGAGACTAAAGGGAACAATCGTGGTAGTCTTGGTCCGCCTGTACACCAGCACTGGGAAAGTCTCGCCAGTCCAAGGATTGAGGAAGTAGGGTGTCTGAGTAGTGGCAATGACGATGTTTCCCTCGGCTGCTGTCAAGTCGGAATAAATAATGGCATAGGCGGTACCCTTGGCTTCACTCCAAGACGTATAGCAGGTACCATTAGTACTCACGGCAACCTGCGGCCGCAAGCCAAGGGATCTTAGCTTTCCCGCTACCTTCCCAGATGAAACCGAATGGACATTACGGGTGCGCAGAAGACTCGATAATTGGCGTTCGAATTCAGTCCCTGCAGACTTTCCTCCCGTGGCATAGTATTTTGGCCTCCCTCCGCTGATGATCACTGGTAGACCTTGCTGTGCCCAAGATCGGAGAATCTTGACTGTGTCGAATGTTACATATTGGGAGGCTTCTAGAATGAACGCTTTCCACGCAGGACCATCAGGGGCCAAGACTCCGTTCTTTACATAAGCTTCCTTGAGGTAGAGGTTTTCTGCAGTAAGATAATTCGACGACCAACCTGTGACGAGAATCAGTTTGTAAGTTCTTCTAGCAATGTCCAAACCAATAGTAGGCTCACCTTCCGAAAGCAGATCATCAGCTTGGTATATAGTCCTGATCGTTGTAGCAGACTCCTTATTGTATATCACGACATCTGCTTTGGCAACACTTCTTTGCAGAATATGTTGCACCCTGGCTGTATAATTCATTACATCTCCCAGGCCGTGGTGCCACGCAGGCATCTTGGTTGACCAAGGTTCTGAGAAAAGGTATCGAAATGGGGTGTAGCCTGGCCAGGTGGTGTTGAAGTAACGTCCAGAGTATGGCTGCCCATGAATCACATTCTGGTTCACACCGCCTGAAAATGCCCGATTGATAGAAAATATGAGCTCGGGGAGATGATATTGGAACCCGCCACCTCTCAAAGCTCCCATCTCGTTTGAAACTACCCGCCTCCCGGCAAGACGGGCGGGACCAGCGAAGGCGCGGTATGAGTCAATATTGTCGTGGAATGAGAGACTCTCGCACTCTGGAGCATCCACGATCGGGACGGCGGCGAGCATGTCCATGTTGGAGCCATAGGCCGGCTGAGCCGAGAGTTGAACACCAAGCACCTCGCGAGTCCAAGATGCCAGTGCAGAAATGTATTGTTTGTATCCTTCAACGAGTGCGGCACGAAAGTCGTTCACATAACCGACCCCTTCATCATCCCTATCGAGAATACATTTAAATGAGCCTGGTTCTGTTGCTTGTGTCGCCAGGTTGTTTTGCTGGAATACCATCAGAGGCAGAAAAGGCTTGAGACTATAGCCGGCCACCTTTTTGAACAAGTCTGGCAGGGAACGAGACCACGTTACGTTGAAAGTCAACTCTAAACTGTCTTCCCATGCTGCCGCAGTAGGTTAGTGATGTTCGCAGCACACTTCACGACACGGCTCAGACTGCAGTGCCAGAATCGGGTGAATTAAACTTACCATAATTGCCAACTTTGGACAAAAGCTTCAGCACTTCATCGCTAAGAATGTGCTCCGCCCAAAACTTTCTAATCACCGTAGCTCCATTGGAGCTGAAATGGTCGACCGCATATGATCCGTCGTCAAAGATCGTGGCGTGCCTGAATGAGTTAAAGGACAAGTTTTTATGACCGGCTAGTCTCTCATAGAACGCAAATAATCGATAATGTTTACCTTTGGGAGCTTGAGGAAGTGTAAGACTGATAGATCCCCATTGATCCACGTGTTTGGTTAGTTCGGTAAGCGTTTCTGGATTGAGCCGATATTCCGTGTATGTAACGTTTTGGAGACCAACAGCACCAGCTGCCGTATACGTTACAATTCTGTCAGATTCAACAAGAGCCGAGACGAGTGATACAAGATCACCCGCCCCCCAACCAGGTATCTTCCCAGTGAAGATATCCTTCCGAGGTATTGCTTCGGTGAAAGGCACCTGCAATGGTTAGCATTGAAACATTGCAGACACTGAGCCACCTACCATATCCCATTGCAAGCCTTGGTCGTCCGGCTTCGCAGGAACCCCCTGGCCTTGATTCGGCCCAAGCGCAAAGTCCATCACAAGACCATGTTCGTCATGTGCTCTGAGAACTCTTTCAAAAAGAGCATTGAAAGCAGGGGTGCCAAAGTTATACGTGGACCAATTCGCCCCCGTGGGCATTTGGCCTAGTGAGCCGCCATATTCGTAGAAAGGGACAAATTCTAATCCTCCAGCTCCAACCGAAGCCGCAGATGCAACGTCTTGAGCCACAATGTCAGCATCAACACTGGCATCTGGCAGCCAGTATCTGAATCGTGGACGAACTCGAGAGCTGGGGTTGAGGAACGTGTCAGAGCTCTCACCACGCAGAATCGCTTGAACTTGTGGCACCGCGGATAAAACCAACATGGCAACAACTATTAGGCGTCTCATTATGCCGTTGTGTTTGTCAGATAAATGTAAATCTATACAAGGCTCCGGTACCCATCGGAAATCGACCTTTTGATTGAGCACGAAGTTCTTGTTTATAAATACATATTCGCATTTTTTATTCTCGTAAATATTTGGGTTCTTGTCAGATGGTGGAGTGGCGTCGTAACCTTTACGCGTATAGAGTTATCTCTGACTCTCTGACGTAAGTAGACAACGTTAGTTCGCCTAACTTCAACAAGGCAGATTCAAAGAAACGTGACCCTACCTTACTAACACCTTGTCGAACGAAAACAAGGGTGGAGCTGCAATGATCATCTTAGGGGGAGGGGTGTTTAGCTTGAGGCGGAATATAGTTGTTGTTAATGATGTGGTTGTTCTTAACGTGGGATCTAGCAACTATACGCGGAAGTGGCTGCATATTCTGTCTCTAGTTAAAGACTTCTAAGATAAGGCTATACGAATTGAAGCCCTTGGGTATTTATAGTAGTGAAGAATTGCATTCCGAGGATTGATAGTTCTACTGTCTTTCCACGACTCCTCACTGCAATACAGTACAGTGATTTGAACAAGTTAAGAGTTAGTAATGCACCCCCCCTCGAAACTCCAAGCTCTAGCTGCAAGGCATGGACTATTTTCTTTGGCCCTCCTTAACATGCCCCGATGGTGTATGCTTTATCTGGATTCATTTTAATCACTCCTGCCTCAACAGCCTCGAGGTAGCTCCAGCGATAGTCGTCGTTCAATTCGGTCTTCCACGACCAAAACGTCCAACCCAGTCCCTTTTCATAGGCCAGAACTTGTGCAGCCAACCACTTGACATAAAAGCCCTTGTTTGCGTCATCGACTACTTGAAATTCGGGGGAATGCTCTTCGGACGTTTTGGGGCCTAGACTCCACTCACCAACAATAAGTGGCGTCTCTCCAGGCACGATTAGATTGTCATTGCAGGACGCAGAGAGATATCCTTCCTGCGATACCACCACAGTAGTATCCGATTTAAGGTATCGGTGATTATCGTAGGCGGTGTGATATGTATTCGTCAGGTTTCGGTTCGGATTCCCGGCCCCCCACTTGCTGTCCATGTATTGGATGTGTAGAGCATTGTTGGTTTTAACACGTAGAGAAGACTCGACGGAACGAATCTTAGAGTATGCGTTTGGGTAGAACTCATCTAAAACGGATGGCTCATCCCAATTCGGCTCATTAATAACCCCGATCATTCCCACAGTGCGAAAGCTCCGTTTTGTATGAATGAGTTTGGTTAGCCACCCGAGGAATTTATATGCTCGTGCGTACTCTGCGGCATTATAGAAGCCAGGTTTTTCAACCCACTATGTTTGGTTAGTAATGAGGCATCTTGTGAGGTACGATGATTGAGAGAATATCATTTACCTTTCCTGTAAAAGCCTGCCACGCCGTTTGCGCCCCAGGTGCCCCGTGCATCTCCAGGATTACATAAAACCCTCGCTCAGCAGCCCAATCGCAAACTCTTTCCAAGGCAGGGAGAGCTCCTTGAGGGAAGTGCTCGTCGGCGTGAACAAGGCTCTCACTCAACCAGAACCCCAGTGGAATGCGAAGCGTATTCAGCCCGAATGAAACCATCTTATCCATATCCTTTTCGGTAAACCAGGTGTTCCAATGATCATGGAACGCCTTGTTCGCTTTTCTCTGTCCAAGTGCTTTGACACAATCGAATTCTGAATTCGTGCCCTCACATCCCATGTTGGCCCATTCCTTTGGGATCATCCAAGGCTCAACGACGAAGAGGGATCCGAGGTTGACACCACGAATCTTTCGTGAGTAGGGAGAGTGAGGCTTTGACAGCCTTCTTCTTTTATCAAAGAGACCGTGATCATCTGGCAACCACGCATTGGCGACCACGGCATAGAGGAGAATAAATACGAGGGGTTTCATAGTAGTCTCAATTTAATGGAGAGTTAAGTTGAGTCAGTACAAGCAGATCACGAAGAACCACAATGCTCTATCCGTCGGAGAGGTTCGAATTTATAGCTAGAGCGATTATACACAAACTGAGCAGTTCCACGAGTAAAATCAATGCTGTTCTGTATCTTACTCAGAAGTCATGTAGACGCCCGGAAAAGAACAGGGTATGCTGAATGTGGTGATACCGTCCCATGGGGACCCCACGTCAAGCATTATCTGGGGAATCACGGGGTGTTCTCGGATCATGCATGTGAGCTTGCAGGGTATTTCTGGTATGTCCAAGTGGCCCGATTTTCCGCGAGACGGCTAACAATCATGGTGTGAAGGAGTTAGATAAAAGTTGCTTCCGCTTTCTCATGGGTACTTCGGCTATCAATCCACCGAGTGTAAAAGCCCCTCTTTAGTTCTTGTACAAACATCTTTGGCCGGACTTGTCATTAATGAAACTAGGTGGTCGGGGGAACGCTACGGATGACCCCCGAAGTAGCACCACCGATGGGGTTCATGGATGGATTGATCCCCCGCTAGGTGCCTCCTCATCTCCGGCTTTCCGCGGAGCCAAATACCCCAATTCTTGGTCTCGCACCCTCGTCGTTTAAGCGTGTGCAAAATGTTCACACGGCGGCCTCGAGTCAGCCATTCCATTGTCTTTGGATCTGAACTTTTCTAAAGTGTTGGGAAACTTCTCGATAAAATAGTTAACCTTGGTACTAACCGCTAGTTATGGGCGTGGTGTGCTGACGATTTATAAACAGTGTACAATTACTATAGGCCCTAACGAGCTTTTGTCGTCAATGCCTTAATAGTATATCACCACTGTGATGCTAGTAGGCTTTTTACACAATGCAATCAACGAACTATTTACCTGTTGATATTCAAAACGGGTTTTTAGATAGACAATTTCTATTCCGTAATTAATTTCACGTCTTGGAAATTTACACGCGCTCTCAATTATTGTTCAGCAGCCAGAAGATGCCGAGTCTACTGCTGAACCTAAGGAACAAGCTTCCACAAACGCTAAATATCTATTTAACGGAATATTTATGTTAAGCCTGGTAGCACCTTTAAAAAAAAAAGAGATCCAGCTGTCCCAATTAAACACACAAAAATATGAACAATAGAGGTCTCTACACAGACCGAAAACCAACAGTGTCTCAAATCCAATAAGGTTGTATTTAACGTAATATAATAATCGACCATAAGTAAGGTAAGTTTCAATAAGATGAAGAATTCATGAGAAGGAACAAATCCGTTTTTAAGAGCGGATGTATTAAACCCGGTTTGTGTTTATATGAAATGATAGTCGCCGAGTATTCAAGTTTTGACCAGCCAAAGTTAGAAGAGCGCCCTGCCTGGAATTCTCATAGGAGACTTTCTTACAAACCCGACCACCACGTTATATCGCTAACACTGAACTTGCCCTTTAAAGGGGTATACGAACTGGAAGTACCAACCAAAACATCGTAAATTCCACTTTCCTCCACCCATTTGTGTCGGGTCTCATCCCAATGGCTCGTGGCATACTTCCTGTCGATAGACACATGCGCCACTGTTGACTCACCCGCCTTGATCGAGACCTTGGCGAAACCTTTTAGCTCTTTGACGGGGCGCTTAATGGAAGGCGATCTTTGGGAGATGTACACCTGAATCACCTCTGCACCGTCGACTGTGCCAGTATTTTCCAACGTCACACCAACCACAAGAAGCTCTTGGTGCCCACTGCGTCGCTGCTGTACGTCAAGATTCGACAGGGAGAAGGTGGTGTACGATAGACCAGATCCAAAAGACCAAAGAGTAGGCCGCTTGATGGTCTCGTAGTAGCGATAACCAACGTAGACGTCCTCTCCGTAGAGAACTCGGCCGTGTTCGGATCGGTAGTTCAGGAAGGCCGGGTTATCCTCCACTCGTACCGGGAACGATAACGGCAGTTTTCCAGAGGGGTTGATATCACCAAAGAGAACATCGGCGATAGCATTGCCGGTCTCATTGCCGCCGTACCACGCTTGTACCACAGCGGCAACCTCACTAGCCCAGGGCATAGTGACTGGAGAACCAGATTGAACAACCACGACGGTTCGAGGGTTGGCCTTTGCCACTGCTGAAACTAACTCATCGGTACGGCCAGGCAAGTCCATGTGTAAGCGATCGTGGCCCTCCTGTTCAAAGTCGGAGTTGAGTCCAACGTAGAGGACGACTTGGTCGACACTCTTGGCCATCTCAACTGCGTTTGCAATCTCTTGGTCAGCATCGATGACCTTGGTGCCACCTATCCTCAAGCCGCCGCTTCCGTAAGAGACCACGCCTTCATTGTCCCCAAGCTTGGAAGCCGCCCCGCTCGCAAAAACCACCTTGACCATGTATCTTTTCCCTGCCGTCACCTTCTTGATACCAGTCTCTTCCACGGTACCAACATTGAAGAAGCTCCCACCAGGGCGTTGCACCGTCTCGTTGTCAATGAGAAGCTCTCCATCGACATAAAGTCTGGCGGTGCCAAATACACACAGCCCGAATTCGAAGTCACAAGTCTCATCGGCTTCAAAAACGGCCTCGATCTCACCGTACCAAAGATCTTCGGTAATGCTGGGATGATAATAGTCGGCAAAGTACATGTCGGTACTGTCGAGTAGGATCTCATCGACAGGCTCTCGGGTCTGGTCGCTATCCGGGAATGTAAAGGCACGGAATAATACGCCACGTTTGCCGTCGACAGTTCGCAATCGTGGACCAAGGAGCGGGAGCATCTTATGGGCATGACACCCAACAGAGTATCTAATGTCTTTGGCCTTGTCGGTGATGCCTTCAAAGGGCGAAACGGCGTAGTATGGTCGAAGTGTGGCAGATCCGCCGCCGCAGTAGACTGCAGTCTTTGCATTGGGACCAATTACGGCAACCTGCGGTAGAGATATGAGCGACAGGCCTTATGCCAGACAAACAAGACATCTAATTCAACTTACCGTCCTGTCCTTCTTGAAAGGTAATGCGTTTTTCTCGTTTTTTAATAGCACAATCGATTCGCCAGCGATCTTTCTCAGCAGGGCAGCTGTCTCTGGGATGTTCCGAGGTTCTTCGGGAGCATTGGAGGGGATCTCGGTCAGGATAGCTCGTCTAACCAGCTTCAAGACCTGCCTCACGCGCTCATTGACAGTCTCAGCGTCGATCTTTCTCGACATCAAGGCATGAAGGAGCATCTGTCCTCGCCAGCGCGTAGGACCTGGCATTTCAATGTCGAGGCCGGCCTCGAGGGATTTAACAGTTGAGTAGGTTCCATACCTTGCAAGAGCTTCTGTAAGCTTCCAAGACCAGAAATCAGTTTGGGCAGCGGGCTCATGACTTACCAGTCACTGGTGACGAGGCCTTGCCAGCCCCATTCACCCCTAACGACCTTTTCAATCATGTCCCGGTTGTCACTCACATGAGTGCCATTTACCTTGTTGTAGGACGTCATGAAAGAGCCTGGGTTGGCATCTCTGACGGCTATCTGGAAAGGGAGCATATAGATCTCTCGCAAAGCCCTTTCTGTAACCAGAGAGTCAACGGCCATACGCTCATGCTCCTGGTCATTGGCGACAAAGTGCTTGATAGAAGCTATGACACCTGTTTCTTGGATGCCCCCCACGATGGACGCAGCGCAGTGGCCTGCGAGAACAGGATCTTCAGAGAAGGACTCAAACGCTCTCCCACCGAGGGGACTTCGCTGCATATTAACCGTCGGACCCAGCAGAACATGAACACCTTTGGCCCTGGCCTCGGTTCCCATCAGAGAGCCAGCCTCGTGTAGTAAGTCTGTGTTCCAAGTCGCTGCTAAGCCAGTTCCGCAGGGGAAGCAGGCGGCGGGCACTCCGTTGAAGAAGCGAGTACCACGGACGCCATTGGGGCCATCGGACATTCGAATCGAGGGGATATTGAGTCGAGGAATGGCCTTTGTGTGCCAGAAATCGACGCCTGGTATCGTTAAAATCTTGCAAGTGGGATAAAGTCGAAAAAGAGAATGAATTAATCTTACCAGCCAAGAGATCTATCTTTTCCAAGGTAGTCAGCTCTTTCAGCACCTGCTCAACGTCAAAAACAGGCTCGCTGCGAGCCCCTGCATCAGGAGCATATAGGGCAGAAATGTCTCCCATCGTGCTTTTTTTCTTCACTCGTCTGCAATTCGGGACAAGGAAAGGGCCGGTATGATGTGCTAAAAGAACTTTGAGAGAATTAAGTTGCTTATAACCTTGTATTGATAAGCACCTCTAACCTAAATGCCTGCCTTCCTACATCAGTAGCTACTCACTCAGAGGCAGATGAAAAGCCAAGTAAAGATCAGCCAAGCTCTTTGGTCATTAGTGTTGACCTTGTTGTGGGTAGCCATGATACTGTGGAGATTTTAGAGGAATGTGAAGGTGCGGAGAAAAAGACGCGGAAAGCCGGGAAAGCGAAACAGAGCTAAAGCAGAAGAGTAGTGACTGGGACGCTAGAATATGCACGTACGGCATAGCACCGATTGGTAGAACCAAGAAAATTACACCAGTAACGTGACCCTGGCCTTGATTAATTAGTGTCTGGGGACCCCTTGACACTGGGGGTGTGACTGAACTGGATACTCTAACGTTAGGTATTTCTCTTTTCTCGATCATGTTCCTGCTTTCCGCGTGAATCCCCCACAATCAGTACTCGTCCCATCCGTCCATGTCAGAAACAGAAGCCAGCTCATCGCGGAAGCGACCGAGGTCTGACGCTGCTACCTCCACCGGCCGTCCAGCATATCCGCGAAAACGCGCAGCCCAAGCATGCGGGACTTGCCGCAAGCGACGCGTAAAGTGCGACAATGAGCGGCCATACTGCTCCGAGTGTGTCAAACTCGGGGTCCATTGCACGTATCAAGAGGGCGACAAGTCAAGGTAGGATACGTCAAGTATCATCCAAGCATCGAGTGTTGACTGAACCAACTCGTTGAGTACAGCTTCGATGCTGCGAGTCTTGCCATCCTAGAGCGTCTTATTCATCTGGAAGGCCTCTTCCGGGCTGCCCATCCCGACACGCATGACCCTGAAGAGCAGCCAACGCCAGCTATCTCATCCCCTAGCCTCGAGAATGGCCCGCTCGACTTCTTTCGCATCAACGTCGAAGCAGTCCTCGAATGGCCTATCTTGCAACCTGTCACCCAAGACCAGCCGCTCAGTCTAACCAACATCTTCCAAGCAGCCCGAACAGCCTCAGATTCGTCAGCGCCTCGCCTATTAGCCACGTCAGACCTCGACCCAGGGTCAACGGGTCCTCTGCTACAATGCTTCATGGATAACTTCCACATATACAACCCTGTCTTGGAAATAGCCCGCATTCAGCAAGATATCAAGACCACACTCTTCAACGGTCTAGGCTGGGACGCGGCGTCTTGCATCTTGGTATGTACTGACTTTTTAGCATCCGGGGAGCAAGTGTTAACGGCCTGGCAGCTTCTAGTGTTTGCTCTCGGAACCATCACAGACCATGTAGCCTACCCATTATCGACGACGACCTCGACGACGACATCGATGGCCTTCCGCAACTCGAGACGGTTCCAGGATGCCGAATCATTCTTCCTTGCTGCCCAGAGACGAATGGGCCAGCTTCTTTTCGACAGTAACCTCGCCCAAGCCCAGGCCTTCTTCCTCGCCGGCGTGTACCTCATGTCCACTATGAGGCCGTTTGAGGCTTGGAGAATGTTCGTCCAGGCACTGGCATGTTGCCAAATATTTGTCGCCGCATCCTCCGACGACCCGGATAATAAAGAGTCACAGCTACACAAGATCATTTATTGGGCTTCATTCAAATCCGAACTGTAATCAATAACCCCATCAGTCCCTCTTCTATCCTATCCAGGCTATTTGACTAACCTCATGTTCAGAGAGCTACGCCTAGAGCTTAGCATAACGGAGCACAGCGCATGGAGTCTACATTATCCTCAGTTTTTCCCAGCACCTCCAACCGGACTCGGGTCTGAGGGCGAGGCAGGCTGGTATTTCTACCTGGCAGAGGTCGCGCTGCGACGTCTGGGCAATCGCATCTTGACACACACTTCCCACTTCAAGTCGGCCGGAACAACGATTGCCGAAAAGGTCTCGAGGATTATGGAATTTGAGCAACAGGCGCAGAGCTGGTACGTCTTAACCACACTCCAATGGCCCTATATCAAGCTTGCATGCTAATGGAATCGCTGTCAAGGGTCGGATCCCTCCCGCACAACTTGAGACTGGACCACCCTCTCGGCCACGATGAAGACGTCCAGGGTGAGCGTCTACGATTTATCCTCAACGGTCATCTGCTCGACTGTTACGAGATGATGTACTGGTCATTCATTGTGGACGCTGTCCGAGGGACCCTACCGGAAGACGCCGTCTCTGTCAGTTTTGCACGAAAAGGTTTCCAGGTAAGTGTACAACGTATTGGAGACAATGAGGCAGGCTTCCATCATCGTCATCACGGGACTTGGCTTATGCTGCGATCGTGTACGCGTAGCGCGCTGGTGCTTGTCGCGGCTGCAAGGGCTGGCTTGCATGATTTGTTGCCTGCTGAGTGGAAATCGTCGGTCGCTAAAGTTAAAGACCTGTTGGGTTATTGGAAAGATGAGGCCATTGATACCAAGTTTCGTCTACAAATCTTGGATGCTTGCATGTAAATCTGCTACAGGAAGATGTGTCAAATTGCAGGGTAGGGCGGTATAACAGCTCTTTTATAAATTGAGGGGTAAAAGCAACTGAAGTAATTGAACATTTTTAACCAGCTCCTGTGAAACTATTTACTATTTATTCTCTATCTGCTAGGCATTACGTGTCCCAAGCTAAGCGTCGATCCGTATATCGGAACGTTTCTTTTCCCCTTTCACCTTCTTATAACCACGCCTTCGAGACGGTGTTCCAGGTGTGCTTTTATCATTGGTGTAAACACCCACTCGCGGCACGTACAAATAACAGCCTAGCCCTCTTTTATTCCCCTCATTTCCCACCCCAATTACTTCCTGTTAGCCACCCTTCTGTCCCTACGCCATGACTACTGCCTCACTTCTTGACACATCGTGGATCTGGCACCCATGCTGGGTTGACAGATCCGACGATTCTGCAGGCGCATTTGTCCATTTTCGCAAAGCTGTCTCCCTACAACAAATTCCCTCGGAGCCCGTACGTCTCCAGATTACAGCAGATACCAAGTACCGGCTCTATATCAACGGACGTTTCGTCCATATTGGCCCTGTCAAGGGAGACGAACATATCTGGTTCTACGACGAGATTGATGTCCAACCTTTCCTGAAGCTTGGCGTAAACAATATTGGCATCCATGTTCTGCGGCTGTACCACGGAACACCGTATGGCACAAGTTTCCCCAGAATGGCATTCCCGGGGTTGTTTGTACGCATGGCTGATGGAACCGCCACTGGAGGGATTGATCTCGAGAGCAATGGCACTTGGCTTTGCTCCCTCGATCAGTCGCGTAAGCTTCGCATTGATCAGAAGGAGGATGACTTTCTTCATATTTATGAAGACGTGTTCAACAACCCCAATCATCATCTTGAGTGGGTTGCTGCTCAATGCTTAAACCTCCCCAAAACCCATGGTCTCGGCCCGCCGTGGAAGCTCTCACCTCGGATGATACCCTTTCCCAAGGTCGCGAAAGCGACCATCAAGGATATACACAACGTAAGGAGCACCCTGGGCCCCGAAGTATGGAAGAAGCTTCTCGTTGGCTCGAGCAGCAGCCAAGATGGCACCACTGGCCTTGTCCTACCCGCCGGAACCTCACACCATGTCGAGCTTGAGGCTGATCATCACATGACGGCCCACCTCAAATTCCGCTTCCGTCGCCCACAGGCTGCAGGTGCAAGACTGTCCGTCACATACGCCGAGTGCTACGAGGATACGCCGAAGATGGTGCCTTACCTGCGCTGCAAAGGAGATCGATGCGACACAACCAAACAGCTTCTGGGGCCAGAGGATAGATATGTGTTTGCGGGTGAAGCTGACGCCGAGTCTGCAGAGACACTCCAATATACCGAAACACCTGGATCTGAGGAGATGTTCTCACCGTTCCACTTCCGCACATTCCGTTTCTTAGCGCTAGACATTCACGTCGGTCATGATAGCGACCTTGTAATGACGGGGCTCGACGTGGAAACAACTCACTACCCCCTGGAAGTTGTTGCAGAGATCGACACACCGGATCCATTCTACGCCAAGTTGTGGTCTACTAGCATCCGCACTTTGACTAATTGCATGCATGACTGCTACGAAGACTGTCCTTTTTACGAACAGCTTCAGTACGCCATGGACGTGAGGAGCTCATGTCTCTTTACCTACTCGGTGTCTGGAGACGATCGCATGGCACGCCAGGCCATAGTCCAGCTCCACAGTTCATACCGAGCTGACTTGGGACTGATAGCGAGCCGAAGCCCCGCGTCCCAGTTGCAGATCATCCCTCACTTTTCTCTCTTCTGGATCTTGACAGTCGTGGATCACTTTGAGTACTTTGGCGATGCTTCTTTCACGCGGCGGTTTGTACCTGTAGCAGACGGTATCCTGGAGGCGTTTGCCAGAAGAATCGACCCAGAACTGGGTCTCATTTCGGCCGAAACGCCGTTCTGGGACTTTGTAGACTGGACCGACGAGTGGCGACCGATGGGAATCCCGCCTGCTGCCGAAGCATCGGGGTACCAGACCTTTACCAATATGCTGTATGCCCACGCCATGCAGAGACTGGTGTCGGTGCTAGTCAGCATCGGAAGAACCAGTCTGGCTGATGAGTTCAGATCTAGAGCAAGCGCCATCGTGACCAGCATCCGGCAGCATTGCCGATTGGGCGACGTCTTCACCGACGGGCTGGCGTCTGCTGCCGATGGCAGTCGAGACCTAAGCCAACACAATCAAGTGTGGGCAGTCTTGTGCGGTGCCGTGTCGGGAGACAAAGCGCGTCACTTGCTGTCGTCGTGTCTTCCCATGCTCAATCGCCACGATACTGAACCAGACTCAGTGGCCAAATCAGATGGCTTCACCAAGCCCTCACAGGCCATGTCGTTCTATCTTTTCCGAGCGCTCTCCGAAGCTGGTGGCTCCTTGTACGACAACGCCTTTGAGTCCATGTGGCAGCCGTGGAGAGACCAGCTGTCGCAAAACCTGACCACGTGGTGCGAAGACGACGTGACTCGACGATCTGACTGTCACGCATGGAGCTGTGCTCCGTTGTACGAGATGATGGCTGAAGTGGCCGGCGTCGGGCCAGCCGAACCAGGCTATCGGTCGATCGCGTTCAAACCAAGGACGAGGCTCTTCCCGCACTTTGATGGCAGAGTTCCCTTGTCTGGTAAGCTAGCCTCAGTTACGGCACATGTTCGTTGGAGGAGATTGGATGGTGACTCGGCTGTTGTTGTATCATTGACCCTCGAGACAGCATTGGTTACCGAAGGTGTGGACATCCATGTCACGTACCCAGATGGTCATACAGAGGTGCATTTTGGCCTTGATCTTGAATGTAGATTTTAGTCAGAATAACATGCCATAATCCCTATTACCTATACGACTTGCTATACTTGGCGTACTGTCTCATTTTCTTCTTCTTTATCAAGCCCAGGCTTTCCCGAATTTCTCGATAGTATCAACAATAGCGTACTGTCTCATGCTACACACCGTAGATTAGTGCCAACTGCTCGCTGAACTGCCCACTAAACTGCCGTAGAGATGGATGCACGCCACCAAATCGTCAGTTCTGTCGCTTTTTCTTTATCCCAACTCACTTCGTAGTGACCCGGCTTTCCGCTGACTTCCCTAGTTCCATAACCCACACTAAAGGTGCCATAGTCAAGTGGAACTAACTACAAAGTGCTTAGTACCTAGTTTCAATGCCCACTCTAGTCAAGCTTTCCGCGTATTTGATGCTCGGTGTCTCCACTAGCTCACATCTCCCGGCTTTCCGCTGAGGAGAAGTAGGTAAACTCTTTTCCTTCTTCATTCTGGGGTCTCGTTTCTTTTTCTTCCTCTTCACGTGAGGAGTCGAGTCAGGAGTAAGGAGAGAAATCATCCGAGGACATTGAGATGACCTCTCTCCTCTCAGAACCCCACACCCCGCACCCCATACCCCGGATCGACTTACCATTCAAGGTTGCTCGCTTTGACGATTGGGTAACTGAGCCCGTTCCTAGACTCAAACTATAGCTTCGACATCGCCTCTCGTTGCTCACCATCAACTATCTGGCCAAGAAACATAAAAAGCCCATCGTTCGCTATTACTATTCAGACATCAACAATCAGCACTTCCTGTCTGACAACAGATCAAACACGAAATACATCTTTCTCAGTCAAACCCCAAGTCCAGCTCGCACTCATGGCCATCGCCGGAGAGTCTCAGGTCCGCACGGTGATGCCAGAGAGCAGTGTCGATACCAATCGATGGTGGCAGTCTCGCAACCTTCGTCAGCTGAATCTGCTTCTCATCATCCCCATGCTTTCCATCTTTACCCAAGGGTGAGTTCTCAACCAACCCGTCGAATTAACAATCACCAAGCTAATGGCTTCATCGCAGGTTTGACGGAAGCATGATGAATGGATTGCAATCCGTCGAGCCGTGGCGAGAATATTTCGGCGAACCCAAGGGCTCAACGCTGGGTTTGTTCAATGCTGCGTATCCGATGGGTGGCATCGTCGCCATCCCCTTTCTCTCCTTCGTCAGCGACACCTTTGGTCGACGATCCGCCTTGGGACTAGGCGCCTCGGTCTGCGTGATTGGTGCTTCTCTCCAGGCCGCAGCCCAGAATCTTCCCATGTTTGTCGTCTCGCGAGGCATCCTCGGTTTCGGCGCCTGCTTTATCGGTTCCTCTGGCGCTCCCTTGATTACTGAGCTCGCTCACCCTGCCCACCGAGCTACGGCCACTGCTCTGTTCAACACTTCCTATTCTTTGGGCTCTATCGTTGCGGCCTGGGTCACCTTTGGTACTTTTCGAATCGAATCGAGTGCCGCCTGGCGCATTCCATCCGGAATCCAAGGCCTACCATCTGTCATCCAACTCCTCGGCTTGTGGTTCGTCCCCGAGAGCCCGCGTTGGCTCATGTCAAAGGATAGAAATGAAGAAGCCCTCCATACTCTCGCCAAGTACCACGCTGAGGGAAACCCTGATGACGCTCTCGTTCAATTCGAATATAATGAGATTCTGAACGCCCTCGCCTACGAGAGAAGCATTGATCGTCATAGCTGGATCCAGAATTACCTCGAGTTTGTTCGCACAAAGGGTAACCGCAGACGTCTCTTCATCCTTTTTTGGTGCGCATGCATCAGTCAGATGTCTGGAAACGCCTTCATTTCTTACTATCTCGCCCCTGTCCTTGCATCCGTAGGCCTCACCACCAGTCTCGAACAAACCCTCATCAATGCCACGCAACAGATGCTTTCTTGGTTCTCTGCATTGTATTTCGCCACGCTTCCCCAGAAGCTGGGCCGCCGTACTCTGTTTCTGGCTTCCCTCTCGGCTATCTTCATCTGCCTCATCAGTATCACCACCGGAAGCGCTGTATTCGCCAACGACCAAACCAATAAGGCTGCCGGCGGAGCCGTTGTTGCCTTCCTCTACCTCTTCTCCCCTTCGTATAACCTGGGTCTCAACGGAAACTTGGGTCTTTACATCACCGAAATTCTGCCTTTTAGTCTGCGTATGAGAGGTCAGGCGCTTTACCAGCTGTTTGCGACTTGCTTCACCCTCCTCTCAACCTATGCTATCCCTGTTGGTCTAGACGATCTGGCATGGAAGATGTACACCATCTTTATCCCCTGGGTTGTTATCGAGCTGGTCGTTGTTTACTTTGTGTATCCAGAGACCAAGGGGCCGTCGTTGGAGGAGATTGCCATTATTTTCGACGGAGAAGATGCTGATGCAACTCCTGTGGGTGACAAGTTGGATATTGCCGAGCGTGCGGAGGTTGAGCACAAGATGTAAGCATGAGAAACAAAAGGGGGATTGATTGTACTTTTGGAGAGAATCTAAGGGTGGCCTGATTAAGAATAGCTTTTTCGTCTGGTAGTAAAATTCCCCGCGTTCTTTCATTATCGGCGAACTGCCTTAACCAGTTGACAGTGATTTAGACAGTTTAGGGCAGGCACTACTGAATCAGGTGTATTTCTAAGCTCTTGGCGCTATCGTTACTGAAATTCAAGTCCAATCCAAGTTACCACAACTTTACCTTTGTTGAATCCGCGAGTGTCAGCCGGTAAAGATGAACACCATTACTCAACAGGACAAGACAGGGTCCCTTCTGCATCCTTTGACAGTGTGTTTATACTTGCTGGACGATCTACATGACTGGTTTCTATGCATAGATGGCGAGTTCTGTATTTTGTTAAGATTACTTCGCTATAAGCAGCCCTCTCTACGCCAACTCAAAACGATACTCTCCTGGATCAAGTCAAATTAACATGGATAAGCCAGGAAATTACACAAACTAGAACAGACCTCACTTGGCTACTCCAAGTTTGCAGTCGTGTTACTCTGCAAATGAGTGTGGCTACATGTCTTGACTCGCCTCAAACCCTCTGTCCCGCTACCTCATGCTCTTCAACATCCACGACAAACTTTTCGCCATCCTTCTTTTCTCCCTGAATATGCTCGGCCGCTTCCTTATCAAAGATGATGGCAATTTCCTCAAGCGCTTTCCCCTTTGTCTCGACAAACCAGCCATAAGCAATGAAGCTCTCTACTGCAAGGATGACAACGTAGACTAGGTAATACTTCCAACCAATACTATCGAGACCGATGGGATTGACTATAGCCCAGTGAATTGATTAGCCTTGGTCTCCAGGAAGTCTTTAACACAAGGGGCCATACGTACCATATTGGTTGACAAAAACGGCAGCCTTTGTTGAGAATACATAGGTCGCCATTCCTTTCGCCCTGATAGAGAAAGGCAGAATCTCTACCGAATATGCAACAGCGAGAGGAGACAGGCCAATGTTGTAAAAGGCACCGTAAAGGAAGATTAAAGCCATGACAGCGATTCCTGCTTCACTAGCTCCTGTATCATGGAACCTAGCCGAAGCGATGGTCCATGCGATAAAAACAGTCAACATACCAAGTGTAGAAGCTCGAAAGAGGATACGACGGCCAAGTCGCTCAACAAAGAAGGCAGTGGTCAGAGCCAAAGCGAAGTTGTACACATTAAGTAGCCCGTTGACCAGGGCTTGAGTGTCTTTGTTGGTAATCCCGACAGAGTCCATAATACGGGCGAGGTCTATCAACGAAAGGATTTAGTATGGGTCCGTCAAAACCTTTGATGCTATGGTAGGTCAGTGAGTGAAAGGGTGGGATACCACATACAGTATGAGATTAAGCCGTTTCCAGACCACTGGCTCATTAGGCCCATGCAAAGCACCAGGAACATTCTATACCGATTTCCGGGTGTGCTAACCATTGACTTCCATGTTGTTGCACCAGAAGCTAGAGTGGGAATAAAAGGTTAGCGGGTGCATGTCCGAGCAAGCACAGATTTCCCTTGTGACGGATCAGAATACTTACACTTTTCAAGATCAATAGCCGCTCGGATCTCTCGATATTCAAGCTTGACTAGCTCAGTTTCTTCACCATTTCCATGATATCTTTTCAACGCATCGAGAGCTTCACTGTCTCGATCCTTCGAAATCAGCCAGCGTGGGGACTCTGGGAGGAACCATATAGCGGCTAGCTGGACGACGCTGGGGGCCATCTGGAAGAACGAAGGAAGGCGCCAAGACCAATTGCTATCGATATTTCTAGTTCCAAAGGTAATCCATGCAGCAGCGATACTGCCGACAGACCAGCTGCAGGGGTCATTGATCAGTACCAGTCGAGGGAAGCGGAAAACACGGCCACATGGACTCAACGTACCAAGTATTGCATATAGCTGTGATGGTCACGCGGTCCTTGGGGTGCGAGAGCTCGGTGACTAGACTGGGGGCCGCCGTGGTAGCAAATGACAGGCCGAAGCCAAGCAGAAATCTGCTGGCAATAAACATAGAGAGGTTGATGCTCATGGCCTGTATAACTGACCCAATTATCATAACCACACTCCCCAAAGTAATGCCCCAACGACGACCATAGCGGTCGGCAACCAGAGGCGCAAAAGGTGTAGAGCAGATGCTGCCAAGGGCCATGATGGCACTCATCAGCCCTAGTTTCGCACCACGGGGATTGCCGAAGTATTCATCAAAGTGGGAGACAGTTTGCAAAGCGTTGAGCAATGAACCGTCGTATCCACTTGTGGCATAAGAGCAGACTGCACCAGGGAATAGAAGCAGATAGAGATGGCGACGGGCAGGACAGCGATACCATGGAGGTGCTTCCCGAGCTAGCTTGTCGACCCCCTCAGGTTCGTATGTTGCTTGCCCACTCTCAGATGAAGCTTGTTCTTTGCGTGCACGGCGAGCCTCTTGGTCTCGTCGAGGCGCTGGCAAACGTTGACGTAAGGTATTAAGGAGGGGGACCATGACAGGCAACGGGCGGGGAATTGTCAAACAGAGGAAGATGGATGTGAGGAACAAATGTCTCAGAAGTAAAGATCAAGTGATGCCGATTGTTGCACAAAGACTTTAAACAAAAGTCGACGAAGGGTGTTTATATACATCGATGAATGACTAGGAAGTCTCTGGTACTGTAGGGCACTTCTAAGATCTAACCCGCAAATGCGACGAATGAAGGATAGTACGACTTTTACCCCAGGTAGGGTATGTGGTCCCCGTGGGGATACTTTTTATTCCATACTCCATGGTCTCACAAACTGCAGACACGCCATTCCTAGATCTCCTCCGACTCTCAAGTATTCGGGGCAAGTTGACAGACCTGCCCCTAGTGCGTCTCTTGGTTCGAAACCTTCCAGCTGGGTCGGGGAAGCCTTGGATGCTTCCCCCGAATACCGACCCAGATACCAGGGTACACTGTCGCGCTTAGCGACTTGGTGGCTACCACTAAGTTTTCTCGTGCCATTTAACCCCCATGCATTCTCCACATGTTCCGTCTAGGGTGTTGCATACGCGTATAACGCGACTCAATTAGAGCCCGTGAAGCCCCAATCTCTTGCAGTAGAGTATTAGCAGTATCCACACCCCCAGTCATGGTGGTATTGGCACAAGTGCATGTGTCGTAGCTGTGCTTAGCGTGACCCTCGGAAACTCTACAAACTATTTGGAAAGGAATCGTCCTGCGCATGAGACAATAAATCATGGCTGCTGCGGCCGGTAACCGTTATATTTATTAAAACTTGACAAGACCAATTTTCCTTCTTTTTCATGCGGCTTGCGTATTTTTTCCCCCGCATTCTTTTATTGGCACTATCCAATTCACATCCCACGTTTTCAATTTCTACTCAGCACATCTGTATTTCAAGTCGCCGCCATGGTCGAGAAGCAGGCTCTTGTTGATACCGATGTCGATACGCTCCTTAGCCAGCTTACGCTGGAGGAGAAGATCGAGCTCCTCAGCGGACAAGGCTCGTTTAAAACCACTAGTCTCCCAGCCCACGGGATTCCAAGTATTACGGTAAGTTCTGCATCGACACGTTATAGCTACGGCATGACAGTTCGGTACCCACGGGTATCAAGCTGCTAATACTCTATGCATTTCAGACATCAGATGGACCGCATGGCCTTCGTGGTGCACGGAAGTTCGCTCGTGTAAGTTCATTCTCTTTTCAATGATCTCCTATGACCGAAGATAGCTGAACTGACAATCACGCCTTGCTCTGGATTTTCCAGGTGCCCAGTATTCTTCTGCCTTCTGCGACGGCTATGGGTTCTACTTTCGATGTCGACCTGATGTATCGCATTGGAAACCTGCTCGGAGACGAAGCACGCTGTAAGAACGTACAAGTCTTACTGGCGCCTACAGTTTGCCTACAGCGGTCGCCTTTGATGGGTCGAGGTTTTGAAGCCTTCGCTGAAGACCCTGTGCTTAGCGGCCTGACTGCTTCGGCATATATCAGAGGCATCCAGGATCGCGGAGTTGCTGCCTGTATCAAACACTACGCAGCTCATGACCAGTCACTGATGTCAATTGAAGATAATGTCCGAATGACTGAGAGAACCTTACGAGAGCTACACCTCTTACCTTTCCAGCTGGCCTACCGCTACTCCGATCCCTGGTCCATCATGACGTCTTATAACAAGATAAATAACATTCATTCTAGCGAGGACCCGCTGCTTTTGAAGCAGATCTTGCGTCAAGAATGGGGCTTCAATGGTCTTGTTATAAGCGACTGGTGGGGTACCTATAGCACTGTCGAGTCTATAAAAGCGGGCATGGACCTAGAGATGCCAGGGCCAACCCAGTTCAGAGGGAAACTCCTCTCAATTGCTGTCAATACTCGCAAGGTGTCTCGCAAGGCCGTCGACGCTGCAGCGGGAAACGTGCTGAACTTTGTAAAGAAGGTCACCGCAGCGGCTAAGCCGTGGAATGGGGATCCGTCAGCTTCGAATACGCCTGAGAATCGAGCACTTATTCGCAGGCTTGCCGCAGACAGTATTGTGCTCCTCAAGAACGACAGTGAAACTCTCCCCATCAGAGCCAAGACAGGGAAGTCTTATGGCTTGATAGGCGATCACTTTATATATCCCGCCCTGTCCGGTGGCGGTAGCGCCGAAGGTGACCCTTATTACGCCGTGACGCCATACGACGCCATGGTTGAAGCCGTGGGAGAAGATAATATCGCATTTACCCCTGGCCTTTACAGTGAGTAAACATAGTATACAGCTATGCTGGCAATGATGCAAAACTAATCCAGCTGACATGACTTTGCACAGCGTTCAAATTTGTCCCGTTCTTGAAGAATCTCCATCAGCCGGGTACAAACAACCATGGCTGGTGGGTGGACATCTTCAGCGAGAATCCAGACGACAACGCTGGTGCTGAACCAGTCTACCAGACAGCAACTGATAAAGACTTGGTTGATGTGCCCGAGAGCTTACATAAGTTCCTACCTCACAAGTATTTCGTCCGGGCACGAGCCTCCTTTATACCAGAGACTTCGTCGTGCTTCCGTTTCGGCTTTGCTGTCGCCGGCAAAGGCAAGGTCAAGATTGATAACAAGGATGCTATCGACCTCTGGAGTGATCAACCGCCAAAGACAGAAGATACCCCGTGTTTCAATCGGCTTTCTATGGAGAGATTTTATGACGTGGATGTCGAGGATGGTGAGAAGTTGGACATTGAGGTCTTGATGGTCAACGAGGATGTCAGGGGTGGCGTTGGCACAGCCTTCACCTTGGCCGGGCGTCTCGGTGGCTATGAGGTTCTTGCACCTCAGCAGGGACTTGAGGATGCTGTGAGGATTGCCAAGTCGGTCGACGTCCCTATTGTCATGGCTGGGCTTTCATCCGATTACGAAAGCGAGGCAAGCGACCGCAAGGATCTCAACCTACCTCGCGCTGCGAACCAATTGGTGGATGCCGTTCTGGATGCCAACCCTAATACTGTAAGTTGAAAAGAATTATGTCTCAGACACGCGGGCTCTTAACTCAACGGTTTATTCGCTCTCACCACTATACAGCTACTGATTATTTCTTCTTCACCCAACTAGATCGTTATAACACAAGCAGGGTGCCCGATTGAAATGCCTTGGGTAAATAAAACCAAGACACTACTTCACGCTTGGTACGGCGGCCAGGAGACCGGACACGCAATTGTTGATGTGCTGTTTGGTGATGTCAACCCTGCCGGCAGGCTCCCAGTCACATTTCCCAAATCAATCAAGCATACGCCTACGTATCTAACATTTGGGAAATCTGACTATGAGATTTTATACGGCGAGGGCATTTTCATTGGTCATCGTTTCTATGAAGCAGTCGACCGAGAGCCACTCTTTTATTTTGGTTACGGCCTTTCGTATACCAAGTTCGTATACTCTGGCTTAGCAGTTCCATCTACATTCGAGGCATCAGAAGAGTATGAGATGAACATCTCCGTCAATGTCAAGAACGTTGGCTCAGATAGCGGGGCCGAAGTTGTTCAGGTCTACGTTTCTGATGCCGAGAGCTCAGTCCAGCGACCAGCGAAGGAACTCAAGGCTTTCGCAAAGGTGTATCTCGCTGCTGGAGAGACCAAAACAGTGTCTCTCAAGCTCAGCAAGTACGCACTTTCATTTTGGTCAGAAGAGCAGGGTCAGTGGAAGGCCGAGAAGGGCGTCTTTGAAGTAATCGTTGCGACCAGCGCTCACCCCGACCATGAAGTTTTACGATCGAGTTTCGAGCTACCAGAGACCTTTTTATGGTCAGGAATATAAGAAAGACATGTGAAGATACTTCCTCGCAACTGGGGCTTTTAAAAGAAAGAGCGGTCACTACCGTGCTTGGGTAGCGGAATATATGTTCTTCGTTACATGAAAGAAAGGCATTTATAGATCACGAGGTCTGAAAAGTATTACCTAGATACAATTGCAATTGCCTATGATACCACTGCCTTTGGGCTTCGTCACATTTTGTAAAACCGCCACTTGGTGCAGCAGCCGTCTCTCAACCAATCAGTCCGCAACCTGTGAGTTAAGAGGTGTTCACTTGCCTGCACTTCATCCGTCACCATTGTATACTCTGCTTCAGCCTTCCTTCTGTTTAATTTAGCTTATGATGGGTGATTAGACACCTGGCCATTGCCTCGTAATTTGAGCATTTGCCTTGAAAATAATAGTTGCTTGTTGAGTACCTAAGGATTCTGCAAGCGCGGGTACTATTCCGGTACAAGATTTTATTTAAGTGGACCACATTTGAACTCCAAGTCCAGGATCTTCCACTACAAGCCCGTGCCCAGTATTTTCCTCCCCCACACTTTTCAATCCATTACTGTACCTGCTTCGCTTTGCCTAAGTCCTTTATCTTTCTGCCACTTTCTACCCATTATTAAGGCACTCCTTTGCTTCGTCACTATCAGGTAAATTATGCATCAAATTGTCTAGAAATGGAATCACCATCTCCGCCGTCCCCTTTGCCTGGCGACTCTCAGTCGTCCCACTTCCCTCTGCGGCGTCGGGTCTTGCAGGCCTGCACAAACTGCAGGACTCGTAAGACTCGATGTGATGCCACCAAACCTAGGTGCAGCCTGTGTATGTCGCAGGGTGTTGAGTGCGAGTACAAGGATGCGCAACAGCCCAAGATCGATCCCAGTACAAGGCTTCTGCTGGAGCGTATACAGCTCCTCGAAGACAAACTCTTCTCATCACCTGTATTTACAGCGCCACAGGCTGTCGCTGCACCGCAAGTTACTGTGCCAGTGGAGCATCGTCGAGCGAGCTCTCCGAGTCCGGCGTTCCAGGCCGAGACAAACCCAAGGATTGAGGAAGATGCCGCCCGACCTTGGGCGCCTGATGCGAGAACCTCGGAAATGTCGTACCCCTCTTCTCACACGGCTAATGCAAACCATGTGCTCAACTGGCCTGTAGTGCAGCAGCTCTTGGCTTCTGCCCATGAGCCTGGAGACACCTTGCTCACTACCCAATCTAATCAAGATGATCAATTCCATGCTGCCACCGACGTTTTCTTCCACTCCAGATCTGTCCTGCATAATGGCTGGTTCGATCAGCCTGCCGATTCCTGGAGGCTCTTTAGCGATGAGTCTCTCGTCAATCTTTTCGACTTCACCGTGTGCAAGGAGCTCGTCTTGAGCTTCTTCAACGACGTCAACGTGTTTTTCCCATTGCTGTCGATCGTCCAAGTTATGGATCATCTTGGACACATTTTCGAAGCAGAGCAGTCTCGAGGGGAACTGCGGGCTTCAGATCTTTCGCCAACCCAATACTGCCTGCTATTGCTAGTCCTTTGTCTTGGCTCATTCGTTCGTCGTGGTGGAGCCCAGGTAAGATGGTCGGGCTACCACAACCAGTTCTCGGCTGCTCCTGATACGTCTTTATGCACGCCGGATCAACATCTATGGCGTAAAGCCCAGCTTTTACTCGGCCATGTTACTACTCATGTTAGTGTCGAGGCTGCTCAATGCACTATGCTGGCAAGGTAGGCTGCCCATGACAATTTGTACGCGGTCCCATCAAGCTCCAGCTAATCGGATGAAAACCTGCAGTATATATATGGGTGCCCTTGGTCGGGTGTCTGACTCTTTTCACTGGTCTCATACTACATCTGTCAAGTGTACAACTCTGATTAAAAGGTTCTTTACATTAGCCTGTTCCCTGGTCTTGACGCTCACTCCAAACACAGATCTTATGCTGATCATTGCCAATCTGAACCCTATTCAGAAGCATTTCGTCGCCTCTATTGGGTTGCTCTCATATATGAGTGCGACTTTATATCTGAGATTTCCGTCGCATTACCCTCAGGCATCACCCGATACGAAGACCTGATACCATATCCCACAGAGGCAATCCCAACAAGCAAAGAATCTCACCATACAACACCCGATTTCGAACATTATAGCAGCTGTGGACACCAGGGTGAAGAGTTAGCAGCGTTTCAAGTAAGCACCAATGCCGCTATTCGTCGCCTTCTCAACAGGGTCCACAGCATTGCGTACGATAGCAAAGACCATTTCCGTATGACCCGCGTCGAATATGTCAAGTGGCTTCTTCGAGTCTCGGAAGACCTTTGGGCCTATCACGACACCATCTTCCGCAATCTCCCTATCTTCCTTCTCGTGAGTCAGCCTCCTCTAGATGGGCGTGCGTTTGTCACAGACCACTCTCCAGGCTCCCCCCGCTCTGGGGGCCTTTGGAATAATCCGTGGAACATCCTGCGACTTCAGGGTCGATATTATGCAGCTCAGCACATCATCTTTAGGCCGTTCTTCGACTACCTGCTCTTGAATATGGACCATATCGAAACTCATCCGGATAAGGATGCCATCCTTCAAAAGTGCGGTCTATGCCTCGAAGGCTGTAAGGGATTCTTTTCTGTTTTTAACGTTGAAGAAGTAAACAGCGTTACTTGTCTGTTCGCAACTGGTATGGCGTAAGTACTATATACACACTCTCAGAAGCCCGTTCATCGAGCGAGCCTCCTCACTGAATATCTCTATCTAACTCTTTTAACGAACATTCACTTATCTGATAATCCTACGCGTTGCGACCGTGTGCCCTTTCCTCAAAGACGTCCTTCCCGGGGACGTTGAGCAAACAATAGCAGCTGGTCGAAGGAATCTTGCCATGTTTAGGCAAAGTATACCTGAGTTTGAGCATCACATAACGTTGCTTGACAGATTAGACTCAGCTTATAATGAAATAAATCGAGAAGATAACAGTGCGGTATGGGAGCCTCCGGACATCCATTACAGGTAGCTATAACAATATATTATCTTCACCATGGTGATTAGTCAAATCTGTAGAACCAACACCTAGTTAAAGAAAAGGGCAATCAGATTGCTTATGCTCCTATACGACCTGGAGCTAGCAGTTATTCTTAACTGAGATCCACTTACACAGCGATCGTAGTGAGGTAAGCCAATAGAATGGATGGATCTGGGATCCACCTATGCGAAATGCGACGTGCGAGATGCGATAAGCGGAGTGCGAAGTGCGAGTCAAAACCCACCGCCTCTACCATGTATATAATATCCCTATTGGCCTCATAACTTACGTACTTAAGGCAGACAGTTTTGTTTATTTATATCATTCTTGTATTCTCTTCCATCTTCCCTTGGCCTTTTATCCCCAATCCTTCCTTGGCAACTCAGACCTCCCTTATACTTTTTACCATGGCCAACAACCCCTGGACTTATGACCCCAACCCTGCGGCTGCTATTATCTTTCTTCTTCTCTTTACTATCGCTACTCTCTGGCATGCGGTTCTTATGTTTACAAGAAGAACCTGGTATTTTACCCCCTTTATTATTGGTGGTGCCTGTATGTCCCCCACCCTTTATACCTGTTTCTTCCACTAACCACATTCGACAGTCGAGATCGCCGGCTATGTAATACGTTATCTCGGCAGCAAAGACCTTGAAAACCTCACATTCTTTATTATACAGACCCTTGCCATCCTTGTCGCACCCGCGCTCTTAGCAGCGTCTATTTACATGGTCTTGGGTCGACTGGTGATCCTCGTCCGCGCAGAGGCCTACCTTCCGGTGCGGCCAACTTGGCTGACAAAGATCTTTGTGGGCGGAGACATCTTATCCTTTATCATCCAGATTGCCGGTTCGGGCATGTTGTCAAGCAACTTGAGCTTGGGCAAGGCTATCATCCTGGTCGGCTTGGCCATCCAGCTCATCTTCTTCGGCCTGTTCGTACTTTCCGCCACCCTCTTCTATCGACGACTGGATGCAAACCCGACACCCACGACCTTTCGGCTAGACGCGTGCAGCAACAAACGTGGATGGAGAGGAGTGATGTGCGTCCTGTTCGTTACCAGCGCCTTGATCTTCATCCGGTCTGTTTTTCGCTTCGTTGAGTTCACGGGAGATCACGATTCGCCTATGATGACTAGCGAAGCCTACATCTACATCTGTGACTCTCTCTTGATGTTTGGTGTCATGTCGGCTCTGCTTTACATCCACCCGTCCGAGTATATCCGGGCCCCCAAGGATATGAATTCGTTAGAGGGAGAGGAGCTGTGAGGGGTAATTAGCGACCAAAAGGTGGGAATGGTGGGACGCGAGACTGGATATTCTTATGATAGACAAAATCGCAAGACATGCACTGGCAAGGAAAGGGCCCGAAGGTTTTTCTTTTGTTTTTTTCTTTTGTTTTTCTTTTGTCTTTCTTTTATCGATTTATCATCCATTAGGCATAAATACAGCACTGGAAGCATTATAGACAGCTTAGCAACAGTTCGGTCAACGCCTCACGACCTTTAACATGCAAAACCATCTTGGGTAACACTATGCAATCTTCCCACTCCGGTCCCAACTTGTCGGCTATAATCTCCATATCGTGAGTGACAAGACCATCATACACCCAAGTGCAAGGCAGCAGGCTGAATACGGCTAAGTAGTGCGAGAGGATGACTAACGCACATGGCCTCTCTTGCCGTGCAAATTCCAAAAATCTGGGCTCTATCATATCGAAGGCCCATGATTTGATCTGCTTTGCAAGCCATAGATGATCGCGGGGCGACTCCAACGCCGAGATGAGCCAACTCACCTCCGTTGCGGCTCTATGGAGAGTCTTGAGACATATCTCGTCGCCGTGGATGCTCCGATCCCTTTGGACCGCGCATTGCATGCCGCTAGCCATGCGGTCTGATTCTGGTACATCATTGAATGACCCGTATAAGCTGGCACCAGATAGGTTCCACGCCTGACCCTCTGCGACATTTGCCTGTAGACGAATGTTCCGTCGCCCGTGGGCAAGCGTTAACCAATTGTTCAGCCATAAGCCGGATTGCTGAGATACTCGATCTGTGGCGAAAGAGACGGTCGCAAGCAAGACGGACGCGCCTCTCGCCGCCGCGACGTTTGAGTCAGTCATATTGCTGATGGCTTGGCGCAGTGTGCGTAATGTTTGGTCTCGGTAGACGTAGATTGGAAGGGTCTGAAGGGTTTCTGGTTCCGTGCAGCCGAGATGGACCATGGCCACAAGGAGGATGGCGTCCATGAGAAACTCATGCTGGTAGGCAAGGCGCGGAAGTTCAACCTTTAATATTGAGGCGATATCCTGTGAAAATTCGGCGGCAAAGCTCTCGGCCGTGGAGATACAATAATGGTGCATCAGGCGAAGATCGAGAAGGTGCTTTGCGCCATAATTTGACGCTACGGCCGTCTCATCGACGGACGGTGAGGCCAATATTGGCTCGGCAGTGCCCTGTGTTTCCGTAATGGCAGTGGCAGCATCCGAAGCAGGACTACCTCGACTCTGGGACGTCGCCGGGTGGCTTAAAGAGTCATAGAAGCACTCTTCTCCTCGTCGGGTGCAGCCGGCACACTGTGGCTTGGCTTCATCGCACTTGACATGATGCCATGTTAGTCTCGGTCAGGGCTGGGGTGGGTATCTGGCTTGCCTTGACCCGTCGCAGCTTGCATCCAGCGCAGCCCGTTCGAGACTTGCGATGGAAGCGTATGGTATGCGCCATTGCAGGAACTCAATTTGAGTGTTGTGTGCTGCGGGGTAGATATACAGATACACGCACAAGAGGGAGGCAAAAGGCGGGGTAGCTACGAGCTACAAAGTTTTACCAAACTTTGATAAGCTCTGATGGCATTGTTTTCTCACATCTCTACCACGCTTCAGAAATATTCCTCTTCAATTCTTCTCTTCCATTCAATTCAACCTCACATCCATCATTCAGATACACCCATTATAACCGCTCCAGTAGGTGCACCTGGAACCTGGTATTCTCTAGACTTCCTGGAAATCTTAGGCCTGCAGGTAACTTATACTCCTTTTCATGGCCACCTTCGACAAGTTTCCTCCATGCAGGCTGTTCTTCCTCCTCTGAATCTGTGCTCTTAGGAGGCAGCAGAGCTTGGTAAAATAGCCACTCGAGTGGGTATTTCTTCTCTTGTCCTTCATTGCTACTCTTAGGTAGCGCGGCTTCAGCCCCGGGGCTATCCACAATAAGCAATAGACTTCCTTTGGGTACTGTGGAAGTCAATTTCAATAGAAACGCCGAGGTTTTAGATATTGAGATCGAGTAGAGTTCGTGGAGCGTATAGAAGAGGGTGATAAGTGCCGGGTCAGGCCCAATCATCGCACGCAGATCTGTATCCCCGCTTTCGAGAATGTCTACATGGTTGACTGATAGGTTTAAGGCGTGAGATGGAATAGCGGATATGTTTGCAGCGTGCGCCTTGGCCGTTGCATATTTGGGAAGAGTAGGAGTTGTTGTGAGAGTATGTTGTAGTTTTGTGACAATCCCTGACCAGACGTGTCTATCAATGAGGTTGAGATCAACCATGGCACTGCCGTTGTGATCAGGGTCGAGGTGTGAGGTCGTGATAGAAATACCATCTTGCGTTGTCGCATTGGGAGAAGATAACTCTGGGCGGGAAATTGCGTCGAGTTTGCTTTGATGAGAGTGCTTTAGTAATGCCACACATGCTAATAAGTCGGATCCTCCCCGACCAATGCATACGACCTTCGATGGCTTTTGTCCATTATTTTGCAAGAACTGTTGTGCCCATACATTATCTTTCTTCTCACTGCAAATCCAAGCTAACACATTCGCAAATGCCAGAGCTCTACTAGGGCTCCAGCGGATTGTATATGCCTCCAAGAACTCCTCGGTCCCGAATGCTTTGCAGTAGTCCTGTTGCTCGAGGGCTTCTCTGACCTCGCGTAATACTGGTATCAATGCATTGAATTCGTCGACGGCAGGAAAGGTAGTTCTAATGGTGTCAAGAATGAGTTGCTGATGTTGGACAGAGAGACTCTGGATCTGTTCTATCGAGCTAACATCCTTTACTGCTGTAGGCGTCTGTTTGGTGGTTTTCCGTATATAGCTTGGTCCAGTCCACCCCGGACGGCGGACTGGTGGTGCAACCGGTGCCCTAGATGCGCCGCTGGATAATGGTTTCCCGTGCTTTGGCTGTGATTGTGCATTGCGCTTAAACTTGGTCATGGTGAAACCTTATAGTGAAATTAATGTTTGACTGTTTTAGGGTAACTGGGTACCAGCTCAGGTGTAAGGATTGTGGTTAAATGAGATATTATTTGTGAAGAAAAAAACTAGGAAAAACAACATCCGGTTCGGCAAAAGTAATTTCCGACACCTAGTGGCAGCCATAGGAAGAGCTGCATACTAACAGCGCTGGTATCAATTATTCAGGTTTTTATTAGCAGTAAAAACAGATATCTTAACCAAATTTCCCTTTAATGGCCTAAGGTACTGTAGTATCAGTACCTATAATATTTACACATTCTTAATGCGTGTTATTTAGTGGGTAGAAAATCTATAGGAAAGCTCTTTGCCATACAATACTAGACGTTAGTGGAAGTGCACTAGTATGACTTGCGTCCTTGTGATGGAAAGATTTTGAAGAGTAATAACACAAAGGTTTTGCTTAGCTGTGCGATATAGGCTAGACGAAGAGAAAAGGAAATTGGGAGGACGATACTCTCCGGGCGATTCATATCTGCGGGGGTGCCGCTTGGAATGGTGGCTTGCGCTTATGTTTGCATCTAAGACAAATTAAATTGTCGAGATTTTACCACGGAGATGGGGTAGCTTCTCCAATCTAGACTAGATGCGGGGATACACTTTGGAATGTCAACCTGCTCCTCGTGTTGAATTCAACGGCGGCCATTATACTTTCTAAATGTTTTATATCGAGAAGGCCTGGAACTCGCAATACTAGTTTGTAAGAGGTGGGAAAGGGTCGCATGTGCGACACATACCGTTACCAGCTAGAGGGAATGGAAAGTCCCTGCAACAATCATCTGATGGGCCCATGAAGTTCGTGTGTGTTGCGAGACAGAGTTTCATAGCAAAGGTCAAAATGGCCTTCGACCGAGGAAGATGCCGCACTCAATTAACCGAGACCAAATGGGCTAATGGATTACCAACCCCCCAGTGACATAACAGCAGAAGACGACTAATAACAACGCAATAACAATGCAAAGGAGCTTCGCTGAATTATAAAAGAGTTGGATAGTCCCCGTCTTTCGGGATAGATCATCAGACTTCCAGGATAATCAACCACATCAACTTTTCATTTCTTTCAACATTATTAAACATGTTCCGTACTGCACTCTTTGTTCTTGGGGTGTGCTATCAAGCGCAAGCATGCTCCCGCGTAACATACGAGGCGAGCAATGATCGCATCGTTGTTGGTCGGTCCATGGACTTTGTCGCCGAGACGAACACGACATTCCTTGCTTACCCAGCCGGGTTGAAACGCACTGGCAGCAGTGTCGAAACGAATGGATACAACTGGACCTCTAAATATGGCTCCGTCACGGCTCTTATGTACAACAGAGCACATATCGATGGCGTGAATGAGAAGGGTCTCACAGGAAGCTGCCTTTACTTGGACGACAGTGTTTACGAAAAGCGCAACAACAAAGTTCCCAGTATGTGGGTTGGACACTGGTTGCAGTACTTTCTCGACCAGTATGCTACCGTCGAGGAGGTGGCAAAGGCTGTCTGCCCCGGCCGCGGAAAATCGCCATTTCAAGTCGTTCCCACGGCCCTCGTACCTGGTGTCAAGTCCGCCGGTCATTTGTCATACAGCGATCCATCTGGAGACAACCTTATCATGGAGTATGCCAAGGGCGCATTGACATGCTACCACTCGACGAACTATACCGTCATGACGAATGAACCTACATTCGATCAACAGCTCGCAATCAACAGCTATTGGGCTCCAATTGCCGATTCGGCTCTTCCAGGAACTTCAAGACCTGCTGGTTAGTCTTGAACCAACCCTAACATTACAACTCTTGATAATCTTTCTAACCTGAGTCCTATAGATCGCTTTGCCCGACTCTCCTACTACCTCTCAGAAATCCCCAAGACAAAGTCACTACCAACGGCCATTTCGTACGCCGCAGGAATGATTAGGGCTGTTAGCGTTCCCATCCCTCAAGTTATCAACGCCAAGCCCGGAGCGGGAGCTGCAGATATTTGGCCAACTTTCTGGCGTATTTTCACCGATCTCAAGGATTCGACGGTTTTCTACGAGTCCGCTTCTGGTCCTGCGCTGTTCTGGTTTAGCTTGAAGGACTTTGATCTCTCAACAAAGGGTACCACAATGATTCTGGATGTTCAGGCTGCGCCGTGGGAGGACCGCGTGGGGGATGTTTCTAAGCTTTTCAAGAAGGCTACAAAGAAGCAATGCGCAATGGCAGATACACAATGCTAGATCAAAGTTACATACATTCTTAGGTTAGCATTCATACTTGTCTATACTAGACTAGAGAAGGAAGAAATTAATTTAGTTGATACTAATGTCGAGTCTGGTATTATCTTGGCAAAAGAGGTTAGGGTGTAAAACGCCCTTATCTACTGAGGCTATAGGTCCCTCTCCACACTTTAACTAACCTACTCGAGCTAGGGAACCTACAAGACGGGAAGGAGACTGCTGAAGTTAAAATCGTCGGGGAAATCCATAGACGTAATATAGAGTTTTATACTGAAGGTCAAAAGGTTCTAGCCGTGGAAGCAGCCGCAATGAATTGGCCGAGATCACATGACCAAATCTCCTCTGGTGAGATGGGAATCGGATGAAAAGTCCCCCAGGGACATCCACTTTGCATTCGACGATAGTAGTGTCTTTATTCTTCCTATAGAGGGGGTAACGAAATAACAGGATATAGTTAGTAATTCTGTGAAACCACCAACTGAGTTTTACCAATCTGGTCAGTATTGTAGGAAGAAAGTAGAGTAGTTAATACCAGAGGATTTTTAAATTCAACTACATTTAGGAATCCGGAGTAGTGAATTAGTTTCATGATGGGAACAGGTAAGGCAGTGTCAGCTTGCATTTGGCATATAATTCATAAGCCCCATGAAGGAATATAATGACAATCCGACATCACAGCCTGGCGACCAACGGCGAAAAGCAATCCTCTTATAAAATAGGTAAGGTATGGGAATTCCAGACCTTAATTGTACGAGCGGGTTTCTCGATCATTACTGCTGGTAGTAATAACATTAGGGTCCCCGATCTAGATTACATCTGTCTCAGATCAAGCATGGATTTTCTGATCCATGGGGAATACGCAGGAGGGACTGCACCGGCGCAACACTCGAAGTGGCGTGATGCGTGTTGCGGTGTCTGAGACATATTGCCTCTCAAGTGAAATTTGTGACATTTCATCTGAAGGGAGACACACAACCCAACCAGTCGAGTGCCCTTTAGTCAGTCAGGTGTGAAACAACGTTAGATGTCAACAGCTGAGTGGATTCCATAGTCATAGTTGCATTGGTTGTCATAGCATGATAGCGAGACATTTCTGGGTATAACATGCAAGTGGCGCGGAAACATTGTCATTGACTATTCCCTTGGGTTACACAGTCAGGGAGGTTTCGGCACTTTTATCTCCACATTATGAATCTGGATGTGCAAATGAAGGACCAGACCACTCCAATGATAAAAGTTAAAACTCTTAATTATATATAATGGTAAGATTTTGAGTATTTATATATGCTTTAGAGTTGTACATAGTACAAACATTAACGATTGACATTCAAGGAAGTAACGATCTGATTTATATACCTGGCTTTTAATCTAGAAGGCATGAAAGTGAATATCGGGGAGGTGTCAAGACCAGTATTATATAGGGTCATAGAAGAGACTTTCTAAGTCATTAAAAATACCTGTCAATCCAGGACTGCCAGGAAATCGGAAGGTTACCACAATTAAAATACAGATTTATTTGGGCATGTGCCAATACTTAAGCCTCAAAGCCAGGCTGTTCTCCTCATTGGCGATCTGGCTGAGACGGTCTGGAATGATCTGGTGATGAATAGTTAAAGGCGCCTCGCCTAAAACCAAGTTCATATGAACCCTTCTGTCACTGAGGCTGGCTGACGATCCCTCCCAATCCTGTCACCGCTCAGATACAAGGCCCCCTGCATAAGCGTGGAAATTAACAAGCAGTCACATTAAGCACTCCAGCTACATGATCCTTGGTATATATGCTCTACCAACCCAGCGAGATCTAAGATCAGTAGATTACAACGTGGTATCAGCCCTGCCAGGCCTTCGCAGTTGTTTTTACTCTATTGGCTTTTATGAATGTCAGACCTCTGTTGGTTCCGTTGGCGTCCGTTCGCTCGGAACACTACTACACTGGGGCGACATATGACTACCGGTCAGCAGATGTTTCAATCTGTTGGTGGCAAGTCTCTATCAGTGTCTCCAAATGAAATGAGTCAATGGTCCAGGTATTTTACCGCTCGCGTGGGAACTCTGCCAAGATCAAAGTTTGTTGGATACTAACCTTATTATTAAATATTCGATACAGCTCGGATTAAAACTGCAAACCCACTAATTACTATTTTAGCTATCACTTGGATCTTATTACTTACTTTGCATTGAGATTGACTATCTATAATAAGACATTCCTGTCCCATGCAGAGAATTGAGTCATAGGGTCATTACCTGTAACCACAAACAGGCAATCCCATATTACTGGACAGAAACAGCCAAGTCTTATGTGGTTATTAAACGGGCATGCCCCAACCATGATATGATCTTTCTTGCTTCTGTTTCAAAGACACAAAAACATTCGGCCCACCCAACTAGCACGTGCATGTATCTCGATCAGGAGAAGAGACCTGTCAATCTGGCATCTCTCCAACGGTTTTCGGGGCTGAGGGTTTCCACATTCTTGAGATCAGCGAGACAATAGATCGAGCCTCTCATTCTCAGCGCCGCCACCTTGGATGCAATTCAGCCAACATGTGTCTCTGATGTCTCAAGGCGCAAACCAATTACCGGTGTTTGTAGGAGATGTACAATTCTATTATGATCCCTACATATGCTTACAATTTCCCCGGTTACAGCTGTCATCGTTCATTTCGAGCATGCTTCTGGATGATCTATAAGATAGGAATAAATCACTTAATTTGGCCATATCATCAACCTACCACGACTCTAATGTTAGTAACAAGCTAATTAATATGGCTCATCCTCAAAATATGGGCTGGCGCGCCCTACTGGCTACCACCCTCATGACAACCTTAGTACACACATACCCCCATCACAACAACCCAGCCAAAATCCCCTCTCGATCAACACATGTCCTCTTCGTCGACACATGCCCTCTCCCCAACATCTGCACGTCAGGAGGCTGTACCAACACAACAATCGGACTCGATCCGGCCAATTGTGGCAAGTCCGGCAACTCTTGTGAAGCCGCTGAGATCTGTGTTGCTGGCGAATGCCTTCCCATAGCTCTCGGGTCGGATCCAACAAAATGCGGCTCCAAGTCTGACGCTTGCAGGCCTGGACAATGGTGCAATAATGGCGAGTGTTCTCCCATCTCCATCTCAGCTAACCCTGCCATTTGTGGCAAAGAAGCTTGTGGTCCTGGATCTCTTTGCATTCAAGGCACATGCTACACCATTGCGATTGGCTCAGATCCTACCTCTTGCGGATCGTCCGATATAGCCTGCGACGCTGGAAGCTGGTGTCTCGACGACACATGCGTTCCCTTCATCCTCGGTACCAACGTCCAATCCTGCGATGAGACTGCTCCATGTCCCCTTGGCGCGTCATGCGAGGGCGGGTATTGCCGACAAGTCTCTATCTCGACCGATGTTTACAACTGTGGGGATGCGGCTGAGAGCTGCTCTGCTGGTCAGCTCTGTGTTTCAGGGCGATGCCAATCTCTTGGGATCACACCAGATGAATATCAGAGTGCGGATTGTGGCTTGTCAGAAGGACCCTGCGAACCTGGCTCGTTCTGCTTGGAGGGTACTTGCACGTCCATCATTATCACCACGGACCCCTCGCAGTGCGGCGATAGTCCTAAACCATGTGGTGGCGATGAGATTTGCATCTCGGGCCACTGTGTCGGCGGCTTGACCGAACAGCCCAATACCCAAGAGACTACTTGTGGTAGCCAGACTATAATCTTTAGCTCCCGCGAGTCAGTTGTGTACGAGTCTGGCAGGGACCGAAACGGAAAAGGGTCATCTGGTTATACTTCTGGACAAGGCAGTAGCGGTGGTCATGGTTCTTCTGATGGTGCTACAGGACAAAATGGTAACAACGGATATGGGTCTCCATCTGGTGACGGTTCATATGGTCCAGGATCAGGCTCCAACTCTGAAAACAACAACGGCTACGACCATGGCCACGGCTCCGGTGGCAACAATGGCGGTACTGGCTATTACATCATTGGTCGCCCACTTCCAGGCCCAACCTGTGATGCAGGTTGTACCCAAAACGAGGTCTGCATCTTTGGAAACTGTCTCTCCATCTCAGACCCCTTGTCCTGTGGGCCCTCATCCAATCGTCTCGCCCGTCTCTTCCGTCGTCAGTCTGAGGTCTGCCCTGCAGGTTTTGCCTGTATTGATGATCAATGTGTCCGAGTCGATGGACCTACTAGCTGTGGTGACATTGAGTGCCCTGGTGGATATGCCTGCATTGAAGAAGCCTGTGTTCTTCTTGGAGACCCCACAGATTGCGGCGGTGAGACTTGCTCCAGCAACGAGATCTGCTTGGGTGATACCTGCATAGCAAATGCGGGTCTGGCCAGTTGCAGTGACGTCGATTGCCCTGATGGTCAAACATGTCGAAACGGAGCCTGTTTTTCCATTGAAGATTTTAGTCCTGTTACTGCTAGTCCTGAAGGATCCGGCGGAAGACCTGGCAACGGCGGTTCTGCTAATGGTGGCTCTCCCGACGGTGGTGACGGTGCCTCGCCTGGAGACAACAACGGTAGCAGTCCCTCCTCTGGCTCTGAAGGAATCGCACCAGGCCTAGCCTCACCGACAACCGATGAAACCAACCAGACAGGTAGACCAGAAGGGAACGGTGATAATGGCAGCACTACAGACTCCCGCCCTGACAACACAAGAAGTCAGGGAGACTCCAGTACATCAGCCAGTACCGCTGTAAGCGATCAAGCACCCATCGTCAATCCCGGTCCAGAGACAACAGGCACAGACGAACTGCTGTCTTCCACTACAAACGTCGCAGGCTTCCCCGAAGGTAACGGAGGGTCCACAGCCGTCCTACCAGTTGATGGTGGTGTCTCTTCCACGGGTGCCTCGCCTGAGGGCACAGGGACCAGTGCAAGGAGTAGTAACTCTTCTCCCACAGACTCCTCGACTGGCACCACAGAGACTGGTGCTATTACCAGTGACGTGGCTCCTGTTGTCAATTCTGGCACAGACTCAACTGACTCGGCATCTTCTACTGTTGTCACTGATGCTTTGCCTATTACGAATATTGGCCCCGATACAACGGGATCCTCGGACGGAGTGTCCACTTCATCTGACGCGAATCTAACTGGAATACCAGAGGGCAACGGGCGCTCTACGACTACAGGCAATGATGACACAGATACTACTTCTACAGGCAACAGTGATACAAATGCAACTTCGACAGCAGCCGCAACCCCGGAGAATACAACTGCAGGAAACCCGGCTACCACTCAAGACACCGAGACCTCAGCAACCGAACAATCTACCGCTGAGACTACCCCTAGTGATGGAGATCCTACCACCACTGACCAGCGCACCACCGCTACTTCCACAGAGTCCGAGCCAGCTGCCACGACAACGGGTATTGCTTGCACCACAGACGATGACTGCCTGGCTGACCTTGGACTGTGCGTGGATGGTCTCGTCAATCTCTGCGTGTGCGTAGACGCAGTTTGTGTTCTCGCTGATATCACCAACCCGGAGACTACCACCACTCAAACCGCTGGCAATACCGATACTACCACTGAGGAAATCCCAGAGGTAACAACCACTGCTGGTGATCCCACAACTACCGTCACTGAACCAGCGGCAACCACAACTGCAGTGGCTTGCTCTACAGACGATGACTGTCTGGCTGACCTCGGCTTGTGTGTCGATGGTCTAGTCAATCTCTGCGTCTGCGTGGATGCAGTCTGTGTGCTAGCAGATGTGGCAGCAGACACAACTACAACTGCACCCGCAGCTACAGAAACCGCAATCACCTGCTCAACAGCCGATGATTGTCTAGTTGACGTTGCTCTATGCTTAGACGGGCTCCTCAACTTGTGTGTCTGTGTCAATGGGGCCTGTGTATTGCAACAGGGAGGAGGCGTCGACGACGGCGATGCTTGCACACAAGACTCCGACTGTGCCAATGCAGATTCTATATGCCTTGACACTGGTGTCTGTGGGCCTGATCCAAACCAAAACAACACACCTTGCAGTACAGACGACGATTGCATTGCCAACGTTGCGCTCTGTCTCGTCGAAGGCTTGAACTTTTGTACTTGCGTTGACGAAGTCTGTGCGCCAGGAGGAGGAGGAGCAGGAGGCGGTGATGATGGCGACCCCTGCACTCAAAATTCTCAGTGTACCACTGCAGGCTCTATATGCCTTGATACTGGCGTTTGCGGGCCTGATCCAGACAACGGCATTACAGGTTGCAATACAGACGACGACTGTCTTGGCGACGTTGATCTTTGCGTGAATGGTCTGCTCAACCTATGCGTTTGCGTCAACTCTGTCTGTGAAGTACAATTAGGCGGTAGCGATGGGGACGCTTGTGATACAGATTCTGACTGTACCACTCCTGGATCTGTCTGTCTTGCTGTTGGTGTTTGCGGACCTGATACAGACGACACAGCTTGCGACACAGTAGACGACTGCGCTACCAATGCCGTTCTTTGCTTGGATGGGCTACTCAACATCTGCAATTGCGTCAATGGAGTGTGTGAGCCTGCAGCTGGTGGCGGTGGAAACGATGGCGATGCCTGCGATGTGGACTCTGATTGTACAACTCCTGGGTCTATCTGCCTCGGTACTGGTGTCTGCGGCCCTGATGTGAACACGGGTAATGCTTGTGATACAGCTGATGACTGTACCGCTGATGCAGCTTGCTTGGATGGACTACTCAACATCTGCGTGTGCGTCAACGCTGTTTGTGTCCCAGCCGGAGGTGGAGTTGGAGGTAATACCGGCGATGCTTGCAGTGTTGATTCCGACTGCACCACCCAAGGAGACGAGTGTAACAACGGCATCTGTCAGGCCCCCGGGGGAGGCAACAGCGACAGTTGTGCCGATGCAACTGACTGTCTCCTCTCTGCCAACCCTGTCTGCGTACTTGGCTTATGCGTTTGTGTCGACGCAGTCTGCGCCGCGGACCCCAATCTCCAGACCTGCAGTAGTGCCGCTGACTGCAACAATGGACAATCCTGTCAGAGCAATGTTTGTGTATCAGGTGGAGGACAACCTGAGTGCGCAGTTCGGGCAGACTGCACTGCTTTGGGTGGTATATGTGGATTGGTGTTTTGCTTGTGTCTTAACGGACAATGTGAGGCTGCCGGCTAGAGATGAAGTCAGCAGAGACTATAGGGGTGGTTGCATTCTTGTATATACTTTGGACGCATGGCGCTATAACAAGTTCTGGAAATAAATGGTTCTCAGTTAATGGAATGTCTCTTTACGAAAACCTGCCACCTCACCATGTTGTCATCAGCATTGTCATGTTAACAGTATAACCTTTTTTTGGTAATCTATTTCATACATTTCATAATTATTTAAATCAAGTCAGGCTATTGGCCCTTTCGCTCTGCCACCTTTGGATTCCGCTCATACCTCCACTTCTTGCTATTATCTTGCACATGCCAACGGGTCATGAAAGCACCCTCTTCCACCCACTCAGCCCAGTCAGCTCCCCATCTCTCCTCGACAGCTTCTAAAAATGCAGTATAGTCAAACGCCTGCACGGCGTTCTCTTCTAATGGATCGACTGAGATATCACTCAGTCGCCACTCAGTGTTATCGATCAAAGGAACAACGAGATGACGTGATGGGAAGCGGGCGTCCCGGATGTTGAGCATGGCTCGTCCTGGGTTGACGACAGTAAACTGCCACAGTCCCTGACCAGTTTTGTTGTTGTTCACTTCGAGGGGTCTCAAGAGAGACTGTCCCTCGTAGTTGTGCATGAGATCTGTCGCAGCCTGCTGACTGACTCCTTCCAAGGATCCAGTCTCCAACAGCAGATCAAGGATAGTAGGCAGAACCTGAGTAGAATGGACAGCGTCGTGAACATCGAAAGCGGGGAGTAGCGGATGTGAGAAGACGAGCGGCACGTGGTCGGCTCCAACGCTGGGGTTGTAATAGGGCGAAGCCTTGCCATTCTCAACCAGCGATACACCGTGATCTCCAAGGAAAACAATCAGGGTCTCGTTAGCCACTCCCTGCTCGTCCAGAAGGTTCAACACCTTGCGGATCCATTTATCATCGTAGCTCTCAGCGTTGACGTAATCAGATAGCTCCTTGACTTCTTTACCTGAGCCCAGCTCAACCTTTTTCTCGCCAGCAGGCAGTCCATAGTTGTGATGGCTCGTGCTTGTGATATGTGTGAGGAACACCCGGCCGTCGTTCTTCTCAGCATCAACAAACGCATCGCGGATGTACTCCTCAAGAGGATCCTCCTGGAAACCAAAGTAGTTGATATCTTCGTGCGTCACAGCGCCGTGAGTTGCGTTCTCGCTGCGGAGATAATCTCGGTCCACGGTGTTATTCTCGGGGAAGCCCATAGTGGCCATGAGCTTGTCGTGGTTGTCATAGTGGATGGTGGCAGTTTGGTAGAAGTAGGACTTCCACTTTGAAGCCAATGAATCTGCTTTGTTCATGGCCTCAAAGATTTGAGGGAGACAGGGTTGGTAGATGTGGCGTTTGTAATCGAGGTTGAAGTCGGCGATCAAGGGGTTTATTCCGCAGATTGTACCGACCAAGCTCTTGAGGGTGTAAGTGGCGGATGTGTAGGCGTTTGTGAATCGGGCTCCTCCGCGCTTGGGCTTTTCCTTGTGTTCGAATCCATCGTTGTAGTCGCCTGTGACATAGTTGGCGGTGGGTGTTGATGTAGACAGCTTTTCAACCGCCTGTCGAGGAATCTTGTGGTCAGAGAATGATTCCTGGAGCTTGTTCCAAATGGCGCCATCCTTCTTAACAGGGAAGACGTCGTCCCTAGTACTTTCGAGTAGGAACAACATAACATGCTTCACGGGAACGTCCTTTAGCTTGTCTCGCAGCTCTTTTAATAGTGGGCGGTCGAGGTTAGAGATCTTCATGGGATCTGAGGCAGCATTGTAGTGCATCTCGTCAGGGTTGTACCAATCCTCAAATCCAGACAGAGGCTTGCCCTTGGGAAGCCAGTTGAACTTTGGTGGTTCGGCCACGGCTGACTTTTCGTCCCATTCGTGTTGGATACCGACTTTGGTGAAGTGAGAAGGGAGCTGGTCGAGGAGTGGCGAGGTTGAAGACATATCGACGAAAGGGAGGAGACCAGTTGTCCACGAAAGGAAGATCAATGACCTATCGTTTGGTCTTTGCAGTGACAAGACCAACAAAGCAATGCCAAGGAGACACCAGGATAGGTAGGGAATACCGCGGAGACATCGCCTGATGGTTGATGGTTGCACTCGAAGTCCCAGTGTGTTGCGCATTCGCTGCGAGAGTCGAGAGTAGATGGTTTGCGATTTGGTGAATTCGGTAGAGTCTTCGTTGCTGGAGCTATCGTCCTCGTCGGAGTATTGGTTGTCGGGAATATCGACACTTTCGCGGGTAGGAAGAAGGCCGTAGAAGTTTCGCTTCCTCAAGAAGCGGCCAATTGCCCTTGACGCAAAATTAAAAGGGAAGGCAACAATCTGGGCGCCCCAGCCCAAAACCTCGTAGCAGGCATTCTGCAATAGCCAGCTGATCGAGACCAACACTGATACCACCAAGATCAACGTGACGAGGCCCGAGAGGAAGATGGCTCTTGATGTAGGATCAGAAACAAGGCCGATATTTGTCCAGTGGATTTCGGATCCAGCAACAAGGTAGAAGGTGACTGAGATCACAGAAAGGGCGACATTGTACACTATTAAAAGACTAGCCAGCGCAGTCGTGGCAAGCTGGACCAAGTTTGCTGTGAAGAACCACGGATCGAGGAGGAGTCTGATTAATAAAAGTACGAGAATATCCTGGATGAAAAATGTGCCGAAAAAGGTGAAGAGTCGAGAAGGAGCGACGGCATTTCGGTGGCTGTGGATGTGCGCCAACTTGGCTGTGAAGATGGCTAACACGGTAAATGTGTAAATAAATCTGCGGTTGGCAAGTCGAGATGTAAACCTCGATAGCCAAAGAGGTGAGTAGCCCATGTTGGCTGGCTATTAAGAAAGTAAATAAGTAAGAGAAAAAGACAAGGAACAGGGCCGTGCAGGCCAATGAAGGTGAAGTAGTAAGAGACACAAGAGAGTGAATGTCTTGGGGCCAAGAGTCTACAGATGCAACATAGTCAACCGCTTCTATTGCTTCCAGAAAAAAATAAAACGGAAAATCAAAAGTGGAGATAAGATCAGTCAAATGCTGGGCGAGCAGGTGTCATTATAAACTCGGCCACGGCACGGAGTTGCCATATTGCCCATCGTCCATAGCCGCAATCCCTTAATTAACAGCACATGCCAGGTCCAATTACACCAATTACACGGCCCTCTCTTAGGTAAAAAAGGACACGGAGAACTGGGGGATCGTGTGCGCTGTTTCCTTTTGCGCTGTTAGCCCGGCCCTGAATCCATTTCTTCAGCGGGCTCATTTCGTATTCCGGAGCTCGGCACCATTTGCTGACCCCGAAGAGCCTGTGATTGGCCGTGGAAGGCTGCGCTAGTCGAAATATCGATGCATTAGCCACTAACCAAATGCTCTCGTGTCAGGCCGAGGACCCGAGGGAGGAGGGTGAAGGAATAGTCCATATTTAGATTGGTCAATAGGCCACTCTTTCCCGTATAAAATTACTCGTTTATTTCCTTCACCCAAGGATCCTGACAGCCAAGACATCTCGTGCCTGACGCCGCAACCGAGCTCAGGTCGAGCGGGCCAGGACCCCCCCATAAATAGGGGGCATCCGTTTTAATGACAGAAGGTTTCTGTCCGCCCTTCTAGAAAAAAATACACAGACTTTTTTTCTTTACGCGCCGTTTGTTCTTGTGCTGACACCTGCAGCGCTTGCCTTTACCAGCACTAGCTACACGGGCAAAGCCTTGACAGCGTGTCCGTGAGCTGATGCAGCATAGCCTCAGGAGGATTTACAGCTAAGGCATCCACCTCCCTGGAACCAATGGACGCGCTTGGGTACTCTCGTATTGACGTCACGTGTGTGCCCCCTTTTCGGTGATTTCCCAGTCTAGACCTCACCGAGTAATGAGTCGCCTGTGGTGCTAGTTGAAGCGAGAATAATTAATTTGGTCACATCTTGCATACGGACAGACAGACGGGTGGAAGTCTTGAACACTCATGATATTTCCCGTCAATTGTAGAACACAACCCTGGTCTGCACCGTCACATCGCTCATTCTTGGCTTGCCTTACTCTTGAACATTCCTGAGATCTACACCATATGCATAGCCCTCAAACAGCATTGAGAATGCCGCTAGAATTTTGGTAAACAATTCGCCTCTAAGAGTCCAAAGTCATATTGAGGCTTTACAGCCATCATCGGCACCTGGGATCCGTGATGTGCGGTCTGCAGGGTAGGCCGACTTGCTGACGTGAGATTTTCAATTGGGCAAACTTGGCAACTTGGCAAACTCAGCCCTATGACCATGCTCACAAAACGCAGTGGCTGGTTTCAGTGCAGCTTGGCAAGTGTAACCATGATTTACGCAGCTGTCTCGAATCTGACCACAGCCATTCTTGTACTTATATCTCCTCAGTGAATTTAAGAGAAATATTTCAAGCTTGACTGAATCTTAAAACGCGAATTAGTAACTCACATAAATCCTTAAGATAATGTAGACATAGAATCTTACCATTTGGAGATTGACAAAGGGAAGTGTCGTTTTTTGGCGTCAGCTCTAAGAAAGCTTCGTATTTAACCCTTCTATTTTAGCTACTATACAAGCTTATTCAATCAGTAATTAATCATATTATTTTCTCAGTTCAGGTAATTCATCTGGATACAATATTACAGGAATCTGTCTCTGCTGGTATAGGGTAACTGCGCTGTCAGCAAGTCAGTATTCGGAACAATGTTACCCCGCCATTAAATTATCACAGTGAGATTTTATCCATTGAATCCTTCGTGCTAAAAGACTAACCTCATAAGGCTGAGTAAATCGGCTAATTGTGGATAAAGCTCTGTCACTGGAAATTACTGAATTCTTGGCGTGTCAGGTTAAATGTAAATTAACCGCATAGAGTCCCTTTCAGCGTCAAACTTTTGAATCTTTACTTCTCACGTCATTCAGTACCAACGCTTTTATGCGCAACGCTCGTTACAACACATTATTATTCGTTCCAGTACACTGTCACTCGTTCAAAACACCATTCGCCTAAACTGTCTATTTTTAGTCTCGCTCATCACGGTCAGAGTACAATGCGCTTCTCATCTTCTATCGCGGCCTTTGTTGCCCTCGCTGGAGTCTCCTCAGCAAACCCCAACGGCTGGTCCAAGACCAAAGAGGCGCCAGATAGCCCCAAGAAGCTGGACGACTGCGGCTGCTGGCCCATTTATCAGGCTATGCTGCGGTGCCAAAAGCTCAAGGGCCCCAACGCCAACACCGACGACTGCGTGTGTATCGAGAACCCCGACGGCTGGTACACTTCCATGGATGGTTGCCGCAACTGTCTCACATTGGACTCGGATGAGGAGTTCTTTGAGAATATGTCTTATCTTGTTACGCAGTTGTTTGTCTCGTGTACCAACGCAGGAGGCGCTGTGACTAGCGATGGAAACAGTATCTGCGCCAGCAACTACTACCGTGAAGCGTGTGTGTCGCTCGGCACACACGGAAAACCTAGCTGGGCCAGCTACGAGGTGTTTAATTCGGACACAAAGGGTAACTCGTCATACGTTCTGGACATCTCAGAGTATGGCGCCGATGAGTCTACCTCCGCATCTACCAAGAGCACGGCTGTAAAGACGACAACAGCCACAACAGTTGCCATTACCGCTAGCACCGACGAGACTTCGACTTCTACTGTCACCACTACTGCAAGCACTGGAGAGTCTTCTCCAACTGGCAGCGCCACATCAGATGACGCCTCAGGTTCTCAGACAGCTGCTGCATCGGCTTCCACGGTCCCGTCCTCAGCTATGAGGCTTACAAGTACAAAGACAGTGGCAGGTTTTATCGGAGGTATGATGATGGCTGTGGTAGTTGGTGGTTTGCTCTAATTGTCATAATACGTATATCCTAATAATCATACATCATTATCATATCTTCGTGGCCAATCGTACTTTGTTCAATTCCCTGTGTCAACACATGTTTGTGGAAGACAGCCCATGGGAGTACCCATCGTCACCTATCTCTCCCATATTGCCCGTCAAAGGCGCCGTAGGATGTGCGCTACCTCGCGTCCAGTTCAGTCGTCGTAGGATCCTGCGCAAAAGTTTATAAGAAGACTTCGCTCCTTGAGATGTTGTTTGAAGCTGTTGCAAGATTGTCGCTGCCTCGTCAACTGCAAGTACCGCCTTATCTCCGTGCGGAATAGTCTTGGATTGGTCCTTGTCTAGAGTCGTGGATAGAAATGCTGCCGTGTCAAACAAACATAGCACCATAAGATGAAATTGTCCGTCTCCTTCTGATACCAGAGATGCCCATTGAGTGGCTGATTGCAATGCCTTCAGTGAATAATTTACAGCCTCCGCTAGTAGCTCTTGTGTCTCAGTCGGGGACAGATTAGTAGACGGACTTGAAAGGTAAGCTTTGTATGGTTGAAGAAGCATGAAATATGCCATAGTCTGGATGTAGTAGCGATGTGCTACTACCCACGGCCATGTGACATCATTTGATGTGTCGGGGTTATGGATCGAGAAGACAGACGGCAGGGAGGATATCCAATCATCTACCATGCCTTGATAGATCTTGATTTCAGAAGGCGAGTTGATATCTTGTGGTGTTTGCCACCGTTTGGCAAGAGAGGAGATGAGCTGATATTGCAACTTGGTATGGAGTGTGGGGGTTGATGCAGAGCTATTGAGATCAGACTGAAGCGGTTCAAGCTCTGGGTCGATATCAGGCATAATGAGTGGTCTGCCGAGTGTCGATGATAATTGCCTAGGGGTGTTAGTGGAAGTCTATTCGGTAGGAACTAGCCTTGTAACGTACCAGTTCCAACAGTATAGTACGCGCCAGGCTTGCCGACCAATCTGTGCCTGAGAATCTGGAGCTGTTCTTGAAGGTCCAACCTTATGAAGGCCTGACGCAAACGATTAGTTAAAGTAACAAAAGATCAGAGGGCTGCTATCTTACCCAACTCATATGCTTCTTGCACGGCTAAGCCAATTGTATGCCAGGCCTCGGTGAACTTTGCCTCGCCTTTGAACCAGCAGATTAATAAAATCTTCCATTGGATATTTATTATATGATAGCAGCCAGCAGGTATTGCTGCGGCGAGTTTCTGGCCAGCCATCTGATAGTCCTCAGATGAAGCACTGTGTCCACTTGCCAGCTGGGATTCAACCTCAAGGTGTTGAGTGACACAAGCGCACATCATCAAGATAAGTGTGGTTAATTGAACATCCCGACAAGATCCCCGTGGCTTCTCTCTTGACCAGATGATGTATTGCCGTATAAACGTGGGTGGGTGGATAATGTTGTAGTGGTGATTAATATTGCTGAAGAATGCTTCAACAAGGGAATCTTGACAAATTGTTAGATACAGAAAGTCGAACAATGGGAATGAGCCTAGCTGCTTACCTAGCTGTGATTTGGCGGGGAGGATGTCAAGGGCATGTTGTAGTTGCAATTTGGCCTCGGGACCTATCGAGGGGAGAGCATTCGACGCTGTGTTATTATGCTATTACGTTGTTAGAGTCACCGTCTCCGCATAATGGGAGAGTATAATTTGAGCTCACTATTAAATGAGGGAGTTCGCTGTCTTCCCAACCATCGCCTGACTCCAAAAGCCTTCTCAGACCTGCCGCTGGGTAATTCATCGGGTCGATTTCATTACTTATCGGTTCATCGATTTGTGCTCGACGACGCTTTAGAGTGGTTGACACAGATTCAGTGTGTGTGGACATCTTGATCAATTTACAATCAAGAGTATAATCAATCGTCAATTGATGTAGCGACTGTATTTTAGTTTCTATATCTACACTACAATAAATCTCTCCAAGATATCGAAATGTGTTCAAAAGTCGGTGTTGGCCGAAATACGTCGGCCGAAAGCTTTCGGACGTTGATCCCGCATGTGTAAGGCGATATTCGGGCGTGCCATCAGCATGGAACGGTCCACTGAAAGTCATCCTTCCGACGTACATGCCCTTCAAAGGATGGGTTTATTACTGGCTGAGGGTAACGGGAAACATGCATCAGCTGATGGGAATAGCGAACCATTCGTTGATTGAATACCCGGGTCCGCAAACGTGCGTTTTGTCATGCAGGGTTTGAGGCCCTGGGAGCGGCATTTTTCGGTGGGAGTTTGGGAGAGGGCTCCGAAGGCTCCGATGGCTGGGTAAATTAAAACACGGCCTGTGAGCGCCGTAATGTAGGATGATCGTTGGTCGTTCTTTTTGTCACCCAGAAGATAGTCAGTCACATGCACGGGCAGCCAAGCCTAATGCCCCGCCAAATTAACGATATTCACAGCTGCCATTGGACAACTTGCCCTTGACATGTCACTTTTCTTGAAAACAATAGGTACGTATCTAGTCTCTCAACAAACACAACCTTGAAAACAGGGCAATCTAAACCCTAATCGTATCAAACCCCTGTGACAATCCCTGCTCAAGCCAAAACGATGACAGCAAAGTAGAAAATAAGAACTAGGCTCAATACCAACGACCCGGACAAATGCTCAAGCAGTCTGCCACAAACCCCAGCAGACCAGCCCGACTGGCCTTTCCTTGCATGGAGAAAAGGTGGGTTGACCATAACGTCGATCCTGCGTGTCTTTCGGATCTCTGCGGCTTGCGCGCCAAAGTATCTTCCTGACTGGAAGCTGCACTACGTCAGCGGTTGTTGTTATAAGTTAAGTATCCGTAGGGGCTGGTACCTCCACGTGATGTTGGCTTGCACAACATTTTGAATGCCCTGGATGTATCGAGCCACGTCAACGTCGATCTTTGGTCCCCAGCTTGGGAGCCGGGTAATGATCTCCTCCCACTCCTGGTATCTCTGTTCAAGAAGATCTCCAACAGTATCAAAGGCTTCTTGGGGAGATTGGCCTGTCATGCGACACGCCGCGACCATGCTGAATGGGCAATCATCACCCTGTTCGAAATTAGAGTCCGGGTCGAAGCCGGGTTATGTATCAACTTACCTCCTCTTTGCGATAGGACAAAACGTCATTAGAGCTGCCATCTTAAGTCAGTTTGACAGATCAAAGACAGAAGAGTCATGAGTCTTCTCACAGTAATACAAAGTCTACACCTAACCGCTCCAAAGTCTGAATAACAGGGTTTTCGAAGACTTGACTAGGTAGCTCAATGCCATGAGCATACTCAACAAGATGATACAATGGTGTGACTCCGGAAGAAAGCTGCCGTGTCTTGAGCATTTCTTCTATGCTTGGGATACTGTTTGTCGCAAAGCTCTTTACATGGTGGACTACTCCGTCTGTGTAATCTTTCATGGCGAGAGCAAATCTTCTTCGGACTCCTGAGTGATCTTAGCAAGATTTATACAGAGATTGCGCAGTAATCAATACCTGGGGTGGAGTCCTATAGATTTTACATATTAGAAACGACATGTTAATTGTTGTGTATGTGTGAATGTACCTGTGATACCCTTCGGAAGATGTCATCATGTGCCTGAACAACGGCACTCTTTTGCTTAGTGTATGTCTTGTCTAGCATATTTGCCATCAGGCTATCGATAACAATCTGAGATCGTTTTTGATCTGCTTTTAGTGCGCCTTCATCGAACACTAATACTGTCAGTTTATTTCATAGTATGGTCCCAGATAGCTTGACTCACTATCGTCAAAAGGGAACACCTGGATAAATTTAGTTAGATCCCGTATGTGAACAGCGGCACCAGTGACTCACCCAATTACCCCAGTCACACATGGTCTTGAGTTTGTCGATTGGCGCGTCTGGAGCTGCAATAGATATAAAAGAGGCAAAGTCGCAGAACTCAACCCTCTTCTTCATCCGAGCTGAGAAACGGCATTTTCTAATATCGAGTTATTATTGCACATGGACATCGACAACTGACATACTCTGCGAGCCATTTCTCAGAGATAGGCTTTACTATTTCGTAGTGCTTGTTCTTTCGAGGGACATTGACCACGAATCCTTTGAATAAATCAGGAAGAATAACAGTGCTTTTCAGTTCTGTCTTGTTGGTATTGTGAATCTGCATGGTGTATGCTGTGTTTTGGATCCGAAGGAAGTGAGGGTCATGGAATGAACCAGGTGAGGTCTTTGTTGACTCGGATGCCACCACCCTCTTAAATGAAGGGGGCGCCAGGCGTAGTCCAATAAACTGAAGCAGACAGCCAAGAGTCTGGTCTCGGAGGTTCTGTCTTCCAACTTCCGCGATTAGCGAGTTCTAATTCTTTCTGCGTCATCTATATCGAATTAGAGCTCTGCCCTCGATGTGATATCATAGACCCGAGACATTGGGTCCATCCAGGGCAAGACTACCCACTTGGGGACTCACAGACAAGGGCCTCTGCTGCGAACTATTGGAAGACAAACGCGGTTCCTGGGATTGATTCAGATCTAGTTTGTGACGAGATAGAGGCTACAATTGCACCTCCACCAACATACGAACCCCTTGGCGTGTGAGTGAGATTCTCGCCCAATTAGGCAAACACGGAGCGACTTGGCCATCACGGAATGTCCCCCGAGAGGCATTTGGTGAAGTGTTAGCATCACATGTACTCACACCTCAAGGGATGGATGAGAGTAGGAGGCGTATGGTATTCTGGTGTGATGGGGATACTCATGTGCCCTCCTCTTAAATTCAACTGAAGTTCGTCCTGATCCCACCTCCTCTTCTCCATCCCAAGCAGACTCTTAACTACTACCTTCATTCCATCTCAATTCACCCCTTATTTTTACAATGGACTTCTTTAATGGAAAAGGAACAGGCGAGAAGCTCCGAACCATTGGTAACCATACCTTCACATGGACAGACCAGCACATCCCCAAATCCCACACAGATCCTCTACGCTACCAGTGTGACGAACTCGGCGCTGCTGCTGTGAGTGAGATCCAAGATATCCATGAACAACTCAGACAAGATGGAAAATATGTCAGCAGAGCAGATCTCTTTGATACTCTACATCACTACCACGACAAGAATGAAGTTCTTTCTCAGCTCTGGGACGAGATTCATACCGTCCCATCTTGGGTCGACTGGGACCAGATTGCCCGAGGACAGCGATTCTTCTACCGCTACGCCTTGGCAAATCTCATTGGGTTTGCTTTCCAGGGCTTTGTGGGAGAGAATTCTGCTTCGACCAGTGTGGTAGAAGTACTCGCTCGTACCGGGGGTTTCAGCACCCGCGTATTGCGCCGACGTCTCTTAGAGACGTTCCAAATGGTCCTCCAAGTTACCCACTCCCTTGAACACGTTCAGCCTGGTGGAGAAGGGCATATCTCTATTGTGCGGGTGCGTTCGCTGCACTCCATGGTGAGACAGCAGATTCTCAAAGTGGCTGCATCTAAGTGCCGGTTCTTTGACCAGGATACTCATGGCATTCCCATCAATATCTTGGACTCTATCCACGCTATTGCCACGTTCAGCTGCAATCATGCATGGCTGCAGCTCCCAGTCATGGGAATCACACCCGACCCACAAGAGGTTGAGGATTACATCGCCCTATGGCGATATGTGGCACATGTGATTGGAGCACCTCAGGAGTACTTCACATCAGCAACAAAGGCCAAGGCAGTCATGGAAAGCTTAGCGTACAACGAGCTTCTTGTGACGCCAACTTCTGTTGTTATTGGTTACAACTTCGTCGAGGCCCTCAAGGATCTCCATCCTATGAACATCTCGGATGGGTTCATTCAAGCCGCTAGTCGTGTCTTGAACGGTCACGAGATCTGCGACCAGCTCGGCATGGGACGACCCAGTTGGTATGCATATGCTTGCTTCAAAGGCCATTGTTGGTTGGTAAAGACCCTGGCGTGTTTGCAGCAGAAGATCCCTTCCTTCGATGACAAGATGGTTCAGCTGTGTAGGGATGGACTGCATAGCGCTATTATCCACAGTAGCCAAGGCCTCGGAGGTGGTTCCAAGCTTGATTTCAAGTATGTCCCGGATGGAAGGATACAGGGGAAGGAGAGGAACGATCGGGTGGAGGGAAAACTGTGGTTCTTTGAAAGACCCCTGGAGTTTATGTATTTTTGCTTCTTTACTATCGGCTGTTTTGTAGTGTTCGGATGCCTTCTTGGCATGGCTCAGATAGTTGCCCTCGGCACTCTTGGGTCTCAGTAGGCAACCAGTTTAGACCTAAGTCATTTCTTTAGATGCACATGTAGTTTGAATAAAAGCGCACTTTATGCAGGTTACTTCACGCCATTCAGAGCTCACGTAGAACGCACAGCTCTGGAGGCCGGTTAAAGGCCTCCCTTAGCTCATGTGCAAAGGGCGAACCACAACTGGTCTAAAGCGTTCAAGCAAACAAAGAGCATGTGGGGAATCCCAAGGACGATACTTACCCAGGAGAACATCATTTTGTCGTGATTACTCCATCACGCAACTGAGACATGGAGCCTAGCTGCGCACATCTGATAGATCACTGGTCATAGCAGGATCTCATCACAAACTATTGTATGACTCGATCGATGTGGCACATGCGCCACCTTGAAGAGTTTCCACAAACCAGGAAGATTGCTCCATAAGAAGGGAGTTAAAAGCTCTAGTGTTTATCAACAGTGCCGCACTTTTCTTTTGATGGACGGAATAACAGGCCGCCTGTCATCCTTGGCATCGCGGTTGGGCCGGTAGTGCAGGATCTACACACTAGCAAGGATCTGTTGTGACCTGATTGTGATCAAAGAAACCCCCTTGTCAAACTTTCAGCTACTCCACACCCACTGACACCAATTAACAGAGATAAGTCCCTGCTCTCTGGGCGAACCAACAGAGTTTGCTATTGCATGACGGTAGTGATGCCTTGTCTGTTGTAAGCCCATGTAGTATGCCACGTCAGCTTCACTGCCACCCTTGAACTGTGACACAGTCTGCCGAGCCCTTGATTTGAGGCCATTACCCAGAAACTCTAAGACTGTCTTGAAAGGTGAGCGAACTAGTCTTGGCTATGCCGATCCTGCAACTGAGCGATTTTCTCTACTGGGTACCATTCCCGCGGTACCCAAGCCCCGAGTTTCTACGGATAAGATTATCTATGCATAGGTACCCTAATGGCCAGGCACCCTGGTCACCAAGAGGGCCTCACGAACTAATATGACGCATCCCGCCATCCCTCGTGATGTCGCTAGGCTCGAGAATGTGACGGGCCGGATCTAGTGAAGTACAATACCGGAATGCAACTATTGAATGCTTCAACCCTCGATGGTCTCTTGAGGTTGGCCAAGAAGACAAGGGTTATTTACGACGACATTGACAGGGTCATTAGTGTCAGACTAACCCATAGTAGCGTGCAATGGAAATAAATCTCATGGTGAAAGCCGGCCCTTAGAATGTGCGTTTTATGTAATAAAGTCTAGTAACCCAAATAATCTACTAGCCATATATTCGCTCTTATACCATATTCAGTGGCATGCTAATAGCTTTCCGGGAATAATAGTAAATATTATCAAGCAAGTAGAGTAAACACATAGTACTAGATCTAGCTAGCTACTGACGAGAAAGCAACCTTTGAACATTCACGAGACTCACGAAAAGATAGTGACACGTGAAGGGATTATAAGAGAGCTTAAAAGTAACAATACCGCATCCTTGCAAACTGCCTTCTTAGTTACTATCATTGTGTAAATCAGAAAACTGGTTCGGAACATCCTCTTCTGTAATATCGCCCATTCTCAAGCTTTCAACCGTCAGACCAAGCTCAACCTGAATGGGGACTGGACAATGTCGTATCTTCCACTGCTCATCGGACTCGTATACAACAGCAAGAGTAACGGTTTCGTTGCTTTGCACCTTTTCCATGTCGACAACAACGAAAGCATGAGGATATAGGGGCAGGTCGTAAGGCGGGGATGATTGAAAGAGCTCACGAAACTGGTTCACGAATCGATGTTTGCAATCATCCACATTTTGAAGTTTCCCGTCTTGAGCGTCCACTCTACATACATGTGGCTTCTCGAGTCGTCCATTGGGCCAGTTTAAGATCTTGCTCGCATAACTCTCTGTCGCATTATCGCACACGTGTTGGACCGCTAGTGTTGTAGCGTCATTCAAGCCGTATACTAACACCTTAGCATTGTCGAGATAGTAGTGGTTTCCTTTTTCGAAAAGGTCTGCTTCTTCCAGAGTGTTATTTGTCATCTTGGACTGCAGTTGTTTCAGAGGTAACTGGTTAATGTGTTGATGTAATAGAGAAGTAATATTTCGGACTGTGTGGATGACGTATGATGAGCACGGAGCGGAACATATATAGTTAGCTCTTGTATAGAATCTAATGCCTGGGGCAGTTGAAATGTCTGTGAGAGACCGAAAGGCACTTATTCACCAGTCAATTAATTCTCTGCTTCTATTCTACCAAGACTTCGTGCCAGGGCTTTGTTGACTATTTCTGCTTATGAACGAAATAACAGTCTCACTTGTCCCAAATGGAGTTCAGGTAACCTTACAACTCTTGTTGAGCCACGTCTTCCTCAGCCACGTCCTCCTGGACATCTTCACCAACGGCGATATTGTCCTCCTCCTCCTCGGACCCCTCCATCTTCTTCATAATCTGCTCAGCTATCTTATGCCAGAAAGAGCAAACATCTTGCGAATTCTGCTCATCCTCAACCAACTGCCAAATGACATCTGTCTTCCAAGGCCAAGGCTTGGTCGCATTAACCTTCATGACATTGGACAGTTTATTCTCCCCAGTGCTAACAATCGGCCAGTTGGTTCCCTCGAGTGAGCCATTGACGGCGAATGACGAGAAATAGCTTAGGAACTTAGGCTGAACTTGGTCATCAATTGCTGGCGCCCATTTCAGTCGATCTAAAGTGCTACTCATACCAACGCCTTTTAGCATGTGCTTGGTCTGCACGTCATTGTTCATGAACAATGGGATGAGGTCAGACCCGTGGAAAGCCAAGTCGTCGGTTGGGTAGGCGTAGTTCATAGCGTAGGTCTTCTCCGAGAAGGCGTCGACGAGATCACGGGTGTTGCATCCGAATGAAGAATCGCGAATGACGTATCGCAGGTAAAGGTGGTAGTCACCGCCGTAGTTCTTCTCACAATCGTAGTGGTCTGCGATCTGCTTTCGCAGTGGTTCCAGCTTTTGACCTGGGAGAAAAGCCTTCAAGAAGCCCATGAATGAATCTTCGTCTGTAACGCTCTGGGGAGTAAACTTCTCAGCGTCGTTGGCGCAGTGGGCGACGATTGCTGAGTCAATGTTCTTCCAGTATTTTCCTGTATGAAGCTATCAGCTGGTGTTGTGCGAAGTAACATGGCGCGATATATACCTTGGGAGAATGCAAGAGTTGGAATGGTCTTCACCCACTTATTGTCAATTGCAGGGCCAAGAGGAAATAGTCCCGTCTTGTGGTAGTCGGCATAGAGCTCAATGTTCTGCTTCGCGAGGGTGTCGGTGGAGACAGCCTCTGTATCGCGCAGACATTCAATCTGGTCTGAACCCGAGCAGTTGGCCCCATTTGCAAAAGCCTGGAACATTTTGTCAGGCTCACCACCAGCAGTGTTATTCCACGACCACTCGAAAGCCGGGCTCTGGGCGACAAATCTGCTGAACAAAGGGTCTTTGGTGCCGTCGTCTCTGATCAGGTGATGAAGGATAGATCCAGCGCCAGCAGACTCGCCCCAGGCACTGACTCTGTTCTTGTCACCGTGGACCTTGCTAATCCACTCTTGAACAAACTCCAGCAGGAGGCGCTGGTCATGCAGGCCTGCGTTTGGAAGACCATCTTTCTCCATGTGGGATCCAGCAAGCCACCCAAACGCTCCTAGCCGATAGTTGCCCGCAACGAAGATGGCCTCGTACCTGGACGATTTCATGAGAGACCGTCCAGAGTATAGAGGTAGATCAACGTCTAATCCGAAAACCTTGGTAGACACATGCTTCGAGCCAAAAGCATAGGCTCCTCCATAGAACCAAACATTGACAGGTAGTGGCTGAGGGTCGGGATCGTTAAAAACAGAGACAGGTACGTAGATGTCAAGGAACAAACAGTCCTCGGTACCACTCCAGTTGACATCCGAAGAGGTCTCAGGGGCACCGATATTGCTTCTGCCGCCTGGGCCATTCTTGAGAAAGGTTGCGGGGAACTGGACACAGTCTGTGACTTCAGGAGGGACTTGGACACTGCTGTTCCTCTCTTTGGGGAAACCAGATGGGCCAAACCGGGTTGGCAATGCCCCAAAGCGAACATTTTCAAAGACGTAGATCTGTGTGGACATTTAGTTGAGTTTAGATTGTTGACAAAGAAGCTCCCTACCTTCTCATCGTACTTGTTCAGCTTAGCTGGGTAGGTGCCCCATGGGAGTTCAAGCTGTGGAAGGTCACCTAAAGCTTGGACGCCAGTGATGAGGCTGTAAGAGCCTAGGAGAACAGCTTTGAGATTCATACTGGGTATTTTCCGTTTGTGGATTGCTGTACAGAATGGGGTAGATGGCCAGAAGACGTTGTGGGAGTACTCCACTACTTATACTTGGTATCAGTACCAGACCTCGCCCTTGCATACAATTCCATGACGTGTGTGTTTCTGTCACATGCTTTCCATTGGAGATTGGCTGCGACACGGGATAATAGAGTTGTGAGACGTGGCACAAATGCGAGGTGCTTTAGAAGGAATAAGCCATGCAGATCAAGAACCACAAAGTCATGTTTACACTCAGCCATGTTTTAAGTCTTATGAAGGAATGTGAAAAGTCTTGGACAGTGCAGTTAGACCATAACTAACTGTATAGTAATTCAAATAACCAGGAAGCTCTTTAGAACATACTACGTAGAGCCAATGGTTCCCTCTGGCTGATTACAGCCCCATCTCCCTCAATTCTCGCTGCAGCTCATCAAAAGCAAGTTGCAAATGAATAGTCCCGTTCACACCAGCGTCAATCTCCTCAGGGTCATTCCACTCCGACCTCAGTCTCTTGACAACCTCCACAGGGTAATACTTACGCAGAAACTTGTGTACTGCTGCAACGGCGCTATCGAGAGCACCAACCACCCACGCATGATGGACGCTTGAAGCCTCGCCAACCATGTGGAACTTACCATCCGCGGCAGGGAGAGACAAGAGGGGATATAGCTCGCTGAACTGCCCGCCTCCGAAAAGAGCGAACGCACCCGATGTGTAGGGATCGTGAGACCAGGAGTACACGTGGTACTTTCCAGTATACGCTTCCTTGATCGTCTTGTAGATCTTCTCATATGTTGACCCATTCTGATGCATCCGTGCCAGGTTCTTCAAAAGAACATCAATCAATTCCTTCTCGCCTTCCTCTGTACCAATCAACGACCCCATACGAGTTGCATCTTGTGCCCAAGTGTATGAAGCAAGCAGCACAGCCTCGTTGGTAGGGCCATCGTCAATGTTGTATGATGGATACACGCAGGTTCGTAGCGGAAGATCAGTGCTGGACACTCCACCCTTGTCGATGCCGCAGGTAGTGTTCCACCAAGGATGACTGAACTTCAATGCGACCTTGACAGAGTCGTCATAGTGAAGAGATCGAATGGCATCTTTGACAGACGGATCCAAGTCAAGCGAGCGAAGATCCATGCGGCCCAGACAACCAAGCGCTGTAGTGTTGAAGACAGTATCGTACCCCTCGCGAGGGCTCTCTTCGTCAGCACACTTAACTGACATGTTGTTGTCACTCTTTGATTCGCGATCTATGCAGATGGCCTCAACGCGCTTCTTGGTCTGCACCTCCTGAGTAATGAGCTTCTTCATTCCATCGATCAGGAGGTCGGATCCTCCCAGGATACAAGACCATTCGACCTCCACCTTGACTTCTTTCTTCTCGCCTGTGACCGGATCAATCTCCCACTTGGTGGCGGGATAGTCAAAATCGAAAGAGTCCATCACGCTCTCAGAGAAAGCCTGATCAAACAGGTTGGTCGAGGTGTTCTGCGTCTCAGCCCACTGGATGGTGAAGTAATCGTATTTTGTCTCTTTACCCTCTGGTCCTCCGGCCTTCAGATACTCTCGGGTGCTGAAAGCATCAGCTTCCATCAGCTTGTCCCAGCCTGTGTTGAAATCCTTCTTGAGGGCATCCTTGTACGGTTTGAAGGCATCGCCTGCAATGTCCTTTTTGATCCACTCATCAGGGACATGGCCACCGTTGGCTTTGCTGACATGATAAGGATCAGTGACGCCTTCCTCAAAGAACTTGTCGTTGAAGAGCTTGGGGCACTTGTCTCCATTCAAGTAGTACTTGATCAACGGAACCTCGGTTTTGTCAAACAGGTCAAAGGTACGATCCATGATAGGGATTCTAGGAAATCTCATGGCACCAATATCGTAGTAGTCGTGGTCTCGTTTACTGAAGTAATGCGTGTATATACGGCCACCAATACGTTCATTGGCCTCGAGGATCTCATAGGTGAGGCCAGGCAATTTGAGACTATCGAGTATCATGGCAATGTAGAGTCCTGCGACTCCAGCGCCCACGATACACACCTTGCGGGGAGGGTACTCCGGTTCAGCCTTGGGAGCTTTGAACGAAGCCATACCACCACCTTCTTCCTCGGCCTCCTCATAGTATGAGTCCTGGGGTAGGCTGTCCCAGGTGATAGATCTTTGAGGGGCACCTGGCAAGAGAAAGCGATTATGCCCGCCTCCACCACCAGGAATAGCCACAGCAGGAGGGAGTTTATTGAGAGTTTGTTGGAGTTTCTGGCGGAGTAATCTTTGGGCCCATTGGCCTTTCATGGTGATATCGGAGGAAGACATTTTGAGGTACTGTCTGTGGAATTAATAATTTGGTGATAGATGGCAAGGGAAACAGTGTAAAGATGAATGGAGAACACGGAATCTCAGGTCTTGAGATACTGATATTTTTCTACTCGTAAAATCTGATCGGTGGCATTGCCGAGCACCTCTTAAATGCTCCCAGCTGTTCGAGTTGAATACTGTGCCACGTCAAAGGCTGAAACCTGCATTCCTTACTTGACCGCTCAGTCGTCTTTTGCAACCACCTTTTGCTGCCATCATCTATCATCATTGGCCAAATAAGTGCCATGTTTCTTCTGTCACTGTCATCACACGGCATGGCCGTTCTGAGTGACCGAAACATCTTGTCTTATCGTTCAGCTCCTACGAAACCTGCCGCTAATCCCGACGAAGTAAGCACAGGCCGGTGATCTATACTACTTTCAGAGCGATCCATCTCAGCCTCTATCCTCTGGAGCATCCGATTCGCCCGTAACAGAGCTGATGTCGGCACCTCCCGTGCTGTTCAGCGTCCGTCCCCGCATTCCAGTCAGATTGTGGCTCCAACTATTGACTCCAAATAGGAGTCTTGCATCGTTTATTTGCAGCCTTCAGCTAAGACATACTCGAGACTCAGCAGCAACAACCCCTCATTTATACTACAAATGGTCACCCATGCATCATTCTCTGTGTCTGAGTAACATTTGGCGTAATCCGTTGACTATTCAATCGTACTTTTGATGAGCTACGTAAGACAGTGTTAGTGTTATTGTTCACTAACGGCCAATCAGCACCATGAGCTTGGAATGTGATGGCTCATCAACGGTATGGCCGGCCCGTTCCTAGCCGTTATCTAGACGGTTACAAAACAAGCTTGTGTCTCTCACTGAGCAGCATTTGGATAACGCATCACTTTTGCCTGCACATTCCAATCACACTACTTCGACTGTACCTCGCAAAAATGGCAGACCCCAGGGTTTTTGATGTTGTTGTCATTGGTGGTGGTCCAGTTGGACTGGCCGCCGGATACGAGGTGGCTAAGGCAGGCAAAGATGTGATAATTCTTGAACAGAATAACTTCTTCAACCAAGCCGGTAGCTCTGGAGACTTGGCTCGCATGTTCCGTACCATGTAAGTTGTCTTATGAATGGTTGCACATGGCCGTTGTATAACCAGACCTAGGTACACCGAAGAATTCATGGCCGAGCTTGCTACCCACGCCATGAAGCATTGGGATGCCCTTGAGAAAGATGCTGGGGTGTCACTTCGATGGATGGGTGGACTTCTCAACTTTGGCGATAAAGACATGGGCAGTGATACACCTGAGGGTAAGAGATCAGTGTTATTTGAGTCTATGACGTACACTAACAGAAGTCGTCAGGAACCTTGTTGGGGCCCGAGGACAACTTAAAGAAGTTTAATATGTCCTATAAGAAGTGTTTGTACATGCTGTATTCGATACTTATTTTACGTGCTAACTTGAAAAGTGACTGCGGCAGAGATCGAGGAGCAGTATCCTTTCAAGCAACTGAAACCCGAATGGGAGGGGCTCTTTGCTCCCGACAATGGCGTAATTAATGTGCAACTGCTTCTACGCACTCTGTACGGCCTGGCAAAGGACTATGGTGCCAAAGCCAAACAACACACCCATGTCAAGCAGGTTTGTCCTCTAGACAAGGACAAGTCTATCTGGGAGGTTCATGCCACTGTTCACGACACCCCCATCACGTACCTAACCAAGAAGATTATCATCACAAGCGGCAGCTATGTCAACCACGTACTCAAGCCAAGCTTTGGTATCTCCTTGAGGCTTGAGATATGGGAAATGGTAGCAACCTACTTTAACACTAACGCAGGACCAAACGGTACCATCTTTCCTAGTAAGTATAGCCTCATTCCTCCATCAACACTCCTGACAGCTGTTTGCAGGTATGTGGTTTCAGTTCGCACCTTCAGTAGATAAAAGATCTCGCCTCTTCTATGGCTTCCCGACTCTCCCTTGGGGGCCACCTAATGTTGTCCGAATCTCCGTTGATGCCGCCACTCGTATCATCACCGATCCAAGCCAGCGCCAAGCTAGTGTGTTTGACCCTCAAGACATTAAAGACACTCAAGACTTTGTGAGAGACCACGTCGTTGGTGTCGATGCTACTGTTCCTGCCTCCACTGTCAGCTGTCTCCAGACAAACGTCTTTGGTAAGCCCGTCTCCTACCTGCATCCCACACTTTTACTGACGCTCATAGATAATATGTTTGTGTTGGACTTTCTGCCCGAAAAGTACCTCCAGGGAGGTCCCGAGAAGAGCATCGCCATATTCACTGCTGGCTGGGCGATGAAGTTTGTGCCGACACTGGGCAAAGCGCTTTCTGAGATGGTGTTGCAGGGTAATTCGGAGTTCAAGAAGGATGAGTTCTCCATTACCCGCACTAATAAAGACGGTCCCAGTATCATTGACGAAGAGGGAAAGTCTGTTGCTGCGTCGAATGGAACTGCTGCAGCGAGATCATTCTCCCACACTGAGTCCAAGCAGGCTCAAGGTTCTTCGCGCACGATGAGGGAAAAAGCGAGTATTTAGCTGGCAGCCTACATCAATTACATTGCGTGTTGAATGATACGATGTCGGTTTCATGATTATCCCATGACTATCATTTATACTCAGATTGAATCAGACCCTAAAGGCTGGTTCACTCATTTGGCTTTACAAGCTGGCCTTGTTTTTGCCATCTATTCCTTTCGTAGTCTAGGTTAGGCCGATTATCAGGTCAGTCCGACAATGGCAAGGAGTGATTTGATCGCTCTAGATTCACTAGCAATCTCCATCGCTTCAAAGCTGATTGGCTCAGTACTTAGCTCTATCTGATCTGTCTGCCAGATCCGTCGAACGTTTTCAATAGCTCGGCTTTTTCAGCCTAGAAAATCAATAGTTTGTTCGCAACCCCTGACTAAAACTCAGCCCGCTAAGCATAGCGATGCTTTGATTGGTTCCCCTAAGCACTAATGCGCGCTGTAAGATGAAGCAAAAAAGAGGAATAGCATTTTTAGTCCCCCAGATTCCCATATCTATGGCGTTAACATCTCCCTTCTTTCTGAATTCTTAGCTTCCTTCCTCCAGGTCACACTCAACTGAGACATCCACTCATTTTAACCAACTACAAACATTCGTTTTCAGTATGATCATTTACACTCTTCTTCTTGCCTCATTGGCGGCTAATGTTGCTGCTGGACCTTGTCGACCTGGTGTCATTTCATCAAGCGTCGGTACGACCACGAGCAACGCAGCCATCACCACACTGGCCGCTGCGACCTCCATTGAGGCGACAACAACATCGACAGACACTTCTCCTACAACCACGAGTACTTCCGAGCTACCCCGCGATGAAATCATCTTCGAAATCAATCCGGTAACCCGACTTCTCGCGAAACGAGACACACGATTTCTCGGCAGTAATAACCCTTCGGAATGCACATTTGCTTCCGTCTTCCGCCTCAACTACAACCAACTTCTGGAGAATGGCGTACCTATCTACTATGCAGGCCAGGGATACCAAGAACTTGCCGCTGATGGCGAGCCACCTGTAGATGGCATCACCACTACATTCTCTGTTGTTGACGGCAAGCTTTCGTGGACAAACGACGAGTTCGGCGAGGCAGGCTTCTGTCAAGATGGATCTGATGGAAAGGTGTATATAACCTTTGGGTCAACGCCACCCGACTGCGAGTCAGTCACTCTTACGGCGTATAAAGGTATTTGGCACTTTGACTTCACGCTGTTCCAGGGCTAACTGTATTTGTAGCAACGCAATGTCAGAATGGAGAAATAGTCGGCCTTGAAATCACCAGTGCGCTGACCACTGATGCTGCTGACCACACTACTTCCACTGTAGAGGCCACTACCTCTGCCGCCGTTACTACTTCTGCAGATGTTTGCGCGAAGGGTATTGATGGCTTGGAGGGCAACCCCCCTAGAGAAAGTCGTCTGTCTGACTGCTCAGCCCTGTATACAGTCACTGTCAGCCCATACCCAGTGTATGTATCTTATACGTATAGTTAATGAACGGACCCTAACATCCCACAGGACTAGCACTGTCGTCAAGCGTGAGCTTGCCATCCGTATCCCTACGGGCCGCTACACGGGCCAGCCTGTCATCAACACACTATTTGCCCGTGCCGAGGGAGAACCCACAGCCACCACGATCCAACCCACCGAGGTTCCCACCTATGCTACCTACTGCGACTCTCCATCAGATTACTATGAAGCCTGCTCAGAGGCTGGAATTACTGGTTTCACAACAACACTTCCCACACCAACCAGCACCGATGAGACAACTGTTACAGATTGCCCTATGAGAAGAATGGCAAAAAGGGCTGGTGAAGCTGTGGGCTATAAGTATGAGGAAAACTGGGACGCCTACAACATGCCTGGATACAGACTGTTCTAAGGATGCCCACGCTACAGGGGAAGAATTCTTCCTGTCGGGTTTAGGGCGAGTCACAATTTGGACAGCAGATGTAATAGAAGTAGCAATGCATTTTACCATTTTTAAGAATTATGCGAGGCTGTCTCGGGTACAGCCTACAGTGATAAAGGATGATAATGCATGTGGGAGATTCTCCTCGTCGATTGAGGCTCAAAGCATGATCTTCAGTCAACCAAGACAGGGAGTAAGCACACTGAGGATCGCCCGTTCATCACTGGCTGGATCTTGGACTAAGTGTGGAACTACCAATAAAATCGTGTCGGGATGTGATGGTCGTTTAGCGTGAGATGAGACAATGTCCAAAATGGGCTTAGTAAAGTCCCAGAACCGTAACTGTTGCGTGTAAGCTCGGATTCGCTTTTATCTGACGGAGACAGTGTCTTGTGTGAATCCGAGTAACAGGTACCCATCATGTATATAAGCCAAGAAAAACTGCACAACAATTAGAGAAACTGAGAGCAACACATTCATCAGCCTTTTTTCTCAATTCACTTTCCACAATCTTCACAATGGCACTGTCCAATAAAGCCGCCTACGTTCTCAGCCCCAACGGGCCTACCATCGAGGTCAAATCAGCACCGGTTCCACAACCTGGGCCAGGCGAACTACTTGTTAGAACCCAAGCTGTCGCTATCAACCCAGTCGATGCAGTCAAACAGTCAATGGGCAACATGATGTTTGAGTGGCTCACATACCCCCTTATTCTTGGCTATGATGTCGCTGGCCAAGTTGTCAAAATGGGGCCGGGAGTCACGCGGTTTGCCGAGGGTGATAGAATTGTCGGCGTGACAGCAGGCATGGATAAACGGGGGAGAAGACCAGACGAGGGTGCCTTTCAAGAGCTTGTCGTGATCAGGCAGCATTTGGCTGTGAAGATCCCCGAGGGAATGACCAGCGCTGATGCAAGTGTCCTCCCTCTCACCACGGTGACTGCTGCATGCGCCCTATTCCAGAAGGACCAGTTGGCTTTGCAAATGCCTAGCATCAAGACAACCCGCACGTCAACTGGGGAGACCATCGTGGTATGGGGAGCGAGCACGAATGTTGGGAGAAATGCCGTACAACTTGCGGTTGCAGCTGGCTACGATGTTATTGCTACAGCTTCCCCCAAGAATTGGGATGCCATTCGAAGCCTTGGTGCATTCGCCGTTTACGACTATCGAAGCCCCTCGGCTGTAGCTGATGTTGCATCCGCATTCAAGAACAGAAAATGCGCGGGTGCTGTAGCCATTGGACATGGCTCGCAAGCCAAGTGCATCGATATTATCAAGATGATTCCTGGCGCCACCCAAATAGTGGCACAAGTAACAATCGACATGCCTGAATCACCCCCGACAACCAAGGCCTCTATGCTACCTTTTGTTGCCAAGTACTTCTGGTTAGTAGGCACAAATAAGCTCAAGGTCTTGAGAAGCGGAGTGCGTAGTAAGTTTGTGTTTGGAACGGATATTATCGAGTGGGATAGTGAGGGTAGACTGGCTGTATATCTCAGCGAGGCTCTACAGCTGGGAGAGTATAAGCTGAGTTCGGAAGCTCACATTGTTGGAACTGGGTTGGAAAAGATTGCTGAGGGTCTTGACATGGTACGAGAGGGATCGGCTGCTGTGTCTGGGAAGAAACTGGTTGTAAGACTGGAGTGAAACCTTGATGTATTGTTAGTTGTGGCTGTTGGTTCAGTACGTTGTTTGATTAGACCTGTATTTATTCACTTAAAAAGTCACAAGGATTGAATAGGATGTCACCATTTGTATGATTTATCTGGTGAAGTATTTGTCTAATACTCATGGTATGTATTTAGTGAATAATATTCAGTACCTCTAAACCTGGTGTTCTTAGTGTGAGGCTTGAAAGGATCTAGGCAATGTTTGGGATGTTAACTGTTGGTGAAAATGAGAGGGGGAAATTGGAAGCGCGTGAAGTCCTTGTAGCCTTTGTACCGACGTATATGTATGTGTAAAGAAATCAGAATCAAGCCACTATAGTATGATCCTGCGACGCTTGGATAGAGCGGCCTGTGATAGAACCAAGACCACAGTCGCAAGGCCCAGGATAATTGTGAATGTCACCGCCATCTGAAAAGAGAATGTGAGTAATCTGTGAAGTAATGCATGGGAAGCTACTTGCCTTGGAGTTTGCATCCCACCAACCATTTTCTTTAGGCTTCGATGGTCCAAAATCAGCACCAGCCCAAATCAGAATTGTCAGCCCGACAACCATGCACGAGACAGAAAGAACTAGAAACGCAAGGCTGAATTCCCAGGCGTAGACTTGCAGCAAGCTAGGGAGAGACTTGCTATCAGGCAGTCGCTTCCGTCCCAGGCTGCTTCGGATCATCTTGAGGCCGTCAGGGTGGGCTGAGAGGCGGTGAAGCCGCATGCTTTGGATGCCTGCGACAACGACTGAGAAGAGGGCAAAGACGAGCCCACTGAACCACAAGGTTCGCACCGTCCATGGTTTATTGCGGCCATTGGGAAGGACATCTGGCCATGAGCTGGTGGAGCTGAGGCAGCTTGCAAGAAGAGCACCCTTTTAGAACTCAGAGTTAACCCTGGCGTAAACAGTAACTAGAACGGCGTATTACCTACAAGTGTTCCGACAAAGCTCAGTTCCTGGAGCTTGTGGTTGCGCCAGTTCTTGGTCATTTCGTCCTTCTTGTCTTTGTCATTTTCATTCAGCATTCGAATAATAGTATCGCACGCCGTCGAGTGGCCTTCGAAGAAACTGAAGCGCCCCATGATGGCGAGTGCGGCTCTGATTCACGTTAGTCTCAACACAGTAAAATAATTCAACAAGCAATGAATGAACACACGTAAAATGAAGAATTAAGCTTATTTATAATGACGTTAGTTTGAAACAACAAGGAAACGGGAAACGAGGGGAAGATGATCAACCTACCCCAATACTTGAGGTCGGAGAAAAGATACTGCTTTCCCACAAGCCTAGCCAGAGTGAGCCTGTATGGCGTCATAAGGACGTAATACCGATTCTACATTCCATTGATTTGAAGAAATTACCAATAACAAAAGGTTATTATTATTGTTCATCAAGGATAAAAGAGATTATAATAAAACATCAAGCCTTTTTTCAAGCTATTTATAAACTATGCTAATTCGACTTTTACAACTTTGATGTGCTCTCCTCACGGCCCTTGAGGTTGACATGTGGGGTGTTATTGGCTGCGCGAGTGACAGCGTAGAACGCAACGCCCTCGGACTTGGTTGAGAACTGCAAAGGATGTTAACTATGTCCATGGCTGACAATTGACTGGAGTAAGAGTACTGACCTGGGCTTTGGATCCAACGTGGAAGAAGGCCCAATCTCCTGCAACGAGATGGTGAGTAATACCAGTGGCCTCGTCCTATATGATGTCAGAATATTTATAATTATAACTCTACAACCCATCTCGACTTACAGTCACGTCGATTTGGCCACGGAGAACGTATTTGGTCTCCTCGTAGTCGTAGTCTCCATATCGTGTGGGCCCAGGAACCACTCGGTAGAACCCTGTTGTGAGGTAGGCAGGAGAAGCCTTAGCCTTTGACTGAATGGTGTGGAAATCGGCGATGACAGCACACTCTCCCTCTGGAATGGGGATGTGCTCATGGCCTGCGCCCTTGATAATGGTGAGAGGAACAATCTTGGACACTAGAAATATGTTAGCATAAGATGTTAGCGGAAGCTATATGAGCATCTCACTCTTGGCGGGTTATAAAAGTGATAAGAGATAAAACAAGTTTGATTTACAAGATTGTGTAAAGACACATGTCAATCTATCTTTTATACTCAATTCATCTGGAGTATTTTCGGCATTTGCTTTACAGGGAGCACGCAATAGCGAGATAACAGAACATAGAGAAAACACGGGATACGGCTCCGGGGCCGTCCCTCCGTGTCTTATCGACATCTCCACTAACTCTAAAAGGAGATGGTGCCGATTAGTCAGTACGAAGCGAGAAATAACATGATCGGGACCCCGCAGCCCTTGGCCGCTGGATGGGGACGGACCGGACGGCCTGGACACGTAAAGTTGCCAATCGTTCTAATACTATCCTAGCCGACAAGTGACGCATTCTATTACAGTTGTGACTTTTAGGTGTGGAATAATATGTTGTTGTCTACTCCGTAGAGTGTCTTGTGCCTTGACTTGGTCTAAATTTAGCGCTGATGGATTCCGGAGGTTGGGGCCTTGTAACGTTATCCAATGTGGCTTTCTCCGCATTCAACAGGAATGCTGTATCCGTAATCTTCCAAGCTTCAGCCCCTCATAATGGCCAACACCTCGCTACATTCCCAGTCCGAGTCCCGCTTTATCTGCCGTCTGCCTAGAGAAGTGCGTGATGCAGTTTATCTTGAATTATGGCGCTCTTGCGGCCTTCGCCAGCACATCATTTGGCACGAAGACAAGCACGACCGAAGTAGCGCACACTTCTGTCGCTGGGAATGCACAACGCCATTTACCGTCGAGGACAAGCTCCAAGATGATATTGATTTGATAAGAGTTCGCCTTGGGACTCCCGAGGGAGAATGCTTCGCCGACAAAACCCATGCACTGAGGCTCTTTTCTGCCTGGAAGAACCACTGGGCATGTGGCCAACGTATTGGCGAGGTGTACGGCGATGATATGGACCCCGGTGTTTCGTTGTCAAGCTCTCGTAGTCCTTGTTGGAGTAGTCGCAATATGAATGTCAACGCGGGAGTCCCAATCGTGAAAAGCCCGTACCTTGGCATACTGCTGTCATGCAAGGCAATGTAAGAACAGTATGCTATAGTCCGGCTTTGATTATCTACTGACCTCAGTGTCGCAGATCCTCAGAATGTTTAAAGTCTATTTACGAGTCAACGACTTTCATATTCACAGACACATTCGCATTAAACATGTTTGTTGGGTTCTGCAAAGTGCCGCCAGCAAATCAAGCGAGGGCTAAGATGGGCGTTCCACCGCCAGCATTTCACACTTATGGTCGACACCTAGAATTATCATTGAATCCAGTGTTCTCCACATAACTTTCTTGCTCATCTCCAATGATCACACCAGTGGAGCAAGAACGTCACTGTTCTCTGGACTTCCACGGGCTACGACTTGACCTTTTGGAGAACCTCACGACAGTCGATATTTGGGTAGCTGCTCGCTGCACACATCTAATCGTTGATAGGGACGGAGAGAATCTTGACCCCAAGCCTTACGATATCACAACGCTAAACGTTTGGAAACTGAAACAAGCCTTGTCACACTTAGGCCTTGAGAAGAATATTACCATCAGCACCCCTCTGAGTGAATGTGTTGAGCCACAGGACGGCTACATCGAACATGACGAGCTTTACCCAGGCCTGAGAATATGGCGGCGAGGTACAGGATATCTTTATCATCCAGCGTTATACCCAATTATCAACAAAGAGATGCTCAGCAGTAATATTTACCTGAGCGAAAAACGGTAAGTCAGATGAGATCTCAATTGTTGCTAATAATACTCACATATAAATAGAGAATTGGGGTTCAGTCGCAACCCGCAAGTAATAAACCATGTTTGTTATAGTTTGTTATGAGCTTGTAGATAGTGCCATAGTGGGCACAGTTGTCCAAGGACACATCAATCTCGTGGGCGTATAACTGGCCTTGTGGCAGCTTTGCTGTCAAAGGCAAAATGGGGTAGAAAAGGCCGTTAAGAGCTGAGCATCTGGAATAACTACGGACATATAACTTTGAGCATATAAACAGACACTATTCTAACTAGAACCACTAGGCCCACTATGTATCTTATTGACTAGAATTGATAGTATAGTGCATCTGGGAATGATGCTCTAACTGTCTCTACCGCGCTCTCAAAGACATCATACCAATCTTGCTTAGAGTGGATGTCAAGATCCGGAGTGGCTGGGATATGCTTCCACCAGTTTCCTTCAAAAAACATAGGGTCATTAGATCTCTCATACATAGTCAGCTCCTTACATGCGTCTTGCTGAGGAATCTCACTCCCGCTCTCGTCCGGTCTCAAGGTGAAGCAAGCCAGACCCCAACCAAAAGGAGTGGCCTCGGCTTTATCTTTAGGATTGCTGTACCAATCCTCCCAGAATTCCAACGGGTCGTGACCGTATGCATGCTCATCTTTATGCCTGAAATACCACATCTCAGTTGCGTGACCGGATGCGGCAAAAGTTGTTTGCCAGTACCAGACACGGTTGTCTTGGTCCCGTCCCCAGTCCCAATGTGGAGCTTCTTCGACTCTGAGCCAGTGGCATTCGTCTTCCTCGTCGTAGAAGGGACGCATATCCAAGCCAATGGTGTTGAAATCATTATCGTACTTGATTCGCTCCCGCCATGATTCTCTGTCGACAGCAAATCTGGATAGCTTGCCAGTTTCCGTGTTCCTCCACAGACCTAGTTCTTTATCCCATAACCGTTGATCTTGAATAGCCCATGTAGTATCTTTAGACTGATAAAATCCAACCGGACTGTCGATCTCTTGATCCGTGCTTGGGTCGTAGAAAACTCCATTGACATCAACCCAAAGCCCTGTATCGGCATCGTAGGTTCGTCTCGCCCCGATGTGAGCAATACCATGTTCATCCCTTCGCTCCAAGGCCATAGCGTCGAGGATACGAACATCTGATGCTGTGTATCCTCTTTGCTCCCATCCGTGCCCGCGAGTATCAAACACAGCTGCAGCAATAGATGCATCGTTATCAAAGATTGCATCGTGCGTGTGTAGCTCAGTATCACGCTGCTCTTTTCCATATGGCAAAGGTGGTCGTTTTCCAGATGCGTCCACTCTATTAACATAGTCGAGAAGTGCCCTTTCGCTGACATGCCTTTGTCTCTGCATTTCGTACTCGTCAAATTCTTCAATGTCGTCGCCTGAAATGATAACAAGTCGCTCTAGCTGTAGCGAGTTGAGCGATGCAAGTTTCTTGATGTCTTGTTTGCGTATTCCTGAGCAGGTAATGTAAATTCTTTTCAGAGTCTTGGAATGATGGCCAATAAACTCTATATGTGCAGGAAGTTCCGGTGCTTCATCAAGCTCTACGCCGGCTAATATGTCACTCACTTCTGGGACGGAGTCATGCCGGAGACGAGCAAGGATAATATCTTCCATGCGTACTTCTCGGAACTCGGATTCCATGGACGCAGGGCGCGACTCATCTTCTTCCACGTTAATGTCAGTGAAGTGTAATTCGGTGAGTGCTGAGAGTGTGGGCAGTATTGCCACAAGATAGAAAGCAGGCGTTCTATAGCCCGCGGTACCTCCCGTCTCCTGGCAGATCTTTAGAGTAGTTAAGCTTTCGGCTTTCTCTAAGCAAGTAAGAAAACCGTCCAACAGTACAGCAGCGGTATCGGATCTTCCACTGGCAATGCAGAGATCCACAGTCTGAAGCGTTGAGAAAGCGACTGCGTCTGCGTCTGTCAGGTGCGTAAGCGCCGTAGTATCATTAATACCCTCGTCAGCATATAGAAGCCGGGTGATCCTTGGTGTTGAAGATCCGAATAGAGGTCCTTGAGCCAGAAGTTTCAGAGTAGGGATTAGGAAGAAACGGAAGCCAAAGTTCCAACACTCTTTGGCATTGTGGTTGTGTATAACCCTAATGATGGTTCCAACTCTAACCTCATAATCCATAGAAGGCATTTTGAGTTGGCGCCTGGGGTTCATAGGCCTGGAGACGAAAGTAGACAAGTTGGGCATATTGGTAAGAACCGCGTTTTGGAATGCCAGCCTTGTATCTTGGAGGTACTGTGAAATATGAATGGTTGGATCTTCGTCCTCGTATGTACTACCAAGTAGATCTAACCAAAAAAGGCTTTTTGCGTTGGTGGTAAGATCTTCAAAGAAAGGGTGTTCGGAAACTGGTACTGTATTATACCAAGATGTTTGATTCAACGCATCCAAGTCTCCATTTAATTCTTCCCAAACAAGGCACCGAACGAGACAGGCAAGATGCGGTCGATTTGCAATATTGAAAAAGTCATCGCGGTCTTGAATCAGTGGGGAGATCCTGACGGTGTGGAAGAGGACCGGTGTGAGGACTTGGGCCAACTCGCGGCAAGTGAGCCTCGCAGACAAGATGTCCTTTCTTGGAAGTATGGAAAGTTCAACAGAGAAAATCTCTGCGAGAACCTCACGAGGGAGGTCGGTTAGATTCATGGTATATGATGTTAATTGCGAAGGAGACAAGTAGGTTAGAGAGAGTAAATCTTCAGATTTAATTACAATACTCTATAAGATTTAGGCAGCAAGGTGGGGCTATGTAGATGTTAAGTAAGCACTAGACGGCATGCCTAGCTCTGAGTCCTGGATAGTATCGTCCATCACCACCAGGTCCCAGACGAAACCAAGAAAATAGCAGAGTGGTTATATAAGGAGATATTCTAACGTTAAATTCTATGCTATAACTATATGAGGCACACCCAAACCGATCAACTTACAGCCTAGGTTGCTCATGTTTAATTACATGGGTTTATTTGAGGGGTTGTTGAAACACGATCTTTCCAAAGCCTCGCTTCCCACTTGCAACACCAACTAGCTCCCCTAGCGCTTCTTCCGCTGTCACATCGAGGACACTGACGGACGGCAACTCGAACTTGGTACCGTAGTTGGCGACGGCCCATTGCAGCGCGCTCCAAGCGTTCCAATGATCCGCTGGCCTGGCGGCAATTATAATAGGCTCTGGGGCACCAGGTGGGTGAATACGAAACACGTCCTTCGTCATACCCACAGGCATCTTGAACTTACTGTCTCGGCGGAGTACAACCGAAGAGAGCACTAACGAATCGCTGGCGCTCTGGGCTGTTAGGTCCGCTGAGGATACTTCTCCTTCTGTGCCAGCTGCATCAACAGCATGGGTAATGGGTCCCTGCCCGAGCGCTTCAACAGCCGATTTGATTTCTGCCACAACTGTTGGGGAGGAGTAGTCAAAGGTATGTGTTGCCCCAAGGTTGACGAGGAGATCGTGGCGAGCCGGAGAGGCCGTGACAAAGACGTTTCTGCAACCGCTAGCTCGTGCCAGCTGCAGAGTACAAAGTCCGACGGCCGAGGAGGCGCCCCAGATCAAAATCGGAGCGGAATAGTCGCCGGGGTTCGTAGGTAAGGGAAACTTGAACAAGTTGTGCACAATGTCGGCGGCGGTCATGGCCACTGCAGTAAGGGCCGCTGCGTGAGCCTCTGGCAGGTTCGAAGGGATTCTAAACGCCATGTCAGACGGAACCGCAAGGAAACTTTGGTGGGCGCCGTATTTCGTCGGTCGTCCCAGATTTGACGGCGTGTATCCTGCGACGGCATCCCCTTCCTTGAACTCGGAACCGGGTGGAGCCTTGAGAACTTGGCCTGCGAAGTCATAACCGAGTACTGTCGCCTGGATGCCGAGATGTGTGGAGTGCTTAATGTCCGCTGGATTGACTCCAGAATAGCGTGTCTCTATCAGCAACTCGTTTGGCGCGATTGGTTCATGATCAAGGTCATTTCGAATGATAAACTGCCCATCCTCCGTCACGTAGAGTGCTTTATTGTTGAGCTTTGGTGACATGATGGATTCTCCTCAGCGGCTGTAGGCTTATGGTTGTTCTGTCTTCGCTTTAGAGGTGTGCGAACATTGAGATATAAATAATAAAAGCAAAGAGCAGGCTCAGAAAGACGCAAGCCGGAGTCAATTGTTCCAATGTCATAGGTGGACTCTTCGGCATGATTTCTCTCTCCGTTTCCGAAATGCTTTATAAGCGCGGGCACTGGCTGTTTATGTTTAACGAAGGAATGCTGCCGAACTACTGTGGGGCGCCCTATGGTAGGTATCCATCAACCCCATCCATGCTCGCTCGGCACACGTTACCAGGACTTGCATCCTACCGCTGCCAAAAAAGCCTCGCGCCGGGCCCCAAGTGCTGTGATCTTCCACCACGGCCATCCACGGCCATCCAAGCTCCGGTTTACGAATGAGCTCGGCCGCAGCTGGATGCGGCAAAAAATGCCAGTGACGATAGACATCCCGAGTTCGAGGGTATATCGCATTGCAAAACCCTGTCGCTGTCGAAACTCAGATTTAGTCGAGTGGTCGCATTACCAGAATACGTGCAGACATCTTCCGTCCCCAAACAGATGCCAAGGTGCCGGCAAATAGAAGGTTAACCATCGATAAATATAACGGGGCTTAAGATACCATTCTTACTATATATAGTAGCAGATCTGATATCCCTCGAAATAGAATTGTTAGAATGCTGGGTTTTCGCTCTATAGCCCTGTTCTAAATAGTTAAAGCTTAAATAGATACGGTAGCGGAAGCGCTGATCCCGCACAGGCCACCTTGACGCCATACCCTGTTACACTGTCGACAACTACCGACGTTAAATTCCGGACGGCATCGCATTAAGTCTGTCTCGCATAGATTCAGTGCACTTGGTGTTGGTGGCTATGCACTACCTCCCACTCCTTGGTATCACACATGCAACCGGGCTGAGATCAAAGATACATAGCCGTGTCTCTCTTCACGCATTACATCATTAGATTCAGTATCAGCTCCGTATCGTCCCCATTAAAACATCCTTATCTTTGCCAAAGCTTTTACCCCTTGGTAAGCTTAGTCGTCCGTTATGGTTGTTATCCCTTCATACGTTTTAGTTCCTTTCGACTTTTGTTACCTTGATTTGTTTCAAGGAGATTAAGTAGGCGTAGAGAAAGATCTTCTAGCAGGTCGGTATAGCTACGACCCGAAACAGGGGAAGAGAGACCCGGGCTGTTCTCAGGGGGCGTAAGCCGGCCCTATAGGGTTCCAAAAAGCGAAAAGGTCACAGGAGAAGGGGGGAGGTTTCCGGTTTACTATATAATAGTTTATTTATGGTTATAGTTGAGAAAGAAGGATAGAAACTGTTAAAGCTATTTAGTTCAAACAATTAAAACAATAATAATCATACCTCACCTATTATTATCCGCCCGGTGTCGAGTACAATTGTTGATCTCTAGAGTCTTATCTCTGACCCTGACAACCGTGTTATCATCCGCCATGCCTGCAGAACATACCTCATCCTAAACGCAACAAGTTGGAAGTATCTACGGGCAGGGTTGTATAAAATACGAGGCGATAAGCTTTGATCTATTATAGGTCAGCTCTCAAGCTCTGACATGTGCTTCGTGGCGGAGCCACGGTAGTAAGCCAACAAGAAACTTCTTCCGCTTAGTCACCTACTCCGCTGAGTCAACTAACCCTGAGCTGAAGTGGAAAGTAGTGGAGAAGCCACCTGCCGAAAGTCTATCCCGTCTACAAGGCAGTGTACTACAATGATCTCCATTCAATTTACAGCTTATCCTGGTTGACATGGCAATATGAAACCTTCAACAAGGGTAACTGGGCCGTATGATTACGCACCATGTATCTCGTTGCGTCGTGTCTCAAGCACGCTAGTCGAGCTGACAGTAAGGTTAAAATAGATAATAAATATTTAGAATGGCTTTGCGATTTTCGTTAAAGTCTCGGACAGTTACACATCAAATCATTTTTCGTCAAAGTCTTTGACAGTTATATTTCAAACCATTTTCTACAATTACTGAGTGTTCACCAATTAATCATGGCGACTACCGATTCAGGTCCTCCTAGCCCTCCCACAAAAGAATGCATCGGTCTATCTGTTGCGGCGCTTGTTATTTTCGGCATCTTATTATTTCCTACTTTATATGTGGCGTATAAACATAGGAAGACTGGCAAGAATTGCTGGCCGATCTTAGTCAGCTTTTTCATTTTTCGGATCTCTTCCGATATCTATTACCTTTCCCGGCTTGACAAACCCGATACACCGACTACATTTGCCATGATGGCCTGCGGTGCCTGTGCCGCTACTCAATCACTAGCTATAATTGGCTTGGTTTACGAAGCGTACGTGAGCCTCTATGATAATACCCGGCACCTTAAACTAATACTTAGGTTACTCAAGTTTATCACTTCCTTTATCCCCATATAAACGCTCTAGAAACCGACTTGTGCTTGTCATAATGCACGTACTTTTTGCCGTCGGCACTATCCTAGCAGCATATGGCGGAACCCGAGATACGTTAATGCCTGGCAACGTGAAAAATGATGCTCTCAGCAAGGCCGGAAATATCATGATGTTTCTGATAATGCTTGGCGCTTTGATCTGCCTATATCCTGCAGGGAAACACACCTTACGTGCTAGACAAGATGTAAACTACCGCGCTGCCGAAGTTTTGATGATGGCTGCCGCACCTGCCACAGTGCTTCAGTTGATCCGCATGAACTACGACCTGATTTACGCATTTACCCTAATCCCCACGTTACATCCTACCACAGGGAGCTTTGCCATCAGGTTTATTACCTTTTCTCTACAACTAGCTATAGTCGCAATGGCACTTACTGCCGGCTGGTTCAGTAAATATGCAGCGCAAATTCGGGCCACGGCTCTTCAATCCAGCAGCACGACTGAACTACTCTAAGTTCCAAACCAAGAGCGACAAGACATATGGTCCAGAAGGACTTCTCAAACCCTAATCTCAAACTCCCAAAAACAGTTTGGGTTAGAGCTGGATGACTGCGAGATTTGCCAGATCAAGGAGCCGGCTCCGGTCAGGGGAGGAGAGTGTTTGGCCATCTTTGCTGCTTACGATGATAGCAGCAGAAGAGGAGGACACGAGGGAAGGAGACCCCGAGTAGGTGTTCGCTGGCTTTTCTAAATAAAAGCAAAGACGTTATATAGAATATACTGCAATTAAAATTAGTCTCTATCACTAAAATCACATATTAGCTTGGAGACGAATAATTATCTCATGTGAAGATTGAAAACATAATATTATTGAATCCCCGGTATAATAAAGGACGAATGGTTGGTGACAGGGCCACATACCACTCTTTAAGCTTGGCGTCCAGCTGCCAGACATCTTGTAAGAATTTGGGTTCCTACTTTCGGCTGGCCTGTACTGAGTAGAGGAGGCGGATGACTTTCTGTTTGAGATAGCTTAGTCTTGTGTCTCCAAGCAGATACGCAAATGTTTCCTAAGTGTGACCATCGGAGGAAAAATATGTAACGCCCGTTTCTGGGAGCGTAAGCTCCTGCACATTATGATGCTGACCGGAATGGCGTTTAGCTGGTCCTGAGGACAATCCTTTCGTCAAAAAGATAACATATCCAAAACAGCGTGCGTAGGTGACTTGGCTTACGCTCCGTACTAGATTGTTATAATATTAAGAGCCTGTAGATCACATTATCGCCATAAGTATCCGACATAGTTCGAGGATGAACAAGGATACTTTGATACAGGGATTATGAGGTGCAGAATAAAGTAACTCTGATCTTAATATATCTTCGGCTCTGAAAGATCAGCCTATTCAATTATGGAATAGTACCCTATTTATTGAGAGAATTCACAACTTATGTCAAAGTACAAACTGTAGTCTTACGGGCCCTAAGGAGATCAAGGTGACAAGGCTTTTTGATAATACTGACTGACTTGTCTACGGAGTATATAAGTCCCATTGGCTAAAATTATTACCAAATACCTAAGGCTAGGTGTCCACTACCCCGCTTTTGAGATTCCCTTTCAATTCCAAATTCAATGTTAATCTGAACCTATTTTCAGTACCTTGCTGATCAGTCTGGTTTTGTACAATATGTCGGGATTCGAGGCGCTGGGAATGGCCTGTGCCATATTCCAGACCATCAGCTTTGCCCACGAAACCACACGCTTCTGCATGGATGTATACCGCGGCCAGAAATCACCAGATTCTACCCTCGAAGAGAATGCACTTGCCATGAAACAGGCCGCTGGCCAAGTGAAAGCATCTTGTTGCGTAGCAGCTACACCAGAGGAGAAGTGTCTGGTTGATATAGCCGAAAAATGCATCATCGCCGCATCAAGGATTTCTGATGAGGTGCAAAAGATCACCAGACTCCACAAGAAAGGTGACCTCATCGCAGCTGTACGAAGTGGATTGAGATCTTGGCGGAAGAGATCTCAGATGAATGATCTCGATAACAGTTCACGTCGCTATACGGATACTATGCAGACCCTGTTGATCAGTCGCGTTTGGTTCGTCCTCCTTTAACTACAGAGGTCTTTATTTATGCTGACAATAGCCACATAGCGACCAGGGCAAAGCTTCTGAGCTGAAACAATGTCGAGACTTTCACAACCTCGATCAGAAACTTCAAGCATTCATTTCATGTATTAGAGACGGCTACACAAAAATCGAAGACCTCTTGAGAGTTGAGGGTACAAGGACTCGAGACCACGTCACCGACGAAGCTACCAGAACTGTGGACTCTGTCACCGCTTACGTGGCGAAGCAGGAACAGGACCAGGAGACAAGAGATGCCATCTTTAAGAAACGCCAGCGTTTTCTCAACAGCTTCAGATTTGACGAGATAAATCAACGAAAGAGCGATATAACCGACCCTGAAGATGCTATCTTTAATCGGATATTTCAGTCGTTTGAGAACACAGCCAAGGGCAACAAAACTACTGTCCCTACTGATTCGGATATCCGTTTGGAAGAAATTGATACGGTATGGCACAGACTTACTGACTGGCTGAAGTCAGACGAGTACCTCTTTTGGATCCAGGGCAAGCCAGGTGCAGGCAAAAGCACCCTCATCAAATTCATTACGAGCCAAACTGCCACCCAAACACTGCTGGATTAAGGAAATCCCAACACCAAGATACTGTCACACTTTTTCTGGAAACTCGGAACATCTCTACAAAATGGCATCAAGGGTTTCTACTGCTCCATTTTGTACCAATTGGCTGAGGATAGTGAGGGCCTAGCAGACCGCATTATGGACGAGGTTCCAGCTGCGGCATCCAAGGAGTCTTATCACGACTGGTCAGTTCGTGAGCTGGAGCGTTTGCTATCGGTAGCCTTGACTCTCGCAAAAGGCCAGCAACCTCTATGTATCTTTATTGACGGTCTCGATGAATTCGTCGACTACGGTGGCGGGGAGAATCTCATCCAGAAGATTCTCAATCTCAAACAATTTGAAAGAGTCAAGATATGTGTTGCCAGCCGCGCAGAACCTCTGTTGAGGGAACAGCTCGACACAGTGCCTCATCTCAGACTACACGATCTAACAGCTCCAGAGATGAGGCAATGGGTCCAGGAGAAGTTCATAAGCCTCGAAACAGAGGGGAAGTTGCAAAGTAGGCTTTCATTGAGACTGACAGATATGCTTCTCCAGAAGGCAGAGGGGGTATTCCTCTGGATCCGAGTAGCAACACAGAGCGTCATGAGAGGTGTGAAGAACGAAGACTCGGAGAAAGTATTAGTCTCGCGACTTGAACAACTTCCGGAGAGGCTCGAGGACCTATATTACGACATGTGGAAGCGACTTGGCGAGGATGAGTCTATCTATCGAACATCAGCAGCCACATATCTACGTTTCGTGATTGCAGATCAGTCATTGAGGAAGCGCCTAAAATCATTTGCTCCTTCTTTTGGCAACCTCAATACTATGCAACTTGCATGTGCGATTCAGCCGGATTTCCAACGAGAACTATCGACGATTGATGAAGACATGGACTACGAGAGGCTGAGGGTAATTTCTGACACGATAGAAAGCGAGATCCGCACGCAATGTGCTGGATTGCTTGAACTACGTTCCATGGATGTAGGAGCAATCTACAGTTGTCAAATGTTTGAAACTCCGACCTTCGCGATGGAAGCGAACGGGATTGTCTTCATTCACCGCACAGCACATGATTTTCTCACGGATACAGAATCAGGCCAAAAGATCCTCAGCTATAGCAAAATTCCAAACATTGACATGGAGTTCCTGCTGACGGGAGGCTACTTGTGCTTTCTGCGGCTGCTTTCAAACATGTTCAACGGGCCCTTTCTAGTGCGTTTTGCTCTGAAGGGGCTGACACCGCTTTCAGTACATCAAGGTTCCGACGAGGGTATGAAAAGAGTCAAGGATCTTCTATCAATAGTGGAAAGTTTCTATAATGCCGGAGCTTTGCACAGTGGCTTTCCCCAATGGCCACAGCCCTCGTTTCTTGCCGCCATAGCAGATTTCTGGGCAATCTTCGAGTGGGCGATACAGGATGTGCATACTGAGTCAGCCACTGCTTGCATACAATCAATGCCCTGGGACTACCTGTTCCTGACCTCGAAGAATGACTTTTGGCTAGGCCTACAGATGCTCATTTCGGAGGGCGCTGATCCCTGTGCTATTACCTCATACGTGGCTTTTATCACTTCAAAAATTCATTATGGCATGCGAACGACCGCTCTATGGGACCTACTATATGCATGTCTAATGGAGAGGCCGGCGGATCGGATAAATGACTGGTTAGGGATGGCGTCTACAAAAAAGGCTATCTCTGGAATGCTAGAGAAATGTACCAGAGTTGAACATTGCAGCTTCCTATCACCCCGATATTCCACGCAAGACCATGGGGATTCTTTCACAGAGGTGGTGTATGAAGAACTCCCCCTGTCCATAAGTAGGGGATTTATATATCCCGTCCTGCTAGTCAACATGTCGTATCTGGTCGAGATGTTTATAAACTTCTCATCTCTATACGATCCGACGGCACGGAATCACCACCGGTTGACTCGTCCGGAGCTCAACAATTCAAAACCTGACCTACGCTTTGTTGCTGTTGAGACTCGCGGCAACGCTCTGAAGTGGTTTCGAGTCATTGATCAAGAACCGTTCGAAGACTTAGTCAATATAATGGGAGTGCGCATTAGAGAAGGACACGAGTTATCACACTTCCCCGAATGGTATGAGAGAGTTTCTCTTTTGATTGGTAATAAGAACGTCCTTCAAGAAGTGGAGGAGACAGATGTTCTAGAGACTTCAGTGTCTGGAAAACGACTCGGGAAATGCACGTCGGAAGAACTGGGGCTTTTGAATTCTGAAGAGCTGTAGTTAAGACTGAGTGGTCCAGATCATATGATCAAGTTTCTAACTTTTTAATAAATGACTGTACATGATTCGTACACCTCGAGAGAGGATATACCTAATACATCCGTGATCTACAGTCTTGAAGCTTGACCGAAAAAAGGTACAAGATGTACCACCTGTATATATTTGGTTTATTTGTCATCCAGTCTACGGAGCCGCAGCTACCGATTTACTGTTTGAGGTTTAATGATTCTATAACACCTTGTAAACTCTTTCAGAGCGAGCTAATTGGGAATGAATTATATTAGCCGGATGTCGGTCGTGCTAAGCACAGTGTTACATGGTTCCCCGCAACGACTGTCCACACCATTTTATCCCCCAATGGGACGTGGCTGGTATTATAAATGATCATGTTTCAAGGGTTTACTTTGCGAGAATGTTTCCATGCGGTCAATTTACCGCAGCGCACCAATGGCTTCCAGCTGAAATGACATAAGGGGACAATCTCTGCTTCTTGTTTGTCTATAAGCAGGACACCATATAACTGCTGCCCAAGAGCTTACTCAACCCTTCGATCCACATACTTCAAGTCTATCATTGTTACTCTTACCATTGTGGACTTCAAGATGCGTGCCATCTTTGGACTCCTTATGTCTGCTGTTCTAACAGCTGCAGAGAAATTCACGAATCCAGTTGTTTGGGAAGATCTTCCCGACAATGAAGTCACACGTGCTGGTGATGCATTCTACATGACCGCTTCATCATTCCACTACTCTCCCCGTGCCCCTATCCTCCGATCATACGACCTGGTCAACTGGGAGCATATTGGTCATTCCGTTCCTGTTCTAGACTGGTCGCCCAAGTACAGTCTTGAAAATGGACAGCGCGCTTACGTCAAAGGCATCTGGGCTTCCTCCCTTCGCTATCGCGAGAGTGATAAGAAGTTTTACTATGTCGCCTGCATTGAGTTTGGCAAGACCTACGTCTACAGTGCCCCAAGCGCAACAGGTCCTTGGGCCCAAATCGGAAAGATTGACAAGTGCTACTACGATGCTGGACTGCTTTTCGACAAGAACGATATTCCTTATGTGGCATATGGGCGTGATGGCATTCATGTTGCGCAGCTGTCCTCGGATCTCAAGTCGGAAGTGAGGGACCAGACTGTGTTTACACCACCAAACCTGACCCTTGAGGGATCCCGCATGTATTTCAGAAACGGAAACTACTACATCTTCTTGACAAGGCCTGCCACTGGACAATATATTGCCAAGTCAAGCAACGGGCCTTGGGGCCCATACGACCTCCGCATCATCGCTGACAACATTCGTCTGGCCGCGGCTCCTCGATCGGGTGCACCCCATCAAGGAAGTCTTGTTGACACGCCCAAGGGAGACTGGTATTATATGGCATTCGCCGACATGTATCCCGGAGGTAGAGCACCAGTCCTGGCGCCCATCACCTGGGGGAGCGATGGATTCCCTGTGATCCAGCTAGTGAACGGCGCCTGGGGTGACTATGAATACCCAATCGCTCGCCACCCGGTCCAGAGTGTCATGGGCACTTACGACTTCGCTGGCACAAAGCTCAGAGAGGACTGGGAATGGAATCACAATCCCCTCACAAGTGGCTTTACGGTTAACAACGGCTTGACCTTACGCACCGTTACCGTAACCAATGATCTGTATCAAGCCCGAAACACCGTCACACATCGCATCCGAGGTCCAAAGGGAACTGGTACTGCTGTTCTGGACTTCACAAACATGAAAGACGGAGACCGAACTGGACTCGGAGTGCTGCGCGATTCCTCTGCTTGGAGCGGAGTTGAACGCGAAGGAAACAACTTCAACATTGTTCATGTCACTGGTGTCTCAATGAACGCCGACTGGACCACCAAATCAACTGGTAATGTTGCAGCGAGGGTGAACAATGTTTTTTTCCGTAAGGTATATCTTCGTGTCGTTGCGAACATTGCCCCTGGTGGTCCTGGCTCTGCCAACTTCAGCTACAGCTCTGATGGCCAGAACTTCATGAGTCTCGGAGGCAGCGTCTCGCTCGGAAATGACTGGCAGTTCTTCCCTGGATATCGCTATGGAATTCACAACTTCGCAACCAAGAGCCCTGGCGGATCCGTTCGCGTTACGAGCTTCAACAACCAATAAAAGCTCTGATATCAGGGCATGAGGTGGATATCATGGGAGGCTGGAGACTAAGCGGCGAGCAAGTTGGAGAGCAGTTGCTAAAGGGGCCGATTTTCCGGGGATGGTGTGTTTCTTGTATCTTATTTTTACCATTCTTTACTTTCTTTCCAAAACCAGTATATATGACAGAGCTTGTTCATCTGAATGAGAAGGTGTGATGAGTCCATGGACTGATAAAAGACTATTCTGCTCCCTTACATTTTCAGCACTGCAGACAACCTCAGGACCAAGCTTAGCATAAGCAGACTGTCGGGACTACAGACGATCTGAGATCAAGTACTCATAAAGAGAACGAGAAAGGAGGTCAGAGAAAATTCACGGTGAGGCATTAGTGTACGAGAAAGTTATGTTTTTGATTTATGTTGCGAAAGCTATATGTACTGGCAAAAACAGAGATACAGACAGGATCAAATAAAGACAAACTAAACAAAGAAAACTATGTGGTAGACCTAGCCAAAGAGAGAAAGAGAAAAGAAAAGGAACACACAGGCTTACTTGAACTGCCACCAGTTAAAGTTGAACAGATCACCCGATCCACTGCCAGTGAACCGGAGAAACAGATCGTTGGTACCTGTAGCACCACTAACGGGACATTCCACGGTGGCCCAATTCTGCCAACCGCCGGTAGAAGTCACCATACATGTGCCGATAACATTGCCGGTTATGCTACCGAGTCGAAGCTCGATCTTGCCACCGCCACTACCAGAAGCAACACGAGCGCTGAAAGACTTGGGGCCGCCATTACTACCGAAGCCAACTCCCTTGACCTTGATGTAGTCCCCGTTATTGATCGAGGTGATATCGAAGCCACCTTCGCTGCAGGTCTCACTTTCAATACCCTGAGACCAAGCAATAGTCTCTGCCTCTTGGCGCACCAATGGATCGAGAGGCTTGAGCTGGGTCGGGCCTTGCTGGGCCATGCGTATCTCGGGGATTAGCCCGTTGGATCCGTAGTTGAAGCTCTCCACCGCGACAGATCGGGTATAGCCACTTCCCCCAGGAAGAGCACTGTTGTGGAAGAGAAGTAGGATTTGCCTTCAAAGTCGATAATGCCAGGGTGGTTGGTGAAGCTTTTGCCCTCGTGCTGCATGACGACCCCGCGGTAAGTCCAGGGCCCAGTTGCGCTCGGCCCAATTGAGTAGCGAATATCCTCGGAACAGCAGTTTGCTGCATAAATCATGCAGTAGAGGCTTCCGCCTTTGTACAGCCATGGGCCCTCTTCGAAGTTCGTGGGTCGCTGGGAATTATTGGGACGGGTGCCAAATCCGGCTGTGGTCAGGCTGACCTTGTTGATGCCGCCGCTGTAAGAAAGCATGTCGTTGTTGAGCTTGACGTAGTAGAGACCAGGGTTGCCCCAGTACAGGTACGCTTGCCCATCACTGTCGATAAAGACCGTTGGGTCCATCTCGTCGTTTTCAACAAGTGGACGCCCAAGTCCATCACTGTAAGGGCCAGCAATGTTGTTACTGACACCGACTCCGATGGACATTCGCCCAGTCTTGCCATTACGCACTGGGACGTAAAAGTAGAACTTGCCATTGCTAGAGGCAACCTGACCAGCCCAGGCTCTATTGCTAGCCCAACTGAATGTCTTGAGACTCATGGGCGTGCCATGATGCTGCCAGTTAGCCATGTCTGCAGACGAAAACAGTCGCCAATCGGTCATGTTGAAGTCTGTAGAGCCGTCATTGTCGTGTCCGGTGAAGAGGTAGACACGGCCATCGTGGACAATTGGTGCAGGATCAGCCGTGTAGATGTCTTGTACGAGCGGATTGTCGGCTCGAACGATCCCAGAGGCACTCAGTAGTGCACTGAGGAACAGTAGCCCATGGGAGATGCCTTTGAACATAATGACACAGTTTATTAAATGTTTGTATAATGGAGGAAATCTTGCTTGAGCTGCAATAATAATGTCAATCACTTTATACTAGGAAAAGCCTTAAATAACAACAGCCCAAAATGTAGGTAAACTGTAGCACTTGCGTGGGCTATTTGCGGAGTAAGCTGATCGAATGAGGCTCCATCAGTTCTTCAAGGTACGCACTACTGAATACGGCAATGCTGGTCATAGTGTTCTACTCTCCTTTCCAGTTCAGGAATTAGGCTGCCGCTCTTGGCCGAAATGAACTCCCAATTCCTCCGCCGGTTAAATGGGCTGCAGGTCCATTGCGACGCTGTACTGTACAATGATTAACCTCATCTGGTTAGGGATGGCTAGTATCCGTCCTCGTATTAATCCCAAAAATGGCCTTGGCCCGTGCAACTGACGATTATCTCGAGCCGTCGAAATCGGATTCGAACCACTCAAACGTAGAGACCTCATTGATGCTCACTATATCATCGTAACTAGTTCCCATCTAAGCCGGGGCAAGTCAGATTTAAAAACTATAAAATAACTACTATAAAGTAAAAAGATGTCAATTTTTTTTAAAATTCTAGGTTAACATAACATTAAAAGTATCATCCTAATAGTTTAATAAAATATAAAATATAAAATATAAAATATAAAATATAAAATATAAAATATAAAATATAAAATATAAAATATAAAATATAAAATATAAAATATAAAATATAAAATATAAAATATAAAATATAAAATATAAAATATAAAATATAAAATATAAAATATAAAATATAAAATATAAAATATAAAATATAAAATATAAAATATAAAATATAAAATATAAAATATAAAATATATGTATTAGTTTAATAGGATAATAAGTAATTCATCGAACTAATGCGACCTCGTATTAACGCCTTCAATAACGGTATTGAGGATGCTGTAAACGCCCGCGCCGACGACAGCAAGAAAGTGCTAGTCATTCGCATGGACGGACGAAGCGGTTAGCACGGCGAATGTAATCGACGTGCTGCACCCCGACGAACGCGGCTATGTGATCATGGCCTCCAACTAGTGGAACGGCTTGCAGCAGGCATTCGAGAACGGCCGGATCGAGCATCCCGTTGCGGGCCAGCCACCCGACAACGGCGGCGGCGGTGTTGTGTATGGGACGGTTCCCACCTGGATCCCTCGGGGCATAGTCGCGTCCGGCGGCGGATTTGGAAGCGCAGCCCCTCGAAAAACAACGGGACTGGTGTCTTGATGGCAGATGTTAACCGGGGCGGGCAGGACGACTACCTCCATGTCAGTGAGGACGGCGAGTTTTACATGCACTGGAATGGTGGCAAAGCTCCCGACAACGGTCCAAATGCTGGTACGGTTCGGTGGCTACCTACTAGTGTTATTGTGAGTGGTGGCGGGGCAAAGGGAAACCAGGTTCGCTTTGCTGGTATTATTAATGGCGATGGCAAAGCGGACTACATCCACCTCGCGTACAATGGCGCGGCTGCCTTATGCATCAACCAAGGGCGTCGCGAAACAGGCGGCTGGGGAAGGTGGAATTGGGCGTGATCGCCAGTGGGGTCGGCACCAGCCGAAAGAAACTTCGTTTTGCCACTTCAAAGGTGACGGTCTCGATGATTAGATCGCCGTTGATAGGGCAAGATAGGGCTATAGGCGGACTGAATATGTGGTATAACTGCAGCCCGCAGAACCATACTTTCGCCCCCTTGGTGTGTGGCAGAGCCCGGAACCGATCGCTTCCGTAGTAAGCTATTCACCAAATTGGTCAACGTCAGATATGGCAACTGTTGGAGACTTAAATAGAGACAGTAGGGATGAGTACTTGCATACTGGAGTTGAAGATTGTACATATAAATTCCTAAATGGATGTTAAGAAGTAATATTCTATATAGTTTCTTATATTTCAGCTAGTACTTACTCAAGTAACTTATCCAAGTCTTTATTTAACCTCGAAGTAAATAACAATTCTTGAAATATTATTTAGTTTTCTTAAGCTTACTTTACACTTACATTCATTTTTAATAAGATGCCTTAATAGTTTACTTTTAAGAAGGATATAAGTAAAGCTGAGAACTTATTTATTAAATATTGTACTGATAAGGATCATATTAATCTTAGTTTATAGAAAGGGCAGAGACGACAAGATAAGCGGTGTGAATATGCCAGCATATCTTCTTGAGGTTTATGAACTAGAAGTGGAAAAGAGTTGCAAAATTTTCAGCGTGTCTACTAATATAGCTGGACCCGCCTACCTCACTAGCCTACACTAGCTCTATAGTCTCGACCTAAACTGAAGACTATCGAATTTAGAATGATTTTACTAGTTTTAATTGGGACACAGGTTTCGCCTCCTATATCGATACGTCACCATATTAGACGTATTTATTATAGATCGAAGGTCACTGCTCAGCATAACCATTCTTCTCCCCTGTACTGTAATAATCAAACTAGTGCTTAAGAGCTAATTCCAACCACGAAAATGGGCCGGCTTTTGCTATTCCTTCTTCTTGGCTTTATCATTGGTAAGAACTCCTCTCATCTTGTCGGCCACAACTAACTGGAAAGGTACAATTGCCATTTCTGAGCCCTCTGCTATCAAGTGTTCGGATTGGTGTTCCAGCAATTTGTCATCTGCGTCTATCCGCCGAACATGCATAAGCAGAGCCAGGTCAGGCAAAGGACTATGCTATGACTGTGGACCCAAGGCCAAAACTACTGGAAAGACGCTTTGCGGTGACATATGTGTCGACACGAAGACCAGCAAGAAGAATTGCGGGCAATGCGGCCAAGTAGTATGTATTTTTCTCACTGAATAATTGACTGACAGATGGTCTGACAAACCTCACAAGTGTGGTCCGAACCAGATTTGTGACAACGGCTCCTGTAGCTGCTCGAACGGACTGACCGCATGCAACAGTCAATGCAAGAACCTTTCAAAAGACAAGAGAAATTGTGGAAGTTGCGGTAATGCGGTATGATTAATCCTCGCCTGTTCAAGCTCCCTCTTCTTACCAAAGCCTACAGTGTCCATCAGGATCGACTTGTTCTTCGGGCGAGTGTATTTGCTCGGCCGGACTGACTAAATGCAATGGCGCGTGCAAGAAGCTTTCAAACGACAAGAACAATTGTGGTACATGCGGAACTAAGGTAAGCCCCACAAAGCTACTTACTTGACGCGTTAGTCTCATTCAAGTTCGTAGTGTCCAAATGGATCGCCATGCGTCAATGGGAGTTGCCGATGTTCGAAAGGACTTTCCTACTGTAGTGGCAAATGTAAGAACATTCTAACTGATAGCGAGGACTGCGGTAGCTGTGGAAATAAGGTGAGTTTCTAATTGCTGACTACTTGCTCATATAACTAATATTGGTTTAGTGTGCGTCTGGGTCATCTTGCACCGGGGGCAAGTGCGTGCCTCAATGCGCAGATGAGAAAACGTTGTGTGACAATCAATGCGTTGAGCTCAAGGTTGACGCTGATAACTGTGGGAGCTGTGGTAATGCGGTAAGTTGGAGTTCTTGCGCCTTTAATCTATCGATCTAATATCCATATAGTGTACGGACGGGACTTCCTGTGTCGGGGGCAGCTGCGTACAACAATGCACAGGAGGTAAGACACTGTGCAATGACGAATGCGTCGACCTCAACTCCAATGACAACAGCTGTGGGACCTGTAACAATGTGGTATGTTTCCATTTGTCTTTAATACTTGCTTGACCCGCCTGATATCGCTTTAGTGTTCGAAAGGATCTTCCTGTTCCAACGGGAAGTGTATGATCCAATGCTCGGAAAGCCAAACGTTTTGCAATGACCAATGCATTGATACCCAAACGGATGATTCAAATTGTGGGCAGTGTGGCAAATCTGTATATTCCCCTTTCACTAACTATCTATTTGACCTGTCTAACGAATCGGTCTTCTAGTGCGAGAGTGGACAAATTTGCTCCGAGGGCAAGTGTACAAGTCGATGTACAGGGTCCCTGACGTCTTGCGACGGCCAATGCGTCGATTCGCAGACGGATGCGTCAAACTGTGGGCAGTGCGGGAACTCGGTATAGTCCACTTTTTCCCAAGATTTATTTTGCTCTCGCCTAACAATAATTCTAGTGTAAAGCTGAGGAAACCTGTTCTGGAGGCAGTTGCGTACCTCAATCGCCATGCTCAGGAGGAAAATCACTTTGCAATGATCAATGTATTGACCTCCAGTCTAATCGGTTCAACTGTGGTTCCTGCAACAACCAGGTATGGCTCTTATCTGCCCGTGTAATTTCATAGGTGGCCTAACATGTTCCGCAGTGTTTCCACTATAGTCATTGTGATGGAGGGAAGTGTGTGTGTGATGGAACTTCAACTTATTGCACTAATTTCTGTGTCAACCTACAAGGCAGCGACCCATATAACTGTGGGAGCTGTGGATTTCGGGTACGTTTGCATTCTCGCCCCTTCAAGTTTCTCTTGACCGATCTGACGCCATACAGTGCCCTCCTAATTATAGTTGCAAGAGCGGGAAGTGTGCTTGTCCTTCAACTGCTACTAAAGATCTATGCAACGGTGTTTGTACTTTTATTTCAGATGACTCGTCCAACTGTGGCCGATGCGGTAATAAAGTAAGTATTCTCCTCCTCTCTTTTTAGTAAACGTAACTTATCTTATACTTTTTAGTGCCTTGAGGATGTGGAATATTGCTATCAGGGTATATGCCTCTCATATGAGGAACCGCTTTAAGTGGATTATCTACATTGATAACTTAGCTGTAAAGTTAAAGTTACAGAACCATAGACAATAAGGCCTTCGCTTATCGACGGACAAGGTTTTCAGTTGCGAACCATAAGAAGCCTCGGTACACGTCATCGAGGAACAGTTTGGGAAAGGCACCTTGATAATAATTTCATTAAGTTGTCCTAGACATCTGTCGCTCCCGATGGGCTACTCCCACTCAAGAAAAGGCTCAAATGTGTCATGAGGCAAACCCTAGGAAAATCTGTGTCTACCCCATTTCTTGTCAAGGCAGATCTCAGTTCCCAGGCATACGCTGCCTATTCAAGCCATGTATGTGAGTCGGCGAGTTTAAATTGTAACGCCAATGTTCTCATATTGTCCAGGACTGTAGTCCAAGCTCGTTCGGTCTGTCTCGCAGGGTCTCGAGCGACAGTGTAGCTTCTTGTTCTTCTGAAAAGAAGTAATGGCAGGAGAACAGTCAGTACCAGCCAGTTCGAAGTGAATTGTATCATAGCAGTGCTTCATGTGAGCTCCTGCCGAGGAAGAAGGTGCTGGTATAGCCATAATCAACTACGCGTTTAGTTTTGGGTAGAACGTGGTTAGGTATGATTACTGAGTGAGTTTCAGCCTTGGAATGGAAGATCATATTTGCGAGTGAAGCAAAGCACGAAAGCTTTGCATTAATATCTCATTTGTTACTATTCATATGGCTTCGTGACAGTACATCCTAGTATGGTGGTTAAATTCGAACCTGCCCTATACCATCAGGCTTTCTCGTCTCTATTGGGATCTTTGTCTATTTTGTGTTGCCTTCTGCCACTGCCGCAATCAGTGCAGCACCAGTACCAGAGCCGTCTCTTGTGAGCTCTATCTTCAATCTTGATTCGTTAAGGACGCCAATCTCCGGGATGTCGCACAACACACTGCGCATCAAGTTCTCAAAATCGGCGTGGAACTCGAATAGCGACCCGTCAACTGCGATATCGATCACGTCATCCTCCGAAACCAAATCTCCAAGGGTATCTTTTGAATCGTATGGTGAGTCGTATTCCGTTGGCAAGTCGTCTCCTGGGGTCATGCAACTACACATATGCCGTATGAACTGTGTGAAAGTGGCTATAAAGCCTATGGTCTGGGTTTGTGTGGGCTTTTGGCTTATCCCGTGCACGTTATGCATATTACTTGTCTTTTGAGCCGTGCTTGCGAGATGTAACCTGCCTGACTGAACCAGTATGGCAGCGAGCCCTCCGCCAACCAATCGAGCAGAGCGTCTTATAATTGCAGAAGCGATAGTCTGGATTGTATATAGATCGTCGGAGGTTACGCCCTTTGCTGCGAGGCTCTCAGCCACGTAAGGTAAAGCCGAGGAGTCGTCCTGTCTGAACTCGGTAACCTTGGTTAAGAATGCGGTCTCGATGCCCGTAGGTTGATAGACAAGACTGTCATCTTCGAATGCCATATTCAGTGCACCGCGTGTCATCAGTTCTAGGAGAGCCAGCCGTAATAGCTCTCCAAGATACATACCGGACACCATCTTCTCAAGCAGACCACACCCTGGATCCGAGGAAGTCTTGTCAACCCTTTTGTCGTATTGTGTGTGGGGAAGCACGGTCAATTCGTCGTCCCAGCAGCCCCATTCAGTATTCATCACCATGACTTCATCTTTGGGATATGATTCGGTGTTGCTAGGTCTCACATCGAGCCTCTGAATATTCGAAATGCGCTCCACGTACGCAGCATTCGTTCCCGTGCCGAGAATAATAGAAGCCAGTGCCGAGCCTTTCTTAGTAGACGTGTAAGCTCTTGTGAGGAGGGTGCCCACTGCATCATTAGCCAGGACGCAGACCTTTACCGGTAGGTTGATCTCGTCAACAGCATCTTGCAGTAAAGCACATGGATCTTGGCCCAACGCGGCGGGTATGTCCCACCCTTTGTCCCAGTGTACGAGAGTGCCGCGAGAGATGGAAGTTTGTTCGCAGGTGAAGCTGAATGTAAAGCCGAGGTTGAAGGTGTGCTCGAATTCGTTGTTTGTCAGACCTCTCTCCGGCACATACTCTTGAAGGAATTCTTGAACCTTTGCAGCTATGAATCGAAATAATGGCTCATGACTGGCGTTCACCCTAATCTCAGAAGGGACGACGTGCTTTTTCTGGAATGTATCAAATGTTGAGTCTCCATGAAGATTCACAGCACAAACTCGACAGTTCGTGCCGCCCAAGTCAATGGCAAGGAACAGGCCTTTTTCCTGTCCACTGGGTATTTGTGTGACAAAAGATGGTATCTGATAAGAATGCTTGCTCTGGAGGCCACGTTCTTGTCAGGTTAGCCTAGTCGTGACGTGTGCAGGGAAGAACGATAAAGATACATACTTATCTGTTTCACAAAATGATCAACGATATCACGGATCTTGAGATTGTCAATCTCGAACTCTTTGGCTATTGATTGGACAATTGCGCCACGGCTATCATCCAAGCCACCTGGCAACATAGCTATATTTTGAGGACGGGGACTGGCAACAAGATAGCATGGGAGTCAAGATACTTGAGACCTGAGCTGCAATAGCTAAAGTATAAAGACTAATACCAAAACTGCTAATAATTTGGCAAGCATTTCATTTTACACGAACCGGGATTGGGTATGGTCGCTTTACAACACTAGTCGGCAAAGTCCGGGCCGATGCCGGCTAACACGGAACCCTTTTGCCCCATTCGTCCTAGATCTCAAGGCTCAAACTCGATAAGACACAGGGAGATAACCGGTCACTTCGCCGTTCTTTCTCCCCGCTCATTCTCTGAACCATCCACTTGTGCACGCACTGCACAGCATTCTCTGGACGACACCCAACCCATTGGACCAATTGGCAGTCAATCACAGCCTCCGGCGAAGATTCCCGTCCTATGGAGGAACGCGAGACCCCAGATAAGGCTGCAGCGCTCAAGGCCCGCAAGGCCTGCAGTGGGTGCCCTCACCACATTGTCTGGGAGCCTAGCAGCTAATTATAGAACTCTCTAGTCAATTGCCGCAAACAGAAAATGAAATGCGTGATACAGGGTAGCAACGAGACATGTCGTCGATGCCGTCGAGCTGGTCTGCCCTGTGTCTTTGTGCCCAGAGCCAACGCGGCTCAATTGCCGTTGGTGTCGGAGCCTCTGGACCTAGAATTCAAACAAAATGTTCTCTCTCGGCTTAAGACCCTTGAAGAAAGGCTGAACCATGTAGGCGTGGATGATTTAGATCTGAGAGTAACCGGCATCTTCTCTAGTATCGCTGAACAATCACCAGAGCCAACGCCAGAAGGGCCGCTATGGGACGCAATTACGCTGCTGCAGAAATGCTCACCAGTGGTACCACCACCAATTTGGCAACGTGATACTGTCGAATCCCTTTGGTCATCGTATGTCTCTATGCAATTTTCTATTCTCAATGCAAATGATCTGACCTATGTCATTGTAGATTCCATGATAGAATGCCCGGTTTGCACTTTATGCCTGACAAACAAACCTTTTCTGCCCCTCAACCCGTCCTGCTGGCGTCTATTCTTTATTGCTCAAGCACACGAGGGCCTCCAGATATGGTAGAAATTGCGCCACATTTCTTTGTCATTCTATGCAATGCCATTGCGCAACTGAGCATCCCAAGTAGCGAGATTGGATCACCCTCTGATCCATCTGTCTCCAGAGAGGAATGGGCTTTCCAGACTGTTCTCGGGATTGTTCTAGCGGGTCTCTTGACCGAGGGAAATATACGAGAAACAGGGAGCTGGATTGCCGTTGGCTACCGACTAATGCTGGATTATTGCCCTGCCCATGTTGATGACACTTCGAGAGAATGGCGAAAGCTGTTTAGTGGTATCCAGATCGTGGACTTGGAGCACTCCTCGATCCATCTCTCATACCCTGTTATACCAATCGAAGCACCACTAGCAACTCTCCGTATGTCACCGCTTGACCAGCTATACAAGCTGTCACGCATGATGCATACTGGACTGAGTCATTTCACTGGACGCAGACTGCCTACCATCTGGTCCTGTTTTGAAGAGTCTACGCTGGGTATGAATGGCTCGACTACGAGCTTTACTGCAATCGACGGCATACTCATTAAAGATTGGGCTAAACAATTGGATGATTGGTTAACAGAATTCAATGGAAATATGACTGAGCCTGACCAAAGTAGCAAATTGGTTCTCAGACAGTATGTCCTACATCGACTACTTGTCTTGTCAATCTACCACCCAGCCAGAAGTGGCAATCTTTGGTCACAGACTATAACTTCTAACGAGCAGGAGGAGCTGCTTCTTTCTGCCCGTGCAACGGTTAAGCTTCATCAGCATGATGATTCCATCTGGTCCAACTGGGATCTGATCATGATTACATGGGCTGCCCTGATCGTGTTGCAAGGCATACAAGGAGGAGTGGGAGAGTTGGAAGGTTTGTATTGTTGCTTATGTCTATGAACTTGAAAGTGCTAACTCCTTTCCAGACTTGGGAAATATCAGAACACATCTCGATATCCTAAAGCAAAAGAACGAGCACAAGCCCAGCCTCTGCGATAAACTCATCACCCGTCTTGAGGACAGTCTCCAAGACGTCAGCACCCCTGACTTCTCCTACGTCCAGCCATCTCATCCATCTGTTATGGATCCTGCCTTTGATTATTCTTGGCAAATATTCGATCAGGTCAACCTGCAGCAGTTCAACTTTCCAGGTTGAGCCAACATGTGGTGTCTCTTCGACAATCGTGACGCTTTACATTCCAACAGGAAATGTGACAGATCGGACTCTAGTTATGGGTGCTATACGCGACGCCATGTTATCAGGCTTTAAATCACCGTCGTCATCCCCATCAGCTGTTAGGGTTGGCGAAGGAGGTAGAAGTCCAGAAGACTTCTTTTGGCTCATAGTTTTCTCAACACCCTTGAAGTACTAGAGCTTGTTAGCAGTGTCTTATAGAATGCCAAGTTAGAGACTCACGTTGACCGTCTTTATCTTCATCTCAAGTGTGGCATCTTCGTCTACCACCACCATGCTCCTTGGGTGAAGTTGAAGACATGAGAGTGTACAAAGATGGCTTACTCCACCTTCAACAGCTTGCTGAATGGCCAGAGCTTTAGAGGCACCCAGGGCAATAATAACCACTTCCCGAGCATCCATCACGGTTTGCACACCAACTGTAAGCGCCATCTCTGGTACTTGTTCAATATCGTTGTCAAAGAATCGTGCATTGGCGATCCGTGTCTCATATGCGAGAGACTTAATTCGGGTTCGGCTTACAAGGCTGGACCCCGGCTCGTTGAAGGCGATGTGCCCATCAGTTCCCACACCCCCAAGGAACAGTTCAATACCACCAAGGGACTTAATCTTTGCTTCATATTCAGCACACTCTGCAAAGAGATCAGGAGCATTGCCGTTGAGTAGGTTGATGCTCTCCGGCTGTATGTCGATGTGCTTGAAGAGGTTGTGGTGCATGAATGAGCAATAAGACTCGGGGTGTTCACGAGGTAAGCCGACATATTCGTCCATGTTGAATGTCACAACATGACGAAAAGAGACTCTTGAAGCTTTGTGTGCTTGGATGAGATTTCTGTATATGTGTAATGGACTGCCACCAGTAGGCAAACCAAGGACAAATGGCTTGTCAACTGTCGGGCTGAATGCAAGGATTCGAGCTTCATTTGCAAGAGTTAGTAGGATACACAAATAAAACTCGGAGTAAAGAATAGGAAGAGGCAGAGCTTACATATGATGTATTCAGAGATGTACTGCGAAGCCTCTACAGAGTCTTCCCTAATGACTAAACGCATCTTGACCTTTGTAATACTGAATGTTACTAGAGAGTAAGAATAATATTGGAGTAATAGATAGAGCCTTTTTTGATTTATTTGCATATATCTAGGCGTGTGCAACTTGATAGATGAGCCTTATATTATAAGATATCTTTACTACTCAATCTGCATGCTCTTCCACCTAGGTGTGAGCCTGTTAGTAGCAGCTATGATGATGGCCGAACTTTGCCGGTACACAGATAGTCATTGCTGTGTTTGACCATCCGGCATACTACGGCCTTCGCGCGGGTTTCAGACTTCCTGGGCATGATCGTTAACCCATTAGGCTGGGACTAACTGATGTCACTGTTTGGCACTGAGAGACCACGAGCGAAAATTGACGGGCGGCATGCTCTGTAACGATTGAATCATTGGTCATAATAAACGGCCTGAACTTTAAATCTGAAGCCAAAGTCTTATTTCGATACGCTATACTAAACTAGGCGGTCTCTACTCAGGTCTAAAATATCCACCCGAGTCATGGTAACATCCCGCACATTGCAACTCTAACACGTGTAGTCCATGTCGAGAGTAACACTAGGGGTCCCCTTGAAACTTTTAGGCACCACATACGAAATGTTATAGATCCAGTGATCTCTCAGTGTAGCTCCGTAAACCACATCCTGCTTCACCAGTCCCGGTGCTGTCACGTTAACATCAAGACATGGCAGCTTCTCCAGGCCCTTAACAACGTTCTTGTTACCAAGAGTCCAAGAAGGTGGAATTCCAGTCAAAGCAAATGTAAAGATGTTAGTTCCGTCCTGTGTGGTGTTGGGGTAAGACACTGTTAGGCGATTGGGACCGGCCTTTGCCGTCAAGGTTGATGCGCTTGGGTACAGCGAGAAGAAGCCCATGTAAGGGTAGGGCTTGTGCGAAGGGTCTGAAGCCCACTGGACGATAGCTGGAACGTACTGGTTGCCCCTGTTCTTGGTCTCTGCAACTGTCTGACCACCGATCATGACCTCAGCACTGAGCCAAGAGGTGATGTGGCGGGGGTTGTTGGAGTCAAGCTCCTCATAAATAGTCTTGTTGATGAATCTTGTGCCCTTCCACTTGCCCTTGGCCTTGATAATGGCCTGCGCGTCCTTGGAGACTGTAGGTGCAACAACATCAAGAACAAGCGCAATAGCGGCACCTTGGGCAACGTCGTAGAGAAGATCACCCTCTCCAAGAGGGGGCTGACCTCCCACACCGCGTCCGTAAAGACCCCAGAGAACCATGGACAGAATCTGCGAATGAGTGGTGGCATCGCGACTGTAGGCTCGATCGTAAGGTCCAACCATGTTGCCGAGGTAAGGGTTATAATGAGCAGCAATATCCTTCCACAGCTCCTGCAGGATGAACTTGGAATTCTTGGTCATGGGGGCGTCCTTTGGTCCATAGGCAATGTTGGCCGCAAGAGCCCAGATGTCGATACCATAGTAGTTTGGCGCATTGTACTCAGACAAGGCATTCTGGCCTCCTCGCTTGAATAGCTTGAGAATATCCTCGCCCTGCTCCTTAGCAAACTTGATGAGAGCTTGGTTCTTCTTGCGCTGCCCGATCCATCCAGTTGTGAGAGCTCGCATGATGGCTGGGTTGGAATAGCCCAGGATCAGGTTATCGTCCTGAGGGAACGATCCGTTTCGACGCATGCCGCCAATGGCAGCTGCCTCGAGCGCATCTTCAATGCGAGCTTCAAGGCCCTTTGGTAGAAGGTGGCCAAACTCCTCAACAACTTGGATAAGCTGGGTGCTACAGTATTCAGTCAGCCTTCCATAGCCTAATGTCAACAAGTCAGATTGGTAATTTACCCGACGAATTCTCTCCAGTTAGGATCGTAAGTCCCGTAAATTGAAGGAGGGTACAGTGGCCCGTTTGGGGTGGGGTTTGGCTCATCTGGAGCAAGCTTGAAGGTGCCATACCAGGCAGAGTCAAAGTCGCCATTCATTTGATTTGCCAAGCTGAAGTTCAAAATCAATACGTAGTCCTGTAGCCATTTTCTTTTGTTAGAGCGTTTCGACTTACACATTCTCAATTGCCTTGGTGGCAGTCTTGATGTCATCACCCTTTCCGCGGTGCAACAACCCTGGAATATACCAGGCAGTAAATCGGACCGACCACTGGCCATTGTCCTGGTACCAGACATATCCGTAGCTAGAGTCGAATCTGGAGTCGGTTACTTCCATGGAGTAATCGAACAAGCCCTGGGCGGCTATCAATTTTGTTAATAAGTCTCAAGTAATACTAGATTTGGGCACAAACCTGATGTAAGCTTCTTGCTGTTGCCATTGCGCTCAGCCAGGCTCGCAGCAGTAGCAACAGAGCCAAATGCCAACAGGGACGTAGCAAGTGAAACAAGACCCATGATGAATATCTAAACTTGGAGCAAAATAGAATAGAGAATGGATATGCGTAGACGGATGATTGGCAAACGAGACGGATATCAAACCCCTCTTAAGACAATTACCAGCTCATAGTGTCTTTCCCCAGGTTACTGCTGTACCAGAACCTCGGGACGTGGATGGGCAAAGGAATGGGCAGGGTAAAGCCGGCGAACGACACCGGCGAATTTGTCAATGTTGGACTAGGAATCCCCGCATTCTAACCCTGTCTTGAGTCTAGTCTATTGAGCTCGGACTGGAAAGTGTTTACTCCGCATTTCGTATCTCATCCGTGACCCAGAGATTTTAATCAGGGTAATAAGTCGTGTGATATCCCCAACTAACAACCTTAGCATCGGATTTGCGATAAGTAACTTTTATCCTTTCTTGGGTCTTATCCGATATGGAAAAAGCATATTATTAATATGAAGATGATAGTAAAAAACACGGAAACATTCTATGGGGAACTCCTTATCTTCCGTAGCTTCAGGGCATGCATGTAGCCTGTCCAAGTTTGCATACGTCTGCCAGTCCAATGCCCCTCTACTAACCGATAACCCCAGTGTTTTCGCATAAAGTCAAACCCCCTGGTACCTGGCCAGACCCTTGAATCAGACCACGCAGGCATTAATGCCCTTTGAGCGAAAAGCTCGGATGAAGATTGGAGGAGATCACCTACGGCAAAGTTCGGCGAAGCTCCCGATGCTAATCACGCCCATCCTTGTCTCTTATGGTCGCGTGCACTGTGGAGTCCCCCATGGGGCCTGGCGTCTGCAGTTAGCCTAAGTTACTTGTCTGTCGCGGGGAACATCGGCCCACTAGAGAGATAGGTATCTGTCAAGGATGATAGATAATACTACCTTCTCCCTCCTCATCCTCGATTGTAATTCCGACTTCATCCCAACATATCACATCACAATGGTTCAAGTACAGGCCTCTCTTGCCCTCGACGACCAGTTGTCCGCTGGCTGGTTCAGCTGGTTCACCAACAAGGGTATCCTCAAACTCAATGCCATCTTGTGTCTTTCTCTCATCTCCAGTTATGCAACTGGATACGATGGAAGTATGATGAACGGCCTTCAGAGCCTGGATACGTGGAAAGCAGATTTCAATGACCCTGATGCCAACAAACTTGCCATGTAAGTAAAATACTGGTTTTGTTGCTTTAATCGGCTCTGAGACTGACTCACAATTCTTTGCAGTCTAAACGCAATTCAGAATATCGGACAACTTGTAGCTTTGCCATTCTGCGCTATGTTCTGCGACAAGTTTGGCCGTCGCCCTGCCTTGGTCACTGGAGCGGCCATCATGCTTGTTGGTGTTGGTCTTCAAGGCGGAGCACAGAACACAGGCATGTTTATCGCTGCCCGAGGTATCCTTGGTTTTGGCTTGGCTTTAAACATCACTGCCGCACCGGTGCTTATCATGGAGTTGGCGTATCCCACACAACGAGCACCTATGGTTTCCATCTACAACACACTCTGGGGTCTCGGTGCTCTTTCCGCCGCCTGGATCACTTACGGTACTTTCAGAATGAACAGCTCGTGGGCATGGCGTGTCCCTTCCATTCTGCAAGCCTTGTCCAGTATTCTTCAGCTTGGTCTGTGTTTCATCATTGACGAGTCACCTCGATGGCTAGTCGCCAAGGAGCGTGAGGCTGAAGCTGAGAATCTGCTTATCAAGTACCACGCCAATGGTGACAGGAACAACCCGGCGGTAGCAGTGGAGATGGAGGAGATTAGAACTGCTATTCGCCTGGAGAATGAAGCAATGAACTCCACAAGCTATCTCTCTTTCTTCAAGACCAAGGGCAACCGCCACCGTTTCTTCATTATCCTGGCGGTTGGTTTCTTCAGTCAATGGAGTGGCAACGGCCTTATCAGCTACTACCTGACTTTGATCCTCAACTCGATCGGATACCGCTCTCAGGAGACACAAACCCTCATCAATGCTTTGCTGACACTTTGGGGATTATTCTGGGGTGTTGTGTTTTCTCTACTTGTCAACCACATTCCTCGTCGAGTTATGTTCCTTGGCTCAACGCTTGGATCGCTCGCAGTCTACATTGTCTGGACAGCACTCGAGGCCACATACGAAATGTCAACCGACCTCAACGAAGATGGAACCGGAGGGCCAAGCGGCATTGCCAAGGGTGTTCTGGCCATGATTTTCTTGTTCAACGTCTTCTTCACAGCTGGTTGGGGTGTTTTGCAAGTGACCTACGTCGTCGAGATTCTGCCATTCAATCTTCGCGCACGAGGCCTTGTCTTGTACAACCTGTTTGTGGCATGCGCCCTTATCTTCAACCAGTACGCGAACCCAGTTGGTGTGACCAACTCCAAATGGAAGTACTACATTACCTACGACGTGTGGTTGGCCGTGGAGGCTATTGTTGTTTACTTTCTCTTTGTCGAGACGCGTGGTCTAAGCCTCGAGGAGACGGCGTTGGTTCTTGATGGTCAAGAGATGGGAGACAAGCTGGTCGGAGAGGTCCTCAAGAACACAGAAAAGAGTATCCAGGTCATCGAGACTGAGAAGCGTGCTTCCCTGTAGATTTAACCATATCCTATTGAGATTTAATACGACAGACTTTTAATTTCCTTTTTGCTCGTTGATGATGCGGTGATGTTACGGCATAGACTTTTACTTCTTTCGTGATAAATATTGTCACGATCAACCCCTAATCTGGTTAGAATTATCTACTTAACTGCGAAACACCCTTTTGCCTATTTAAGCCATTTAGCCTCCATCATTTGTCATTATCACAATGTACGAGATAGTTACCCGTAATATCTAAGGCCTTAGGGTAGGTACACACAATCATTTAGTTCACTCTTGACCAGTACGCATATGAGATAGTGACGAGCTTTAGTTGAATTGGCGAGCCAGAATTGAAATAGAGTTCCGGATCTCGGCATGGGGTTTTCAATCGTTTACCGAACCTACGGTAACGCTTCGTCGCTCACTCAAATGTTGGGGAAAGACTTTCTCCCTTCGGCTATTTTCGGTGAAAGTGGAGTCTCACATCATATCAACCCCTCATTATCCACATGGAGTTCATCTCATAGTAGCGGGGTCATTGTTGCTATCTTTCCACTAATGGTGCCAATAATCTCACGATACATATAACAACATCACGTCGTTTCCTCATATTCTCTGCGACTTGGAGATAGTTTGTTATTGCCACAGAAAGCTCAACAAAATACAAAATGGAATCCGTCGGCAAGCCTGACTACGAAAATCTGGATGTGATCCAAAGGAATCGACTCGCCCCACGAGCGTACTGGTTACCCCCTTCACATCTGTTGCTCAACGGATCATGGGACTTTCAGTATGCACTAACCCCCGCAGAAGCTTCAGAATATCCCACCAACGCCGCAGCTTCTGATGAGCCTTGGTCAACAATCAACGTCCCAGGTCATTGGCAGTTGCAAAGCCATGGCCACCCTCACTACACTAACGTTCAGTTTCCCTTCCCGTCAACACCTCCATTCATCCCGACCGAGAACCCCACAGGGACATACCGACGTCAGTTCAGGGTTCCAAGTGATTGGGATAGCACATCGCAGCTCAGACTTCGTTTCGATGGTGTTGACAGCGCCTATCATGTCTGGCTGAATGGCTCTTTTGTTGGCTATTCCCAAGGCAGCCGTAACGCTGCGGAATTTGACATCACAGATATCACAAAGAAGGAAATTGATAACGAATTGGTGGTCAGAGTCTATCAGTGGTGTGAAGGCTCATATATCGAGGATCAGGATCAATGGTGGTTATCCGGTATGTACGCTCCCAACTACCGTCAGGTCAATAATACTGACAAAACAGGAATCTTCCGTGACGTGACCCTACTTGCACTGCCTGGACAAACTCGCATTGAGGACTTTTTCGTTAAAACAGACCTCGATGAGAAATACCAGGACGCCACTCTCCATGTAGATGTCACTTTGAACCAGCATGTCGGTACCTCGTCCCTTGATTTGTCACTTGTTCTTCAAGATGGAGATATCCAAGTGACTTCAACGCGCCAGAGCCTGGACGATACCAACAGCACGGCCAAGTTCTCATTGTCCGTTCCCAACCCGAAGAAATGGACTGCAGAGAGTCCCTATCTTTACCAACTGCAAGTTTCTCTTACCACGAAGACCGGAGAGTCAATCCAAGCCATCACACAAAATGTGGGCTTCCGCAAGGTCGAGCTGAAGAACGGACTTATCACTGTCAACGATTCACCAATCCTACTTCGAGGAATCAACAGACATGACCATCATCCGGTTCATGGACGGGCTGTTCCATTTGAGTTTCTCAAACAAGACCTACTATTGATGAAACAGCACAACATCAATGCACTCAGGACGAGTCACTATCCTGGGCAGCCCTGGCTGTACGACTTGGCAGATGAACTAGGCTTTTGGGTCATGGACGAGGCTGACTTGGAGTGCCACGGCTTTTATGACGTTGTCACACAGCCTATTCAACCTGCTCCCTATCTGGACTATGAGGGGAGCAAAGAAGAGTACTTCCCCAAAGCCGCCCAGTTCACCTCTGACAATCCAGAGTGGCGTGAGTCATACCTCGACAGGATGATCCAGATGGTGCAGAGAGACAAGAACCATCCTTGCATCTTCTCGTGGTCTCTCGGCAACGAATCTTTTTACGGTGTCAATCACGAGGCCATGATTGAGTATGCTCGAAGTATCGACGACAGACTCATCCACTACGAAGGCGATATTAAGGCGCAAGAGACTGACATGTACTCGTACATGTATCCCGATCAAGACCGATTGAAGAGACATGTCGAGATCGACGGTATCAAGGATGGAAAATGGGAGAAGCCAGTCATTCTCTGCGAATATGCACATGCAATGGGCAACGGCCCGGGAGGTCTCGATGACTACCAAGGTGCTTTCCGCAAGTATAAGCGTCTCCAAGGCGGTTTTATCTGGGAATGGGCCAACCATGGAATCTTGCACAAGGATGGCTACTACGCATATGGAGGTGACTTTGGTGATGAACCAAATGACCACACATTTGTTATGGATGGCCTTTGCAACAGCGAACACAAACCTACACCTGGTTTGATCGAGCTGAAAAAGGTCTTCCAACCTGTTAAGTTCGATTATGAATCTGGAAAAGTCTTGATTACCAACGAGTATGATTACATTGATCTTGGTCACTTGGAAGCGAATTATACCATCAAGGCAATCGGAGACAAGTAAGTAGTATCTATTATGTATAGGAGGAAACCTGCTAATTAAAGCTCTGCAGAACGTCACTTCTCGAGTCTGGTAAGCTTGACATTCCAAGCGTCAAACCCTGGGCGACAGTCGAACTCCCTATCCCCGTCGATCTCTCCCAGTATCAGAATCATTCGGAAGAGGTATTCTTGGCCATCTCTTTCGTGCTCAAGGAGGCCACAAACTGGGCACCAGCTTCGCACGAAGTGGCGTGGTTCCAGCATAAGATATCTAGCGAGAGACAGCCCAAGAACAAAGTCGATTCGTCTGACGCCTCTGGAGTCATCGATGTCAAAGAGACCAGAACCGAAGTAAGCTTGTCCAGTTCAAACTGGGTTTTTAAGTTCGACCGGGTCCGTGGCTATATCACAAAGTGGTCGACCGGCTCAGATCTGTTGGAGGTTGATTCTGCGACTCGTGCAGCTATCTATCCTTGCTTCTGGCGCGCGCCCACAGATAACGACAAAGATAGCGCTGTCAAAACTTGGAAAGAATACGGCGTGCACTGGATGACTTCTCAACTAAGATCGTTCCAAGTTCAGAAGGATCCCCACGGTGGAGGCGTCTCAGTCAAGACCGTGACATATTTCGCGCCTCCAGTTTTGGGATGGGGTTACGACATCCGTACAGATTACCATATTTCGACCAATGGACTTTTGTCTATAAAGCTTGACCTAACACCCAAAGGGTCGCACCCCATTGACGTCCCTCGAGTAGGGTTGAACATTCGGCTCCCCAAGCGACTCAACCAGGCCTCCTGGTTTGGCCTCGGCCCCGGTGAATCCTACCCCGACAAAATGTGTTCTCAATCTACTGGCATCTGGGAATCAGCCGTAGACGACTTGGAAGTTCCCTACGACGTTCCGCAGGGCAACGGAAACAGAATGGAGACACGTTGGGTGCGGCTGGTGGATGCCGATGGACATGGAATCAGAGCTTCAAGGTTTGATGCCAATACTTTCAACTGGACTGGCGGCCGCTTATCCGACCAAACTATTGAGGCAGCAAAACACCCGTGCGATTTAGTAAGAGAGGAGGCTACTTTGCTTAATCTAAGCCCGAGGGTTGCGGGTGTAGGTAGTGCTACCTGCGGGCCTGGTGTGCGGGATGATTTGCTGGTCAAGGTTGAGCCAATTACATATGAGTTTGTATTAGAATCTGTCTAGGTAGTTATAGCACAAAGCTACCTCTTGTCAAGAATCAGGTTTCAGTTAGGGACAGTTTAGTATTAGAGTTGGAAGAAAGTTCCAGATGCATTGTCGTTCTTGACACCAATGCCTTGTAGTTTATGACTTGTTTTCTTGAATTTACTCTGCTTTGTTCCTTAGCAGCAAGTGTCAAGTCCTTTGACTCTCGAAACGATCCGCGGTATGTAACGTTTTGTCTCAGGTACACCGCTCTTCATTATATTATTTACTGTACAAGTCAGCTCAGGCTTGGGGTGCGCATGCACGGAAAATTGATTCGGGAAATGATAGGTCCTTTGTGCTGCTATCAGCAAGCCACTTACAGTCCCTCATTACGATGTTGGGAGGTTTTGTTTTAGAATGACGTCATAGCGTATGACTATCTTGCGCACACATAATCTCAGCTGCACTAGGAAATGCAAAGGCATTTTGTTATTACATTCTCATTGGCAGCATTTTGTCTTATTCTCGGAAAGTCCCATATTGCGTGATACTAGTATGCATCTTTAGGTTTTTCAATGAATCATAATGACGGAACTTAGGAGGCCTCAAGGATGCACCGCAGAGCACATTTAAATGTCTATAAGAATACCAGGTTGTGCCCCAAAACGATCTGGTGTATCTTCTAGCATTATCCTGAGACTTTGGTATCTCAAGCTCATCCATTCTATTTTTACACGCTCTACAGAGATAATAGACAATGGCAGCCAAGGTTTGATATTTATAGCAGTATTAATCCATCTTCTTATAATACTGACATCTATCTAGCCAGTTACTATCCGTTTTGAAGACCCTGACGTCTGGGACAACAACAGAGAAAAGGTAGACGAGTAAGTGTGAACGTCATTCTATATTTTATCTATCGTTAGTGCCCTTACTGATATGTCTCCAGCCTGCTCGAGCAGCATACCGGAACAAGAGATTATCCCTCCACTAAAAGTCTTCCTCCTATTATTTTTGGAGCATCGTAAGATCAGTCTTCCTGTTCGGTGGTCGCCAACTAATATGTTTGATAAGGCTCACTGACGAAGCCATCAATGAGCTTAAGCAACTGCAGGGAGTTATAGTGCAAGTTCAGGACGATGATTAGAAGTGTAACATTAGGTGGGGTTGGGTGCCTTCGGGATGAATATGCCATAACTCCTGAATTTGAATTCCACTAGTCTCGTTTGTATAAGACACAGTCTTGCTTGCATTGATATTATTTCTGCCGTAAGGGCTTTACTACAACAATTGAATGGGAAAATAAAATGTTGGTTACCAGTCAAAAGTGCAATGGCCTATGGATAAAGTGTCTATATAAATGAATGAAATAGGTTACGTGAATTTGGGTAAAGGAGTTCACTCTTAGGTTTACTACATACTACATGGAATTTGAATTTAAATCCACACGAGGATGGTTTAAGTATGGCATGTACTTAATGGCTAACCGGGGTGAGAAATCCTGCCATATGTTAAAGCTGTAGATTTAATACCACAATGCATGAGCAAGTGTTGTTAGTCATATGCGTTCAATGGTTAGTTATGATGATCAACAGTCTCGAGTTGATCGAGCTCCTCTTCGGTACCCCATTTGAAGGACACAACTCGCTCCCAAGGGCTCTTTCGCAAAACATGGACTGTCGCTTGGTAAGGCCAACTGCCAGCGCAGTACGTTATTGGTCAAACCCTTCCTGTATCATCATAGATCATAAGAGTGGCTCACCCGTACGCAACAACCGTTTGTGGGGATGCAGATGGATAGATGTTTCGCTTTCCAATAGGGAGAGATTGTGAAGTCCAATAGTAGAACCAATTTTGAGGAGGTTGTTGCTCGAATTTATCCCTTTCCCCTTAATGAGGTGGTGCGTCTAAGTGTCAATGTGGAAAGAGCAGATTAGGGTGCAGATACATATGTTAAGACCATCGGCGTATTCATTTCGTTTATTCACTGCTGCCAAACAGCCTGGACGTGCTCTGCCAATGGCCTTTTGTCAACCGTTGCGCCCGACTATATCCGGGTCCGTTCAACCCTAAGGTCGTACGTACTGCGTTTTTAAGATTATTCTCTTATCTTCTTGGGCTTCTTGAAAAGTTCCTAGGACCTCTGCTGGTATAGAAGTACGCAATGCTCAAACTCGAATTGTAGAGAACAGTGTCCTCCTTTCTCCACTTAACGCTAGAGCTTGTATGTAGCTGAAATGAAGCTTGCTATGGAGAATCTCATTAAGGTTTAGCTGTAAGCCACACTCCTGCATGAATGAACAGTTCCTAGGTGTACTCAACTCACGATATGGGAGGAACGGAACTTGCAGCAGCCATATCCAGATCAGAAGTATAACCATACACGAAAGGGTATTTATACTCTTGTCAACTGAAGTCCACCATGAATTGTCCGGAAGAAGTATAAACAGGCAAGGAGCCACTGGATTTTGATTTGATATTTATAATATTTATGATAATTGTTCGTAGGTAGGTTTTGCGAAAGTCCTATACAAGCCCCCATACCTGAATCGGAATACTACTATTCGAAGATGGGGGTATTGCTGCTGCACCCTTTGCAATGCCAAGATTTTCTCGAAGAAAATCTCTTATCCTTGCTACCCATTCCCTACGCCCAGAAAGATCGATACCAGTGAGGTTGACTTGCTCAAGGCATAATCCAAGAGTGGGCAAAACTTGTAAAGTGAGATACCCCAAGAGACTTGGAACACCTTCGGCTTTATAATTCTGCGGGTCTTTCTTGACGATGTTTACAAAAGTCGAAAGACAAGATTCGCAAAGAAGATCCATAAATGATAAAAGGTTGGATTCGATCTCGGACTTGTGATTGGCAAGCGGGTTCGTTGCTATTTTAGCTTGTTCGAATATACTGTTCGTGAACAAGAGAGCTTGGTTGAGAATGGATCGAACCATCCAATAGAACCTCCAAATAACTTGGTTCATAAGTGACGGGTATGTATGCGAATGGAGTGGCTTCCATGGTCCGTCAAGTAAAGGTCGCAACCATTCAAGTTGAGAATCCGCTGATACAGATTCTACCGTATAGTGTAAAGAAGGAAGTAGATCCTTAGCCCAATTTTCAAGTTGCTTATCCAAGGCCAAGGCCTGGGATATAATGTCAAAAAGTGGTGTGACGTCTTGATCCACTTCGAAACTTAAGAATGCTGTTCTCCATTCTTTGCAAAGACAGGCGGAACGGAAAATCAGCTCTGTATGCGTATAGAAGTAAGGCAGCCTTGGCAAACCAAGCTTCCTTACTGACTTCCATGATGTAGGGAGTCCTTGGCCAGTAAGAAGGCCAATCTGGACCTGTAATAAATAAAGGATTGATATGTGTACATGGGAACCAGACGAGAAAGTAGACATACCATTTGCATCAAGGTAATTATAGACACTTCATACTCTGTGGAAGACTCTGTAATCTTCTCTTGCCCCCGTAAGGTTAATAAGGTACAGCCGCCATTCGTGTGCGATACCCAAGAGCCCTCAAGCGCGATAGATTGGTCTAATAAGCCCTGATAATGTTCAGCAAATGGCCTTGAAAGCTAATCAAACACAGCCCATCATCAATTTTATTCCGCTTACCTCATATGTGCTAAGTACCACAATGGAAGCCATAACTTCGGTGTATTGAGAGGAGTCAACAATGCAAAGCATTTGGTCTCTCAGCTTGAGTATAGCCTCTCCATAGAGCTTAGTTGCATCTCTCAGTGCTTGGTGAGAGTTAAATCTTTGTCCGTAGCTGACATTTGCCAAGGCGTTAATTGACTTGTGCAGGAGGCCGTCTATGCTGGAGTTTAAGTACATCTGAGGAAGGCGGCCAAACCAGGTCATAGTATATCCTGATGGGATATCCCCGTAAGTTGACCAGTCAAAGAAAAACCGTTTCAAAATTTGTGTCTGTGAGGATGTTGACTATAAAGAGTGGTTAGTAAGCATAGAGTAGGTATAAGAGATTAATATTAGTAACATACTATACTGAGACTGGGCTTTATAATTGCCAATCCAGCCTTTTCATAGACGTTCCATTTTGCCTGTGCCTTTTCCATGAACTGTTTTATCTGACATCGCTGTCTTGAGGCAGGGTCTGGATTAGAGCTCGTATCCGAACCACTGTTATCAAAGCCATTTTGTGATTGTTCCTGGTGATGATTATCTTGCCCAGGCCAAGTGCAAATTCGGGCTGCTTTAACACAATAGTTACAAGCTGGCTTTGCCTCATCACACTTTTTACGTCTTTCGCGACATGTAAGACAACCAGATTTGGAGCGAGGGTAATTTCGCCGATGCTTGGTTGGATAAGTGGCCCCCTTATAAGACTGAGTCGGTTGGGAATCCATGAATATAATGGAATGAGGCTTTACATGATAGAAAATTGAGAGTGTGATAGTAAAGCAAGAGGAATAGAGAGGAAACTACTACTACTTATTAATTTCGACTAGAAGTTCAACAGTGGAATAGAAAACGAGTCTCCTTATCTAAGCGCTTATCGGAAACTAGTATGCGGAAAAACCAGGTTAAAGCCAGATAAAATTGCCATAGCTCAGCTCTCGCACCCTCTACCTTTTCCAGTTACTTCCGATCCTTTTGACACAATTAACCAATCAGAAGACACTCCCGGCTACCAGACCGGCAAGTTGCCAGGTTCCCGATCCTTTAACAAACTATCCCTGCCGACACATCTCTATTTTATTTCTACGTACGGATACAACGTCTTCAAGACTGCCTCCATCCAGAATGGACCCTCTACCTGACAACCGGACACGGCGTATTTCGACCCCTCCGTCTTTACCCCAGAGAAAATCTGTCGCGTGAGAAGCTATCCTTTACGTAATGATAGTATGCGCTGACCCACCTCACGTTTTAGTTGTCGACCCTGTCACGCCCGCAAGATTAAATGCTCGGGAGCCAAGCCATGCAACAATTGTAGCCGTGCATCAGAATGCGTCTACCCAACAAGAGATCGTCAAGTCAAAGTACAGCAGAGGTAAAGCCAAACGGAGTGTCTGAGTGAAGATTTCGGGCACAACACTGACCCTGTTCAGTTTCATCGACCGTCTCCTTCAAGAGAATGCAGAGCTGCGAGATAGACAGACCCAATCTGAGTCACCACAGGCTAGAAACTCAAACACGCCCTGGCACCATAGTCCGACGTCCAACAACGATGGCAATACTGCTCAAGACCAGATACTAGAGGAAAGTGATTGGTTCACACACACTAGGTCATCAGACACGCCCATATGGATAGGCGAGATCTCGGACGCTGCATTTGCAACTCGCTTCCGCCAGTTTGCCTCGGCTTCTCAAATACCAAAACACATTCCTCGCACCCAGTTCACCTCTGAAGACACTCTTCGCGATCTGGCAGCCACAACTCCAATCTGGTTGCCATCTGCGCAGTCCAGGTTTCTAGTCGAGACAAGCCTCGAGTTCTTACGGCAAAATTATCATATAGTTCGACGGAGTGAGGTACTATCGGCCTTGGACTCGATCCCATTTGGTCAGCCTAGCCTTGGTCCGCCCTCCACCATCGTAGCCAAAATCTGGGCTTTGTATGCAATCGGAGAACTTCGCTCAAGAAGATGTCTCAGTTCCAGCAATCGGCTGCCTGGCATGAAATACTTTGCTATTGCTAGCGAGATAATTCGTCTGATCAATGAGCGACCACAGCTTGATATGATTGAGACAATTTTACTTCTAGTAAGTGGTCTTGCACCAACTTTTTCTCTCTGACCTTGACTTCTCCCACTGACACCTAAAACTGGCTTTGTACTCACTCGAGGCAAACCGCCGCCACTCAGCATGCACTTATGTGGGCACAGCCTTACGTCTTGCTACCATTATGGGCCTGCACATGAATATCGGCGACACATACATACCTGACCCTGAACTCAGGGAACACCGCATACGCGTTTGGTGGTCTGTTTATATCCTTGATAGGCTTCTGTCCTCCAAGACTGGACTTCCACTATCGATATCGGATGATGATATCTCAGTAAAACTACCTTCGGACGTGTCCACTCTCAATTCGAAGGACTTTGGAGACCATGTTCGCTTTGTGGCCGTTTTGCGTCTCGCTAGAATTGCTGGAGACATCTCGAGGTCTCTTTATGTTCGAACTCCTCAACGATGTACATTCCTCCAAAGGGTGGCAAAGATTCGAGAGGATCTTGAACTGTGGCGAGAAGAGCTACCTGAAAACATTAAAATTGGTTCTCAGTACCAAAATGACAACAGCTTCCACCCTCAGTCTAAAACCTCGACACTGCAACTCGCATATAATCAGGTAGGTTTCGTTATTAGCGAAATGTTTTAAGGTGGACTGCGTTTCTAATCACTTATACTAAAATCTTATAGCTCCTGATTCTAGCAACGAGACCAGTTCTCCTCTACATATTTCGCCAGCACATTAACAAAGCTACTACGACGTCTACTGATAGCCGGCCTCTCGAACAAGTTGCTAATGTTGCGGATGTATGCATTGGAGCTGCTAGGCAGTCTTGTCGAATATTGCTGCAGTCCTGGGTAAATGGTGAATTCCACATATTCGACTACTCCTACGTACGGTACCTCTTCTCTTCGGCGACTATTCTGGCTATATCGAGCACATTGGACCGGGAAGAATCTTCAAACGATAAGGATGAATTCAACCTTGCCATTGGCTTTCTGCAGCAGCTCGAACAAAACGGAAACCCTGCAGCTACGGAGTTCTATGCTCATATCGACGAGACCCGGAAGAGTCTGGAGACGCGACCTTCAGCCCATGACTGTCCGGACACGCTAACGACTTACGAAGATGGTGGATCGCAGCTCCCAACACATGCTTTTCCCTCCTCCTTGGACGAACAGTCATTAACGACGGCAATTGGAACTACTGTCACTGGACATCATGGGTTAGATGAATCACCGTTAACCGTTTCGTTTCTTGATGATTGGATTTATGATAATGCACTTCAACAACTGCGGTGGGAAGAGTAGAAGTACGATCATTCTGGGTTCTCATCTTCTTAGTAAATAATAAGATGAACAATTGTTTTGCTAAGACTGCTTAATATGCATCCAGTTAGTTATCTTCTACGCTGTAGAGTGTGATATCCAAGCTTCTCTCTCGCCTCAGCAATAGTAGACCCTCTAGATATCATTTCCCTGATACCTTGTTCACTTTTCTCGATGCTTTTTTGCAAGAGCAGCTACCTCACGAGCTCGCTCCCGCGGCACGATAACAACGCCGTTGGCATCCGCGACAACGATATCGCGTGCACTGACGCGTACATTACCAATGTTGATTGCTTCGTTGACACCTGCCACTTGAACACGATCCTTGCCCGTGCGCATCCACCGTCCAGCAGTGAAGATCGGGTAGTTATCGCTGATGGCACGATCAACATCGCGACAAACACCGTCTATAACAGTTCCTGCAAGACCTCGGAGACCGGCGTACTGCGTCATGATATCTCCCCAGACAGTGCAATCTGTGCGACCATCATTGCTGATCACCACGAAATCACCAGCAGCCACATCGTCAATGAAGTCACCCACACTACCAGGCGGGTTACTGGCAGGCACGTAGCGTACTGTGAAAGCCGGCCCAACCGTAGTCTTCTTGTAGTTGGTCAAGGGCATAATATTGAATGCTTGTCCTGGAATGCCAAGTTTGTCGAGGGCATCTGAAACCCCGGGAGTGTCGGACTCAGCAAATAGGGCAACCAATTCTTGATCTTCTGGAGAAGCCTGTTTTGGATTCTTGTTGGGAGATTGGTAATTCTCTGATCGATCCGATGCAGAAGTAGTTGCGATAGCCTCGAACTGTTTGTCATGCATGACTTCTGCCACTGACCGACCAGTCCGAACTTCTTGAACCATGCCCTGCTGACGGCGTTCGATACGTTCGGCAAGTTCCAGTACCTTGTCAATACTACCGGCTTGGACAAAGACAGTCCCGCAGTTATCAGCAATAACATAATCATCCTGGTCGACCTTGACACCCCGCATCTCAACTTGATTCCCAGATTCAATCTGCACCAGCCTGTTTCGTGCACTAATCATTGTGACACCACGACCAAAGACTGGATACCCAATCTCCTGACTCCCGTCAATGTCGCGGCTCATACCGTCAATGATCGATCCGCGAATGCCCTTGATCTTAGAGGCGTTGGCAATGATATCCCCCCAAGATGAGATGCCTTCAACACCACCAGCTATGACAAGAACCCTGTCATCTGTCGTGACCGAGTCTATTACAGGAGTGATGAGGTGTACAGTAGGTGGGGAACCATCCACTTTAGGGCCCAGCTGGATAGTACTGGCGCGACCAGCAACCTTGGGGCAGTTCCAAAGTGGTCGAAGCCCGTATGTCGCCCCTGGAAGATTGAGGAAGTCTAGAGCATCAGATACTGTGTTGGTATCCAGTGCAGACAGACGATCAAGGATGTTGTTTGCCATTGTGGAAGGCCGAATTCTGGGTTGGTTAAAGGTGCTGTGTAAAATGGATGAGAGGTGATGAAAGCAGAAAAAAAGTCAAGAACGAATACTTAAATTCCATTCGCAATTAAGAGGTCTACAGTAGCAAGAGCAGTCTCGTATTATCTAGTATTTAATTCTAGTTGCAAGTCATCTACGTTAGGATTAGCACATGCACAGGCCAAAAAGCTTCCATGCCGGGCCAATCGGCATCTGATACTAACGCCGGCCACGGCAAAGCATCGAGTCCCCGACACATCACAGTTACTGACAAATTTCCCCGCCTCTCAAGCAATCAGCCATCGGCATCTCTGAATAAACCCGCGTTGGTTAAAAGTAGCACAGCATCTTGCGACAACATGTAAAGCACGTGACCAGGCAATTTGTACCAGAGCTCCCAGCAAACCGAAGTTAGAACAAATTGATACGAAAGATTTGACTTGATTGGCTATAGACCTTATCTTATCGATAGGGTAGCAATGAACATATCGATAAGATCTTAGATTAGATAACAAAATATCAACTGGGTCTGATTTTCCTTTCTTCTTACCCTATATGAAAATTAAACAAAGCTTCACATGGAGCCTGTGTGGGTAACAACGCTTGCTTGAGTATTGTTTTGAAAAAAAAGTAAAAAGATATTAAAGATGAAAAGCCGTCTTTTTTTCTTCTTATTCCCTTCGGTATGTTCGAAAGATGAGGGCTCCAGCCTAATTGTTCACGTCTTTGGCCCCTTCCGCTTGTTGAATTTTCATTTTAAACAAAGATGCTCAACATCCTTGGCTCGTCACATTGTTAAAAATGTGTTGGTCAGGCCAGAAAGTGAATGTGAACATGACACAACTAAGAAAGGCAACAATAAGACACTTCCCTGAAATCGCAAATGACATAACTCAACGTTCATTTTATTTATTAAAAGCCAAGTGAAGTCTAGCAACGACCCTCAACCTGTTTTCATTATGTGAGTGGAAAGAAATTAGACACAGGAAATAAATAAATGAGTCGAACAATCTAGGGATGGTTTCCATCACACACACACAAGCTACCCCAAGAACTCTTGGATTACTTAATTCCAAGTACGGAAAGAAACGCATCTGCAACATACTCCACATTACTACTTGTCACTGTCCAAACCCATTAGCGTGGTGTCCGTAGGTAAAGATGAGAAGATATAGCTTACATCCAGTAACGGACAGTCTACCAGAAGGAAGCAGGTAGATATGATGTTCGTCTTTGAGTATTGTAACCTCGGCTCTGGAGAGGCCCGTCATAGAGAACATGCCAATCTAGGACTCAAGTTAATATAACGCCTCGATCCTATGCAAATAAAAAAGCTTACGTCTGAAAGCATGTGGTTCCAGGATCCCCGAACTCTTCTATGCAAAAGCCCTTGGTACAGACTCGCCCACATAGTCTTCATACGACTGCTCATCTCGACCAAGTCATCGAGCCACTGTTTATAGAGAGCTTGGTCGCTAAGAATCTCGGCAATGATCCTTGCTCCGTATGAAGGGCAAGAGGTAATCTCAGCTCGAGAAAGCTGCACCAGCAAGGGTGCCGTCTTGGCTGCAGTCTCGGAATCAAGTGCGACCATGTGAAGAACTCCAACACGCTCACCATACAGACCGAAGTTCTTTGAGAAGGACTGTGCAACTGCAAATTCCAGATCAGAGCGGTCGAAGAAGTGAGCTATAGCCGAAGCATCCTGATTGACATCGCCCGACGCGAAGCCTTGGCTAAAATAATATCAGAACTGATTTGGCTCCATTGGCGATTAGGTAGACCTACTATGCCATGTCAAAGATGGCGAACAACCCCAGTTCTTTACACAGGCCAGCAACGATCTCCCACTGCTCGCTTGTCAAGTCAGCCCCGGTAGGGTTATGCGCACAAGCGTGAAGCAGGATGACATCCCCTTCATGTGCCTCTTCACGCAAGGCCTCTACCATCGCCTCGAAGTCCACCTTGTGATTTGCATGATCATAGTATGGATAGTGCCGTTGCTCTACTGACGGGCCAGCGAGCTTCCAGATTTCAGTATGATTAATCCAACTCGGATTTGAGATCCAGACAGTTCGGGGGCTGAGTTTGGTGGAGAGGAATTGAGCTGCTATGTGATTAGCACCGGTGCCCGATACAGTCTGTATCGCAGCAACACGAGTCAAATCTCGAGAGGCACCAAAAGTCAATTTTTGCGCCCCTCTTAGTAACTCTGGATGACCGAGAAGAGGCAGATGTTCGTGGTTAAGCTTCGAGTTCGCGTGAATGCGCTCTTTAGCCTGTTGAGAGTGAGTTAATCCATCAAATTGTTCATATGGACCAGAAGTAGTATCGTACCTGGGAAACGGACGGCAAGATCCAAGGCTCTCCATTGTTATCGCGATAGAAGCCTGGGCACAAGTCGACTTTGCGATCATATGTATCCGCTTTGAAACTGGCCACGAGGGAAAAGGCCTCATCAGGCTTGGTAGGAGGAATACCAGCAAGTCGAGACATGATGTTCAATGTGTTGCTCGGAAGCACAAAGTATACAAATCTTTAGTGAGTAAATACTACACAAAGCTGAGAAGAGCCATTAGAGAGTTATAGAAGTCAATATAGCATGGTAAAAGGTTAGACGGCAAACGATTATTTCACCGACGGTGGTTCGGCAACTAAATACAGGAGGTTGTCAAGCTATTCGTGCAATTCGGCATACACGACACTAACTAAATAAGCTCCGATTGCACAGGCTGAGGCCCACCAGCATGCCTTCTCATCACGACGGCTAGGGACATTCATAAGACGGCCAGTTAATATTTTACCGGGCCATATGATTACTATGAGAAGACCATGTGGCAAAAGGCGGTATAATATTAGAGCTTAAGCACAAATACATTCATTGCATCCATCGCGTCCCAGAGCTCAAGTATCGGCAGCAACAACGTGGCCCCATCGTGTACGATTATCCTTACAATGTCATACACTTCGGCCCTTACCACCACCTTGCAGAACTCGCAATTGCGGCTTCTGAACCGGTTGCGTACAAAGTCGAAACCAATAATGACTTTTATCGGTCTACCGTCTTTTCGCATGGCACAAATCGTAGCCTCAACCGGAATGGACGGCATCATCATTGACTGCGAGCACGGGCAAATCAGTGACGATGCCATGCACAACTCTGTCGCCGCTATTGCATCCCAGGGCGTCTCTCCACTTGTCCGCACCAGGATGACACACCCAGATCTTATCAAACGCGCTCTGGATGCTGGTGCCCATGGCATTGTTGTGCCCATGATCAATACCGCAGAGGATGCTAAGGCCGTGGTGCAAAGTGCCAAGTTTCCTCCTCAGGGGATCAGGGGGCAAGGCTCGGCCTTTCCTGGTTTCGCATTTGGGGTCGATATACCGACGTATATTAACACGGCCAATGAGACAATTCTGACTTGTCTACAAATCGAGTCCAAACAAGGCGTTGAAAACGTCGATGCCATCTGCGCCGTCTCAGGTGTCGGTATGTAGAAACGACCAGTCTTGCTTCGACCTTTTCTAATAACTACAAAGACATGATCTTCATAGGCCCTAACGACCTAGCCCTCTCAATTTTAGGTTACGTTCCGGCGAAAGGTGACGAACCCGAGTTTATCAACGCCATGGAGAAGATTGTGAATGCGGCTAGAAAACACGGAAAATGGGTTGGTCGGTTGTCAAATGACGCAGTTGCGGCTAAGAAGCATCTGGACACGTTTGACACGGTTGCGCTTAGCTATGACGTTCGTGTAATTAAGAATTGGTATTCTGCTGAACTTAAAGCTATACGCTCGCTATAAAGCTATTTGTACAATATTTGAACCCGGGGCTACTGTTTTCTTTTATTCTGTCAAAGGCATTAGAATAACGTTCCAAAGATGCTCGACCAAACTGCTTCCTAACACATCTTGTAAATCCCAAACACCCGTCATTTGACACGGATAATAAATAGCTTTACCTCCTCTATGAACCTTTCGTGCGACTATCCTCTAGCCTCTAGGTTTCCCTTCGTGACTCAGGCACGCCCTACCGCAGCGGCGTAATCAAGCCCTGTCCGCCATCACGGCGAAAACCTTTCTTGCCGAAGTGGAAATACGGGTCAATCTTCTACTCAATTATTCAGCATAATAACTACATAAACATACAGGCGTCAACACATGGTCAATCCATAACATTCCACTGTCACTTTACATCGCATCAGCACTTGTCTCTTGTTAGCCCTCCAAGGCTTGATTTACAGTCCAGAAATGGCACAAACACTCAACCAACAGCCGGTCATATGGCAAACCATCGAGATTTTCATAGACGGCGTGTCTATCAGCTTGTCCATTATTCGCCGGGAGGGACCCCTGTCACCGATCTTCTTTTTGCATGGCTTTGGCGGCACCAAGGAAGATTATGTTGACATTGCACTCAATCCTCTCTTTGCGGACCGGTCGTTCCTCGCCTATGACGCTCCTGGTAGTGGAGAATCGACCATGTCCGACATGTCAAAGCTGTCGATGCCTCTACTTGCTTCGATAGCTGAGAAAGTCTTGGAATATTTCAAAATCACTCATTATCACCTCGTCGGACACTCAATGGGAGGTCTTGCATCCAATTTACTGGCCCAGAGACAACCATCTTCAGTCTTAAGTTTTATCAATATTAAAGGAAACCTGGCACCAGAAGATTGTTTTCTGAGCCGACAAATTCTACATTTTCCTTCCGACGACCCGGAAATGTTTGTTCAGGAGTTTCTAAAACGAACTCGCACATCACCCCTCTATAGCAACGGACTATACGCTGCTTCCTTTCGTGCAAAGGTGCAACCTGCAGTAATTCGGCCCACTTTTGAATCCATGGTGGACTGTACCGATAACGGGAATCTATTGGAGGCCTTTGAAAGCTTTCCATTTCCCAGGATGTACATGTTCGGTGAGCAATACTCCTCCCTGTCCTATCTGCCACGGCTGGTCACTGCAGGAGTTGAGTTGGCCGAGATTGCCCATAGTGGCCACTTTGTCATGTACTCGAATCCTGTAGCAATGTGGGAGCGGATTGGGCAGTTTTTAGGTCGAGTTGAGTCCTGGAAAGGAGAAGATTTACCTGAGGCTCCTTAGTTACTTAGATACAATATAGATTTACTTTTGTTACCGCTACCGGCAATGAGCTACGAATTGAATTATAGCTACTCTAGCAATTCATTTCACAATTATAGTTACTCTCTTATGCTCTTCTCATGTTGTAATGAGCTAAGTAGTACTGCACATCGCTCGGATATATATAACTTCTGTAAAACCTACTAGATCCGTCGACAATTGGTAAACCTACCCGGGACATGTAGGACAACCTTGATATGGCTCTACGCAATATCCATGTCTTCCTGTAACTCGGGAGGTGATATTTATACTGGGCTTATTGCCTGCCTGCTAATCTTTTCCTAGTTCTACTTTTAGAATACCTCTTTGATGTGATTCTGTAAACGTTTGATTTCGACTTTAAATATTGAGGTAAATAAATTAAATACTGTTATTTAAAAGATTTTGATATGTTATAGAATAATATCATTATATCATAATGAGGTTATCCGCTCAAACAAAATAACCTGTCCGTCACCACTCACAAGCTAGTATTGAGGCCGGTAAAAAGAAATGAAAGCTTTTAGCTAGCAGGTTAAATAAACATCAGCATTGGAATCAATAGTACCCATTGACATATCGCCTACAAGAGCTTAGTTACAAAACCTCAAAGTCAGGATAAGAAGCGCATCGCGCCCGGAAAAGTCACCCCAAGTGACTTCCTCATCATCGGTCGCTGGTTTTCCGATCTCACACGCTAAATGGTCAAGCTTAAATTCGACCATACCTTGTCCATTAGCTCACCAAAAGCTCCCCAGGACCCCAGCTAACACACCCTGAGCTCCCCGCATCCTAGATTTAAACCACTAAGATCATCAACGAAAAAATACTTCCACCAATCACATTCCTGTATTGCAGAACAGCTTTCCCCGCGTCAGTGAATAAGTTGCCTTTTCCGCCTTGGCAGCGTGAATTGAAGTGTGACGTTAGAGAGTGGAGGTTTGGGGGTCGTTTGTTTGGCAAGAGGCCTGTATTGTAGATTGAGATGGGGATGGTAATGTCGGTAGAGTTGCAATGATCGCCCGAGTCCCCGGCGAGTAGAGTATATAATGGCGAGGCCGTCGACTGGCGTTATTCCTCCGGTTCCCGAGTTCTCAAAAGTTATTGGATTTCACATCTTTTGGATCCTGCACCATGCGTTGTCTCCAGACCCTGACTCTCCTCGGAGCATTGGCTCTCACCGCCGTCAACGCCGTCTCCCTCCCAACAGGCGTGCCTCGTGATGTCTCGGAATTCCGAGATAAGCACCCTTATCAGTCTCCGAAACATGAGCACCGCAAGATTGTTCAGATTCGCGCATCCAAAAATCACCATGACGATGTGTCGGCGGAGTTCAAGCGAGGTATAAGAAAAGCCGACAACGGCGGCACATTGTATCTGCCAAAAGGAAGAACCTACGTTATCGGCAAGGCACTGGACTTAACAGGGTTGAATGACATTCATATTCATTTGGAGGGTGAGATTCGAGCAAGTCATGGCTTCTTCTGAAGACGTCTCAGATACTAACAGTGGCAGTTCACAAATGATGTCGAGTATTGGCAAGAAAACGCCTGGTATCATCCTTTCCAAAAGTCCATCATGTTCTGGAAGTGGGGAGGAAATGACATCAAGATCTATGGTAACGGTGTTATCGAAGGTCAAGGGTTCGTCAATGTCGCACTTTCAAAGGTATAGTTACCAGGGCTAACTAAAGCAGGCAACGTTGGTGGAACGAATTTCAGTCTGGCACAGGCTCGTTAGTTTGATTGTATCTTATCTGATGAGAATTATGTACTAACTCAAATAGCATCCTTAATCCCGACAACAAGTACTACCGCCCTATCCTCTTCTACGCCGAGAATACCACCAACCTGGACGTATCAGGAATCCACCTCAAAGACTCACCGTGCTGGAATAACTTCATCGTCAGCTCCAAGAACATCAAATACACCGACGTCGTCGCAACGGCATTGTCAAATAACGGCAGTATCATCCCCAAGAACACTGACTTTATGAACACCATGAATACATCAACTGTACGCATCGAGAGGACTTGGGTCAATATTGACGATGACTGCTTCTCGCCCAAGCCGAACAGCTCTGATTTGTATGTCAACACTATGTACTGCAACGGCACACATGGCCAGGTGAGTAGTCATCGAATATTCATCAGACATGACGACGCTTACTCGGGTAGTCTATGGGCTCTCTCGGACAGTACAAGGGCGAAGTTTCCAACGTTTACGACGTGCATATCGAAAATGTTTGGATGATGAATGGAGACGTAAGCCAAAGGCTCAAAGCTCTCTAATGTGGTCTCTGACGATTTTAGTACTCTGGTGCTCGTATCAAGGTCTGGGCTGGAAACGAGACCGGCACAGGCTCCGTCAACAACGTGACCTTCAAGTAAGTCTAAGAATGACATCAACCAACCACAGTGGCTAATCCCCTAAGGAACTTCTGGGTCGCTCGTATGGACTACGGCATATTCCTCGATTCATGCTACTTCAACATCTCAGCTGAAGAATGCAACGCCCATCCCTCAGGCATGCAAATCACCAACATCCACTTCGAGAACTTCACCGGATATACATCCGGCGTTTATGGCAATGCTGTAGCCCGTCTCTCATGTTCAGCCGCTGAAGACGCTGTCTGTGCTAATATCACTGTCAAGGACTTTAACGTCGAGACACGCTGCGGTGGAGAGCCTGTTATTATTTGTGACGGCATGCACGGTGATATTGGTGTGGACTGTGTTCCGTATGAGAGTGATGAGGCTCAGGCGGCGCTCAAAGCAAAGTGCAAGACACCCATGGCGTCTATTGATACGGATCCTTGGGGCAGTGGGCTTATTGAGAAGAAGAAGGGTGCCTTCCATCCGCAGTAAATAGAGTCTAGGTATAAGACAGCAAATTATCTAGGGCATAGAACCTTGTTAGTGCCTGAAGAAGAAAAAGCACTGCTCATCTTTGAACGCTTAAGGCAGCGTCAACATCGAAGATTTGTAAAGCAATTGAGTCTGGTGACATTCATGTAAGTTTATAAAGCAATTTAAGAGCCATGAAAACCACTAGGCTGAACTCAAGTGGCAAAACTTACAGTACCCCGGTTTAACAGTCTCCGTCTTCTTTTTTCCAGGCAGCGTGATAACCGCCATAGTAAAGACACGTTCTAGGTACTAGACCCTGAAGCGAGCCTTTAGATCATTCACGACCGGTTGCATAATTAGGTGCCTGTTGGAGAGAAAGATGCGAAGGAAGAGAGGTGAAGTTTGGACGAGGACACTGTTTTATTGATGGTAAAGTATTTGAATGTGGGTATAGCGGAACGATGACAGGTTTAGAATGTGTTGGTGGACTTGATGTCGGATCGTGGTGTGACAGTGGGAAATGAATTTTATCGAAGGTGTGAAAGGGGAAAAGATTTCTGCTGAAGAAAAAGAGGAGAGAGGTGTTTTAGAGAGACCGCGAATATTGAGTTTTAGAGGAATCGACGAATAGGCTCGTCACAACGACTGCAGGTTTGCTTGCGAGGCCTTTTCCAATACTGAAATATATATGCCGGAACATTCTAAAACGTGTGTGTATTCATCTAGTCTCGACAAGTAAAGCCAGACTTGGTAGGTTGAATACTAGATTATTCTAAAGCGTCTACTGATATTGATGATACGTTAGTAACCTAGGCCGAAAGAACCCGACTAACTAGACGGCCATGTTAATATCCAAGCTTTTATCTTTAAGTTGCATAAGTAAGTCTTGCGATATTGGCGCGTTATGTTCAAGATCGGCAAAGAGGCAGATCGATAGTCAGACTAATCCAGCAGCTTTAGCTCAAGCCCCAAAGTCATAGCGCGATTAAAACCTTGGAATTTGTCTCCGGAGATGTCTCTGCTGCCGATGCATGGCTGGATGGCCAAGGAACGTGCCGTCCCAAGCAACTGGGTAATCCTGGCACCCCAACCCTTCTTATTTATCTGGTCCCTCTGTCAGTTTTCTTAGCTCCCGAGATCCTTTGTGTTACACTCGACTCATTTCAATCTGCCATGTTGACGGCTGATTATCCATCACTGGCCAGGGGCGAGACTACGAAAGGGCTTATTGTACAGCTGATCCACGAAAAGCTGGTCTCAGTATCACTGCTCCGTGGCATTGACCAACCACGAGCCTGCATCACGGGACCTGATGACAAGAAGCGATGGATGGCTCTTCCCATTAGAGAAATCTCTTGCCTGTCGAAGCACTTCCGCCCCAACGACTTCGGGGTTCCTGTCGCACTCTACTATGATGGTGCACAGGTCACAGAAGACGATCCAGGATCCATTTTCGACTTCGCCTCATCGTGGATTGACTGCGACGAGCAAACAAAGTCAGAAATTGCGGAAGAACTGAGGAACTCATCACGAATGTTAGGTGCGCAGTGGTTGACTTGTGGTGGCTTGCGGTGTTGCTCATGGAGACCAAGAGAAATGGATGATGCTTGTATCCGATGCTCCGATGCTCAACATCAACTCCTCGCTTCTTGACTGGGAGAGATGTCTTGTTGTGGGTCACCTCACCAACCCATTATGCTGTACATCTGTTTGTATGGATCAATTGCTAACGTTGCAGTTACACCAAACTTGCTTTGCCAGTAGTCTTTTGTCACCCGAGACACCCGATGACATCCCGGGTCTGTTGAACCCTGCCCTGTCATTTGTTGCGGTTCCGAGATCTTCAGTACGTCTTTTCGGGCCTTTTTAGAAGTCCTTAGAGCCTCTGTTACACCTTGTAAGAGTCTTGTCCCCATATGATCAAGGAGGTTACATGGTAATTCCCTGCCTTGAGAAACATCTACCTGCTGTGCTCGATCACTTCCCGATAGCCAAGTTGATTGAGATAGTTACTAGCCGAGCACTTGCACAATTGTCCATTCAAAAAGTGTCCGTCCCTGGCTACATATATGACCTGATTACTTCTCCGCTAAATCTTGTTAACTCTGGAACCAGAGTAACACCATATTTGTCGGCAACAGCGGGGCCAGTAATGACTTGCATTCTGAGAAAATTGATTCCCCAAGAGCTATGGCTCTTTGGTGAAGTCGCAGCGGTTACAGTGAGTGAGCAAGATACGGCCGAGCCTCAATACATGACATGCATCTTGCGAGAGAACCTAGAATCGAGAGCGAATGAGAGCGACGAATCACTTGTTCCTGTTGCCGCTTTACTGGAGAGACCACAGGGTTGCAAAATCACATGCGCAGAACTACTGTTTGGACTGGAAACAGCTGAAGACAAGTTGGCTTGGTTTAGAAGGTTCTTTGCGTATTCCTTCTCGCTTTGATCTAATGCAGCTGACACAATCCGACAGATATACCAGAAAGTTTTTAGAGCTATTCCTCGAGCCTCTTGTCCGACATGGTGTTGGCTTGGGGCTCAGCGCTCAAAACACCGTCGTCAGGATCTGTCGCCAAACAAAGGCCATCAAAGGGTTCGCTATACGCGGTTTGGCCGGCGTAAAGCTTCACGGAGCAACTCTCCAAGATCAAGGATTCGACTTGACAAGCTTAGATGCCACAGTAACTCAAGATGTTCATGAAGTGTGGGATGGAGTACATCATTCTCTTGTTCAAAACCACATAGGGCACTTGCTGAAGAGTCTTGGACTCGAGCTTCATGGGTGGCAGATTGTCAGCTTCGAGCTTGAGCGTGCCCTTCAAGGTAAAGTTGGATCCGTGGAGCAAAGTATTTATCGACACTTCGTAAAGGAAACCATGTCCTTTGAGTCGTCTCTTAAGATGAGAATGGCGGCATCTGTCAAGACTGTAAGAACTCCTGGACACTCGACCTTCTGGTTAACAATCTGGCTAACATTTAAAGAAGTCTCCCAAGGTCGTCTATCAACAAATTCCCAACGTCCTGTGGAAGAAGAGTCCTTGGCTTCGTCAAATATCACTAGCTGCTACAAAGAGTACCAACGCACTCGTCCAGCCAGAGCAAGCAGACAAGCAAACCCGGATCTTCGAAGCGGAGGCCATGAAGCAGGCTCTATTACGCAACACCCAAGAATACGGAGACCTTCCAAAAGTAGCAAAACGACTCAATCCGCACCCATTCGTTCTCCCAAACGATTTCTTAGTTAGGCTTGAACGATTCCATGAAGTACTAGCCCTGGCGATAGATAACATTGTCGACCGGTGGTGGAAAGATGAAGAGGCTAATCTCCCGAGTCGAATGCCATTGGAACCTCACGTCGAAAAGCTTCTTCGATGGGTCGCCCAAGGCTCTGAAGAGGGTAGGGTCAAGCCATACAAGGGGCATCAGGGTAATCTGAGACCGGATATCCTTGTCCCAGACACAGGTGTCTATGCGAGTCCTGAGTTTAAAGTCTGCGAGATCAACGGAAGATTCCCTATTGCCTTCCTTCATTACGCCGCCATCGCATACCAAGCACTGTCTGAAGCGACTTGGAATGATCCGTTGATCAAGCCAGCATCTGATCACAAGAAACTGTTTGACAGCTTTTTGCAACTATTTGATCCTACGACCCCCATCTATTTCGTGGTCGAACCTGCGGAAGTTCCCCCCAACAATCCCCTCTTCGGCCTGGTAGAGCAACAAACAGGATTCAGACCCAGATCAGTTCGTTCCTCATCGCTGAGAGTCGTTCCTTGTGACAAATCCTGGACTGGGTTCGATCTTTATTGCGAGATTGATGCGCAGACAGCAGTGAGCGCGAGTGCTGCAGACCTGATCACCATCGACGGTTGTGTTCTGGAAAAGGTTCACCAAGTTGGGCTCCAGCTCTACGACTACGAGCTCCTCGCTTTAGACCCGAATATGGTACGAGAAATCGCCAGGAGAAGTGTCAACGACCTTCGCAGCGTCTTCATCGCACACGACAAAAGGATCCTCGGTATCATTCATCAAGAGCTTCATGACCTAGTTCATAAACACAAGGTAATTACTAGGGACCAAGCAAGGATCTTGAAAGAGGGCATTATCCCCACAATACTCCCCGGATCCCCAGAGCTGCAGAGTCTCATCGAGGATGCGAGCAAGGACCCCGCCATCAAGAATAAATACATCTTAAAACCTTTCAGGTTAGCTCGAGGTTCGGGAATCCGACTTGGGAAAACCCTTTCTTCTGAGGAGTGGCAGTTGACCTTGATGTCAATGAGAAAAACAGACATTGACTCCTCTGTGACCCAGTATCTACTGCAACCTGTACTGCCTTTGCAGTCGGTAGAATGGTTCTGGACTGAGGAGAGACAGGTGGTCAAGAGCGGAATGGTAGGCCTGTACTTTTCAGTAAATGGTCGGTTTGTTGGGCTTGGGACTTGGAGGGTGGCAGATGTGTCTGAGAGTATCATATCCTCATCATCAATGGACACGACGTCATGTGTAGCGGTGGCTTACTACGAGTAATACATAACTAGGAAAGTTATAATCTTTTTACCGGAAAGACAACCGAGCTCGAGTGTCGATTATATATCACAGAGTATTAGAAAGCTCTATACCTGGGCAGGTTTTGTAAATCGGCATATGTAGTGCATGCTAGTGACACGACTGTAATAAACTAAGGTTTAATAGAATATATACATTAGAAAACACATCAAAGCTAGCCTACTTGGTGAAACCCAATGCGGAAAAATAAAGAATGAATCCTGCCTTAACGGTTGCCTTTCCTTATTATTCAAGGGAGAAGTCATCGAACACGAATTCAGGGAAACCACTAGTGTCCGTGCATGAAACAGTAATGGACATGGACTCGACCGCTTCAGCCGCCTCGAAAGAATACAGGAACGGTCCATACTGGTAGGGATCGTTCTGATTATTGAGGTCATCGGTTTCAGATACTGAACCAAACACAACCGTGAATGAGCAAGTACCGGGCGAAAACGTGGGTCCAACCGACCAGTTGAACAGGAGACTATATGTCTGCCCGACCTCCAAGGCCCGAGCCAGTGGCTTTGTGAGTGTGGCCGACTTTCTGGTGGATTCGAGTTGAACATATCTAGGTTGAATTAGTATACTGTTGCAAACGGACCACGGTGTAAGATACTCACAGGAAGTTGTCGCCCGAGTTAGGAGAGGGGCCGTTAGCTGTGCTTCCAGCTCTGATTGACATGCCCTTGGTACCAAACCAGGCATATGTACTATCCTCAGTCGCTTGGATCTCAAAGCTGGGATTCTCAATGAGTGCCCCCGTCACAGGATACGCTTCACAGCCACCAACCTTAATCAATGCCGTATCATCAACGAAGACTGATCCCAGCTGTTGGTTGCCAGAGTTGTAATCACAATAAAAGACGATTTGAAGAAGGACGTTACCAGATGGCATGTTGAAGCGAACCGAGTAAATGGTGTAGCCAGTCGATGAAGTTGCCCCAGACTTAACTTCGGCCCCTGTGTATAAAACAGCATCATTGTAACCGCCAGAGATATAGCAACGCCCATTGTCTGGCAGGGTCTTGGGCTTCCAGAAGAAATGGTAATCGTAGATCTCGCCGGCTTCGAGATCCTCTGCGTCGATGTTTTGCTCGAGGAAGATAGCATTATCCCGAGTTCCACTGGGGAAAACACTTGTGATTGTTAGTTTCTTTGATCTAGATTGAAGAGGTAGATGTGAACTTACGCCTCCCACTCTCCTGTTCGAGCATTGGATTTGTCTCGGGCAAAGTCTCCCACGCCAGCGTAGAAAGCCCAGGCTTGATTGCCGTTGACAGGCTCAAAACCAGGCACTTGAACAACATTCACAGGGCAGTGAGGTGACTCCGGCTGTGCAGGGACAAGCAGCGTGGACTTGGGGGGAGCGTTAGGGTCGACGGGAGTAGTGCTGCATTCGTTGGAAGAATCCAGAACCGATGTGTCATCAATGTAGACTGTAGCTGTGTAACCGTTACCCACACTGGCACAAGAGATACCGATCTCAATAGCGGGGTCTAGGTTATCTGCTGAGATGAAGCTTGCCGTGTACTGGTGGTATTCAGTGTCAGACGGAAGCGGCACTTGCTTCAACGCTGTGTAGTAATCGAAAGTTGCAAAGACAAAGCATTGAGAGTCACTCGGTGGCGGGCTGTCTACAGCATAGTAGAAGCTAATAGTGTACTCTGTGCCGGGAGTTATGTGGATACGCTGCTCCATGCGTCGTTCTTGGCCATCAGGAACAGGTAGAACACTTTTCGAGATTAGCTTGAATTTCCAAAGAAGGGAGAGTCGTAACATACGCCAAGGAGTCGCCAGTTCGAGCGTGATCGGGGTCATTCTCGATTCCACCACCGCCCCAGTAGAATCCCCATACAGTTCCTTCGTCTGAAGACTCGAAGCCGGGCTGTCTGAGCAGGTTGGTGGGCTCAACACAAACTGAAGTTGTTGTTGTAGGCTCTGATGAAGTTGTCGTAATACCAGTAGATGTTGTGGTCTCGACAGTGGTTGGAATACCGGATGTGTTAGCATCAGTAGATGTTTCAGCAGTGGTGGTGGGAATGCTCGACAGTGTGGATTCGATAGAGGTCGTAGTCTCAGCCGGGATGGTAGAAGAACCAGAGACGGTTGAACCAACAGATGTTGTAGTCTCGGCAGACGAAGTAGAAGAACCAGAGATCGTCGAATCAACAGAGCTCACGGCATCGCTAGATGTGGCAAGGTTGCTGGACACGGCGAGAGATGTTGTAGCATCACTGGAAGTCTGAACAGTTGAGAATGTTGAAAGATCTGACGTAGGATTGCGTGACGAAATTTGAGTTTCACTGGATGAAGGTGGGTTTCCAGACGTCGTAGATTCTATGGCAGTTGTTCCATCTGTCGGAGCTGTGGTGCCATCTTGCGACGTCGTTGGGACAGCGCTACTGCCCGAAGCCGAAGTCGAGATAATCGAGGGTACGATTGAGGTCTCGGAAGCGGTCAGGCTTAACGAAGTCCTGGTCGATGGGCGACAGAGACCGGCATTAACGCCCAAGAGGTTCGCTGCCAGATAGGCGGCTCCAATGGCCTTTAGCAGCACCATTTTAAATGAGTGACGATTTTAAACGAGTGACAATTCGAAAATTAGTGAATTAGGGGACAGAGCAAAGGAGGGATGACTCGGGAGGGGAATTATCCCCCATAATATAATTTGCATAAGGAACTAAACACAGAAAACACCACCCTAACCGACTCGTACTTTTCAGCCACGATCGGGCATTAAGCCCAAAATGTAGACGCGAGTCTAAATCAGTCGTTGATTGCCTGCTTTTCGAGAGCTGAAAAGCATTAGAGGATCAATAGCTTCATAAAATGTGGTGCTGTCGCTTATAACAATCACTCCTGCTAGGCCCACTTTGGATAGTACAGAGCTGAGATTGGCTACAACTGTAAGTGTGGATCGGAAATAGCTGTATTGACATGTTGGTGGCGCCTGCTAGTTGCTGTGCGTTGCATTTTAAAATTATTTACCCCTGAAGCTTGCCTTGGGCGTTATGCTTGTTTTGGCACACTATTGATTTTATTCAACTAGGTTAGCCCGACAGGTTGTATCCCAAATCAAAATTGTTCAAACCAAGAGCGAGAATAAAGGCGTATGTACTCCGTAAATTCTTTAAATCGTCTGCAGGAAACTTCCCGCCACATGCTGCCATGTGTAAAAATGACCTTAAGAAGCTTTGAGGTCTAGTCGATTAGTCTCCATCTCTTATTTTCTGCGACGACCGTGAAGATGCTATTAAACGCAGGAGCTGACGAATGGTAGCCTCCAGAAGACGCATTGATACGGGGTCAAGAGTTCGACAATCCCGGCATATTATACTAATTGGTATGGCGTCTGAATGATGGTAGCCCCGACGTTGTTGCTGATTGTTTATAATTGCTGTTGTAAATTAAATTGAACATCATTGACGGATATTGCATTTTCCCCCGTGTCTTGAAGTTACTAAGTATATAAATCGGATGCTCAGACCCATGGAGATAGTAAATGGAGCCAGTCGGTAGAGAAAGTTCCGAAAGACTGATATTAACAGTCTCCAATACCCTCGTGTTCATAGTCGTCATCTTCGCTGACCGTGTCCTCGTTAAAATGAGAGTCGAAGTCACTGTTGGTACCTTCCTCTAATACCACACCAACGCCAAGAAGTGCACTCCTCTCATCCCCGGATAATGGTTTCTTCATGTCTCTTTTCACCTCTTTGAGTCTATTCCAACAATACCCGCGAAGGAAATCGGCCGCAGACTCATTTCTCTCTTCGAACTCCTGTTCGAACTCCACATCCAAATCATCGAGTATCTCAACCAGCAACCTATCCTCTTCGGCTATCTCCAACCAATCCTCAGGCCAGATTGGATTGCTTACATATAGCTCAAACCACCAGCAGGGGGTACGACAGGTTGGGAAATGCTTTATGCCGAGGAACGACATAGTAAACATATGAGCTGCGCACCTAGCCAGATACGATACTTCGAGATCTGGGACCGCGATTTCTATCTTATCGATCACACATGTGAATAGTCTTAAGCAGCCTCTTATTTTCCGAGATTCGGGTTGTAAATTTGAATATCCCACCAAATCAGACATAAGACTAGACACAAGATATGCTATAGGTCTGTGAAACGGCTCCGAAACACAAGGACATGGAAATCTGGAAGTGGCATTGCTGAAGCAGAGCTTTGATAATAGCTTGTTGAATTCGTGTAGTGGCGGTAAAGGAATTGGTCCCAACACGAAGCATTCATATAACTCCGACCCGACTTGGGCGCCACAATAGTGATCCGCTGTTAAGAAGACGTTTGGGCTCGAAAATGAGGATTTGAGATTATGCTGAAGTAGCCAGTTTGTGTAGGCTGCCGAGGTTTCAAGTCCGCAAACAGATGTACGGAACTCGAATCGTGCCAGAAGTGGCAGCAGTCCACATTCATCCCATGGTTTAAACCCGAATATCAATGCGAGATTAGCAGTTTGAATAGGAAGAGGATTAGTGAAAATACTATGTCCATCTGGATAGCGTTGCGGTCGAAGGCTTTCACTTGGTGAAATCCCTGGCCGATTGGAAGCACGGGCACGTTCCATCAGCTCCGTCCAGAGATACTCAGCAGTGCCATCAGGGAGCGAATCAGCTGTTACTGCATAACGGTCTATAATATCGGCAGGAAGATAAGCGATAGAGACATCGCGTAATCTCTCCCGTCGGTTCTTTAGATGCTGAAAGAATAGAATTCGTGCCTCTAACGAACCAGATTGTAACTCCTCGGAAAGATATCGACCCACCGTCACGCTGCAATCGGCTTCGAGAAGGAGCTGAACAGAAAGACTGCAATTGCAGTCGTAGCAAGGGGTAAAATGGTCTGATGCGTTGCAGTGCGTTCCGCTATATGCTAACGCAAGGCCGAGGGGAGTGACACCAGCAGATTGATGGGAATTCTGAGAAAGTAGTAGAAGGTTGTGGTGCAGGAGTAGACTCAAGCCCGTCGGCCAAGGAATAACGACATGCATTATTGTTCGTCCATGTAAGTCCTCCTCTAAAATCGCTCGCGCAAGGTCGAAATTGGTGTCTTGTAGAATACCCTCAAGCCTTTCCTTGTCCCTTAGTATAACTGCGAGGAATATTTCGTTGAAGCCAATAGCTGGGTTGCTTAGTTAGTTTCTTTCCAACTAAAACGCCATAGCATTAGGAAGGGTGTTACCTTCCGAGATACCCGGATGCTTAAAATAGATATCTAGTGACTCAAGGCAATATGCATTCGATTGTGATAACTGATTGACGTTGGAATGGGCGAGCTCAGTACCGCAAAAGCTTGGATCACGATCGGTAATCAAACGATACAGTCTTGGCAGCGCCCCCAATAAATCATGATCCCGAACAATATGATCTAAGACTGTCCTGGTATATGTGAGCTTGGTCTTATAGTTGTTGGATCTAATTATTACCCTTGATGAAAGTTAAAAGCCGCAACTGGGACACCAATATCGAACATGAAGGACAGAAGCATAGAAATGGCATTTACCGCCGTGTCATCTAGAGGGAAGTTATCTAGCAGGAACCATTTATATGACTTTCGAGGGTTTTAGTATGAAATAACATCCTAAGAGGAAAAGATTGGGATATTCGCTTACTTTTATACAAAGATGGGCAATGTTATTCCCGTTTACGTCCACGTCCAACGGTGACGCAACTCCTGACTCATATAGAGCACGTAGTTGCTGCATCGTCATTCTGGCTTTTACTTGGAGTCCAACATCGTCGGCAGGTCTGCGGAATCCGATTTCAAAACAGTCCCAGAACAAGTCGAAAGCCGAAATCCTCTCAACAACGTTGTATATCCGCAGCCCAAACGAAAGACTATATGCACCTGCTGGGAGGTTTTGCGTCAATGAGAAGGAGACGGAGCGACAAAGCAGATATCGAAGTCCAACATAAGTCAGTGTAGTTTTCGATGATCCTCTAGGTGAGCTTGTGTAAAGATAGCACCCAGGGCGGTGTTTCCTTTGCTGCCTTGTTTGTTTCGAAATAGTCAGTCCTCCCCATATCCTATAAGAGTGGCTTGAGTGTTTGTAAACGGCATTATTTGCGAAATTTGGACAGGTGCATTTCATGGCCAAGTAATTACGACAAAGCTCTTGTGCAGCCTCTGAGTTTCGCATGTATAAAGGCTGTGTCGGGCCTGACTTATTGCTCGCCGCTATAGCCTGGCCCCCGATCTGAGTAAGAGATGTAGTCATTTCCATGTCAGTGGGCTGGCTGGCGAGACTAATGGTATGGAGTTGGCTTGCGATCGCTCTAAGCATGCTGTGTGTGGTGCTGTCAGTGTCGTGAAGATCTCTCCTGAGAACTTGCAAGTCGTCACTAATGCCGATGTTGAGATCACTGTTTACGGTTAATAGAATAACATGAATTGGTGGTCTGAGAGTACTAACAGATTAAACGACTGCACGAAATTACTCAATGTAGTGTTTGCCCTTAGAATATGCTCTTGTAATTGGAACAGCTTCTTCTGATCGAAAGGGTATCGAGCAAACATCTTTTGCTTCTGCCATTTTTCTTTGATGCCCGACAAGTTCTCAGCACTGTTCAAATCGTTGAGAAATGCTTCTAAAGCCTTCAGCTGAGTCTCACAATTCTTTAGACCTGCGTTGACTCCGTTGGCGGCTAGAGCATGGCGATGGCCGAGTTTTAGAGTGCTCGATTGGATGGTGCATATGTTGGACTGAAGAAGCGCAAGGCTCTGGGTAGCGGTTTCTATGTCTCTGTGTCTGTCTTTGATGGCGCTGAAGTAATTGTGAAGGCCGTTGCATAGTGTCAGGCCTAGAGAAACCAGGCCAGCAACGCCGCTGGCCACTGAAAGCGGATCGGCCATATTGGCATAGTAGGTGAGGAAAAGGAGCAAAGGAAGTTGAGATCAAGAGCGGGGAAATTCCCATTTAAAAACACATTGCCCAGAGCCTGATTTATGCAGCCACCCAAGGTGGGATTTCAAGCTGTCTGACAGGCTCTGGCAAGGCTTATTTGGTGTAAGGTATTGTCATGAAGGCTTAACCACATGTGGGTCTGCCGATTGCTGGGCTTGGTCATCCACCTTGCCAAATCAGAATGGACTGCCCACTTTAGTTGCAGGAGAACCAAACCTATTTGAGTATGACGGTGTCTGGCCTCGCACATAACATTCTAGCACAGCCCCTGCATGTGTTGCGCATTGGGTGCTGTTTGTGATAAAGTCCAAATTAAGAACAACGTGAAGCAGGATAGAGATAAAGAAGATTTCCCAACATTAGCAAAAGGAAGGTCTCGGAGGGAGTCGAACCCTCGCTGGCGGAATCAGAATCCGCAGTCATAACCGTTAGACCACGAAACCATGTGTCTTCACGGCTGCGAAATTTTCTATTACAGTATACAGACTGATGATGAAAACACTGACAGAGGAACAAACCATAGCAATCATCCAAATACCCTGAACTAACTCAATACCCAATTACTCTTTTAATAACAACTGGCTTGGAATGAGTCAAATGTAGCTTTGCATAGGGATCGAGTTGATGAGACTAATGATACCAACTATCGTCTCAAATTTAAACTAAGATATTATGTACTAATTGAAATTTTACACGCGTTTCCATCTTGACTTCTGACTACAGCGCCGTATCGCCATATGCCTCTTGTTCAGGTGAACATATTTAACAAATATCCTGGTAGTCTCCGATAGTCTTGCAGACAGTAGTAGTCTTGCATACAGGTGTAGGAAAGCCTTTGAAATAACCTGGGCAAAATTCGGCAGTGAAGCGGGTTTCCATGTACTCTGACCATGTTGCGGCGGGAAAGCACTATTTTTGATGTCATTAGCAACTATTCTAGTGCATCTGGTATTGCAGGGGGGGCTGTGAGTTAGTTAAATGGTGTGAAAAACACTTACAAAGTCTTTGCCATCGAGTTTCACAATACCACCGGCAATGTATTGACAATAACCGTCTACCCGAGTGTCACCGGCGGCATTAGCACAAGCGCAGGCCGTGACCTGTTTAACAGCCGCAGCAACAGCCGCGTCGGATGTGGGCGCAGGGGCAGCCATGACGGCAGTGAGGGCAAGAAGAACAGCAAAGAAGGTCTTCATTGTGAGTGTTGTGAGTGTAATCGACAGTAAGCTTGAAACTGGTAGAGAACTTTTCCTTTGTGTTGAACAACGAAATTGATAGTATCGTGAGGAAATTAAATGTTTACCGGTACCTACGTGACTGTTCTATAGTATTCTGAATACCGCCTCGGCGGGCTCATACATCGCCCTTATCAGGAAGTGAAGAACCTCTCGTAATCATGTGTAAGATATGTTCAATACTCTTTGAGGAATATGCCCGACAGTGCTTCTAACGGTATGACCTGTAATAGTATTGGGAACTGCAACTTTCCTATTGCAAGCTTTCTCAGGTTGCACTTATCCTATATCTCGCTGGGTTAATTCACGACATTTGGAGATCATCCCATGGACGTAGCACTTGTTTCCTGATAACAAGCCCAAAGCAAGTAAGATGTTTATTTCAACCATCAGGTAACCGCACTCGCCTGAACCGCACCAATTGAAAGGCCAGTCATTTACGCAACACTCCCAAAATGGGTCGAGGTACGGAGATATACAGACTTATCCCTGGTATGACACTACCTTGAGGTATGGATACAGGGTAACTTTGCGGACTACCCAGATCATATCGATGGTATGTTAATGATATGATTGAATGAATTCGTTTGTTGATCAATAAGGGAAGTCCGAAGGAAGATCTATTATAGAGTTTGTTCTTTCTTGGATTGGTGTAGTATTTCGATTTTTGATTTCTTATCCCAGGTCATATCAACCACGAATCTGACAAATTCAGCAACATTCACGAATGCCACATTCCGATGTCTTTCTTTCCAGCTTTCGTTCCTGTTTTAGCTGTTCGGAATTATTTCTCCGTTAAGTAATAAAAGTTTCAATTATCGCATGATTATCTCAGAAACTTATGTAGCCGTGCATAATCCTTGCCGGCCACAGATACCGTAAATGCATGGTACGTCCTTTTCATTGCCATGTTATCATTTAGCGCAAATGACTAAGTCGGGTAGCTCGATTGTTCATTACATGACTGGACGGACTATAAGATACATCCAAGACCAATAATAAAATTTTATTTACCCCGTTACAGCTTTACGCCAACCTCTACTGCCATCATAAATCTTCCACAACGCCTGTACGATGTTCAGCACTGTCATCGCCATTGAATTGTCATTATTGGGAGTAAAATGGTATGAAAGAGACCTCATGTATTTGATGATCTCATTGATTGAAAATGCGGGACGGATGTTCAATTAGGGTCACCTCTCAGGTGGACGGACTCGGCTGAAGGACGTCCCGGAATGATGTCCGCCAAGCCGGCGACCCGCAGTATAGAGAAAGGGCAAGTATTAATGAGAAGAATTGGTGTTAATATTGTAATGTCCCTGAAAGAATCTATGATTTATTCAAAACAGACCACGCTCTTTCTCATTCTCCAATTCATGTGCTTGGCAAAACGTTAAATTGGCAAAGGACAATCCCTAGCTCCCTCCTTGTAGAGCCCGTTTGACTGGTCAACGCGCTTCGAGACGGATGTTGCCGGTCACAAGGAAATAAAAATAATACATCGACACAAACTTTCGATGATTGGATCGGCCATTCCCCCCCGCAAAAGTATACTTTAGGTAAACAATGCCCTTGCAGGAAAGCCCGTTTGAGCTGACGCGTCTTTGAGGCTCTGGCAGACACTGGCAGGCTCTAAGGATATTCGGCATAGATCCTGTCCTTCAGTTGGACGAACAACAAAAGACGGAATCCGGAACTTTCGATGCTGTACTCCCTACAAGGTCCCAGAGTCTGGAACAGCCTCACTAAAGTGTGGGCGGGTAGATCGGGACGGATGTCACTGCCGAGAGGATGTGGGGCGAAGTACCGGCAGGTACCGAGGGACTGCATCACACCAGTCATTAACTGCACGATTACGACGACATTTAATGCTGACATCTTTTTAGGGACGAAAGGACGCAGCTTATTGGAGGCCTCGTAAAGTCAATCCCCGGGTCGATAATAACAGTGCAAGACTCTAGGGCGTCAACTTTGTGGGGAAATTGGAATACGAGCTGAGATGGCTGTGCAGGTCCAGTAAGCAAGCCAAGATGCCGATGAGCCGTTTCATTGCGAGCAACTAGAATGCAGGAACCAAGCCGAGTTCCGAGATGGAAAGCATCTTTGTTCAACACTAACTGTTCATCATAGACAGCTGCCAGAATGAGCGTGAGATGACGAGTACAGGATTTCCTAGTAAAGGCCGAGAGTATTAATATGAGTCTTCGGTCGTCTTGTTCTAAATCTCATCAACTCACTCATCATTCACTTCACAGCCATCTAAACAATCTCAACAAACACGACAAACTCAACTCAACTCAAATCTAAACCATTCACCATGCACTTCAACCAGATCTTCCTTGGTGCTCTGCTCGCCGTCGGCTCAGTCTCTGCCATCCCCAACCCCAACGCCGAGTTCGTCGACGTCGACCTCGCATCCCGCAGTCTGCTTCATCACTGCGGCAAGCACGCTTCCTACGACCACACCAAGAAGGCCTGCGAGTGCCACGACAGCGGCAAGGTCTTCCACGAGAAGCACAAGAAGTGCGAGTGCCCCAAGGGCGAGAAGTGGCACCACATTGAGCGAAAGTGCAAGAAGTAGAGCTGACGGCTTCTTGCCGTTTGCGATTCATTTCGGAGGTGCATGGCAAACCGCATCTTACAGCTGTAGAGCTAGTATCCTGCAACTATGACTCGACAAGCACCTGAGGTACATTGGGCATTTGGTGGACAGATTTGAGCTTGGACGACCGGGATTAGCTTAGATTTTGTATGTTGGGAGCTTTGGGAGGGAGGGGTCAACTAGCAAATTTATCATTCTCAAGAACTTTGCGCCATCGACCTATGAAGTGATTATTAATGTTAATTCTACCGATATCTAACTCTCCCCAATGCCAGCAACACCTCAAAGAGGCTTGTAGATCGTGTCAAAACTCTGGTACCCCTCGCCCTTGACAAAAGTCTGCATCCAAGGGCCCTGTTCTTTGTGTTGAGACAACTCCCAGAAGATATCTGCGTGCGCCTCTCCATCAACAACATACTTCGGCGCTCCACCCGACTTGCGCTCATCAGCATAGTAGAATCTTGAAAGGGTTAGTTGAAATCATAAACGTAGTCGAGGAAGGTGGTGCTTACTTGTACCCACGATCTTTGTAGGCTGCCGAAGCCGTCCAGATCATGTATGCGGCAGCAGATTTCCCAGCGCCCTGGGCCAAAAACCCTGGGATCATGGAAACGTTGAGGACATTACCGGTGTAGATGAAAGTCCGTGAGGCTGACGATGGGAGTTGCGCGAAGCCATTGACTGCTTGCTGTGCAGCGATGAAGAAGCTGTTGACGTTGACAATTTGATCGGCACTGAAAACATCGAAGTCCAGGGCGAAGGGATCATCTGGTGGAGTGCGACTTGATCTACTAGCTGTAAAGGGTGAGATGAAGAACAAGGTTATTGAAACGGTTGAGAGCTTACCATTGTAGACAACTACACTTGGGATGCCGAACGTCTCCTTGACCTTGTTGAAAGCACTGATGACATCGGCTGGCTTGGTAAAATCACTCGGGATGTGGAGTTGACCGTCGGTGCTGTTCGACTCTTTGAGCGAACGGGATGCAAGTGCGACTCTGTAGCCCTTCGAGGCGAACTTGCGGACAGTAGATTGTCCGATGTTTGGGCCTGCGCCTAGGATGAGAGCAACGGGGGATTTAGCTGCCATGATTCAGTATGTGAGACTGGTTCGGGATGTTAAGAATCTTGTTGGTCTAGTATTTGCGGAATGTTGATGTTCTGAGTCCAGATATCATCCAGTCAATGGTTTACATTTATATATACCTGTGCGATCTCAGATCAACAAAGCGATCAAGATTAGCAATCGATATCTTATCAATCAAGTCAATCAATAAATATGTCTAATATCCGAAATGTGAGACATTCATACCTACCTATGTGAGATACACTGTACATGCTGAGGACTAATATCGTGAGCTACTCCCTGCAGAAACAAAGTCTATTCAAGTATAGCTTAACACACCGCGGTACACACATCAGCCGGAGCATTCAAAGCGTCCGATCCGTATAATGTCAGCACTAACAGTTTGTCAGCACATGCCATTTGTCAACCCCGCCAACTGGACAGTCGAGCTGGGAACGCTATTCTCTGGGGAGAAGGCAGTAAATGAGAGGAAATGTCCGATTCTCATTTTATTTAGTCTACTGGCGAAGCTTCTTAAATATGTATATGGCTATTATTGCTTAATACCTTTTGGGAGGAATCTAGAGTCAAGTCGCTGGTGATCCCGGACATGTGATAGCTATTCCTTATCACCCTACAAACCACAATTTTATCTGCAGAATTGCCGAAATGTGCCGATCACCCAAAGGCTGGAGATACCTATAATCGCATTCAAAGAGACAAAAGGCGGAAATCCTGTTCCGAACTACCAAATTCGGACGGGACTTTTAGCATTGGAGGTTGGTCAGACTCCTGCGGGCCTGGACGATTCAAGCCAGAAGGATTCTGGGAAGCTTGAAGGATTGAGAGCGAGAAGGATTATAGTGGTGCCACTTCTTCTACATTATTCCTTACGGGTAAGGTCACATCTGGGTTTCCGCACCAGCAACTGGCTGTTATTAAGCATCCTCAATATCTTAAACTGAACTTCATATTGCGATTTGCTATGTCTGGTCTTGCACGGATCCCTCATTGCCGCAGTGACAGGTAGACACAGACAGCGTGGCAAAGTATGGAACCATAGTAAGTAACCAGTTAGAAAAAAAGATGTTTGAGATAGACAAAGACGGAGATGAAATAAAAGCATGTTACACTATACAGGAAGGTGGTGTCGCCCCGCACGGGTAATATTTACAGCCTGTAAGACATTCTTCTTGAATGGCTACATCGGAACACTATCAACTATCCACCCAATCCTACGTTTCAAGTACTGCAAACCCGAAGGATTCGGATCCTACGGCCTATCTCGGTCCGAGCAATTAATTCTATGTCCGACTCTCATAAATACAACGAAGCACCTCTTGCGAGTTTGTGCGAGAGACACTGAGACAATCACACCTGACTTTCCAGTCTCACGATCCAGCCAATATGACCAAAACCGCATCAGTTCTGTTCGTCCTGATTGGCAGTGCGATCGCCCAGATCAGCAGAACATGTGTAGATATTGCATTTGACCCCAAGACCAATGTCCTCTCAGGTCGCTGTCAGCCTCGCGACAATTCAGGCTACCTTCCATCTGGCCTGGACCTCAACCAATGCTTCGGATATGACGGGACCGAAATAACCGTAAGTAATACCATTCCCAGATCATGCTCAGTTTTATTGACAGTCCAGCCAACCTATCATGGTAATTTCGGCACAAGCTGCGGTGACTGCGAGCTGTTCATAGCCCCTGACCCATACTATGGCGGTGCTATTTACTGGATTAAGTGCACCTGCAAGGGCCAGACTGGCAAGGTCTCTGTTCCCTTAGGTAAGTTATCCAACCGTCAGTGCTTACAGATGACTGACAAAGGTCGCAGAGGATGCAGTTGCCCACGAATATGTATCTAATAAGAATGGACAATTGTTGTGCTAGGAGAGGTTATACGTTGGGGTCTTTAATCTAGTTTTAAGTGAACAATATTCGCCATTACACTTGAAATGGCCGATAGTTCTATCTGACACAGATTAATATGTGCAAAAGATGCTAGTGGCTTCGAGAATGTCAGGTAAGCCTGGGAAATTAATACCTTGAAATCTAGTCTCTATAATACATAAAAGGTCTCTAGTACTAATATTTCTTTCAATTGACTTTTAAGTAAAATATTTCAGTAGGGCTAATGTGTGGCTAAATAGTAGATATAAGCAACACGGGAACAAACTCACACAGTTCTTATACCACTGTATCTAAAGAGATCATATCGTATTGGCATTTTAAAACAATTGGGACACATACCGTAATATTCTCCGCTATAGGTATATGAGTTCAAGCCTCTTATATCATCCCAAGCAATTTAATATACTTTTTAAACCACGATCTCAGGATATCAACAGCCAAATATTCACAACCAAGGCACATCCAATAATGGAGTGGCGACCGTCCTTTCTTCGTGTACTTATACCAAGTCAAACAGATGGGGAGACTTGTCGCATTAGAGGGATCGACTTGTCAGTGTCCAGCTTGCCCCTCTTCAAGCCCCCTGTATGAATCTCAGACCTCCGTGTCGCTGAAAGGGTTGCATCTGTTAGTGGAGAGACACGTTCGCCGGTGGCGTCAATGAGGAGGGCTGAAGAACTAGGAAGAACTAGCATCGTGATCTGTCACCACGCGGAGGCCAGTTTAGATTGAGTTTGGTTCCCGCTGTGGCTTTTGCTATGCATCTTTATTGGATGTTTAGAAACTTCATATACGAGAGGTGGTTACACAAAGTGTAAATTAAAACTGTATAGAAGTGTCTACTACGTAGTAAGTGAGCGGCTGGGAATGTGATACACGTCGACCTGCATTGTTTTGCCACATGCTCCGGGCCAATATCCCTGATTAAGCATCAATCAGAAATCCTGCATCATAGCTTTGAGGAAGCTTTGCAACCATCCACACCTGCGTACTTGACATTTAACCGGTCAAATAAAACTTTGCAAATTAAGAGCTAAAACTACAGCCATCCACAGTCCTAAGCATCTTGCAAGAGGCGCACAATTGGATGAGGTCTAGACTGTCATCATACGAGTAGCAACCTCGCCCACAGTAGTTTGAGTGCCGAAACTAGAAATGATAATAACAGTGTAGATGAGTTAAAGGGCTGCCGAAAGACAAATTCGAAGGTTTTGCCTCAAATCATACCTGTACGGTCGAAGTATTGGTGTTTTGAGAACCCGGTCAACTGTGACCCTTGATAACAATAGATTAATGAACAAGATCCTGCCATTAGCTATTTCTCGTGAAACAGAGCATACAATCTCAGCTTGCGGCTGACAAGTCTCAGATATTTGTGGCAACTCCTACAATAAGATTTATCTTCGAGCAGCTTCTATGGCCGGCCGGCCGGCCGGCCTATGTAAAGAAGGAGTGGATTACTCCATTAACATTCATACCCTATAAGTAGTTTAAAGTTACAAGATAGTTTTATACCACCTCTTCGTTGTGCGGCTGAGACACGAGTGAGGTCATAAACTGGAAGTTACGTTTCCGTGATAGTATTGCTACAGAGGATAACAACGTAAGTTCAGAATTCACTTCATCAACGTTTGATACTTCCAAGGCTAAGACAATTATCTAACAGTTTAGTTACTTCATCCTGAGATTACTACAAAGCTGTCACGTAACAGCTCAAATTGAAGGACATTCAAAGATGGCTAGACGATATGTACAGCTCTACACAACTCCCGCGAAAGGTAATTCAGCTACACACTCTGCATCCCCCTAACTTGTATAGGGACCATCACATATTTCACGAGTGACAAACAAAGCCATATAGACCGCTGATAATGTCAATGAGTAGCCTCAATATGTATTTCTTGCCACCTAAAATCGTACGAGATTGCACGCCATGTAGCTTCCCCAACACCCTCTTCAATGGCAGATGTCACATATTCCTTGAGAGTTAAATAATCGCCAGCAAAATATCGCTATGTGTCGTGACGGAATGGTGAGTGGACTTAGTGGTCTAGCATTAAAGTTCACTTTGCAAGAGTCTGACAAGGACACTTGTCTTGAATACGCCCCTCCACGACGCTCTATTGATGTAGCCACTTCCTGCTTGGCCGAAGGTGTACCAAGTCAAGTCCCAACAGCACTCACTCGAGAAGAAATACGGAGGTGTTGGGACTTGAGGGTCGCCACATTATCACAAACCAGTTTAAAGTTTATAAGCCTTCAGGTCGCGTCAGGCGATGTTGGGAGGTTGATCGAGATTTGGTATCAGCACTCAAGCAATGCTAAGAGTGTTCGAGCGTTCGAGACACAGTTCGTCTATAAAGCCTCAGTTCCCCCTTCTTGGACTCAGAGTTTATCAACCAACTTACAATATTATCTCTTCTTATACCAATCAATACTTTCATACTTTCACGAAACCCTTTCACAGCATTCAGCATGGCCTCTACCTACAAGATATACTTCACCAACTCCTCCGGCTTTAACAACAATTTTGCTTTTTTCAGTGCTGTGCCCGTTGTTACAGACAACGGCGGCAGCCCTGTCTATAGTAACATCATTGCAAGCCAGTATGTTCCATCTGATGATGGGGACACTACTTTCGGAATCGATGTTACCCAGACCTACTATGCCTGTACGAATCATACCCCTATAGAAACCCTTTTTGAGACTCACGATGTGTACTAGGGACCAGCGTCTCTCCTGTCGATGTCCAGAAACTGCCTGGTAACAATGTTGTTACGAGGATCAGCAACTCCAAGCTTGCTACGCTGGGCAAGACCGGAGCGCCAGGAAGTACTGATAGCCCCACAAACAATGAGAACAAAGCTGATAGTATACCTAGGTACTTTCAAGTTGATCGATAATGCGGGTAATCCGACTTTCGACCCCAATTCGACTACTTACAATGCCCCGGACGGTACTTTCCAGATCGCCTCTGACCCTGGTGCTTTTCAGCCCGATCAAAACTTCATCTGTGGCTTAGGCTCAGTTGATGGTAATGGCCAGCGGATTCCTGTTGCAACGGTGCGGCTCATGATTCATATTGATCGTCTTGAAATGACACATGCTGACTACGTGTGGAAACATAGTTCGCCGCACAGCCCAATACCATTGCTACCATCAAACCGGTCGTTACGTTTTACATTGCCCAGTTCTCTTCTCAGAAGGGAACTGTCGTCGATGTCAACATTCTTTCTAACAAGGCAGCTATAATTGACTTTACCGGCAAGGGGGTCAATGCGGCTTTTGTGAACCAGACCGCTGGGGGTGGCTTCAGCGTTCAGTATGGATCTGCCAAATCCATGGTCGAATTATCCCAGGCCTCTTCTTCGAAGAACAAATCCAGACCTCCTATTTTAAACCAATACGATCTCGAAACACTTATGTATGTCAACCGACTCGTAGTCCAGTCTAGTCTTACACGCAAGTCAGCGCAATCTAGACCTACACGTACTAACAGGCTCTAATAGGGAAATCATCCGGAAGATCAGTCCCGTTGCTATCACTCTGTATCAATGCGGGTTTGATTGGGTTGGAAACCCTACCCAGCAGCAAAAGGCCACAGCGGTTACCAGCGCAGCGACTGCGATGGGAAGTATTGCAGGATATACTGTGTCCTCCAGGCCCAGCGCTCCCTACACTAATCCCAGCTTTGGTGTCCAATCCGCCAATCCCATTGGTACTGTCAGAGCCGTATGGAACACCGTCGTCGCTGGACTGGGGCCTATAGCTAATAATCCTCGTACCACAAATGGCAACTTCGCTGATAGTAAAACCCAGAGTAATGGCACCGAAAAACAGCAAAGCACTAACGGGGGCGAGCGTACCAATGGTAACCAAGTCACCAACAATCCGTCCCATGTCAATAATGAATATGCCAGCAGCGATCTGGTTCAGCTCTTGAAGGGTATGGGGGGTCTGGACGTCGCTGCGCATTGAGCATGTTCCAAGACAGAGAACGGAGACCATTCCATTACAAACCAACTAATTACTCTCATTCAACATGATCTGAGGTACCTCTGATTTTGGGTTTGGAATTATATTTTGGAAAGTCTTGTCTAGTCTAGTTCCTGTAACAAATTAAAACTGAAATCTGTTTTGCTCCAAGTCTACAGTAAAGTCCCAATATGATGAGTGGGTCGTCTGATTTGGCTTGTGTATGATTTGGAAAAAGGCAAAAAGAAAGGTCTCAAGCAGGGACTACAATCTTAACCTCAGTCACATGAAAAGGGACCCAAGGCATAAGTTCTATGCGCCCCTTCCATGTCTCGCCAATGCAGCTCCAAGTAAAGCATCCATTAGGCGTCCTCTACACACGATGGGACACCTCACCAATACAGCAAAATAGTAGAAATTCATTCAAACAAATAATGCGCCCTCCAGAGCCTAGTCTCGACAGGCAATACACCACGCAAGACAATTACTTCTCATCTTCTTCGTCAATCCAGGCTTCCTCATCGGTTTGGTCTTGCGATGTTCCGCTACGGCAAGGATCCGTAGAACAGCCGTTTTCTTGATTACTATCAGACTGAGCTCGCCAGCGATATTAGTAGCTGTTTATCCCGTTCCAGAATGATCGCGGTATACCTTGCCAACTACTGCTTCCTGGGCTGTTTCAGTTTGCTTAGGAGGACGCCCAGATCGAGGAGCATCTTCGAAATATTTATCACGAAATATCAGCGGTCGAGCATTGGGGTCAAACCCTCTCTCAATCGCGCGGCTGTAAATTCGATTGACTTGACGAGTTGAAAGTCCCATTATTTCAGCTACTTCATTGGTCGATTTGCCTACGCAGGGTAACTTGAGGCTCACGACACAGGCACGAGTCGCGATATCGGTGGTAGGGGCCATTGGTAGACAACCTAGAAGATGAAGGTTATTCGAAAATAAAAAAGAGCGGCTGAGGGTATTCACAAGAAAAATCGGTAAAGAACCTTGACCGCATTTTTTGCTTTTTCTGACTTTACCAGGATACCCTGTTATGTGCGGGGGTTGGCGTCTCAGTAGGACAAAACTTCTGAACCCTTGCTGTCTTCCTCATAACCTGCAATAGCAAGGGATCATTGCTAGTCACCCTCAAGGTATTTCCCGAATGACAGGAATGATCATCTCATTTCTATTGGTCAAGTCTTGAAGGAACGTGATCCTTGTTTTCAGCCATTCTTGGCGCAGCAAAATGAGAGCAAGGCTTCCCACACCTTGCTATCTTAACAAGACTCAATTTCCTCGTTGACATTGCTTTCGTTGACACCGTCCAAATTCTGAATTATGCCTGTGGAATTTGAGAGAAAGGCAAAAGAAAAGGTCTCGGAGGGAGTCGAACCCTCGCTGGCGGAATCAGAATCCGCAGTCATAACCGTTAGACCACGAAACCGGGTGATTATCGGATGTTGAACTTGTGCAGGCATAATTCGCCTCTTGTTTTTCCAACTGGCTGGAATGAGGATACCAGCTTTGTATCCGTAACAGGCTGGTCGCTGTTAAAATTTCCTGAATAAGATATACATTTTTGGAACAATCAGTGTAAGGCTCGATTTTTGAAAATTAAAGTAAAGCAGACGACCTGGGGCGCAGCGTTTAGATAAAGAAATCTCCGAGATAACTCTATTCACTGACGTTTTTGGCTGCACGAGATTGTCTCCATGACGTAGCACTTTCTCACACTACCCAATCGGAGGATGAGATCGCAGTTCAGCACTGACTCCGCCGCAAAGGATTCTGTCTAGACATTAATCAGCTGTATTATCTTGATTCGATATAGCATTATTGCTGTGCGAGCAAGATGGTGAATGGTGAGAGATCAAGGCTATGCGCCCACGTACCCTGTAGGGATAACTGTCGATCAATCATCTTCAAACTCGGGGGCTGAAAACCAGTTAATACAAGCATAAAAGACCACGCTCCGACCTAGATACTAAAGAGATTTCAATACAATCAAGCAAAGTCCACAGTTCATGACTTACAATTAACAACTTCGATCTATATCTACCAGAGACAAATTTCCAGCATTATGAAGTCACTTCTATCATTCACTCCTCTTTTATTATTCCCCACCATTGTTCTATCAGCCTGTAAATCCTTCAAAAACTCGGTCAACGTCAAAGCCATACCCCAACCAGAGCAAGTATCCAGAGTCATCAACTGTACCAGAGAGAACTCGAAGCAAGACGAGACGGCACGCACTACTGCGATGTCGATGTCTACAAGATGGGCATTGAAGTCACGACATTCACCGACAACAAACTCTCGGAACCATTGCCGGTATTTGAGCTTGTGCGGGATAATCAGTGCGGAAAAAGCGGGCTGTGTGATTTCAACGAAACAGTTATCATCCCGTTCACTCTCAACAAAACCAACAGCAGAGTAACGGAAAATTCTACGGGCTATTTCGGCTTCACGCCGGATTGGGTGTGTGTAAGAGGAGCAATCAAGGATTGCAAAGGCGGCGACGAGCATCGAGAGAAAACAAGGGTGAGGATTTGTGGGTATAAATTGTTAACGAAGGGGAAGAACGAGACTGATCCAAGTGATGATGTGTATGCTGGGACGACTAGGTTTATAAATGCGACTTATAAGGAGATGGAGGCGCTGGGCGACAAACAGCCGTAGCCAAGTTACGAGGATGCTATGAAGCAGTATGAAGAAGAGTCAGGGGCTCTGGAAAGTGCAACAACATATGGTGTGTGTAGCTACTTTGTCTGGTCAGCGGTCACTGTTTTATTCTTGTCACTATGAAAGTGGCGTATGTATTATATGACCCCCGTTCAGGTATTAACCTCGAGTCTATTTAAATACTAAAGAAAGAAGAAGAAAATGCCATGAACTCGCAAGGTATAGTGTTTATAGCCAGGAACCTGGAGAAGTCACTAACCACCTTTATTTACCTAACCCGATCTTGAAAGGTCCACTCTGCAGATTTAGACGGAAATGTCCCAACCTGGTTCCTGATTCTATCTTAGTACTAACCGATTAATTAATCTTATCATCAATAAGGTAACTAGTTGTGTGGGGAAGATCTATGTCCTGGCAGCTAGAGATGTGTAGCAGGCTCCTACTTAGGATCCTTCCTATATTCATCACCAGCCCCATGGAATACACAATTATTCCATTAATTGTGACATTAGGTATCTATACCTTCATATATTACGTTGGCGCTGTTCCCTGCTACCGACTGTTGCTACTTTAGAAATACTATCTCACCCAAAGTTCATGATGTCATCGCAGTCTAATCCAGATGTCGGATATTGGCATCAGTCAAAGTCACCATTCACTGCGGCAACATCAATTTTAGAGATCATACAGCTTAAACGAGCTGACTAATGACTTTATCTGCAAGTAGTGACGCAAAGTATAAATCTTACCATTTGTGTAATTGGAGAGACCTCGGCCGAATGGAGGTTAAGCACTTAAGCTTGGGTGAACCCCTGAGTGACAATCATGCAATTGCCGGTATGTTTCACATAAGGGCAAGCGAACACAGCCTATGACGATTGGGTATGTATCGAAGCCTAAGATACGCCAAGTCGTTTCCTTTTAGTTCTTTCGGAATGTTGTGGCCTGAAACTCTAACGCTCAGATAACCTTCCAGCACATTGAGCTGATCAACTGAGGACTCGGCGGATATGAGTACCAAAACAGTACAACGCGCAGACTCACATCAGCCGACAATTGGACACCGGAATCAACCGTCCTTAGGCTTTACTCCATCCAGCCTAACTATCATGACTCGAACGAATGTCCCAGGGGCCTAGCGCGGCTCTAACAGAGCTCTACGTCGCAAGTGTGAATCGCTTGGACGCCACCACGCTTTTCTCGCTACTCGCAATTGGCTGCCTAAGTGCCTTTGGACACTAATTCTTCCGCGGCATCCGATTAAATGAAGAAGCCGACAATTCTCACCATTGGGCACGCTATTGCTCTGTCCATATTTCCTACGGGTCATAGGCTCGAGCACAGACTCATCTCCACGGATGCACTGCCCTCAAAGACTCAAAGGTCGTTGAATCCCTGCTGCGAATCCACAGAAATCTCACCTGATGATGACATTATCCTATGATCGCCAGCCAGGAAGGACACGAACCGATGCGGGCTTAGCTGCATCTATGCTTCTCCCTGGAAGTGAGCACCATTAAGGGTAGTGTGTTTCAACAAAATGATCTACATCACCTAGCAGCGCACGTCTCTATTGTCCTCTTTACCCACGTTTTCCTCCCCCCCTTGTTCGGCAGATATTTCTTACCATGCCCTTGGATTCCCCACGACCAGGGAGTTCTTTCCTCTTTTCTCACCCTGCCCTTGCACGCATGTGAGGCTTCATTATGAAGCTTGGCGTTCTGAGCCTTCTGTTTGCTTTTGCTGTAGCCACTGTCACAGTAGGCCTTGCTTCAAATGTAAGAGATGCTGAAGCGACTGTTACTACGTTCCCAGAGTGTGCGGTAGGTCATGTGATTCTTCAGCGCTTGACGCCTTTGCTGACTGTTGAAGCAACCATGTCTTATCTCGGCGTTGAATGCAGACTGCCAGTCGCAGGATGTAAAGACTTGTATTTGTAACATTAGCGACTTTCAAACAAATTGGAGACTTTGTCTCAGGACGCAATGTCGTAAACCTGCAATTTTCGGTACGTTGCCACTGCTTGAGTACTTGCTGTTCTCCACTGACAACTCATTCAGCTTCACTACGCCAAGTAGATGTAATGTGTCAACGTCCGCGGCGGGACCGCAGAAACGACGCATGGCCTTACATCTCCATCCATATTCTCTGTACTTTATGTGTTGTTATTCGGATTTACACGAAGGCCTTCATTATAAAGAAGTTTTCGCCTGAAGATTGGTTGTCTCTAGCTTCCTTTGTTATTTACATTGTCTATTTTGGCATTGGACACCATGGTAAGACATGTCCCAGCTGGTTTTTGACCGTCAGTAACTAACCAACACTTCTACAGCCCTAATGTCAGCCTTCGGTCAAGATATCTGGTGGGTAGAGGCTGAAGAACTATCCCACGCACTCAAGGTAAGCTTTCTGCTAGAACTAGCCGATCTTATGTTGACCGACTTAGCTATTCTGGGTCGATTGCCCTATTTACAGCCTCCTCCTCGGAATGACCAAAATCACAATAATTCTGTTCTACATCCGCCTCTGCCACGTGTACACTCGATTTTGTCAGATTTGCTGGCTTTGCATTCTTCTCATTTCTTTATATACCATCATCCTCATGTGTTTGAATATCTTCCAGTGCACACCGATACGCTGGAACTGGGATCGCTTTGGAGGAGAAGATGTGGACTTTTGGTGCATGGACTTGAACAAGCTGACATGGTCGAACAACATTACAAATATCATTTTTGACATTGTGGTCCTGGTGCTGCCGATACCACTTGTTTGGAGGAGTAAGTCTTTAAAATCCTATGCAGTTGCGATAGAAGTAAGGGAAATACTGACTTTACTATAGCTAGATCGACATTACGCCGAAAAATCGCCATCGTCTTCATGTTCAGTCTCGGAATCGTCGTTTTAGTCGCCAGCTGCCTCAAAATGCGCTACAACATCATTTACGGACAATCCACCAACATTACGTGGGACTATATGGACCTCATGGTCTGGGCGGGCATCGAAACGTCAGTCAGCATCGCAGCACCGTGTTTACCGACCGTCCGACTTTTCCTACACAAAGTCTTCCCAAGATCCTTCGGGCGCATGTTTGCGTTTGCCTCACACGGCGAAAAGACGCTGGACGAGGAGATCAAAGCAGAAGAGGAGGAAGTAGCGCAGTGGGCAGCGGATATCGAGAAGCCAGGTAACTCTGGTATAGCTATTGCGAGACCGCGTCGTGCGGCTGTGCAGATGGGCCAAGGCTTCGATCTTGCGAATTGGGATGAGCGGAGGAAGAGAAAGAAACCAATGACGGAAGCAAGCCGGATTCTTAGAAGTGTAGACGCGGACGAAGTACCGCTTTCACCATAGATGAAAGATAATACCGGATCAATACAATGTTTTGGCTTGTGCCTTAAGGAAAAACAAAGATCATCGAATTTATCAGCAGCGTGCAGTTAGAGAGACAGTAATTGCAGCGGAGCATCACGGCGGAAATACCCAATGAGCGATAGACTCGACACTTCTTAACAGATCTGATCCAAGACCCTCCTTCCAATTTTTTTACCATTATTTCACGCACGGCCTACTCAAATCGGTCGGGCTGCCCTTGTAGAAAGCCTAACGTGTATGTCCTAAACCTCGTTGAGGGTATCGTGGACCCAACGTCTATTTTACAGTAACAATGACGGTTTTTCGTTTCACATTGGACTTACCACAGCACAAATATATAGCCATACGCCCCGATCAGAAGGAGTCGATTCTTTCAAGGTCAGTCCAGACCCTAAGAGACGGGTCGTCCGCTGCACGATATTGATTTCAGTGGAGTCCGCCCCACTATATAAGTACTAATGTATATGTCAAGGAGGCTTTCTCAAACTTGTAGTTTTCTACACATGAAAACACGGTTTCTTCCTTCTTTCAAGCTGAATCTTCAGCTCTATCATCTGGAGCAGTTAACTTCCCCTCCTCGGTTTCCTTTTCCGTTTCACCGACTAACCCTGTGTAACCCTCGGACTTGTTTGGCAAGGAAATCCAGCTCTTCGGCATAAGGAACCTTCACAAAACTCCCCTCAAATGACTTCAGCCTAGAATCAGAAGTACCATCGCTATCATCCATGTCGCTAAACCGGTCCATAAGAGATACTATCTCAGAGACAACCATTTCAGTTAGGTTCTGAGGCTCATAGAAGTTGTTGATAAGCTCCTGGAAAGGCCCTTGAGCCAAAACTCGATAGCAAACCGGTTTTCCCAGAACTCTTGTTTCACCGATATGCGAGACACGTACATGAGCTTTTTCGAACGACTCCACTATGTCATGCAGTTTGTCGACATGAGAAGGTAACTCGCAGTCCTTGAGAAGAGACATCAGCTGCAACAGGAGAAACCGCATATCTACCTCAAAGAGCACCCATTTATCATCCGGCGGAAGTTTAGAATACATCAGTTCATCCCAGAAAAGTCTAGTTCCCTCAATGTAAAGGAAATGATTGGTGTGGTACCTGTAGATTAGTAATGTCTTTTGATGCCAATCTTGACATGTCTGTGCCATAGGCACTATAATATCGAGAAACTCTTTCCAAAATTGTCTTTGTCCTGGCCAAAAAGATCGCAAGAATACTCCTTGGATAAATAGCTCAAATGCAGTACTCTCCTTCGCCATACATGAACCCATTTCCGATGCCTTATGCAACAGTGGAGGTATGCTTATGGCATGTGGATTTCCTCCTAGCGCTATCAGTCTTTGAATCAGCTTTACTGGAGGTCTTCGGTCTATTATAGCTTTGCTCTGTGCAGCTATGTCCCAGAGGCTGGAAGTTAGAAAGTCGGTGGTATTTGACCGCCGATAATGCGATAGGAATTTATCTTCAAAACTCGCGAAACTGTAACCAAAATGAAAATGCAGTGAGTGAACTGGATAAAGTGCGTTTCGTTTCATGGTCAGGGTACCCGCCTCGCACAGGTCTTGAATGACCGAGAGTATACTCAAAATGGTGCTTTTGCGAGCTCCTTTATCCTCCAGTATCATACACCGCCTGGTCACTATTTGGACGAATTGGACAAACCCAGTGTTACACAGAGCGTACAAGCCTACCAAATACAACCAAGCCTTGATTAACACTGTATATAGATCAAGTGATGCACTATCGCCGGTGGTGTAATTGAGGATAGCTTGCCCAGATTCAGTGTTGACAAGGAAATCGTGAGCTGTGCGGTGAATAAAGCCCACTCGTAGTGTAAGTGGCGAGATCTTAGATAGAACGGCTTTGGTCTCGTAACCTTCTCTGTGACGAATCGATGTTCTGCCAATCTGGAGCATTCCAGCGCACCGAGTCCTGATGTCTCCTGCTGTCTTCCTGCATAATCCGCTCAACCATTCCAGATCCTTCAGTTGCGGCCTAGGAGGGAAAAAGATCTGGCTTTCAGTTTTCGTCACTAGCGATAGATGAGCTAGAGTAGGGACATTGTTTGCAAGCCAGTTTGATGAGTTACCAGCCAAGGTGATGTAAGAGTCCCATCCACCGTAAATGATGCAATTAAAGTATTTTGCAGCAGTCTCTCGATATACTCGATTATTACCACCTAGTCTCAACCACATACTTTCGTAGAGGTCTTCCAGCTCCACAGGAAGTTCATCAAGCCTATCGGAAAGAGTGCTCTCATCGTCGCCGTTCTCAATTCCATTCGTGAGACTCGCTATTGCCAGAAATAGCCAGAGGAAAACACCTTGGGCTTTATGGAGAAGTATAGCTTCAAACCTTTCAAATGCTAATGCAGATATTTGTGCTGAAAATCGATCAAGTTTGTTATGTATGTAGACAGCCATCTCAGGTCTGGTGAGATCTTCTAGCCGTAGACTAGACGCCCTCATTGCTTCGATTTTGGATACTAGCTCTGTTTCAGGCCGGCTAGATGTGCAGAGTTTGACATTTGGACATGACCGCAGCCTTTCGACAATGGTCATGAGCGTCCGGAAGCCATCTTTATCGGAAATTTCGTCCAAACCGTCAATAAAGATGCATGTGAAGCGACTCGAAGTATGTAGAAGCGAGAACAGGACTTCATCCACTTCTTCAGTTGACCATTCCTTGTAGTAGTCTTTGGATTGGGAGAAAGCGAATTGATGTAAAACCCCTTCTGTCGCACCATTGTCGTTGAACAAGATGTCATGGAGCAATGAACATAAAAGTCCCCTGATACTGTTTTGCGACTCACTGCCGATCTTCCAAAAGAAGTATGACAAGACTCTGGCGTTCTGGTCCCAAGATTCAAGCAGCCTGGTGGTGTTGTTGCTATCGATAATGAACTTCATCAATGTGCTTTTCCCAGATCCTGGCTTCCCTTGAACCCAGAAGACATTATCGTTCGACCGGAGCCACGAACAGAATATGTCCCAAGACCGATCAACTTCATCGACCTCTTCTTCCGATATTTGTTCAGACTTGCGGAGATTTAAAGCCTCATCGAACTTAGACCAGGCTTTGTGTTTCGGGTCTTGGGAGCAAACTCGCTCGTACGAGGCAAAGACCCTCTCGAAGCAGGCATCTGATGGAGACATGATATCGTTGTATCTCTTTCTGATTTCTTCAGATTTGAGGCTCTTAAGAAGACGTTGCCGTTGGGCTTCCGTCACCGTTCGGATGTCAAGTGCCTTGAATTCGCTGGCGAGGCTCGTGCTGATCATGTCCCTCGTTGCTTTCGATTCCTGGATGAGCAGATCTTCGATATTTACGTTTCCGCTCGCGATCTGAGTGATAAGAGTCTGTACATCACTGTCTAGTTTCTGAAATGCTTGACTCTGCTGTTGTTCTACCGCGTCACTTTTGTTGCTATCCACCTCATAATATTAGCATGTACAAGCAAGAATTAGACGGCATGCCTTACCATATCTTCTGAAGAAGCTCGGTTTCCATGATCCCCTTGCATCTTTTCAGAGACAAATCCAAGTCCTGTACCTTTTTCCTGTGGTGACTAGCCCGGATAGCGCCGATGACGGCTTTGAGAACTTTGCCCTTATGATACCCTTTGGTGACACTTTGTGCTTCCTTCCTCAAGCCTTCGGCCGCAGCCACACATTCTTGAGCGACCTGGAATAGCTTCTTCTCTTCAGGTGTTATCTGGGGCACCTGTTTGGCTCGAGTCTGCACTCGCTTTGCCGCATCCGACATCTTTGCTGCGTACTCTTCTAGCTCATTTTCGGGGGTAGGTCTACCATCGTGAATTTGGAAAGCCAGGGATGCAAGCGTTCCGGCGAAAGAAATGAGTTGAATAATAGCGCTAGCAGCTCCAACCGCCTCCAGCCCGGTAGCCATTGGCAATGGTGGAAAATAATGTATATGAAGAGGCTGGGGAAAGGATCGAAGACCAAAGATTGCGTTTAAGAAGGCGCTAGGTATAGACAGACTCACTGAAAAGCCAAAGGATTCTGTTGATAGGTATTAAAGAAAGGGAATTATCTCGGGGGATCGGGTGGCAAAGGCGAGATTGGGCATCAAGCAGGTCACGTATGTAGGCGAGAATGGTAACAACCCCTCACGAGGCAACCGCATATGCAACCCAGATAAGCAGGCATCCTTAAGGCAGACTCGCCTGAGACGGCTTAGATACTGGAGGGCACAGCCTGCTTTCTGTGTCACCATCGAGGCATTAATTGTTTCCCGCGAATCGGTAGCAGTGAGTCGGTGAATGCCAAGAGCAAATCGCTCATGGGTGCAAATTCTCCAGCTTCAACGTGATTGGTGAAAAGGTATGTTAGCCTTCCCCAATTAATACAGGGAAATCGTATCGTATTGGGGTAATCATAGATAAAAAGTGTGATTGATCCTACCACCCAAGGCTCGGAATCTCATGGGATAGAGTTACTCTTTGCTATCTGGCTGCAATGCCTTTGACTATGGGGGCTGAGCTTACAGTGGCTCAATATTGGCAAATACACCGCTACGATTCACGGATTATTATGCACGCCTCATTGCGCCACTGCGACCGTTTCTATCTCGCTGACCACCACTGAACTTCTTGCTGAGAAACAAGTGACAAGGCTCTTTTAAACCCCGCCGGTATGTTCGCTTTGCAGCAACATTTCTGCTGGTCGCACCTGTCCATAGACGCATCCACCTGTTGTATGAAGCCACGTAACCCTTGGTCGCAAACAAACCACACAGACTGGAATAATTTGAGAGCTCTGTTCAATATGAAACCTACCCGTACTAGATAGAGGAAGATCTTGGCCTTTGCTTACACATTATCTGTAGCATCCCCAATCACCTTGTGCGATTGAGTATTGCTACTCTTACCATTATCTCGTTCATGCTTTCTAAACTTTGTGTTTGGCCACCGCTTTAACTTCCTCCTTCGGTCACCAACTTTTTCCACTTGATCGTCGTCCATCGTCCTTGAGTCATCCCATTCCTCCAATCCTTGATGCCAGCTTCGGGTGGGCCGTCTTTGCCAAACTAACGCAATACGAGAGGAATTATATAAAAGCAGCGTCGTGATCAATAGAGCAGCTACAGCCGTGGCTACCATTGAGTAAAGGGTTCTTTTAGCTGGAATATCACTCATACTGAATACTCCAGTCGCAAAGCCCAATGGCAGGAAAACAACCGTGACGTACGTAAAGCGTTGGATATCGTCTGCACGCCGTTGCTCGAGACTCATCCGCATCAATTCAAGGGATTTGGACAGCGAGTCGATATAGTTCGCGATTTTTGAACGAGTGCGTGCCAGGTCCTGGATGCTGTGGTTGTTAAAGACTGCTTGTTTAGAAATAACACTCCGATAGCGACTTTCGTCGTTAAAGGTCCATCGTGGTCTTTCCATCTGTCGTTCCGTCTCTCGATTCCGCCACAGCTCGATCTTTGCCAGATTCTCAGCAATGTCTCCTTCGACGACCTGTAGAACTCTTTGGACTTTCTTGAACCGCTTGCTGGTATTGACAAATTCTCCATAGTGCACCTTTTCCGTCTCTTCTCCTATCAGCTCATTTCTGCCTTGAGCGTTACCCTCCTGGAACAAGGACTTGGCCTCTCCTAGAATCCCCTCAGCACCGGCATACATTTGACTGATAATTCGGTCAAATAACAGTAGTTCCAACACTCGACGCTGTCGCCAGGGCGCTTTGAGTCGATCAGCCTCGCTAATCCTTTCTCCGCCCAACAAGAGCTCCCGTAGCGGCGACTGTCTATTGGGATCCTTTTCATCAGGCTCAATCTGGTTCATCTTGGCATGCGGATCAGCCTGTAGATACCGGCACGTCCAGTAACGGTCAAAGAAATCACCCTCAAAGTGAAAGCTCATGATGACTCGACTTAAGGATCTACCACTTCCCGCGGTATCATGCGCCGGGAGCTCTAGAGATTGCCCACCACTTTGATCCCACGTCTGTCCCTCTCCTGTTGTGCCGGCAGGGGCAAGAGTGAAAAAGGATAGGTGAAGTTCAGTCGACCAAGTATTGAGGACTGCAACAGTATCTTCGAAGAAGAACTTTCCGTAAGACTGATGCCTTTCAACAAAAGCCTTAAGTCCCTCAGTCATCAATAACGGAGAGGCTGTTAGCAGTGAAGAATCTTCACGAAGTGTGTTTTGGCATATCTTGTTCCCTGTCGGGTTTTTGGAAAGAAACCACCAAAACCTCTTCTTGGCAGTGTCTGGGTTTCTTCCTCTCTCCACAATCTTCTCAACATGCCTTTTCTCTCTTAACTCTGCCCAAGAGGCCACATTCCCTGAGTTCTTCTGCCGTTGGTGCGATCTAGGGACATCGACTACCACGCCTACCGTTTCAGGGCATTCCTTCCCATTCACCCCTGGACCCGAGGGAGACGTTGCAGGGGGCGTAGTCAACTGCCAATGCAGGAAACGCTTGACGGTCCGGTTCCAGGGCGATTCTATGGGATTTGCAATACTTGGCGTAGTGGGATGAGTCTGAATGGCGGTTTCTGGAACGTCTGTTTGAGCTGGAGCTACCTCGGAATCTAGTTGAACTTCATCGGAACTCTTTTCATCCACAAAGAACGAGGGTATATTATAGAGCCATTCATCAAACAGCTCGACAATATTCTCCTGATAAACCACGTTATTGAACGGCAGTGTCCGTTTCATTGGAAACGCGGGATAGTAAGAACCCTTGCTACTCCTATGCTGTTCCATGATCCCACGAGTATCCACAGGGCTGGTTTGCACTCGCAGTACTATATCGTCACCGTTTGAGCTCTCCTCACGGTTGGCAATATTCTCCGAAAGCACCATACTGGTCTTGGAACCATATTTCCAAAGAACATATGGTATCTCAAAGGTGGTGCTCCAGTAGGTATCACGCGAAAGTTCGTCATCATAAAAGACAGGCTCTTGAATCTCATCCATCATTCCTGGAAAAAGGCCGTTGGGCGAGGAGCTTTGCAGCAAGGTAGAAATAGCATGTGACCACATGTTCCCCACCGATCGCGAGTTCATGCGCTTCCCATACTGTGCCATCAGGATAGATATCGCGAAACGCAAAGGCTCTTGCCATTTGGAGTCATCATTACCCTCATGCCGCGTTTGGCAGTCGATTGTCCTTCTCCAGACATCGACCGTTTCTTCCCAGGTCCCATTGCTGTTTAGATCGCCCGTGTTGTCAAATAACCCGAGGTCCATAACACGAAAGAGCAATGTGTCTTTGGTACGAAGCAGGAACCGATTGTGAGCCGGGCTGCGAGACAACGCTATCATACGTTTCTGGGTTACGGGATTCTCGATAGTAAACCGTTTCAAAATATGCTGTTGTACTACGGAGGAAGAGTATAATCTCGGCTTTTGGTACTGCTTCGTCCGCTGTCTGTCGGCCTGCCTTATCCTCGCGCTTTGCTTGCTGACATCTTCAAGCGGTACTAGTAAACGAAGCTGTGGGCGTAGATCTTCTGCACATTTCAGAGCCCACCAGATAAGAGCGTGATCGGTGAAGTAGAAGGTTTGGAAAGGGTCTTTCTTGTGACGGGCAAATGCATATAATCCCAGCTTATTGTTGTCATCCAGATCTTTCACCCAGGAGTCCACAACACTGTTCACACTTTGCTTGGGGACAGGCAGGTAGCCAAATTCTTTGAAGAAATCTCCAGCTTTGATGATTTGCAACGGGGTGTCAACAATAGATTTGCCGGGGAGATAGGCGTTATCCTCCCATCCAACAATCTCATCACCATTGACCCAATAGTTCGGAGTAAAAAAGCCTTTAGGTCGAGCTGCTCTCTCAAAAACCCATCTCAGATGACCTTCGCATGTTTTTTTGATGCGTGAACGCATGCGACAGATATATGTCGGCTGAGTACGAGACTCGGTTGGTGATTGGCATTGGCAGCCCTTTTTGTCATGCTTACGGTTGAAATGCTTCAACGCCAGCAATAGAAACTGAAAGCAGTAGCTAATGGTATTAGCATGGCTTGTCATATTCGCCCAAGTAACTCACAAGCTTGCAGACGTTGCAACTCGATGCCCATCAAGATCACCGCATGTCAGGGCGATTATTTGACCTCCGTACTGATCGGGCGGGGTTACTGGGATACTGCAGACAGAGAGAATGTGCTCTAGATTCCGCTGCAAGCAAAAGTTGAGGCGCTGATCAGTTGTAAAGGTTTGCTCCTCGTATTGATCGGGCTTCAGACATTCCATTGCACTCTCGAAGTCTTGGAAAGAAACAGGCGCAGTGCTGGGTAAGTTCTGTGAGGGCTGTAACGCAAGCGTGAAGGCTGTTACGATTGTGAACTTCCCCCCAGTTTTGAAGAGAGTCAAAAGCTCGTCATTTGGAATTATCAGTACCTCGCCATCAGTCTCTTCGAAGCTAAAATACTTGGACCGCGAGAGAACGGATATGAATAGAGCGACAACGGTCTCGTTATGCTGATCGATCAGTCGGCTCCTCATTATGAAGTCTCCGCGGTCGGAAATCAGTGTCTTGTACGGTGCCTCTGCTGTCTCCCCGTTTCCACCGTTGGGTGTGTCTGGGGGAGTGAAGAAATCAAGCTCTCGGATGAGGAGGTTGGTATTGACCTTGATCTTTGGAAACGATCCATTAAATATTGAGGCACGGAAGTCAAACTCGGAGACCTGGAAGATTGTGTGGCCGGAAGAAACAAACTGTGTAGTCGACGTCATCCCGCCTGACATCTTAACAAAGCAGCGTGGCCAGCGGTCATGAACAAATTCTGATGTATGAAAGTCATCCACAACCTCGCCTAGTTCCCAACCTAATTCGATGTTTTCGGGGTAGAGATCTGAAGCCCTAGAGTAAAGCTCAGTAGCTCGAGAGGTTACGAGATAAGGATGGTCAATAGACGACGTATCAACACAAAATGATGTCTTATATTTTGCATCGGGAAAGAAGCGTGACATCTGGAGAAGACCTCCAGAGGCGGCCATGGTCGCTGTTAAACCGTCATCACCAAAGGAGTAATACGTGTTTCTCTGAGGAACTCGTTGGTTGGCAGAGTTAGCTGTATCTCGTCGCTGCGGGGTTGCCATTGCGACAATGTGAAGGGAGCAAATAAGATACTGTAAAGTTGCAATAAGCGAGGACCGACAAAGGAATCGCGAGTGTGGGAGGCTCTGTCTTAAAACCACATTGATTACAAAGGCTTGAGCGATTATTGCAAGGGCCACCTGATGTGCGCATCCGAATTTCCCAACTCGTTACAGCCTGCTTTAAATATTGATATTTGACATGCAGTTGGTAATATTATCCATCAATGATGGGCTTGAAACTAAACCTGCCATTGGCCGCGGATGCTTATTGGGTTGTAAGCACCATCTAGAGGGTGTGAAAGCCATTGTCAGCCTGAAGAAGAAAGAAATATTATAGGCCCGATCTGATAGGACATTAGATTGCCAATCAGGCTGTGATTTTCCACAGGTCAAGTGCGTAATCCTACACCAAAGCCTTAGTAGTTACCCAAACGATTGGCGACAGGGAACATGAGCTACCCTGTGGCAGGCTTTCGGCGTGCCTGATAAAGTATTGATAGGATATCAATACCTCTTGAGAGAATTTGAACTTTATAGATCGATAATGAATACCAACCATGAATATATGAGATAAGCAATTAAAATGTACTCCACTCAGAATCTTGCGCATGTAATAAGATGAAATGATGACGGTGTTGGAAGATAGAAAGTGGTACAGAGGTGAATACCTGTAGTGGGGTATATAAATGTGAGGGAAACATCTAAGAAACTGTAGAGTTTATTGTATAATAGAAACACAAGCTGAGAAATTAATAAAGGCTGTTATTCTGCATAAAGATTATTGACTAACCTAGTTTACTACATAGGCCAGTACATAGAATAACTACTGTAGTCTATAAGTAGGTTTGTTTTGGGCTATCTTGATGTGATTGAAAAGATTGACCAGATTGACCAGAGTAGAGATACTCTATCTCGCATAAACTTTAGTTAACAGATAAAAAGTCTAAGTACTTTCCATATTAGCGTTTGTATTAAGAAGAAAAAATCTCAACATAATGTACGGAGTAAAAAGCAAACCTTCCAGCGCCAAACGCGAAACCCAATAAGGGATTCAACACCGACGGTCCGTGACTTGTCCCCTGCAAGGTCGCGGCACATTCAAAGCTAAGTTTTCAGCTTTGGCGAGATTGCGGGGATGATCGCTGTTTTCAATCAGCCTTATGCGAATCGATGTAACGGTGGCCTCTGTGTCTAGGCTATCTTGGGATTGGAGTGCGAGTGGTGCGACAAGGCATAATTAAAATTAACGCTCGACTGCCCTTGTTAGTTAGTTGAGACATTTGTGTGGCTGCAGTTTGCAGTCTCGAGCTGCCTAATGTCGGCGGAATCTTACACCGCTCAAGTTGGATGGTGGGATATAAGAAGGTCATTCCTCAACGCTTTCAAACCGCCTTGAAGATCAAGCCCTCCACAAATCTCACTTAAGCATATCAAAAAACTATTACTTCACACATGACCATGAAGTTCAGCGCCACTATCCTTCTTCTCATCCCCCTGGCCATCGCAGGCCCCGCATCACAGTCCGCCCAAGGGCTCCCAGACCTTGCCACCGCTGGTGAAGGTGGCTTTGAGTTTAAATCCCACGGCGAAGGGCTTGAGCTTGCCGCCAAAGTCTGTCCTGCCAAGTTCCCCAGGAAGTGCTCTATTGGCAACTTCTGTTGTCGCACCAAGAAGTGCTGCAAGAAGGAGTGTTGCAAGAACACTGCAAAGTACTGCAGCAATGGTCGATGCTATAGATAATTGACCGCTGGTATTTCTGGATCGTGGAGTAAGTCATCCAACAAAAATCCCAGAGTAAAACATCATGGCTTACGCAAGTAGGGAAGGAATTTGGTGGGATTAGGTAATGAATTATACGAGGAATTTGAGTTACGAATTAGGGAACAAATCTTTACTTATCACAATACATGTTAAACCTGAAGTCTCCAATGATAGCCTTGTGTTTGTATGAATGGAAATTCGTTGCAAAAGTAATGTTACAATCAATAAGTCAAATTACGGTGCATCTGGCAGTCATTCTGTTGCGATTCCTAGACTGATACTTAGTGGTTGGCATCGCGAGTCTTAATCTTTGCGGTCAACTCCTCCAGTGAAGCAATGTCTGTCGCCCATGTCCCCTCCTCCGGCTCGAAGCCCTCATCGTCAAGCCTGTACGACCAAAACTTCTCATACCAGGGGGAAGGGTGAGTATTGATGTCATACTCAATGTACTGCAATTTGAAACCGCCCCGCCCGTTGATACCAGAGCCTTGAAGATACTTGCTTGTGGCGCAGATCTTACTAGGATCCTCATCGCCGTATGCCCGATCGATAGGTTCCGGGCAGTCGAAGCTCCTGTGTGTGTTGTTTGATAGGCGATACCTCAGTGTAGCTTGGTATTCTTCGTCTTCGTTTTCCCCACGGTCTATAAGGTGGGACTCAACCGTATCCTCTGGAGCATTATCCGCCTCCCAATGTCCATGACCCATGCGGAAATCTCTCAACCCTCCCATCGTTATTGACCACTTGGAAAGGATATGAGACCACCGAATTGTGTAACTGTGTAGCTCACCGGGCTCATAATCGAGTACTGTTCCGAGATTGGGATATCCAGGATCGGATTCATCTAGCGGGCTTGCCTGAAAGGCCTGGTACAGGATAGGGCAGTCATCGAGGTACAGTTCTCTCAAACCCTCGCCGCCGTCTCCACGTCCTATTGAGGAAATCCAATCAATCTGCCAGTCGTGACTAAAGACGTAGTGCCCTAACGCGAGTACTTTGAGCTGTGGGAAATTCATATTGCGAAAGTCCATCTTTGGGAACCAGCCCCAATAGTCACGAGCATATAACGATAGAACCGTTAGGTTATCGCTGATACTTTGGGACAGCCACGTGTTCGGTAAGAAGTCAAAAAACGCGTATTTCTCCTCATAATAGGCAATGCTGTCATCAGTATTTTCGTTGATCTCTGTGGTGACGAACAGCTTGAGATTGGTAAGGCTAGGCATGGACATGACCTTTTTGAAAGCGGCCGAGCTTGCAAGGTCGGGGTCATAGAAATCGGCCAGGTTTGAGATAGTGAGCTCATTGAGGGGCATGACTTGACTCAGGGAGCCAGTGAATTCATCCTCGGGGTACGTCCGTTCGTAGTTGTCCAGTTCATCTTCGACCTTTTCTTCAATCTCCATTTGTTGCTCGACGTTCCACATACCCGCAATGCAGTGAAATACAGTGTCAAGAACCCTGTACCGAAACCCATAGGTCTCCTCGATCGCCACACCAACTCGATCATCCTCTCCGCAGAATTGGTTGAACCGAAGATAAACTGCGGAGAGGGAGCTGAAGCAATGCATGTATACCAAAGCGTCTAGAAACTCTGTGGGGTATGGATAGCTGCCGTTACAGTTGTACTCGACATCGAGGTCAACTGACGTATCGATTGTGAGCTCATGGACTAAATTGCGAAGTCCGGGCGATTTTGCGATCTTAATGAAGCGCTCTGCAGAGTTCTCGAAACCCTCCAGACGTATCTGACCATAGGCCCAGGGAAGTGCAATTGAATTGAGTTTGGAACAGCCAAGCCTCAGGCTTAATAAGCTGGGCTTGGGTAATAGAGAGCATATATCATCCCATAACTCTGGTGGAAGGAGCAGGGCCCCTGTGGAATTGTCCTCTAGAGTAAGTGTGTCGATTGACATATTGTCAATGGCAGAAAAAGTATATAGTCAAGAAGAAGCCGACTGAAAATTATAATATCAACGTGGTCGACTTTAAATACAGCTCTTGTTTATTTTGGCGGGGTAGTGAATCCTTCGTCAGGTATTGTCGCGGCTATTATTGATGCCTAACAGACTTATGTATTGAAGCTGCTGCCTACGACGCTATTATGGGGTTATGCATTAATATCAGCATTTACTAGCATGGCTACCATTGGGTTTAACTATGGAGTCCCACATACTTGCTGTATTTCCTAGAGGCCTGCCTCACCAGACCCATCTATAACTCGATTCAGCCACATGCCAATTATCCCATCCACCTCTGGCCCAGCCTGCGTCAACGCCCAGTGCGACGATTTAACCTCTTCCTTAGATAAGTTCGTGACATACCTCTCCATCCCCGCCGCTATAGATGGCAGCAACTCCGCATCATCGCTCGACTCGATGAACAGCGCTGGAGCCTCGATCTTAACCCCCGCATGTGCGAATGGTAGCTCGTCCTCGTAGTTGAGCCGTGCAGTGCGGTACCAGTTCAGCGGCCCTCGTAGCTGCGGCGCCGGTTGCCGCATGTACTGCTGAACATAGAGAGCGAGGTCAGCATCAGGTAACAGCCGTGGCGTCTCGAGCTGCGGCAGGTTGTCAAATAGGACCCCAGTGCGCATGTCAAGGCCAGTCTCGCCATCAGTGCCACGCCCCCCGTATATTCCGCAGAAAAACTGCCGTAGCCCGTCTGCGCCCTGGAGGCGCATCTCCACCTCAGGACCCCGGAATTGCAGCTGTTAGCCCAGATTGGGCATCCTGTCAGCGGCGAGCTCCTCTACATCGAAGTAAACAGTCTGCGGCGCGATGTAAGGCGTGCACACAGAGAATACGGCCTTGACAAGCTCCGGGTAGTACATGGATACGCGCCAGACGAGCATGCCGCCCCAGTCGTGGCCGCCGAGAATGATTTGCCCGTCGCCGACGATCTGGGCTGCGAGTTCCTTCACGTCGGCGGACAGGGACTTGAAGGTATACTCAGCGAGCTCTCGAGGGGCGTCCGTCCCAGCGTAGCCGAGCATGCTGGGAACGACGACACAGAAGCCGAGAGACATCAGGTACGGGACCTGGAAGCGCCACCCATGGGGGATGTCTGGGAACCCATGGATGAGGAAGATGGTAGCGACGGGATGGTCTTGTGGCGGATTTCCGATCATATACTCGTATGTCTTGCCCCGGACACTGGCTGAGACATACTGGACACGGGCATCATCTGGCCGCAGCAGACTGACGTCCATATTGACAGAGTACCCTCTCCTGTTTATGGTTATAAACTGTTATTGGTAAGTCACCGAGAGCTATATTAACAAACGTTAGCTACGGCTCACTAAAGGTATATAAGCAGCCGTAATAAACTATCTGCGAGTATAAAAATTCCATACCAGGTTTAGGAGGTTATGTACTTTACCTTTAGGTACGGTAGTTTAAAGAGAGATTATAATGCGAACGTAGAGGTGTAAATCAGTATTAATTTAACAACCCAATTAATGCCGCTACGTCTCGTTATAACATCCTATAGAAGTGATGGTTGGTGGTATTTATATTTTAGACTGTTACATATTAATAGGTCGAGGTATATAACCCTGCCAGTCTTAAAGTCAGCTAGTGGGTGGCGCGATAAGGGGTTTCCCACCCGTTGCGTAGGTACTGAGTATGTGTATAGACTGCGGAGAAACCTATTGGCTATTATCTTTGCGGAGTTCGTGGAGTTTGACGAGAGATGGAGTTATTTACAGTGGTTAAGGACTTAACTCGGTCCAATTGATCTACAGAGTTCACCCGCTAGGCCTTGTTTCATTCTTCGTTCATGCTGTTTTGTAGGGCCGTGTTGACGTCCGCTTCGGCTCCATTCTGCATTAAAGTGTCCTCGTTGCCCGTCAGGCAGCTGCCGTAGTGTAATCGGCAGGACTGACGAGATCGGTCTTTTAAGCCACGATGGTATGGATAGTTGAGGTCATGTTGAAGACGTTGCCAAACAAAATAAATCACATGTTTAGTTCCATCTCCGTTGAAACCCTGTCGCAGTTAACCTGCATGCATGGGTTAACCCACAAAATGCACCGATAACATCCGTAGACTATTGTGGTAAAACTACACTGATCTATCAGCGGACATGAGCATGACGTGGCAAAGCCAAGTTGACACCCGTGGCTTAGCTCATTTATTTACCCGCAAGTACATATAGAACTCATATGCGTGTAATGAATGCCTCTGCGGAGGAACTGCCAAATTTGCTGCAAACTCTAACCTCTGAAACTAGGGACGAACTGATCCCATGGTGCCAAGTTGCGGAGCGGCGGAGGGGCGGAGCTGTATACTGTATCAGTGTGGGGCATCCAGAAGCATGTATAATTTACAGATAACTAAAGTATTTAATATATAGTTAGTACAAGCGAGCCCCTGAGAGTATCTCTGAAAATATCATTCATTCCAATCCTGTATATCCAAGCAGAGCCTATTCGGACTATTTCTCCTCTTCAAAAACGCATCATGCTTGTTCTAATTGCAGGAATTACGGGGAGCTTGGGTCAGCGCCTAGCACAGGAGGCTTTGTCACGGGGGCAGTCGGTCCGAGGCCTGGGCCGTGATCCAAACAAACTTCCCCCTCAGATCCTTGAGATGCTAGAATCGTATGTGCAAAGCAGTTCCTACTACGACATTTCTGCTCTCGAAACCGCGGTTGATGGCGTCGATGCGATCATTTGTGCATACGCACCCCAGCCTGAGTTAGATATGGAAGGCCAGTTATTGCTGTTGCGCGCCGCCGAAAGAGCAAACATCAAGACTTTCATCGCGCAATCATGGAACAACGACTGGACCAAGATCAAATATGGAGACCTCGAACCCTACGACATCCACATCGCTTTTTACAGGCACGTTGAGATGACGAGCAGTATCAAGCCTGTCTATCTATTTACTGGGGCCTTTGCCGATCTCCTTTATACGCCGTTTGGGCCTGGAGGCTTTGATACGAGCGGCCCCATGCCCAAGCTCTGCTACTGGGCGGATGGAAACACGAAGAAATATCCTTGGACGACCCAGGATGACGCTGCGGCGTTCACTATCGAGGTCCTACTCAACGGTGCCGGCGTTCGGGAAGGACATGGGGGCCTTTTCAGCTTCTACTCTGGGTTGCATACTATTCAGGAATTCGCAGCAGCCTATGCGAGGGTCAGCGGAAGTATGGTCGAGGTTGTCAGCAAGGGAACTGCCGAAAATCTAGAGGCTGAGCTTGTCAAACAGCGCCGTACAAAGCATCCATCTAAGTACTTTGAATGGGTTCCCTTGGCTTTCGCTCTGCTGTCAATCAGGGGCGTCTGGAAAGTGGAGAATCCAATTCCGCTGGAACACATTCGGAAGTCAACTACGCTGGAGGAATACCTAAAGGAACGCCTCAATGTAGGCTAGATGGGCCGTAGGGGCATTGGTTTCATAGTTTAACACACAGTCTTTCTGGAGAACTTGAACTTTTACTAGTCCCAGGTATCACGAACTTTTGCGTGCATCCGGACCCATTGCCGAACAATTTGAATGTGATGCAGTCCGGTCAGAGGATGACCTCAGGTCGTGAATCTCAAATATCTCTTTTCCGCTACGCTAGCCGTGTAGAGCCAAATAGCAGCTCTTCAATCTCCCTCGTCCTGTTAATGGCGTCACTCAAGGTGGCCCACTCTCTGCCCTTCTCTATGACCCCCTCTCCGCCCTGAACCTAGGCAGCATACCTCTCGTATAGCATAGCTGTGTTCCTAGCAGTGAGTGATAAATCAGCCTGCCAATCTTCCCAATTCCATGTCACCTCGTCAACCTCGTCAGTTGTATAATCATGCACCTTGATCGTGACCGGTTCGGTGTATGCGTGCGTGGCTAGTATGGGAGTCACTGGACTGATAAGCTGTATCTGCCCTTTCTCTCCGTTGATCGTCCACACAGATGCCGGTGCACCCTGGAATGAGGGACCATTCCGCCAACTAACGACCAAAGTCGCGCCATCAACCAGGTATTCCTTGCCCGTGACTGTTCCGTGAACAGCAACGAGGTCGGGCACGTCATTTACCACCGCCCGCTGAGGCAACTCAGACTCAGCACTCAGTATCATAACCTCAGGTTTTTGAATCTGGGTCCGGGTCTCGGAGGCGTCCCACTCGCCCAGCACGGCGTGCACTGAGTCGATAAAGTGGCCGTATCCGATCATGATGCTGTTGGCGCCCTTGCGCTTGTCGGCCATGAACGCCAGGCTTTCGGGGAAAATCCCTGATGGTAGAGGCAAGAACTTTGCACAGACTTTGACATCACTACTCAACACATTGCCAATCTTCCCCTCCTCTAGGAGGTCTTTGAGCTTTTCGACCGGAGGAGACACTCGGCCTTGTAGCCCGATGATGCTCCGTTCCCAGACTCCTGGCGCCGCTGCCAGGCTCTGTAATTCTAGAGCCTCATCGAGGTTCGTTACGAGCGGCCACTCGACAAACACCCGTTTGCCTGCCTTGAGGCTCGGCGCGACAGTATCGAAGTGGTGGGTTACGAAGGTGCTGCATACCACCAGGTCGACGTCAGGGTCCGCTGCTAAGGCTTTGGGGTCGCCATACGCCTTGACAGATTGCGGGAGACCAAAGTGCTCTCGTGCGGCTGCGGCAGCGCTCGTGGAGGTATTGAGGAGGGCGCTGATTTGATAGTTGTTCTTGCCGTGGGGTGAGAGAAGATAAGGAAGATGAATCGCTGAGGCCCAGGAGCTCATTGAGTTGGTGGAAAGCCCTATGATGGCGACACGAATAGGAGCCATGGCTGCAGGAGATAATGGTTTCTAAAATCGTAACAATTTAATTCCAGGTCGCCTTAGTTGACATATTATGTATGAAAGTAACCTCAAGTCCTTATCATGGACTCTTGGTTATTTATACTGCTTCGAAATCGACTCTGTGGAACTCCATGACAAATGACGTGGAACGGGGTGCACAGCGCCCTTATTCTACTTTGTTCTAGATCTGGCAGGCAACACCCCCCGTTCGCTAGTACCGTCCTCTAATGGAGTCCATGCTTAAACAGGGGGAGATAATGGTCTAGGTACCATCCTTCGAAGTCTGCGGAGCATCAGCTATACCTGCACTCTGTAGCGCCCAGTGGCGCCCCTAGCCTCTGACAATGTTTCCGCTAAAGCTCCGCAGGGGTGTCGAGAAAGATCAAATGTAATGAATGACCCAGTGTAGCGTCGCAAACGGACTAGGGTCAAGTCGAAGTCCGCAACGTTCCCGAAGAGTTTGGACATCGCTTGGCTGCTCCGATCCGCGGAGCCTCTTTTAAGAATGTACAATACCTCTGTTTTGTGGTTGATATCATTGAAAGATTTCGAAAGCCTGGACTTGATAAAGTTGAAGGTTAAAGCAAAAAGGAAAAAAGCATAGTTCCTCTGTGTAGAGTTGCGGAGTGGCTCATTTGCGGAGTATTTAGGTTGCGGAGTTACGTTAGGTTATGCCATGCAGATTTCTCGTCCAGGGGGACAACGGCCCTGAAAAGGCTCCAATGGGAGCACAGAACGTGTTGAGCTAAACTATCTACCACTACTGTCATATCTGAATCCACCCAGAACACCAGCAACGTCCACTCGCATTAACAGAGGGCATCGGAGGCCCTCTCCCCCAAGTTGGCACCCTCCTACCCGTAGGCAGCCCTATGGCAGTTTCAAGCACGTCGTCTCGGATATGAAATCAGGTTCTCCACCTTCTTTGGCCATTGCAGAACATACAATTCCAACCTCATTCTATCTTCCTGAAGCAAGCCTATCCTCAAGCCTATCCTTGACGAAAGCATCATCCATTACATAGCACCCATTCTAAAGGTTGCGCTTGAAGAAGCTTGTAAGTCTGTCAAAGGGAATAAGCTCCACACGATCATAAAGATCAACATGGCCAGCGCCAGAGATCCAGATTAGCTCCTTAGGTTCGGTAGCACGCTCATAGGCATCCTGGCTGAATTCACGCGAGTGAGCCTGGTCCCCTGAGATGAAGAGCAAAGGACGGGGCGAGATGGTGTCGATGTCATTGAAGGGGTAAAAGTTCAGGAACTTGACCTGGCTGGAGCGGGTGGGGTGGGTTGTAGTGTTGGGTAGGGCACCAGGGGGCGTGAATTCACCACGAGTTGTGCGGTAGAAATCGTAGAACTCTTGCTGAATGGGGTCCGTAGCGTCCTCCTCCCTATCCACAGTGCCTCCAATAAGCTCGGGTACGGCACCCTGGGACTCGTTGTTGCGCTGGGCGCTAGCAGCATCGATGAGTTCCTTGCGTTGGGCCAAGGTCTGTGCCTTTTGGAGACCGTTGCGTGTGACAGCGCCCATATCATACATGCTGGCAGTAGCAATAGCCTTGAGGCGAGAATCGATCTTAGCTGCGCTAAGGATGAAGGAGCCGCTGCCACAGATGCCAACACCGCCAATGCGCTCAGAGTCAACGTAGGACTGGAGAGTCAGGTAGTCAACAGCAGCACTGAACGCTTCTGCATAGTATTCGGGCGATACAGCATTGCGAGGCTCGCCGGCACTACCACCCCAGTGAGGAAGGTCGATCGAGACGGCGACGAAGCCCTGCTCGGCAAGCTTGGTGGCATAGAGGTTGGCGCTCTGCTCCTTGACAGCGCCCATTGGGTGACCGACGACGATGGCGGGAGTTTCAGAGCTTCGGCTTAGGTTTCGCGGATAGAAGAGATTTCCCGAGACATTGGTATGGTATTGTGTTGGAAACCCGACGGGTTGGATCTGGACGTGCTCGCTGCGGTAAAAGTTATCGGCTCCGAAGGTGAGGTTCTGGGCTGTCGCAGCGATGGCGTTGACAATCGTCATTGCGCCCAGAGTCACGGTGCGGCTTCCAATCATGTTGATGGTGTTGAGTTTCTTTTGGTATTGGATAGAGCACGTATGAAAGTAGGATTAAGGTCAAGGAGCTGATGTCGTCAAGAGCATGAAGTCTGTTGGCATTGGGAGTAAGCCAAACGTTTTATAAGTGCTGCTGTTTTGGTTGTATACGTCATACCATGGTTGCTATTAGAAATTAAGGGAATGTTAATAGGACCGAAGCCACGCGTCTTGTCCTGACTGAGAACATGAGGTCGTCGTCATGCCAAGGCATATAATTATTGAACGTCTCAATCGAAGTTCTACATGTTTTCAGGGACTAACGGCAGTACTAGCAACGCCTCAAAAGCATTGTTCAATTATGGATCCCTGCCCATTTAAAGCCTAAATTGCCCCACTATTATATGCAACCTGCTGATAGTTATTTTATTTAACCTTTTACAAGATATTTTAGCAGAGTCGATATGGCTATGGTGCTATTGTTGATCCCTGCCATCTGTGAGGGCGTTGATGACTTCCTCAACCTTTTTAGCCTCCCTATCTTTCCCATCTTGGCGGCCTCCCTCAGCCTCTTCCTCTGCCGCGTCTCTCTCTTTGAGCTACCGTTCTTTTGCCCGGAGGGCGTTCACTACTAACACGCCCATATCTCGCACCATGCTATTGCCAAATAGATTGCAAAGGATACCTAACGGAGACACAGCCCATACCTTAGAGCCTGTATCAGTAGGTTTGCCGACTACAACCTCCGAGTTCCTCTCTGTATGTCGGATCATGCTCTCATCTAGTAGGTCATGTGGTACTAAAGTTCATGGCAAAGGTACCTGCCTTAGCTAAGGGAATATGTGATATTCTTGTCGTGCCGAGGTCAAGGTTGCCCCCTAACGTCAGCATGTGATAATCTTATCACGGGGAAACACCTCATTATAATGCCGACGTGCATAGAACGTGGTCAAGGCATTGAATTCCAAGATCAATATCCCAATGCAACAGCCGACGTGCACATAATGCGGATATGCTTGGAACGTTTAAACACGGCGACTATGAGTCCACTCCATACGGCCTGGTCTTCAAAACGGATAAACTTCAGCCTTCCACTGTCACGATTGTTGTCATCGCAATGCTACAAAGCTAGGATTTGGCCATAGGGTAATTTCCATTATGCTATTTAGAGCGTATAAAGACTACCTTTCGTAATTATATTCACCTCTGTCAAAGATGACTTACCCCAAGCACCGAGTGATACATTTCAAGCTAGCTAGGAAGACTCTTAAATCACACCAGTTATATTCCACGATAGTATTGACAGACGAGGTCTGCTCTGAGTAAAAGACTATTATTATTCAAGCTTACCTACCTTGGATAGGATGCACTATGTAATAAAACCAGGATGCAATGGATTAGATTCCTGCCTAAAATAATAGTGTTCCTCTCAAGTGTTATCTGGCGGCACTATCGATACGAATAATCTTATCGATGTAGGGTAGCCTTAATTATCTTCTCAACCTTGGTATTTTGACCGCTGTTATTGTTTTCTCTTGAATCTTGAGTTTTAAAAAAAGGGTCTATTGCAATCTTATTTTTTGTTACAATTAATACCTTGAAAAGTAATGACACAGTCCACCAATCAACTTGGCTATCTCATCATTCTTTCAACCCCGCTTTCATCTGTGATGTCAGCAGGAAGCTGCCAAACACCATCGCAAGCTGGTCAGCATATTCTTCTTGACGTCCGTAGATTCTCGTTCCCTAGCGCCTGCTCGGTGGCCAGAATGTCCCCAGGCGCATCCAGTACCCCCTTGACGGGCGATGAGTCTGCGCAAAATGCCAGCGATGTCCCGTCTCTAGCGTCACGGTTATATCGACAGGTTGACTACTCAGTAAAAAAGACCTGGCAAGACCGAGGTGATATCATTCGGCACTCAAAGGAACTCTTCACTGTGGGTGCAGATCTTACATGTATAACCCAATGGACATATTCTCACTATAATCCTCTGTAGGCTGCGCCCTTGGCTGGGCTCTCTTACTCACCACTTCCCACTCCATCAAGCATACGGCTTCTTGAAGTCAAGCCGGGTGCACCCAGCGACATAATCGACTGTTCACTTATTATTGTTAACCTCTCAGATGCTCCCGAGTATCAGGCCTTATCATATACGTGGGATCTTGATCCACCGATATTTCCATATGAGCTAAGCTACCTTTCGCACAAAATGCCTAAGATTTCAAATGCTGTTACAAATGGGATGGACACAATCAATTATACGATCAACAACCTGATGGTCTCACCTCAGGCATGGATCCCTTGGATCAACAAACCAAGTGAAGACCTGAATCCTGAGACAGATGCAGAGACAAAAGTAGGCAGCGAGAGAGATAAGATTCTATGCGACGGTCAAGGCGTGTATATCAAACCAAATTTCTATCAAGCCTTGGTACAAATCAGAAAGAAACGCCCAGGCCTATACTGGATCGATGCCATCTGTATTAATCAGTCTGATACTGCCGAGCGAGGTCAGCAGGTTCAGATGATGGATCAAATATACAGCTCCGCGGTTCAAGTGACTATATGGCTTGGAACCTGTCCTCACATATTCGCCCCTGGGGTGGAGAATCTGGTGTCGGTGGCCAAGACAGGTTTTCCCGCAGAGCCGAAAGACATGATGGTGAAAGACTTCATCTATTCCAGAATAGGAACGACCTCAGTTTGGCACCTTGTGCTCTGTGTAGTATACCTTGTCACTCGAAAATGGTTCAATCGACTTTGGGTCCTTCAAGAGCTATGCTTAGCCAAACAGGCTATTTTCTTCCTGGGCGAATACCAATTTGAGGCCGACGATATTTCCGCCGCATTTGCCTGGATTCGTCATACTCTCAAAGCCTGGAATACGGACGGATGGTATATGTTCTCTCAACTGATGACTTCTCTTGGAGATGTTCCAGAACAGGCTATTTCACTGCTGAATTCCAGACGAACAATTGCTCAAGGACATAAGATGAGTTTGCAGGAGTGGCTTAGGATTGTCAAGGATCGAGAGGCCGGAGATCCAAGAGACATGATCTTTGGAGGTCTTGCTTTGATTGACCCTGATACAACCCGTATCAATCCAGGTTTGAAGACAGGTCACCCGGTCTCATTACCCATGGTTGTCACAAACAAGGAAGGCACGCCAACATCGGAGCTTTATCCTGAAACACAAGGGATATCTCCAAATAGGCTTCTGAGTACCGAAGCTTCGTGGAAGACATTGCAAGCCGATTATGAGATAACGCTTCCCATGCTTCTTGAAGGGGTCGCCATGTGCCTCCTTTCTGGACCTGACGCGATGGATCTTCTATCCCTCGCAACTAGATATCGCAACCCTTACTTTTACAACATGCGCAGAGAGTCTGTTTTGAACTTTTCGCTCATCAAGCTGGACAGGCAGTCAGGGATTGAAGCAACCGCTCCATCATGGTGTGCAATGCCATGGATGGAAAACTCCCGGCTAATGAGGCCTCTTATCTGGCAAGGCGGAACATCTTGCGAGTTTACCTCAAAGATGACAAATGAGCCCTCTATTACATCAGATGGCAAGACATTATGCCTTGATGCGATGTACCTGGACATAATTGAGGACTGCGTTTTAGTCAACCTTTTTGGAGACTTGGCACACGATGCGGAGTCTATAATCATTCTCAGATCAAAGTCTGTGGAGGACGCGGAGTTAAGGGCTAAGATGACTCAAAATTTCAATTACCTACCGCCATTCCAGTTACTCGATGTCGCTATTGGAATGCAGTCAGAGTACGAAAGACCCCTCGAAACTCTTTGTGACATCTTGCTAGCCGGAGCATGGGAGAGTGGCGGATCAGAAAATGGCAAAATGGTCGCATTCTGCCAATGGCTGGACGAGTGGGTGCAGAGCTTTGTAAAGAATCACGAAAAGAATAAATCAGAGGCTGCCAAGGATATTCCAACTTTCCAAGAATTCCTCGAAAGAAGAGAGGGAGTCATCGCCAAACTTCAAGACGACTACTCCAAATTGAAAGCAACATACCCCGATCAACCTTGGTCAGACGACCATCCCAAAAACATCTCTGAAGAGCGAAAGGTGTTGGCAGTGCGTTTCTCACGCACCTTGCAGAAGGCCCAAGCCCTTCGCTGTCTTTTCAGGACAAAGAAAGGCGTGTTTGTACTTGGGCCAGCCTGGGCTGAGAAAGGTGATGTTGTGATGGGGGTAAAGGGTGGGAAGGTTCCTCATGTATTTACGCCGAGGGACGAGGACCTGCGACGGAAGATCGCTTTTAAGGAGAACTACAAGAGTGGTTTATCGTTGGGTGTCTTGCAAGAGCGAGTTGGGCACATTGAGGCTAACAAGTTGGATGTGGACTATCTTCGTGGTGAGATCGGCAAAAGAGATTGTTATATACTGACCGGGGAAGCTTATATATATGGTTCAAGTCTTGCAAAGCTAGTCAAGCATGGAAGCGAGTTCAGTAGGGTAGAGATTGTTTAGGAGGATGACTTCTTTCACTGCATGTCAGAAAGATAGTAACGATAGCGCCTTGCTGTATGTGGAGCTCAAAGTTGAAGGTTAAAGGAAAAAAGAAAATGGATGTTCTTTATTATAATACCGGCGATTTTTCCGTGAAACTCCCTAAGAATACCTTTCGACGTGACCGTAACGGATTAGCTCGCCACCCCAAGGGTGTCGGTCTATTAAGCTTGTATTGAATGCGGCATAACCTTGTCACGTCAATACCTTTGATTCGAGATGGAAAGCTCTGGCACTTACCTGCTTGGCTGTTGGGATTTATAATGGGCCAGTACCAGACGTCAGACCGTGGTAGTTATCCGATGTTCCAGGGACCACGACATCTTCTGCGACGGTAAGGGAGGAGCTTTCAAGCACAATAACATAATTACGTAGCGATGGCGCCCTAGATCATTTGCTTACACACCATCATATATACTCACCTCTTGTCCCTTCGATCCGTATGTTGCGGTACATGTCCGACAGATTGGCGACTTCACGAGAGTTTTAGGTGATGTTTTAGGTGCAGGCCAGGCTCAATCTGAGTTTTACAAGAATGACGTCCCAGTTCCGATGGCTATTTACGAAATCGCGTTGCGGAACGGCCAGCAAATGCCGTTTCTCAGAATTGACGGTCCTTATGGTGCAGCAGCTGAAGAACTTCGGCCGGCCCGACTTTACCAAGTTGTTCCAGCATGTGCGTGATCAGATTGATGACGGCACGTACCTTCCTGAAATCGAAAGGAGGATGCAGACTACAGACGGAGTGTACTTTTGTGGACCAGCAGTGGCCGGTAAGTAGTATGATTCCTTCCTTCAATTATTGGGGCTTACATTACTCCGCAGCTCACCAGATCAAGAGTCCTTGCAGAAATGTTACCACGCAGGATGTGAACTTCATGTTTTGGAAAGAGCACTTTTGAAGCTGTATGGGTTCAGCATCTAGGATGATGACCGGGCCCTTTCAATGCTTCTATTGATGTAATTGGCATTTCTGGAAAACGGAGAGAAAGAACTACATTTTCGGTAGTTCGTACCAGCCGTAGTCCGCCAAATATTGATACGTCCATGCGTCTCTTGTGGGGCTTTATATCAAATCATGAAGGGAAGAATACACCATCTTGTCACTCAAATCGAGAAGTCCCTATTTAATAAATACAATGTTTACATTATTAAATGTTTAAAAATTGATTTAATACAAATATGAAGTTATTACTTATTATTGTATGATAGCACTACTAAAAGTGTATTTCTCACAAGAAATTTAACATAAATACATAACACAATACTTCATGATACTTTTCTCAGTATTAGTCAAGTTAACTACACGTTTCAACGCGCCTTACATTGGATAAAATCTATTTCAATATGTAGTAATTATTATAATATGATAGATCAAATCCTTTCCGAAGGGAACATCATTCCCCCGAGGTATCATCTGACGGCCTCATCCATGCGGCCAGCCCCTTATTGCGCGGGGTAGTTCAATTGTGTCCGCGGCTATTCTTCTTTTTCTCTTCAATAATGACTCTTTTCAACATTGTGTACCAAGATAACGTTTGCCAAGTGACCAAGTAACAGAGCTGTAAAACATGTCCGTAACGGAAAAAAGCTACACGGATCAAAAGGTCATCCTTGATCCCAAAAACTACGACATAGCCTGGATCGCTCTTCACCACATTGAAGCAAAGGCTGCCCTCCACTTGCTGGACGAACGACACTGTGGACGTTTTGCTGTGAGTGCTGGGGATAACTATGTCTACCAAGCTGGGTCAATGGGCGGCCACAATATCATCATAGCAACCCTACCCGCTGGCGAAGATTATGGAACAGGCTCCGCAGCTGCACTTGCTAGCCAAGTCAAGAAGTTCTTCCCCAATCTCTGGTTTGGTCTGCTTGTAGGGGTGGCAGTGGGACTTCCGGACTTACCACGCAAGCGCGATATTCGACTCGGCGACGTTCTTGTCAGTCTTCCCCAAGGCGATAGTCCTGCCTTGATCCCGTATGATCTCGGAAAGGAAACGCAAGACGGTTTTCAACCGCTTCGTCTTGGCTATAGTCTCGCAATGACCCCAACAATTGTGAGATCGGCCATCGGCAGTATCAAGCTTGAGGCACCATACGAAATCGACATTTTTCAGCAACACTTTAAGAAGATGGCCAATTGTGAGCATGCGACAGGCACATTTGTGGATCCTGGCCAGGAAAATGATGTGCTATGTGATGAGGATGATCAACCAATTCAACGCCCTCAGAGATCGCAACGCACTAGAGTGTGGTACGGCCCTATCGGGTCGGGAGAAAAGCTGCTGGAGAATGCAAAGAGACGGGATGAACTCAGAGATCGTTACGGCATTATTGGTCTAGAAACAGGGGCAGCAGGAACGATGAACAGAATTCCAGTTGGTGTCATCCGAGGGGTTTGCGACTACGGCGGTCGACAGAAGAATGAAGAATGGCAACCATATGCGGCAGCAATGGCTGCTTCTTATGCCAGGTCCTTGCTCGATGAGATTCCTCCACAAAACAAAGGCAGAGCCTCGGTATTTTCCTCAACCTCCACATCTCTCTCCGAGCTAGCAGCGAATAGGCACAAAGTAGACACTGGTGAGTAAAAGTCAAATGGTTGAAATGAATCTCAAAGGTACTAATCTCAGGACAGGAGAGGCTCAAGAATCCTGCTACTACGTCCCATTGGTGAGGTATACGCATTTAACTGGTCGCGGGAGTACTATACCTGCACTAGGTGAAATAGCCTTCGGCCATGATCAAAGCCAAAGGGTCGCACTCGTTGAGCCTGGGGGGGTTGGTAAACCCACATAGCCTTACCATTGGTTAAAAAGCTAAGGGGTTGAGAGACGAGGACTTACAGTGTTTGTCGTGTAATAGACAGGGCGAATTCCTTGACTCACAATGTTTCCGGTGCTTAAGGCTGAGCCAGTGACGATTGGTGCAGGTAACAACATAGTGCGTTTGCTCCAACAACCCTCTGCAGCCTGACTTCGATAGCGCCAAGTCGTGGCTAGTGCTTGACTTACGATACGCGTCAGACATTCCAGTGACAATTATTATTCGGTCCATGACATATGTGCTATCAGTAGAGTATAGTTCACTAACCAACTACCAATATTCTACATAGCTGAGATCGCCCAATCCGCGGTATCATCTATCTCAATCTCCTCCGGCAAGTCGAGAGTACAGCCTGGGAATAATTGAGATATTCCAAGAGCCCGATCTTGGCAGGTAACTAATAATTTAAAAATTTGCTGCGCATCGTCTTGTTCTCGATGTACCAATTGAACCAGTCTTTCCATGACAAAACTCGTCTGATACTCTAGCGTCTGGGTCTCATACAGTGAGATCTCGTCGATCATGCAGAGAATTGCACTGCCAGGTGGAGTCTGTCCGATCAATTTCCGAAAGATCCTGCAAAGCGTCTTGGGGTCCAGCTCCTCTACTTTACGCCAGGTTTTGCTGGTCATAAATGAGAGGTCAACGATAATGCTGCGATCGCCTAGTTGCTCAATGAGCTGGCCTACTAAGCTTGCCATCATGCCCGCGGCCGAATTCTGGGATACAGACGCATTGGTAGTGGGAAAGGACTGACGAGCAGCACAAAAATAACTGATGACAAAAACAGGACCTAGATCCGAACCCTGTTCTTGAGACTTGTTTGCTAGCTCTGCGACCACGAGGCTCAATGGAGATAGATTGTTCGAAGTCGCAAGGTCTTGCCGTCCATTAACTAATAGACAAGTGGAAAGCCGCGTCTCTTGCATGAAAGACTTGAATTGGTCACTTGTGATCATCGCTGCTGCTCTGGACTTCTCGTGGTTGCTCAAGTGATACCCAAGACGTATGAAAGAAGATATATCTTGGGACAAGGCTTCTTTGTCGTACCGGAGGCATTCGAGCAGTTGTCTTCTTCGGCTTTTAGCTTCGGTTACGTTGTTCATACTGCTATTATGTTGCATGAATGGAGACGATGTCCTTCGTAGTGGTGACTGTTGTTCTGGGGAGTCGCCTAGATCACTAGGGGCTAGGTGGTCTGCGTTAACCCAGTCGTAGCCGGTTACTTTTCCGTGGGATTCTGAGCCGGAAATGCGATGGCTTTCTAAAGATTCAATCAGCAGTATTCTCTAGGCTTTAAGCAAATACTCTGCGGTGAATAGGTTTGGAACTTCGAGCCATTACCTTGTGAATCAGACCGTAATCGAGGGTGCGTGAGTAAGAGCTCGTTCAGCATCTGGAAGATCACATGGGCTTGTTCCTTGTTCTCGTCAAGCTTATCAGAGATCTTGAAGACCATCCGCGCCTGGCATTGTTGTGCTTCATTGTTGACGGCCTGAGCACGTTTTCTGATCTCCTCAAGACTCTCGTTTATCTCTGCTTTATACCCTTCCTGCTTCATCATGCCCTCGAAAACCTTCCCTGGCGATGTGTTAGTAAGCCATACGCAAATTATTAGAAAGTGTAGACATACTGGTCTTGCCGTCAGCAAAGAATTGCATGACGTAACGAAGCAATTGCAGAATAGCCCGGAAGAGCTCAAAGGTTCGTTGCTCAAGATACTGATCTCGCATTTTCCAGTACATGTCGACGTATCGACCTGCACTCTCCATGATGATGGGGATCTCGGACAGGGCTTCGAATATGGATTCCTCGACTTTTCCATATTGCCCAGCGGCCTAAATTTCGTGGTGAATGAGCTGTTGGTCTTTTTCTACGCCCCCAAATCTTGGGGGAAAAGGCAGGTGACTTCAAGACCTACCCCAATTGCCAGTTTGAATACACCACAGATACTAAGCCACCTTTTAGTAACAAAGACAAGTGTTGCTGATATACTGTTGAGATATCGTGAATGCGATTCTTACCTTGATCCATAATCACCAGACGGCAAGAGACCGAGCCAACTCTCCAAAGCAGAAGAGTGTCGACCAAGTTTGTCGATAAATACCATTGTCCTGCCTTGCTTATTTGGTCGTAGCTTCCACCGCTGTGCTGTTTTTTGAACCTGCCCCATCACCTCTCTCCAGCTACATTTTCTCAAGTCGACCATGTCTTCGGAGGACTGCTCTTTGGAAAGCTTCTTCTGAACCTGTTGCATCAGTTCGAAAAGCCGTTCTTTCTCCTCATCCACCTCCTTCCACAAAGCCGTACTGCATAAATATTTGTAAGCAGGGATGAGAACTGGGTTCATGTCGCTCAAGGCCAAATACCTTTCTTGCTGTTGCTTATTGGCCTCGTTCAGAGACACGAAACCGCCCCCTCGTTCACTGAAAACGGGTCGGTGCTCACCAGAAAGAGCGACATGGTTCTCGATGAACACAGCAGCCTCACTGGAAGGGTGTCGATCCCGACTACTCAGAAAGAGGTTCCTCTGCTCTTCCTGCATGGCGCTCAAGAAGAAGAAATAAAGAAAAGTGTGATACGTAAAGCCTATGTGAATAAAACCCAGTCACCTATATGGATCGACGCGGAACTAAGAATGTGGAGATTAAAACCCGCAGAGCCTTTGGTCGGAAATCGTCCATAATAAGCAGAATGGGCGGGGGTCAAGAATAAGCACATGGTCATGTGCAGGGTTACACTGCATGTAATATCTCGCTCAACTCGCCTGTCATTGGAGGTGAAATCCCTAATCACACCCAGCTGAAGCAAGCTACCGTCGATTGACCCCGTTATGAACGAATGCGGCAATCATACCGAGAATTACAGGATGGGGGCCAAAGGCTACAGTTTGCCAAATTAGTACGTAAGCGGATTATGCATGTAATACGCGCCATGAATTTATAATCAATGTCAGGTAGGACTTTTTTGCTTCATTTTCATCTCTTGATTTTCAGCAAGACTACATCTGTCAGACAGCCACGTTGATCTCTACCTCGGCCACCGTTATCATGGATACAAGTACTCGCTTAGAGCCGCCTCGGTCTTTGACTAGCGAGGAGACTTTACTGCAAAGTCCAGTCATGAACAACAATGAATTTGAAGGCTTTAACAACGATGGATCAACAACAGCTGTGGCACCGAATGACGAAATCTGTGCTGAAAGCGCCGACACTGCTCTAGACCCCTTGCAATTTTTGACCGATATTGACAAGCTGGCCTCCCTTGACGAAGTAGAGCATGGAAAGAAGATCCGCAATCTAGCAAGAGTATCTCAATACGAGTCTTTGGGCAAAGATGTATTGACAAGAGAGCGAGAAGCGGGAAACTTGACGATGCGCGCGAGGCAAAGCATTCTACACCATACCTTCACTACCCTTCGGATCGACGATCTTGAGAAAGAGATGCGCGATTTAAGGAACATCATCCAGAACAAAGACGGCGAGACAGAATCGCCAGTATCTAAAGAGGACAAGTTTCCTATCCACAAACATGAGCTTAGGGCGTCGACTATCGATGAGTTTCGCCTCAATCGCGACAGGGTCATGCTGCCTCCGGAAGAACAGCCCGCGCTCGAGATGCAGCTCAATCCTGCGGCGATATCTGCTCCTTTGTCTAAGGAGGTAGGCCGAGAAGAACATGAAGCCCCTCCACGACTGACCCGCGCACCAACAATGGATAGCAAAGGAACTTATTACATGCCCATCGAAAAGCTGAGGATTCGATCCCGCCCTCTCATGACTCATCTTGAAGCTCTCACTGGCCGCTCGATGATATCCGTCGCGGACAGTGATACGTTACTCTACGAGGACGTTTTTAGCGCGATCGTCATTCTGCGACCTTTCAAACTTTTCGTCAGATATGAGACAGCCATCAGGGAAAGTGTGGAAGATGTCGAGTCGCTGATAGAAGCTGATGCAGCACGAAAGGAAAAGAAGGGCGTCGAAGACCGCAAGTCCAACAACTCTTCAGAGGAGAAGTACGAGAACACAGACCTCCTAGAAGATTTGGACCTTCTGGTTCGCTTCCTTGACAACGACCTTCGGCCCATGTTTGACTTCCGGCAGCAGATCAAGGATGGTACCGCGAGTAGGATCGAGTACTCCGACCTCTGGCACCTTTTCGAAAGAGGTGACATTGTCATAGCTCGGGCACACCAGGATCACGCCTACCTCGTCGTCAACTTTTCTGGTGGTCGTGACGTACTCGCAAAGGAATCAACAAAGGAGGAAACCCCAATTACTGTTGGAGGCTTTGTTGTAGACTGCGTGTCCCTTGGAAGTAACGGATCGACATACGTGCCCAAGCTTGAAAAGATCTCCATCAAGAAGTTCCACGGGAGTCAGGCCATTTACAATCTTGCCGTGTACCCTCTCCGCTTTGACCCCAACGCGGCCGAGATACGTGCGAGATTCCTCAGTGAGGGTCGCAAGTTCGTCCGATTGACACAGAGCCCTTTCTGCCACAAAAGGGTCTGTGGCAGGACTCTAGATGAACCATCTCACGATCTTGATGCTCAAGTGATTGTCGACATGTCCCTCGCCATGAACGCCAAGAGTGAGTGGCGCCTCAAGCAAACTCTATCAACCGACGAGTTGACGCCGAGGGATAAAAGAGAAACAGAGGAAAGGTCCTGGTGTAAGCATACGTATAGAGAATCTTGCTGTGGAGGCGATGTCATCTTGAAAGACTTGGAGATAGACGACCTGGAAGCTGAGGAGTTCGCTGGTAGAATGGGAAGAATATTAGGACCGCTGAAAAGTGAGGACCTAACAGAAGACGATCTGATGTTGATGAGACCTAACCTGCATGCTTTTGTTCTACGATCACGGCAGTGGGTCACTGTTAGAACAGCGGATATTCACGATGTTGTTTTCGAGAACAGTTTTAACGACCTCATACTCCCACCCGAACACAAAAGAACGGTTCAAGCACTAGTCAAAACGCACGAGAATGGAAGAAATTCCCAAGACTCCACCAAAGGGGGCTCTAGCATTGGGGTAGCCCTTGATCTTGTAAAAGGGAAGGGAAGTGGTCTCATCATCCTCTTGCACGGCCCACCAGGTGTGGGTAAAACATCAACTGCAGAGTGTGTGGCCGATGATACGAGAAGACCACTGTACCCCATCACCTGCGGTGACATCGGCGAGACAGCAGCTGAGGTCGAGGCAAACCTGCAGTACAATTTCCAACTCGCCCACAAATGGGGCTGCGTGCTCCTTCTCGACGAGGCCGACATCTTTCTCGCGAGACGAACGAGAACCGATCTTCGCCATAACGCTGTGACCAGTGTTTTCCTTCGCAGCCTTGAGTACTACGAGGGTATTCTGTTTCTCACAACAAACCGGGTGGGCGTCATTGACCCTGCGTTCAAATCGAGAGTCCAGATGTTTTTGTTCTACCCGAAACTTAGTCTCGATGTGACCTACAAGCTCTATGAGAAGTTCATACAACGCGCCGAGGATGAGCAGAATAGAACTGGGTCTTACTTCTTCAAGATCAAGAAGAAAGAGATTCTGAAGTTTGCAAAAAGTCATTTCCGTCGTCTTGAGAAGAGAGGATGGGAGACGTGGAATGGAAGGTATGTCTAACACCACTTGCTGAACCATGGAGCAGTACCCTACATTTGCACATCACATTTCAATTGGTTGTGAGAGTTATTGTCTATGTTCACTAACTTCTTAGACAAATCCGCAATGCATTTCAAACAGCTATAGCCCTCGCCGAGCACGAAAGTATGACCATGGATGTGCACGGCACGAAACCATCACTCGGCAAGGAACAGTTCGAGAGGGTGGCAGAAGGGTTCAGAGAGTTCGATGAGTACCTTATCACAGCCACTGGATCCACTGAGGCAGACATAGCCAAGCGAGAGGGGATCCGAAACGATGCTTTCATGACCACGCCTGTAGTACCTATGGCTGCCATTTCGACGCCAGCTTATGGAACCCAGCACAAGCAGAGGGTTCGACCCTCGGCCTATGATTCCAGTAGCGATGATGATAGCGAGTCTGAGTCTGACACTGATAACGATGATGGGTCAAGCAGGCAAAGAGTTGATGGCAGAAAGGTTACCGTCACCTTGACCAACAAACAATCCGACGTGCCATCTGCTGGATTGAGCCAACAGGAACAATACCAACAGTTCCTAGATTGGCAGAAGATGCAGGCACAATAGAAGGCTAGAGACAGTATTATGAGAAATTAAATATCTTTGGTATCACAGTACGCTGCTATCAGACTATGCGATAATGTTGAAAACCACCTCTCACGATTGTTAGTGTTCTTGATCGCCAAAACAATAAATAGCAATATAAGACTGGCCGTTTGTTAAACGTTACAGAGAAGAGTCTTAATTACACAGGAAAGGCAACTGTCTTCTACCTTGAGTAGAAAATAACATGTCGTCATCATTATTATAAGCATGAAATAACATTAAACTAAGTCATATTCCCGTAACGCGTTCCTAAGTTGAAGTAATCCATCAAGATTACAACACACAACCACACCTAGATTCATCTTGTGTTCGGGTAAACCGGCGAGTATCCTGCCATCGTTCCTTGTCTTCCAGCTGCAGGGTCATTATAACCCACAGGGTAAACACCAGTCTCCATATAACCTTTTCCTTCTTCCCCATACGGTGCTGGACTTGCCATGCGCTGCTGCACAGGAGGTACTGCATTATATAAAGTGACTGGCATGCCCTCGATGGCTAGTGACTTCTTTGTTTGTCCTCCAGACTGCAGCGTCACCTCAGGAGCACGTGTGATGTATCCTGGTTTGTTTTTCTTGGGCTCTGAAGTCGTGTTGATCAAGTTTGCCAGGAGGGAGCTGGCCCAGTGCGCATCGGCAAAGATCATGAGACCCAGCCATAGAATGATGGCAAGGAACAAGGCGAGGCAACTCAGGTACAGTTGTAGGTAAGACATGGCCACCATGATCTTATCAACAGTAATCTGCACAAGCGAAGGGTCGATACTGACAGCATATGCTCTTGCAATAAGTAACGACTCGAGGGCATCGGCCTTGTTATTAAACCAGTTAAACACATCGTCGTCAAGTGACGCAGCACTGAGGTTAGACCTGCCATCACCCAGGCCTTGAGCGATCATGACAGCAGCTGTGTCAACTTGTCCAAAGAAACCGACAGTGCCATCACTGTCTTTCGAAGCATCGCAGTCTGTTCGTGTGACCTTGCCACCAAAAGCTTCGTTTTGGAAGTTTGTCCTGTCACACTTCTGGTAGGGTATGGGTGCCTCGGCAATGGTCTCTGATCTGATGAGGGTCATGTTGGTAGTGGTGATGCTGATCAGTGAATACACAGTATTCCCATTAGCCTCGAGTGTGTACATTCCCCAGTTACTTTGCGTGACAGACTTGTTGTCATAGCTGGGGTAATTTCCACCGAAATGGAAGCTCTTATTCCGGGCTTGAGCGCCCATCATGCCATCGACAATTTGACGAATAAGAGGATCAGTTCTCTCAGTTATGTTGGGACTCCAAGTGCGTTCAACGAGATCTGTGACCTCTTTTGTGTCAAAGAGGCTATTACCAGAAGCCAGCATAGTGGCTTTGAAGGTTGACTGGCTGAATGTATGCCGTCTTGTCTTTCTCGTGACGGTGAAGACTTGTTTCATAGCAACCGAGCCACCGCCTGCACCTACAGAAATCCAGATATTATCCACTCGGTTGGGCAGAATATATCTAGTGTCATAGACCTTGTCTGTTGCATCATTCCAGTGAACCTCGGGCTTTCCTGTAACGACTGACACAATGCCAGTTGAAAAGACATTACTAAACGTGCAGTTCCAGGATGCAGTTCCATTGTAAAACTTGATACATGATGGAGGGAAGACTTCATTGCCCACTTTACCATCTAAAGGTAATGCAACATAGCCGTCAGGAGAGACTGAGAGACCATCGCTATCAAGCCAGATGCGCGCACCGACACGGTCGTGTTGTGTTGGCGCAACGACCTTTGGTGGATTGTAGTTGTCTACCTGGCCAGTCAAGGTGTAGTTGATACCAGTATGTAGAAGATCAGCACCTATGATCTGAGGGAGTCTAGAATCTGTGTCTGGGAGTACATCCGGAGCGAGGGATAATTGAACAATGTAGGGGGGGTTGACATTTCGCTGGTCTTCGTAATCGAACACAGTCGCATTCGAGGCCTGAAAGATGTACCCAGGAGAGTCTAGAGCCCACAGGAGTGTACCGTAGAGCGACACGACGATGTTGAGAAGACTGAAGAACAGTACCACGATTGCTGCCCGCGAGAAACCTCGAGACGTGATGAAGAGAGTTCGTTGGATGTAATCTTCGGTGAACATAAGATACGCAGTAAACTGCTTCGAGCGGGCAGCTATCAGTGAGAACAGCTTGAAGATGAAAATGCCCATAAGAATCTCAGCGCATTTGAAGATGATGGATTTGACCGCATTATGATATAAAGGTAGTGTAGAATGAATGAAAGCCGAAGTTGAATCGATCATCTTGGACAAGGCGCAGCAAAGTCGTTAGAAAGGTTAATGGAAAGGGAACCGGAGAAAATGGGCTGCTTCTCCTTCGCATATTATCTCTGGCGCCCTCTTGCCGCTTGCTCCAGAATACAACACACATATTCTTATACAGACTTGTCATTGCTGCCGTGTACGTGAATATGTTAGCGCCGATGGAGCGTTCGAGCCAGACGATGTCTTATCTTATTGGTGAGCGATACAGGAGGTGTCGATCGCTACTATATCGGGCTAGACACGCCTTCCAGCTGCACGTTCTGGGCGTTAAGCAATCGATAGTCGGTGCGCGAGGAGGGGTCAGGGGTCAGGGGTCTCTCGCCGTTTACTCGGTATTAATTCCGTGATGCGATCCAAACTAGCTAGTCGTAACTGCAGTTCTTGATCCTTGGCCAAATAGGGTATGCAGGGAGTTTTATCAGTTGAGACATTGCAGGCCTCGTTTGTTACCTTACCATTCGCTAAATCCACCTCTCGGCACATGTTTATAGTTGAAGTTTTATTTCTTATAGCGGTGACTGTTAGAAACAAGCTACTGCCACTAGCGCCCAAGCTTCCGAGAGTTCCTAAGCCCCTGGATGATGGCGGGAAGGTTTGGAGACAAATGTTTTTCAACTTTTCGCCGATGTTCTAAGACCTATGCATTTAGCGAATGTCTTTCAACGCTAGTATACATCTGAACCATATCCAAGTTACATGCATGTATCAGAGATTTTCGAGATGAATAATTGTAATAGCGACAGGTGCTTTATTTCCTTTATGGTCAAACCTAGACTGATTCTTGGTATTGGTTAGTTTGCTGGAATATTAAGACCTCTCCCATTCTTGGAACCAGGGGATAATCTGATCATCCGCATAATCCCAGTCATCTGGTGGTTTATAATCACCTGGAATGGTCACATTGTAGTTTCCAGGACTCAAGAAGTAAAACCCCGTTGGCCGTTTATCCCGGTCCATCTTGATCATCTCAACAAAGACCCAACGCCTCAATCGTTCGTCCAAGAATCTCCTCCACGAGACACGAGCGATGCCCTTTGAACCATTGCTGTATGTATGACGTAATGTGAATGACTTGATCACCGACTCTGTACCAACAGCGAGAGATCGATGAGTGGAATCTGACTCCCATACCATTGAGAACACGTTTCCTTCGAGAACGTAGTCGGGAGTGAAGTCTCCGCGGGGAAGTTTACCAAGCTTTATGACCAGTGACCTGGAATCTCCGACTCGATGGCATTCTTTCTGTGGTATGAGTTCTCTGGTCATATCCGGCCAAAGCATATCTCGCGTAGTCCAGCCTTGTTTGGTGTACTGCCGAAGTGCTTTTCCAAATGTGTTGTCGAAGGGCTTCAACGGGTAGAATTTGTGGGAGGCGATTGTTGGGAGCGGCAGCAGGCAGTAGGCTTTGTTCCAGGATATTATGTTCAGATCAGCCGTCGTCTGAGCTTTATTGATAACCTCAACAATCGGAGAGGTTGCTGCAGTCTTGATGACTATGCACGGACTTGTAACACCATCGCGCCTGAAGATTTCTGGGCGTTTTGTTCCATTCTGATATCCTTCGCATTCGGTCAAATAATCCGTAACACCTTGCGATTTTGGGCCTTCTTGAGCGTAGATAACGAGTCTGGTATCTTCCCAGCGCCCAAAGTCAAAGAAGTTTCGGACAAAGTCTCCAGAGATAAGGGCATCGTATTTCCCTAACTCATATCGGAATTGTGCTGGGTCTTTAACAAATGATGCCAATTGTTTGTTAACGTCAAGAAGACGTGGTGAATCAGTCAGATAATCGACGAGCCAGCGCAATGATCGACTTGTCGCATGCAACGAATAGATATCCGCAAGGCCAAGATGAAATAAAATGGTGTCTACGATGGTCAAATTGGGATTCTTTGACTTATCGCTTAGTAGCTCGACCAGCTTTGACGTCGGCTCGATCGGAGGAGCCATGATGACGAGTTACCGTTCCAAGATCAGGGTGGCGGGGAAATAATACGCCTATAGCCGACCGTTTCCCCGGATCATCACTGTTCCGACGATAACTCACCCACTAATAATTGAAGATGATATAGCAATACGAAGACTGGAGATAAGGTTTTAAACTGAGATTAAATAATATTACAAATGTGTAAGGAATTTACTATGTGTTGAGTCATAGGATACAAAATAGAAAAGAAGATTATTCAAAGTTTACTATGCCAACTGTGTAGCTGGGATCTTGAACCTTAACCTTTAGCACGTGAATGTACTCCGTACATGCTCCACTTCGAATGATAATGGTTCTACTCATCTGTTAAGAATATCACTGTTCATGGATTAATTAGAATGGGCGACTAAGTAGTAATTTCAGGTTCCATGGCAGAGAAAACTATTGCGACCAGCGCTAAGTTGAGACTATTGAGAGATACATAAGGATAAAGGGAAAAATACAAACCTGCTGACAACCAAATACAAAGCAACTAGGAACAAAATACAAACCAGAAGCAAAGACCAAAGAAATATGCCCAATCAAGAGCATTATGCACTCAAGGCTGTGATGAAGGGTGTCTAGTTCCCCCAACCGATTGCCTAACACGTTCATACGGCGGTATGACCTAGACTCCCACAACGAAACCCCCCGGGCCCATCCCTCCTGATTTCATCATTTCCCGGAGTGCGACGCAAAGAGGGTCGTCTTCCTTCACGACAAGAGGGTCCTCTTCCTTCTCCTTTGAGGCCTGCGCGGCGTCTGCTGCCGCCTGTGAAGCAGGCCCATGAGGAGGGCGCTCTGGTCCAAAGAAGACAGGAGCGGAAGGCTTGTCGTCAGTAGAGCCGGGGTTTCCGTTGTTCGAGTTGATGGAAGGCATGATGAATGTTGATAGAAGGTGAAAAATGTTTTGGTGTGAGTGTTAGTGCTGATGAAAGTGGTGTGTTGTCTGTGCTGTAGGTTAGATGCTGTTAGTTGATTTGGAAAGAAAGAGACTATTACGATGTCTGGATACACTGCCTTTATATTGCGGTTTGAGAGGAATAAGGCGGTTTTCCTGTTCTATGTTCTCCTAGAACATAGACCGAAGATCCGCATAAGTCTGTATAATGGACAAAGATATCTGATGCCCGTGAAGTGTTCGTAATCAGCCTGTTCTCGAGTTTAAATGCTTATCTGGCTTGTACGGGATCTTACTAATGCGGAACTTAAGAACATGATCTTATGTTTCTCTATTTCCATGGTCGGTTTGCTAGTAAGCAACTTGAACATTAATTGCGAGTCGTCTTGGCATTTGTTCCCAGAGAGAGTAGAGACAAAGAAAGAGCAGCACGTCTTATTCTACGATACTCTCTTTAAGAAGTATAACCAAGCTCATCAAGTGGAAGGTAATAAAGTTGACCAAAGAAACCAACACAAGAGGTGTATTACGAGGTGTATTACTAAATATCAAGTACGCGTTATGATCTTCAACCTTAAAATGTGAATGTTCTTATCCGTCGATCGAAATCTAGTTCTAGAAACGGTTACCACAACTTTCTAATTTCGGATCCTCAATCATCAAGCATCTCACCGCCGCTTAAGACTTCCGTCTTTAAATTCCAGAGCATCTGGGTTTAATAGCATCTGTACAAAATGCCTCTGTCTGGAGATAATGTACAGGAAGACACCATTTGCCTTTAATATGCAGTGTACCTATGAGCTACTATTCACAGTTTCACTGGAGTTTATAACGTCACTGAACTATTTTTATCGGATGTTCTCGACAATTGTAGTCGAAGACTGAACATGCAGGACTTGGATGGCAGGATATGCTTTTATGAACACCACAGTCGTGAACCGACATAGAACAAGGTTAGGGTTTATAAGTTGTCCTCAGAAAAATTGTATATCTTTACAACTATCCATATTATGCTCCAAAGAATGAATAGAAACACAAACTGAAAACAAGCCTTTGTTCGATACCGTTTAGCAGCTTGTTACACATTGTTGCAATACTATCGAACATATTCCATGAGCTGACTCAGTAGATCATCTCTTCCAAATTGCTTAGCGACAGAAATGGGAGTACTTCCCCTCTTGCTCTTTGATTCTGGGTCAGCACCTGCTTCCAAGAGAGCCCCGACAACCTGTGCATGGCCGTACTCTACCGCCCACGACAAGGCAGTCCTTCCAGCGCCATCACGTCGTTTTATATCAACCCGATCGTTATTCACAAGCGCCCGGATAATGTCGGCTACATCCATCTGGGTGGCCCATGCCAAAGCCGTCCAATTGTCGATATCTTCGTCGTCGACACCTGGGCAACCTCCGTCGAGAAGGCTTACAAGAGTGTCATGGTGTCCCCCAGCAGCGGCCCACGATATAGCATTGCGTTGATCGTTATCAACAGCTGACTTATCCACCTTCTTATTTTTTAGAAGTAGGCGAACTGCTCCGTCACAGCCATTGCCTGCTGCCCAACAAAAGGGCGACTTTCCTTTCTTGTCTTTCAAATTGACATCAATCTTGGGAAGTCTGAGCAGCCTTGCAAGCGTGTCGACCATACCATCGCCGGCTGCCCATGAGATAGCTGTACGTCCTGCTTTATCCTGATGATTGAGGTCAACAGTTCGAACTCTCGCTAACGTTAAGATAGTTGACTGGTGCCCTACCCCTACCGCCCAAAATAACGGAGTTGCTCCCGAAGTGTCCGTATCGTTTGCAAGCGAAAGATTGCAACGCAGTAACAGATTGACGATCTCATCATGCCCATTGCTACACGCAAACGACAGGGCGTTTCTCCCCTTTCGCCCTGTGAGGCCTGCATCGGTTCGACTGTCCTTTAGAAGCTCGATAACGCATCCAAGGTTGCCGTATTCAGACGCAGCTGTTAACGGTGTCTGCCCATCCGATGTTGTCGCATTGGGATCAGCTTCGATTTTAAGTAAAGAGGCAACGATGCGGTCATGTCCAAGCCTGGAAGCCAAATAAAGACTTCGATTCTTGGTGTCTAGTGACGGGCTGTGACCAAATAGCAGGCCGTTCAAGACAGTGTTCAAGTTGAACTGCGATGCTAGCAAGATGGGGCTTTGCTGGGCGAGATTATCATCATCAATCGAGTGGTCGGTTCGTGTGTAGTAGAAGTGCAACCAATTACGGCCGCTTGCCGTGTCGGTATCTAGAAGTGACTCGGCCGCTGCTCTTAGATCATCCGGAGCCACCTCTTCACACAGGGCATAGTGTTCTGCCCAATGTAGCGAGGCGTAGTTGTAAAAGGCGTAGTCTGAGGTCATGGAGTCACAAATGTCTGGATAAAGGGCGCCAGTTTCACCAAACACGACATCGGCGGCTAGATCTGGACCATCGTCGTCCCAGAAATTGGAACCGAATCTGGTGATGGACGAATCATCTGAAAGGTCCGCAATGTCATGCTCTACCTCGCAAGAGCTGTCTTCTGTCAGAAAGAAGTCGGTTTCAAAATCCTGAAGGAGCAGATATCGGATGCAAGCGGTCGCCAGTTGCAGTGCGGAACTCTGAGCATTGACCATCCGCATGGCCGGGAAACTGTCGTACTTGGCATCACCTTGCTCCAACAGATACTCCTTTAACGACTGGTGAATGAGTGACACATGGCGTCCTGTCACTCTCACTAAGGTGCCAAGGATTCCCTGCACGGTGTGGGTGATTGAACACTGAGCTTCTGACACCATGTCCTCTGTTGTGATGTGCATGTCGTTGACTGTGAAAGCGATGTTGAGCTCATCTAAATGCAGAGGTCTGGAGCATGACAGAAGCAGCTTGATCAAGTTCGATGCGTCATCGTGATAATGGGAAGGAATAGCCGAAAAACACCGTTGATAAACCTCCTTCAGGTCTTTCGGAATACTGGCAATTATCTTTTGGAAATCCTTTTTGGATGTAAGCATGCTTTTCTCTATGGATGCAAAAACCATATGGATCCATAGAAAAGTTGAATCGGCTTTGGATGTTGCTGCTTGTAATAAGAAATCTCTGATCTCAGTCGGGAATTGGCGACTGGCGGTGATCTCATCAACTCGTCTTTGGATGAAAAGACGGAGATCGTCAACGTAGCCAGCATGGCCATCATCGATGGAGATGCGAGATCTGTAGGGTTCTCTGGTAGATGCGTAGGCGTCATGAAGAAAAGGACGGCTCGTTATAAGAAACTTGACCGTGTTTCCACCTTGCGCTAGCGAACCCGACTCAGCGAGCATGTCGAAGATAGACCCTAGAAGCTGTCGACAGGAAGCTTCTTCACACTCATCGAGAGCGTCGATAATGATGTATGGAGAGCCCATTTTCGCATCCCTCAAGAGGTTGAGAAATATACGCCACAGCAAGGCGAGGGACTGGATCATACTAGACCCTTGCCTTTCAAAAACAGGACGAATGTGTCTCATTAATGAAGGATGGCGGTCGATGATCTGGAGGATCAGGCCAATGAGAACAGCCCTTCCATCTGTCTGCCTGTTTTTGTTCTGACACAGGTATACTAGAACGTTGTTTGATTTCGCGGCGGTGTCCTTAAAGTATTCGGCTAAAGAGTAAGACATCGTTGTCTTTCCTGAGCCAGGGTGGCCAGTTAACCAGAGGAGAGCACTGCTGTTTTGGCCAAGCCAACTTCCAAAGATGTGGTGGCTATAAACCCATTGACAGGTGCCCGGGAGTGGCTTTGGGGGAGGCGCTGTGTCTTTTGCGGCATCATGGTCATTTAGAAGAGCCATGCATGTTCTTTCTAAGTCGCTAAAGACTGGGAACCATTAGCCTTCCATAGGACTAGCTCAATAGGAAGATAACTTACCAAGGATAGAGGAGTGAGTGCTCGCACGTTTAAGCACGGGATTGTTGATCAAACATTGAGAAGCAATCCTCTGGAGGGCTTTTGCAACTTTCTTGTAGCTATCTGTCTTGCCCGGAAAACGGCAGATACTCTTGTGGTCTTCATGCATGGGGATTGGTTCCTCATTTGGAATATTCAGTGTTGCTGACGCACGGGTGACAATCTGTCCAGGGCGTCAGTTTGAATTGGGCTTACAAGATCGGAGATTGTGGTCGAAGAGAACCAGCAGTGTCTATACTCACCAAGGACTGGGACGGAGCTGTGGGCTCGTTCTCGTAGCAAGAGACCACGGCGATATTACCTAGCCTGCTTCGTGCTGACATGCTTAGGTCTTCGAGGGTATCGTTGTCGTAAATCAGGGTCTGCAGTAAATCTGTTCTCACAAGCCTTGGTCCCAATCCGGCAGTCACCGTTGTTCGAAAGGTATTAACGATTGTCCCAACGATGTGACCGAGATTTGCAGACTGACTACCTCTGTGTGGAGTGGCTAGGAAGACAACGCCTGCTATTGACTGCAAGACTTCTCCATAGCGGTTATTGTCCTCGTGAGCAGTCACAAGTGCCTAATGGATGTTAGTCTTTCGCTTTTCACCTTGGACCGGTACCTACCTGTTTGAAAACAATTCCACCAAGGCTATGGCATATAAAAATGATGGGACGTTTACCCTAATGAGATTGTCAGATTACTCCAAGTGTGAGATGGAAGCGCTTGTACATGGGTTGAGTTTTCGATGGTATCCCTCAAGGAAACCAATAGGTCCCGTGCAAATTCCTGGACACGTGCCACCGACTGTGAGAAGACCTTGGAAGGATAGCCATAAGTATAGATTCGAGATCCAGGGAGGGAATCTGGGAGGAGGTCCTCAAGCCATAGAGTTCCATCTGGCTTATGGCGCCAGGTCGAGTATGCGTCCCCGTTGAGACCATGCACCGCAACGATGTCGACGGGGTAGTCTTCAACGCCACTCGGATCCGGCTTACTTTCCACGAGTAGGAATAACCCCCGCTTCTTCACTCCGGATTCCCCTGGATCCGCCGAATCTGTTGAAGGCTGGGAGCTTGGCTCAGTCGCGTTTGTACTCGGGCTTCCATCAGCGGCAGTAGTCCCGGTTGGCATATCAGTCCTGCCGCGAATGCGGGACTTTATTCGGTCGCTTATCTTCATAGTGGGAGAAATTCGTTGACAATGTTGGAATGTTGGAATGAACCGGCAAATCGTGCAACTTTAAAGAGCAGGTGTTGGGCACTTGTGCGGTGTGAACCTGATCTGAGTGCCCCTTAACGGATAGCTACTGTTCTCGTTCTGCCGCCACGTCAGCTAAAGATATATTAATTTCGTATAGGAATCTGTCAGTAGCCATAAGTGTTTGTCGATATTCAACCACTTATGCGCGCGCGCAATGTCTTTTGAGTAACACTTGTGGACACACTACGGGAAGGGGTCGCGTATGATTGGCAGTACGGAGTACAACATCTAAGCTAGTAACGTCCAGTTTCATATTTTGTTTGTTTGCCTAGGATGTACCTGTTAGCACAGAATTATTTTTGGGCGCTTATGAAACCTGTCATTAGTAGATGAGTCCTGGTTGGGCTTTATGCTACAACTTGTCAATCAAGTGTTTTAATTTTACTTCCGGGTTGGCAACGAATTACATGTTATCTTTTAGCTCCAACACCCTTGTTTTCGGGGTACCAAAGAGGTACCACCTATTCATAATCTAGATTGTTATTGCGTGTATTCACTATACTTACAGACGTCAAGAAACATAAACAGTAATTGTCCACTATATTGCCCCGACTCAAGTCACTCTTCGCACTATTTGAGCAATCTGATTTTGCTGACTCATCCTCACCAAGTCCTACATACCGTCATCTCACCTGAGGGGAACGAGGGATTTATCTCAGGCTTCCAACCAACACCGCAAATATGACGATTTGCTCAATTTGTCTGCCAACTCTGAGGATACCCTCTCAGCTTCCAGTCTTCCCCGAATCTTGGAAGCAGAGAGCTGGTATTCTGGAATGTAGCTCTACACCTTACTTTTTACCCGGCAAAGATGCGACACCTATCGACCAAATTGGACTGCTCCATCATGCGGATCTCGATTCTCTATCAGCTTCTGCAGAGAAATGTCCATTATGCAAGATCATATCGCAAAAGGTGAAGAGCTTCATCAAAGATTTTGAAGACATGCAGGAGGACCCACAGTCGACATACTTCGTTATTGAACGCCAGGGTCATGGCTTACCAGACAAATGGACTTTCAGGCTAGTTCAACGTCTCGATGCTGCTGATGGTTTTTCGGTTTTGGTTAACAGCAAAAACGAAGGAAGAATCTATGTGATTGATGTTTTCGGATTTTGTGTCGAACCTGAAGAGTCATTATACTCCATCCCAAACGAAGATACCGACAATACCAAGGCGTTATCTTCTAGACGTGTTCGTGGCGCCAAAGTCGGACCTGACGCAGCTTCCAAGAATACCTTCAGTGTAGTAAGCGGCTGGATCAAGCATTGTGTTGACGAGCATGAGCGCTGCCGCCCTCCTCAAACTCCTCTTCCCTCACGAATTCTCGATCTGGGCGCTTTCAGTGACCCCAACAATATCCGTCTCTTCGAAACACATGGAGTAGCAAATTACGAGCCTTACGTGACACTGAGTTATTGTTGGGGTTCTGATTCCTCAGTTCATGTAAGAACTACGCACTCCACAATATCAGGTCATTTGGAGAGAATTTCCGTGGAAAACCTACCTCAGACTTACCAAGATGCCATCAGAATCACCCGCCATCTTGGTGTACGATTTCTCTGGATCGATTCCCTTTGCATCTGTCAAGATGACCTTGATGATTGGACCAGAGAGTCAGCTGCTATGCAACAAGTTTACGCAGGAGCCTACTTGTCTATTGCTGCAGATAATGCGCCAAGCTCATCGCACGGGTTCCTGAAGAGATCGGATCGGATGCATGTACCTGTCGTCTTGAAGGTAGTAACTGGCAGCAGCGATTTGGATGACACTACACCAGAGGCTTCAGTGGTGGATATTCCAGGGTACGTTTTCGAGGCTCCGCCCTCAAAGACGTTTTACAATCGCTGCTGGCTAGAGCTCGACGAGGAACCTCTTACCTCACGAGCCTGGGCCATGCAGGAGCGACTTCTCCCTCAGCGAGTTTTACATTTTACTAGTCAACAGCTTCGCTTTGAATGCAACTGTCACACGTTGTCTGAAGACGGTGCTGAGGTTTTAGGTCGTTGGAATTCACTGCGTCGAGGAGGAGAAAAGAATTTCAAGAACATAGCTCGCAAATCTAGGATCAGCTACAATCATCAGATGTGGTACTTGATCTTGGAAGACTATACCAATCGGCTCTTGACAGCCAATACGGATCGACTACCAGCCATCTCGGGTTTGGCGGCGTTGTTCCAGGAAAAGATGAACACTGAAGAGTCTGAAAATGTAGCAGATAAACCTGAAGATGTCCAATACGCTGCAGGGCTCTGGAGCAACGCGTTGATAGAAGGGCTGGAATGGACTGGCTTTCGTTCACGAGCGAAACACACCATCATGCCAGACGAGTTCCCGCTACCGGGCGAGAAAGGTTATATCGCACCGACCTGGAGCCCAGCATCTTTCGAAGGCGGGTCGGCTCATGGAAACACTTCGAGTGGCTGGGCTGATATAGCTGTTCCTACCGGCTTCAACGTGACTCTCAAGAACACACAGAACCCGTTCGGTGAAGTCGTCAACGGCTGGATTAGCCTCCGTGCTCCAATGATCGAGATGGAACTCAGCGAGCTACCAGAGCCGGACGAGGACAAGCTCAGCGGTTTCCGTCGCAACATGAGACTTTGCACACCTCGAGGTGATCGCTTTGGAGCATACTCGTCATTTGATGGCCTTAGTGGACAAACAGACGAGACTCGGTCTTGGCTGAAGAGGAAAGAAGTCTTTGCGCTGGTCCTCTCCGAGGGAAAGGATCTTTGGTACACTACCGATGACAACGTATCCTACCATGCCTTATTGGTTATGCCCATCGAGGAGGAGAAGCGGGTTGAGGCTGGGCGGGAGGAGTTTAGAAGAGTTGGGACTATTCGGTTTGATTCGGAATGTCTGGGTGATGGTGAGGAGATGTTGCGAGATTCAGGTGGCTTCGTGGAAGTAGTTTTGGTTTGATCGTACTTCTAGCTGCCCGTATCATGATTAGATGTAAATTCGACTATGTTTTAATATCTGAGATAATTTTTATAATAGGAAGTTAAATTTTCGTAGGCGACTTGTTGGGGGGGTCGAGGGGTCTGGGAGTTTCTTCTCGTCCTTTTGCCTAGCTTCCAGTTGCTCACCGATTGGGTGACCTAACCAAAATCAGACATGGAAACTCTAACATGAGCACTCAAGCCACCTGCCCTTGGGAATATTTGAGCGGACCGTTGGCGGCCCCGTCCCGGGCTGATCTTCATGTCCTAAGTCCGCTATCTCCGGATGAAGGCATGATGCATCGTGACAACTAGATATAAATAAAGATCCTCAAGGAGTTTGAATAATGATATTCAGGCACAACTATTCAACGGTTATAACAAACCTAGTCAGACTCTACTATGACGACCATTCAGAAAGTTACCTTCCCTAGCCGGGGACTTCAAATAGCCGCCAGCCTCTTTCTCCCTCCTATGGATGTACAGCTCGCTCCCTGATCGAAAACACGCAGCCGTCATTGTGGGACACCAAGAAACTGGCATCAAAGAGCAAGCTTCTGGTCTCTACGCAGAGACGCTGGCCACCGCGGGTTATGTCGCCCTCGCGTTCGACGCAGCACATTGGGGTGAAAGCGAGGGCATGCCGCAAGGTTTGGAAGATCCTTCCCAACGCGTGGAAGACTTCAAATGTGCGGTTACCTTTCTGAGCCAGCTCGGAGACGCTGTTATCGATCCATCCCGAATTGGTGTGGTTGGGATATGCGCGTCTGGTGGCTATAGCTTTTTCGCTGCCGCGACAGACATCCGCATCAAGGCCATCGCTGGTATTTCGCCAATGTGTAACGGCACATTTGCGCATGCAGGACTGAAGGATCCCGACACCGGGCTTATCAATTGGGAGACTCTAAATCGGCAACTTGCTTACGCCGCAAATTGTCGGCTGGAAGAAGCGAAAGGCAACCCTGCGCCTGTTCACAATGCTCTAGATGGCCTAGCCAGCGTCTTTTCGAACCCTAAAGAGGATATCAAAGGTTACTACAGCTCTCCTCTCTGGACTCATCCCAGGTGCACCAATGAGATGGCGATAAGGAGTTTGGAGCTTCTTGTGCCTTTTGATGCATTCCAACATGTCGAGTGGATCTCACCGAGGCCGGTCCTGTTCATCGCTGGAAGTGAGGCCGTAACGCTCCCCTTTGTTAAAGAAGCCTACCAGCGAGCTGTCGAACCAAAAGAGCTTGTGATCATGCCAGGCAAATATCATGTCGACCTTCACCAAGATGTTAGTGAGACCGGCCCCAAGTTAGTTAGCTTCTTTGCGGAGTCTCTGTGCAAATAGCATGCTAGTTCATTGGGTGCTTTTACTAGCTTGACCCAATACTCCAGTTCCTGAATCATGGCTGCTTCAGGAATAACAGTTAGACAATACCCAACGGAACTTGGCGTGAGACATTCGGGGACAAGCCTCAGTGATATTTGTTTGTGGTACGAGCAGTACACCATATGATCGAGCTTCTCATCGATACTAATACATACGACCAAAGGTAGTGGAAAATACGGGATCCCGTCCGCTCTCCCATAGTCAAGCCACTAACCGGCGGATTAGTAGTTGGGTCGGTGACGACCAGCGAATCCCCGCTGTTGTATGTTTTTACCTTTTTACTTCAATTCTCATCACCAAATCCTAAGACCTCCAATCCTATTTGTTTTGATAGGCGACTTGACTTTTGGTAATTGAATTTGTATAGGCTATATCTATTATATAAGAGTAATCCACTCAATCCTCCGGCCCTGTTGAAGTGCCTCTCCATCCATGATTCCGTGAACAAACGCTTGTCCAATGTAAGTATAAGCCCCATGTTCATGAACCGGCCGCAGGACAAATGGCATGTTCCCTCCTAATAAAACACATACAGCATCCCCAGCCCGTACATCCAACCTCGTGTGACCGACCAGACCTGTCCTAGTAGTAAAGGTCTGATACTGGATCACAGCAAACTGAGATTGTAGTTTTGGCTCCCACACCTCGTCAATCATAGTCTCGAACCCGTCTCTGGTTCGAAGTCTGCTATAATCCCGGGGTTGATCGGACAAGACTACCCATAAATCGCGCGCCATCGTGCACCATCCGACTTCTTCAATTGTCCCCAGTTGACACCCACGAGGGTCTCGCCGTTGCCATTCAGAAACCTTCTCGCCCTTGTTATCCCTATTATACATAGGACCTTCAACTTGTATAATCTCATCCAAGACTATACCCTGCAGGTCGAGCCGCGAGTCGATGGCTGAAAGCCTGGTTCTCGGTTGGCTCGTTCCCCCAGCATGGTACCAGTTGTACATGTGAAGCCATCCATATTCCTGGTCAAGATTCTCATATGTCCCTGAAGGGAACTTCCTCCCATAGTCAGGGCACCATGTGGGCAATGCAAGTGATCGATCATACTCCTGAATCCTAATAAGAACTCCAAGATCCTTCGACTCCTCAATCATTGAGCGCACAAAATACTTGAACGCTACCTCGGCCGAAACAGTGTAGTCAGCAAACATATTGGCGCCCAAGCCCAGATAGGCGTACACATAGTCCCTCGGATCCGTCGCGTGGCGAAATCTGAACATCTCCAACGCCATCCTGACTAGTATATTCTTATCAGGTTCCTCTTGCAACATCCGGAAACCCTCCATGCAGTCCCAAAACTTGTAAAGAACATCATGACACTGAGAATCTGCCACGCAACACCCATCTCGGTCGTGGGTCAGGGAGGTAAGGTGTGCCAGAGCGACTTCTGATAACGGGAGGTGTATGGTTCCGCAGTATAAAACCGCTTCTTGCGGCAGTACTGCTTCTTGTACTGTCCAGGCACGTTGCCACCAAGAGAGGTTGAGCAGAACAGACAATGCATCGAACTTCATCTTTACCGCAGCCTGCTTTGACGGTTCCCTGCTAGCCCAATGATGGCTAGCGGCCATTGACTGTAGTAAAGAAAACGCTTCTTCAGCAGTTTTGTGGTAGATGTAATTCCCATCGCTAGGAGATATCGCAAGCCCTATCCCTGATTCTGCATCAGAAAAGTCACCAAGCCATAAGATTGCTTGACTCGTTAACGAATAAATATCCCTCATCAAGTCGACTTGATGTGACCTTTCAACGTCATCGGACTGATTGATACACAGCGCGTCAGCCCAAATATGCCGCGTTGTCTCAGCCAGGCGCAATCTTCGAAGGACATTGTACAGATTGGTAGTGATGTATGTTTCTTCTCCATCTACCTCAATAGGATGGCGGACATTTTGATTGCCCCAGGAATACGAAAGAGCCTCGTAGCCTGGCTTATCACTTAGAGATACGGCATGTAACTCGCAGCGGACAGGATCGTCATACTCGCCAGGTAAGAGGTAAAGAATGCGAATCTCACGCTGACTGCGATTGAGAGGTTGATACATAGAAGCGGAGGATGTTGTGTTGTCAGCTGGGTAGTGCAACTACTATGTGTGCTTGGGATATCACAGTATACGTAGATATGTGGTAGAGATGTCTGGAAAGCGCGAATTATGGGATAATGGTGGGGTTCAAGCCTGTCAATCTTGCATTGGCGTAAGCACATGTTCAGATCTTGGTTAGCGTGTTAACGTGACTTGATAAAACCCCAGTCAAAGCCAGTTGACGTGTTAATCTCATAGATAGTTGCTGGCAAAAGCCATGGTGTATTGGTAGGAATTTTCAGTTGTTTGTAATCTGCCTCCATTTCAGTGTCATCATATAAAGATATACAAATAGGCAGCCGTGGATGAAAATACTTTAATTCACTTTCAACTTTAGACCTTGACCAGACTATAGTCTAGAACAACTAAGAATCCCCCAATAGCATGTCCTTGTTTCTTAACTGCTTTGTTTGCACACAGTGGATGTACCTCCGTGCTGAGCTTCCCTGGAATAGACATTGCAACCAACCTTAGTGGGTCCTCTGGTGTACATTTGAGGATGTAACGATCATCCTCTTTCGCCTTTGGAGTGGCGTTCATATTTGCCGTCTCTGCCCAGAGGGTTCTATCGGGAACTATCTTTGTGCCTCCACCGGAATCCGTGGACTTTGCACTCGCAGCAGGACACCTTGTTAATCTTACAGTCAAGTTTTTCAACGAGTGATGGGATGAATAAATATTGTAACATTTGTTAACGAGATCCATCATGTTTCCTAGTGATATTTACACTACCAGCCAGGTTCAGCTGCAAGGCTCCACCAGCACATGTATTACAAAGTAAAATATTCATTCTCCACACTCTCAGTGATGCTTGTCTCCAGTGCCTTCCACCCATCTTGACCACCCCACTTGCGCAGAAGGTCTACAGACTCAAACTGATCAGTATACATGGTGAGATACTGCGGCTTGGGCCAATCCTCTATAAACTCCCTCTGAGGTCGAAGCCTGCGAATTGTAGTAAGGAAGTCGTTCCAGTGGGTTCGATGGCCCCAGACATGAAGTCGCGCGTTGTTCACCGCCGGGTCCAAGATGGCGGCTACATGCAGGGTCGCAACGTCTCCAACATCCGTGAAGAAGCCTGCAGTCTTTAAGTAAATAACTTGGGCAAGGGAGACTTGAGACTAAGGACTTACTAGCAGGAAACGCGTCCAGCTGTTCCTTTCCTCCTTTGAAGATGGTAGCAACCCAATTGGCAGGTGTATTGACGTGTTTCTTGTGAAGCGGCTCGCCCACAACACCGAAGGGGCAAATCACGTTGATGTTAAACTTGGGTTTGTTCTCCTCTGCCCATCTCCAGACTTCCTTCTCGGCTGCCACTTTGCCTGCAGCATACGCGTTCATGCTATTTGATGCGTCGTACGGCGGTGGTGCCGAAGCAAGTTCCATGACATAGTCATTCCAAGTGTCACGGCCCACGCGGATAGTTTCATCAGACAGAACAGGTAGTTTAACAGCCATGATAGAACTTGTAAAGACGACTTCTTTAACAGAGGGCTCTTTAGCAGCTGCTGACATGATGGCTTGGATTCCAGCGATTGAAGGAGGGATGATCTTGTTCGGGTCTGGATCAAAACTGGTAATAGCTGCGATGTGAGCAACTGCTGACATACCCTTGACGGCTTCATCGAATGCGCCGGGGATGGAGAGGTCAGGTACAACTGCCAGTTCGAAACTGTTACTTTCGGCATAAGACTTGAAGTGCTCATCAATGAGCCAAGAGGCTTGGGCTACGTCCCGTACGGTGCCTCGGACTTTATAGCCGCGATGGAGGAACTGTCTGACAACGTGGGAGGCTATGAAGCCTGTGGCGCCGGTAACGAGGACCCATGAGCCGATGGGGATAGATGAGTATGGGGTTGACATAATAAGATATTTCTATGGTAGTGTAAAGTCTAAGTGTTGTTGGAGTGTGATGCAGAATGAAACTTGGGGAGCGTGTTGTACTCCTTTATACCCGAAAGGCTCAGTTTATTATTTATAATCATACACAGGAAAGTACCTTTTGTAACCTCCATTCTATCACTCCATGTAAAAAGAAGGAAGCAGAAATAACTAACTAAACATCTGTACTTCCGGATCAGGAAGTCGAAATGCTTGGCATGGTGGGCCATGAGAAAGGAAAGCGGCTCATTTGTCATCAGTCGTAATTGGCACCAGCCTTCTCATACAGTCCTTATTTTGCAGGCAACATGTTCAATTACGTCCTCTATCTTACTAATACCACCCAGTTGATCTCCAATGGCTTAACCCTTATAACCCGATTGTCCTAGTTACAAACCTGGTATATAGCTTCTCCAACAGCCCTGTGATACCGAGGCTCTGCAGGCCGCCAGCAACTTCAACCATGGCACAAGTTCCTTGCAGATGTTTCTTTGCTATTTCTGTACGACCAACCGCTTCCTTAAAGGAGCCATATCAGTCAAATGCCATCTCATGGAATATCGTGGAGTGACTACCTCATCAAACGCCAATGCAAGGGCTTGAGCAACATTTGCAAGGCTAAATATCTGTTCCGAGCTAGAGACTGCTTTCCGTAGTGTGCAGAGGCCCTTTTGCTTGTATTCCAGGGTCATTCGCTTCAGCATCGGGTTATTCGGGCATACGCGTAGCAGTTCCTGGCTTGCAGATAGGAAAATGGCAGACTCGAGAAGGTTCTCATCGACCATGGCGAGACCAACCCAGTCTTTCAGGATTTGGTCTTCCAGAAGATTGCAATAGAGGACCTTGTACGGCACGTTGACGCTGACGTCTGCAACAACGTTAGATAGAAGGTTTACGCCTTTTTAACATTCCACCAGATCAAGAAAACTGTGATCAGCGAAGTAGAGTTACACGGTACGTACAGTAGTTCAACAGGAAGTATTCCTGAGAGGTCAACGGTCTGATCAAAGCTGAGAAGGGATCCTTGCAGTAGCCAAGCATCCTGCTTTGAAATACATTATCCGGCTGCTCAATGTCCCAGTCGGAACTTTGCCGGAATTGCATCTTGTCTTGGTAGGCCTTGGTACGCGAACGTCTCTCCTTTGCATGTCTTTGGCGGAGAACATGTGAATGCGCCAGTTTTTTCGACTGTGGTGAGATGCGTTCCGTAGGATCCGGGACAGTGATAAATTGGAATCGATATGTCATTATGAACTTCTGCGTCTTCTGTCTTTAAACCAAGTCTCTTGTTTATCTCTCAGTAGTTTCGAGTTAAACAAGTTGTAATAATACATAACCAACGCTTCCCTGGATTTATCAGGTGGTTGCATTTGTGCTGTGTCAGCGTAATGCCAAGACCTTGAAATGCCTATTTGGGACAATGTCGGCTGGAGGTAACGGAGATTTCGGCCTAAGTGCCGTGCTTATCATGACTCCTTACTCTCAGCTAACCTTGGCTATGTGTCATAGGCGATCAGGTTCAAATTCAATGAGGTGATTGCCTACTTTGCTCTACTTGACCTCACGATTTGGGCTTTCAGGATGCTATTTTAGTCTTTAAGAAATCGGCTTCCTGGCATTAGTACAAATATTTGACGACCTCCGTCAGAATCAATCGGCCAATTACACTTCACTTCGCAACATCCTTGATTAGATTATTACCCCGGGACTCTTAGCAGGCGGTCAGATATCATCTGTTACCTTTTCTTATATATTAAGAGAGCCTTGTTCATCCTACCCAATCCTATTACCAACCGTTGCTAAAACCTCAAATTTAATCCAACTATAACGACCATTCCGATCTCGTAGTATCCTGTGTCATTTCCTTGACTAAATATTGGTGCATACTAACACCATCCTCACAACTATTCCACGCTTTTCTTACGCGAGACAGCACTCTCGCTCGCAATTCATTTATATGATCTTCAGCTGTACAGGGACACCCCTTTCCAGAATGGAAGCAGCTAAATGCATTGACCAACCCATCCAAACTGAACCCTGAGAATGGAGGGTTGGGAAGGGGCTTTAGGCCCTGCAGAAATAGATTCTGGTCGATATATCCCAGTAGCATCCATTGACACTGGAGAAGATTGTTATGTCGGTCGACATTCAAATCATCCCAGATACTCTGTAGGTCCTGCAGAAGTTGCGAGATGGCTTTCTTTCTTTTCTCCTCCACGGCGTCTAATATTAGGTCAGGCTCAAAATGTCGCTCATAAAGCTTTCTGCAACTCACCAACAATCTGTTGTGGTATTGGTAGACAAAGTGTATGAATAGGCCCCCGACTGCTACGGATGGCATATTTGGTAAGTGTGCTGAACGATTTCTTGTCAGGGAACACCATGGCCACAGTGAGCCTCAATAGTAGGCCTCTAGAATACTGGTCGGACGCGACCGAGCCCAGTTCAGCCATCCAAATCTCGGCCCATAGCTCAACTGCCTCGAGGCACCCGTAGTAGTCAACCAGCACGGCAATCTTCGTCAACATTTCAAGACTTATTTTTCTGGGAATAAGTCTTGTTCGGTGATGCAGTATGTTCATCAGTAAAGTGACAGCTTCATCATCCCAGTCTGTTGCTCTGATGGTCCACTGGTAACCCTCCTCAGACTCTGCCTCCTGCCACTTGCTGGACATCAATCGTGCAAAGTATGAACATGTCCGTTTCAGTATATGGGAACACAATTTGTATCGGGTGTGCTTCAGCCCTTGCTTATCTTCCTCGGGAGATGATATGCCACCTAAAACACCATCCCCACCGTCTGTAGGCTCTCTGGATAGAATGGATAGTTCTTGCTCTTTGGACTTTGCGGATTGATGTCGTGGTAAAGCATTGGGCCAAAGCTCGTCTATGTCACATACTGCGAATGGTGCGTCGGAATGCCGGAGAATGAGAAGAGTATCTCCACCAGGATCGATTTCATGCATCACTGAGTCAGACATGTTGATTTGAAAGAAAACGAAGGATTTCCGGACGTTCCTGGGGTTTTGTGGTTTTGTGGTTAAAATGTAAAGAAGAGAGGCTTAGTTGAGTTGAAGCTATGTGGCCGGTTGCCCCTCTTTGAATAACGAATCAATTGCGTGCGAGATGATTCCCAACAGGCCATCCTGACTGGTCCAAACGGTAGAGGGGTAGCCTTACTATACGGCGACAGTGAGGAGACAGACCCATCATTGAATATATTTAACTCAAGAGGTTGATTCCTAGTATGAGCTCCGAATCATTTACTATTGAGAGAATTAAAGGTCTATATTCTTATTTTCACCACATATCAAGCTACGTACATCTGAGTATAAGGTTTATTACTAGGAAGGGGGTTTAATACTAGAATAATTTCACTCCAACAATCCTCCTATAGCCTAGCTATTTATATACCGAGCAGAACAATACTTCTCAGGTCGAAGATACCCCGTTAGTCTTGCTTCGCTTCTTATCACCACCATCGAACCAACCAACATCAGTCTGAAGAAAAAAGCTCTCGGCCTTTGCATCATCTGGCTCACGCTTCTTGGTAGAGACGACCTTTGCAGCACGCTTGATCGGCTCGCGCTTCTCCTTCGAGGAACGCTTCTTGTCACCACCATCAAACCAGCCGACATCGGTCTGGATGAAGAAAGATTCCGCCTTTGCATCATCAGGTGCACGCTTCTCAGTCGGTTCGATCTTCTCGGCGCGCTTGGCCGGAGCTGGCTTATCGGCTGAAGCACGCTTCTTGTCGCCGCCGTCGAACCAGCCCACATCGGTTTGGATGAAAAAGCTTTCGGCTTCAGCTTTCTTGTTGAGCTGGTTGTCTTTGGATGTCGGGGCTGCAAGTGCCAGGAGAGGGGCGCTGACTGCCAGAATGCTTGAGAACTTCATACTGAAGGGTTTAATGGCTGATATAGTTGGTATGAGAAGTTATGAACAGTGATAGATGTAAAATGAGGATGTTGGTCTCTGTGAGCTCTGCTGATTATCCAAATATTGTGTCTATCTAGTCTTTTATCTTCATCTTTCAGCAATCTTCTCGGCGGAATGTCCACCGAGCTTCAAAATCTAATATCGCTGCTCACTGAATAACAACCACGACGATGTCATCATGTGCGGGGAAATTAGAATGTCAGTCTCAAGTTATTCGTGGGATTCCAGATCTTGAATGGCAGGACGGATAAGTGAAGCCGAAGCAACGATCGCCGCATACACTCAGACGCAATTCCTGACACAGATGAGATCTTCGAAATGATACCGAGATGTTTAGTGTGTGAGATTACTACATACTACATTTAGGCGGCTCCTTCGAAGGATTTACTAGTCCTTTTGGTGTGTAGTCTGCTTTCTGAGTGGTGGAGAAACACAATTGCTTATATGCAAGCTTGGCGCAGCCTGAATCCTACAAAGAGGGGATGAGTTCCAAAAGGGCAATTGTTATTATTTCATCGCAACGTTTCATGTCATTCGGAGTAATATGCAACGAGAGATCAACTCACTCGGTAGAGGTTTGACCGAAGGAAGGATTCAAAGGAGTACATATGCTAGTACGGGAAAATACTAACATTCTTCCCTTCCCTACGTTGAAAATATCTATTGGTTTTGTTCCAGTTAGACCCGAGGAGCTCCTTATAGAAAATGTCACATAGCTTATCTGAAGATCGAGAGAGTCATGAGCGGCTGCTGGACAAAGAATATCACCAGGATGATGAAGGCAAAGGTTGGAGAGAAGATGGCCTGTCTCCGTTGAGATACAAGAAGTCAAACTTCAAGGCAGCCATCGGAATTACCTCACTTGCCTTCAATGTTTTCCTCGCCCTTCTTTGTATCTGGTTGTGGCTTAGATCCCGATCACCATTGCCTCCCTGGCCAAACACTCTATACTGTAAGTTCTGCCATGCCAGGCGCTCATCTTGTACTGACAACGTCCCTGCAGCTCCGGCGCAAGATGCAGTGGAATATGAGATTGTTACCTTCAATTCCGATTTCCCTGAAGACCAGTAAGTGCAATGATACCATTTGCAACAGGTTGCTGACCAGGTTCACAGTTCAGGAAAGACAGCTTACTATGGTGCCTCTCCCAGTGCAGAAGCAGCATGGAAAAAGCTCATGGACCCATACCTAGTCCAAATCTCGTCAGCGGAAGCAGCCAGGATATCACGTCCAACATCCCAAATTTCCGAGAACCCAGACTACTACATTACCAGTCTTGACGTATACCACCAACTACACTGCCTCAATGACATTAGAAAGATGGTGAGAGACTACAACACTACAGATGGGAATTTGGGAAGACTGCAGACAATGCACAAGTTTCACTGCATCGACTCCATCCGCCAGAGTCTCATGTGCAACGCTGATTTAAGTCTGATCCATTGGTATTGGGCTCCTCAGGTTGGGAAGAATTTTCCCAATGCGACGACTACTCATATATGTAGGAAGTGGTCAATAATTGAGGAGTGGGCTTTGGGGCATAAGCTTGATCAGGACGATTATGATCCTCGGACACATTTTGAGTAGAAACGTCAAAAAAGCCTAATAATGACATTCGGCTTTTGCTTATTGTTGAAATAGAATGGCCCTTAAAATCATTACTACTGGTGACAGACGTTCTTCCTTGTGTACAGGCGGATGGGCCATGAAGTCTTGAATGCTGCTAAAGACGGAGATACGTTTAACAGACATTGAGCTCGGATGATACAGGGGCGTCAACATATGGCGAAATTCTGAACGAACAAGCATAATAGATAATCCGGTCGCGTGGCCCAATGGCAAGGCGTCTGACTACGAATCAGAAGATTCTGGGTTCGATCCCCAGCGTGATCATTCTTTTTGCAACTTGATTAAAAGATGTCTCTACAAACAAGACTCTTGCGTGGGATAGTCTGCTATTTTTATGGTGGTGCATGAATAAGTGGAACATGTTCATCGGTTGTGTTGTTAAGACAACCACTCTTAAATGCATGACGCCATGGCAGTCAGGGTAATGAAGTCCAAAAAGAAGATTGAGATGATTGAATCATCCTAGAGCGACCACGCCAGGAGTCGAACCTGGAATCTCTAGAGAATTGGAAAGGAGACCGAAATCTAGCGCCTTAGCCATTAGGCCACGCGGCCATTGCATTTCATTGGTTGGAAAGTGATGACTCACAGTCTATGGACATCGCACAGCTCCAAGGCAAAAACAAGGGACACTCGTCTACAGTTCATTGAGGATAAATATGTAAAGATTCTAATTCTACACACTACTTATACTAATCTCTTCTTGTGCTATTACTTGTAGAGGAGAAATATGACTTGCTCCTGTTCAAATGGGTGTTTGAGAATTTCAGATGTGTTATTATTATACAATCTATCTCTTTCATGAAATAACTTTCCGAACGTTAGACAACACAATCGAGTGATGCAGTGAGGCAATAAGTAATTTCACTGAATTCAATTCAATTCATATTATATGTAGGAAAATCTAGAGAAACTAAGCTCTATGCAAGGAGGTGAGCTTGAAGAAGTATTACTTGTCCCCCAAGACTACCCTATAGCTTGAAAAATCTCCCTTCGAGGTAAAACGCACTAGCATTTACTGATGATGCTGCCACAGACCGTGTCATCTACACCCGAAATTTATTATCTACGTATGAGGAAAACAAAGCCCCGCCTCAGAGGATTTATTCCCCCACAGAGACCCCAAAGCCCCCATACTGTTTATATCTGCAAGGGAGGTTTTCCAGGGTGGAAGCAAGCGCCGGCATGTTTATCTGTCACAACCCAACAACCCGGTTGTGACCTGAGCACTCTGCGATAGCAGCAAAATCTTATCTAATGAATTGTTTAGATAACTACCCGTTAATAACTCATATTTTAAATGAATGACTTGTGCATGATGTCATGTCGGTGTTTGTGCCACGAGTCACAATGGTATCATCATGATACGATAAGATGAATGTCTCTGTCACTCTGATCAGCCACCGACTAATACCAGCGCCGATCATATCTACCACTGACTCACGAATCTGATATACTGTACTATAGAGTCCCTTGCTAGTGGCGACAGCCCGGGAAAGGTTTCACAAGGCTTTGGGATATACTACCGGGGTCGACTTCAGGTTACCAGGATTAAAATGCTCGCTATGACATTAGGATAGGAGAATGAGACAATCAGAGTGAGACATGCAGTTAAGAGTGGAGAATTAGAGAAGGTGAGAATTAGTTATGTAAGGTTAGGGGTAGAGGTGGTTGAATAGAAATCTGTATCTCTATTGACCCAGGTAACAATTTACGCTTTTGCATCTTCCTTTCCAGATATTGAACGTGAAAGCGGTGGGACTCCGTAATCTTTTCCCATTGCGAATACCCAGCTTTTGATAATGTCCTGTTATACTTTGATACCAAGCCCTATCGTATAGACTCATTATCTCAACACGGAACATATCGGAAGTTGCACTAGTCATATAATGTGTATAGAGTGATAAGTCAATAAAGCTAGCGACAGATAGAAATGGTTAGATATACCGATCTGCGTAGTAATGGGATATTACTGCAAAGAAAATCGGGTATCGTTCAAGGTCTGCCCACAGACAATAGCAAGGTTGAGGAGGTGATCTCTTGTATACTGTGCTTCGACATCGATCTAATCAAGTCGGATACCCGATGAGACAAAGATCAGCGCTCTATCTCATTGCTCCCTGCTGTTCCCTAATGACTATATTCTTACATGAGACAACGGTCGTAAGTCAGCCCATTACGCTTCAAGGCTGAGACTTAACTGGAGCGGATCTTCGCACGGGACTAAACATCTGTGCGCGAAGCTAGCTGTGCCTTATGACTTGCTGGGCCACTGGGGTCGCTCAAAGATAGATATATCAGGGCGATCACGCGGGTAAGTTCTCCCCGTTGGTAGTTCCATGATCGACAATGATCGCCAACTGTAATGAAAAGAGTTCGCCGACAGAAATTGCAAGCGAAAGCGAGTGGGCCGTGGGGAACAAATCGCAGAACAAAGGCGGCTGCATGTCAAATCGTGTGGAATGCATTAAGTCCACCCTAATTAATACTACTTCATACACTATTCAGACAGCATGAATCGTACATGACCTGATAAAAAGCATAAAGGGTAAAGTACATAAGTGCTATTTGCTTTTGTGCTTGCTTGAATTACTTATTTCGGCCTACAACACGGCAAACAAGTTAGCTAGTTGGGCTTGAATGTCGTAAGATGATGGTTCAAAGCGTGCATCAGGTCAGTGCGCAGAGCTGTCGAATATATGGGGAAAAGTCTGGATTCAGTCGAGTCGTTGTTCAAGACCCGCATTGCGTCTAGCAGCATTTTCTTTTGCTTCTAGCCTCTCAAGATCCACATCAATCCCATTGGCCTGGATTAAAACCTTGGATGATCGTCTCTTGCGAAACTTAATCTTGCCTGCCGGATTTAAGCGGTTTGAAGAGAATCGACCTGTCACTTGTTTTGCGTCAAAACTATTGAACTACTCATGCATGGGTGATCCTCTTGGCCGGAAGTAATTAATGAGACTCTGCCGATGTCGGGTAATTTTTCATGCTTGCGGCAGACAACACGTGGTGGTGGTGGCATATTACGAAACAATGCGACTACGGATATACGGATAAAGAAAAAGCAAGAAAAACACGAGGTGACAGCATCGCGTGGTTATTTGCCGAAAGGATTCACTGACAGAAGACTAAATTGTTAGCGATCACCACTAAGCCTGTCAACTAAAATCCTGAAAGCCAAGAGAATTTGTTTTCTGAGTTAGGAATTATTACGTTGTACCCCGAGTTTGCTTACTCCAGTTGCGGTTACTGGTATCCGTACGGAGCACATGCACAGACAAATTGGTTGAGAGGCTCCTTTCAGGGACCTGCAGAAATTTTTCTCTCCTGCACTCAACGACGTACTACGTAACTAGATGGTGATTCCATGCTTTACCAGAACAGGGCACCATGTGGTAGATCCTCCGGCTATCCGGTCCTAGAAGGCGCCGTGATTGGTTACCGAGTGGTCGAGCCAGGACTAGCCCGAGGCGAGATCTTTCATGGAACACACGCCGAACCAGGTCGTCCGTACATAGTGTCGGGGCTTGATGGGCCTGTTAGAGCGCGTTTACAGCGAGGTGATTGGTTGTTTGACAGTGGTGAAACTGACTCGCGGAGCTTTTCGCCCCCTTCTGACTCGACATCCGTACGCCGCACCGGGAAGCCTCCTGATGGTTTCGAACCGGCTAGACAGCACCTGGCTAGAAGCTCGTCCAGCTAGATCCAGCCATTCTTAATTTGGTCATGGCGTACACACTTCTTTCCGATTTTTCTCCCCTAGAGGCGGGCCTTTAGCTCCATACTCCATACTCCGTATACTAAACGACTTGTAGATGTTTCCCCTATCCCAAAAGAATCCACCCTCTAACGAATCCCCACGCACAATGCCAAACCCTGGTCTGGATTGCGGTCCCGCTACGGCGTGGCGACGCGGGAGCCCGCGTCTTCAAGCACCCTTATATGCCATATATAGTCGTCTGTCCCTGTTCTTCGCATCCTTCGCTTGCGGGTAGTAGTCCACTTTGCTGCGTTCCTTCAATCCCTCTTTTGGTTTCCCCTTGCATATGAACATCAACCCCGAAAAAAGCAAAAAACCCGATAGCTCTTCACAATGACTATCGATAGTCGCGCGGATCAGATTGCCGGCATTGGCATCACCTTCTTGGTGTTGACGTCGATTGCCACCTTGCTGCGAGTTTACTGCCGAGCGGTCGTCATCAAGGCCTTTTCTATCGACGATTGGTTTGCGATTATCGCGCAGTTCATGTTTATCGTCTTTGTCTCATACGAACTCACCGGTGTTAAATATGGAACTGGCCGACATACCAAGGATATTTCGCCCGAGAACTTGCCCAAGGCGATGCAGGTACGTGCCCAGCGATGACGCACCGGAAATCGAGACAGTCTCTAACAACACGACAGATGTGGTGGACATGCGAACCTACTTACGTCTTGGCCAACATGGCCTTGAAAGCCAGTATCGGTATCTTTCTGCTACGAATTTGCGTGACCCGCACGCACAGAATGGTCATCTACTGCATCACCGGCCTCACCGAGATCTACAGCTTGTTCTTCTTCCTGCTCTTCGTTCTGCAGTGCCGACCTACATCTCTCTTCTGGCTCCGATACACCGCCAATCCTCCCAAGGGAAGCTGCCTCGACGCTACAGTTGTTTCCAACGCCTTCTACGGCTACTCGGCCATCAGCTGCTTGTCCGATTGGACCTACAGTATTCTCCCTATCTTCCTGGTCTGGAAGCTGCAGATGAGCAGGCGAACCAAGATCTCTGTCGCTGGTATTTTGGCTGCTGGTGCCATGTAAGCTCCCCGCTTCTCCAGGCTCAATTCAACAAGAACTAACAGCAGAATCAGTGCTTCTAGTGCCACCATCATCCGATTCCCTTACCTCTACTCCTTGACCGATATCGACGACTTCCTCTACTCCACCTCCGAAGTCGCCATCTGGTCAACAGTCGAGACAGGCCTTGGTATCACCGCCTCAGGTATCGCCACTCTCCGTCCTCTCCTCCGCAGCTTCTTCGGCAATGGCTCCAGTGCCGACGGTAACGGCAACTCAGCTCGTCCCTGGCAACGAACCGGTAGCAACCACCCTTCCAACGGCTACCTCCGCAGCCACGGTGTTGGCGCCAATGGAGAGGAGGGCTTCGATCTTCACGACAACGCCGGAAAGCGCATTGGTGTTACCACTGTCATCGACCACGGTGATGATGCGAAGGCTGGCGAGTCTTACAAGCGCGGTAGCAGATCAGAGGAGTCAGACTCAGTTCGCGACCTACAGGGTTGGAACAGCAGTCAATCGGAACTCGCAGCGGACAAGGATGGACAGCCCAGACCTGAGAAGGGCTGGAACGTTCTGGTCAAGAAGACCGTTGTTCAAACAAGAGGTTCAGACTTTGCGTAGTCTGGCTTAGCAACCTGACTGCACCCACATAAGGGTTGGACTCCAGCACCACCCAAAATTCGTTGTTATCGTGTCTTCAACCGATATTTCCAGATACCATTATCATTGTTAGCATATTTAGCGTTATTAGTACTAGACCAGTAATGTAATTTAAAAACGGTCACACTTTCAAACTACGTCGCCGAACTCCGATCTCAATTCTGCTAGATGGTGTATCAAACTTATCAATCGTAGCTGTTGCATTAGCCAGAAACAACTATGATCCCGAAACCTTACAGCCACAAACGTAGTGGCGCCAACATCAGAAACGTATTAAGAAAGTGTTGCAGAGCTAATGAATCGGAACCTGCCGCTTTGGGCCCGTCCCGAATCGCTCTCAGTCGTTACACAATCGATCGTGATTGAATATGTGAGTAAGCTAGGTAAGCTAATTTGGTAGTAAGCTGATTTCTCGGCAAACGACAGTTCCGTGCTTCCGCCCAGTTGAATACTGCATTTGTCCCCACTCCCACTTGGCCGATGATCACAATTTCCGCAATCTATCGGGTGGTTCTCAACGTTTATCAATGCAACCTTGGTCCATAAATGTTATAAGATGAGCCTTGCGCATATTAAATCGCCCGCACTGATCTTGATCTTTGTCATACGTGGTCGTGCAGATCTTTCAGCTTATGCTTATCCGTTAGTTCTTGGCATCTCATATCATGGCTGAAAGCTGAGTTCTGTGCCCAAGATGTCACCTGCGCTGTAGAAGCTCCAGAAGAAGTTAAACGCATACATGCGAGAAAACATATTAGCCTATGTATGTGGCTTATTGACCTTCTAGTTGGAGGATCTTTTTAGAAGATCTAGACATCTCTGGTATATGGCGTAGGTTAACTAACTTGATCGAAGCACTCTTCCGGCGCTGGCACATGAAACAAAAGACTAATTGCAGTCTATTCACAAATGGCTTACAGTAGTCTTGCTAATAGACACCACGACTTAGTTCTATCCGTATATTGGCCAATAAATTAATAGTCTGCGTTGAGGCACTAAGCAGCATTTAAATCAAAACACTATTGGTTGTCCCGTAAATAGTCGCGCTAGAAGAGGTTGGCCTTTTGTTCGGAGATTTTATAGCCTATTGGTTACTAGACGTAGTCTATCTATGTTACTGGGACCCAGCACTGAGATCGGAGTTTCTAAATCAACTAGAAGATACATGCAATTGAAATTGACCGGGGTAGTTGTTTCAAAGAGAACCACGGTGGCTGAGCTAAAACCAAGGTCAATGAGCTAGCTCAGTGTGGAAGTCTTATGGTGGGAGGCATGAATGAGTGTGGGTAGTGCCAAATGTGAGTGACGGAGAAACACAAGGAAAAGAACGAAGGTTAAGCTAATGGACTATTGGTTGAAGCTGTAGAGTTACTGAGAGTGGCGTAGATGGGGCAATTTATTCAGCTTGAAGTCGGCGAAGATGGCAGCCACGGGTTGAACATTGTACTACGAGCTGAAAGAATGACTGACAGTTCATAATGTACTTCTTTTCAGCAAAGGAGATTATATGAATAGAAGGTGTGAAGTATATATAATAATGCTAGCTGGCCTTTTGGAAGAATCTCGTATTTCTATTTGCAGCAGAGCTCGTGATGACTCAGGAGTAAGCAACACCGTGTTATTTTCTCGTATTGTTAGGAGTAACTCATTGAGAAATTATTGCCCAGAACGCTTTTATTGTTAATTTCTATAATAAACAACCAGTTTACGAACATAAACATGCGGTTTCTGAATCATCATATTTACCACGGATCGGCCTTGGCCCTTGCCTTTGCGTGGCTTATTCCCCATATCGATCGGTTAAGATTAATCGAGCAGCAGCCGTATATACTAGAACTTGATTTATACGAGCGACGACAACGGACACCAGAAGATCCCTGTCCTACTGCAATTCGGGCTAGAATCCCCGGCATTTCTAAGTTTACAACCTTTCAAGCTGTGCATCAAGCTTTGAAGTTATGTGATACCATCGACGTCCTTCAATTGAGCGCGAGCCGTGCAAGTTGCGTTGGGTTTCCAGAAGGATATCGAATGCCGTTTAGCCTAAATGGCAGTGATCGGTATCTTTCAGCACCGCGCGTTTTGTCTTTAGAAGAGTACGAATTCGATTACTCTGAGTGGGCGGAAATTCGCCCTCCAGTATCACACTGGTCTAATGAGGACGGCTCGTGGCCTGTATCACCTTCAACAATAGTACCCCTGCGATGGATTCTAGACATGTTTTATCGTGGAAGATGGCATTTGGACCGTTTAACTTATGCCATGAAACAATTAGCCGGTATAGGGGAGTTTTCCCGATGGCAGGAATTCGGAATGGCTCAACAGTGGTACGACCAAAGATACCTCCCCGCTGAAAGACAGTCAATGGACGATATACAACACTGGCTTGAAGCCATGGACTTTTCAAAAGTGCACACCCTCACTATCAATGAAGGGTTTTCCGTAACCCTCAGGGGGAAAGGTCTCTACGAACAGTTTCCCCGTGCGCTAACCGGAATGCAATCCCTCACTATACAGGGTGAATGGAAAAATTGGGAGGCTGAGAGAGAGGGGATATACACTTTGCCAACCGCTAAAAACTTCATCCTAGGCTTGAAAACATCTTTGGAAAGTCTGGAGTGGAAAGAGGGTGGAACCTGCGGTGAAGATGCTTTTGATGCCGTGTTGAAACATCATGGTGCCACACTAGAACATCTCGAGTGGACAAACTCAGAGATAGACTTCCACCCAAGACCAGTCCCATCACTAGCTCAGCTCCGAGGTTTAGGAGAATGGGCACCTAGGTTGGAAAGTCTCGCCATCGATTTGCACCGGGATGCAGGTGACTGGCCTCAAGAGGAGCTCAAGACAATTGCCGAGAATCTTCCCGACCTAACAACCCTGGTTCTTTACCTGAATGCACGGGACGAGGCCCCATTTCAGAACCACAGCTACTACACCCTGAATAGAACAGTGCTCTTAGAACCAAGATTAGATACAGAAGCTGCTATCAGCATGTTCCGCACTCTGCGTCAGTACAAGGTGGGCGATACTTTTGACACTGTGGAGTTTCGGGAGGGCGACTGGGCTGAATCTTTTGGTGGTGGGCAGGTTTCGTTTAGGGACGACTGGATGGGAGGTGTAAAGATATGGTTCAAATGTAGAATGGTGGAAAGGGATGGAGTTTCGGAGGCTGAGTGCGAGACTAGACCACCTCTATGGTGGTAAAAGTGTGCTAGAGTAATATCACATTTAATAAAACCTCGTATTAATAATGGATAAGATAACAGCAAATAGAAGTTGCTATAAACCTACTCTGACTTGAAAGTCATACATTGACAACTAATAGTTTATCAAATGTTCCTTGAAAGTAAATATCTATGTGGAGGCCCTGAACTCTCTAGGCCCTTTTCAAGTATTTCATATCCTCATTATTGTCAAACAAGATACTTGTGTATTAATTCCGCTAAATATATATATTTTCCTTGATGAAAAACTACCGCTGCATAAACCTCTTAAACCTTCCACAAGGCTCCGAATCCTTATGCGCAGTAATGCTTGTCTGGGTGCCATATACAAACATACTGTTAGGCACCTTTGGGCCACTACCAAACGTGTCATCTGTTCCAATCAAGGTCGACTCTGTATATGCTGTGCCATTCGTTCCCTGGAGTTGAATAGTGCTATCGCCCTTGCCAAGGCGAGGTAGCCAGCGCTTGATACCCAGTAGCAGAGGTTTGAAAGTAGGAAGACATGAGCAAGCAATACCCGAAACGATTTCTGCGAGTGACCACGATGCGGCTGTGACATTCCACCATGTGACATCTGGCTGTGGTGTGAGCCAGCGGAGTCGGAAGATCGAAATGGTAACGGTGCTAGAGTAAAATATTAGTCTGATACGCAACAATTGATGGACGGGACTTACAAGACACCAAGACCAAAGATCCCAGAGAGGAGCCACTTTTGTGACCGAGGAAGATTGAGATTCCAGACGATTGGAAGTGGCATAATTATAATCACAAAGTCAAGGACAATATGCATCACTCCATTGACATACCACATCTGTGTTTGATGCGAAAGACACTTTCCCTCAACGCTCGGATCCCAAACAGCCTCAAGAGGAACACATATCAAGCAGAGTACTATAGTCTGCGACAGGCTCCACAGCGTGATGAAGATAATGGCGCCTAGACACGCCCAGCGCATGTTGGAGATGGATAAGATGCGGTAGTATTGTAGTAGGAAGCTCAACTTGACCCAGTAGAGGGATATGCTGTAGAACAGAATCGATAGCCAGAAGCACTAGAGGTCGTCAGTGGATGAATGACTGCGCTGGCTGAGTTGTAAAGACTCACTCGACCGTAGAGAACAAGTTGCTCAGGTGTCAATGTCCAGTCGTGTTTTCCAAGTCCGTAATGTGTCACTGTTTCTGTTAACTCTTGCGTTGTCAATAGCCTTGAAGAACGTACTCGCAATAATCGATGCACCGCATCCTAAACAACAAGCCTGCACAAGGAATTGTCAGCCTGAGCCTCATATCTAAAGCCGTAGAGTCTCACCAGTCCTAACACAGCAGCTATATCATCCCACCCCGACGCTTCAGCAAGACGGCGACACCGCAAGCGCAACCCAACCAACAGAATGGCCAGGGCCATTAACCCAGAGATCACCCCGATCGTCAACTCAGACTTGCTCTCATGCGACCTCGCGGCTTGTTCGGCTGTGATGTTCATCGTGGATGGAGTGAAGAAGTTGAGTGGACTCAGAACCACCTTGGGGAAACAACGTCGCTTGGCGGAATTCCAGGACCAGGGGCAGGGGACTTAAAGGCTTCCAGGATCGGAAGATTAATAAGTAGATACGCCGTGGTTGCCGCTTTGGGCGTCTTGTCTGCAGATGAACACCATTTAAGTTGAAGCTAAGGCAACTTTAGCCCAGGAATCCTGGGGCTGGAATGTTTTCAGGTAGTTCATACCACCCAAGAGACAGGCCTGCGTATAACTAGGAGCAATTAAACTTTGGAGAACAGCCATGGTTTGTCAGAGGCGTCCAATGCCCTGAGCCGGAGCACACCGTGTGGCGTGCTTGATCGAACGTTTTAGGACACATTTACCCATCAAGCCAGATCAGCACCTATATTACTGAAACTGCTATCATTGATTGAAATCAGCATTTCTGTTTGAAGTTAATTTTATAAGGCTGGGTAGGATCTTGGGAACGATGAAGATCTATCTGCAGCGCTACTGATAATGATGCGGAAATGAAGTACGTCATATCCACCGACCTGGTTACTAGACAGTTTTAAATAGCACTACCACTTCCATAGTGGAAAATCTTCCAAGCTGATACGATGTGCGGCGACGTTGCCCTCTTGGCAGATCGGGACGGCTCGCGCAATCTGATAAACGTTATACGATAAAGTGTTCATGCCACGTCCCGCGGTTCTCTTTCAAGCCGGTTTTAGGTGAAAGCACAGGATGACAGAAACAAATAACCCGAGGCCAGAGTGTTGAGTAGGACATAACGCTATTATCTACACTATGACAAGGAGTCTGTCACTCAATGAACAATCTGCCGATACAAGCTGATACGGGTAAAAGCCCGATATATAATTTGTGCCCTAAAGGACTTCCGAATTATCGCAGGTCCTTGCATGTGCGGTCCAAGAGTCCATGATGGTGTTTGCATCGCCCAAGTCCATTCGATGCCAGACTTGCCAGGCGCTGTCCTTTTTTGCAGGTAGAATGATTGTTTATTGAACATGCAGTGCATATTCTACCCTACCGATTCATACGTGTAGGTTTATCAACCTCGGGGTATACGAGCAGTTACCCAGCTAACGTGACGTATTGGATGCCCATTCCCAACAGTAGTGACGAAGGTATTTACGTATAACAAACATATAATTTCATTAAACAATACAGACACCGAAGGACTCAGAACTGTCCATTGACAACTGTTACCCCTTCCCCTGCTTCACTTATGGAAGCATATTTGAGTCCTATATCAACAGCCTGCTTTTCGATGGTATCTGGTAGTATTAGCAGGGCTCTTTTTGCATGGGGACTACGGACTTACCAATATCAGCAGGCAGTGTAGTCACTCCATTCTCATGCAGCGCGACAAGAGTATCATTAACCCAAGTACGGCAGGTAAATGTCTCGCCAGTTCGTGGAGAAGGCCTTCCATTTACAGGCGAGCTTTGAATGAGATGAGTAGCATGTGCATGGTTGCTGACATCGCCAACCCGTATGAGGGCAATTAGGGTCAGGGAATGGGTGGGATCGCCACGTTTCTCCCGATATATCCAGGGACCGTCGCGGTTAGATGCATCATGGAGGACAGGTATTGTAGCGGCGTCTGTGAGGATCAAACCCCAGTGCTGTATTGTTTCGTAAGAACTACTTGAATGGAGATGGAGCAATGGTGATTCTTACATAATCCCCCTTCTTAGCACGGGTGTCCAAAGTAATATAAATGGATAATGGCTCGATAGCTCCTAGAAGAGGCATTGTAACAGCCTCGGGCATATACCGAATATGATTTATTAACCGCGTGACTGGTCGTAATAGAGTATAGCGGTCGCATTAATGGGAGACTTGTTTCTTCCTTTCTACAGGCAGCCTGTTATAAAGACCACTCTCTTCTAGGCATCCACTTCTAGGCAGCCTCTTCTAGGCACCTCTTCTAGGCAACCAACGTAGACCTGTGTCCTATTGAATTGCAGTAATATATACTCACTTTGCACTGGAGTCTCATACATACGACCATACCTATCAGAGAACTCGGGATCCCGTCCGCTCTCCCATAGATAAGCTGGTAAGGGGCGGATTAGTAGTTGGGTCGGTGACGACCAGCGAATCCCCGCTGTTGTATGTTTTGGTGGGTTTGTCTTTTTATCTGGGCCCCTTCCAATTAGCATGCTTGGACACAGAAAGTCAATAAGCATTTGCCGCGAACTTCCAGCCTCTTTACATTTGCATGGGAAATCTCAAGCATTTCAACCAGGAACCGGGAATATATAATAAAAGTTGATATAGGCAGCTCTTAAAGAGAAGGGGCCTTTACTTTTGGGATTCTGACCTAGTGAACGTTGTGATAACTTTACCGAACTTTAGCTTTTTATCACTGCTTTATCACATCTCCGAGCTATATCCAACTTGAGTAGCCATGACTGATGAGAAACGCCACACCGAGAAAGTTCTGGAAGCTATCACGAATTCCAGCCTAAAATACCACGATGGTCAAATTCTCGAATGCTTCATTGAAAATGCAACAGACCCAGCTGATGCTGCTCGCTATTTAATTCAAAGGTGTACCCATAACGATGGTTTTGAAGTTGCCTCGCTGCTATCGGATTGGAAGCAGCTCGTGTCTCTTTGTACGTTCTTTCAACTTATTATCCGAGAGGCTCTCTAACAAGACTTTGACAGTTGCGGATAGCCTTACCACAGTACAGCCGAAACCCGATAAAGCCACCACGCTTGCCGTTGAAAGACGAGATGGTGGCAAGTGTTGTATCACTGGATTACATGACACTCTTATGGATCCCCTGGTTGTTCGTCCTATCTTGAAGTCCCCGAGGACTCTGAACGAGGTACATGCAATGGTGTATTATCTTTCACGGAATAGCCACTCACATCCAAATATAGTCTTTGTCTGAGTTACTGGATTACTTCATCGGACCCGAGATGCATCATCGGATAATGGAGGATCCTGCGCTTATTGCCGGCTTTCAGAACCATTGGAAGTTGCCGCTGGACAGGTTATACCAAAGTGTTGAATCTTCTAGACTACACTGCTCTATCTTTCCCCGCCGGGAGGGCTGACAAGAAGCGCGACGGGGGCTATTTTAAGGAACACACGCCAAGGAACGAGATTGATGAGTGGAATTGGGGTTTTTACAAGCCTGAGGAAATGTACGGGAGACATGTTGGGTTGCAGTTGGTTGGAGGAGGTTTGAGGAGGAGAAGGTTATGGGAGCGGCTAAGCAGATCGAAAGGCTGCTGTAATTGATAGCTTATTGATACACCAGACATATCACAGAGTGCGTTGTTCAGATGCAAGAGTATTTAGTAAACAATTAATGGCTTAATTAACATGATGTAGAAGGCAAGAGACAGCACTAGTTGGTAAAACATTTTTATCTAACTTCATTTCCTTTTCTTGTTTAGCCTTCGATCACCTTGCCTAAACACGCACCGCACGCGTAACCAATCGCCTATTTCCCAAATCAACACTCCTCCTCCTGATCTTATCCGCCGGTCCAAACACACTATTTATCAACTCCTTCTTGTTGACCTTGCCCATAGCGTTCCGCGGCAGTGCCTCTACAATCTCCATATCCTGCGGGATTTTATACGCTGTAATTCGAGGCTTCAACGCGCTCCTCAGCTGCTGCAGACTCATGCTCTCATGGCTCTTCTCGGAAACAATGACTACTGCCGCGACCTTTTGCCCCCATGCTTCTGAAGGGAGACCGACCACGGCGCATTCATCGACCTCAGCGAGGGATAGGATCTCACGCTCCACTTCGAGTGCTGAGACCTTCTCGCCGCCAGTTTTGATGATGTCGGCGCTTCGACGGCCTTGGATGAAGTAGGCTGGACCTTGGGCCCAGGTGCCGGACTTTCCAAGGCCAGAGCCAGGGACCTTACGGCGTATGGCGATATCGCCTGTCTTGAACCATCCGTCTGTAGTGAACTCCTTTGCTGTAGCTTCGGGATTGCGCCAGTAGCCGTTGAATATCGTCGGTCCACGGAGCTGAATCTCTCCTACCCGTTCCTTTCCAGTGTCTGGGTCAATTTCCTCACCGGTTACAATAACCGTTTGAAGTCCAGTGTCGTCATCAGTCTCCATCAAGCGTGCTTCCACCGAAGGCAAAGGCCAGCCCACAGAACCATCCACACGATCTATGTCGTCAAGGCCGCAGGACAGAGCCATTCCAACTTCCGTCATTCCATAGCGTTCAAGCAAAAGATTTCCGCTAGAGAGCTCGATCCAACCGTCTCGAATAGGCTTAGGAAGAGCAGCCGAACCTGAGATATTCAGACGGAGGAATTTGGGCGACACGGCTTCTTTGCCAGCTCTTTGCATCTCGGGGGAGAGGGAGTCGTAAGATTTCAGAAGACGAGCCCAGATGGTTGGAACAGCGGTAAAGAAGGTTACGGGTGTTTTGACCGGGCTGTGAGTATTGTTGTTGGTCATACCGTTTAAGTGTCCATTGCCGCTCAAATGTCCGTTACCGTTACAGTTACCGTTGACCGCAGTCTGGCTCAGAAAAGGTGCAGCCAATCTCTTCCAGACTGAGTCCACATTAAACGGATACATAAACTCGATGGTACTTCCCGCAAGAAGAGGCGTGAGAAGAGCATTAACCGTGCCGTGAATGTGATGGAGTGGCAAGACATGGAGGAGTCTGTCGCTAGGAGCATACTTCCATGCTTCCGCAAGACACTTTGCCTGAGCGGCTAGATTGCTCTGAGTTAGCACGACACCCTTGGGTCGAGCAGTAGTGCCAGACGTGAACAGCATCATGCCAGCGAGGGGGGCTTCGAATAAATCACCCAGCACAATATTCTTATCCTCGGAGGAAGCATTGTTGAATCTGCCGAGTTGATGAAACAAGGGTGGGTTTGCCAGGTCTTTGCTGATGACTTCCTCCGCCTTGGCTGCGTTCTTGGCAGATGAGATAAGAAGAATAGCCTCGCTATTCTCGAGGATATACCTCAATTCGGGGGCAGGGAAGGACGGAGCCAGCGGCACAGCAATTGCATTTGCGGCCAGGATAGACAAGAGGGTGACTGCAAAGTCAGCACCGTCTCAATGCAGGACTAGATAACACGGTGTACATACCAACGTATTGAAACCCGCTTTCTACCATGAAAGCGATCCTCTCTCCAGATATGTCGTCCTTTCCCACCTTGGACAGAAGTAATTCCTTGGCGCAGGCGATACTGTCAAGCAGAGTGTGGTAAGAGAAGCTTTCGCCCGACTCGCTTTCCACTACTGCAATGGAGGATTGGCCATGCTTTTGGACGGCCTCGATAAAGGCTGAGCGTTGAAGTGTAATCGCCATCGTGATGGACAGGACAAAAAGTACAGACACTCGATACTGGATACCCGAACAGATCACACCGTTTCAGCTCAAACCGTCAACCACCATAAGTAGTTTGCTTCTGCCCAATAACTTCAAGCCACTGCCGGATCCAACCTTAGTCCTGCTGTAGCTGTCGGAAGAGGACGGGGAGGTAACGGGGGATTGTGTGTAATTGGTTTGTTGAGCGAACAAGATGAACACGAAAAGGATGGTGAGGAATCGGTACTACATCTGGATACCGAGGTACTGGGTGTGTGGGGGCAGGCGGGCCTAGGGAGTAATTTAACCGGATATCGGCGGTATCTACGGCACTGCTAGAGGGAAAGATGAAGAGGAGAATGATAGTAAAACAAAAGACGTAATATAATCATAGTATATTACTTTAACTATTAGATGAAACCAAGAAAAGATTTATGATAGTATTTCACTGCTTCTAAATTATACACATTAGGTGCAGCAGCGCTACCCAGTTACCTCGGCACAAGAATAAAAGGGCACCTACTATGAGTTACAAACGCGAACCCTATTGTTTTGACGCTGGACTGCTGGGACACCTAAAGGGTTTGACCATCTCCAACAAAGGCTCACCAGAAGTACACTACTTCGGAAGTCTTTCCTACCTACGCTGCTCCGCCAACAGGCCAGTGGCGCTTCCGTTCTCCTCGCAAGCTCCCTACAGGTCATCAATATGGTACAGCCTCATCATCTGGATATTTTACCGGCGGTACAGGTATCTGTCCTCAGCCTCCTAGTAGCAACACCCCCAGCGCCTCGGCAGTGTCTGAAGACTGTCTGCAGTTAAACATCTGGATCCCGGTTGGCCCATCACCAGCGGAAGGATGGCCTGTGTGTTTCTACATCCATGGAGGGTTTCTTCAGGTTGGAACGACCAATAGGAGCCAGAGGGTCTAGTACCCCTGTTGAGTGACTCGGTGTTTCGAGCGATTATGGTGATGCCTTCGTACAGACTCAACGTGGTTGGCTTTCTGGCAAGCACTGAGCTCACGAGGGAGGCAAGGAAAGAGGGACAGCCATCAAGAAATATGGGACTTTGGGACCAAAGAGAAGCTTTGGAGTGGACACACAAGAATATCTCATTCTTTGGTGGCAATCCTTCAAACATAACGGTTGCTGGATACTCGGCGGGGGCCTACTCGACTTTCCAACAACTAGCCCACGAGCTTTTTCAGGAACCTCGAGAAAAGGCAATTATCAAGAGAGTTGCCATATTCTCAAATAGCCCAGGCGTCAAACCCCAAACTCTGCAGGATCAGCAGGAGCAGTTCGACGAGTTGCTCACCAAGCTCGGTATCTCGCTGGATCTTCCGGCCCAGGCGAAGCTTTCCGAGCTTCGAGACACTCCTTACCAGAGATTGGTCGAGATCCAAAGCGAGATGAAGATCACAGAGTTCCGTGCACTGGCAGATGATGAGTTTTACCCCAATGATCTTATAGAAAGCATCAACAACGGGCTGTTTGCGAAAGAAATGAAGGAACGCGGTATTACACTCTTGAATGGCGAATGCGAGGAGGAGCATACCATGTATCGTCGATGGCGAACACCGCAAGACTCGTACAATTCGGTGCATCAACGCTTGTACGCTGAATATGGCGCAGACACGACAAAAACCATTATGAGCCACTACTGCGGTCCTACAAAAGAGCTACCCACTGGATACACAAATTGGATCGACTTCTTCGGCCGCACGTATGCTCACATCCAGGTGCATTATCTCGAGCGGGGTTTCCACAATGCTCTTTTCGAAGGCGGTCTTGTGCCTGGAAAAGACGTTTTGCGGTACCGCTTTGAAAGACGACCCGAGTGCGTTGCGGAGAAGATACCGCCTGAGTGGGGTGTGACGCATCTGACCGATATACCAGTCCGGTTATGGGGCTGCGGGTACAAGGAGGGCTTGAGCGATAAGGAGAAGGGTTGGCTGGAGGGATGGAACCGGGGTTTTGCGAGGTTTGTTAACGGGGAGAGTGTGGATTGGGGGACGCAAAAGGCGAGGGATGTGAGGAGGTGGAGGGGTAATGGTGGGACGGATATTTGGGAGGATGAGTTGTAGGATGAAGGTGTGGCTTTTTGGAAGATGGTGGATTGAGGTTCCTTCTTTCAATGCAGCATGTTGAGTCTCTGATTAGGTCTAGTATAGATTTCTCCACTCAGATACAAGCAGAGTTTGGCAGAGAGATGTCTTTCTATCGTGCACTGATTTATCAAGCTTCTGATTGGACCAACCGTGTAGAAAAGAAAAGTATCCAGTATTAAAGAGTCATATTGAGCCTTCAATAGATATCTCATACTTGGGGTAAAGTGGGTTAATTAACCTGTGAGAGGGCTTTGCTAGTTGACAGGACAAGTTCAGGGTTTATTAAGAGCTGGCAAGGACATCGAACTACCTCTCTTACAGGAATAAGATATAAAGGCGGCGGCTGGTATTCCATTTTCAACTAGATTTACGCTACATGATGAATGAGGAATGATATACGCTAGGTCAAATTCTAACCGCATTTTAATTTATAATCTATAAGCTCTAGTCTAATATCCTTCTTATACTGTATTGTTATGAAACACTGATATCGCATCTCCCACCTTGAGGTACTATAAAGAACTCTCCGTCTTGCGCCATCATTGAATCCGTCATATCATTATGTAACTGCAGGCCTTTACACTCCCGGAAGAATGTAGCCAGCGTTACCAAAATTTCCATACGTGCCAGATGCATGCCGATACAACTTCTTGAGCCAATGTTAAAGGGCATATGGGCCCTTTTCTGCTCTGATGTCGGGTTTAAAAATCTATGTGCGTCGAATCTATGTCTTATCAGTGACTATACTCTCCTGGGCTGACTCGGGGAAGTAACCTACGTATCAGGAGAAGGGAAGATGTCTTCCAAACGGGAAATAAGCCAGCCTGTGGTGTATACCATAGTGCCACCTGGAATGTCCCATCCGTGAACGGAAATACCACCAGGGGGTACCAGTCTCTCGGCAAGTGCTCCCGCAGGATTATACATCCTCAAAGCTTCTTCCAAGACACTACTTAAAAGCGGCAGAGACTCAACATCTTGGGTTGTAAAGTCAGAACCCAGAGTAGCCACCTCCTCCTCGATCCTTCTCCTTAGTTCTGAATCTCTGATTATCTCCCAGGTGGCGTACGTCAAGGTGGCAGCTGTGCTATCGGAGCCTGCTACCAACATCATAGCCACTTCAGAACCTAACTCATCATCACTCAAAGCTGGCTTCTTGCTAGTCTTATCCTGACTCAATATGTGACCAACCATACTAGGCCCGCATGTTGTTGGCGATAGCTTGACCTCTCTTAGGGCAGAGGTGACACGGCTGAAGATGATCTCGGTGACCTGGCCTACATCCCGCAGCCAGGCGATGGGCGACCACTTTGTTAGTGACAGAAGCCAATTGGGCAATATCACTTGTAGAATGACACTTGGGCCCGCGTTTCCCAATGCCTTGTAAACGGGAAGGTTTTGTCCACCTGTCTGAAGCAACTGGAATGGCTTTCCCAGAGCCATTTCGCTGATGACGTCCACTGCTAAGCAACGCCACCACTTGTACACATCAGAGCGTCCCTCCTTGGCTTCTTTCTTGATACTCGACACGGCAAGTCTAGCCAGTCGATGAATCTTTATCTCCTGTTCCTCCCTCATAGCTGTGAAACCACGACCGAGAATGCGTTTCCGTTGCGCGTGAAGTCGAGTATCTCGCATTGTGAATAACATCGGCGAGTGACTGAAACGGATACTGTCGAAGACGGGCGCCTTGATGCAGCGACTTCCCACGCCGTGGACCTTGTAGTAGCCATCGACACTATTGATGGAAACTTCCTTGGGCCCGACTCTAACTACTGGGCCGTAACGATTGTGGATATCGCGGAGGTGGGTGCGGCTGGTCCCGACGGCTCGGGCGTAGAATAGTGAAATTCCCGTAAGGCGAGTGTACCATGGTCCAGGAAGGGAGGAAAGTGGGCCACGGCGGTAGTCGAATACGACTTTGAGAGCGATCGTAAAGATGATAGACACGACGGCTAACAAGGTAGTTGTAGACATTGTTCCGTTTTTGCACACATCGGGAGTGTGTCTTGGTTGGAGCACTTCAAGACAGGTTAGAAGACTCAATGGCTTGTTGATATACGGATATGCACGGCAGGATCACATAAATGACCCCTTCAATAACGAGCTTCTAGGCGCGGGTATAATGCACAGGTTGGCCAACTCAGCCTCCCTGGTCCAGCGAGAGCTATTCAGCGGCCCCCAAATGAGATAGCTGTGCCATGGGCTAGCCCTATGCATGTCTCAGGTAAAACCAGGGTCCATAGCCCTGTGGCCTTTGATCTAATATTATCTTACATGGTACAGAAAGCTTGAAAAAGCCACTTTACTATGCAATCCTACGCTGCACTACATGCTTAGATATGGCTTATGAATATCATAGCGTGGCAGAATCATTTAATAAGCTTTCGCATTTCTCAGTATATCACAGGCCAGCCCAGAGTGGACGCTATCTAATCATCTACAACGGGTGTTATTAATTGGCTTATATCCAGAGTGTAAATTGCGTCTTCGACACTTGTCGCCTAGTATACGACAATCCACCTCGACTTACGTGAGATGTGTATCCACACATCGCAAATAGATCAAAGTCTAGTCATCCTCCCGAGCGGCATATGCACTGCGCCTTACCAAATCTTTACAAGCGAAGTGTGCCGTTGAACAGGGGAATGAATCCTTGTTCCGACAGGTCCGAAAAGGAATGTCGGATTCAACTTCGCCGAAAAACCCGCTTTTCCACCTAGCAGTCTACCATTTAAGGCTGTGTTAGATAAGTTTAGGGCTTTCACATGCTTTATCAAAGCATGATGCAGAGTCTAGACCTCTAGATAAAGCAGCTTATGGGTTCAATGCTTGATAAGACGCAGGTAAATGGGGCTTTCCGTAGACGCGCTAATTAGCGGTTAGCAACATGCATAGCCAGTGCTATTTTGGCGTTGTCTAGACCCAGGATCTGATAGCAATCATGCACAATCACTCCGCCGGACTCAAAAAAGCAACGTTGACAGGTCATAACACGGCACAAAGTTCCGGTGGAAAGCAACAGTAAAAGCATTTTCTGAAAGAGCCTTACAGAATGAAGGCGTTGGGGAAAGCTTAAAGCATTGGGAGAAGCTTGTCAAGTAGGGATAATCAGTTAATAAATTTCACATAAAGCAGTTAGTTTAAAGAGCATGAATTTATCCCAGAACCCTGGACAGATGGTCTGTAAATAATTAATCGGTGACATGTTGTGCACTTTTAATTTACCCACTGATGCTGAAAACTGTTGAACAGTGACATATCTATGATAAGAAAGGAGGGATGTAATTTTGGTTGCCTATCAGTACTGCCTAAGAGGATTCCAACCCTTCATCGCACATAAAAGCATTACTCTAAATATCTATACAATACTTTTTTCTCGCCCAACACTCACAGCATACAATCACCTGCCATGTGATCATGCTATCAACCTAGCCGCAGCTAAGAATGAAGACGTTCGATCACACTTAATCGACTCTGTCCTTCTTCGTCACAGTGCTGTGGATCTTGCCATGTATCCATTGAAGACCTGACGAAGACAACGTTAACAATCCGGCTGACGCAACAAAGATTGTAACCCGCTGAGCCGCAGAGAACTTATCCATCATAGGATAAGGATACCTGTGTATGTGTCAGCGCGTGCAAAGATGATGGTGTGACATTGACTTACCAGCCATTTTGGTAGAAACACAACTCAATCCAGCACCAATAAACCACAGCCAAAACTGTGCTTAACGTCATCATGCCGCGTGTGGTAATTGTCGCTCCCCGACTCAGCAGCAGAAAGTCCAGAACCAGGAGTACTGCTGGCACGAGATGAAAACCGAGATCCGGCAAAGGATCAATCACAAGGTCTTCTGGCATTAGCAACGCTGGGTCATGCATCCTAATTGACCAGTATAAAACCGCAATGAGAACCTCGAGAGGCGTCGCAAGGACGGACGTGGCGTTTTTAGCCCGTGAGAATACATCCTTGAGGGTGAGGTCTGCAGCGAGACCGAGGGAGAATGTGACGAGAGACGTGGCAAGGCCTACGACGGTAAGGAGCTGGAAATACCACCCAAAAGAAACCGAGTAGCTCGATTCCCACGTGGTGAGAAGGTAAAAGCTGTATGCGAAGGATGAAGTCCCAAGAGCATAAAAACCGGTCTTGAGAACGCGGGTGCGTAAAGACGCGCTTGTGTTTTGGGTGGACGCCATGTTGTTTGAGTCTTGAACTAACCGGACAAAAAAGAGATGGAGATGTCTTGTTGCAACTGATAACAGCAGGGATTTATAACCGCAGCGTCCGCGGGATAGCAAGCGGTGAAATAAGATAATTAGTGGTATAAATAGCACCCAAGCACAGCAGTCCCCTGTCCTGTTGGATTTTACAAGGCTCATTAAAGAACGTCTTTCGCAAGCGACGACTTGTAAAGATGTGATTGGAGGCTGGTTTAGTGCTTATGCCGCACACTCTGCGCTGCGGCAGGATCAGGGCGCCCCCATGTCCCTTGCAGATCCCGATTTCAGTTTCTTACGTGAGCTTTCTGAGGCTCAGCCGTGGGAAATAATGTAACGGCGAGCGGTAATTCAGAATCGAGACCGAAAGCGAGGACAAAGGGCTTATACATTTGTGGCAACCTATCAAATAAGATACTCCAGTATACTAATAAACTCATTATCCGTATACTATTTTTATATTAGTGTCAGGTTGGAAAATGTGTCCTGCATCTTGTTATATCATTATTTTCTCTGTATCTGGGTAGATGTGTGGAGGTTTTAACTTTTACTATAAGATAGCATAACGTATACACTCTCTTTAAATCATTATTCTGTCTTATTCTCTGAAGGGCTGGCCATAAAGCTAACTGCCCAGTTAACCCAGATCTCTTTAAAGTATACTTAGCACCAGTAATTAATTACATATGCTGCTATGAATAATGATTCGTACCCGACAGATTGAGGAAGCCACCATCCATTTGAGGTCATTCCCCCATATATACTTACACGATCTATTATTTCCAATCCTTTTGCTGCTTTAAGAAATCTTTCTTGAGATCCTGATAACCCTCATCCTCTTTACACCTCGTCCAATAGCCCCGAAAGATCATACTCGCCCTCTCTTTCTCATCCTTATCAGGATGCTCATCACTCTGAGGTAGTTCCTCCTTGGTTCCCTTCTTATACTTCCGCCCACCAGCATGGTTTGCATATCGCTTGGCTCTGGTCATACCCATCTGGATAAACTTGCGCGTCATATCCATGCCTACGAAGTCATTTTGGTCCTTGAACTCTTTGAACTTTTCCCACAGATCCTCGGCGCTCTTTTGGGCAATGGGCACAGTTCGGAAGCGCCATAGAGGGAGGATGGCTGATTTGTATGGTTCGAATGTTAGGACGCCTTGCTCACCGCGACCTATGCGGTAGGACATTCGATGGGCTTCGGTTATGGTGTCCATGAGGCGCTTAGCTCTAGGAGGTGATGCGGACATTTTGCTGTTTGGTGTGATGAAGTTTGTTCGAAGAAAGAAAGATGAATGGCGCTTTAAAGTGATGCGATTGACTGTTTCTCCACTAGCGATAATGTAGAATCTCGCTATGCATAGTTACACGAAGCTTCAAGTATTAGTTGGAATGAATAAGGTCTATGACGCGCCTGAGCCAGAGTCGACCAATGAGGTCTAGCGAGACCGTGACACTGCCGCTATCAATTATTACCAAGATCCCTACCCGAGAGCAAGACAAGCTATTCAGATATTAATTAATCTGGACTATTAATGAAAAGCGTAGCCAAAATGTATGCGTAGTAATAACCCTCGTGGCGACTTAACGTCGCTTTAGCAATTTACCATGTATAATCTCACTTGCGCTAATTTTAGATTTTCAGATGTACAACAAGCTTTCGAGATCATTGGTGCCCGTGCAGAGAGACCAAAAGAACAGGGAGAACTCAGAAGTCCTTCCACAGATGCGTTCAGATGTTTAGAATGTTCAGTTAATCATCCGGCAGTCCAGTACTCTCGGCTGGTCTCTACCTACAGCCTGGCACCAATCAACTGACATTCCGTCATCTTGTTCGTGAATTGAGTCTCTGTTTCAAGTTTATCCAGAGCACAGAAACCCTGAATGGATTATGGAAGCGCGTTGCCTTTGCGCAGGTCCCTTCTCTAGAAACATCTCTCACCTTTGTCACAGAAAACACTTTCGATCAGCCTGTGCGAAGCTTATCACATCATCTATCAACCAACCGCAACATCGCACAATACCATATCATCCTCCATGGAGAATGTACTCTTACGGACGGCTCCCCTCTAGAGGCACACATTGAAGGTTTGTAATTCTAATACTTGTGTAATCGTTGTCTAATATCCCTAACTAAATGTGCCGAGCATCTATCACCGCCACAGCGCCTGCAACATCCTTATTACCTACCTCTAGACCAGACAACCTCCAACTCTACATATACAGAATGACCAGCAAGGAAGAAGAATAAAACGGAAGACTTTCAGTCACTCAAAAGGAAGACATGGGGGGAAGGTGAGGCAGAGGCGTGCCTGATTTACTGGCTGTCCAACTCAAAGACGCGGAAAGAATCAAGGAAGACTTCCTTTCGTTAATTCTAGCCTACTCCGACCGCTGTGCTATCTAAGGCCTCGGCCAGTCGTGGTGTTTCACCCAACCCACCGGCCTAGCTCTGCAACCGTGCCAGATCGTGCCCCAGAAGGACTATCATCGGTATCCCGGCCCGCTCCAGGGATGGGAGCAATTCTTCGCGGACGGCCCGAATCCCGGGCCTCTACAAGTAGTCGTGGAGTGCCCCGAATGATATCTTACTCATGAGTCATTTACTTGAAGCATTTAAGTTAAGACTGGTCTCAATTCATCCCTAGACACTGTGCATTCCAGCATCTGTTCCTCATGATGCTTTCACGCAATATGATGGGCATAGGGGATTTGTTCCGGATAGTGTGGATCTAGGGGCGCTGAAACACCACTATGAGATGTGCTGTGTTGAAAACATGGCTGCTTTGATGCCGAATATCGAACAAGTTTGGCACAGCCCCCCAAAGTGTGAAGAAAGAGGGAGGGGCTGATGGACAAACGGAGAGCAACCACTACAGAGTAAAAGGAAAGATGCTGGGTAGATTCAGGGAGAAAGGAAGTGTGGAAAAGTAGATGGGTGCACGGAGGCTTGGGTAGTCATGCTGCCCCTCTTAAGAAAGAGTTGTGGCAGTTATCTTATCGACCCCAAACCAAACACGCTATTCTTACACAGCAAATGTTGCTCTCTTATATCGATCTTATTCTTTAACAGCCCATCAGAAATAGTTTTCTGCATGTTGACAACATTCGATCTTGAGAAGAATGCTGCCTTCATAGTATAACTTGTTAATGTAAGAGCGAGTACTCGGGTGCCAAAGCCATCCTGTACAAAGACGCATGTGGAAAGTCCACTCAGACAAGGGGAACGGTTACAGGCTGCCGTAGCGCAATCCTTCGTATCGGCTGTGGCGTCTGACCCAGCCGAACTACGGCTTCAAGGCACCGACTCCCGACGTTTGTTTCTGCACCTGCTCACCTGCAAACTAAGAATTAACCAAATCGTCGATTTTATCAACCACAAGATGACGGTATACGCAAGACAGCGTAGTCTGACGTGTCTGGTATTCATCATATGTGTGTAAGGGAACTCCTCTTTTCGGTCCTTTCTCCTCCCTTCCATCGTCTTTGTCTTGCGTCTTTGATGATCGGCTGATGTGGAGGGTATGAATAAAATTCGAGGCTGGAAGTTAGCTCCTCCACCCCCGCAAAGTTAAGAAGCCTCTATCAGCATTTCCACACAACCCAAGCCATTGAGATCAGCAGTTGAAGATAACATGATGGTCAAGTAAGATAAGACTTCTCCCACGGTAGACTAGCGCTCCGGCCTCGCAGACACGATGTTATCTCGCTGTAAACTTCCAAGAGATAACTATGATAACACTCAACACTTGCCGGTGGCATTCCACTTCACTCACCTGCGTCTATCACCTCGGTGAAGCACCTAGTCCGCATGACCATCAACTACCGATAGCAACCCGAACTAACATAAACCTACACAAAATGCGTTATCAGTCAATTTCGGAACCAAAGCCCCTGGACTGTATGCACAATCTGCCACACGATTACCCCATGAGGAAAAGCCCAAAACACCCATTGGGCTCAAACATAACCAACGCATCATTGTTCAGTGAGCGGTCGTCACTTCCGAGCGGTGTCGGATCGCTCGGGTTCTAGACCTGGCCTTGTTCAGACACTCTCGGCTTCTGAACCCGATGGTGCAGGGATCGGCCAATTGGCCAATGACGATGTAGATTACGATTGTTTATTTCCTGATGCGGCTGACACAATCCTGGGGAAGCCGAGTCTAAACCTATCAGGGCCGAGAAAGCCAACAGATGGCTTCGAAGGCTTGTGTGTCCAGCCTATCGAGAAGCTGCGATTAGTCGTCTCGTTGATATGGGGGGTTTCAGGTGATCTACAATCACGAGGTCGATAAGCTCTGCCTCACACCATCAAGTCTTCAGTAACAAAGGCCTTTTTGACAAGCCTCGTTATCACAAACGTCTGGATGGGACGGCTTTTGCTACCGGCGCCCGAGGGGTAGTAATCGGGGGCGTCCTGTGCCTGGAAGGGTTTGGGTAGAGTCATCAGCATCTATAAGAAAGCTGCCACGCCATGCTCAAAGTCTATCTTCACATATCAAGTTCTTAAAGACTTATTATCTACTCCACACATTACCACATTCATCATAACCATCAGGCATCTACACAACACAGATCAAGATGAGCAAGATGAACAAGATCAAGCTCCACATCGAGAGTGACAACTTCACACAAACCAGCCACCGAACTCCCGTCCGCGCTCTCCCTTCAACATGGTATACATCACCCGAGATGTTCGAGCTCGAGAAGCGCGCTGTCTTCTCCAAGAAGTGGCTTCTCCTCACCCACCAGAACAGACTTCCCAAGGCAGGAGACTGGCTCAAGTTCACCGTCACCGGCTATGAGTTTGTGGTGTCGCGCGATCGCAAGGGCAACTTCAATGCCTTCCACAACGTCTGTCGCCACCGAGCATTCCCTGTTGTCCAGGGCGGAACCCAGGGAAACTCGTCTATCTTTGCATGCAAGTACCACGGTTGGTCTTATGGCCTGAGTGGCAATCTTGCCAAGGCGCCGAACTATGACCAGCTGGATGGATTCGACAAGAGCCAGAACGGTCTGTTTAAGATCCATCTCAAGGTCGATGCATACGGCTTTATCTGGGTCAATCTTGATAGCTCTGATAACCCTGAGCCTTGGACTCGCTACTTTGATGGGATTGATCAGCAAGAGCGGCTAAAGAATGTCAACTTTGAGGATTATACTCTGGATAACGAGTATAGTATGGAGGGTGCATACAACTGGAAGATTCTTGCCGACAACTTCAACGAATGCTACCATTGTCCCACAACTCATCCGGACTTGCCAACCCTTGCGGATCTCGGAAAGACAAAGTGCGATACGGATAAAGGATGGATCAAACACTCGAGTGTGCAGACAGAGGAGCAAAAGAAGGATGGTCTAGGTCTCGCAAGTACCTACTTCTACCCCAACAGCTCGGTTGTAGTCCTGTAAGTATCCCCTTCACATCTTTCCATCCTAGTCTAACATTTACAGGCCGCATTTCATGATGATCCAGCGCTTCGTGCCCACGTCAGCAAACCACTCGTCAATGCACTACCAAATCTTCCGCAACAAGAACTCCTCCGACGAGGACTTCCACCTGATCGCAGATATGTACGCCCGCGTTGTCTCAGAGGATAAGGACCTTTGCATCGGCGCCCAAAGGAATCTCGAAGCCGGCATTTTTGTCAGTGGCGAGCTGCACCCTAGGTTAGAACACGGTCCGCTATCGTTCCAGGAGGGACATCGTGAGGCGATTAGGGATCATGTTCAGCTTGAGAAGGAACTTGGGAGGCAGATTTGGCCGGCGAGACAGAGGTTGCCTCCTACGGCGGTGGAGAATAAGGAGGATGAGGAGCTGTGTTCTAGTTTGGCTTGTGGGAGTTTGCAGGAGGTTTTGGCTTGGTAGTTCTGTAAATTGGCAATTACATAATACTTTTAAACATTTGTGTCTGGTTCTGAGATTGGTAAGATAAAATTCCTTGTATATTATTGTTTGCTTTTTGGTAAGCCATAGTAATGACAAACTGTGCAACTACCACCAACGTGACCACCTGCGCACGAGGTGTGGAAGGCTTAGACTTGACATCATGGCTCAGTTACCCTTCCTACATAGTCAAAGCATTACATATGAGACTCATGAGCTTGTGGTACCAGACTACGGATTACACAGTTCAGGGCTTAGTAAACGCTTTCTCCCTTTCCATCAAAGACATCCTGGATGAATGACTCAAGGCTCCCACCCCGAAGCGATGGATACAAATCGCTTGCGAGGAGATATCCCAGATACACGGCATTCTCAGGCGTGTTATCACCTCGAACACCCCAAGACATCCAGTACTCCAAAATTGCACGGTTTTGACTGATCTCATTCGTGTCCTTGAACGCCACCAACTGTTCCTCTAGTTGTTCTTTGGACATCTACCCCACTGTCAGTACAAGTCCATACAGTAATTCTGATGTCACTCACATCGGTGCGCTCTGGCTTCTCGCCTGTTACCTTCTCGACCAAGGCGTGAATTTCATTCTGTGTCTTGGTTTCCGTGTGCGCTAGGACTTTCTTGTTGATGGTTCGTGGATCGTTGATTATAACTGCGACGTATTTCCCCACGTCGTGGACATTCACAAGTGCAGAGGGGATGTTCCCTCCTGCGATGATGTTGTTGTTGGGGAATGTGAGGCCATGGTCGAGTTTACCTGACGGTACACGAGGAAGCGTGATCTGATACCACCACCCAACGTTGATGACAGTGTAAGGAAGGTAAAGACGCTGAATATGGTCTAAAATCTCTTCTTTCTGCAAATTGTCAGTAAGCGCTTATGTAGTCATGACTATATCTACCTGATCGTTTGCTCTCATGACTCCCCGGGGAGTAATAGTGGCAAAGAAGCAGGGCACGTATCGCTTCACGCCCGCTGCTTTTGACGCGTTGGAAAGAGGGATCTCGTCACCGAGAGACTGATAGTAGATAGCCGAGATGACCACGTCGATGCCCTTAAGAGCAGCCACTAGATCGGCTTGAGGGCCTTGAAGATCAACCGAGACGATCTTGACACCCTTTCCTCGCAGGGTGCTGACTGCCGGTTTGTCGATAGAGCTAGGGCGAATTAAAGCTGTAATTTCCTGTTACTTGTCAATTAGCCAAGATATCACGCACATGGGATGGGATGCTCACGAATTGAGTCTCGGATTCCAAAAGGCCATTGACGATGGATCCTCCAGTGACGCCAGTGGCGCCGACAATTGCAACCTTCATTCTGTTATCTCGAGCGTAAGCCTATTCTTTTGTTTAACTCTTACTGGAAATGATGTTTGTTTACAGTTTTCTTATATATAAACGGCATTGAGACTTTGGCGTCGCGAGCATCAGGCATTAGTAACTCAACTCCGCAAAGTCCGCGAACTAACTTCCTGTCTCCACCAAAACCTAACTGCTTGGGCCATTTACCGACGCGATTCATGGAGTTAAGAATGGCGGACCCCGGAGACCAAAAAAAAGGCCCGGTAGAGCGGCGGGGAGCCAAATGTTATTTCCGTCCTGTGTACTTTAGCGTACAGTCTCCTATCTGCACTTTGTAGAATACAAATACGATAAAGTCCGTCATACTCGCATAGCAACTAACTTCACCCGCGGATGCTAAGTTATCAAACTTTAAATAGTAGAGACTAGCTTGATTCTCTTACGGATAAAATAAGTAGCAGGAGCTTGCCCTTCACGAGCTCCTGCATCAATTCGACATGCTCACTTGGATATATGTAATCTCCTGCAACATACAGCTTGTAGATGCATCAAGGCATTCCACAAAAAGTAATAAATGCTTTGGAAACCGCTCTATATCTTCACAACATACTGCGATGCCCATTAAGGGCAAGAATCTCAAAAATAAAAGGCCTTCAATGCGCGCACAATAACGAAGAAAATTAGTGTTTGTTCGTTCGCCCTGAATAAACGTGGGGGTCAGTGTCAAGCTTGCAGCATCAACCCTGAACGAACGTGGAACAGGGAGGACCCCAAGCGCCCGGTTTCCGATAAGGCGAACATTTTCGATGGTGCAGGGCTTGGATCGGAATTAAACACGTGGTTAACCAGTAAATTATTGACTTAAAGCTTACCTACCGCGAAATACCAAAGTTAGCTATATCCGTTATCTTTAAGTGACATAAATTCGTATTTTCGTCCTTACACCTGTCCATACCTTGGCATCTCCCATACCTAGAGCGTTACCACCACGGCTTCCACATAGGTAAAAGACCAGAGCTCATTAATTTCTGCTTATACGTTACATCAAAGCATATACATATGCATATATGTATCCCTCCATGTCAAGGACAGGTAACAACTTAACAGATCGCAAATAATGCCTAATCCAGTCTCACCCGCGCACTTTAACCGCTACCCGCGTAAACACCCAAACAAAAACAAGGCCTGACTCGCTCAGCACTAGCTCTCCGGGTTGATTAAGGGGCCCAGGCGCCACAGCCCAATCAAGTAGCTCCCCCAAACCTCCAGCAGCACTGAGAAATCCACTGTAACTTTAACGCGTTTTGAGTAGAGCCCACTGCGGACGGGTTTGGTCGCTACGGATCTTCCGCTGGATCAGCAGCTCCAGTGCGCGGCATCATTCCGAGACGGAGCGCAATGACTTGTTTAGTCTGGGTGATTGGCTGCGCGGGGGTTTTTGCCATCGACTAGAAGGCCGTAGTTCGTGTCGGGACCTTCTCTGATCAAAGCTTGATGCAACTAAACATCCTTGGTGTGTCAGAGGACATTAAGGTGCCCCCTGACAAGCACGTGCTGCCGGACCGAGAATCTGCACCAAATCTGCAGTAACTTAATCTGCATGAGCCTGGTTGATCACAGATTTTGGGGATCATCTGTCTGGGGATTGGTCTATCACAAAACATTCCCAATCAGCCCAGCATATCTGCTCAGAGACTCATAACAGGTTCAATACTCAGCCGCATCCAGAAATGCTCCGGGTCAGGAATGTCAAGCGCCTTCCTAAAAGGTCGTGTCGCAGCGAAGAGGACCGTGGCTGTGGCGTTCGCATTGAAGAAACTAGCAAGCACTAACGATTTCTGCTGTTGGCGCTATGTTCAAAGCACTCGGCCAAAGTTTAAATCTTAGCTTAAAGTACCCAATTCCCATCCCACCCTTCTGCCTTACCCTGTCTAATCGTTTTTCTTTTTTTCTTCTTTTAATTGTGCATGAGAATGAGAGGCTCTGCTTCTCTAACAATGCCAGAGTTATGGTGAATGTCATCGCATCCATTGTGAGTTCTTCTGCAGGTATTCTTTACTGCGCTGTCTAACATCTAGCAGATCATCCAAGCAATTCTGCTTGCGTTGGCACTCGTCGTTATCGTACTCAAGAGCTTGGCGCGCGTTCTCTCCAAGCAGTCGGTGCTCAATCTCTCCGATGCCTTTGCTTGGTTTGGCTGGCTGTTCACGCTGGGATGGTTCATCTGCTCGACGCTTGCGCTGAAGATCCTCCTCGACACTCCTGCGATTGGTGACGAGCTTGTTGTCAATTCTGTGCCGTATCTAAAGGTATGTGTGTGCGACCGACGAGAAAACTCCAACAACTAACACCTCACTGTCCAGATCGTCTTCGTCGCTCAGTACATGTTCGATATCGGTATTTACTTTCCAAAGATCTCGATCACGCTGTTCTATTGGACTCTTATCCCCCGGATCACGGGACCGTTGCGAAATACATTACTTGGAATCTCGGTATATCTCGGTTGCGCCATGGCTGCGACAATACTCACGAACACATTGATATGCCTTCCAATTTCTGATAACTGGTCCATCAAGAACCAATTGAGATCGACATGGAACTCGTATGCCGCCTTTGTTATCCAATGGTGTCTCAACTTCTCCACAGAGTTACTCGGTATGCCCAGATTTCTTCATAGTTCCGACATAATAATTAACAGTCAACGCAGCCTTCTTCTATCCATTCTTTCTGCTCAAGCACATCGCGCTCCGCAAGGAGCAGAAGCTCGCCCTCGTCGGCGTCTTCTCCCTGGGCGCTATTACGCTGATTGTCAGCCTCGCAAGATTCATCGCTTACAATGCGACCGACTTTGAACTGGAGGATGAATCTGGCAGTATGTTCCTCATCTCTTCGATACCTTATAAGGTCTAACATTTCGTAGATATCCTCACAACAGCAGAGATGAGCACAGCCGTCCTCGTCGTTTGCCTCCCCGGTCTCCGACGATTTATCGGCCGTTCCAAAACACCGACGCAATCATCGCGATCGAACCCAGCCAGCAACCACGGCATACACGTCCAAATTTCCACCAACAACACATCCAAGCCGCGCCCTCAACAATCGTCGTACAAGAAGTGGGGCGTGAGGGATGATGAGATTGGACTGGTGACACATATTCGTGCGGGCGACTCTACTGAGATGATAGATATGGAGGGTCAAAGTACGGATGGGAAGAGCGGGAAGACGGTTACTCTGGAGTCCATGTAGATTAATGATAGATTTGTTTAATGAACATACCTAACGCAATGAGAACATACCTTCCTCAATTAGATGAATAACTTCTACAGATGTTAGCCCGTATCCAATTTTGATGCAGAGCCAAACAGGACGACAGATGCCACTAAAGGTTTGGAGCGGATGTAGGGGTTTGCCTACCATCACCAACACGTGTCTGTGGACGAAATGTGCGGCCTTCAGTCTTTTAGGTGAAGTTAATTGCCACTAACTATCAAGCTTCCCCCTTGGTGTAGTATTCCGTAGTTAGTTTACAGTCTAATTCACAAGTTCTCCAGACATGGTCCCTCTAGTCCATCAACGTGCGCAACGCCGTTCTCGCTTACGCCAACGTCTGCACCAACGCTTAATTCACAGCTCGGTGAAAGCTTAACTTGATAATCGCATGTTCTTTACGCCCCCAAAGCTTCCAGAAGGGTTCTGTTATCTGACAGCGGGCGCCAACTGGTGAAACATTGGTGAGTAAAACATGTCGCGCATTGGAACGATCCCACATCGATCTATTTTCCAACATGTTGCTATCAAGCTCATAGCTCCACAAACGATGATCACGCGTCTCAATCATCAGCAAATCCCATGCATCCTTCTGCTACTCGTGACATCAGACCGTTGTACAGAAGATTGGCAATCGTACCACCTCAATTGGCCACACCTGGAAAGCGCGGGAGATTGGCGACCGTAGGGGTTTTGCGCTCTAATTTTACAGTGGGTGTCCGCCCGCGGAGAAGATGAGTGGAGGAAATGACGAGTCGCGAAATGCCGGGACAGAATCGACTGATGGTTTTTACTCCGGATTATTCTCGCGACAATAAATACCATTATGATTAGGTGCCTAGATGAGGATACTATTGTTCCATGTTTCAATGTCAAAATGTGTATTTATGCATCGTAAATCGTATAAATAGAGTAAACAGATCTCAGACGCGTAAACAATTCGAAACGCCCAGAGATAAGGTAGATACAATCTACGCTTCAAAACAGAACCATTCCCAAACCGTCGTACTACTCCCCGCGCATCTCAAACCAATCTCTACACCTCCGTTGCTATTCGCAGTGTCTAACAAGTGATGCAAAACACCAAAATGAAAATCAGGAGATATAATACTGATATTACACTCAGCGCGTGGAGGGAAAAGCAGCCCATGACCCCACTCTCCACGCCATTTCCGGTGCCAGAATCTGGCCACCCCGTCTGGAGAAGTTGGGGTGGTGGTCTGACTTGCGCTAGCGGGACGTGCCGACTAATAATAGCAAATGCTAGATGTGAGTGATAGGAAATTGTATAAGAGAACAAGATATTCAGTCAAGTTTCTACTGTATCAATTCATCTCTATCAACAATTATCAAGCCTTCTACTCCTTAGCAATCACCGCGCAAACCACACAACCACACAAACCACACATCTCAAAATGACAACCAACTCTTTCGGTGGAGCTCTTCCTCGCTTTGACTTCCCAACTCAACCTCAACCAGCCATCACACGCATGGCACGCGTCAGCAAAGCCCTTCCTATTATACTAGTTGCTGCTGGCGTAGCTGGTGAGTTCATATCTTGCCAATGCATGGTTCTGTGCTAACATCCTTCAGCTGCCGCTCTTAAGACAACGCAAGAGACTCGTTCGTTTGGCCGTCCTTCGATGGTTCAGAATCTGGTGCCGCAGGGGCAGGGTATCATTGATAAGCGGAATGTCGATACTGCATCCAAGCCGGATAAATGAAGCAAAGGTGTTTATTAAATCTATCGGGATATATCACGGGAGCGACTTGCAGTTCAGACACTATTCAATCATGCTAGGGCTGGTCCCTGTACAGATTAATCGAATTATATAAATACTCAACAATCTTATTATGTACAACTGAATATGTGATCTATAGCTGAATATGTGATGTATTTTTGAAATTGTAGTAATGATACTAATTTAGGAAAAGTCGGATAATAATTCAATGCATTATATATGCAGCATCTCTGTCGCATCTCAGTTTTAGTCAACGCGCTCAACTGATTCTTCACTTGAAAGGTTACTTGACTATGTTAGCGGGTGATTGTGGATCAAGTACTATAAATACACCGAAGATGTGGTATATCGTCTGCATAATTGTAAACCACGTTTCGGATCACCCCTCAACCTCCTTCCACTCCACGTCCAACTCCCCTCGCACATACAAATCCTCCTCATCTAAGGAATCCGAATGTCCAAACACATCCTTCAGACCTAGCACAAGCTCCTCAATACCCTTGATACATTTCAGCTTCGGCAGCTTCTCACTCTTTTCAGCAAGGAGCTCGTCAACATGTTCGTCAACATCAGGGTTCACCCCCCGCACATATCGGTACATGCACAGATACTCTAGGCTCGGCGGCAGGCATTCGATAAGACGGAATGGAGCTGGTTTGGTGAGCTTGAAGGGTGGGTCCCATTTGTTATCGTCCCAGTCGCCGAGGAGGGCCACCATGTCGATGCTCAAGTGTGTGAGACGGGGAAAGTCGTGGAAGGGAAGGACTGTGTTGCTGCGTCCTTTCGCGTCTTCCTCTGTGGTCCTGGGTCTAATGCTAATAACTTTGTCCGCAGCTATTCGGTCACGACCATAAGGCTCGCCCGGTCGTCCCCTTACGCGCCGGCAAGCCCGCTCCTCCAGATCAGCCTCGTCATGTTTATATTTGGTCCCCGGGTAATTATCTGCACTTATAGTTATACCTGCGTCGATATCCAACACTCTCAGCGTGTCTTTATGCGCAGCCAGAGCATTTCCGATTTCATAAGGCGAATAGACTGGCATACCTCCATCTATACTCCACATACCGCCGATGGAAAGCTTGAACTCCTCAAGGAATTTTGGTATGGATATCATCCGTGTTAAGTAGTCGGAACCGATATGACAATGTGTGATTTCCAGTTTCTTCATGTTTCCCGATCGAGGAACGAAGTACACGTATGTTGGCTGGTATTCCTGCAGTCCATCCATCGTCACAGACTCGAGGGCTGGAAGGCGGTGGATCAACTGCATGTAGCGTAGGATTTCGACCGTGGCGTAGTAACGCGGTTCATTTATGTCGGGGTGGCTCGCCGTGAAATGGACATGTTTGAGGCTCTGAAGGCCTAGGTTCTTGATGTCTCCGTAGTTAAGCTTGATCAAGTACTCGTCGACAGAGTGATACAGTTCCTCAGCAAGATACAATGTGGTAATGTTTTTGCAAAAAGAGAACAGCAGTGCAAGGCCAACAACCTCGAATTTGAGGCTGCTACAGGCACTATCGCTGTCGCATGCATGCCAGCTCATAACCGCACGGCGCTTAGTGTCGACAGCGCCTATGAAGTCGAAGGTTGTGTTTTCGTCTAAAGAAAGACTACGGATGTAGGCATGAAGCGCGACATGACCCTCATCGATTGGGCTGTCTTTCGGTTTCGGTTTTCTCGGCCGGGAGTCATCAAACATCGGATACCAACGCTGAGTATCAATAATGACTTCGGAAACGGTCTCTGCGCGAGATGGATCTTGGGCATATGTTTTGAGGAGTGAATATAGCCTTTCGGTATCTTTTTGGTTGCGGATACTGATCCGGGAGTATTCGGGGGAGGTAGACATTTTCGTGTGTTTGGGTATTTCTGAATTACGAAGGAGAGATAACTGATGAGTTGAAATATCAGAAATGTCTCAAGGGAAAGTGTTTTAACACTGAATACTCTAATTTCCACAGCGTTGGTTGTTGGTTGGGCTACCCACTGATCGCGGTTTAGTGGAACTGTTGCCTACTACGGTGGATGATACAAAGGCTCACGATCCCACTTGGTCTCCGTGCGTTGTGTTGGTTGTGTTCTTACCAGGCAACAGCGGTATCGCGTTAATTGTCTGTTGGTCTTGCTCGTGTCCAGTAAACCACAATATTCGAGTAAATTCCCTCTCTAAAAAGATCGCGGCATGGTGATTATCGAGCATAGGGTAGGTAGTGATTGTTATTTTAGTCGTGCTAAAAATAGGAATTTAGTGATAGTGGGTGACATAAAGATGAACTGCTGTTCATTCTAATACTGCTTCTAACTGCCTGTATAATTCTGACAGGCCCCACTAAAAGTCTGTTTCAATATGCACCATCACCCTACAGACTGGAAGTTGCAACAGTGGTTGGCAGTTCTCTTCTAAACCTCGGCCTCTTTCAACAACAGAACCTGTGTGCATCACCTGATTCTCTTTTTAAATGTTTCTTTGGTTGACTGCAACGTTGCAACCTTGACACCTGACTCGAGGCATTTCCCTGTGAATTTCAGTAATTCGCGCATGTGAAAGGCCAAAGCGCATACCGGAGCGGCAGTATAATAACCCGCCCCATACCCTAGATCAATACCGGTGACTTTTCCTTTTTTCATCACCCCCAATCCATGACGCTTATGACGTCACCCAACATTCTCCAAAGATGTCATTCTCGTCGAAGTTTCTGCTCATCGCCCTAGTATGCTTGCTCTTGGCCGACCGCGCCTCAGCCTTTGGCGCAGGCGAAGTGGCTGGTAACAGCGAGTTCAATGGCTACGTGTGGCGGCACGGCGACATCGCAGAGGCCCTAAGGTATCTCCCCGTCAGCTTCGTGACGCATTACCGCTTCTCGGCGCTTGAGAGGCGTCAGATCTACTTTGGGAACTGGCTGCGCGACTTTTCGCAGATCATCGACACTACGGGGCTGGACACGGTGCCGGAGCCCGTGCTCAGGGCTATCGTCAGTATCCTGGGCTTTATGGAGTTTGGCTTCGCGACCGATGAGTTTGACGTGACGCGTGAACGCCTCGGGTGCTACACCCACGTGGAGCATATAGACAACCCCAAGGGATACCCCGACAATGCCAAGGATACCGACGAGAGGCTCCGGGGTCCGGTGGATCCTCGCGAGTTGCAGTTTGACGCCAAGACGGGCATGAAGAATTACATCGCCAACTCTGGCAAAGGCTGGGACACCTCTGCAGACTACGTCACGCGCCAACTGCGCGAGTGCATCAAACTCGGCCGCGAGGGCACCCCCAAGGCGAAGAAAGAAGCTTTCATCCACCTCGGCGCCGCGCTGCACACCCTCGAGGATTTCTCCGCCCACAGCAACTTCACCGAGCTCTGCCTCCACGAACTCGGCGAGGAGGACGTCTTTGCGTTTGTCGGCGAGGCGTGTCGCGTCAGGACGCTGGGCTGGAGGTGGAGGATGGTGCCGCCTATTGTCACGGGTACCTTTGGCATGCTGGATATCTTCCACAGCCTTCTCGGCGAGGCTGATGACATGGCTGTGCTGCAGTGCAAGGGCTCACTGGAGAACCTAGAAAATGTACGTTACGCGCTTTCCTTCCTTTGACCAACCGCTAATGTTTTACAGGAGATGAATATAGGCGAAATCGCATTCCAGCATCTCTTCGACATTGTCAAAGCCGCCATCACAGCGATAAGCAAACTCGCTTCCGACAGTACCATCAAAGACCCCATCATGCAGCAGCTCGAGACTGTCGGTGTTCTGTTCCAAAAGGCCGAGGAGGAGAAGAAGAGCACCACGGCTGAGAGCACCCTCGACGCGAACCAGTTGTGGCAGACCATCGAGCCTATCTTCTATCTTCACGACCGCATCAAGAAATGGATCCAGGAGCGTACGGAGCAGCATGATGCTGAGCCGCTATCTGAGGAGTCGAGTTCACAGTTGGGGAAGTACACGGATCAACTTGTGTTTAAGTACTTGTCACTCATGATTGAAAGTTCAATCATGCAACTGCGCAATGCTCTCAAGGCTGCGAAGGAGCGTGTTGACGCGGAAGCTGCAAAGTCTACATCAGCAGAGGTGTACCTCGATGGCGATGGCTCAGACCCTAGCCACTCTGATATCTCCAAGGACCACTTCAGTAACGTTCTCAACCAACCAGCCGGTCTTGTCTCAACAGTCACTACCAACTGGACGACACAGCAGGTAGTCAAATGCTGGGACGACAAGTTCCGCGACGAGGAAGACACCATCCGCCAGATCCTCACCATCATGCACCACCCGGCCTTCCCCCGCCACAAAACCCCCATCCAGAAATACATGTTCGACGCGGTGGAAGAATGGTGGCACCACAACAGCGACTCCGAAAAGAGCACCATCCGCGGCATGCTTACCAAAGAAAGCGTGCGTAGTCGACAGCACGAGAACCACACCCTTACGCTCAAAGACCTAGAGGGCAAGAGGAAGGGCGTCGCGTCATTCCCCGGCTCTAGGCCCAAGCTCAAGCAGAAGCCGGCCAAGCCATCACCTCTGACGTGGGCTGTTGACACGGCCAAGAGTGATGCCAAGTGGGTGTTTGGGGCGGTCAAACGAAGTGTGAGAGACCCTGTTGCGGCTGTTGGGTTTGTGGTTGGGGGGCTGTATATGTTTTTTGCGCAGATTCTCATGGCCATCTTCCGTGTGTTTGGAGGTGGCAAGGTGGCGAGGGAGTGAGGTTGGTATGATACCCTGGATAGATAGAGGTAGGAGAGAGGTGGCCTTACGTACATGAGCGCATGTGTATATGATTAGACCAAGATATCATGGCTGTTGTTTCTAGGTATGATGATTTCTGCTACATAAAGACACAATGAGCGATTGCATCTGTTCACTACACATAAATTACAGTTCTGTCATGTTCAGAACTACTAGTATCACATTCTAAAGACATGAAAGCGCTAGAAAAGTACTCAATTCATTTGTTCTAAATACCAAAACTCCAACCTTGTTCAACACTGGCGCTTCCTCACATTCTAAGCCCAACAGTTAGCCTCCTGGCTATTCGCACCAACAAATGCAGCATGTTGCCCTCAAAATGCAAGCCCTACCAATTCCTCCAAATTTAGACACGATCCAACCACTCCTGAACCAACTCGGCCAGTCGAGGAATGCCATACCCCTTCGCGTCCTTCCACTCATGATGGCCACGCTCAAACCATCGCCAGGCGAGAACAGTCATCCCCTCAGCCGCAGCAGGAGAGAAATCAGGGACGTGAAGATCAGAACAGCGAGTAACAGCCTTCTGCGTCGAGGCGTTGGTGTTGATGCAGCCGCCCCAGCGCGTGGGCATGAGCGACAGGTTGGCGGGAGTCATGCAGACTACCTGCAGATCGCCGGGCGAGGCGCGGAAGGATGGGCTCATGAGGTGCCAGGTTACCATCACGGGGTCCAGCTTCATGATGATGCGTAGACAGGCTTCCTGGCTGGAGGGAGAGCACGCGTTGCCAATGGCCCAGACGAGAAAGGGGCGGATGAGAATGGGGTGATCATCATCCTTGACCTTGGGGGCGGGAGCGCTGGGAAGATCACGAGGGACCATGGTGGTGTTTTCCTCAGCCTTCTTGATAGCCTCAAGCTTAGCCCCAATAGCACCCTTATCAGATTTAGCACGCTCGGGATCAGCGTTCCAGATCGCAAAGTGGGTCTTCTTCATCTCTTCGTTGAAGCCATCCAGAGTCTTCTCGAGCTCCACAATGGAAGCTTGCTGCTCAGGGACCAAAGTGTCGAAAACATGACGAGCCGTCTCTAGCCCAGCGGAGATGCGTTTCATGCTGATTAGCATGGCTTGAATTCTGTCATTGCCGGGGATGTCAGATGCAGAGGCCGACTTGGTGTTGAGGGCAGGAAAGTCGTGGTGCAGCTGATCAAGCTCAGAGCGGAACTGCTCGGTCTTGAAGACGAGAGCATCGATTTGTTCGGCGTCCATGATGAGAGGTGAGAGGATGATGTGAAGGTGATAGATGATAGATTTTGATGAAAAAAAAGATGTTGTGTTATGGTGTTGAGAGATAAGCTATGATGATGAGGTAGTACTCTGAAGAAGGCTGTGTTGGGTCTGAGGTTGTTTGGTTGAGGTTTGATGAAGACGTATGGGAGGGAGGGAGGATTTATGTACGCACGCAAATTTAATGTTGTTCAGTTGTTCGAGAGAATGTTTTACAGGCCTTATGATCATACCTAAGGTCAGGCTGTTCTGGAGCAATAGGGGTCAAGCCACAGTAGGGGAATACACAGACTTGAATGAACAGTAATATATCCTGCAGGACGGTATAGAGTATATCATTAAGTAATTAATACTCTGCTCTGAATGGCAACGAGGAATGAATATTACTATACTTATAAGAATGCTTAGCAATACCACGAGGACAGCTTTATATGTCTTGAGGGAGGATAGAGAGGGAAGAACAGAAAGTGGTACATAAAAGAATCTTTGTAAATTGCTAAAAGGGCAATGCAATAGCTTAAAGTGTATTTCTTGTACAGTGACAAGGGGAAACTTTATTTAAAGGTATTAATATATTAACTTAATATAAAAAATAAAGTTTTATGTAGTTTAGAGAATATTATATTATTATATCTTACTAAAATATATTCTAAAGTATGAATAGTAAGGACTTTATAGTAAATAAAAGGATGTGTCTTTAATCATAAGTATTATTTAAGTATTATAAGATATTTAAGTTAGTCTAAGCATTATTAAAATAGTTTTAGTATAAAATAGAATAATTAATATATTTATCTCTATAGTTATATTATTCTTTAACATTTATATGCCTGCTTATGTTTGCTATTCTTAATCTTATTAACTCTATGGCTTTTAAGCGTTAGACATTGAGTTTAATTCAGTAATCTAGTTCTTTAATACTAGTATTCTCAGTCTTAGGGGCTCCCCTTAAACCACAAATCGCAGTTAAATTGATATATCTACTGATTGCTAATCTACCTAGTGTCTTTCCCTCCCTTAAGCTGATACTCTGTACTATTCCTTTTTAGACTCCTCTAGTCAGTTAAGTCTCGTTTCCTTAATCCGAGCTTTGGTTGTTAAAATGCCCTGCGTGTCATCACATAACAGCTATGGCTCAACAGCTCCTGCGTCTGCTTGAATCTCCTTGAGGCCCTTGATCATCTTCTCCAAATTAGCAGTGAGCTCGCGCTGCTCAGACTTAGCAAGCTCAGGATCAACCTGTCGAAGAGCAACTCCCATCAGAAATACCTCGTCAAGCATATCATCCACCCTCTCCTTAAGCTGTGCAATAGGAGCTTGCTGCACAACGACCAGATGGTCGTGAATACGACGAATCGTATCGGGTCTTGTGAAAGTGGAGTACCGCTCAAATGCCCCAAGGATTTTCCAGGGATTAACATCGTTGCTGGGGATGTCAAATCTAGAGGCCAGGTTGATTCTGAGAGCAGGAAAGTCGTGTTGTACCTGGTTGATCTCAGAGCGGACCCGCCAGGCCTCACGGACGAGTCTGTCTATCCGTTCAGTCTGGTTGTCGAAGGGAATACTAGATGCAGAGGCCGGCTTACTCATGAGGTCGGGAAAGTCGAGGACTAGCTGTCTGACGTCAGAGAAGAGCTTACCGACCTCGAGCCTGAGCTTTTCGAGTCTTTCGGCACGAGGGATATAAGATGTAGCGGTCGACAGAGGCTTGAGGGCGGGAAAGTGGAGTAATTGGTCAATGTCCAAATTCAATCTCTGGGCCTCAAGGAGTTGCTTGCGGCTTTCGAGGACGAAAGGCGTCATAGCTTCGGATTCGGAAACATCGACTAGCTCTAAGGATAGATCACACATTAGCCGCCAGCCCTCGGGTGCCAACCTCTCAGCCTCAGTGAGTAGTTTCTGGCTCTCACGGACGAGTTTGTCGAGTCTTTTAGCGGCTGGGATATCAGGTATAGAGGTCGATATGAGCTCGAGGGCAGGAAGGTCCTGGAGTAGCTGATTCATGTCAGAATGTAATTTCTGGCTGTTAAGAGCGAAGTTGTTAAGTTTTTCGGCTGCCATGATGTGTAGATGATAGATGTTGATTTGTGGTGTTGATAGATGAGGCGATGCTTTGAAGAATGGTGTTTGATTGAAGTTGGGAAGAGAAGTTTGTAATGGACGTGAGAGATGCTTATATAGGTATGTTGCTGTTGTTTCTTTGGTGTTTGACTGAATGCTTTGAAGTCCTCAGGTCCGTGCTTTAGATCAGGCTGTTCGGGCGAGAACCTTAATAGGAACCAAGGAAATGGGAATGCACGGACTTGGAGACTTGGATTGAACAATGGTATCAATCATAGAACAGTGGTATTAATTATAGAACAGTGGTATTGATTATAGAACAATGATGTTAATTATAACATAGTGATGTTAATTAGAGAATAGTGTGAAGTGAATTATTGAGTGAACAATATTCTGCTCTCGCTCGTGGCAACTTAAATGAGCACTTTTGGTGAATATAGGATTGTGTAAGGAGGTCGGAGGAATTGATATCTAAATGCGAAGCTTTGTGCAGAGAAAGGACCTGCAGTAAAAGAAAGCCGAGAGCGTCTGTACAGAGGGCTTCGGTGTAAGCGCCTTTTTTCTGACCGAAAAGCATTGAAACAGGTATTCTCAAGAGTATAGGAGTATTCCATATGTTCTGAAAATTGCCGACAGTTTACATTATTTACGCTTCAACCAATAAACTCCGTGCAAGAAGAAATAATGCGTCCAACACTAGTAATAATTCAAGCTTAATATACAAGTGAGGAATTACAGATGAGAACTTCCATTATCAAATTATCTTCATGTTTATTAAATGAGCTATGTCCGGATGTCTTCCATGATCGGGATAATTGTGATTATTCAATCCTTTGTTTCCACCATATAGACCATTGACCCCGTCATCCTCCTAGTCATCATCACAACATTTCAAGCATTCTAAAGCGCTGGATCCACTGGCACCATCAGGTTGAACGGGTCCCTCTCTGGCGACCTGGACGCCTTTATCCAGTGCTCGTTGCAAGGACACTACCCTGACTAGCTGGCGTCTTCGCTCGGCCTTTTCGGTAGGTCCCACCACGGAGCGTTATCGGTCCACATCGCAGACATGCAGCAGGTGCATGGCAAGCATGCGTAGACTAACGTCCAAAGGCAACCTCTTTTCACTTTGACATGCACTGGGAAAATGTATCAGTGGTACCGCAGCAACAGGGAAACATGAAGAACGAACTGTATTGTGCATAGTACTTAATCCAACTGGAAATCTTTGGCTTGGCCATTTGATAGTATAGATGAAATCAAAGGATGAGTTACGCTACAGTAGAATCCGAGAAAAGCAAAATATAGCCAGTCGTGGCAAATAAGAACTCTAAAAAAATGTATTAGGTTATATTGTGGGTAGAGGTGGAGGAGAAATAATAAGGATGAAGCAGTTTGTGAGGCGCCGGGGAGATACATCTGCTGCGCTGACATCATTGCTCTTCAAGTGTAACAACCCCCGCAGTAATAATTTAGGCATAGGATCGGTAGCTTATCGGCTTATCGTTATCTTATCAGTGCCACACACGTTGCCACGTCGTAGCCGTTCAAGATTGCCAAACCATCTGAGACCCGCTATACTAATATTATTGCAAGTGGTGTAGTGTCCACTACGGTAACGTAGGTTCATACGACTACGCATACTGTCTTTTCTACAAGCACAATATTCCAGGGAGGAGTGACCACCACTTGCTACCCTCTGCGCGACAAAGTTGAGAACGGTTTTCCATGGTGACTTGCGGTTTGCCTGGGGTGATGCGTTCCCACCATCTGCCTTAATTTACTCCGAAGGAATTGCAGACTTTTTGGGCGGTAGGTTCAACGCTGCCGTAGCTTTGGGGCCATTGGTCTAAGAGACTGATGATAGAGACGGACTGTGTAGGGAGGCTGTCGAGGGCTTGGGTACGTCGGAAGTGTGGTACTTATACTTATAGAGTTACTAGACATGGCAATTATTAGTTGCTACTGAATCCACCTGAAGAAATAGACTCGGTAGCTTGAGTAGTTCTAGTATTGGAATTGGTAGGAGTATTAGAGACAACCTCAGGGTGATGCATTGGGTACGTATTGGAGTATTGGCGGATATGAGACGGGTTTAACAACCGGGCGAAAGGGTTTATTTTTGTTTTTTCGGGGTAGGTTGGAGATATTTTGGAGTAGCACGGGGAAACAAGTGCGGCGAACAAGAAGTGAGCCAAAGAGCCGAGTGATAGAGGCTAATTTAAACAATACTCTTTTTATCTTTCTATCTTTTTATCTTTCCTTGATTGACGAGAATATTCCTCGGCTTGGGCCTTATCAATCAACCTCGGCACTCTTAAGCGACCCACAATCACGACTTTTCATTGTGGGCCTTAATTTAGTATCACATGGCACCGAGAACGTCTGTCTCCTGATATTTCCTTATATTATCTGACATTTTCCTTGCTTCCTTGATGCCGACTTCTTCCACAGTCTAAGCGTCTCTATCCTCTGTACCAGAGTCAGCACATTGTATAACTATTGTATCTTCCTCCCTCTGAAACGAGAATATTTCTTGTTGTTCTTCTCTAATAGGCCCTTTCGAGATGACAAGCATCGACAAGCCGCTGTCTAAAACCCAGGTCTCAAGACTTGGTGACTTTGAATCTGTCGAGAAGTCCATCAAAGAGCTACTGCTACAGCCTGATTACGACGATGGCAGTGTCGGCCCTGTACTTGTCCGCCTAGCCTGGTATGACTGCACCCAACTAGGAAATTATGAGCTGATGGCTGACAAAATCTAAGGCACTCTTCTGGCACGTACGATGTAGCAACTGATACTGGCGGTTCCAATGGTGCTGGTATGCGTTACGAAGCCGAGGGTGGCGATCCCGCCAATGCTGGTCTTCAAAATGCTCGTGTCTTCCTAGAGCCGGTCAAGCGTCTTTACCCATGGATCACATACTCAGATCTCTGGACACTTGCTGGTGTAACTGCCATTAGAGCTATGGGAGGTCCGGATATTGACTGGCTGCCTGGCCGAACCGACTTCGTGGATGATAGCAAGCTCCCACCGCGCGGCCGTCTTCCTGATGCGGCTCAAGGAGCACAGCACCTCCGGGATATCTTCTATCGAATGGGATTCAACGACCGTGAGATCGTGGCTCTAAGTGGTGCCCATAATCTCGGCCGTTGCCATACTCAAAACTCTGGCTTTGAGGGCAAATGGGTCAATAATCCAACACGATTTTCGAACCAGTATTTTCGCCTGCTGCTATCCGAAGAATGGAAAGAGAAGACAGTTGCAGAATCCGGCGTAACCCAGTTCTCTTCTGTTGACCCGGACACTGAGGAGGAGTTGATGATGCTCCCTACCGATATGGCATTGACGACAGACCCCGAGTTCTCCAAGTACGTGCACCTCTACGCTGAAGATAAGGAGTTGTTCTTCAACGACTTCAAAGCAGCATTCGCCAAGCTGCTTGAACTTGGAATAGTAAGAGACAGGGAGGGAAATATCACAAATAGTGATAACGAGAAGGGAGGTTATAGAAGTGCCCCGAAAAAGAGTGACTCGATGTCAGCGAATGCAGGATCTCAGCATGTACCTCAGACAGGTGGATGCCCAGTTATGCACGCCAGGGCAAAGCTGTAGAATGTTGTCTGCAAATTTATGTATAGATACCTATAAATGGGATAGAAAGTGAGTGTGGTTTATAGAGTGATAGATTAGATCCTAGACTTTTTCTTAGAGTAACAAGATGGCTAAGGTTGTCAAAGTATGATCGTCACAGTGTTACCAACTGTCATTGGAGCAAACCTTAACATCTGTGGACTGCATGACATTGTCGTCTTAGTTAGTTTCCATCGCAGCGCAATATCTTCCAACATGCGTGGAAACCACCCTACATCCAAAGCTCAAACGTGCTGTCAAGCCGATCTCCGATACATCTCTTCCGTTCCGCCGAATAAACACTTCCTCGTCGTTCACCATTAGGATCACGGATAGTTCTACACGTCAACTATGATCCGATCTTGAAAATCTCCCAGTTCAAGCGTGTCTTTCCCCACATTCACTTCCACCCCGCAAACTAACCTCCGCCTGGGTTCTGTAACCCGACATGCAGCCGTGTATTGGTCACGCATTGTCCAATAGCTGGCAATTGTTTCGTAAACGATTTGCTGTAATGTGCCCAGGAATTGACGGGAGTATGCAGTCAGCTGCTGATCGCCCGGCTTCCGAGAGGTTTGATTGGTGTCTATACTGGAGGTCTTGGCCATCTCAGCCATAAAGATCACGGGAGTCGTACCAAGTGTCCTTTACATACCCCGCCTCGCTACCATCTAGTGAGGCTCGTCTACAACTCTCAATACACATCGGTACCTGAGGTAACATGGTTGATGCAAAGCCAGATCATGTCGACGTCCTCATCGTAGGCGCTGGGCCAGCCGGATTGATGATGGCTACGTGGCTCGCCAGATGTGGTATCAAGACGAGAATTGTCGATAAGCGAGGAACAAAGGTGAGTGCCACAATCACAACCACACAACACGGATTCATCCTGCCTCTAGATCTTCAACGGCCAAGCAGATGGTCTCCAATGCCGAACTCTGGAGATCTTTGACTCTTTTGGCTTTGCCCATAGAGCCTGGATCGAAGCAAATCACATGCTCGAGATCTCTCTCTGGAACCCTGATGAGACAGGCGTCCTGCGAAGAAGCTCCCGCATTCCCGATACAATCCCTGGGATCAGCCGTTTCCAGCAAGTTGTTCTTCACCAAGGCCGAATTGAGAGATTCTTTCTTGACGCGATCAACGAGTTCAGTCAAGGAGCCATCTCAGTAGAACGTAGAGTCTTGCCTACAAGTCTCGAAATTGATACGACTACTGTCGAAGACTTAGACGCGTATCCTATCACCGTCAAACTCCGACATCTCAGTGAAGAAGAAGCCCAATCAAAACAAACTGCTACTTCCGCCAATGGCGAAGCCATCCAAGACGGCCTCTTCTGCAGCAATCTTTCCCCCGACGATACAGCCGACATGCTCAAATCAGCCCAACTGAACAAAAAAGCCGACATTGTTGAAACTGTCAAAGCAAAGTACATGCTAGGTGCAGATGGCGCCCACTCCTGGGTCCGCAAAGAACTCGGGTTCAAGCTCGAGGGAGAGTCGACTGACTACATCTGAGGTGTTCTCGACATCGTACCCATCACTGATTTCCCCGATATTCGTCAGCGCTGCGCCATTCAGTCTGCTAGCTCTGGGAGTGTCATGGTTATTCCACGGGAGAACAAGTTGGTACGCTTATATATCCAACTTACTACGACGGAAAAGACGGAAAAGACGGAAAAGACGGAAAAGACGGAAAAGACGGAAAAGACGGAAGAGCAGGAGTCGGGAGCGGATCGTTCTTGGATCACTCCTGAAGTTATTCTTGAGTCAGCGCAGAGAATCCTAGCGCCGTATAGGATCACTTATCGTAAGCTTGATTGGTGGACTGCCTATCAGATTGGGCAGCGTGTAGGGTCGAGCTTTTCGGCTCATGAGAGGGTGTTCTTGGCTGGTGATGCTGTTCACACTCACAGGTATGAGATGTCCAAAACCGACATGGAACAGATCTAACAAGATATTTCATAGCCCCAAAGCTGGCCAAGGCATGAACGTTAGCATGCAGGATTGTAAGTCCTGGCTTCTGCTGCGCTACCACCAAAACTAACTTCTGCCAGTTTTCAACTTAGGATGGAAAGTCGCAACCGTCGTCAAGGGTCTTGCTAGCAGATCTATCCTCAGAACCTACGAATCTGAGAGGAAGGGTATCGCTCAGGCACTGATTGACTTTGATCACAAGTTTTCTCGACTCTTCTCTGGACGACCGGCGAAAGGTATCATGGATGAGGAAGGCATTAGTATGGAAGCGTTCAAGGAAGCTTTTGAGAGGGGCAACCTGTTTGCCAGTGGAATTGGCAAGTCTCCTTTTTCACCCGAGGCACCATCAGAACTGACTCGGGTTTTCCAGCTGTCGAATACGACAAGAGCAACATTGTCGCTAAGCCCTGCGTTGATAACTCTAGGTTGTCAGACGAGAAGAGGCAATCTTTAGCACCAGAGATCAAACTCGGCATGAGAATGCCCAGTGTCAAAGTCTTGAATCAGTCTGATGCTCGGCCATGGCATTTACAAGAACTCCTCAGAAGCAACGGTACTTGGAGAGTAATTCTATTCCATGGCAACATAGGTTTGGGGAGACAAAAGAAGAGGATGATCAACATGTGCGATAAGCTATCGGATGAGTCTTCGTTCCTCAGACCATTTACACCACCATCAGCTCGATATGACTCCGTCATCGAAGTCCTGACTATTCATGCGTCAAAGCGCCAAGAGCACGATGTCTTTGACTTCCCGGAGGTTCTACGTCCATGCGATGAGGTTGATGGTTGGGACTATAGCAAGATCTTTGTTGACGACGGATCTTACCACGAGGGCCATGGCCAGTTATACAAAACGTGGGGGATTTCTTCTGGCGAAGGCTGCGTTGTTATTCTACGCCCGGTTCAGTATGTGTCTTATGTTGGCGCGATGGATGACTACGATTCACTCGATGGCTTCTTTTCTCGGCTTTTGTTGCCTCAAACTGGTCCTGTAGTATCGAGCGCCTGAGAATGTTGATAGTTTGGATGAAAGTGGTGGGAAAGGGTTCGTGGCCGAATATATAGTTGGATTAAATGTATAGTAATCCTGCAGTGCTCATATCTACTGACATCTAAAAAAAAAAGACATTCTAGGCTATGATCCTTTCCAGAAACACGCTTGATGTGTGTTCATTGGACTGAAATGCTGTGGATGTTGGCTCACTCCAGTGACACGTCACTATAAGAAGATTGTTATTCTTGCTAAGAGCGCCAGGTATCCCGAATCGGAGTGTCAATACTTGTGTGATTGACTCCGAAGTAAAAGGCAGACACGGCATCTATATATAGTATATGTCAACACAGTCGTTTAATAATTTTGAAATATATTCACGTCTTACGAATTTTATAAGCATCCATGGCAAGGTATGAAAACCCATTACAGAAGGCAAGGGGCTGCATATGTCCGCATAACTAAGTCTTAGTCCTGAGGGTGTGTGTGTGTGTGGGGGGGGGGGGCAGCTTTTATATGTACAGCTGTGTGAATCACAGTCTACGTGTGTGCGACTTCTGCTGCCTTGATTATATTAAGTTTGACCTTAGAAGGGTTATTTTTATTATTGATATCATTGAGAGATTTAGAAAGCCTGGGCTTGATCAAGTTGAAGGTTAAAGTAAAAAGAGGAAAAAAAGAAAAAAAAGTCTTAGTCCTAATTCCTACTAAAATTATCCATGAGCTTCAAAACAGCGTCTCTTCTGGGCCAATCGGTAGCTGCAATAATCTCGCGCAAAGAATACTCTTCCTCGAGATCGTCAGAGAATTCAAGACGAGGCCTGCCACGTAATTTCTGACATTTATCGATAGCATCTTGCAGCGAATAGCTGAAAGGCGGTGCGCTGCCGTCCCACAATTTCCAAAGATGATGGCTCTCTACATATCGAAACTCAATCGTCAAAGTTGCTTCATAGTTTTTGCGGACGGTGATCCTAATCAGACAATAAGGGTCGGCTCCTTTTTTCAAAAACTGTTCAACAATTTCCCCAAAGACGAAATCTCGCTGAAATGGTGCATAGTCAGAAATAATGGTGGTGGCTAAGTAGAATTGCCAAGCCGTTAAAGAGCGAAAACGTCCCCTACTCCGTCGATTTTGTTGTCTTTCACTACCAGAGTGAAACGGGAGCAGGGGAATTACCGAGTTGGGCGAAAAGACATCGTTGCAGAAGAATAGTTTCCAATGCTCTGACATGAGAAGTTCCCACCCTACTAAAGCTCGCGTAAGAGGAGAAAGTCGGATCGCAGGGTCATGTTGGATCTTCCATTCGATATAGTCACTTTGATCAGTGTTTGTCGCTATCAGGATAGTGTGAGCGAAATAGCTCCAGTATTTGGAGTCCTGACTTATCCTCGACAGGTAATCTGAGCGGGGGTCGTCGGGGTTGAAATACCAGTTCAAATGAGGTGAATCAAATAAAGCAATGTTGTTCCAAATATTGCCCATCCATGTATTAATGTACTCAAGGAAATGGTACGGTGGCCGTTCGTTCTTCTCCGCCAGAAGCAGTAAAACTATACGTCGGATTTCTCCAAATAGACACAGGCTGTCACCATCCTGCGTGATTCGGATCACAGCGAAGGACAGATGGATGAGAACATGAACGATATCCATCCCCTCAAGGGCTTCCTCCATCTGTGAACTTAGATTGTTGGTCTTGACGTTTCCCCGGAACATTTCTGGAACAGATTGATGCACAAATTCGAGGGTGTCAGGGACGTCGAAGCTACCCGGAATATATTCGATCAGCCCGCCACAGGTACCACGGAATCGAGTAAGCAAAGTTTGCTGATTATGCAGAGGCCAATCAACATCCTTCCGCATAGAGAACTCCGGGTCTTTAACGTATTCGTCCAGTAGTGAGGATGCAAGCAATGAGAACCGCAGTCCTTTTGACTTCGCGGTTTGAACTAGACGTATAGTCCGCAGAGTCCATATTCTATCAGCATCAGTTTCGAGACTGTCCAGGACATGTTGGAAGAGAGCCTTGAGGTCCCCCGGCAGAGCTCCGAGGAGCGTTTCTAAGGCGTCGTTGCTAGATATGCACCCTATATTGTTCCGGATAGTTCTGACAACAAGGTATGTCCATAGAAAGACGCCCGACGACCTTTCTGGGATGAGGTAAATGAGTTTATTTCGTATTGCCTCATCCTCGAGGCTGCTGAGGCGACTGCGAACATAATCTTGCATGTCGACTCTGTTCAAATCTTGGAGTCGAAAGCCGGGGTAGTTTCGGTATGCCTCCATAAAGACACGTTCTTCCCTGCTTGAAACGCATAGTTTGAGGGTTCCGTTTGCATGGGTTGTCCACTTGCGGAAGATACCAAGCATATCGGCATAATCCTTACCATCTTGACAGTCGGGATCAAATTCGTCTAGACCGTCGATAAAAAAGCAGAAACGATGTTTGTCGCCGAGTTGTGGATTCTGAAGAAGCCGGTGGAAAGCATCCTCAATCAAAGCTCTTGGGAAATCTAGGTTGATGCCTGCTATCCCTAGAGTTTGCTCTGCCTTATTTCAGTAATCAGGAAGGGTGTCGGGTAGTAAATCGGGACGTTGTTTCAGGACTTCATAAAGCAAAGTACGACGAAGCCCTGCCAAAGACTTTTGCATGTCCGTGCCGTGCCGCCAAGAGAAAAATGAAGCGAAAACGAGCTTGTTTGTACCTAGAAAGTTTTAGCAATCGCACACGCTGATGAAAGCGAGACTGTTCGTACCAGCCCACTTGTTAAGCTCTTGGACTGTCCTTGGATGACGGCAGAGGAACTTCATCAACGTTGACTTTCCAGATCCCAGCTTTCCTGAGATGTGAAAGACCGGGGATGATGAATCGCTAGATGAAAGCCAATTGATGAACTTTTCTCGTCGCTCGTACTGCATCTGCAGAACAAGGTTGTTAGCCCATTTCTTCTAGTTTATGATGGCCATTCATACCCTGCGGGTTCGTTGCGTCATCAGACTATCTTTAGTCAAGTCAAAAGATCCAGAAGAGTCGCCATCCTGGACTGTGCCCAAATCTTCATATATCCAATTCAAGGTGCTTTCGTGCGCAGCGTGGACGGCCTCGTATCGACGGCACATTTCATCGAATTTGATGTTGTCGAGAATGCGGTCCTGACTTATAGCACACCGTGCTTGCGAGCCAATTGTAAGAAGCTCCTGGAAGTTTGAAAACGCCTCGTTGTCGGTCATAGATAGTTGTGCTTGGCGTAGGTGCTCTAAAGCTTGCGTCAGGCTATCCAGCTTGGTTTCATTGGTCTTGGCCAGGAGAACCAGCTTTTGAAACCCGTCGGCAGCTTCAGCTCTACAGTTTATCAGTAATGACGCGGTTCTTCCGAGTAGGGAGATACATACCTCGAAAATACAGACATTGCAAGGGCAAGCTGGTGGCGGTCGTTCTTGAGCTGATCCTCCAATTCTTTAATCGAGCCTTTGTTCCACATCGATTTTAAAGTATGCTTCACTGTTTCTAGCCGCTTTCGTGAACTTTGATTTGGCTTGAGTTCGTTTAAAATCGTCGCCAATTTTGATGAAGTGTTTCTGCAGCGCTGGGCAGCTTCGAATAGTAACTCTTGCTCTTCGTTCGCGTTAGAGGGTGCCATGGACTGCAACCTGGCAGCAGCTTGATCTACTTCGTCAGAGATCTCCTCAATGCGCCTGTTTGCGCTCAGGGCGCCATCGGCGGAGTTGTGAATCTCATTCGCAGTTCGAATGAACTTGAAGCCGATGTCAACAAACGTCAAGATCGCTGAGCCCAGCCCAATTGCGGTGACGGGATCCATGGTTGGACACACGCCAATGGTCAAAAGAATCGATGATGATAGTTGGGTGCGAAAGCTTGAGAGTGTTGAGAGTGGGCACGAGCAGCCTAAAATATTGGATTTCGCAACAGACATACTACGCAGCTAGCCGTGAGATCAGGGGCAATTGAAAAGGCTACAACAATCGTAGTCACTATCGTGGCCATACCGCAGCCTGATCCATAATTTTCTTTGTTGATTATATTCGTGCGACATTGTGGCGGGATGATATCTGACATGCCTCACCGACATTTACATATTATTGAAGCTGTACATTGTTTGTGTGTGCTGTTGATATACAAAATTGATGTTTCTAGATAGAGCTTTGTCCAGCTACTGCTACTGCTACTACGTAGTTGATGTCGCCTCAGTCTGGCTAGCTGCAGATGTCGCCGTCGGCTTAGCTGTAGCTGACGCAGTACCACTACCACTAGGCCTCTCACCGCCATCACCCCCAGCGCCACCCTTCACCACCTGCGCCTGCACGATTTGCCCAGCTTTGTTGAAAACGATATTAACCAATGAACTCAGTTCCGCGTACTCATACGTTTTCTGCAAGAGTCCGTTTGCCAAGGTCTTCTCCTGGCCAGTAAAAGTCATGTTCTGCTTGTAGTTGCCGACAATGGAGTCCACGGCATCGCCACCGCCCTTGACGACGGACTGTACAATGTTGCCGAGGTTGTCAATGAGGAAGTTGAGCTTGGTGTCGCCCTGGGTGATGGAGCCAAGAAGACCGTCCACGACGCCAATGACGCCCTCGACAATATCGCCGACTGAGTCGAGGAGGTTGATGAGCGCGGGGTTGAGATCGAGAGAGGCCAGAGTGCGGTTGACAATTTCGACCAGATGGCCTAGTCGCACAACGAGCTCAAGCTCGGCTTCAACATCGGCAATAGTGATGTTGACCTTTTCGATGCCAATCTGGATACCGGCGTTGATCTGAACAAGCTTCGCAATATCGGCATTAAGGTTGATATCTGCGTGCAGATTGTCGACGTCTAGCTCAATGCGCCCGACAGAGAGTTCAGGGACTTTGAGGTGAACATCAGGAGGGCCAAGAGAAGAGTTGCTTGAGCCTCCAATACTGCCCCCAGATCCTCCACTTCCTCCGCCTCCAGGTGCAGAAGTAGGTTGTGTTGCGCTCTCGCTGGCGGTGTTTGCAGGCGACGTGGGAGCAACAGAGATGCTCTCCGCAGTGGTTACTGGATCTGTTGAATCAGGTGTTTGTGCCTGAGCAAAGCCCAGCGTGAAGAGGTGAGCCAACACCAGCGGCTGAAGAAGAGAGACGCGCATTTTGGAAAAATTAATTGAGGTTGTGATGGATGAGAATGGCAAGTTTCAACGCAACGATAATAACAATGAGATTTGTCTGCCAGAGGGGGCTGCCTTTGATGATGCATCCCCCGCCACAAATCTTTCCATGGAAACACTCGATGGCCCATGCATAAAGTGGACACTCCTTGTAACCATTGCAATCTCCTCTCCGTTCCGGCTGCTTGCCGACGTTGCTGTAAGCTTAATTAGTTGGGTATATCGTCCGGTTGTAAGATCCCATTCAGATTTACCCGATGCGAAAACCGGATTTACGTTGCTTTGAGAGAAATTAGTGATGTGCTAGCCGGGTCCCAGATCGAGATTGGGGCCATGCATTGATGGGGTGAGCAGGGATATGGAAGATGCGGCCATTGACAGCTCACTACAGACTCCACTGGGGAGTGATTCCCCCTGCATTAGCCGTCGGAGATCAAGCCCAGGACATGCACCGTTTCAAGTTGTTTTCTATCCGGAGAGCCGTATTATACTACATCAGCCAATGCTTCACCTCCAAATATTGCAGGGGTGGTGATACAGCCTTAGTTTTTGTTACCGTTGGAGAGGGGGACTTCTCTTCCTCTAACATACTCAGTGTGCCCTTCTCACGGGCATCTTAGACTTTCAATACCTTCCTTTGCCATTTCCAGGCTCCTTCTACTCATCACCACAAACAAATACAATGAGACACCATTCAGCATTCGGTGCCCTGGCTTTCGCCTCTCTGCTAGGCTTCGTCACTGCAAAGGCCAAAGGCGATGGCTACTACGGCTACCGTCTGAACCGTCGTGGCGATGACGAGTCTGCCATTTACGAGACGGAAAACACCAACAGCGGCGTCCCGCCTCTTAACCAGGAGCCGGATGTTTACCTCAACGCTAATGTCTCTGTTGGAGAGATCTCAATTGAGGTCCAGAACATTACCGCTAAGATCAACCTCGATGCCAAAGTTCTCAACCTGCTCAACTTCAACGCCGGTGTTGATCTCGGTATTGACCGTGTGAAGCTCGGCATTTACAACGTCACCGCCAAGGTTGAGCTCGAGGCTCGTCTGGGAAATATCCTGAGAATGGTTGATGATGTTCTCGAGAGCATCGACCTGAACCCCATTATCGCTACTCTGGGTGATAATGTTAAGGACATCGTTGGCGATGTCGGCGATGTCATTGGCGGAAGCGGAGGAAGCAGCGGATCAGGTGAAACTGCCGAGGAGTTGGAAAAGCGAGATCTCACCATCCGCCTCGAAAACAACATCCTCTACTCCATCAACGACTTCACCGGCTCAGCCCACACAAACCGCGTCCTGACCCAAGACGGCTTCCTCTACAACATCAACCTCGACAACCAAGGCGTTGAGAAGCGCCGAAAGGAAGTCGGCTACTACAGCAAAGACATGAAGTTCACCGGCCACAACAGGACCATCACTGGAGACGAGGGTACTGAGTTTGAGCTGCAGTACACTTATGCGCCTTATCACGGACTCAGCGCGTACTGCAATATTTACACTGATGCTACTGGCAAGGTTCTGCGGACCAAGATTGTTGCTGAGGCGGAGGGTGGAGGTGCTGCTACTATTGCGAACAAGGAGGATGCTGATTTATAAGAGGAGTTTGTAATGAGTACTCTAGAGTAATTGACAGCGTTCATTGAGATTTCTTTGGATTGACCACATGTGATTAAGTGATGTGACGTCCACGTAGAGTTTCTTGGGTCAGTGCTGAGGGTAGTTATCTCGATAACTCATAATGAACACTGGTAATAGCTAATGGCGTCCAACCCTGAATGTATTGCATGTTACCACACCGTATCAGGAATCGGGTTGTTTATGATACCCAGCTTTTCGCGGCATATTCACCCGTGATAGCCACTCCTCAGACCAAGCAAGCCATATATAGTGTACCAAAGCTGGTTCACTCGATAGAATTGGTGGGCCTTGCCTATTGTTCCGTTTGTAAATCTCCAATCTTTACGCGAATAGTTGGATAGGAGGCAAAAGGATAAGGAAGTCATTGTTTGACGCGTCGTGTTACAACCTGGGAGAGACTTTGAACAGAGGCTTATGCTAAACAGGAGGCAATATTTGTGAGATTCCGTCCTAACTGATTGAACTTGCCCTTGAGGCGTGATCATCGTGCTATTGTTTCTGGGGTGAAAGTTCATTTACCTGATATTATATGTACGTCTTATAGCGGAGGGTGTGATAATCCATGGCGGGATATTTAATTCCGAGGCGTATAGTAAAGACTCATAGTACTCCAAGGCGTTATAGCAGTAGCACAAGCAATGGAACATACATTGATATCTTAGTAATTAGTACCTTAATTCGTCTGTAGGGTATTTTGTATCTTGTTATAAGTACCTCTAATGGGACGAATTATGCGTGCTAAGAAAAACTACCTACTGTTCAGAGGCTTGTTTAAAAGGAATAACTGGGACTTTTAGTTGCGTTGATAAACATGCGCCAGTAGGCGCTGGGTTAATATTTATTTCTTTATCCCAACAGGCTCCGCATAGGCACTTAGGAAACCTGGACAGAATCTTCGGTCTCGCGCTAATACAAACCTTACGTTAACTTATGATCTAGTAGCACCTAAGAAGACACCACTAGAACCGCCATATTGAAATAAAGATATATATAAACTCTGGAAGGAGTGTCTGGACTTCCAGTAGTCCTCGGGAAGGCAATGTCATCGTGCAAGGTGGATCACCAGAGTGGATGTGTTCACAAGGGATGTCGTGAGCATTACGAAGACACATTGTGTAAATAATGTTCGTGTTGGTCAGTTGCTATAAGCTTTGCAAGAGACTATCGAATAATGGCATATGATCTTGCATTCCCGAGTGAATACGAGGTGCTACGCCAGTTTGACAGGGGATTTAACTTTGCTACAAAATGGGCATAATAAAGCGGTAAGATCCTACGAGAAAATAAGGTCATTAGGTTAAACGTTACAATAGGCTAAGGTTGTGATCCTACGGCGCAGATGCATCTTGATTGGTGGTGATCCTTCCAGTCAGGTCTCGACCTCGTACCCCTGCAAAATAGACATCGCTAATCTAATCTAAGCGAGGGGAAAGAGAAGCATGGGAAATGTTCAAGATCGTGCAACTATGAGAAAGATTAAAATTGGGGGACTTGGTGGTATATCGTTGATGAATATTTAAGCTTAAGAATAGTTAAGTTGATCACAAAATAAACTCTAAATCTAGAGTAATGAATTCGTATCTTTGTGAAAATCTGCCGTCTTGCGGCGTATGTCCCAAGGCTGAGAATGTGAGGGACGTTACGTGACTATTTTTGGAAAGTGGTATTCTCACCTCTGCGGCAAAGTGAGTCACCGGGCGAGGCTAACCATGCCAACAAGAAGGATAAGTAGTTAACTGGCTTCGTGTAATTTTACTTCTTGACCACTTCGTTTCATTGATCTAAATTGTTACAAGTATCATACTTCACCATGGGCTGCAGTTCCTCAAAACCAGTGGGTGACGACACACGTGCCCCTCGACCAGCAAAGAGCGTCCCAGAATCGGAAAATTCAAGATTCGAGAATCTCACTCTCCCCGAAGTATCATGGGAGAGAGACGAGGCATGGTCAGAGTGGATCTGCGATAACGAAAAGCAAGCCATCCAGGCGGGACGACATGAAGAGTTCCTTGAGCATTTTCGCGACATTATGTACCTTGGCGTGCGTGGCCGGTTCAATACACTATATCCTGAATGCGAGGCAAATGGCACAATTGACGACATAGCACAGCCACATGTGTGCTTAAGTACAGGGCCTTGTTCAGGCGATGGCGGGTTCGAATGGTCTACACGAGGAGTGCTGGTGCTGGATGCGGCCTTTAGTGGAATCGTTCACGTTTCTGCTATCATGGTTGCCAAACCTCCTCAGAGACCAGATGTCACAGACGAGAAACAGCAAGAGAGTCCTGACCATTCACAACCTTGGCTGGTTCCCGGAGCAGAGCTTGACAGTCCCGAGATGAGAGGAGCGAAGCATGCTGTAGTGCAACAGGTTGCTTACACGAAATCAAAGGGCACAAACGTCAGCCACTGCCTTATGTACGTCTTCGTCGGTGCAGATCTAGTAGTCTGTCGCTTTGACTCTTCACCCAAACCACCAACAATCACACGCCACCCTGTCAACCGCCCAAAGATTCTAATAGAAACCATGAACGGAATCGTGAAGGATACAAAGAAAGCACCTGATCTGTTTCGCGGGCTTTTTGCCCCCCATTGGTTTCGACAAGTGGTTAAAGATATGACAAATGGATTCGAGGGGAGCACAGTCTGGGATGAAGGTTCATTGCCCTTTATGCTTCCCAACGGACGCATGTACCATGAGCCGACACGACTACTAATGACTCGAGTGTACGAGAAGATGACCGAGACAGTTGAAGAGGTGTCTCTCACAGCAACGCCTCCTCCTTTCCCGGGTGACGATACCCCGGGTAATCCTGTGACTTTGGTCAGGAAGGCAGATCCTACCAAGGAGCCTGGGGGTATCGTCAGAATCGCACTGATCATTGGCGTAAGCAAGGATGTCGTATGGCCTAAGATTGGTGACTATGAAAAGACTTCGACTATGGCAGCTGGCGAAAAGGCTGTGGTGGAGTATGCCAAGGGCCTTTACGAAAAGGGTGTTATGGACCGCTGCGGTATATGGATCTACATGGGAACTGATGAGAGTGTCTTCAAACTCATTGGAGATCCCAACACATTGAAGCCAAGGGAGAGGGCACTACCTCGTCTAAGTGAGCTGGGTGACCCTTCAAAAATGGCAGCAAGCCAGGGGATGCCCCCGGATCCATGGGGGGATAAGAGTCTGGAAAAAGACTTTAATTTATCCATTTCGATCCAACCAAAACACCACTTGATGGCCTCGGAGAGTAATTTCCAGGCTATCAAGCAGTACATGAAGAACAAAGCCCAGGACAAGTCCCCCAAGGAGCTGTACGACCAAGCCATGCGCGCGATGCCAATGGCAGCACAGCACATCTTGAAGAGCAACTTCCCCGAGTGCGAAGTGACAGACGAAGGATTCTTCCCCGTTGTTCTTCCTGATGGCACCGAAGCCGCTGACCCCGAAGCTCGTCTCGTTGTGGCGCGCGATCCCAAGCAAGAGCCGACGAGTATTGTGGCTGCTGTCCACGTCGTTCCTTGTCCCTCAGGCGTGCATGGAGAATTCAATATGTACAGCGACAAGAACTGGCTCGAAACGCCCGAGATGAAAGCAGCGGACCAGAGATTGCTGGAACTGTTGAAGAAATGGCATGTCGAGGGGAAATTGTCAAAGGTGGACTGCATGGCGCAGACGATGATGGTCAAGGATGCGACGATTTACAAATTTGTTGACGGGGAGAGGTTTGAGGATTATAGCGAAGAGGGGATGGCACAGTTCCGTTGGGGCTGATGGAGGGCTGGGATAAATAAAGAGATAATAATGATCGTAGCGAATTCAATAGTAATTATCTTATATATGCCTCTAATTAAGTAAATCCTTAGCTGTTCGAATGATGGGCGTACAAAGGATAATGTAGACATATTCCATTATGCTTTTCATAAGCGTGTATGTGGTGCTGTACTACTCAACACCGTCTATTAACCAAGCCAGCAGTCCAAACTTTTACTACGACAGATAATATTTGTCTTGCTATTATCCGTATCTTGAGCTATTTATACTGGATTACCATGCAAAACTCTCCTCAACCAATCTCACGACTACGCCTCTTGTCCCTAATTCCGTAACTGTAGCTCTGACTTCGTCCGCCATACCAGCTGGCCCACAAACAACTACCGTTGTGCCACCCACAGCGCTTCCAAGCTCTTCCGTAAACGCCTTTTTGAGATCAATCCGCCGTCCAACAGAGACTGAAATATCAAAGTCGTTCCACGTCTCTTGGCCATCTGCGGCGAAACCAACGCGTGGAATAATTGTTCGTACCGCCTCCACGAGTGGCTCGGTCCTCACGCCCCAGAGCAGCTTCTTCTTACCTCCAAGACCTAGCGCACTTGGACTTTGATTGAGATATGATAGCACGCCGCTGATACCAACGCCTCCTCCTACACAGATCACGTTGGGGTACTCGATATCTGGGGATGAGATTGGGGAAGCTAGTATAGACTGGTGACCGTAAAAGCCTTCAATCAGAACAGGGATACCGACAGTTGAGTTTCTGGAGGCTGACAAGAGAGAGGTCAAACCACCGTGGCGTCGAACCAAGATGACTAGGCCGGGGACATTGGTGTCGGATGAGTATTGCTCGAGGTCAGTCACATTTGTCACATTCTTCTCTTCCAAGCTGGAATTCTCTCTGCCATTTTGAGATTGGCCCTTGGGAGAGCCGACAGGGCGAGTAGAGACAGCCGCCACGGAAAAGGGATGATTCTCCCAGACGCGCCAAGTCAACGTCGGGAAGTACAGGTAGACGCGGCCTTCTGCTTGTACACCAGGAATAGTGATCTGAAGGTAATCTTCGTCTATGACCGCGATGATCGCTCTCTTGACGCCGTGCTGCAGCACCCTCATTGGCCTAGCCAGTATGCGGTCGAATATCCAGAAAGCGAAGGTGATCCATATCCAGGTCTGATATCCCCACTGCCACTCGTACCGATAGAAGATATGCAGCATGCAGCCTATCATTGACAAAAGGGCGAGGACCACATGCGATGCCAGGAAAGCCTCGTATAGCTTCTTTCGGAGTGGGAGGATGGACAGAGGCATCAGAAGAACCAAAGCTAAGGTAGCCACAATACCCCAGACCCAGTAATCCTCCTTTGCTTCCTTCTCATACGCACCTTCACCCTTCGCGGGGTCTAGGTAGATCTGCAAGTAGATGGCAGAATGCAAGCACGCCTGCAGCATGCAGATTACAGCGATCCAGCGGTGAAGCAGAAGAAAGGTCGAGTAGGACCAGTCAGTGACCCAGAGGAGAAGGCTATTCCGGCTCGAGAAGAGAACAGCGAGGGCAAGATTGACGAAGCTCAAAATACCGACACGGTTGCTGATGTATGCCACAAGCTGCTGCTCGACGGAGCTGTACCACGACATGGGATCTCTTAATTCGTATCCAACCGATGAAAGAATTATGTTGATGACCCATATGTACGCGATGAATAGGCCCTGGCCGCGGGTGGGAATAAAGCCAAGTCCGAGAACTGGGACGGCGTGGCAGCTTCCGAACAGAGGGGGTTCGATGAAGGTGGCGTAGAATCGAGAGATGATGGATTGAGGAATTGGGAGGAATCGAAGGCAGGACAAGGCGATGGGGATAGCTACGCAGGTAGCCATGAGAATGATTCTATCTTTCGGTTAGCCTAGGGGAACGGGATTGTCGCCTGGGTACATACCCATATTTCTCTGTCACAATCTCCATCTTCTCAAAAATATCATCGGCGTTGAAGTTGCTCAGCCACACATCCTCGTCCACGAGAGAAGTCTTATTAAGCACAGCCATCGACTCAAGGATGCTCTTCGGCGGGGATGCAGAAACAGAAGATAAGGCAACCTGATACGAGTACTTGGGCGAGGGTTGAGTTTTCAGTCTTCCGACGATATCCATCTCCCAAACTCCCTCAAGGGTTGAATTCTTCGCTTCTGGGCAGTGTGTATAAAAGCACCACGCCATGGTTTCAAGAAACATATCATTAGTAGCTTTGCACTCTGGTGTTGCGGCAGCCATATGCATTGAGCCCATGTCATCATCCATACCGTGATCATCGTCACATTGAAGAGCCCATCCGTTGACTGTGTCGATGCATGCGAAGGCGCAGGGAGGATCATACATGGAGATGCCGTAGCCGATAAGACCGTATCGTTCGCGGCCAGATGTTGACATTGCCCAGGCGCTGGGAGCCACGAGAGCTAGAGTTGAAGGTAGCGGTCGCATGATGGCAGGTAGTAAGGACGCTCGGTAGTGGGCAACAGTAAGAGGGCGAGCTTCCCAGGTGAGATACTTTTATATGTATCCAGAGACTCGGGATCCGTGGCGTCGACTGACAAGGATTAGAAAGACTTTTGTCAGGTGAGGTCGCTAAGTACAGGCATGGATGTGAAGTAACAGTACCATTGGAGTTATGGCATGATATTGTGTCTCACAGAAGAGTCCAGGCACGCCATGGCTTATCATTCTAAGCTATATCAGTAACTTACGAGAATGATTGAGCAGATATTGACTGTTCAGTGGCTTTGTCTGGAACCCTCTAGCCTTGCAGGACCCGCTGCCACAGGCTCAGAGTCAAGGAATAATTAAAGATTTTCTCGGGGAATGTTAACCCAACTCGTTTAAGGCCTTTTTTCGTTTAAGACTTTACAATTACTATCTTTCCATAGGCTGGACTGATGGTGTGGGGCCACTATCGAAGAGGCTGTTGTGACCCCCATGCCCAAGTGAAACTCGCTCAAATGTGCGCATTCTCCCGAGTCGTCGGTGGACACTGCAAGATATAGGACTGGAAGTCTACAATTGGACTGATCAAGATTTGGCACTCATTCTTTTTATGGGACTTTTCCTTTATCATTGATCTTCTTACATAACCACCATTTAGTCGTTGTAGGCTACGTTTTAGAATGAGAAACTCAAATTTCATACCACAATCCTAAAAAGACATCTTTATGTCTCTATGCATAGGGAGGTAAAGCTAGTAAGAACTGTCCGTCCTATGCTTGATACAGACGTTGAAAGGGTACCTAGCGATTGCACGAGGCCAATCCGTCACTGAGGTCGTAAGCTTCCTGAGGCGTGGTCTGGTCGTCTACCTGTAGCTTTCGCGAAGCAATGCCTATCATATCAGGAACTATCACAGGCAGAGTTCGTCATGATATAATGGGATGTTTAGGACCTCGTGGAGGTCTGAACAGTTCCCCACGCCTCATTAATGAGTTGCTTGATCGTGCGGGGCTTGATGTCTGGAAACTCCTAGTTTAGGGTCCATTCCGGCTCTCAATTGAACAGGCCCTTCGCGACCATAAGTCCCAGGGTGGCAAGAACCCCCTGAAGAGCAGGCTTCGGAACGAAATGGTATGCCTGAAGATGTGATGGGAGCTCAGTAACCTTGCCAGCAGCCAGATCCTCTAACGAGTCGTGAGAGACGGTAAACTTAGCCCCCTTGGCATCCTCGGCTATCTTGAGAAGCTCATTCGGCGTGGCCTTATCACCCAGGATATACGCCTCAGGCACCCATTTCGCTTTCTCAACGTGGGCCGCCACGAACTTTGCAACATCTCAGGTGTGGGTAAACACGGTAGCATTATTTCCTGTACCCGGAATACCAGCAGCGTTGTTTGTGATGTCAAGAAAAGTGCGAGGGGGACGAGGTGTGTCGGAACCACAGGGGCGACGAAGTAATCAAGGAATAGGCCGTTGTAGATGGCCGTGTACTCGAGTGAGGACGCCTTCAGTAATTCAAGGCAGTCGATCTTCAACTTGGCAGCCGGGAAGTCCTTGATGGTTCTGTGAAGAGTAACGTTAGCCTTCAACAGTTTCCGTTGGGATATGCGGAAAGGAGCTTCTACTCTTCGCTATAAGGCACGCCCCAAATGCTCGGAATGTACCGCTTAGTTACAGTCGACCTGTCTGCAGCACGAATAAGTGCTTCCTCAGGCCCGTGTCCAGTCATCATTTCTAGTGTCGAAATTACTGTTCCGATCTTGTTCTCCTCCAAGACTTCAGCTAAGCCGGGAATGTTTTCGTAGTCCACAGTAATAATGCGTGAGCCAAGCTCATTTTACTTTTCCTTGGAGGGCTTTTTAGTTGTTCGACGGTAGTGTCTTTGATACTACTTAACGTGCGTGTAAGGCCCACGGGGGTACATAACATGCCTTACGAGATAGAACGACCACTCCGAACTTGCCTGTGCCATTGAGTGCGTCAACAATGGCACGACCAACGCCGCCAGTACCTCCAGCTACAGCGATGACGGACATGGCGTAGAACTTCGCCGGGTGTTTATATCGTGATAGAAGTGGGGGAGGTAGCACACGGTCAAGAATGACGGATCGAGAGCTTGGAGCAACAATTCTGGAACTAGATAGAGGGGATGAGGTTTGCCTGCAACTTATATGTATTGATGCGAAAATATCCACCGCTACTCCGCCATGCGGAGTTTTGCCTTATGTACTGTCTAGGCGGCATTCTTGCTGGTTCGGCTTCAAATCCGAACGCCCCGTGCAAAGTATAATGCTTCGTTTCGACTAGAGCGGCAAGTTGTTAGTGAAGCCGTTCTCGAGCGTGTCTGGCATGATCAACCCTTTGTAATAAGCATCCTAGGAGAACACCCATATCTATATTATCACTCAGTTCTACAGGTGGCAATCCGAAAGTGAGCCACATTCCGACCAGTAACTTAAGTATTTTTGGACGAGCGTTGACTAAGTAGATCCCACCGCTGGATGACTCGCGCATTGAGATTAGTATCACCACTCAACATCACTGGAACCTTGTATATCTACAGAACTCCGCATTCGTGCACGGATTCTAGCAATACTCCGCCCTCGCGCCCGGGTTCTAGTAATACTCCGTTCCGGGTTCCATAATGAGAAAGCTGGTAGATACATAGCCGCCAAATAATCAGTTATTATCTGCCCAATACTGCCTCATCTTAAATATGAGTTTAAAGTTAGTATTACTCATTTATTACACCCAAGTGGTAGACAGTTATGCTCTTGTTAGAACTGCGTTAGTTGTTACAACTGTAATGCTTCTAGTAAAATATTCTAAGTAATACTGCCCAGAACGAAATTTAAGGGTTTGCTCTGAGTGTTACCTTTGGTTCTGAGAGCCCTTTTCATTCTTAACACATTTCAGCACTGGTGTTGTGATTACGGAGTACAAGGCATAATAAAGTCCGGCGTGAATACGAGATCCTGGATCTAAACTTTAATAGTCCTCGTAGTTTCAGTAGCATACTAGGTTTTCCAAAGCTAGAAAGATAACATCGTGACTTAATTAAATATATCTTTCCTTCCACACAAGAATCTGTAAAGAAAAAAGATTATAAACTAGGATACATAAAGTATTATAAGTGGAAGGTTATCAACCAGGAGAATTGTGGAAGGGTCGATTACAGACTGGGGCGGTTGCTATTGTCTGTTGCCTTGTTATACAGGCCCAAGACAGTCAGCACATATCAAAATCATCACATGATAGTGATGGGCGAATGGTTTAGTGGTATAATACTCCCTTAGCAACTTCTCTACGAGATTTTCCTTCTGGGAGTGGTCCAGGGTTCGATTCCCTGTTCGTCCAATTCAGGCGGCTCAATACTGTCATTATCCACTCTTTTTGTCATTCAAAAACCCGTCTCTCAATCAACTCACATATAGCGGATTTCGTAAATAGCAGATTTTACCCGAATGTCACGTTGACTTTCTCTGTCAGGTTTATTATAGATTCTAAACTCAGTCTCTGTTCCAGTGTAATCACGCTATGTAGCTCTTCTCAGTGATCCTTGCCATGACCCAATTTCAAGTTTGGGGCAAAAGGCTATGGTCGCAAAAGCTCACAATTACAACATCAAAACAACCCACCTGTTGAATCAGCCTCACACAGATAGGGAAACTACGGCACGAGAGTCTGTGGCCAATAAGAAGCTGAAGACTAATTGATGTCGAGTACGACACCAATCAAAACTGAGCTTTAGCGAACTGCCGTACCGCGATACGCCTTGCGTATAGATTGCGGGGGCAGGGCAGACTACCAAGATATCCCGCCGACAGAGCCATTATGCCTACTGCTACGGAAGGATGCCTGAACGTCTCGGAAGGCTGAATCTAATACCTTCCAATATTCTACTGGCCCCAACTTAACCAGTAACTGAACAGGTCATTATCATAAGAGACCATGGCATCATACCGATACAGGCCACTCCAGGCTGCAATTCAAGAGATCCGATTTGTTCATCTCTTGCCTGGGCTCTTTCAGGACTCCATCAAGATCCGCATCGTCCACTCCCCGTTTCCCCTACATCCAGCACCGAAATCTAACTACCACAACCCTCATGTCAATAATCTGAAGGCTTCGGTGCCCCGGCCGTGGTCGGTAGAAGAGACTGAACGTGGCAACCTCATCTTGTTCAATGTGGCTACTGGCGAGACACATCCGATCGACGTTCCCTCGGATGGTACATCAGAGGAATCCCAGGAGTATCAGCCACGATATGAAGCATTGTCATATGTATGGGGAACCGGCAACATTTCCGAACTTGCCCAAGTGGAATCTGAGCATCGTCAATCACACCAGGCCCCAACAACTATCGGAGTTCGCCCCAATCTCGCATCAGCATTGCGCCACCTCCGGTCTCCTAACGAGACTCGTGTCTTATGGATCGACGCCATATGCATTAACCAAGATGATATCACCGAGCGTAACGAACAGGTCAAGAGGATGACCAACATCTACGCCTTCGCGCATCAAGTGGTAGCCTGGCTTGGTGAAGAAGCAGATGACAGCAAACATGCCCTCGCCACACTGCAGCATGTTTCTCAGCAACTCGAGGCGACAAAGGCAGTTCGTGTAATCGCCGCTCCTGGCGCCACGGAGCCTAGGCTATGGAGGAACGACCACGCGCCACAATTTGACCAGCAGACCTGGCAAGCGATTATACAGTTTGTTCAGCGCGAGTGGTTCTATCGCCTCTGGTGCTGGCAGGAGATCAATCTCGCTGGTCGCGGCCACATGCAGTGTGGGAGTGATAAGATGCAGTGGAACGACTTTTGGCTAGCCATACTCTGTCTCAACAACAAAGATACTTCACTTAACATCAACTTTCGTGAACGATGTCGACATATTGTCTTTCTGAAGTACGGTACAAGGAGTCACTCCATGGCTAATATTCTTGATATCAGTCGTAGCAAAGGCTGTGTCAACCCCAGAGATAAGATATACGGACTCTTGGGTATTACGGCGTCATACTTCAGCTCCAGAATCACGGTTGATTACCTGCGACCTCTCGAGGATGTTTACAAAGAGGCATTTTTGGCCCATCTTGACGTTACAGAACGGCTAGAACTGCTAAAGCATTGCGATCTAACGAATCGCCAAATCGGGGGTCCATCCTGGGTGCCCGACTGGTCCAGAACAGAACTTGCAGCGCCGCTCCTCAGCGAGCAACTCTCCTCTGGTATATCCCGAGCATACTTTACACTCAAAGAGCCAGATATACTTGAGGTCAAGGGAATTCAGCATATCATGGTCAAATCTATCAATTGTATCGCATCTAAGGTAGAAGAGGAGACGCTGCTTGCAGTCAAAGATTGGTTCCAGGATCTGCCAGCCGGCAATTACTTTACTGGCGAAAGCATGGAGACTGCCTTTGTACTGACACTCTGTATGGAGCGCACACGAGAGCGACATCCATATAATCACAACAAAAGCAATGCAGAATGGGTTAAAACACTGCATAAGATGTTGAGTTTGACCGAAAACTCGCGGGACGATCCGTTCTACTCTGAGAGGGAGACTGCAAACACGATACAAAAGATCCGTGGCCGTCGCTTTTTCACGACCGAAAATGGCCTGATTGGCACTGCACCAGCTTGTACTCAGATCGGTAGGTCGGGCATAACCCTCGTCTAAAGAGATTGAAGTACTAATATTGTTAGGCGATTCTATATGCCTTGTACTAGGAACCTACGCTCCCATGGTTCTACGCCCAATCTCTTCGGGAACATTTCAAGTAGTCGGAGAATGCTACGTCTACGGCCTCTCGGACGCATTTGGCTTTCTTGGCCCATTACCATCGCACTGGAAGGCTATCATCAAGGGAGATGCGCTGGGAAGGCCGCTTCAGCTGTTTATGAACATGACAAATGGACAGGAGACAATAGATGACCCCCGGTTACCGTTACCGCCAGGTTGGGAACGAACAACATACGAAAGGCTTCCCGAGGATCCTGCTATCTTTCAGAAATTTCGGAATTTGGAAACGGGTGAAGTCATCAACTATGATCCAAGGTTGACGCCTGAAGAGTTGGAAGCTCGTGGTGTTAAACTACAAACATTCAAGCTAATCTGAATATTCTTAGGCTTAATGGTGTAAGCGGAGTTTAGCATTTGATTTTTAAGATTCCGTTAAATTGTACTTGTATCCCATCTGAAATAAATATTTCTCAATACAAATATGACAATGTGGCTCGGCTGACTTGTACGTTGACATATGAGCTTATGGAGCCGATGCAGCGTACGGTTCTACATTGGATGACGAGACGTAGCTTCCTTAAGCTTGGCACATAGCATTACACATTGCATAATATCTTGCAACACATTCACAACGTAATCCTTGCTACATCTCCCGGGTCGCTCCAGCATCAAATATCGTAAACACACTAAGTAATACAACTCGTGCTTAGCCTTCCAGCTTCTTAAACTTGATCAGGCACGACGATTCCTAGTACACTTTAGTAATTGCCAACGCAAAGCATATAAGCGCCAGGCGTACCTTGACCTTTGGGAATCTCTCATCGTAAAAGGTTTCGACACGAGCCGTGATGGCTGGGCTGGTATTCTCAAACCCAGGAGCTATCGAAGTCTCGAACTGTCGGTAGATGGCAGCTGTAAGGGTGGTCATCTCGGCCATTGCCAGGCTGAATAATGTCAGAGTCGGAAACAAGAGGGGTATATCAGGGGGCAGTGGTTGACTTACTGCATGCCGATGCACATGCGTCCTCCGCTAGAAAACCCCCAGAACCATCGATTCATCTCCGCTGCCTGTGGTCCGAGCCAACGCTCGGGGTCGAAGACGAGCGCATCCTTGAACACGTCTGGGTTTCGATGCATAACCCAAGGCGACATTCCTACAACAGTATGGGCGGGGATTGTATAGCCATCAACAGCGACATCAGCGTCACAAGACCGGGGTTCTGTGCTAGGTAGCGGGGCGTATAGCCTCAACGTCTCCTTAATAACGGCTTGGAGATATTCGCAGCGGTCACTTGCTTCAACCTTAGGGTTGCCGTGCGGGTTCAGTGAGTCTCCTGATAAAGCCATGACTTCTTCTCTGAGCTTCTCTTGGATCTTCTCGTTGCCTGGTAAGGAGAGCGACCAGAGAAGAAACATAAGAGTGTCACTTGTGGTGTCAATGCCGGCAAGGAAATGATCTGCACATTCAGAGGCCATTTGCATATCGCGCATTCCACCCTTTGTCTGACTCTCGTGGTACTTCCAGAGCCGTTCAAGAATCGAAACGTATTCGTCTGAGTCCAAAGTCAGTCTCACAATTCTCCCGACTGGAGATGTACCTACCTGGCTCGTTGGTCAGTCCAACCGCATCAACCTCAGCTCGGAAACTCTTGAAAGCCCCCAGCGCATATGCTCGGATGCCAGTATATGTGGTAGGTTGCTGCATTGGCAGCACAGGCTTCACCAGTTGCGCGGTAACGCCAGTCTGCTGATACAGCCACTTGGTGAATGCCTTGAAGTGCACGATGAACCAGGATAACCTGCGACGAGAAGGATGCAGAATATCAGAAATAAGCGCCCGATGCATCTTGGAACCCCGAATAGCTGCTGTCGCGCCATATTTTCCGTAGACAAACGCGGTGATGTTGTCGAGCGAATAATAATGCAAGGTGCTGAAGATCTCGCTCACAAGCTCAGGCTCACTCTCAATGAGATCCAGATACTGTCGAACCTTTCTCTCCACCATCTTTGTCGTCGCGGGCTTCAGCACAGCAGATTTGGAATATGCGTGTGAGAGCAACTTCTTCCGGTCGCCGTGCTCCTTGGGCGAGTGGAACGTAAACAGATTCTGCTCGCCATACACATCGAACATGCGGTAAAAGGTGGTTCGGCCAAATTTACTTCCTGGGCCGTACATGGTTCGCAGAGCCGCAAGGCTGTTGAACGACACCTCGTTTGGGCCGATGCGCACCGCCGGGCCATACTTCTGATGCAATTGGTAGATGGTGCGGGTTCGCGTGCCTTTCCAGTCCTCGTAGGCAAGTCTCCATTTTGTGACGGCGAAGAGTTTGGGGCCGGGGATGTGCTTGAGGGGACTGAGGATGAGGGGATCTAGAAGGAAGTGCTTGACGAGGAGTGCAGCTGCGACAATCGCTACGATAGGGACAATGGCCATTGTGACGACGGTGTTGGCTCACAACAATATATCAATTGAGATATAACTGAACTGCGATGGAAAAGCCCATGGGTGACGGCGTTTATTTAAACACAGAGAGATCATTCCAACATGTTTGCTAAAATTGATGTTTCCCTTCCCCGCAGTCTTTGTCGTCGTAGGGCGTAGGTAAGGCGGAACATGAAGCGAAAATGCGGGCCTTGATTGTAGCTTAAAAGTCTGATCCAGTCATTATCAGTAGTTTTTGTATTGCTAAAACGCATATCTCGGGCACACGGCGTGAAGACGCCGACGGTTATCGGTCGTGAATGCCGGGCGCCCCTACGCCCTACCTTGATTTTGTTGAAATCTCCTGGCCAGTCAACGTGGAGGAGTTTCTAAGATTTTGTTTCCCCTCATTGTGAAGCTAATCGCGGACGATGGTGAGCGTTGGCGAGTTGTGTTGAGTGGGATAAGGGAGGCCGTGGTACCCGACGGAAGGCAATACATTTGAGGAAGAATATGACGGCTGACAGTGTCATTTTTCTACTCACTTTGTCTGATGGTCGTTCGATTGACAAACCATACAAAGAGTTGCAAAAGGCGGGTAAAACTTAATGCACAGTGATAGTGAGACGTTATTAAAAAGTAAAATACTTTTTACCTTCTCCATCGGTGTGTTATTTTGGAGGCTCACTGTGTAAGATTACAACCTCAGGTTTGTCGCGAGAATCAAACCAGTAGAGAATACATTGGTTCAGAATTTATGATGTTTAGAAATCACAATGTGGCATAGGGTAAGAGACTTGAAAGCTCTGGGATACGATAAGATACCACGTTATCGCACAGTCGATAAGGGAAATGGTTGACATGTGATAAAGTGAATGCCTTAGTCCGGAACTTTATTGATTAGGGCTTAGGTTAATCACTCTGATGCCTGCCCATCATCATTACTTGGCAATCTTGGATACTACGTACGGACGAGGGACTGGCATTCTTTTGCCTCGGCAGGTAGGAGTAATTCTGACCCGCTTTATAACGTCACTTTAGCTTGCTTGCTGATATGTCCACCAATTGCTTTTTCAATCCGAGATGACGGAGCGTAGTTGGGTGGGGTTGAATGCCTAAAATGTCAACCCCGCGGTACATCTCGACAGCTTCATCATCCTGACCAAGGAATCTTCAAGGGATTGACGACCTGTCATTGAGTTGACTGGATTGAAAGTGTTGGTGTTAGGTTTAATTATTAGTTCTCGCTACCCGTGATATTTCCGTGTTTTTCTTTTAAGCTCAAGGTTGTAAGAAAGTAGCTATTAGATAAAGCTCATTTCGACATGTGTCACGGCTAAAAACAAGCTTTATCGCAGATCGGCGATTTCAGGTACGGGTACCGCATTTCCAAACGCACGGTTTCATTTGGCAACAGAGCTCTTTCACCAGCACGCGACGTCCCGTCAAGCAATTGAGCTACGAGGGAAAAGGAAAGTCAACGCTCGACTCCAGGGATTGATAGGGCAAAAATCAGGGAAACGCCTGGGGTCCTTCCAGGATCAGTTACGTAACCACTGCATCACCATCACGAAAAGCATGTGGGACAAAGAAGTGGCTGAACCATCCATTGCATTCGCCACAGAGTGCGTGGAGCATAATGTGTAACAACCTTGCAACCGTCTCAATTCAGTAGAAAACAGGGATTGTCGTTTGGTTGCTTTTTTTTTTCTTACCCACGTCGTCATAGATGTCATTTAGCCAAAGTGACGAACGATGACAGCATTAGCCACGATGGATGCTGAGGACCGACGCAGCTTGGGGTAGCTCACGGTAGCTAAAACCAGCTCGCGCCCCCTTCCATCGTGGCTTGTTACACCATCAACTCAACGACCTCTTACACTTTGACTTAAACAACCAATTTATCATCCATTTACTCAAACAACTTAATAATTACCATCAATATGGCTTCCGAACTCCCCGAGAACGCCCTCAGCAAGCTCGCCTCCTCTGTCAAGAACATTGTCACCGGCGTGCCCCTTGAGGACAATGACGTCGATATGCAGGAGACCAAGGTTGACAAGACCGTGGCCAAGTCTGCCGACAAGACCAAGACTCTCGACAAGACTGTAGAAAAGTCTGTTGACAAGACCGTCGAGGTCGACGATCACGCCACAGTACACAAGGAGAAGACCGCTCCTGTGGTGCACGAGGACGTCAAGTCCCACGAGCACGAGAAGGTTGACACTGAGGTTGACCACGAGATCCACCAGGACCACTACCACACCACCATCCAGCCCGTCAAGGATAAGAACGTCCTTCCTACCAAGCATGTCTACCAGGAGAACGAGGCTGAGCGGGAGATTGACCACCGAGACGACAAGGCCAAGAAGGCTGCTGAGGCCGAGGCTGCCAGAATTCGCAACGAGAAGGTTGTCGAGGGTACTACCCACTCAAAGGAGATTGCTCCTACACATGAGAACCAACATATCCACCAGTAAGTCATCTCCATCCCCGTGCAATTACGCCTACTCACACACCATAGCCACATTCACGAAACCATCCAGCCCGTCATCGAGAGAGAAACAGTCCAACAAAAGGTCGTCCACACAACAAACCACATCCACGAGACTGAACACCTAAAGGACCAGCACCACGAAGCCACCGTCGCCCCCGCGATCTCAATGAGCGACTTCAAGAAGGACACCGGCGCTGCCGCCGTCACAGAGGATATTGAGTTTCCCGTTTCGGAGGTCAGCAAGGGTGTTGCAGTGCACGCCAAGAAGAGAGAGGTGGCGCAGGCAAACGTGGACGCTGAGGATACTAAAGTTGGTAAGTCGGCCAAGTTGATGGAATCTTAAAAATGTCCCGCAAATAACAAGATTTAATTAGAATCTATCTAGTGAAAAGGAAGCGAGGGTCTGATTGTCCCGTGATTGATTGCAGATGTACCTGTCACAAATAGTGCATTCTTCTGCGCTCATGAATTATGTTTGGGAATGGTTGATGGTGGCGTTATTTGGATATAATATCCCACTCTGGCAGATTAATGGCTTGACACGGATGTAATACTAGATACCTTGAAATATCACTTCTTCACTTATGGTGACCCGTTTAAAATTCACATTGATACTTGTGAAAGATTGCTATAAGCACAATACTTTTCTCAAGAAACAGAACCATAAACAAATCAGCTCTGGCATCATCTTCTAGCTGCTACCTGTCAATCAAATGGGCTTTCTTCCCCAAACCACCTTCTGCCTATAATACGAATGAATCTTTGGCGACCGGATATCACGCTTCAAATGAGCGACAAAGACGGTAATCTCTCTTTCCGTCCATCCAAGAGAAGTCGCCATATGCAGCACCGTTCCCTTGGCGTCTTGTTCGAAGGCGGCTTGCGTATACTGTCCGATGCTCCGCTGCTTTGGATCTTTAGGCCACCCGCCAACGGGGTTCTATCAATGCGTTAGTCCTTGACATCATATCAGTAGAATAAAACACACCTTGAAATCTCTTTCTTCAATATCAACAAATCCAGCATCTCTCATTGCGGCCTTCTGTATCCCCTCTTCGAAGATGGTGAAAGGTCGACCGAGCTTGCGTCCGCCCTCGACAAAGAATTTCTCCCACTGACTCAAAGCACTTCCTTCACGAACTGTGCCGTCGTCGCTCTCAACGCGGGAGCCTGGCTCGTAGCTCTCTACGTATCCTCCCGGCTTCAGGCTTTTGTATGCTTGCTTGAAGAGGGCTGTCCAGTCTACGATGCTGCCGACTAGCCAGCGTATGTGGACGTAGTCGAGGGACGCGGAGGCGAAGGACCATTCTTGGGTGCAGTCATCTATCTGGCTGGCAAGGGATTAGCAGAAAGCTTACGAGACACTTGAGAATTGTGGAACTCACAACTCGAGGTTTGGTGGTATCCAAGTTGGTTGGATGGGTGCAAGGTCAGTCCCAACAACCGAGGCATTGGGAAACATATCAGCGAATTCCCTGTGATTGGTATAAGCTTTCGTATCTTATCAGTTGACTTCAGAGAGCTTACATAGCCCATATTCCTGGCTGCATGTTAAACCCCTGATGGTAATTGCTAGGGTTAAGTGTACGTACCTGTGCCAGTTCCAATATCTACCGCCGCCTTGTTGATGGTATTAGCTAGCAAACTAAGTAAATGGGTAGATTTGAGGCCATACCTGGATATCCGTTGAGATGGGTGCCAAGTAGAGCTTATCGCCCAGTAGCAGCGTAAGCACATGATGGCTAGACAAGGTATGGTCAGCCGAACTCTTGTTTTGTTCAACAAACTCACTTGATGTCCATTGCCTCCTGTTGAAGATCATCGATGGGGCCCCTTGATAGTTAATTGTTAGTGGTTTCGATCTCGTTCATGCAACCTTGAACACACCAGTAGTTGGTATTGCCCCGCTCACTCTGGTACGACCTGCCGTGAAGCGTCCTGTACTGGAGGATGCTAGAAGCCAGGGATGCAGTTGAGCTAGCATTATCAGACAGGGTCGAGTCGGTATCGTCCGGTGCATCATCTTCCTAAGTAACACGTCCAGTAAGCCTTGTTCTGGGTGTTTCAATATCGTCTCGCCTACCTCGGTTAGCTGTATCCAATGTTGAGGTGGAAGGAGGCCAGTGGCGGTTTGCGGGCGACTGGCTTTGGAGGAACCAGGAGACGTCGGATTGGCCGGCGCATGATGGGCGGCTTCATCGGATGGAGAGGTAGACATCTTGATCAGCCGGACTGCAGTTGAGAATAAGGTGAAGTGAAAATAAAGGCGCAGGTGACATTGAGTGTTATTTATTTAATGTCTCAAGCGGGGAGAAGTGTCCTTCTACCCTCCCCGGTTCCATATATTCCACCAAGGGAAGGAGCGGTATTGCTGTTACATTGTTGGTTGCGGTATGCTCAACCAACATCGAGTTGCTGTGGTGTATCGGCCAATGATGCTTCGTATGGACTCTTGGCAGCCGGGATCATGTTGTTGTGCATGCCGCGGGACTGAGCCGATGCATGTCGTTTTTCGAAGCGTCCACCTAATGGCGTGACATTATGCAGACAGAGTCCGATTTCTTTCAATCACCAAATTCTAGCTACCATTAAGTAAAAGGATTGTGTATGTAGTAAAATCACTGCTGATATAGTAGTGAGTCGTGTACTATTGGTCTTGTAGAAATGGCATGACAATTGTGATCCATCATAGGGACAACTTATTTATGGAGTTTGGCTCTTTTGTGACGGCAGCGGTGTCAGATCATGGGTGTCGAACCAACGAGTAGACAAGAATCCCCGTTTAGTCGATCGTGTTTAGCAAACACATAAATAAGGAAATAAATATTCCAGTCAGTGCATAGTAACACGTAATTCAGTAAACAAATAAAGTTTTAGTCCATGTGGCCAGAGTGATCTTGCTATTGATATATCGGCCTTAATAACTGCTATGATTGAATCTCATTTCATAATTTCAATACTGGATCCAGACAGGTGGACAGAATAAAAGGGAGAAAGTGCTCCAAAGGTAGGTTATTTCAGGTGAAAATAAACACCAAATACTGGGGATAAGTAATAAATCCTGGGGAATATGCATGAGACAAGGGGTGACGGTGGGTTTCCTACTGACTAAGGGTTTTTGGGTCTCCGGACCGCATCAATAGTGAATTTTGTAGTCCGTCGATACGAGTGATATGCATAGACAGAAACGAAAAGATCTATCGCAGGCTCCAGTATCTGTCATATCATCCGGTTGGCAGGACCTTATCTCTCTGCAAAACAGCTGATGAATCCTTATCACATCGCTGGTCGAAAAATAATCTGAGCAATATGAACAAGCAAATAAGCTTGAATCAGATACTGGGATCTATAAATTTGTTTATCCAATCGGCAGGCACTGAAATTAAGTTAAGCGAAGCTAATGGAAAAAGTATCAAGCCTAAGCCTTGTGAAGTGTTAATAGTTCTGGCCGACTTTGAAACTATTGAAGATAGCCCAGCCGCTGAAGTAGACGAGGCGTATCAAATTTCTCCATCTGTCTCTAGCAGACTACATAACAAACCCCTTTCAAGATTTAATAAAGTCTCCTACTCCAGAATTCTCGTTCTTTCTTCCATTCCTTCAACTGCATTTATTGCTGTCTTACCACACTCGTTTAAGATGATTTCCAAGACGTTCGTTACCGCTTTCGTAGCGACTTGCCTGATGGTTGGCTCCATCGCCAGTCCATGCAAAGTCAGCTCCAGGACAACTGAAGCGTCCACCACCGGAGGTGCTTCAACCACAATCGCTTCCACCGAGACTACAGCAAACGCAGAGACCACCGCAGTTACCGAGAAGGCTTCCAGTACTGTCGAGGATACCACCACCACTGGTCTTTCCAGCATTGCGCTTTCGACGACTGAGCAGTTGAGCGTCACCATCACCGTGTCCGGGGGCAGCATTGCGACCACCCTTGCTACTACGACCGTTATCTCGTCCAGCCAAGACTCTTCAGTGGCAGACTCGACATCCACTGAGGCCGAGAGTACCGTGACCAGCAACGAATCTGTCGCGACGACTACCGATGGTACAGCCACTGCAGTTGCCACCACCACTGAGGCTACCACCACCACGGCGGAAGCCACTTCTGGTCCATCATTCATCGCCAACGCCGGTTTCGAAGACTCCTCTGAATCAGTTTTACCTTGGTCACTGTCTACATTATCAACGACCACCCTAACCGTTGACACGAGCATCAGTCATGACGGCCGAAACTCCGCCCACCTCGGCTTCTCTGATCCAGTCCAAAACTCCATTCAGCAACAACTTGAAGGCCCGATCATGGCTGGTGTGACATATAGAATGTCTGCCTGGGTTCGCGCAAGCGAGGGATGTGCCGGAACATACATCGAGTGCGGGTACCAAGGCGATGAATTCGTGAATGGCGAAACCTTCCAGCTTGACTCTGAGGCGGCTGACCAGTGGCGGCAAATTTCGGCCACCTGTACCTACACTCAGGCCCAGTTAGATGCTGGGGATCTTTACATGCTGGTGGGCTTTGGCTGCCCGGTCGGTAACAACGATGCCTATGTTGACACTGTGGGCTTTACTATTTAATAGTGAAGACATTGTGTCAATATCAACATCATTTTAACATGGCACAAGACTGGTATATATATTTTTATATGGAGTGTGTTAACGTCTTGCTAGATTCTCGTTGGTCGTAGGTGTCACTTTGTAGTTCTTTTACATCAGCATGGCTATGCAAATGATCTTTGTCACAACTATAACTAGAACCAGGCTTTGGTGGAATTGTATTTCGATCACTGACTTCTAACCTCATCATCTATTACCCACCCAAGCAACACAAGCAACCGCCGCCCCAGCAGCAACCGCGCCTAAAATCAACATCTGCAGTCCTTCAATGAAGCACGTCCTGAACTTCGCATCCTTGGCCAATATCCAACTCTTGCCCGCCCCGAAACCAAATAACACCATTAAACAAAGACAGAAACTCCATCGCAGACCCAAACCAACGGTGCTGACGAAGAAGTATGGGAGAAGAGGAATGATTCCACCGATGGCGTATCCGAGTGATATTGAAAGTCCAGATATGATTGGTGACTGTGGGGAAGTCTGTGTTGTGGATGGGTCTTTGTAGGTTTGCAGTCGTGATACCATCCGTTGCAGATCAGCTGGTTCGCTTGACATGTTGTTGAGAAATGTTGTTACCATCGAACTGGGAAGATGTAATGGCTCAAGGTGTTGTCTCACCAACTCTTCCGCCAAATCTTGTGCTTTCTCCGACTGCTCAACCATTGAGTCGCTTTCACTACTCCTCTCATCCTCATTATGTCTTTGTTCCACATCCAACCCATTTTGGCATGGAATGCGTTGGTCGCACGCGGCGAGATATCCTCCAATTCCCATGCTAATGCTACCTGCACATAATTCCGCCAGCCCGCCTGTGATCACCGTGTCTGTTTTGCCCAGGGAGCTCAGCCCTGCTGTGAGGGCGAAAGGAACGGTCAAACCATCGGAGAAACCAAGTGTGAAGTCGGAGAGGAAGCGCTTTGAGGCGGACATGTCGGGTGGATTGTGAGTTAAGAAGTTTGGTATGATGCAAGTCAAGCAATAACAAAACTGATTCCTCCTCACAAGGTCTTACTGGGATAAGTAGAAATGAGCAGATAATTTTCTACACGTGCCGGTCTCATTGCATTAAACCCCATGACGGATCTCGGTGACAGGGTAGTAAATCGCACGGCAATATCCTGCCGACGTAGCACAAACACGTCCGTGAAGGAGTGATCTGCAAAAGTCCCAGAGAGCACATGGGATGAGGTTGCATTGCCATAGGTGCAATCATACCCAATTAGCGCAGACCTAAGCAAATGTAATGTGTGCATCATGATTGGCTTGTCCCTGGGACTTAGTGGTCTTTAGTGTCCGCGGCATTCAAAAGATCCCTGTGGCTTGGAAACTCTGAGATCGTTCGGCCCGCCTCTTGGCGATTTATTGTCGATGCTGGTCGTGTGGGATTGTAGATTTCATTGCGGAAGGGAGTCAGATTCTTAGCGAACACTTGGTTGAATTGATATTTCAAATAGATTCTAATGATCTGTGCTATTTACAGTTCAATTCTATCAACTATTCCCAGTATCAAAAAATCTACTTCTTAACAGGCTCATAGCCCTTAGGAGGGTTGAGTCCATCATCAACCTCAATAGTATCCTTGTAGTAGCTAGGCGCCTCACTCTCACGCCACTCCTTTCGAATAGGCCCGAAGATCTTACGTCCAGAGAAACTATGCTCAAGGTCCAAGTTTGGTGCAGCATACTGCTGGTTTCCTCCACCAGTGTTAAAAGGTCCAGCGTAAGAAACATTCCAAAAATAGTGATCCAGCTTGTGAGACTTCCACTTTCGCAGCTTATCACCGGTCTTTTGGGCCACGAATTTGAAGACATTGGCTCCGACGTCCCAGCGACCAAGCGTGTCGAGACCCCAGTTGGCTTGCACGGTGGCAAGCTCGGAGTAGTGGTTGTAGAAGCTGTTGTCAGTGGTCCCGACGAGATGCTTGGGGACAGCATCGCCGAGTAGAATGCCGAGAATGTGGTTTTGGCGCGCGTACGTCTCATTCTCGTCCCAGGTGATGAGAACAAGCGTGTTTTCCATGAAGTGCTTATCGTTCAGAAGAGGCTCGACAAACTTGCGCGCCCACTCTCCAGCGACGGTAACAGAGGTATCATGCCCATCCGAGGTCATGTTGGGAGTGATGAACATCCACTGAGGAAGCTTGTTCTCCTTGAGATCCCTGTGGAACATAGAACTCTCAGTATCAACAAGAGAAAGGTTCTTAATCTGCGAAAGGCGTTGCTCAGAGGTAGCGACGCTGTCGTGTAGAACGGCGGGGTTGTGCTTGCGAACGTAGTCATTCGCGCCGTTCTTGTGGTTCACCCACGAGAAGCCTTCAAAGCCGGAGTAGGGCTGGTCTTCTTGGTACAGACCCCAGGAGATACCGCGGTGCTCAAGCAGGTCAATTACGGTAGAGACGTTGCGAGGGTTGCGGTTGAAGGCATCGTTCTGCATGCCAAAGTAGTCTCCTGCGATGGCGGCCATGTAGTTTGGCTCCGAAGGGTGTGTGACGCCAAAATAATTGGAGAGAGTGACACCCTTGGAGCGGAACCAAGAGAAGTTTGCTGTGATTGTTAGTTGGCTTATGCTTTTTTGACAATTTTGATTTATGGGTTCAACTTACGATCGCCAAGTGCCTTTTCGTAGTTCTCATTCTCAAAGTAGATAATGGCGATGCGGTCAAACGCCTTGCCCTTCACCTTCGAGGTTGGGCTGCTGGTCTTGGCTGTGGCAGCTGCAGCGGCTACTTCAGCGGTCCCAGTGGCTGTGTACTTTGTCTCCCAGCCTGTTTTGTCGTCTTTCACATGGCCGAGAGCAAGGCCAGCGACGGCCAAGACGGTAACAGCTTGGAATAACATATTGTCTGGGTTTTAGCTCAAGCTGAGGTGTGTGCAACTGTAGACAGACACTCAGTGGTGAATTTGCGGCTTATACTCAAGCATGTTATACTCCCGAACAATAACTAATAACACAGCACACGTATGCACCGGATATCGTGCCGCATCTTCTCCACCCCTCGGTCAACAGAAAATCCCTGGTACAGATCAAAGGGGAAGTCACTTGCAAAAGTCCAGGGGGCCAATTTGGGAAGGACAAATGGAGGACAAATGCAGGGCACGTGGATGTTCGCAGAAGGCTTTAAGGGTGTCGTGCTTGTGTGCCGACGTATCCGGGGCTGGCAAGCGAGCTGTGGCGATTGTGGAATCCTTGTATTTTAGTGGTTACCACTTAAAGTGGAACAGGAACACCTTGATGATGGGCTGCTTGTAGGAGTGAAGGGGCATCTGTTTGTGAACAAAACATCTCAACGGCTTTGGCAGTAATTAAAAATCATGGCTCAAGGGTCGGAGCCTATGTCTTCCAGCGATGGCGGCTCTCAGTATTCAGATCCATGGGTTGTTCGCGACAAAGAAGCCTTGATGTCTGAACCAGAATTGACGGTATCACCAAAGCCTCAAACTCGGACAGGGAAATGGTTGAGACTCATGACAGCTGTCGCATGCGTCATTTCAATATTTTGCCTTGCTGCAGTCACTCTCAGTCAACAAGTCACATCGCCAGCCAACAAAGAGGGCCAAATAAAACATCCCCAGCCAACAAAACCACCTACAATACCTGAGGTCATCAAGCACAAAGATGATATCCCTACAACACCGCAACTTCGCGATGCAGACGAGTATACACTCTCACACTCATGGAACTACGACGCGCCTCCAGCAACAAGAGAGTATTTCTGGACCATTAACACCGCGACACTCAACCCAGATGGAGTTTACAGGCCTATGCTGCTCATCAACAACAAATATCCAGGACCACTGGTAGAGTGCAATGAAGGCGATACAATTGTTGTTCATGTCGAGAATCGCGCTTCTAATGCAACTGCTATACATTTCCATGGCATGTTCCAAAATGGGACCAATAATATGGATGGCACTGTAGGCGTCACCCAGTGTCCTATTGCACCAAATTCGACCTTTACCTATACATTCCACGTCAAAGGTCAACATGGGACGTACTACTATCATGGACACCATGGTGCACAGGCATCTGACGGCTTACTTGGTCCCATGGTAGTCCATTCAAAAAAAGAGAAAGACTTGCAAACTCTAGACTACTCATCTGACAGAGTTGTGATGGTTCAGGACCATTACCACAATCTTACTTCTGAGCTTCTCATGGAGTATCTTGCGCCTGATCAAGAAAACAACGAGCCTGTTCCAGATAATGGTCTTATCAACGGCCGCGGTGTCCGTGATTGCGCCGACTTTGCAGGCTGGCCGTGTAACACCACAGATATTGCACTGCCAAAGATCGACTTACCAGCTGGTCAACGGCACAGACTCCGCTTCATCAACGTTGGAGCGTTCGCCGAGTTTCAGATACAGATTGATGAGCATCCTTTCTACGTTACTGAAGTCGACGGCACGGATGTCCACCCAGAACCAATTCATCGTCTGAACATCTCACCCGCACAGCGGTACAGTATCGTTCTGGAAACAAACGTTACTTCCAGCTCGGTATTTTGGATGAGGGCTCGTATGGTGACGCATTGCTTCAAGAATGAGAACGAACGGCTGCAGGCTGAGACAAGAGCCATTGTTCGATACACAGGTCAAGACAAGCAATTGACCTTAGGGGAACCCACCAGCAAAGAATGGCCGGATGCCATTGAAGTCATCTGCAGAGATCTGAACACCAGCGCACTTCGACCAGTTGAGGCTATCTCACCACCTCCAGCAGATGAAACAATAATCTTGCGCGCTAACTTTGAGATCGGCGACTGGCGCCTGGCAAGAGGTTTCTTTAACGACTCAACATGGCACCCGAATACTACATATCCTTCACTCCACCGGTTTCTCGATGCTGGTGTACACAGCACATCTGCAAAGAAGCCAATCACCGTCAATGAACTAACATTTGACCGCAGAAGGGAATTAGTGCTGGAAACAAACGGTGTGAGGACGATTGACATATCCATAAACAATTTCGACGACGGCGCTCATCCTTTCCATTTGCATGGCCACAAGTTCTTTGTCTTGCTGCAAGGTAGAGACGGATACCCACCTAGCCCGTCTGAGCTGCCGAAATATCTCAAAAAGCATGGGCTGTTGGAGAACCCGCTCCGGAGGGATACACTCACTGTGGAGGGCTACGCTTGGGCTGTTATTCGTGTTGTGCTTGATAATCCTGGCTTGTGGGCTTTTCATTGTCATAATCTTTGGCATGCTGAGTCTGGGATGGTGATGCAGATGTTGGTTCAACCTGAGGTTATGAACAAGTGGACGATTGCTGAGAAGAATCGGGAGATGTGTATGTTGGAGGGTGTGACGGCTGGTATGAGGCCCGATGATAGTATTTGGTTTGGGCAGTTCAAATAATGGAATGTATTACCTGTGGATAATCGAACAAGTGTAAGGTCAAGATAGGAACTATAAGCGAAGTTATAACTCGCCAAGTAACAGTGTGGAAACTGGATAATTATTATTCCTTAAACACTGCGCCCGTCGTCAGACCTGGCCGGATACGACAGCTCTCTTAAACTTTCCGAGTCCTCGCATCTCGAGCTCATCATATTCTTAATCTTTACCCTCCGGCTCTCTCGTGCCTCCCCAGCCTCCCAATTATTCTGCTCGCCAATCTCATTCAACCTCGTCCGCGATCGCCAGAGGCCTCTCTCTTCCAGCAACGCCTTGCACGCCGCCCAGGACGTCACAGCGTAGATAACCGCGTTCCAGAAGCCCTGCAGGGGAAGCACCGTTGCGCTCATGAACTGCAGCGGCTTGCTGACCTCGTTGGGGTGGATGTGGGAGTACATGCGGTTTGCGCTGGATGGGATCCATGTTGTTAGGATTACGCCGAAGAAGAGCATGGCTACTTTGGTGTATGCCCAGGCGGCTCTGTAGACGTCGTTGCTGGCGCGGATGTGAGGACGGGGGACATCCGATCGAGGAACGTTTGTGGTCGTGTGAGTAATCGGTGCGCTATGCTGCTCGTCGTGGGGCCTGATATCGTCTGCGTCTGCGTGAACAAAGGCTTGGTGGCCCATGGCCTGGAGCTGTATTGTGTTTGCTTGGTCTGCAGCCTCCGAGGTGACGGTCACTTGTGTAGTCTTGACGTTGTGGATGGTGCTCTGGTTCGCGTATGAAAGACCACCTGAACCTGACCCTTGCGCTTTGAGCAGCTCTTGTCGTTTTCGATAGATCGTGCCGCCGGATCGAAGGTAGATTGCAAGAGTAATTGCAATGATCACCCTACTTCCAAGTCAGTATTACTCAGACATCGCCCAGGCTCGGCTTACCAAATTGGTCCGTAGAAGGTCGCAATGCGCAACGAGTCCCATTCTGGAGTGATCCAGCACCATTGCACAGCACTACCATATACTCGCACTCCTTCACTGTTCTTGATAAAGAGGAAGATGAAGGCCGGGAGGAATGGTATTCCGTAGCACGATATTAAATAGGGAATTTCCATCTTGCGTAGTCTTTGTGCATCGAATCGGTGGTAGAAAGCAAGATAGACGTTGATGGCCATAGCAAGTGTCCACAACGCATCAGCTCCGACGAATCTATTGCGAATAGTCAATACCATGGAGCTTCTAGATGTATCCCTGTTACGTACGTATGTAGTAGAAAAGCTTGTGTCTGGCACCCAGCGCCTTCAGGTGAGTCGATAAACGAGTCGGCCATGATGAAGCAGATGCTGGCCATGATGTTGCCAAACGAAGCGTAGAATACCAGTCGATTGATGGGCTTGTGGAAGGCATCGCATAGAAAAAAGGTGGTTATGATAAAGAGGCAGCCTACCAGCGATAGCACTGAGCAGACCTGCTGAATGATGGTGATGAGCTTCACATCACCGACTGTCAGTCCCAGCTCCATACTGAAGGATCAGTGCTAGAAGCAGTAGTATGGGGGAATGGTTTTGGAACAGGCAGGAAATCTAGCATATGTCCCTAAAAGGATTTCTTACGGGAGTTTAGAAAAAATGAAGGACATTCTTGTTATTGTTTTATGTATAGAAGAGGTATTCAACCCCCTGGCACGTGCACTTTTCCAAACCCTTTGATCTACGGCAAGGGAACCCGGAGGCGTGGGTCGTGATCTTCAAGGGGAAACCAGCAAGTTGGTTGATGTGGCCATCCTGAGCCCGTCTCAGTTTCCACCGGACACGGTGGGAACGACGTTGATTGGGGCTGCAACTCGCAACTGCGGGGAGGGAAATACCGGGGATGTAAGACACCGGCAGATCTTTAACGCACATGATGGAGTACTGCAGCCACTGGGCAAGGTCCAGCCGAATTACATGTTGGATGTACCAAGCGTTCCTCTTTTGGACCATAGATTCAGGGCTCATTTAGAACAAACGGTAAGCATCTGCAGATCGTGACCTCGGCTCTTGCTAGATCGGAAAGGTAGCACGTGTCTATGATAGAGTGAGGCAGTTATTTATGGTATATAGCATGGAGAATATGGTCGAGGGTGGGTTCTCGCGCTTCAGCTCACGGTATCTGCATTTCCAATAGTGACGAGTTGACACATGTATTGCGCCTGAATTGTACAGTAATTCAACTCAACCTGTAAATATGTAGGGCTGTAATTTGAGGGATCGACATTCATGCCTCCCCGATTCATGACATGCAAATTATTACCAGGGGCTAAAGAAGAGAAAAGACCTCAGACAAATTGGAGACCCTAATAGCCGTTACCCGGCTACCCCGTTGTGCTAATGATGGGCGACGGTGCCGTCGATCAATGGGGCTGTCATGCAGATGAGTGACTTCCCCGGTAGTGCTGAACATCGCTGATACAGCTAACATGTTTATGTTACGTGATCGTAGTACATTCAAGTCTACCTCACTATCTCGATCGTATGGTGTCTTCCTCTTTTTCTAGTGACACCCGAGCCTGTAAAGCACTGCGAAATTAATAGGCAAGCACTATTTCGCTGCTGCTGCGACTTTACCAACCCCATTTATGCTTGATCTGCAAATGCGAAACCCCATCTTGACTCTTTCTGGAAGGTCACAAATGCCACTTACGCCCCAACTGCCACAGCTAGTTCTAGCTTACACACAGTGAAAGTGAATAATTTCTCATACCTTGTTTGTGGCGCTGCAAGCGCTGACGTGACGGACAAGTCGCTCCGGCACTGCACAGCATCCTTGTTCGGGAATCAACCCTGGTAGTAAGCATAGCAAGCTTCCCCTGAATGAAGAAGATATTATTGTTGTTCCTGCGTGACCTGGACTGCCTCGGCTGCTTGAAGTCCCAGCCTTGTTTTTGGTTGGTAAGTAACACCTGGTAGTACCGTTTAATACCATCAATCACTAAGCGAGGCTGGTTATCATGTTACCAGCTCAATAGCTCTATTTGCCGATGAGACTGATATTTCAGCGGGTTTTACTTCGTCCGAGGTTATAATAAATAACTGAATGGCACAATGTAGTCGGTCCTACCATTGTACTGCATGTGCTACCTATACGATACGAATTAGACCAGACGTTGCTATTAGCCTAACCCTTCTTCCGTCGGGCAGAAAGGCTTTTCGGAGATTTGTTTTGTATAATCCTAATGCCGCAAAGAGCTTTGAGAGTCTTCAAGTGGTCGACCAAGGCTACAGACTAATTAACAAACAAGCTTTGAGCTCTTTTGGCGTGCATCTCTATGTCAGGCTAAGGAGCCCCAGAATTCGACATGCCAAGGCCTTAGCGATCAACACCTGGGGTCACGGTATCGTATAGGGTGGTCCGCGATTAGAAGCTATTTTCCTTTTGTTGGCTTATTTCAGCCCACGCCTTGTGCAAATATTTCCTCTGATTAACAGAGCTCGTACTTTTCCGTTAAAACAATACACATTACCGTCTGTGCGGGACAAAGGTTGGTGCAAACTTGCAATAAGTGATTGAGTAATTACAATACTTAGTTCTTCTTGCACTGGTCCTCCGTAAGAGATTCATCCCTTAGCTGAAACCACTTCTTGTTCGTTTCCGCAAATACCGCCATGTTCTTCTTTCCAGGTTTGTAAAGAGGCCAAGTGATTCCCTTGCCGTCATGCGGACTCTTCTTTGGGTTCTGAGCGAAAGATAGCCAGAGACCTATCAGACAAAATTAGTTAAGTATCGGCCAAAACTTGCTGGTAACTTACTTTGCATACCCTCAGCAACCTGCCACTCATACTCGGTGGAGTTACCACGGTACTCGTAGTGTGTGCCGAAAAGAAGGGGAAGTTCCGCTGTAATCCTTGTCAGAAGAGTTAATCGGTCTATAGTGACTGAACATACCGCTGTGGGTGGCCCCAATCCAAGGTAGAGGTGAGATGTTGGAAAAGTTGCCAGTGTAGTAGTATCGGTAGGTGGGATATCCGTACTTTGCTCGAGCACTGTCACATTTCTTAGCCACTGGTTTGGTATATGGTCATCTTGTGGACTTACCTGACTTCTGCGGCAACGGGACAGACAATGGCATTCAGTCCAATGGCAGTCTGGGCAGCAGATTGGCCACTCTCGTTATAGGCACCGAAACCAGCACCCTCATTGGCATTGTTGCCAAAGATCCAAGGCTATTAGGTTTCATCAGTAAGATTTCCTTACAAAGAGCGAAGAGGGTAGTGACTTACAACTTTTGTAACCAAGCCTCGGGCAAGGCGATCAGTAGTGTTGGAGAAGGCTGTTGCGTTATCCCCAACTGGAGTGAAGGAGATGGTCGAAGTTTCAGAATAAACCTTCTGCAAGACTGAAGCATCAACCTTCTGCATACAGCTGAGTTGCTTACTCTCAGACAACTTTCCACATCCAACCTTGCTGGAAAGGGTGTCGAAGTCGGAGTAGTTGCCATAGGCTTTCACCAACATGGCCGGAGCCCCGGAGTCGGAGATCAAGCCCTTGACAATCAAGTTCTTTGGATAAGAGTACCCATACATCCCAACTGAGCCAGCGCCAGCAGACTGGCCCCAAAGGACCATTTGATCGGGGTCTCCACCGAAGGCAAGGATGTTGTCTCGCGTCCACTCAACCACCATGCGCTGATCCAGTAACCCGACATTTTGATGCGCAGCTTGGGCGTTGGGGAATCCAAACAGATTGACTCGATAATTCATGGTGACGACGATGTGAGACTGAGTCCTCTGGATCCACTTGTCTGGTATCTTGTACAGCGAATCTGCACCGCCGCCGGTGAAGCCACCACCAGGGATGTAGATGAAGACGGGGAGACGCTTGGATGTTGGTCGCGCAGGCGTATACACGTTGAGATACAAACAGTCCTCAGAATCTCCGCCATTGATAAGAAACTGTGTCATGTGCTCTGTGTATACCGTAGGGTTCTTGCTTATGGGCTGTTTGCACGACGGTGCGTACTTCTTAGCTGAGATATGGCCCGCATATTTCTTGCGTTGGGGTGGTTGAAAGCGGAGCCGCTTGAGGGGTGGTTCGGCGAAGGGGACTCCTAGAAACTGGAGGACATCAGGAGCTGTTGAGTTGATGAAGCCTGTGAGTTCTCCGCTTGTCGTCTTGATAGTCAGGGAAGTATCAGAGGAGTGGTGTACGCCTCGTGCCTCAGATGTCGTGCATGTCGCCAAGACAGCCGCTACGAAGGATGTGAGAGGTTTCATGGTCGTTACTTGCCAAGAGTAATAGAGCGGATAGAACCCAAAGACGATAAGGCTATGTAACCTATGTTTTATACATGGGAAGGAGTACTAATGCCAAATACTGGGGTTCAGTGCTTCCATGGGTTGGGTAAATCTTTATCAATTGTTGTAGTAGTCTAACGGTGTCCAATCTGGGGTAGTGGGCCCCAAAGCCTGTGATACGTGCAATAAGTCCGGGGAAACGAGATCTAAGTTGGGGGCCATCTTTCACTGCCCTTACGGGAAAGGATCAACAAGGGTTCGTCTCAAATGGGATCTTGATCATGAATCATTTATCCGTATTACGACTTTTACTTAGAGGTTCTATTATAGGCCCCTAGTCTTGCTTGCCGGGATGCCGTGCGAGCTCCATCGCGGCGACCGCCTTCCCCGCATTGCTACCTCGGTCTCGGTTCATCATTGTGAGTTATAGTCCAAATTCGATTCAAACATTACAGGGTCAGGATAAACATTCTGTAGAAGCTAAGTACTATGTTCGGTAAGTGAGAATATTGTTCAATGGAATACGAGAATGGTAAATTTGTGTCAATATTACTATGAGCCTTCTAGCACTCCATCATACAAGCTGTGTCGATAGCTAGGTTGTTGCCGAACCAATGACACGACGATCGACTTGGCAATTTTGAAGACCATTCCCAGGTCGTGGAACCGCAATTCTTAATTAATGGCTGTTCGTTATAGCATAAAGATGCGCCCTCGATAAAATAAACCGATGCTCTGGGACTATAAATTACCGCTTGCAGCATCGGGAACGGAACGGTAATGAATTATAGAGAATCAGCTTGAGGAGCTCGCCAAATTCATGTGGCGAGATGGAGCCGACGCGGCATGCGCCTTAAGATTAATGGTAAAGGGGGAGTTGCAGGGTAGTGGGTACCCCCGCACGGAGTGGCAACTTGTCCTCTTTCTACTCTCCAACATCATGTCCTTTCCCTGGCTCTCCTGTTACTTGACGATATGACCTTGCTAAAATTTGAGATATTTTGTCATTGTTGACCTCTCTTTCATGACATGACAGCATGGTCTGGGCCGTCTTGCTTGGCGTTCATGCACGTCAAGTCGGTATTACAGGGGCCCTCGTTGATTGACATTTGGCAGCACGGCAGACAGTGAACGAGCCAAGACGCTGCCCAGACACCTCATCTCTTACCCTAGCCTGTACCGACTTTCCATCTTTTATCTTATAACACCCGCAGTCACCTAGCTTGCCCCGGCAGCCTTCGACAGGCCTGGAATGACAGTGATCGGGAACGGCTGATGCTGTCTGCTGGCTCACAAACCCATTCTGCAGCGTCAACCTCATCAATTCAAGAGCCACGCCCGGTTAGCTCAATCGGTAGAGCGTGAGACTCTTACGAGTACGCGATCTCAAGGTTGCGGGTTCGACCCCCGCATCGGGCTGTTCCTATAAGATTCGATTGCGAGCGTATGCGAGGCTTTCATTTTTTGCACTTTTTGCACTTTTTGCACTTTTCTGATATAGATTTACAAAACTGTTTGTTCAACTCGACCACGCAAATTCTGAAGGCAAACCAAGAAACATCTCGGCTGAGGAGGAATAATCCCGACAGGTCAAGAGCTCACTCACCAAATATGTAGCTTAATTTTCAACTTTGACTTCTTTCCGACAAATAAGTAAATGATCTCATAAGATACGTAGAAACTATTTCGCTAGCATTTTTTGCACAAATGTTGTGTCCGGACACTGGAAAGAACGCAACCCTCCCGCAAAAACGATCCATCAAGTGAGTTCGCTACGCACACTTTACTTTCAATCCCACCCAAAATCCAGAAAGTTCATACAGATGAATTGCAAACACCCCCGTTCACTCTGGCTTACGCCCGTAAACAATTCTCAATCTGCAGTAAGGGTGATGTTTCGCCGAGCGCATCTCCCGCCGAAGCTGTGAGCAGTAAACCGTCACCTCCTCCTTTGACCACCCCAACACGAAGCTTGCCATGTACAGCACAAACCCCTCTAAATCCTGCTCCATCGCAGCGTGTGAGAATCTCCCGATCTCCTTCAGCTTAGGATCTTTAGGCCAGCTACCAACCGGGGCCTATACAATCATCTCAGTCAGCAGTTCTCCAAAGGGTGGGAGCGCAGTGTGGTTTACCTTAAAGTCCCATGTCTGCAGATCAACAAAACCTGCCTCCTCCATTCCCTTCTGTTGAAGATCGTCGTCGAGAATGGTAAAGGTTCGTCCTAGCTTCTTACCACCCTCTATGAAGAACTTTCCCCATTCGCTCATAGCACTACCTTCTTGGACACTACCGTCGCTACTTTCTAGACAAGGCGAGGCTTCAAAGCTTTCGACCCAGCCACCAGGCGCACAGGCGCGGTATGCCTCGTGGAACAACGCTGACCAGTCGCCTATAGAGCCATATAGATAACGCATATAGATAAAGTCAAATGAGTTTGGCGCAAAGGTCCAGGGCTGAGTGCAGTCCTCGATCTCACTGGTTATGTGTGAGCTGATGTCTTCGTCCTGCTTTCCTGACTTCTGCAATGATCAAAACTTACAACTTGACGTTTGGGGGGACCCAATTTGGTTGTATCGGCGAGATGTCGGTACCTATCACTTCGGCATGTGGGTGTTCATCTGCAAAGTCACTGTTCACCAGTCAGCGCTTTGACCTCTATCTCTTCAAAAGGATCACATACATCGCCCAGATACCTATATAACAAGATCTATGAGTGACTGTTCAAGCTAAGGATCTTGGAACCATACCTGTGCCGGTCCCTACATCGAGAACCGACTAAGACACATTAGCCTTGTGCTTGGGGACAGGGACAAATAATACGTACTTTGACATTGTCTTTCACAGGGGAGAGATAGAGCTTCCCTTCAAGAGTGAGGACCAAAAAGTGATGACTCAAAACCTGTTAGTTATTGCCAACTGGATTTCAATGGTCCACTTCTCACATAATATCCATGGCTTCGTTCTGCTGTGCATCATTGGATGCCCTAGAAAAGATTAATCATCAAGGCCCGACATCGAAAGATAACAGACGTACCAGTACTCCGCATTACCTCTTTCAGAGTGGTATGTCCTTCCCTTGATAGTTCTGTAATTGAGGATGCTCGAAGTCATAGAAGCTGTCGAAGACTCGGCATCGTCTCCCAACGATGAATCAGCATCATCATCACTAACATTCTATCAATCCAAATTAGCTTACAATACACATTAGTCGCGCCAAGTTCCCTCATACCTGCGCTAGTGCAGCCCAATGTTCAACATCATGAAGTCCCGCGCCTTCCGACGGTTCACGACCAGACCGTGACTTCTGCGACACAGGCGACACAGGCGACACAGGCTCGGCCGGCGACACCGGTGCTTGTTTGGGGGATGACGCTTTCTCACTCATGTTGCTTGCGGTTGAGAGTGGACAGGTCGACGATGTGGCGTTTTCTGTAGACGCGGGATTTGTGTGTTTCGTCAGCAAAAAGAAGTTTGCGGGGCTTAAAAGGGATACTCTCGGTTGATTTGGTATGCGTTGTCGCGGATCATTGCCTGAAACTGGTTTCTTACAAGGGTTTGTGAAGAAATGCAATGCAAGGGTGCCCGGAGGTATGATTGTGATTGTTATAAAACCATGTTAAGCGATTGGATAGTAGAGCTTGTAGACCGATGTCCCGACACGTTGACTGGTCAAAGGAGGGAAGAGAGAAGAGAGAAGAGGAATCAATATTTAGTATGTAACATTGAAAGACGATCGGCGTCATTGGTGACCAGTTACTATAGGAAAGTATGAGAACAATTATATATCAACGACTATCTATACCCTGTATAGTATCAGCATAGTCATTAGCCTATAAGGACTTTGACGACAGACGCTATGGCTATTTTATTGCAGGTATTGATGGTTTCGTGTTGAAACGTGGGCAAGACTTGGTGCTCCCAATATCCGCCATTTTCTACCAAGCCTATAGAGCATTAAATGCTTAGTATTTAGCAACTGACCTGACCTAGGAATTCTTAGGATGCAACAACATACTGAGCAAGTCCGAATCAGGCGTATGATAAATCGCTTAACCCTCTATCTTTGTCGCTGCAGTCAGTGCGGAGTATGCAAGCTTGTTCTAAACCGCCCCAAGTTGAAAATCGGTGTGAACAAGGGAGAAAGGTGGCTGGCTGAACGGCTCGTAGCGTGCGGGGCATTGGGTAACTCACACCTAGAGACAGACGATCGTAGGCGGTACGGCAAATCGAGGCTGAAATATGCAGCGGCTGGGACAGTAAATATGAACGCTAGCTTGACGCTTTTCATCATACCTTGCAGCTATCAAGTGAGTTCGGCGGGGGAGACGATCTGTGGGCTAGGAGCCTATAATATTATGGTTCCCAGTTCCAACTGAGACAATGGCTAGTAAGGGATTGGAATTGACTACCGCCTGGTAGGACACGATCTACAGGATAAACACAGAGTGTCCGCTATTATAGTTTGAACAAGATAAGTCATAGATAGCGCCTCGATAGCTAGGGATTCTGCAGTCGCTGCCGTCTAACCTACGCTAAATGATTGAACAATTGCACGAGACGGAGCGCCGCTATCAGCAGTCCACTTTGCTGGCACATTTCTCAATGAGACAAATGGGCCAAATGAGCGATGTTTGTTTGCCTTTGACAACCGCTATGGGTGCTAACTTAGCTTTGATGTCTTGAATTCTGAGACACGGGGTTCACGAAGTGGGAGGGGTAACTGCTCAAGGCCCAAACAAGATGACACTATGAAGCCATCTGAGATCAAGAGTTATCACTCGCTGTAGAACAACGCTACCCCCCTTGGCAAAAGCCCAATGCAACCCGCGTGCTCTTCTAGTTTGGCATAGATCTTGAAATAGCAAGAGCTTATCATTCATTAACTAATTATTATTGGGCAAAGCCTATGTTAGTGCTTTGGTGTGTACGCGGTACAGTTCACGCAGTCGAATAACGTGCATGTGAAAGGGCGATCCCAAAAGCGGAGACTTAGGTGGTGGTCTAGAACGCGGATCTCACACGACAACAGCATGATCGGCTTGAACCTTAAGAATGTAAATAGTCATACGCGGTGATATATGCGGCTGAACTGCAGGTCAGCACAAATTGGCACAAAATTGAAGACCTAAATTGTCCCAGACGCAGAACACTACGCATTGTGACTGAGATCCCCCGCAACCATATCCGTAGTGTCCGAGTTACAGGGGGTCAAAGCTCATGGGATCAATTGAGCAGTTCGTACATATATAAACCATCTGCTCAGGGTTTTTTTAGAAGCTGGCTCACATCACTCCTTTCTTGAAAGACAATCTAGCATTATCTCGCTCACTTATACCAAATTATCAGTATGGCTGCTACCACCACCACTACTCCTCCATCCATGTCTTGGGACTACCAAGTCAACGATCGTGTCAACCATATCGTTGAGAAACTTGAAGAGAACCCAAAGTTTGCCCAGAAAGAGGTGCCCGGCCTCAAAGACCTTCTTTCAGATTATGCTTCAGAAGATGTGACAGTGTCGGGAGTAGACTTCCATCGCCGTCTTCTTCAAGTCTTCAAAGACTCGGAAACTGATGGCACTTACTCATGGATGCTGAAGCAGTATACACCAGAAGAGCAGAAGCAGATTGAGGACTTTGTTGCTGGGGGTAAACCTGAGGATATTGGGCAAGATTACACCCTCGGTCCCAGTCTTGGATGTCGAGAGGAGCTTGCAAAGCTGGAGCAAGCTGACTCTGTTGTCCAATTGACCGCCGACGGTATCAAGGACGTCACCCCCACAGAGCTTAAGACATCATCCTTAGCAAGCTTTGGTGTTCAGAGCACTATCAGTGTTGTTGATGACTGGTTCGAAAAGGCTGTTAACAAGATGGCCGACTTTATCGACAACAAGAAGGACGACCAGCAGATCAAGGTATGGGAGCATGTGACGGAAGCTTGCTAGGCATACACTGACATACTACAAGGTCTACAAGAACGCCAAGTTTCAAAACTGGGGACTCAACATAACCAACAAGCCCACCTTCACCTGTGTTCCTGACTCAACCCCGGCAATCCAGACTATTGTCAAGTTTGCCAAAGCCCATGATATGAGTGTGCGATGCGCAGGATACCGTGAGTCTGAGCCCTCATACGCTCTTTAACAGAACTGACAACAGTAGGTCACTCGTGGTCCCCAATCTTCGGCAGGGATGGCCAGATTCTCATCTCGATGCTGGACATCAAGACAGCCACCAACCTACCCAACACTGAGGCTCTGCCACTTCCAGAGTCATCCCCAACTGAGCTTCAAGAGATTGGCTTTGCGCCCGGACAACCTCGCACGCCTGGCAACAAACTTGTGCGAGTAGGCTGCGCAACTACAAACGAGAGACTTCGTCGATGGTGCATTAAGGAAGGCACCGTCACCATCCCCCTGAATGTGATTATGGTTGAAATTACCATGGGCGGTAGCAATGCACCAATCTGCCACGGAGCAGGTCGTCAGAACCAGACCCTCAGCGATCTCGTTCGCAAGATTGAATACGTCGACGCGAATGGCGAGGTTCGAAGTGTCGAGAAGCCTGAGCATCTCCGTGCAGCGAGTGGCTGCTTCGGCCTCATGGGTGTTGTGACACACATCACCATGGAGTTCCCACCCATGAGCTACGCCCTGCTTGCTCCGGAGAAGATGCCCGTTATCCAGGCCGTGCCTCCACCACCTGGCATGTCTGAGGCCAACATTCCTCCTGCGCTTCTGAAGTACTGGAAGCCCTTGACGGCTGCCCAGAAGCAAAGATGTCAGAGTGACTTCGAGAACCGGGCGACTAACGACTACTATGCTGAGTGGTTTTGGTTCCCATACTCTGACTACTCATGGGTCAACACATGGAATAACACCAACGACCCCAAGGGTGTACAGTCTTTCCCCGACAAGACTCAGATCTTCATTTCCTTCCTTCAAACAGTTGCGATGAATATTCTGCAAAATGCGAAAGTCATCAATAAGCTGATTGAGGTGACGGACCTATCTGAAGCTGCCGTCACCCTCATCTCAGGCGCAGCAATGAAGGCCCTGCCCGAGAAGCATGTCAAGACATTCTTACCCGACGCCCTGCACTTCCAACGAGCCATCCAAAATGTCCGCGTCAGGGACATTGAGGTGGAAATGCCCCTTGTTGCCAAGAAAGGCAGCCCTACCGGCACCATTGACTTTACGCCTGTCCAGCAAGCCTGGTGGGATGCCATTCTTCTCACATACAAGAACAGCGACAAGTGCCCCATGCGTATGCCGCTTGAGATGCGCATCATGGGCGGAAGTAACGTGATCATGGCACCGCAGCGTAGAAACGCCTTGGGTACCTGCAGTATTGAGGTACTGACCCTGCACAGCGCCTCAAGCATCTGGAAGCCGTTTGCGCAGTCGGTCTTGGATAAGTGGATGTCATTGAAGAATCCATCAACCGGCCAGAGACTCAAGACAAGACCTCACTGGGCAAAGGAATGGTATGACTATACCGTCGATGGCAAGCCTTGGATCGAGCGGCTCAAGGCAGTGGACTACAAGGATGAGAGGCAGGAGTTCCTTCAGACACTTGCGGAGATCGGAAAAGAGGCGAACTGGTCTCTTCATGATCTTCAAGCTAGATTCTCGAATGATGTGTTTGACCAGTTCTTCTTCGATGTGGAGACGAAGAAGCCAGCTGGGAAGATTGAAGTCAAGGTTGTGAAGGGGGCGGCCTGGGGAGGTGAGGTAAAGGGAACGATTGAGAAGGTCACGGAAGTCTTGGCCGACGATCTTGTTCACCTTGTTTAAAATTGCTTCTCTAAAGACTTTTTCCTTTCCTATTTATTTGCAACTTAATTCAATCACTTCGATATCATTAACTCCAACAATAGATCCTTGATAAATGATCGTACTGGAATTGTTGGATTGAGCCATAGCTCCAGTCTCACCGGCCGGTGCGACCTACCCTGTACAGATGCCAGAAAAAGAGTCAGAATTTAGGCATGGTGTCGAATAAGGGGCAATAGGAGTGTGTACAGCGATAAAATGGTGTGATAACAGATTTGTGACCTTGTCGTCACCCGGCTATCACGACTGGTCTTAACAGAATTGTTCACTTTTCACATTGCTATCAAAGAACAAATCCCGATGAGTGCTTCATTTAAGAATCTCTCCATTAACACTTACTGAGATAGAAGTGGTGTTGAAAGACGCCTGTCGCGGACCTTAGAACATGTCTCTGGATAAATTTGGAATAAAGATTTCAAGCTCTGTCGCTAATGCCAATTGATTAACCGAAACTATATATATACTAATATGCGAAGAATATGACATCAGAAAAACTGGCTCTATGGTCTAGTCGTATGATTCTCGCTTTGGGTTAACTGATTGCGAGAGGTCCCGGGTTCAATTCCCGGTGGAGCCCGTCCTTTTGCTTTTTGCTCATCCTATTCCGACAACGGAGAAAACTGCAGGTTCGCAATAACCTTTTTTCACTTACTACCGTCCACTTATCTTTACAAATCAACGAGCTTGCCAAATCAAGATATGTTGTCTCAATTTAGACTGATGTCCATGCCGTATCATCCACGTGAACTGTTCTTTCATAGAGATTATCTTCCTGCCAATCCTTTTAGCCCTTTTAACAACACGGAATAGGCTTGTATTAACAGTGGCCCCGACGTATCACTAAGCCTCATGCACCGCCATTCATCCTGCCAGGGAAATCTCTCTTGTTTAATTCTCAGGCTTCTTGGCATAAATCGAGCATCTACCCATCCGTTAGTCATAGCGCAGTTCAATATCTTTATAACTCACATAGGATTATACGCATGGATCGTCGGGTTGTTGAGATCCTTCCTAACATCCATGAGAAACATTGTAATCTCATCACGAGTCCACCCATGAGCCCGTGAGAATGAAGCCAAGGTCAACGACTCCAACGCTCCCGAGTTGTTGACATTGTTCCAAGCTCCCAGCTCCTTATGCTTCTTGTCTTTCGGCCATGGATTGGTGGGCCATTTGAATCGTGTATCGACAATATCGGTGAAACCCACTTCTGTCATGATGGTTTTGATGTTCTCAAACGCGATTGAGTGGCTGCCTAGTTTGGTGAAAGCCTCACCGAGAAGTCTGCACCACTTAGATAGGGCGTGATCTGGCTTAAGGGATTTATCATCTGAGTAGATGGTGCCGCTGATCTCTTGGATTTCGATGTAGCCGCCTGGTGCAAGATTCCTGCTGCTATTAGCACACAAAGCACACAAACAGGCTGCAAGCTATACTTGAAGATTTTCTGGATATAGGTTTCCCAGTCTTTGATACTGAACATCATCATTCTACTGTGGATGTAGTCAAATGAATCTGCGTAGTTCCATTCTTCGTCGATGTCATCAATAATAAAACGGACGTTTGGGGGGACACTGTACAAATGTCAGTCGATGAGAAGTCACATTCATCCAATGATTCCTACAAGTCTGGTTGAATGGGTGAGAGATCAACGCCAGTGACCTGCGAGGATCAGCTTCAACTTCTGAAAATGCTAGATGAGGGTACCTCAGCTTGCGGGTGCTCATCCGCGTAGTCAATCGCCCATATCCCTGTTCCGGTACCAACATCAAGAACCCGTTGAGCCGTTGCTTCAGGACTGTTTGGTGGGGCCAGGCCAAGCTTATTCTCAAATGTCAGTAAGAAAAGGTGGTGTTGAAGATCTAATAGGATTAGTGGCCATTCTTTCTTGGGAAAATGTTTTGTTAAAATTGTACCTAGCCGTTCATTCTCAATCTGGTCATTAGGGAGATGATATTCTATGTCGATTAGCCTGAATTCCAAAGTGAAGTTACAGTGAGTCAGTCCAGCGTACTTCCGTCCTTGTAGCGATGGTATGTCCTCCCGTTTTCCTGCCTGTAGCTCAAGATAGAGCTGGAAATGCTTTGGGTTGAAGATGCATTGTCCTGAATTGAGTCCAATCAATATTTCGCATCTTGTAAGGGGGGGTGCAAAGGTAGACGCACCTCTTCAATAGACGAGTCGACGTCGTCGATGAGCTAGATATTAGTCAGTATCATGTAAACAGAATGATCGAAACGCATGACCTGTTCGTCAGGACGTAGTTCTGAGTTTGAATCAACAGTAGGCATATTTACTAATACAGTATTTGCAGACTGCAAGTTGATAAAACTGTGAATATCTCTAGTCTTTGTGCAGTCGAATGGAGGATAGCAGAAAGGACAACAGAGCTTGAAAAGTTCTCGGATCAAGAACAGCAGACCATATAAGCATGACACGCGTAACAAGCATTTAGCGAACCAACAAAACACTTCCATCATTTTTCACGTTGCTTTGTCATGTTGGCAGCAACCAACATGCAGAAATGAGCTCCTAAATAGGCCAGTGGTCCGATGTATCCTTGGATCTAACTATCAATGTTGTTCCGTCCACGCAGCTTTTTCGCTGACTGTCACTGAACAGGCTTTCGTCTGGATAGTATTCATCATACTAAATATTCCCAGACGTCCTTGTTAAGGCTAGCTTAATTTTCTATCCATTTATTGAATGCCTAGGGCGGCGCCCAGATTGATAATTAACATCGTTCTTGTAGTGGCATGATTATGATACGATGGAATTAACTTCCAGTATCGGAAAAGATCTTCTCAGCGCAGCGGCCAGGGGAGACCATAATTCCCACCGAAGCGACCTGGGCGGAGTCAGGTCACCCTGTCAGGCTTGGCTCGATGAACGGCCTTCGCCCCGTCATTCACAAGCCTCTTCAAACGTCTCAACCCCGAATTGTCACGAAGATTGGTGTGTTTGCGTCAAGGAATGGAGCAATTAAAATGTGTAGAACATGTATTCGGCTGTCTAGGTTGAAATGAGCAAATATATAAGAAATACAAAAAAGAGATCAAATGCCGGAATAAGTGTCAGCCCACTGGTGAGAGGCAGGGCTCATAACAGCACCAATCAAGAATATTAAAACAACAAAAAATGATCTGGACTAGCATGTGATCGGGGGATATTCTTCAATTCCCTAGAATTATAGCTCTTTGTTCAAGGATTTGCAACCCAGCTTTGACTAATAATGCCGAACTTCTTGGTAGCGGGAGTCACGATTCCCTTCTTGCATCCCTTAGCAATAGTGACATTCTCGAAGCGATCTCGGATCCAGGGAAGGTAATCCGACTGGGAAGCTTCGGCCGAAGTACCGTGATCAAGGTCAGGGTACAGCTTGTACTCAGCCGTCGACTCTGGAAACTCCTTGCACGTGGCATCGAAGTCCTCCTCGGCATACTTGGCATAGGTCAGGATGTCAGCCTCACCCTGGATGACAAGCATAGGAGCAGCCAGAGCGTGAGGGCCAGCGCCGTTGTATCGCTTCTGCCAGTCCACGAAGTCGGGGTGTTCGACCCAGCTGGTGTTCTTGTAAAGCTCCTTTACGGTCAGGCCGCTGTAGAGGGCAGCTCCTGTAATGAGACAGCCTTGATCGGCGAGGGCGATGCGGCTGAGGACAGTATCGGTGACATAGTCCTCCACTTTGATAGAGGGGTAGAGGCGCGAGACAGACTGGAGGAGGAAGATGGAGACAACGTCGCCAGCCGGTCCGTCCTTTGCGCGACGGAAAGACTCTGGGATGAGTTTGATAGGCTGCAGAGCTGGAGCGAGAGCGACCGCGCCCAGGAATCCACCTGTAGCCTTGCCGGACTTTGCCTCTCGCTCGGCAGTTCTCCAAGCCGTCATACCACCCTCACTGTGACCAATGACGACCCATTCCTTGGTGATTCGATCGCCCATCACTGTTCGCACAGCCTTAAGGCCGAAGCTGACATCTCCGGCGTGGAGGGCACCAGATTCGTACATGAAGCCCTGAGGGATATCACTGCCCTGGCCAGCATAGTCGGGAGCGATAACAACATAGCCCTGCTGGACGAGGGCAAAAGGTCCCATCCACTCGTAGTAGAGAGCACGGTGGTTCGAAGGTGCGCACTGACGGGTGCCACCGGCTGTTCCGTGAGTCCAGACAAGTGTACGGAATGGCTTGTCCTTTCCAAGGGGGTTCGAGTAAGGAGTAAGGACAAATCCTGTAGCTGGAATAGGCTTGCCGTCGATATCCTCTGTCATGTAGAAGAAGCGGGACATAGTGACTCCACCTGGTAAGGTCCATCTCTTGGAGACCTGGTCAGAGGGGACTTCGTCCCATTTGACGAGATCACCAGCAGAGTAAGAAGAGAGATTCTTCGGGTTGGCGTAGAAGTCGTCCGTGGTGACGTTTTGGTTGACCCATTGGCTAGCCTCAGCAGCTAGAAGCTGACGGTAGCCACTTTGACACGCAACATCGCATTGGTTTGGCTCTTGGGATGCTGCAATAGCAACGGTCCCGAAGAGGAGAGTGCTGGTAATTAACTTGAACAACATCATGGGAGATAGTCGGAAAGCGGATGCTGAGTTGACAAGTAGCTGTGTTACTGTCTGGGATCTAAATATTGGCTGCACGGCTTATACTTATAGTCAAGCATAGTTGTGGAGTTGAAGTAGATTCCGAGGTAGTCTTCGCTTATAGTGAGGCTAAAGTCATTTGACTAGGATAGCCCCATTGACGTACGTAGCATGATAAGAAAACACATAGTAACTGCCAAAGTAGTATTACCGATCGCAGCTGCCGGTATCAACCCCGGAGTTTGGCTCTGTCATGCCCTACTATGATTCGCCGGATCATAAGGTATCAAATCAACTATTCCCTCTCAAGGACATAGCTGCATGAATCACGGGCCTCGTGGTAAACCCCTCTTCAAACCTTAGATTACTTCCGAGTTGCATTCCTCTGCTGTATCGGGAACCCTGTCGAGCGCGGGTATTTTCAAGTTACCGCTAAATTAACCTTAGTACGGTCATTAGCCCTTTACCATTTTATTCCCCGCGAGAGCCTTGTCTTAAGCATGGGAACCCTAATATTACGACGTTATAAAACTCTAATTATGTTGCTTTCCTAATTGTAAACACTGCCACGGCCCACATGTAACTTAGGGATGAGGATGCAGGCTGTAGATCTATAGTGCCGCTAGTACCGGTTTGGGGTATATAAGCGCTGCCAAACTCTAAATGTGGTCGCAGTCATGGCTTTAGATTTATGATTGAGATGCATAAAAGATTCCTTAGCTAATAGAATGACATTTTCGAGCAAATTCATTTGAGTAGGAATAAGAGGTGAACCGATTTTACATTATTACTATCTGGTGGGTGGGCGTGGAAGAATTCCGAACTCACACTCAAATGTTTCTCAAAGGAAAGGATTTCTCGGCGGCAGCTCTTTCCAATCTGAGTCTAGTCAAGAAGAACGGTTATCTCCGCGGCACGCCTTTCCGATGTGAGCCTAGTCACATAACGCAGTACAATGCAAGTGAATTGAGATTATATGCCAGAATGGACTAGAATCACCAGGGTAGAGAATCTTCTCGGTTTTATAAAAGTTCCCTTATATTTTGTAAACATTGTAATTCGTCGGATAGAACGAAATTCCACTTCTTATGGTATAGGGTAACTCATATCTACTGGACAATTTGATTGCTAAGCAGATCACAGGAAAGCTTTAATTTTTACTCGATTTTATCCCTATTCTGGCAAGTAGAGTAGTTTATCTTGAGGCTCCTGAGGTTTTGAGTAAGTCTCACAGTTAAGCCTGAAGGCTTTGCTTAATCATTTGATCACACAAACCACCCCGCATCACAAATTAAGGATCAGAACCCCACTCTCAATCTAAACACACGTATTCTATCCAATCTCTCTCCTCCTCTCCAGCTATTATCCTCCCCTGCCAAGCACCTTCGCCGGAACCTATATCACTATGGATTTCACCTTATTCTCAGGCGTGCCTGATCAACCATCTCTGCCTTCTGATCCATGTTCAGAGCCTTTTAGTCTTGCAGCTGTCGCGGGCCCTGATGTCTGGCGAACACCTACCTGTGCTGGAGGTCGTGACGATTTTAACGGCCCAATCTACGCAACGCCACTAGCCCTTGGCTCTTTCAAGAATGCCAAGGTAACAATTCATGGCGACTTCGACACTCCGTATTCGCAAGGCGGTCTTATCTTGTTCATGCCCAATTCCCTTGTTACGGACATTGCTGGGAGGAAGAGCCTAGAGAAGTCGCCTGATACGTGGATTAAGGCTGGAATTGAACGTGTCGACGGCCAGCTCTTTGCTTCTGTCGCTGCCGGTAAGCCTTACTCTGACTGGAGTCTTGTCAAGCTTGATCAAAATCGCGCGACGTTCGAGATGGAGAAGTCAAAGGGCTCTTTGTGGATCTACGTTACAGGGTCTGGTGGACAGAGGACACCTGTGAGGAAGTTGACGTGGGTGTTTGATACTGAAAGGGAGGAGTGTATCTGGGTTGGTGTTACCGCGTGTATGCCCAAGGGCGATGGAAGTGAGAATGGAGGATCATTGAAAGTTCAGTTCTCCGACTTCTCGATCAAGACTGAATAGGTTACGTTTGTACAATTAATGGAATGCCTGTGATAGCATCATGAATTCAACTGACAATGATAGGTTGTTCAAATACAAGCATAGGCTCTGGACAGTCCCTGTGTGTGCTGGCGGACTGAGTAGCACTTGAATAAAAGGAAAGGGCGGCACATGATTTAGACAAAGGTTTGTATTTGTACCTTTCTCCCTACCTATGAAACAATTGATATTTGATAATCAGTTTTGATAAATGTCGAAAAGTGAATGCCGAGGATGTGCGCTGCGTCATTAGAGGGCCAAGAGGCCAAGACCGAGGTAGACACTAATCGCTCCGCCAAATGCGGGGATAAGGATACAGAAAGACATACAAACTAACTGGTATATTCATCCACGCACTAACATACCGAATCCGTCATAAAATACAAAATCGGCCTTTTAGTCATGGAACATGGAACTCGAGATGTTACAGCAGAACCTCGCTTTCCCGACCATTCGCAGCCCGCGCCAGAGGCCGAAAGAGGACGTTATCATCAAAAGCTCACCAACGATGCTCAGATCCTTGACAGAAACACTTTCCAGTCCAAAGATGTGATTGAGGAGATATGGTCAGGCCTAGGCCTACCTCTAGCGTCCCTGGCATCAGTCAAGCTCCCAGGTGACGAAGGACCAGCATTACCCTCATCCTTCAAGATCGGAATCCTCGCACAGGCCTCCATTGGCTTGGCTACTCTCGTCGCAGCTCAAATTCACGCTTTGCGAAACAAGAGCGACGTTCCTATTGTGACGGTGCCGCTGGAGAATTCTGTCGTGGAGTTCAAGTCCGAAAGACTGTATACCATAAATGGCAAGCCTGCCACGTCACCCTGGGGCGAGTTTGGTGGACTGCACAAAACATCTGACGGCTACGTTAGGATTCATGATGCATTTCCTCATCATGCGAAGGGTACTCTCGATCTACTTGGTCTACCGACCGGCGCAACTAGACAACAGGTGTCGGAAAAGACTGCCGAGTGGGCGAGCATCGATCTGGAGACTTGTGCAACGCCCGAGGGCAAGGTAGCCATCTACGCGTTGCGCTCCTATCGCCAGTGGGATAGTCTTCCGCAGTCCAAGCTCATCAGTAATTTCCCTATCATACTGAAGCAGGTCTCACAGTCCCCGCCAACTGGGCTACCACACAGAATGAGAGGCGGAAACAGAAAATGTCTTGAAGGTCTTCGCGTCGTCGAACTCAGCCGTGTGATTGCTGCCCCCCTGTGCGGCAGAACACTCGCGGCTCATGGCGCTGACGTTATCTGGGTGACATCCCCGAACCTGCCTGATCACCCCTCTATTGATCGAGATATGGCACGAGGAAAACGAACAGTTCAGCTTGATCTCCACAATCCTGAGGATAAGAAGCATCTGTTTGAACTTATTAAAGAGTGCGATGTTTTTCTTCAAGGTTATCGGCCCGGCAGTCTTGGTTCCTATGGCCTATCGCAGGAAGAGCTGATCAAGGCCAATCCCAATATTATCATTGCGAATTTATCTGCTTTTGGACCCAAGGGTACGTGGTCTGGTCGTCGCGGCTTCGATTCATTGGTCCAAACATGTTCTGGCATGAACATCTCTGAAGCCGAGCATGCAGGAAAGGGCGAGGCTGCACAGCCAATGCCATGCCAGGCCCTCGATCATTCCGCTGGTCACATGCTAGCGGTGGGTATACAGGCGGCTCTGTATCATCGAGCTAACCAAGGAGGTTCATGGCGAATCGATGTATCTCTGGCAGGTATGATGAGATACTTGAGGAGCTTGGGCCAGTATCCTGGTGCTACCGGCTTTCAGGCGAGGGACTTTGACAAGCAAGAGGATGTTCCCGAAGTGTACATGGAGACGAGGGATACGGGGTTCGGCACTATGAAAGCAGTCAAGTATGGTGCTGCGATTGAGGGGTTGCAGATTGGGTGGGATATCATGCCGAAACCATTGGGATCTGATAAACCTGAATGGATTGAGTCTTAGGAGACCAAATCTGGTGAATTGATCCTGAGAAACAGCAGTTGGGACTCAAGCTGTTTCTATGTATCTTCTAGCGCCTTGTGGGGTGGCCGCAGTGTCCGACCCTTTTATGCTTCTCCGTTCATTCTGCCTCTCGGGTGTCATTCAAAACCAATGATTATTATTCAAGTAGGCAGTGACCCCTGCGTTAGTACGTTTTCTCTCAACTATCGATCGATCTTAGGTGCAGCGCTGCTCCCCACTTTGGCACCAACTACTGATTCTAGACCTTCAGCTGAGCAGCCACACGGTTTCGATCTTATCGCATAAAAGCAAGCTTATATCCTGTTTCTTCCAAGTGCACACTTGATGCACGTTTTCTCAAACCAACTCACTCATATTCTAGTAGGCCCTTCCCGTGGATATTTCATAGAGTTCAAGCTACATTATGAGGTCTGTTACTAATATCCCTTGCGCTAGCTCTGCCCAGTCGAGATGAGTGTCTATGGCTACTGCCCTTCCCTCCCAGCCAACGTCGCCTTCGCTGCTTTATTCACCCTTGGTACTGCCATGCACGCCTACCTAGGATTCAAGTGGAAGACACCGTGGTTTATGTGGTGCTTGATCCTGAGCTGCACTCATGAAGTGGCCGGATACGTGGCGCGTATTCTCCTATGGGTCAATCCCTGGAGTTTTGGTGCTTTTATCACCCAGATCAGTAAGCGGCTTCTTGCACCATGGCGAAAGATCATGGTATTGACTATGTGCAGTTGCTATCACTCAGGCATCCGTCTTCTACTGTGCGGCAATCTATGTCACTCTTGGCCAAAGGTAAGCTACAATTGATCCCTGAAAACTACCAATGCTAACACTTGATCAGCATAGAACACTACGGCCCAGGACTCGCTCGCTTCCCCAACAAGTACTTTGCCTGGGTATTTGTATCAATGGACGTCATTTCTCCTATTTTGCAAGGTACTGGAGGAGGTCTATTAGCATTATCTTCAGGCGCCAGCCAGGTTGGAGTTGAAGTCGCCATGGCGGGCCTGACTTTGCAGGTCATCATGCTGGTCGCTTTTAGCGTCCTGTTTGCAGACTACATGTTTCGATACCTTCGCTCCAAGACCACACGAAGTCTCCAATCCAGAGACAAGTTATTTTTTGAGTTCTTGGCTATGGCCGTGTTGACGACCCTGGCTCGCTGCATCTTTCGTTGCTATGAGCTTAAGGAGGGCTGCTCGGAGGAGCTGATTAAGCATGAGGATTTGTTCATTGGATTGGAAGGAGTGTGAGTACTCAGATCCCCATATTATTTTTGTTTTGTTTTACTGGTGCTGACTGTGAATCTTAGGTTAATTGTTATTGCCGTCTTTTGCTTGTGCATTGCTCATCCTGGTTTCATCTTCAACCGCACAGCGAAGGTATACTATTCAGTTGCGACTGGGGCAGCAGGTTCGGATGACTCCGCCTATCGATCAAAGCTTTCCGAATCTGTCAAGGAGCCTATGCGGCAGTATGATACCTATGGAGCATCAGTATTCTATCTGCCAATGTCAAGGTGGCAGAAGTCCTACATGGATCAGGCAAGTTGAAGGAAGAATTCCTACGAGCAATAGATTTGAGTTACAATAGGCGATGGCTGGGGATTGGAGCAATATAGTCCTGAAACCAATACATGTTTGTAAAACTTAGTCACTCTTCCTTAATTCCGTTGAAACTGTCGATGGCTTACTCACTGTCACATGCAGGCTTACATAGCTCTTTTAGCGTGAAAATAGCAACTCCACGGCCGCGCACCTCAAACCTAGTGATACCACGATCTTACCCAAAAAATCGGACTATCTTGTGTCCGAGGTGTTTTTGTTATCAGCATGATGACATCATTTAGTGGTTCGCTTGCACCTGTCCAACATATAATCTGTATCGACCTTTTCACACTAATTTGTCTTTATTTGTCGAGCCAAATCGAATCACTTGACAAGCAGCAACCTGTCGCTTTTCCAAACGCCATGGGCACCGAAAGTAAAACCGAGACCGTGCAAATCGTCATAGACTCGCTCCTAGCGGCAGGAGTCAAATACGTCTTTGGCGTCCCGGGCGCAAAAATTGACTCCGTCTTCAACGGCCTCGTCGACCACAAGGAGATCAAACTCGTAGTCTGCCGCCATGAACAAAATGCCGCATTCATCGCCGGAGCCATCGGAAAGATCACAGGCCGTCCTGGCGTCTGCATCGCAACATCTGGACCGGGAACCAGCAATCTAGTTACCGGTCTCGTCACTGCTACTGATGAGGGCGCGCCTATGGTCGCTATCGTGGGGAGTGTGCAGCGGTCGCATATGCTGAAGAAGACGCATCAGAGCTTGAGAGGCATTGAGCTGCTTACGCCGGTTACTAAGAAGGCAGCCGGTGCGACCGTTGAGGATCAGGTGGCTGAGATTATGCTTGATGCTTTTCGTGAGGCTACTACTTATCCTCAGGGTGCAACGGCTGTTAGTCTTCCTATCGATATCATGCTCACTGGAGTCAGCAGGTCTACCATTCCTGCTTTCCCATCCAGCGCTTTTGTGTCACCCAACTACGGACCGTCATCGGAGCAGACCATTGATGAAGCGATCAAAAGGATACAGGGGGCAAAAGCACCAGTTCTGTTCCTAGGCATGCGCGCAGCAGATCCGGGTGTGATTGATGCAGTCCAGCGATTCTTGCAAAAGCACCCTATGCCTGTCGTTGAGACATTCCAAGCCGCTGGAGCTATCTCAAAAGATTTGTTCCATCTCTTTTACGGCAGAGTTGGCCTATTCCGCAATCAGCCGGGAGATAAGCTCCTAGCCCTCTCTGACTTGGTCATTACTGTTGGATTTGATCAGGCAGAATATGACGCGGATGTTTGGAACGCCGCTAATCATCTTGATATCCTCCATCTTGACTTTCTTCCTGCTGATTGGGGGTACTTCTATGCACCCAAGCTGGAAATCATCGGGTCGCCAGCACAGAATCTTGATATTTTGAGCGGCAAGCTCGATAATGCCGCAAGACTACAGGAGACGGAAAAGGCCAAGGCTATCCTAGATGAACTCCACGACTGGAAAAAAAGTCCCGAAGCCAATGCAAACGATCCCACCGGCCGCGTTCATCCTCTCTACTTTATCCGCCAGCTGCAAGAGATGATGCCAGAGTTCACGACAGTTGCTGTGGACGTGGGAAGTGTATATATCTGGATGTGCCGCTACTTCTACTCTTACAAACCCAAGACCTTTTTGGTTTCCAACGTCCAGCAGACTCTCGGAGTTGCCATGCCTTGGGCAATTGGGGCGTCTCTATGTCAATCCCCTCCATGCTCAAGCAAAGTCGTCAGTATCAGTGGCGACGGTGGATTTATGTTCAGCTCCCAGGAGCTCGTCACAGCTGTTCAACAAGGCTGCAACATCACACACTTCATATGGAACGACGGGAGGTATAACATGGTTGAGTTTCAGGAAGCTAAGAAGTACGGACGGAGTGCTGGTGTCAACCTGGGCGGTATGGACTTTGTCAAGTTTGCTGAGGCATCTGGTGCGAAGGGCTTCCGCGTTGACTCACCATCGGATTTGAAGAGTGTAATGAAGGAGGCACTGGAGTTTGAAGGGGTATGTCTTGTGGATGTGAACATTGATTACTCGCAGAACCTTGCATTGATGGAGCAAGTAGACCTTGGTGCTATTGCTTAGATACCAGGGATCCAATCTTGCTATGTCAACAAATGTTAGCCTTAGTACTACAAATACCCCATTGTGGGAAATAGACATGAGACGAGCTCGGCTTGACCGTATTCTTCTACCTTTGCGGAAGGCAGAGATCAATGAAACCAACATGATATTAATACGATACAGAAAGCATAAACTGAATCTCTATTGTACAATGAAGGACGGAGTGAAAACAGTCACTCAGGTAAGTTGACAATATCCAAGAAAGCAGTGGCAACTGGAGAGCACAAATATTCGTACAATTTGCCAAGATTATGCTAAGATCGGAGAAGCCATAACCAATTCATCTAGTAATAGCGCTACTGGTGGGAACTTCTAAGGTATTCTCCTCTGCCTATGAATCTCATTGAATGGTTCCATAGCTCTCCCTCACCATCAAATGTCCACCACAACAACCTTCGCACCCTCAGTCTTTGTTCCATCAACAGGCACAGCGAGAGCACCAGAAGTAGACACAAACATCTTCTTCTGTCCCAGATTTCCATTGCCGAACGCAACAGCAGTGGATCCCGCCACCGTCATGTCATGGATACCACCGACCACTGTCTTCCACTTTCCAGTCTTGGTATCAACACGCACTACTGAATTGTCAAAGTTGCTGGCAGCGTAGATATAACCATCGCTACTGAAAGCAAAGTCGTCAAGAAAGCTCACGGATTTTGAGAGGTTGGATACAATTTGAGGCTTGGCTCCCTTGACCAAGACCCCTTTAGAGGTGATGGCGACGCGGTAGATCGTGGCAGCATTGGAGTTGGTCCAGTATAGGTAGCCATTGTGGATCTTGATTCCGTTGATTCCAAAGGATCCACCGGGAATGGGAGTCATCTCGGGAAAAGTAAAGGCCGAGGTGTCAAAGATTCCGGTGGATAGGTCAAGACGACCTACCACGCCGAGAATTGAATCGGATACGAGCACGGCATCGGATACCCCTGGGATCGCAACCACACCGTTCAGAAAAGAGCTGTTCGGGGTCATGTTGCTAATCTTTGTGACCTTGACCTTGGCCTGGTGCCTTTTATGGTTGAACTCAACTTTCCAGGCACCGAATGTCCCGACCGTCAGCTTGCCAACGTCAGTGGAGTTGCTGCCAACGACAACGAAAGTCTCCGGTTTGCCGGGCCCAAGGGGTACTTGGTCGATACCCAGGATTCCATGAATGGACGGAATGGTGACCAACTTTTCGATACCAGTGTCGCAAGTCAAAGGGTTGGGGATGGTGTAGATAGTCGCTGTGGGCCACATCTGTGTCATAAGGAGGTCGCCATTGAAGCGTACGAGGACACTCTCTAGCCAAGTCCCAAGGGGGAGCTGGCCCAGTGTCTTTGCGCTAAGAGAATGGCTGAGCGCAAGAGCTGGGAGGGAGGCGAAGGCGAGTACTGAGTTAAACAACATGGCGACTGGCTGTTTCTGACTCGGAAGATGGGAGTGATGGGGGTGACTGGAGGGAGTTGTTGATATGGGCCGCACCATTTACTTAGATACATAACCCGTATTTGTAATTTTCGATCCGATCAATTAACCAGATTAGGATAACAACTCCAATTGAGAGCAATTGGGTTATGTCGGGTTATCCACACCCGCCTGAGGACAGGGAATAAATGTTTACTCAGCCATTTCACGAGAAATGTATGATTATCTAATGCCTTTGTCATCCAACCATACACATAACAATGGAGTATTTACTACATTTTACGAGAAAGGCTCCATGTTCCTGTCGATCTGTAAGCTGCAGGTAGCTTAGAGGCGGCTTGGATAAGCTCATTAGTTTGTTATAAACCCTGCGAAGGAGTCGGTTCCTTACTTATCCGCTGTCAGCAGCGTCGACGGATCATGGCCAAGAACCCAGCCTAGTTAGTTGATAGCTTGTTTGACATCTTTCATTCTATTTGGTCTTCAGCCAGTCTATAAATCTCTTCCTGTAAGATAGAAATGAAGACTTTCTTTCTCATCTTCGCTAAACAAAGGACCTCCCCATAGTCTTGCACCGACTACTAAAATGTCACATAACCTGCTTGGTCGAATGAAGATATGCGGCGACATCCGGGTGCAATATGCCATCCTCAACCAGCTGATCCGCAGCTTCTACTATCCAGGTCTGACAGTTTCTTTGCACGACTCTCCGAGGTAGACCCTATGGTTCGCTTTAGTTACATGGCTATTCAGTCGTTCAAGGTTGAACATACAGTTTGTCTGACAGTATTGAGTGTTTTGACAGGTGCCTTCACATTGGACACACTTCTCTCGAATTCGGACAGCGGTTCTAATTGATCGCCCATGCCGTCTTCACCGTCAAGTATGGCCTGTTCATCGGTGGGTCGACTTTCAATCCACTGCAGTGGAATCCGCGAAGATGGACGAGGTGAATCTTGTGAGAGATCGTGGTCTCTGTTAAGCTGAAGTTCAAAGCCGTTCCTCACATCGCCCTGAGCGTCGATGTAAACACCTGTGTTGGGGCTGGAGCTTGATCGTATGAAGTATGCCCAATGATCATTGAAAGGGGCTCCGCTATATATGAGAAGCTCAAGGAGTAGCGTTCCAACTGGAGGGTTCTCAGAAACGACGGGTGGCGCCGGGCGTGATGGAGTGGGAGCAGTTCGAAAAGACGGCGGTGGAGGAGGTGACGGAGGAGGCATGTCTTGGCCAATTACACTGATTGTCATGAAGTTGAAGTAGGAGAATCATTCTAAAGAGGAGACAAGAGCGTCAGGTGAACGGAAACTTGAAAAGAGTAGTTCGCAGCATGTTGGCTCTTGCAATGCTGACTTAAGCGAGGTATTTATTCCACTTCTTTTGCAGCCCAACCAACCAGGAACAAAATTGAAGCGCGCGCCAACATGTTCTCCAGCCAGGCATCAGCCATTTGCTCTCATCTAGGCTGATAACAATACTTCCGCATTTGGTCAGCACAATGGCCAAAATCGACCATACAAATATGAGCATATGCTCTGCAGCAAACGAGAACTTTATAATCTATCCGCAAAGCAGTTTCTTTCGAGAAGACCGAGCAGCAGCTCTACCATTACCAACAGAGATCAGAGCTCTGAACGAAGTCTCTGATTACTTTCATGCCAAAAGTCTCGACTCCCCAACCCCTGTCAAATTCCCATCTTTGGGGCTGATAGTCAAATATGGAACCGATGTGACTGCTGCCGAGATCGAGGCGCAGGTCATGATGTATGAACGATTGAAAGGCCATGTCCCTGTCCCGGAGGTCTACGGCTGGGCCAAAGACGGCAATCAAAGGTTCCTCTACATGGCCTTGATAGAGGGTGATACCTTGCAAACTCGATTCTATGCCCTCAGCGAGACCAAGCGACAGGCTATCTGCAAGGAACTCAGATCGATGGTTGATGCCTGGAGAGCTTTGAAGCAAAGCAAAGATTTCCAATACGTGGGCGAGTTACGTCTTTTAGAGCGTATTATTGATCAGCTTTCTCTAACAAGATGATTAGGAAGTGTTGGACAACGCCCACTAACAGACTATTCGGTTATTGCAAGACCAGGACGAGCAGGTCCTTATCTTGGCGCGAACTCGGTACGCGAGTTCCACGACACATGTGGAATCGAGATCGAGGAAGATATCCCTATCTGCTTCACTCACAATGACCTCTGTCCCCCAAATATTCTCATCTCGAAAGGCCCCGATCCCAGGGTTGTGGGTATCATCGACTGGGAGCAAGCGGGCTGGTACCCTTCGTATTGGGAGTACTCCAAGGCACGTAGAGTAGGCGTGATAGATGAGGACTTTGGTTATGCCCTGCAAGAGGAATGGACTTCCAAATATTTGCCCCAGATCTTTGATAAGGTGGACGAGGAGAGGGTTTATCATATGTGGCTCTACTTCATGCTTTCTTGTATCTGAGTGAGGCCAGAAAGGTGAGCTATTGGGACCAATAGTTGAACAAGGTATTATTTACAGTACAGCGTGGCATTTATCAAGGTAGCTAAGGTAGCTCTTTGACCAATGCAAAGCATATCATTGTTACTGAAAGTCAAAGGGGACAAGAGAAACAGGATACAGATCGTGAAGGAAGTCATTCCCATACATCAGATCATCTTGCCAATTCACTGGACTCAGCTCCACGTCATCATCCGCCAGAGGGTGTAGAAAGTCTGTGGTCACATGAATACTCACGTGAGACTGACTCTCGGGGAACGAAATCTGGCTTCCATCCGGTAAGCTGGTGTTTTGCATGATTGGGTCCAAAAGTTCCCAAATCATAGAAGGCGGAAATTTTATGGTAGTATCCGTACTGAGTGCCTCTGCCGGGGTTCCTATGACGAGTGACTGCAGTCGCTTGAGACTTTCAATCTTGAAATTATTGTCAGCTGTGGAATACATCTTTGGGTAAGGTTTTATACCTTCTGGTACATGCAAGGCCAAGCTTTTGATAACCGCTCGAGAAATCTCTGCCCTTTGGCCAGGTTCTGACTAGCCTTCCGAGCAACCTTGGCATTTCTAACAAATTGATAGAGCCATGGGATAGTAGACGTAGCAGCGACAGCCAGTCCAATCAGAGGGTTAGAGATCTCGAAAGACAGGTCTTCAAATATGCCAATGAGCCAAAACACCCATCCAGAGTGAAACAGAGCCTGGTCTACAACTTGTTGCAGAAAGAGTCTAGACTGGCTGATACCCTTGTTGCGTCGCAAAGCAACAAGGTGGACAAATGGGTGGTTCAGCAGTGCAAGGGATGCGTGAAGGATGAGATGTGTTGTCAACCAGGAATTCCAGTACTGGCGATAAGCCCGTATTTCATCAGGCAGTCTCTTGAACGGAAACAGATTTCTCATCAAGTGTCTCTGGTGGAACTGGGCTTCATACTCGAATAGCGTGAGGTTAAGCTTGGAGTATGTTGACTCTGGCAACCAGGGTATTTCGACTTCTCCCATTTTGATCTCGTGGAGATGATTAGCGACTCGGCTCCATACAGATATCATCCTACCAGCGTGTGTGTTTATGCCCACATCGTCGGTTGCGCCCACGGCATTATCAAAGTCAAGTGCGTTGACCTCGTTCGCGTCGAGGGGTATTGACGGCGGAGGCTCTGCGCTGGGTGGGTGTTTACGAGTGATGTTTGAGTCTGGAGCTCGGGGCATGTGGGGGAAGAAAGCTGCTTCGATCATGTAGATACTCCAATAGCATCTATTATGGATATCGTGCTCGTCCGTATTGAGACCTTTGCTGTGTTGGAGAGTGCAGATGCTTTGTAGTCTGGCTGCAGTACCGATGGACATCCACGCTCGAGCCAAGTCGCCTCCTAGCACCGTGTTAGATGAAGCTCCCCACAATAACGGTCCAAATTGAAGTCTTACCTTTGATATCCCTAAACGACAGCATACACAGAGCCTGTATAAGCTCTACTCGAGGCTTCCCCTCGGATGCAAGCTGTTGTGTGGTAGCTACTGCAGAGCCAGTATAATAGCTAGCGGCTTGTTCTTGCTTACCATGGTAGAATCTGTGCGAGGAGAACTCCAACATAAGTGCCAAGAAGCTGTGCACCAGATACCGAGGGGACGAGCCAAGTTTTGCAGTAAGATTATCAAGGTCAAATAAAGGGAGAGGTTGCAGATGGACTGTCGTGCCGTACTCCTTTATGAAGTAGGCTATTACTTCTGGCGGAGGGTCAGGTCTGAGATTGAGGTGAGCCTTTGTGTTTCCCATGATAGGGTATGGGGATTGTTACTGATCATCAGAGAAACCTGACATCCGCAGCGAGGTCATGTCCATATTCTCCACTGAACTTCCATTTCGACTTATCGCGCAAGCTACTTGCGTGCTCCCATCGGCTCCAGAACTACCGGTGCGTGCCCTGCGATACTGTCAGTTCAGACGTGCACTTCATTAGGAGAAATCGTACTCGAGCAACTCTGTAAGAGACGCAACCTGCGATTCGAGGTGGCGAACTCGATCTTTCGTGGATTTCCTGTGAGATGTTTGAGTATAAGGCGTGAGATCATCGGAAAGAAGTTTTACTTCGAAACGCTTTGTACGCGTGTGGTTTCATTATTCACTAGAGTGCCTCTGGCAGCATATTCACATTTCCGACTCAGTCTCTCGCAGAATGAGCAAACAGGTCGCTCTCCTGTACACTTTGACTTCTTTCGACTGCGATATGTCAGTACTCATCCGTGATATTCAATTAGTGGGTCTTACCGGCATGGCTCGCAGGCTCGTCGGCTTCGTCTTGATGATGTCTCCATCGCTGGTAAAGGACGGAGGTTATGAATTCCTCGGAGTTTGAAATGCCCCTCCTGTTGACCAATCAGACTGGCCCTAGGTGCAAAAGCTTGATCCCGCCCAGATATCTCCGCTCACGTGTGATAGCCAGATCAGCTATGATTGGTTGTAATCTGAGCTCAAAATTGTTAAGAAGTTTCCGCGGAGTTTACCGAGTTCCGATGTGAGAGGGAAATGGTAAGTATAAGACAAAGGTTGCAGTAATCAATTCAGCATTATCTTTCTATCCCATTGACGAATCTTACATTCCTTTCACTTTAAGTTTTTAACAAGAAACCTCTATCCTTGGAGTCATACATCACCACTACCCGCCCACCCCAATAGCATGTCGAATACCGAAGTCATGAAGGCTGTCGTCTTCGACGGGCCATACAAGATCTCCATTCAGGAGAGGCCAATTCCTCAAAGTAAAAACCCAGCCCACCAGCCCCAATAGTCAATCTTTTCTAACTTGAACCAGTTCAAAATCCAGAAGATGTCATTGTCAAGGTCAATATGACTGCCTTGTGTGGATCGTGCGTAGTTATTCAGAATTATCTTATTTGGTGATATTGAAGTGCTGACAAACTTTAGAGAGCTACATCTCTACCGAGGTGTCGAGCCGACAGAACCGGACTTTATCATGGGCCACGAATTCACAGGCACCGTCGTCTCTCTAGGCTCAGCTGTCAAATCTGTCAACATTGGCGACAAAGTCGTCTCTCCTTTCACTGCTTCCTGGTTAGACCTCCCCTAATAACATTTCCACCTCACAGCCTAACACAGGATTACAGCGGCAAGTGCTACTTTTGCCAAAACGGTGGCTCAGCAAGATGCGTCAACAGCCAACCCCTAGGTTCACCCAAACTCGACGGCGCCCAGGCCGAGTACGTCCGCATCCCCTACGCAGACGGTACCATCATCAAAGCCCCCGAAGGCATCCACGACCAAGCCCTAATCCTCATGGCGGATATTTTTCCAACAGGCTATTTTGGCGTGCAGAGTGGCGTGGAGATGATGCCTAAGCTTAACTTGCAGGATGCGACCATCGTGGTTGTGGGCTGTGGTCCCGTGGGACTCTGCGCTGTCGTGGCTGCTTCTGCGCTCAAGCCAAAGCATCTTTTTGCTGTAGACAGCGTTCAGTCAAGACTTGATCAGGCTGCCAAAATTGGAGCCGAGCCTCTTAACTTTATGGACGATAGGGAGGGGATGATTGAGCGTGTGAAGGCTGTGACTGATGGACGAGGCGCTGATATCGTGGTGGAAGTTGTTGGTCTTTCGCCGGCGCTTCGCACTGCATTTGATCTGGTTCGGTCGTTTGGTGCTATCAGCAGTATTGGTGTTCATAACGCAGAGGTATGTTTGCAGTCGTCACACTTCGTGACAATGCTGACTCCATGCAGATTCCTTGGTCAGGAACCGATGCTTACAAGTAAGTTACTATTCATATTCCCCATCTTGATAGAATCTGACAAGCTGTAGCAAAAACGTTCGACTACAAATGGGACGGTGTCCTGTGAGAAGTATCTTCCACGAAGCGATGGAAGTGTTGAAGCAAAAGCAGGATTCACTCGGGTAAGTCAAGCTCTGATCTAGTGGTTATACTTAGCCAACTCATGGCACCTTTGCAATATACTTGACTAACTCCATGCAGCTTCCTGTTCGAAAACATCCTTCCTCTTTCTGACGCCGTGCGGGGATACGAGCTGTTCAATCAGTCCAAGGTTCAAAAGGTTATCTTCCAGGCTTAATTCAACCACTTTTGCCTCCATTGAGATTGTACTTTAGTAATTGAAAGCAATTGAGTGCTAGAAGAAGAATCCTTTCAGGGTAGACTCTTCCATATCGATTCTTCTTTACCTGGTCCAACTCATAGATCCTACCAACAAATGATTATTTCGCCAAGGAGAATATGACTGGCATTTTAGGTATTAATGAAAATCCCACACGATTCTGGCTGTAGTTGTTGATAGCGTTGTTGTGAGTTTGTAACGTCTGAGGCTTTAGGGGTGTAAGACTTTTCGTCTTTTGATCTGACTTTGGGAAACCATCGTCATCAGACTGGGTAGCATTACAGGAAAAGAATTTTAGCCAAGCAAGGTCTATGCGGCAACATATAAGTCTTTACCCCTTCAAAAGATTGCGCAGGACATGGGCGTGCCTCTTAAACATGCTCAACAGAATTCTTCTAGGCACAAATAGAGTCTAAGTAGATCCACATCCACAATGCTCCCACGAGTGTGCCCCAAATCTGTCATCGCAGCCAACCTGAAGTTTGGTGCTGATAGGTTTATTTTCCGCAGCGGTGGAGAGAGCAAGACCTCCTACAGGGTAATGAATGGCCAAAAGTCCAGTAACTGATAGTTCGCACAAGGCAATGTTGTAGCTCTAACTATTTTCTTCTTTTAATATATTTCTATACGTTCCAAGAGCTTGCCAGCGCAAGCAGAGGCGGTGCTTTGGATATTTAACATCGGATTGGAGGCGAAACAGATCACTATCTCGCCAGCACAACAAGTAAAAATTTTGTACAGCAGAATTGAACACATAACAATTACACATTACGGTAGCCGATCTTCTCGGGGAAAGAAGAAAGTCATGTTTAGGGCAGTATTATTATATAGAAAAAGCCACTATTGAGGTCCAAATCTGAAAGACAGGAGAGCAGAATAGTAAGATAACTATCCTTTCCGCAGTTCTACAAACACAAGTAACTTTGGCTCGTCCATCAATGACCTCCGGCGCCTTAACACGCTCGCACAGGATCGAATAATGGCTATTTTAATTTAATCGGCGTAGCTGGTTTCTGACGAATAGTAGTTGTGTCTGTAGAAATACGGCCCGTTTCTGCTTGTTATAACCGTTCGAGTCGCGACAAAGAGGCAATCAACATTCGACAATGATATCAGCTAAAAGGGCTTCATATACGTTTTGTCATCGCGACCGTCGAGGATGTGGAAAAATGACATCGGAAAGTGCGGATCACGTAATTTCTCAAAGAAATCTCAATTGCCATCTTCACACCAGCGCGGGCATGTCGGGATTCGCGGCTTTCGTCGTTCGAACGGGTAGTAAACCTGATGCGTTAATTCCTCCGCAGCCGCGGGAACGCAGCGTTTGTCATCTCCCGCGGGAAGGAAGGGAAAGATTGTAAAAATCAGGCCGGACTGTGGATCAAGTCGGCCGAGAGAGTCGCAAGGAAGAGTGACAGGCAGATCTGGGAAGACAAAGATGGACCAACCTGAAGGGGGAGAAGCTGGATACTTATGTGCCGTTTGTGCCGAGAAAAATGGGGCCTTGGCATCCATCTGGGGCCCGTCTTGGCAAGGCGGCCAAGGTCTTGGGAGGCTATTCCAGGCTGAGTTAGCTGGGAGTTATGCGAGGTTGGCCGGATTGAAGCTTATTCAGTTTGCGGAGGGATCTGGCTGCTACTCAGATTAGGTGGACCCGGGGTCTGGGGGTCTTTGGTAAAGGCTGTAATTCGAGAGATCTAGACTTCTGCTGGTGATGCTCTAGCTCGCTCATCTCTGTCGCTCTGGCTATCCTTGTATCCCATCATATTCTATAATGCATCACGGGAAGACAATGCGTGTGTCCTTGCGTCCTTTCTGATAATACGTTCACCCAAGTCAGCACGGGAGGAGCAACGGGAATGTCCACTCTACTCTACTCTTCTGCCCCGCACTGTCTTCCCTGTACACCTCCCGCGGGAACTCTTAGGCGCCACAGTCCCCTTCCCCAGTATCAGTCTATCCACTCCCGTTGGCAATGATCCATCACAAGTTCAACGACAAGTTGCATCACGGACTATGATCCCCCATCTCCACGGGGTAGTCGCCTCTGGTCGAGATTTACCCTAGGAAAAGATGGAGAGGAGAATACCTCGACTCAACTTCGTGGCACTGTCCAATGTTTGGTATAAGATCAGGGACCTCCGACCCCTAACTTCCCCAACTTTTAGATCCAGACCAGCCAAGAAAGCTCAAAGAGTCACTTCTCTACCAAGAAGCCACTTCTTAGTTTCTCTTAAGACTCGCCGCCACCCCCAAGTCCGCTTCAACAACAAGCGTCATCATGGCTCCAGGCGCTGTGAAGAAGCCCGTCAACATCTTCAAGCTACACGAAGTCGACGAGCCCAAGGGTGTTTTCAACTGGCGACTATGGTTTGCTGTGTTTGCCTTTGGTCTTATGGGCGCTGCCCGTGGAATTGACGAGGGCCTCATCTCGGGCGCCTTCAAGTCCAAGGACTTCCAGAAATACATCCACTTCAAGGACTACTCTCTTGTTGAGCAGGCCAACATCAAGGCCAATGTCTCAGCAATGGTCCAGATCGGCTGTGTAGGCGGCGCACTTATGTAAGTTTACATCCCCAAGCAGATACTGTCTTGTACTAACATTTCGTGGTGCTTTCCTCATCTGTGATAAGATAGGTCGTATCTGGGCTACTCGACAACTGTGCATAGTTTGGATCGTCGGCATCATTATCTTCATGGCCAACGGAGGCAGTCTCGGGGCTATATACTGTGAACGCTTCATTGCAGGTCTAGGAATTGGTCAGACAGCCGTTGTAGGACCCGTCTATCTCGCCGAGATTGCCCCCTCGGCTGTGCGTGGTCTCTGCACTTGTGTCTTCTCCGGCTTCGTCTACCTGGGCATCGTCCTGGCCTACTTTGCCAACTACGGCTGCGCCCGACACATGGGCGACAACACTCACGCTCGATGGCTGGTTCCCACCAGTATCCACATCATGTTTGCTGGGCTGATCTTTGCCCTTAGCTTCTTCGTCGACGAATCTCCTCGTTTCCTCATCAAAAAGGGCCAGACCGAAAAGGCAATCACTGCCATGGCCCGCCTGCGACAACAAGACCCCGAGTCCGACTACATCGTCCGCGAAATCACCGCCATCCAGGCCGCCCACGAGCACGAGCTTGAGAGCGTCAACACCTCTTTCCTCGGAACTTGCAAGGAGCTCTTCCTCAACTCCAGTAACCTCTACCGTCTATACCTCGCCAGCATGGTCCAAGTCCTTGCGCAGTGGTCCGGAGCTGGTGCCATCACTCTCTACGCCCCTGACCTGTTCGAGCTCCTCGGCATCAAAGGCTCAGAGACCGGTCTTCTCGTCACTGCTTTATTCGGTATCGTCAAACTTGCTTCAGCCATTACTTGTGCCCTTTTCCTTGTTGACGTCATCGGTCGCAAGCGTGCTCTCATGGGCGGCATCGCCCTCCAGACTTTTGCGATGATCTACGTCGCCTCATTCCTCACAGCCGTCCCCGAGCCTCACTCCTCCTCCCCCGCTGCGAGAGGGGCAATGGCTATGTTATATATTTCCGGGATAGGGTGGGCTCTTGGTTGGAACACAATGTCCTACATCCTCACCGCCGAGCTGTTCCCTCTCCGTGTCCGAGCCTTCGCCACTTCTTTCGCCATGACTCTTCACTTCCTATGTCAGTACGGCAGTAGTCGAACAACACCCAATATGCTTCTACCCACTGCCGAGGGCGGCATTAACCCCAATGGCGCGTTCTGGACGTATGCTACTATTCTGGCTGTTGGTGGTATTTGGGTTATTATTTCTGTTCCCGAAACTGCCGGTCGTTCTCTCGAGAGTATGGACCGACTTTTTGACCTTCCCTGGTACAAGATCGGCTTGTTCGGTAACCGCGATGCCGAGGAGCAGGATGCTGCTTATAATGAGAAGGAGGAGATGGCCATGAACTCACATGGTCAGGCTGTTTATATTGAGAACAAGACTAAGGAGATGGCATAAACTTGATGCTGCAAATTGGATAGGGCTTTTAGATGATTGAGTAGGAACGGTAGCGAATTGATTTTACTTCCTTAACATACTTAACGTTCTGACCGTGATCTTGATTATAATGTGATTGAACATTGTGAAGTACTATGGATAAAAGCACATAGCACTGACACGCCCGCAGGGAGTCGAATTAGAACCAACACAGATAGTAGCGCAACTTTGTTACTCTTACAGCACCATCCAGAAATCCACATGTGATGATGACCTGAGCGGAGTATCCCTTCTCCAATTTACTCCGAGTGGTTCGTTAGCAGTTAGCGTCGCCTACTCCGAAAGTCAGACTTCCCCTTCATGGTGGCAAATGGGCATACTTGGAGAAATACAAGCCGGTTACGACGATGTTAATGTTTATTGTCTTCACAGTTAGCTGAACCGCAGTACTGCACACCTTCATACTCTTTAGCCAGCTCGAAGAGCAGGTTGGCTATGGCTCTCAAAAAGAACTTGGATATAACTGCAGTTGCAAGAAATTATAAACCAAATTTCTCCCAGATGGCACAGTTCTGATATGCTTATATGTTACATTTACTGGTGATCCCTTAAACAAACAGAACAGTTTTGTTGTCGTCGATTTTCTATCATGTTCGTCGTCCTCTACCACAGCTGTGAACAATCAAGAGGGAAGCATTAAATGCAACAGAAATGTAACCCTTCATATTATGATAACCCCCATTTATAAAAATTGTATTGTGGACCCATCCCGAACTCATTCTCCGATAGGTGACCAATCCGGTAGAGGGGTCTGGGCCACAGGAGCGCTCTGGCTGTCTGAGCTGTTCCACCCTTCTGTTTGAGATCCTCCAGTTCGATACCAGTTTGTCTCAGGATCCCCGAGACACTCCCCCACAGTGACAGCTATGACAGGTATTAGACAAAGCACACTAAGTTCTGTAGTTGAGTACTGACCTCGCCTTCCACTTTGCACCGTTGCCCTGATGATCAGAGGCAGAATATTCTCGACCGTGTTCTGATGGACGTCGTGCATGAGAACAATAGAGCCGCCGTTGTTTAGACCAGTGTAGTATGCATCTAGAGGAGCTTCGACACCACCGGACTGATATTGCCAGTCGTTGGTGTCGATATCAGCAATAATAACCTTGTAGCCCAATTGACCAAGCACTCGGAGAGTTTCGTCGTTAAAGCTAAAGTAGGGAGGACGCATGTAGACGGGGGACTTGCCGATTATCAGTGATATTTCATTATCCAGCAACGCCATTTGCTGTTCGATGTCAAAGTCTTGAAGCCCGACAAGATTTGGATGGCCGTAGCTTTGAACTATTAGCATATACGTGTAGTTAGTTGAGGCTAGTCGGGGCATACGTATGTGAAGCGACCTGATGTCCCTCATCGACCATTCTGCTGACAGTGGGTTGGTAGTCCGCGATGTTCCCGATATTGTACCCGTTAAGGAAAAAGGTAGCCTTGAATCCAACCGCAGCAAGCTGGTCGAGTACCGAGTCGGTGTACACGAACGGGCCATCGTCGAAAGTCAGCGCGACTGTTCCTTCCTGAGTGCAGCTGTAAATGGCGACGCCAGGTGAGACATCTCGCTTTTTCGGGTAGACGGGGAGTGTCAAGGGAGCGGCGAGTTGGCTCAGCGAAGCAAGAATAAGTAGGCCCCGCATTGTGATTTTGGCGAAGAATATTACAATAAAGATAAGAAGAATAAATGAAGTTTGAACAAGTGATTCATACAGTCTAGTCGATCCCGGAGGTTAAATATACGCAATTCACCTTCTATGCCAAGCAGTCTTATCTGCGCAAATTGGCCCAACAACGCATATTCGTCATGGCCGTATGCAAGGAGGAAGGCTAGAAAAGCCCAGTGTGATAAGGTTCTCGGGTTTCCAGAGCGACAAGGGCCTCTCGGAGCATTTCTGAGCCTAATTGTTGGTGTGGCTTGAGACATTCTCCAATTAGGTTTGAGCACTGTTTTCGTCGCCGAGAACGATGCTGACAGTTGGGGTGCGACAGCATAATGTGAGAATCATGATACGAGCTGCGATTGTCGATCAGAAGTCTTATCTTGGATGGGTTTTCGAACACGAGGTTTGCTTTATCAATCATGCTATTGTTCGGGTGTGGTTCCGATTTTCTGAAGATGCAATTCAGACTAGGCGCTCCGTCTATTTTTTAGGCACAGAGTTGAAAATGGCTATGACGTAGGGATTGCAGTTACTCCCGGATCTAAAGGGACTAGCCTATGTATGCAGGTACTGCAGATTTCATTACTCCATCGTAATCTAATTGGGGAATAACATCGGAATCACTATTTGCTGCAGTGAGTACGACATGTTATAGCCCAACCTGAAGGTCTTCTATCAGGGCATCCTCTTATCTAAACTGTAGTAACCGTGCTAGAAGATTCCTGTAAAAGAACCTGGTACCAATTATAGTGTAAATGTTGACTTACAGCTGACTTTGCTATAAGGCGGATAGCTTGTCACTCAATTGTGTGTGAAGTAAAATAGGTATCTGAATGCACGAAACTCGGAAGCAAAGGCTATTACTAGAGCACATTTCATTAGGCTACTAGTTCTATCGCCGTCGCCGGTCACATATTAGGTCACTCTTTCCAAAGTTGCTACAGTTCTCAATTTAAGAATACAAAATGACACAGTCATTCTTTAATAAATCTGAGTATAGATATCACCAATTTCTCTTCAGGGTCGTCTATACCTGGGCTAAGAATGGTAAGACTCTTATTAGAGTAACTAAGTATCCTTACACGACAGCAGTAGAAGTCGGGGCCCGATTGAATTGTGAGAATGCTATCCATTTTTGTAATAACTTGACTTGTGATTAGGCTACTTGCGTATCGGTGGTTGCGAGGTATGACTTATATCAAATAGAATTGAACATTTATGCTGCACTACAGTGTGGCTGAGTTAGTCCCACTCGCTGGCTTTAGATATTACGGGTATGTTTCTTTATGCATTTAAATTGGTGTACTCAGAATGTTTTTTGACCTAAGCCTGCACTTTAAAGGTTTCGTTGTTTAGGCAGGTAATCTCAACGGGGGTCACATAATACCCAGCACTGGTTTGGCATTTAGTAAGTGAGTTATCGATATTTGACAGAGTAAATATAACTAATTTTACATCTATAGTCATACCATTAACCGTCTTCTTATTATATTTCAATCTACGCAGAACTCACACTAAGTTCCAAGAGTACTAACTACAATTACTGAGCCATAAATTAATAATAGGGATACAATATCTACACACCTATGGAATGTGTTATGCTCAATTCAGAGCTACCTACTATGTGCTACATAGTCCTCCAGGGTAACGACTATGAACACCAAGACAGTGACCAGATCTGGGTAGCTACATGTTAGCTTCAACCGTATTAGCGTGGAACAGAAGTTATTGTTAATCGCAGGGTGTCCAATATTAACAAGATCCTTATAGCAAGTGCGGAAATGTATACTTATTACTTTGGAAGGCTAGAGCATGTATGGTTGAAGAAGCTCACGGCGAGGCCCGAGTAGGCTTGAAGGTCGTGTTGGGACTGAGGTACAAAGCAAACCGGTCATTGAGTCATTTGCCGGTCCCTCGACTAAGCCGGATCAGCTTTAACTTAATGTTGATCAAGGGTATTTAAATGCCGCATCTAATGACGGTGTATTAAAACGGCAGTAATCCAAGGTATCCATCGGTTTACGCGTGTGAATTGTGGGGAATTCGAACGATTTTCAGTTGACGTATGTATGGCGCCTAAAAATGCGGATACAACACCTCAACTCTCATGATAGGAAGTATACGCGTCGGACGGTACCTAGAGTCGATATCTTGATCGGGCAGAGAATACTCTTGGTGTATTGCCCGAATTATTTAACAGCCAAGTAGATCTGTAAATTATACTCACCATTCTCCTCCCAATTCCTCATCACTACAGAGATGTCACAACTCACGCTGTTTACCGATAGCCGGTTTCCTTGCCCTCAGAGACTCCAGCTGGTGATTCTGGAGTTGGGCCTTGAAATCACCGACGTTCATCAAGTGGATATTATGAATCGCGAGCATAAGGTAAATGAATAGAAATACTGCCTCTGGAAGAAACATGAGCTAATAGTTAGCGATGACTTATTAGAACAAAGAATTTCTAGAACTCAACCCTTTCGGAGCTGTTCCTTGTCTCCAGGATCGCTCGTTTGATCCAGTCCTTGTTCTGACCGAGTCTCGGGCTATTGCTCGTTATCTTGCGAGTCGCTATGCCCAACCAAGCAACAAGCTCATTCCCGATGATGAAGTTGCAAAAGCAAAATTCGAAGAAGCCGCATCGATTGAATTGACCTCATTCGACGCAGTGGCCAATCCGCTTGTTTTCGAAGCCCATTTCAAGCCGTTTGTAGCCAACCACCCGATGTCATCACAGAGAGCTAATGATTTGCAACAGAATGTTTATGAAACAAGAACCAAAAGAGCAGGTAGTTGAGGACCTGAAAGTACGCCTTGAGCGAATGCTGGGACTTCTCGATCGTAAGCTCAGCGACCGACCTTTCATGGCCGGTGAGGTTAGTAGAGACGCATATTGACACGTGGATGAGGCAGCTAACATGTATAGGCTATTACTGTGGTTGACTTCTTTTATGTCCCTTATATGTATCACTTGAAAGCCAATGTTTGGACAACTTGTCTAGATGGCCGCCCAAACCTGCTTGCCTGGTGGAACCGCGTGGAGGGTCGAGAGTCTTACCAACAGTTGTATGGTGAAGAATAGCTTGAGAGATGCGCGATCAGATAGTTCCCAACGCATTGATATTCTGACTCCTAACAATCCTCCCCTGAAGTCCACCTAGGTCTAGTGGTTGAGTTTTGTACCACTCACTTTCAGTATTTTCTTGTACTTACGTCAGTGTCATCATAATCCAGGATCATGGTATATCAAGGCATAACGATAGATGAACCCGATATAGATCAGCTTGTGAAACGGCCAAGGCCGATTCCCACCTACAGTTGATCGATAAAAAAAGATTCACAGCATTTCGAAAGTCACAGGCAATAAATGTAAAAGAAATAAAATGATCCAGCAGTCAGATCGGCGCACCTAGGCTTGTCCACGTATAAACGCCGCATACCTATATTTACACTGTGATCGGCAGCCGAAGACTTTTCGAGGCAAAATAAACTCGGGTGCGTTAAGTTGTAAAAACCACGTGGCATAGGCATGTCACAGAAAAGAAAAAGTATGCAACGGTAAGTCAACGAAGGGGTAAATGGCCATCCCCTAGAAATAGCCCTCCCCCTTATTAACTTTAACCCAATTAGTTTATAAAAATGTATTGTAGAGAGTACAGGGTAATTGAATTAAAATACCGAGGGATAGCCACTTTTAGGGGATGGCTATTTACCCCTTCGTTGACTTATTATATAACCCTGGTTAGGGTCAGACCTTTCTGGGGAAATTATGCTTGACCGCCTGAGATTCGGTTGACGGGTGTTGCCGCCGGTTAAATTTGACTCCATAATCAACTAACGGTTAGCCTTAAACTCTGCCTCGGCAGGGACATGAGACGAAATTGCGGATCCTTGTATCGGAGTTTGGTTCCAAGTAGGGACTAATCAGAACACTTGGCTGGGATCTTGATAGCACGTGTCCCACTGACTGGATAAATTCCCGGTATAGGTTTTTCCCTGGGACGAAGGATTCTCATCATGTTGTATGGTATTAGGATTAAATTCTAAAGTGGTATATACAACGAATAGCTGGCCTTGAGGATTTTTCCAACTAGGTTCCCAAACCATCAAGAGCCTTGACAAATAAAAAGTCAAAATATAGCGACCTGCTTAGTTGCAGCGACCGAAACCCTTTTGACTAGAGAGTTGTTAGCATTTGTAGCACAAAGGAAGATGGAAAAGGAAGAACTTACCAATTAGCTCCACAGTGAGTGCTAGTTGTTCCACAAAAGCCAGTAGAGCCACAGCACTGGCCGTTGAAAGGACCACCGGCACATGTTAGCCCGACCTTGCTACCGCAAGTGCTGTCGAGAGAAGGAATATCTTTAGTGAGACAGGCACTAGAAGCACCCTTTTGACTAGAGAAAGAATGTTAGCAAAGACGTTGATGACATGGTGAGAGTAAACTTACCATCCTTGACCACAGTGAGAAGCAGTGCTTCCACAGAATCCATTTGAGGAGCAACAGTTTCCAAGACCAGATCCAGCACAAGTCTTGCCGTTCCTGGAACCACACTCTGAGTCGGCTGAGATGCCGGTGCAAAGTCCAAAGGCCAACTGACATCCGGTACGGCAGAAATCATCACCCTTACCACAGTATCCGTGTTGAGAACAGCAGTCTCCGTAGGTGCTTCCCTTGCAAGTCTTTCCGTTCTTGCCGCAGCCTCCATCGGTAGAGATAGTGCCAGAGCCAGCATTGCAAGTTCCAAAGGCACTCTGGCAGCCTGCGTCGCAGTGGTCTGTCTTGCCACAGTAGCCCTGGGCTGAACAGCAGTCGCCGTAGGTGCTTCCCTTGCAGGTCTTGCCGTTCTTACCGCAGAAGCCGTCGGTGGAAATGGTGCTGGCTGCGCCGTTGCAAGTGCCGAAAGCACTCTTGCATCCGGCGTCACAGTGTTCTGTCTTGCCGCCACACCAGTCACCGGTGGAACAGCAGTCGCCGAATGTGCTTCCCTTACAAGTCTTACCGTTGAAGGCTCCGCATCGGCCGTCGGTGGAGACCTTGTCGGAGTCGGCCTTGCAGGTACCAAAGGCAGTTTGGCAACCCGCATCGCAGTGGGCGTCCTTTCCACAGTAGCCCTGGGCAGAACAGCAGTCACCATATGTGCTACCCTTGCAGGTCTTTCCATTCTTACCGCAGAAACCATCAGTTGAGATGTTGGTTTCAGCGTTGCAAGAACCAAACTTTGACTGACATCCTGCATCGCAGTGGTTTGTCTTGCCACAGTAGCCTTCAGCAGAGCAGCAATCGCCATATGTGCTGCCCTTGCAAGTCTTGCCGTTCTTGCCACAGAAGCCATCGGTAGAAATGTTGGTTTCAGCGTTGCAGGAACCGAATTTGGATTGGCATCCTGCATCACAGTGACCGTCTTTACCACAGTAGCCTTCAGCAGAGCAGCAGTCGCCGAATGTGCTTCCCTTACAGGTCTTGCCGTTCTTTCCACAGAAACCATCTGTTGAAATGTCCCCAGCGTTGGTCAGAGTGCAGTTACCAAAGCCCTTCTGACATCCGGCACCGCAATGGGTAGTTTCAGAACCACACCAGCCATCAACGGAACAGCAGTTTCCATAGCCAGAGTCTAGGCAGATCTTGCCATTGACAGGACCACACTGACCGTCAAAAGTGATGTTGCTAGGAGGGCCACACTTTCCAAAGTCAGGGGTGCAGAGGTTACCGCAGTGGGCGGTAGAGTTACCACACCAGCCTTGGGTGGAACAGCAGTCACCAAAGGCACTTCCGCCACAAACGAACTTGTTTGTGCCGCCGCAGGAGCCGTCAGGGGAGACACTTCCAGGACCTGGAGGAGTTTCGGGAGCAGGGGCAGCAGCGTTACAGTTGCCAGCTTTGTTTTGGCTATGTCCAGTGTTAGCTATCTACAGAAGACACATATGGCATAAGGATAGAGACTTACCAGCCGTCTCCGCAGAATTTGCTAGATCGACCACATACTCCGTCCTTGGAGCAACAAGCTCCCCAGACGGGACTGCAGACGAAGCCAGTGTCGCCGCCGCAGGTGCCATCAGGGGTGACCTCTCCAGTCTGCCATGGTGAGAGTGTTGCGGTGGTAGGAGACTGAGCAGCAACAAGAGCTGGCAGAAGCCAGAAAAGGCTAACAAACTTCATTTTCAGGGAACAAAAAGAAGAGATAAAAGACCTGTTGGGAGTGGCAGTGAGAGGTGCCAAGACAATAGAGATGGAAATCCATATATATATGAGTGAGGTTTTATCAGCTGCCATTTTGGTCTAGTTCACCATGGACCCAGCATCCTCATTTGTCGCCACTTTGATCCGGCAAACTCGGGAGGATCGTCCCAATGGAGATGGCGACCTGGACCCCTTGCTAGTCTTGCACGCAGGGACCACTCCGCAGTGAAGAATTAAACGCAAGAATGCAACGATGGAAGACGTTTCCCGCAGGCCATCTCTCGTGTTCAGATGATTTAGCGTAAGAGGCCCATTTCCCATAGGTTCCGAAGGATCCTGGTGAGGCAGACTAGGAATCGAGACTGTTGAGATTTTGGAGTTTGATGGTAATTAGCGCAGCACTGCCCGGGTGAACATCCACCTTCTGTGAAGGATTAGGGTAGGGTGATGAAAACTCTGAATGAACATCTGATCGGGTTCGGGTTGTCGGTCGACAACTTCAATTATACGCGGGATGGTCATGATATGATGCTGTATTCTCTTATTGTTGTCTTTCTTATTTTTCTCTGTCGAAAGACGATGGCTGAGGTGTGCTGCGACACGTAGTAAAATTTATTAAATTGATCACCTCCATTACATGCTTATCGTCAAGTCCCACGTGGTACCTGTATCGCTCACTTTGGTTGTTCTGTTGGTTCACACCGATCTGAGTAACCTTAAATTCATCCTTAACAGCCGGCAAACCGATAAAGACCGGGCGGCCGCCTCTCACGCCAAGCCTATGCCATGGGCCAGTATTAACTGGTCCCTTGCATGTGTTTCCCCTGTCTTTCGCACAGTTTGATCGGAGAAAGTCCAGGCGCCACCCGCTGCAACCCCTGCTTAGCCCAGGCACACCCTGCATCTGCCGTTGGATTGGGCTTACGCCAAGAGCAGAGTTTACATGCATTCAGATCCCAAGCTTTGCTGCAATCGGTTGGCTTCCGCTAGCTCCCGGGGCCTCTTCTGCTGCCGGCTGAGGCCGAGATGGCCTTGGCGGTAGTTTTCAGCTGTTGGCAGGAATCTGATAGGCTTGTTTGTGCATGTCACCGGTGTGGTGGAGTGATCCTTCCATGAACAACACATGTTCTGGAAATATGGGCGGTATGAAGAGGAATCCACTGCCGAGGCGGAGGTTCTACGGACTTTGCTTCTTCGAAACTGCGTCTTTTCAATTATCACGCCGATAAGAAGGAAGCCAAGAGAAAGAGAGGCGAAGCTGTTGCAACGTAGCATGGTAAGTCAGTCTATCTCGTAAAAGATAATACTTGGCAAAGGCATGGTGGATTCAGTTGTCGGGTTAACTCCGCTATCGATTTTCATGCTGTGGATTGTGATATCCAACAGTGGCGATATGTGAAGGTTCTCACATATATAGTATATCCTGCCCAACTGGATAGATGCTCGACAGACACGACAAGCACTGTTTACTACAACATCGTTGAGTAACATGGTGTCACGACTTTCGAGCATCGCCTTCTGGGCTGTTGCTCTTTGCTTCTTGTGTCTTGCAACCCTGAGCAGTGCTGATAAGCTTCGTCACCCTCACGCCGACCACTATCGCATCCAGCGCCGTTCCGTCATCAGTAAGAGCTCTCCTTCTCATATACTCTCGTGTCTTCATTCAAGATATGGAAAACATGTGGCACAGTAACGTCATACTAACTCCCAATAGCCAAGGCTCCAGAATGGACAAAGAAGATTACCATGAGCCCGGGTCATCAGAACCCTGCCAAGGCCCCCCCAAACCCCACCGAAGATCTCGAGCTCTCTGAGGACTCTGCCACCAGTCTTGACCAATACTACAAGGATGCTCAGAATGCTACTGAGTCTTCTGCCGGCGTCACCCCCAACAAGTCTGGTCTCTCGCGCCGCTCGCTCGAGAGGCGTGGCAGTGGCCCCACGTACTGCAAAGACGCACCTTGCCCCGACGACAGGTAATTCCATTCTATGTGGTATTTTGGCATCTGTTCTAACTGGTGATAGCTGCTGTGGTCCCGAGGGTATCTGCGGTTACGGACCCGACTACTGTGGCAAGGGATGTTCTTCCAACTGTGACGCTAAGGCTATGTGTGGAGAGTACAGTGAGGAAGGTGAAATGCCTTGCGGCATGAACCTCTGCTGTTCTACCTCTGGCTGGTGTGGTGTAAGTTCCATTTCTTCGCTCTCATACTGTGTAGTAGTTTCATACTGACTCTTATACCTTAGACCACTGAAGTCTTCTGTGATAATGCCGACCCCATCCACAAGACCCTCCCCTGCCAAGCCGGCTACGGATCCTGTAACATAGCCTCCTCTCCCTCCTGCGCAAAGGGTGGTGGTAGCACCAACGGTCGAACCATTGGCTACTACCAATCTTGGAATGTGCGTACACGTAAATGTGACACCAAGACCCCCAAGCAGCTCGACACAACAGGCTTCACCCATCTTTTCTACTCCTTTGCCTTTATCGACCCTACCAGCTTCAAGGTCACCCCCGCCCACAACGACGATGCCAAGCAGATGCGTGAATTCACCGACCTCTCCAAGGGCGGTAAGCTCAAGACTTGGATCGCTATCGGCGGTTTCGATATGAGTAATGAGGAGGCCCCTACGCATACTACATGGAGTGATATGGTGTCCACCAAGGCCAATCGAGCGGCTTTTATCGAGTCGGTTCGTGACTACATGGATGAGTATGGCTTCACTGGTGTCGATCTTGACTGGGAGTACCCCGGTGAGCCTAAACGTGGCGGTCGCAAGCTGGCTGATACTCGCAACTTTTCCATGCTCCTCCGTGAGATGCGTGCCGCCTATGGTGCCAAGTATGGTATTAGCTTGACTTTGGCTCCTGATTATTGGTATCTTCGCTGGTTCGACGCCAAGGCTATGGAGCCTTATGTCGACTTTTTCGGGTTTATGGCTTATGGTAAGTGTTATTATCTCTATGTCTTTGACTGACCTTGCTGACATGGCTGCCACTAGATCTCCACGGTTCTTGGGACTCCGATGTCAGAACTCTCGGCAAGATTATTCGTGGCCAGGCTGATATCCGAGAGATCGGTAACAACACTATTCCCCTTTGGTTCGACGGCCTGGACCCTAAAAAGATCAACTTTGGTCTGGCTATGTACGGTCGTGGTTACACTGTCGCAGACAAGAGCTGCAATGCTCTTGGGTGTAGCTTTGCCGGACCTAGCAAGAAGGGAGAATGCACTGACTCTGATGGTGTCATGTCCCTTGGCGAGATCAAGAACCTTATCAAGAACAAGGGTGTCAAGTCTACGTACCTGAAGGATGCTATGATGAAGCAGATCGCTTGGGACGATCAATGGATCGGATATGACGGTGAGCATTTGCATACAGGCTTTTATTGCCAGCTTTTACTAACAATGCTATAGACGAGGAGACCTTTGCAGACAAGAAGGCTTGGGCTGATGGTTACTGTTTCGGAGGTACCATGATCTGGAGTATCGACTTCCAAGCCAGCGGCAGTTCCTCGTAAGTACTCAACTCCTCCCATCCGTTGTTTAAATACTAACCAGCTACCTATCAGTGGCGGCAGCGGTGGTAGCGGAGGTGGTAGTGTACCAGCTCTCCCCGCCGAATTGCCCGGTATTCCCGAGTCTCTGAAGGGCAAGCGTCTACCAGAATGTGTAGGCGGCCAACTGTACGAGAACGTCAAGGACAAGGCCAAGCTTTGGTACGACTCTGGTGCCGAGCAGTGGGTTGACGAGTACATCAACTCCAAGAAGGACCACACACTGTGGGCTCGCGACCTCTATCTCGCTCTCTTCCCCAAGGCAGATCAGACATCTTTCCTCTGCAACGAACCCGGAGCGCAATGCAAGCACAGCAAGGAGTGCAGTGGGTATTCTCTTATCCCTTCGAATCGGTCTCTTACTAATCTATTGCATAGGTGACTTCAACGACATTGGTCTTGGTGGACTTTACTACATGTTCCAGTCGATTGAGAACTCGTTCAACTACTTCGACCAGTTCTATACACGTTACACTGACGAGATGTCCTTCGTGATCGATAACGTCGCCAACATCCGAACAGGCCTCAACATCCCCAGCGGCGCCCCCAAAGCATCCCTCGACATGTACAGCATCCTCGGTGCAGCTTTCAGCATCGTCAGCGCTGCCGGTACAGCCGCACCCGCGATTGGAGGTCCCACAGCTGGCCTCAGTGGTCTCATGTACCTGCTCTCTGGCACAGCATCCAGCGATGTCTCGCCCAATGATGCCGTTGAGGCCAAGGATTCGGCTACCAAGCTCATGATCAAGGTCAGAGATGATGGTCGTGCTGTCATCGAAGACATCATTGGTGGCATGTTTGGTAGAAAGGGCACACCTCAGAGCAAGATCCCCGAGCCTATGCTTGTTGGAGACGCCAAGTATAAGAACCCTTGTGTTCGAGTGTTTGGATGGGGAGCTTGGGTCAAGGATGATGCTCTTGAGGGTCTTAAGGACATGATTCACACTATGAGAGGCAACATGGTAAGTCACCTATTATTCGTGACATTTGTCTACCTAGACTAACACTCCTGTAGGACAAGGCCTTACTGTGGCAGATGGCCAGGAACTGGCGCGGCCTCTACGTTGTCGTCCGCGATGACCTTCCTCAATCCAAGTGCACCAACCCCAACAACGCCTGGGAAGCCGAAAAGAGCCGCTGCCTCGACGTCCTCGCCTGGTACCCCAAGAAGGTCAGCCAGACCCTTGGTGGCAACACGGACATCTACTTCGCCTGGGACACCTGGGGCATGGACAAGCTGGCCACGCTCCGCAACGCCGTCAACTGCTGGGAGAACAACGGCGGCCACGTCGGTGAGCCCAAGACGGATATTGGTACCCTCAAGAGCAGCAACCCTTACGACCTTCACTGCTTCTTCTCCATGCCCGTTCTCAAGGGTAACTACAGTGACGTCTCCAAGGGATCGATCTGGATGGCGGGTAACTTCCCTGGCCAGGAGAACGAGCTCGGTAAGCTTTGGCCCAAGTCCAAGTGCGAGCAGGGCAACAGGGATCTCAAGCAGAATCCCTTCAACACCAAGAAGATGTACGATTGTGCCAGCATTGATCTTACTAAGGATCTTATGTAAAATAGATAGAGGTTGAGTGCCTGAATAGCTGGCAGAGTTTGAACTACAATTAATCACTAATTGCACTATAGCCGATCCCCAGTCTTAATCGTGAACCATTACAGCCTACTACATCATCTCCAGGTCCAGCGTCAAAGACGGTGTGCCTTTAAATCCAGATGGCATGGTATAAGTGAAGTTCCAGAGCTCGAATTCCCTCAGTCTCTGAGACGAACCACCATAAGCTCCTCCAAAGCTCAAATCGAATTTGGGATCCATGTTACCAGTCACGCTGACATTGAGCTTTGGGAGATCGTGCCACCCTGTGATGGTGGGTTTCTCACGAAAGGTTCCCACCATCAACGAGAACCTTGAGCTTGAGTTCCCACGAGGATACGCGAGACTCAACTTGCCTGGGGCAACCTCAACATCTAGAGCCGTCTCGCTGGGGTACAACTGTCAAGGATATGAGTGACATGGACCTGGTGATGATGCGTTTGGTTTACTTACAGAGATGAACGAGATCTCGCTTCCAGTATCCCATTGGATAACAGCCGGGTTATAAGCCTCCTGGTTCTGGCCAGGGCCACCAAGCGAGATCTGTTTGTACGACTGTGCGCCAATCGTGAGCTTTTTGGACAACCAACTTGTGATGTTGCGCGGGACTGTGTCGAATGGAGGATAGTAAGTGCTGGCCGTGAAATTATGCTCTCCCTTGAATGTGGTGAGGCTTTTCAGGACTATTTTAGGGATCAACTTCTGGTGGCTCTTGGTTAGTGCGGCGAAAAGAGGTCCCCAGGCGTAGTCTGCCATGTGCGACATGATCTCGGGCTGAAGGTATCACGTTAGCATGCACCAAAATGATGTGAGAGATGCACTGACCCTCTTGATAAGAGATGAGTTCTCTTTTCCGGCCAAGGACCAAAACCATACAGCCATCAAGCTCAGATAGCGGTTCATATCGTAGCCGTAAGAGCGATCCCAAGGCCCAGCCATGTTCTTCATACCCGGATGCCACAGATCACCAACTGCCTCCCACGTATACTTGATCATCTCTGGACCATACTTGGCCATTATCGAGTCTTTGTGTGAATATTTGCTCCAGAGAGTGAGACCGTAGAGTGAGACGCCAGTATATGTGCCAGAGTTGAACTCAGAAAGGGTATTGGCACGGTTGAACAGATCGATTATGTCCTTGGCGTACCGCTCACCGCTCCTTGTCATGTTGGTTTCTTTGAGTCTTCGGCCTGTCCAGCCTGACATGAAAGCTCTCATAATAGCCTAGAAATCATCAATTAACATTTGATCTTGAGGGCAAAGCTCACACGACTAACCGGATTGCTATAGGACGGATATAGATTATCCTTCTTTGGATCAAGGTGTCCAAAACGATATTCATCACCCTTTGTGGCGTTGTGTAGAGACTCGAGCATCAGCTTCTGAGTAGGCTGGCTGACTAGCTTTGGGAACTCTTCCAGCACCATGATAAAGGTTGTACCGACGAAACCTCGCCAATTGGGGTCCCATGAGTTATATATGTTGGCTGGATATGCGGCTGATCCAACCTTTGGCTCCTCGGGTGATATCTGGTAGCTTCCATACCTAGACTACAATCAGCTGCTGTTATTGCACAGGATGCGATAAACTCACCACTCATCGGCGGGATTCTTATGCTGGCCGTGAATGATATTTCGGATGACCTTCTCTGCTTCAGCAGCATCCTTTCCCTTATTTCGAGCCAAGAGGCCAAAGGCGTACCACGCCGAACTTCGTGTTTCATGTCTGAGAGCACTCGCGCCACCAAAGTCGTATAAGTATCCGGCTTTATTGTCATAGTACGTGTCCATCCAGTCCATGCTCTCTGTGAGGAGGTCTTTGGCATTTTCGGGTAAAGAATCGACATATGACGATGCGCAAGTCCCAACTGAGGCAATGACGCCCACAAGGCTGAGGGTAGTTACACGCATCTTACCAATTATTAGATGTTCTCGCACAGTGAAATACAAGTAAAGTCCAAGGCTGAAAAGTAAACGAAAATGAAAAATTAAAGAAACTAATGCATTGTTAATAACCTGGCTGAGGAGTCGCGCAGGACCGGCCAACTCCGGTGTATACACCGATCTTCTCCGCACCGAGGTTACAACCAATCTAGTCGATTAACGGTGTTGTTTCCGTATCGCTAGGTTGTCGTCCAGTTTATGCGGAGAAGTGTCTGCCGATCATCGGACTTTTGCCTAAAAGGGTATTCTTATCGTAACTATCAGATAGCTCTGTAATAACCCCGCGATAGCAAAATAGTGCGAACTAGAGCAGTTGATAAATTTCCTCCCATATTTGGTTTAGGGTTAGATTATATGGCGGAGACGTTTATTCGGCATTTCCAGTCGTTAGTTATCTTTTGCCGAAGGGTAGTCTCCCGGGTCGTGGGCAGCGGAAAATGGAGACTATGCCTTTGCCCGGCCGATAGACCCTTGTGCTTCTCAGGTAGGTATGTGAAGTATATGAAGCGTTTGGATCGTGAGAGTTGACGGATGTTTATCAACAATACAAACCAATACAATTGAGACACGGTGACTAACCGACAATGCAATTGGCCAAACGTTCGACTAATTTTGAACTTGCAGACAACAATGCAGATAACAAGGCTGATTCAATTGGCAAATAATCCCAAAGCTTCTGTCTTGGCCGACCAGATGAAGTGTGATTACTTGGTGGTAGTGACTTTAATTAACTCAAGTGACTTCTACAAGTGCGTCTTCGAACCGAAGCTTATACGAAGCCGATCATGGCAGGATCACTTTTACAACATGTTCCCAATAAAGCATAGCTGACTTTAATCATAACCACTAATTTCCATTTCTATTTCTGTCTACATGTTTCTAATTCTAAAACCAAGGTTGTCCAACTCCATTACTCCATGACAGCATCATACTATGCATCTGCAAGAGTGATACCAGTATAAGTACCTGCTCCTTCGTAAACCTTCTTCTTGTTTCCACCGTCCATATCCAACTGATACACTGCACCTCCCAAATCTGTCGCGAAGATGCGGCCGTTCTTAGAGTCCAGTTTGATGCCGATAGCCTCGTGCAATCCTCGAGAGAGAATCTCGTAATCCTTGCCCGGCTGGCTCGCTCCATCACTTTTCACAAAGGCATTAACCTTTGCGCGGTTAATAGTATTACCATATGGTATTTCACCGCGATCCGTCCAGTAAAGTGTGTTCTCAGCTTCATCGATCTCCAAGTCAATTGGCTCCGGTAGGCTTTGGAACACAAGCTCAATGTCTGTTCTGCTCTTGGCGTCTTCGCCAGACTTGAAGTCGATGTTGGCTCGGAAAATGCGGCCCTTGCCTGCCTTGGAAGGACCCTTCTGTGTCCAGTAGAATTTTCCAGTGGAGGGCGAGACTGTGACACCAACGCACCAACGCGTTGGGTCGGACTTGTGCTGCTCATTTTGGTAATCACCTGTCTGAACCAGAACTTCAAGATCAGAGCCGTCGAAGTTGCTTCTCATGACTCTAAGGCCCTCGCGGTCGGAAAAGTAAAGCTTTGAGTTCTTCTCATCGACTATCAACTGCTTCGGCGTGTGGACGGAGCCTTGAGGGATGATCTCCTGGACGTTAGATCCGTCAAGGTTGCAGCTAAGCACAGCTCCGTCGTTTTGCGAAGGGCTCTTGCCCATGTTGGTCCAAAACAGCTTTTTAGCAGTATTGGAAATATCGATTCCATCGGGCATGCTCTGATGTGAGACAAGTGTGGTAAGAGGCTTGCCATCATTGGTACCGACCAGGATGCTGCCACCAGTGGAGGAGTTACCAGACAGTCCAATGTCTAGAAAGTAGAGCTTAGTCTCACTTCCTGGCTCGGATTGCTGCTTTGGTGGCAGTAGTCCACCTTTCTTTGACTTCTCTCCAAGTTTACCTTCATCGATATACTTTTGGAGAAAGTCAACTGGGGTATTAGGTAGACCACGCTCAGCGATGTAGTGCTGCTCGATAAAAGATACAGTATCAAGACCAACTCTGTCCATCATAGCGACAGGACCCTTCTCCTGACCATACCACATCTCCTTCCAGAGCTTTTCAATCTGCTCGGGAGTAGAAACGCCTTCGGCAAGGATGGTCAAGACTTCACGCTTGATAGCAGCCCACAGGCGGTTGTAGATGAAGCCAGTCGACTCCTTCTGTGCAACGTATGGATGAAACTTGACCTCTTCGAGCTTCTCTACCAAGAACGGGAAGATGCTCTCGTGTGTCTCGCCATCGGTCATGAGCTCAACGGCGAGACACTCAGGGGGCATGTAATAATGCATGTTCAGAACCCGACGTCGTGTTTCTGGCTTGAGATCTCCAAGCATCTCTCGCGACTTGTAAGAGGAAGAGTTACTGGCAAGAATGGTATCTTCGGCCGTGAGTTTCTCCAAGTCTGCAAAAGTCGAGATCTTTAGTGGGAGCTTCTCAGGGACGGCTTCGATGACGAGCCAGGCTTTTGCGACAGCTTCGGAAAGGTCTTCAGTGGCTTTCACTGAGCCCCGGACAGGGGAGTCGGAGTACTTTGACATGCTGGTAGTGCAGTAATCTAAAGCTGCGGTTCTTTGCTCGGGGCTAGGGTCGCGGATGATAACATCGTAGCCGCTTGCTGCCCATCCACAAGCGATACGGCGTCCAAGGACACCGCCACCGAGGACAGTAACCGTTCGGTCCTCAGTGGAGGGAAGTGTGAAAGAACTCATGTTTTTGGATATGGGTTTTGTAGATAGAGCGTAGTAAAAAGGATTAAAATGTAGGTAAAATGTCTTGAGATTGTAGTGTTTCTGATGAAAAGTATTATAATTTGCATCTTATATGGAGTCTTTATACAAATGCGCAAACCGGCTCATAAAGTCAAATCACTAAGGGCAACTGCTTTGCTAGCCTCTCTAGACTACACAAGACGCCCGAATGACGCCTCCGATACGGCCCCGGGAGATCCGGTATGTCGGAGTGCGGAAAGGAACGGAAATAAAGATTGAGGCTCCGCTCAACACCCGATGAAGCTCGGTTGCGAAGCGTGGGGCGACCGAGGCTGCACTACTCTATGCACCATCACTATCAACTGCTTCTTGCGCGTTTCTTGATGATGACGAAAGTCCGACATTATCTGGTCGACGTCGCATTGCGTCAAAGTTGAGATCCACAATCTTTGTACCAAGCTTTTGTAGCCCCACTCCTCGGCATTTCCAGCGGTGGGGCGACAGGGGTTGAAGATCTTCGAAGAATAGCACCTCTCCCACTTTGGAATGCTTATCCTTCCCCTCGCATCTCGTTATTCCCGTTTTGCGGCTGAGGACTACCGAAAATTGTACTAGATACGCGTATTGGCATGGAAAGGCTCTTTAGGTTTTACCCTGGAGTGATCTGATGGTTACTGAAGTGACCGACGGTTCACTAGCTTACCCTGTATTCAAGACCGGTGGCGGTAAACTGGGAGATGCTCAACATTGTTTGAGGATTACACGTTTGAAACGATAGCAATTCTCTCGGCGTAATATCTAGACGAATTTACTCTGTTTACGTGTCTTTTGTCTAACTAGATGGCCACTTGATCGAGTTGCAACCTCGAAAATTGGCGCCGTGAAGAATCTAATGAGCTTGGTGTAGAGTTCCAACTTCAACTTTTATTCTTTTTCCTCTCGTTCCATTATTTATCACATCGCCAGCAAATTGTGCAGCATTCCGTCACTCTTCACTTATTCCAATTACATCGGAGTGTACATGCTAATTTTGCAGAGTCTAGTGAAGTTTGAACCTTGTACAAAACTTTTTTATTACAAACTAATTCTATAGATCCCCAATCTCACCTAAACTATGACTCTAAAATGAGAAGATCTGATCCGTAACCTTGGCCGAAGCTCCTGGCTGTTGGAATCCCAAGTCAACGAGTGACTTCTTTGATGCATTCACCATTCCTGGAGGGCCACACAAGAACACCTTGGAGTTCACAGTTGCTGCAGGAAGTCTCTCTTGCATCAACTCCTTTGTCACGTACCCAGAACCAAACTTCCAATCCTCCGGCGGTTGATCAAGTAGATAATACACCTTGAAGTTCTTGGGATATCTTCGGGCAAAAGTATCTAGCTCATTCCGAAGAAGAATATCTTGCTCGGACCTGTTGGCGTAGAGGAGAGATACTTCTGTGGTGTCGCGGTCGTGTTCGCAGATGGCGCGGATGACCTGGAACATAGGGGTGATACCAGTGCCACCAGCAATCATGCCAATCTTCTTGCAAAGGTTGGGCTGGTATCTCATTGCGCCTTTGGGCCCTCTGAAGAGAACCTCATCACCGACCTCGAGACCAGCCAAGTAGCCATTTGTCAATTTGCCATCGGGGTAAACCTTGATGACGAGCTCAAGAATACCGAGGTCAGAATTGTTGGAAACTGGTGTATATGATCGAGCGACACTCTCTCCGTTGACATCGCCCTTGATAGTGACGTGCTGGCCAATGGGCAGTCCAAGGATAGTGCTTGTAGTCGGAAGGGTAAAGGTCAATCGATAGACATTTGGTGCGATGAGCTTCTTCTCTTTGAGAGGAAGCGGCGAGTATGTGACTGGATCCAGTAATCCTCTTTGTAGCAAGGTATCTTCTTGAATGTTTTTGTGAATCTTCATATGAGCTGGATAGCTTGTGAATGATTTGCTCTTCATAGCCAAAGCCGTAAACTTCTGCGCCATCACTGCATTGGCGATTGCGAACGATCCACTACCGACGATCACACCTTTGATGAAGCCCGACCCAGCGGAGTCATTGCGCATAGACGAGACCACCCAGCTTGGCATGGTGACTCCATGATGGTGGCCAAGGTAGTATACTCCTGCACCAGCGACCGCGACGAAGCCGAGGTTTGCCAATGTCGACAATGACGATGACCCACTGGTCTGAGTCTTAGGAGGAGCGGCTGGGGCGAGAGGCTTGCGTTTCGGTTTTTTCGCCTCGAATCCTTTGATCTTGCCGACACACAAATCTTTCATGATCTCAAAGGCGTCTTCAGAGTGACCAGCGTTGTCAAAGTCTTCACTGGCGTCAGTGCCGGCTGCTTCTGTGAGGACATCTGGACCGCCTGGGTGATCTGGGACGTATTTTGTGACATCGTAGACTGAAATTCTGGTTAGTAAGGGGATTTTAGTGAGTAGGATTGGTGACTTGCCTTGGCCGTGGATGATTAGCCATGCATCTTGAGGGCTGTTGTGCTCAGCGACCTCCTTGATTGTGTATTCTTGCATTGGATCTGAGGGAGAAGAATGTGTGTGCGTAGATTGGAGAGTTTGGTGGGATGAGCAGTGAATGGCAGAAGCAAGAAATGTTTAGTATGGTTGATGTATCTCTGTTCACAAATCGAGATAGTGGGTGTTTATCTTTAACTACGTCTTCACAAGCAATATCGACATCAGCCATTAACCAACACCGGTAAGTCGGAAACGCGAGGTCCGACCGCCTATCCTATCGATGATGACGAAACATTCAAATCTCATTTGCCATTTGCAACAACTCCACAGCGGGCCGGATCGCAGGTCTGAAGTCGAGGTCTGAAGGCGAGGTCGAGACCTTGATATGCCGAGGCTTTAACCCCGTTGCGGACCCTAGCGCCACAAAGCGCCAACCGAGGCCGATCCTTTCGGGCTCCACTTCGACCGGCATGACGTATTGGATAAAGCCTCATCATTCCGCTGTTTGATGCGGCATACGGATACGATACGACAATTGGTCAGATGGTGTGGTTTGCCCCTTACACATGTCAATGCCGGGTCTTTTAATTCCGCACTCGAATGCAAAACCCTGTAGTTGATCGGTCCATGCCGATATTCGGGTCCACTCGCGGCGGGAGTGATGATCAGCCCAAGGAATCTGCATGCATGAATGTCCCTAGAAATTGATGGATGCAACGGTGAAAACTCTACCAAGTCTCCGGCTTGAAACGTCATTTCTGTGAAGTGGGGCGCACCAGCGATGTGTTAGTTATCGTATCGAGCGTTAGATTGCTCTAAGAGGCTGGTTATTTGTCATGTGTTATTATCCTTTGCCTCTAAGATCCTCACCTTATAACTACAACTCCAGCCTTGGCTTGTTGATGATATACTAATGAACATTTGCTATTACACCCCTTGACTTACACATTCTACACATTCACCATGTCCACAAAACAATTCTATCTTCTGGGCGAAGCAGAGTCAACTGCCAGAGAAGTTGAGCTCCCACCCGCTGTGGATTTTGAGGAGCTACAGAACATCGTCGCTTCACACTACGCTATTGTTAAGCCAGATGGTAACCACTCATCTCATCTATCACCTCCATCCATACTAACTCCCTCCCAGGCGTCGGCTTCATCCACGATGATAGGAAACTCACTGCAGTATCTGATGTTCTCGAGAAAGACGAACCTATAGCTGTTTCCATCAACGGAAATGCTGTACGCGAAGTCCCTGGTCCCTCGGGCGTCCCATACTTTGGCAACTACCTCGAGATCTACCCTGACCATCTCGGTAACCATCAGCGACTTTTCGAGAAATACGGTCCGCTATTTGTCACCAACAGCATGGGGAGCCGTCTGTACCAGACCAACTGCGCCGAGCTTTCCAACATCTTCCTTTCCGAGGATGACTACTTCACAAAGAAGATCGTTCCCGGCCATCCCCTCCACCCGATCAAGAACCAAGAAGCAGGCGTATTCCTAGGCGATACCGACACAGAACAATGGCGTCTTGCGCACAAATTCCTTCCTCCAGCGCTAGGCCCCAAGGCTGTTCGGCACTACGCGCCTACGATGCAGAGAACTGTTGAGCAGTCCTTCAAAGTCTTTGACGAACTCGACCAAAAGGGTGAAGCTTGGAACGTTTACCAGTACATGCTCAAGCTCGGCTCACAGGCCGTCGGCAAACTCATCATGGGCATGGACTTTGCGCATTTTGAAGAGGTCGATTCGCCGTTGCACGAGATGGTTCTCAAGATTGCTGAGAACTTGGAGCTTAATAAAAAGGTGTCTTCTATGGGCGCGTGGTATGGAAAGTTACCGTTTGGTGATCCCAAGAAGCTCCGCGATACGAAGGGTAGGATCACGGAGATGATGTCGGAGTCAATCGCCAGAGCCTCCAGGGGTCAGGATGATCTAGAACTCCAAGATGCAGCACTCAAGGCCGAGAACGTCGTTGGTGAGTAAACGCTACAGCTCTTATCAACTACAAGCTAACCACATGGATAGACTACTTCCTTCGAGCCACAGATAACAAAGGCAACAAACTACCATCCTCGCAATTTGCCCCAGCACTACTCGTAGCTACTGGCGCCGGTTTCACAACAACGTCATCCCTTCTATCCTGGTTGATCTACAGCTTGGTCAAGTACCCCGGCAACCAAGAGCGTCTCCTTCAGGAACTCATCGACAACGACTGGGACGAAGATACCCAGGTAACAGCCGACACCACCGCCAAGCTAAGCTTCCTCGACAAGTTTATCAAGGAAACCCAGCGTCTGCACAACCCATCCTTCCAGCCTGGCCGCACAGCCAAGGTCGATATGATCCTGCCAGGAGGATACAGACTGCCCAAGGGCTCTGTGGTGATTTCCGCGCTTCATCACATGCACAACAACAAAGATGTGTGGGATAATCCAGGCCGTTTTGATCCTGATCGCTGGGACACAGAGAAGGTCAAGAATAGGCCTGCTGGCTCATACATCCCCTTCGCGGCGGGGCCACGTATGTGCGTCGGGTTTAACTTTGCCCTGCAGGAAATCAAGGTTTTCTTACCTAAGCTTGTTTATCGGTACAAGTTTAGCCTGGCGCAGGATGGCCCTGTTGATTATGACCCGTACTTCCAGCTGATTCGGCCGAACAATCTGTATATACAGGCGGAGAGGAGAGTGAAGTGGCCACCAAGGTCAGAATGATTGGGCGGGTTGGGGGTGAGATAATTAGGGACATATAAACTTTAGTATTTTCTATTATGCTTTAGATATTGCTGTGCATTGGGCCCTCTATATGGCCAGACTTAGAGTTGATAAATAAAGTGGCGCTGGATTTGGAAACTATCTTATCCAAAAGAGAACCTAAATTCATTGAGTGAATATAAAGCTTCCAAGCCGCTGGCGAAATGCAGCATTACGGTAAGGGTATATATTTTTAAAGTTTCTATTCTTTGCTTTCTGATGTTTCATCAGAACCAACGAGCATTACCACGAGGAATAAAATTAATATTTGCCTTTTAGAAGGGAAAGTGAACTATGTAATATTCCCTCAAATGGTTGAGGGCATATCCAGGAGAGTTTCACTGCCATATAAATTCTACTCTCTCCCATCACCCAGAGTGATTCTTTTGTCCTACCTCACTCATATTTTCGTCTTCATTGACCACATCCAACGCCCTTTCAAGACCACATACGAGACGCAGTCCGCTCAACTTTACAAAATGACAAGTCAAACACCTTCTTCTCTTGGAACAAATGTCATGAAGGGGCAACGAGATGCCTCGAGCAGGATAAACGATGTGGTAATTACCCCAGAAATGACCCCGGATGTCATAAATATGGTACGTTTGTCGTAGAGCTAAGTCGCGGCATACACTAATCATCTCTAGCTCCTGAAACGCTTTAAATTCGATGTGATCCCAGAGAAAGTCTTACCAAAAAAAGCACCGGACAACTCTGGCAAGTTTGCGGCTGTTGTAAAACTCCAGAGTAAATTGAGGGTCCTTAAGAGGTTTCCCGACCAGAGGCCCCGCCAGTCTGCGACACCGGAGCAACAAAAGGCAGGCCAATACTTAGCCGAGCAGCGAGAAGCCTGTAAGCAGATGTTGGAAATGGAGATGATTGAGAGGTGGCGATAGAACCTCGTGCTAGGTTGAGGGAGGAAATGGGGCTATGCAGGAATGAGGTGGAATACTGGGGTGGCGCGGAACATAATTGGTGATTAATTTGAATATCGGTGGGTAGTAAAATTGATATTCGTTTGAAGATGGGATTAAGTTATTAATTTATAATCGTGCATATGTGAGATTAAAGGGCGGCAGTCAAGCCTGCTATATATTATGGCAACTATATCTTTATTGAATTCCAGACACTTACCCAGACTGTGTCAGCTTGTGTGGGTTTAGTGAATTGCAGGCAATGCTCCCCGTCTGGTAAGCCCGCCTGACTTAACGATACGACCGCGAGGACGTGCTCAGGTAACCAACCCTTTTACTTGGGTAATTGCCATATGAGTTTTAAGCGAATGAAAATCTGTATATGTTTAGCATCCGGCAGCTGCATGAGGCCTTCTGGGGACAATCAGCCACAGCCTGGTTCGATATTCACGTCGTTGATTCGTTGACTCTAGTGGCAACCAACTGCCAAGAACGCCCCGAAATATGTCGTGAGACGCACTGAATGTTTGCACATTTGAAGTCTCATGTTCTCGCAGCCTGATCAGAACGTTGGCGTGTTTATTATGTCTAAATTAATGATCTTATGCTCCGTCGAGAAGCAGGATCTGCTGAGTTCACAGCGATGCTTTCTATACTTCTTCACTTTCCTCTTTTCACGATACTAGACCATAACGAGGCTCCAGGACTACTGAGGATACATTCATATGTCTGTGCAATTGTACTATTGGATTTGGTGCATGTGTGTACAGGGTGCATCTGCGGGTGAGAATACCATATCTGACAACCGAATCCCAACCATGATTTAGAACACCCACTGATATCCCTGCTCTACTCGCAGCAGGAGTTTCGGCCCAGAGCCTGCCCCAACGCACATGAATTCGAAGCGTTTAGGCTGAGAAATGCCGCACTTTTTTTTCCGTCTCACTGTGGTTTTTCTACTTTTACTTCGACACTACAGACAAAACCGACGTATTTCGCATTCTGATTGAGGATAAGACTATATAATATGGATTTCTTCCTATCCTTTGCCAAGCGCACGAGAGAAGATCTTTCACGTGCATTTCCCCTCGAGCAAAGGGGCTCATCACAGTATCTTAACCGCAGAGATGTAACTCCCGCGATCTGCTACGATGACTGCAGTAGGTCTCATCCAGAATACCTCGCCACGGATCGCTGAATTCGTTCCGTGTTTTAGATGGAGCCTACATGATTGCCCAATCGATGGGCAAAACCGCAAAGCTTTGTTCGAAGGACTCATCTTTCAGGCAATCTTACAGCAAGTGCCGCGAGTGCATCGTGAAAAATACAGATACAAGCAAAGACTCGGCAGAGGACAATCTAGATCCCCAATTCAGAGAGTTTATCGATTTCTGCGACAAATATGATGCATCAGCCAGTAGCACAGATGCCACAACCGGCATTGTCGAAGCCACTCCTGTAGAAACACAGTCAGTTGCAACAACATCTTCCTCGAGTTGCAAGGTTTGTAGCACAATGACCATAACTGGTTACGATGGAAAGCTGGTGAGGGCTACTATCGACCTTGAGGCTGTCACTAGATCCTTCACGGGTAAGCTTTATCAGAGAGACGGTATTTGAATGCATGGCTGACTAGGCCCTAGATTTCAGCTTGTCAACACCCACATCCACATCTACGTCTAACCCACGAGACTCCTCTCAGGGTCCAACCTAGCCACGATTATTGGACCTGTCATTCCATCCTTCTTCCTCTTGTTAGTGCTCGGTTTCCTTGCCTTCCGTTGGTACAAGCGGAGGCAAGCATTGAAAACGCAGAAAGGCCCAGTTCCGAACGAAGAGGAGCCGAAACAGGACAAACCCCAGTTACACTCTGACTGCATTGCTCGTCCTACTTTTGAGCTAGAGGGTTCAATGCCAGCGGTAACGGACTTTGACAGTGCCGCAGTGAAGAAGTCAGAAATGGCAGCAAATGAACCTGCGGCCCACGAGATGGCCGCAGACAAGAAGATTGCAAGGAAGCCGGTGGGAAATTCAGACTGAGTGGTTTGTGTTAGTACTTGCTTGTTCGAGTAGTACTGACAAACCAGTCTGGTCAATCTCTATAATAGTAACGCAAATGATACCCTGATTCAATGTGCTATTTGAAACCTAGGTCTAAGCGATGTTTACCTCCCGATTGGCATGCCTACGAAAAAGGCAGATCTTCAGAGCAGGAATGCTACGAGGAGTCGTCACGGCCATGGTCACGAATGCAGTTCAACGACAGAGTAATTGGTCATCAGGGCAGAAAAGAAAATACGCGTGAACACCGCGGCCACCTGTTGTGCAAGTCACTACTTTGGACAGTGGTAGATGTGGGGGGGCTGAGGAACTTGTTGTCTTGGCACTATTCAGAACCCTGAATCCTCGGTTGAGGATATGCCGAGCTAGTCTAGGGATTGAGGGGAAAACCAGCATCAGGTGACTCCATCTCGGCGACAAGTCCGAGTGTAAGCCTGTGAGTGATTAAAGTATTTCGAGATAACACTTCCATTGCAGTAGCGAACCAGTTTCATCATGTTTGAGGAAAAGGTAATTGGCTTCAAGAGCTCAACTGGGTCAATCCCACTGGTTGGTGCCTCAATTGTGGTTGACCAGTCAGATTACCCGGGGGTTATACGTGCCGCAAGAGACCTGGCCCAGGACTTTGCGCGTGTGACCAAAGGGGAGCCGAGTCCTATTTTTTTAATTAACTCCGCATCAGATTACCAGAAAGTTCAGACCAAAAATACTATACTAATTGGCAGCATTGGCTCAAGTAGCCTCATCAAGAATTTGTCGCAGCAGGGCAGACTCGACACCCAGGCGGTCAGTGGAAAATGGGAGTCTTTCGGCACATCCATTCTCGACCAGCCTTTCGGAGCATGTGAGAAAGCTCTGGTAATCTCAGGCAGTGATAAACGAGGTACCATTTTTGGTATATATACCCTCTCTGAGCAAATTGGTGTCTCGCCGTAAGTTCACCCTTTGTCTCAGCATTCTGTATCTTCAACTGATTCGTTTCAGGTGGTATTGGTGGGCGGATGTGCCACCGAAAACCCATCAAGATATATATGCTATCGACAAACAAACAGTCCATGGTGAACCGTCTGTGCGACATCGAGGCATCTTCCTCAACGATGAAGCTCCAGCATTGACCGGCTGGGTCAGGGAACGGTTCGGAGGATACAACTCAAAGTTCTACGTAACAGTCTTCGAGCTCCTCCTCAGACTCAAGGTACTGTGTTCTCTCCTCTCTTTACAGTCCGACTTGCTGATGGATCGTAGGCCAACTTCTTATGGCCAGCTATGTGGCCTGGCTATCCCAACCCCGGAGCATCGTTCTTCACAGACGATCCACTGAACCAGAAACTAGCTGATGAATACGGAATCGTCATCTCTACTTCACACCACGAGCCAATGCAGCGTCTTTCAAACGAGTGGTTTGCGGAGAATTCAGATGGAAGCTGGAATTGGTTGACCAACAAGCAGAAAATCACCGAATTCTTCGAACATGGCGCTAGTCGAGCAAAAGAGTGCGACTCGTACTTTACTCTTGGTATTAGGGGAGAATATGACAAGAAGATGACCGCTGAAGATCCTGCGGCTGTGGTTCAAGATGCCATTGAGACACAGCGACAGGTTATCAAGAAAGTTTATGGGCGTGAAGACGCTGTGCCTCGTGAGTAACCAAGGGTATGTATGACAAGTTCAATTGCTAATTGCTGTAGAACTGTTTGCTATCTACAAAGAGGTCCAATCAATGTTTGAGACTGGTCGGCTGAGTGTCCCGGAAGATGTTACTTTACTGTTCCAGGATGATAACTTTGGCACGATTCGCCGACTTCCTACGGCTGAAGAGTCAAAGCGAAAGGGTGGCGCTGGTGTGAGTATTACTCGTTTCCACTCAAGATAGAGTGCTTACAGAATGTAGGTGTATTATCATCTTCAATATGTCGGAGATCCTCGCAGTTACAAATGGATCAACACAAACTCGCTTGTAAGTCGACAGTATCATATGTCCAGCTTCTTACTAAAAGTTCCCAAAGGGGAAAGTCTGGCATCAGCTACAACAGGCCTATCATCATAACGCGAGACAAATCTGGGTCTTTAACGTCGGCGACCTGAAGCCTCAAGAGATCCCAATTTCCTTCGCCATGGCCTTGGCCTGGAACATCGATAGCATCAAGCACGATAGCTTACCAGACTTCTTCCGTCAAGCCGCCGAGCGAGAGTTTGGCAGTGAACTAGCAGAAGAAGTCGGTTCGATCTGGCATCGGCACGACCGACTGCTGGCTTTGAGAAAGCATGAGCACATCGAGCCAGAGACTTTCTCAATTTTACATTACAAGGAAGCTGATTCTATTTTGAACCGTTGGAAAGAGCTTCTTACACATGCAGAAAAGGTGCATAGTCGTATCTCTGAGGAAGAAAAGGCAGCTTCGTTCCAGCTCATTCTCCATCCTACCAAGTCTTCAAATATCTACAACGCACTACGGATTAGCCAAGCACGCAACAAGCTCTTTGCTCGACAGAGGCGAAACTCGGCTAACAAAATCGCACAAGATGTTTTGGACCTATTCGACGCAGATTTTGATCTGTCGGAAGAATACCATAATCTCCTCAATGGGAAGTGGAATCACATTTTGATGCAGCCACACTACGGATACGAAGATACTTGGCATGCTCCCTCACGCGACATGATCGGTGGTCTCTGCTTTGTTCAGCGTCGTCAGAATTCTAATCCCATTGTTGGGCAGATGGGTGTTGCTGTCGAGGGCCATGAAGGCGTGCGTGTTGGGCGGATCAACGAAGAGTCTGAGCGGACACATCCAAGTCGACGAGACTTAGTCCCTGGTCTGACGCTGGGAACTATGAGTCGTTACGGTCCGGAGTACCGATGGTTTGACATTTTTACGAGAGGAGTTCCTACTATCAACTGGACAGCTTCAGCTCCCCACTCCTGGGTTGTCCTTTCAGAGCAATCGGGCGTGTTGGTACCAGGACAGGATGATGCCCGCATTCAGATTTCGATTCTTTGGGATCAGGTGCCTGATGACTTTCAAGACGAGATTCTCATTGATTTCCGATCCAAAGAAGGAGATTTTGAGCAAGTACATCTGCCTATCGATGGTAGACGAGTTCCAGACTCATTCAAAGGTCATTTTGTGGAAAATGATGGCTGCGTTTCCATTCCTGCAACTCAATGTCAGGCCAAGCCTCCCTATACGATCCTTCCCGATGCCGGAAGACTGGAGACTGGAAGTTTGACTCTCGCTCCGGGTACCAAGGTCGATGGCTCCATCTCTTACGTTCAGTATCCTTTCTACCTCTTCACAAAAGCCGCGAAAGCTACATTGGTGCTGTACTTTGGCACCACTCTAGACTTGTCCTCGGAAGACACCTTGGCCTACACCGTTCAACTCGACGATGGTGAAAGCAATACCTACCCGTTACAGAAGAGAACCCCCGAAAGTGAGAAGAATGCTGCAGACAAGGGATGGGCTTCGGCTGATGGATGGTTCTTCGCTGCGTCAGACAATGTCTGGGTAAGGGAGCATGATCTAGTGGACTTGGAAGCTGGTGCGCATACACTGGGTATCAAGCTGGGACATGCAAACATGTTGTTGGAAAAGATCGTGATTGACTGTGGGGGAGTCTCAAACAGCTATCTAGGACCACCTCCCGGTATCAAACCATGAAGTCATGAGCCGGCCTTTTGATGGTCCACATATCAATACATCGACATATGTCAATATTAGATAGTAGTTCAAACTATTCCATTGCTTCAGATTTCACTAGCAGAAACGATGTGAATTACAAAGGCCATCGTATTATAACTATGGGTCTAGAAGAAATAATTTTATACAAGTGAGTGTGAGACTAATCGTCTCACTAAGAAGCTTCTATGTGCGATCTAATGCGTGCGCTGAAACATATCCAAGAGCAAATTTCCCCGTTTAGCAGGTAAGGCCAAACTTGAGCTTGCGGTCACTGTTGGCCATACCGAAGTACTTCTCAACCTCGGGGCTGGACTGAGGGGAGTCGAAGGCAGTGAACCAGAAACCGCTGGCGTCCTTCTGGCTCCACAGCCAGCAGCCGACGGTGTTGTAGTAGCTCTGCAGGCTGGCGGTAGTGGCAGCGGCCTTCTGGTAGTTGGGTCCCTTGGTGGGCCAGCCGGTCTCGCCGACCCAGACGGCAGCCTTGGAGTTGACGGCCTGGACGTGCTTCTTGACGTTCCAGTACGAGTTCTGGAAGGTCTTGAGGCGGAGGGCGTCCTTGATGGCGACGCCCTGCCAGTAGGGGAAACCGTTGGTGATGGCAATGTCGCAGGCCTTGGTGACGACGTCGTTGGTGCCGTCGACCCAGGCGGTCCAGGTGTCGGTGTGGCCGACCTTGAGGTTCTTGTTGTACTGGTGGACCATGCCACGGACGTCGTAGATCTGCTGAGCGAGCTTCTGGGGAGTTATGTCCTTGCGGTAGAGATCCTCGGAACCGACGCTGATAGCGGCGATCCAGCTAGTGCCGTGCTGCTTGATGGCCTTGAGAAGAGCGGCCTTGTCGCGGCCGAAGTGGGCGTCATCGGTGGACCAAACGCCGACCAGGAGCTTCATGCCAGTAGCCTTGGCAGCGGGAACAGCCTTGACCAATGCTGAGGTTAATTGTTAGTGAGTGGTTTTCTTTTTTGATGTGATTGAGACTTACTGTTGCAGTCGCTGGCAGAGTACAGACGAACAGCGTTGAAACCCTTGTTCCAGCTCTTGATGGTCTGGAAATCCTTCTTCCAGTCGGCCTCCCACTTGCAGACACCATCGGCGCGGTTGGCACCCATGCTGAAACCCTTGAACTGGCCAGCAAGGGCCTCGCCCGAGAGCATCAGAGCCACCGCGAGGGTGCTAATAGAGCTGAAGAACTTCATAGTGAATTATAACGATAGTAGATTAAGAAAAACGAGAGATGGAACTGATTAGTAAGCGAGCGACAGTTGGGCCAAGAAATCAGAAACAGAAGAAGTCGCAGGACGAGCGTCTTGTTTTATTGTGGACAATGGAAATTAGGCCCCTTTCTTACCCGGGTTTGTTTTTGCCCCTGACCTCGTATAGACCCATGTGCGCGTGTTGTTCTAGACCTTTTCCGTGCAAGGGTTGTGCTATTTTTATGTTTAGCCTGCTATTTTGTCTCTGAAACTGCGCTATCACGCGGGTCGTCCGCCTTGCGTGGACGAATCGAAATTCTACTCATCAAAAAAGCAGATGGAATGCAAAGCCCAATTTTCTCCAGTCTTTTACGTATACGTCATGGGTTTACGGGGTACTCCAGGAATCGCCGACGCTTGACTCCAGTTGCTGTGCCGGTCTTTTGCATGCTCTACGTATTCGCGCTGGGGGATCTGCCTTGGCACGGGTGACTCGGTCGTGTCTTTGCTGGATGCTGCTTTGCGATTGGCTGGTAACAATTGTAATCATCCCCAATCGCGTTAAGTTCACGAGCCTACCCTATTGCTCAGGAGTTGATCTTTAGTTGTGACACCCTGGATGATGGAAATAATACTGCTCCGTAGGCAGTAGTAGTACAACTGAATTATAGTTTTATGAGACATATTTCTCTTCTGGAAATAGGAACACGGATATTACGAACTACTTTAGCAAAATCTTGATTTAATGTCGTGCGTCAATTAATCAATCTGAAAAGTCAAAATTGAGCATAACCTTCTTAAACTTTTATTAGGCGAGTGAACAAAGTAGCTCATAGTAAGCTAGTTCTTTTTCTATATACTTACAGTTTGATCACATTTATTACTTTAGTATAAAGATAACGCATCCTGAGAGGTCTATACCCTCGCTGAGTTAATTGTTAATCTGGACTCAAATGCCAAGTCCTAAAGGGTTAGGATAAGATAAGATAAGATTAGATAAACCCACACTCGGGCTGTTCGAGACCCACTTTCCATTACGACCACTCACGAAACACTCCATGTGTACTGGAAAAACAAATACTACCAAGAACTTTACTTCTGCCATGATTTACTTCCTATACGCTGATCATCTCATACTCTCATCCACGTATTTTTATGAATTATTGAATTGGGATCTGGTTGATAACTGATACCATACTATTATAATACAATACATAAAGGCCTAAGAAGCCTTTGAGTTAATCCTTTCAGCCTGAAATGCGAGTAGTCTTCGCTTACAACAATACAACAAGCAGCAAATTAATCAACCCTTGCCTAGCATAAGATAGTCTACAGTGGTAATAGAATATCTAGACCGGGGATCCCTTTCTTAAGCTACCAAAGATACCATTAGATCAAGCTTTGCATGCCTCAAGCTCGCGAAGCACCTTTTGGAAAAACACCGTACCAAGAATCTTTGCTTCCTGCTCGCTTTGTCCACTAATAACACCGAAATCCCCTTTCAAACAGCATCTAACAACATCCATATACACTTTCCCCACTAATCCATCCCACATATCCCCCGAAGCTCCTTGTAGATCACCTAACAAAGAATCCTTCACTTGCTGCCGACTCATCTTCCTAAACTTGGTCTCATAGACTGGTCTCCAGTAGCCAATTTCCCATAGCAAGATGCCAAGGCTGTAGATGTCTTTTAGTTTTGTCCATCCTAATCCGACGTCGGGATGGTTGTAGATATCCAAGTGAGGGTCATCAATCGGCCTTTCTTCAAGAGAGAGGTCTCCCGCTGGCCGACTGTACTGAAAGCCCGTGATCCAAGGGGAGGTTATATCTGATTTGGAAGAAAACACAATTCTGTCTGCACGTAGACCTTTGTGGAGCCAGTTTGAAGCGTGGAACATGTACACCGCTGATGCCAGTCGGTATGCTAAAGTGAACCGCTCACCAAGTGGAGGCCGTGTCTTGGACTTTGTTCCATCCTGCAAGAGTGACCACAGTGAAGTTGGTACGGCAAAACTTGGGGTTGGAAGACTGTAGACAAAAGCAATCCTACGAGAGCCATTGGATTCCTGCTCATATTTAGTATCGTCATATGTACCAAGGCACTGCGGCCGACGGTACTCAGAAGCGTTCGCTAACGAGAGAAGTGCGCCAAGAGCATTAATGCGCTCAATGAGTTGATTCTTAAAGCGATCACCTGCCAGAATGATTTTCCACTCCATAAAGACAAACTGAGGTAGTCCATTTTGCCCTTCGTATGTGCCAAGCTGGAAGGCTTCCGGGTCAACAGAGCTCCTCTCAAAACTGACCTGAGCGGCATCAAGACAAACAGCTTTTCGCGCCAGGTCCTCAGGCTTTATGGCCTGTAGTTCTTTGGTGCGATGAAGAATGGCAACTAGTGAGTTGGGGTTGGAAATGATATCCCGCTGTACACTCAATAACGTGTTCTGGTTGTCTTGGTCGGCCTTAATCGTTTCCAGTAGAAGGGTCTGCTGGCGTAAAATGTTGGCTTCTGTAGGCCGCATAAGATTTCGGAGATTGTCATTGCATGTATAAAGCTCATGGACGATCCCCCCGAATTCGGTTTTGTCGTTGAGTGCCCACTTGACCCTTCTGACTTGCTTGATCCTGTTGAGCTCGTCACGGATACTGGCTATCCAGGCACTAGACTTCTTGAAAGCATCTTCGCTTGGACCTTGCACAGCTGGCAACTTTAAGGCCTTGATGCCATACTTCTCAAGCTTTGGCGCCATCTTTTGCTGGATCGACAGGATCTTTGCAATGACCATTGCGATGGCCCCGCGAACGAGTGCAGACTCGTGGTGTAGGAGACATGCATCTCCATCATCAACACGAACACTTTCGCCCCATTGTGCGAAAAGTATGCACTGGACATGCCACTCGGCGGCTATATCCTTCAGGCCGTTATCTGAAGCAACAATCTGATGGAGCAGGTGATAACCGTCGACGGCGCCAGCGAAGCCAGCGAGGAGGCTCACACCTCCAAGGGCGAGACCAATGATTTCTTCGACACCAGTGGGCATGATGAGTTTTGCGACAGTCAAGCTACAAACCAAGAAGGAGAGGAGTGTTGTTGTTCAAGCAAAGCAAGTTGGGTTATTGAAGAAAGAGATCATGCTCTTGTCTCAGAGCCTGGTTCTCATGTCACTTGCAATTCAGAGGACGCAAATATTACAACAGCACATTCGCTTTGACATTGAAATAGACCAGCTAATTCGCGGCCAAGAAATCACCAACCTGAATGAAATCAATCACTGACCAATCATTTTAACAATTTTGTTTGTCGAGTTTCGCAAAAGTTTCAGCTGTGGTGATTGTTTAGGCTCTCCGCATATAAAAGTGCAAATGGTAAGCAGCTGATGCAGCTGCCTTACAGCCATGGTGACGTGGCCCGGAACTCAGGCGCTCGAACGAAGCCACTTCGTAGTTTGCATTATTGTACAATGCGATTCACGAACATTATAGGACGCCATTGTCTCATCCGAAACAAGTGCCAAGCCTGGCGTCCCGCAGCAACTCGAGATTCGCTGGCTGAACTGAATCGGAAGCCAATAGAATAGTGTTGGTCACCCTACTCTGTGGGCTACATCTGGTTTGTGAGTGGTATTGCGGATTACTGTTATAAAGATTGGGCGCTAATGCTAAAATATTAACCGTGTGATGGAGAGGTCCGGCAATCAATCTCGAACAACAGTGACAAACCATAAGATTATTCCATATTGTATTCCGACATTACACAACAGATATATCTGACTGGCAGTACGATAAGCGCAGATTCCATTCTGGGGCTCACAAACTCCCCACCACCACCTACTCTACGGCAGGCCCTATCACCCCGACAGCGGTCTCACAGATATGCCTCAACCGTCCGAGCTAAACAGACATGATGATGCGAGTTCAGAGCCCAACGCAAGCCAGGAAGTACCATCGCTTGTCTCGAGCCGTGATGATACACTGAGCTTTTTATCAATCATATCACTTGCATTGAGCTGCGACATGCCCCAAATCAATCTGCCGCGTCTACCAGGAGTAGATGGCAGCTTGTACGGTCTCGGAGCCGGAGTCTCGTCAACTGTTGCTAGGCACAAATCTGGAAACGAGAGTGCAACAATATGCCCTCCCGGTAAGCTATAAAAGCTGCCTTGACACAAAGGGATAGGACAACAGTATTGACACTTACCTAGGTACGATGGTAGCGCTCAAGAGATTCAGTGTCAGACCAGATGACAATAAAGAGGTCAAAAGACTGCACCGACTATTGTCCCAAGAGTTGCAAATATTTTGCCATCCGTTTTTGCGGAGTCACGCCAACATCTGCCAGATGTTATATGTCGGGTGGGGAGGAACCAAAGTCTTTCCCGTCATTGCATTGGAGATGGGAATCTACGGTAGCTCATACATTTCTTGAAGACTTTTGTCCGCTGACAACCATCATAGGTACCTTATCATCAGCGCTTCAACAGATCCGAAGTTATAGCTCCGCTCTCAGGAAGGGTTACTTGACCACTGATATTATCCTTGGATTAGAAGCGTTGCATAGATGTGGATATTGTCATGGAGATGTCAAAACAGACAACATCATTATCCAGTCGCATCCGCACCGTGAATTCATAGCGAAGCTCGCTGACTTCAGTGGCGTCAAGTCAGTGGTCACGCGCCATGACGAATCTCGACCTGATTTCGGCACCCCGACCTGGCAACCCCCCGAGGTTATAATGGATGATCCAGATATCGACTGGCAGTCGGCCGATATCTACAGTCTGGGAATGGTCATCGCAACGATCTGGACTACCGAGGGATTTATACCACAAGGTGGCACCTTTCTAGACACCCAACTTACTTACGAGCTGGATACGACATCGAAGAGCTTGTGGACGAACACAAAAAAGACTAAAGATGATATGAATCCGGAAAGTGTGATTAGTAGTGCTTTCAAAGCCACGGCCTACACAGAATCGCTACCTTCGTTCGTGAAAACGCTCATCTCTTACACCTTGCCACGATGCCCCGGAAATAGGGCTACTGCCAAAGACATTTCGCATCGTGTTGCAACACCTTTCCTAATGCAGCTAGGAAACAGGTAAGATATGGCCTCCCATATAGGGAGAAACCAAAAGATTCAGGACTGACATATCAGGGATGATGAGGTAAATACCACACCCGAAGGAGATACGGCCGCAACAACACGTCGAAAATCTCATGTAGGCAAGGATGTAGTGAGTGGGCTCAATGAATAAATGAAGCATGGTAAACTAACAGCACGGAAAAGATAGCCAGTGTTGGATTCTCAAACAGAACGAAGCCGTTCTGTGACCTTGTACAACAGACCATGATCAAGGAAGCCACGGATATACTCACAAAATTCCAATTCCCAGAACTTCAAGATCTGGAGAGTGAATACCCACCGGACGAAGAAGAGCTTGTCACGGCCCTGGACACCCTTGATAGAAAACACAAAACCCAACTTCTCAATTCCGAAATCCCTGCAAAGTTCCAACATCTGGCGTATCAGATATTCCTTTCCTACACAGGCGAGCACCGCAGCCAGATCAATGAAATGGAAGCAATGAAATGGAAGCAATGAAATGGCTTTACTGGGCAGCAATGGCCCGGAAAGAGTTCGCTATGCACTGGTACTGGTGTTACGAAGACAGCTTCCAGGATCCTTCTTTCATTAGGCGCGCTTTCCCAAGACGCCTTTGGGCTGTCAAAGCAATGCTGGAGCGCAACGAGAGAAGCGAAACACTCCTCAAACATACAGCCCCTATCCTCTGTGTGCAAGTCAAGTCTATCTTCCACAGGCTGTATTGGGGCCGAAGGTACAGGCAGACGCAAAGATTTATAATGTCTTGGCCAGAAATCCAGGCCTGGGTGCAGTCCGACAAAACTCATGTCAACGCTTATTTACCTGTTCATTCGTATGAGCAAGACTATCATGAAACAGCATTACACTATGCCACAGCAATCGGTGATGCAGACTTTGTGAAGTACCTTATCACGGTCGCTGGGGCTGACATAAATGCCTTGAACAGTAGGCATGAACCTGCTATCTTTTATGCTACCATCACCGGTCAACTCGAGATGACAAGACTCTTACTGTCCCATGATGCAAACATAAATCAGGTCAATTATCATGGTGTCGGTATTGTCCATACCCTGGCCCGTTTCAACGATGCTGATGCTGCTACACTATTGCCCAATCTAATGCACCATGGGCTTGATATCTATCCACGAACCTCAAAAAACAGTTTAAGAACCACCTTTGAGGCACTCGATATACCTGACGTGCTTCCCAATCTTCCGATAATAGTAGCAGCTATGCGACAACAACAGCGTCTCTTCAGTGGCTTCCTCGAGGCACATAAGAGACATAAACTTAAACATTCCGATCTTCTACTGTTGCTGGTGACACTAGCGAACCACCACCTGAGTCAGTTGAACAGATCTTGTTGTCTGTGGAAGAAATTTGCGAGACACCTGAAATCAAGGCCAACCATCATACCAGTGTGCGGACAGAGTCAGCTTCCGCTCCTCTTGATACGTCCCGTACCTCGGAGAAACAGGACAATGAAGCAGATGGTGTCATTGTGACGCATGATCATCTGTTGCTTCTCTTTTACCAAGCCATTTATGTCGATGGCCTTGATGTTACGCTTCGAAGAAGTCTTCACGGAAAACAAGCCTCGTTGATGAAGCGCGAGACAATTGCAACATTGCTCAAGTTCGGCAGCACAGCAACCACGGAGGAGCTGAGCATCTCCGAATTTGCTCGACAGACGCTAAAGTTGTGTGTACTCTTAGGAGACAACATCGCGCTGACGACATGTATGGAAGTGTTTAGTGAGAGGGGACAAGATCTGGCCGACGCTATAGCTGATCAGTCACTTTATGGAGGAGCTCACGCACTTGGTGTAAGCATTAGCAGGGGCGCTTACGACAACTTTATGTTTCTGCTTGACATGTACCCCTTCCTACGAGATGCCGCCGATAGCCAGGGAGTGACCAGCCTACACCGAGCTGCCAGGGTGAAATCAACTCGGTACGTTGAAAGACTACTTGAGTGCGGCGCCGACCGTTATGTCCGGAATCAGGCCGGCGAAACTCCCTTTTTCACAGCATTGGTATTTGGTCCGAACCTCGAAATTGCCACTCTGCTTGCCCAAGATGCCTACATGGATATAATACTCGGGCGCTGTCCCGTAACAGGTTTGACTGTGTTCAGCCGACTTCTCTGTCTTATGGTGCAATGGAAACGAAAGATCGATATTCGCACATTACAGTATCTTGTCGACAATTACGGACCCCCGTCCGTGTTTTTTGATCGAAGGGCAAGCGTAACTATTTTTAGGTACTTACTTTCAGCAAAGACACCATACACTGATACCGAGCAGTTGGACAAGGAAGTCGCCATCTTTCGGTATATAGCTGATCTACTTCAAGACGATATCAACTCGTTGGATCCTTTTGGGTCAGCGCCTCTTCACTATGCTGCTATATTTGCCAACCCAAACGCCGTGGAGATACTTTTGGAACGGAAGGCAACAGTCGACATCCTGACCATCGAGTCTACGGTGCAAGACGGCGCGAGAAATCGGGTAGGGATTACACCGCTAGCTTGGGGCATACTGAGGAAAAATAATGGCCCTCCAGCGCATTTAAAGGAAGGTACAGTAGATGTTAAGCTGTGGCAGCAAAGGATGGATCAAGTGCTTAAGCGCCTTGCACAAGAAAGCGGAGCTGCAGGCCCAGGGGCGGATCTTGCAACACATACGCGGGCATTGTGTATAGTCCATGAAGAATTGGCTGCGAACATCGCAGTGGCCAATTATCGCGGTAACGTTTCTGTCAGTTGGGAAAACACCCCATAAGGCTAACCAGCTGATCAGGACCTGATATCGCGGAAAAGAGCGGGCATGCAGAATGGCCCAAGCGACTCCCCCAAGAGAACGGGCCGCCGCAGAGAAGTGTCGAGGTGATTATGGAGAATGGATTGTCTGAGTATACGCCAGCACAGACTTTGAAACGCATGCAAATGGTGCTAGGTGCAGTTAACTACGGGGTACGAACTGGAAACATGGCACCCCGGTTGGAGAAAGCTCCTCAAGAGTATTTAGATCGGCTACAGCGAGAGTGGACGGAATATCAAATGGAGAACATGGGGAACAGGCTATGACAGTAACGCAATTGATTCGACCAAGTTTGACACACCATAGAAAGTAGTATCGATTCTGTCTTGAGCAGTGCTTTCCAGTTTGATTTCTATAATTTGGAAAAGCCGACATGGCATTAGTTCAATGGGTAGTTCCTTTGACATGGACAAGATATTGATGTGAAACAGCTCGGGTTATCTACGTCCGAAAGTCGAGCGTCAGCCTCGGCACGTAGGAGTCAATTGAGGAGAGTTACCACTCTGAGCAATGCGGAGGGTAGATCCCGGCTAAGCGTAGCATTTAGCTCATACGCGGTTTTGGCATTGAACTCTAACATTGGGAGGCTATCCTTGTTGATAATTACACAATTGGACAGCTATTGGTGGAACAATTGTACATGCGGAAGGCCTTGCCGTCTTCGATGATACAACACATTCAGCCAGACTTATGTGTATATAACTATTCGAAATGACGCTCAGGATTCTTTTTTAAAATCTGTTATTATCACCATTGTTATTAGAAATCTTCGATCAAAATTACAATGAAGTTCCTGTCTATTGCCTCTGTTGCCCTGAGCCTCCTCGGAGGTAGTCAAGCTGCCAAATCTCCTTTCTTCATCTTGACCGGCGATTCCACAGTTGCGACCGGTGGAGGTTGGGGCGATGCTGTTCTCAACGGGACCAAGAAGCCCGGAGGAGGTATCAACCTGGCCAAGAATGGTGCCACGACTGTGTCTTTCCGAGAACAAGGACTTTGGGACACTGCTCTTGGGAACGTCAAGAGTCAAAAGGCGAAGCACGAGGCCATTGTGACGATTCAATTTGGTCATAACGATCAAAAGACTCTCACCATAGAGCAGTACTCGGACAACCTCGCCACTATGATCGGAGAGGTCAAGAGCGCAGGCGGAACAGCTGTAAGTCAGATCCAAGATGTACAACTTCACAACTAACAGCCAGTAGATAATCATCACATCTCTCACCCGTCGCAAATTCAAGGATGGCAAAGTAGACGAGAGTCTGGCCAAAGAACGCGACGCCGCAATTGCCGTAGCCAACAAGGCTGGGGTCAAATACCTTGACCTCAACACCGCCAGCACCAAATATGTTAACGCCATTGGTCAAGAAAACGCCGACAAATACAACGAGATTGAGGGAGATCGAACGCATCTTAACTTTTCGGGCAAGTTGGTATTCGGGCGGATTGTCGCTGATCTATTGGTGGAGAAAAGGCCTGATCTGGCCCGGTATATCTCCACCAACAAGAAGCTGAGCCAGCTCATCAAGGATGGAGTATATGCTACGGGACAAGAGTAGTTTTACAATAAGCTGTCATATTTATAGGATTTAAGTATTACATATTTTGATTGTGGCACACATATCTTGTTCTTAATCTTTGTTGATTTAATTGACTCTAGTTTTTCAATACCCAGAAATAGTGAGATCTAAGGACCTTATAAGCTACTTTAGATATCAGAGTAAGTATAGCAAAGAGGTCCAGCTTGGATGTCCATGTAGTCCTTCACAGCTGGCTGCGTGTCAGCAAGGCGGAGGACTGGCATCTCATCAGTGATGCTGGCGGCCTCGCCACTGTATTGCTTGCCGCTGTAATCAGCCAATCGGGTGTTGTTTCGGTCCTGCCACTGTATCAGAGGTTAGCATGTGCTCAATAGAATGAAAAACAATAGTGGCGTACCTTGGCCCAGACGCGGTCAACATTGGCGTGGTGCAGGAAGAAGAGAGGCTCATTGGGAGACGTGGAAGGTCCCATATCACCGAAGATGACGCTGTGGACTAGAACTTGTTAGTGTCACTGGCAAAGAGAGTGTAGGGTATGGGAGTACATACTCTGAGCATGAGGAAGACCCTCAAGCATCTCGGCCATGCCGGAGAAGGTGTCGAAAGAGTAGATGGTGTTCATAACCGGCGTGTAGTAGGCTGTGACCTGCATATCACCAATAATTTGGTTGCCGTCTTCATCCTTGCCCATACCTCCGTTGAACTCGCGGCTGAAGCAGTGAGGGCGGTTTCCAGGGGTGTTGTCATCTGGCCACCCCATACCCAAAGTCAGGTTCAGGTTTGCGAAAGGTCCGTCAACGACACAACGCTCGAAACCAGGCTCATTGCTGTCGGTTCGCTTGCCATTACCGCCAAATCCAGTCTCAGCATCAAAGAGGGGAGAGTTAGGCATATCTTTCTTATCAGCGTCAATAGTCCAGTCCCAGTAGGGATGGACGCCCTTGTAGTTGCACTCATCGCGGAGCAAGTCCTCGTGCAGCTGCACATACCAGCGATGCCAGGGGAGGAAAGCGGCGACGAAGTGAATCTCGGGCTGCAGGGAAGAATGGGTGTGGACGAGATCATCCATGCGAGTCTTGACGTCGTCAACATACTCGTACGCCTTCTTGGGAAGGTTGCGCATGCAGACTGCGGCGCGGAGGTATTCCTTCTTTTCGGCGCCGGTGAGTTCCCGCCATTCTTTGCGGACGACGGGGTCGGAGCAGGCCTTGGTGGCGCGAGAAACAGGGTTGGCGAGGGTGCTGGAGACGAGCGCCAGACTGGCGAGAAGTGTTTGAACGAGCATCTTGGTATTTAGTGAGTGTTTAAACGAATGTGTTGAACGAGTGACAGATGGATGAAGCTGACGGTGAACGAGTGTTGTGAGCTGTCTGGAATGATTCTGGAAAGTGCCTACACCATGAGCTTATATACAAGCTTCTCCATGTTGATCCACATAGGAATCAAGGGTTAGGGAATTCCCGAACTTTCGGAGCGAACCAAGGGGCTCAATACGCGCTTAGTACTCCATTTCCAGAATACGGGATGACCGTTGAAGCAGACAACCCAGTCAGTGGAGTAAATCTGGTTAAAGTTCCTTTCAGAAGTGCATTGACGATCCATTATTACGAGTGCCAGCATCGTCGGTAATGTGCTGCTTCTAGAAGTCAAGCGCGAGCCCACCTGTTGTCTGATAGGCCATTCGTCGATTTACGCAACGGCTTGTTCGCCGAAAGCATTAACCTGAAACCCTTGCTTTTAGCTAATATGGTAATCCTGGATAGCCTTTTTATAGCTGGGAAAAATGGAGTTTGCCGTCGCCCGGATGCTACGCTGTGATGCTTGGCTGGGGTTCACGGACCATATTAAACGGTTTAGTGCGACACGGTTTACAAGGGGCATACCCCAATCTTGTTATGAAATCGGCATCGGGTAGAACATCTCATGGAAGTTTTGGATGACATTGCATTTGGCCAGAAGTCCTAAATACTCTGCAGATTGAGGCCATGGATTATTTTATACGAAAGCGCAGGGCAAAGAAGCGAGGCAATTAATATCGAAGCGCCCCATTGCTAAACCTCAGTCATTTTTGCGCCATGGGCCTTCAGAGAACTATCTTGTAAAAGATCCTTATCCTTCAGGCTTAGTAGACTGGCCGCCCTCGTCAAAGATCCCTTGGTGGTGTGGTTGTCAAGAACACTACCCAAGTCGAAGACGAATGTTGTGAATTCGCGACGCACCATGTTGTTTAATTTAAGATAGGAAAAGAATTTCACGATTTAAGGAGCAAACAATCAAAGGCGCTCTGCAGATTCAAAGAGAGCTTGATAAGTCATAACGTAAATAGAGATTGAAAGCGATCATTGCCGAAACTTATACGTCCAATATCCATTTTTAACTATAAATTCAGTATAGCTACTCTGAGTAGACTCGAGCACGTTTTCTATCACTAGAGAATACGTATCAGACATCTTTCGTGGCAGGGTCTATTACTGCACTATCCGACATTTCATTCTGCAGCCATCACAATACTGTGGGGGAGGTAAGGCAGTCAAAGTAGAGTAGGTAGATTGCGCCGCGTCTCGTGCCAGCTTAGATGCACTGGAAATAGGGTCTAAAGTTCTGGTAACATAGAGATAAGCTTGAATGCTACTAGACACTCGGCTAAGCTCACATCTAGATGCCATATTCATGGGATCAAATTGAATTATTCTATCTTAAAGCAAATATTATCATTCTTTCTTGTTGTCCCCATCATCTTCTTTTAAACCATCGTCGTCTTCACCATCATCGTCTTCACCATCATCATCCTCTTCGTCATCATCTTCATCCTCTTCATCCTCTTCATCCTCTTCATCCTCTTCATCCTCTTCATCCTCTTCGTCGTCTTCATCATCGTCATCATCATCATTACCATCACTCCAACTTTCTCCCTCGGAATCTCGTTCATCGTAAGCAATATCTTCAAGTGAGGGCCACCTTTCATAGACAAAGTCTATACCCGCAGCTTCAAGGGCCCGATCAACAGTCTCTTCCAGCCTGCCAGAGTAATGAAGAGCAACACGCCGAAGATGCTGTAAGCATCCAGTCTCTTGTTTCGCGTGGGCCAGTCCCACCAATCCCGTCTCCACATCACTCACGGATGGACAATCCCAAGCAAGGTACAATTTCTCGATTGACGGGGGAAGTAGTCGACTTATCGCGGCGTGAGGGGATTCGGACCTCAACTCCGTGTTATCAATACTGCGCGAAACGTCGAAGAGAATGCCCGTACTTAGGAATACTTGACGGAGTTTGGTAAAGTTCTGAAGCGTAAAGTCGGGACTGTAGAAGTAGCAGTGGGGACTTTGATTAACCACGCCGCGAAAGTCCAAGTGCAGAGCTTCTAGTGTCTGGGAATACTCCTGCAGCATACCAGCTATAACTTCCGCGTTGAACTCGCCACGCGCCGCTTCAAAATGTGGCTGATCATTCTCGGCCTGGGCTTCGTACACGAACGAGCGAAGGTTCTTTGCAGCGAATTTCAAAGCATGGGAGATGCTACTGGGCAAATGTTTGACACCGGTCAAGCGCAATGTTTCGACGTGGGCCTTTTCTGAGAGTGGAATCTCGGTGTCACAGGGAGCTATGTCGTAGATACTCAGTTCTTTCAGATTCACTGCTTTGTCGAGGATCAAGAATCCATCGGTCATGACCTCAAATGAGCGGAGGTACGGAAGTTCTGTGACCCCCAATGCTTTGAGCGGGTCGTCTGGAGGATGAGGAAAGTTCCAGAAGCCTGCAAGGCTGATATGCTCAAGCTTAGGAAGCAGCGCGATAAGTGTTGCTATGAGCTCTAGCTGCAACCTTTTCGCAGTTCCGCAACGCCAGTCGTAGGCAGAATCAAGAATGGAAGATAGAGCGTCAAGCCAGGCTTGATGATGAGTTTCCATGGGATGATCCGGGTCGTGCCCAACCTCGGCGACTCGACGTTGCCAAGCTGCACCAAGGTCGATCCCCAAATCAGCAGCACCCTGTTTGACGGCCTCAACAGATTCCTTGCATGACTCAAAATATGCAATCATTGGATCGATATAGATCATGCGGACCTTTTCTGCCAGATCCTTCCGTCGCCCAACGGTGCGCATGAACGGGTAGATTTGTAATATAAAGAAGGAGTGGTTTGATCGGCCCGAGTCGCCATACGAAGGTGCGAATTCATGGTAGAGGATGGCCTCTGCGGTTGTATGTAAGGTCTTGCAGGTTAATGCGAGATATGATAAAGCAAGTTTGTTCAGGGAGTACCACGACCTCTCATTGCGATTCTGAGGTGGGCGTCGTCGGTTATGTTGTTGCGGGGTGCCGACTCCTTTATGGAGATTGAACTCGCCGCAGCAGTGTAGGCAAAAATATGAGAATATCTCGCTTAGAACTTCCTTTGGGAGGTCGGTAAGAGTGATGCCTCTTGGCATCGAGGACAGTACTTTTGCTTTGGATGCCATAGTGTAGTAGTATGTGGTGCTAAAGTTTCTCAGGTTGGTGAGATAATTTCAGTGCCGATTGTGGAGCAGTCGGATAAATGCTGGTGTTCAACAGACTAACGAAATCTGTACCTAATCTCACACCGCTACAGTGCTGCCTGGTAGGATTGCACATATTCTCCATATTGGGAAATCGACAATGTAGAGGATAATGTATTGATGAGTTAATACAAGTGAATTGTTTTCTTGGTGCGTGAAGATCTAAATCTCATAGAGTGGTAGATTGTAAACCATACTGGAAGCTTCATGACTTAATCTAGAGTTGCGATTAATCACGAGCTTTTAACACCATTTTGTAAATGCCATTACTAATGAGGGAGGTCACCGAATTTGTCAGCTTTGACTCGCATATATACAAAAACTCTATTCACCCAATCCCGCGTTCAACATCACACGCACACTGGAATCACAAATCACCATGAAAGCGCTTGTTCTCAACACATCTCTCCGGACGGCCATCGTGGAGGAGCTCGATCGTCCAACTCCGAGCGCCGGAGAGATTCTGGTTCACGTTCGCGCGATTACCCTAAATCCAGTTGATGAGCTCTACGTTACTTCGCCAATTGCAGGCCAGGAGAAGCGAATCATTGGCACTGATTTTGCAGGAGTTGTGGTTGAAGCTGGGCCTGCGATAAATGATTCTTCAGATTCTCGAGTCAAGTCAGGTGCGAGAGTCGCTGGCTTTCTGCAGGGTGGTAGGTACTTCACTCTACAAACATGCTACATATGCTATAAGATACCGGTATAATAGAGCGCCAGTAACTGACGTTGAAACACAGCCTGCTCCGTCAATGACCGCCCCGGAGTATTCGCAGAATACATCACCATTCCTTACGATTTGGTATGGGCCGTCCCCGAAGGCCTCTCGCTCGAAGAAGCCTCAACCATCAGCATGTGCGGCCTGACCGCTGCGCAAGCTATACATGGTAGACTCGGACTACCCAGCCCTTTCTCCAAAAGTCCTTTAAATGAGTCTGAAAAAGATTCCGAAGTAACCAACATCTTTATCTACGGCTCGTCAACGTCAGTCGGCTTGTACGCAGCTCAACTAGTCCGGATCGCCGGAAAGGCATCTGGGAGACCTGTGAGACTCATAGGTGCTGCGAGTTCTTCCAAGCATGAAATACTTCGGAACAAGCCTTATGGTTACGATGTGCTTGTCGACTACAGAGATCCAGAATGGGTCAAGAAGGTCAAGGACGCTACAGACGGGAAAGGAATTGATCTTGCACTGGACTGCATTTCAGAAAACAAGACTGTGTACAACACTCATGATACCCTGGCGTCTTCAGCAAAGTTCGCTGTGATTCGTGGTCCGGTCGGGGGAGAATATGATCCAGAGTTGTTAAAGGTCAAGCCTATCTATGGTGCTGTTTGGGAAGGACTTGGCGTTGAGGTGGGATATAATGGTGAGTACTATAGCCCTCTTGTTCTTTTCCAACCAGCAGTCCCTAACTCTTCTCGAAATCGTAGATGCCGTTCTACCAGCAAATCTGGATGCGCATTCATTCGCAAAGGAATTCTACAAGTTTCTTGGCAAACCTTTGCCATCTGGCAGGGCGCAGTTGGAGCCTAATCCTGTGAGGCTTATGCCTGGAGGGCTTGGTAAAGTTATTCCGGATGGCTTCTCCCTCTTGGGAAGTGGCTCTGTGAGTGAAAGGGTGAAGTTGGCGAGGGATGAGGACTATATGCGCCCGATTAGTGCGGAGAAGCTAGTCTATACTATTAATTAATTTACGGAATTACTACAGATGTCTCAAGGTTACTGACCGCAATTGCATCCCCATCTATACAGGTGGAAGATGTGAGCGTATCAAGTAGATACAGGTAGGTGAGGTAGCTTATTTGGATTAACAGCCTTGTCTTATCTTGATCGCTATCTGGTAGGCTGTTTAACCTTCCTATTCTTACCTAGATATAGAAACTTTATAAAGTGTACGTTTTTGACGAGTTTCATAAAGCTTCGTATGATTATATGTCAAATATTAAGTAGGGCATTGATTGGTAGTGAATGTTGTATAGCAACTCTAGATTCCAGTACGTACGTCCTAACCCATGTTGCTTTCGTCTAGGAACCCCTTTATTTCCTAATCCGTGTAGTGGCTGTCTGATAGTTCTCGAGCAGATCAATCATCATCCGCATCCTGAGAACATAATCTCCTTCCTCATCGTCAACAAGTTGCTCTTCACATGATCTAAACGTTTTAGCATCATCTTGAAGGTAACACAGTGCCGAGTGCCCGTCGATATCCTTGGCATGTCGATCTATACCGAGATCCAAGAGACCAACCAACGACTTGAGCACATCCTCAAGGTGCCAACTTACGACTGTGATCCTGGCCACTTCTAAGAACGATAAAATAAAACAATGCAGTACTGTTTTCCCACCCTGATCAGTCTTATATATGTCAAGGTGACTGTGGCCCATCATAAATCCAATCACCGCCATAAAATTGTATGAAAGAGCGACATTTACGGACAAACATGCGCGATGAAGAGTTGTTTGTCCTTGGCTGTTTGTTCTGTCAATGTTAAGACCCAATTCCATGAGCCCATGTAGTAACGGAAGGATGTCATCGCTATCCGCATGTTTTTCAAATATTGGCCACAAAACGATGTCCCCTGAGTGATCCGTCATATTAATATCAATATTAAAGTGATAAACAACGTGGGTAATCGACCTCAGAACCCTGTCAGTGTTATACTCTTGGGAACAAATGATTAGAGCTGTCCAATGATCGAAGTGCGCCTTCCACTCCTGGACAAATGTACGGACGAGATCAAGATGCCATTTTCCCAGCGCATGCATTACTGGAGGAAAGCCATATTTATCCGTGATATTAACATCAAAGGCGTGTTCTTCGACTAGAAAGCGGCACCCGCCTTCATTGCAGTGAAAGGCGGCATTCAACAGCAATACACTATGAGGATCGCTGGCTTCTTGTTCTAGCCAGTCCTTGCATGATTCTTGTTGAGCCATCTTTCGTAGAGTATTCTGATCGCATGATTCTATGGCCTGGTAGATAGCACTCCGACCTTGGCCGTCAGTCGCGAATGCGTTAGCACCAGCATCCAGAAGCATGTTAACGATTACTTCATGCCCCCCAGAGCAAGCCAGATGAAGTGGTGTCTCTTTAAAAAGGCCCCATTTTTCATTGAGATTGAATGTCTCCTCTCTTGTTAGACACCATATGACAAGGTTATCCAGATTCAAGAGGCAGGACATGTGCAGAAGAGGAACTCCAGAGTTCGTAGGGTTGTAAGCCGCAGACAACTCGGATAAAACTATCCATCCTGATCTTGTTTTGGACTTATAACTAAAAAAGTCTTCGTTTTCTTTCATGACTCTAGTAAGCTCCTCTAGTTGCCGAAAATGCATGTACCAGTCTCTCGAGGCGTACAATGCCAGAGGGAGATATGAAAACAGCTTGTTCTTCTCTGTTATCGTCATTGGGTTAGGCCTGAGGCTAATGATATGAGACAAACAACCGATTAATTGGCTCGCCGCAGATTCGTGAAGGCTCTGCAATAGGTCTCCAGACCTTTTTGGGCCACCATTTCGCTTCATGGTGATATAGTAATCTTTGGCACTTTGATGAAGAAATGTCACCTGAGTCGACCAAAAAACAGTTCCTTGATCAGACATCAGCTGAATTTCTGGCTCAGTCTCAGGTCCAGCATGCTTGTTTCGCCCTTCTCGTATGTTCTCAATTATCCATCCTATGTGGTAATTCGTCTCTTGGACGTGGTATTCGACAAGAAGTAAATGACCGCAAGCTTTGATTAACTCTTCGCAGACAGATTCGCGGCACATGGAGTCTATGGCCTTTACTCCGGCTGCTTCGCAAAGCTCTGGTATTCTAAGTGGGCGTGTGGCAATCAGACTCCAATCGAGCATTTTCTGGATGATCTCCCATTTGTTGAAATCAATTTGGGTAAGAATCCTCTCATAGACTGCATCAAGTCCAGAAGGAAGTCTTTCAAGCGTGGGTATAATGTCCAGTAAGGGCTTCTCCTCGAGATCTTGCGCCATGAAACTAACCCAGAGAAATGTCCCCTCGGACTTCTCCTGGAATACTTTCTCGACCCGCTTTCTCATTTTGGAGGTGAGCTTCTTCGTTCTAGAGAGATCAGAAATCCGCTCAGAAATGAAGCGTCTGACATCTTCCTTGCCTGCGGTCATCATATCAAGCTCCACCTTGGTGAAAGAATCGAGAGATTCGGGTATCCGTTCTGGGAATCTCCTGCTAAGACAGATCAACTTCAGCTTCGTAGAAGATGTTGTTGAGCTCTGGCTAAGTTTCTTGAACTTTTTGAGGAGGATAGTCAGAGAATTATCCTCGCATTCATCGAGAGCGTCAATGATGCAGTAGATGACGTGGAAATTAGATGCTTTGACCATATCTTGGAACACTCTCCATAAAGTGTTGAAAGAGCTGTCTTGAAACAACTGTGAAGACTTTTGTCTCCATTCCTTCAGGACCAAATATGTGAGATCTTTCTGATGAGAGACCAATTGAGTCAAGAGCCCACGAAGGATGTTAACAGCTGTGTTGCGGTTCGCGACCTTGTTGTCACAGAAGAAAAACAGGGCAGCTCTATTGGTCTGTTCCTTGCACATGCTCTCGAAGTGTTTTGAGAGGAAGATGGATAAAAATGTTTTCCCCATGCCGGGTGGTGCAGATATCCAGAGGAGATGTGGAGAGTTTTCGTCCCACGTTTGGAATTCCTGTGTAGATAGAATCCATTCGCAGGTTCCTTGGCATATCTCTCCTTTCGCATCAAGAATGTCTTCGCGATCTTGAGTCGGATCAGTAACGAACAATTCCTGAAGACATTTGACTGTATCAGGGTCAATTGGCTCAGCTGCTTTGGACTGGCTGGGTTTGCTTCTCTTGTATCGCGGTGTGGAGTGACAGGGGATAGTCAAGAGAAGTTCTTTGGCATATGCTGCAGCGACCAGTGCTGCATACTCCTGCCAGTTCTTATTCTTGTGGGAGTCTGAGTAGTCACATATGCCGCGAACGACAAGACAAGGGAAGTTATGCATGAGCCCGGCTGTTTCCATCTCAAAGCATACACTACCAAGTTCTTGAGAAAGTTTGTCGCGGGTGAATCCGTCTTTGATGACCTGATTGCCAGATGCAATCCGACCGTAGTGGATTACCGGATCGAAGGTCTGACGAGGGTCTCGGGGCACAAGCTGTTGCTGATCGCAACTGTCACAGCTCTTTGCGGATGAAAGGTGATCATAAGTGCTGAGGAAGAGGCGATCTGGAAGCGTTGGTCGGGAAAATGCTGGCAAGCGCGAGATGCCATGCTGCAGTATTTCGGACAGTTGAACAGATTCCCCGCCATGGCTTGCTCGGACTCTGGCAACAGCAGTCAATAACGATTGAGGGGGTCGAACAGGATATGCAGTGCGTTCGAATTTGTTGTCTGGCGTTGCTTTGCCTAGATCATATTGGATCACGTCGTTACTAACGACGATATCGCCAAGGCGTACATCGGCCAAGCCAGGATCTCCACCACCGATACCAACCATCAGGCGATGCTGGATGTTGGGAAAGCTCTGCGACATATGACTTGCGACGGCGGCCGCATTGTTGGTGCCATAGTGGCCACTGGGAAGACAAGCAATAACGATATTGTGCAAGCCGATGGAGCCAAAAATATAGCAATTGCTGTCATGAACCTGATGAGGTGGAGCATCGTGGACGCGGTCCAACATGACCTCTGCAGCTGTCATCTCAATCGGAAGGGCAGAGATCCACCCGATGGTGTAGGCATCAGGCTGTAGAGTGTCTGTGCTATTCTCGCTACTTGATCTCGGCCTCTTGAAAGTTGAGGATGATGGCTGCGAAAAGGACGCGCAGGGTCCTGGTTCCTGGGGGATCTCCATCCCCTAAGCCAGCTTTAGAATTATAATTCCAGCACTGGGCGAAAGAAGTGAGGTCTTTTGAAGAAGTTGAAATATCTGATCAGGCAGCACCGAAGTGAGGGGTAATATTATGCCCAATCACAGAAACACTCAGCCTCGTTATTATTTCAGCTCTGCATACCCTGGCAATGCTGATTTGGTGATCCTGGTTCTGTGTAACAAAGTCAACTAGCACATCAACTACCAGCGTTTCCGGCTTCAGGAATGAAAATTGTAAGTGATAGGAGGCTCTTTCTAAAGAATAATTGGATATATAAAGCACTAAGAACAGCTACTAATATCTTCCAAAAATGTTAATTATTATTTAACCTAGTATAATAGTAAAAGAAGGTCGACGATTTTAGACCTGTACACTATGCAAATCTATTCTGAAGGCTTTCTTTATCGGCTAGCTCGAATAAGTTTCAGAATCGCTTATGAATATGAATGAACTATCAAGAAGTGTCCAGCTGATCAATGTCTTAGCTGTCTTAGCTAAAGGTTATATCTAAAATAGGTTTTTGTAGAAAAGCCCGAGTTGGGTTAGAATGATCAGATTAGTAAAATGAGGCTCTGGATAAGTGCAATCACGCGCCTGGCTAGATTGGACGCTACGAGCTTACCAATAGCAGCTCGATATCTGGAATTGAGGACTACTCCCATCTAGTCTGCCGCACTGGCATCGATGGTCATACTGCATACTACTGATAGTCCAGAAGTGGTAATATGGCAGTCACCCACTCACCGGTTAGGTACGTCTTTAAAAAAACGACGAATAAGGCAAAGATCTCGTAGTTCCGTGCATGACGGTTCTTTCTTCTGCTGTGCCGCGAACGACTTCTTGTATGCATTATATGAGTGGCCAGTTATTCGGGCCCTGGTCTCAGGGACCCTTTCTATCCAATACGTGCCGATAGCCATGCAAGACTAGCTGTTACATGCCACATCCCTACATACTCGGAAAGAAGTTAAAATACCTTTCCACCAATGTTCTTTCTATGCAAAGCACTTTCTAAACTTCCTATAAACATGCATATTTCTCTTATCACTTATAGAGCCAAACAAGCCAGGGCTTTGCGCCTAACTGTAGTTCAAACCTTGCCAGTTCGATAGCAGAAGATAAATAATTTGTCATCCAAATCACATGGTGATGTTAAACATTCCATAACGGTAGGCCTTTCTCATATTCTGCAACCAATGGAGACAACAGAACATGACCTGTAAGCCATTTTAAATGTCTTCTGATAGGGCACATCGAGGCCGACGGAACTGTTGGAAATAGGATGAGCACATCATATTACATGCACTGTCATTAGGTGACTCAGCTGACGAAGGGCTTCGACATTCGATCATGTCCAGAACGATGCTCGTTCATCGCCAGGAAAGCCTGCATTCCCAATAATCTGGACTTCCGTCACGAGACGGAGAGGGCGTCGTGTTCCCTAGTTAAATAAAATCTATGTTTCTTTCTAGATGCATCGAGCCCTCATGTAGCGTGCTGCACCGGATATGTATCCAATGTTTCGGTTAGTCCATGGCCAGTCACTATTCTTTTCCCGGCAAGAATACTTTGCTATCTGGGATTAGCCGCAGTGGCCGAAGCATAACCCGCATCCGCTGGTCCCGAGTATGTACCCGTTACCGTTCTCGAACGCTTTTCTGAGACATGGTAAGATTTTGCCTCTGCTTACATTCCAGTGCATTTTGGTCTACTTCCAGAACGCTACAGACCGTAGCTCAGCCAATGAACACCTCAACGACCGCAACCGTCGATATGGAGCTTGGACCTCATTCGATATTCAACGGGGGAAGCTCTGCGTGGCTGAAACCTGCAGGCAGTTTCCTTGAGTCTCGGCATGACCTGACGACAGTGGCTTGCCATCCCAGGAACAGTACGTCCGCTCGTTTCTTCATTCTAGACAGCTAATCTGGGTGGATGGGTGACATCCTGAAGACTCTTCCGCAGGGCTGGGTGATATCGGCTGTTTCCTACGGAAGGGAGGTAACATACCACTTGTGGATTATTCTAGATGCCGACGAGGTGAGAAATGTTTCACTATGGGACGAGCGGGTACTACAACCGGCAACAAACATTCAGGGCGATTGTGGATACATCCAGAACTGTCTTTATTCGACTCAGTGAGCGCATCTCTCACTACAGGGTATAACTCGCCTTACCAACCTAGATCTCTATGCCAGCAAATTATCCCAAAACAAAGAAGATATCTTAGCATAGGAAACCAGTCTCATCCTCCAAATCATAGACAATGTGAAAAACAAAATTACAACGGCTAAAAACAAACTCCGCAATCCTATCGTTGCCTCGCTTTCAACGCTGTCATTGACACCGAACTCCGTAGAGAACTCGCATTTGTACTATTTGAGCACGGTCGTGGAAGATACTCCTCTAACTTCTGGCGACGGTCAAACTCCTTGAGAAATGTGTAGACGCTGCCGAGAGGCATGTACTCGAGCAAAGGTCGTAGCTCGCTCGGAAACATCTCAGCGCCGTGATCCTTGATGTCTTCGTTGACGCGATTCAGACGTAGTATTTGCATCCAAGACACAATTCCGTCGCCAACCATGAACGTTGGGAATGCAGCCATGGCTATGTCGTCGAGGATCCACGTGTTGCGGAAATATGGTCTGTTGAGAAACCCTGAAATCGCCCTGTAGCTTGGCACCTCGGTCGGGTCCGTGATGCCCTCAGGAATGTCGCTGAGATGTGCAACGGGACCCATCCACTGCAGAATAGGCGCGTAGTTTTCCGGGTGCTCTTCTCGATCACCGGGTTCTCCAAAGTTGGCCGGCATACAGCTATCCCACGCCCTGATGATCTCGATCGCAAGGTCAGACGTGGCATCTTTCGGTCCCAGCCATCCAACAACCAATCTTGCCTGCCGGTATGCCCGTGCCAGATGTGCTCGGCGCTCGGCCTCCTCGCGCTTGTCCCGCCTGTTGATGCATAATAGATCGACCCAGATGCGCAGAGGAGGTCTGTCGTTCCTCGAGGCTGGGACGACAAGTTTCTTGAGGAATGACCGGAGCCAGCCGGGGGGTTTCTTGGTTGGTGATGGCGGTGGCGAGGGTTGTTGCTGTTGCTGCAGGTCTGTCTCAATGTTGACCTGCGAGGTCGAGTGGGCGTTTGTGAGACTGCGAGGGCCTAGAAAGACATCGCGGACGTAGCGTAGCGCCTGGGCGAGGTCGGACGGTATGGCCACCTTTGAGCCGTTGAGGACGATTGTTTCGGTATTTGTGATGTCACCGTAGAGAGCAGACAGGCCAATGAAGTCAGGAGAGTCGCTCAGTTTCTCGTGGACGAGGCGGCACACAATCCTGTCGTTGATGTCGTTGGTGGGCGAGGCCTGCAGCTCTAGCACCCTCACCTCGCGGGCCGCTAGATCGATGGGGCGGTATTGGATCGAGGACAATCCATCACATGGAGCCATTAGTAAGTGAATTTCGTGTTTTCGGTCCTGTTTTCTTTGCTCTGCAGAATGTCTGGGGCTAAAATAAAAGAAGGGTGGTAGGGTGTTGGTCCGGCCCTGTCCGCGTAGTGTTGTATGCAGCAGCGTTCTGCAAGGGAGGCTTTGCGAATCGGCTCGATGGAGAAATGAGAAAATAGAACCAGGCTAGATGTGGGAGAGACACGGTACTTGATTTATCTCGTGGACAATCTGCGACCCTTTTGCCTTTTTAGCAGAAAGGAAAAACGAAAGAAGCGAAAAAGAAAAAAAGGAACAAAAACTTTGCCCAGGCCGTGGAATGCGGCCTAACAGAGCTTGTGCCACCTGAGAGGCCGGGTTTGGACATGACAGGAATGATATCACGGCAAGGATCTACATTGTGCTACAGGGGGGAAGGAGAGGTATCTCTACCGTTGCTGAAGAAGTCCCAGCAGCCGGAAAATGCTGTTGTCAAAACCCGTCAAAATAGTACGACTACCTACCCGTTCAAGCCCCCAATCTGATCGAGATCCTCTTAGTCTAGGCGTATTAGCTTTGCATTAGGCCTGATGCGTAGCATTAAAAAGCTTGTCAAACTCTGGTGTCCCGCGAGGGAAAAAAGCCATAAAACGCTCATGGGCCAAGGAAATGCGACGGATAGTGGGAGGACGGAGCCTGGTGCTTTCTCCGTCAGCGCCATCAAAGCTAAATAAACTAAATTGGCGCTAGTTGGAAGCTGAAAAACATGGGCAAATGGGAATCGTCATGGTGGGTTAGTCGGGTGGTTTGCACCGGGATTATCCCTTTCCGCTTTGATGGGGAGGGGGCTGATAACAGGCTTGTCGTTGTATCACATTTGCCGCGTATTTACGTATAGCAAGTAGACAAGGCAGAGACAAGACATGAAAAGCTTCTAGATGCATCGCAGAACTTGAGTCACGGCTTCCACATGGCCGAATTCAGAAGATGTGGACACGTTTTTGGACATCAGCTGTCTGTCTTACCGCCCTCGACGTAAGCATGCCGTTTACTTCCCCATTCTAGCAAGCGTTAAGAGTACATGTGTCCTCGGTACATCTCAAGAGGGTGGGTATCTTTTCACGTGTGGCCAGGAAGTGCCGAGCTATACTCAGCTTGGCATAGCTCCGGGTGTCACTTCTGGAATGCCCACGGATTAACCGTTTTATTCCCTATCGGCTTTTGGCGTTATCAGTTGTTGGTCCAAACTGCATGATATTTAGGGAATACGACATGGAAATGTAACATCGTCAAAGCTCAATATCATCACAATAATACTACCCTTGTCACGTCACGATAACATCTCACACTTAGAAGTTCTCCTTTCTTCTGCAAAGACATCCAGATTACTAAACTTCTACACCCCAGATTCGATCGAGAGTACCCGGTATACCCGCCATCGAGGCTATACTGAGACATTTCGAACCAACACGCCGCAGCCCTGCTTATTCCAAGATTTCACTCGCATCTGTGGTCCCCGAACCCTCTCGGCGCGTTGGTGATCCATCCACACACATTTTCGGATGGATCTGCAGAACAAACTGCCTAGAATATCTTATCCAAGACATTCAAACCAACAGGCAAGGAGTGGGACGGCTGGCGATTGGCTGCTTTACTTGTAACTCATCCCTGTTTATGGGACCTAGACCCTGGTTGATATGCCTCACACAACTTGATGAACATGAAAGAATTGCTGAACCAACAGCAGTACCTACGTTGTATGAGATGGCGAATTTTAATTGTTTCATCCAAGGACTTACACACGTTTCTTGCAGCACTCGCGGTGTTTTACAACGGGCTCTCCGTCCATCCCTGGAGTGAAGATGAAAGATATAAAAGAAAGGCTACGAACCGCCCTAGTAGGGATATAACGCTCAGACACTTTAATTGTAAACTATCAATTCACAATCTAATCTCTCCTTGCCGATCGAAATGTCTTCCCCCTGGTGTCTACCCTGGCCTCAACAGAACTACTGGGGCGAGTTTAACCTCAACGGGCTCAAGATCGAAGTCACATCGTCAAAGAGCCACCACGATAACGATGATTCCGCTGAGATCCCGCGATACTTCTGGGGCAAGGGTCTCAGGGGCCGTGGCCTGGGGAGGTTCCTCGCTCGGCACTCAAAGCACCCTGTCCATCGCGGCTACACTGAAGCGCGGAGCCTGATCGGTCGCGGCACCGTGGATGATCTTAGGAGACTTTCCCATCTTGCGAGCACTTTCGTTATCGAAGTGTTTGAGGATGTCGAGGACGCCTCCGGCTCTTCATCACAAGAATCCCTGTCGTCCCCGGGATCGGGACCCAGAGTTACCCAGCTTAAGCTCTCTCCTGAACTAGAGCAGTGGAAATCGTCGCAACACGCTATCGGCAATGTCCTACCGCCCAAGGGCGCTGGCCTGAGTCCGGTTTCACAGGAGATCCTGCACATCCTTGGTGCAGAGCACTGGCCCGAGGCGCTCAAGACCACTAATGCCCTGTTCGGCTGCGGCATCGCGAGTCTTCTCATGGGCGCTGCGGATTCGTCCACCATGTTCTCCAACTATGTGACAGACATGGCCTTCTATTACGAACACGGATACAACTACGTCTTCCCTAACCTGGAGCCACTCCTGGAGAAGGGTCTTGACGATCCTCACGCACTACGCACCCCCGGAGGCCGTCAACGTCGCGACGCCGTGAGTGTCGGCAAGCGGTACATCCAGGGCAAAATCGCCCTGGAGAAGAAGCACAAGGATCACCTCCTTAACCGCTCAGCGCGACTAGATAGACGCACGGCTCAGATCGTTTCCCTATCAGAGAGTAGCTTGCTCGGCATGGCGGCGGAAGCAACCGCTAGAGGGTTCGACGCTGGCGCTGTCATGGCCGATCTCGTTTTTAGCTCGCCAGGTACCGATGTCGTCGACGTGGGATGCGATCTTGTCAACTCGGAGGTGATGAACTCTTTTCTGAATGTCACCGATATCACAGACACGGGGATTGTTAGCGAGGATGTGCTGCGGAAGGTGTATGATGCTTATGCTGTGATGGGCGCAAGGATGCTTACCCAACGATGGCACGAGCCAGTGGCTAGGATGTGCGCTGCGCTGTATACTTGGCACATCCAGAATGATCGGCACATGTTTTTCCGTCGGGCTCTTCTGGGCTGGTCGAAGGCCAGAAAGACGCCCGCTCAGCCTCAAAGTGAGGGTGATTTCGACGAGGTGTTTGACAAGCAATTCCGTCTTACTGGGTTCAGCAGACCCCTCGATGCAAAGTATACATGTAACGGCCAAGATACATGTGATCATGTCCACGAGCATCTCGATCGCCACCAAGAGCCTCTTCTCAAGGAACTCTGGTGGTATCTTGTTACAGGACCTCTTGAATATGTCCGTGGCGGGCAAGTCGACGAGGCTCGGGAACTCGAGCTTGCCGAGGGCTCAAGATTGAGAATGGCCAAGCTCTTCTCCAAGGGTCGTGTGTTAGAGATGGTGTGGTTGATTGCCCATGCAAACCACCACGCTTGGCAAGTGAACTACTTGTTTGAGGCTGCTATGTTTGGTAGCATTCTTGATGGCGGGAAGTTGATTGGAAAGCTTGACAGGAAGGAACAGTAATTACCGATGTTGTGCGTGATGATGATATGACGATGTTATGGGATATGCGTTGTGTTTTATTAGAGTTTATTAGTGTCGTTCCTTTGTATATCGTTAGTGTCGGACATTCCTAAATACTTTCCTCTTGTTTTAATTTTCAATAATTCAGTTTATATTAGACAAAACAAAGTTCTAAATGGAGTGACATGTGATAAGTATTGCCTCATTGTGGGATTAATAATCTCGCGCGAGCATGTTTAAGACAGATGGTCGTCAGAATCAGGTAGATTAATTAGGTAATATTTCAGAAATCTAATGGCAATCTAGTGGCAATCTATCGCTCGCTCGCTCGTTTGAAACATGCAAAAGAATTTTCCAGTTCTCGTCATCCAGACTCTAAGCAGTATCAGCGAATGACGATTCACTGTGTTGTTGCTTGGTTGGGGGCAAAGTCTCAACCCCAGCCTCATTGCCTGGGTACCACTTCTCAGCATCTCCAAGACGGTCCACGGTAAGGCCAGCACTACCAGGGTTCTTGAATCCTCTTTCTTGTTGGCGCTGGTATGAGATCTTGCGAAGGCGCTCAGACTCGGCAGGTGTCAAGTGAAGCTAAAGACTTGTTAGTAAATGGTTGATATCTAAGACGGGACTGGCAACTTACGTAGACTTCAATTCCAATAGCGTGGATAGCCAAAGCGAGCCAGACACCCAGAGAGAAACCAAGAGAAAGAGCGGTAGCAATATTCTCAGCGCTCTCTCCGCTCATATCACCTTGAACTGCAACCCAGGCATCGTTGTCTTTGCAGATGGGGTACTTGGCTACCAAAGAGGCAGTGTCATCGTAGAAGGTGGCGATCTTGTCGCATTGCATAGGTTGGCGGAAGCTGGGGTTCTTTGACATGACCACAGCAGAGATGATCATGATGACTCGCACGGTGATGATGGAGCCAGCCTAGCCAAAGATGTTAGTAGGAGAAGTCAATTGGGGACTGTAGCAACTTACGTAAAACCATGCGCGAAGCATCCAAGCACGATGTTGCTCGAGCTGCAGGGTCTTGATGTTCCAGAGAGAAATGCCCATTGATCCAATGAACATAATTGAGGCAGCACCAACCCAGCCTCGGATGATGAGAGAGCCACCAAAAGAGACGGGAGCAATGATGATGGCACCAACAGTTCCAACAACAGCAAGAATGATGACGATGTAGCCGTTCATGCGGTGGAACAAAAGAGTCTTGTATCGAATAAAAGGCACAAACTGAAAGACGACGAGCAAAGCGGCAGGAATAATGGTGTAGAGATGCATCTTGATTCCGATTTTGTAAAGATCTTTTTTGTTGTACGAGAAGCATTCACCAGGACCTGCGCCATTGCCGCCAGCGCTATTGGGATTGCAGTAAACGCCGTAATAATCGAGGTACATCATTCGAGCGAGAGAAAAGCCAAACATGGCACCGGCGAAGATGAACCAGAGGACAAAGTTGTAGCCTTTGGAGAAACCGATGGGGTTGTAGACTTTGCGGGCCTGGGCGACGAAGCCGTTGGCGGGAGGGCGTGTGGAGACTGCCATGGTGGAGAACAGAGATTTGCTGTGGAAGAGCTTGAAAGGAAATAGTAGTTGCTTGGATGAGAAGAAAAGCTGCTGGTAGAGTGAATAGCATATTTGATTCGAAATGTCTACATGATATATATATACATTCTGGGGATACATCACAAAGAAGCTTAAAAGAAATAAAGCTGTCATTGCATTTAGCGTCTGGCGCGAATTGGAACCGCAATCGGGAAAGATGCATGCCAATCCCCTGTAACACATCTCAAATGCCGTGTCTCAAGCTCCACAACATGAGCTCATCTGGTGATGTTAATTGGCTGTAGCTACTCCTTACTATGGATACGAATATTGAGCCTCTCTCGCATTTCCAAAACGGGCTCGCACATCGTTTGGTGGTGAAGCGAGTGCGATGTCCCCCTCGGGACCGACTTCTTGGCGCGGGAAAATCCCACAGGCTAAACCACATCGAGAGTCAATCTGCGCCAGGAGACGAAAAAAAAGTCAATGCCGTCATTGTTGGGTTTAGCTCGATTGATGGAAAGGACAACGGTGATAGGGCTGGCTTAGTTTGCGTGGCCTTGATGGGGTTGGGTACGCAATATTGCATTGGTAGCTATGTGTTATGTTACCACTTTTGTGTCTCTTCTTGCTGATTGAACTTGTCAAAGATAGAGACTACGACTATTTAACCTTGCAATACTCCGTAGATCCAGTCTCGTTTCCTGGTGCACGCCATGGTTGGTGTCCCGGGTAGGTCCAAAGGCTGCATCACATGTCGGAAGCGCAAAAAAGGGGTGAGCATACCGCGTCTCAGCCATCAATACCTAATCTTAGAGAGCCTAACGGGTATCTTAGTGCGATAAGAAGGCTCCCTTTTGCGGCCAATGTCTCGCCTTGGGCATTGTGTGTGAAGGCTACGACCGCCAGCAGATTTGGCTCAACAGCCAAGGGTCCAAACAAACCATATATTCACCAGAGTCGAAAAGCGCTTCACCCGAGTCTGAGTCTAGTTCGCGCGGTTCTCCGTCTGGTGTAGTATTACAAGATTCACTGGTGAGGACAGCCAGAGCTCAAAAGTTCACCGGCCTTTTCTGGTCGGATTATCTTTCTGGCGGAAACGGGTTCTCACTGAAAGCATCCGGCACCACAGGTACTCAGTGGATGAGACTTTACGAGAACTTGAGCGAGATAGAACCCACTCTTCAATATGTGGCTATGGCATTGAGTACCGCTACGCTCGGCGCAAATAACAATGATACCCAGCTCAAGCGCAAGAGTCAACAGGCGTATGGTTTGGCGCTACAGCAGATGGTCACTTCTCTTGAGTCCCAATCGCGGAACAAGGACGGGATCCTTGCTGCTATTCAGCTGATGCGTATTTACGAAGTAAGCAGTTCTGGGGTTCCCCACTGATGGTAGTGTTAACAGCGAAGTAGCAATTATTCGGCACAGACTCTACCAAAGATCACACAAACTCCCGTGTTTCGCAGGTCAAGGGCTTTAGCAAGCACATCGACGGTGAAACTGCTCTTATCCTTACTCGTGGACCTAGTGATGCTTGGTCCTCAACTGGACGCCAACTGCTAGCGGATGGCCGTTTGACTTTAGTACGTCTTTCAGCTTCAATGACGTGCAGTTTGTTGACAAGTGTAGATCAATGCATACACATCCAGACGAAAGAGATCACCGTTCAGCAGAGGCCAATGGAAACGGTCACAACTATGGCGTTCTGTGAGCGATTCACCTCTCAACAAACTCATCAATATTTTAGTTGAAGTGCCCGGTCTGCTAGAGGACTTGGACACATTTCGACAAGCTTCAAATACAGAAGAAGCCATAGAGCTTCATAGTGCGCTTTTGGCAAAGTGTCGAGCTTGTGAGATAGAATTGATAACGTGGGAGGTGGAGGTTGGCGACATACTTACCATCTACGATTATACCTTGGCCAGAGAGCCGCTGCCACTCCCTAGATTTGACGACGACCTTGCGGTGATCTATTTGAGCTGCTACCATTGGATGACCTGCCTCATGGTTTACTCCACGATAGGTTTCTGCGAACTCGAGGACCCAAGTACCGAGAGAAAACTCTCTCCAATGGATTGTCCATCTCAACAAGTCGCTACATCTTATGCCTACCGAATCGCGCATGCGGTGCATCTGCTGTTCCAACCTCCAGCCGGGGACTACAGCTCTGTGGCTGTGTTCTTCCCTTTTGGAAATGCTCTACGGTATTTGATCATGACGGAAACATACGGAGATCAGACAGCAATGAGCAGTGAGCGGTTGTTGCTTGTTGAGATATTCACACGGCCGTTTATGGGGAGTTTTGTGGGAAGGTTCCTGGGGAATTTGCAGGCTGATGATGGTATTGATTATGGATATCCTATCGGATGGCTTTTGGGAATGAGGGGCGTTGAGTATCGCGCGAGGGTCTGGTGGTGTGGAAGACAGGCAGCTGGCCTGCCGGAGATAACTACAGAAGATCCGTGTCGCCCACGAGAATGAGGTATGCAGAAGAATGGTCAAGTTTGACGGAAGTCAAATAAGTATATGTATCGTACTAACTATGTACAAGAAACCTCACCGACTTTTCACAGCAAAAGAATGTACTATAATACCACAGAATCCCATCATCGTTACATGGCTTCACCGCTTAACAAACATTCATCTTGGCATTACCGGTAATGCCCCAGTAAATATTCTCAGCGCAAGGCGACTCCCGGACAGTGTTATCGTTGACCTGGGCCTTGACATAGATGCCGCTGGTGTTGGGGAACTCGCTGCGAGCTGAAACACGCACTTCACCGCCCTTGCTGACGGTACCGTCGCGAATGGCAAAGTTGTAGCAGTTCTCGATAAGAATGGCGTTGTTTCCGTTGTCGGCGAGATCAATCGTCTTGATCTCTGCGGCACCGGACTGGGACACGCAGAAGATGCCTCGGCCGCCACCTCGGGAATAGACTTTGTCGATGAAGACATTTGTGGTGGTGTACTCTCCGTTGGCGAGCTGGCCGTTGTTGTTGGCGAAGCGGAGTGTGGCGTAGCCCGTGCCGGCGCCCGCGTTGATGCCCTCGACATAGCCGACCTTGACGTTTCGTGACTCCTGGATGAGCAATCCACATTCACCTACGTCCTTGGCCTTGACGGACTTGATGTCGAGGCCGTCGATCTTGAAGGTCTCAACTGCATGGCTACCGGCACCGGTGACGACGATGTTGCCCATGGTGACTCCGTAGTTCCAGTTAGCATCGCGGTCGAAACGAATGCCTATTCCGCCGCTGAGGCTCAGGGTGATCTCGCCAAGCCCAAAGTTGCGAGTGCCCGACGCGCGGATGCCGAAGTAGGGGTTACCCGTCATCTTCAGGAACGGAATCTTGACATCGTTCTGGTTGATAACCTCGATTGCCCCGCGGCCGGATTTGGTACCGACGTTCATGGTACCGCAGACCTCAAAGGTCTTGCCGCTGGTGATGGTGATGGTGTTTGCGCCGATACTGCCTGATGCGCGGACGGTTACACGTTGGCCGCTTGTGATGCGGTCGAGGGCAGTCTGGATGGCGAGGCGGTAGTCGGATCCAGAGTAGACGTTGGCGCCGTTGACAGTGGCGGTGAAGGTGCCCGAGCCCGAGACTACGCCCTGGGGTGAGCCATCGCCACAAGCGGCATTGGCGGAACTAACCAGGGCGAGACCTGCTGCGAGGATGGAGGAGAGGCGGAACATCTTGTCTTCTGGTATGAGGCTGTAAGGCTTTCGGGTTGGAAGGCTTTGTTGAAGATGAATGTAGGCTGTTCTTATACAAAGACTGATAAATGAAAGCTACCACCGATTCGCGCGCTTTGAACAAGGATAATTTCAAAATCCGCCAACGATAGTCTCGTTTTACATAGCAGCGAAGCCTTGGCACAGAGGAGTACGTGATATCGCGTGCCGTTACATCGGAATAGTAACATGCCAATTTGGGGCAAATCGGAAGTTTAACCTCCGGAAGATCTATGTGAGACGGTCCTGGGGAAAAGTCCCACCTATTAACTGCCGCTGTCAGGACTTGACGTGGTAGATCGGCATGCGTTGGTGCAGGGCTGTGAGCCATGGGGTTGGGTTAAGCATATAATCTGTTGCCAGAAGTGGTTAGATGGCTGACTTGGGTCTCTCAATTTCGCGGTGTTTTCACCCGAGGGCCGAAGGCCTTACATTTGCCGTTCATCCAATCATGCACAATCTATCTTCCAAAAGTTTCTGTAGGGGGTATTGAAATAGAATGTCGATTCTGTGGTATACTAACAATACGTTTCTTTCGTTCTGTTTGCATGACCTATTACGCTTAATTGTAATTTGTGAACTGAAGTTTCTAACCTCTTAGCCAAACTAACGTCAAGTAAACTTAGATGTGTTTTGCCATTAATATGCGATTTTCTCTCTAAGGAATACAAAACCTTGACTTGGTATGATGCATGATTCTGAGCGACTGTTCTTGAACTATAAATTCAACACTTACTTTTTGCTCTTCTCATGTGTCTATTCTCAACATACGATAAGGTTCTCACATAATCTACCATCACCACATCCGCTGTGTTGGAGTCGGTCCTATTGCAATCAGAGTTGTGCTTCATATTGAGACTTTAATGAAAGCCAAATAAGATGGAGCTTGAATTTAGAGCAGGATGGAAAAAGTTGCAACACGGCATTTCCGATTCGGAGCTGTGCGAGGAGGGAAAATAAAAGCAGAGGGAGACTTTACTAGTCTTGTGTTTTGTTTAACTCACTTATGACTATCTTCTGTCATAAACCGACTCTCTGTGGTGGTAACAAAAATGGAATAGGATTCTGAGACGAATCATAGCTTCTTGCATGTGCGCGGTGGGAGTTGATTCAACCATACACGGTTTATCCCCTCATGACAAACTTCACAAAATCCACGTTCAGGTTCAAGACATTGGTTCCCATTATAGAAAAGTCCTCAACTTACTATCGAGAGAAAGCTGCCTTCCAGCACTATAAATCTGAGATTGCTCCTCATTCTATCTTCATTTTAATCTTCACCCTTTTCCACATCTGAAGCACAAGCTATCTATCACAATAAACATCACACTACATTTCCGTCTAAGTCAAACGTGAGCAAAGTACATAATTTGTACCTCGCTATACATTGCTAATCATTTTAGGCCTGTTAACTTCGATCTGGTAAGATTAAACCGTTGATTATTTTAACAGTTACATCCCATACATATGCAACACAGTTCACACCTTATACCTGAGACTCACATAACTCTAGCATAATGGACGCACGACGAAACTCGACACCTACAATGGTGGAGGAAGACATGGAGGCAATGGGGTGGGAAATCTATCCTCCACTGCCAGAACTTGTCGCATCCGGAGAATACAGCGACTTTAACATCCGTTGCGATGGGCAATTATATCAGCTCCATCGGGTCATTGTGTGCCCTCAATCTCACGCTATGAGAGCGGCTTGTTCGGCGATGCAGGTACGTGATTGGGTTGCCTCTGGATATGTCAATAGAAAAGCTAACAGAAAGAACAGGGAGCTGCGTCCATGACGATGCATATCGAGGAAACCGATACTTTTACCATCCGATATGTGATCAATTTCTTGTATGAGGAGGACTATGAAATTGATCCTGATTGGGTAGAGGATCAAGTCCGTTCAGAGGGAGCGCAGGGGAGTGTTGACGCGGCCAACAATGAGAGGGCAGTCAAGACACTGCTCGCTCACATCCGTGTCAGCCTCTTCGCCCACCGCCATGGGGTTGAGGGTCTGAGTGAATACTCAGCCTTAGAGATAAAGCAACTCTTCTCTAGTGTCCCGGCACATATGCTGCCTGCGTTCATCCAGCGGATGTACTCTTACACGCGAGATTTCCCTCGACAGTGGATAGCCGCCTGCAATATCAGGGTTCTCATCAAGGAGCGTGTCCGGGATGTGTTGACGGCGCCGGATTTCTACCGTCTGGGCGTGGATAGACGCATTCTCGAGGAGATTATCAGGGCCTGTGGCGAGCAGAGACCTTTACTGGAGCACCTGTGATGTCGCCTGGGGAATGTAACTGCGCGTAGCGAGACAACTTGGCGATGAATGAGGCTTCTAAGTATGACGGGTTGGTGCACATTTGTTATGCGGTACAGCCTCGTTTAAGAGGATTCGGGTTGGGTCTTGAACTTGAGTATAGGTGTTGTATAACTGTGGACATAGGCAACAAGAAGAAAATGGGTTTTGTTGGTTTTATAGAGGTACGGTTGATGGAGTTACTGGAGTTTATCTGATGAGAGAGATTAGCAGTTCAGGGGTTCCGTGTCAATGTTACTGTCTTCTTAGTAAGTCACCTTACTTACTAAGTTTGGACGAGAATATATCTAAATGGCCATTACGTGTTTCGAAATGAAACATGGTTCTAGATTATTATGTAATGGTAAATAATTATTGGGATTATATCGAGTTTCTTAGTTACCTCGTGAAAGGGGAGATAAAAATACAAGACAAAAGTATAGCCTGCCTAGAAAGTGATGGTGTGAAAATGCTGGCGAATTAGCATGAGGTGAGGAGGGCCTAGTGGATGGATGACAGACAAAAATGAGGTCCTACCCGGGTTCGAACCGGGGACTTCGGAAGGATCGACATGTGAGATCAAAATCCAACGTCCTAACCACTAGACTATAGGACCGAGGTCTTTTATTGTTGCAGACCATGGCAGAACATAGCTACATATAGTCGGCTTGATTTATTTTCATCGCTTTGTTACCACGGCCGAATCGTGGCACCAGCTAGCAAGTTTCTTAGTGCTCTCTCTTTGCCACTTCAAATGACCCGTCAATGCGTGTAGAGCAACTAAATAATGCTTAACAGCGGGGCTCGCCTGACATACTACTTAGTGTAGCTGCGGACGTTTCATCTTTCCCAGAGACTTGTCCATCCTACAGTTACAGAGTGCTAGAACATAAAAGTGGGCGAGAGACCTAACGTTTGTTGAGACCTAGAGAAGTGCTTTATATACATTACACAGATTTCAGTATTTATTATGCACATGAAAGCAGAGTGAGGGTGTAAAAGAATACGTTATTTCTAGTCTCCTACTTGACGCGATCACCAAACCCTAGCATAATACAGAGTACACTTTGACTAATAAAACTTCCTGTCGTCAAATTGTTCAAACTTCTCGCTGACAATCTTTCTTGTCAACTCCATCAACTGCTCGCCAAGCTGTTCATCCTGCGACTTCTCATTACCAGGCTCTGGCACAGCAGGAGGACAGATGTACTGTCCCGACTTGTCTGTGACAGTTGCGCCGTAGATAGAGCTAGTAGCGCCCTGGAACTGGTCCTTCTTAAAAGGCTCCATGCCGACGGACATGGCGTAGCCGGCGAGAGGGTATCTGTGATGTATTAGGCATGAAAAAGAGAGAACGGGTTGGTACGTACGCTTCGTGGATGAGCTCAGTGCTCTGTCGAGTGCTGACGAATCCAGGATGGGAACAATTCATCAAGACCTTGGGATATCCACCCTTGGTAACATGACGATCAAAGTATCGCGTGTACAAGATGTTGGCCAACTTGGAACGACCATACTGGGGGTTAGGTCCAAGATCCTGGTTAAGCTCATCCAAACTCTCGAACTTGACATCACTGGGCGCACCCTGGTGAGCATTAGATGCCTGGTTCACGATTCTCACTGTGCCATGCTGCTCAGCCGTCTTCTTGAGAAGCTCAAGCAGGTAGGAAGTAAGAAGAACATGTCCGAAATGGTTAATGGCCAAGTGCAGATCAACGCCATATGACGACAGCTGGTACGTCATGATTCCACGGCCAGCATTGTTGACGAGAATATCCAAGCGGTCAGTAGACTTCTTGATCTGTTCGGCGACCTTTTTCACCTCAGCCCAGTTGCTCAAGTCGCACTGGATCCACTCTGTGCGATCGGCCTTCTCTTGGCCCAACTCCTCAGCGACGGACTTTTTAGCACCCTTGACGACCTCATCTGACAGGGAGAGGACGAAGATTTTACTGATGCCGTGATCGAGAAGAGTGTGGGTGACTCCGTAACCGATGCCTTCGCTGCCGCCAGTCACAACAGCAACCTTTCCAGAGAGGTCGGGGACTTCTGAGAGTGAGAATTGGTGGGTGGCAAGTTGACTAGCAGGGCCACCAAAGTTCTCAGCGATGGTATTCTACTGCTGTCAGTGATTAGGCATAGCGTATGTCAATGCGATCATACCTTGACGCTATCAATGATGGATGCCATTGTGTTTATCTGTGTTCTTCTCCAAAATAGAGGACTGCTGTTCTGGAATGAAGCGAGGGGGACTCTTGTCAAAGGTGATCGAGAGCTACGGTGCAATAAGCCAGTCGAGATTCTTTTTCCCGCGGAGAGATTGAGGGATTTCATTGAGGATATTAATGAAGAAGAGCTTCTGATCTGAATTGATGCTCTGTAATTCTTTGATATAACGGATTGTTCTGAGACTAATGAATCACCACTCCACCAAATCAATGACGTACATCTTACTGCTGTGATGATCGGGGTTGATTGGTATGTAGTGAGACATGAAATGCCATGAAATATGCATGGCTTCATTTGTGATTTTCTTTTGCGCATTCGATATTCTGTTTGCTCCCTCTTCTTTGTTTAGTGCCTGTAAATGTAAGGCTCTTCGCGAAATGAATGGAGTATTGGCGGCACTCCAAATAGGCCATCCGGCCATAGCACGAAGTGTCAATCAATCAGAGGCTCACAACTGATGGGTCAAAACATTATACAAGGCAAATATCAATTGAGAAGACTTTCCTAATAAACCTCATCCAGTTCCTTAGAGAACTGTTTCTCCACAGCCTTCCGCATCACATTCCCTTTCGCTGTTCGCGGCAATGTCCCTTGCGGCACCACAAAGACTAGGCGCGCATCATCAATCCGTTCGTGCAAATACTTCCGCTTGTGAAATGGCGCGATTCTATCCACAATCTGCATCTTAAACTCCAATAACTTCTCAGTGCCCGACGACAGAATATCATCGTTCTTCGGCTCAACCACCATCGCGGGGGTTGGACGCCCAGAGCCTATGACTGATACTGTACTGATGAGATCTCTCTCGCAAACCTGCATGGCTTCGCTCTCGAGGGAACCAGCGTCGCAAATTAGAGATAGCTGCATCTTGATCCTGTCGTCGACTCGTCCTTTGTACAGATACTGATTGGTGCCAACACGCTGGAAGACGTCGCCAGTGTGAAACTTGCCGTCCAGCTCACTTCTGAGAGAGGGATGCGGGCAGTCGTCTGCTTCGGGAGGAATAACAAGTTCAAGGAGTTGATCTGGTGAGGAGGAGGCTTCGCCCAGAGGAATGAAATCGCATCCGGACTCTGGGAATGGGACAAGATGTGGCGATGTTTTGGTAGAAAGCATCGACAAGCCTATCTCCGTCGAGCCGTATTTGTTTAGGAGGTTGATTCCTTGACCACGAGCCCATGCGTCGTCAGCTGGTTCAAGGATTTGTCCAGCATGGTCGATTGACTCCAAACTCTGGAGCTGTGCGAGTAGCTTCTCGTCCTGGCGTGCATCCCGGAGGATATTTGAAAGAAGAGCAGGAAAGATGTTCAACACCGTCAAGCCTCCTTCCGAAATCATGCTTTGTAATTCTGAAGTCGGATAAGGTACTGAAGTCGGTGGGATTAAGCACCCTGCCTTGGCTATCACTGTTGTGAGATTGATTGTGTTGCCCAAATGCGCGTGAGAGCCCCTAAGCAAAGGTTAGACTGGGCAAGAAATGAAGACAGAGCAAGTACTTACATGAGGTTATAAACCATCTGAGGATCACTCCCAAGACCGGGTTTACTTTTACGGATCAAACAGTCCATCCACTTCACTGTGGCTGGTACTAGCTTTGGCATTCCCGAAGTCGACCCAGAAGTATGGAAGATGACAGAGACTTGATCAGGGTTCAAGGAGGTTGTGGTCCGATCAAGCTGCGTATCTGGTGCAGGAATTGTATCCCAAACATCAGTGGATAATGTGGGGACTGGACAGCCCTGCACCAAAGTCTCGCAACTGGGTTCATGGATCAAGGCTGAAGCTTTGCTTTTAACCATAAGCTCAAAGATCATTGATGGGTCCGTCATGCGGAGTGAGAATAATTGAGGAATAAAGCCGGCTCTTTGCAGGGAGAGATAGTGCAGAAGGTCCTGGTAGGACCATCCTTTCATCCTATAAAGTTGTCAGACCGGTTGGTGGTAAAATGGCGATGCTTGATGGTCTTACCAGAGCCCAACTACAGATCCCTTGGCCACTCCGGCCTTGGATAGTATGGAAAGCCAGATATATGCCGCATTCTCGATATCATTCCAATATTCTGCGTAAGAGATGGTCTTGTACCCACTACTCACTAGACCTGGATCTGCATATCGCACCGCAGGCAAGTCACCTCGATTTCTTGAAAGGTTCTCGATAACCGTTAAGGGTGTATGAAAAGATCGCATATTTAACTGCATTACCCAAATACACTTTCTATGTTCTGGAAAGCTCTTGGCATAAAGTTCTCCATACCGAATACTTATAGTCTATGTCAGTACAAAGGTTCAAAGAGACGCTGTCTTACTCAGCGGAAGAGGATGAGAATGGATGAGTGAGAATTTAGTCTTAGGTGATATCAGCCAGGATTCACGGATACTCGGCATCTTAAGGTCTTCATTCTTACCGTTGATAGGTCTATCGTAGGCAAAATTTATTGCTTCCGGTTTCAAGAACTATAGCCAACCCTGTGCGGCGTGGAATTGCATGGCAGCTGCCCTATTCGATGTAGTTCGTATGAATCATCTTGATCAATTTTGTCGATCCTAACGCGATCTGGACAGGAAACGGATACTCTTTGTCAGATACACCGACTCCTTGCTAGTAAAGGGTCTATTATTATCCAAGGCACACCTATTTCGTAATGCATTTAACTGAGTGTATTGTGTTAATAGTAGCTTTGATTTCCAGATATAGCATATACTCGCCATTTTAAAACGTACTCTATGCTCCTGATTTCTCCATTTTGTGTTGCCATATATATATTGAAGGCCATTAAAATAGTAAGAAGCACAGGTCTAAGTAATCATCCATCGTGAGACTTCCTAGGGAAGCACCTTGCACTTATTGTAGCTAATATCGTTGATCAGGGTCACTCATTTTCCAGTGTAACAGGCGCATTGCTTATCAACACTTTAATCTAATTCTGTAATATAGCATATGTGTTTCGTTGTCTGAACCGTGATAGCGTTTGGCCGATACTTCTAGCTTAAACATTAACCATTTGATCATCGACTGACAGGAGTGGCAGTATATTGATGCCAGTGTTTGGCTGGTGGCATATCTTGAAGGCACCAAATAAACAAAAAGGATTGTAACTTTGCCTGCTCTGCCGGCCTATGACCTGGCTTACTTACTACAGCGCCTAAGTCGCTGTTGCAAAGCCATAGCCCAACTGCTATTGCAAGCCGTATTTGTCAGCCGCGTCCACGTTTGTCTATATTTCTGACAGTAGTGCACGACCTTTTGATGCTGCCCACCGTGCTGGTTCCCAATTCTGCTTGAGAATATTTTACAGATACTTCGTGTGGTATGCTAATTGTTGGTGTCGTCAACACAACGATGACCACGAAGCCTACACAGGCCAACACACTCCAATTTACTTAATAATATTTATTTTGAAAGATGCTCGTTGGACATTAAGTTCTTGCGTTACCTTGGATATCATCAAGGACGTTTTAGCAAATGTTTTTCATTTCAACAGCATTCAGTTGCTTTTCTCCCTTCCTACCTAGAATTTGATTCGTTCCATGCGCCTTCGTGTACCGTCGTCTGCAAGCGTTTATTAATTGTCTTGAAATTCTCTTCTTTTAAAAGGCTACAGGTATCAATGTGTCGGTGAAAAAGCTGTTGATAGGGTTGGCTTAAGGAGTTTCAGTTGATCTCTGTCAGACGCGCTGTCATTGAAGTGATTATAGACGCAATCGATATTCTTGTCGCGCAATTCATAATGTTATACGGTGCAGGTACAGAAGCGACCTTTCGGAAAATAATACCACCGCTCCTCCTACTCTCTGCTTGTAATTCCATTGTACCATGCACTCCGTAATGTGGTGTCTGACTGGTCGCAGTGCTAGAGGCAGGCTGTGCGACAGTTGTGAGACTTGCATGAAAGGTGGTCAGCAACCTCGCATTCTTGTGGCTTGCGGCCTCATTTTGGATGGCCGTCGAATATTTTCTTCTGATACAAAATGATATGGCTCCATCGCTGGGATTTAATAAAGCCAGTAATGATTCTCATAGTAACCATTGACAATCTTATGACATTTGTTCGAAAAATCTTCATTGAACCTGCAACTACAACTGAGCGACAGCACAGATTAGTAACACCATTTATGCCTCACTGCCACCCCAAACAATGCACCTGATCACTTTCGTGTTTCATGCAGCCAGTATTCAGTTCCCAGTTTTTTCTCAGAAACACAATAAACACCACCAATAAGATGCTTCGAGAATGCATACATGATCGTCGCACACCAATAACGATGCATCCAGTCACGCGTGTCAACACGGATGATCCGGACGCTCGATCAATCAGGACGCTGGACTCTCTAGACACTCCAGAGTCCAGTGGCATGTGCAGCCATTTGGCAAGGCGTTTTGTACACGTAGCTCCGTTGCGAACTGCAGCTACGGAAGAGCCTCATCGGATTTTATTGGGGAGTCTCGGCAGTGGCCAAGATAAGCTTCTCCATTTCATCTCCAGACTAACACTCTTCGTCGATAGCGTGATCCGAACCACGAACAATAAGACTGTAGTCGCTATAGCATCTTTTCTGAAACACGGACCGAGACTTGCGGAGCTTTTGACACATATTTAGCGGTACGGACGGCCTGGGACAAGTCGCCATGTCTACAGCCCCGCAACACCACGATGACGCAGCTGGCCATCGTCGCCAAGAAAAGCCTCCATATCAAGAAGATGAAGACTGGAGCGACTCGCAAGATAGCAAACAGCCTCAACAGCGCAGAGTCTCGAGGCGCCCCCATAGAATCCATCTCAAACAGCCGGTGCCGTATCGAAGACACACCAACGAATACTACGGCGAGCCTTCCATAAGCCAAGTTCGTAGCGAGGCTGTGCGTTATGGTGTTGATCCGAACCCTTTTGCTCCACAGCCAGAAGCATATGAACCCGATCCGAGTCCCTCGTATTATCCGTCGCGAAGCACTCAGCCACTGCCGAATTACTCGAGCCAATACACATACCCCGCATCTGGCGGTTATCCTTCCGCTCCTGCTACCATCCCACGAGGCAATGCATTCAATCCTCAGTCTTACGGCCAAGTTGGGGGATATTACTTCCCTGGTGTTCAGCCTCAGCCTATCCCATCACGTTATGCTCCTGCGCCCAGCGCTTACGAGTATGGGGGTATTGCATCGTCCTATCCACAATATTCGACACTCCCGCCTAGCCAAGTCGCCCAAACTAGGCCAGCACAACCAAGAGTCTCCCGACTACATCGGGCACAAACGGATGTTGATTCGAGAGCTGCATATGTAGGGACTCCAGAACGATCATCGCAGAAGAAGAAGCCTTCCAAATCAGGAAAAGAAAGGTCCTCCTCAAAGGATGATGGAACAATAGGACTCATTATGGAGCAACTGAAACAGCTCAAGAAACAGGTCGAAAGAGGCAACTCCGACTTGCAGTCAGATCTAGGACGACGCCGTTTACGAAGTTCCTCGACGGCGGATGTTTCTACCACAGAAGACACCAGGTCTCTCGACATAGAGAGGCAACGATCGGATCATCTCATGGGTATCGTCAACCGACTACTTGAAGACAGAGAAAAGCAGGGCTATCGAGACAGCTACGGACGCTCGTCGAGAAACAGTCTTGCAGCGCTTCTTGGAGATAACTTTGCTCTCAGTGATAGAGACAGAGACTTGATAAACCAGCGTAGTACGGAGGAGATCGAATCGAAACTTGATGCCATACTTGAGATTCTTTTGATGGAACGCCGGTCGGATGATGGAATACCATCACAGCAGCTTATCCCCGGCGCTTATGATATACGGCAAACCCGACGAGGTGCAAGGAGTCAACCCTCTGTCGTTTCTACTGAGAGGTCGCAAGACATTGCAACGCCAACGTTCAGCCAGTCATTGCCACTCCGTCGTGGCATCATTTTACCAGAGGGCAGGAAACGCCAAGGAGTACAGTACAGCATTGCGCAATCTTCGAACCAGTCCCGAGCCAGACACAACCCCCTGAAGGCAATGAGACCAGACGAAGAGGCAGACCTTCTGGAAGATTACGAGCTGGAACGCATGCCCACCCAAAGACCCCTACAATCTAGACGTCATACTCTGTCGCAGGAGATGGGACTCACAGAGAGAATAAAAGGTCAAGCGGTAGTGAATCAGAAGACAAGCGAGATGCCTACTGTAGTAAGGAGGACGTCGGATGGTGATCAGCAGAGGGTGAGATCAGGGCATTTTGCTTTTGTTCAAACTGAGGACGAACAAGAGTCTGATGATCAGGAACCTGCTCCGGTTCGGGCGTCTACGGGCTATCATCAGCGACCACCAGTGCCTGATCCGCCGACTCATTCACAGCGGAGGAGAGAGAGATCAGTCAGATTTGGCCAAGCGTGATATATATGGTTAAGAGCTTAATCGGAAGATTGAAACTGAATGCAATGAAAGACCACGGATAAAGTGTTTTTCGAATGGATTATTCAGCAAAATACAGACAAGATATTAAGTGACTTTAATTACCAATCTACAACCTATTGTTTTTCCTACTTCTTAAAGTCCGGCCGTCTTACTATCGTATCATGACAAGAGCAGAGACCGTTAGCGCCGCCATATGGTGAGCTATAACTCATTGACCACATTACCGAGCGTAACGTTATGATAACGTTATAAGATTACGCCATTCCGCTGATGGCACTGATTGTTAATAACGGTTATGTCAACCACATGTTTCACATCAGCAAGTGTATTCTACTTCAACGTTATGACGTTTTATTTATACTAGCTGGATTGGCAACCTTAATTTGAGTTTAAATCATTATAGATACTTACTCGTCACTATTTATCGCATTACTATGTCTCGTCTCCACAAAGCTATCTACATGCCCTCACCTGGCAAACATGACATCCGTACAATCAAAGATCCCTATGTCCCCAAAACAGCACAATCGCTTGTGGAAGTACAGTACTCGGCTATCAACCCAGCTGACACTCGTCACTCTTACATGAATATGACCGAGTATGTCGCAGGCTATGAATTCACAGGGACTGTCCGCGATGTCGGTCCGGACTCACCGTTTAAAGTCGGCCAGGACATCTTTGGCATCTCCCTGCCATATGATCATCGGCCGAATTATCTTGGGGCCCATCAGACCTTTCTTCTGGCCGAGCCGCTCATGGCTTTCGAGAGGCCTTCCCATCTCGATCCCATCACAGCAGTGACACTCCTCGCTGGTGCTGGAACCGCGATCGATGCTCTATTCAACGAACTCGGCTATGGCTTCCCCGCTGCTGGTATCGAAGGTGATGACCCGACAGACCAGCCAATCCTCATCTGGGGCGGTTCTGGCGCTGTTGGCCAAGCCGCGATCCAACTCGCCAAAGCTGCAGGCTTTAGTCCTATCATCACAACAGCTTCACCGCAGAACCATGAGGCAGTGAAAAAGCTTGGCGCAACTGAGGTCTTTGACTACCGGAGTCCTTCAGTTGTGGCAGACATTCGCGCCTCACTCAAATCATCTGGCAAGTCGCTGAAGACTGTATTCGACGCCGTGGCTTCGGGGTTGGGTATCTTTGATGGGCTCACAGCCGAAGAAGAGAAGGCTGTCCAAGACAAATACGATCAGAGCTCGCCAGGTCTCGCCCGTCAATGTTGTGATCCTGACGTGCCCTCCAATGACTTACGTCTTACGGCTGTTCTGCCCGTGACAAAAGATCCAACGTGGGGGTTCTGTCTTAACTTCCGAGTAGTTGAGTTCATGGATATTGGCGCCGACGTGACATATCGAAACGATGAGGAGAGACACGCAGCCGAGGAAAAGACGAAAGAAGCACAGCGGCGTATTGAACAGGGTCTTCACTGGATTATTGAGAATCATGAGCAGTATTGGGAAGCTCCGAGGACTAAGATTGTCAAAGGCTTGGAAGAGGGTCTGCAAGGTATCCGCGACGTGTGGAGTGGAAAGTTGAGTCGCGAGAAGGTGGTGATTGATCATAGAGTTTGAGGACGAGGTGGCATGAAAGACGGTTTTTGGTCACTAATTACGAGTGGTATTTCGTATCGTATCACTGATTCACATCTCACATTTGCATAAAGGACACGCAGCATCTCAAAGACGTAATCACATAGTAATATTAAAGATTAAAGAAATCTTGAACTATCGCTAGTTCGGATCCCGAAGTTATCTATAGCCTAAACATCTCGCCAATTCCATTCACCCATCGCTTACATGAAGAGGGCAACAACCGCAGGGACAGCCAGCATGAGGCTGGTGCGAACGACGCTACCACCGCTGACAGGGACAGGAGTTCCGATAGGAGTGGCAACGGGAGTAGGGACCACGGGAGCACCAGGAGCGGTAGGGCCAACGGGGTAAGCAGGGTGAGGAGGGTTGGAGACAGCGGGAGGGTTAGGGACAACGGGAGGGTTAGAGACCACAGGAGGGACGTAGGTGTTGCCGGGAGCAGTAGGAACAGGAGCAGGGACAACAGGGACGGGAGTGGTAACAGTTCCGTTGCCGTGGGGGTAGTGGATGCTCTGAACAGGAGGGACAATGGGCTTGTCACCAGTGGGCTTCTCCGGGGTAGGGACCTCAGCAGTAGGCTTCTCGTGGGGCTTGGTAACAGGGGCCTCGGGAGTAGTGACAACAGAGCTGGGGACCTTGTAAACCTCCGTGCTGGCGGCACCAGTGGTCACAGCCTGGAAGGTAGTGGGGACCTTAGAGGGAGAACCAGTCTTCTCAGACTCGGGGCAGTAGGTGGTGGTGTCAACGATGGTGACGGTAGGAGCAGGAGGAGCTGCAGTAGGAGGCTTGAAGGTGCTGGTGGTTCGGGTCTTGCAGGGCACGACAGTGGTGAGAGTGTCGGTGATGGTGGTGACGGGAACGGGGACCTTGGTGTGAGCAGTGGTCAAGGCAGGGACGACACCGGTCTCGGTGGCGGGGCAGACGTAGGTGCTCTCGATGATGGTGGAGGTAACGACCTTCTGGGTGTAGCGGGCAGGGCAGTTGATGACGGAGGCAGCACAGCTTGTCACGGTGTAGACGTGAGTAGAGGTCAGAGTGCGGGTGACATCGCCAGTGGTACCGTTGCCTCCAGCAGGGGAAAGGGTGACGACGGGAGCCTCAGTGGTGACGGGCTTAGCAGAGCCCTCAGCGGAAGTCTCCTCACCAACAGGGTAAGCATCGGAGCCGGTAACCTCGGGGACAGCGTAGGCGTCAGAGCCGGTAGCATCGGAACCCTCGGTGGTCTTGGAGTCGCCAGCAGAAGCAGTAGCAAGAGAGACGACGAGGGTGGAGGTCTTGGATCCGCTGCTAGCAGATCCCTCGAGGAAAGCACCAATGGAGCCGCGGCTGTCCTGGCAAACCTTGGCCTTGGCGGCAGTGGCGAGGGTGACGGTAAGAGTGGGAGCAAGGCTGATGTCTAGGATATCGCCAACCTCAACGTCAAGGTCAACAGCAAGACCAAGAGTGAGGGCAATGACCTCGTCGATAGAGACAGCACAGTCGTCAGTGGCGAGGAGAGCAGCAGTGTACTCGAAAAGGCTGACCCAGACGGCAACCTTGGCTCCAGCCTCGATCTCAAGGACAGGAATGTCAAGCTCGCCCTCGAGATCAATCTCAGTTCGGAGACGAAGACCAAGCTGGAGAGCAACCTCAGCAGAAAGGTCGGCATCAGCAGCAACACCGATGGGAAGGGCCTTGGTGACGAGGCCATCAAGAGAAACATCAACAATCTCCTTGGTCACGAGAGAAATCTCAACGAAAGCCTCCTCGCCGAAAGCAAGGTAAACACCGGCAGAAAGGTCAACAGCAGCATCAACTCCGACGACTAGGTCAAGAGCAAGAGCAGCACCGGCCTCAGCCTCAAGACCGGGGATCTCGAGGCTAAGAGCAGAAGAAGCAAAGAGTTCAATGGACTCGTGGACGGCGGCGGAGGCAGAGATATCAATCTCAACGTAGGCCTTGACACCGCCGAGACCAACGCGGATGCGAGGCTCCTGGAGGAAGTCCTTGACGAGCTCGAGCTTGGCGTCACCAGAGATCTGAGCCTTGGGGAGGTTGAGACCGAGATGCACGGCACCAGAAGCACCAGAAGCAGGAGCAGCGACACCCTTGAAGAGAACGTGGTCCTCCCAGCTGTTGGCCAGGCTGCACGAAGCAGGCGTCACGCTGCCCTTCTGGCCGAGGCCGCTCAAGGGCTTGGTGAGGCCCTTGACGGGAGAAACAACACCCTTGACAGGGGACTCAACCTCCTTGGTGGGCAGGTTGACATCCTCGGCGTGGTCCAGGCTGACATCCTTGGTATGGTCCAGGTCGACACTGGCACCTTTACCAAGCGACACATCGACGTCGAGGCCAAGACCGAGTCCGACGCCACCGGATGCGGCTCCGGGGAGAAGGTGAGGTGAGGCTTGGGCAACGGCCACAAGACCTCCCAGGGTGGGAAGCAAGCTGGAGAAATGCATAGTGAAAATGAGTGATCAAATAGCAAAAAATATAAATGAGTGACTGGAGCGAAAACGTCTCCGAAGGGGGTTGTTTGACAAGAGAGTGACTGGAAAGGAGTGCTGAAGACTGCAATACAGAAGAAGAGAAAGTGTTAATCGAACAGCAGAACGGCATGTATTTATTTGATTGCTACCTACACATAGCCCAGCAGGTTTATTCTCCTATCCCTAATGCGACCTTATCTCAAGTAACGGGACAAAAGAGAGGCAAAGGGGAGGAAAAAGACAGTCACAATTATATCCGGCGATCGCTATTTCAGACCCTGGAGGAGGACCTTTCCCCAAAGGGGAAATTCTCCTGTTAAGCCAGTGCCGCTAAGCGTTCGCTTGACGCTCAGGGTAGCATCATGTGGCCCGCAGATCAGCTAAAACCCACGGGCCTCGGGGATTTTTAGGGGAGGTGAAATCAATTAAAATAGCGTTTGTTTCGTTTCGCGTTTTTGTGATGGTTCTTGGTGATCTTCCACGCCGTCGTTTTGGTGACGTCGTAACAAGAGATTTGAAACAGGAGTTGATGCTACACCCGAGTACTCTTGGTTTTTCAGGTATTATGCCAACGTTAATATGGGTTGTGCTTTTAGATATGGCGTGATGGGATGTCATTCCGCTGCCAGTCGCATCGCATGCACGCTCAAGCATTGGTTCAGTTGAAATGTCTGAGCGTCTGGCAATTTGACATGCGTCAGACGGTGGGTAATTTAGATAAGATAACGAATGTGCCGAGACTAGAGTAATATCCCACGTGAAAGAGACAACTGACTCCCGGATTGTGAGACTAGCCTTTGACTAGACGTTCACTAGAGGCAGAATAAGTTCCGGTGCTAAGATAGGCCTCGTCATTCGCCATGCATACGTGCCTTTCACCGCCTGGACGCAGATATTCGTTGCAGTTTGTCTTCGGCTCAGAGGATGCGCAGGGGTTGGTGGATCAGCGCGATGGCACTGTAGATCCCTGATTATATGCGTTAGAAAGGTGCCAAGATGAAATAATCTCGATTATAAGCGGCAGGTCTTGGGTCTTGTTGTTAAACTTGTAGATAGAGGTATTACGCGAAATTTGAGCAGATTCAACTGAATCGTTACATTTGAATTGTAGGATTGTGATGCTTTTCTCCTTCGATCACGATTGAAGGTGAAATTGTCGACATTTTGACAGAACATTTGGGTGGAAACAATCAGATGCTCGACGTGGACAGACGATGTATACCGTATGGTTTGATGATGTTTGTAAAATGGAACAAACTACTTGGCACATATTCTGTAATAACAGTTCGTCCATGTCAGTTCTGGAAATACCCAAGTTACCTAAGCCGGTCACATACCCTGTAGCTTGACCACGAAAAGAACTCTACAGGCAGTAGACTGTGCGATTCACAAGTGGGTAGGGATTCGAGGATGAATGGCAACAATTGAAGCATCGATTGACAGTTCTTGATGGCGTCCGATGTGATATCTAATGTCGTAAAGGTGCCTGGCCGTCGTTACAAAACTTTGGTTCGGGGTGGTATTTGTGATTGAGTGTCATCAGATAGGTAGACAAATTCAATCACTCTTTCTGCCTCATTCTCAAAGTAAAAGGTATGTACATTCGATCCATCAACTAAACTCCAAGATAAAGTCCTCTTATGCATTACTTTAAAATTATTAGCTTGATCTAAAATTATCTATCCACCGATTGTCGGGGTCCATCTCAAGTCCTGAGTATACTCCAATTATAAATCTGTGTTCCGATCATCCTCCTCACTTTCCTTCTTAGGAACTCCATCAAGACCCTCAAAAAGGTCAACTCCCCAGCCCTTCCCAGGGTTGAGAAATCGATACTTTTTATCCTGAGCCGCAACGTCGGCGAGCTCATCTTCAGTGAACTCAATCTTCTGCGAACCATAGTTCTCGTCAATGTACTTGTCGTGAGTACTCTTGGGAATCACAACCGTGTCCCGCTGCTGTCCCCAGGCGAGCACCGTCTGTGCAACGGTGGCGTTCTTGCTCTCGGCGAGCTTGGTCCAGAAGGCGTCGTGCAGAATGCTGGGGATGTCGGGGTTGTATGTGGGGTTTGTGTTGGCGAGGGGCGAGTAGGCGATGACCTTGATGTTCTCCTCCGCGTGGAAGTCGACAAAGGACTGTTGTTGCAGGTAGGGGTGTGTTTCAAACTCGTGCGCGTACGGGCGGACGGTGGCGATCTTGAGGATTTTCTGGATGTCCTTGGGGGCGAAGTTGGAGATGCCAATGTTGCGCGTCAAGTTGGCTTGCACGAGCTCTTCCATGGCCTTCCAGGTATCGACGATTGAGGTGTCGTTGTCTAGCTCCTTGTTCTCTGAGCCGTGGACGAAAGCAACAGGCCAGTGGATGAGATAGAGGTCAAGGTACTCAATACCAAGTTCGGCGATAGACTTCTCGATAGCCTTGCGCACTAGCTCCGGGCGATGATCTGTGTTCCATAGTTTGCTGGTCACCCAGATCTTGTCCCGCGAAACACCTGAGGCTCTGATGCCCGCGCCGACTTCCTCCTCATTGTGGTAGGCAGCAGCGGCGTCAATGTGGCGATAACCACCCTTCAGCGCATATTCCACCGCGTGAGCCACCTGCGCACCCATTAGTTACTACGAAGCGAAGCGAATATCAAACGACATATAACGCACCTGTCCCTTCTCCGCCAACCAAGTCCCCAGTCCGAAGGAAGGAATCTCGTGGTGGGTGCCGTTACGTAGCGGCGATGTGGGGGGATCTGACGTGGCCAAAGAGAGGAGAGTGTAAGTACACAGGCTCACAACCGTGAGGAACGAAAACGCTCTCACGAAGCTCATTGTCGCGAGTTTTCTTTTCGGTTTTGGTTGGGGTTTGTGAGAGATATTGTGAAGTCGTAAGAGGGATTCGTCACCAACTGTTTTTTCCGGAAGATCCTGATAGTGGGTTTCGGCGAGCACGAGACTGCAGGGGTTTCATGACATCATTACATAAGCGTCATTTGTGGGTATGACGATGAGGTGTGCGACTGTTGGAATAGCACGTGATGAATTATGTTGAGTTTGACGCTCGAATAAATAAGTCTGGGATGCCATTCAGACAGAACTTGGAGTTAAATACGGTGATCAGTAGAAAAGTGACAAGTTTCTCTTTGCCATTTGGTGACAAATGGTCGGAAATGGTCGGAAATGCATCGCTTATTGTGTAGTTGCTACACCTCGGTATGAATAACCCATAATGTCCCTTCCTGACTTGAAAATGCCCTGTAACTAAAAACGACAGAAATTGTATACCCGCCTTGTCTATATGCATAAATCCAGACAGTAACTTCATTGACGTCATCCTACATTGTACTGCCCAAAATTGAACAATCTTATGTCAAGTCTCCGATCATGAGACAAAGCAAATTGCTCAAAAGGCCAAGATGATCTCTCAACCAGCTTGTGAAAAGAACACTTTCTCTCCTGTTGATCTCCATCAAACCGATGCAGCATCAGTTTAGTGGCCCGCAGAACCAGAGTTGGAGTTATCGGCGCAGGACCAAGGGCCTGATCCGCCGTTGGCCTTCAAAGAATTATTGATTCCGACAATCGAGCCATAAGTACCTGCGACCATCATGAAAGTACCAGATGCAATAACAAATACACTCCAGCCTACCATAAAGCACCATTTGAATGTCCTGTCCTTCTTGCCCTTGGTCCAGTTGTCGAACAGCCAGAAACAGCCGTACGGTTGGAAGCACATGAGCGTGCCGAGGAGGGCGCCGATGAGGGATACAAGACCGCCAAAGACAGGTATGGCGCTTGCGATGATGTATGCGATGATTGTCACGCTTCCGGTGCATGCTAACCAGGTGGCCCAATGCACGATACCGTTGGAGTTGAGGTGCTTGGTACCGCGCAACAAGCGGATGAACATGTACTTGGCAGGAATCTGGACATCAGTTAGCAAGGAGTCATTTAAAGTGCATCAGGGCAAACTCACATGGGTCATGAGCATGGCAGTCACAATAAGTCCAGGCAGGGCAAATCCGTAACAGACTTTCTTCATGAGAAGACCAGCAGACCCTAAAGCAGGGGATGTAACATATGAGCCGCAGTAATAGTAAACCACAATACCGATAGTAATATATGTGACAGTCACGATAGATTGACAAGTCAACAGTGACCTTGTGTAGTGTTTCTGCTCGCGCATCTCGGCTGCGATCTGGAAGAAGGCAGGGGTACCTGAGAAGGCAAAAATGTGCGCCGAAACCGCCGTGATGCCGTCAACAAAAGTCGGGTGGTTGAAGAGCTTGTAGTCGGACTCCCAGTGGCCCTCAGTAGGTGCAGCTGCCGGTCTGTCCTGAAGACCAACTGCGACTGTGACACAGAAGACTGGCCAAGTCAGCTTTGCTGTTACTGGGTAAGAGGTTTAGTGACTCACTGGCTGTCATAATACACACTAGTCCGATCCACGCCAACCAGCCGATCTTACCCAGCGTACGGATACTCGCAAAGCAGAAGCCGAGGATAGCGGCGACGGCGACGAATATGGCAGTACAGGCTGCATGGGTGGAAACTGAGTTGAGGCCAATAGAAATGCCAAGCATAGCCGAGCCGGCTACAAAGATCCAATCTTGGAGGTATCAGCACGAGACACCATTGTAAGTCATTTGGGAGATTTGCTTACATAGCATAAAGACAGTCGCAAGAACCTCGCGACCAATTCGTCCAAATATCAGATACCCAGCATCGTCAATACCGTATACGTGAGGATGACGACGCTTGAACACGCCAATCATGTAGTCGGACCATGTTGTGATACTCGATACGACTATGAGACATATAATGCCAGGGATCAAACCGAGGGCGTCGAATGTTTGTGGGATCGATAGGACTCCCAGACCGATCTGGGTTTTTGTCATAAGAGCGACTGTTGCGATCCAACCGACCTGTAAGTACCATGTCAGTGTCTGTTGATGCGATATCGGCTAAGGTGATTTACGTTGCGATAATTGGGACCGCCCTCTGAAACTTCTCCGAAAACGGCATCGTCAATGCGCATCGTGGTGTCATCTTGGGAGGGAGAGTGGTGTAGGTCGTCGAGACCCTCTAAACCATTAGGGTTCTGTTCTTTCTTCGGCGCCATGTTGGAGTTGTTCAATAACCAGTCTTTGTACGAGGATATTTGGTAGCCTGAGCATATGTGAAGAGGTATGGAGAAAAGGATCGAGGGCCTGTAACGGGAAGAGCCTTGGGAATCTGGGGAAGATGGAGTCCAAGGGTAAGGAGAGCGGTTCTCCTTATAAATCCGGGCTTTTTATGACTACAAGAAACTGATTTCCCCAGATTATACTGGATTAAGCCTATCTACAAAGCTCCACAATGACTCCATAGCCGTATCATTCTGCGCACTGTCGTCGGTAGGTCATCGGGGAGTAGTTGGATAGGGCTCCGGGGGCTTTGGGTATGGGGCCTGGATAGAGATAGGTCAGCACTCGGCGGGACTGAACCAATTGTTTTGTGCGTGATATAATGCTTCTTTTTGTGATATATCACCATGCTGTGAGAAGAGATAGCTGACTCTAGGTATAGTGAGGTATGGAATGCGGACAGATTGTTTTCTGTTGGTCATGCATATTGAGACTAGGTGTGTTGTTGCATAGCGTATCCATAACCACAAAAGCACGATACGAGGTTTCATGCACAACAGGCCAAGTTACCTCGGTGCTCAACTCCCTGCATTGAGTTATTTGCAAGTATACCCGAAGCCTCTATCCTAGCACTTTGTCATAGCCTAGTATTCCACGCATCTTAATCGCGCATGCAAGATCCACGGCGTCTCGGGATATGGATTATTACAAAGGAGACAGAACCCCAAACTCAAAGGTCCACTGTAAACCTGATACTGCCCCTTGTATATGCAGATCCTTCTTTCTGGATTCGGTGTTCACGGCATTCATGGCCGATCACGCTAGCGTCCTTCAAATATCGGGCCCGGAGTCGGCGCCGTGCCACCATCTGATACAACTGTTCCTCTTCTCCCTCTTGCTATATGAGGTAATTTTGCCACGTTTTCCCTCTCCTGTCGGGGATAAAAGATCCTTTTCGTGCATGTGTGGGTTGCATCCCGAAATTTCTCCTCGGGGCTATCCTTCCGCTCTGCCTTCTGGAAACCTCGGCTGCAGCGGGAGGCTGGCCTACTGCTACATGATCATCAGGAATTCTTGTGGGTCGTGCGAGAATGTGTCTTTGCGAGTCATGTTGGGTGTTGAGACGGCTGTGATGCCGGCTCCATACCGATTGTGACTCGCGAGAACCGGATCACATCAGACTATTACGAAAATCCGGGGTCCCCAGACCCAGGCTTTCGAGTCCTTTTGCTACGTCCCAGCTTTCCCTTCGTCCTTGGTTTTGACCTGGTCCATGTCTGTCAGGATAGCAAAGGTTCCTTCAAGGTTGTCTGCGCTGTCCTCCGTGTATTTCGCTTATTCTTCCAAGTTGCCCGTTGCTGCTGTCTTTGTCAGATTGCGAAACATGATTCCATTCATTGGAGATTTAAAGGTCTACCAAATTCTTAACTCCCGTGTCACACACAGTGCTGACCTGATAGTCTTCTTCGTAACGTACTTTGCTAGAACAGGACTAATCATGAGATCCATTCTCTCGTATCAACACATCAAGCCGGCAAGGAAAGCCGGCAGTTGATCTGATTAAGGATGCTTGCAATTTTCAGTGGAATTTGTCTTAATCGATCTCTATTCGATGGATTAAGAGTGGCAGATCTTAAACAGCGTCTCAGTCTGTCAACCGCGAATGCGCTGTCCTCACATTGATAAGTATCACGAGGCCCCGCTTTTCTCGTTTCTTCTATCAGACTACTGCATACAACCAGATCCCTTGAGAAAAGAAGTAGGAGTAAAGAATTGTCCAGTTGATAACGCTCTAGCCGTCACTCGTCTTTCAAACGACAGAGAGAACATGTGGAGTAAACTTCACAAATGTAAAAGCACCTAACGACCAGCATGGCGACAGGTCAAGGTGGGCTACCACATTGCGGATTCAACTTTTCAATTGCATATTCGGGAATATTTGGCCTGTTTAGACACTATGGATGAATTCGGAATCGGCCAGGAGATGCAGTGATAGTAGTTGCTAACATATACGACATCGAGCTATGTGCTATATCACTCCACGTTAATATATGTGTCTGAAACGTTTCTCCGAGTTTTTCTGACTTATTCACTCAAGCTGGATTACGACCGACTTAAAAGACAAAACATCATTTTGTCACAAAAGTTTAAGCGTTCCATAGTCTACAAAACAAGACGACTCTTTCCACAATTTAAGCAATATACCGTCTCGCTCACACGACGATTGGCGTCTATCAAGACTATGACGCAACTATCGGTTGGTGAAAGAAACACATCCACTCTACAGCTTGAACAACCAAACTGACTGTGCTGCAACTGGCTCAAAATGACCCCTTTTTTGTTTGCTACTACCTTTCAGTGAGACTAACTGATCACCGATGCCTCTACTGGTGACGATCAGTGCGGCAACAGCCTGTAGTCGTCCATGGCCCTTTGCCAGCACAGAGCAGGTATGTAGACAGTCGGACGACTTACTCATGGCAAAGCCCTTCGCGATGAAGCAGGGCGGATTGAACTGCCTCGGCTGAGAGGCAGATCAACTGAGCTTGGCTTGGCAAAGTTATAATAATTCATTTATGTTCTCGATATGACGGGATACTGTAAGTTACCCCTCAATCTCAGCCCTAACAGACCTGCTAACAGCGTGCCATTTATCAAATCGATCGGCAAAGCTATTTCTCAATATAGGAATAGCCGAAGCTCGATTTGAGCCTATTGGCTCAAGCGGGTGACAAGCATTGAGGCACAGGAGGCACAGGCGGCACAGAACAAGGCACAAACAAGGCATAAACTCGTACCATCAGCGTGATTAGATGTTTACTTAAAATGCGCAGGCCAGCCTTATTTGAACCCCACAAAACTCTCCACCTCAACTGAGCTATTGTTAGCCAATTCGTAAAACAAAATGCCGTCGCGAACACAATATTTCGGCTATGACTTCACTAACATCGGCCCCCTTACAACTACATATGAACCACCTGCATCATGTACCACAGCGACAACAGATCATATTTACTTCGCCAACGCGACGTCGCTGGAGCAAGCTTACGGCTCTGTCAAATGCGACGGTCCAGAGCCGGTGGGGAAATGTTACCCTTCCGGTGCAACCTACGATTCATTGTTGAGTTCTTACGCTACGTATCGTGATCAGGGCTTCTGGCAATATTTCTCGCCTGGTGTGGTCTGTCCCAAGGGTTGGACCACAGCTGGTACGCTTGCGCATGGAGACAAGACAGATTCAGTTGAGAAAACTGGTGTTTTTACTCAACCATACCCATTTCCAACGCCAGTGAATTATATAATGAAGCCGGAGCAGATTTGGCTCAATATTCTGGAACCTTCGGAGACGCTTGCATACTGTTGCCCTAGGTATTTACTCTCACTATTCCACAGTTCTGGGCATCATCACCGTTCTAATGCGTGTGTTTAGCGGTTGGTCAGCTGGTCAGTGGGGAGGCTGCTTTTCTTCCATCGAACCTCTCAAGTCAGCTACTTACAGTGAGTATTGCAACGCGTATGCGCCCGCCAGTGCCGGGGTCGAGGTACATACGGTTGAAGGCACTTCCGTAGCCACCGCTTTGATTTCCTGGCGGTCAGTCACGGACTTAACTACCAGAACTATGGCAATCTCGGACCTGAAGGATTCTAGCCCCACGGGATTCGATGATCTGGCAGTTGCAAGAAACTTACCTGCTGTGGCATTGGTGTATAAACCATCGGATGTCAAGAAGGCGAAGGATAGCGGTGATGGGGAGAGTGAAGAGAGTAAAGATGCGAAAGCTGATGATGATAATGGTGCTTCGACGTTGAACGGTGGGAGCTTCATTCCTCTGGTAGCGGTCTTGTTCAGTATGCTTGTTGGGGCTGGTATGTTGGCGCCTGGATTCTAGTACTAATGTGTTTGTTGTGTTGGGTTTCCCTGACAAAACGTGCCGATATTTCTACTGATAATGATAGTAACCGATGCAATTTAATATTAGTTCATCTATTTTTATTTTAATAGGCTCCGTATACCGATACCTAATTTGATTTAATATCCAACTCAATTACAACTAAGATATTGTGGGTTGCAGCCTAGAGTTTCTCAGTCGCATCAAAATGAGACACATCAGGCTCAATCGTCCCTATATCGAAGAATCATCATTGACTGAGGAATCACCATCAGAAGACCCATCGCTAGAATCGTCATCATCAGAATCATCATCAGGCAAAAGATTTTCAAGAGTGCCGATAACCTCATCCAATGATGAGGTAGTATCCCACTCATCATCAGAGGTACTACCCTCAAAGTCGAGAAGCTGGTCCCATAGCGATGCTCTCCGCTGCACTGTATTCTTATGCTTAGCCTGCCTTCGTGCCTCAACGGCAGCAATATCGTAGCTACTCCCATGTATCTCATGCATGTTCTCATGCACTCGCGCAAACACAGACTTGCAAGCTTCAATATCACCAGCTCGAGTCGTCTGGATGTAACCGGCGTCGACTTCGAGTTGCTCGCGGCGGTGTAAGGGAATAAACTCTGCAGATTCTCCTTCTCTCTCATAAGCGCAGGTCTCGACATGGAAGGATGTGATGTTTGACAAGCTCAGGGGTTTCAAGACATTTTCCCACGTGCCAGACCTGAGGAATATTCTAGTCAAGGCCACTCCTCTGAGTGTCTTGGACTGGTTGAAAATATCAGATAGCGCCTCTCCAGTTATCGCTAGGCATTTCAAGTCTAGTGACTTCAGCTCAAGTGGTGCGAGGGCGGTCGAATCGAGCTTTAGCAGATCATTGCCAGGTCCAGCCACAGCGAGAGATTCCAGATTTACTCCAAGCGATATTAACTGTCGCACATTTTCATCGTAATCTTGATTGCGCTGGTGGACACGGAATTCTAAACCTCTACCTTGCTCGGTGCTGTTATTGTAACAGACTTTTAGACGCTTCAGTTGCTGGAAAAACGCCCTTGTGGAGCAGAATTTGGGTTCACCATCGCCCTCAAGAAAGTGACCAAAGTCGTGTGCGAGGGGCAACGAGAGATCGAGCTCTTCCAGCTTATCCAGTCCCGATCGATACATTGCCGTCGCAAATGACTCGAACATATTCGCGGTGTCCTGGACCCAGCAGCACTTACGAAGTGCCAGGAGGTCGCTATCCCGTTTATACTCGTAAGGGATATTCTGAAAGTCGAGCTTGAGGATCTTGAGCCCAGTGAACTTTGGTAGGGCACTATGAATGACAACTGCTAGTCGTCCCAGATATTTTAGATCATGGTCTTTCTGTTCGAAGGTCGGATAGTACGAGCTTGAGTCACCGGAATACACTCCACAGATCTCCAGACGACGAACCATTTCCCGGAGTTCGGGTTCTTTTGCTAATTGCTGTAGGCGCATCGTGCCGCTTGCGCCAATGCTCGATTTGACATTGCCGGTACATATGACGACGTGCTGGAAGAACAAAGGGTTGACCACTTGGCGGAATAGCCGATTTACCCGTCGTAAAGATGACAGATTCTTCCTGAAATTAACCGCCTTTGATTCGTATTGTCCCAAAGATGGTTGCCGTGAGGTGAAAGTAGGAAAAGGAGGCGTGCCCAACCCATCGTGCACGTACGAGAAAACCTATGACTATTTAACGCCGATAAATCATACGTACTTTAATATCATACCTCTTGTAGAACTTCAGGCGGTAGCTTTGTGATAGCAGCCATAGCGCTGAGTGTTCGTGTATGTCTACATGTTAGCTACGACAGAGAAAGGAAAAGGCGTTATGAAACTGGTTTGGTGGAGCGGGGCTGGCTGATCTTTGTTCCAACGAAGGTAATTGGTCTAGCTTCAACATCCGCAGCTCCTTCTTGGTGGTTTACAGATTACTTACTACGGAAGGTAGTCTTAAGAATGGAATTAGTTTTAATTTATTTCTATATTTTTATCTCAAACCGTGATGTACCTCGGTAAAGGTTTGCTCTACGTCTGTTTTGACGTATATCTGCTTATCGCCTTCAATCCCTTGCGGGCTATACATACTCCCCTCCCCTCCTACAGCCTGACTTCTCAAGGCGATTTCGTCATCGAATCTCAGCCTGTGCCCTCTCATCCTACCTGGCGTTGTCTGGTAGCCCGAACTTTTGACTCCGCTCGAGGCTCTGCGGCTGAGATGTCTCAGGAACGATTTGAAGCTGGACAAGCAGGCTGACACAATGCCTAATGATGGCTCGACCGACGACCAAATTGCCACTGGGCCCATTGCCCATGTTATATCGTCTGATTTGGAGTATAGGTCCAGATAATACACTCGTACTGCACTGGCGATACACACTCTGGGGAAGGATCAGTAATTAGATCGAGGAATACACATCGTTCATAGCAGTACTTACAAACCTCCAAGTGCCAGGATTCCGAAAACAGCCGCCTTCTTCCCTCTGCTCATCTGTAGTTTGATCACTTCGGGAACCGGGATCAAGAGCACAATGATATTTGTGATAAGATTAATGATGGCCAAAATGACGTAGAATTGGCCAACGTCGATGCATGTTCCCTTGGTTCCCTTGATCTGCGTCCAAAAGTGTGAGAGTGGTTGACAAGCGAAACCCATAGTGAACATGAATATTATCGGATACGACACCACGAGAAGCGTGCAGAACCAGAAGGCGATTCGGAACGAGATACCGCTGCAGGTAAAAATTCGTCGGTAAAAGAGGAGGATCGAGACTTTGGTTGTAAAGACGGCTGTGGCGAAGAAGAAGCCGTATACATAAGAGAGCTGAGAGCATGAGCACGGGATCCTTTATTGCGTTAGGCTCTGACAAACCTTTGTTGACTCAACGGCCTGGTCTATCGTGAGCGCCCACACATGTTTCCCAGCGCCAGCTTGACCGACTGCAAATATTAGTCATGGACCATGAAAAGCGCAGCTCAAGCTTACCAACTACCACCATTGCACCAGTGGCAGCCACAAATACCCACGACACAACAATCGCGTAATCATCAAGACTCAGGCCATAGACTTGTTTTGTACGGATCGCGATACGTCCACCCAGAAAAAGAGCCGATAGAAAGAGCAAGCTGAGGACAATAACGGCATTTTTCACTTTGCTGTCATCATCAAGATTAATCCCAGTAGGCGGCGGACCAAAAGCCGCCAGCACCATAGGATCAATCTCCATTTTATCGGGTATTATTGACAGCCGCAACACTCCGGGTCCCTCAAACAGGGCGAGACATGGTCTTCTTAACTTATGTGTGACATGGCGCCTGCGAGTAATGGCAAGAATCCTATATGAACTGATTTATGATCAGCGGTGGAGGTGGTCGTATTCCTTAAGTTATTACCCTGTTTATTAGCGGGTTAGGCACCTAGGAAAGGAACAAAACCGAAACAGCCGGGCTTCAAGGGCCCCTGGAGCCTGGTATGACATCGGCAGTTTCCTTACCTCTTTTGAATTAAGCTTTGAACTTTTCGCGTGATGCATGCTAGACGAGGAAGCTATAGCCACCACAGGGCTTAATGGTGCATCCTGCCAACCCTCTAAGGATTTTTGAAGGAATTAGCACTCCCACCATTTAATCGAGGATCGCATGGGAAATTGGCAACTGAGGCTCATCTTCAATAAGATCGCAACTGCCGTTTTAACCGTAGATTGCGTGCATATGTTTCATCTTGACTACCCCCGTCTGATCCTGCAGGCCTGTCACAAATATGGAACTCAACCTTAGGCCAAAAGGCGCTCGCCTATAGCGTTACATTGCGGTTCCCTCTGCGTAACACCTTCCTATTTTCAGCCATTAAAGAGCCAATCGCTGTATTTACTGAGCGGACATGCGTTTGAACAAACTTAACACTGTCCAATATCAAGCCACGGCCCCCACGTTTGCCGACCGAGTTGTAACAAGAACCTGTTACTGATAAACCTATAAGTTACTACCTCGATTTTGGGCAATCCTTCTTATTCTTTCTTCATGGCTTATCAATGCAATCTCAAAGTCTCAATGGTATTATACGGTACCAATGTTAAGAGTATTGGCCAGGGCTCAACATAGCATGAACAGGCAGATATTCTTGAGATTTGAGTTAGTAGACGAGGCTGTTATTTGCGGCTTCTTTTGTAAACTCCGAAAATGCACCCTTTACCTCCATCATAATATTGAGTTTTCGGATAAGTAGGCACGCTCCAACCCAAGCGGAGCCGCCAACGTCCCCTAGAGAATCTCCCCTGGATTCCCACCACGTGCCGACGTAAGTCTCCTTTTCTAGCAATGCGTAACATTTTATTCTTTATAGTTCAAGATATGCCCGGAAGTTAATTCTCACACTTACCGCGCCAAGGCGGCCCCGCCGGGGTTGGCACGCCCATTATCTAGTGCTACACCGTTATCGAACATGATTTTTGCAGATCTACCACTGAACTGTAAAATCCTTTCGGCAAAAGTGCAACATCACAGGTTTGATTTCTCCCCAGACATTTAACGTCGATAACGATCCGGCCCGGAGCGGGAGAGTGGGTGCCCAAGATGGTACAAAGGCCTGTTTTAACCCTTGTAATCCAAGCCTCGTTTGGAGCATCTTTCACCTAATACGTACCGATGAAACGCTTTCTACGTTTGGATGTCTGAATGGATGTAACTGGACAAGTTCATGACTCGGCGCTGAACAAGGCCATGATCTCATTGCATCATTCCAAGTCCAGCGTCTGCAAGTCCCTAAAGATATTTAACATCCTGTCAGTGGGTCACTCACTCTATTATACTTTCGGAACTTCTTCATAGAGCGACGATAAGCAGGTGTAGAACGCAACTCATTTGTAAGCAGCCGAGGTTAAACATCACGGTAGAAGGCCATAGCGTCGATATTTTTGACAAAACCACAAGCTTATCTCACAACTGAAAGATATGTATCAGGGCTGCATTACATGCCTTCCGGGGTTATGTACGCTGTGAGGCATGACCCGAGTTGGTATGTATATGACAGCGACTAACACGAAACGTTACAGCGACAGATAAAGAATGACACAATTCTCGACCTTAATAATGCCAAGAGGGTTTTAAGTCCCAGACGGTGTGAAGAGTTACTATGATATATTCCACTAGGCAACAGCCACCTCAATACGCGAGCCTCATGCATGATACACATTTGCGAATGGAAATATGTCGTAGCATATAGGCAATAGCTGGGATTAAAATGACAGGGTTCATGCAACCTACAGGGTACCTACGTAACAGCATAGTAGACGTCAAGAGGTAGTGCTAGATGTCGTGGTCATTAATACACATGACCAAATGCATTCGGACAGGTCCCTGGTTCTGAGACGGTCGCAGGCGTTTCAAAAGGCAGTTGGTGGATTTGTGTTTGCTTTGTCTTATATATTTTGAAATATGATGACTTTCTCCACAAGCAAAACTGGCTCTATGGTCTAGTCGTATGATTCTCGCTTTGGGTTAACTGATTGCGAGAGGTCCCGGGTTCAATTCCCGGTGGAGCCCGTCCTTTTGCTCTTATCACACAGTCTTTTTGTGCTCCGGCATCTGCTATACTTTTTGTTTCGGCTGCTATATTACCGTTCGTCTTATGATTCTCTCTTTAGAACATCTGCCTGTCTTATTAATGTTTGGCCCTCCTACCGCATTATGTCTTGAGTAAAATTAAGTGTAGTGTTAACCGTCCCGTTGTATGTGAACAGTGATATTTTCCCAGATAACGTGAAGCTTGACAAAAGTTCAGATTTGCGTGAATCGAGTTGCAGCTGTTTTTCCATCTTATTTGCAGTTCAAGTCATTCTGTATCATTCCTGTACACCTTGTGTGGGCCACGAAAGATAGGTTTTCGGTCAGACAACATTTATCATATGCGGCAAAGAGCACACTGCCGCCGATCACGTCGAGTCTGGGTAAGATGTGGACTATACCGTAGATCTGTTGTTTACTCAAAGCTGGAGAAAACCATCCGTGATTGATTAAGAAGCAGTTGGTAAATCATAACATCAATTTAGAAGAGTGGTATAGTGATAAATACAGACGCTAACCCAACCATTAAAGTGCAATATCAAGCAATTCCGAAATCCAACCCAGATTACAGCAATTAAATATCATCCTCGATAAGTTCATCCCTCACTTAAGACAGAAACCCATGAAGTCTCATGGTGAAGATCGTAAAAAGCATAGCGTTCATCAAAAGACACATCATAGCCAGCATCGAGACGACTCTGGATCGTCTTCGTAAATCACCCTCAGGCACAAGACTCATGACAGAACCCTCCTCCAGAGTAGCAAGCTTGCGTTGGAGTCCAGCCTGGTAGTCAAACTCTTGACTCTTCTCGCGATCCTGGTAGAGATAGGAAATTACAGATTCGTCTGTGAAGTGATCTGAAGGCTTCGCGCATGGATCCAACACGAAAATGTCGTCTTCCAAAAACTCCTTGACACCGTCGTCCCACTTGGTCTTCTTGATAAATAGGTTGATGAGATTTGTGCAGCCGTCAATGGCATTCCTTGCGCCGACCATTTCGTTGAAGGTGGTGACATCCTTGGGATCTGGGTCCTGTTCTCCATCCTTATCGTCGTAATGTCCATGGCGATCACCGTCTTGGTCGTTGTAGGTGTGAAAGCATATGATGGATCCCCAATCGCCATATGTGTCGGGCCGGAATCGTATATAGCCTGCTGTGTCTCTTTCAATCAAGTCTGCAGGATTTCGGAGTCGTCTTTGTGTGTGGCCCAATGCGAATGAGTCGGAGATCATGTGGAGACAGACGCCAAAGGCTCGCTTTTGGATGTCGGCTTTGTTGTACTTTGGTGTTGTCGCGAGGAGGAGATCGCGGAGAGTATCGTTTTTGGAAGGGACTGTCTCTTTGCCGAAGTAACCCGGTAGGACATCGCTGAGAGGATCGTTTTCTGTGATACCTTGGTTGCCACAGGCAAGCTTGTACATAACTTCGATCCAGGTGAGGATATTGTGGCGAGTCTTTTGAGGTTTCTCGCCCATCTTGGAGCCCATGCCGTGGAAGAACTGGAGGTTGCCCATATGCGATCGTTTGGTCATGCATTTCTCGTCGCCAAACTTGAAAGCATTCAACCACTCAATTCCTAGGCCAAACATCCTGTTGTCCTCTGTCACATCCTCGAATAAGAGGCAGGATGGGTCGTCGTTCCAGACCACCCCTCGGAAGAACTCCCATTGTTTGTCGTTGATGTTGTTGTAGACTGTGCCTCGGGGGAAGATCATGTCGGAGTTGATGAAGCCGGTGAGGACGATGCTCTCGTGTACGGGGAACTTGAGGTCCATCTTGGTGGGGAACGAGACTCCGACGCCGATGTCGTAGTTGGCTCGGACCTGGTCGTCTTTTGTGGTTGTTGGGTAGCTCTTCTTGGAATCCATGCGGATATTGACGGTCGCTTGTTGTGTTAGCAGCTGGCTGGGGTGATCAAGAGGTGAACGTACCTGTTAGAGGACTTCCTCGTTCTTGAACATCGGTAACATCAATGTCAAAAACCTGAGAGCAGTCCTTCACACTGACATGGTTCTTTGAGAAGGGCAGAGCAGGACACTCAAACTCAAGAGTGAAGTTCCTCCATCCTTGCCCAAACCTCGCCTCATACGTGACCCAAGCTTTCGAGCCTCCCCAGCCTGTGATACATTAGCGGATGGAGTCTGTGACAGCAAAAGCAACAAGTCTTACCGGGCTGAGCAAGGTAGATGGTCTGCTCAGTTCCAGCCTCGATCATATTGAGGGGTTGACGTAATGGCCAGTCCCCACTGTCAAGGCCCGAGTCTTCGAGGAGGAGATCCTGGTCAGACTCGTTGTTTATGCGGACATGGCATGAGAAGTCCATTTCGGGAAAGAAGATCGTAGCTCCAGCCAGTTGTGATAAGTATGGCTGTGGGAGAAATGAGAACAGCAGGTGGTGGTGGTTGGGATAAATGTGCGTTCCTGCAGGAAAATGTGAATCATGATGCGCCTGAGATCAAAAGAAGTGATGATGTCATTCTTTTTTAGCTTTCTAGGCAACGCGTCTGATGTGAGGCCTGGGGCGGGGCTTTAGCTCCTGGCCAATCAGCTTTCAGTGCACTGACGCGACCCCAGGATTATTTGTGCCTCCGCACTGCACACCTTTCATCGAGCTTGAAATACATCATCAATTGACGATCAACGTTCACACGAAAGAAGAGATCAATAAACATTTATTTATCTGAAATGCTGTGTAGTCACTATGTACTTCTGTCATGTAAATATCAGCATGAATTATCTTGACAATTGTTTTCATCTTGCCTTGCGCCTCTCGATTATCGAATTAAAGGAAAACCGTCACATGAGGTACAGGGTAAGGTAACTCTAAATGAAAGTTAATGCGCAACTGTGTCAGGTGGGGTAATTACGCCTAAGATCTCCTCCCTTCAGCGCGTTCTCTACCAAATTCGACGAAGCAAATCTTGTTTGCGCAGCCCCAAAGCAGCTGTGACCGTCCCTCACAACTCAGAACTGTCTGGGCCCTGTTATGGACCTGCTCTTAACCCCCGATGAAGACCTGATAGGACCATGATCGATCCCATCGAGAACGACCGACCGCCCATTGAAGCCTGACCATGCGACGAAACAAAGGGCCACCATAAAGCACCGACTTTGACGAACCCCTTCAACTCCCCGCACGATTCGCGACATTGACGACCAACGCCGCGTCTGGTACCCGGTCAAGGAGTACACATAAGAGCATCTGCAAAGGTGACCGATATTCCTGCCTCAACACTGGTTGGCGTTCAGCATGTATTTTCACTCAACCATACCATGGGCAGAGCTTCTCAAACCGCCACGCTTCGTGCAAATAGACGCGTTTTCCCTCTCGCGACAAGAACCTCTCGACCATGAGCCCTCTGTTTCGTACCCCGATTCGCGATCGAACGACCGTTAAAGCACCATCATGATACAATCAGACATCAAGAGAGTCGCGGGAATAATAAGCGGCCGTATTTGAATTGTCTCGACAGCTTCCAAGCCCCCACCTCACAACCAAACACAATTCCAGTGAACCTTTACTTGCGGTCTTGGACAACCGGCAGGCACTAAACTTCTACCCAAGGGGGCATCTGTTCCCGACCCACCGTCTCGTCGCAGCAATATTGCCAATGGCGGATGGCAATTCTCTGCTGAAGATCGTGGTCGGTAATGCAACACCTGCGGCAACTCTTGGCTGTAACAAAGAATTGCCTCCTCGCCGGTGACAAGTGCCTAGCTCTATTTGTGACATCTCACTGTGTAGAACTTACCGCGTTGGGCCCCTTTCTCGGCCTCGCTGTTTCTCTTTGCTGTTAAATATCCTCTTTGTGCATGATCGTCGGCTTAGAATTACTCCATTTCTCCCCTCTTCCCTACATATCCGTGGAGCTATGACCTGGTGCTTTATTTATTTATCCAGCGTGTGGTCGAACCCGAACTACAGCGCTTCACCCACTAACGGGCATGCTAGCCGGCCAAAAAGGCAAAAACATACAACAGCGGGGATTCGCTGGTCGTCACCGACCCAACTACTAATCCGCCGGTTAGTGGCTTGACTATGGGAGAGCGGACGGGATCCCGTATTTTCCACTACCTTTGGTCGTATGTATCATATTGGTAGGTGTTTTTGACATATAAGGGTAGATTGCAGCTAACGCCCAGTTAACCCAAGGCAAGATGCTTTGCGTTTCTGGATAGAACCTTAGAGATTCGAGAGAGGGATCCACTAACAGGCTCTGAAGCTGACTATACTACCTAGACAGGCAATCCTTCTTTGTTTTATCACACTTCGCACTTCATAGCTTGTTGCAGCCCTGTTTCTGATCGCCCGCTACTGTGCCATCTTATCTCTGCTTGACTCAGGTATAATGCATCTCGTCTCCTCGTCTCCTCGTTAACACACGTGTGCTTAGCGTATCTGTTTCGAATAGCATCACAAGCTTGATGTTACAATCGATCACCAAGATTATTGACCAAGGTCACAATCAATGTTCATGCTGAATATTCGTGGTTGAGCTGGTGGTTGGGATTGGTCACTGAATAGCCTCACGGTGGAGCCACGTGCGTGGTAGACCAGCTGTAATACGGCCACTAACGACTAGCCGTAGACCAGAAGCCGCCGCATGATCAACTCGGCATTTTGCGGGTATTTTTCGCATTCGTTATTGTCTTTAATACACCGTATTTCTGCAGTCTACCGAGTTTGATATGATCAAAACAAGTACTTACGTTGGGCAAGTTCTCTTGTCTTGATCATCAGCGCAATGAATGTCGCCGGCTACTTCTGTAGTCAGACAGACAAGGATGATATCGAATATCGGCCTCTTCGCGCTGCAAGTCCTACCAGTGAACATGGTGGATCCTCTTACACAGTTTGTTCCTCTCCCAGGAGTAGGCCGTCATGCTCGCAAATACGAAAAAGACGCTTCGGCCCATGGGTGGCTGCATTCCTCGGAATTCTCTTAATATTGTTAGTTACAGTGATGCAGTTCGTTCGTCAAAGCCACTAACATACTCCTTAGACTCTCATTCTTTCTGCTGACATTCGTCGTCGAACGTTATGCCGTCTATAACTTCGAAGCTTCTGGCCTTGCACTAGCCGATCCCGTCGAGAACTACGGCGACACATCAGAGAGTGCCAAACGATGGGTTGAAGTCTTGTCTCCTCAAGTTTCACCTGTTATGGTTCATTCTCACAACGATTATCTACGACCTCGGCCACTGTTCTCCGCTTTGTCTGTCGGTTGCGCAAGTGTAGAGGCAGATGTCTGGCTGAGCAGCAACGGTGAAGACCTCCTGGTTGGGCATCACTGGTGGAATCTCACGCCGGAGAAAACACTCAAATCACTTTATGTGGATCCCTTGGCACAGATACTCGACTCATTCAACTCACCACAGTTCGTTGGTGACCTGGATGGTCATGACCAACCGTTGGGCGTTTTTGCTAATGAGCCTAACAAAACACTGATCCTGTTCATTGATGTTAAAGACGATCCAGCCAAGACTTGGCCAGTGGTTCTCAAACATCTCGAACCACTACGAAGTAAAGGCTATCTGTCGTACCACTCTAAACTACCTTCCAAGCCCTCAGACGACTCGTTTCAATCTGGCCCAATAACAGTCGTTGGAACGGGAAACATTGGCAAACGTCGCGATGTGAACGTTGGTCCAGATCTGGCAAAATGGGAACAGTACCACGATGTCTTTCTGGACGCATCACTGGACCTACTTCCTAATCCAGGGTTCTGCCAAAGAAACGACAGTTTGTGTCGCGAAGTGGGAGAGAACGAGTTTTACACTGCTTCCGTCTCACTCTGGAGAGCTATCGGGACCGTCATTCCTTATTTCAGCAACTCACAAAAAGAGTCGATGCGAAACCAAGTTCAGCTCGCAAAAAGACTGAACCTCAAATCGAGGTACTGGGAACTACCAGGGTGGCCAGTGTCCCGCAGGAACTATGTCTGGAGGACACTTGCACACGAAGGCGTTGATCTGCTGAATGCCGATGATATTGTGAGTGCAACCACGAAGCACTGGCATTCCGACTATGCTATGGAGGGTGCCTGGATTCTTGGCATAGCGTCTTGTCTTTTCAGCTTCCTCTTCACAGTGATGTGGTTTGGGAAGAGGATGTTACGTCGAACATCGTGTCTTTGAAACGTGTAGATGCCCCAACGATACCCCTTATGTGTACTGCAATATCAATAAATTTCTAGTGAGTAATCTGAGTATGTCCCTCTTTATGTGTATTGAGATCTGCATTTGGTGTGACATTTGTGTTCCGTACCATGACATTCATCCATTAGAATATGTACAACCTCCAATTAGTTATAAGCCTTGTGGAAACGTATTGTTGTTCTCTATCTCCATTTGCGGTATTTTGGTAGACAAATAAATACATAATTTAGCACGTCAAGTCATGCATCTTGAGTTGGTCGACGTTGAGAGAAATACTCACTGCGGACGCCTCCATATCAGGAAAGGTTGGGGTTACCGGTAGTAAATTGACTTATCACCACCAACCGTTGTCAGTCACTCTTAGCTCGGTCCGAGACGAATATCAGCATGAGCCCCCAGAATATGAAGCAATACGGGTATTTTATCCATTTTGAATTATGATATGGGTCATGATTCTCCTTAGAACTAGATAGTTTTCTATTCCCAGTGAATATTACTCCTAGCAAAACATTGAACAGTGACTCGGCTGAGCGGAGATACACATCCGTCTCCAAGGAATTAACGTGAAGGACGCTAACTCCGTGTCATACGCTAGACCAATCCCATCACGTTACGCTTGAACTTCTGCGGGGAAGGGGCAATTCGAGTTCCTCATCCTTGACCACATCTGCCGAAAAGTGAGCACGTTTGCTCAAATAAGTCATCCATCTTTATCGTGTAAGCTTATACGTTGAGTGGTATATGATAGTAATAATTATGGAGTCCCCCTCACCAGCACAATCAAGTGCCAACCCCACTGCGAAGCGGAAGTTACCAGTCCGATCAAGAGCCGGGTGTTTGACATGTCGGGACAAACACGTAGGTCTATCTCATAAAACCCCGAACTCTCAGGACTGACATGGTGAGGTAGCTCAAATGCGATGAAGCAAAGCCTCATTGTCAGGTTTGCATATCACGCGGCGTTCAGTGTGGAGGTTATCAACGCGGTCTGAGATGGTCTACCAAGCACGAGAAAACCACGGAGCTAATCGACCACAAATTCCGGACTTCGCCAAAACAGGCGTGTATCACCAAGAAGCGTCGCGGTCGACCTCCAAAGCGACAGCCAGATTTGGAATCAACGGCATCTTTCACCACCGCGGGTTCTGTGTACAGTTCTAATGACGCGAACCAAGGTGTTTTTGGCGAATTTATGCTGGAAAACGCCTCGCCGGTTGCATATCAGCAGAATAATAACCAGCTTTCCGAGTTACATACAATTCCACAGATCAATGACTTTGCTTCCGAGTTCTCGCTCGACATGCCCATTGAGGGTCTTCCCGTGGACGAGTTTCAGTGGGCAGACGCGCTGAACTTGACTCCTACACTCGAAGAGTTTACCAACAACACCGAACTCGCCTTGTTTCCAGTCCATCAAAATTACTCGACACTGTTTGTACCTTCACCGATGACTGATCTCCCATCTCAGCTTGTTGAGTACTGGTTTCGCGATGTTTGTTCGCTGTGGTCCCAATACGATTCTCCAAGCAACGCAAACCGCATGATGGCTACGGCTCTTTGGTCAACTTCTGAAGCGGTCTCTACTAGTCTTCAGAGCATGTCGGCAGCGTATCTCTCATCCAAGATGCCCGATATGAAGAAGACATCTATCTCCATGATGAAGAATGCCACGGATGTCATTGAGGCGGAATTGCGCGTTGTAAAATCATCGCCGAATCTCGATACAGTGCCAATGGGTCTGATATATGGCCTGTTCTGCCTAGGAACAAGTATTTGCTGGCTGAACGCCACGCAGCTGGGAATACCGTTCCTCAAAGAGGCCAAGGCTCTTCTCCATCGGATCAATAAGCAAAAACGCCGCCTTACCGAGGAGGAGCGAAAACTTTTAAGCATCTTTAACAAGAGCTGGACATATTGTGAGATGTTGCTATCAGTGGTTTCAGACACAAATTCGTACATCTCATATGAAGCTGAAGAGGCGGAGGAAATTGACGATATCAGCATGGACGAGTATCCAACTGCTGCACCCAGTGAACCTATCCTGGATGACATGCCACACCCTTGGACAGGCGTTTCGAATACAGTCTCTCGACTACTAACGCGGACGCTAAGGCTCTGTCGAAATTATCGATACCATGTCAAACATCCGGGGCCTTTTGCTACCCGTGACCACGCCACGGCTTTGAACATGATTGAAGCAGCCAAGCTGTTGGAAGAAAAGCTCTTAGGCCTAGATTTCGAGTCTGCACCCGCGAATACTGAAACTGGTGACCAGAAAACACCATGTCGACATCTTGTCAATGTCGCGGAGGCTTACCGCCTGGCTGGACTGATCCACATCTACCAAACCTTCCCCGAACTGGTCCTCTTGAGATTGCCTGACAGTATATCGGGCCCAGCAGATGCCCAGATTCCATGGGAAGAATGTATCACACCGTTGAGTCTTCGTCTGACAAGGTTAATTGAACAACTCCCTGCCGATTCTGGCAGTAAGATGACACAGCCACTCCTCTGTATCACAGCCAGCACTGGACTACGATTCGAACCTTCCGAGACCTCACCGTTGAGCCCAGAGTCTCAGGCACCACTCGCCACGCCAACGCCGTTCGATCTTGGTAGCACAGAGAACTGCGGGCTATCCGACTACATTGGCCAACTGATCCAAGCAGATGAAGACATCGACCGCCTGTCCAACACCACAGAATCTCGACTTAAAATTGTCGATGCACGATGTTTCATCGTTGGTCGGCTTGATTCTCTGGAAATGCTCCTGCCTCCTCGACCGATTGTCGTGGCCAAGACTCTGGTGCAGGCCATTTGGAACGCATATGACAACGAGAAACCAGGCGGACCTTCGGTGCACTGGATTGACGTTATGGAAGAGAATAACTTGCGGTCTTTGTTTGGATAAAGTGTATGATGGATCCTCGTTCAAGAGTCTTATTCAACGTTGAATTCACGAACTGGCCACAAACCTAGAGTGGAGTGCCACTGAGATTTTGAGCGCTGAAGGGGGTAATAATATAGTTTCTTACTGAACTTATATTGGTTACATGGGACGTACCAAACGACGTGAACCAGTCTCAACAGGCTATCAGAATGAAAACTCTACATACACAATCACTGTCAATCATCAAAGTCTTGAAACTGAAGTCTCTTATTAACATGCTGTTTCTATGTACCTTCGGCTCAACGTAAGCTCGAAGGCATTTCGAGATTATATACATTGAAAGCTAAAGTATCCACCAGTTTGGAACAGAAACCTTCTAGATCCCTTGATCCAAGTCCATTTAGATGGTGCCGAAACCAGCGCTGGTAGCAAGGCCAGTGATGTCGGAAACGGGCTTGGCCTCAGCAGCCTTACCGTCGAAGGAGCTGAAGAAGCTAGAGTCAGTACCGGAGAGGGCACCAGAGTTGTCGTACTTGTTGACCTCGCAGACGTGGCCGAGGCCGCTGGAGCAGGCAGCGTTGGCGGAAGCATCGGGGCTGGAAAAGATCGCGCCGGTGGAACCCTCCTCGATAGCAGCCTTGACATCCTGGAACAGGTTGCCCTCGGCGACGATCTTGGCCTCGTCGCTGGTCTCGAAGGCGTGGCCAGAGTTGTCCTGCCAGTAGTTGTTGACGGCGTGGAGAACGGTGTTGCCGGCGACCTTGGGGGCTCGGCCAGAGGTCTTGGTGATGTAGTTGTTCTTGAAGGTGATCATCTGTAGTGTGTTAGTGGGCGTTCATGGAGTGTTTTGGAGTTGCAAACTTACGTCGCTGGAACCGGTGAAGTACATGGACCAGTACTGGTGACCGTCGCAGGTAGCAGAATACTCGCCGTCACCGTCAATGTGAGAGTTGGTGATGGAAACTCGGTTATCGGCGTTGGTTCCGAGGACGATGTGCTGACGGCCGATCTTGGAGGTGGTAACGTGATCAATCCAGACGAGATCAGCACCATCAAGAGTCACGGCATCACCACCCCAGACGTACTGAGGGTTCAATTCGGTGATGTGGATGTTCTGGATGATGATGTTCTTGGTTCCCTTGATGTAGAGACCCTTGCCCTTGATGACACCGTTGGCACCGATACCAACAATGGACTTGTCAGAGTTGACAATGATAGGGTCGAGACCAGCCTTATCGTAGGAAACGTCAACCTTGGGGGCATCAGGCTGGTAGTTGTTGCACCAGTCGTCCTTGTTAATGGCAGTCTGGCAACCAGCGCCGGTACCCCAAGGGGCACAACCCTGCTCGGAGGCAGTTCCCTCGGTTCCGGTGAAGTCGAACTCCTGGTCGAGGAAGATGACACGAGTGGTAGAGTCGCCAAGCATAGAGACCAGCTCATCGGTAGACTTGGGGTAGGCTCCCTCGGCGCTTCCACCACCGGTGGCCTCAGAGGCGAAACCCTCGGGGGTGCCGGTCACGCCAGCGGCAGAAACGTTGGAAACCAGCGCGGCCATGGCCACGGAGAGAATAGAGAAAGACTTCATGTTGGAAGAAGAAAAAGAATGTATTGGTAAAAACAAGAAACGAATGAATATGTAGAAAATGGAATGGAGAGAAATGTGAGGGTAAGAGGGCGGCTTCTAGTATATTTATTCTAGTTTACATCTCCAGCTATCCACAATTAACGGAGGATTTCTGTCCCCAGAGTGCCATTCCAGAAATACCACAGAAGAACGAACAATGGTGCTCTCCGCCTCATTGCTGTAAACTTGAAACTTGAGGCAAGCTATGTTGAACTCCCACCCACCAAAACATCCTTGGTATATCCAGCTTTGCCAAGGTTGATCTTACAGGCACGAGATGTTGCGATTGGCGGATATTCTCTATCGTTGTTTCTTCCGTGGAACACCGGCAGTGTTTTTCAGTGCGCGGATTCGCATTGTGAAACTTGGTCGACAAGGGTTTTGGCCTTGGGATTAAAGGATGGACCATTCTGTGGAGTGCGTGTTTCAATGTTCTGGCGTTGCTTGAAGCTTAGACAAGCTGATCAAGCTTTTATAGACCTGGTGCCAAGCGTTATACGTGAAGTTTAGTCGTAAAAGTCTGCTATAAAAGGAAGGTATGAAGTTAAAGTTTGAATTAAATGTCCGAACTTATTTCAGCCTCAATTTGAGATCTTTAATTCAATATCTTGGCTTTGCTCGTTAGGGGTTAATCTGTTAATCTACGTGGAACCGCCCTGTCAGAACAGTGGGCCTGTGCACTGCACGTTCACCCATCGCCTGTTTATGGAACTGTGGGCTACTCCGTAGGAAATATGCTTATCCTGGCGTCGAGCTGATAACGAAACATTGGTGATAGAGAGTGGTCAGTTTCATGTTGGCCAACATTTGCGCACAACTAAGAATGTCCGATAATTAGTCTGAGCATATGTATAAGCTGTGATTTTGGATGCCGAGTTTTGAACTTTAGTGGTTTTTTCTCGTGGTTCTTCGTTTATAGCTATGTACGCATACAGCTCAATAGACATACAAATATCACACAACTTCCCCTGCAAGGTCTTATAATACCGAAGATAAATTTGGTAGACCTATTGTAAACTTGGAGTAAACATTACAAGTTCTTGAAATTCTCACAAACTTACCCTGCAACACAGCATGCATCTATCACCCTCACTCATCGATCGCCTGTAAGCTTTAGTGTTAGAGAGGTTCACTCGATTGCCCGAAACTAATCTCAAAGCCGCGCGGCATCCTCTCTTCATATCCACGCAAGATGATATGTTACTATGCAATTGGCCCGTTGTCAAATGCCCACATCACCCGGAACAACTCAACCAAATTGCAAGGTAATGTAGGACTAGCTCGGAACCACAACAGATCAAGGGAATGAGTACGAGTTTTTTTCTCCCTCAAACTTTCATGCATTGGTATAACAAGATGAGGTTGCAGGCCTATGCCCTCTTGTAATTGTGATCAGCAACGTGGTGGGTACACATCCCGAAGCCGGGATGTGGCTCACAAGCGAATCTGCCTCTTACAACATAACGAAGCTTGACTATAAAGAAGATGATCGAGATGTCTGACACTGTGCGACTACAGTGGGATCATGCTCACACATTCGTGTAGATAACTTGGTGTGTTATAAGATACGTACCGGTCGACTATCACCAGAGCCTAGGGCAGAGATCACTTGCACCACTTAACTGGCTGGCTTGTAGCGAACAAAGCCATACATAGACCATTCACATGATATCCTTCTCACTATGTCGTGCAGAAATATAACCTGCCGTGGGCGGGATAGTGTAACAACATCGAGGACTCGGAAGGCTCGAGTCCTATCTTGTGAGACCAGCTGAGATGCGGTCGGAAAGCCTAATGCTGTGAACGGCCAGCTGGCACCACTAACTAATCTCTGCATTGATGCGCGAGTGTGGCAGTAGGCGGAGAATTTAGTGCGAGATATACGAGATTTGTGTTACACAACACTTCGGGAGAGCAGACCTCAGCCCTCGTGCATCTCTTATCGTGAGCATCATGCATGATTGTTGTGATACGTCTCAATAGTCACCGGCGTAGGAATTCCGACCTGAACTCAGTCGCCAGACTTGACCAATCCATGGGTATTTATCAACCTGTTGCTCAACATTGACTTTCTCAAACTGTTCACGTACAATCATGGCCGCCTCACTTGGTCGTCGTTCTGTAGCAGACTTTTACACACCTTTTACCTTATCCCTATATGGACTCTATGTCATTCGCATTTCCCTTCCCCTAATCTGGGGCTGTTCTGCGCAAAAGCACCTAGGTCCTTTGTTTTCCAAGAACTTCTCCAAAAGACATCTCGATATTGGTGTTGGAGATGGCTATTTCCCAACAAGGGCCCTAAAGGAGGCTGGCCGCAAGCCAGAGTCCCAGCATCTTACTCTCGTCGACTTGAGTGAGCATTCTCTTGCGGCCACTAAGCGACGTATCTTGTCCCGCTACCCTGAGGTGGATATTCGCTGTGTCCTTGCGGACGCGGTCAAACCGTTCCCTGATACGCTCCAGAATGAGAGGTTCGACTCTGCTTCTCTCTTTCTGGTAATGCATCATATGCCTACACCAACTCATCTGAAGACGCCAGCAATAACCAATGCCAAAAATCTGTTGACTAGAGAAGGTACTTTAACGGGGTGTACTGTGCTGGGGACCGAGTGGGAAAAAACTGATCAGGGGTATAAGATGCTGAACGAGAGGCCATCGAGTAGGTTTGTGTCGTTCATGCTTAGATTTTACAACAAGAGAGGGATGCTTGATAATTTGCACGAGGATCCAAACGTTATTGAGAGGGCTTTACAAAATGAGTTCGAAGAGGTGGAAACCGAAGTTGTGTCAATGATGTTTGTCTTCAGAGCTAGAAAGCCGCGAGCATAACTCATGCGGCCAGTTTCAGGAACCCAAATTGTTGATGACACGATGGATTGAACGTTAGTAGTGACTTATGTTATGCTCAAATCAACATTCTACGTCCTCTATTGTATTCCTAAACTTCTCACTGAACAGTATTGGCAAGATATCCAGACTTGTTAACACTGCTGTTTGATGTAGGATGCCCATCAGCGTACAGATGTGACTTTTGAGACACATGCTATTGTCTAGCAGTATAGAGATCCTTGCTGAGCTGGGATATGTTCCTGATGTTGACGTGATCATTGGGATAGTGATCGCCCTTCCGTTGTATCAACTAAACTCGACACGTGGAGAGGCATGTCCAATAAACAAGGGACACGATGATCACGGATGCTCATGCCTGTTATACAGGACCTAGACTATCTCTCTATCATTGTGCAATACCTGTGAGAAACTCACCTCTGACAAAGGCCTTAGTGACACCTCAAATGTCTCGCAATGAGCGTCACCGATCGAGTCTCGATCCCGATCTCTATTTCCGATCGGCGAAAAGACACCGACATATGCGCGATGCGTTGGCTGTTAACTGCACCTCGAGGGCTTACTTATGTGTCACAGTCTGCAAGACTTTGCATCAAAGGCTTAGCTCTGGTGTTACAACGGACACTGGTACGGAAAATGGGACTAGAGATCTAGATCCGCAATGGATCGTTCGCAAGAACCAGGGATATCGCACAAGATGAGGTTCCCTGTCAACTGCCTGGGGATCTTGCAACTCTAAGTCTCTAACCCAGTGAAGGCAGAGATCATATAGCTACTAACCTGATGACAATTCAAAGTGCATAAGAAGAAAGCTCTTCGGCTCTTTCCAATTTCAGGATCTAAAGTAGTAGAGCAATTCAATCGATTAATTCGCATCATATTACCTATCCATCTACACTCCGATACTCTTTGTCTTTGCTCTAATCCATCTGAAAATGGTTCAACATCAAGCCCCCCACACCCAAGTCAACAACTACCTGAACAGGGTGCCACACAAAGTAACAAAGATACATGTGGCAGACAGAATCTTCGGGTGGGATCCCCAGCGGTATCAGACATTGATATCTGTGGCATCGGGCTTCGTCTTCCTGGAGGTATCCGTAACTGTGAAGATTACTGGAACCTTCTGTACAATGGCCTTGATGCCAGAGGTCCCGTCCCTAGCAGCCGCTACAATAACGGTGGTTTTGACGACAGCCTCGGTGGGATTAATGCCATCAAGTTCAAGCATGGCTATTTCCTCGACGAAGATCTCTCGTGCCTCGACACATCCTTCTTCACCATGGCTAAGGGAGAGGTTGATAGAGTCGATCCACAGCAGCGACTCCTGCTTGAAGTCACTCGAGAGTGCCTTGAGGATGCAGGGGAAGTTGATTACCGTGGAAAACAAATCGGTTGCTATGTCGGTACCTTTGGCGACGATTGGCTGATAACAAGGATGAAGGACCCTCTCGATGGAGGGCTGCATGCTGTTACTGGTTATTGTGATCTCATGATGGCGAACCGGATTTCATTCGAAAACGATTTCCGAGGCCCCAGGTGAGTTGCCAAAGTCACTGAGCCATGTGGGCAATGTCTGACTAACATTACTCCAAGTCTAGTCCTCAAAACAGGATGTTCTAGCTCAGCAGCAGCATTTCATGGAGCCTGTCGCGCTATCCAGAGGGGTGACGCATCAAGTGCAGTTGTAGGAGGTGCCAGCATGATCGCTACTCCAGCCCTCACAGCCACCATGTCAGCAGGTGCAGTGTTGGCTCCAGACGCGTCCTGTAAGACCTTTGATGCTGCAGCCAATGGTTATGCAAGGGCAGAAGCGATCACAGCCATCTATGTCAAGCCTGTGGCTGATGCTCTCCGAGATGGCAACCCCATCAGGGCTATTGTTAAGGCCACTTCGCTGAACTGCGATGGAAGAAGCACCAGCCTCATTACTCCGAATGGAGCTGCACATGAGGCTCTGATGAGGAAAGCTTACCGTGACGTCGGGTTAGATCCCAAGGATACGGCTTTTGTTGAGGTGAGTCGTCCATCCCTTACATGTCTGAAAGGCAGCCTAACGAAACCAGTGTCACGGAACCGGCACACCCACAGGTGACCCTATTGAGACTAGAGCAGTAGGAGAGGTCTTTGGAGGGGAGAAAGGGGTATACATCACGTCGGTCAAGCCGAATATCGGACATACAGAAGGTTCTGCGGGATTGTCATCCATTATCAAGTGTGTTCTGGCTCTTGAGCACAAGACAATCCCACCGAATATCAAGCTGAACAACCCCAACCCTGCCGGTAAGTCTTGCCTATCGTGCACAATGATATCTTGCTGAGAACGATTCAAGTTCCGTTTGCCAAGTACAATTTGAGAGTTCCGCTTGAGCCAACACCCTTCCCATCGGATCGAAAACAAAGGGTTAGCGTCAACTCTTTTGGCATTGGGGGAAGCAATGCTCATGTAGGTACACTTCAATTCTAAGCTATGGACCTTCACTAAATCATCTGCAGGTCATTCTCGAATCTGGTCCATCGAAGCCAAACCCAGTACCACAGACCAGAGAGATTCAACAAGCTGTCCAACCTAAACTACTTCTTCTTTCGGCCAATACGGAAGGCTCACTCAAAACACACATCAAGAACCATCTAGAATGGGCCGTCAGCCACCCAGAGTCTACCGCCGATGCTGGCTATACTCTTGCGAAGCATAGAGAACATCTACCGCATAGAGCATCTATCGTCCTTCAACCAGACAAGTCCATCGAGACTTCGGAACTACTCAAAGTTCATCCTGCACCACTACCACTCGTGCTTGTATTCAGTGGGCAAGGTGCGCAATGGCCCGGCATGGTGAGAAAGCTCATCGAGAACGATCAGCTATTTCGTGATGATTTGCTCAAGATGGATCAAGTACTGAAGGGTCTCGAGTTTCCTCCGTCCTGGAATTTTATAGGTAACAATTTATGTACCTCTCCTAAGCAGCTATTAATTACATGATAGATGAACTTTGCAAACCTGCCGACACAACGCAAGTGCACAAGTCAGAACTATCCCAGCCGCTATGCACAGCGGTTCAGATGGCACTCTTCAACAAGTTCCTTGCTTTAGGACTTCCATTCACGGCTATCGTTGGGCACTCCAGTGGCGAGATAGCTGGTGCGTACTCCGCACGACATATTTCCATGGAAGAAGCCATAATTATTGCCTATTATCGTGGCTATGTGATGACAAAGCAAACTCGCCATGGCAGCATGGCAGCTGTTGGAATGGGAGCTGAGGAGGTCTCTCGGTTTCTCTCGGACGGCGTTGTTGTGGCCTGTGAAAACAGTCCAGACAGTGCTACTATCTCTGGAGATTCCGACAAAGTAGCTCGCGTTATCGAATCCATCAAGGAGAGCTCATCTGATACGCTTGCTCGCCTTCTCAAAGTTGACATGGCGTACCACTCAGGTAAGTGTTCCCTTTTCCAACAGGCTATTGCCCAGAATACTGATACTTCTAGATCACATGGTGGCTTTGAGTGTTGAGTATCACAAACTCCTTCAATCCGAGCTTTCAAAACTTGCACCTTATGCGCAGTCAAACAAAGCCGTTATGTTCTCTTCTGTCACCACCGACACAGTGACACAGAAGGATGTTCGCAATGCATCTTATTGGGTTCAAAATCTGATTTCCCCAGTCAAGTTTTCATCCGCTGTGTCCAATATACTCGCAATAGAGAAGGAGTGTATCTTTCTGGAGATTGGACCACATTCAACTCTGGCTGGCCCTCTTCGGCAGGTCTGCTCAGCCACCTCTCTACCATTCCACTATATCTCCGCACAAAGTCGTGGTAAAGACTCCTTTGCTACATATCTTTCTGCTGTGGGAAAGCTGTACCAGCATGATGTGCCCCTTGACCTAACATCACTATTCCGCGATGCCAAAGCAATACCAGGACTCCCTACCTATCCTTGGGAGCACAAAGAGTCCTTTTGGCATGAGAGTCGAATATCGAAGGCTTGGAGAACTCGTCAGTATCCCCAGCACTGTCTTCTTGGGGCGCGAAACTTTGAAGGCCCAGAGTCTGAGTCTCAATGGCGCAATATTGTCAACATTGAAGATTTGCCCTGGATTTCAGATCACAAGGTGCATGATGACGTGGTCTTCCCGTTGGCTGGATATGTCGCTATCGCCGGCGAAGCTGTCAGGCAGATTTCTCATGCTCCGCCTGGATCTGGATACCGGCTGCGTCATGTTATTGCCCATGAAGCACTGCTGTTAACTGATGCGGTGGAAATGTCGACTTGCTTCCGCAACCATCGACTCAATGATATCGAGGACTCGACTTGGTATGACTTTGTGATATCCTCATACAATGGTTCGGCTTGGATCAAGCATTGCACTGGCCAAGTGACTACACTTGACCGGGCTAGGGTCTGTGAATGGACTCCAAAAGTGCTCCCTCGGGAAGTTAGCTGTTCACGTATGTATGAGCAGTTGGCTCAGATTGGCTTCCCATTAGGCCCCGAGTTTCGCCGTTTGGTCAGCGCCACCTCAGCGACTTCAGAAGAGCTGGTATACGCCAAGATCAAGAATAGAGAATTGGAAAGTCCATTCTTGTACACTCTCCACCCCGCTACGATCGACGCTGCTATCCAGTTACAATTTGTTTCGCAAGCTCGAGGTCTCCCCGGGCGCATTATCGACCTCTGTGTACCTACGGCTATTGAGGAACTTGAGGTGAACTCAGGCTCAGGTATCATAGATGCCAAAGTATGGAGGTTACACGGCCTGGAACCATGTGTTGAGCTTGCGGCAGACGGTAAAGTTGTGTTCCATGCTTCGGGTACCCGACTTCATCGTCTAGGCGACGGCACATCTTCTGATGTGCTTGGTCTTCATGCCACAGCAAGACTCAACTGGCTTCCTCATATTGACTTTGTTGATGTCTCAACATTATTTGATCCACCATCCTTTGAGAGGCAGCACAATCGTTTGCAAGAAGAACTGGCCTATCTCTGCATGTTGAAGACCGCAGAGAAGATCCGGTTCCTGGAGCCCTGCCAGCCTCACTTCATCAAATTCCGAGAATGGGTTGATAGGCACATTGAGCTTGCAAAGGTAGAGCATGAAGGACTATTGAGCGAGTCTCAGCCTCTTTCTTTTGACTCTTCCGCGGACATAGCTTCGAAGATAGAGGAAATTACAGGTCAACTGTTGCAAACACCAAGAAGGCCTATTGCCACTGGACTTCGACGTGTCGTTGATAACATCGAAGGGATCTTTACTGGAAAGACTACAGCCATCGAAACACTTCTTCGGGAAAACATTCTGGCGGATATTTACGGTTTCGGCTCTTTTGATTACTCCCCATTCCTACGTGTTTTGTCGCACACTCGCCCAACCCTCAAGATTCTTGAAGTTGGCGCTGGAACAGGAGGGACAACAGAGACCATTCTTCGAAACATGGTTGACAATCAACTAATCCCGGCTTATTCTGTCTATACCTTCACCGATATCTCCGCTGGCTTCTTCCCAGCAGCCAAGGAACGATTCTCGTACGCCCCAAACATAGAATTCAAAGTGTTGGACATTTCTCAGAACCCTCTTGAACAAGGCTTTCAAGAGGATACATATGATGTTATCATCGCAGCTAACGTTATTCACGCCACTCCCTCGCTGCACCAGACACTACATAACATCCGAAAGCTCCTGAAGCCGGACGGAAGGCTTGTTATGACGGAGTTGTGCAGCCTGTGGCGCTCAATCAACTACATATTTGGCACCTTTTCTGGCTGGTGGCTAGGAGAGGATGATAATCGCAGAGACCAGCCTTACGTTCCTGTATCACGATGGGACGAGGAATTGAAGGCCAGTGGTTACAATGGGGTGGACACCGCTGTTTACGATGATGAAGAGTCACAGGCGCATTGTGCTGTCATTGTGGCCAGAAAAGAGCCCCCTGCGAGTGCCAAGCCTACTTCCGTTTCCCTTCTAGCCCAGGACCCCGAGGGTCATATTGCTTCTATAATTGTTGCTACCTTGAAGGGGGGCGGCTGGAGTGTTTCCTATCATCACTTGGGTGACCATATTCCTGAGGACCAGGCTATCATCTCATGCCTTGACCTAGAAGCAGCTTTCTTTGAAGATGTTCCAAAAGGCAAATTCACTGCCCTTCAAAACTTCGCACGATCTGCTGGCACAAGAACTATCTTGTGGCTCATACTCCCAACTCAAGCCAACTGTTCCAACCCGTCATCGGGCCAGACACTTGGTGTTACTCGTACTCTCCGTTCCGAGCTAGGTCTCAACCTTTTCATGCTGGAGGTGGACCCGCATGGAGACTTCTTCGGCTCCTCAGTCTTCAAGATCTTTGGGCGAGTGACGAGAGATCAGGACATTGAGAATCTTGAGCCGGACAGGGAATACATTGTCAAAGACGGAGTAATTTGTGTCGGAAGATACCAACCTATTCCGTTGATCGAAGCAGTAGCAGACAAGTCTTCCGGCGTCGAGAACATGAAGAAGCTTCATATCGATCAGCCTGGTATTCTTGACACAATGGAGTGGAAGACATACTCCCTTCCCAAGGTCCTGGCTCAGGACGAAGTGGAAATCGAAGTTCGCTCCGCTAGTCTAAACTTCCACGACGTTGTTTTTGCTATGGGCCTGGTTCCTTCTGATGCCAAGGAAGTCACAATCGGATTGGAGGTATCCGGCACAGTCAGACGTGTTGGAAGTGCGGTAACACACTTGGCCGTTGGTGACCATGTTATGGCCTTATGTCCGAACGGCGGCCTCGCAACACATGTTGCACTTACGCATCACTATGTACACAAACTACCCGAAGGCATGAGCTTCGAAGAAGCTGCGACTTTTCAGTGCTGCTATTCCACAGTCATCTACGCCTTACTCGACGTGGGGAGAATGCGCGAAGGAACAAGTGTTCTGATCCACTCCGCTTGTGGAGGTGTTGGCTTGGCTGCCATCCAAGTTGCTCAAATGATGAATGCAGAGATATATGTGACTGTAGGAAGCGAGACAAAGAGAGACTACTTGGTCGAGCATTACAACATCCGGCAAGATCGCATCTTCAACTCACGGGATGATTCATTTCTAGGTGGCCTAATGAAGCAAACAAGGGGCAAAGGAGTCGACCTGGTTCTCAATTCTCTCAGCGGTGAGCTATTGCATGCCTCTTGGAGGTGCGTGGCACAATATGGCACTATGCTGGAACTTGGGAAACGTGACCTTGCTGCGTTCGGTCAGCTGGATTTGAGAAGGTTTCTCGAAAACCGATCATACTGCGGTTTTGATATGAAGGACCTCATGAGGGACCGTCCATTTCTCGTCAGGGAGTAAGTATCTCCACCAGCACACACTTCTAGTAGCAACTGACATATCGCTAGTGTAATTGAGAGGACCCTCAAATTCTACGGACAAGGGAAGCTGAAAGCAGTCAAGCCTATCACTGAATTCCACGCCAACGACGCCAAGAAAGCCTTCCGCTATCTTCAGGGTGGTAACCATATGGGTAAGGTAACCCTCACCATACCCACAGATACATCGACCATCAAGGCCAAGGCGCGCACACCCAAGGTTCACCTCGACCCGCTCGCATCTTATTTACTTTTAGGTGGCTTTGGAGGACTTGGGCGAGGTTTGGCTGTTTGGCTAGCTGAAAACGGCGCCAAGAGTCTTGTCATCCTTTCCCGCGGCGGCGGAGTCGACAACAACGTTTCACAAGAGCTTGAGTCCATGGGATGCACAGTTGCTGTGGTCAAGGGCAGCGTCATTAAGCTTGAAGACGTAAAAGAGGCTGTCACCCAAGCGCCAAGCCCTATTAAAGGTGTCTTCAATCTTGCCATGGTGCAAAAAGTTAGTAATTGCCCCCTTGTTATGCTGCTTCAACTAACATGAGAAGGACTCGCCATTCATTGACATGCAGTGGACGGATTGGAACGATGTCAACGAACCAAAGGTCAGAGGTACTTGGAACCTTCATGAAGCCCTGCATGATCAACCGCTGGATTACTTCTGGCTAGCAAGCTCTGTCGTCACTGTTGTGGACCAGCCTGGCCAGGCAAACTACAAGGCTGGGTGTATATTCATGGAGTCGTTTTGCCAGTACAGACACTCTCTCGGCCTCCCTGCATCGGTACTATCAATCTGTCCTATTGGAGACGTTGGGTTTGTTGCAGAGAACCCTGCTGCGCTGCGAAGCGTCAAACTGCAGGGCCAATACACCCTAAGAGAGAAGGAGTTTTTGGAGTGTTTTGAGGCTTCGCTCCTAAACTCGATGCCCAGGGGAACTTCTGCTGGCAACTTCAAGAATCTCTCTTCGGGGGCGTACTTGCCCTGGAATAGTAGCGGCCACATGATAATGGGTTTGAAGTCTCATCTTCACCTTGACGATCCCAAGAACCCAGCCAACTGGCGTCGCGATCGACGAATGGGCTTCTACCACAATATGGCAACCGAGGGCGCATCCAGCACTGCAACGGAGAGTAGTCAGCTCAAACTATTCCTCGAAAGCCTTTACGAAGACGGCGGATCTAGTATTCTGGAGAAGGAAGAGTCTATCGAGTTTCTGGCCTGCGAGATTGGCAACAAGATCAATGAGTTTCTTCTCCGGCCCGGCTCTTCCATTGACACAAGTCTCCGACTTGCAGACATGGGGCTGGACTCTCTTACCACTATTGAGTTGCGGAGATGGTTTCGTCAAGCTTTTGGGCTGCAGGTCAGTGTGCTGGAGATGATGGGTGCAGCTTCGTTAAAGCAACTTGCAGAAACGGTAGCATCAAGGCTTGGAGAGAAGCTTATCTAGTATGGACAGATTAGTATGAACCGAACCTTTACCCGAAACTTGCCATAGCTTTGTGATAGTTTTGGTCTTGACCTAACAAAGGGAATCATGCATTTATTGGGGTAACTTGTGAATGAACAGGCACTAAAATAATTACGTTACGTGACTGTATATAGTGTGTAATATTGCTACCATCTAATACATACGACCAAAGATAGTGGAAAATACGGGATCCCGTCCGCTCTCCCATAGTCAAGCCACTAATCGGCGGATTAGTAGTTGGGTCGGTGACGACCAGCGAATCCCCGCTGTTGTATGTAATCTCTTTTTGCCAAATCTAGGTCTTATTTTTTTACCCCTCCGTGCTCTAGCTATCGCCCATAGTTACTTATCACTTTGCTCTTCTACTCCGAGTCTGGCAAACGTATAACTAGCGAGGGTTTTATTTCTCTGCCAGAGATTCTCGTTGGTGCCAACGCTTATAATTTTTCCAATCAGCCAAGAGCTGAAGTGATACCCCCCATCTATGGATGTTTTAATTGGCTGCAGGTAGGTGTGTGCGGTACATGTTCCTCAGAGGATGGGTGCTTGTTATCGGTTAAATGCGCTGAAGCACAAGATTGGTCTGTTTATTGTTCTCTGGGTAAGATTGATCCGATAATCATCACCATGTGGCGGAAATATTACGCGTGCTCTCAAGGCAGCAGCGCATCAGGTATAAATGACATTGGAAGGTTTTCAACTTTTATCCCTTGATCGATCAAATATCCCTAAACGATAACAAAAATCTCCTGTTTCAATCTCAATATGCCTTCGTACTCAAGCGACGATATCATGGCGGACTGGCGTTACGCCGTGGAGCAAGACTTCACTACTTCTGCCGGAGAGCCATACCCGTATGCCAACAATGGCAAGTTGCAATGGGGCAATGAACTCAACAAGATTACCTTCAAGAACCAGCCCCAGCCCCAGCCCCAGCTTGGTTGCGTGAGCCATGATGGCAGTCGCTTGGCTTTTGCGGTAGATCGCAATATTCATATTGTCGATACCCAAACCTGGGAGACTCTCACTGTTCTCAAAGGTCATACGTCCGGAATTAATGCTTTGGCTTTCAGGCCCAACGATGCCCGTACCCTCATATCCTGTGAGAAGCCCATGTACGATAGACATAGGCTTGGAAAGGAACCCACTATTATTCTGTGGAATATTGAAGAAGAGCAAGAAAAGATCAGTCTGGTGGACGATCAGCTGAGCAGTATTTCGCAGGCCGCAGCATCTGTCGTTGGTGACAAGTTGGCAGAGCTTGGTGTCTATCTAGATCATGCCAAGATCCAGAATCTGGCGGCGGTCTTCGAACCAGCTGTCGACCGCCTTGTTGCCGAGCACATAGCAGCTGGTAAACCCACAGTACAGGGCAAGCTCATTTTTAGCCACGAATCACAGATATTTAGCCCGTCTGGACAGTACATCGCCTACATTCCTGGAAAGCCGCCTCGCTCAAACCGCGACGACCCTTGGGATATCACGATTCTATCCGTGGACGAGTTTAAAGAAGTTATCACCCTCAAGGGCCACACCGATGCTATGATGTGGCTCGGGTGGAACTCTGACGAATCACTCTTTGCCTCAGTGTCATGGGATGGTACAATCCGCATCTGGGACCCAAAGACAGGCGATCAGAAGCATCTTTTCAGAACCGACCACCAGAACTGGACAGGTGGTTTTAGTCCAGACTCGAAATATTTTGCAACAGTAGATGGCGATGCCAACGTGAGGATCTACTCAATTGTTTCTGGCGGGAAACTGCACTGGACGTACGACGGACAGCGAACAGACTACTGGAGACGAACTATCAGCTGGCATCCGAACAGCCAGTGGCTCGCGGTAGGAGGGGAGAAGAGCGGCGAGTTGCTTCTTCTGGACATCGAGGAGAAGAAAGTGCTTCAGAAAAGGCTCTTGTCTGCCGATGCTAGCACAAGCAAAGACGAGGTTCAGGACATGATGAAGGGGTTTGTAGGCACGTATAAAGTGAAATTTGTCGACGGTGGGAACAAACTTGCAGTCTGGACTTTTGGAGATGATAGTATCGAGGTCTATGATATCAATCAGCAGGTAAAGTGGAGGTTCGCCAGGGGTGGAACGGAAGATGGGCCAGAAGCCGACAAATGGAGAGATGACGAGGGCAAGGTCACCAGTCAACGAGGCTATAGTATGTTGACTTGGGAGAATCACACAAAGGGTGTGCTGCAGCTGGCGAGTCTCGACTTTGACGGTGCTCGAATCTGGGAGATCCAGCTTTAAGAGAGTGTTTATGACAAGGGATTTCTGAGGACTTGGTGAATTTGCTGTACGGAGTAGCTGTTTTCGCAATATTCTTATCATGCTGTTAGTTCGAGGAACTTTTGTTAATGAGTGCTTACAGGCGAGGTAGTGGGGACTACCCGCTGTAAATACAGGGCATAGGATTGGCCACAGGACACAAACAAGTTGGACTCTGGAGAACAGGGCCAATAGTCTTTAGCTTCTTTTAATTAACTAAATGCTTACATACCTATAAGGCTGCATTCTCGTTCCAGGGATGCTATGGCGAGCTCAAAGATCAGGGTGACAAATACAAATGTCGGCTCAATGTGTCCCCGACCCAACTATTCAGGAACCAGCTTCCTTCTTGGGACGTGTTGGTTATCACCCAGAGCAGGGAGTGTATCGTATGTCTTCTGCTACTCTCCCCGGGAATTATTTTTCAATTTAAGCGTTGTCTTGCACCTTTGGCCAAACCTCACATAAAGAGTGCTGTGGGTTTCTTAACACCTCTTCGCCCTGAGTCAGCCGGCTTTGGGTGACTTTGTTCAATTCCCAATAGCTCTCTTCAGCACTACACGCCCACTAAATATTGGGCCTTTCGCGAAATGCCTTCCTTTGGCGATCAGGAAGGTCTGCTTGAGTTGAACAAAGAAAGCTTTGACTTCACTCTTCAATTCGAGCAGTTGTTCTTCTCAATCATTCCGTCTGTCTTGTTCATTGTATTCTCAATATGGCGATCGCTCAGCCAGGCTCGAAAGCCCACTGTCGTGGACGCTCCAGTCTTTCAGCTCATTAAATTAGTAAGTTTAGCTCCCCAGCGCTCGTCAGTCGCGGTGTTGACCAAAATCCAAGACATCCATTACAGCGTATGTTGGTCTTGAGCTTTCGCTCGTTATTCTTGTCGCAATCGGGGCTTTTGACGCTACTGGCATGTTCATAGCTTCGTCTGTTCTCAAGCTTGTCTCGGCTCTTGTCATGATTCTACTCAGTCTGATTGACCATCGCAAGAGTTTACGACCTTCGGTGCTACTGAACAGCTACCTGTTCTTGACACTATTACTCGATGTCGCTCAAGCTAGAACGCTGTTTCTGACATGGACAGTCAAGCCAGAGCTGGCATACAGCAGCATTTTCACAGCGACAATTGCCGTCAAGCTGGTGATCTTATTACTCGAAGCTCAGCGAAAGTCTAAATGGGTCATCTGGAACGAAAAGGAGCACAGTCCAGAGGAAACTAGCGGAATCTTCTCTCTCGGGGTCTTTTTCTGGCTCAACAAGCTCTTTTTGGAAGGATACAACAAGGTTTTGAAGGTTGACGACCTTTTCCCTCTCGATACCTCGCTCCGCGGCAATGCGCTGCATGAGAAGTTCTCCATGAACATGGACTACTCAAAGCTCAAGAGCAGTAAGCTCGGTTTGCTCAAGGTGCTTGTGCGAACGCTCAAAATCCCGTTACTACTCCCTGTCCTTCCACGCCTTGCACTTCTCGGTTTCACTTTCTGCCAGCCGCTCTTCATTGAGAGGCTGTTGGATCACCTGTCGAAGCCAAAGATTGACGACAACATTGGGTACGGCCTGATTTGTGCCAGTATCTTGATCTATACAGGCATTGCAATCTCAATGGCACTCTGCTGGTATGCATTATATGTGAATATTGGAATCCTATACTAATCAACACAGGTACTTCCATAACCGATTTCGCAGTATGACACGGTCAATCCTCGTGATTGAGACGTATCGCAAAGCCACTCAATCTCGCATCGGCGCAAGTGACGACAACGCCGGAATCACTCTGATGAGTACCGACATTGAGCGAATCCACTTAGGCCTGCTTCCTCTACACGATATCTGGGCCGCCGTCATCCAGGCCGCTCTTGCAGGATACATGCTCTACGGTCAGCTCGGGGTCGTATTCGTTGCGCCAATGGCAGTAGTCGCTTTCTGCGTCGCAAGTCTCATGCTGCTTATGAACTTCGCTGGCGACTCTCAAAGAGCTTGGATGAACGGCGTTCAAAAGCGAGTCGGTCTCACAGCTACTGTAATCGGAAACATGAAGACTATTAAGATGTCTGGACTCGCAGGTCCCGTCAGCACATTCGTGCAAAAGCTTCGCGTCGACGAATTGGCGGCTGGTGCCAAGTTTCGCAAGATCTATATTGTCGCAGCACTTCTCGGCTTTATCCCTCTCTTACTTAGTCCACCTTTGACGCTTGCATTCGCTCAAAGAAAACTGGATGCAACGAGGATGTTTACCAGTCTTGCTTACCTCTTGCTTCTTACGACCCCTCTTTCCGATATCTTCCAGATGGTTCCACAGTTGATGTCTTCGATAGCCTGCCTGGGACGGATTCAATCGTTCTTGGAGTGTGAGACTCGATCTGACTATCGCGAGTTTCGCTCAGATGCTGCACTCGCAGGCGAGACATCTACAGGAAGCGCAACATCGCCCAGGACGTCTCAAAACGTCGGAGATGCTATTGTTGTTGACAATGGATCGTTTGGCTGGAAAGAGGATAGCTTTGCCTTGAACGATGTCAATTTACGGATGGCTAGAGGTTCCCTGACGATAGTGGTTGGGGCAGTTGGTTCAGGCAAGTCTACGTTGGCCAAGGCCCTTCTGGGTGAGATTCCTTACATGGAAGGCAATGTGTCGCTCAGCAACAGATGTCCTCATGTTGGCTTCTGCGATCAGACGGCCTTCCTCTTCAACGGAACAATCAGGGATAACATTGTTGGCTTCTCTTTATTCGAACCTCACAGATACACGCAGGTCATCAACGCCACAGTTCTCGGATATGACTTCGCTGCATTGCCTCAGGGAGACCAAACATGCATTGGCTCAGATGGTATCACCTTATCGGGAGGTCAGAAACAGCGCGTTGCTCTTGCTAGAGCTCTATATCTGCAGTCCGATCTTCTGATCCTCGACGACGTCTTCAGTGGCCTGGATGCAGACACAGAGGAGCAAGTCTTTCGTCGTGTCTTTGGAACAGAAGGTCTTCTTAGGGAACGCCGCACAACAGTTGTGCTTTGCACACACAGCGTAAGACATTTGCCTGCGGCGGATCATATCATTGCTCTCACAGATGGTACCGTTGCTGAGCAGGGGAACTTCACCGAACTCATGGCTCGCCCCGGTTATGTCCATAGCATTGGACTCAGTACTCCTTCTGACACCGACTCTGACATAGCTGTGAGCTCATTGAAAGATGATGCTAAGGATTCCAAGTTTGAAGTCAATGTCACTTCCCTGCTTACTCCCGCGTCTGCAACAACTGATGACGGTGGCGCCCGTCAGAATGGCGACCGATCTGTGTACAAGCATTACTGCAAGAGCGTTGGCTCCATCTTCGTCCTCTTCAGCCTCTTTTTCGCTACGCTCTGGGGATTCTTCACAAACTTTCCCACAATCTGTAGGTCAAGGAAGTCCTACATGTTAGGCGAGTCCGAACAAGGTGACCAGATGTATTAACCTATGCTGTTACAGGGCTCAAATTCTGGACCGATGATGTTTACTCAGTGAACCCTGAACATTCCTATGCTTATTACTCCGGCATCTACGCCTTGCTAAACGTCTGCGGGCTGGTCTCTCTCCTGCTCCTGGGTATCACGATCTTCATCATTTTTATCAAGAAGGCGGGTGCCAATCTTCACCATGACGCTCTGCGAACCTTGATCCATGCACCGCTTCGCTTCTTTACGACCACGGATACAGGTGTCGTTACCAATTACTTTTCGCAGGATTTAAACTTGGTTGATACAGAACTTCCTTCGGCTCTCTTGAGTACTCTGTTCAGTGTAAGTTCCGCCATCTTTTAAGCTCGCTGAGTCCTAGTTGTTTAGTTCTGACAGTATTGGAACAGGTCTTTCAAGCCCTCGGCCAGGCTGCTGTCATGGTCACATCTTCTCCGTTTGTCGCAATCAGTTACCCGTTCCTTATTGCTTTGCTGTGGGTAGTACAGAAGTTTTACCTCCAAACTTCGAGACAGCTGCGTCTATTGGATCTTGAGACGAAGAGCCCCTTATAGTACGTCCCGGCCTCTAAGTTTCGGATGTTTTAACCTAACACGGCCAGTACACATTTTCTTGATACCCGCAAGGGCATCGCAACCCTGAGAGCTTTTGGTATGTACCGAATGATCTACACTCCTGGATCTGGCATGAAACAAGGTACTAATACAAATTTTGCATAGGCTTTGTGGCAAAAGACGTTGAGAAGAACGCCCACCTAGTCGACACTAGCCAGCGTCCAGCGTACCTCCTGGTCATGATCCAGCAATGGCTCAACCTCGTACTCAACCTAATAGTCATGGTTATCGCTGCGATTTTGACATCTCTTGCCGTGAGACTTCATTCTAACACTGCCTTTACGGGCGCATCCTTGGTCACCCTCATGAACTTCGGGGACAGTCTTTCGGGCATCATCATCTGGTGGACCAAGCTCGAGACCTCAATCGGAGCAGTAGCTCGACTCAAGACGTTTAACGAGAAGGTAGAACCTGAAGACAAAGAACATGAGGACCTTATTCCAGCGGAACATTGGCCACAGAATGGTGTAGTTGACATCAAAGACTTATCCGCGAGTTACAAGTAGGTTTCCTCCTATCTATGATAGTGCTTCTCTTACTAACAGCGCATCAAGCCCTGAGGACTACGACAGCAAATCGAACATCGCTCTACGCGGTATCAATCTCAAAATCAGCCCCGGAGAGAAGGTTGCCATTTGTGGTCGCACAGGTAGTGGAAAGTCGAGTCTCATTGCTCTACTCCTCAAGCTGCTCGATCCACTCACCGATAATGGCGGAGAGGTTGCCATCGACGGTACGCCACTTCACCGAATTGATAGACCAACCCTGCGCCAACGTATACTGGCAGTACCTCAAGAGGCCGTCTTCTTGCCTGACGGCACTACGTTCAAGCTGAACTTGGATCCACTCAACGTCTCGTCTGATGAAGAGTGCGAATCTGTCCTTGTAAAGGTCGGTCTGTGGCAATACGTGCAAGGAGTTGGCGGACTCTACGCGGGTATGAATTCAGAGACTCTCAGCGCAGGAGAACGACAGCTTATGTCACTGGGTCGTGTACTCTTGAGGCGTCGAATTCGAGCACGACAATTGGGACTTACTGGACAGAACAGAGACAGTGGCATACTGTTACTGGACGAAGTCAGTTCTAGTGTTGACCACGAGACTGAACGAGTTATGCAGGAGATCATCCGCGCAGAATTCGAGAATTATACAATCATAGCTGTGAGCCACAGGCTGGACATGATTATGGACTTTGACAGAGTTGTTGTTATGGATACTGGAGAAATTGTCGAAGTCGGTGTTCCCATGCAACTGGCTCAAGAGTCTGGAAGCAGGTTTGGTGAGTTGGTTAAGGCCGGGGGCAAATGAGCAGGACAGGGTAGATAAGACAGTCACTTCTTGTCTATTGTAGGAATCTATTAATATGTAGCTTGCTGGCTGTGGTTTTGACATTGTCGAAAATTCCAGTACATGATCGGGATGACATTTTAGTGGGCAGCTGGGGAAGTGCGAGTAAAGTACTGATTAACCAACGCTGAGACAGGATGTTAACGGCCACGGCTACATAAGTAAAGCCGCCGGGGTAATAGGATGGAGCGATTGTGAATGATTAATAGCATATTGCGGATAGTATGTAGTGCCACAGGTGATGTGACTATTTCCAGTGTCAGAGGCAGAATTCGTAAATCAAGTGGATTTGGCAAAGCCAATCGCAGGCGGAAATGGAGAATTGATCAGACCGGGGCGGACCAATCCTCATTCCGTGAATGCGTGCAGGCACAGCCACTCGTTCTTCGCGCATTTGTGGGGCAGGCCCTTTCTCGTTCCAGTGAGAAGGGAAAGCGAAGAGCGAGCCCGGACAAGCAACGTACGTGGGGTTGAGTTGGAGGCTGAAGCTGCTGAACAGCGAAGACGAGGATTGAGCGAGGCCTATTGCTAGATATCTTGGAAATGTATCTGTACTCAATTACTATATAAACAAAGTAGACTCAGGTTCAATCAGTTTTAAATCATCATTCAAACAGCGAGCAAAGCATTCACACATTCACAATCACATTCACATTCACATTCACAAACATCACCGACCAAACAATTCACCCATCACCACACACAACACCAAACAACATGACCACTCACACAATCCGCAAAGTCGTCTACTCTGAATTTGGCGGCCCCTCCAACGTTAGCGTTGTCACCGCCCAAATTCCCCCTCCCGCCAAAAATGAAGTCCAAGTCGACGTCATCTACGCCGGATTTTCTGGTGCAGACATCCAAATGCGACTGGGCACGTACCCCCAGCAAAGAGGCGCCCCCATGACCCCCGGCTACTGCTTTGTTGGTCGTGTCAGCGCCAATGGCCCTAAATCCACTAAATTCCAGCACGGCCAGCTTGTCGGCGCCCTGAGCATGTACGATGCTGAGGCCCAAAAGATCAATATCGCCGAAAAATACTTGATTGCCATTACTGAGAACGTGGATATGCGCCAGGTACTTGGGGTCTTTCTTGACTGGAATACCGCCTATGGTCTCGTTCATCGCGCTACGAACTTGGTCGGCAAAGGCCAGCGCGTCTTTATTCACTCCATGAGTGGGGCTGTTGGTTATGCCATCATGACACTCTGTTTACTCGAAGGCGCCGAAGTTTACGGCACGGCCGCTGAGCGCAATCACGCTTCCCTTCGAGAGATGGGCGTGACGCCATTTACCTACAAGAATAAGGACTGGATGACTGAAATGAAGCAGCGCGGTGGCGCACATGTTGTCTATGACCCTATCGGCTTTGAGAACTACAACGATTCGTGGGACATCCTCATCACCGACGAGCCCAGCCGAGTCGTTGGATTCGGCGGTAACATGAATATCTTGCAGGGCGACGATGCCAAGCCACGATCGCAATTTACGTCAATGGCCAAGCTCCTGGCCAAGAACGGCTGTCTCTTTACAAAGAGAAGCACGGCCTTCTACTACATTGACCGCGACCGATCCGCTTACAACGAGGATCTTCAAGCAGTCATGCTCATGCTTATGGACGGCAAGATTGAGGTGCCGATTAAGAAGGTCTGGGATCTGGAGAACATTCGCGAGCCTCACGAGACTTGGGGTAAAGTCCCTGGAATGGGCTCGTGTGTGGTTCGTGTCGATCCCAACGCTCCCTAATGAGTTCAGTAAAGATGAGGGGACGGAGATGTGGTTCCGTGGCTTTAATGATTGGTTCGGACAGGATGGCGAGAATTAGATTAGATAACGAAATTGTGCTGCTACAAACCCTATACGGGTCAATAATTATATGGATTGTTCTTTTTACTTTATTAAATCGGTATTAATTTAGGTGAAAATGAATGTGATTAAGTATCTGTTGTGTCTATGTTTTAGTGTATTATTTTTCAAGTCTATAGATGTTCGGCGACGTGGTTTAACTCTTGTTACACTACATTGACACCGCCAATGACATTTCCATCGGATTTCTACCTGTCGGGAGAGGATTCAATAGAGTGATAGGGGCGGATTTCCAAGCTTGTCCGATGCCGATGGCTCTGAGCGGTACAGATCTGCCTGTGGTACCCACGTAGTATGTACAGTGAAAACGAGCCGACTGACTGGATTATCTTGGCAATACTCGGAGCTTGGTCATGATATCACTGAACCAAAAGTTGATAAAGTGCATGAGCCAAAGTGAACCTGCAATGGAAATCTCTTGTACCTGAGGTGAAGTGGAGAAAGTGACCTGGTGAAGGGCTGTCCCGCTCAGAGGGTACCTAGCCACCTCAACGCCAACGCGTCGCTCTCGCGTTATTGATGTATTTCCACACAACGCGACGCGACGCAGTCTTGCTGCGCTAACAAGGATTATTTGTAAAGTATCTAATCATAACAAACGACCCTGCTCCAATAGTTAATTCCATGTCATAGGACACCGAGCAGGAGCAAAAAACAGTGCTAGAAGCATAAAAGAAAGTCCTACACCTGTTTATTTGCTTTGCCACGTCAAGGGATCGAACCTTGGACCTTGTCATTACTAGTGACACGCTCTACCACTGAGCCAACGCGGCGCCTTCTTATTGGTTGAGACCGGACCGGTTTGAGAATTGTGATTTTCCTGGCATTGCTGATGCAGAATTGAGACGGCTGCGATTGATATTGTGAGCATTTATAGGACCCTTTCCATACCCATTTACTTGAGCCCATATAGCCTCATGGTAGGTTTGTGGGACACGAGGTGATCTTCTCCAAACTCTCCGTTACTAAAGTTAGGGATCCTTGGGGTTTCGACATCTCATTAGGATGCCCAACCTACCAAATAGGCTTTGACATTGTTCATCTGCTGGGAAGTGTTGGGATTTAATAGAGTTCCGGTCCATTCGGTCCGTACTATGGGCTTTTATTTATCGAGATTATTATAAACTATGATGTACTGTGTTGGCACCCTTTATGCCTGTTTCAAATTTTGAGTCTGATAAGATGTCCTCATGTTGTTCTACACATTGGAGGTACACGTCTGGTGCTGATGATGATATCGGGCCAATCAACGAAGGTACGCACAAACTCTCAGCCTAGTTTTACGGTGTATGCTTTCTTCAACCTCCATTCGGTTCTGCAGTTTGGTATTCAGGAGGCAGAGCCCCGCCTTGTTGACCGTGCGATTGCAACGGGGTCCGAAGTGCTGTACGATACGTAGGTACTTTGCTGAGTTCGACCAGCTCTTCGGGGTCTGTAGAGATACTTTCAGATGAACTGCGCGAATCATAATGATTCGAGTTTGCATTCTGCCGCGTGGCCACTTCAGGGTTGTCTCCCTCTGATCGAAGCGGCTGGGAGCTGTTACTGGGTATCTGCCAGTTTTCGACGCTGTCGTAAAGTTGATCAAGGGTATGCTCGCCGTACACAGGCGGACCGCTTGACTCATTTCCTTGATATTGTGTGTCTGGGGATTGACCGACCAGGTTTCCTTGTTCATCGAGGGTTATAAATGGTGATATAAAGATGCACAAAGGAATTCCCATGTCAAGCTTGCAAGTCAGTATTATGAATTGCCAAGATGGTGGCGAGTGACTTACATGTGAAACATGCCCATCCTGATTTCGAATAGGGATATGGACCTTTAGCTTGTGGGAAACCTTGATACCCTGAGCATCTATGTCCTGAATACACTCACTAAGCTTCTTCGGCAGCTGAAGCGTCTTTTTAATCACCCAACCCTCCTGATTCGTTTCTTCAATGTTGTCTTGCCAGTCTTGGTCTCGCGAAATATCGAAGTCCCAATGAGAAATTTTGCGTTGACCTTTGTGTTCTCGTGTATAGATGTAATGCCTGCTGTGCATGCTGAACTCCTGAAACTCCACCAGCGTCACGACGATGTTTTCCAGCTCGATGCCTTTGACTAAAGGTGTAAAGCGCATTTCTAAAACAACAGAACCTCCGAATACGGCAGCTTTTGTTGGTATTGACACCGAATAGTCCACTTTGTTGACCCAGGTTTGTTCAATAAACTCAGAGTGCATGAATTCAAGTGCAGTCGGTGAAAATGTACGGATCACTCGAAGGCGCTTGCTGCAGGAGATGTGCCGAGCTAATTTTCCTCGACCGATGATCGCCCTAAGCTCATGGGTGATAGAAGCATCTCGGATCCCCTCAAGGCTCTCCGGGGTATCACCGGCCATTATAAGCTCGAAGGGCCACTCGTAGTTTCCGGCTGGCAGCGTGAGACTCTTTCCGCTACTTCCTATCAACGCGGGCCATTTGTGCTTAAGGATGTTGGTAGTGTGGGCCACACCGGGATCCGTTAGCCATCTTGCAAGTGAGTTAGTCCATGGCTGCTATTTAAGGGGAGAGGGGATGGGTTAGGATTGAAAGCACACTTACGCATGGCGAACTGTACCATCTAATCGGAGTCTGATATCCTCTAGCTTGAGAGGTGAGCGCAAGCACAGGACTACAACGCCCTTGAGTATTTGATCAGGCGACTCATATTGGTTGCCCCAAAAGACAACAAAGTCTCGATCAAGTCTGTTGAGTCTGTTAGAAAAGAAGCTGGAGCCGCCAAGTATGGAAATTAGTTCAATTACCTGATATCGAAAAGAGAATACGGAGTAGACAGTATGCCACTAAAAGACGCGCTGGTAGGCGGATTATTGGACAGGGGAACTGCCGAGGGCTGCATGGTGGCTGAGAATATACATGTTAAATATGAGGCTTAGTGCGAACAGTCAAGTTTTATGTAGAAGTCCGAGGTTTTTAATACGATACAGCTTGTGAAAGATAAGAACGTGCTGTTGAAGATTCTAGACTTTTGTTGGGAAGGCCAGTGTGCCTCGGCTTACGTGTGACGTGGGCCGACCATTAATGAGACGTCGATGGGCTGATCTAAGAATGCAATTATTTTAGGCTCGGGAAGACGCATATGGAGCATGACACATCAGCACGAACCCACCCGTGACTAGGCATATGTTGCGAGAGTTTTTCAGGCGAGGCTCATGCCGATTCATCGCCACCTGATTTGCATGTGACAGGACCTTGAAGCTCACCGCATTTGTCTTTTCAATCTTGTGAAAAGTCTGCCTTGGTAGGAACTATAGCTAATTGAAGGGTCCCATAGGTATTTTAAAAGCTCATTTATGATTTCCGCTTATCCCTGCAACTAAACGAGAATAGCTGTCCGAAGAGGTCGTGTACTTCATTTGTGTAATACGTAACAATATTTTCGTATTGCTGACCTCATTCTTGTGAACAAGAAAATCAGCTTAGTATGGAATATTTTCATGGAGCAGCCACATGAATTGCTGGTTATTTTGGAACCACTCCCCGACGTTGAAGCCAGAATTGTAATCATCGTCACAAGCCGGAATTCCCACACCCGAGACTTCTGCAAGATTTGCAACAACGTCGTCAACCATTGGCAAATCACTTGGGGTTGGTGAAGTTCTATTATTGTGTGAAGGACGGGTGCCAGATTCAATGCACAGCCGAGCGGTCTGGCTGAGCAGCTCGTACACTCGATATGGGTGAGTAGTTGGATCTGAGTCGGCAGTCTCCGATTTGAAGGAGGCAGCGAACCTATCTAGACGATCTAGATCATCTGTATCCGAGTGTTGTATGGCGTTGGAAAAGATAATACTGAAGGGAAAGAAAGGTGTATATAAAATCGCCCTAGTTGGTGAATAATGTTAACCAAGAACCGAACTGTCAACTCCAAGCCATTACCGTCTCTGCTCTGAACTTACCAGCTGATATACCTCCTCACCAATAAAGGGTCACGACAGCCTTTGACAAGCCTCATGCACTGATCATGCAAGTCTAGAGTGTTGCGCGCAACAGTTACATATCTGTCATGAACGTTCGCATCTTGAATACCAGGCACCGCCCTCAGTATCATAGACAGTATAGATGATTGGCAGACCAAGTCACAGTGTAGATAGATAACCTTCATGGGGTCCCCCTCAATACTGCTATCCTGGTTTAAAGCGTCCTAAAATCTATGTTAGGTACATCATGAGACGGCAAGCAACCATACGCACCGAGATGTCAACTTGTGTTTCATCTATTATTAACTGTAGCTCATGCGCGAGGGTATTAACAGCCTCGACCCGCGTTTGTGTTGCTGTAGATGAAGCTTTTGGTCTGTAGAGCTGGTCGTAGACCTTTCCTTGTATCCGCCCATGGCGAATGGCTCGGTGTTCATCTGGCTCAATTGGTAAGGTGATCTGAGAGTCCATGATACCAGAACAATGCCCTAGCCTTAACGAAAGTCCTCTCTCGTAGGTATACACAGCCCAGAACAATCGTGCTTGTACTTCGTTATTGTTGTTACCTTGAAACATATCCAGCCGATGATAGCACAGGGTCTGACAGAGTGTCATGGCAGTTGAAATCAGGATCCAGGATTGTGTGGCCCTGTTCTCCTCCACCATATATAAAGCCTGTAAAGTATTAGCCGAGTTATCCGGATGGCTTCTAAGGACCAGCATACCCCCAAAGTCAATGCAGCCACAACTTCCAACGATGCCGTCAATAGGAGCGGCAGCTTTGACAGAGCTTGGCCCAGACTAGATCGGAAGAACTGACAGTATTCTCGATGTTTCGCATCACCATAGACGACAGCATATTCTGCAAAGACGTATGAGAGAAAGCTGCTTGCGATGATTGACTCCGCTTCAGAGTAATCATCGACACCGAAATGCACTTTAGTAGATATTTGTTGAAAATGAGCTAGTGGAAGAATGTTGCAAATCCATTTGATTCGGAAATCGGTGGCGTGAGCTGGCGAGTTGTTAGCACTCGTTCGGCTGAAATGCGTCTACAACGTGGTACCTTTTGCCCACCGCAGAATGTTTGAAATCGCCTCCAATGGAGGTGTCGGTAGGTCATCTAGATGCTCATCAAGTTCAGGCCTCGTCGAAGCTAGACCTGGCGTAGGATGAGAATACTCTAGGGCGTTAGCAAGGCTCTTCAACGAAGAGATAGTCTCTTCCCATTTAGGGTTCGCCTGGGCCAGGCTGCTGTCTTGAGCAACGGACTTGACGAATGAAACAATGTGTTCGGAACAGTCCCAGCTTGGGGGTGAAGCAGCGGAAGCTACCCCTGCAGTGAACTGTTTTCCAGGAGTGGAAGGATGTTTCGGGGATGGCTGGGTTGTTGCAACAAGCTCCGCTAACAACGATTTGATGCTGTCGACATCTTGAGAGATGCTGTCAATTTTCCGTTCACTATTTGTCAAACGTTAGTTGAGATTTGTGATGGATAAGGAGAGATCTTGGTCACTATTGCTCGGAAATCAGGACCCTTTGCCTTGCAGATGCTGGCTTAGGGGCGACTGTGCTGTGGGTGCAGTCCACTCTTGCAGATAAGCAGTTGGAACATGGCGTTCCTCTGTCGCAGCCGATCTATAAAAAAAAGACCCGTCAGCTAATGATTGTCCTGATGCTGAAGGTAAGGTTACTTTTCGCGCACGACATTGATCGCACTAACAGCCAAGTTAGTTAGAGGGCCTGCAGAGGTTGTTGTGGGATGGGTGACTGTACTGAGCGACGACTGATTGCTGGGCGGTTGGACATTCTGTAATCAACCGGACGAGCGCGGAAATCCGTCGTGAACACTTTTGCAGTGGTTGGGTTTTGTCATCTTGTGCTGGCACAAGCAGGGGGGGACGTGATGATTACACTACATTCAACGCAAACGCGCGGATTTCCGGCATTTGTCATGAATGGACCCCAATCTCAACCAATCAAATTACTTGCTCATGTCCCTCGGAGGAGAGGTATCAGTTCAATAGACCAACGCCTTTACAAGTCAATCAGTACAAATATCACTATTTTCCCCATCAATCCGGAGATTAATCAGACCAAGGACAATACTCACTTCCACAGAATCACCAAGAGACTCATCGATCAATTTCTTACCGCAACGTCACAATGCCTCAAAACATCCTTATCACTGGAGCTGCTGGTTACATGTAAGTCAATTACTTAGTGAGTTCTTTCATACTAACTACTTCATAGTGGTGGCTCTGTTATGAATGGTATTCTATCTCACAACGATCAGAATATGAAGAATGCAAAGATCTTTGCGGCCGTTCGAAACCAAGATCACATTGACAAGATATCCAAGCTTGAAAGAGTTCAAGCCCTCAACATTGATCTTACTGATAAGACCGCCATCGAGAGGGAAATTGAACTGAACAAGAGTGAGTGCGCTTTCGGTGTCATGCTGCATGTAACCTGACAACCTTTGTAGTCGACCTCGTTGTCCATACAGCAGCAAGCTGGGATCCCTCAATGATGATCACAATCATTGGCGCCCTTGGGAAACGGCGAAGGACTAGCGGTGCCAAAACTTACCTAATTCATGCAAGTAAGACCCAGAGGCAAGGCTTACTAAAACTGACATGAAAGAAGACATCTGTTGCAAGCATGTTTACTGAAGAAGGGGGTTGGCCTTATGGCGAAGTGAGAGACACCGATGCTATTCTCGATAAGGAAAGGGAGATTGGACTGGAGAATCCAGTACGAAAGGTAAGGCAAGATTCTTATCACAGTATTGATAGGTTCGCTAACAAAATCGCAGACAAATATCTCCCTTGCAGACGAAGCCAAAGCCCAGGGTGTAGAGATCTTTAACATGGCAGTTCCCATGACTTGTAAGTGTCATTCTGACGCCTTGATCTAGACATGACTTGAAACGTGGAAACTGAATTTGTGATAGATGGAACAGGGTCTGGAGAAGTCAGAAAGCTCTCTGTCAACATACCAGCTTTGGTCCGCACTAGTGTCAAACTGAAGACGGTGTACAAATTTGACAACGATTCGGTAAGTAATCCCCAAATCGATGTGGCGTACAGGTAATTGATTTCAAAATACCTCAAGTGCACAGGAACAGTGCACATAGACGATCTCACAGACCTATATGTTCTTCTTGTGAATAAGATCGTGAACCAGGAACCGATCGCGGCCGATAATGACCGATACTTTTTCGTCGTTGCGCATCGCGAACATTGGTGGAAGGTAATGGACAAAATTGCCAAGAATCTTCACGCTCGTGGTCTTGTGACGGAACCTATCCCAAAGATCTGGCCGAACTACGACATCGCAGCCGAAAGCCTCGGGTTCCCACGCAGGTTTATCGTTCCTATGTGCATGACTAAGTAAGTGGCCTTTATAAACAATACAGTGTTTGATTTTCTGACCGGTTGTAGCGGAGAACTTGTTCCAGTCAATGGAGACAAGCTAGGATGGAAGCCTAAGTGGGATAGCGAGGAGAAGTTTTTGGATCTTATTGACCAGGAGATTGATGACATTTTGAAGTTGGACACAGCTGGAACATCGCTATTCAATGATCTGCTCAAGCAGTGAAAGGCTACGTACCAACTTTCGCAGCTGGTATATATAAATTCCCTCTTGCGCAGTTTTCCTCTGGAAATAAACGAGTCTATAACGAGTGCTGCCCCATGGAAGAAGAGAAGGCATAGTTGACATGTGTGATGCGCGTTACCTAACAGGAGAATAAAGTAGTGCGAGTTGTTCAAAATGCCGATGACATCCCCCCTATGCAAACATGTAATTAATGCATTTAAAGAATGTAGTTTTGGTACAGTGTCGTGCAGAAGCATCAGCTGTGAAATACTTGTAGGAAGTGAACTTGCCAGATACAACTAACAGGTAATACACTCTCTGAGACTTCGTTTTTGGTTGACTGAAATACAGAACTACAGGGTAAATAACACCAACATCCAGAACTAGTTTTAGCCTAGCCAGTGCCATCTGACGACGGCAGATGAGAAACGCCGGTACTCAGTTATAAGGCAAACAGCTGCCCTTTCCAGCCGAAACCATCGTAACTTCTTTGAGAATTCTTATTGTGCCTTGACTTGAATTAAAGTTTCCAAGAACTATGCCTGATATTTCCGAAGTCAATCGACGCAAAAGTGCTATCAACTGACGTGTTGTGGTTCTAGGTTCGTTCGTGCCGTGAGAACATCCCGTGTGGATCACATAAGGAATGGAATGTACAAGCAGCTACGTCACGAACGCCACTGGATTAAAACTCAGTGAGCATTGGTCTCGGACTTCCATGACTAGGTCTCAAGGGAGTAGTAGTACTGTGCATCAGTCATAACGGCGGGGTGGTCCCTGTTGGGTGATAAGGTTAGGTCGTCTAGATTTTAACAGCCAGCTTCTCAAGTACTCAAATCACCAAGCCCGTTTACGTTTCCCTTCGTCTATTGACCGGTCCTGAGTTCTGTTTCTGTTAAGTGTAGACAACTAGGACATGGTCTGCGCTCTTATCCGTGCATCGGGTTCCTGCATCATGCAGGTGATTCAGTTAGACTGCCACGGAGATCTCCGTAAGGTTCAATGTCTACGACGATGAAGGGAAGGCGCCAGATCGGACTGGAGGGCCAGACCAGGGAAGATCTGAGGCCCTGGCCTGTCAAACTCTATTTCTCCAGAAGCGGCCACGATGACTTGACATGCTTTCCGAAGACTAGACGATTAGGAATGCAAATGGCGTTGAGTCAAAGTTTACAGCAAGCCTCGACGCGGCTCAGGTCCTGAACGATTATTCACCAACTGAATTGATTTGAATTGGAAGACACTAGGTACACTAGAGCCAGGGCGAGTTGCCACGAGGAGCGCCATCGCCCTTCCCTGCATTCCAGTCATTTCGAGGGACCTGGCCGCATCCTACTTAGTGTCAAAAGGTCAACAGACGATAAGAAATCGACGAATCCATTCCATTGTTTGCAATCATTTGTCTCACCTTGTCCATTATTCTTGGTGACTGTTGACACATTCATTGTCAATAATGACTCTCACAAAAGCCTTTCCGCCGCCCCCTGGGCAAACCGTGCTGGTACGTTCATGGTGTCTCACATTCATCTCATCATTGCCCGTGTGGCCAACCGTCCGGAAATTAATGGCATGAGTAGGCCGTAACATTCAGCCTCATCGCATTCGCAGCGGTGCTTATCGGTACGCGAATCTTCCATCGAGTGAAAGTACAGAGAAAGAAGCTTGTTTTGAGCGACTACATCACGATTGTGGCATTTTGCGCAGCTCTCTCTTGCGCAGCCTTTGATGTTGTATTCTGGCAACATAATGTCCTCCGACCTAGAATGAGTGTTGGATTTGAGAACTATAACCCTCGCGAAGAGCTCGTGGAATACATTTATAAGGTAGATACGTCTGAGGACAATGTCTCCTTGCCTCATTGAAGACTAACACTAAGTTTTAGATGTCTTGGGTCAGTGAAATTCCGTTTTACGCGGCGACGTATCTCTCCAAAGCGATCCTCCTAGCAATGTACTTCAGCATTTTCCCTTCCTTTATGGGGAGACGTCGCAGGGCTCTCTGGTTCACAGTTATATACTGTGCACTAGCTTACATCGTAACACTTGCAATGCAACTATTCTCTTGCATGCCACTGGAGAGGCACTGGTATGTTGGCCAGATACAATGTCTTATCTCAGATCGTTTGCTGACGTTTTGCAGGATCATCAGCCGCCCTATGACCGCTTGTGATTGGAAGTGGCAGGGTACAGTCTTCCAAGTTTCCTGGGCCTTGTCCTTTTTGGCCAGTCTCCTGCGTAAGTTTGACCCGATACCGGATCCTGCATTGCTATGGAGAGTCACTAACATGCCTGTGTTAGTTCTTATTCTACCTTTTACCGTGATTCATGATCTAGATTTGACGAAAAGGGCAAGGATGGGACTGTACTTTGTCTCGTTGGTTGGCGTTCTTGACATTGCCATCTCTCTCATCCGATTCTTGAATGTGGAGCTTGGCGATGGTGGGGAGTTCAGATCATTCACTACGATCGGTAAGTCGCGCTCAAGAGAATTTTTAGAACTCAGCTAATAAGTGTTGTCTTCATAGAGCTTTGGAGTTCCCTCGATGTCAACATTGGTCTCATCACGGCTTGCCTCCCGGGAGTAAGAATGTTACTTGGACGCATGACAAGAATAGATGATTACACCTTTGATGAGGGCAAGACTGCGAGGTCTTCGCGGGCAATGGAGCATCGCGAGTTGGAAGAGATCGAGGATTCGACCTATCTAGGCGTCAGTAGCGCTGGTCCCTCCAACCGCTCAAACAGAGCCTCCCACGTTGATGAGAAGCTTGACAAGGCGCCAGAGAAGCAGCGTGAGCGTTCGTGGAGGGACGATGATGGTGACGACAGTGATCTGGAGCTTGACAATCTCAACGTCGAAGCTCTTACAAAGGACCAGGCACAGTCGTACTGGTCGCATCCTTAGTTGCTTCTTTTGTTATAAACATGTACCAGTTTGTCAATCCATCAGATCTTGCCATAGCAACAGTAGTCAATATACCCTTGGACGACCTCTGAGCGTCTCATAACTTCAAGCCGTTATCTTCTGTCTGCCACAAGCTTCCGGCTACCGAATTTAGAAGAGATTGAATCTAGGGACCGCAGTTCGCATTACTAGAGATACGATCATCCACATACTCGTTACCTTGAACGGCACCATTCTGTCAAATGATTGGTCCTATAGGACGAGCATTTAATTCAAGTAGCAACCCTCTCCAAAGAGCCTGAATGTGAGACATTAATTACTTCTTGAATTTACGTATCATCCTCACCTTATGTTATTGTTCTCAAATCTAGCCACCGCCGTTTTGTTCCACCTCGTATCCCCACGATGTAATATGGTCCTGTACCTTACCTACACAGCATTTATATTTAGTCAAATAAGTACCCTCAGTATGGTAGTACGATCTTAATGGTGAATACCTCTTTACTCCTTTTACCATGAAGTCGAACCCGTACAGCGTTAAATCTTGTAAGACATGTTTCTATTCAACCCAAGGTATACAATTTGCGATAGAGATTGTTAACGGCCGCTAAAGCCGAGTTCCCTCGGTGCAAAGTCACAGCCTGTTGTTCACGATGTCTTTGACCCTATCCAGATCCAGTGCCTCAATCGTACGTCCCTTATATCCAGTCATTGTCGTTGCCATACAAAGGGCATTGTAAATCGCTTCCTCAGTTGCGTCCGCAACTGCTTCGAACACACCGTTGATTGCCTCGTTGTTTATCGTTTCAACACCCAAAGAGAGAGGCACGTAGGGGTCAAGGCCCCCCTCGAACTTCTGCATGGGGATCTTGGCAGCCGTAGAGAAAGCCAAGAATATATCACCTGAGCCATTGCTGCCATAACCACCGACACGTGATAGGCCGACGGTAGCACGCTTGGCCAGTCTCTGGAGCTGGACAGGAATGAGAGGAATGTCAGTAGCAATAATAACAATAATGCTGCCATCAGCGTGAGGCCCTTGAGCCACAGGAGCGAATGTTGAGAAAGCTGCTTGATCCTCTGACGATAGAAACCGGCCTACCGGGACACCCCCAATATGGAGATCCTCTTTGAGTCCGTAGTTGGCTTGAACAAGCACACCGACGGTATAGTCTTTATGAATACCATCCTTGTCAATGCCCGGGACAATGCGGCTGCTGGACCCTGTTCCTCCTTTGAACCTGTGGCAAATCATGCCAGTGCCGCCTCCAGTAGAACCCTCAGGTACAGCATCAGCGCTCGCTTTCAGAATTCCTTGCACAACATGATCTGGTGTAAGGGCAAATCGACTTTGCTTGTTGAGGTAGCCATCATAGGTCTCTGTGATAACGGGGAAAGCAAAGAGGCCCATGTCTCCATCTTCTGTCGGATGATAACGTGTGACGTACTCGTAAACGCCTCTGAACGCGTCACCAATCGAGGAATTCGTTGTCAATATGATAGGCGAAGTCAGGGTACCGGATTCCTCAATCCAGTGGGAACCAGTCATTTCCCCAGAGCCATTGAACTTGAAGATGGCGGCATGGCATGAGTATTCAAACCAATCATGACGTGGCAGAACAGTAGTGACGCCGGTATTGACGTCCTGGTCAGGCTGAATTGATTCAGTGTGTACCAGTACGCCTGGTACATCAGTGACGGAGTTAAGACGGCCTGGCTTCCATTTGCCCAGGTAGAGCCTAGGAAGAAGCTCACGAACACGGACACGCCGAGAATATACTTCAGCACCGCCCATAGTGAAGGATGATAAACTGTAGAGATATAGATATTGTCATGCGTAAGTTGTGCGCATGTGAAAAGACTCGACCTGCGAAAGGGTCAAGATTGAAAACTAGTGCCAAAAGACGCAAAGCGATTTTGAAGAGTACCTTTTAACACGAAGAATAGTGGTTATTAAAAAAAAGAAAAGCAGTAACGTTACGGGTGAAACACTATACCAAGGTCAGATTGTATGTATATAAATCCCGTTTTCGGTTCTCGGGTTTCATTGGGCATCCCCCGCATTTCGGACATGATCCTTCGGCTTTGGGATGAGATAGAAATTTGTGGATTGCTGCGAAGACTACTTCCCTCTGAATGAAGTTGGCCTACCACTCGATTCGCAACATCCTTTTGGTTCCATATATAAAATCTTCAATTTTGCAAAACTTTGCTTCCTGTTTCTAGACGCCATGTGTGCTGTTCCGAGAAGCCCGGACAACTCTCGACTAAGTCTTAATTGAGTAAGCTTTGGCCGGATCATCCGCTATGCTTATGGGATAATGTGGCAACAGCCGGAACTAACGGAGGTTCGGAGCCAGGCAATGGGAGCTGAAGCGGGATGACGTCTGCCACGTCAGACGTTTTAAATAGCTGTGTATGTTAAGCCTAATACAAGACTCGAAATAACTCAGCATCTCAGTGTATTTGTGCTGTCTTTCACCTTGTATAGTACACAACGTCCGAGATGCAGAAAGTGAAAGCTATCGTACCTTCTTGGGACACCACCAAGAACCAAAGCAAGAAGGGCTTCGACAAAGTATGGGGATGGGCTGACAAGCTGGGTGCACCAATCAACAGGCTGTCAAATCGTATCGGCAGTGAGGCCTTTTGGCCTACAACTCTTGATAAGGAGAGCGATAAAGCAGCTAGGATCTTAAGATCATTTTGCAGTAAGACTGATACCGCAACCGCTTTTACGTCCGCGTACGAACTAAGTTGACACATCGATAGAGGATGGTTTCTATACTGAAGAAGACAAGCCGGCCGATGCCGAGCAGGCCGGGCCAAAGCAAAAACAACGCGTGCTAAAAAAGATTCCACAGAAGGTAATCCAGAATGCTGTCGGCCTTGCCATCTTCACAACTATGCGAACTGGCCTATGGGTTTCTGGGGCTGGTGGATCGGGAGTTTTGGTAGCAAGAAATGAGGAAGATGGCTCATGGTCTCCTCCATCTGGCATCATGCTGCATACGGCTGGTCTAGGATTCCTAGTTGGAGTGGACATTTACGATTGCGTCGTTGTGATCAACAACCGTAAGGCTCTGGAAGCATTCACTAAGATCCGGGCGACTCTTGGTGGAGAGATAAGCGCAGTGGCTGGACCGGTTGGAGCTGGTGGTGTCCTTGAGAATGACGGCAAATGGAAACAAGCCAACAGGCCCGTTTTCACTTACTTGAAGTCGAGGGGATTCTACGCCGGTGTCCAGGTTGATGGAACGGTCATCATTGAACGCTCAGACGAGAATGCGCGTTTCTATGGCGAGGAAAAGATTGGGGTGGCCGATATCCTGGCAGGGAAAACACGGCGTCCTCCTGAGATCAAGATGTTGATGGAGACACTTAAAGCTGCCGAAGGTCGGGATGATATTGACAAAGAGCTGCTGGAGGAGCTGGATGGGCAGCCTCCGCCAGGCGATGTTGATGTTGACAAACCCAGTGAGGGGAGCGTCTTTGGTATTCCTGACCCTGAAGATCCTGATCCCTATGGTGTCCATGCGCTCGAGAAAGAAGGACTCGAGATACGCGATGCTGCAACTCATTCAAGACCTTCTAGTCAGGCATTTGAGTACAGCCCCAGCCCAAATAGTCCAACCTACAACAAGTTCTACAGAAGGAGCTTGGAGACGGGGATGAGAAGCAACCGAGACAGCTATTCCTCAACGCCGAGTCGAGGCTATACAACGTCTGAGGCTGGGACGCAGACTGAGCCTGTGTTGATAACACCTGTCACAAACAACACACCTCACAGGAAGAGCCCAAAGTTAGGGGAGAAACTTCATGACGATGATTCTAGCGTGTATGAGGATGTCCGCCTGGAAGAAGACTTCCGATCACCATACGATGGAACATCAGAGTCCCCCTATACTACAGCTGACAGTTTCATCACACCACCACTTGGGCCGCCACCGCTTCCGGCTAGGAGTTCAGTCATACAGTAGATTGTCCCATATATAGAGTTTAGCTGGGGAGGAAGCTTAACAAGCATAGTATTAATTTCATCCCTTATACTCACTCTAAATCGCTTTGTTATTATGCATAGCCATGATCGAACCTCGCTGTTCCATTGACGAAGTGGCATGGACGCTGATGCACTAGGCTAGCAGATTGCCTCTTCCCCGTCGATTTCTAGTATAGTAGTAACCTTCATCAAAGCAAAGCAAAGCCCATGCACGAATTTCGGCCAATTTCTTCACATTCTCAATAGCGGACGAAAGCTGCCTAGGAGTGCAAAGCCGATAAGCATCAATAGCCAGACACAACCTTATGGATGTCTATCTAAAAGCAAGATCTATTACACGAAGTTCCTACGCCGCGAGAGTCAGAATATTATATCTGGTGATTGATTGAGGGAAGAATAGGAGCTAAATATACGCGGAGATGACCGAGACCACGGCCTTGGTCATAATGAACTGCTATGATACGTTACTTCAGCGGTGATTAGTCCAGGGATTGATTTTGGGACTTCAAACATAGTCTGAGAATTGAAAAGCATCAATTAAGCACTTTCAATATTTCAATGCGGTTGCCTGATGACTTGGTGTCATTCTACCTCACTTGCGATTAGATGTAAGGGCCTTGACCAAACAAAATACATTGTTTCTTATCCGAGAGGTCTTAGAGCTTGAAGTCACTTTTACAGTTCGTGGCCGGCCCTTTATACACCAAACAGTCGGAATCAACAGCCAGCGTGAGTTTGACCCTTCCAGAAATGATAATTTTAAGTCACCAGTTTAGTGCGGGGCCTTAATGAGGCATTTATTTGTCTCAACGTTTCTTGAGCATATCACGATGTAACTCTTCGTAAGGCTTTGTTTGGCACAACATTCTGTGATTGCTTTGTTTCTGAGGCCAACGCCGAGGAATCTAACTCAATTATCAAACCCGGAGAGTTGAGAGCTCCAGATTCAACATGGAGGACGTCATGATCCAGCCGGCAACATCTGACCAAATTCCCGCACTTGTCGACTTCATAATCAAGGCTCGAGAAGACATGTTCCCATTCCTAGATAAATCATCTAGCGATCAACTTGCGACGCATGAACTCGCCAACTTCCACAGAACGTACTTGGACAATCCGCAGGGAGCTTTCATAACAGCTCAGGTCAATGGCCGTCTGATTGGTAGCATCGGATATCGAGCTTATGACGGCCGGTTCTCTCACTTCTGCCTCGAGCCAGATCTGGATCAGGTTGTTGAGATAGTGAGACTTTATGTTCATCCGCAATTTCGCCGCGCAGGACTAGCATCCAAGCTGTTTGCTACGTTACTAGAGTCGGCTCAACGTCGTGGTCTCAAGCAGCTCTATCTGCACACTCATCCATTCTTACTGAGTGCAAGCGTGTTTTGGAAATGTCAAGGGTTTTCCGTCATCACTGAGGATGATGATCCAATATGGCAAACAATCCATATGAGTCGGCTATTGAGAACTGACGAGGACGCACTGGTCACAGAATCTTGAGAGAGGCATGAATATATCTTTGACGCGGGTTGCGGTGAGACAGGTCACTTCGTCTCGTGTATGACTTCAATACAAGAGGATTTGGCAAGTCAAAGCCTGGAACGGCAGGTTGGTAGATAACTACCAGGTAGTAACTTGGAGAAAGCTGTTGGTATCCTCTGGGCATCTTAACTTGGAATTCGGGTTTATTATGGGACTTTCTTCCTTTAATCGCGAGGGTAATATGTGATAGACTGTATGGAATATTCATGTGCTATATTCAGGCGCATATCGTGCCAGCCTGGTGTTTGGAGTATTGCAGTCGCTTGACATTTCGACTTTTCCGCCCTGTGCACTATCGTTTCTACTAATAGCGAGGTCCTCCATAGTCCGATTGACCTTGCTGCCCGTAACCTCCCTGACCTCCGTAACTCTGACCTCCGTAGCTTTGACCGCCGTAACTTTGGTCCCGGCCCCCGTGGCTACCACTATGATGGCTCGAGTCTCTATAATGAGAAGAGCTCTGGTGGTGGGAGCGATCACCGTATGCCAGGTCGCTATCATTGTTTCTTCGGCGACGATCGTCACCGGAATCAGAGTCACTGCTGCTAGTGGAGTCGCCGGTAAATGCTCGAGGTCGCCCGTCCCTGTGATGCTTCTTGTTCTTGTTCTTCTTGTGCTTCTTGAACTTGTGTTCAAGGAAGTTGGCGCCGACCGCTCCTGCGGCTGCGCTGGCGAGACTGCCCAGGAGACCGCTTCCAGCTGTATGAGCAGCCCATCCGGCGGCACCTCCGCCAGCAAGTGTAGCACCTAAGCCACGCTCACCGTCAGGGCCTCCCGGACCTCCCGGACCACCCGGACCTCCTGGACCGCCAGGATAGGCATTTTGCCCTCCGTATTGCCCACCTTGCTGTTGGCCGTTGTTGTGGTCTCGGTTGTCATAGCCGGGCTGTTGAGAATCATAGCTAGAGCCTTGAGCGTATTGTTGCTTCAAGAAAGTCAAGTTAGTACGGTAACGCCTGGTTGGTGGTTCTTCATTAGGTGACTTACCTGTTGAGGATATCCTTGCTGTTGACCGTAGCCCTGTTGCGAGTGTTGTCCGTAGCCTTGTTGTTGCTGCTGTTGGCCATAGCCACTACCACCGCCGCCGCCATAGTAATCTTGAGCTGACATATTTTGTATTTCTTTGTTCTCGAATGAACTGATATATCTCCGTGTGGATTAATTACGGTGCAAATGCTTTCAGGTTGATGTGAAATTATATGATGGAATAATGCTTCTACCTACTCAGAAGAGCGAGGGATCAAGCTTCATTTAAGTAGAGACTGTCGTCATCAAGCCATTGAGCCTTGGCCCAGCATAGCGTGCTTGGCTGATGTGATCTCATGCTGGATAACCAAGGTGGCGCAGTTGATGTCAATGTTGGCGGATGTCGGCGACACCGGTGACTTGGCGGCCGGATGCATCGGCATACGGCCAAGAATAGTTGTGGCTCGGCAGTCAACTGAGGACTAAAACCAAAACCAAGGACAAGGACATTACCCACGAGACGACGCTCGGACTCGCCGATGATTTTCTCTTACTCATCATAATCACGCTCTTCAATTGTTTGCGCCTTGCTCTGTGGCCGGTGGTTGACTTGGCATCGCGGGACGACGCGCGGCTTCTGATCACGTAGAATCGACAAATGGAAGACAAGACGAGACCCATAAATATGTTACCTAACACATACATTAATGTATTAAGAATTACTGTTCTTCCAAGTACTTGTAAGTGTATTAGGTTACTACTATTAATAGTGAATAATACAGTGGTGATTATTATACAATTCATCAAGGTTTATATCATGAGGCTAAAGCACTTCATGCCGATTATTAAATATTACATTTGAACACTTAACTGAAAAGGCATGTATAAATGCTAAGGTAAAGCGTTAAAGTTCTAAAGATCTGGCCCCCATTACAGAGTCACACATAATATTAAAAAGAAAGCTACAATCTACTCCCCGGGCATGAAGAGCAATATAGACTCTAATAATACTATATGGAAATCGACGTAAATGGATAATATTATTCTCCACAAAGGTAAAGATCTAGTCTCTTACGGTCGTATACCAATATAATTAATTAACTGCCTATACAGTTATTAAAACCAACACTGGATGCAGCATTGCTGTCCACTTCATGAAGCTCCACCTCTATCTATATCTATGCTTGATTACAATTACTTTGTCTATTAGCTTATCGTCCGCATACACGCTCATCCAACGTATCCCGTTCTAGGTAATCCAATCTGGGTTGATTCCTAAATCATTCTCTTGGATCCACATTGCTTTCCTCCTATCTCTCTTCGCTTTTTTAGCTCTCCAAAAGGCTTCATCTTCTTCTTCATCAGTGCTGTCTTCCTGAAAAACGGCGGTCCTGTCTGGCTCCTCGCGGCGATTCAAGGGCCATGTGTTGATATTGGCATCACCGTCCTGGTGAACATGGCTATCCACTCGCCTTTGACTCACAGCTTTGGAGACAGGTCTGTAGCGACTTGGTAGACCTACTGTATTGCGTTCCGACGGTGCAACCGAAGGGGCGTATCCCACAGCATACTGGTGAACAGACCTTGCATAGTTTGACGGAGCATAAGTTGAACCAGTGCCGGGAAACCCCACGTTCATGACCGACTGCTGAGAAGAGAAAGTATCCCACGGCTGGTTGCTTCTTTGCTGATTCATAGAAGCCATAGTACGCAGAAACTCAGTTTGAGCTTGGAGGAAATTAAACATCTCATGGCTTTGAGGAGCATGAGGCATCTGCGGAACCGCGACGGGAGTCTGCGGCCGGGACTGAGGCATTGGTGTTTGCATCCCCGGCATCCCATATGGTGGATTTATTGGTGCTTGTTGATGAGATGGAGCTGTCCAGCTGAAGGCGTTATTCGTGTCAGGAAGGGGTTGGAAACCATGACTTGGTGCTACACGACGCATGGCTTTAGCACGCTCCTCACTCGCTATCACGCCAACTAGTCCACCAGGAATAAGTTGCTGATGGTTCATTGGCCATGTGTTGGAAGCATTCCCTGGGAAAGGATTTTGTGGTAAGTTTCTAGCGAAGGCTGGCATCGGCGAGTTAGGGCCAAGTTGGCTAAGGTTAACAGCCGGCTGTGGCTGTGTCGTAAAGAGAGAGTCTTGTTTGGCTTCAGAATATCGCTGAAGTTGGAGTAGTGCCAATGGTACGTCATCCTCGTCATCACCCTCAGCTGGAACTGGCCCATCTTCTGGGCGACCCCGAAATGTTCTAAACGAATTCATCGACCACGATGAGGAGACTCGGGAGTGAGAAGGTAAAGGCGGAATGTCTGGTCCGCTGGTCTTCTTCATCATCCGTTGCCGGTAGCCTTCAAGGTGTGCCTGCTGCTTCCTTCTTTGAACTCTCTGCCTGTTTACCATATCTGCTTCATCTAGACAGTCGTAATCAATCTTGTCATCATCTTCTTCACCGTCATAGAACCGTCTTTCGGCATCTTCCCGAGCGGTGCGTTTCTGTAAAGCTTCGAACTCGGCGGATGTCATCACCTTTCCCCGGGGGCGAAATGATGCAGAGGGTTTCCGTAACGGGGACTCGGATGCGAACGCTTCTGGTACAGCTTCAAGTGGTGGGACATACAAAGCAGCTAGCTCCTGAAGGTCCTCATCTATCCTGTGGCATTGTCTCGGTTGCTCAACAGAGGCTTGGGATGGTTGAAATAAAGGCTCTACATCCGCGGAATGGGTCAAATTGAGACCATCGTCATTGATGAAAGGCCAACGCGGGCTCTGCTTAGTAGTTGAGCCAATGAGATGTTTCTGCTCCGCATTATGGACATCCTCAAGAGCGCTCGCCGTTTCATCGCTGAACCAAGATTGTGAATAGTGTTCAATTATTCCGGCATTGGAAGAGAATCGTAGGACGGTCCGATCATGTCGTTCTGGCTGGAAAGGCGGCGGGCACTCTTCTAAGCGATCGGGTGTGTTTTCATTCGGTTCGAGGAAAGTACTGTTCTTGACAAGAGGCTGGATCTTGGCGAAGTTGAAATCTAGAGGGCTTGTTCTGTTGATGGTGGTTGCTGTTACATCCATACTACGGCCTGAGGCATGGCCATACCTCTTCGAAGGCCTTGCAGGTCCAGTATCACCATACTTTGAATGGATATATGGTGCCGCAGTGAGAGACATCGAATAGATATGATGTGCAACGGAGAAGAGATAATTTGAGATTTTAGTAATATGTAAGTTTAGGAGGTAAGGTTGAGGAAGCTAGAGTGTACTAGAAGTCTGATAGGCATTGTCGCATAAGTGTCATCAGAACTATTACATCCCTTGAGAATGATCCCTTCGGAGCAAGGGGCATTATCAAGGACATTATTTGTCTTACAAGGGAATGTACTAAAGTAGGGCGAAGTAAAGCTAAGATAGTGGACTAAAGTGTCTTAGTACTACTCTGCTTTACTGCTTACTATACTACTATAGTTATATAGAGATAAAAAGGAATAGAATGTAGTAACTTATAAAAAGTTTAATAATATAATTAAAAATAGAATTAAGGTATTTTAATGAAATTAATATAAATATTAATAAAAAAGGGGTTTATATGAAATTAAAATAAAGTAGAATTTAACTTTAATAATATAATATATTACTTTAGTTATATTACTATTAAATTACTATTAGTTACTTTATTTATTTTATCTAGTTACTATAAAGAAAGTCTATTAAGTTATATAATTTTAGTTAATTAATTATAGTAGTTTCTTCCTTTATAACTAAAGGACTTTTTATCTTTTAATAAAAGACTCTATTTTATAGTATATATATATTTTTCTTTTATATCCTTAGTTAAATTTACTAACCGAGTTTATTATTATAATTAAGTCTATTAACTATTTTTTTTAATATATTTAATAAGTAAGTAGGTTAAAAATCCCTTAACGTATAGTATTTCTAATTAATTAAATACTTTTTAACTATATAATATATTAAAGTCTTTTAAATAAATATAAAATCTTTTTAAGCCTTTAGGCCTTTTAAAATAACCTAAAACTAAGTCTTTAATATACCGTAATTATACATTAAATCCCCTTTAAGAGTTTATATTACTATTACTATAGTATTTAATTATAATATAATTTTATATTAAACTTAAAGATATTATTTAATCTGAAGAAATAGATAATAATTTAATCTATTATTAACTTAGAATAATAAGGATTTTCTTTATAATTATATTTTATAAAAGAAATAGCTAGTTCTTTATTTATAAACTATAATATATTACTTATTAATAAATATTAAGTTTATAACTTTATTAAGTAATAATTAAAGCTAAAGATATATTTATTTTAAAAATATAACTATTAAAAAGTTAAATATTAAGATCTAATTATTAATTATAATTAGTTTAGGTTTATATAAAATATATTTATAAAATATAATATTAAATTAAATAATATTTAAACCTTTAATAAAACTAGCTTTATAATAAGTATTATAATAATTAAAATAGTTATTATTAATTTAAAAAGGTAAGGAAGACTTAAATTAATATAATTAAGAAACTAAAAATAGATTATTATAATTTAGGTAATTAATATAAAAGGTTAATTTATTATATTATTTATTATTAATATAAATTAATATTACTTTATAGATTAATATCTTAGTTATATTACTATTAAATTACTATTAATTACCTTTTTCTTTATTTACTTACTATAAAAAGGGTTTATTAAGTTATATAATCTTAATTAATTAATTATAATAGTTTTTTTCTTTATAATTAGAGTAATTTATTTTATCCTTTTAGGATATTTAAACCTTTAGTAAAAAACTCTATTTTATATATATAAATTTTCCTTTTATATTATTTAAATCCCTAAACCGATTTTATTATTTATTTATATTAAGCTTAGTAATATCTTTAAAAAAGAGATCTAACTATCCTAATTAAACCTATAGAAATATTAATAATAAAGGCCCCTATATAGACTAAAAAGTAATAATATCTTAAATTTAATAAGGTTATTTATTATATTAACTATAACTCTATTTCTTAATAATATAAAAACCCTTATTAAGGCTATTTTTCCCTCTTTATATTTTACTTTAATTAACCTACTTAAGCTTATAAGTAAAAGATTATAATAAGTAACTTACTAAACCAAAAGTAAACCTACTAACCTCTTAAGTAAATAAATAAAGCTAACCTTAATTATAGTTAAGATATTCAATATAATTAATACCTTTTACTAAAACCTATATATAAGGCTATAAGTCTATAAAAGGCTAATATAGCCTAGTAATAACGTTATAATAATTATATTATATAAAAATACTATTCCCAAGTATTATAAAAAGCTATAAAAAGAGGCTAGTAAGCTATTAATAATTAGGTAAGATTTTAAAACTAACTAAAAGTTATTAGCCTTTATTATTTTTAATTATAAAGTCCTATAGATAATAGGCCTCTATCCTATCTAGTATTACTAGCTTAATAAGAACATATACCTATTTAAAGAGCTAGAGGAAGATAAAGGCCTTAAAGGCTTTCTTAATTCCTTAAAAACAGACTATAAAATATAGATTATATAGTTAATCTACTAGCCTATATTAATCTATATAAACCTCTAAGGGTTTGATATAAAGAGACTATTAAAGTTAGAGTTATAAAAAGAAAATCTATATATACTATAAGATAGAGTTTTTTACTAAAGGTTAAAAAGTCCTAAAAGGATAAAATAAGTTACTTTAGTCTAAGGGAAGAAACTACTATAATTAATTAACTAAGATTATATAACTTAATAAACCTTCCCTATAGTAACTAGATAAGATAAGAAAGGTAACTAATAGTAATTTAATAATAATATAACTAAGGATTTTATTATTATTATTAGGTTTATTAACTATTTATTATATTTATCTATTATTAGATTTATATTATTGTTATTTAATATATTAAGAAAGGTAGTCTTTATTCTTATTAATATATTAATTAGACTTAGTAATTTAAGTTTCTTTTTAAACTAATTAAAAAACAATATCTTTATCTTAAGCTATACCTTTTTATATAAATAATTATTATTATAAATAAAGAAATAAGATAATTAAAGGACTTTATAATTAAAGATAGTAAGTATAACCTTAGTTTTTTAATTTATAAACTTAATACTTACCTTAATAGTATTTATAATAAATATAGTAATATCTTTAAAAAAAGGATCTAACTATCCTAATTAAATCTATAAAAGTATTAATAATAAAGGTCTTATATAAACTAAAAAGTAATAATATCTTAAATTTAATAAGATTACTTACTATATTAATTATAACTCTATTTCTTAATAGTATAAAAACCTTTACTAAGGTTACTTTTCCCTCTCTATACTTTACCTTAATTAACCTACCTAAGATAAAATAAAGATTATAATTACTAAATAATTATTAAGTATTTATAACTTACCTATAAGTTAACCTAACTATTATAATTAAATTAATAAAGCTAACCTTAATTATAGTTAAGATATTAATTAATACCCTAACCTTTATACTTACTTTTTATAAAGACCTTTAGCTAATTAATAATAATAATATAGCTAGGGCCTATAAAAAGGAATTTCGGTATAGCTAAAAGGTATTTATTAAAGTAATAAATAATAATCTTAAGGCCTATAATAAACTATATAACTTATATAATAAAACTAAATAGTAATATATTTTAAGGTAGGTATAAAGCCTATAAATTAAAAGGTTAAGGTTATATTTATTATTTTGAGTTATAAGGTTTTTTAATTATATAACCTATTTACTATTAATAATAATTATTTATATAAAAAGGTATAGTTTATAATAAAGATATTATTTCTTAACTATTTTAAAAGGAAGTTTAAATTATATCATATAATTAGGCCCTTAATAATAATAAAAACTACCTTTTTTAATATATTAAATAAAGATAATATAAATCTAATTAGAGGTAAGTATAAAAAATAGTTAATAGACTTAATTATAATAGTAAATTTAATTAAGGATTTTAATTAATAAACTCTAGCTAGAGTAGCTAAGTATAAAGAAATTATTAAAGTTAGAGTTATAGAAGGAAGATTTATATATATAAAATAGAGTTTTTTACTAAAGGTTAAAAAGTCCTAAAAGGATAAAATAAATTACTTTAGTCTAAGGAAAGAAACTACTGTAATTAATTAACTAAGATTATATAACCTAATAGCCCCTCCCTATAGTGACTAGATAGAATAAGAGGTAACTAATAGTAACTTAATAGTAATATAACTGAGATATAGTTTAATATAACAACTTAAAAAAGCAGGTTAAATAGATAATTAGGCCAGTAGAGGTATAAAATAAAGTATCCTAGTCTTAGCCTAAGACTAAAAGTACATAACTATTAGGGATAGTAATAGAAGTTATATATAAGGCGCTAAGGGGCTAGGGTAGAAATAGAGGTAAAGGGTTAAAATATATTAAAGGAATATATATTTAGAGTTAAAGTTAAAGTTAAGGTAGCCTAAAGTTAAAAGTAGCTTTAGGCTAAGGAATTAAATTAGATTATATAACCCTTATTAAAGTCTTACTATACTTACTTCTATAATATTATATATAATATTATTAATAATATTATTAACTAGGGCTATATACTATTATATACTCTATAGTTTATAAATATATCTTTTTTAAGTTTATTTATTTATAAATAAATAAATAAATATTATTTTAAATAAATACTATTTTATTAAACTACTTTAATTTTATATATTATTAAGCTTTTATATATATAAAAAGGATTTTTAATATATATTTTATATATATATTTATATATTTATAATAATAAGACCTTTATTTTATTATAGTTAAAATAATAATAAATAAATAATATATTTTACTATTTTATATTATAATATATATATTATAATACTATTATCCCTAGTTAATAATATTATTAATAACATTACGCGTTACATTACAGTACAGTAGGATTTTAATAAGGGCTACGTAATCTGATTTAATTCCTCGGCCCGAAGCCACCTTTAACTTCAGGCTACCTTAACTTTAACTTTAACTCTAACTAATAGAATATATATTCCTCTGACATATTTTAACCTTCTACCTTTCTACCCCCCCTTAACGCCTTATATATAACTTCTATTATTTTACAGATTATTCTT